CCTATTTTCTAGGCTTTTTAGGCTTTTAAGTTACTTTTCTATATATTATAAATTTAGTTTTCTTTTTATATAAAAAATAATATTAAAAGCTTATAGCTAAAGGTAATTAATATAATTAAGTAAAGATTATTTTATTTACTATAAAAAGATAATAAAAAGCTTTTTATTTCTTATTTTATATTAATTTTAAGGTTTTTAATTTTATATTTAAGCTATTTATATTTTATATTATAGTAATCTTTTAATATATTATTAATCTATTTATATAATCGGTTAAGGTTTATATTATAATAGGTTTTTATTATTTTAATAATACTTATTATAGTAATTATAAAAGAGATTAGTAATATAGACTAAAAGGTAAGGGTTAATTAACTAACTATAGCTATAAAGATTAATTAACTAGCTTATAATATAAATTAAGTTAAGGATATAAAGGAAGCTAGTTTTTATATATATAACTATATAATATATATATTTATTTAATTAAAGTTTAGTTATTATATATAACTTTTATTATATTAATTATATTAAGTTTTTAACCTTAAAAGAGGTTATTTTTATTATTAATATTATTAAAAGATTTAAAAAGCCTAGGCTTAATAAAGTTAAAGGTTAAAGTAAATAAAAAAAGAAATTAGCCTTTTTAATTATTATTATATTATTTCTTATTATTTTATAATAATAAAAGGCTTTATATTAATTTATTAATAAGCTTTTAGTATTAATAATATAATAATATTATATTTTTACTTATTTATTTTTAAATATATCTTATTTATTATATAATAAACTTTATTTATTTTTAAATATATCTTATTTATTATATAATAAATAGTATTTATTTAAATAAGATATAGTTTTTATTTAGTTTTTAATTTAGGTTTAATTAAAGTTTATATTAATATTAATATATAAGGCTTTTATATATTTTAAAGTTTATTATATTAAAAGAGTTATATAATACCCTTTATTTAATAAAGAATTATATTAATAAATCTTTATAAAGCTATTAGATCTTTATAAGCTGGTTTTTTATTATTTATTTTTAAAGGATTAGATTTATATATTATCTTTTTATAAAAATTAAAAATTATTTTTATTAAAAAAAGTTATTTTTTATATTTATAATAAAAGATTTTTACTTTTTTTAAAGTTTAATTAAGATTTTTAATATTATCTATTTAACCTATTAATTAAGGTTAAAACTAGGTCTAAGCCTATTTTTAGCCTTAATTACCTTAATTTAGTTATTAATTTATATTAAGGTTATATTTTTTTTTAATTATTTATAATTAATTTCTTTTTTATTTTTTTTAACCTTTAACTTTATTAAGCCTAGGCTTTTTAAAACTTTTAATAATATTAATAATAAAAGTAACCTCTTTTAAAGTTAAAACTTAATAATTAAGATAATAAATATTATATATAGTAATTAAATTTTAATTAAATAAATATTTATATTATTATATAACTATATATATAAAAACTAGCTTTCTCTTTATATCCCTTAAACTAACTTATATTATAAACTAGTTAATTAACCTTTATAGCTATAATTAGTTAATTAATCTTTAATCCCCTTTTAATCTATATTATTAACTTTTTTTATAACTATTATAATAAATATTACTATTTAAATAATAAATACCTATTATAATATAAATCTTAGCCTAATCTATAATAAGATTTATAAAGTAATTAATAACTATAATAAAAAAAAGTATAAATAACTTATCTATATAATTAAAAACTTTAAAATTAAAATAAAATAAGATTTTTAAGGCTAATTAATATCTTTTTATAATAAATAAAATAATTAAAACTTAATTAAGTTAATTACCTTTAATTATAAACTTTTAGTATTTTTTTATATATAATTAAGTTTAAAATATATAAAAGATTAACTTAAAAACTTAAAAAGCCTAAAAAAAGGCTTTTAAAAAGGTTAGTCTTTAAGACTAAAACCTTTTTTATTAAGATATTTAAGTTAAAGCTTAACTATATAGTTTAATATAATTACTTAAAAAAGTAAGTTAAATAGATAATTAAGGCTAATAAAGGTATAAAATAAAGAGAAGTTATATATAAAGTACTTAAGGGGGGTAAAAATAGAGGTAAAAGGTTAAAATATATTACTTAAAGAAATATATATTCTATTAGTTAGAATTAAAGTTAAAGTTAAGGTAGCCTAAAATTAAAGGTAGCTTTAGGCTAAGGAATTAAATTAGATTATATTACCTTTATTAAAATCGTATTATACTTATTTTTATAATATAATATATAATATTATTAATAATACTATTAATTAGGGATTTATAATTATATAATAAAGGTCTTTTTTATTTGTTTTAATATTAAATTATTAATTATTTAATAAAGTATTAAAAAATAAGCTTATTTATTCTTATTAATTATTATAATTATTATATTATAATTTTATTATTATTATAATTATCTTATTTATATTATTTAGTTTTATTATTAATATTAACCTAAATTAATATTTCTATTAATATAAATACCCTTTAGGTAATCTTAATTTTACTAAAGTATCTTAAAATATAAAATATATTTCCCTTAAGGTTTTTCTTTAATAAAATATTATAGTTTTTTTAAGACTATAATTATAATTTTTAATATAAAGGGGAATATTTATAGATTCCTTTTTTTATATTTTAAATTAATTTATTAAGGTTATTATTCTCTTTAAAGGTTATTATATTATTTAAGTCCCTATTAAGTATTTTAATTAGCTATTATAATAGGTTTAGAATTTTAGTTAGTAACTTTATAGTAAGTAATTATAACTTACCTATAGTTTTAATTATAATTATTATTTATTATATATTTACTATCTTAAGTTATATTAACTTTTTATAAGGTAAAGATAAAAGAATTATAATAGGTTAATAAGTTAAGATAGCTTTAAATAGTAAATAGGTCTAATTATTTAATAGAATATATACCTTTAAAAAGGTAATAATTAGGTTACCCTATAGATAATATAATAAATTTTAATATAATAAGAAGTATTATATATAATACTAAATAATATAATAACCAATCTATTAAAGTTTATAATAATATTATTTAAATAGCTAATTACCTAAATAATAGTAATTAATATCCTTAATAAACCTTATTTAAAATAAATAGCTAGCTTTAATCTATAATATATAAATTTATAGTTTCCCTCCGCTCTTAATAAACTAAATCCTTTATATACTATTAAATTCCTAAATAGATTATAACTATATTATTAACCGGCCACTATAAAAATATATTACTATACAATCTAAGTTATTAACCGCTTTAAAATCGAAGTTATCGGTAAGTATATAACCTAGTATCTAATTATTAATACCTTCTTAAATTTAATTAATAATAATAATATTATAATATTAAATAGGGAATTCCTTAAGGAAATACTACTTTTTAAGATATATAGTAATTAGCTTCTACTAATCAATAAGCTATAACTACTATAATAAGTATATCTTACTATCTTTAACTATTTATTACTATAGTTATTAATCCCTAATAATTTAAATAATAATTCTAATAAGGGATCTTATAATAGATTTTAATAGGTTATATTATAGAAGCTATTAGACCGGCTTAATTAAAAAGAGCTATTAGTATAGTAATAGTAGGCCTTTATAGATAGTATAATACCTATTAATAGTTATAATTAATATTTAATATAGTTTATAAAGTTAAAATATATTATAGTATTTATTAAGTTTAAGGCGTTAATATTAAACTAAGGGGTAATAAAAATAAAAGGTTTTAATAAAAGTAAAAAAACCTAAGATAAAAAGCTAGATTATTAGTTATACTTAACTTAATCTAATCTTCTATTAATTATATAATAAAGTAATAAATAATTAACTTATTAAATATAATAATATAATATAATAATATAACAGTCTAATATAATAGATAGGTCTAATTATATTAATAGACTTTAATTTATAAAGACCTTTATAAAGGCTTTATATATAAAGATTTTTTAAATAAATTAGGTTAGACTAATTAGTTCTTAATATTTAGTTAAGGTAATATTCTATATAGATTCTTTAATATCTTTATAAAAAAAGGTTAAAAAAAAGGCTTTTTTATAAAGAAATAAGTATTTTATACCCTTATAATTATAAATAAGTCTTTACTATATAAAGCCTTAATTTACTATTATTATTATTATATAATAAAGTATTTTCTATTTATAAATTTTAAATAATAAACTTAAAGCTATAATAATAACCTTATAAAAACCCTTTTATTATTAAATTATAAATAAAGATTTAAAATACCTAAATTATAATTATAAATTCTATATAATAAACCTAAAACTATAATAATATAGGTCCTTTTAAAGGTATAAAAATACTATAACATAATAGATTAATTAAAGATTTATAATAATAAACCTAAGGTATTAAAACGTACCTTAAATAAGGCTAAAAATATTAAATTAATATATATTTTCTAATCTAAGGGGGTATATTAAATTTAAAAAGTTATATAATAATATAAAGGTTATTTTAACTAATTAAACCTTAGATTAAAATAAGGAAAGTTATATAACTTATTAAGTCCTATTTAGGTATAGTATAATTAAAATAACCTAAAAGAGAGGAAATAGGCTAGATAGATTATAAATCAAGATATATATTAATTTAACTACAATTCATAGTTTAATACCTATCGTAAGATTATATACCTAACTAAGCTTACTTAGTTAGCCCCCCCTTAACTCGAGCTAATAGGTAAAGATCCTTTAAGTAAATTAGATTACACTAACTAGTCTCTAACCCTTAGCTAAGGTAATACCTTATATAGGTCTTTAATATCTTTATAATTATAACCTAAACTTACTAATTAAGCCTTAAATATTAAAACTATTTATATTAACTTATTTATTTTAAAATATAGAATAGATATATCATATATAATATAAAGGTAGTTAGGCCTAATGTAAATCAGATATAATTCTTCTAACGACGGCCATGTCGTGACCGAGAGCGGCCATGATGTTCAGGAACCTTTGTAGTCTGGGCTGCAGCCAGGTCAACGCCGTGCCTCATAAGCTTTTGTCTTGTACTATCGGGGTGTTTCTGGCCCATGAAACCATCAACTAAGGCTGCACCAAGAGCGGCGGTCGCGACCTTAGCACCTTTGGGGCCCAGCCATGGTCCTGATTCATGACCTGACTTCATTGCAGCTTGAGCACCAGCAGTGAAAGCAGTACGAGCACCGGCCTGAACCAAAGGGTTCTGCCACCATGCCGCTGCGCGAGCCTTGGTAGTAGCAGGCATAGAGTTACGGCGGCCTGTTTGGGGCCCGCGAGTGCTCTGTGTAGTAGGCGGTCGACCTCGTGTTGGTGACTGACCAGAAGGCCGTCCACGGCGGTCTCTTGTTTGTGAGCTTGGCCGTCGACGACCCGCAGCGGCAGCGGCCCCGGCAGCTCCTACTCCGGCGGCCCCAGCAGCGTAGTGGTCATCGTCCGAATCCGAGTCAGTTTCTGCATACCTTGACCTTCTTCCCTTGCCTCGAGAACGCGATCGGGGAGATGGCGGTACAGATTTCCCATCACGGCGAGACGAGACCGGGTCAGGAGCCCAAGTCTTAGGCCGTCGTTGTTCTCGAGATTCATCTGGGTGTGTGCGCACTGGTGCGCCTCGGCCGTATGGTTCGCGGTCGTAAGGATTCGAGGACGGAGCTTCGCGATCGGATCGATGATCCCTGTCAGCTCGTGAGCCCCGCTTGCTGCGAATGGGGATATCGCGCTCCCTGCCTGGCCGCGGCTCTCTTGAAGATGTGCGGTACTCTCGTTCACCATGGTGAGAGTCACGATCTGGACGAGCTGATCTGGCTTTCCGGCGTGGCGAGTCCGGAGGTGGCCCGAAAGGCGGAGGGCTGAGATCTCGTGAATGACGGTCAGGTCCTGCACTACGACCCCGACGATCTGCCTCATATCTGCGGGGTCGAGAACGGGGATCGGGCGCTCGGCCGTCCGTCATGTCAGGATAAGTCGGCCTTGAAGAACTCCTTGGGCGGCGACTCCTTTCTGACTTGTAACGGCGAGGTGGTGATCCAGATGGCGCCTCCATGGCCGGTTCTCTTCTGACTCTACGGGGCTGTGGTGCATCTCGTTCATCGTAAGGATCAGAAGATCTCCCAGGCTCTGGCCCTTGGAATTCATCATCATAGCGATAGGGACGGGCCTGTTGTCTGGGCGGACGATAGGATGCCATAGGTATAGCGGCGATATGGCTTGGCAAGGAAAGCTTGTGTAAAAGGGAAAGTATCTAAATCAGGAATAGTCCAAGTTTGGTAAGAGTGAACAAAAAGAGGAGGACTTCGTTCCTGAAAGGGTGATGACGATATTAGGATATCAACAGAAGACTAGTGGCGATCAGTTGCAAAGGTGTCAGTTGTGGGGAGGAGGAGGGAGAAAATATAATGGGAATAACTCCTTCTTTATGTAAAGAGACGTCTGCATAAAAAAGGTTGTAATGTGACAGGTGATAGGCGGTAAGGAAATAGTGTAGAACTCGCACCCACGTTCGTTAATAGGCTATGCTATGACTTAGGGCATTGCTCGATTGGATCTCACAAAGCCGGATCAAAGAGAGGTACCGGATGAAGAGGAGTCCGATTCTCTGGCATCAGTGGCGGGGTTTTGCTGGCCAGGTGTTCGTCATTCAGTACTCCGTACGTAGAAAGAACATATTAATTTTCACACATATGATTATGGTACAGAGTCGCAATTCGCTGGAACACATAACCAAGGTCAGTCCCATGGCGTCGAGGTGCATCGTGGGAGAAGAATACCAGCCATCCAGCCATCAGCTTGACAAGCTTTCGTGGGGAACCGACGTGGGATCCACGAAGACCCTGCATGCGCGACGTCATGGGACTTGAAGCAGCAGAGCATCTCAGCTGATTGACGTCACTACTCCATTTCGGGCTTTTTCAACCACAGAAAAAGCGGACAAAAAATGAATGAATGCTGGCTATCATGCATGAATCGGTATTTATCCAATAAGGAAATAAAGGAGCCTTTTAAGTGTTCTTTAGAGAAGCATTACTGACACTCTGTAAGTCTATCGGAGTGGAGTGCTACCCTTTATACGGAGCTTGGCCGGGCTTCCGTTGGGGACTGTCCACGTTGCACGACTCTTGGGCGAATGCTAGAAGGAAACGTGTGCTTCACGTTCACCTATGAATAATGGTACGTTGTTAGCCACCGAATCTTGTACCATCATGACGATGCTTGGGGGATCTTTATCGTCCTCGGGTCTGTGATTCATTGACTATTGGCTTGATGCCAGTAAGATAATGATGGTTCGACACATGAAAGGCAAGTTGGGCCAACAGGTGAAGATTTCATCATCTGGCAATTCATGGATAGTAGTGGTGACACATGTATGTTCAAACACTTTAACATTTGTTAACCTACAGAAATTTTTCAACATGGGTTTAATTATGTTAAGGTCATAGTGAGGACAAACGATCTTACAGCTTACTTATTTTGTCAAACTTTAACTATAGTTTTCACGTACGGTTATTGCCCCCGGAATAAAAGCAAGAAGACCGCTTTGACAGACCAGGCTTGCTTGCATTGGACCGGAAGTTTTTACCAAATGGGCTGTCGGCAAGGCCAGTTCAGCTGATCCTACTCCGTATTTAAGCTCACGTATTGACATCTGTACATAGTAGATCAGGGTTCACCCATGCTCATCATATGTTTCTGAGTCTTGAAAGAAAAGCAGGCTGACAGCATGTAGCGTCGCGTTACCCTGGACCTCTTCGGCACCGGGAGCCATCAGGCGCCTCACCTCGCTGACTGGTTACCAGCTACCGGCCTTCCAGAGTACAAGGCCGAGATTTACATGTTCCGTAACGCACAAACAAGAGTACGATGGCGGTGAGGATCATAGGTTTCGGGCGGTGCCGCTGCCCTTCCGAAAGGTAGCATTAACGGTGAGAAAACCTGGAACTGGCTTGTAGCACTATGGGTCATAAGGACAGCCAGATCGGGACGAAGATCAGGAGCGAAAGCGGGGGACGGGAGTATGTAGAGTATCTAATTAATGTTAAGTCGTTCTTTAATCTGGGGAACGAACAGAAAGGAGGGTTCAAACTTTATTGTACCGGGAATCGGCATTGGTTGAAAGTTGAAACCGAGCCACGACGGTGCCAAGAGTTCATATTGTACAACGCTTCCAAAAAAGTTCGAAGTCCAATGCGCTTTAGAGATCTGTTGGGATGGAAGAACATATGCTTTGTGCTTTGTAAATGCAGGAGCATGTTAAGATGGTATTCTATCAGATTGGATGTCGGGTAACATGACATAGAAGAGAATATGGGCAAATGGCGGATGAAAGTGCATATTTAGTTCCATTGATGTGTAGTTGCAGGCTCACAAAAGTAAGGGCTGCATTTTACAAAACGCTGTTAGTGAAGCACAGAAACAGTGCTTAGAAAAAGTCCGACGTTGCAATGTCTGAGAAGAAGGAACACTCAAACTGCCTGCCTATATTGGCTTCGGAGGCGTACAGTCGGCAGAGTTGGGCTCTCAAAACTATTCTGCCAACAAAATCTAGGTTTTGTTCATCTCACAAGCTGAGAGGTGATAAGATGAAATGCCTCCATTTACGTAGAGCGCTGTTATGATCACTTGAACGTTTTTGTATCAATTCGTCCCTCTAACGGTACGTACTGGATGTCTCGAGAATTTCCTTCACTAAAAACTGTTAGCAGGCGAAACTCAATCATAGGTGATAACGTTCGGAGCACGGCGCTTTTCTGGGTCCTTGCCTCCGCAGCTCCGTTATCTTGCCCCGTGCTTATCTTCAACATGGACCTTCAGGGTCTTTATCATGTAACTCGCACAGACAATTCAAGCAGTCAGTTACCACGCACGGTGTGCTAAGTATCAGCACTAGCACCAACATGCGACAGTACTCGAGTGCTGAATGCTCCAAGCTAGGAAGGTAAATAAGTGCCTACACAAGCCACAAACTGAATGAACCGCCAAGCTGAAAGGCGTTGGAAAGGTCGACATGTGTGTAACTTACACCCAATCGACTGCCTGACGAACAGTATGGAGCTACATGCTAAGAGCTGGAGCAGTGACAAACCACAAGTTGTCCATCGCAAGTTTCGCAACCACAAGTCTGGACTTGCGATGCCATGTCTCACTCTCAGCTGGGTCAGCTCTCCCGTACCACCATGTGTAACAGACCAACAAAGCAGATAAGCACAAGATCGATACTACCTACTGTACATCAATCAACCACGAATTCCCCACCTCGGCAATGCATTTGGTATTTGTTGTAAGATGTGCTTAAGCGCCTTCGAGTCTTTTCCTTCCGGGTCGTACAAAACCGAAGTTCACGAGCTGCATCATTTATCATGGCAATGGACCGGCAGATCGATGCAGTGGTTTGACTTTGCAAAGACACGCAGTTGAACATCTCATTCCAGATTTAGTCAGACTGTGTAATTGCGACCACAGAGCGCCGTGGTATCGCTCGCACTGTCCTCCACACCAATCAAACCCGCCAAAAGGCACTGGTCAAACATTTCATGCTGAGCAGTGAGAACCTAAGAGAAAACCCGAGTCTTCTGAGTGGCCTTCATTTGTCGCGTGGCGTTGTACCCGCGCCGCTATCATTATCGACTCCACCTTACCCGCGTGATGGCTTGCAGACTCGTTGCAGATGGTGCAGTTCCTGGGTCGCTGGGCCGTTTTGGGAAAGGGTTCCAGGCGTTCAATGGAGCTTTGATTGATGGCACCGAGAGAAGAAAAAATTGAGAGGCCGGGAAAAACTGGGCATGTTGGAAAAACTCGATAGAGGTTTGGGCCTCGGTATTTCCGGTGGGCTGGTCTTGCCATTTTAGCGGAGCATTTGGAGCAGGAGCTGTCCATTATGGGCTACGACTGGATACTATCACGAATTTGCCATTTGCAAATTTGCCTTCGTCAATTTCTTCTGCGCAACATCATAACTCTTGACTTGGTTGCGACACTTTGCTCAAACCAAGCCGGTTGTGCTGGGATCACTGGCACATTGTCGTGACAATAGCTCATTCCTTTCCATCAAAGACCTCCTTCATCATCTTCCAGTCCCGGACCTTCACACCAAGCCCTCAAACCCTTCAAACTACAGCATTTGCTCGACCGCACGACAGCAGGAGATCAACTGCCCTAAGCTCTGTTTCTTGAACCTTGCTAGGGCTTATAATCTTTGCTTCCGCCTCGGATCGCCTTTTGGGTCTCTTCATCCGATCTCTCATATTAGGACGCTGTTCTATTCCCCGATAAGGCGCACTCGTCCGTCGCCGCATTGCGCCGTACTCCTCCTTACCAGATTGCGATCAGGGCCGTTACTTTCCGGTCGCATCTTGTCTACTTCCAACTGCCAATTGCATCTGTAAGTGCACTGCACACACATTGCATTACTAGCTTGCCTTGCACCACGTACGAGGTACAGCAAAAAGCGCCTCTTTGTACTTCCTTCGGTAAGTCTAGTTCACTACCTTACCTGGATCTTTTGTCCCTCAGCCGCCCTTGCGTGCCAATGTACAACCTCTTCGCATACTGGGGAAATCGCATTGATCCATGTTCACTGTCGTCCCCGAAACCCCAGTTACTGGCTTCCCCAGTCTCTTATCTCCCCCATTATAATTCATCAGCTCGACCCCCATTGCCTATCCCACATTTATCATCCCCGTTGTCACTACTTTAGCTCTTGTCTGGTTTTCTTTATCGGAAACATACCGTTGGCTATCTCTAAGTCTAGGCCGTGTCCAAATACGAGCTAACTGTAAAAGAGTCTAGGAGTTCGGCCGAACACATTTGCCTCGAGTTTTAAAGACAACCGCTTCCCGCCTTCAGCTTTCCATCTCGAGTCTCCTTGTACACCTATCTCACTCCTCCCGTGACTTCGGGCATTGCTTGAGTTTTTGTATACCTTTTTTTGGTCAGATTGCTGTGAGCTCGACCTTCAAGATGGGTTGGATGGAGAATACCAACCGCAAGATTGCGGTCAGTGCTGTTGGCCGTTGGTTCCAGCTCGATGGCTCTGGTCATGTAAGTCGAATCAACACACCTACCAATCGGTTTCACAGCTAATGTCGTACTCAATTAGCCTCGTGAGCGCAAGGGCTCTTTGTTCTTCACCGAAATCCGAGCTGGCCTTGCCACCTTCTTCGCCATGGCCTACATCATCGCCGTGAACTCCTCCATTGTCTCCGAATCCGGCGGTACCTGTGTTTGTCCTGCTTACAAAGACGGCGCATGTGTGGTAGACGGTGATTACCAGCTGTGTGTTGCTGAGGTCAAGCGTGATGCAGTCACTGCTACTGCTGCTATATCTGCCCTCGCTACTTTCTTCATGGGCCTGCTTGCCAATCTCCCTGTCGGTCTTGCTCCTGGAATGGGTCTCAATGCCTATTTCACCTATACCGTGGTTGGCCCCAACGGCTCTGGTCCTGTGCCCTATGAGCTTGCTCTGACAGCCATTTTCATTGAAGGCTTCATCTTCTTTGGTCTTGCTTTGTTCGGTATGCGTCAATGGCTTGCTCGTGCCATTCCTCGTTGCATCAAGCTTGCCACCAGTGTTGGTATTGGCCTGTTCTTGACGCTCATCGGTCTCACCTATAGCGAAGGCATTGGTCTCATTGTAGGCAGTGTCTCGACTCCTTTGGAACTGGCAGGCTGTGTGGAAAGCGCTCGGGACCCGGCTACGGGACTCTGCCCTTCTTCTGAGAAGATGAGGAACCCTGCCATGTGGATTGGTATCTTTTGCGGTGGTATCTTTACTGTGTTACTCATGATGTATCGTGTCAAAGGTGCCGTTATTGCTGGAATTTTGCTCGTCAGTATCATCTCTTGGCCACGTGACACCTCCGTCACATACTTCCCGTACGATACACTTGGTTCCGATCGATTCGACTTCTTCAAAAAGGTGGTCGATTTCCACCAGATCAAACGCACGCTCAACGTCCTCCAATTCGATATCTCTGGCCACAGTGGCCAGTTCGGTCTTGCGCTCATCACTTTCTTGTATGTCGACATTCTCGACTGCACCGGCACTCTGTATGGTATGGCTCGTTTCGCCAATCTCGTCGATCCTGAAACCCAAGACTTCGAGGGTTCATCGATTGCCTACATGGTGGACGCCCTCAGTATCTCCATTGGTGCCGTTTTCGGCGTGCCCCCCGTTACTGCCTTTGTCGAATCCGGTGCTGGTATCTCTGAGGGTGGTAAGACTGGTATCACCGCCATGGTTGCTGGAATCTGCTTCTTCATCTCCATCTTCTTCGCTCCTATCTTCGCATCCATCCCTCCGTGGGCCACTGGCTGTGTTCTGATTCTTGTCGGTTCTATGATGATTGGCGCCGTTACGGAGATCAACTGGAGATATATGGGAGACGCCGTTCCGGCTTTCCTGACTATCGCTATCATGCCATTTGCGTACTCCATTGCTGATGGTCTGATTGCTGGTATTTGCACTTATATGTTGATTAACACTGTTGTTTTGCTGATCAAGGTTGCTTCTGGAGGGCGCATTGTGCCGCCTAATTATGATGAACGGGATGGTTGGACTTGGCGCATTCCTGGCGGTTTCTTGCCTCCTTGGATGAATCGACTCGCACATGGGAAGAAGGATTTCTGGCGTGAAGACTTCCCCCCTGCTGCCAACAACACGACTGTCAACCAGAACAACGTACTCGAGGAGACTGGGTCTGACCATGGTGGATCTGAGGGCGGCAAGGTGGCTGAGACGACTTTACCAGGCGAGAAGGCGACTTGAAAACATGTGCAATGTGGAAGGACTAGAGGATTTGTCAGCGGATTGAGTCGAGATAGTAAGAATTGGAAGATACCCATGAAAAGAATATGATGCCCCGATTTGCGTTCCTTTCTGAACAATGAATGGCCTTGCACGATTTGAAGTGGCATAAGAATGTAGTTCTCTTGCAGAAAAGTTGAGTCGTTAACTTACTAGGCTTGGTCTCAAGAAATCTCGAAAATTGTCCTTACGCATGCATGTATACTTGACCAAGGTATTCTCATTGACTACGTGGCAAAACGCACGATCATGGGCGCTTCTTCGCGGGCTATTGCAGCTCTTCCGGAAGCTTGACGGAACATTTGACAGCATACAATGTATCAACTGCTATATGATCAACGAAAGGAACCAAAGCACTCGTGCTCATTCATTTAAACAGTCTGTGATCCGCTGTGGTATTGCGGCGTATGGAGAAAGTTATATCATAAGTTGCGTGCGGCCCACGGGCGGCCCTCTCCTATATACTGTTGTTCGTTAAGTCATCAAAGCAATGTGCTTCAGCTCGCTATGTCCTTGTCAGCATTAATTCCGAATTACTGGAAGGGGGGCAACGTACGCCTGCACTTGATGTCCGACTTTCATAGCAGGATACTCAACTGCGCGTCCCTCATCTCTTCCTAACTCTTTCTGACACTCTCTGACCTCGTTCGCTCTTGTGGCGAGCTTGGGCACGGGTGTAAGGTCAACATCGCTTCCGAGATGCCAGAACAGAGTGCTTGAGATTCTGACCAGAGGTCGATCTGGAAACTCGCGCTTCCGCTTCTCGATCGTCTCGATTGTTTTCTCATTCACAATAACCTCATGAAACCCGGCCTTGATGAGCCCGCCAGTGATGTGCTCAATCTGCTTACCCGCTTGGACTAATAGGTAGTTTCCGGGTGGAATCTTCACGGCGATACGGTTGCCCGTGTTGCGGGCCCAGATGTGAAGACCAGGATAGCGGGATCGGCCATGGATGGTAAGGAAGTTAAGGTCAGTATGGAAGCCAGCAAGAATGGTGTCTTTTTGTCCGTATTTGTTCAAGTCTGAGGCCGTTGGGGCAAGGAGATGGGGTCTATCAAATATTTTAGCTAAAGAGGTTATGATAGTACCTCATAAAGGGACTAACCCATATTTCCCAGCATCACTGAAGAACTTGGCTGGCAAGTCCAAGCCCACAGCAGCCATTTCTGCAAGTTTGGATACACTATTCATTTGACTGTTCAGCATTCGAATCACTACCGTATATGACTTCAAAACGTACGCGCTCTTCATGGATGTTCCCCACTGGTTCATTGCTGGCTCCCAGCGATCCTTGATGTGCGGAGCTTCCGGCACAACATTCTCGGCATTCAGTCCAGGAAACTCGGTTTCGAAAGGCGGCTGCTCGCCCATTCTCCAGAAGAATCTGCACTTCGGGTCAGGCGAGTGTGCTGTAATATCTAGTGGTCTCTGCGATGGATCGAGTCGTTGAATGACATCTAAGCAAGGCTCATCAACCGCGCATTTGGGCTTTTCTGTGTTCTCCAATGTAACACCTATCTGATAGCTCAGCTCAGGTTTTTCGTCCTTCTTCAAGACCTCTTGTGGCTGAGCAAAATAATCCTCGAGAATATCGAGGAATGTTGAGTTGTCTTCTTCTGAAACGCGGCTGTCATGGAGCACGAGAGCGCCATAGGTGATGAGAGCACTAGCTGCCTTGCGGCATTCTTCTTGCACAACCTCCGAGTCAATAGGGTTATTGAGATAGACATCCAGGTCTATAACTGGGAGATTCATAGATGGTTCTGCTTGAATTTGATCCATTGTGTAATAGTGTTGTATAAGATATGAGCTGAAAGGTAGGGCGAATGATGCTTAAACCATGGAATTGGATGTCGAAGTCTGCGGGTTTATATGGTAGAATATATATCAGCAATGAAAGCAGATGAAAAAATTGATGAGAGCAAAAAGTCTGTCTAAGGGTTCCAATTTGGGAAGTTGTTGCGGATGGAATCTGTCTTTGTGGTAGAATCGTTTTATTACACGAGCCTTGATTGGCCGGCAGCTGTTGGTCATATGGCGGAGTTGGCCGGTTCCCGACGATTGATCATGAGGCCCGGATTTGAACGGCAATGGACGGACTTGATAAGTGGATGCGAATACAACAGGATGTGGGATATCATACCAAGACAATAGAGGCATGACGGTCGGGTTTTGTTTTGGGCAACTAATACGCAGCAACTGTCAATCATTGCATGTGGAAGACAATTGAGTGAAAGAGGCAGCAATATTGCTAACAAACATGCAGGACTTGACTTCAGGCGACCATACATGTATATATCTTCACTCTGATAGCACAACATGATGTACACAGTAGTATAGCCATGAAGGATGCGGCCCATAGTTTCGTTCTTGCAGCCTGGGATATTTCAAGTACACTACTTGACAAGAACAAGCGAATCAGTCAGACTTCATCGAGTCCTTTACGACTATTGGTCATGGTGGCAGTAAGACAGAGGCCAGCACACATCCCCCAAATAGCTCTGCCAGTATCTTAGACTCGACACAGAGCACACAGCGCAGCTTGCGCAAAGCATAATGTTTCAAAAAAAGTTTCTTTCTTCATCTCTCAAGAAATTTGCCAGGCCATCAAGCCAGCCCCCATCCTCTGTTGTAATATCCGTCACTTTTCCTTTCTAACCCCCCTCGTTGATCGTCCTAAGCTTTCCCTCTATTCTGGTTTACGAGCGTCCGGCCTCCAATTCCCGCTCAGCTTGCTGGTAGTACTTGGCTGTGTCGACACCGTGCTGGTTGTGGTTGACAAAGTTGAACCATGGGATGGTGCTCAAGAATAGCGCAGAGTATCTGCTCTGTCGTGCAGCAACACCCTGGAGATGAGGGCTTAGCCGGCTAATGCCGTACAGAGACTCGCCATTCTTGACCTTATCAACCATCTCGCGCATATCCATCTCGATCTCGCGGGAGTTCTCGGTAGCACCGTAGAATCGAACTGTTTGTGTTAGTTTAGGTTGTTTCCAGTGTCATCAAATGATGAGAACGTACGGGCTGATCGCTGGTAGAAGTAGAGAAAGCCACCGAGAAGACCGACACCTCCTGCCAATCGCATGGCCTTAGGGAAACCACCCTTTCCTACATGTGAAGGGGCAAACTTCTCAAGGGTGTAAAGGGCCGTAGGGGCGAAAGCGGCGGCAATGGTACCGTAAATATAATCGGAAGTACGGGCATATCCCACGACTCGCTTGAAGTGACTGCCGAGGGTCAGCAACGCCCACTATCCAACAATCTCTAGTCGAAACGACATTTTCCTGATCGCGTCGTCGTCATTGCCAGGTGTCGCAGGGGTTCAAGTTACGTACGGGTCGTTGTCAATGAGCTATAACATCATGAGTTAGCAAACCATTCACATCACCAATTGCGGCGTCACTTACGGGATACTCGGTCTGTACGACCTTACTGGCCCCGACGAAGGACGGGGTCGCCTGCTTGGTCGCGGTCTCAGCCATTGTGTGATGCGTCGTCCGTGACAATTCCTTGAATACTATCACCAGGCCTTTCGAGGTAGTCGGATTTGGTACATTCAGAAGCTGAGCCAAGTTGTTTCTGCCTCAGGCGATAGTCACGTGGATGGTCAGCCCATAGATGCCAAAAATGATTGGTCACGTGTAATGGGTGGGTCAAATCAATTAAGGTCTTGACGCGTCTCCTGCGATCAAGACGCGTCTGCCATTTGGGCCAGGCTACGTATATTCCTTCGTTGTATTTGATCTGAACGGCAAAACAACATATCAAAATGCCAGGGATAGAATCGGACCCAGCGAATGGCCTAGACAACTACGATGTGGACGATTTCTCAGACGATCCTTTTGCATCCCCACCTCCAGAGACAACCAGCAAGAAGCGGAAAGAGCCAGACTCTGGTCTAGGAATTGACGAGGAGGTCGATGTCAAGAAACGAGCCAGAGTCCCTAATGTTAAGCTTGATGAAGAGAGGTTCGTGAGGATCCAGGTTCTTGGCATTAAACACAATATTAACAGTTCGGAAGGTTACTTGGACCTAAAGGATTACCGAAGCTGAGGCAGAGAGCTCGCGACCTGAAAATCAAGGGGAAAGGTCACGAGGTATGTGGTCCTTGACCTTCCAAAATTGCTCAGCATGTTAATAGTTCACCATAGTTCTCGGATGCCTCACGTCTTCTATCCTTTTACCAATTATGGCTTGACGACCTATTCCCAAAGGCCAAATTTCTTGACGCCCTTGCAATGGTTGAAAAGGCGGGTCACAAGAAGCGAGTGGCGATTGCACGAAGTGATTATATCAACGAGAGCAAACCCAAGGATATGAATGCAGACGAGGAGGTTGAGGACGATCTGTTTGGTGACAACATTACAACAAGACCTACCGATGATGAATCCATAAGGCCGACGATAGGCACCGCAAGAGCAAAAACACCAGAGCAAGATGCGGATGTGCCAGACGATGACGACCTCTACGACGCTACACCGCGACATTCACGGCCGATTGTACCTATCCGTAATGAAATTCCTGAAGAAGATGATCTTGACGCCCTAATTGCCGAGGCGGAAGGCCGAGACGCAGCTCGAAAGGTAACCACACAGCCAACCCAAGCTGAGCCTGATGAGGACGATCTGGATGCCCTCATGGCAGAGGCCGAGATTCAAGATCACACGACCAAGAAGGTCGACGCTCCAAAAGAGAACAGTAAAAACAAGGATAGCTTCGATGATGATGAAGCAGCAATGCAGGAGATGGATGGATTATGGTGAGGAAACGCGGAAATTGGATCAAGGCGTTTGGCGTTCAAAGCTACATGCAATTAACTCTCGCATATCGTGAGGTCTAGGTCATTACTATATTTACAAGTCTTCATAGTATAATGTTCTTCATACACCATCGAGTCTATTATTGATGTGGCACTACCAGACATGATGAGACTTCGAGGGCTTTTGGGAGCGAGTGAAGGACATGTCTATGTCAACATCCAGTGAGAAACTGAATTCGACATCTCAACTATACGGCAGCCACATGCGTAACATTCCACAAAACACACAGGTCAAGGCATCACTAAGCGAGCAACAGATAATGAAAGTACCACAATGGTACAAGACACAGCTAAAATCATACGCTCATTGGAGCCGCTCATAGTATTTATACACAAGACCTAACCGATAGGTTTATTTCCCGTACCACCTGGTACATTGATCCGTTGACGCCTTGCACATCCCATTAGAAAAGACAATCATAACGTGAAAACATTATGACAGATCCTCGCCGCGAAGTAAGCCCTCGCGGGCATCTGCCCAATCAAACTCTTCCTCCGAAAGAACTGGCAAAACAGTTTTTACTGTTGGTTGGTGTGTATGTGGCTGGGACCGAGTTTCGACTTCGAGAACTTCACCTGTCTCATGCTGGATCTGTCTCTCCTCCAGGCGAATAGCCCAGAGTAGAGTCATCAAAAGCTCACGTGACGGCAAGGCCATGTTAGTCAGATACTGTGTCAACTCGCCGTCTTGGCCGCGCGATCCATCAGTTCCGCGCCTCAAGACCTCGACTTGATTATCGCATCCCTCAGTCACCAACCGCAATGCCACCAACGTCGCATCCGCTAGGGGACGCGCCAGGATCGGGCTGCTGGATAGGATTTTTCTAAGGGACTTGAATCTCAGGTTCGTACGTCTGGGGCTCGTGGCTACTGGTCGCAGCGGCGAAGTCGCTCGTTGCCATAGATTCTGTCGAGATGGCATTTGCATCGTCGTTGAAGAAGACACTGATGTCAAAGTCGTCGTTGAGACTGAACGCGGGAGTGTCACCAGCCATATAATCGTCGCCAATAATTGAGGAGTGGGGTGAAGAGAGATACCCGCTTTCAAGGACACAGCGATCTGTGTCAATGGACGCTGGAAGAACATAAGCGCCACCAAGGCTGAAAGCAGCGTCATCTGAAGCTGCAGGAGCCAGGCCGATGTTAGCGCCATCGAGGTTTGCGATAACAGGAACGACTTGGGCATCTCCGCCGACATGTGACACTGCAGGTCGGACAACATCGCAGCAGGACGTTGTGTCAGGTCGGGAGAGGTGCTTTCGGTCTGTTCGAGTTTCGCCTCCTTTGAGGGCTCCTGGTCAAGGGTCTCTTCAAATGATTCGGCGACAGGTAACAGTTGAGGGGATAGAGTCGTAGGATCAACAGTAGTGTTGGAAGAGACAAGCTCGTCAATTCCTGTGTGGGTGGCTTGGGGGTTGAACAGCCCTTGTGATAGGGAAGGGTTCTCTCGGAAAGACTCGAGGGGGGAAGAGTGTGTTACCAGACCGGATGAATGAGCTTGCTGGAACTGCATTTTAAGATTGACATGCTCTTCCTGAAGCTTCTTGAAAGCAGCCTCAAGTTCTTGATTTCTCTTCTCAAGAGCTTCAACCTCTTGCCTCTTGCGTTCACGAGAAGACTGGGCAGCACGACGGTTGCGAAGAACTCGCTCCACACGGCGCTGTTCTTTTTCATCATCAGTCTTAGCTCGTTTTCTGCAAGCGATGTTAGTGAAGCCGTTCACGATGTTGCTCGAACTAGTTGAAGTTCCGTACCTAGGGGGAAGACTTGTCTTGGGCTCGGGAAGGACCTGGCCCCACGACTTTCGCTTCTTGGCGGTTTTCTTTTCGGGAGTGGGGGATGGTGATGGCGTTGATGAAGCATCGTCCTCTTCCTTGATGTGAGTGAAGGATGATGTCTGATCCTCCGAACATGACTGAGGGGTCATCATCTCCATTGGGTTCATTGTTGAAGTGGCGCTAGGAGTAGTGACTGCGAATAGTGATGCGAAATTCTCTCCAGGAATGGACATTAGTGACTCGGTTGGTGAGTCTTGGAACTGGGCCATTGGGGAATCTTTGAACTCCATTATTGTTGATGTTTTGTGATTAGGGGTGTGATGAGTTGTTGGTTGTGGATAGAACTGATAGAGGTAGGTGATGATAATGCTCTCGATCAGAAGTATACCAGAGATGTTGTGGGGGTAATGGAGCGGTTATTAGAAGTGTAAGAGGAGCAGGCAGCGATGTTCCACCATCACAAGACTCGATCAAGTAAGTGTGAGTCAGGGACTAGCATTGATTGTCGTTGCCTTGATAGACGCGATGAGTCAGGAGATAGATGGTGCTGACGAATGGTGCTCGAAAGGATGTAAAGAAAAAGGACAGGTTGTTCTCTTCGGGCTTCACTAATCACCCTCTTTGCTACCATGCGCAGCTTGCTTGTCGGTTGCCTTGGATCGATCAGGACAGGTCAGAAGGTGGTGCGGACAGGCCCTCTTTATCTTGAGGACACGTTGAGAGTTTGGAGGGGCAGATTATAGTGCCTGAGGCACAGACCCCTGAGCTACCGCCCCCTGAACGTGTTTGGGTATCCTGAAAGGGGAAGGTTCCTCGGATAGCCACCCTTTAGGTGCCGGGATGCTGCTGTCTCGCAAGCTCGCTCGGCCCATGCTAAAACAGGCTTTCAGGGGGCGTAACGATCCATCCTTCAGAACGCCACCCACTGATACGTGGCGGACAGGTCGCAGCGCAGCTTGTAGGGCGCTCCTGGCGCTGTACGGAGTGTCTTACCGGGGAAAGGGCTCTAGGCTGATGGCTCGGCCTCAGCTGCAGGGGGGCTGAGGAATCTCCCCACAGAGGTCTCCTGTAGGTGTAATTGGCGGAATAGAGTTGATACAGCGCTTTACGAGGACCCATCGGCCGTTCGAGTTTCCAAAAAAAGGGGGCGATCAATCGGAGGCTGTGAGACCTGTGGACTTGACAAACCCGCCGTTAGTTAACGGAGCCCGCGGTGCTAGATACGCCGTTCTATGTTAGTAGGTAACGGACCTAGTTGCTCCTTGTGCCTCCTTTTGAACATGGTGCGGCAGTTTGCTTGCTTGTTGTCTGGAAGAGTCCTCAAAGAGTTGGGACTCATTCGAGGATGGAATGGTGAAATGATTGAATACACGACGTCAAAGGGTGAAAAGAAAGAGGATATTCCCCAGCAACCCATGAACTCTCAAGTTTCTGACTTTGCTTTTAGAAATGAGCAGCAACACACCGTAAGATAAGCAAGCCCCCATATATTCTATCAGCAACTACACATCAGCCATTCTGGTGAGTGGTGCAGTGCGTGCATTCCCCTGCTTCGTCCTTTGAGAAGCCAGCGCCCATGAAATGTCGTGATTTTCCATCTACCAAAGAGCCAACGAGAGCCGTCGAAATGGATCAGCGACGTTAGAGTCAGTTCGGGGGTTATAGGAAGTCTTGTCTTACTCTTTCCGTATGCTATTTTGCTTCCAGGGTGGATAGTATCTGTACGATGACGGGATCTCCTATGAAGAAGATGGGCGAAGGAGATCGAAGGAATGGATCTGACGACAGCAATTCTCACCACCGCTCACGAGAAGGAGTCAGCTTGCGGGCTATCAACAATTACCTAACGTTAGGTTGGTACACAGTCAGCAACTGGAAGCTCTCCAGTGCACATCCGATCCACCAATCCACCCAAGCCACGCCAATGCCAAACAAAGGGAGAGCCTAGCAATCCACCGAGTGAATGCAGGGCAGCATCATGGCTTTGTCGGCATTACTGACTATTATGATGGTGGCCAGCAAGGGATAAAGAGTTCATCCCAATAGCGGCCTTCAATGCAATCATGAACTCGACGTCTTTTTAATCACATACCATTGAAAGGGAGGCAAATCTCAGCTTCAACCAACTGACCACGCACCCACACATCAAGCATCAAAGTCAAGTAAAGCAATCACCCAAGCCACTGAGTTTTAATGCCTGGTCGTGCGTAGTCTGTAGATGATCTGCTCTCACACTCGAAGCCTCGTCATGCTTGGCACAGCAACACAATCTATCTCACCAGGCCTCAAGTTAAACTGATCTCAACCAATTCCACAATGACTTCGTAAAGCCGCGTAAGGGTCCGTATGCCGGTTACACAAGACGGCATCGTCTCTTCTTTTTACTGAGTACGAATATAAGCTCCCGGTCAGCGGCGACATTTGAACTTGGAGACTGGGCTGACGTTGACCGACACGACAACAGCGCCTCAGCAAGTGGGAACTCGTGTACTTACTACTCCGTATGTTCCAAGAAAAGAACACAACTTACGGTACTATGCAAGACCTACCGCCGGCCCTGCCGGGTACATATCCGTCAAGACCAAAGCCCACCACTAATACCACCTCCTGCTTTGGTTTGGCTGGCGAAGGGCTGGCGAAGGGCTGGCTCTGGAATCTCAAAGGCCTCCGTAATTATCCACCAGAAGACCCATTCATTGCCATCATGGCGCCGTCAATCCGCTCTTACGTAGTGTGGCATACCGTCTGCTGGAGCTGACTACCTATTGTCAAGATCCTTAGATTCCAGGGCTTCATGCCTGGCAGACCACCAAGTCTCGTCAAGGCTTAAGATTTGAGTTTGAGTTTCGCTTACGCAGGCACGAATATTGGTTGAAGATCGTGGGAAACATTCGGCTTGTGGGATGTGATATACGGCCTAATCGCTAATTGCCCATGTTTAGGTATTGTCAACCCCGCCCCTACCCCGCTACCGAGAACCCTCAACGCGGTGAAACAATGCCTGCAAATAGCAATTCTGCATCCGTACGGAGTAACGGGTTACTACTAACACACACCATCTCATTATATTGGCCTCCGTTTCGCTAAGTCCAGATGTCCAGTCCGTAATCCAAAATCACAAGCAAAGTTCAGCTTTAACTATCCAAGCCTCAATACCCGCGACGAGAGACTAGAAATGCAATTTGTGGGTTTTGCCCATCAACGACCGCCAACTCGTCTCTTGGGTTCTATGATCAAGCTCCCCTTCTTGTTCAGTAGCTCCACGGATCATATCCCCGTTACCAGGAATTCGACGCTAGCCCAACACCGGGAGTTGCCCTTATTTAGTTGCCATATCGCTGGGACGCAGGCTCCTTTGTTTAGCGAAGACGAACCAGCTAGAGTTGATCTTGCCACACAGGGAACGGTAATCTAGGCGAATCTGCCAGCCGCGAGTGGCACAAGAGAATGTCGAGAAGGGGTTCTTTCAGACACGGAAGGGAGAGACATGCCAACGGCCAAAGTTGCAGGGAGAGACGCAAAATGCATCGAAATTGATCAACCAGCCCGCCTCTCAGTGTACGTAGTATGTTTCTCGTTTCCTCTGTGTCTCAAGAGCACCATGTTTCACTTTTAAGAGATCTTCCCGTTCCTTGCCTGGCAGAGGCATTGGCCAACCCTGATCTTCATCAACCCCCTTTCTTAATCCTTTCCGTCCCAGGGATGATGGTTTTATCGGGGACCCTGATGTTCAACTCAAATTCCATCAAGTTTCCAGCTCGCATCAAACCCCTGGCTTCCATTCTGTTACGATGGTTTCTCCGTTGGAGTGGTATAGTCCATACGATAGTCGATTGATAGAGTTCCTAGCGCAAGAGAAAGTCGGTGGGTTTTCTAATTCCAAACATAGCGTACCCCTGGACTGCAATTTCACCATTATCAGAACTTAATTGATTCAATTAATCTCAACCCCCATTACTGAACTGTCTCTCATCTCTATACCATGCTGCAGCGTGGAATCTCATCTCATATTTGACGTGGCCCCGTATTGTGTGTCAGGTTGGCCGACTATACCTTGGATGAGAAGGTGATGGAAGCACTTCTCTCACAGGTATTGCGTGCTCGCTAGCCATCTCAAATCTCCGTGAGACAAGTCTTCCCAGCTCAGACTTCACCACTCTCGCACTGATCACTCTCCAACCTCTGTTGTCGCCCAGCCTTCCAAGAGCGTCTGAGTTGCGGCGCCACCCGAATTCCCTGGACCAAACACTGACAGGAGCCTAGGACTAAGCGTTGTAAGGACCCTGATCGCCTCAAGCTCCCGCTTAGGCCCCCAACAGGATGTGGCAGTGGCAGAGGCGGTAAAACGTTAGTGGTTAAGATCGAGTTTACGATCTCAAAACCGTTGTGCCAATCCGGTCATCTAATTTTCTGTGATGCTACGAGTTAGTTAGTGACAGTCCTATAACTCAGAGAAATACTGCCATATCGCCGTTCTTTAGAACAGCGCCAGCCCTGCGACTAGGTATTGAGTTAGTCTTCTCGTACTCACCTTCACGTGTCTTTGCTTCAGATGCTTGTTGTCCTACCAGGAGTTTCGACGTATAGAAATGTTCATCAGACATAGAAGTCTAAACAATACAGATGTCTTCCAATTTTTGCACTGAACAAATGCAAGCACAGTAGCAGTCGTGTTTTGTGATCACGTTTTGTCCGCAATCTCTGATATGCGAACCTCACGCGATGCATCTTGGTAACTTTACTCTGGTCAAATTTCGCGATTGATGGCAATCGGTATGCTTTTTCTCGTATCGATTACCATCACGCATGATGATTTACTTTGATAACTTATCACAAGACGAGCGCCATGAATGAGTATCGATATATTGTCGTCGGCTTCTGACCCTTGATGAACTTCAGTTCTATTCCTGGTTCCTTTATGAAGGGGCGAGCTACTCGTTAGCGGAATGTTTTCGTACTTTGCAACTTATAAAATAAACGATTGTCTGAAGCATCAATAAATATACAGTAAATCTCTCGTTACAACTATCGGCCACCACTGGATCTAATCAATTCCCTACATCTCATTCCAAAATATTGCTTCACAACAGCAACGATACACTTTACATGGTAAGTCTGTCTCGTCCCTGGTTTACAAGGCAAGTCTGTGCCATAACTTTCTCACGAGCGTCGATATTCTCACTTGGATACATAATTTTCCTGCTATTAGCAACATCATATATATGCCGTTTCATAGCTCCGGAGCTATTATTGCTTACGATTCACGAATTCCAACTGCATTCAACAACAGTAGGGCCAAATCAAGCTACCCTGTATCAGTACAGAGCTTCGAAGACAGTGGCTATGCACAAGCCACATGTCGTTTTTCCGATCTTGGTCGGTTTATCCGGTGCATTTCGTTGCGTCATTCGCCCACTTCTCCAACCTGTCTGCCAGGCGCCCCGCATTCATCAATCGCAAGTCCGATTCTAGGCCTTCGGCCGTTCCATGTCTACCTAAGTTTACACTCACATGACATTTGCTGCTTCCTCCAACCTCGATAAACAAACGTAAAACCCTTTCCTGACGACCTCAGCGACCTCATCGCCCTTACGCGCCAACCGCACAATATCCGCCCATAATGGCAAACCGTCAGCAGGCCCGCGACATGCAAGTCGAGTTCCAGGCTCGCTTCCAAGCCAAGCAGGCTCGCCGCGAGGCCCAAAAGGCCGCCAAACAGGATCCTATCCTCAAGAAACAGATCCAAGATCTTCTCAAGAAGGGCGAGACTCAAAAGGCATACCAGAAGGCCAAGATGCTGCTATCAAAGCAGGCGCTTGCCCAGCAAATGGACCAGATGGCCGACATGGCTGAGCTCTCCGCTGCCCAGATTCAGGCCAACAATTCCATGAACCGTATGACCCAGATGATGGCTCAATCATCACGCACCATGAATGTGGCTCAGAAGAGCACCAACCCTGAAAAGGTCAGCCTCTTGCTTCTGATACAATGTTAAATCGAGACTGACAACAACTATTTAGACTCTTGTTACCCTCGAACAGTTCAAGCAGCAGAACGAAGAATACGCAATGTCCAACGGTATCTACCAAGATGCCATTAGCCAGTCCACCTCTACCCAGGTCGGCGAGGATGCTGTCCACGAACTTCTCGGCAAGCTGGCTGATGATGCTGGACTTGAGCTTAGCAAGGAACTCAACCAAGCGACACCCTCGAACGCCGAACCCCAGCAGACCAATGAACCCAGCGCTGAGGAGGAAGATAAGTTGCAGCAGAGACTGCGAGCTCTGCGTGCATAGTTTCGTAACTTATCGCAGAGCATGATTAGTACGGAGACTTTTGGTTCCCACTGTGAACGAGCTGGACGATTATGGAAGATGCATTACGGTTGAATTTGGAGAGGTGCGCTTTTTGGTTATGGTTTGGCGTTGGGGATTGGGCGGCGACATGAATTCATTTCCTGTTCAAGAATGGAGACAAATCTTTCTTTTTTAGTTACAAACATCATACATTAGACGGGACATGCCCATATTTGTCCTACATATCTGTGATACATCCGGCAAATACCCTGCAACAACTCGATGATGAATGCCTCAGGAACGCTTGAAAACAATGCCCAATAGCGCATACTCTCTGTAGATGCCAGCTACTCTCAAACCATGTTGGGCTCACATGTAAAGACTTGCCACTGCGGTGATATCCCGCTTGATCATCTCCTGCGCCTGCTGCATCTTTAGATACAACTCCGGATCACCCACAATTCTGGCGGCGTTCTTGACCTCACGGCATGTCTCGTCCAGTCGTGTGATGGTTCGGACAATCGTACCTTCCAGCACATCCGTCAACCCAGTGATATTCTTGAAACTCATTCCGCGAGCCCATTCATACACTACTTCCATAAGACCGAACCGTGGCCGAGAGACAAAGTCATTGGAGTCATCCGTGGACTGAATGACCTGTAATCGAGTCTGCACATCGTTCACCTTCTCTGAGATGGCAACAATGGTCTCTTTACCACGCTCGAGGTTACCTGTTAGGGAGGGTTCCATATCTGTTTTCTCCTGGAATACAAAGGCCGATAGGAGAGCGGCGATTTCGGCAGGCTCGTAGTCGGCGAGAACGTTGTCGAGAATAAGCTCAGTAAGAACCAGTTCATCACCAGAGTGAATTTCGCAGGCAACCTTGCCCTTCAGCTGGATCCGGGTAGCGTCATCGATGAATCCAAGCTCCTTGAGCACCTGAACTCGTTGTTCGTAATCGGGAAGAAGCTGAAGATTCTGATCCGAGAGCGATTGCTGTAGCTGAGAAATATGCTCCTTGATAAGCCATTCATCATGGCACATAGCGAACTGCGACACGCGATTAGTGATGAATCTATGCGGATAGAAGAAGGTCAACTTACATGCTTCAAGAAGTTCGAACACTTCTCAGCAGGTGACTCAGATATCGTCTTCACCAACTCGACCCTCTTCTCGACAATTTCCTGTAGCTGTAGCTGCTTAATTCGAGAAAGGTCCACTTCTTCCCATCTATCATCCCACGAGCCACACAGATCCTGGAGACGATCCTTTGCTTGATGGTAGCCATCGCCCCCCTGGAAGATCTCAGGTATAATACCCTTTGTGACCCATCTCGTAAGACACTCCACGTCACTCAGAGGAACATGTAGCGTCTTAGTTTGCACCCTCTTTTTGCTCTTCGGGAGCTCATGGAAGTATTTGCGGAACGTGGGGACAAATGGCAGCTGATCGGTAGCATCGCGTCGATCCCGAAGGGATTTGATGGCACATACGTGCAGTGTCGGATCTTCTGATGTGCCCTTGTTGCTAACACCGTCTGCCAGAAGAATACCAATAGAACGAATGCCGTCCCAGTTAAAAACCACAAGACGATGCTGAGAAAACATTCTGCGTCCTATTGGAATGGCCAGCAGACCCTTATATAGCTCGAAAGTAAGTCGCTTGAAGTCCTGTGAAGCTTGGTGACATTCGTCCATCGAAACATCACAGATGTCACATGAGTCTCGCTTGACCTTGGCCAAGTCCGCTTGTGCTATCTTCACATCTTTCTCATGCTCAGGGAGCAATTGTTGGGTAGCATGCTCAGAGAAACTGCGCTTGATCATCTCTTCGATCTTCAGCGCCTCTACCCGCAGGAGGTTCAGAATCATGTTGTATGTTAGTCGGAATTGCGACCGTAGCTTTGAAGGTTCTCCCAATATCATGTTCCGTAGATCTGCTACAGGGGGCGCATCATCCAAGCCTCCTGGCGGCACAATGATGACCGAGCCAACAGTATCCAGACCACGACGTCCAGCCCGACCAGCCATCTGGGTGTACTCTCCAGGTAATAGATTTCTGAACGAGTGCCCGTCGTGTTTGCGGTATCCGGAAAATACTACTGTTCGTGTAGGTAGATTCAGACCCATAGCAAATGTCTCTGTGGCAAACAACACCTTAACCAGAGTCTGAGCAAACAGAATCTCTACCAGTTCCTTTACAATGGGCAACAATCCACCATGATGAACAGCGATACCTCTACCCAGAAGTTCCCTCAGCCTGACGATTTGTGGAAGCTGTCTATCATCTGGCTTCAAGCGCGCGACCGACTTCTCGATTATCATGTGAATATGACTCTTCTCGGAAGCAGTACAGAAGTCTTGATTGCTGAGAGCATCCGCATTCTCCTCGCATCGTTTCTTCGAGAACACAAAGATACAGGCTGGAAGAAGGCTCTGCTTCTTGAGATATTGGACAAGATGAACCCAAAGATTCTTGTCCTGCGCAACAGATGAAAAGCCGCCGGCGCGGCCTCCACGGCCCATATGGCCGGGAGCATGGCTTGCTCGAGGTGGTCCGCCGCGACCACGCTGTTGGTTACCCCCTCTTTGTGGGCCACCACCACGTCCACCTCGTTGAGGACCACCACGCTGGGGCCCGCCACGCTGATTGCCTCGTGGGTTACCTCCACGAGTGGCAACAGTAGTCTCCGCAGGCTTTACCTTATCCTTTCCCTGAATAGCAAAGTGCGCATCTTTCCAACCCTTCTCGATGAACTTCTTCTCGGAATCCACGATCTTGTGAATGTCCTTCCCAGCCCAAAGATAATGTTCAAGGGGCACAGGTCGCTTTGGCGTAGAAATGACATATATGTCTTTTTGTTTAGTCCGACCGACCCAAGATGCGAACTCTTTAGTGTTTGGCACTGTCGCAGATAATAGAATGAGTGACACATGCTCAGGTAGCATGATGATGACTTCTTCCCATACAACACCTCGCTCAAAATCGTTGACATAATGAACTTCGTCAAAGATAACAAATTCGACATCACGAATTATATCAGCTCCTCGGTAGAGCATACTTCGGAGAATCTCAGTTGTCATGATCAAGCAGCTGGCCTCGGGGTTGATCTGAACATCACCAGTGAGGATACCCACCTCATCAAACGTTTGTCGAAAGTCGCGGAATTTTTGGTTGCTCAGTGCTTTGATCGGGGAAGTATATATGGCTTTTGTCATGTGCTTCGCAGCCAGTGCAATGGCATACTCTGCTACAACAGTCTTGCCAGCGGAAGTATGCGCTGCAACAAATACCGAATCGCCGTTCTCTAGGTGATAAACTGCCTCCTTCTGGAAAGTGTCGAGTTCAAAAGGCCATTCATAAGCCATGTCAGGCACAAGTTCTCGGAAATTCGACATGTCATGGTTGATATCGACCATATGCGCCCACTCGCGACCAGCCTTACGGGCGCTCGAGGCTGCAAGGACTCCATGAGGCTCCAGGGCAGGGAATTCGACCGGTAAGATGTCGTCGATGTCGTCACCATCCTCCCCAGCATCGGAAGTCTGATCCGCTGGCGCAGTATCTGGAGAGGCCTCATTGCTATCCTCAGGCTCGTTTCTTGCTTCCTCTGGATCCTCTTCGAGCACTTCCTTAACAGCATTTGCATCTTCTTGGCTTACAGTTGTCTTTTTCTTGGTGAAGTCGATTCCTCTGCTCAATCCTGGTGCTATCTCGAGTAGCCCACCCTCAGCGCCAAGCTGGATCACTCGTTCTAGCCTGTTTCCTGTATTACTAGTCTCCGCAAGACCTCCTGTGTGAACCGAGTCCTCAAACGCTGCTGTAGCTTCAATACCCTCCAGACCACCAGGAGCGAACGGGAAAAAGCCGGCAGCACCTCTCACAAAGTCAGCACGGTTTGCAGGTTTCCTGGATAGACTTGTCGAGTTCTTGGCTGTAGCACTATTTGCGGGGACAGTGACGTTCTTATAACCTGTGACACGGCCTTCAAGTCCATGACGTTGAAATCTGGTAAGAGTTCGAGTATGTGGTGGAGCCACCTTGAACAGAGACGTGTAGTCAGCTTCGAAGTCCCATCGTTGTTGAAGACGGTTGAGCCACTCAGGTGAGAACTCAGGTGAAGGCGAGAGGAGGAGCTTCTCCAGGTGACGTTTGAGCTCCTCAGGCTGTTGAGTAGCAGGTTTACGCTGACCGGTCTCTTGAGGCCCTCCTTCAAGGAGAGCATCTATACCTGCCATGCCTGCTTGACTACAGCGAAATAGTAGGCGATGTTTCTTTTTTCACTTTGTGTGTCGTTGAGCGAAGATAAAAGTGATGAAAGCTCCAAGTTAAAAGTGCCCCACCATTGACGTTGGTGATTCAGATATTCAATGGAGGGACACTTGAGCAGCTTACAGCCCCACTTCGCTTACCCTGTACCAACCGATCACCGATCTCAACTGTTGCCCATGCCTAGGTAGTAGATGTGCAATATAACGACCTCTACCAATGGATGGTTTAAATATCCTTCGTATGCCATATCTTGATCTACGCCTTCGTCTACACACGGTTCTCTCCATTGCATTACATCCCAGACGTAGGTAGTGTAGCTCGCTGAAGTCATACTGTTTGCGGCAGCATTACTCATGTTCAATGGGAAAGTATTTGGACGCTGCCGTCCTAATTCTAAGTCACAAGTCATTGAAGCACAGATATGAATTGGTAGATCATTAATAAGACGGGTGCCCTGTCCTGACTATACATGGCAACACGGGGTAAAATTACATTTCCTTTCCTTCCGCACGTCTATCAAAAAAAGCGTCCATCAAATACGCCAATTGGATCGGATTTTCATCCGCATCTCAATTCCGATGGCTACGATGAGCAGCGCAGGGCATGCTCTGCCAAACTCGGTAGACAGGCACAGGCGCCGTTCTGACATTGCAAGCAGCTGGACCGGATTCACTCTCAACCTTTATTCTCTTTTTACAGGCGGAGGACCTTAGCAGCGTAGTCCTCAATCAGCTGCTCAGTGGGGAAAGACATCTCCTCAAGCTTCTGGGCATAAGGTGTAGGAACCTCAGCACCAGTGACTCGGGCAGCAGGGGCATCAAGGTAGTCGAAGCCGTACTCCATGGTCAGAGCAAGAATCTCAGCTCCGACTCCGAAAGCAGGGTAGCCGGACTCGACGGATAGAAGACGGTGGGTCTTCTTGACGGACTGAATGATAGTCTCAACATCAAGAGGCTTGATAGATCGCAGGTTGATGACCTCGACCTCGACGCCGTACTTCTTCTTGAGGTTCTCGGCGGCAACAAGAGACTGGCCAACAGTGCGACCCAGGGTGACGATGGTCAAGTCCTTGCCAGATCGCTCAATCTTGGCCTTTCCGAAGGGAATAACGAAATCATCCTTCTGGGCAGCCTCAGACATAGGGAAACTTTGGCCGTACATCAACTCGTTCTCGAGAACACAGACGGGGTTGGGGTCACGGATAGCGGCCTTCAGGAGACCCTTGGCATCCTCAGCGCTCCAGGGGGAGACAACCTTGAGACCGGGAATGCTGCCGTACCAGGCAGAGAAATCTTGGGAGTGCTGAGCACCGACACCAGCAGCGAAACCGTTGGGGCCACGGAAGGTGATGTTACAAGGCTGGATACCACCAGACATATAGAGGGTCTTGGCGGCGGAGTTGATGACCTGATCGATGGCCTGCATGGCGAAGTTGAAGGTCATGAACTCGCACTAAACGGGTGGAGCAGAACGGTCAGACTCTTGTTGAACAATTGAAGAGCACAAAGATACTGGAGACTTACAACAGGGTGAAGACCACTCAGGGCAGCACCAACAGCGAGACCACAGAAACCAGACTCGGTGATAGGAGTGTCAATGACACGCTTCTCACCGAAGCGGTCGAGGAGACCCTTGGTAACCTTGTAGGCACCGTTGTACTGGGCAACCTCCTCACCGAGGATGAAGACCTTCTCGTTCTGGGCGAGCTCCTCTGCGAGAGCCTCGTTGAGCGCATCTCGGACAGTGTACTCCTTGACGCCGGAGCTCTGGCTATCGGCGTAAGATCGGGTCTGGGCGGAGCCGAAAACAACAGGTCGCGCAAGAGCTGCGCGAGTGACGGCAGACTGAGCGAACGACGGGGCAGCTGGAGCGCGGAGAGCCCGAGTTGAAGCAGCTAGGCGGGCCGCGGGTCGAAGAATGCGAGACATGATGTGCGTTTGTTGAACAGTCGTCAATTGACCCAGTAGTCGAGAGGAGGACGGTCGGCGGTCGACGAGAAAGAGAAACGAAGAGTCAAAGGCAAGAAGCTGCGGTGGACAAGCTTCTCTTAGTTCCCGGGTCGTCGACGTTGACTTGGGAGTTGAAAATGGTGATGAACTGAAGTTGGTGTTGAGAAATGAAACAGTCGGGTTGAGAGAGGGAATTTCACCGAAGAACGCTTCTGCTGGCCAGCTATCAGTTTTTTTTTGGGGCCAGTCGGTACGTATCGTGCCGGAACTGCGAGGTACCTATGCCCTCACCAATTTCCAGTGACTAAAAGAGTACCCGCTCTCCAAAACCCCCCGAGTGAGCCTCCGTTAGCTCGGGCAGCTTTATCCCTCTTACTCCCCGCCTACAACGCCTTTGAGCCACTAAAAGCGACCCCTGCTGCCATTGATTGAGTGCAGCACTTTGGGAAGGGTAGCCAACTAGAGGCAAAACACCTATCAGAGTCCAGAACTCACCCTTTTGACCCATTCAAGCAGTCTGTTGGGGGGAACTTGGACCAGGGGACACGACAAGAATGCGGAATACTTCAACGTACTACAAGTAAGGGTGCTGCCTTTGTGCTTCCCATTGACTCGTGAAAGCCCTACGATAACATAGAGACATGTATAAGTGAATTTTTGGAGTATTCAAAACCCAGAAAATTGTCTCATGGGTAGGAAGAAAAAAGACCCTGAGACCAGGGGCATGAGGGACCATTTGCAGATCCCCACTCAGAGGTGAAAAAGTGAGTGTAAGTGCACCAACACCTTCAGATAACGGGGTATCGGAGAAACAAGAGCCCGCCAATTTCCATCACTTTCACATCAGATGTAAGACTGGCCGTTTTGGTGTGTATGAGGTTGTGCTATCAACGACAAGAAACGATGGAATTGTATAGGTATGTGCATTACAATTATAAGCCAGTATTGTTCCCTAAACTCCTCTGCCTTCTGTATCCTCTATATCATGAGGCCGGCCACTTCGTGTGTATGCATCATCAGCCAGCATAGAATGCCCCTTTTAATCTTCATAATATGTTTTGTTAAAGAATCTTGTTGTCATGATACCTGTTCGCTTACGCAGCAGGCTTGCGAGCCACCATGAGGTACATGGGGGTGAAGAGATGATCCCGACCGCCAGCGACCAGGCAGTCTGCAGCGAGAGCCAGACTGTCAGCAGTCTTCTTGGTTCCTGCAGGAGCGAGCTTGAAGGTCTCAAGGAGACCAGCCAGGTTGTGGGCAATGGTTCGACCCCAGGTGGTCATGCGGACAATGGTGAAAATGTCACCAACGGACTGGATGTAGCTGAGCTGGCCAGACAAGGGCCACCACCAGGGGAGAGCATCGGGGCGCATTGCCAGATCCTCGTGGTGGAGCATCTCGAAGCCAGAGTCCTTGATGGCATCAAGACCCTCGGAGACCTTGCACATGTTGGAGATGCCATCACCCTGCTCGATACCCAATCGAATCTCACGGTGGCGGAGGTTGTCATTGTCATACTCATCGGTCATGAGCCACTCATAAACACCGAAAACACCACCAGGCTTAAGCACTCGGAAGATCTCGCTGTAAATACCCTTGAGGGTAGGAGCGTGACAGGTAGCCTCGATGGCATAGACCGCATCGAAGCTGTTGTCAGGGAAGGACATTTGCTAATCAAGGGGTAAGCTTAAAAGAAAAGAAATTGGAGATTATTAGAAGCACGAACCATGAAATCACCCTTGACAAAGTCGAGCTGGTTCGACAGGCCCTCCTTGAAGGCGTAGTGGGTGGCTCGCTCAATCTGATAGTCGTTGTTGTTGAGACCGGTGATATGGGCGCCTGTGAACTTGGCGATCTCGCGAGCGGGACCACCAACACCACAACCAACGTCGAGGACCTTCATGCCCTCCTTGATACCAATCTGGTGAGCAAGGTAGTGCTCATGACGGGCAATGGCCTGGTAAAAGGGCTCGCCCTGAGAGAATCGGCAGAAGTGGAAGGATTGACCCCAACCGTATTCGTAGAGATCGGTGGCAAGGTTGTAGTAGCTACACATCAACAAGTCAGTACATGATACGACAAAGACAGTCTTAGACATGACCTAAGAGTCACGGCGGAGCAAAGGGGAGGATCAGATCACTTACTGTCGGGTCAAAGTGGCGTATTGGGCTTGACGAGCCTGACCGCTGTGTTAGTCTGGCCGCAGAGGAATAGGAGGGGCATGTCAAAGGGTCCTTACAGCTCGCTCCTCAGGAGTCTCGTTCTCGGCGGGCTTATTATCCCAGTGCTTGAAATACTCGTCGACAGCAGCCTGCTTAGCAGAACCGCCCTTGCGGAACATAGCAGCAACACCACCTCGAGCCTGGGCTGAAGAGCCGTGCATGGCCTTGTTAAAGTCGGCATCGCGCTGGTGATCCTCGCGCTCGAGGGTGGAGTTCGATGAGGCAACCATGTTGAATATGGTAGAAAGTGTTGAAGTTGAAGAGAAGAGAATGGAAAGTGAGCAAGTGAAGAAGGACAGCAAGTAAATTAAAGATTGATTGAAAAGTCGAAACTCAAAAGGGAGTGGGTTGGTTTTAATGGCAGAAGGTTAGGTACGCAGAGCAACGGCTTGTCGCAACAAATTTCAGGGCCCTCCCCTGACTGCACAAGCCATCCCGTCTACGGGCATCCAATCTCAAATGCGAATTGGGCGATATCCGTACGCTATACCTGATGAGGATTAGGTCCTCTGTCTATCGCTTGGGGATGTGCAGCGTAGGGGGCCGGACTTTGATCTGGACGACCCGAGAGAACACGACCAAAAAGTAACACTCTCCACAAGGCCTCAAGCTTCATGTGAAAAAGACAGGGACTTGACAAGCTTCCACTTTCTTTGACTTTGATCGATTTTGATTTGACGCTGCATAAATTACCTAAACTTATCCTTGTACTTGTGCCTGCGCAGTCGCCGCATATCGGGAATGTTTGGCGGTGAGAGTGCAGACAAACAGCTGGGTGCTGCGAGGAGGCTCAATTTGCGAGAAATGATACGAATACGAAAGCGTCTACGAGATAGCATCGTCCTTGTTTGTTCATTAACGACGTAAAGCATACGCCGGATATTAGTATTAGTACAGCCACTAATGGGAAAGCAGAGTGTGATGCCGTCATCTCTGTCATGATTATATTAATGTTCTACTAACGGACTTTTGAAGCATTTGTTGATCTCAAAAACCTACCCGGGGAGAATGATCGTTTTCGTATCGAATGAACCTAAAGTTAACGCAAGCCTCCGAATTTCCTATAGATAGTTAGCGCGTTATGTCACAATGCTCCATGCCACACATGAATAGAATGGTATATTTCTGGTCATGATATGACTTTGGTGAATATAATTTCTATCTATGCTTGTTTGATAATGTGTAAAACATTTGACTTGGTAAACTCCGTATTCTTATTGGAAACCCCTCAGCTACCTGTGCCATCCACCACAACAAAAAAGTCCCCAGACTTTTCAACAGCCATCACTTCTCCAGTCTTGATGTTGGACCATGTCAGAAACTAGCCCCTAAAAGTTGATGCTATCCAACAAGCTACTAATCGAGGTTCCCAATCCAGTAATCATCAAATAACATCCCCAGTCACAGATGAGCAATCGATTAACTCTCGATTTTAGTGCTTATCGATAAGGCAAACAGTCTTTACCCAATGGCGGCCATCTCCGACCTCCAAGTTAGACTCTGAGACCATAATCTGTATTACATAAGGTGGCGGATGACCGAACTTCTGCGCCTTACTACGTAGTAACTCCAAAAGTTATCACAGACAACCTGAAGCTTTCTTTGCGCATATTAATACTTCATCTTTCCACGATGCCGCCCCAGATCAAGCAAGATCTCAACCGCTCAGGATGGGAAACCACCGATTTTCCTTCCGTTTGCGAGACATGTTTGCCTGAAAACCCTTACGTCAAAATGCTTAAAGAGGACTATGGCGCTGAATGCAAATTGGTATGTCGCGTTGATTCCCTCCGCATTTTTGTGTTAACATGATGCTAATCTACTCGTCACAGTGCACCAGGCCTTTCACTATTTTTTCTTGGAGTGGTACCCGCGCCAACGGCCGTAAGAAGCGAACGAACATCTGCCTGACCTGCGCGCGACTCAAGAACTGCTGCCAATGCTGCATGCTCGATCTTTCCTTCGGTCTTCCCATCGTAGTACGCGATGCCGCACTCAAGATGGTTGCGCCTGGCCCACAATCCGACATCAACCGAGAATACTTTGCTCAAAACAACGAGCAGCTTATCGAAGAGGGAAAGGTTGGACAAGAGGAATACGAAAAGACGGACGAGAAGGCGCGCGAGCTACTACGAAGACTCGCAAACAGTAAACCCTATTTCCGTAAGGGCAAGGCAATTGATGAGGGTGAGAGTTCTAAGGGAGGAAATGTGGCTGTCGGCGCTGGTCTCGGTGGACCTGGCCCGATTCGAACCAGAGATTCAAAGGCAGCTGCGGCTGTTGGAGCAAAGACTGGTGGTAAGGGCCGACAGGTTTTTCCCAGTGCTGCTCAGTTGCCCCCAAGCCCACGCGACTGGCTTCCTCCCGCCGACAAGAACATCATGTCGCTGTTCGTGACTGGAATCGAGGACGACCTACCCGAGTACAAGCTTCGCGACTTCTTCAAGGTTTACGGCAAGATCAAGAGCTTGGTCTGCTCGCACATGTCACATTGCGCCTTTGTCAACTACGAAACCCGAGAGGCGGCCGAGAAGGCGTCGGAGACATGCCAGGGCCGCGCTGTGATTGCTGGATGCCCTCTCCGAGTTCGATGGGGACAGCCCAAGGCAATTGGCACCATGGACAAGGAGCAAAGAACTCAGATGCTACGCGATGCTAGGCAGCGCCAAGGAGGGTCTCAGGGCCATGGTTCGCAAGCGACCGAGGGTGGTAGTGGCTCCTCGAACCGGCCTGCAGCTCTGCCCGCGCCAGTGGCAGCACCTCCAGGAGCCTCTGACACTCCCGCATATGCCGCCCTCTCTGGAGATTAGATGAAGTTATGACTTGTTTTATGTTAATCACATGGTATGTAAAGTACCTTTGGGAGTTCGGCGCAAGAAAAAGGACATCATGGAAATAATGCTTTCATTGGCGACGGGATTTCATCATGGCGGCAGGAGATTACTTGAGAGACAGGAATAGATGGAATGAAAAGAGGTAGAGTGATGATCATTTTGGTGCAATTGTTCCTTTAGGGTATCATGACAGAGTAATTTACAAATTGTACAGAGGGAAGAAGAATCTCCTTTTATTTTTTGCCGCCGCAGCAGCCACCCTGGGCCATGCCTTGACCAGCCGTCTTGATAGACTCGTTGTCGCCTCGCTCAATATCTTCGTGTATTCGCAGCTCTGCATTGCCAGTTAGCCCCTGTTTGCGTTACCCACAACAAACCAGCTCGGACTCACTGTAGGTGTTGTCGTCATCTTCTATTTTTTGTCCCTGGATTACATTCTGTCGGAGGACCTTCGCTACATCTTCTGCGTGCTTGATCGCGGCAGGGGCAGTGGAAGCATCGATCGAGGCTTTTTGACGGAACTCGTTTCGGATCTGGAGTTGAGCCGCAGACAAGATAGGAGCATCACCTTCAAATATTGAAGTTAGCACAGTCCACTAACACAATCTGTTGTATCAAAGGACTGAAGCTCGCCGTTCACCTGCGGAACCGTTGCATACCTTGAAAGGCGATTCGCGCCGCGCGCATCAGGTGTCGGTAGGCATTGAGAGCAGGAACGTTGGCCATTTCGAGGTTTGGTGACTCTGAGGAGTCGAGAAATCCAGATACAGAGGCTGGGGCAAGATCCGTTTGTGTGTCGTGCCGAGGTTTGTCAAAATCGAGTCGCGGACGGCTTTGAAATCGAGAGAGAAAAAAGTCCAGTTCAATCGGATTGGATGTTTGTAACGCTTGCCCGGACGGCTCAGCGGGGTCCTGGGAGGTCCGTTCACTGGGCCGGGGAGCCTCGAGGTCGTTCCCGACACCTGATAATACTGTCGTAGAGTGGTTTAGGGCACCATCCCACTATAACAGGCCCGGAATAAACACATCGTACACTAAAGTCTTTACCCCGCCAATAACATTCATGGTGGGGGAAATCGATCAATGTGCGCCATTGAAAAAAAATATTGCAGCCAAAAAACCTCTAGGGATTTTTCCTCTCCATCACCACCAAATCCACATATCACATAATGGCTTCTGTGGCTACCGTTACCCTCCCCCTTCCCGCTCTCCCCAGCGGTTGGGCTGCTGATAAGGACTTCAAGGCCGTCGGCAAGCTTTCTGAGGCTACTCAGCGAAGCATCGAGCCTGTTGGACCTCACTTCCTTGCCCACGCCCGACGAGCCCGCCACAAGCGCACATTCTCTGAGGATGACCGCATCCAGGCTCAGGAGAGCGCCAAGAACGTCGAGGATGGTGATGTCAGTGACGAGAGCGAGGACGAGGATCCCATGATGCTCCAGCGTGAGGCTAAGGACTGGAAGGTATGTGGCTGTTTTGATTCCATTTGGTTGCTGTGCCTAACATTTATGATTACAGACCCAGGACCACTACAAGATTCTTGGTATCTCCAAGTACCGATGGAGGGCCACTGAGGACCAGATCAAGAAGGCCCACCGCAAGAAGGTCCTTAAGCACCACCCCGATAAGAAGGCTGCCCAGGGTCGTGTCGACGATGATCAGTTCTTCAAGTGTATCCAGAAGGCTACCGATGTCCTCCTTGACCCCATCAAGCGTCGCCAGTTCGATTCCGTCGATGAGGAGGCCGATGTTGAGCCCCCCACCAAGAAGCAACTCCAGAAGACCGACTACTATAAGGCATGGAGCAAGGTCTTCAAGTCTGAGGCTCGTTTCTCAAAGACACACCCAGTCCCCTCATTTGGTGGTTCCGATGCCACCAAGGAACAGGTTGAGGAATTTTACAACTTCTGGTACAACTTCGACAGCTGGCGAACATTTGAGTACCTCGACGAGGATGTCCCTGATGACAACGAGAACCGTGACCAAAAGCGACACCAGGAGCGTAAGAACACCAACGCTCGCAAGAAGAAGAAGGCCGACGACAACGCCCGTCTCCGCAAGCTGCTAGACGATGCTTCTACCGGTGATGAGCGTATCAAGCGCTTCCGACAGGAGGCTAGCGCCGCCAAGAACAAGAAGCGTTTCGAGCGTGAGGCTGCCGAGAAGAAGGCCAAGGAGGATGCTGAGGCTGCTAAGGCTGCTGAGGAGAAGGCTGCTAAGGATGCTGAGGTCGCGGCCAAGGCTGATCGTGAGTCTTCCAAGAAGGCTAAGGAGGCTGCCAAGAACGCCGTCAAGAAGAACAAGCGTGTGCTTAAGGGCTCCGTCAAGGACGCCAACTACTTCGCCGCCGGAGAGCCCTCGCCCGCTGACATCGACTCCGTTCTTAACGATGTTGAGACCATCCAGGCCAAGATTGACCCCGATGAGATTGCTGCTCTCGCTGGCAAGCTCAACGGTCTCAAGGTTGCCGATGAGATCAAGTCTGTCTGGGTTGGTGAGACCAAGAGACTCGTTGAGGCCGGCAAGCTTAAGGAGGGAGACGTCAAGGTTCTGGCTTAAGAGGCATGTTGTGTGGTTGAGAAAAATATTTGTTGAGTTATTATGATGAGTTCTAGATAAAATAGATACGACGACATGGCTTCTAGATCAGAATAGACAAGCTTTAAGACCAAGTTCAAGCTGCTTGTTTCTCTATTCTATCTTTTCGACTTACGTGTATAACAGAAATTAAGTCTCTTGCCACTTCTTCCCTGGTGGATGGCGTTTGTTCTCTTGACAATGAATGTCTCTTAAAAAGACACGGTCTCGAGGTCTTTCCGTCAACACATAAGCTTATCAAGGATTCTACTAGGAGAAAAGTACCTGCAGTCTCATGTAAAGATTCTGACAATAGGGTAGCTAGGATTATATGAAACAATTAAGATTATCATGAGACTATTCTACATATGATCTTAAAACAAGATGATATAAGATTGTTTAAAACACAAGAGTCTGTTATAACTTATAGTATCTGTTGTCTGAGTTTTGCCTACCCACCGTATGCACGACTACCAACATATTGCCACCTGTGTTTAGCCTTTAATTATCACTGCAATAACCCAGTAACACATAGACTCTATTTGATGGATGCTGTTAGATTAGCTCTATATGAAACATTTTAAAGACCCTGAGGTGAAATATGTGTACAAGAAGAAGAAGAAAGATATGTCTCGCTGCAAGTAAATGAGTAAAGAGCTCCAAACCCCATAAAATATCCCAAGAGCTTCCATATGGCCCTAGTTTGATGTAGCAGCTCCATCCAAACGCCAGTTCACTTCGATGGCTATGCCTCCCTGTCTAAGGACTGCCCCAATACCATCTCGTAGTAAAGCCCCCTCTTTGCAACAAGCTCGTCGTGTCTTCCTCTCTCAACGATCTTTCCTCCTGCGAAGACGCAGATCACATCGGCATCTCGAATCGTGCTTAGCCGATGTGCTACCGCGACCGTCGTTCTTCCCTCAGCGGCTCGGTCCAGTGCCTCCTTAACTACCTTTTCGCTCTCCGTGTCGAGTGCGCTGGTGGCTTCATCGAGGAGTAATAGGCGAGGCTTGCGTATTAGTGCCCTGGCGATGGCAATTCGTTGACGCTGGCCGCCTGAGAGTGAAAGACCTTGGTTACCACAGGACGTAGTAAGTCCTTCGGGGAGGGAAGAGACGAATTCGTAGACATTGGCTTGCTTGCAGGCCTCGATAATTTCAGCTTCGGAGGGATCACCCTCTTCAATGCCGAGGGAGATGTTCTCCCTGATGGAGCCTTGATACAAAACCGGCTCTTGCTGAACAAGTGCAATGTCTCGTCTGTGTAGGCGCCTGTCCCTTGTCTTGATATCTTGACCATCTGCTTGTATTGTGCCAGTTGTAGGGTCATAGAAACGCTGCAAAAGTGCAATCATGGTTGACTTTCCACATCCAGATGCTCCTACCAGAGCCACCATTTTACCTGATTCGATGCTGATATCAACTCCCCGCAGAACCTGTAGCTTAGGTCGACGAGGATAAGCAAAGGTAATATCATCACAAGAGACGTCGACACCCTTTTCAGATATGCTTTTCTCGCTTCCTGAAAAGCCTGGCCCATTACCTGCATTATCGTGCAGGGCCTTTTGACGCCGAAGTTGGAAGATGTAGTTGATGGCAGTTCGGGCTTTGGTGATACTCGTAGTGTACTGGAACAGCATTGCTGATGTCTCACCAGAGAAGACGACAGCGATAAAGATGACGTAGAATTGATCTGTGGTGTACTCGCCGAAGGAGACAAGACGCCCACCGTACCTGGTACTCGTTAGTGCTGCCTTTCTGCTGAAGTTACAATAATGTACTCACCAAAAGCCCAATGCCATAGCAAGGAAAGATGCCGATTGACTGAATGAGTAAAACAACATCTTCCAGCCTAGGCCTGCGATGGCTTCTTTCGCAAGCCCCTCAAGTGCACTGCTATATCTGTCAATCACAGCTCGTTCAAAAGCCAGTGACGAAACCGTCCGGATTCCCAGAACAGCCTCCGAAGCCAGGCTACTACTCTTAGCAAACCGTCCGGCAGTATCTTCGTCAAACTTGTATTCGAGCCGAATGCGCACGTATCCTGAGCCAACAAGTACTGGCAAGGCAGCTAAGGTGAGCACAAGTCCCAACTTCCAGCCGTAAGCAATGGCAAGGATAGAGCTTGAAAGAACAGTAACAATGTTGATCATAATGAGGGATAAGTTCATAGATAGTAGCTCCTGGAGACTTGTAGGCTCGGAGGCTAGTCGTGAAACAAGGGCACCAGTTCCGCGGTCGGGATCGTCGAAGAATATCATGTCTTGTCGAAGAGTGTTATCGAAAAGCTCGCTGCGATAAACAGTCATGACATGCTGAGGCTCATTAGAATTGTAAGCTCTGGGGGTCAGGCGGAGACCGGCTACTTACCTGACCAATTTCGTTACAGACCCAGCCGGCTGCAGCATAGATAGCAAAGTTGGCGAGGGCAACTACAAAGAACATCAAGGAGAAGAAGTTTGCCTCGCTGACATCGATAGTCTCGAAAGCTTTCATGGTCCTTGAGAAGAGAACAGCGAGTGCTGGGTATGTGCCACCTAAACAGCAACGTCAACTTCCGTGTCTTTAGCATACTGTGATAGAACTTACCTCCTAAAAGAGAAATGATGACAAGAATGAACCCGGAGGACCACAGAGACCTTTGTTCCTTGACAACAAGATACAGTCCCTTCAAAAGGCCGTAATTGATTCCGTCGTTCTGGTTGATATCTGCCGTAGCATGCTGGGAAGCACGGGACAAGACAGGGTCAAGGCCAGCAACCGGCTCATCCTTGTCTGTCTCATCGTCTTCATCCAACGATGAATCGCTACCCTTACCAAGATCTTGCAAGCGAACGAGACGCGAGTATGTACCACCCTGTTGAATGAGGGAATCATGAGAGCCTTGTTCGATAGTTTCACCTTTAGACATGACGATGATATTGTCAGCATCTCGGATAGTAGACAGGCGATGAGCAATGACAATCATTGTTCGACCCTTGGCTACATTGTTAAGAGCTTTCTGCACGATCTTCTCGGCGTTAGGATCGAGAGCACTGGTAGCCTCGTCCAGCATCAAAACTTTGGGGTTGGAGATAATGCTTCGAGCAATGACTACACGTTGCTTTTGTCCACCGGACAATGATGCTCCTCGTTCACCGATCCAGGTATCATAACCCTATCATGAAGTTAGCGAAGAAATGTCGAATTTGAATAGGAGAAAGCACATTAGGCAATGTCTCAATAAAATCATGCGCATAGGCTGATTGACATGCATCAATAACCATTCTTCGCTTCTCCTCTTCCGGAAGGTCGATCAAGGGTGTACCGGTTAGACCATCGACAACATTCTGGTAAATAGTGCCGCTGAACAATGTTGGTTCCTAAACATCTGTCAGCATTGTCTTGGCTTTCTGCGTTGATCAATCTTTTGCGCCTACCTGTTGAACCATTCTGATGTTAGTGCGCAGCCACTGAAGGTTCAAGCTTTCGACAGGACGTCCGTCCAGTGTGATCGATCCACCGCTCGGTATATACCATCTTTCCAATAGTCCAAATATCGTACTCTTCCCTGATCCACTGGTACCAACAAGAGCAGTTGTTTGATCGGCAGGAATATCGAGATCCAGAGAGTGAAGAATCGTCACGTTAGAACGCGAGGGGTATGCAAATCGAACTCCACGGAACTGAATGTTTCCCTTGAAATCAGGGATCTTCTCGCCCTCCTCTGACAGGGCATCGATCTGTGACCTACGATCGATCATCTCAAACATCTCTTGCGCGGCAGCCGTGGCTTTGGAGATGGCTATCGTTTGGGGTGCAATTTGAGTGAGAGCAGTAGCAGCAACAAGAACCGCAAAGATTACACTAGGAACGTGGGTGTCAGCGCATTCTGTTAGGTTTTGGGTATTGAGAAGAGACTCACGTCACTACTGAGCCTGGCTGAGTAATTTCGCCCTCAGAATACATCCTCATACCCTGCCAGAAAGCTAAACCATAGCCCGCAAAGATACAGAAGAACTCTGTAGGGAAGAGAACCACGTAGACCCAGGACTTCTTGTGGCCGATTCTTTTGGCCTCCTCGAGCGTGTTGGTAAATCGTTTCGATAACTTGGGAAATGCCCAGAAAGCGTGGGCTGTACGAATAGTCGAGAATGCCTCCTCGGCCAAAGAACTCGACCTCGAATATACATCGAACATGGCATACTCATAGCCGGTATCGATGGCAACACAGATAATAGTGACGACGAGGTTGACCGGGATGATGGCGAGGACAATCAGAGTCAGTTTCCACTGGACAGCAAAGGCCACAACGAAGGCCGAGACAAAGGTTGAGAGAGCTGCGATAGTGGTGCCAAACTTTTCAGATATTCCTTGGTTGATCAGGTTTCCGTTGGTCGTGACCTGTCCAGGGATTGATGATGCGGGAGAGTCGAAGAAGGCAACCTCTTGACGAAGTGTGCTTCGGACAAAGTCAACACGCAATGATTTTGTGGTATTGATGGCTGCGATGGAGACAAGTATCTGATTCCAAAATTAGCACATACGTTCGTCTGGCTAATTAAAACGATAGTTCCTTACTGTCCAAAGATATGTTAATGAGAACTTGGCAATAAAGAGATAAATGAAGTACAGGCTGTTGTCAATGGTTAACTTAGAGAACACAAAACACAATGGTTGAGGGTTGTACCTGTACTTGCCGACCTCACTTCGATATCCAGCAGGTGACAACTTTCCAGTAGAAAAGTCGGTAAAGACGTTGATAAACTTTCCAAAGACAAGATCCATCAGGGGCAAGATGGTGCCAGCTGCAACCATCGCAACGAAAGCAATCCCATTCAGGGTCCACCCCAAGCGATCATTGTAGGTAAAGACACGCTGAAGATGGTTATTTGATGGTTACAGAGTGGTCGGAGCAATTTTGGAACTCACGAGGTAGTACTTGAAGCTTGTGTCCTTCTTCTCTTGCTTGGTGTCACTGTCACCATCACCTTTACCTTCACCCTTGTGATCAATTGTAACCGTCATTTCGTCGCGTGCCTGTCCTGTTGATCCACAAGTATCAGAAGGCGAGTCGCCAACTGGCTCTTCTTCCTTCTTTATAGGCTGTTGTTCAGTCATGTTTGAACAAACAGCGTAATTAACCGATGATGATTGAAGCCAAACATCAGCCTTGAGACAAACGTCAACGCTTTTGTAAGAGATGATGTCTTGGCGTTAACCGTTCGTCGCAACGCGCGCGATACGATATGGCCAATCGGCTTACACAGCCACTAGATCATCGATCGGGTTACGGGGCCCAAGGCCTACGCCCTACGACTTGCAAGTAAGAACCTAATACTCTGAGGGGTGTATAACCCATTCCCGGGGTAATAATTCGCCCGTTTGTACGGAGTACGGAGTACCTTGGTTAATCTCAACATTTTAAATAGGTACTTCGCATAATGCACCGCATTTAGCATCCGCTTGGATAAGACAAGATGTGTCAGCTAAGCAGACTTGGCAGGTATATTGAGAGATGGAAAGATCTACTCAGACCATAACCTATACATACCGAATACGAAAAACAGGAAGCTACGATTGTACGTAGTTTTATTAGCAGCCACCTCTATCTAAACCAACTCGGCGCCACTCGGAGCTTACAAGCCACAGACCGGCAGGCCCAACCGTCCAAACCGGCCTCCGCGGCTCCCGTTTGCTTCCCTTCACCATCACAGCACGGCACTCTCCAGCTTCCGTCGTCAGCACTCCCAAGCCCAGTCACTTTCACCCGTTACGAAAGAAGAACATAATCCATCATCCAATTCATTTAAATCCACCTTGCAATTGTGCGTCAGTTGTTGGTCTAGTAAAGAGGGAGTTGCCAGGTCGTGTATTCGCGATGGATCGACCCAATATTGGCCCCGGCCTCACCAGTGCCGGACCCGCGGTTCCCGATGACTCTGCACGCCGAGCGGTAAGTGGCATATTCCATTTTAGGCATTATTCACGGGACATTTGCCCGTCATACTGCGGCCCATATGCGAGTCCTTATGCGCTGGTTCGATGGCGTTGTTAGTCAGATCGATCTACTGCAAGTCTCGTCATGGTGGTGTACTTGCTCTTATGGGGCACCTTAGACTGACAAGACATATCGTGATATCAGTGTGACCAGTGTCGTATGCGAAAGGTAAGCATTTCCCATAGTTGCAGAAGTATAGGTGCACTAGTAGCCAATATGCTTTTGTGCGCACAGGCTGTTTGTTACATATAGTTGAGATGAATAACACTCGCATGGATAGATCCGATGCGATAAAGACTGGCCCTGCTCCAACTGTCGCACAGCCAAGCGTTCCTGCACATCTACAGGTGTTGGTCAAAGACCCAAAGAGCCGCGGCAGCGAGTTCTCATCTCATCTCAATAGTCGGTCACCCCAAGATCTCTTAGTATAAGGAAATGGCTTCTCTCACCCATAACGCCGGATCCCTGCTGATCTGAGAGCCGTTTCCCCAGCTTGTCAGGCAGTTCATTTACTAACCGGCGGTTGGCATAACCTTCAGTGAACGCAAGATTGATCAGATTGAAGCTCGGTTGGGCAGCATAGAAAACCTCCTTCGCGATCTCTCTCAGCGACCCATCTCCACACCAGGAAGTAACGTCCATTACCCTACGACCCCTGCACAGTTCACCAGTGTAGATACAGCCGCCGCATCTACCGTAGGTTTTGACAGCTCGGACGACGAGTCTGCGTTGGGTGGTGATTCTGTCATCGCCCAGCAAACCACCTTTGCTAGCGAGCTCCTCGAGCATGCTGTGGAGCGTACTTCTCTCCATGATGTCAGCCCCAAGATGTGGGAGGCTCTCGCCAACTTAAGACAAATAGCCGAGCTTCAGAGTCGACAGTCAATCAGCCATGGGCCTCGATTTCCACTACAGCAGCCGTTGCCAAAGGGGGGTCTGGGCCAGCTCAGGATGCCGCCCATGGATGTTGTTGTTTCCCTATTGAAACGAGTCAAAGGTATTTGTGACGGTATTGACTCCTCAAAATATTCACTGACTCAAGTCCAGCTTCTCCGCCGGGTCTCTTTACTTTTGTGTGCTATTTCGTGGGAATCAGTGACTTCTCCAATCTATGCCGAATGGTGTACTTCCCTACGGAGGACTTTGCTGATTCCATTTTCATCATCGTCAACGTCGGGCTTTATTACCTATTCCTTGAGCAGCAAACCTTGGCTACCGACAAGGCTCTCAAAGATGAGTTCGCATCACATCTTCACACAAGCCGGATCAACCTGGAAACTGGCTTGGCAAATATGTCTCTGTTCATGTCGGTCAAGGTTGAAACGGTCCAAGCTCTAATAATGGGGGTAAGGAAATGTATTTTGTTTTGGCATAAGAAGTATCAGATGTTAACGATATTATCAGACATTGTATGCTATCGATGTGTGCAGACCTTCCGTCGCATGGCACCTAAATAGTGCTGCTGCCCAAATGTGTCAGACAGCCGGCTTCCATCGCAAAGACCACGCCATACGTAACCCAGAGGAAGCTGGTATCAAGTCGATTCTATTTTGGTACATATACACCACTGACAAAGCGCTGGCAATTCGACTAGGCCGTGCCCCTATCATTCAGGATTGGGAAATCGATATTCCACGCACCTTCAGCTTTGAAGGCATACTAAGTCTGGAAACCAAAGCTGTTGCCACAATGTGGCTCAGCGCTGCAACACTCCAGGGCCAAGTGTACGAACAGCTGTAAGTATGACCGTCCTTATCTAACCGCCGTAGCTGATGGAACCAGGTTTTGCCCAGCAGCATTGGCTCAACCGCCTGCCGTACTCGTCGAAAGAGCGCTATCACTTGCAGCGAAGTGCCGTGAGGTAGAGGCAGAAGCTCATCAAAGTCGGGAAATGGCCATTGCTTCTCTTGAAAAAATTGGTGCTTCGCCCCTTGTCGATGTCCATCTCAAGGGTGATGAGGTACAGCTGTTATCGACTATGACACTCATATATCGTGCGATCCCGGCTCCCGAGGGCTCAGCCAGTAGGTTCTGTGATGAGTGCATCGAGACTGCACGAAGAGCGACAAATACTCATTTGACATGCATGGAACTTGTGCGGCAAGACCCCCATGCGAGAAACATGTATGTCCATTGGTATGTTCAGGGCTGCAATCCATCCAAGGATTTCAACATACTCACACAATCACAGGAATCTGGTTCTGACCCCGTTCGCTCCTTTCTTCGTTCTGTTTTGCTATGTCGTCGAAACAATGTCGGCAAAAGACTTGTCTCTCCTAAGAGAATTCAGCGCGTCAATTGAAGAAACTAGCGATGCATCTGAGACAATGCAAAAACTCTCGCGATTATGCAATCTGATGAGTAACGTTGCAGCGCTTTATGTCGAAGCCAAGTCCCAACAACAGGAAGACCACGCAATGGTACCCATCGGAGATGAGTTCGATGTATACTTGAGTCAACTCGGATTCATGCCTGTGATGGATCCTAACATGAACACTGCTGGGGGGGATAACAATGGCGCGTTTGCCGAGAATTCGCAGGTGGCACAGATGGCAGACTGGATGTCTGGAAGCCGGAATCTGCTGGGTTTGTTGGAACAAGATATATCCCAACTGGGGGGACCACAATGGCCACCGATGTAGAGGAAAGAAGAAAGTCCGCATAGAAACTGTCAGATCGAACTCATCGTTTAGCTTTCAGGGTATAGAACAGGTGTCGATATGGTTTAATCCGTGGGAAATCGAGGGTTGTAGGCCTCATAGCCTTCGTCTTCAGTGTCACTCTCTGGTAATAGATTCTTCTGAAGACCGGGGTTAATTGGTGTCGATTCGGGTGCAACCACCAGCTTAGTTTTCTCGGCTGGTGTTGTCGCTTCTCCACTACCCTCGACCTTCGTAAAAGCGCTCTTGAAGCCACTCTTCTTGAAACCGCCTTTCTTGAAGCCTCCACCCCCAGTAGTAGCGGTTTCTTGGCCGGGGAGCTTGATGCTGATGAGGCCATCGGCTTTAGCTTCTGCCTTGCGTGCACGAGAGCCTGCGTTAGGGTCCCGGACCATGGCCTTCATGTCCTTGAGACGCTGTTTGTGACTGTGATCATAACTACTGAGATGGGATTCGTAGTCATTCATACGAGAGTAGCCTTTAGAGCAGAGCTGGCAGTAGAAGGACTTCTGTGCCTCACGTGCCGACGCGGTCTGCGCCGATGGAAGTGTCAAATGTCGCTAACGACAGTCAGTGATGATACAGCAATCGTGAAGATCAATCTTACTGGCGGCATGTTTGTGGTCTTCAGATAACTCTCTGAACGATGGTAGAAAGGTGATGTGACGGGGAATGTTGTAAGTTGTCAATGGTTGATAGAGAAGAGGTTGACCAGTAACTCAAGATTCAGATAAGATAGCAAGGGCTCTAACTGGGTACGGTTAGGGTCTGACTATATCTCACTACCAATCAGAACCTGGTATGTTTGCTGACCAGACCTCCAGGACTTCAACGTCATTTTCAGGGGGTTCGGCAGGGGCTTCCAGAACCACCTGCCCCAGAGTCTGGTGAAGCTTCCCCATTTCCAGGTCGTTGAGGCGCTAATCCCAACTGGAAAAACTTCCAGTCCCTTCCCTGTCACGAGCCCGCGCCGTCATCTTCTTTCTAACTACTCCCCGCCAATATTTCTTGGTATTGTATCCATTAACGATACTCATACAAATAACGCGCTGGACGTGGTAGCACCATGGACTTCGACCAATCCCCCGATCGTCGAGCCTCACAGGCAAGCTTCTTGTCTTTGCAGCAACTCGACCCTTCCCCGATAGAATCTCCGCCAGCAGATCCCTATATTGACCGCCAAAATCTGGGGCCATCGCTCCGAGGAAGCGATGACGGATATGAGATGGTAGATGCCGATGATATGGAAAGGAGCACGTCGACCATCAAGTCCCCTTCTACTGGCGCTCCAGGTTTGAGCGCAAGCGCAAACCTCACATCGTCAGGAGCAGGTCCTGGCCCTATCTTCTATCGTAAGGATCAGTCTTTGTATTGAGCTTCGCCAAAATTGACCGTACTAACCCTTGCCAGTTATGCGAATACAAAAGTTCTCGAGTTATGCAATGGGTCTATTCACCTCCCTTCATCTCGCCAACGTTTCTCTTATTCCTGCTATTACACGATCCGTTCCTGGCTCTGAGACCTATCTCCTCATGACTCGGGAAATCTACCAGACCTCTCTTACCGAGCCTATGCTAGTTGCTCTGCCTGTAATAGCTCATATTGGATCGGGTATTGCCCTTAGAATGTTGAGGAGATCGCAGAACATCAAGCGGTATGGTGCTGCTACCCCTGGAATGTACGCTCTCCATCGGTCACGGACAGAACTCGAGGATCAGAAGATTGCCCGATCTTCTTCTCCATGGCCAGCATTAAGCTACATCTCGATATCCGGTTATACTTTCGCTATCTTCTTCGCCACCCACGTCTTCGTCAACCGTGTACTACCATTGCAGGTCGAAGGTGACAGCTCTAATATCGGACTCGCCTATGTTGCACATGGTTTCGCTCGGCATCCTGTCACAGCTTGGGTTTCCTACGTTGGTCTACTTGCTGCCGGCTGTGGCCATATGATCTGGGGACAGGCTAAGTGGTTTGGTCTGGCCCCTGGAACAAAAACTATTTGGGGTACAAGTACTGTGCCTGCGGAAAAGAAGGCGAGAAAGCAGAGGAGAAGAAGATGGGTTGCACTCCACGGTGCTTCGGTGGCATTCGCTACGCTATGGGCTATTGGCGGCTTAGGAGTTGTTGCCAGGGGGGGTCTTATGGACGGCTGGATTGGGAAGGTTTATGACGATATCTTCTCTGCTGTTGGGTTGTAGGCATAAGTTAGTCCAGCATCATTGGAGTTTGGGTTGACTTATCTGGTAGACATTAAGCTTCTACCTTGGCACGCATTATGGAAATACCCTACGTTTATACGTTGGAGAAAGAAGTAAATAAGCATTAGATATCCAGGCTGAAACATTCGAATGACAAAACGTATCAAAAAGCCATTGACTCGTTGAACAAATGAATGAGTTGAATTGTATTTGAATGGTTACCAGCATGGTGATGGCCTACAGATCTCAGTCGTACATATGCCATTTATAATAAGACAATAAATAACATGAACGTTCGATTTTGGTCTCTAATAATGATCTCAATAGCAAACCGACATCTAGCTCAAGCACAAGTTTGAAGTCGCTTTTACTGGTAGGTATAGGGTAGTTTCCTTCGAGACGGAAGCTCCGGTCAATCGCCGGCCAACCATTGCCACCGACATTTTCCTTCTTCTCTTGACCAACCTCTAAACTCAAACAACACATACTTAATCTTGGATTCGGCCCGTCCTGCTAGATATTTGAAGCTGTACGTAGGGTCGCCCTGCGCAGCGCGACAATTATCCGCTCAAGATGCCAAAGCGCAAGCTCACATCGACCGATGAGGGCTCTAATGCTCTTCCTAACAACGACAGAGCACAACCTCGGCCATTGAAACGTGTGCGCATCGCGAACAAAGCACATAACCCGCCCGATCGCGATATACTCACTACAATATCTTCCGAACTTCTCCTCCGGATTTTATCCTTCCTGTCGTCCTCCGAGCTTCTCGACATATCCCCCACTTCACATCGCCTTTACCGCCTTGCCTCAGACCCTCACCTCTGGCGCGAACATTACTACGAGCGTTTTGTCCTCCCGCGTGCCTTACGTATACCTGGGTTTCGTGTCGGTGGAGCTGGTGGTACCAAACTTCAGTATTCTTCGCGACGAGCTGTCTGGGCGGATGGACGAAAAGGACGAGCACCAGAGGACGAGGTTCCGAGAGAGAGCAACGAGAGCGAGAGCGTCGACTGGAAGAGGCAGTACAAGCTGCGCCACAACTGGGCCAGAGGAAAATGTGCAGTGGAGGAAGTCAGTGTGCGAGATGCGCCGGAAGAGAATGAAGGGCAAAAGAGGACTTTGGTCAAGGTTGTTGAGGGCATCGCTATAACGGCCGATTTGGAATCTGGACTGCGCGCATGGGATCTTCGAACACGGCGAGCGATAGCACAACTCGACTTTCACGACGATGACGAACGCAACGGCAGTGCACCAACATCATTGGCAGTGGACGAAAGCAGCCCTGGAAGCATGGTGGAGATCATAGTGGGCTTCGCGGATGGCGGCTTCGGACTTTGGCGGTTGAATCTTGACGAAAACGAACTGATAAGGAGGTATCGACACGAGAAAAGTTGCAATGGAGAACTTGCAGCAGTTGCTTGCGGTTATCCTTATGTCCTAACAGCGACCACTGCTGGCTTAATATCGCTCTACACGTTCAACCGACCAGCTGCCAAGCCTACCGACAACCTCATAAAGCATGTACGTGAGGCTGGTCAAATGTCGACCCATGGAGTAAAAGAAGACCGAGCGAAAGACCAGACTGCAAAGACAAAGCTGCCGCCGCCCTTTTTACTCACATCCCTCAAGTCGCACACCACCCACCTGCCGCTTGCTTTATCGATACGACGCATGTCGTCCTCCGTGAGCGCCTCTATCGCCTACACTTTCTCTGTCCGCGATGGCTGGTGCATCGGCGTTCAAGATCTACTCATAACGCCGTCCCCCGATGGCTCCGGAGTCGAGACACTGACCTCTCGCCTTGCGTCGACGCTTCCCATTTCAACCTCAGGTGGCGCCGACTCGCCTCGAACCAATGAATCACAGTCCGAGCTTACGACACTCTGCTACAGCCACCCATACCTTCTCGCCACGCTTCCAGACAACACGCTTGTCCTGTACCTTTGCACATCAACAGCGAAACTCTTCTCACTGTCTCCTGGCATCCGCCTATGGGGCCATACCTCAGGCATTTCAGACGCTGAGATCACACCGCGGGGTAAGGCTGTGAGCATTAGCACGCGGGGTGATGAGATACGCGTATGGGAACTCGAGGGCCGCGTTGGAGGCAGCAGCATCGAGGTACGACCTACCAGCAGGCAGCCAGCCGATGACGCGGACAGCCCTACACCTACGCCGCGGGCCAAGTGGGAGGATCGTAGGAATTGGGTTGGTTTCGACGACGAAATGGTCATTGTTCTCAAAGAGGCGCGAAACGGTCGCGAGAGTCTGATGGTCTATGACTTCACATGATTCCAATTGCCCGGCGCCGTCATATCGGACGAGCCAAAAGTAATACCACAAGCTTCTTATTTGGGAGACGCGCAACAGACAGCCGCGTCGTGACTTTGCCGACAATGGTAATCGCCGCTGCATCCAGCCTACGCCACGCTCCAGGGGAAGAGTCCCGGCCATCCGTGGCATGTTGAGAACCGCGGCGCTCTGGAGCTGGTATTACCCGAGAGTATATGAAGAGCCTCTCAGACAATCTCAAAGCCATTGCCGCAGACTAGTTACTTTTAGTCGGGGTTCAAGGCTCGAGAATAAAGGCCATACGGCTGACAAGTCCTAGCAGGACTTGCTTATGCAAAAGCAAAGTACACAATTGGTACAGCACCTCGTTACAAGTAAGCCACGGAATTACATAAGTTGGGGCTAGGGATGAATCTTAGCAGTTGGGAGCCTAGCTGTTCAGCCTCGAATCCGCCTTTGCAAATAAACTCTGAGCGGCATTCCGTCTAATGGATCGTTCGTGATCGCGAGTGGTCAGTACAACACTCAGAGGCTGAAGGACCATCAGGCACTTCCCCTTGACTAGCCGGAGGTTATCGAGTTGCGTGAAAAGCCAATTCAGAAACGAGGCAACGCAGACCAAACCCAGGTCGTACACAAGCTGCACTTTTGTCAGGGGGTGGCTTTAAACGTTCAAACCTTTCTGGCTGTTATTCCAGGTCTTGAGGCCAGCAACCTGAGATGACTTGTCAAAAAGAAGATGGTAGCTATTAACCCAGTATCGTAAATAAACTCGCTACTATTAGGGGAGATCTTCAAGACTCGTTGCTTCTGAAACAACACCCATTGACTTGATGACGCGCTGGAAGTTTGCTGAGAGCTCCAGCGAAATTGGCGTTATACATCCTGTCATGCATTGCATGGCTCCACGGCATGAAACAAAACCAAGGTGGTACTGACAGCGCATCAGAGAGGAGACAAAGGAACAGGCGAGAGAGCAATTCCCAATTTCATGCTGCCATTTCATACTGTAGACGTACTATGTGTTAGTTGCATAGGCAAAGATCCATTGGATCTCATGCATCCAAGCAGAGGCTGACACGCAAGGTCGCTGAAACGACTTAGGATTGAACACGGTAGTCCATCAGCGTATCAGCTACGTCAATTACATCTTGCTTGAATTGACGAGATAGCGCCCCAGATGCAGTGCTAAACTTGTTTGTTTGTTCTTGCAGCCTTGCTCTGCCTCGCCTCTTAGATGTAACATGCGCCACATTCGAACCATTCTGCGTCTTCACCGTACATTTATCTCCGGGTAGTGAGGCAAATAACAGAAGACGACAGACGTCAAAAGACAAACATCTGGCCCCATTGGATAACATTGATTCTCCGTATGATACATGGAATTCGAAACTGCGCGTTGCCGTTGTTCGTAACCGTCCCGAGCAGGACCTCCACCAGCCGCGAGGGGTTCGACTTTCACATGGCAGAAAGTTGCGACAGAGGGGCCCTTTTCTCTGTCTAGTCAAGTCTAGGAACAAGAGCCAGATGATGAGCAGTGGGACCGTCCGGTATGGAGATGTGTTGTGCTGTGGCTGTGGGTGATAGTGGAGATGCTGCTTTTCAGGCGGAGACTGACCAGGGAGGGAGTGGGATTATCATGGTCTTTGATATACGCAATTGAGTTGGTGTTGAATGCCATTGACTTGAAGGACAAAGCCTGGCCGAAGTGAGAAATATAGCTGGTTGAATAACTGGTCTAGTAGCATTCCTTTTGGAAATAAAAGAATGCATTTCGACAGACTGAATAAGAATGAAATTGAGTTCGAGTTGAATATGAATGGACTGAATTGCATTTACAAGACACCCGTGCACGCGGCCCGAATCTACCTTAGCCGCCCAAGAAGGCGATATATCACCTGTACCGTAGTCCGAGTCTCTGAGATTGGCCGAACCGAAAGACGGCACGTTTGTAAAAGAAAGAAAAAGGGGGGAAACGGAGGGCGACGCAAGTGGCAAGACGAGGGACGGTGTGAGTAGACGGTCGCTTTCTGGAAGAACGACGGTGGATCGCTTTCTCTCACCGTTTCTTCAGGCTTCTGGCTCCCCCAAATGCCGATGGTAGAAGTAGGAAACCGCTACAAAGACGGGATCCATGCTTCCCTTCCCGTTTCTTGCCTGAATCATATCAAAAGTGGAGGTTCGAAAGCCGAGGCAAGGCATGGGTGTCGATCAATTTGGAGGGGTTCTGGTGGTGATGAGAATGGAACAGACAGATGACTTCTGATTTTACCGTTCGTGACGCTGTACGCGCGCAAATAAAGCATTGCAACTCGAGACTCTCGCTATAGACACTCCAGCCAGAAGCAACCATCTCGAATAAGTCAAAAAGTGAGGCATAATATCTCAATTGTTGATGCGAAATTGAGTCAAGTTAACCCCTCCATCGCGGGGTTGCGTGTCAAGAATTATTGGATGGAAGCGAACCACTGACGCGCTGGAAGCCCAGCACTAGATAGGCCCTAGACTCTGGCTGTAGAAGGGTCCCTCCACTAATGCACCCGTCAAAGACTGGCCCCTGTGACGAACCTTTGGATGACGTCTTTTGTCCATGCTTTGACGGACCCTTGAGATGGTCTAGATCGTGTTGGATCCAGCTACAACTGCAACTCGACTATTTTCCTTGCTTTATTGCATCCATTATTATTCTATCCTTTGTCAATAAAGGAACATAATAGCGCAAGAAGACGTTGACCGCCCCTGCATTCAATCGCATTGGACTTCACCGTTGTACAGCCCAAGGACCTTGACGCCTCCAACCTCCAACTCCGTCCCGGCGGTCACCAGCCTTAGGGTCCCATTTTGATACTGAGACAGTGCTGATGACTTGCTTGACGCGAACACACTTTGAGCCTTTTACTGACCCTCCCGAGATGATCCAGGAGGCTGGATACAACTCCGATCCTGCGATGCGGGCATTAGTCTCGTGGGCGTTTAACATTGCTTTTTCTTCTGCTTTGTTTGAACGTGCTCATACACTCACGTCTCAAACTCACACAAGTTCATTACCCACAGCACTGTCTCAGACCAAAGCGGTCAAGTGACATATGGTAGTAGCAGAATGGGACGGGTGACGCCTCACGGAACATCTCGTGAGCCTCGGATACAGCCTTCAGACACAGATACACATTCTCATCGAGCCTTTGGTCCTCTCACGGTCAAGAACCACCCTCTTGAATGAGCCTAGAGGGCCACCACCACAAAACGAATACCCATCAGCCACCGCCGATTAGGAAGACCGGAGTGGATGGAACGGAGGGTACACGCGCCGAGCGGGCCGTTTCACAACCATAATATTGGAAGGGCCGTAAACCGTCAGCCGCCAGCCTTTATGGCTCAGTGATGGGGGTACTGCCCGTCGCTTGACATTGTTTGCGGTAAAGTGTGTCTTGTATGCGGCCCATACACATGTGAATCATTGATAGACCTGCATCCCTTATCGGAGGAGAAGATAAGCCAATGCCTCTCATTGTTCATCATGTGCTCGAACGGCTGCTCACCTGCCAAAACGCTGGCTGACGATCCAAGGAGAAATGGTGGGGAAACCTGGTTAGTATCATCTGTAACTCCACCGTCTTGCGACCAAACTCTGGGGAATCAGGGAATACCTCTACAACCGGTGAGGATTCGGCAGCGGGTATCAGTTATCGTTCACGCTTGTCTTCGATAAGTGTAGCAAGGTAGGTGTACAATATTATTCACCTACCTCTTTAGCAACAACACGAAACCGTGTGGTAGACCATCGAATTAATCGAGGTGTGCATGTCCCACCTTGATAGTGGTTTCTCGGCTGGTTTCTCGGCTCGGATTTCCTCCGTCGTTGCTGATGTGATCGTATTGCAATTCTGGATTGACCTTGGATACTGCATTCTCGTACTGTAAAGATATCATTAGCTTTGTAAATCCTTCTTGACGCTGACTGTTTTGCCGGCTGGGCCGGATACTCAACTCATCATTGACTCAAATATGTTTAGCAAGCGTAGCATAACTGACGGACTTAAACCATTGACGCCCGAGCAGAGTCGGACAATCGCATTGTGGTAAACCCGAAAGACAAGTCGCCTTGGCCCGTTGACCGAGGGCGGAATTTCCAATTGCAAGCCCAGAAGCAAAGCGATGCCGTCGTCCCACGTTGGCGGAATGCCAGAATCCCCGCGTACAACATAGCCTGACAGCGTCTTTGTTTCTTTGTTGGGGAATCAACTCACATACCATCATGGCTTTCTCAATGCAACAAAGAAATTCACCTCGTGTCATGGAGAGACTATGACGTTGGAATTTGACCATGATGCAAACGCCATCATGCCATCTTGTCAACAATAACTCAATCCATCATTCAACCTGAATGGATACCAATCATCAAACCTTCCAGAAGCCAAAAGGTACCAGGGCCCCCAAACTCCCTATCGATATCCGTAGACCACTCCACAGTATCACACTCCCCCCTGGCTTGCATCTCTTCAGGATGCGCCCCCATTCATGCCAAGACACTAGACCAGACCCGACTTGGCGCCAGGTCTTGTTTCGGCCTCTTTAGTCTGCTTCTGTAGTAGGCCCAAGCCTGTTTCTCCATATCCTGTGACTCACTTTGAATCGGTGTGGGGGAGAGAGAGGGAAACCCAGAGCTTGGGCAAACGGTATAGTTCAGAAGTTTAGACATTAAATTGTCCGAACAGATATTCACAGGCAGGCTATGGACTTCAACACAATAATTGGCAAGTAGCATAGTGTATAAGGTCGTATGACGGCACCGTAATTATGGACCATAATGCCGTGAGGCCGCCCGTCAGCCTGTGGTGATGGGGAGAGCGGTAGACATAACGCGTAATAAAGAAGCGATATGAGCCGGTCAATGTCAAGCCAACCAACCTTTAGGATAACAGACGGCAGAAGGCTTGTCTTCTGCACTGTACACTGGCAAATTCACGTCGATCGTGTATTTAATTGAATCATGAACCGACATTAATCAGTCGCAGCGTTATGTCGCATGTCGGTAGTGGGGTTGATCGCCGCGTTTCTCAAGGGGGCCCGAGCTAGGAGTAGTATTTCAGGGCCCTTCAAGGCCGAAACAAAGGGTCTGGAAATGGGAGTCCAGAAGTAGGAACGATTGACGAGATGCAGCGTGCCAAGCGGGGAGCCACGAGAGTTGAGGTTGACAATGGCAATCTGTGAAGACTGGTGAACCGGGCAGAAACATCCTTGAACATCCACAAATGCGAATGCGGACAGCTTGAACTGCAAAAAACATGCATGTCATCTCATAGAGGGTGCCACTTGGCTCACGACTGAGGTCCTGTGGTGGTAGGGCGATGGGCTGAGGCTGCACGACTGAGCATCTGAGGCAGGTTGGTACTGCTCAAGCCAGACCGCAAGTCACGATAGCAGGTGAGATAACCACCCGTTGCCTGTAAGCAAAAGAGTAGTGCAGCAGTTAGAGGAAGCCAGAGAGTTGGCGCTCAGCATTCTTGGTCAATTGGGCATTGGGCAGCGAGGAAGAGGAGGGCTGATTCAAGACATGAACCGTCACACGCAGAAACCACACGCCCCCATGAGATTAGGCGTTTTATACCGTCGCGATCGTGATTTGTCGTGGAAGAGAAAGGAAAGAGGGGTAACAAGATGAGATTGGCCTGCAATGAGAGGAAGTGCAAGTGAGTACGGTGACAAGATAAGTCGGTTAGTGAAGTAGGAATGAATTAGTGCAACTGCAGTAGTTGGAGATAATCGGTGATGGTGTCGCGAAGACTTGCGTGTGATCTCCCACAATCCAGATGGCATCATGATCGCCGCGATAGAGCATGTGTTAAATCTAGGGACGCGCATCTGCCGCGGAACAAACGCAGCCCAGATCTCCTGCTCGGAGGCTTCTGTAGGAACAGGAAGACGGACCATGCCAACCCTGGAACTAGCTGGGTTTGGAAGATTTGGCGCCGGCCTCGTGGATGTTGCCCGTCCTGACCAAGTCACACAGCGCTTTCGCGGACGTGATTGATGGCTCAAAAGGCCAGGTGGGATGCGTACCTACATGTCGCATACTAGGTCTGTAATGGCGCACGAACTCCTAGCATCACAATGACAGCCAGCCTCATCCCGCCAGGATGCAAATTGTGATGAGGCAGACAGACAAAGTAAAGTGACAGAACAGCTTCGCTCGCTCGCACAACTTAATCAAGGGATCTCAATGACCACCATCCATATGTAACAATTTGGCCTGGGCATCTAAGGCAGCATGAGTTGAAGACAAAAACATGGTGGTAATATAAAACAGAGGAATAAGATAATTGCTAACTTCGTCAAGACATTGGACAATTTTACCCGCGAAGCCAAGGGATCTTTCGTCTCGCCTCACCTTTCCTGTACGTGTATATTTCCTGAGCTTGATTCCGTTAATTGATTCGGGGTGCTGGGTACGGGTTGTTTGGTCAATTTTGTCGACCACTATTCAATTAGGTTACTTTTGGCTTCTATTCCACTTAATTAGTCTCCACCCACACTCCTTAGGCTTGAGATTCCTCGTGGGAATTGACTTCATTCCCAAATTCCTTGTTCAAACAGAACACCATGGGTGGAATTACCAGGAAAATGGCCAAGTTAGAATTGCCAATTGCAATGGATAAACTCGTTTGGATGATTGAAAAGAAGTATGATTCGGACTCAAAAGTAACGAAATGGTGCCATGAGCAATGATTTCCAATTGAGAGCTTACCTTGGGGTAGATAGATATCAGATAGAGTAGAAGCCACACCCCGGTGAATCAGTTTCCAGACGGTGGGATATTTTGGGAAGGGAAGGGTCAGCCCGTCACCGTCACCACTTGGGAGTCCATTCAGTTACCCCTACCGTGAGTCAAGAGAAGTCCCTGATGACCTGCGCGCGACCACACATGACTGTCTTGCGCGCCAGATGAGGGGAGGAAATCAAGAATAAAGAGAAAGACGCAAATTGACCGAGCAGCAAGTATAATTCTCGTTGTCGATTCTCCCAGGCTCTTGACAATGCGTACTCGATAGTTTGCAGGAGAAGTTGGATCCATTGAATAACTGTATCAGAGCACAGGTACTCACCAAAGTCTATGTATTTGAAGAGAACCTTCTTCTAAACCCACTTCTTTCTATTGATGTCTAGCTCCATGGATTACGTGCAGCAAACCCAGATACTAATGGACCTGCAGGCAGTCGCTAGAGGACCTGGGAAGGAAGGAAGGAATGAATGAATGCCTGGCCATTCGAGCCCTGCAAAGTTGGTGCAAAGGGGGAGGAAGGAGGCTTCTCAATTGACAAGTCCATTGGGCGATTGAAAGCATTTCAGGCATTGATGAATGGAAGCCATTGAAAGAAAAGAGGCCAGGCTTTGAGTGGGTGTGTGTTTAGTCACAATCACATCGTCGCATTGTCACTTCCATTGTGGCTGCAAATTCACGTTTCGCTTGCTAAGCACACACCCTAAGTGATCATCCACTCCCGCCCTGACACCCCCTCCTTCCCGTCCGTCTGCCTCCTTGTCCACAGGACGCCACTGTCTGAGTCTGAGTGTGTGAACTGTAGGAGCAATTGATTGAGAGGCTCTTGGTGCATTGTGTCAGCAGCAATTCAATTCAGCTCAATTCATATCAACCATGGCACGCGCCTTTTGTGTGCCCTTTTCCTTCTTGTTCCTCCTTTTGTCTTTGTTTTCCTCTCATTCAATCCACCTTACTCAACGACTTCTGTAACATCGCACGAGCTTGCGGCTGTTTGATGGACCCTTGATATCCTCTTGTCCCCGCTGCAACGTTTTAGCTACGCGTTTTCCTTAGAATCAATCGACATCTCGTGCCACTGGGGCCCCCACACGCGTCCCTTTCCCAGAGACTAAAAGACTGCGGTACGGATACTAAGCTGCTTGTGCCTGTGCTTGTTGGCAAATCATTCAGCCGACCGCCCGCCAACAGACAGACAGTCAAGCTGTCGTCCCCGTGGTTCCTGCTCCAGCATGGTTCCAAAAGGTCCATTATAACCGCTAGGCTTACAGCAAACTCGATTGCGACCCAATCTAATTCCCAATTAAACTTCCGTTGAGGAAAAGCTCGTCTTCTCTTGCAGTGCCTGCTGCTACTAGCACAAAGACATTTACGCTCAATCTTGCCTCGGACTCTTAATCGCAGCCACGGCATTGCTGGGCACAGCATTTGAAGCATACGTCCTTTTATCTATTTTCTCGGTTTCTGCTTGAACTATAATCGGATTTAACTTCGAGGGAATTGTGCTGCCTTCACAATCATTGTCTGCCCTCATCGGCCACCTATATAAAGCAAGAGGAGCGTCTACTCAATAACTTTTGTCCTGAACGATCCTTTTTTTCTGCTCTGCGACCTCACCAAACCCCAAACTGATCCTCAAACTCGTCAGTTCAAGGCCAAACTAATCGCCTAGCTGGCAAATTCGAGAGCCATTATCTCCAAGTGTCATACGGTTTGATACTGTCCCCGTTCCATATATCGAACAACCCTGGCCCTGTTACCATTCTTTGGGGCTTTCTATCCTCTTTGGTCTTCTCAATTGAGGCCCCAACTCATTCCGTCTCTCTCTAACCACGGCGTTTGCTATTCGCCCATCTCAACAATCGCACGTCTATTTGCGACAATTGAATTGCACTGCACTGCACTGCTCTCATACTGTCATACGGTTGTTGCTCATTGAATGCACCCCTGTCCCCGCCTGTTGAGAAGCCCAGACACCCATATCACCCCATACCCATAGCGGCATTGACAATTGCACCGACGTGCACTTACACACTCGCATCACTCTGGGTCCAGCATCTTAATAAGAACTGCCCTCTCCCCCTTTCGCTTCTTGATTTCAAAGAAGGAAGAATCTCTGCCTGGCTCAATTCGTTTCGGAACTACACTCAATTTCTTACCAAACGCCGAGCCAAACTCCGCTGCCTTGGGTTGGGAGTCCTACGCTACAAGGCCTTACATCACACTCCCCAAATACCAAGCGACAAGGAGGGTTCTCAGATCCCACCCCCCCTCCTTTATTAACTCCGCCCTCGCCCCCTCCAGTTTCGCCGCCCCGTTGCTGCCTACTCTGACTCTGGTCTAGGCGCCTGTCCAGTCACTGACAGCGCACTTACATACACTTTGGGCATACGCAAACAAAGTCGACAAGACTCATACTCCGGCGGCTTATTCAGGCTTTCTGTCTGGACCTATTAATTACGAGCCTGCCGCTCTTTTTAGAATCTAAAAAGGACTCAAACCAACGGCTTCGCCACATTTCCTCCACGTCACAGTCATCGTGAGTGACTGCATCTCGTGGCTGACAAACCATACTCTCTGCCTTTATTTGCACAACACTATGCAATCTTCCACCCCATTCTACAAGAATACTCCATCAAACGAATTGAACCAATTCCCTTCAACTACTTCTTCTTCTTCCTCCCCTCCCCGTCGTCTCCCGTTTCCATCTTCCATTCAACACTCTCCATTGTTCAATACAAACAACACAACAATGGCGGCCAATTCTCCTCGCAATGCGCAAACGACCAGCGCAATGGGTCCTCCTGTGCATCCTGCTATTAAGAATTCCGCAATTAAGCAGTTGGGCATCATGAGCTTAATGTCGCCTCCCGATCCACCGCTGGATACCTTTCTTCACAGCCATCGCCAATACGATTCTGCGAAGCCTACCTTCTCAAGCAACGACTCCGAAAGGCACTCTATGCCAATGTCTCCCCCAATTTCACCTTACAACAAGCCGATGTCAACCACCGAGCTACCAATTACGCACTCTACTCCGATCAAGGATCCTGTTCTCTATCCTACCGATGAGATTACTTCTAGCCCGGCACAGACACCTCTGTTCGCTCCTGCTGAAGATGAGGATCACAATCGCATCATTGACGACCATCTTCGTGCTCGTTTAAACACAGCCTTCGCTACGACTCCTCCTCCGAAACGCATAGACTATGCGCTCATGCTTTCGTTCAAATCGCAAGTTGTAAAGCGCTATGAGGCTAACCCCCGAGGATGGCTCCGTCAGGAACGGGCCCAGCTTGAGGCAGACCGAAGAGCCCACGGCAAGAAGTTCCACAGCATCTTGCCTGCTAAATCCGTCAAGACACCTCGGCCTCGCGGCGATCGGGTCCAGAAGCCCCAATCCACCCCGCGACCGATCCGTACCCACCCTGCCGCCAGTATCGGCCCCATGATGCGACCGGCTCCTCGTGTTAGTGCCACTCCCGAGCCATCTCGTCGTGTTGTTACAAACCGCGAGGACAAAGATTTCAATTCGCTGCCTGACTACTGTCCCCCACTGGATTCGCTTCCCGACAAGCCCAACAGCCTTAAGGTTGATTGGAAAGGACAGCCGGTCGACCTCAGCCGGGACCCTCAGGTGGGACTTCTTCACCCCGACGAAGTGGCACTAGCCAGCAATCTACGACTGGACTGCGCAACCTATTTGACAAGCAAGAGGCGCATCTTTGATCAAAGAGTCGTGTGCTTGCGCAAGAATAAGGCATTCCGCAAGACGGACGCCCAGCAGGCTTGCAAGATCGATGTCAACAAGGCCTCCAAGCTGTGGACTGCTTTTGAGAAGGTTGGCTGGCTTCAAGACAAATGGGTGCGACAGTATCTGTAAGAGCAGCGGGGCGCGACAACTATATCTATCTCGGCTGTCACCACGACCTCAACGTTCTCGAAAGGATACCTCTATCTTCACGACTTTATTTTACGGATCAAACGATTGAAGGCTGCATTTAGCGACTTGGTTGCATAACGTCATCCAACTTGGATGTTCTTTTCTTCCGCTGGGATGGCAATACTTGATTGTCTTCTGGTCGGCTCTGGCCTTGAATAGGGTCAATCTCTTATGTTACCCCTTGTTCTTTTTGTGAGCGCATATGCTTATTTATTATGTTATTACCCCTGTCCATGTGCTACAGTACATGGGAATCGTTCGGCATCACGGCACAGTTCTTGGACGATACACCGGACAGAGCATGAGGGATCCTCATCATGATACCCGGAGTGCGATATACACCTGACCCCTTTGCGCGATCATGTCACACCACTCCACACTTTCTTATTGTCATCGGATTTCCCCTGTTTGCCTCGCCCATCCTAAGTCATGTTATTTTCAAGATTGTTAGGGCGAGAGCTTGCGAACAGAGAGGCTGCATGCATGCACGGAGTTTTGTTTTGTTTTGTCTATGGTCCCTTCCAGCAGACTGCGATGGACAGGGAGCCATTTTACCTGGATTATGAGGATGTGTAGGCCCGGTATGGAAACGGCGAGGTCACTTGGGGCCATGAGTTTGCAATCACAAGATGATTTGATCTTTCTCGGTAACTCGACATCATATCAGTGGTTCGACAGACAGAGGCGCAACCTTCTGGCCTAGGGCAAGGGTGGACTGGACTGTCGTCCACAAGCGAATTAGCTTAGATGAGAAACATGGATGTTTATCCTCTACCATTCGTCTCACAGTGATATGCTAGCGTGAAAGCCCGGCGTTGGTAATTGAATGACAAGGTAGAATACGTACAAGATACGAGACCGACTGTACGAAGTAAGGCGGCTGAATGGCCAGCCCATATCGCAATCTTGGATCTCAAATGCACGTAGAGCCCTCTTGGTAAAGGAAAAAAAAAACCTTCAGCCCTACACTACCTTGGGGGCCGTTCGCTTCCTCTAGAGGCTAAGCGTGAGCCATATTTCTGGGTATGGAAGCATGTCTGGTTAATATGCGGTACAGCGGGCGAAGCCGCAGTTGCAGCGGGGAGGCAGCAATCTCAGCCCAGCAGCGAGAGAGGTACCACTCCAGGCCATCTTCAGTGGACGAGTACATGGTTGGGGGAGGGGGAGTGTGCTAGGAAACGGAGGAGTACCAGGGTTCCGGTGAAGAGGGCGTTTCCGGGGTGGAGTCTAGGAGCGGGAGCTTATCGAGTGGAGAAAGGGAAAAAGGTGAAGAAGAAGTCAGAGAAAGGGAAGTGTGGCGCTGTGGCTTGGTGGTTAAGAAGTGAGGGCATTGATGATTTGGTGGATTATGCTATCGTGGAGGTCTACGGCCATTATGCTATTTGAGTTGTGGTATAAAAATATGTGTTGGACCTCTGAGAGAATTGTTTATACGGTCATTGGAGGGGCGGTTGGGAAAAGAGGACACGGTCCTTATTGAAGGCCTCAATAAGCTTAATGCTTATTACTGTAGTCAAAGCCACGACTGAGAATGGCCGGAGCCCGAACAGCTGTCCATTCCAAACTTCAACAAACATTGTTCAAATAAAGAACTGATTGAGGGGTCTTAAGATACATCTGTGAGATGAAACTTTATGGCATTTGTAACCCCCTACCACGAAGATTGACGACATCACAAAATATAGGTCCCTAGAGTGCTAAAAGTCTGGGTTAACAAGTCTGATTTACTAATAATTGTGTCTAAAGTGGTGGTGTGATCAACTCGCGTACATCAACAAAGACTACAAAGCTTGGTTTTACTTGCTCTACTCTGGTGAATTCGGTCTTTCCCTTCACGATTTGTTACACCAAGCGAGTGCCGTTTTAATGTGTCATGTCATGATGTTTGATTCATTATGTCAACTCGCTATAATAATTGCATTATTTTAATTCCCCTTCCCTTTGCTTACTGGCCGGCGGCAATGGTGTAACCGCCGTCAATAGCAACTGTCTGTCCGACCAGATACTGGTTTGTAGCAAAGAACAGCACAGTAGCGGCCATGTCTTGATCCTTTCCGGCCCGACCAGCGGGAACCTTCTCGGCATACTTCTCCTTGGGGATGAAGCTCTTCTGGTTCTCGTCGCTCTCATTGGTGGTCATCTCAGAGGGGAAGACACCAGGAGCGATACCATTGACACGGATCTTGAGCTTGTTGCTAGCGATCTCGGCAGCGAGCATGCGTGTGAGGTGAACAGCGGCACCCTTGGAAGCGTTGTAGGAGAAGTGGTTCTGAGACTTCTGAATCAACCCGCTAATCGAGCTGATGTTGATAACGGTTGAGCTCCAGCCCTCGTGCTTCTCGCTACTCTTCTGCAGGAGAGGGAGGAAGGCGGCAGTTGTGAAGTAGAGACCAGTGACGTTTGTGTTGTATGTCGTGTTCCAGTCCTCGAAAGTAGCGTCCTTGTTCTCGAAGAGGTTCTGGCGCATCTCCTGTGCGGAGTCGGCCTCGACCTGGAAAGAATTGCTGGAAATACCGGCATTGTTGACCAGGATGCATAGGCAGTCCTCTCGGGATGAGTACTCCTCGTAGAGCTTCTGGATGCCCTCCTTGTTACTAATATCTGCCTGGATGGGGATGATCTCGCCAGCAATATCCTTGCCGTATTTCTCAACGACACGATCGAGCTTCTCCTTTGTGCGGCCGGTGATGTAGACCTTCGCTCCGTTGACAGAAAGAGCTTGGGTAGCCATTAGACCAATTCCAGAACCACCACCTGAGTGTATTAGTCAACAAACTCTAGAAGAATTCTCACGATATACAACATACCTGTTACGAGAGCAACCTTGCCCGAAAGATCGAATAGAGCATTGCGAGAGAAGTTTCGCTGCTCTCCGCCGCTGGATGGTTGTGTGCCTGACATCTTGTATGTGGTGTATTGGAAGTCTTTTGGAACACTCGATTGAAAGGTTCGAAGTTGGTTTGCTGTTATGATGCAAGAGTTCTTGAGGAGAGGGCTTGTAAATCGAAGTGTAGGTGCAAGAATGCTTCTGGAGCTAGAAAATCGAAAAGTCTGAAGGAACTGCTTGGACATGATTCTTATATTGCTTCTGGTTTCTAACGAAATAAAAAGAGGGGCAATTACACAACAAGACAGAGTTTGCAGCTGGCAAGAACTGACACGGCAAGAGGCAAGAGCCTCAACCAATGCCATCTTATGCCCTCCTGCCTCCCCCGTTCTACAACCGTTGAAAGTGCGCCTATGACGGACTCATGGCTCCGGGATGAGGTCAACGCCTTCCCTACCGTTGCGGGAGCTCAATCCATGACGAAAGATGGCGGAGGAAAGTATCCGTCGCTGTCATGAGAGGTACAACAGGGGAAAGAACAATTGGAGTCGCACATACTTTTTGTGCTGTAGAGCTCCCATCATGACGTCGACGTGGGGTCAGCATGATGATGATCCGTCCTTTTTGCTGCATTTTCTCACCTCATCGCGATCTGCAACAATGGCCCGGGAGCTGACAAACGAGATGGATAGCTAACACTTTTATTAGAGGAGAATTGAGGAGGGAAAAATCAATCGGCCAAGCCTCATTTAGCTTTGTTGAGAGTCTTAGGACGTCAATGAAACTTCTAACGTTATGGCGTCGTAGCGTGTCATGACTTCTATTGAGGCTGACTCTAGCTTCGTGACCCACCCAAGCTTCAACGACATCAACACCATCACCGTCTTGTATCATCAAGACTTCCTCCCAAGAGCCGTCGCATCTGTTAATTCCACAATATTCCTACACTCACATCCGTGATTGCCTCATTACAAAGACCTCAAGGGCGTTATACCCAAACCAACAACGCCAGTCCATGCGTACCCTACCTTCTTCAATGTGCATCGTCTATTTAACCTCAATATGTTGTACTGCTTTCTGCCACTTTTGTTCGTCCGACCTGGTTGTAAAAAGTTAGCTAGTGTTTACCAGATTATCATGAATAGCAATCAACTCACTTGTCAAAGCGCAATAGTTTTCCGAGCACCGGGACAAGTTGTGCCCTGAGCTTGGTGTCCTTTTGCTCCAAGAACTGCAGTAAAATTGTCTTGAGATAGACCGTGTCCGGGGCACCAGCAGCTGCTGGCGAGCCGTTGCTTCCGCTCCGTACAGAGTCGAATGAGCTGCGACTCGAGTTGGCCACAAGTTTGGTCTGGGCGGCCTTGAGATCCTTGGATAGCTTCTCATACCGTTGTCGTGACTCCTCTAGCATTCGTCGCAGTTCAGCTCGCTGCTTCTCCACGTCACGAACTTGCTTCTCTGAGGCGTCTAGAGCAGTACGGAGTTGCGATGCTGTTGTTCGGAGCTCATCCGCTTCAGCCTCAGCCTTCTCTTCCACCGACTCAAGCTCCTCTCTTCGTCGACGCCACTCCTTCTCACGGTGCTCTAGCTCATCTCTTTCGTGGGTCAAAGTTTTGACCTCGCGCTCTAGATCCTTCAACTTCTGCTTCAAGTCTTCTGTCTCACGTGTTTTGCGTCGTGCAAGGGTGCTTGACTCGTCCTCAATTCGATCTCGCTCCTCAACTGCCGCCTCCATTCGAGCTCTCATATCTCGCACCTTATTATCGGCGCGTTCATCGACATCGGCCAACAATCGTCGCATTGTCTCGCCCTCACGGGTGCGTTCTTGGAGTAGGCGCTGAACCTCGGCAAGCTCCTCCTCTAGCGACTCAGCTTGCGACTTGGATTCCTTCAATTGCACAGACATCTCGGCTGTCTGGTCTCGCATACTACTCAACAGACCTTGAGCATTGATGTACTGCTGCGACTTGAAGTCAACCTCCTCTTGTGCTGCCGTTTTCTCCCGCTTCAACTTATGCACCTGCTCTTCAAGCTCCTTCACTCTGGGTCGCAACTTGCCGAGCTCCTCCTGTACGGTCTTAAGCTCTTGCTCCGCCTTGTCTGCCCTTGCACTAACCTCTGCCTTCTCGGCTTCGGATCGGCGAATATCTCGCCCAGATACCCGCTGAGCATCCTCGAGACGAAGCTTGGCGTTTGTCTCAACTGTCAACTTCTCCTGCAAACCCTTGATCTCAGTTTCACGGTCCAATGACAGCTTTTGAGCGCGTTCAACATCACGTTTCAGATCCTTCTCTCGCTTCTCCATGTCCTTAAGCTCTCTGGTCTTAGTAGCGAGTTCCTCATTTGTAGTCTTCAGTGTAGCAGACTCTTGGCGAAGGCTCTTGAGCTCAGGTTGGGCTTTCTGCAGTACCTCACGTAGTTCTGTGAGATCCTTAAATCGGTTCTGGGCCAGTTGCTGCGCAGCACCTAGGTCGGCTTGCAGGGTAGAAGTCTGCTCCTTAAGTTCGTTGTACTCCATCTTCAAGGAGTCCATCTCACTTTGCAGTTTGGAACTCGCCTCGGTATCGGATTCAGATGAGCTGATCTTTTTCTCCAAATCGGCAATCTGAGTCTTGAGCTCCAGCTTCTCAGCCTCGAGTTCCTTTATCTTGTCCTTGGCCTCGACATGATCCTGGCCAATGGCAAGTAGATTCTCCTGAAGGGACTCGATCTCTTCGCGCAAATCCTCCTCAGTCTTCCGCCTATTGCTCAGACGCTCGATCTGAGTATCCTTTTCAGCAACCTCCTCCTTGAGCTTGGTAATCTCGGCCTCGAGCTCAGCATTTCCAGCAGGTTCGGCAGGGGTTGCAGGCTCGGGAGTTTCTACAACAGCTTCCACAGCTGGAGCTGGAGCGGGAGCTGCCGCACCACCCTTACCCTTGCCCTTTTTCTTGTTATTCTTTTTCTTGTTGCCGCCTGCTGCAGGAGCAGGTGCAGCAACAGGTTGAGAAGCTGCGGGAGCCGGTGCTATAGCGGGATTAGGTGTCGTAGGAGCGGGCTTCGACTCAAGCTTCTTAGTCAGATCATTGATCTTGGTCTGACTTTCAGCCTTCTCTTTCTTTAGTGTGTCGATCTGATTATTGAGGTCGTCGATTAGCTTCTTAGAAATGTTCTTGGCGTTAGAAGCCTTGGCAAGCTCTGCGTCCAGGTCGCTTGCGCGCTTGTCCGACGAAGCAAGCGAAATCTCCAGCTCATCGACCTTGGTGGTGTGCTTATTCTTATCCTCCTCAAGCTGTTTGAGCTGGTTTTGTGCTTCCTCCAATCGTTGGCTTAGGGATTCGATCTCCTTGTTGCGCTCATCAAGCTGTGTCTGGAGCAAATCGTTGGCAGCAGCAGCATCGCGGGACTCGCTAAGTTCGCGGGTCGCATTCTCGAAGTTCTCGACTAGACCAGCGCTGTTCTCTTTAACAGTGGTAAGCTCCTTCTGGAGACCGTCTACTTCGGACTTGAGCTTCTCGATCTCCTCGGCCTTCGATGCGACATCAGCTTGAAGCTGGGGGATTTCGTTGTCATATGAGAAGAAGTCCTCATTGGAATCCTTCGCCTCGGTGACCTCAGAAAGTGACTTTTGGGGCTTGTGTTTAGGCGAGAACATGCCCATAACGGAGGAGACGGGAGATTTAGACTTTTCTGGCACTTCTGGGGGAGTATCTTCGTCCTTGATGTTTTGTATATCCTTGGAAGCTTCTGATTCCTCGGTCTTTGATTGAGCAGAACCACCTGCCTTGAGGGCTGCCAGCTCTTCCTCAAACTTTTTGGCTTTCTCCTCGACTGCGTTGTGCTTTTTCTGGATCTCATCCTTGTCTGTAGACACTTTCTTGAGCTCCTGCATCACCATGTCGCTTCGTAGGTTCAGCTGGTTGAGGTACTCGACAAGGGCTTCCGGATCGCTGATTGAAGTCAATGGGGTGTTTTCTCTGAGGGCTTTCTCGAATGGCTCAATTGCCGTAGCGCGCCTATGAGCAACACGGTAAGATCGAAGAAGTTCTGTACGCACGAATTAGCCCATTTGTTCCTGCATATGCCCTCAAAGATTTTGTTTTACCGGGGTAGGTGGCCTCCAGCTTCTCTAGCTTGCGTAACTTCTGACGAATCTCAGGGCTCAACTCTTTGGGCTTCGTCGCTGGAGCAGCAGTTGTACCATCTTGGCTCTTTCCTGAACCAGACTCATCTTTGGGACCCTGTGTCTCTAGACTCTTCTCGTCCGATGCTTGATTCCGATCGGTAGCATCATCAGCCTTTGTCTCATCGGCTGCACCAGGGGGTAACGGCGTCGTAGCTCGGCTCGGTTCATCGCTATCGTCGATCACAAAAGCGGCTTCGAAAACGGCAGGGTCTGGGTTCGGGGCGTCGCCTGTATCTGAAGCTTGCTTCCTGGACTTTGCGCGCTGGCCTGGAGTATCGTCACCTTTGCGCGACGTCGAGGCAGCTCTGGACGGAGTTCTCGACGGCGTAGTTGTTTGCTGACGGGCTTGTTCCTCAGCAATAGTCCTATCGATTGCGCCTTTCAATCGCTAAAGGGATGTAAGTTGTTGTCCAATATGGCGCGAGCGTAGATCGTCATCACGACGGAACTGACTTGGAACATGATGGCGCCCTTGGGTCAAAGACCAACGTCTTAAGGGACCAAGGGACGCGCGCAATTAAAGAAAACTGTAGCGAATCCTTAGGCAGAATTTGCAAAGGTACAAATGAAAATGCAAAAGGATAGTGTGGAGAAAGTAAGCAACTCAACAAAACGCCCTCATGATGGTGCCAGATTGTTGATAGTAGAGCTGATGAAAGGAGTTGCAGGGTCTCGATGGGCAGTTACAGCACTTGCCATGGGGGATCCGCCTAAATTTCCGGGGAAGGGTTGTGGCTTCAACTGTGGCTCAGGTATATGTTCCACGTGTCCATGTAAATCAGCTTCCATTAGACCCTTCAAATGAACTCCTGTAATTTGTACTGACATCAGGATAATGCGACTATTTCTGTACATATGTTGTGCGATCTTATAACATAAAACTAGAACCTATGAGCTTTTGCATGCTTTACTTGTAGGGTTCATATTACTGCAATTCGAATTGGCGACGTCACTGACAAGATTTATAACTTGCTGTCTAATAAGAAGGAACAATACAAAATCACGTATCGCCTTGATGTCTTGAAGTTGTGCTCAGAATACCTGAGTATGATAGAAGATCTCTTGAACGTGATGCATTTTAGCCCAAGGTTCGAATATTATATGAGGAAATGCTTTAAGATACCGCTGTATTTTTATTAACCAAACTCTATACCAAGGGAGATAGGTATGAGAGAAGACTCTCTCAGACACTTCCTCAGGGGCATCTAGGTATGGCTGTATGCCCTCCTCTTGTGTAGGTAGTACGTCAAAAAGAGCCTCAATTAGAGCGTTCAATTCCATTTTTGGTAACAGTGGAGCCCGCAGAGGCTACTCCGTACAGCTGCCCTCCTTGTCCATCCCTGCCTGAGTTTAGGTAGGCTGCCCACCTGAGCTGAGCTGCATGAGGTCACACCTTGCACTTCCTTACAGCTTCACCTTTATACCATTCCCTTACATCACATCTTCTGTCTATCCTTCAATTTTCAACTTCTATTCATACCTTGGTTTTTTCTCCCGTACTTTGGGCATACTCTCCCTTCCTCTCTAGTTTCCTTCTGTCGTCTCATCTTTGTATTCTTCCAAGCCCCCTTCCCCCACTGTACTGTTGATCAAAATGGTGGCCTTTTGGCCCTGGAAGGTGAGCTTCCATTACTGTATGCCTTGTTTGGAACAGAAAGCTAACATGTGATCTGTAGGGCGAGACCTCCTCCACGGCCTCCTTCGAAAAGACTCTTTCCACGCTTTCGACCAAGATCACCGATACTCAAGCTTCCCTTGACAAAGTTCGCGCCAGCTCCCGCCGAGCTCGTGTCATATGGACACTCTACCTCAGCTTTGCGTATCTTGTCTATGCGATCGTCCTCCTTCTTGTTGTCGGATATGACAATCTCGGAGCTTTTGAATGGGGTGGCCTAACTGGCGGTCCGATACTGTAAGTCATCCCTGAATCGCCAACCATGCGACTCGCGCGCTGACAATATCATGCTAGTATCTACGTAACGCGCACGACCCTTGCTACATACTACAACTTTCGCGTCGAAAGCCTTACCGCTCGTCTCAAAGTCCATCAACAAGAGCGTGCGAAGACGATCCAGAAACTCAAGGATGCCACCAAATACGACTCTACATTGGAGCTGATCGAGAAGTACGGCGGGGCTGACGGCAAGGGCAAGAAGAAGGAAGGCGAGCACCACGCCGACAAGACACCCAACAAGCAGCAGCATAATGCTCCAGCGCAGGGAGTGCCCGGCCGAACCCGAATGCCCCCTCCTCCTACCGCCAACATCCAGCGCGCTCATAGCCCTGCGCCAGCCTCGAATCCTTTGGAACCCAGTGCTGAGTTCGCTCCAAACGCAGAATTCTCTGGGCCTCCTGCGCCCTCATTTGTCCCTGGAACTCCCCAACCTTATCCTCCCCCGCCTCCCGCTCCTACCGGTTACTCCTCCTATTCGAACGGGGTCAACGAAACCCACTGGTACGACCGTATCTTTGACGTGCTTCTTGGCGAGGACGAAACTGCGCCCAAGAATCGAATTATCCTTATATGTCACTCCTGCCGCCTTGTCAATGGCCAAGCTCCCCCAGGAACTAAGTCCCTGGTCGAGGTTGGAAAGTGGAAGTGCATGTCCTGCGGTGCTCTCAATGGAGAGATTGACGAAGGAAAGCGCATCATGAACGAGGTTCTTGGAGCTGCCAAAGATGCTGATACTGATTCGGATAGTGCCCACGAGCACTTCGCCAGGGAAGATAGTGAACCTCACATGGTCGATGTGAGCTCCCCGGCGACGAATGTGGACAATGATGGCCCAGCGGCAGGTGTCAAAAAGCGCAGTCGCAAAGCCAAGCAATGAGTTAAATTTACTATGTAATTCTATACGAGCATCATGGTGTTGACTGAACATGGAAACGGGATATGAAGTTTGGGGTCATGTGTAATACAATGTGTTGGAGCTGCTTACCCTGAACCAACACCACATCTATGAAGTGAACATCTCCTTCGGTAGTCGCATCTCCTTATATCAAGACTTGAGATAGGAATCAAGTTGTCGCCTCATTTCACCTGTACTGACCTTGGCTTTGAGCTGAATTTCAGCGCCGGGCCTGAGCAAGATGTTTGAGCAATACCATGAGTGTAAGGGTGTTATCTCCCAACCTATCTCACCTCTAGCTGACCCAATACCCGTAAACATACTTCAAATGACTTGCAGAATGTTAAACAAGTCTGACCCTGAGGTGACTTATTCCCCGCAAGCTATTCGACAATTGATACTCGTCACGAGGAATACCACATTTCCTGTCGACTACATGTTAGACTCCAAATCATATCGCTGTAAAACATCAAGTCTATCATTTTCGGCTATAGTGTTCTTCTGACTAATTCCAACAACGCTGCTATCAAGACTTCCATATCATAATGCTATAAGCCTAACAGGTGTATCCCAAGATTCATCATGTCATAGACCAAGGTAAGCCGAGACATTGACCATACAGTACGTCTTTGCCTGTCCAAGAGGTGACATCATGCGGCTCCCCTGATAGATGCCGTAGTCCAGATAGATGCACAAGTGTAGCACCGCAAGTCGTGTGGATCATGAAACAAAAAAGGCCAGCCGTCCACATGTTGCGGATGCCCTGGACTGTCGACTCTGGTTCGTTTCCTTGTGTGTACTCGACATGCCCAAAACGTCTATAATCTCTTTATCTCTTTCTCACCTCCGTTGCCCAGCCGTCGATGCCTTCACCACGGCCACCAACTTCCAGGCCCTCAATCTTCAGTCCCTTCATGCCGGGTGTATCCTCCAACCAGTTGTGACCGGCCATACCACCAGCATTGGCTCTTTTATCAGGTATCAACTCTAACATTGGAGTCAAGAAGTCTGCAATACGCTTTGCTTCATCCTCCTTAAAGTGATACTTCTCCCGTAGGACATCGGTTAGAGCCCAATGCCGCAGCCGATGAATGTTTCGCAACTCCCCTTTACGATTGAAGATTTCCTGACTCCACTTGCCACTGAGGCATAGAGATTTGGGGAATGGCCCAAGAAGTTCGATAATTTGGGCAATGTGATCGTCGTCCTTGCCATACTTGGTACCTGACTGAGGATCAAACAAATAATCACCTGTGATGAGCTCAAACACCTATAAACGCAAATGGTTAGTGACGTTCGATCGATGGCAATATTGACATTGTCAGAGTTCAGGGTTCATACCATAGCCGCCATACTCCACACATCAGTACTGGCGCCCCATTTGGAGCCTAAAATCACCTCGGGTGATCTGTATTGTCTTGTCTGAATGTCGTTGGTGAAGTGATGGTTGACCCAGCAAGCGTTGCCTAGATCTGCAATCTTGACGCTGATAACGTCAAAAGCGTGCGCATCTTCCGCCTTGCGCTTCTCGCCTGTTGAAGCAGAGGGAGAGTTGGATTTATCAAGAGAAATGCCCGAGACTTCACGGCTGAGAAGATCGCTTCAATAACATCGTTAGCGCCGGGAGAAAAATCCTGAGTGAAGTTGTGGGTGACTTACGCAGACTTTTCTCGTTGCTTTTGAGCGTCATCGGATGGCTTAGGGGATGCCTCTTTTGAGGATCTGCCTATTCACGGAAGCGTATTAGTATTTTTTTCATACAGAACGAACGAGGATGCGAATATTCTTCAACCATCTTACCTTCATTCAAAACACCAGCAAGACTGGAGTGGGGGTTCGGTGAGGGGAAAAGATTGTTCTGGTTGAAGCTAGTATTGAGGGGAGAAGGGAGCGGTTGACTGCCGGTGATGAGGGTCCTACGACGCCGCCGTCCGTTACGGTTGTTCTCCTTCTCAGCAGCCTCGGGCTTGACAACGCGCTTGACAATCTGCTCGACGTCTCCAATCTCGATAAGAACATTTTCTGGTTTGAGGTCGGTGTGGATGATGCCGCATTCGCGATGAAGGTAGTCGAGGCCCAGAAGAACCTGCTTTGTGATTTGTTTGACAAGGGGCATAGGAATGCCGCGATGATTCCAGCGCTTGATGAGACCAAGCAAGTTCTCTCCAAGGACCTCGAAAACCATACATACGTGGGTGCCGTGGGGTCCCTTGTGCTCAAACGAGTCCAAAAGACTCACGACATGCTTGCGACCGGGGTGATCAGGCTTAGCCTGAACAATCTTGTTGAGGAGCTTGATCTCGTCGATGGCGGTCTCGGTGTAGTGGGCGGCGGAACGGACAACCTTGAGGGCGACGTGCTTGCTGTTGGTGTTATCGCGGGACAGCCAGACGGTTGAGAAATGACCCCATCCAAGCTTGCGAACAACGGTGTATTTTCCATCCTTGAACTTCTCTCCGACTTGTACTGGGTGGTAACCACCTTTGCAGTAATCCTCAGAATCCTCCTCATCTGCAGTATTTTCGGCGGCGTCTTCGACGGACGAGGATGAGGGGGAGTGGGCCATGGCTGAAAGTTGATGGGTTCTAGAGCAGGAAAAACAAGGTCAGTGTTGGTTCAAAAGAGATCGTGAGATGCGGCAAAAATCAGCGCGCGTAAACGAAGTGTAGATGATGAAGAAGAATTGAGGCGGAGCAAATGCAATCAGATCAAACACCCACGGTCGCAAGATTTGGTGGGAGAGCGACGGCGGCGAAAGAGCTGATGGCCTTGCGCGTGGTGGGGGACCTTTGCCGGATTGGGCTTGGGTGTGGTGAAATGGCGGGGAAGCATCAAAACATCATCCTCGACGATAACAGCGACGAGTCAAGGCATTAAGTCGGCGCGATTGCCACGCATACAGCACAATAAGCCTCATACTCTGAACTTCCAGTAGCCAAGCGGCCGAGCATGGGCACTAACATCAAACTCCAACCGGCAAAACATAAATGGGACAGGGAAGTGTAACCTTGATTTGAGAAAGCTCATGGTGTCTTCACATGACGCAGCTTGCGCTGAACAAGTTGGGCGTTGGGTTCTGCTTCTTGGTCCCCTTTTGCTCTTTGACTTCAAGAGCACACGCCCAAGTTGACCAAACAGCAAACAAATACTTTCAATGGAGGAAGCAGAACGCGACAGATAAGCCGGTGAGTGGCGTGGCGGGTTATGAGCGGGGAGGGACGAAAGACGAGATGCAGAACAAGGATCTGGCCAAAATGACGAAGATGACAAAGAGGTATGTTTGGTGTCTGCAACGGTTGTGGTTGGATTGCAACGTGAAGTAAAGAACAGCTCGGGGAGGGAGACCAGGCGAAAGGACAAAATAATATAAAAACAGGCAAGGCCAAGTCGAGGGAGTTTTATTGGAGATTAGAGGCCGACTTGGCTCGGGGGGCGTGCCTTGTCTTTGGCTTTGATTTGTTTCTCTTTTTTTCTTTGACTCTTGGGCTCAGCGTCTTTGCGGATCTGCAGTCGCTTGGCTTCCTGTATTCTAGGGCCCTGCCAAAGACCATGGGATGGCTGGCACGCGGCGCAATGCGGAGCGTCCCGCCCGACGAATAAAGGGTCTTTGAAAAACCCAAGGCTCAATTGTCCAGCTTGCCAAGAGCCGTCCAAGGCAAGGAACGTGAAGTCAGAATGCAGAGTGATGGCTGAGGATAGACACCACTGTCAGGTGGTAATAGATCAGACAGCCACGAACACAACCTTCAATACCATCACCATCACATTCTCATCCTCTTCCATCTCCATCAGCCAACAGAAGCTCCAGGCACATCCGAATGTGCCACGGGCAAGTGACCGCATTACTGAATGCGCCACTACCAGGGCAGCAGGCCAAAATCAGGTACAGAGGACCCAGTGATCGATCGAGTGATTCAAGGTTGGTGAATGCCCAAGACTTATGGGGTCTTGTCCTCCTATCAAGGCCCAAGCACATGGGTCCCTAAGCTCCAGAACAGAGGTGGGCAGAGCCACAACAAGCAGTGTCCACACTTGTTTCAATCTGCTTCATCCTCGCTGTTTTGTGTAGGATGATGTGATACCGCGCCAAACGTTGCTGAGAAGCCCTTGAATATATGGAAGGAATAGGATTTGACCTTTGCTTGAAACCGCCATCGACCGCCACCGATCAAGAGACATAGAAAGGTTGGATCATGTTTCTAATCCACAGCCGCATATGATGTTGTGTTGTGTGGCCAGGAGCAATCAACAAATATTGGCGCGCACGAAGATCTAACAACGTCGCAATCCGTGGGAAATCAACCAGACTTGAAGATTTGGATAATGCAAGCAAGCCATGAACCAGTAATATCAACACAAATGAGCAAATGAACCGCAGCCATGAGGATCAAGGGAAAAAAATGCTTCGTATGTAGATTGAGTTGCAATAAAAATATGACAGGCAAAAAAAGAAGTCAAGGTGGATCAATTGTAGGCAAAGCGTAATGCGACGAGAGCAAAGAAACAAGGAAACACTCTTATACATACCCAGCTGGCTCTTTGGCACCTTCCATAGTGATGATAGGCTTGAGGTCCTTCTTGCGCTTCTTGGCCGCGAGACTGCTATTGTTGCTGTTGGATCCGTTGGTGTTGGTGTTTGAGGCCTTCTGAGGATCGGGAGATTGTGTGCCGTTCATTGTGCTTGGTTCGTGAATTCTGCCTGCGCGCAACAGTGTAGTCTATATTCTAAACAGATTCAGGATAATCTGGCGGGTACGTTGCCAAGTCGTCAATGGTCTGGGTCGTAAATTCGTTCAACAGTTTATCGTAACGGAGGATGCGACAAGCGTCGGGTTTCTTCAGGCGTCGGTAAGATATCGATGTGAAGTGGGGGAAGAGGGGTGATTGTAAGTGCTCGATCGAAGGCGGTCGCAGGGAACTAGGTTTTCGTCTCTTTCGCAATAACGAATATAAAAATATCTAAATAGCTCAGAGGTGCCGGAGAGTTTTGAGAGATGGTTGGGGAGATGAGTATGGCAGCAATTGCGGTAGTGGCGTAGATCTTTGCAAGTCGACCCAAAGATGTTGCGCAGTGGCGGCGCAATCTAACCAGGATCAATCAAGCACAGTAAATTGGGCCGTTGAACTGGTGCCGGTACGAACTAGTGACTGTAGTACGGATAATTGGGTGTAATCTGATTGATTGAGTAACGTATGGTTTGCGACGGAGTCCTGAAGTGGCTGTTTGGTGCTATAGGTATGGAGGTGTCTTGAGAATCGAGAGAATGAAGAAGAAAGAAGAAAATAACAAGATTCAGACGAGGAGGGGCAGAAGAGATCAGACAAGCCAGGGTCCGGGTTGATGGGAAGGCAAGGTAGGTGCTAAGGTAGGTAGGTGAGAGATTCTTGCAGGAGAAGGTACAGTACAGACGAGCCAACAGAATTTTGCAATGGCTTCAATGTCAAAGTGCAGGCGCAATTTTTGCTCGAGATGTACATTTCATCTAAACGCACTAATAATACAGATGAAGACAAGGCATATAGTATTGTTGAGATCCATATATCACAGCCATGTATTGCATTATACAATAGCAGGGTGTGTGCAGATGGATATTACGGTTCATGGCCGACCCTGAAGCAACACAACGTTCCGTTGACAAGATAATGACGATGCATTAGACGAAGCTCATTCTAGCATCCGCTGAAGAAACTTGATCTCTTGTCTACCACCCCTGTGCCTGAGAACGTTGGAATTGATAGGTGAAACCTTGGACGAATAGCTAGCGGCACTTTGAGTCTCTCTCTACCTAAGGCGTTAGTACTCCGTAGGTAGTGAGAAAGAATATCCTACGAGCAGTACTAATCGATCGTCTACTTCGTAGACTTTAAGTGATTGACGCCATTTCTAGATGACCTTGTCAATGCTTCATGGACGTGGGGTCCTTTTATAACCTTTACAGGGCCCTCTAGGGTGACTTCTGCAAGGATGCGGCAAGTTTTATAAGCTAAGTCCGTACAATGATTTAATTGAAGTTATAGACATGAAGCTGATTCACTTATATGCAATCGTGGTATGACTTTACAGTTTACGCACACGTTTCTCGAATACTGACTCCTTTGATTACCCCAACATCCATTGTGCTCAAGCACACAGTGCATCTTCCCAACTCCAACCTCTCCCACTACGGGAATCTTGGGGCTTGAATACCCGACCTGACGTCACCGTTCCGGCGACTTACCAAGGAACACTTCCCGAGAGTCTAGTCGTGAAACCACATCTTATGGTTTCTGGGATGGTGCTTCGTCGTACGGTGGATGATGTGGATCTGGAACTCAACGCTCATATCAAGCTGTGGTGGTTTTTTATCGACATGAGTAAAATTATCGAAATTGTTCAACATTTTGCATCAACTCAGGCATGCTCTAAGAGAGCTCTATGAGGCTTCAGGTTGAAGTCAGGGTATAATAGGTATGTAAAGGTTCTGATAACTTGTTTTCTTCTAAAGTTAATGTGAGATAATATAAATTGTGATTAAGTTTCTTATTTTATATAATCTCACATAAGTTTAAGATAATATTATTGATGGGATATTTTAAAGCTTATTTCGTTGTCGGAGTTTTGTATGGGATTGTACATAACAGCGGACGTCGATATAGTCCTTTCACAAAGAGCCAACCGACAAATCTACTTAGTCTTTGGCCATGCTGTCTAGTATGTATTTGACAAGTTTCTCTAGAACGAGGACTGTACCAGCTATTTTTATCCTTTTCTCTTCACATGGATGTTAAGCGCACGCATCAGGAGTGGCACGTGGCGGTTTGATCACTCACGTTATAAGGAGTCTCAAGAACACGCGACAAACCAAGTTCACATCACCCCTTGGGAGTCACGGAGTATGATACGTAAAAAGTATTTTGCATTAGCCCGTCATAAGGGCATCGATTTTAATGTCTTCAAGCCTGTTGTGCATACGCCTCGAACGCCAAACCCAGAATCGACCTGCAACAACCATCTACTATGATATCAACTAATAGCTTACAACCGGTATGCTCGCCGAGATAGAATAAGTTCCCAGAATGAGATCCAAGTAACAAGTTTCACTTAGCGCTTTTAAGCAGCTCGCTTCTTGTTCTTCTGGGTCATCTTGCGGAAGGCTTCCATACCACCAGCACCAAGAGGGCGATGGTTGGAGTTTGAGGTTCCCATGAAGGTGCTCTGGGGAGCAACAGTGTAGCTCGAAGGCAGGTTGACCATACGTGCCGAGTTGTTGCCTCGCGAGGGGGCAAGGAGACGCTCGCGCTCAGCATCCTTGGCATTGGCCGCAGGACGCTGGGAAAGTGTGAATTGCGAGTTTGCCTTTTGGCGTTGTGCCATCTTGGCAGCGCTGAATAACAGTTAGTATGCAAGTGAGATAGAGGTGATATGATACATACTCATAATCGTAGTCACGAGTCTCAATTTGTCGCTTCTTATAATCGTCGGTTCGGTTCAGAATAGGTCGACTCCAATCTCTGAGAAGTCGGTGGGCAACTCTTTTGATACTAGGCTCGGGCCTCTTACTCTGGGTATAAAAGATAACCACCCTTCCGATACCACTGCTGAGAAGTGACTCCTTCTCAATGTTCATCTTGGCAAGAGCATTGAAAATGTCACGCTGGATGTTGTACGCTGGGAGGGATCCGTCATTCAAAGGTTCCAAGAAGAATTTCACATGTTGCAAGAAGTTCGTATCCGGATCCAGCACAGCATGCTGGACGTTGTTTCGGTTCAGGATCGCAGTGACCTCAGGGAGCAGCTTCAGCTTGTGAAGAGCGGGCTGTCCAGCCTCGCGAGCCTGGTTGTCAGCCTGGCATGCCTGTTCCATCTGCACCTTGAGATCAGCCAGCAAATCGTCGATCTCGTCCTCCAGATCCTGCGAAGAGCGGGTTAGTAACAAACTTCGGATATGCAAACGAAAGTACATACAATCTCATCCTTCTTCCTGCGCTTGGGACCGCTTGGCTTCTTGATCGCTGCATCAAGAGCTCGATCAATAGCACGCTTTCGCTTTTCCTCCGGTGATAGATGTTCCTCCCGCTCGGGTTCTGGGCTAGTAGCCTTGGGCCGAGGACGTCGCTCTCCATCGCCGGCGGCGCGTCTTGCTCGCCGTGACTTTTTACCACCATCGTCCGCATCGTCCATCTCAACATCATCATCTCGATCTCGACGCTTCTTATCTCGGCGGCCTTCCCGTGGCTTCTTTGGGGCTTCTCCCTCTGCGCGTTTTCGTTTGGTGGCCTTCAATGTGCGAGCAACGTCTTCGTCGATATCGACTGGACGATCTTCGATGTTGGCGGTTTCGGGGTCGTAATCCTCAAACTGATCCTCGTCTACTTCGGAAAGCGCATCCGAGTCACGGTCAGAGTCGGCGGCGGCAAGAGCATCATCATACTCTTGCTCCTGGCCATCGTTGACAGGCTCGTTGGCGTGCTCGCCAATGGGGGAATCCCTTTCGGACATGGCGTCGCGTTGTCGATCGCGTTAGATTGCACCGACAATTTGGTATGAGTCGTCGAATTCCCGAAACCGATGCGTCTGTGTAGTGTTGTAGGAACCTTTCGTTAGGAATTTGCTGGTGAACAGTTGATAGATGTTTTGATCACTGAAAGTTGAGAATGCGCAAACCTTCAACTTTCTTTGTCTGGCTAGAGCCGCCACAGGTGCGAGGCGCGACCCCTGCTGCTGACATAATCGTGAAGCTCCGTTGCCGCCTCAGGCAGGTGACCCGCACCTTTGTTTACTTCAACGTTTTTGGTTGCCAGGGATTGATAATTGATGAATTCGGTTGGCAGCTGCTTTCATTCACAAGAGACGTCTGGACGTCAAAACCGACTTCCTCCCATCTTGGGGATCCTTACACTGTAATTATTCGAGCTACTCAATAGCTATCAATCGATTATGGATCGTCGAACTTACGAAGGACCCATGGATTGGGAATACCAGGACAGTGGCCCTTTTGATCCCACAAGTCCTTTTACACATGCTGCAAAAAGTAACTCACAGACTGGTAAGTCATCGTTTGTCGTTCCCTGAAGTATAGGTTTCGCATGTCGACGGCCGGCCATAGATAGCTAACTCATTGTTGTTTTGTAGGCTTCGCCTCTCCTTCGAAACCAAGCCTTCGACCAAACCCCTTTGCAAACTTAGGAACCCCTTCAAAAACACAACCGCCTCAGTCATCCTTCTTTACTCCTCAAGTATCTTCTAAAGCTGCTGCACCTCCATTTCGAAACCCTGCTTTTACAACACCGCGACGTCCATTTGACGATTTCGTACTGTCAGAAGCCTCCGGTGCAGAGGACAGCCCTGCACCGACAGAGGCATCCGAGTTCCCGAACGATACCCCTGAAGCGGATCGTATGAGCGACGTCAATATGAGCGGAATGACAAGCCCCTCAAAGGTCGACAAGTCGTACCGGTACAACAAGGTTCCTTTCTCGTCCAAAAAGCATACACCAGGCCGAGGCGAAATTCGAGCGTCACGGGAACTCTCCGTTACTGAGCTTATGCGCAAACGAAAGAGGCACAATCTTGATAGAGATGTCAGCAGCATAGTCCGACACCGGTGGACAGAATCAGATTCCGACTCAGGCGATAGTATCGCCCCACGACGGTCACGTAGCAAGAGAATGCCCAAGGAATCACCGAAAGGGCTCATTAGTTCTTTGTTCCATATACTGGATGAGCACCCTAACGCTCCTGATAACCTATATCGATGGGTTAAGTTAATTGTCAATTTTCTTATTGTATCAGTCTTTGTTTACCTCGGCTGGTCCGTCGTAAGCACTGTCAAGACGGATATTGCCAATGCAAACCAGACGGCACGATTTGAGATCATGGGTAGGATTACAGAGTGTCAAAATCGATTCACCGAGAACGGGTGCGCCAACCAGAACCGCCCCCCTGCGCTCAACGACATGTGCAACCAGTGGTCCGAGTGCATGACACAGAATCCTGAAGCCATCATGAGGGTCAAGGTGACTGCCAAGCAGATAGCAGAAATCATCAATGAGTTTGCTGATGCCATGAATCTCAAAGCTTGGGTAAGTTTCCCTGAGGGCATACCTATGATCGCACAGCTAACAACTAGCAGGGCTTTTTCTTTGCTGTACTTATCTTTTGTGCTTTTGCGAACAACTTTTTCCTCGGCAGTTATGCCAGCAACAAGCCAGCGGCACCTATTCCGTCGCAACCCGTAGTCTCATCCCGCGATCCAGCCATGGTTCCAGAGAACGGCCCTGGATTCATGTGGGTTCCGGTACAGACACCAAGGTTGAAGCGTCACATGATACTCGATGATGGCACAGACACAGACAACACACCACCCAAGATGAAGACGCTTCTTCCGCCACCTTACACTCCTTCGAGTCGTCGAAGCCCTAGCAAAGGAGACCGAGGGCGTAGTCCCATCAAGTACAACCGAAGTCCCAGTAAAGGAAAACGGGAACCATTTGCATGAGCGGACAATGGAGATTGAGGGCATATGAACATTTCTTTGGGCTGTTAAGAAATAGGACTGTATAACAGGGATGCATAGTAACTGGGCGCATACACACGGGGCGTGTGATTGGGTGATATTTGGATAACCAGGTTATGGCATGGAATCATTGGGATGGACGTTGGAGCAATATCGTCAACAATTATACATGGCAGTGCCTGCCTCCTTTGTCAGAGAACAGTAATGTTTTCATTGTCCTTTGTAATAAAAACAGCTTCACATTTGAATAAGGAGTAATGTCAGACACATCATGATTGGTTGCAGTGTGGCCGAACATCGTGATCTTAGCTGAAGTGGTCAGAGCGGTTAAGCGTTGTCACATTCTAATGACGTAGTGTCTAGTGTGGGGCAGGGTAAGGCTAGAAGCTGGAGGCTCATTAACTCCTCACGCTTCATGGTCTTAACACTGTGGCCAAGGTACCTGGAAGATACTGTACTAACTTTAGTAGGCGGGCTGCTAGGAAAGACTGGATCGATAGAAATCGGTCGTAAACTCTGTAAGCTCGAGGTGATTTAATTAATATTGTTTAATACGAGAGTTGATTTGTTCTCTTGGCATGTGCTCAGAATCTTTACTGTCAACAGAAGAATACGTCTGAAGATCAAAGCAGATCATGCTCTGGAGTACCTACCTAATCAGGAAATTAACATCTGTGACATCATTTCCACAGGGGCAGGAAACTTTCTTTGATGCTGGCGGTGCTCCCATTGACCGGAAATACGGCTTGTCGATGGAGATTGACTTTTCAGCCCATGCCACTCCGAAAATCAGTTCTAATAATGTTGAAGCCGAGACATTAATAATGAGATGTGAGAGGGTTCAAGGGAGATGCCGAGTACCAATGCAAGGAAGCACGCAAATCTGGAACGCCCCACCTCCGATCCAATTGAACCGCGAGGGTGACCAATATCTAGAATGTGGACTGAATCAGGCTTTGGAGGCAAGGGAGAACGAGCGAAACTAACGAGTTGGAAATGCTTATTCTAAAAGCTGGTAACATTCATTATCTTGCATCAAGTTAGAAAAGTCTACTGCCAGACCGTTGATTACTAGATGGACAGCTACAGCGCACTCATCGGATTCCTAAGTTTTCTTTTGTGCCAAGAAATGTGCAAATCTCAGCTACAGGCAAATTTAGCATGTCTAAGACAACTCAACCGTCAAAACGACATGATTCGCGATTGGAATATGGCGATGGACAGGTAAAACATAATGTGCGCCTACCAACGCCTCCAAAGTATTGTGGCCGTTCGCTGAACGAATTAGATGTCCACTTAGGGTACGTCCTGACCTTGAGTTTGAACCATATCGCCGTTCCTCTTCTGCTCGTTCCGTCTGGTTGTCTGCGAATGGAGCTCCCACTGCCGCCGCACGATGGAAGTTGGCGGCTACCTTAGTCTAGCCGGTGCCTTGGATTACAAAGACAAGAACACTTGTACAAGGAAGAGATAAACTTCGTCTTTTTTTACCTGTCAGAAGTGGAACGATGCCCACCACAAGAGAGATCGCGCGCATCTTCCTTCTCAGGCAGGGCGAGCTCTTCGTTCTCTCACCACACCATCAATTTCGAGCTTGGCACTTTCTACCGGCACACATCTGCTTCACAGGGCATTGCCGTTGTCTCCACGAGGCGTGAGACAGAATTCCAGTTTCCGCGCCGTGCATGGACCACACCTAGCCAACATTGTCGTTTTTATTACCGGCGCTATCGACGATTGAGTGGACTCAACTTCTCTCAATCGCGAGCTAACCTTACCTCTAGCCCAATTGCATCTTTGTACCTAGCTCTGTGCTAGTCAGGTTGGCAACCGCGCAACTCCTGCTACGTATTATTACCTGGCATCAATTAACGACCCCTCGTCGATACCTCGCTGAACAAATTTCCACTCAATTGTGAGAGCTTCAACCTCTTCGACGTCTTGCCTCCGCATCGCATTCTCCCCCGCTACTAGGCCTGACGCGACAGACAAAGCATAAGCCATATAGGTACCAGCAGCCTAAGCCATCTTCGGTTTTGGCGCCGAGACCACCAACGCAACTACGGTGACGTGCAGAGACGCAAAACGAGAGTTTGAGCTCCAAACCCAAGTCTTTGACTTTTGATTTACCCCTTCGCGAATCCCCTCGCAGCATGTCAGACTGCGCCGTGTCCACCGCCGTCGCCCCTCCAAGACTCCATCCCACCCGAAGCTCTCTGAGCTGAAGGTAGGAGCTCCTCAAGCTTCACGACGGACGCCGGGTTTTACATTCACGATAACCACGACCGTTTTTTACCGTACCACTTTTCTTACAACTTTGCGATAGCCTTGCAGTAAGGCCATGGATCAAGAGATGGATGTCGACAACGACTATTCAGACAGTACCAGTCAGCGGCAACCCAGCGCTGAGCACACACCGCAAGGAACTTATGCGCAAGTTGGGGGAGCTTCTTCGCAAGGGAATCCAACCCCCACCTCCGTTCAGTCTTCCACCACGACCTCGATTGCCTCTGGACCTCCCACCAATGCCGCCAATTCGCAGAACTCGAAACGCCGCCGAGGGTTGGGTGTCGTGACGCCCAATGCGTGCACAGAATGCCGCAAGAAGCGCGCAAAGGTACGTAGCAGATTCACCCGCATTATGTTGCTTCATGATGGCTCGAATTGTGTGGTCAGCTTGTTCATCGTCCAGTTTCCCTGAGTATCCTGGCGTGACCACAAGGCATATTCGCCAGTTCGTAATGAATGGACTTTCCCGACTATTCGATATTTCCAGTCTATTCTCCATACTGTCTACAGCTTTGATTCTCTTCCTTGCTAACAATACGTGTGCAACAGTGTGATGGTAAAAGGCCATGCGGGCGCTGTAGAGCGCAGAAGGATGTCGAATGTGTATACGAGATTCCTGTGCGCCAATCGAAGGAGAACCTACGCACCGAGATCGAAACTCTTCGCCAAAAGCAGCGTTCTAGTGACCAAGTATTTGCTGCGCTTGTGCGACCAGAGCTTTGGGAAGAGGTCTTGAGGCGCATCCGAGGTGGTCAATCCATTGACAGTATTTCAGAATGGCTTGCAAGCGCATCACACCCTGGAGGTGGCCAGATCTCGTCCTATTCCAACCGGCCTGAGGGACCCACGATGGGACCTGTCCCGGCGTATCCTGGAGGCGGATTAGGAACATTGGCAGCCATGAGTCTCGGTGTGAACCAGGTACCGCAGCAGCCTATGAGGGGTGAGATGGGCCAGCACAGTCCATGGCATTCTTCCTTTCATAGCCAGACCGGTTCGACGAGGAGTAACTCACACCCTGATATTATGAATTGGACGCTACATAATCGAGCCGGGTCTTGGGCGGAAGGAATGCCCCCAGAACAGATTTCAGACGGACTTCCACGACTCCGTGGCGTCGAGAAAATTCTGTCGCCCCTGAATGAACCGGAGCTTCGAAAGTCAGCTGCAACATGGACCGCCATTACTAGCGATAGCAGTCTTGTTCAACACCTCTTGGCGTTGTATTTCTGCTGGGAATACCCGACCTTTGCGTCCTTAAGCAAAGAGCATTTTCTACAAGATTTTCGGGATGCACGAAATCGTTATTGTTCACCAATACTAGTCAACGCTCTCCTTGCTTTGGGATGCCGTTTCTCGACACAGCCCATGTCTCGTGCCAATCCCAACGACCCGTACACGTCTGGAGACCACTTTTTCAAAGAAGCATTGCGACTTTTCGCTCAGGAGACAGACCATCATACCCTTACAACTATTCAAGCATTGGGGATAATGTCGATCCGTGAGGCTAGTTGTGGACGAGATTCTGAAAGTTGGTACTACGCTGGCCAAAGTATCCGGCTAGCCATTGAGATGGGACTTCACCGCATAATGGACGAAGGGGATGAGGACGAACTTGCCGTGCAAGCAGCTACCTTCTGGGGAGCATTTGCACTGGATCAGTATGTTTCCGTTGTGCCTAGAACGAATTCTTTCTAACAATTTCCTTGCAGTGCGTGGTCTCTAGCTACTGGGTCACTCCCACAATGCTCTTGTTTCCCTCATTTGCCTCCAAAGCCGGCGATCATAGGGGACATCGAAGCGTCTTTGTGGGTGCCTTATACTGATGATGGTGAGTCTCTTCTTTACAGCCCTCCAATGCCTCTACTAATTGTGCCAGGGGCCCCCTTGCAACGTTCATGCCAGCAACCATCCAACGTTCGATCTGTATACAAATGCTTTTGCGAACTCAGCGAGCTCGTACACCAGTCGCTATATATCCTCCATTCTCCGGGTAAACCACTGACAGCGAGGGAGCTTCTGAGCATGTACACGCAGTATCTCAACTGGTATGACCGCATACCCGAGGTTCTTCGACTGGGACACAATTTCACCCCAGCTGTGTTATTTGCGCAGTGAGTCTTGACATGCGTGCCGTTGTTGAGCCAGACACTAACCAATGTAGCATGTATTATCATTTTGCCATATTACTCTTATTCCGACCTTTAATCAAGCTGAAGATTATTGGGTCAAAAGTATCCCCTCGAGATGTTTGCTCACAGGCAGCCGATGCAATTCAAGGTCTATTGAGATCTTACTCCTCTCTGTACACATTGCGGCGAACACCATCATTCGTACCCTATTTCGTTCTGACATCGGCCATTATGCATCTGGCAATTGGAGCAACGTCTGTCAGTTCAAACTCAACCGAGGCTGATATGGAGGAGGCGGTCAAAGTTGATCCGCGCGTGGCTGAGTCTATCACACAGGGCATCTCGGACCTGACTGAAATGGCCCCTTGCCACCAGTTCGCCGAGCAGGCACTTAACATCTTACGTTATTTAGCCGCCAAGTGGGATATCGACGTGGAAAATAATGCCGATAAGCTCTCAGCAGAGGAGTACGATCGCCTAGTGTTGCCACACACAGGAGGTCTCAATTTCTTTTCACCCAACATGCGCGAGGGCGATGTAACGTGTCAATGGGGCTCAGGATCGTTCATGGCGGCAGCAACAGATCAGCCGGCTTCGGCGCAAAAGGCGGGGGACAGTATGGAAAACCCTCTCTTTTGGCCGTTTCCCATGCAAGGACGGCCTATCCTCCCAGATGGTCTCGAGTTGGAACATGCAGGGTTTGCTGTAATCTAATGAGCTTGGTGTCGGCCATGTCTCTCGACGAGGCGTTGTGTCTAATCCATGTGTGAGTTTGCGCACACCCAAAGGTATTTGGAGTGTAGAATGAGTTTTGGGTTGGCGATCTTACTGGGTGAAATGGGTCCAAAGAAATGCGGCGGGCATCTTCTGGCGGGAAAGGGCTTTGGTGTGTTGAATCGTTATCACGGGTTCCAAAAGCGATATGCTGACATCCCGTTCCGTGGTGCATTGGCACCTGTGACAGAGAGAGATGTGATTGCATGGTGTCATGAGCTATGCTATTGTTTGCTATGGAAGTTGGGAGATAGGGCCTGATACAAAGGGAACCTTGGGGAACGGAATCACCAACTCTACTCATTTTGCACTTTGCTTGCTATGTTCTAGACTTGCGATCACAGTTGAAGTCATGCGGTTTGTAGTGTGCAAGGTCAACAAAAATGACAAGTGTTGCTATCTTGTACCTTGATCTTTCAAGAGAAAAGATATGCATCTAGCAACGGATGCTTGCAATTTGGTAACACAAAGTCCCTTATCGACAAGTGATTATGCAGCGGGTGGAACAAAATACCTATCCAACAAATCATGTCAAGACATGCAGTGTTCCTGATGAAATCTGAATTGCGCACTCCATAAAGAAAATTGGCAGATTTGCTTCCGTGTCTTCTAGAACGTCTTGCAAGTATCACATTGCAGTGGCTCAAACAATTCATTGGCAGCGGTGCCTGATGCTCTGCAGGATCCCGTACACCCCTGACTACACTTCATTGCAATACTTTGAACACACACATTATGCAAAATGCCACTTTGCAGATACTTCCAGAGCACGGGCTTCATTGTCATTTTACTGAAGGAGAAAGCAGGGGCGTAAGAGAGAACAAAAGTTTTCCAAGTGCCACACTCTGCAACTTCCCGATCTCACGCCAACAAGCATACCAGTGTGCACCACTCAGGGACTTTCTCCCTTCTTCTTTTCATTTCTTTGTTTTCTACTTTATTCAAAAGAAGATCGAAACTAAGCTCTTCACTCCTTTGAATCTTTTGTTCTTCATACACGCTGAAGCGGACTCGTTATGGAAGAGTTGCGACGAAATACCCCTGGAACTACAATATTGCAAAACCAGAAATAACGACATCGTTTCATTGACAACTGCGAACAATTCTACGAGAACCAAGCCTTGAATGAACGTATGTGAGTGCATTCCCAGGAAGTGAGGGCAGTATTCTGGAGTGACTTGGGAATACAGACTAATTTTGGCAGTTGATAGAACAACCATAATCTTCTTAAAGAGCAACAAGCAGATTCAACTACGCAAGGCAATACCGCAAACTCAGCTGTGCTCTTATCAACCTTGGGTGGGTAGTTACTTGTCTGCTCGCTCTCAAGTGTTTATGCAGTCGGTCAAATCGCTACTCCTCAGTCCTCAAGTCGTACTGGTCTCCTCAATCCTCAACTTCCGCCCACTACGAGCGTTCTTATGATATTGCACCAATAATTTCGAGAATCATAAGCAACTTTTACAATCATTAGCAAGAGCGGTTTCAAGAGCAATTCAGCCTCTCGGTCAACACTACAAGACGTTTAGATCCATCACAGGCCACTCTACATTCTGAATATCTCATCAAGGGAAGTGCAACCTTCCAACAATACCAACGCATACTCTGTGTAAGAGAACAAATAACACACAACCTTGATTACTTTTTTCTTGATTCCAAGATCGAGGGGGCTCAATAGCATCGGCTAATCTCTCGGTCCGGCCGCCTTCATCACACCTATCGACTTGACACTGCCCATACAAGCTGTCAAATCTCGACCTTATCTATTCTCAGCTGGCAGGCAGCTGGCAGCAACATCCTCACTTATCCGCCATCGCACTGGGCAGTCAGACCCACCTTCCTTACCTGACTTTTGTTAAGGGTAGATCCCATCCCCCGACTCTCCTTCTTCCTCTTCTTCCTTCCCTTCCGCCTTGAGTTGTTGAGCAACCTGCTGGATCGAGAAATTGTCCACTCTTTCTATTGCTACTCCCGGCTATTCTCTTCTTCTTTTCTCCATCTTCGCTCCATTCCCATTCTCGTCCTTCCCATCATCAGGCACATCGACTCTCCTGCTATTTTAAAGCATAGATGGCTACTCAGAATCAGGTGAGAGTGATCATCGTTTAGCTTATTCAATTATACTGATATTTATAAGGATCAGAGAGACTTGTCTCCGTTGGAGATTATTACGCAGCATGTTCAACATAAGAACCTCTCAGACCCGGAAACACTCGACTGGAAGGTTACTTCAGAGTTTCCTCAACCGGGGGAGTTAATGACTATCGATCCTCCCCCTCTTCCTTCAAGTCCGACCAACGATAATCCTTTCGATAAAAACGCATACTTAGAGTTTCAATATACTTTAAATCGTTTTGAAGGCACGGAGCTTCTGAGACGAGCAGTGAACCGTTTCAAGTATGACCCTACTATGAAGGAGGATGACAACGATTTTTACATCTATACCCAGGTCAGTTCCATTCCTTTTACCCCTCGAGTCAGTCACTTATATCGAGAAGGTACACGTCCAAGGATACCTGTTTACAAAGTCTGGGCCCGTATGTCGCATCTCATTTTCCACAGAGCGCTCCGGTACCAAAGTAGCTTGGAAGCAGTCAACACGTCTCACCGCCGGTACACTTGTGGCTCTTTCTCCTAGCTCTGATAACTTTGACAAACAATGTTTTGTGGCAGTTGTCGCAGCTCGATACCTTCTTGGTGGTTTGGAGCCGAACCCAGAAGACTTTGAAGATGAGAACACTCCCCCTCGAATAGAAATCTTCTGGTCAAACTGCGATACCGCAGTGTTCGATCCTACAATGGAGATGGTGATGCTCGAAGCCAAAGGAGGCTACTTTGAGACCGTCCGTCATGCGATGGTTGGGTTACAGCATGCCGCCAACTTTGAGTACGTTCGTATTCTTGAGTGAAATTGATCGCGAAACTAACAAACCTCAGATCCAAGTTTGACAAGTACTTTATCGATGGATCAAAAAGAAGGTACCCCGCAGCCTATCTAACTGAGGCCCCTGGTAGGTTTGCCCAGATTCCAGTGGCAGCCGAATCTTTCGATCCAACTCAAAAGGAAGCCTTTGATTTCATGACATCTCAAGAGCTCGCTATCGTCCAGGGGCCTCCTGGCACAGGAAAAACGTTTACGTCAGTCGTGGCCATTGAAAGCTATGTCCGAACTCTGAGGGCTGGACGCGAACGTGAAGCCACCCCGCCAATTCTAGTTGCTGCTCAAACCAACCATGCCTTGGACCAACTATTAGATCGATGTTCGCGCTTCCAGGCGGTCATTGCTCGCCTTGGTGGACGTACAGAGGATGAAACAATCAGCACCCGTACCCTCTACAATATTCGGAAGAATTCCAAGCTGGCTCGCCACCCTATACGGGGCGAAAACGCTCGGAAAAAGGTCTTGAGCCGTATACAAGAACTTCTAACCAACTGTTTCCCAGCACACCTCATCTCTGCGGAAGAGTTCTGCAAAGAAGGCCTTCTTACTCGGGATCAATTTGACTCATTGAACGACAATGAATGGGAATCCGCCCCCATGGTCAATGCCGACGGCAGCGAGTACAATGTTGAGGCTAGCTCCATTGCACAATGGCTAGATGGTTGCGTTGAATCAGACGAAACCTACGTCTACCGTCCTCCCACTGACCAAGCTGAGGCTCTCATCGAGGAAGGAGAGAATCTAGACCAATCGAAACAGGAAAATGACAAAGAACGACTCCATGGCGAGTTCTTCCCGATCAAATTCTACGTCACTGGGTCTGTCCCTGGACCATTGGCACGGGAGAACGCTTGGTGCTATCAGGCCCGTAAGTTGTTATCCAAGAACAAAAACTTATACAACATCAAGCCGCCACAGCGTGGAATGGTTTACCGTTTATTGCGCATGGACCTCATCAGCAAAAGAGCCGGGAGATTCCCAATTCTACTAAAAGAATACCAGGCGGCTTGCGACGAGGTCAAAATAAGCCGATGGGATAATGATGTCAAAATCATCAAAGATGAAAATATCCAGATCTTGGGGTGTACAACTACTGGACTTACCAAGTATCGTGGCCTCATTGCGGCATTGAAGCCTCGTATACTGATGATTGAGGAAGCGGCCGAGACGAGAGAAGGTAATATCACTTCAGCATTGTATCCTAGTCTCGACCAGATCGTGCTTGTTGGCGATCATCAACAGTTGGTCCCGCAAGTCGATGTTCGCGAACTTGGAGAATCACCCTTTGACATGAACGTCTCTTTGTTTGAGAGATTAGTCAAACTTGACCTACCGTACAGCATGTTGAAAGTTCAACGTCGTATGGTGCCTGCAATCCGTGAGGTGGTCAACACTTTCTACATGGAGCTCAAGGATCATCCTTTTGTTATCGACCCAGAAAATCGGCCACCAGTGCCAGGTATGGGTGGAAAGAATCTTTGGTGGTTTCATCACGAATGGGAAGAGATGCAGAATATCAACGACTTTTCCTTCTCGAATATGGAAGAAGCCGCAATGATAGTGCGCTTCGTGCGATATCTCGTCCAGAATGGTGTTCTTCCGAACGAAATCACGATGTTAACCTTCTACAAGGGGCAGGTCACTCTCCTTCTTGAGAAGCTTCGACGCGATCCAGTTCTAGTAATCAAGAACCCAACAAAAGAGTGGTCAGTCAGAACCGTCGATGGCTTCCAGGGAGAGGAGAATGAGATCATCATTCTCTCTATTGTCCGAAGTGCTCGTCCAGGCTTCGTCTCGAACGAGAACCGAGCAGTCGTGGCCACCAGCCGTGCGAAATGTGGCATGTATATCTTTGGCAACGCTCTCAATCTGATCACTCCAGAGAAGAGCAACAAGACGTGGGGAAAAGTGTACGATGTTTTTCAAAAAAACGAGTGTATCGACTTTTTCATTCCGGTCACCTGCCAGAACCATGGACGAGTAACAGAAATTTCCGAGATCGGGGACTGGGATACCATCCCTGGTGCTGGCTGTGATCAGAACTGCGGCCTGACATGCCCTGAAGGTCATCCATGTCAGACTACGTGTCATCCGTTTGCGCAGTCAGATCTCAAGTGTCAAAAGGCATGTGAAAAGGTCCTGGACTGTGGTCACAATTGTAGTGCCATCTGTGGTGATCCTTGCGAGTGCTCAGAACGATGCCGCAAGAGGCCAACCCTCACGCTTCCCCTGCGTGGCCCTCCTTTACCGACACCTTCACAGCGTCAACGGGTGCAAACCACCAGGGGAGGAAAAGCTGGTCAAAATCGTCAGCATTCAAAGCGGGGAGGTAGAGTAGATGTCCATCGTGGCCACTCCCATACTGCCGGCGCGGGTCAAACCATGCAGCCTCTGGACCAGCAGGAGCCTACCAGCGACCAAATAATTGAAGGCGGCTACCACTCACAAATTACCCAAAATAGTCGATTTACCAGCATGGCCATGGGGCGCTTTAACACTGAGCGCAACACACCTTTTGAGAGTGCTGCACAACCATCGACCGAGGGCTCTGTATCAGCAGAGTCGTGCGAGGGGAAATGGAGTCCTAAAAAGTTATTGCAGGCGGACAAAGCGATGACAGACGAGATTAGGGAGTTGGGAAAGCGCAAAACTCCATGCCCTCCAGTGATAAATGCGACATTTCGTCAAACGACCGCGACAACGAATGGAACTCGGATATATGGTCCAATTGCGTATCATACGTATACGCATCATCCAACCATACCTTCGCGGAAACAGTCGCTTCTGGACGCGGCGGCTGGTGAGTGCGGTGGCGTTGAGTACCCTTACTTCTTGTTGGAAGAGCGCCTGGAAGAGGCCAGGAATGAAAGCGATGTCGATGGCCCCGGGGATCTGATCAGTTTTGAGTAATCCTTGGAGTGGAACGACTGGCTTCTGTTCTAGCGACCAACTCTTATGCCAGTTCGTACTCATGGGTAGTATCGCGCGAACTAGTACGGCTCTACTACTAACACTTGTTGGCAACGGCGAGCCGTCTGTCAGAGTGTCTTCTATGAGTAGAGTTGGAGTTTCCTATGAGTGAGTGTGTGTTTTATGCACTTGTAGATTAGAATAATCCTGTCTAGAATCATGTAAATTCTGTATTTCACACACCTTGACGATTGTCCAATTTGTGACTAGAGTAATGTCGTGCATATAAGTTCAGAGCTTACGGTTCATCCCTCAGAAATAGATTTTGTATTCAGTTGCTATATAGCCAAGAGAACTCTATAGGCCAAGTTCGCCGCCGCCAACTCCAATATCAGGAATAATAGAAAATGAGGTTCAAGGAGTCAAACGTCTGCCACGACATCGCTAATCCCGTTACTCGATACCGAGTATTCACCCACTCGTAACGTTGATGTCATAACCGATGAGAACTTCTGTGCTAGTACCTTCCCATCCTCTGGTACCGGCAGCACTGAGCATGAAGCGGCTGGTCGGATCAATATAGAGACTGGAAATAACACCAGCGCGGGGAGGGCCGGGGATGATGAGGAAGGGGACAGTAGAGTGCTTGAAAGCGCGGGTTTCGCGAAGGTCGTAAAGACGGAGGATATCGTGGGAGGCGCTGATACTGTTAGTGGAGTGGCAAATAAGGAAAGGGGCGAATGGACTTACCAGACGAGATGGCGACCGTTTACCATGGGTCTTACGGCGCTGACGGCTCCACTTCCTGCAGGAAACTTGAGAGTCCGCTGAGGTTCCCAGTTTCTCTTGGCCTTGTGAATGTCGAACTCTTCGACGGTACCATTTCGACGGCCGGCGTAGATGGCGTTGCCGGATGGGCTCCAGCAGGCACCCATACACCAGGGAGGAACGCCGTTGCGGGTGCCGATACGGGCGACAGGATCGGGCTGACGTCTGTCCCAGATTCGAAGGGTTCCGTCCATGGCGGCGGAGAGGAAGGTTGTCGTGGATGTTTGAGTTGGGTCATGCTGCGTTGGGGCGTGAGGGGATGCTAGTAACATGGAGGGAGAAGCGGGCGCTTCTTGTGACGCGGGAGGTTGTGAGTCTTGGGGTGGTTGTGAGGTTTCTGTAGCTTGGGGTGGTGCCGGGACGAGATCCACGTCCATAGCATCGCCGGCGTCTTGAGATGTCTCTGGTTCCGGTGGTGGAGGCTCAACAACTGGAGCGGGCGGTAGTGGCTCTGGTTCTTTTCCAGCATCGAGAGCAGCCATGTCTGCGGAGTGATCCATGGCACTGTCGTGACCGTGGCCCATGGATCCTGCGCCGAACTCATCATCGTCCTGGGCAAACGGTTGGTCTTCCTTTGTCTCGCCGAACAAACTGCCAGCGTCGCTTCCACCAAAAAGACTGTCATGGGAAGGGGATACTTGGCCGACGTCAGCGTTGATATCGGCATCAAAATCGGCCTTGACATCATCAACTGCGTCTTGGGTAAGACCATCTGTGAAACTTCCATTGGCAATAGGGGCCGCATTGTTGGTGACCATTGTGGTAGGTGGCGGGGGTTCTTCGTCATCTTCAGGAATAGGTGCTCCGCTTGCAGGTCGTAGTTCAAGGGCTGAGATCTGGCCAGCGTTGCCGTCAAAGCTACGGATTGTCTGGCCAGTGTTCAAGTCCCAATCGAAGATGTTCTTGTCCCATCCACCGCTAAGAACACTCTTCTCATCCTGCGCCATTGTCAAGACAGACACGGCATTAGTGTGTTGTTGTAGGCAGTGAATCCGTTTACCCTCATCATGACGGACGCTTTGCAAATTGATACCACCAGACTCGAGACCTGAAAGAAGCCAGAGAGCCTCAGAATGGACAGCGAGCGAGTAAACGGGTGAAAGGATGTGGTCCTGATCACCTCGGCCTGGGGGCGCAGGTTCCTCATTCTCCCAGTACGACATTAGAATGCCAGCCTTTGTAACACTGTCGACAAAGGGGTGTCTTTGGGCGACTGTCAATGCTAGCTTTCCATTGATAGTATTGGGGCCGTCATATTTGCGAATATACCCATCGGAGCCTCCTGTGATCCAGTATCGCAGATCGGGTGTGATGGCCATGGCATTAACACTGGTCGACTGGGGTGCTGCCATTGTTGGTACAATGTCGTACAGGCGAGCATTAATGGCTTCTGGCGGGGGACGAGGCCATTGTCTGTAAGAACCTGGTGACGGTGTAGCAGATTTGCGCGTTGACGCATCGCGGTTGGGCTCGGTCTTGATGTCTGTAGCTGGAACTTGACTTTCTTCTCCGTCGGCATCACCATCTGCGTCTCCGTCTCCGTCCCCATCTCCGTCATCATTTCCGTCGCCATTCTCGTCGTCGTCATCGTCATTCTCGTCATCGTCGCCCTCTGCATCCTGATCCTGGTCCCCATTGTCGTCGGCATCCTCCATTGCCTCGTCGGCCTCGTTGTCCTGTTGCATACGATCGTCATCGTTGTCGTTGTCGTTATCGTTGTCATTGTCATTGTCATTGTCATTGTCGTTATCCGAGTCGCCTGAGCTGGCGGACAATCGATCGTCGTCTAGGGTGTTCATTGTGACTACTGATGAATTAGCTGAGGTTCAAACAAGTGGGAAGTTTAGTCAAGGGATGGATAGGAAAGTTGGGGGAGCAGTGGTTGAAAGTTGACTTCAGACTGTGGCATTCCATTAGTCCTTCTTACATTTATAAGCCCTGAACTCAACAGAAAAGAAGATACATCAATGCATGTGAAACCTTCAAGAAGTAGTAGAATCGGTCGCCAATCGCATTCGGATAGAGTCGCAAAGGACCTGGATCTTTGTGCAGTGCCGACAAAGCGTATCTAAAGCTTGTCCAAGAGTCGCAAAGGGCCGAAGAAGTTACTGAAGCTATCAGAATCAAGAGTTGATAGGGATTATGAGCTATCCGTAACGTTGTCGTATCGTTGAAACTGCGGGGCGTAGTATAAAGAAAGGTCTAAGTTCAACCTGGAGCTCACCCGCGTCGCGTTTAATTGGAGTTGGGGTCTAATGTTAGATGCGGATGGGCAAGTGGGGCCAGCAACAAGCCCAGTAGTTACTTCCTTTCCATGTAAGTCACAGTCTGTATATTTGTAAGGTATCTCTCTCATTCTGACAAACTTTCATTCTCGCAGAAACACATCCGACTCATATTCAACCGACAAGGAACACTCCAATCAAATACGTATATCCTGCTGAGGTATCATCAACAGCCTAGGTTTATCAGCTTCATGCGTCAAGTCTCTTAACATTGACTTTCACAAATCATGCAATGTACACATTGTCACGGAGTCAAATCACTACTGTTCAGATGAATATACTGTTATACTTGGTAGCAAAATCTCAATTTGGGTCTCACTTAAAGAAATAGCTATTCCTCAGACCTGTTTCTGCTCCCCAGTACCTACAATGTTCCCAGTCTTCAAAACAACTTACATAAACGCCAATCCCATCCGTTATCTCAACCATGAGCTAAGCAAAAGACCAGCTTCGCATCACCAACCACCTCAACGTCGTCGACTGTGTCCACCACCAGGTCGGGATCCAGCATGAGACTCTCGGTTCCCATACCTAGGAGCCATGATCTGGGTGGCACTATCTTCCGGTGCGACACTCCCAGCATAACCTCCACCTCGTGGGCCAGGCCAAACTGTTGAAGCGTTGCTCCCGCCAAACACCGATGGCTCTGGGCCATGGTCCTCCGGAAGCTCCTCCCGCCAGGACTGGATGCGACTTTGTCTCTCTTGAGGCGTGAGAGTCCTCATTGGATGGCCTGGCCGCACATCAGATCCATACTGCGGAACAGGAGATACTTCGCGAGGGTTGACAAAGAACTGGGAGTTGTGCAAGGGGTGAACGTACAAATCCCGCTGTCCGAAAGTCTCAGTAGGCAGACCTTCTGGACCCTGACGATGGATGATGATCTCACCTGCGCGACGGCTTCCATCGGAGCGCGGAATGTTCGCAAACAGAGCGTCGTTGTTGGCATCATAACTTACCTGGTGTCGCAATCTCGATCCAGAAGAGTCAGTCGAAGATCTCTCACCTTCCAAACGGTTGAGACGGGCCACTCGGCGATCATCAGCTCTACGCACACGAGTTAATGCTGAGCCTTCAGAGTGCGACCACGCTGAGCGAAATCGATCTGCTTCAGGTTCAGGTGCAGGGAGACGTGGCTGTGGCATCTCATCTTCATGACAGTTGCCGCAGTCGCACTCCTCATCCTCTAGCTCATAGTTATATCCAGGAGGAACGTCAGCGTACTGACGCCACTGGCTAGCTGTGAGGTTCAGACCGGGTGGTGCGTTGGCGAGTCGAGCGGCTCTAAATGCTGCAGTTGATCCAGTGGAAGAAGTGCCACCCTGATGGTGACGACTTCCATGGCGACTCTCACGGCTACTCTCATGGCGACTTTCATGGCGACTTTCATGGCGACTACCATGTCGAGAGCTTCGTCGGGAAGTCTCAGGGGCCATGGTCCTTATGCCGAGGGCATCGATAAAGCCGATTGACTTGCGACGAGATTTGTTACTGTGAGACATCGTGAACGTGTTAGTGCGTTAGCTGTAAGAGATGGAAAGGGGAAAACCTGATGGAGAAATGGCCCTCTGTGATGGAAGACCCTCGAGATGTTTGCTGGATGTTTTTGATGAGCAGAAGATTTGGGAAGATGTCATCCTTTAAATACCAGCAATATGAGTAGCCATATGATCCAGGATGAATTGTTCTTTGTGGTGTTCATGAGGCTGTCACCATGATCTCCATCATTGTTAACATAACACTGAACAACAAAGCAAGGAACAAAAGCCAAGGGGCCTCAGATCAGGCTAGCCTGTTCCTTTATTGACAATATTGAAGAATTGAAGTTCAGCGTAGTGTCTATACAAAATGAAGCGTGCGTGTTCCTTGATCGTCAAATCGACGTTGCTCTGTTCGCGCGTAATTCACAAGTCAACTGCTTATCTCTAGTGACTTCATGGCTTGAGCAGTTAATGAGGCCTATCATATCGCATTAACACATCTTCTCCAGCAACAATTGTCCAAAAGCAAAGCTCACCTCTTTCATTACAGCCTAGATATATCGTAACTCGTGACTATCTCCATATGCAGGCCAAGTAGGGTCCAAGACATACAATCTCTAGCCCAACATACATGCCAACCGCCTTGTCTCAGTTGCACCTCATTTCCATAGCATTCCTCGCCCAAGTCCATATATAAGTCGGACACACTTGTTCGTTGAAAACTCGTCCCTTCCGGGATTTTAATTCCTTTCTCTATCCTATCTTACAGCACATGGCTATTCACCGTTGCTGCAGATGTGTACGGACTTCGATGGTCGGTACACAACCTTCCTCAGCCTCTGCTTTGTCCTGCTCCTGTCCTATATCCCAATACATCCACCGGGTGACTCCCGTTACTCTCATCCATAAATGACATCAAGGAAACAAAAACAAAACGACAGGACAGCATCTCCCAACTCCGCCTTTTTTACCCAGGACATGAGAAGCCCAATACATATCTTTCAGCCTGCCGTGACAAGATAAAGAGCAATCCAGATGCCCTCACCTGCCGTCTTGATGAAGGGGTATTATCATTATCTACTAAAGAAAAACAAGACAAAAAAAGGAAAATGCTTGCACGACAACTTTCAATCCGTGTCGGTAGATTCGATTCAAGGAAAACGTGTGAAGCCCAAAATTGGGCCGACAAGGAGCCAATTGGCTCGGTAATGTCCAAAAAGTCAAAGGTTGACGAGCTTATGCTTATGAGGTGACCCGAGGGTCGTTGAAATATTGCACCATGCCCCAGTCGGCTGGTGGTCCGTTTTGTTGACCAGGCTGTTCAATAACAGCACCGGTAAGACTCTCCCAGTCTTCAAATACCACGGGAGCTGGTGAGTACTCAAAGTCCATCATTGATTCTCCGTTGTCATGTCCCTGAGAGTGTGGCGGCGGGGGTAGCGGCAGCTCACGCTTTTCGAGAGGAGAAGGCGCCGGTGGGGGCATCAAGGGCGATGTTGACGGTCCCATCGGTGAGTGACCCGAAGATTCCGGTGACGGTCTCGAAGGTGAAGTGAACTGTTGAGAAGGCACCATCATTGTGTTTCGGAAGGGTGTGCTGAACTGAGTCTGTTGAGGTTCTGGTGAAGGCATCAACGACTGGTGGCCAGCGTGGCTTTGAGTGGGCAAAGGCATGAACGACATGCGAGGATCATGCGTAAAACCCTGAGGACCAAGGCTGGCATGTGAGTACTGCGGCGAGGGGATGGGTGCTGAGGTGAGGACGATGTCGGCAAGATCGTACGCGACGCTGACGATCCACTGGGCTTCACCTTCATCACCAGAGAAGAACTCAAGCAAATCCTGCAGCTGTCCAGGGTTCTCGTTCTCAAGGAATCCTTGTGCGCGGCCGGTTTTGCTTGGGTGCCAACTGAACTGAGGTCGTCGTCCATTGTACTCAGGCTGCTTGCTCACGACCAACGCATCCCAAGCCTCATGAATCAGAGGCTGGTGCAGAAGACCATACACAACGCGAGAGTGCATCCAATCACCCTTGGTCATACCGGACTCGAAATGGCGGGCAACGTGCTCGACGTGACGCTCGCGAGCAGGGTGCAGAGCAGAGCAAAAGCCGCAAGCCCAGTACTTGCGTTTTCGAAGGAACTTGACGACCTTCTCGGCGTGAGGACAAGTCTTGCAGCCGTGGCATTGCTTGTGATGCTGGTTGAACGAGTTGGATCCCCAGAAACTGCGGTTGCATCCAGGCTCGGGACAAGGGTACTTGCGCCAGCGCTCGTGAAACTCGTCCTCGTGGCGCTTCCAGTCGTACTTGCGCTTGAAGCTCGTCTCGCACGAGGTGCACCAGTAAATGTTGGTCTTGCCGGCTGTGCCAACCGGGGCACTCATAGGGCCAAGTCCGTTCATTGAGCTAGAAGGAGGGATAGGAAGCGGAGCCTGCGATCGGTTGCAGGTAGACGCAGACTGCCAAGACATTGAAGACTGTCCAGAGTTGGTGGACCAGATGGAAGCATGTCCAGAAGAGCCGGAGCTCGTCGATGAAACGGAGATACGAGGACGATGGCTGAACGCGGCCTGGGGAGGGAGAAACATGGCTGTATCGCGGTTTTCATTAGCATACATGTCAACGCGATTCGAAGAGCTCGGGTATCGACTCCCGGCGCCGAATGAGCTTGACGTACAGTTCACGTCCTCGGAGATGACTTCATGCTTGACATCAGCAGTTGGAGTGGTGGCGGTTGATGAGCCCCTGCTAGGCGTAGGAGTCAAGCCCTGGACACTGGGAACATTTGAGGGAATAGGAGGCGGAGGAGGGCATCGCATTGGCGGCGGCGGAGCAATCGACGCGGTGTTGTTATTATGATTCGAGTTGGATGGCTGCTGGCTGTAGGGAGTCTGATGCTGAGGTTGAGATGGAATCGTGGGCATGGACTGCATGGCAGTCATCGCGCTGAGGTTAAGGTTGAGGTTGAGAGCCTGGCTACCATCGACCAGCTGATGCAGAAGCTCCTTGGACAGTCCTGAGTCAATCAAGACCTGGAGGTTCTTGCGAGCCTCAGCAAGAACATCCTGAGGGTTGGCATCGTGGCCCTGCTGAGGCGAGGGACTCGGTTGCTGCGACATTGTGTGATGCTGGAACTCGAAGTCGAAGTGTTGTTGAGGACTGGTGTGCTGACTTTGGGTCTGGCGTTGGTTCTGTCTCGGATCCATGGGCACTGCTCACATAGAGCGGGGGAAACCGAGATTTTCGACGTGTATCGAGGCAAGCAGCGAGAAATTAGTCGATTTCTTATCGAGCGGTTGAGGTTTTAGTATATTGTTGAAACGTGAGTCGTTGAAGCGAATGTGGTAGCGGATGAGCTGATAATAGGAGTAGCGAATGAGTAGGATCCTTCGGATTTCGAGAATGAGCAGACAACGAGGGACAAGAGCGAGAGTTCGAGGTCCCAAGACCTTTGAGCGAGAGTGGATATGAAGCAAAAAGAAACAAGAAGAAACGAAAGAAAGAAAAGGTTGATGATGGTTAGCTTGGAGTTGTGAAGAGATGACGAGAGAGGGCGGGAAAGCGATGGGGGGATGGGAGGGTAGTTTAGGAGTAGACGCAGGAGCAAGCAGGCGCAGGCGCAGACACAAGCTCAGGTACGGATGGATACAAGGAGTGTGTTTTTGGTAGGAACAGGAGTAGGAGTGTAGGAGTGGGAGCAAGAAGAAGCTAGACTAGGGGTGCTGGGGTTTCTTCCTGGACGCTGACGCTGGGTCCTGCTTCAAAGCGAGGTAAGGTAAGGTAAGGCAAGGTACCTAAGGTATCAGCGGGTAGGGACAATATCGGGAAGAGGTCAATGATCAATGGGAACACAATGACAGAAATGGTGGACAGGACAATGGTGACGGGGCAGAAAGGGAAGGGGCGTGTCGCCAGGATATTTCTCCGAATCAATCGGTGATCGCCTTTGGTGTTTTGTCTCTTTTTTGCTGTCAAAAGGGGGTGTGCCAAATAGCGTATCGCTGGTGCTGTAATTGATGCTACTGGTGCTAACTGCCAAGCTGCAACCGCTGGAAGAGAGGTCCAGTGCCTGCAGCGCTGAAGAAGGGGGAGCCCGTGCTGACCCGACCTCTTTTGATCTGGGCTGGCACCACTGACACTGACACTGACACAAACACAAACACAGACACAAACCACGACCACACCCACGAGACTGGGACCCAAGAATTGGAGCCAACTGGGAAGAACCCAGAAGGGAAAAGGAGCGAAGAAGACGGGAAGGCGCTGGAGCCAACCAAAACTGGGCCTCTGCTAGGGTTCGGTAATGGGTAATGGCTGGAAGTGCCTCCACTCTGTTGGTTAAGACGTTAGGACGTTAGGTTCGGGTACCTTGCTGTTGTGGTCTTTTTTGGGGCCTGTTCCTGGTCCTGGTCCTAATCCTGATCCTGAGGGCGTTCTCTGGTTTGTCGCTTTTCTCTTTTCTCTTTTGCCTTTTCTCAAGTTTACCCCCGTATGGGCGCGCCCGGCTGCTCTGCTCTGCTCTAGCTCAGAAAGAGTTTCACAAGAATTAATGACGAGCCGCGAAAGTTTCCCGTGTGGAAATGAAAAGGCAACGGGAAACAAAGATCATCAAAATGAGCAATTAATATCCCGCCCCAAAATAGAAGGTTTATTTGTTTCTCGTGCGAGAGTGTAAATAGAGGTGGGATGAGAATGAGGGAGAATGTGGAGGAGAAAAAGATCCGGGGGTTTGATGTGAAAAATCCAAGGATATGAGATAAAATCGACAGGTACAAATCAGCAAGGTAGTGACGTGACGCACAGGATGCAATTGATTGACTGGAGCAAATGTGGTGAGCTTATGCTTATGCTTCACTACCGAAGTCCTTACCCGCGGATGAGGCCATCAATTGACGATGCAGAGAGGCAGCAAAGCAGTACTATGACAATTTGAAATAGTTGAGCTGTTCCACCGTTCCGAAACTGATAGACATGATCTACCAACTAAGCAAGCATACGGAGTACAGACGATCTCTCTCCATCAACTCGGCATCATTCTCATCACGATCCTTCTCTCGAGAGCGTCATAACAGCGAGATCTTCCTCTTGCGCCGTCGACTGACAAGCGGGGACTTGATGGGCGAAAGACAGACAGGCAACATCCCTGCTTCGTTTAGGCCAATTCCCACATCGAAGCGGCACCAGGGGTCGGCCACGAGCTAGAAGCAGGGGGTTCTGCAGCAGAAACCGACCTAGCCAAGCCTAGCCCACAGCAACAGCAAAAGCTGGGCTTAAAAGAGGATAGGGAAAATTATCAGAGCCGGATCCCTGGGAAAGAGTTCAAAGAGGTCGTTGAGTCAAGAAAAAGCTGCCTGATCACTGGTGATAGTCAGACCAGCTTTCTCGGGAACAAATCGTGATGGTGTGTGCGTTGTACCAGCTTGTGTGTGTACAGAAAGTGTCCTGTGTTTCACCACATATTGACTCTAAAGATAGCAATTGTATTCATCTTTTTGAAGTAAATGGCACTCTCACTTGACTGAATCAAGCAGAATGAGACCGCCATCCTTTGTAAAAACTTCTTGACTGATAGCCCCTGTCTTGCGCAGCAACAGCTCGGCCCAAGGTGCAACGCGAACAAGAAGACATGGGTGTCGTGTTCGGGATAGCGAGAGGCAAAGAAGTGCTATGTATGATCTATCATCCAAGGCGGCAATGAAGCTGCTCAGAATGCGAATTTCCCATGACACGAGTAATTGATCCACTACAGACGAGATCCATCAACAACCCACTAACTTCCATTGCCCATTACCGACAGAATAGGGCGCTCGCTCGCTAAACTAACCTGGCCAGCGTGGTGGGCTGTCCACTGTATCTTTTAAATTCTTTCCCTCTTACACCGGGGTTTTTGCTCGATCTAGGCAATCTACTCCGTGGCACGTCCCTTGCTATCAAAGCGGTTCACGAACGATGTGTGATCACCACCACGTTTTTTTGTCTTCTCTAATCTCAAGGATTAATGAGCCTAAGGTTCTAAGAAACAGCTCAATCGGACCAGTCCTGAGCTGCAGCTAGTTTTCCTTGGCCATTCGCGTCACAACGTGCGCGTTATCCCAGCCTTTCTGGGCAGAAACGAGCTGATCTGATATGATATGGCTTGAACCCGGGACATATGCTGTAACAGCAACGCTCACCTGAAACACGCAGGCAAACATCAGCAAGGTACGATGGGACAAAGGCAAAAAGCCAACAACAGCAACAGCAACAGCACGCACCATTTTCTCCAGGGTCGCGATGCAAAACGAACCGCCAACGGCCAGCCTACCTAACACTGCAGCAAGGTACGTACAATACACACCAACACGGGCAGTTTTCACTTCTGGAATGGATGGAAGGGAGGCGCTAAAAGGAAAACCCCCGTCGACGCCGCCCGTCGAGCGTTTCGAAACGGTTTTCCGCCAATCAGCCACTGAGTCTGTTACGCCAAGGGGAAGTCCCCGAAAGAGAAAAGGAGCTTGATGCTTGGCTCGAATGTTGTTAAGAGTGTTTGTCGCCCTATCTACATGGGGGATGGGACGAAAGGAACAAGAAGGAAAAAGGCTGGAACAGGGCCTTTGAGAAGAAGCTTTGGCTGCTGCGTTGAGCTCCTCCTCAAGTAGAGTTGATGCAAGATATTAATTGAATTGCAGCATCTGCCGATTCAAGAATAATCAACTCAAAGCAAAGAACTCAATCAACCTCTTACAACAGACGCCCACCCACATCCACGATAAACAAGCCTCGGCCTGCATATGAAGCTGAGGCTGGAACTGTGCTGGGGGTCAGAGCAACTCTTATTGAGTTTAGCCTCTTCTCATTTATGTTTACAGTCCATGGCTCATGCTCAGGCTCATGCTCAGGCTCATGCCTTTTATGGCACCATCGTGTCTGCAACTGAATGTCGCACCTTGACGCCTCTTCCATCAGCCCGGACACCTGGTTTTCCTGAAAGCAATGGCGACATGCCTCGTAACAGAGAAAAGAGCAAGGGGTAATTCACAGCAGCAAAGATACGGATAGAAAAAAGACGTTGAGGTACGGATGGGATCTAGGTACCGCAAATGCCGACCATTCAGCTAGCTTCGCGCCCCTGGATCGACGCTGTCATCATCGTCATCGCTTACTTATCTCTACCCGTCTTGGCCCTCTCCACCCGCGGCGAACGACAACACAAACAGACCCTTTAGCCCTTTCACTCTCTGTGCCCTTTTTGCCTTTCTTTTTCCGCGCTCGATCCCCATGAGGCGAGGCGAGGCGAGCTGCAGAGCCAGAGTGGCATCCGGTACTTAGCCATTTGCTACGTACACGCATTGAACCACAGAAGGATCAAGTGACTAAACCAACACGACCAGGATGAAGCGTCCCAGCACAGGGGTAAGCTTCTGCTGGTGCGGGACATGTGGAAATTACATGACTCTTGTCAGGACGAAGACCCTCAACTCAGCCTCAGCTCCCAATTTCTTGGCCCTTCTCTACGGATACTCAAGCTCTTTACGACACATTGAGGAAGTCTTCCGCTGTCAACGCTTCCTGGGCTTCGGCTATACATAGATAGGAGATCCCAGCAGTGCACGATTAAAGTCCAGATTAGTGTTCGAGAAGCAACGGCTTTTGCCATGCCCTGCATTGCACCATCTCGCGTATCACGACTCCCATGTCGCCCCTTTTTCAACGGTCATGGGAAAGAGCGAGAAAAGAAATATGCCGATCCAAAAAGAGGTCGAGAACCCTGATGATGATGATATTGATAGTAACGATGATACTGTTGCATCCCGTCTGACAGCGTTAAATGGTCTGCTGGTTCCCGATCGCGCACTCTGCTGCACTGACTACAGAAGCTAGCAATAAGCAAAGAAGCCGTCTCATTACCCACTGAAATTCAAATTCGCGATGAAATTACTGGCGGCATAACGTATTTTACTTCAAGATGCATCATGACTGGTTCCTTGGGATCTGGTCCCCATCCGTGCTAGTCAGGGACAAGAGGTTACATATCATCATCATCACATGAGCCCGATCAACGGCGCTATCATCCTATAGGCATGGTTGCCGAGACCTAATGTCTGTGCTCTAATTTCATCAAACAGATGCCTGATAACTTATGCACGCAATATCAGTCTTTTATGAAATATTTGGCTCAGCAAGTTCCGCACCAACCAAAGTAACGTGATCGACTCATGCAACGGCTAGAGCCTAGAAGCCCTATCCTATCCCGACGTTGATCTATCCGTACTGGGCTCTGTACTGTCCGCGTACTCCGTATCCAGCATCCATCACGTCTATCAGAGGCCCCCAATTCATTCCACCATTAAAGGCAGATCATATGCACCAGCATGTCACTTTCTATCCGACGGTCTAACTTTCTAGCCCCCAATTCCTCTCTGGTAATTAGTGGTAATTGGTCACTTCTATTTAAACGTCACTGTCACTGTCTTACAATGATCATATGATTTTAGAGTTGATGCACAGCATTTCTACTATAAGTACTGCACTGTAAGCACATACTTTCTTCTCTTTCACATGCATCGTGCTAGGTAGTATCTCCCACACTCTCTCCTTCAGCCCCGCCAGGGATAAAGTAGGCCAGCCAAAAGTAGAAGAAAACTCAAAATACACAACGTTAAACGTTTCACCATCCATCCTTGGCTCGGGTACCTGCCTGCGCCTTTTTATCCTCTTTACCGAGCTGAGGTAGCTCGGAAATAAAAAGAGGATATGTAAGGAATAGGGGATGGGGTTTTTTTTTTCTTGGACATGGTACTTTAACAAACCTTGCTAGAGAACAGAACGTTTCTATAGCAAGGGAGCAATATCCCGCGAAACCCTGTCGTGGACGTGGGATGTATTATATATAGCACGGACAAATAAGTACTGCATGCAAGGTACGGAGTACTGCGTTGCACGGAAATCCATTTTGCGAGATGACATCTCTGCATTCTCTTCACCGTCTCTTCTGACTCCCTCACAGCTTCTCATTCAGAAGAGGCAATTGTACAAACGAAAGTGCCTTGAGTACTGATAGCTCAATACCGCAACAGCCCACTGATCACTCCTCCAACTTCAACTTGAAACCCGCCTCCAAACGACCGGCTCCGGGCCCGTTCCCTCCACCCACCTCCACACCCCGGCACCTCCGTCGTGCAGTAAAGTCCGATCGGACTCGGGGTCTTTTTCTCTCCTTCTCGTGAGCTACAGGGGTGCATGTTCTCGGCCGAGCACTGCCACACTCACTGTAAGTATGGAGTACACGCCCCCCTTCCCCTAACAACGTCACTGTTATCTAGTCTCGATCCTAGTTCGCTGTTGCTTTTTGATGATTACACTCGTATCTTGAATTAAAACGCTCGTAAATAGTAATAAATTGTGTATCCATATGTAACTGGTGGTCAGTCGTGTTGGTCCTGATCGTCCGTGATAGCCCGCGCGATCTTGAACCAACGCACGCCCACATCGCCCAAAGGCAAACCCGCTAGGCAAAACAGCTGCCACTACCAGCTAGAGAAACTAATGTTCTGTTTGATCGCTTCCGAAGCTGATCGGAGAGGGCTCCCAACGATCTTGGGACCGCACGGGCTGGGCGAGCAGCTGAAGGGCAATCGTGCAACACCGGCGCGAGACCTGTATTCCAAATCGAGTACGGGCTCAGACTGCTCTGGGTTCAATGCTTGCATAGCTTGCCGTTCTGTTCTCTGCCGATCGTATGCCCTATCGTGTTTGTTGGCGGGTTTCAAGACATTCTTGTGTGCCGATGCCGAGATCGTCAACCGGTAAAGTCTCGGCGAACTATAATGTTCATGTACTTGAGACGACTGGTCCGCTTCCCCTCCTGCCGTGCCTTATGCACTGGTGCTAAAGTAGTAATTCTCCCACAGGTACTCGTAGTCCTCAAGGATGCCTCCAATGAAAGATGGCATCCTCTTGGTCACTCCTCCCACAACTCCCTTGGTGATGTTCTCGTAAGCGGCGCCCCGCATCGCCCACCAACCCATTGCCCAGCCACGCTTGTTCCATTCTTCACGCTCTAGTGATGTTGTGCGTAGGCCACGATCTCTTAGCTGCCGAGCCGCAAGCTCAACCGCGAAGCCGATCAGCCAAGGGGTCCAAGATTTCTTGTTGCCACCTCTCCTGTTGTTGTGCGCCATGGCCGCTGCGTAAACGAGCGGAGACAAGATCTGCAAAATCTCGGCCCCCTGGCTGCTGCCCTGCAGCTTGTTGAGTAGCTTGGTTGCGGGCTTAATATCATCAGCCGTCAACACGCGTCCCAGCAGATACGAGCTGATGTCTCCCCCATCCGGCAGTGATGGGAGGCTCATGCCTGTCCGGGGCATAACCCACTCGCGCTCGTGCGCTGGTTTCAGCATTTGTGAAGAGCTAGAACCATCCGCCGATATCTCGTCCATCAACTCGCTCTCACTTCGGTACGCAATATCTTCCTCCTCCTGTGCAGCGGCCGCCGCATCTTCAGGGATGGGTTCCCGTTCAGGCAATACGGGCGTAACCAATGGGCGCGATCGAGTGATGCGCATGAGCAGAAGTCGGCAAAAAGCTTTGAGTGCTTCTAAAAGCACAACTACCTTCCACCGTGACTTCTCGCCGCCCTTTCTCTTGGCAGTCATTTCCCAGAGCATCTCTGTATAGATGATCATTTGCAAAAACATTGCTATCCTTCGGTATGCACCACTTCGCTGAGTCCAGTATCGCGTATACCGGGCATGCGCCGAGGGCATACTTGCCATCGGCAGACGCGCAATAGCCTTCTGAAGAAGAGAGTCATGGTAAAGGGAGAGAAGTTGAACACCCGAGTGAATCGACTCGGATGCGATTTCGGCATCGCGGAAACGGCCTGAATATGCAGTCAGAGGTGGTGTCTCTAGGTGAGCCCAATATCACGACTTACCTGGAATTATATATGTTAGGCTGCGTAGGGCGCTCTCGATTTGCGACACCTGGCCGGCATTCTTGGTTATAAACTCATCGTACATGGAGAGCCATCGCGGAGGTAATGAGAGAATGCCACCAATTGATGGCCGCGGTGATTGTTTAGAAGATGTAGGAGAAGAAGAAGGTAATGTGGTGGAATTAGAAGCCGATGCTGGCATGTCGCGCGTCAGAGAGGGGTCCATGTCTCTATTCCAACGTCGGTGATGATCGGAGAAGGGGATGTGGTCGAAAGGAGAGATAGTCGCGTGATGTCGGTCGTGGTGATCGAGGTGACGAGTCTGCTAATCGACAGCCATGACGCGTTATTATGAGAAAGCGCAGTTGAAGGCTATGGCGATGATGTTGATTAAGGCGGTGATGTCTGGGGATGGAGTTGAGTTACTGTATTGATTAGGTGATGGGGAGAGGCCAGTCATGTCAGCTCAGCTGCTTCCCCGTCCACTCCGAGGCACGCACGTCACTGCATGCGCCCAAAATGTGGAGGTGACGCGTGCCTGAGGCCGACGACCTCGGCATCTGCGCCGAGGTACCATTACCCTGGACTCTGGGCTTGACAGTTGAAAGAGACGGCAGTTGGATCAATATTGATATTCACAGATAATGGGTAATGGTGTTGATACATGAACACTTCATTACCTCTGCTTATGTTTCGTCTGTTTATTTAAAACTTTAGTAGTTTCTTTGATGTCTAATTACTGGAGTGTATGATGATTTCGTGGCTGACATGTGCACACTATGAGATGATAAAGCCACTAGATACAGCAATCAACAGCATTAATTGTTACAATCGTTGATGCACAAAGACAATGGCATGTTGTTATAGTCATTCATTTATTTGACAGTACACTGACACGCAGCATGTCGCATACCTGATCGCTCATTATGTTGTCGTCATGTCAAACTCGGGTACTCATAACATATGCGCCATACACCGGGTTTAAGTAGCATCCTATAACTTCGTGTATACAGTCCTCTTCTTCTAAACATTAAGTCGTAAGAATAAATAGTGGCCATCGACGTAGCCTAAAAGCACGCACACCAGTAAACTCCTACGCTTATCTAATCAGGGCCTCCTCGTTTATGTTGGAGCAATACAAACCTCCTAACAAACACCCGAAAGAATCGAAACCGACTCCGAAATAGGCTGTCTATGCCAATCGAGCTGTCCGTCATCGCTCACCATGAAGGCTGCCACATCCTCAACAAGCTCCCACTCTCCAGTCACCTGACTCTTCTCAGCATACCGGAAGATGATGTTCATGCCGAGATCTTCAAAGACGAGCTCTCTCCTCCTGAGGCGTAGCCACTGCTCATCCTCGTCATCCTCCATCGCGTTCATGGCCTCGACTTCCCAGTTCTTCAGCGCAATAGCGCGAAACACTCGACTATCTCGGAGGGCGTTTCTAACAGGATATTTTGCTAGAATGCGGATTGCATCCTCTTTCACTGCTGGGTCTCGGCAGCCAAAGGCGGATACGAACAGTGGCCAAGTCCAGCCCGAGTCCATTGCAAAGCCACAATTAGGACGAGACGCGATCAGTGTCTCGGCTATGACGTTGATCTCTCGATATTGCGGCGTGAGATCCTTTGCAGTTTCGAGGTTGGAGTATCGAGGCATGGCAGTATATACGTATAGAATCAGAAACTCAATGTGAAGATTGATGGCTCGTAGATAAGGCTGCATGTTATCCTGTCGATTGTCCGCGGCGACCTGGAGTAGAGGGCTGAATGAGTTCGACCATCTGTTGAGCCAGTATCTCGACTCCTCCAGGAACTTGGCAATTCGCGGATTTTGAGTCACACCGGACAGTTTAGCTTTCAGTTCTGTCATGTCCTTGACCTTTGGCAAAGCCAGTTGTGCTGTGGTCGCAGTCAGAAGAGGGATGTATTGGACAAGTTGCCTCTGCAGTAGAGTCCAGTAGCCATGGGCTTCGTCCAACGAGCTGAATGCCGGAGGCATCTCATCGATCACAGTGATATTGGTCTGCCTAGGTCTGAAGTAAGGAGAATGCTTCGTAAACGGCGCAATACCAGGAGGCCTTTGAGGAGGGGCTCGTGGTGGTGTCTGCTGGTCTGACATTGCCTGTGGACTTGCTTGGCTTTGCGGACTTGGCAGACCGGTGGGGTTCTGTTGATTCGAAGGTGCACCTGCCCACGGCGTGCCGGGCTGACTCGCTGGACTGGACGCAGTGTGAGGGCTGGCAACCTGACTTGGAGGAGCTTGATGTGCCGCAACCCCCGGTGGTTTAGGTGGAAAGAAGAACTTCTTATAAGAGCCCATGAAAGACCGTGACTGCAATTCCAAGGGCTTATAGCAGTCCAATATCTCCTGGACAAGCGCAGGAGGTGCTGGGGCGATTCTCACAAGGCCAGGAGCTTTATCGGAACAAGCGGCGAGCTCATTGAGCATGCTGAAACCGTGGGTGATGTGCTTGAGAGCTGCTGGCATATTTCCCCGCTGGGCTTCGAAGCAGATGAATAGGAGGGATGCCAACATAGCTGTTCGCAGGCCTTCCTTGGTGGGTCTGGCCTTGGCTTGTAATTGAAGAGCCTCGCAGTAATAGACAATAGCGTTGAGATAGTGTTTGTTATTACCCACAAGCTCATTGCCAGGCGACGAAGCTTCAAAGTCGACATTTGAGGCCTTGCGCAGTGCTCCGACGGCCATGGCAGCATATCTCAACGAGGGCTCCTGTAGTGTCAGTTGAGGCATTGTCGTAGTCCATAACCGAGAATCCCCCAAGCCTCCGCTGAGGAAGCTAACACTAAGGGTCGACCATTCGTCAAAGTAGGATCGCTGCTCGCTGCTTGTAAAGCAGATAGTGTTGATAGATGGTTCCTCGGGAATTGTTTGTATCCGCGTGCTGACAACAGCCGTGGAACCTGTGGTGACCTTTATCCTTGATGCGGCTCGGGGCTTAGCCGCTGAATTTGAGGCTGATTTGGCCTTGGAGGCTGCAGGGCGTGGTCGTGGTTCAGTGGCGGCGGTCTCAGAATGCGCCGAGGCATCGACGTAGCCATCGCAAGAACCTTTCCACTTCAAGCAGTTGAGACAAGATGGCTTTGTCTCGTCACACTTGACGTGTCGCTTTCTTCAATACTGTTAGTGGTGATTTCCCATGCCGGCGATTTAACTAATGTGAATTCATCTGACATAAAGCAGGGTACTTACTTGCCTTGGAAACAGTTAGCAATAATCCCATGACTAAACCCAGGTACATAACAAACTCACAAGTAGCACATCCCGTGCGTGCTCTGCTTGAGCTGCGCCGGGTATGTCGAGCCCTCGTCTCCAAGGCAAAACGATGAGTGCCGCCCTGTGCAGCCGTAGCATTTGCGGATATTTCAGTTGGAGAAACCGATGATGGACTAGAACAAAGTTTTATTGTCAGCTCAGCTGGAGGATCCCAATGCGACAGGGTTTGGGCGGCTTGCTTACCCAGCTGAGCTGTTGGATCGCCCGCCTTTGATAGGGATCGAGAATTGGATCTCCATGGTTGGTCCACCGGCTGCAGGAAGCGAAACAGAGAGACGGGTAAATGACCAAAAATCCACTCAGTTTTCGTGTTGGTTCAAGTTCGGAACGGTAAATCGTATATGAAAGGGAGGAGAAGCTCGCGCAGAGACGAGAAGCCGTTCTCGTCAACGACCCCAGGCACTTGGGCTTGGAAACTTGCAGGGGATATCTCTCACCCATACGGGACCTCGATGTACCTGACTAGGTATAGTAATTAAGACAAGGTGCAGAACTGACGTTGTGGAGGTGGGATCTTCCAACGTCAGCGGCGCTTGGCATGGAATGACTGGACGATGAAACAGGCACTGTAGTTCTCAGATATAATAATACAGAACAGAATTGGTAATAGGCACGCTAGCACGGTATCTCAACGCTCGCGTGCGGGGAGACACACACTCAACAAGACCGAACCGAGGGGGAAAAGGGACCAGGCAAAATGTGGATGTGGATGTGCCTGTCTCCTTATGCCAAGAAAAGGTTCACCCAACTTAGTCAAGATAATCGCCCTCCACCCGAATTAAGTGATATCTCTGGGCTTTCAGGCCTCGAGGGGGGCAAGACATGCCGAGAACCTGCTTCGACTGCCCAAAGTCTAACGGGATGAAGAAGTCAATTAATGCACGCCGGCTTCGAGGCTAGCTGCCGGGGAATAGAGGAGGGACGCGGGAAAGAGTGTCTTGATTGGTGCAGATACGGAGGTTAAAAACGATAGATACCAGATTGGGGCATTGGGTCTCGGTATTTGTAGTTATATAACTTGTATTTCTCTACATTGAAACACTCAGTTGTGGCTATCACTCATCATCGTCCTGGATGACTATATGCCGGGAAACATATAGAGAAACGTGTCGACTAAGCCCGGTCCCTTGCTAGTACAGGTATTTATGTTTAGAATAGATGAATCCTTCTCATGCAAGTACGTCACAAAATAAAGACACGATCAAGGTTTATTACAGCAGTAGGGCGCGTGGCTGTGGATACTACCCAGGCTTTAATCCACAAGCCGTCTGTCGCTAGTACAAACTTAACCAGCAACATCCGCTTGATCCGAAGTCAAGATGAGGAGTAATTTAATGTCTGAGACTATCGATGAATGAGGAAAAGGTAAACTGATAATGGAACGACAATTCATCACAGCAGAAAGCGTCTGATGGCTGTCTCCGTAATGACGTTCGACTTGCTATCGGGCTAGACAGCAGACTTGCAGTTATCTTCTAGATATAGCAACAGTCTAACCACAAACATTGTAATAGCATTCACATCCTCCTCACTTACAGATAACAGTTACACATACTACGTAAACGGCCTCAGGTTGTATCAGCCATAAAACCCCGGGATCATTTATGATTTACCCCCCACAGTTGAGATACAAGGACCATTGGAGACGCTGCAACAGGGACCTCAAAGTTGCACTGCCGAGAAGGATTTCGACCTGGTCTCAAGGCTGACTGCGAGGCACTCTTGGACTTTGAGTGGTTGATGAAGATCCATGTACTCCGTATGGATTGCATTGTCACGGTTATCCGGCATAGGGCTGAGTTGCATCTTGAGTATCTTGGGATCTATATTTATTTCCTTATCCCCAGTGAAAGCTGACATGTTCGTGTAGAATGGTTACATTGCAGTAAACTACTGCCACAGCTGTCTCCATTCGACGTCGAACGATTTCATCACACGCAACTCAAAGTCCTATGCTATTACTCCTTCGTCGACGTTAATACATAGCCATCAATTCCTTCAACATGGTTCTTATGGTCTCAGTATCGGCATTTGCTTTTGTCTTCGACAATATGCAAGACATGCACCTGTGCGTTCTAGGCATGTGTCAATGTCTGACCGCATATGATTGCTCACATGAGCAAGAACTGTTCATGTACGAGAAGAGGAAGTTTTCGAAGAACACCGATGGGAAGACATACTTGGGAGTACGTCAGTGATGACTTCCACACTCATCCGGTGCTTTAGTTCTTCACCGTTATCGTCCAAGATTTGGGCCACCAATGATCACTTTCCCCTCTTGTGCATCGGCTATGTGTTACTATCACCGTCATACCATTATTGTGCAACTATGCAGTTCTTGTTGATCATATCATTGACGTTAACTCATTAAGCTTTTGTACCTATCGCTACATGCCCTGTCCGCACAGCAGACATCTCTTTAAGCACGCTCGCTCGCAACCTCCTCAGCCTTAGCAGGCTCTCGCTCTGCGGCACCAGGGTAATCCACCGCATTCTCACCACCCTTTCCACGGTAGTTGGTGGGATGGTCGCGGTCAGCACCCTTGTCGTGGATTGGGTCCGAGGCGTTGGCACCAACACCCTCGAGTCCGGAGCGTTCCTTCTTGCCTCGGCCGTGCAGCTACTGGCTGGTCTGGCCGGACTCAGGCTTTCCTAGGCCGGTGTGGACGTCGGCAGATGTAGCACCCCCGAGTGTTGCGGAGGCGGGGGCCTCACCCTCCGCGCCGGGAGCTTGGGCAGGGATCTCGTTCTCGGGGTTGGGCTGGAAGGTGTGTTCGGGAGGAGCAGTGCCAGAAGGGAGCTGCTGGACGTGGAACTCGGGAGCAGCATCGATACCAACGAGAACTCCGGGTGCGTGCTGTATGTGTGTAAGTACAAGGTTATAAGAAGGATTCCGATTATGATCAACTTACACCCTTGGTTGTGAGAGGCTTAGAGGGAGCGACCTTGCTGCTGAACTCGCCCTGCTGGGGAGTAGCGGACTCGGGGTTCATGGACATGTTGATTGTTGTCTGTGGTGAAGAGAATTTGGACGTGATTGTTGAGGATTGTAGTGGGTTAAGGGTCTTTTGGGTACTTGGGTATACAGTTGCAGAGATGAAAGTATGAGAATGATGAGAACAAAGACATAGGTATCTTCTGCGCTGGGAAGGTACATATAAGCCTTCGTGGTGCAATGAATACACGTGTATGATGTCAACACATATCATCGACATGACATCACGGTGATTCCAGTTCAAGCCAAGCCATCACCACTCACGCCTGCCTCACACACAGATGAACAGAGTATATCGACTCTTTTGGAAGCAATCAGCATAGAAGCTGTCATTCAATGGCGAATCGATCGATGAAGATATTCGGCAGTCAAGATATGTGGAGCGAACACCGGAGGTCTGCTCCGCATGGGTGCTCGTTGGTTGGGGTTGTGGAGGAGAGCTCTACTGGTTAACGTCATGTGAGCTTGGCCTGTACGGCAAATGAGTGATGCTTCCGTGTAAGCTGACTTGCATGACTATGCGATGCCGGCTCAAAATTGGAAGATATGATGATTTGCGAGGGTGTCCAGTCACATGAGCGGGCTTGCCCTCGAGATCATATGTAAACAGGTAAGAATCTTGTTCTGCACTCCTTGTCCTTAAGATGCGTGGAATTCTATAATAATCTACGTGAAGCTATCGTGACTTGTAGTTCCTACGGTAATGACGCGGACATTGGTGTTGCTGAGAGACTGTCCAATCAGAATCACACCGTGACGTGTAGAACAGGAGCAACTAGTATACCCTATATAGGAATGTAGAACTGTAGCCAGGATCTATGTAATGGGGACATTTAACCTTCCATATTCCGAGGACTAGCATAGAGGGGCGTGAATGTCTTGGAAGTGTTTTAGGGGGAACTATCTTGTCCTGAGATATGCTCTTTGCGTTCTTGAGAAACTGAATCAATGGTGTGCTAGAGATCTTGAATCGAGGCTTGCCTCAGGTTGTTGTAGCACAACTCTTGCCAGTTCAGTGTCAGTCACGACAGAATACCAACAATGATAATTCGATATGTTTATTACACTGAGTACAGCATCCCGTTAGGATACGGCTGGTTGGCTCTTTTGGTTCTTACTGAGTTGGCAATGCTGAGTGTCACAGTACTCTGTTAGATAGCCTTGAGACATGGACATATCTCAAGAAGTAGGGCAGTTACTCGGCTCGCACCCCACCTATGAAAAGACTGAATTGAATTGAATATTGACCGTATCATATTGGAGGTGAAATACTTTGCTGAAAGGGCAGCATCTCCGTTCAATTACGGTGAGACAAACGCCTTTCAATTCAGCCACAGGAGCAGGTGTTCCGAAGATAAGAATGGAACAACGAAGCAAGAAGGACCTAGGGTCCAACTACTCGTATATCTCTCCCTATGATCATCTCTACTTAGAGAATAAGATAGCCGTTGTGGTATTCCATGCTGTTCAAGTACATACCACGCAAACACTCATGATGTTCTACTCGAAGTCGCTTACCCTACGGCTTCGGAACACACCGAGTAGCAAGCCCATTCTGTTCGTTCTAAAAGAGGTTCAGCGCACGACATAGCACTGCTGCATGGTTTACCTGACGTCAATAGCTCTTTGATTGCACTTTGTGCATCGTGGCTTGTGCTTAGCTCATGGCATATATGATCGGTGTAACGTTCCACCACATCTTTTGTACATATCAACATGCGAAGCAAGCGATCGATACCGAATGGCTCGAAGTAGATTATTCCTAGGCCACAAAAATGAACAATTGATAAGCGTTTAAGCCGCAAGGAGCAAGATAGGGGTCTCAGTCTTGCATTCCACATCTCATGATTCTCATCTCTTTTCAGCCTCAAGGGTCCATGGCTGGCTGGGCTAAGCTGAAGCTAAACACTTGCAGCCGCGAGAGATCATTTATTTATAGTCACGCGCATACCACCGATTCAGCCTTAAACACTGCACTTTCGGTCAAGTTAGATGGAACGCAATCTGGCGACAAGACCGGTGTTAAAACCACTCATTTGTTCGCCGTTTTGGTTATTAGGGGATATTGTCACTGAAACAAAGTCAACTCCCCACTGAGTTGTGATTGGACAAAGATCAAATCGTCGATGACCAGCACAAGTGTCACAGTGCACGCTGTCAACCTGTTATCGTTGAAGCACAAACTTTCTTGATCAACCAACGGTGTCGCATAAAAAGGCCTCCAGGATCGCCGATAACAGAGAAGTGTTGCACCAGGGAGAGGAAAACTGGGAAGAATACTGGGTCTTTGGGATCCTTTAATCTGCCAATTGTGGTACGCAAACGAAAATAACAAAAGAACGACAATGGTGTGAGTTGTTGCAGTGTTTAATCTTGAGAAATGGCGCTTTGTTAGCTGTGCCGCTGGTGGTTAATCAATATGATACCACACGTAATGCCCTGGGTATTTTTCTCTTTGAATGCATTTATCACCAGCCTCACTGGTCAAAGGCATTGTTTCTTCTTGAGCAGTGGATAGTCACAGCGCAATGCTCGGCGACCCGTTTCCCCTTCCTGCGTTGATCCTAGGATTATCGGTTATTGATCGTCAATCGGCAAGCTATGGTACCACTGTAGGAACCATCAACAAGCCAGGGGGTTGAGAATGACTGTGCCATGCCTGTACATGACGACCAACCCTCGCCAGTCTTTTACTTCATACCACGTCTGTCGTGAGTTGACAATCGTAATCAGGTTTGAATTGATGGTGCTCGTATCGCAAAGTCAGTGAGGCAATTAAGGACAAAGACACTTTTCTCATGGATAAACGGAATTTAGTCTGTTTCCGAATATAGATCAAACTTGAAGGGACGATAAAAAGGACGCGCATGCATCCATCATAGAAGCAGAGTAGTCTGACCAAGCCAACCCCGTGTTGTCGATTCTCACACACCACTAGACCACACCCAACCTCGTGTCTGCCGTTGTGCCCGTTTCGAAAGAGGCTGTGCTCGTATCTTAGATCTGCTTTCTGTTGAAGAAGCTATTCCCAATTGACAACCGTTTTCGATGTGAACAAATGCCCTTTTTGACGCCACTCTTTGCATATTCCATAGCAAAAGCTGAAGGAGGCCTTTTACTTGCCAAGTTTCCAGAACGTCTGCGTCACGGGTCCCGCATTAGCCGGGATCGTATCAAGCTAGGGGCCGGTTGCCGGGGAGCCCAGACTTTACCAGGGCGGTATGTCCGCTAAAGTAACCAAGAATGGCAAATTCCAGGTAATGGATCCGCATCCGGTGTGGCTCTCCAGTGGCTATTGGCCCCCTCATTCGCTATTTCCCTGGGACAGTTGCAACGATTCATCAACCGCAAACCACACACTGCTGCAGCCGGGACACTTGCCTTTTACTGTCGTTGTTTCTTTGCCTCTCTCCATCTTTTTCCCCTTCCCTTCCCTCCCATCTCATTTACATACACGACAATATCAAGACTCGGTCTTTTTGTTCCACTCGCTCACTTGCGTTCCTTGCAGTCTTGCTCCGCTTCCGCGCCTCTCGTTCCCAACTGCGAATTATCATTTGTCGAAAAGATCCACCGAATTCCCAGCCGAATCCCATTCGAGGCGGTGCGCCGCTGCTGGCATTGGCTGCTCTTGAGTAGCTAGCATCATCCTTATCGCTGCTCTACTCCTCGCCTGGATCCAAAGTTATTTTATTCCTTATCCACAATGCAGAATTACCGCGGTGATCCCTACGAGAGTGAACCTCTTGACTCTCAACACCATTACGACTCCTCTCCACGACCACCAGTCCCTCCACCCCATGGTTATTCTTCAGCGGCTGGACAATACGACTCTCCTGTGAGATCAAATCATCCAGGCGCACATCCCGATTCTGCCTATAGCCGTGTTCAAGGCGGTTACGACGACTACTCTCCCCAAGGCCGTTCAATTTCACCTTCACCTTACGCGGGATCTGCTAGCTACGATAGCCCTCGACGACCATCACCCCAACAAGGCGAACGCGCCTACCACGGCAATCAAGCCTACAATAACTACGGCGGTAGCGGAGGTGGATACCCTGGGTATGATCACCCAAACTCACATACTACACCAGGCGCAGACAACTTTGGAATGTCAGCTTCAGGTGGTATGGCGGGAATTGCTCATAACGTTGCTGACCGTAATCCTCGCAATAGTGGTATAGGCGCAATGGAACACTCTGCATTGCCTCCTCCTCCCTCGCGGACCCAGCAGAACGCTCATGGAGGAAATGGAGGTTACGGCTACTACGACCCGCCCCGCGGGCCAGCAGGCTCGAGATCAAACTCTCATTTCAACGGAAGCGATCCCTATATCGACAATCCGTATCCCGGATACCACAATTCACGAAATGGTAGTGCCAATCTTGGTGTAGTGAATCCTAACGAGATCATCGATGATGGAGATGATGGATTGGAATACGGAAAGAGTCAACGGAACTCAATACTTAGCCTTTCCAACTCAGACCGTGCGAAGAAAGGTGCCGCAACCGCTGCGGTAGTTGGAGGCGGTGCAGCTGCTGGCGGCCTCATGGGTAGAAGTAAGATTTGCTCCAGCAACTGGGTGTATAATCGCTAACTTTCCACAGGCGGGAGCTACGATCTGAATACGGGGCGAGAGAAGCCTTATGGGTATGCACAGGATAAGGAACACGGCAGGAGTAAGAGGTGCAAATGGCTCATCATCATCGTCGTGTTCCTTGTCATTGTTGGTGCCATTGTGGGCGGCGTTGTCGGTAGTATGATGAACAACGGGAAGAAAGAAGAATCAGGAAGCAGTAGCTCAGGAGAGTCGGCTAAGGACGACCAGAAGAAGAACGGCGATCTCAGCAAGAACAGCGCAGAGATCAAGAAGCTTCTCAACAACCCGGACCTGCACAGAGTTTTCCCTGGCATGGACTACACTCCGCTCAACTCGCAGTACCCCGATTGCATGCACAACCCACCCTCCCAAAACAACATCACTCGCGATGTTGCCGTCTTGGGTCAGCTGACCAACAAGATTCGACTGTACGGAACCGACTGCAACCAGACACAGATGCTAATTCACGCTCTCGACCGTCTGGAACTGACCGATACAAAGGTTTGGCTGGGTGTTTGGCTGGACAAGAACGAGACGACCAACGATCGGCAAATGGATCAAATGTGGGATATTCTTGACGAATATGGTGATAAGCCATTCGAAGGAATCATTATCGCCAACGAGATTCTGTTCCGCGAGGAGATGAACATTACTACGTTGGCTGAGATTCTGGACGACACCCGCACCAAGCTCGACAAGAAGGGTCTCAAACTACCTGTTGCCACTTCGGATCTGGGTGATGACTGGACGTCTGAGCTTGCTTCAGACAGTGACTATATCATGGCCAACATTCATCCCTTCTTTGCCGGAGTCGAGGCTTCAGAAGCAGCCTCATGGACCTACAGCTTTTGGAAGAACAAGAATGGCGACATGTGGAAGACAGACAAGCAGAAGAACATCATCTCGGAGACTGGCTGGCCTACTGGAGGTGGAACCAGCTGCGGCTCGGCAACGTCTTGTACTACAGGTTCAGTCGGTGGCATTGATGAACTGAACACCTTCATGGAAGATTGGGTATGCCAAGCCCTCAAGAACGGTACCAACTATTTCTGGTTCGAGGCATTTGACGAGCCGTGGAAGTCGAGGTACAACACCAAGGGCAAGAATTGGGAGGACAAATGGGGCCTGTTGACATCGTCACGCGATCTCAAGAAGGGAGTCAAAATCCCCGACTGCGATGGCAAGACCCTCAAGGACTACAGCGACTTTTCTTCCTCTTAGACGACCAGAGATGCAATTCTACGATATGTCCGAGTAACGATTCACGCATGAATCGATACCAGCTTTGCGGATGGAGGGCGTGCATTGGATATAACCAACAGCAGCCCCAACGCTCAGTTTCTAATGTTTGTTCTTTTCCCACCGGACCGGAGTTCAGGAGCACTAGGGAACGGGTAAAACATTGATACGCCTGTTGTTTTTATTGTCATGTTTCGAGTACGCGTCACACGATCACCTTTGTAGAAACGGACTGGAAGGCGGTTTTCTTGGAACGATCCGCGCTTATGAGGGTATATAGTTGATGCACGAAGCAATAAATAGGATGCACATTATACGCACTGGCTTGGCTCACTGCCGCTTATTGTGATGAAGCTCGATATTTGTTTATTCGATCTGAATGAAAGCCTCGCCTATATATCGTCGTCGTTCGTTACAAGCTATATATCGCAAAGATAGATGCAATCCTTGCTGTTGGTGTGAAATGTATAATCCCAATTCATCGCATCCCGTAAACGTCCTCATGAGCAAATGATCCAGTATCGCATCCCAGTTTCCCAGAGCACCAAAATGATCCAGCGCCTCATGATTGTCATCCCAGCATTCCATACCATCAAACGCCCCTCAAAGACCAATACCTCGGTGGCTGTCATCCCCGTCTTTCCCGTTCGTCTGGCTGCTAGGCGTCAGAGGTCTCTGCTGCGCATAAGCGATGCCACCACTGCCATTGAGGCCCTCGATGCCCTCGACCGGATACTCGGAGCCGCGGTAGAGCATGGGCAAGGGTCCGTAGGTCGCAGCACTTGCACGATCATGTTCTTGTTCGGGACCTCTCTTACAGTCGGCCGGATACTCAGATGGGTGGTAAAACATGGGCTGGGGTCCATAGGCCATGGTTCTGGCGCGGTCATGCTCCTGCTCAAGTCCTTTCTTGCTTTCAAGGCGTGATACTACTGCATCAAGCTGCCGTACTTTTGCATCGAGCTCGCAGATTCTTGCATTGTAAACTCCTAGTGTGTTGATCAGCGTCGCAATGGTGGGTTGCTGGCGCATAGGCTCATGGCCGAGAGCATTGTTTTCGCCGTACGGCGAAAAGTTCAAAATAGGGGAAGACTGTTGCGGCGGCTGCTGCTGCGGCGGCGGAAAGACGGTGAACGAATTCGAAGCCGCATGCATAGGAACCGAGTTTACTAGGAATGGACCCGAGTTGCCTTGGTAGGCCATGAGGTTTGGGGAAGGCGAGGGCTGGTGGCTGAGACGAGCCTCCGCAAGGAGGCGATTGTTAAGCTCCCGTTGAAGATGGAGGTCGACCATAGTCTGGATCTTTGTTCCGCATAGGGTCTTGCCTTGCTCGCGTCTACAAGGGAGAGTTAGTTGGTATTACCAATGGGGTCATTGGTGAAGGGATGTTACCTCCTGTCCATGAGCTCTTGACATGCTTCGTTGAGGACAGCTCGTTTCATTTCTTTATTGGTGGCAGCAAAGTAGACTGCTTTGCGAGCGGTGCGATCGCAGCATTGCCAGAGGGCTTGGTACTCTGCGTCTTTCGCCTTTGAGTCGCATGGCTTTGTCTCACTTGGGGAAGACATTGTTGCGGATGAAAGAGTTCTTTGTAGGTGGATGGATTGTTTTATCGCGTTGACTGTCGAAGGGTTGTGGGAGATGGAGGTTATGAAGAGGTGTAAAAGAGATTGAAGATAATGAGGTTGATTTTATAGAAGATGGAAGGAAGGGACCGTGAATCAGAGTGGCTGTTTGGGAAAGAGCAGCTTGTTGACCGGGAGGAGTGATGATAAAGTATGAGCAACTTTTGATGTTGTTAGAGAGGAAAGCTCAAAAGATTTGGGGGTTGTAGAGTAATGAAGAAGAGATTAGAATAACCTGATGTGGAAGTGAAAGTGAAGAAGGAAAATGTGTGAAGAAGTTGATCATATGTTATGAAGAAGTGATGAAGAGGTTAGGAGAAGCCAGGGCAGAAGAGTAAAAGAGTAAAATTTTTTATAAGGGGGAAGAGTTGCAAAATGGTGAAGCATCAAAATATGCCGAGAGTTCGAGAGGTGGAGAGGTATGCCACAGCTGGTGGTGATATGAAAGGCTCAAGGAGTTGTCGGCCGTGAGTGTGTAAGAAATAAGTGGTGGAGGATCAGACCCAGCTGGAAGTGAATGACAAGAGCTTAAGTGAGTGACAACTAGATGAAGAAAGTTGTTAGGGGATCAAAGTTAGACCAAACGAGGACCAAGTTAGAAGATAATTGGAGAGCTCGAAGTATAGAGCAGGGAACCTACCAGATAGTAAACTGCGACAACAGGCAAATGGCGCGAGGAAGTTTAAAAGATTACGAGACAGACACAGAGAAAGACAGTTATCAAGAGATGGTGGTTGATTCAAGCTTCTTAGACAAGTCATTCTCATCTTCGTCCTCCTTCTTCTCATCCTTCTTCTCAACCATCTCCTTGTCATCCACAATCTCCTTTTCCTTGTCCTTGCCCTTACCCTTCTCCTCCTCAGACAAAGGCTTCCAGTAAATCACTGTAGTCGAAAACGACGGATCAAAGTCCGCTCGCGACTCATTCTGAGGAAAGTCGCAAATCTCATAAGACTTGTGCATTCTCTCCATGTTCTCAACGCCCTCTGTCGCAAACATACTGAAACTAATTAGCCCACACATCTACACAGTTCTTTTATTCAGCAAACTTACTCATCCCAGGCTGCCCATCCTGTCCCGATGAAGAGCACGGGGAGATGTTTTGCCAGGGCCACATTGTAAACGGGCTTGTAGAGATGGACGCCGAAAAAGAAGGTGTTTGGGTTGACCAGCTCGCAACCTGCTGGGTCCTCGACGACGATGTGGCCGTGGTTGGAGAGGAACTTCTTATCTGACTCGTTGAAGACGGGGTCTTGGAAGAAGGTCTCAATCTTGTTCCCGTTGATTTCCTCTGCGTAAAGGTCAGTATTGTCTGTCATGTATGAGCGAAAGATAGAACATACCTAATTCCTCAATGACAATCTCAAAGGCAGCCAACTGCTGAAACGCCGCTCTCTTGGGATCAACGCCTTCGGTATCAAGGTCAAACGAGCCAGTACCAAAGTTAACGGCACGATTGATATCTTTGAGGTTAGCAGCCTTGGTCTTGATAAACTCACGCAGCTGAGAGCACGGCACGCCAGTCTCCCAGCGCGAACGGTAGTGATTGTAGTCCTTCTCCAGCTCAGAGGGGTCACGCAGGTTTTCAGTCTGCGGGCCCACAGAGCGGGAGTTGATGTGAGAGGAAGATTTGGATTTGCTGTGTTTATTGGACTTGCGGGACTTGCGAGTTACTTGTGTCCATTCCTGGGAGTCGTTGGAGTTGGACATGATGGAGGTTGAGTATTAAAGGTGAAGAAACGTAAAGAAATAACTTTTTGAATGGACGCAGGTGAGATGCAAGAAATGGCAAAGATGGGGTAAGCCAACAAAAAGAAGAAAACACCCTGAGATGTTCGCTTTTATACTGAGTCTCAATGAAGCTGTCGTGAAGACTGAGATTTCGGAACCCCACCTCGGTGAAACTCGGTGAGAGTTGAGGTGAATAGCGGGCACTTATCTTTGTTGGATCTGGGTGGCGCTTTTTAATTCAGGAACACTTGAAGTTAAAACGTGGACGATAATGAAGTTGAAAATATCCCGAATGGCCTAGCTTCTTGACGAATTTATAGTTAATTTGAAGTCAATTGCTTGGTCTTATTCACCATCATCTGTCTATTCTCTGTTACTATCGTGGTCTGGTGGTGTTTTGCAGACAAAGCTGCACAGGCAGGACAAGGTGAGGAATGATTGATCCCGGTTGTTGAACAGCCAGTAACTCAATTGTCCTACCGCTACAAGTGCAACTGTGACTACAACCATCAGCTTACGCTTGTGTCTGTGTCTGTCTGTGCCTCTAGATGTGATGGTACAAAACCTGGCGTCTAAACAGCACGGCATAAGACCATCACACAAAGTGTCAGCGGGCATTCACTCACCCTCATTCGATTGCACCCCCATGAACATCATCGGCTCAAGTGATCCGATCTTTGATTCAAGTCGGTCGATGGAAGAAGCGGCACTTTAAGTACATTACCCATTATCCTTACCTGTACCTAGAATTTGTTCCTTTACAGTGGATGATGGCCTGCAGGGCCCTTCACAAAACTCCCCTGTTTTCTTAGTGCCCCTCCCCGCTCGTCCCGAACGTGCCACCCATTAAAGTTGAGCAGATCATTGGCCACTGTCCCGTCAGGGTATAGCGCCAGCGCTTACAACAATGTCTTGTCTCTCCACTCACAGCCCAGATCAACCACCTCTCGCCCAGCTCAACGTGCATCTTTAACTTCCTATTGGCTCTCCCCCTCAGAAGCTATCTGCAGCAGGGGTCCTCAACGGGCTGCGCTTTGGGGAATCACACTGCAACTTGAGCGATTCACAGCTTCAATGGGCGGCTGCGCAAGGAAAATGGCCACCGGCCGCCGACCCAGAGCCTTAAGAACTTGTCCACGCCCCCCTTCGCATTGCCGTGCGGCCTCTTCTTCCAGCCTGCATTTCATTTTTCTTCCTTTTTTCTTTCTTTTCCTCCGAAAGAATTCTGATTCCTGAACCTGTTGGTTCGTGACATGTTGAGCGATTCAAGAGGCTGAGCCTTTGAACAAGAAACACCTACTGCGACCTTTGTCTGTCAGCTGTAACACCAATACCAGCTTGCACTTTTATACCACTCAAAACACAATTCGACAACAACGCAAACATGAAGACATCAGCACTTCTCACAATTGTGCTCGCGGCCGTCGTTTCCGCCCACAGCGTGATTACATACCCCGGCTGGCGAGGAAACAACCTCATCACCAACGAGACCTTCCCTTATGGCATGCAATGGATATATCCCTGTACGTTCTCCTGTCTATGTTCCTCCTCTTCCTCTTCCACAAGAACAATCATCTAACATCGGTCTACAGGCGGTGGTCACAATGTCACGACAAACCGCACATACTGGCCCACCACAGGCGGTGCCATCGCCTTCCAGCCCGGTTGGTTCCGTGGCCACGAGACTGCCTTTGCCTACATCAACATGGGCTTTGGCGACGAAGGTCCTGACGGCGGCCCTGCCAACATGACTCTCCCCATGGTTCCCATGTTCCAGATCCTCGGTCCCACCAACAATCCCTTCCCCGGAACAATCTGTCTTCCCCAGGTGCCTCTACCGAAGAACACCACCGTGAAGGCCGGTGACAAGGCAACGATCCAAGTCGTAGAGGTAGCCATCCACGGCGCATCCCTCTTCTCTGTAAGCACATCTTGGCCCAAACAGTGTAGGAAAAGCCACAAACTAACAAACCTGGCAGTGCGTGGACATCATCTTTGCCGATCCCGGAGACAAGAAGCTCAAGGAAGTTAACGAGACCAACTGTTTCAACTCGACCGACATCGGCTTCGCAGAGATCTACACCATCACGACCAAAGAATCCGGCTCCGACTCCTACGTGAGCGAATCCGGCGCCACGAAAACGCTGCGCCAACTAGGCTGGGCAGCAGGCTGGCTACCGCTTGCCTTAGCCGGAGCATGGGCGCTACTCCTGGCATGATGATGAGATGATCGAAAACACGACGTGAAAAGAAACAGAAAGAAATTGTATATCGCAAAGCATAGTGATGGCGTTTCGGAGGGTTGAGAAGAATATCCCTGGGTTTATGGCCCTTCCTTTGGTTTAACTTATAATTGTTGACTTTTTCTCTTGCTCCCCTCGTGGGGACAAGTCTTGGTTTGGTGTTGGAGGAGCTTTTTATATCTGCTTCATTCTTTTGACATGTCGCGTAGGACATGAGAAATCTACGATTATTCAACTTCAACATGAAGTTTTTACTTACCTGTTTACTGATATGATGAGATTCTTTGAAATGAAATGAGATTTTGTGAAAATGGGGTTTTGGAGATGCGGTTAGAACATGGTTTAGGCCTGTTTTGATCAAGACACGGCGAAATCAACGAACCTCATAATCCACATATATCAGTATCGAGAAGCTATGCTGTATCAAGTCTGGTATTCATCTACGGACAACTCTATGTATGCTTCTTCTAATGCCGCACATCCGGGGTTCCACATCAAGCGGAACCCGGCTTGGCCCTGCGGCAGCCCTGCATTGCCGTCACCATCCATCACACTCATGGAGCCACCTTAGCGCACTCGGCCGCGACTGATTTGACACGTTCCTCAGAGCTGCGTCCAACAGCGCTCTGGATCCACCCCTTGATGCCGAGCTTGGCCGCTTCAGCCTTTGACGCCGAGAGCAGTGTGCCGAGCGCCACGAGGGCACGGTAGAGGACCTCTGAGTCTGTTTGACCATCCTGAGAGAGGATCTTGCCGAGGAGGATGGCGAGACGGCGACGCTGCTCCGGGGCCAGAAGGCGTTCGCGATGGACAAGGACGGAGAGGTTGATTGCGACTGTGGTAGCAGCAATGAGGATGTTGCGGTTGAAGGGGCCGATGGGCTCTGAAGATACACCAATGATACGTTCCAGGAACGAAATGGCTTCGTCGGACTGAGCACTAACAACCGAGCGACCATTTGCGGTGGAGAAGATGTTGGCGACGGTTCGGAGACCCATCATAGCTGCGTTTTCATTGGGAGTTTCGCCTTGGGGGAGTGATGCTGCAAATGCAAGATCGAGAAGGGAACCAGCAGAAGGGTCGGTGAACTGAGCAACAAGGGGATACTTGACGACACAGCGAAGAAGATCTAGGCCAGCTAGACGGTCCGAGTAAGGCCATTGTGTGAGGATGCGAACAAGGAGAGGAATTGCGGTTTGGGGAACAGGCTTATTCGATTCAAGCGCAGTGCGTAGATCCGATAGCGTGGATTCATCTGATGGGTTGAGGGCAGCATCTTTACGGCCCGATGAGATCATGTTCTTGTTAATGCTGAATATCTTGTTGAAGATAGCTAGAAAGGTCAGTGACTGTACCAAGACTCAGTAAGACAGATTGCATACCTTCGTATTTAGCTGCCGTAATGCTGAGATAGTCCTTCTGAGGAAGCACCTTAGGCTGAGCGTCATCACCAGGTCGGTATCTTGACTCGGTACCGAAAGGATCAGGGCCACCAGACTCTGCAGTCTGGCCCAGCGTAGCTCCCTTGGTGTTTTCGGTGATGAAGTTGGCCACGTTGTCGAGGTATGTGAGAGGCAACTCATTATCACCCAAGAACTTGGTCGCCCGCTCGTAGGGATTCTCAGAGAGATTGTAAGGAAGCTTGAGAGCAGGCTTGCCGTCCTCAATATCGACATCGAAGACGTAGTCGTACATCTTTCCCTGGTATTCGACCTTCTTACCAGTGCTGCCAACAGCATCGACGACTGTTCCAACATTAATCCATTGTTGTTGGCTCACTGACCAGGTGTGAGCAGTCACAGCGCCGTTATCCTCCTTGATCATCTGGACTTGGCCCTCCTTTGTGCCCGACTTTGACGTTAGGAAGTCTGGGCCTGGAAGCTTCTCCTTGTTGACACCTCCAACCTGTTGCTGAGGGATTGATGACGACTTCACAGACTCCTCAAACTCCTTGAGTGTCGCCTCGTCGGCAGTTCGTTCTGGGTTTCGTGTAAAGACGCGGGCAATGCTATCGCTGGCACCTGTAACAATATCTCCGGTTTCGGGGTTGGCTGCGACTGTCCATACGGAGATGGCGGGGTGGGTGATGGTCTGCACACACTCGTTGCCCCTCCATATTCTAACAGTGCGATCCTCTCCCGAACTGACTAGTTCGCCAGTTGGGAGACTGGCCAAGCTATAAACAAAGCTTTCGTGCCCATGAAGTTCGGCGACTTGCTGGCCATTCAACTTCCACAGGCGGATGGTACCATCGTTGCTTGCGCTCGCGATATCCGCACCACTGGGGTGGTCTTGAGGAACCCGGCAGAGGGCACGGACAACGTCGGGTGTATGGATGGTTGAGTTGGGCGACACTTCTCCAGCGGTAGATTGCCGCAAGTCGAAGATTCGAATGTTCTTGTCGGCGCATCCGGTCACTACCGTGTGATCATCGAGCGCAACGACGCTCCAGACCGCCATGCTTTCGTGGCCACTGAGACTGAACTCGGTCTCCCATTTCTGGGGGCTCCATACACGCGCTTGACCATCCCAACCACCAGATACCAGGTATGTGCCGTTAGGAGAAACGTCTATGGTACAGACGTTGTGGGCATGGCCGACCAGAAGGCGCTCGGCGTTGTCGGAGCTGGTTGCCTTGGGAGACTTGACTTCGATGATGGTATCTTTGCCACCAGAGACAACATAGCCGTCTGGATGATCGTTCGACGGTGGGAAGAAGGAAAGGGAGTTGACATATTCGGAGCCGCGGCTCAGGAGATTTGCGTCAAAATTTGGAGGAGATGCTTGGGTGCGACGCCATATGCGGACACTGCTATCGCGAGAGGCGGTTAAGACGGTATCGGGAGAGGGGAAGCTCGCGGCTCGAACCTAGAGAAGCTGTCAGTATCGAAAGTATTTCATGTAATCCACAAGAATACACACATCGGATTCGTGGCCGACCAATTGCGCGGACAGCTTGAAGTCGGCCATTTTGAGTTTGATAGATGAGAAGAGTATGTGACAACGACACTACTCAATGCAGCGTAGGGGAGCGAGCTTGGTGGGCGGTAGAGTGATGATGCAAGAGAAACAAAAAAGAGAATGGCCTGCTATCTCTTCAACAAAAGAGTTGTCAACGTCAAAGAAGAACTACAATAGAGAGAGATGCTGTATCATCAAAATCACCAAAGAAGAGAGCAAACGTGACAAATCTTAGAGTCGTTGGTCAGTAATGGAAGCTGATCGATTGCTATTACCCGTCGGATCTGTCCAGCTTAAGCCACAATGCGTCACTAAGCGTCAGCCACCTCCACCTGGCCGAAGACGAAACGGCCACTCTTCAACTTGTATCGTTGAAGAGCAGTCTGGCTGACAGGCACTAAATGAACTCCCTGGAAGCCATTTACAACCACCAGTGATACCTCCAAGACTATCAACCATTCCTCCAATACAACAAGTACTGTCGCTTAATTCTCATCTGATGGCAGCTGTACCCCGCTTCGTGGCGGTGCAATCCCGAATGGAAGGTCCACCGACCGCTCGCTGCAACCCCGCTGCGTTCGAGTTGGGCAAGCGTGACCCTGCTTTTCGAATGCGCGCCGCTGTTTCCTTCCCTGTCCTGTCCCGTCTTCGCAAGTGTTTGGTAAATTATCACCGCCCTCTTTTTTCCTCCTCTTTTTTTCTATTTTAAGGGGGATTCGTTCTGGGGGTACGTTCACGCTTCTCTACTTTGCGACTCGTCACGACACAACCACGTCCTTCATCTCCCTATCGGCTTCCAGGCATCGTCTCCTTTCCTTCAAGTTTGGGTTCTTGATTGTCATCGCTCGAGAAAGACGCTCCACACGTCCGCGACGACACGCGACAACCACTACCACGAGTCACGATACAAAACGCTCTTAACGACGCTTACGACCGTTACGACCTCTACTATCCTTTCCAATTTTGACGCATTAGCTCTAGCTGAGCATCTCGTTGCTCTCGTCCGATACCCATCACATTGCGACTAGCCGTAATTGGCTCGCATCTACAACAACAACAAACCCTATCACATTCATCTTCAATTCCTACTTTCGCCGCAATGGCTTCCGAACCTCGACAGTATCATCCCTTGACCTGCCACGGTCATTCTCGACCTGTCCCGCACATTGCCTTTTCGGCCATCGAGAAGGACCTCGAGAAGAATGATGTCTACTACATGATCTCAGCCTGCAAAGGTGCGCCATTCGTCTTCTTCCAATAGAGCGCATATTGACATGACACAGATGGCAACCCTATGCTTCGCAACGGCATTACTGGCGACTGGTAAGGTCTTCGTCACCTGGGTCTATGCTCCTCTGACATGTCTAGGATCGGCACTTTTATAGGCCACAAAGGTGCTGTTTGGCAGGCTAGACTCAGTCCTGATGCCTCCAACGCAGCAACTGCATCGGCTGATTTTACAGCGTAAGTATTCCCTATGAACGGCGCGTTGCACTGCTCACACCTTCACAGCAAGATTTGGGACACCTACACCGGCGAGTTGCTCTACACTCTCCAGCACGACCACATTGTGCGCGCTATCGCGTACCCACCTGACAACTCCGATCTCATCGCGACTGGTGGCATGGAAAAGAAGCTGCGCATCTTTGATCTTACAGAGCTCGCTGGTTCTGGATCCGGATCTCCTGCCACAATCCCTGCCTCGACTGGTTTCGAGATCGGCGAGGGTGTTCATACTGGCTCCATCAAGTTTATCTGCTGGACTCAGGACCCCAATGTTGTCGTGACCGCGTCCGACAAGACGATCCGATGGCTCGACTTGCCTAGTCGAGCCTGCATCCGACACGAGGTGCTCGATGGAGACATCAAGTCCTGCGAGATGGTGTCTTTAGCTCCTCAGTACGCCTCACCCAGCGATATTGGTGGTGGAAAGCCAGTGCTTGCTGTCGCTGCCGGGAAGACTGCGTACTTCTGGGGTGGTGTTAAGGCAATGGATGAGCTGAAACGCATTACCCTGCCCTACACAATCGCCAGTGTGACGCTCGACGTCAAGGGACGCAAACTGGTAGTTGGCGAGGAACCTGGCACTTGGGCCAAGGTTATTCGATATGACGAGGGTACGGAAATTGACACCCACAAAGGACATCACGGTCCAATCTGGTCAATCGCCTTCTCCCCTGACGGCAAACTTTATGCCACCGGATCAGAAGACGGTACGATCAAACTATGGAAGAACTGTGAGGGATTCTACGGCCTTTGGCGTGGAGGCACTGAGCGAGCTGCTGAGTAGGAGCGCAGCTCCGTTGCTGTCTCAACACCGGACCCCTCTGATACGGATACTCACAAGGCCGAGAGTGTATATACTTCAAAGAGTAGCAATGCTGACGACCTTGAGTGCCAGTCGGCAACATCGTGCATCATCGAGGCAGATGGATAGTTGGAGGCAATTTCGGCTTAGGCTATGTCATACCAGGATTATCTACTAGATCGGATCATCAATATTTTGCGGGAGAGGATGCAGAAACTTTGTTAGACACTACACACACATGGGAAGAGGGCCTCAGGACCGTTGAATCAGAGCAAAAGATTAAATAACTATTTACAGACGCCATTAATACTGGAGTGTACTATCAGCATATGTATATACATGATTAAACCCCATCCCTATGGCAGTCTCAATTATTTCGTGCCTTTCCAATCTCAGATGCATAATGACCTCCTATCTATGTCTATTCACTCTAGACTTAGTTTGTCAACATCTACAGCAGGCATTCATCACAATACTTAACCATTAAAGATGTCAATCATAGCACAAGATGCACAAGCATGACCAGTCACAAACTACGACCAAGAAACCCTACAAGTATTATGCCTACTTCTGCGCAGCCTACGTCCTGGGACATGCTTACTTGGATTTGTTAACATGGTCACGCAGACGCTTCACGGTCTCTTCAAACGGCTCAGTCAGGATGACCATAGCACGCTCGTCGTCGGGCAGCGCCATGAGCTCTTCGTAGTTGAACTTCCCAGGAGGGACCACCACATCCTCGTCACCCGAGGTGTCTGGCTTAGGGACCACGGCGCCGCTTTCAACGGCAGGCTTGTTGACCCAAACCGTGGAAAACCCTTCGGTAAATAGTTGACGCTTGGGGAAGCCCTTGAGGCTCATGACGGGATGGCCGGTGTTAGCAGCGGGGATAGTGATGACTGTGTCGTTCTCAGGGCAGAAATTGACGTTGAGCTTGGGTTTAGGCTCATAGAACTGGGAGGGGTTTTTGGAAGAGCCCTTCAGGATGCTCGTGGGGGCTGATGGTTTGTTAGTCTGGGAAGACATGACGGCCGTCGAGGAGGTGGGTGTTGTGTTGCTGGGTTGGTGTGTGGAGGTAAGACTCCCTGGGAGAGAGAGTAGGATGTCAGTGAAAAGGGTTAGGGGGAAAAGGAAACGAAATTTGGATAGGAAGGATTGAGGAGATTTATACCATCGTTCGTTACTGTTCAGTTGTGGTGTTGTTCTTCATGAGTTCGTAGAATTAAGATGGTGTTCGACCATTCCATAGAGGGACCACCGCTGATTACAACGGGAAACCGCCAACTTTTTGAAGCTATCAGCCTAAAGAGTAGATAAGTGAATGGTTAAGTAGGTTATGGGAGATGGTTTGGTATGTTCGTCACAAGATGGGGTAAGAACTGAGTGGTAGAAGCGGGTACATGTGAACAGATCGTTGACAGCGATTGTTCCAAGAGCATAAGTTAAGGAGGTTTTGAGTGGCTATACGAGAGATCAAGCAAGTTCTAAGCAAGTAGATATTGAACCGAATGCTAGTTCAAAGGTGAGTTAGCTAATATTTGAGAGTTACAGCATTGCACAGCCAGGACTGGATGGATGAACTGCGAGAAAGCACATTGTGACATGGCATCTTCATTGACATTAGCCCAATTGAAAGTACTTTAGTCTTCATATAGTCTGTCATCTTTTACGTGCAGGGCCATGATGGGCTTGCTGTAGCTTAATAGTTCCACTTGTCATTGAGCAGCTTGGTCGCCTGGCCTCACAGCAGGGTAGGCAGTCGCAGAGATCGTGAGTGTGTGACTCGGCGATAATGACAGCGACGACATGTATGTGATTATTTAAACGATTTCAACATTCTTAATAAACTTCTTTTATCATTGTACAAGAGAATAGGCCTTCGTATTCTATAAACTTCGACTTTACGACTCTTCCTCGGTGATGTTGACCTTGCTACAGACGAGGACTGGATAGTCACCTCCAGACGAAGAGCCAAGTATTACGAAGACCTAGGAATTATTTATGTTACCAATGTCAATCTGGAATATTGGACAGGCGTAAGTATCCCTGATCACACTCTCCCGTAAACCTGATGCTGGTTAGGGAGTTGTTCAACTAGGATGGAAAGTCAAGATCTCTGTACATCAACTGGCGACAGCATATGACACCGACGCATAACAGTCGATCAGTCAAGCAATATACTGATGTAGTACCAGCTTAAAGTCCCTGTTCATTCCAATCAACCCAACAATTGCTTGTCATCGCCTACAATCGGCGTGAGGCGAGTTCAGCGCGCGATAAACGCGACAATCTGCACTTTGCCACTAAATCCACTTTCACCTCAGGAGGAACTAGTTTATGTGAAAAGCAGCTACGATATCCAATCCAGATACCTCGATCGAAGGAGCTAGCTGGGGTGCAGCTTGCGCATCTGTGAGCTACCGATGTGTCGCGTTGGGGCATTCGTAAATAGTGGATTCAAGTGAAAGCCAGCTGAACCAAACTAATCGGCCAAGTAACAGCGTGCCGTGTTTATGTTTGATTGAGTTTACCGACTACGAGGTCAATGCTTTAGATCGCGGCTCAAACACGGCTCCGGGCTCTCCAGATTCCAGATCATCAGCGGGTCTACAACTCACCGGCTAGGGATCATAACAATGACCCTCGATACTTCCGGTCTGCTTGCGTTTGTTTCGACCAACTCTTGACCAGCCAGTGTGAACATTCACTCATGGCTCTGCCGTGTCACAAATACTGCGGAACTGTTCTGGACGCTCAATTTATTCCCCCTCTTCAGGTGAGGGTACAGATAGGCGAGCTGAAGTCTTTGGATGCGAGAATAAGGAAGTTTGACACGCCGATCAACGACAGCGTGGAGAGTTGACAAAAGCAGACAAGGGGTGTTGCCCGCTAGCTAACTCGAGCAACCGTTGTAATATGCGGCCGAGTGAGAGGTGCTGCAGACGTGACTGGCTTGAACTGAAGGGGTTCAACGTGGAAGCAGGAGACGTGCTGGATCTCGCGAAGCTAGCGCGGAACTACTGAAGTATGTGTGTGGTATTATGCTGCATGCACACATAGACATTGAGATGTGTTTCCAATCAAGTGTTTGCGCCCAAGGTTGAGAGGCTGGGGAAAGAGATGGAAATCCTGCTTTTCCGTTGATGTACGCAACGGGCGTCAAACAGGCACACTGTTTAACAAAACGGGCTATGATAAGAGAATGAGAGGAGAGAGAACCAGACCCTTTGTTGGAAGCATAGCTGTTGCTGAAAAGCTCGGGTGGCTGCATGCATATCTCCGATGCAGGATTTGTGAGATATCATCTTTCCTCGGGTGCGAGGTGGAGGTGCCACATTCGCCGTCCGGGGGACCGAGCTGCAAGGGAGGTGATTGTGAAATGAGGGGAAGTAAAAAAAAAAGAAGGCCTCAAGATATGGCCAACACGAGGAAAGAACAAAACAAGCAAAGAGTGTGAAGAGTTTGTTGATGGTGTTTGCGTATATACGCAGGGAGAAGGCAGAGGGCATGTCGAGATGCGTTTTTCGAGTTACAGTACATGCGCCACAGCGGAAAGAGAACATTCGTAGGGATCAAGTGTAACTTACAAATGTGCCAAGACGGAGACGTTTACGAAAACGACTTTCCTGTCGATTGATGGGATTTGATGATCCTTGGTGTGAACTGTGGAGAGAGCAGCGATCCGTCCGTCCGAACAGGCTTACTACCAACAGCTTCTAGGCCTAGACATGATAGTGCAGGGGACCATTGTACATCACAGCAGATTGGAGTTGGTTCTTTGCATATGAAGTATCTATTAGCGAAACATCACATGGGAGAAGATCCTGAAGAGCTTCAATGATTGAAGCAGGTGCTTGAGTGATATCATGCTACGCTCGAATGCTGGGGGGTCTGCAAGGGTCGAGAAGACAGAGAGGAATTGATGGCGCTGTGATGTGCAACTAATACGTACATTGAATAGAGGATGCGACATGATGGATTGAACCAGGATAAAAGAAAGAGGCTACATTGGATGAGGAAGATGTGCGTCGTTCACATCGTCTGTGTAAGCGCTGATAGAGCAAGTGCCGACAAAAAAAGAAAGCACAAAGTTTCCTCAACTGAACTAACTGCCGTGCCAGAAAAAGGAATTAATTAAACAATTAATCTTTGCGTTTGCAGCAATCCAACGAGTTCAAGACAATTCATCACACACACTCAACATTGGAAAAGGTTAGCCGACGCGGCCCGCTGCAGGGACGTTTGACGCCTCCGCCGTCTCGGACACGTGCATGGCTCTTTTCTTTTTCCTTCCTTTTCCTCAGCTTTTGACGCTTTGACTCTCCTAGCCCGTTTGTTCAGCTGTACCTATCCTGCGTTTGACTCTCCTTGACGGCGTGGCTAAAATATGGGGAAGCGTACATGAATCAACACATTAGCCGAGACATAAGTGACTATCTTGGCCAAGACATCGAGATTGGAAATTAGATGAGTAGGATGAGATCATAGCGACTGTGATTTGCGTCGGATGCGTTCAAGTTTACGAGTATCCGTATGAAGCCTCGGTGTTTTTTCCTGGTGTTTTCAAGCGGATCCGCGGCTTAGGGCGATCTTTTACTGTTGTTACAGCACTAGGACAGGGCTGACGTTCCTTAGCGAGGGTGATCAAACGCAATTGAGCATGACAGATTGACAGTTGGACGTCATCCACATCGAGATCAAGGACTTATGAGAATCATATCACCTCCAATTTATTGTCCCAACACAATGCAGCAAACCGCCAGATCAGCATCAAAATCCATCCATCGTGATGACACAGAACTGAGACCGGCGCTCACTCTCGGGAGGTACATACACCAGCGTCACTTTGTTTCAGAAGCTAAGGAACCGAAAGCGACACACTAAAGATTGTGACGCCGCAAATCGCCGCAGAGTGCCGCAGACAGCCCGTGCCGGGCCGGGGTTGCTCTACCGCTCTAAACCAGGTGCCCCGGGTCCAGCAACACGGCGAAAGTTTATCGTGCAAACGCGCGACAACGAGAACCCGCGTCTAAAAAAGCATTGAACCTAAACCACCAGGTGGCGACTCCCGGCGCCGAGACGCACCGTATGGTACGGGGACGGGAACGGGCAGGCTCGTGATGAGATGGGAGCATCTCGTGCCCGTAAAAACATCCCATCCCAGGGTGGGGGAATAGCACGGCCTTTTACAACGGACGAACGTTTGGACGAAGATTTCCCGCGATGGGAGGGATGTACTTTTCCACCAAAGAGATGTTGGTAGGGGACCTTTATCTTAACACTACCGTTCCGTCCCGGCACCCTCCGCTCACGCGTTTCTGCAGCCGGTGGTCAGGTCTACTTGGAATGGGCTGTTAGAGACATCAGGCCACTTTCCCTGGACCCCAGTTACAAACAGCACCACGGCCAAAGTAAACGCCCATGATCTTCCGCGTCGGAGAGTCATGATGCGCATCATGATGGGTATTCTCAATTGATGATGGGCTTTTGCAATTATTATTGTCCGTTTGACCAGGATTGGCATGAGACGCCGGACGGGAGCTTGCGTCTAGCGGGTTATCATCGACCCATGATGAGGGAATGCGACGTAATGCCAGGGATAACTGAGCGATGATGATGTGAATGCTCAGGATAGATCGTGATGCTATTCGGATTAATGTGAAGCTCGATCCTTAGCTGCGAGATGGTTCAATTGAAGCTGTGGAATATGTTCACGAGGTATCCGTAAAGAGCACAAATCTTGGCAAAATCTGGAGTTGAGAACAGACGTCGACATGGGTTTGGGATATACATGTATGCACGGCATCAACTGAGTGGAACAAGGGACATCTGTAGCATGTTGTGCATCAATTACTCCTGAATTCAACTTCTGGATATCCCATCTCTTTAACAGTTTTTGACCGCCATAGAGAACAAACTAACAATCCTTGAACTCGAATGATCTCGGCCCCGGTAAGAACATCTCGACAAAGATCAACAAGTATCATATCATATAATTCACCATCTGTCCATCTGCAAGACACAAGTCTCGACTTCCAAAACGTGAAAGCTCACCACGTCCAAGCCTACAGGTAGTAATCCCCGAATTGCCTCTTTCGTACGGAGTTCAAACGCCGTTTCGGCGTTCGCCAAAAACTTCGAACGTTCCTGACCTTCTGGGCGCTCTTCGCTTACCTCGCTACCCATTTCGTCACAGCGCGGAACCGGCGCCGAGGCAATAAGATGGAGATACGTATCGGGCTTCTGACAGGCGGGACGAACCCTGGAAGAGGATGGCCCGGCTAGGATGGGATGGGAAAGAAAGCTGCCCGGCAAGGAAAAGAAGATGCGCTGTAAGACTTCCCCCCCACACTGTGGGTAGGGCCAGGTCTGGAACGATAGGCGAGCAGCGGTCGCGCTTCGGTGAGGACGGATGAATGGAGATGTGAATGGAAGAGAAGCTCGAGTCAATTTGAGGCTGAATCCGGTGATTGTCGTGGATACGAAGACTGGGCATTGACTCTTTTGAGGGATGTGCTTAGTGAACCGAGCTTTACAGCTGTACATTTGGAAGTGCTGTATCCGGAGCTCGGAGGATGGAATGGCTGTATACACGGTCGGCTGAGGATCCTGTCTAACGATTGAGACGTTGGGCGACAAGCCATTGAAGCCGTTGAAGCCTCTACCGGACATTGAAAGCCAACCCTCTAAACAAGCCAAAGAAGCTTACATCGCGAGTCATGATTGGGCGGCAGAACACTCTGACAGGTTCCAATACAGCACACCTTTTCTCGTCTCGCACCTCATGGAAGACAAGGATAATTAGCTGCCACAGTGAAGACGTCTGAGCGTGTGCTAATTCGCGGCGTTCTGGGCCTTCTGGAAGTTCCGAGGTGCAGCGGAAGCGAAGCATGTCAGCATTTTTGACAGCGCGAGCACTGCCGAAGGCGAGAAGGGAAAACTACCTAAGAAAATGACGTTGACGGGAGTTTGTTGAGGAAATCGGAGATGGGCTTGAGACACAGCAACGCCATGTTTCGGTTTTGGCGTTTGGTTTATAGCTGTTGAAGCAAACACCTGTGATTGGCATTAGAAGCTGAAGATCTTCAAACAGCGTTCTCGCTTACTTTGAGCAAACGCACAGGGCACAATCTGGCGCATTCACATTCAGGCTCAGATCACATTTCACATTTTGGACACGTCCAGTACAAACGAGAAAGAACAGAAGCAAGGGGGGTATTTCACAGCATGGAAAAGATTCACCTCTGGACCAACAACATATCATGAGTTACATCCGCTAGCTCAAACGGCGAGTCCACGTCGTGTCGATCACAAACGGGAGCTATTTGCATCCCAGCCGCTTGAGAATAGCGCACCTGTCATAAGCCAAGTCCTGTCAGTAGCCGTTGGCTTACGGGGGTTGACTTGACTCTGCAGCACGATAGCTCCGACAATGTGAATGACAGTGTGAACACGAATCCTCAATTGACTGCTGAGGGAGTCGAGCGCTGATTGTTTAGGCTGTGGGAAATGGGTACGGACGGAAGCGCAAGTGCGAAAACATACGTAGGGACACACAAAGGACCCATTTAGTTAGGGATCCAGAGTTGCAAGTTACCCATGATTTGGACGACAGAATCCCATAACTTGGCCCATGTGCGAGAAGGCATCAGGGATCAATCAATTATCTCTCCCTGGTACAGTTACCGAACCCTGTTCTGTTCCTGTTGGTACGTAGCGCGCCAAAGACAAGACAATGGAAGTTGGGCCCCGCCAGGCTCAAGACTCGGCAGCCCCCGCCCCTTCTAATGGGCGGTCGTATGACGCGGAACACAGCATGCCGGGCGCTGTCGCTCTAAGCCCATTCACCAATCCCTGACTCCTCTCTTCCCCCCCTGGGTGTGTAGCGAAGCTCTTTGGAGGAGGAGGGTAGAGTAACAAAAGAAAAATTAAAATAAGGATTCCCGTTTGCTCGAAGCCTACCCCCAAGCTATATATCGCTTGCCCCGTCTCGCCATCCCCCCTTCCAAAAACAACAAAAGAGGAAGTCTGCCCATTACATGCACTCATCGTAATAATCGAAATACCATCACTCGAGAACTCTCTCCCCACCATCGACCACGTACCACTACCGTCTGATACCCACCACCCAACACCCACCACCGTTACAAACGTTTTACACCACAACACAAAAGACACCACACGATAGAAACAGACTTGATCTATTCTACCGTTTCATCTTTTGTCTCATCATTATTCTTTGGATCAATTCAATTCAAGCTCAATTGACTCGATTCAATCATCCTAAGCTCTTAGCTCTCACACCCTTCTCCATCATACCCCCACACCCCTAGCATTGCTCCTCAGCCTTTGCTCGAGCAATCCACATCACCCATCAGTCAATTATCGACTCTTGTCAAAACCAAAACAACACAATGGCCGACATATCATTCGACTACTTTGATCATTCTCAGAACAAACAGGTACGTTTTCATCTCTATTCTCGGTCCTATTACCCTACATCTGCTGCCCATCGTTTGTCTTGGCCGACAACGTATGTAAATTGTCCACACCCCCTGGTCGACCACAGTCTGGGGCATTGTTTATATGGCACATGTCTTCCCCTCCTCTCCCCTCACCTCACCTCACCTCAGCCCACTCTTCCCATTCGAGCATTCGAGCATTCCACTGCCGTACCATAGCTTCAACAAGCTCATCCATCTATCAACCTCATCTTTATATCCTACCCTCTCACCACAAGCTTTAAGATACACCACACCACAAAGCATCCTATTCTTTCATCATTCACACTCAGACACTCTCAAACATACACGCTTAAGCCTCTTGTTGAATACAACCTAACATCGTCAATAGCACCTCGGTGTTTCTTCCTTCTACGACCCTGCCGACTTCAGTGGTGACTCAGCTCATTCTCCCGACTCACCTCTCTCCCCCGTCTTTGCCAACCCATACCAACTCCCCGTATCCAACGATTGGATAGGCTGGGACGACAAGGCCGCGCTATCACCTGATCTCGACATCCTCCCCAAGCAAGAACCTTTTGACGGCCTCAACCTCTCCACTATCCCATCACGAAACAGTATGGAGCTCAGCCCAGTCGTCAACCCACACGACCTTTCTGGCACCATCAATGATGCCGTGTCCTTTGGCAGAGATGGCCTGAACGACATTGATACTCAGCCTCTCTTCCAGACTCCTATTCCTTCCATCTCTTCTCAGCCTCCTCATCTTCAGTCCATGATGCACTCCAACTCCAACCCTTCTCAGATGTCTTCCTCTCTCGGCAGCATGACCTCCAAGGACGCTGGTCGATATCCTTCGCGCAAGCGCAAGTCTTCGGGCTCCGGAAGCTCTTCTTCACACTCTTCCGTGTCGCCACCTCCCGCGACACGCCGCCACTGCTCTCCCCCCAAGAAGACCGCGCACAACATGATCGAGAAGCGCTACCGCACCAACCTCAACGACAAGATCGCCGCTCTCCGAGATTCGGTCCCTGCGCTTCGCGTCATGGTCCACCGACTCGAGCAACCCTGCGTCGAGAACATGGAAGAGGAGGGCGACGAGGATCTCGGCGGACTTGCCCCAGCCCACAAGCTCAACAAGGCCACCATCCTCAGCAAAGCCACCGAGTACATCGCTCACCTCGAGAAGAAGAACCAGAGCCTCGCCCGTGAGAACAGCCAGCTCCGAAACCGTGTCGAGGGCTTCGAGATGGTCATGATGAGAGATCAGGGGCCCCCAGCTGGCGTCTGGGCATAGACATCTGTTCCAAAGAAAAAGACCTTTAGACTATTGTTTTCTGTGTGATATTATTTTTGGATCGGCAATCTGGAAACGCATGCTTCGAGCTTGTGTGATGAATTATGATATCCTTGGAGTTTTCGGGCGTTTTTAGAAACTGGGAGAGGCAATCTGTTGATTTCACGGCGCATCAAGTGCATTGGCTTGACTCTTCGTCATATGCTTTTTGAACAAAAAGATGGGAATGGCTTCTCATGAAATAGTATAAACAATCTCCAATATACATTTAATGTTCTTTTACAACATTTGGCCCATTCGTTACACTTGTGATAGTCGCACTACGTCTGACAGTAACAAACGGTACAAACGGGAAACGGGGTCACAACAACGGTTGAGCCTCACTCGCTTCTGCCAGGTCGATCCGATGGGTCTCGGAAACAAGAGCAAATGCAGGGACTTTCAAGGAACAACGACATGGGTATTGTGTATATGTGAGTAACACGTGCATGTCAGGCCAGGTCACCCGGTAGATGGAGACGGGCAAAGCTGGCGTGATGCGGATCAGACCACCATGGGTCGGTGGCTCCTGGTCCACACGCGTGGCTGATGGGGGATGACCAGCTGCGTGGGTGAAACGGGTGACGGTGGTATGGATTGTTAAGAGGCGGTGGATGAGTTGGGGAGGATGTTGTTGAGTTGATGGGATGGTGGGATAGGATTTGGGATAGGGAGTGCTTGATAGTGTGGATGTTGGAAGGAGTCAGCGGGATGAGGCTATAGGATGGATGACTAGGACGAGTAGACGCTTCAGTAGAGATGTATGGGTGATTTGCTAGACTTATTGAAACTCTTGAGTACAAGTCAATGAGTGGCTAGAGATAACTGAGATCAATGCTAGTCCTAGCTGTTCAAATTTCGACGATGATGACCTCTAAACAAGTGGCATGGCTGAACAAGCTTGCGTAATCCAACAGTAACCTGAATTGATGTTTGTCTCACATGTCAAATCGAAGCCATGTCTTTCAATGCCACATCAAACTCCTCCGCAATAGTCTCCTCCCAACGCGAGTCATCTTTCAAAGGCATCCATCCCAACTCACGGCTCCTTTCACCATTGGTTAAAGAGCTGTCAGATAGTATTAGCACACGTGAAATAATAGGAGAGGAGGAGTGCAACTTACTGTGAGCATATCGCCGGTTCCGTAAGATTCTCATCGCCACTAAACCAAGCCCGACTCGCTTCAGCCAGCGTAACACTCTTTGGCTCAGCAGGAAGTCTGCCAAGTTGGTGGCCTACCCTGGCGATACCCTTTGCTATATCAAGCCATGACTGCCTTCCTGCATTAGCGAAGTAGAACCCGTCTTTTCCTGATGGAATATCTTCTCTGGCGAGGACTTTGGCTAGGATGAGGGTGTATAGAGCAGCAATGTCTTCGACATGCGTGTGATCCCAGACGCCGAGACCGTTGCCGGCGTAAATAGCTTCACCCCTGACGAGGGCTGATTTTATCAGGATGGGGATTTGGATGGATGACTTGTTGAAAAGACCTGTGCCTCGACCGTAGATCAGGGGTGAGCAGATGATGTATGTCAACACACCGGTCTCAGCACCGAGTTCGAAGACGGCTACGTCGGCTGTTCGCTGGTGATAAGTCTCAATACCCTCACGATACTTCTCATACTCGTAGATATCATCCTTATCAGAGAAGACACGAGGTGGATTCTCAATATACGACCCAGAAACAGGTCTATCACCAAAATTAGAAGTTCCAGAGTTATGAACGTAATGCACAGACTCTCCAGTCCTTGCCTTTCTCTGAGCAAGACCCTTTATCAGAGCTTTCGCAGAAGGGATGTGATACCCATTTGCAGCGTGGATGACAATATCATGCTCTGAAGCTAGCTGCTCTAGGAGTTCTGTGTCGTCGAGGCTTGAGAAAAGAACAGGAGTGATGTTTAACTCAGTGAGAGTATTAGCTTGCTCTTCACGACGAACCAAGGCTGTGATTTGGATATTTTTGAGGGATGGGTGGGAGGAGGTTAGGATGGTGTTGAGAACGCTCCCGCCTCTGGTTTCGTTAGCGTCGTAGGCTGGTTGTGGGTTAGATCTGAGACGTACATGTAGCCTGTGGCGCCAGTAAGGAGAACTTTAGGAGGAGCCATTGGGAAGAAATGGGACTTGAAATTCGTTGGAGCCAGGTTGATTGTGTTTTCATCATTTCAACGCCAAGCAATCAAGACATTGGCTCCCTCACACTAACAAGCCTCTAGACAACAACTAATCGACAGGCAGAACGCGATTGTGTAATCAAAGCATTACTTACCACTCAATTCAGCCAAACAGAACAATTTGAGGGCAGGTTTGTGTTTCGGATGGTGATCTTTAGCGTGACGTTGTAAGGCAGGCAGCAATAGCTATAGCTGACAGACCAATCAGATTCGTGCCCTGGACAGCAGGTTGCACAACCACCAATCAATAGCTTCAGGCAGGGGTGTTAGGCATAAAGGCAGCCATTCCAACTTGACTTCAATGATGCCAAAGACGCCGATTGAGTCACAGCTTCCTCAAGAGAATTGTGGTGTATAAGAAAGAGCTCTTGCTTCTGCTTCATGTTGTTATTCTTCACACTACTCATCTTATCATCTAACATTTGCTCACTCTCGAATCACAAGTGTAACAGCTACGACTTTACTGTATTCACGTTTGAGCTGGACCCACGGACTATCGATTTTGCACTGAACAACACCTTCTTCGTCTTACCTTGCTTTGGTCATCTTGAGATCACGAGACTGAACATTTGCTTATATTGCTTGTTCTTAATTCAAGCCACTTTCCCCTCAACATCATCTGTCTCACTACCCCGCATCATCACCATCACCATCACCATCACCATCATCCTTCAACATGTCTCTTTTTGGTAACCCCCGGCATCAAATTACCAACAGCGGTTGCTACATCTATGTCGACAATATCCTCAAATATCTCCCTCAGGTCCAGGTCAATGCCCACACCACTATTCTAGCCACTACATCCCGCACCAATCTCACACAGACCTTCGTCAATCCCACAACGAACACTATAGACGAACTCCGCTATGTGTTCCCCCTCTACGATGGCGTTTCTGTTGTCGCATTTACCTGCACCGTCGGCTCTCGCGTCATCAAAGGCGTAGTCAAAGAACGACAGAAAGCACAGCAAGTCTACAATAAGGCCAAAGCTAAAGGACAAACCGCTGGTCTTTTCAAGCAATCCCTCAAAGCAGCCGACACTTTCACCACAACTATTGGCAACGTTCCTGGCGGCGAAAAGGTCCAGGTCGAAATCACTTACCTTGGTGAACTCAAGCACGATGCTCAAGTCGATGGCCTTCGCTTTACCATCCCCACACAGATTGTTCCCCGATATGGGAACGCCGAGTCCCTCGAAATTTCTAATGCTATTCAAAAGCAAGGAATATCATTTACCATCGATGTTGAGATGCCCGACGGCTCATCTATCAAGTCTGTTCAGTCACCATCCCACCCGCTTTCTGTTGATATCGGCACCACATCCACCACAAAGTCACAGGATCCCTCCCTCCAGCGGGCTTCTGCCACTCTTCAGCAGGGCACCGACCATTTGGAACAGGACTTCATTGTTCAGGTGGCTACAACAAAGCTTGGAGAGCCATCGGCCATCCTCGAGACGCATCCTACTATTCCCAACCAACGGGCCATTATGACGACGCTCGTCCCCAAGTTCAAGTTGCCAACCGAAAAGCCAGAAATTGTTTTCGTATGCGATCGAAGTGGAAGTATGGGCGGGCAGATCCCTAACCTGAAGGCTGCCCTCGAAATCTTCCTCAAGTCCCTACCTGTTGGTATCAAGTTCAACATTTGCAGTTTCGGTTCCAGATTTACCTTTCTCTGGGAGCGATCCCAGACTTATAGCCAAGAAACCCTGGACAAAGCTGTGCAGCATGTTCAGACTTTCGACGCTAACTACGGAGGAACCGAGATGTACCAACCCTTTGAAGCCACTTTCCAGAAGCGTTACAAGGACATGAACTTGGAAGTCTTCCTGCTGACCGACGGTGAGATCTGGGATCAAGATCGCCTCTTCGAACTTATCAACACCGAGGTAGCTCAGAGTGAGGGTACGGCGAGAGTCTTTACTCTCGGTATAGGAGCTGGCGTCAGCACTTCGCTTATTGAGGGTATTGCTCGAGCCGGCAATGGCTTCGCTCAAACAGTAGGCGACAACGAGAAGATGGACAAGATGGTGGTTCGCATGCTCCGTGGAGCTCTATCCCCTCACATCACCGACTACTCTCTCGAGATCAAGTATGAGAAAGTAGAATCATCCACTGACGACGACGAGTTCGAGCTGGTTGAGAAGGTTACTGAAGGTTTGAAAATTGATACCGCTGAGGTCAGCACGACCAAAGAGAGTGAAGCGCCGAAGAAGCCCATTTCACTATTTGATAACTCTGCCGACGACGACGATACCAGCATGACTGATGCACCCGCGATCGACAACAAGTACGATCATCTTCCTACTGTTTCTGTCCCCCGTTACCTGCAGACACCCAGTCGCATTCCATCACTATTCCCATTTAGCCGCACAACCGTTTATGTGCTCCTCTCCGATGCGACTCCTGCTCAGCAACCCAAGTCTGTCCTTCTCAAGGGTACATCTCGCCATGGTCCTCTAGAGCTTGAGATACCCATCACCACAACTACTGAGAAAGACTCTGTGATCCACTGTCTCGCAGCTCGCAAAGAAGTCAAGGAACTGGAAGAAGGACGAGGATGGCTCACCTATGCCGAGGACAACAGTGGTAAGCTACTCAAAGAGAAGCATGACGGCCACTTCTCAGACATGGTTGAGAGGGAAGCTGTACGCCTGGGTGTCAAGTACCAGGTTGGAGGCAAATGGTGCTCATTTGTCGCTGTTGCAGACAATGAGGATGCGCAGCATGTGGAACAAGCCCAGGAAGCTACCATTGCTGAGCCTAGAAGTGTTGTAGCACCAGCTCGCTCTTTTGCACAGACTGGGATTGGTATGGGAGGCGCTTTTAGTCTGCAATCTATGCCCCGTTCTTTGAACAACCCATTCGGCGCCTCCAGTAGCTCGACTTCGCTTTTCGGAAATTCCAGAGCAATGAACACCGGTGGTGGTTTGTTCGGAGCCGCCCCAGGAGGATCATCCAGTGGAGGACTTTTTGGCAGCGCTCAGCCTCCACCACCACCTGCCCCGGCAGGATCTGCTAACACCGGCGGCGGTTTGTTTGGATTTGCCCCAGGAGGATTATCTAACACCGGTGGTGGTCTGTTTGGAGCTGCCCCGAGAGGATCATTTGGTACGAGCGGAGGGCTGTTTGGCAGCGCTCATCCCCCTCCACCCATCGCAAGCAACCGTAACGACGAACCACCAATTGTCCAAGCCGCAGCTCTTGCACCCCCTGCTGCTGAGGTTGATGAACAGTTGCTAGCTCAGTACCGAAGTGAGATGGACGAGGCTGCAGCTATGCCACTTATAGACTATAGTGACGAAGAGAATGAAGAAAACGATTCTGGTCAAGACATGGGCTTTTGTTTTTTTGACGGTGGAGGACCCGCTGCTCCCGCTGCTCCCGCTGCCCCCCAAGTGCCCCAGCAGGCCCCGACTCCCGCCCAGAAGAAGACAAGCGAGATAAGCCCGCTGCAAGCCCTCACCACCTTGCAGACCTTCTCCGGCAGTTGGTCATGGAGTGCTGACCTGGAGCGCGTACTTGGTTTTACTGCTGAGACAATTTCCAAGATTGAACTTCCTGCAGTTGTCAGGGATCACACAGAGAAGGAAAGCATCCTCGCTACGGCCTGTGCTGTTCTCTTCTTCAAGAAGAAGCTCATGGATGAGAAAGATACTTGGGAGATGTTGGTGGAGAAGGCTGAGGGATGGTTGGAGGATAGTATTGGGGAGGATGGTGTCAGTGAGCTTGATAGTATGCTTGAGAAGCTCTTCTAGGTAGTTATCCAGTATTGGCTGCAACAGCCTGTGTTTGTCATGGAAGGCAATAATTGAGAATGAATTATTTCCCAAGGTTTACGAATACATTGATCTTATTAGTGTGAATACTGGTGGTGCTCTTCTAAAATCAGGGAGGAAACGCGATGTACAATAGAAGGCATGGGTGAAGGCAATATTGAACGGTACCTTTTACCACAGCACTGTCAACTTTCCTTAATTCTGAGGAGGCTCTTATACATACCTACCTAGGAATATGCGCTATGCACTATGGTGGGCACATACAACTTGTAGTAGCTTCCTCTTATATTCTCTAGCACATTTACTCTACTAAACTTGATAAAAGTTGTATCAAAAGTTTCCTAATTACTATAAATTTTATGCTATTCTTACGGTCCTATAGTGACTTCGGTAGACCTTCAATTCTGGATAATTGTGAGAAATTTTGCATAGGACTCTATCGATATTTACAGCTGACTCGTAAGCCATCATGGCAAAACTCAAGATATTTCGAACCCGTGTTTCAGCCAATGTAGTCAAACACTGCGCAGCTATGAATATTCATGTCTTTCGAAAACATTCATGTTGACTATAAATGGTGACTCAATAACGACACCACTGGACAAAAAGCTATATTGGAATCAGGACCCAGAAGCCTTATCCTTATGTTTTGTAACTATGAAACACTCTTCTCATCATTGATGTAAGCAAAACTTAATCACAAGACGTCTTATCTTGGCGGGACTTATTACCGAATTGGGTGCGTCATATCCGGAACCCCTCAAACATGATATGCGGAGAACTTCGCAGATAGTCTCAACTTAACTCCAACACTCAATTCCATTCAAGTATATCATTTGAGACCAATAAAGATGTTCGAAGATATCACTCAGCCGCCAAAGCCACTGCCCGCACCTGAGCTCAAGGTTGTCAGGCCGGGTATATCACTACTCCCCCCACTATCGCGCCGGGGCCACGGGCCTGGACTTGTCGTCCTCACACCAGCTTCAGGAGATGTTTTAGAGATCAAAGATGGTGTCCCATCGGTTCTTGTCAAATGGGCTGAAGAAGGATATACTGTCGTCCAGATTGAATCATCTGTGTTTGATGGTATCAGCAGTCAATCTGTCATTGCTGAAGCGCTTGAGGCTTTGACTCAATGCGATAAGTGCAACGAGGGCAGGATTGGTTTAGTTGGTAAGATCACAACCATCATTATTACTACTTGGTAGCTAACAGGGTGTAGTATACGCTCCAGAACTCTGGAATACCGTCGCTTCATGCTTGATCGGAGTCTCCGACATCGTGGCAGCAGTACTTTACATCGATCAAGCCAACCAGTCAGAACTCTCATCCATAGACATTCCTCTTCTACAGCACATAGTAGGATCAGCTACAAAGCACAGCGCTAACAAGGCACTTGGCGTCGAGTATCTCTACCCCAAGGCGCAAAGCCATGCGTTCGCAACACCTTTCCACCAGCACTTTGACTATAACATGGAGTCCGTCTCGCATACGAGGAACCTTCAATTTCTCAAACCGAAGGTTGGGGGGCCATACTTTGATCTAGAGCATATCTGGGAGGAACATACTCATTATGAATTTGCCGATCGGTCTGTTGAGCATACGATGAGTACCATGGTTCAGGAGCCTTATGTCAATCATATTCCAACAGTAAGTCGTTTGCTCAAAAGTTTCGGCAATAGTTCTGACGGGGATTGCAGTTGACTGGCGGGATCGGCCGCGAGAAACTCTCTGACTTTTACCGTCATAACTTCATCTTCAATAACTCGGCAGATTCCGAATTGGATCTAATAAGCCGGACCGTTGGTATCGACAGGGTTGTTGATGAGTTCATCTTTAAGTTCACTCACGACCAGGAAGTTCCTTGGATGTAAGTACTCCCGTTCGCTGATGCGTCACCTGCTCAACGTATATAGGCTGCCTGGCGTTCCGCCTACAAACATCAAGGCCGAGGTACCATTCACAGCTGTCGTCAATATCCGAGGAGACAGACTATACCACGAACATATATCTTGGGACCAAGGAACTCTTCTGCGACAGTTAGGTTTGTTGCCAGAGTATCTGCCGTTCCCGTACGCCCTTCCGGATGGCCGTACTGCTGATGGGGGCTTCGAATATCGTGTACCGGTGGCGGGCAAGGAGACGGCAGTTAAGGTGAGGGATAGACATGGAGTAGGATCGAACCAGATGTTTTCTTATGAGGTTCGTGAGAGGCAGACTTAGATTAAACGGAGCATCTTAAAAAGCAAGCATTTCAAATAAAACAGGTTCGAGGGCAGATTGCTGTTTTCTGCCGTGTGGCGTCCAACCTCCGCATTGAGAGCCTGTAATGTTACGATCAGCCTGCCACACAATTGGAATATGTCTTAATTAACGCCTGTTGGTAGGCCGCCACCTAATTCGAGGCTCTATTGTTAAGACGCCACATTTAAGCGACATGCCTGTGGGTTTGCGAAAATGCCATTCTCGTCAGATCGAGGGTGTCGTGGTGGAAGTCAATCGGGCACTCTCTCGTTCTTCGTTCTGTGAAATTGGAGGATATTTTACAGCTGTGCGATTGGCAACTCGTTGATGTGAAGTGTTAAAAGATGAGATATCATTTGGTGCTATGGCTATATCTGGTGTGCTGGGTTAGTCGCCACACAAAGACTTTGTTGTTGGTTGTCCATGTAAGGGGTGGTCGACCTGAAGTGCGCCTTGCAAGGGTCTGCATTAAGCAGGGAAGACCTACCAGATTCAAAAATAAGTTTTGATGAGCATGTCTGTCAAATACACAGTATCTGCCATCAAGTCTCCTTCGCCATGGAGTGGCCGTCGCAGATCACCAGATCAGAGTGTCACTTCCGGATGAGCTGCTGAGGCAAGATCCTTCAAAGCCCAAAGCAACATCAATGGTATTGATGCCATGCCTAAAGCTCCGGGGCCGAGTACACGTCCTATTGACCGATTTACCGGGTCTGGAATGCGGGTGTTTTGCCTCAATAGAGGTCACGCAATTGGCTTTTCGCCTTTCTGCTTTAGGAACCAGCCGGATTCAGAATATGTCTTACAGAACGTAAGGGCTGTCTCATTCTGTGGCTTGCCAGATAACTCATCGTTTCCTTCTATGAGATTTGGCTCGCTACTTTCATTCTTCCATCATCTGTTGGTGGCTCATTGTCAACGTTCTCCGATCGTTACACAAGCTATAATAACATTATCTATTTGAGAAAGTACATCTAGACCATCATGGCGATGGGAGGGGACGGACCGTGGGTCGTTACTGTTATGTGGTCGTTAACGGCCATCGGAACTGTCTTTGTCGCTCTTAGGATATACACCAGAGTCGTTATCGTCAAGTCATTCGGTGTTGACGATCATGTTTACAACCTTGCTTTCGTACGTAACACTCTCAAATAGTTGTACTCTACTAACGATCCTTGCGATAGGCCTGCCTTCTCTTCAACACAATTTTCATGACTGTAGGGGTACACTATGGCCTAGGACAGAACCTCCCCGATATATTGGAAAACGATCCAGACGACCTACCCCCTGCGCTTATCTATGAAGCCACGAGCCAAACGTTTGCAATACTCGGCATGAGCATCGCCAAGTGGTCCCTTGGCCTTTTCTTACTGCGGCTTGTCCAAGAGCAATGGCACAAGGTCGCTATCTGGCTGTCGATGGGATGTCTCATGGCAGCTTCTGTGGCAGTCTGCTTTGTTTACTGGTTTCAGTGCACTCCACCTCAATATCTCTGGAACCGTCGTATAAAAGGACGTTGTATAATTGATACAGCTCCCGTGTCTATGCTACTGTGCAGTGAGTCAGATACTACCCTTTCTGGTATTGATCTAATTGTGATAGTTCTTTGTGTCGTGGTCGATCTCTTTCTAGCTGGCTTCCCCTGGTTATTCATCTGGGGTTTACAGATGAAAAGAAAAGAGAAGATCATCATTCTCAGCAGCCTCAGCCTCGGTATCTTGTATGTTTCATCTATCACCTATCTTCAGGCTTTGCTAAACACTATTTTAGTGCTGGGGCGTTTGGAATAAAACGAACCCTTGAAATCCCAAAACTCAAAAGTCCAAACCATACTAGTCAGTATCCCTCAAGACTATCTGAGCTCGATCTAATTTTCATACAGAGGACCCTATGGGACTGATTGCCTGGACCGCTGCCGAAATGACCGTAACAATGATCTGCATCGGCATCCCAGTCTGCCGGCCTCTCTGGAAGCAGTGTTTCAACAAATGGACCACTCGTGGGGACAGTAAGTCCCGCGAGCCTAACTCTGCAGGCTCATTTCCCCTGCAAACTATCGGTGGAAACACATCGCGTCCTAAACCCTCCCACCAAAGAGACAGCATATTCGACCCGGACGATGTGTTGGGAGAACAAGATCGTAAAACTGGTATTCGGGGTTCGACTACCAAGACGAGACCATATTCGTGGGGCTTGGAAAGGGCTCGGGGGGATAATCAAAGTGAGGAAGAGATCTTGGGAGATGAGTTCCGGAGGGGTCAGAGAGAGGATCTTGAGGCACAGAGCAACAATCAAGTGATATATGGGGTCTCGACTTCTGAAAGGAGTTTATGACTGCAGACAGAAATATCGAGTATGAGTAAGCTGAGCCTACGGTCTTTACTGTGTTTATTTCATTCAGCCGCAACATGAACGGACCAGTAAAAGGAAACACGTGTCTACGAGTCTACCTAGGCCATCTTTCCATATAATTACCCAATTTTCTGTTTAAACAAGATCGATGACTATATTGGCTAATATTCTATTTTAGTACAAACCTCTGCGGATCTTTTTGTGGTAGCGCTTCGGTCAGTTGCTGATTGGAGAGCATAGCGCTTAGCATTGCAGGACAGAGATCGAGCCATGGACGCTTAGCCGCCCAGAGCTCTGTTAAAAGAGCGAGATTCCCTCGATTTATCTAATAATTCAAATATTATTCTTAAACCGTTTTGCATCTACGAGAAACATGAAGCAATTACACATAACTGAATATACCTTTGGCTGGATCTGCGCCCTTCCCGAAGAATTCCTCGCAGCTCAATCATTTCTCGACGAAGACCATGGCCAACCCACGTTTCGCTTACCAAGGGACACCAATTCATACTGGCTAGGCGCCATTGGAAAGCACAATATCGTTATGGCTGTCCTACCAAGGGGTGATGACGGAACTGCCTCAGCTGCTGCAGTTGCAACAAACTTACTCCGAAGCTTTCCCAACGTCAAGTATGGTGTTATGGTTGGAGTTGGCGGTGGTGCACCACAACTTCCTGATCATGACATTCGCTTAGGCGACGTCGTGGTCAGCAGCCCAGGGAATGGCCACAGTGGAGTCTTTCAGTACGATTTTGGGAAATACATACAAGACAAGAAGTATCAGTATACGCGATCATTGAGTCAACCGCCCCAAGCTTTACTCACTGCAATGGCGGGGCTCCAAACATATTATGAGAAAAACGGTAACGGTCTGTTAGAGGCTGTGGATGAGATTCTCAAGAATCAACCTGGGCTGAGGAAAAAGTATGGTCGACCATCGCCTGATACGGACGTGCTCTTCAAGTCCAATGTCGTCCATGGTGATGACCCTTGCGCCTCAACCTGCGGCATGTACCCAGCAAATACGATTCCCCGCCCAGAGAGAGAACGAGGTATCGACGACGAGTGCGCTATTCACTACGGAACCATTGCTTCTGGTAATAGCGTAATGAGAGACGCAGTCCTGCGCGACAGACTTGCGGTAGGCAGTAAAGCTCTATGTTTTGAGATGCAGGCAGCAGGATTGATGAATATCTTCCCCTGTCTTGTCGTTCGTGGCATATGCAATTATGCAGACACTCACAGTTCCAAAGAATGGCGGGGATATGCTGCGATGGTAGCCGCTGCCTACGCTAGAGATCTCATCCGCTATCTCGCTCCGGAACTGGTTTCATTGGGACAAAATGCAAACTCTATTTCCGATAGTAAGTCATCATCCTCAAGATACAAAATTGTGTTTCATTTGATCTAACTCTAGAAATAGTCCAAGGAGCTCATGTCGAGTCGAGCGCTGTTGTCACAGGTTCCGAGCCACGGCGACTTGGCCAAGGGGAACGAGTTACGCAGAGTTGGCTTGTATATAGAGATTCTGGTGCACAGCAGATCGATATATCCCGAGAAGACAGCAATATACTTGCCAATAGACGCTAGGGGCTGCTCTATTTCGGTTGAGTGAAGGGTAGAGACCAAAGCTTGGCATGTCGAAAGTTAGGAGAACAAATACTCGACTATATCAACAGTCATACATGTGGCAGATACAGAGGTCTTTTCATGAATGTAAACTATTTTGATTTTGTTTTACTTTACTTTAACCTTCAATTTTATCAAGCCCAGGCTTTCCAAATCCAACTATCTAGTTAGGTTATACTCAGACCCTCATATGGTCTTTTGGCTATTTCTTGAAGTCGTATAGCACTGGCCTATCTGAATTGGTTTAGGAACGGAACTTCCAACACTTCTACAATTGGTGAAAGATGCCATTGGCTTAACAACTGAACGATCTGACTTGATCTTGCGGCTTAGTTTGGCCTTGAGTTTATCATGGGTGATTTTGTCCAAATCTATAATGGTGAGTATAAGAATTTCGCTCGGGCTTCCCTGTGTAACTACGAAATTTCGGTGAAGATCTCTCTCCGGACGTTAGTAACCATGAGTGAAGCAATGGTGAACGGGCAGAACTCCCAGAGACGATTGTATGCCGCAACAACGAATAAGGATAGAAGACTATGAATGGAGATATTGGACTTTTATACTGGGTATTGATCCGGAGCATTCTAATTCATGATCACTTACAACTTATAAGTCGAAGTTCTTTGACTTTCCTGTGTTGTGTCAGCGTACCAAGCAGGAGTGTTGTTGTCTCGCACTGCAGACCACTGGGGCACACGACAACCCAAGCATCCGTCTGGGGTACTATTGTCTTACTAGGATCACCCAAGTCTCGAGTAAAACAACAAAGCAAATACTCCGTAAAGACGAGGGAGATGAAAGGTGCATGCGCTAGCAGTCCAGCATCAAAGTTGTGGATCGGCCGCTAATTGACTGTCAATGTCAATTAGACGATGGTTGCTATGAAGCCAATGCAGAGGCTATGCAAAGACAAGGCCATACGTTTATGAAAAGGTCTGTGCAGTAAGCAAAACAACAATAAGAGCACTGGTAAAAATGCGGGAAGGGCTCGTGATACTGACAATTACTGTTACCATCTGCGTAAGTATCTGGTTGTCGAGGTATCAAGCGAAACATTATCTCTAGTAAACGTCACGCGTTAAATCAGCAGCAACAACATGTTTATTTACAGAAGGAATTCCAGCTGTGTGGCGAGTCATTCTGAAACTACGCCTAATGTTTCACCAGCTGACGGCGATCTGCTAGGCCTGACAGGAAGATGACAGGTAAGATCCGTGGCTAATTACCCGTATCCGTTAAACAATGGTAAATGGAGAAAGCCCATAAAAATCAGCTCATGGCGAAAACACCAAGAAAAGGATAAGGAACAAATACCCGAGATATATTCGAGAAACAAGGAAAAAAGAAAAGAAGACGCAGGGAGTAAGGGATAAGTATCCGTAAGAAAAAGGAAGAAACCTGGTTTTGGCCTTCTAGGCGAGTCGGAATCTCAGTCGCACACCACCAAATCCCGGAATGCCCATGCTTACAGTTGATCCTAAACAATTGCAGCATGCACAAATTCCCCATTTCCCAGCCAATCCATTCCACACATCGAGATCATTCCCTGCATCCGCGCAGTCCGGGAAATACGGAATATTAGCCCTTGTCGAATCATGCGAGTCAATGCAGCCCAAAAGGCAAGGGTCTCACTACAAGCCTTGGCCTGCAAACAAATGGATAACAAAAGGGGAAAACGTCATTCCAGCGGAGAGAAAGAAACACACAGGGAGAAAGACAGACAAGACAAGAAAAAAAAAGAAGGGCTGTGGATCCTCCTTTGGGCTTCCGCACATTGGCACATTGGAACCCGAACTAGGATGACCCTGAGATTTTAAGATTGCAATTTCAGGTACACGGGCCATTCCATTGGTTTTCAAACCTGGCCCCCCCGAGCCATAGCCAGGTTGGGCATTGTTTTTGGGTGCAATTGCAAGAAAAGAGCAGGTCCCTAACTCATGTCTATGCACCCCGGAAAACGCAGGGACCTGGAGTAGGATTTGCCAAAAACATATATATCTAGGGGAAGCTGTCGCCGTCGGACGAGAGGGAGGTTTTTCTGTATACCATTCTTGTCATCTCAAGCCTACGCGGACGAAGTCATTAGTCGCTTTCTCTTTCTAAAAGTAAAGCAGTGCACAATGGCGCAAGGACTAAGCTTCGTCCAGCTCGAGCAGGCTGCTCTTCACATCATCCGTCTCATCGCAGACACTCCCGGCCTTGAGAACACTCGGCTGGCTATTACCGGTGACTTGGCTGTCACCAAGTACCTGTCGCGTCAAGACCGTCGCATAACCGTACGTCTCCCATTTAATTGCCCTCTATTTATCAGGTCTCTAACACTCAGCAGAGCATCGACTTTGTCATCAGCAAGTCCTCCTCCCCCGGCCGCGTCAAGAAGGAAATCGTCGGCCACCCCATCTCGCCGCTCGTCGAAAAGTCCGGCGTCGTTCTTTACCGCCACACAAGCGGCTGGGAGATCGAAGTCAAGCTCATCCCGGACTGGCTGAGCCCCTACCTCCCCGACACCGCCAAGCGCGTGCGCGATGTCGCCGGCGAAGCCACCCTGCCCTACACCTCGCTCACCGACATCATCATCTTCAAGATGGACGCCTGCGGCCTGCACGAGAACGACAAGAGCAAGCGACGCGACGCCTGCGACGCCGCCGATCTGCTGGACCTTGCCTCCGAGCATGGTGCTCTGAAGCTCGACGAGGACAAGACGGAGCGAGCTGAGGAGGCGCTGGCTGATATGGTTGAGTTCTCTGATGAGCATGACAAGGGCTGGTGGCAGCGCTGCCTAGGAATGGTCAACGACAAGCCTCGCACACCACAGGAGATCCTCTCCGACATCGCCGAGCGTCCACAGACCGCATCATCCCGCTCATCTGTACACTCATCCATCTCGCGCGCATCATCCTACACCAGCAACGCCTCATCGCACTCGTCCGCATCCTCCATCTCCTCCACCGCCACCTTCGACGACAAATCCCCCAAGTCGCCGATCCCCGAAAAGAACGGCCGCACTCGCAAGATGAGCGTCACCAAGAAGCCCTCCCGCCATAAGCGCCACACCTCCATTGGCGCATCCACCTCCATCAACGCACTTGATGCACACATGCACCGCCTTGAGCTTGACCGCCCCGCGTCGCCTGGCATCGCACTCACCAACCGCATTTAATTTTTTTTTCTTTTCTTCTCTTACATTTCCATTATCTTTTTGTCACTGTTATGTATAGGAGTTGGGAACAAAAATGGGAAGGTCAGCGCTACTTTTTATGTACATCATGGGATACCCCTCGATACCCTCAAATTCTTTTGTAGCTAGCGTGTAATTTACTGTGTATGGTGGTTAGGAGGAAGGACAATTTTGAGGAGAAGCTTTGGGACGCGTACAAAAAAGTCTGGAGTTTTGTTGAGAGGGAAAATGGGGATTATTTTTCATGTTTATATTGGTGGGATCATTCGGCTGTACTTAGACCTTCTTCACTCTAGATTCTTTTTGTCAATAAGCAAGCGAATTGTTTACAGTCTTGATGGTGTTGAGTGACGGGTCGCATGTTTGGGATGATGGCTTGTTTTGGAATGTCAGCACGTGGGCACGACAACCTTAATGCGACGTCGTCATTGTGTAGCTTTAATTTACAGATATGGTACTTGTTCGTGCCAGTAAACCTCACTACTATACATGTCTATTAATACATTTGATACCGAGAAGCATGTATGCGGAATGTAATGTCCATACTACACCCAAGTTTGGTTCAAGATGTTGGTGCAGGGTAGCCAGCGGGCGCAAGACATAACACAACGACTCTCACCATTTACAAGGATCTATAGAAGTAAAAAGCCAATGCTCCGTTGAATTGACCAGTCTACAGTTTCAATCACTTTAATGCACCATCGTCGTCATCGTACAGGTAACGCCTTAGGACAGACCCAGAACTTTATCAAGTCGCAGGCATATGCAGTGTCTTGCAACCCAAGGCCCACAAACAAGACGACAGCAAAAAGCTTATTGTGAGGAACTTGCATATCCCTACACCAAAAACTTGGATCTTGTTTTAAATTAAACACATTTGGGCACCCACAGTCCAAAAGCTTAGGAACCTAAGACCCCTGCACGGAAATATGAACTTTAGCGAGTTTCTGAAGCCCTACCCGAAGCCGAAGTCTGACCGTTTCATGCCACTCAACGAGTTGATAAAATTTGCGTTTTCTACCGAGATAGAGGAATTATTAAACCAATTCTCCAGATCATAGCAAGATAAATGATGATAAGTGCTCACCTACTTGCCAGGAATTACTTCATTCAACCAGGGAGTTGTGAATTTGTCTCGTAATTATCAGACCATTCCTCCTGGAGTGGAGTTTTCGGCTCCGAGCCCAACTAGGCTACCGGGCTGTCACACCAAATTGAACTTATTCCCGGCAGAAATTTCGACGATCAAGCACAAGCCGTTCCCACTCCTAATCGTGGGACCCGTTCGCTAACAAGCAGAGACCTGGGAATAATAATTGATACGAGAGTTGAGCCAAGCGAAACCCACTCGCTACGTCATGAGTCGCAAAGAATGCCGAGGATGGACCGTTCCATTGTGTTTATTTCCCCGGCAGGGCTGGCGGTAGGAGATTCGATGTGGTGTTGTATCCGCGTATCGCTGCACTATTCTTCATCTGCGAACTAGGATTAGTTCTAACCAAGGAAGCTTTTTATGCTTAGCCTGTCGGGTCTGATCCAGTCAGACTGTAACCCCCAAGAAAGATATGCCTGTTTTACGGTATTGTCGGTGAACAGGATGAGAATGGCATAGCCTGACTGGCCGGAGAGGAAGTTAGGTCCTTTTCGTTGACAAAGATAGTATGACGTTGACTTTATGCTGATTCCGTCAGTGCGAGATTATCTATTGTTTACCAAATTTCCTAGCATAGAGTACTAGAAATCTTCGCTTCTTCAATGTGTGGAAATCAACTGTATCTGGACGTTGTCAGACACAAAGTAAACTGCCGGGCATTGGTTAGTCGTTCGAGGCCGTAATCGTAAGGCTCGACATGTTTAATACTCTAAAAAAACGGAATCAATAAAACGATTATGAAGAAAAGAAATCGGAGTTGTCATTTCAATGCTTAGAAGTGTCAAGTCTATCCTGTCTCGTCCCTTATGATATTAAACAGTTTCCCTGAGCGAAACTTAATGCTTGATACTCAAGCCCGATGAGACCGTTTTCACGGCGTATCCAATTAGACATTTGATGATTCAACATAATAACAACCTTGGGTAACGGGCCACAGCAACCCGACTAAAGCGACGATTAAAGATAATCATTCAAGGACTCAATGAGGGCGTATGCTCTCTTATACCTGGTATATACCAGCTACGTACATACATGAGAACTAAATCGTCGTGTTTTCAACCTCGATACAGCCGTCGATACGGATACAGATAGCAGTATTATTCTTGGCCTGGCCCAGAATGGAGTACCTGGCAGGTGTGCTTAGTTCTAAATCGACTATCCTGATGCGTTGATTGATGAGTGGAAGAGCTCTAATAGAGACTATTGGTTCGCCAGCACCGTAAGGAATGCGCTTATACATGGATCTTACAATTACTCTGTCTGTTCTGGTCTAGTTACCATATCCAACTCCAACTCCAACCATTCCCAGCCTGCAATCTATGTAACACAAACAGTATCCCTGTGCCTTACGTTAGTGTGGCTATATCGACCTCAGTTGCTAGAACCAGTCATTGCAATACTATAGGAGGTATGTGAAATATTAATGAAGATAGGCAAAACAACTCTGGTAGGATGTTTCTCGGCGTCCAATAAGATCAACATCAGTGCGAATCCCAAACATAAAGCATCCAATCACAACATCCTGAGAGCGGCTGGCCCCGCTGTCAGCCCTAGCATCTTACATGTACAGGGGTAATCTCAACTACAGTTGCGACAAGACCGTCACTTGGTACAGGTGTTGAATGTGACACCTACGACTATAAGATACAATGGAACCCCTTCCTTCAATAAATTTGCAAACAAATTTCTCGAGTCTTTCAATCAGACGTTATGGCTGGTACTTCACTATTCTACGCCAGTGCCTTGGCACTACTAAGTTACCTCCTCCTCAAGCACATCCATCAACGCAGCAAAGGTCCATTACCACCGGGCCCAAAAGGTCTACCACTCCTCGGGAACATACGAGATCTCCCACCTCCCGGGACCTTAGAATGGCCGCATTGGCAGAAACACAAAGAGAAATATGGTCCTATCAGCTCCGTCTCCGTCCTTGGCCAGCTTTTTGTTATTTTGCATGACAAGCAGGCCATTATGGATCTGTTGGAAACACGGGCTTTGAAGAGTGCTTCGCGGCCAAAATTGGTATTTGCGGGTGACGTGTAAGGCTGGATTTCTCAGAATGTGGATGCATGTACTGACCTGTGATGCTTAGAGTCGGATATGACAGTATTATGGGCATGATGCCGTATAATCGAACATTTAGACTACATCGAAAGCTGACAGCGACGCAAGTCAGCAACAAGTCAATAGTCAGATTCGAGCCTATTCAAGAGCTCGAGGTCTTGCGATTACTGAAACGCATCCACGCTGATCCCAACAGCGAGAACCTACCGGATCATCTGAACCAGTAAGCAACACTTTATCATAATGAGAGCAATTCTAAAATCTTTCTAGAGTATCGGGTTCCATCATGCTCCGCATTCTCTACAACTACGAGACAGACCCCTCAAAGAATGACCCCATAGTCGCCACAGCCAATCAAGTGATGGAAGACTTCTCCAAAGCTACAAGCCCAGGCGCCTGGATGGTGGACTTGATACCATGGCTTCGATGTATCCCTGAGTGGATGCCAGGCTCCGGGTTCAAGCAAGTAGCAAAGACATACAGGGAGAATCTGCAGCAGGGAGTTGAGATACCGTATAACTACGTCCGAGAGCAAATGACCTCTGGTAACGACGATGTCTCTTACGTCGCGGGGCTGATTAAAGATGTCCATCGCAATATTGATCCTGAAGAAGAACGTGTCATCCAGTGGACGGCCGCTTCTATGATGAACGCCGGTACCGACACGACTGGAGCGATGCTTCTTGCAGTATTTGTAGCCATGGTTATCTACCCCGACGTTCAGAAACGTGCTCAAGTAGAAATCGACCGCGTTGTCGGCGACTCCCGTCTCCCGTCTCTATCTGACAAGCACAATCTCCCGTACATCAACGCAATCGCCCAAGAAGCACTTCGCTGGCACACCCTCGCCCCAATGGGTTTCCCACACATGACAACAGAAGACGACATCTACAAAGGCTACTTCATCCCTAAAAACACGCTCTTGTTCCCCGCAGCGGCATCTCTCACACACGATCCGGAGGTCTACCACTCACCGATGGAATTCAAGCCCGAGCGCTTTTCAGAGCCGTACAATGAGCCCCTGCCGACGGATATAGTGTTTGGATTTGGACGCAGGGCGTGTCCGGGGCGATGGATTGCAGATCAGACGATGTTTCTTGCTATTGCGCAGACTTTGGCTGTTTTCGACATTAAGAAGGCTTTGGATGAGGATGGGAATGAGATTGATGTTGTGTATGAGCAGTTGCCGGGTGTGATTGCGCGGGTGAAGCCTTTTCCTCATCGGATTGTGCTTAGAAGTGAGAGGCACGGGAGATTCTTAGAGTAGATAGGCTTTGCTAGAAAGCCCGCGTATGAGCTTTTGATCTTTTCCATAATACAAAGTTCTTCCCGTCAACTGAGTAGAGTAGGAAAGAGTCTTGAACCAAATATGTATTGGCTGTAATATGCAACGTCTGTAGAAGCTTAAAAGCCATGAAGGATAGAATAGTGGTGTCGTAGAACGTGTCGCTGAGCCATGAACGCCAAGTGATTACATCGCTGACGACATCAACTATTCGTGATAATTCTCCAACAAGAGCAAAGCCAATCTAGACCTATAACTCGCAAAAGCAGCCAATACGAAGAAACATCTATAACAGGAAAAGCCATTCGAGGCTCCAAACACAGCCTCCACGACACGTCAAAGGAGCCGAATCCTCGGTCTCGCTTACACCCTCAAGCTAACCAAATGCGTCTACTCATTCGAGCCTGCAACTTATCCGGGATCCTCTATTGGTTCAGTGGCTAGACGTCGATCCTAGGGCTGAAACGTTGCGAGGGAAGCTCTGCCGCTTTAACCGATGACGAAGTGGCAGCGCAAGTTGAAGTTTATCATTTAAGACTTCAGTCTCGCTCAACAATTGAGGATTAAACAGATCATCTCATTCAATCAACCTCTGCAGCTCTACTACCAATCAATTTTACACCAATATCTCATATTCCAATCTCATCATGTCTTCCAGCAAAGAAGCAGAACATGTCGCCAACCAATCCCAACAACAACCTCCCGCACCAGCCTACCAAGAAGAATCTCCATCAACCTCCGGCGAAAAGCTGCCCAGCGCCGAAAACCCCTTCAACTTCCCCGCAGAGACCTCTTCACTGCCCACATACTCAGAAGCCTCAACCAGCCAACGCACACCCATCGCCATTCCCCAGGAGAGCCCCACGCCCACATCTCCCTTCCTTAAGGTCTACGCCCCAGCTCTTCTAGGCCATGGCATCACAAAGGAAGCCTGGGCTGCGTTTCTTGACACGATATCTGCGTTCATGACTGCAAAGGTCGGTGAGCGGGCTATCAACCACGCTGGGGATGTCGCCAAGAGTGTCGGTCAGCAACCGGTCAACTACGTAAAAAACGTCGGAGATCACGCAAAGCAAGTCGGCAAGAACATTGCTTCCAATGCGAAAAAGGGCAACATTCTCGGCGCAGCATTTGGTATCGTCGGCGGCGCCATCTCAATCCCAGTGGGTGCAGCTTTGGGTGCTGTAGGAACTGTCGTTGGTCTTCCAGGACGAACCATCGCCGCCGCCGTGCGCAAGCCAAAAACACCCGCCGAAAGAGCTGTTGCGTACGTAGCTGTCGCCAACCGGGATTGGTTCAACAAGAGAGGCCTACACGCCAGCTTGGTAAACACCGAGCAGCTCTCCGAAGTGGTGGGTGTTTCCGTCAAGGCGCTTCTCGAGTCGTCAAGCGAGGGCGATAAGAGTACTGGACCACTAGGACCTCTCAGTGCGTTGAGCGACCATATTGCTCATCTTGAGGTCAATGGGCCTGGCGTTGTTGACATTGGGGTTGAGTCGTGGTGGTTGGTTCTGGTGCAGATTGAGGCTGCATCATGAGCGATTTGTTAGTTTGTCTACCAGATGTATTTACGACCGGCGTTAATAAGACCAGGAACTAGGATGGGCGGCTTCTTTTGTATAAAACACTTGGAATTTCAATCAAACATCATGCTTCTATCGTCAATTGCCGTCTTAGTCACTAAAATCAAGTCACGACAATTTACCCCGCATGCACATTTACACCTCGTGGACCTCGCGTCAGCCGATTTGACTCATAAGACTGCAATCCTTGGCCAAAAAGCACATGCCACTATTTTCTCGATTTATAAACATATCTCGACCTCAACTTTCATCTTTCCGACCACACGAACTTTATACTGAGCTAGGCCCATCTTTACCGCCATGGCCCCAAGCACTCAGGCTGTCTCGAGCTATCTCGCCAGCCTCTTCAGCCTCGCGGGCAAAGTCGCCGTTGTGACGGGTGGCAGTTCTGGAATAGGACGCGAAATGGCTATTGCGCTTGGCCGCGCAGGATGTCGTATTGTTCTCGTTGCGCGGCGGCCGAAACCGTTGCAGGATACTATTGATCATCTCGCCGATCTCCATGTCACGGCTGAAGCCATCGTCGCGGATCTTGCGGACCAGGTTTCAGTGCGGGATGCGATTCACGCTATAAAATCGAATGCGGGCACACCAGATATCCTCATCAACGCCGCAGGTGTCAACTATAGACCTCATATGAACGATCTTTCGCAGGGAGCGTGGGACGAGACCATCGCAGTGAACCTCACCGCACCATTCACCCTCGGCCAAGCATTCGGCCCAGAGATGGCGAAGAAGGGCTGGGGACGCATCATCAACATCATCAGCCAACAAACCTTCCGCGCCTTCGGCAACAGCGGCGCATACGGAGCCTCCAAAGCCGGTCTCCTCGGGCTAACACGCTCCCAAGCAGAAGCATGGTCCCGCCACGGAGTTCTCTGCAACGCGATTGCCCCAGGTCTCGTTGACACGCCGTTAGCCCGGGTGGCATTTGACGATCCTGCGAAGGCTGAGGCTCATGCTGCGAGGACCATGATTGGACGAAATGGAGTGCCGAAGGACTTTGCTGGGGTTGCTGTTTACTTGGCGAGTGATGCGAGTGCGGCGGTGACGGGGCAGACGATTTTTGTGGATGGAGGGTATTCTTGTACGTGACTAGAGGACAGGTATCTTACTATTGGATAGGCTGTTGTAATACCAATGATTTGGATGAATAGAGCTGGAGTATATGTGCTGTATGATGGCATGGGGGATTTCAACTGTTCATCGCTTCAGCTATTAGCTACGACTTCCTTATTTCATTTGATGATTCCCTGCGCAAATATAAGACCAATAGAATTCCATGCAATCTTCACTCCATAGCATCTTCATCTTCATCCTCATCCATACCCAACAGCCCAGCACCGGCATTCGTATCCTTCAGATCCTTCAGCGGTGCTCTTCCAATACGCGGCTCAAGATTCTTCTTAATCCACATAAACTTATCCTTGACTCGGCCATTGGAGAAGAACACCTGTGGAATTCCTTCAAACACCCCCTTCCCAGCAAGAGGTCCAGCAGTAAAAGCACCGCCGACGGCGCGATTCTTGGCGGGAGTGGAAAGGAACATGTTTTGTGCGAGAGCGACGTCGAAGTCGTCAATGTTGGCTCGTGTGGGTTCGGCCATGGTATTTTCAGCCTGTGAACCAGTTAGAAACGACTGCGGACAAGGTAAAAGAAAAGAGGGGGAGATTTACCTTAACCTCGGCGAGTTTGGCATGTCTCTCAATGTGACGCTCCAAGGCGTTGTTACGATACAACAAGGTTCTATTGCATATTGGGCATCTTTTTGTGAAGCACGAGATTTTCTGCATATGTTTGTCGAAGTCTTCATCGCTTGATGGTGATAAAGGTCGAGAGGCAGAGGCTCGGGTTGATCTGCGAGGAGGCGACGATGGTAGGGGCTTGCGCTTGATCATGATGATTCGAGGCATCACAGAGATGCGAAGTGATGATTTCCAGATAGCAGGAAAGAAGAAGGATGACAGTTGAGAAAGGTTGGGTGAAGAAAAAGGATTGAGTGAATGAAGTGAGTTACTGGCTTGCTGGATGGAAACCTGGCTGTCAGCTGGCAGCAGCTGCGAGATATTCACCAGAGAGAGATGTTGAGTGCATGTATAAAAACTGGCAGCGGAAACTACCCGGAGTGGCTGAAAACGAGATGAATTGCTCATGGCTGGTCCCAAGTCTAAGACGAGGGTAGGTAGTTGATATCATGCCTCAACACAAAATCCACGAGTGTTTACTTATAAGATTGGGCTGATGGGTTCCAAGAGAGATAGTTCATTTCAGTTATCTCAAACTCACCATCTATCATATCTCCGTCTCAGCCCAAGTATCGTGTAACAACCCAGTCAACATCCCCACGCCCGTTCCAAGAAACTCCGTTTTGCGGTTCCTCCGCTCATAGAAACCAATATCGCCATCCCAACCCTGAACACCTCAACGCCAATTTTTAGAGATAACCTCAATCCCCGGCTGAGTCGACTGGATAAGCCATATGTAGCTATCTCAAAACACCTTAGTTCTTCTCTCGTTTCACTCTGAGGGTTCTGCGGGTTTCAACTGCGTCGCTGCGTCGCTTTCTCAGGATAGGGAAAGGATCCTTTCCAAGCCTTTTGCTGAACTTGTCTCTGATGCTTTCAAGAGACTCACACTTCTCTCTGATCTTGTTGTAGGTCTCCATGGGAATTCCAGGTAACTGGATTAGGTCGTCCACGGAGGATACAAGCGTATAGATAACATTGCCTAAACCCATCGTCAATGTTTAGTTGGAGGAAGGGAAATAAAGATCACTCACGGGCTTCGTTGGCAAGATCGACATCAACTTCAATGTCTTGAGTTCGTTTCTCAAGCAACTCCGAGATGATTTCCTGAGACTCTTCTACGGCGCTAGCAATGCGAAGCTCGATCTCCCCCTCGGCTTGAGCAAGGCCAGCTTGAACACCCATGGCGTGACCGGCTTCAATGCCCTTGGAGTGACCAGCTTCGATGCCAATGGCGTGATACTTGCGGCCGAACTCCTCAAGCATGTTGCGATGATCAATTGTGGCAGCGAAAGTCTCAATCTTGAGGCCGGGGATCTGTGGACCGTCGGCTGAACCGTTGTTGGAGTTGGAAGAAGCCATCTTGTAGCTTGTGGATGAAGGGTTTGAAAGTCAGTGGTGAGAGAAAGTGAGGGATGAGATGTAGTGAACTGAAGGGTGTGAGAGTAAGGATTGGTGAGATCGACCAGAAGCAAAGGGTGAAAGGAAGTCAAGTAGAGTGAAGTAAAGGGAAGTGAGAGGAAGGGTTGATGAGGTTAAATGGAAGCAGAGATCAAGGCCAAGTGAAGTAAAGCGATGGAAGAGAAGAGGTTGAAGTGAAGTGGGAATCTTGAGAGTGGAGATGTAAAGCTCAAGACCAGAGTGGATGTGACACAGGAGGAAACGGGAGGAGATATCAAGTGGAGTCTAGTGTGCCTTCAAAGCAAGCGTGCAGTGATTCAGTGTTTGTAGCCTGGAGCTGCTGTGTGTTGAGCCACGGAGGATACTTGGCAAAGCTAAGAAGAGGATGCGATATCGGCCTTCAACAAAGACAGCACATATGCTATAAATTTAAGAGCAGTGCTCGGCAGTGGAGCTGCAGCTTTCTTTTCACAACATCTCATTTTCACACAAGCGGTTCCAGGCCAACGATATCTTGCACCTTGTGTTTGCTACTTTAGCTTGCCACTGCTACTGCACCTTCATCTCAACAAACAAACTGGCCACGACGATTTGCTTTGTTTTTCTTCTTCTCTTCCACACTCCATAAACAACAAACTCAACTTCACCTCCATTTTCCTTCCCTGTTTTCCCACATCACTTCAAGTCTTACTACCTGCCTACTTTTCCGTTTTCTATTCGAAGCTTGATTTGACGCAACCATGGCCAGAAAAAAGGCCTCTGCCGCGGCAGATCCTAGAGTAACACGCTCTGCTGCTGTTGGTCAAGCACCTGTGCTGAGGTTCCGGCCTCATGAAGGCTCAACGTCAGTTATTCAGGTATTTCAGACAGACTGGTTGCCAGTGATCAAACTAACGCGTCTGTTCCAGCCTAGAACGGCATGGCCTCGATCCCACCAAGATGCAGACCGCATCAAAGTATCGGATTTCCCCTATAATTGGCCCCGGGAAAGCACTGTTATCGACAGTTTGACAGCCGCGTTTCAAATTGTCGAGAAAGAAATAGCACCCCTTCTTGCCGATGAGCTGGCCAATTTCGTGATTGTGAACCTGAGAGACGAACTGAGGCAGGGATTCGACAAGGTTTCAACTCCTCGAGACCATCGTTTCTATGATGTTCTTGCAAGTGAGGACAGAGTTACTAAAGGCCTTAACTACGCTTTCTGGTTTTACATGGCGGCCTGGTGGGGGCCAGGCCATCCTGACCTAGGGGCCATCCGAAACGACATGTCGGCGCTTTGGGGTGTAGAGTTCCCGACTGATGCGATATTTTACCCGTCCAAGATCAGCGACAAGAACCAGAAGAAGCTCTACGCTGGAATCAATCTATCCCTTGAGCCTGAAGGACCGGGACTTCCCAAAGGACGAACCATATCTCGACCACGAGCGGCATCTCATGCGGAAGCTTCCACTCAGCCTGAAGCAACATCGCAAGCACAAGTTTTATCTCGATCAGTCATTCAACCTACAGACATCCAAATGAAAGCTCGACAGCGAGAAATCGTCGATGCGATCGAAAACAATCCTGTAGGGAGTGTTCTTGGAAAATTCGCAGCCAGCCTCAACCCCACGTGCCGAAACGCCAGAGATGTAGGAAGGCTTCAAACTAATCTCGAAGTTACAAGAAAAGAACTCCAAGATGCCAAGGGAACGGTTGCTTTCCTCGAAGAAAGCCTTGAGAGCCTCCAGGACACCCACCACGCGACCCAAGCCTCACTCGAACAAGTCCAATTCAAAGTAAATGATCTCGAGAGCGACTTGGAACATGTCCAGAAGAACAGCCATCAGCTGGATAACCAAAACACCCAGCTCACTGAACGCCTGGACAAGTTGCAAGGAGATCTGAAAAGGGCCAACAAACATGCCAACGACTTGGAAGTCAAACTGAGCAAAGCAGATGACCGCATGGATGCTTTGGAAGCAAAGCTGGAAGCGGCTAACGAGCGGGCTAAGAAGGGTATTGAAATGAGTGCATTTAACCATGCTCTGATTGAGCCTCTGCTCAATGAGAATTCTGCCGAGGAAGAGGATGGCGAGATTTGAGACTGAGGTTATCCCTGAGAGGACTATTGAGTTCGGTGGGGGAGCTATGGTGTCTTAGTGTACCAGATCTGTTCACAGAAGTGACCTAGTACATGTTGGAGAAGGGACGTTGCGCGAGCAGTGTTTTTGAGGTCAACCTTATTCCGTTTTCCTTGGGAAGATGGTGATGAATAGCAATATCATTGCTCGAGGGGTTCTATTGGAGAAAAATAATATGTTGCTGGGGTAGTCACTGATTCTGGTATTTCGATCAACGAGTACAAGTCATGGAAAGCTTCGTCATTGGGACGGATCTCATGAATGATTCCTAATTTGTGTATCTAGATAGCATCATGATTAACCAAATCAAGAGAATGATGTGCCGACATACCTCTTGCCATGCTCCCAACGTATTTCATGTCGAGAAGTTACAGATATCAAGACATCTGTGGCCTCGTCTTCTACTACTCCCACAAGAGCATCACCAATCACTTGTGACATAAGGTATGCATGCAGATCAATGCTTATTCAAGATGAAAATATTGCATTCGTAGCTTCGTGACCCATCCAACGCAGTCTGGTATATCCCAAATCCTAATCCAATCCTAGCCAAGTCCATCCAATGCATCGTATGATACTTTATTCCCAAAATAACAATCTCGCACATAATCCAAAAGAAACGCTATACATTACACGATCAGACACTCCCCTGCTTATCATCGATAACCAGGAGTCCAGCATCGATACCCGCTCTGGCAAATCGATCACCCAACACACCAACCGTGCGCTGGAAATCTCTCTCCACGCCAAAGTCCTCAACGAGGAGGTTATCGAACAGCACGTGAGAACGACCAACGATGACCAAGTCGCCAATGCTGAGACGCGATTTGCCGACTGTTTCCCGTGCGTGAGCGACAGCGAGGTCAGGGAGGTTGCGCACTGAATCAACAGAGATCTCGACGAATGTGACACGTCCCTCGAGTTTTCCAGCGGCGTTGCTCTTGGCTGTGTTGAGAAGATCCAAGTCGCTAGCTGAAGGGAAACCGACGGCGTTCTTGCCAAGGGCGTTACTGTTGGAGGGATCACTGTCAGGAGTGGTGGTGTGGGCGTCAATTTCGTGGTCGTCGTCGAAGTGGAGGTGGACAACGTGGATTGACACGTGAGGGTTGTGGGCGAGTTGGAGGGCGAAGAGAAGGGCAGCGCGGTCGTCTTTGCCGCCGATGAAGGGTACGAAAATGCTCTGGCGCGGGTCAACGGGTCTTTGAACAACCGGGCCGTCGTGAGCGCTGTGGATAGAAAGACCAGTGCGGCTACGTGTAAGGGTGTTCTTCCTGTCGACGTCGTCGTTACGGTTCTGGTTGATAAAGATACCAGTGGTGCAAGTAGATTGTTGAACAGCAGATTGAACATAGTCGATGTACGTCCTGCTGAAGAAGCGATCATGGGGATTGCCAGTCTCAGTCAATGCAGCAGTGGAGCTCTCCTCGGCAATACCACCATAAGTACTCCAGGGGATGAGCATAAAGTCTGACTTTGCTTCTTCAGCGTATTTGACGATGGTGTCTGCGTATGCACTCGTGGGAATGATGCAGACTTGTCCGGCGACGGCGACACCGTTGAGGCGCGAGAAAGTCTGGAAAGCGGAGAAGACGGCATCACGGGAAGAGAACTCATCGAGTTCGGCAGATTGCATGACGGACGATGTACGATCGGTCAGCTCCATAAGCCGAACACCACGGACTTCGAGCGGGCGGTTGGGAATCTGCTCTGTCTTCTCGTCAGTAGTGACGGAGTCACGAGCGGCGTCGTTCGCATCTGTCAGGGCCGGGCTGGACTGTTTGCGAGAGCCACCGAGAAGAGAGACGAGGTTGAAGAGTCCAGGAAGGGCATCGAGGCGAAGGTGGAGAATGAGGCGGTGAGTCTGAGACTTGTCGAGGACTTCTTCCATTCTGTGCTCAGAAGTTTGGGCCTCGGTCTGAAGAGGGTTACCGTCCCAATCAATCTCTCCGCGGCGCCATTTGTCGACCTTCTGGCGGTACCAGAGAGGGTAGAGGAATCTGGTGAGAGGAGATGTGGTGACGGTTGTGACCTAGTCTAATTAGCGATGGATATTGAGGGAGAGTGAGATACATACCACTGCCATTACGACAAACATGGTGAAAGTTCGGGCGGAGAGAATGCCAGCTTGGAGACCGATGTTCTGCAATTGTTAGAGTGAGTCGCGTACTTGGGGATGACTACTTACCAGCACAATGAGCTCGACAAGACCCTTGCAACTCATAAGTGCGCCGATAGTGAGACTTTCTCGCCAAAGACACTTGGTCAGACGAGCAGCCAGAGTACCAGCGATGATCTTGCCGAAGAAGGCGCATGCGATAATAGCAACAACATATCCCCATGTAGTACCATCGTCAAGCAGACCAAGATTGGTGTTGAGACCGGAAAGGGCGAAGTAGAGAGGCAACAGGATAGATCCGACGAGATCTTCAATCTTTTCGGTCAATTTGATGGCGAAACCACCGTCGTGTGGACAAATGAGACCGATTAAAAATGCGCCGAAAATGGCGTGCACGCCGATGGCAGCTGGGGCAATTGTTAGAGCTTGTTGTTAACCAGAGATGATTGACTTACAAGTGAACCATGACGAGGCCAAGACCAGAAGCAGAGTCAAAGTGGTAATGCCTTGAGAGGGTCCATTCTGGATGCTGTCTGTTCGGCGCAAAATCCAGATAAAGACAGGTCGCACAGCAAAGACGAGAAACAAGACCCATGCGACTGCAGTAAGGAAGACATACAGCGCTGTGAGGCCATTGGCGTTGTTGACCAGAGCGACACTGAGGGCGAGCAGAACCCAACCGACAACATCGTTACCAATACCGGCGGCAAGGACAGTCACACCCACAGAAGTTCCAAGAAGCTGGAGCTCGGAAAGAATACGACAAAGGACAGGGAACGCAGTAATGGCAAGTGCAGTTCCAATGAAGAGCGCAAATGTGCCAAACTCCATATCCTTCATCGTACCCTCATTGCCGTACTCCTCGTACAGACCCCAAGCAACCGCGACTCCGAGACCAAACGGGAGGACCATACTAGCCAGTCCGACGCTGACAGCGACGCGCCAATTGGACTTGAACATGCGGGTATCAACCTCAAGACCAACAAGAAAGAGAAACAACAAGAGGCCAATGGTAGCGACATTGCTAAGCACAGGCATCGACTCAGTGGGGAAGATGTTCTCTTTGAATCCGGGGATGCGCATCATGACTGAAGGGCCCAGCACGATGCCGCCAATGACCTCGGCGATGACACGCGGCTGGCCGAACTTGGAGAGCGGCCATTGCAACAAACGGCAGAAGCAGATGATGATGAAGGCCTGGATGATGAAGAGCGCGATGGGGTCCTTGGGGTTGTAGTGAATTGGGTTCAAGCCCTCGATAATGCCGCCTTGGGGATGGGCTCCTGTTGCTGCTGCGGCGGCAGCTGTCGTTGTAGACGACATCGGGAGAGCTCTGACGGGGGAGTATTACGCGTCGGAGGGGACTCGATCGGTTCGAAGAGGTCGTGGAGGACCTGTGTTACGAAGAGGAAAGGGGACAGGGTAGGGATGAAGACGAGCGTTGAGCAGCCCGTTGGCCTTTTTGTGTTTGTCAACGGAGGAAACAAAAAGGCACCACTAACCAAAAGATGGGATCAAAGGGCGGGGTGCAAGACAATCAGCTCTGGGCCTGGGGTCTAGGCTCGCTCTCGTAGTGGATGGCAGCCACTAGCACTGTCGCTAATGCCCGAAATCTGTCCACGCTTTTACGGAGCCTTGTCGCTGCATGGTTATCAAGGGTCTTTTCCTGCTTTCACCCATGTCGGGGAAGGGAGCCGAAGTGACAGGTGATGCGTATGAGTAAATAACGCACGCCGATCCCATGGATACAGCTGCCAACTTGTGTAAAACGACCAAAGTACGACAATACAGCATAAGATTTGGGTTTGGAGAACGGTGCACGGTACTCCCCTAGCGCAAGGCAATTCAGTGGGGAAGCCTGGAGGTTACAGCACGTTCAGTAGGAGTCGAGGCTTGGCAATTGGGCTCGTGAAACTTGGGGCTTGTGATTGTGGACAGCGGGCGTAACAGTAATTGACGCTGTGGATGTTGGCAGTTGGACCATGTGTTTGCCCAACCGTTGCAGTTGGGTCGGAGAGTTTTCATGGCAGTCTTGGCTTGTACCACGAGATCATACTGGAGAGATCTGCTGTGGAGAGATGATGACAGCCCAGCCTTGTTTGACTTTTGACATACGCAATCAAAATACGATATCCGTATAACCCTTTCATTTAAGCTATCAGACCGTTACCATCGCTTAACCCGACTCACCGCGTTTCTCTTTCAACCAACCTTCACCCAGGTTTACATTCCTTTGTCTCATAGTAATAAGACAAAAAAACAGATCATTGCCTACTCCCCGTCACATGTGACGATCCCTTTCCCTTGATGCAGTGTTTCCCCTCATTGGACCCCTGTTGCTCACGCGCCTGGGCCACTGTCTCACCGCTGCGGTCTAGATCGCATGTCTTGGCTTCTTTGATCCGGCGCTTGAATCGTGGAGGCTGAGTTGCTACTGAGTTGACTCGTGATGCACGAGATGCAGTGTCGCAGATGGGGTGGGTTGGTGATTGTGTAGCCGCACGGAGGTTTCTTGAATGCTTCGTGATATTTCCTGACATCCAATTCTGCGGGGAGTTGGATGTTGTGTTGCGCTAGTTGTTTACTGGTGTTTCCCCAATGTTACCTCTTGACTCTCCCCCCCACGATACCGAATACGCGGGCCTACAGATGGGTTATGATAACACCCCTGCACCATTAAATGTCTGGTTTCAAAATCCGAACCTTGATGAACTGCCATCGCGACGGTCAATACTCAAAGAAGCTATCGCAAAGATAGTCGCAAATCCAAGACATTTGCCCTGATATGATGCAAACTTCACCTTAGTGTGAATTCCTGTGGTAGCGCACGGATTTCAACCCACCAGCGTGGTTTCTGCGCGCTTGTCCCGGCATCGCGACTTATGATCAGCAGGGGCTGTCAGCCGATGGCCCAGCCAAGAGGTTTGGTTGCCTCCAACTTTATCTCAACCTCGACTGTCATCTCAGGCGGTCAGCCGGTAGCTCGATAGCTTTGACGCTAGCGAAACCTGTCTTGGATTGGAGAGCTTACGATTGACCAATCCAAGGATAGTGTGAAGCTATTCGCGGCTGAGCTTTATCTCTGAGATTCGATTGCGAAACATCACGATCGTGATTAGGCTATCGTCATGATTGGTTGACTCATGTAGTCTGTTGATTAAACGTATGCTGAGCGTTGGAGAGCAAGAATTGCCGGAGCTGTAGATAAGTCGAAGACCCGAGCTTTTCATGAGCTTGAAGCAGTAACCGCATCGGTCACAGCATCTGCAACCATTACCAAGGGCTGGAAATCTGCACTGCTGATCTGTCCAGGGCCGAATCTGGCTATAGTTACGCGTTTGGGAGAACGTGATTCGTCTTCTCGACTCCTAGCCTGCAGCATCTCTGCGTACCATGATTACACATGTGCTTGAGAAACCAGTCATCATTGGAACAGTGTATATCACAAATCATTTCGATGCCTCCACCACCATTTAGTATCAAGTTAGTATCGGCTATCAGGCCATGGCTGGAGTTTGTAAGATCGTTGTCTGTATTCCCGTTCGCACTTGCAAACAAACCACGAAACTCGATGCAGTTTGCCCGACGACTCAGAATACTGGTACACTTGAACCACGGCTGTCAGAACGATGGGAGAAGACCCGTTGCTCATGGTTGGTAGCACTGCGTTCAGACCAGCTGTCGAATTTCAATTCGTTTATATCCTCCACAAAGACCTCATTTTCCCGCCACTACTTTCAACTGGTACCTTGTTTTGTGCCAGCAAACGGATAATACCGGGTCTACGGTACACGATCTGCACGTACAGGAGATACTGTTGACAGTGTCAATGTTCTGAACTCGGTAGGTTCTGTCTGGAGCGTGGCGATAGTTATCCTCGGTGGGTCTGGTGAATGATAGAGTGGTTATCAGACTGGAGCACAAATTTGCAATCTATAGTGGCCGACCGAATATCTTGCCCAGTCGCTATTGTACGTCAACGACAATGTAATAGACTGTTATTCCAAGTCTATCGACGTTTGGTTAGAGATAATTAAGCTTTCGACAACAGCAACGGAAAAGCGACTGAAAATAGGTCATGTGCTAAAATAAAACATAATAATTAAATCATATCTAGCTTCATTGCTATCGAATTGCATACATCCTTATAATCCGTATCCTACATTCCAAATCTTTCTTAAAAACATTTATCGTGGCAATGTCAGGCTTAGAGCTCATTATCTTGATACTCGGCATCGTCCTCCTCATCCTCGACATAATCCTGCAGTCTCTCGACAAGCTCCTCAACACTAATCTCACCATCGACCTCAGAAGGATGCTCACCCTTCCTGTGCGGTGGAATAGGAATGCTCCTGGGAACCTGAATTACGCCATTCTTGCCAACAGCATCCTGGAAGCCAATAGAAGTCTGTCCATTGAGGACGATAGTAGTCCAGCTCTTGAAAGTGTGCACATCAACACCCACGCTCCTCTCAAGCAGAGTAGGCAACTCCAGGTGGAAGTTATCGCCGTGGCCGGTGAGCTTCTTGGACATCTTCTCGTCGCCGTAGTACACCTCGTCGCTGTAAAGCGTCACGTTGGGAACGATTTGGTACTTGAGCAGCGCGCGGAGGTACTTCTTTCCCGTGTCGGTGTTGAACAGGAAGGCGTTTGCGCGGGCACCTAGACGAGCCCAGGCTTGGTTGGAGGGCGCGAAGACGGTGCTGCCGACCATGGGGACGTCATGGATATACTTGACGAAGTCGGTCTTGTCGTAGGCGAGAAGAAGGGTTGAGAACTGGGAAGGGAAAAGACTAATCTCCTTGCCAATGTAGGGAGGTGGAACGAGGATTCTGTTGACGGCGTGGACGATACCGTTCTTGGTTTTCTGTTTATGGTGAGCTTTGTACCAATTTTTTCTTTAAAAGAGTGGACTTACGAAGTTGACTGCGATAACCTTGCTGTACACATTGACCCTGACTCCAGAAAGGCCAACGCTAGTGCGAAGACGCTGAGGCTTGTCGCCAAGAAGAGACTCCTTCAGGACGGTAGGCACAGTATGCGTGAAGAGGATTCTCGACGCAGGATACTCGCCGATACCGAGATGGTAGTTAAGAACATCCTCGACAAACTCATCACTAGGCTTATCCTTGTGGTGGTGAGGGATATGCTCAAACGCTTCGTCAGTCGGGACGAAAAGTGTGTAGTTAGCATCCGTGCTGTTAAGCAACTTCCCGAACTTCTCGTGCTCCTGAACAAGCTTGAAGAACTTCTTGGTGTGGTTGCTTTTTGCGATCAGCTCATATGTAGTAAGGCTTGTAAAGTCGCCGCCGGTTCTGCCAAAGATAGACGCATCTTCGTCAATGTCTTCGTCGGTGGTGGGGAAGAAGGCTTCTTCGTCCTGAATCTTGTTGTGGATAGCAGCGGCGATCTCGGATGAGAGTTGGTCGGTAGCCTCATTGAGCGACTTGCGCAGACGGTTGGGAATATCCTCAAGGGTTTGTTTGATGTCGTCCTTGAAGTTATTGAGACCATCGAGAGACTCGGGAATGACGACGGCCGACGCGGCCGTAGCCAGTGTGAGAGCCAGAATAGATCTCATAGTGAAAGCAGATAGCGCGTATCAAGCAATCAATAAAAACAGAGTTCAAGAGTTCAAGAGTCAAGATTCAGCCACTTCTCAGTCCTGATTTATCCCTTGCGAAACAAAAAGAATGGTCAATGATGCCTGGACTTTATATCAAGGTCCTACTAAGCGATCAGACGTTTTAGCAAAAGATGACGCTATCGCCACGGACCAGTCGGACCCAATCCGCTGGTGAATGTTGGCGTCATCAGCAGTCTTACCCCGCATGAGTGTCGTAAAAAGGAGCGGATGGCTTACGTGAGCTTTCAGGCTGAATATGTCGGGCTTATTCTGTCACCCTTCGTACGGCATCTTCGGGAGGTTTGGTCTGACGTGAGGCAAGGATGAGCATTCCGTGAGTGATTGGACAAGAAGAGGACTCTCTCAAAGAAATGGCTTTCATTGGTGCACGGACGCGCGTCGATTGTCACCTAAGGCTTTTAGATTGAGCAGAGTGTACGCGTATTCCGTATTTACCTATCGCTATACGGAGTCGGACAGTTTTATATATACCGTAGTGGATATTTTGAACATTAAGATTTGCTTAGATGACATTGATTCCTTTCACATCACTGGCTCCTACGTATTACAAGTGCCTAGCTACCTGCCACGTTCTCCTGGTCTGCCTTGCCCGCATCATCAACCGGAGCCAAGTTACCCTTTGACGGCCCCATAACACAAATACCCTCCCGAGAGAATCGACTTCCGTGGATAGGACAGTCGAAACTTTTCTCGGTAGTGTTCCAGCAGACAACACCTTTCAGATGCGGACACAATGCGCTGTACTGCTTGACGTTTCCTTCTTCGTCCTTGTACACTGCAATTGGCTTTGATCCAACCTTTATGCCACTGTTAGCTTTGTACTCAATTCAAAATTCAAATAGGACTTACCTTGTTCAGCACAGCTCCCATGCCGCGGCCGAGATCCTCAATGTCGGTGATGTCTGTCTGCAAGAATCTCTTGTACTGTGAGTTGACTTGCAGATCATGCGCGACCATGCTTGGCAGCGACTTGACGATGGTAGCCATACGCTTTGGGGAGTAGAGGTCTGCCCAAGGATTCTTGACACCGTCGATTTCGTCTGCAATCAACTTACCCGCTAGAACTCCATGCGTCAAACCGTCCCCAGAGTCTCCGGTGATGATGTAGATGTGGTCGTTGCCCTGGTTTTTGCCAATGAACTGCATATAATCAATAGGCTCGACAATCTGTCCGCTCCATTTGTAGTCAACAGAGCGAACCTGCGAGAAGCGCTCCCGAGTCCAATCCTCGAGCTCCTTGAACTCAGTCGTGGTGTCCTCTTGACCAACCTTGTGATCGCAGCCACCGACGATGAGGTAATCATGCTCTTTGTCGCACTCGGTGAGACGAATGTATTTGTACGACTCAGCTTGGTCGTAAAGGAGACAGTCCTCAATGACACCCTTGGGAACACGAGCAGCGATACAGTAAGATCGCAGGAACTCCAACTGGACGATGACACTGAGCTTCTGGAGAGGGACACAGGTTGCTTCGACGGCGTCGCTGCACTTGATAGTCTTTCCGTCGCTTGTCTTTACCTCAACAGACTTGTTGCCGATGCCGAGAATTTCAATACCCTTTTCCTCAACAGACATGACGCGGGTTTGGTCAAAGCAGCGGAAGTTGGGTTGCGTCTTGAGCCATTTGAGAACACCGTTCAAATACTTGGTAGGATGGAAGGTTGCTTGGTTCTTGACGACGAGGCCTCCTCTCTGATCGATGGCTCCATCCCAGCCACGGACAGTTAAGTCTTCCTAGGAGATATTAACGCAAGGACAGAACAAGGGTGTGAAGCTATTCACATCAAACACTGAGTCCATGCCAAGCTTTCGTTGTGCCGCTTCTTCTTTGCGCAACTCGTTCATCTCATCCTGATGCTCCTTATCCTTGGTGGAATATTGCGACACTTCATAAGCCGGGAGCTTGCGATACTCGCACTCGATACCTAGCTTCTGGGAAACTTCCCCGATATGGTCTCGTCCCCACGCGTGACTTTCAGCTGCAAGCCTAGCCTTCTCCTCACCGTGCAGCTTTGCAATCTCCATGTACCCATCATCAAGGTCGTTAGTCAAATGACCACTCGTACGGCCTGTCTCCCCTGACAGGACCTGACGCGCTTCGAGAAGCACAACTTCACGCCCACGAGAGACGAGTTCATACGCTGTTGAAATGCCAGCGATTCCAGCGCCGACAATGCACACATCAGTCTCGATATCTTGACTAAGCTTTGAAAAAGACGGCCTGTTCGAGACGGGATCCAAATGCACCCAGACCGAGTCTGTCGCTCCCGAGGTGTGAAAGAACTGCTGCGACTTGTTGGATGTCATGGTGGATTGGTGTGCTCTGAAAGATAATTGCACGGTGCAGCGACGGGAGATGCGAGAGACTCTAAGAGATGCCGATGCTAAGGAGTAGAGCATTCTAAACAGCCGAGGAGGAAGAAGGTTGCCTTGCAGAGGTCACGAATTGCGCGCACGCAGACTATATCATTTATGTTGAGGCTGGATGATGAGCAATCCAAGATGCAGGCGCAACGAATGGGAAGAACATAATTGACAAGCACGAGTTGTCATGCTGCATTTGGTGCAAGGGGCATCCCATCAATGCGTCCAGTGGTGACAATCTGTCAACATTCACATCACAAGCTCGTCACTATTTCCGTTACTATCAAGACGCGTCTAAGTGAGACACGTCTTTGCAGCAACGGCCGGAAGAACTGCTCCTTACTACTCATCATTGATATGGGGAGCCTATCGGAATGGGCAGTTGTGTAATACTGGCATTTCTTGGCGGTCATAGAGACGTCAGAATGACAGTGAGATGAAGAGTTGCTTCAGCGAGTCACTACGAAACTCGTTCCAGCGATGGTTTCCTAAGACACATGGATCGGAATTACTAATGTTTAGAACTTTTACTATATAAATGGCCCTCAATTCACACTAAGAGTTCAATTGGAATCGATGATAATATTGAGATCGAAATTGTTTCATAATATTACTTGGTCCACCTGTGCAACAACACAACAGGTCTCAGACTATATTTACTCATGGTCTTCGTTGGAAATTAAGCCTTCTTCTCTCCTCCCATATTGTTCTGCACAGTTCCTCCAATTGCTCCATCTGAAGTAAACTGCTTCCCAATTACGCCGTCCTTGGCCAGAGGACCGCCAATTGCTTGAGCGGTACCTCCAATCGCACCAGTCTCTAAAACGAATATCAGTGTCTGTCCATCTATGCGCAAAGGGGGAATAATTACCAGTGAACTGCTTGCCGACGCTTCCTTGCTCGTCCATAGCCTTGGGTACGGTGCCAGTGAGATTGGTGGTAGGCTTGTCAGACATGTTGATATAATATGTGTGTTGGGTTTGAAGTATTGGTTTGACTGGGAGATAAAGATGCTGATGCTTGATGAAGTGATAATGACAGGGAGACATCACCTTGTTGGTATTTTATAGAGGTTTCGTCGCAATATCGATGATTACATCACTGCTCATGATCTCATTGATCATAATTGGATCAAGATCAATTACCCGGTCATTGGTGTGCAATTTTGGCCGCACGCAGTCATGAGGTCATTCATCTTGCACTTTAAGATTCCCGCACGATCGAAATTTGGACCATTTACAGCCACCCGCATCCTCGGGAATTACAGATCGGTGTATTGATCTGCGACCAAAAGTTCAATGTAGACTGTAGTGGTTTGAAGTTATTGCTGGCACTGTGGTAACCCGATCTGTACTAGACAAACTATACATGCATCAAGACTATTGGCTGCAGCGCTGCGTAAGCCGTCGGTAGTTACACGACAGTGATAGCATAATACGAAGCAACTGGCTTAGTCTTTCCGCCTTTTTTAAAGCCTTCTATTCTAAGTGGTTCAGGATGATTCAAACGCGAGAATACAGCGACATAGCCAATGCACTGGCTGCATGGCTATGACTATGCAGCCAGCGTATTGGCTACATGGGGCAGTTTATCGGTTCCACATGCAATTTATTGGCTACGACTATGCAGTCAGCATCTTGGCTATGCGGTTGGTACATTGCCTATGCGGTTGGTACATTGCCTATGCAGTCAATGTCTTGGCTATGGCTTTGCAGTCAGCGTATTGGCTACACAAGCAATGTATAGGTTACACAGGCAATGCATTGGCTATGCAGTTAGTTCTCTCGTCAACTCAAGTCTCAGTTCAAAAACAAGAAAAGCGAGATGCAGTTCGTTTGAAACATTCTAGCTAGTCACACAGGCGGATGCCTGCTTTTCAGCTTTGAATTGTGACTAAATTTGAATTGTTGGGAACGTTGGGGATGTAATGTGGTTTTCATGTGGTGTGACAGACAGGTACTTCGGGGTATAAGAGCACACATTTCAGCGGCAGTAGATGCTCTTCAGATCTCTCCTTCAATTTATTCTTTTACTTTTTTATTACGTGAGACACGCACAAAGTTTGTTCGGATTGAATCACAGTCTGTGACAGTCATCACTTGCGTTGACATCTCAGAACGGGTAAGAGAGAACCTTTTCTTTTCCTTTTATCTATCTACACAATGTGGTGTCTGTTTGTAGCCACTTGGCCTGTTTGGACAACGCGACGAGACACGCGACTGACCGGTATTGCGTAGTATATACCAAGCTACCTAGCTAGTAAGCAAGCAGACAGCTATGCCTTCCGCACCTGTGTACCGCGGACCTGAAGAGGTGAGACGGGCAGCGCTGGAGGCGTTGGATGGTTTTGAGGGCCTTGGACCACGCGAATGGCCAGAAATCCCTTCACTCTTTCTAGACAAGAACGGGAATTTCGAATGCAGGGTGAGGGATGAACAGCACCCTTATGTGAAGGTAGCCAAGGGGGACGTTGACGAGTTCAACTGTCCTCTTCCTTCTTCACCAAAGCTACCATCCGAAGTAACACGACTGAGTCATGCTCGACATGGTCTTCTGTACTCTTTACTCGTCCACGCATATCTTTGGACGAGGGACAATGTGAAGAATGAGGGTGGCGAATTGGTTAAAATGAGGGACAGGGAGGTGTTGTCACCTGACAGTATCTTCGCGCTTGTCGACTTGGTCCAGAAGACAAACGGCTGCTATGATTATGAGAGAGTGAGGGATGCTTTGAAGAAGATGCCAACAGTCCGTTTACCCATCAACACGCTTTGGAATGACAAGGAAGTGGTGATGGCTTTGGTCCATTGGGAGTTGGAGAATGATATGCGGCGATGGAACCTGTATTGATTTTGGCAAATGCTCTTTGCGGGCACTACGGCCTTGCTAGTACAATGGGATGATGACCAGTGCGACTCGAGCGATTGGGAAGTTTGTAAAATGTAAAAAGTCTCTTCTAAGTTGTGACACAAATGATGCATTGTAAACTGAATGTGATTACGAGTACACACGTCACGAGAACAAAACAGCAGACGTATAAAATATAGGTAACATTAATAAGAAAATGGGAGGGAATTATTATCTTACAAATAAAAGACATTGACATACCCTATACCACTCAAGTCCTACAACCTTCTTGCTATGGCATGGGCGGCAGAAATTCAATCATGCACATCTTTTATGAAAGAAGGAATATCCCGACTGAAAACAATGCCCAAAACCTTCACTGTCATGTCTCCTCCTCCATCGCACCTTCGTTCAAGGCACGCCCTCGCCCGCCCGCGCCTGCTCTTGGCCACCAGCTTCTGCCTTCCTTCAGGTTTATCTTCACTCACGATGATCTTCCCGCAGACTCTCTTCTTTCATTCTACCGCATTCATTCTCTACATCACGTATTACAATAAACACTTAATCACTACCCCGAACGAGCACGCGTCATCTTCGTCATGTCACACCCCAACGAGCCAGCGATGGAGAACATCCGACCAGCAGGACCAGAGAGGACCCTACGACTTACCGAGTTCAGCCTCGTCGTTCAGAGGCTCTGGATAGCCGAGCATCAGTGCTACAAGCGGAAGAGTCGAATAAATAGGCTTCGGCTTAGGGCCAATATCTGTACATTACAATATATTGCTTATTACAGAAAGAGAGCTGTGATCCTGCGCAAGGGCGTGGGGCTGTTGAACTCACTCGTCCAGAGTGCTCAAGTCACAGATCAGTCTATGGCAATGGCAAGAAGGTTTTACATCGAGTACGACAAAGCGGAAAGAAATGTCAATCGTTGCGCCAGGGCTAGGACGAGAGCGCGTGAGAGAGAGCGTGTCGTTTTGCGACAGAGTGATAGTTTGGAAAGCAGAATGACAGTACTTCGTGTGAGTTATGACTTGATCTGTCTCTGTTATGCAATTACTAAATATTTCTGATGAAGCGGCGTCTGCATGACCTTTTCCAGCAAGCCAGCAGATTTACAGAGGCTGAGACAAGGCATATTGACGTTTTTATGGGTTTGCAACAAGCGATTATCGATTTTGCGCGTTATCTATATTGAGCGTCTAAATTAGATCAGAATTACACGGCACAGGATGCAGCAGACGGTGCTTTGCCATAGGCTGCCAAGATGGACCTCTATTTTACGACTTGATTCTACGACAGCTGCAGTGGTGTGAGCCTGATCCAAGTTCAAAACAGCATCGAAGAAACGATCCTTACCGAGGAGGATAGGACCTGGGGGGCAATCAATCTGACACCGAGGCCATTCACCATTCACACATGCAGCTGAGCACGACAAACCAGGAAGATATACGGACAAGACAAGGGCCGTCGGATTCTCATCGGATTGAGCGGACGAATCCGTTTCTCGATACCGCCGGAGAAATCTCGATTCATTGATGGAGAGTTTCGTGTGGCAATCTGATGCTATCAGCGGACATGGTGTGTTGCGATAGCATCCCACCGTAGATAGAAGCCAAAAGCATCAAAGTAGCGATCATTTCAGCGAAAACCATTTCATCCTCATCCTCCGGGTAAACACAACCTGTGTATGTTTTGAGATCATCGCCTACGCCAGGGTTGCTATTGGTGCAAGTTGTGATGGTGCAATAGCTCGTGGCCGTCGGATCCGAGGCGGCCCACTTGTCAGCATTTGTGCAGTGTTGAAATACAGGAGTTTAGCCAGCGAGTTCGAAGATACAGCTGATGCTGGCGACGAGGGGCCATTTGGATACTTGTCGTTCATACATGGAGGTGAGTTGATTGTCTTGACCTTGCCCAAAGCCTTGCCCCAACTCGCGTTCTTGACCGTTGAGAGAAGGCTACTGAAGCCAGAATGATCTGAAGCAGTGACTCTGAAGTCCAAGGTCGACTACTAAGTAGGATTGAAATCCATGTTCCCAGGAGTCTTCCCGATCAGAGCCTAGACCAGACGATGGAGTAACCAGGACACCATACCACGATGCCGCGATAAGCGGGAAATACAACAAAGTGGCAAGCTACAATATCGCCTCGTTCCAAAAGCAGGTCAAGAACCAACAGCTCGAATAGCTAGTGTTCAGTGACAGCGAACAATGGGATGGGATCAGATCATGTAGTAGGGCTGGGCAATGCAACCACAGCATCATGATAAGGAAGCTTCCACGTCGATCTCGATATTCTAGAGCACCCTTATCAGAGACGCTCAGTCCGAATATGCCCTGCTACCCTTCCATATGCAGCTGACGGCTCGTCTAGAAGGCGGCCGACCGTTGGGAACGATACCGCCGACTCCACTAGCTAATCTTGGGGACACGACGTTGTTTATTCAACGGGGCTTACAACGGATCATTTTACCCTTCAGGGCACGGTGGTGGTGTGTTGACTCGCCTGATTGGTTATAGACAGGCCATCCCCTGAAATTGTACCCGAGCCAGGTGCTGTTCTGTGATTCGTTTCGTCTACGATCATCGAAAGAGGAATGCCCATTCAGGACGATTCTTGTACCAGACAGGCTTGACTGTGTACTAGTTGCTGACAACCTAATAACCCTACTTGGACGTACGGCGTGCTCTGGTTTATTAATCACTGTGTGGTTTTTCGGACCTGCCTATTCAGTATCGCCATCACAAGCCTTTGCTATCAAACACCTTTGCCAAGCAGCCAAGATATGAAGTTCTCACGCGCCAAGTAATGCTACATTGTGATCATGCAATGCTGCCGGATTCCGGTACCAGAGTGGTAGCGCGACCTACCTGATTGCGTGCTGGAAGGAGTTATGTCAAACGAAGAATAACGCTTTGCTCGGCGCCGAGAAAATGGCCTATCGTTACCCGCAGCCCGGGCCGTCTTGGCTCGTATGTCTGGAACTGGAATCCCCCGTAGCGGTTCTTGGCTTTTGCGGCTCTGCGGTAGCCCAAGCGCGCGAGTTACACCACATCTCGTCAATTACTTGAGATTTTACCAGGAATAAATGGCGATATCACGACTGGATCTTGCGCAATTGCCGTATGTCAGAAAACAACTGGGGAGGAAATCTGGGGGAGAGGTTTCTATTACTCTACTTAATTGCACCATAAGCCCACTCACTGGTGACTGTGATTAGGGGAGAGACACAACATCCACAATGGGAGAGAAATAACTGGGACGAATCCGAGGGCGCTAGACAAAGGGTCCTCTGCATCTGGGAACTGATGGCCGGGGTTTCAGAACTGGGTGGGGTTGTGTTGGTGGTTTCAATCTTGGCACGTCGCAAAAGTCCGTGGGTCAAAAAATGGTCTGGTCTGGTCTGGTCTGGTGTGTTCAAGCTTGGCTGGTCTGTTTAATTCATTTCGTCGACTGGTGGTAGGTAGGATTTCAACGCTCCAAAAGTCCCGACGCCACGCGCGCGTGTTATTCCTTGGCGAGAGACATGGCAATATTAAACGCGAGCAGGAAGCCTACCTTCAGTTACTCAACTGCTGAACGCAGAAAGATCCCCGCGTGAGGCATGCCAAATTACATAATTGATTGGTTTCCCCGCAACGCACAAGTCTCAAAAGCGAAAGAACAGAACCTTGTTTGCAAGCTCAATGTAATTATAGAGAAAAGCTGGCCAAAAGGGGCAGCTCAGCGTTGAATCTGTGAGGTAACGAGATCTTCCACCAATTTTCCAGTTTCGGGGAACTTGGGGATGGTTTGTTTGCAGTGCGTTGGGCCTAATGTTAATTCAGTGGGACCTGGAGACAGAATGGGGACGTCGTTAATTAATCTGACAGGACTCTTTTGTGCGCGCGTTGTTGCAATGCATTGATCAGACGCAGTTGGGTTAAGCTTATTGCAGTAGACAATTCCGTTACCATAGCGCTGTAGTTGCGTGAATGCAGAGCATCCGTAGTCTGATTAAACAATTATTAAAGCCATGCGAAAATGAGCTTTATCTCAAAATGCCAACTAAGCTAGCACGCACCCAAAATCGAATTCTAATTCTTTTTTTGCCTTCCCCTACGGGAATACCTGTGTTTGGCGACCATTACCGGAGCTGTAACCATCTTAACCGCTCTAGGAAGGTTACTGTTACATGAGGATAAGGAGAGGCGAAAGGAACAGCCACACGTTGGGACGAAAGGCGATTATCTTTTGTACGAGTCGTGTAAGTTTGACGTGCGCGTTGATTGTAGATTGTAAATTTTTGGGTGTCGAGGTGATGGCATGATGAATGTTAGTACGTGAGACGTGATGAACTGGTAATTCATTGCTAATGGTCCTGGCGCTGACCTACAAGGCTATTTACAGCCTACAACGGCCATCGTGGAATGAGCACAGGCGACAAAGCACGCGACACGAGCTCCAGTGTCCAGTGTCCACAGAGGAAATGTCATCGCCAAGACCCGTTGGTCAACACACTCAAGCCACCTCCATCACCCACAGCAAACCATCCCATCACGACGCTCTCTTTTCCACCGAGGCGAAATGATCTTCTCGATTGCGAAAACACCCAAAAGTCACGGGCAGGCAAAAAACTCCCAATCAGCGTGTAAATCTTGGCGAATCGAACAGCTGAAGAACGTTGCAGCGGACAGCCACACTGCCGGGTCACACTGGTGGCTTGGCCCAATGGCTGCTCGGAGCCGGAGGGCGCCCAGCTCCGGGACAGGTTTTGTAGGTGCGTGCCTCGGCAGTCTGAGCGCCACGCGATCATACTCTGGCATTTATTTTTTCTCTCCATTTTTCGCGTTGTGGAAGATGAGATGAATATGGGAATACTACTCTACTGATACTGCGTGGTATTATTCCATAGCATGGAAGAATTAAAGTGCATGCAGCGACAAGGTTGAGCGAAGTCGATAGCTGAACAGCTGAACATTTCGCGGAAATACCACGCTCCCAAGACGCATCAAGATATCCAGCCACCAGCCAAGCATCAGCATCTCGGAGCCTCACGCTTTTTCTTCCCTTCCTTCTCGAAGATCATGTCGCCCTCGGCCGACTTATTCCCAAAAGGTCTACCTTCCCCGTTAGGCAGAGCCGTACGACGGGGCGGCCACCCCTTGTACTCGACGGCAAAAGGACCGAGCTACCACTTCACCTTCTCCGTTAGTGCTCCGGCCTTGGCCCCCGCATGAGGAATAAACCCAACCTGCCGCGTTACAGTCGCACCTGGGAGGAGGGGACTTTTGTATGTGCCCTTGCCAAAAAGAGGTTCTAGACGCTGGTTGGTCGCTTGTTACGATAAGGCCCTTCCCCACTGAATAACTCTAGTTCGCAAGTGGGCAGTGGATATCTGGGGTCTGACAGGGGTGATTTCGCTATCTGGATGGGATCTTCAACCTTGTACACATCCCTATTGCGGTATCTGTAGAACTCGAGCACACAATGCCAGTGGCAATGGCCAAGACGTCGCATCGGATATTCGATGCACAAGTCTGGGGGACCCATTCAATCCTCAGATATATAACCATCCCATCTCCTCCCCTCTGGTAACACCTTTTCTCCCCAGGGCATCCTCGACAACTTCATCACCCCCCATATTCCCACCTTCTCCCACACAGATCAAGTATATCTGTAGTTGTTCAAAATGACGAGCGCCGGCAACCTCGACACCGACGCCATCGCCCGCTCCGGGCTGGTCGACCCCGAGACACACGGCATCCCCCAGGTCGCCGCCAAGGGCTCCATTGACGTGGCCCGCCATGTCGCCCGCTCCGTCTCGGAGAACACTGACGATGACCTCCCCACCGAGGAGGAGCTTCACACGCTCCGCCGCGTGTCTGGAAAGATCAAGTGGGCCATGTACACCATCGCCTTTGTGGAAGCCTGCGAGCGTTTCTCCTACTACGGCTCTGCTGTGCTCTACACCAACTTCGTCGCCCAGGAGCTTCCTGCGGGATCCAACACCGGTGCTCCTCTTGATCCCGACGGTCAGGCTGGTGCTCTGGGCATGGGCCCCAAGGCTGCTCAGGGTATCTCTCTGTTCAACCAGTTCTTCGCTTATCTGATGCCTCTCGTTGGGTATGTTATCTCTAACCATTGATCTTCAGAACCTCGCTAACAGTTACAGTGCCTACATTGCTGATGCCAAGCTCGGTCGTTTCCTCACTCTCCACATCGCCATCGCCATCTCTACCTGTGCTCACGTTGTCCTCGTTGCTGCTTCATCCCCCACCGTCATCGTCCGCAAGGATGCTTCTTTCGGTGTCTTCATCGTCGGTCTCATCATCCTCTGTGTCGGAACTGGTTTCTTCAAGGCCAACGTATCTCCCCTCCTGGCTGATCAGAATGAGGACACCAAGATGCGAGTTGAGGAGCGCAATGGCGAGCGAGTCATTGTCGATCCCGCCGTCACCAACACCCGAGTCTTCCTCTACTTCTACCTCGCCATCAACATCGGATCCGTCCTCGGTCAGATTGCCATGGTCTACGTTGAGAAGTACCACTCTTTCTGGCTCGCTTTCTTCATCCCCACCATCTTCTTCCTGATCGCCCCCATTATCCTGGCCCTCAACAAGAAGAGCTACAAGCTCAAGCCTGCTACCGGATCCGTCCTGTCCAAGTTCTTGCGCATGTTCTTCTATGTCCGCAAGCGCAGCACTTTCTTCAGCTTCAACTGGGACCACGCCAAGCCTTCTCAAATCCCCGTTGACCAGCGCCCTTCTTGGATGACCTACGATGACGCCTGGGTTGATGAAGTCCGCCGTGGTCTCATGGCCTGCAAGGTCTTCCTCTACCTCCCCGTCTTCCACCTGGCCTACAACCAGATGACCGGTAACCTGACCACCCAGGCCTCCACCATGGTCCTCAACGGTGTCCCCAACGATATCATCCAGAACCTGAACCCCATCTCCATCGTCATCATGGTTCCCATCATCGATCACCTTGTCTACCCCGGTCTCCGCAAGATGGGCGTTGCCTTCACCCCTATCAAGCGTATGACAGTCGGTTTCTTGATCTCTGGTTTCGCCATGGTTGCCTCCGCTGTCATGCAGCACTACATCTACCAGAAGAGCCCCTGTGGCAAGTACGCCAACGGCAAGGACGCGGACGGTGAGAAGTGTGCCCCCGCCGACATCAACGTCTGGGCCCAGTGTCTCCCCTACATCTTGATCGGTCTCGGTGAGATCTTCACCAACGTCACATCCTACGAGTACGCCTACTCCAAGGCCCCCGAAAACATGAAGTCCCTCGTCATGAGTGTCAACCTCTTCATGTCCGCTTTCGCCTCCGCCATCGGCCAGGCCTTCACCCCTCTCTCCGACGACCCTCTCCTCGTCTGGAACTACGTCGTTGTCGCTGTCATCGCCTTTGTCGGTGGTGTCGCCTTCTGGTTCAACTTCAAGCACCTCGACTCCGAGGAGGACAAGTGGAACATGCTCAAGGCCTCCGAGTACAAGGGTACCTTCCAGCCCAACTCTGTTGAGAACAAGGTTGCCCACGAGCACGAGGAGCCCACCAATGCCCCTCGGGACATTGAGAAGATGTGACTTCCTCCGCAATGCAAGAACTGCTATCGCTTTAGTTAAGATACCACCATAGTTTAATGATTGAGCAATACCCTGCTTAGACGATACCAATATAATTCGTTCACTATATACTTCGCTCACAATTACCGTGATATGTCTTGCAATTGTCTTTGTTGCTGTTGTTCACCCTCTACCATCTTTTTCATTCTTGGGCGATAACAGTTCTTTGTTTGTGTGAGTATTGTAAGTCATTTGTCAGCTATTTACCTCGAGATGGAACTTGGTAAGAACTGAGAGCCAATCTCTTGTTGTAATCTGACAAGTGAGTACGCATCGTAGTTAACTGTTTGTCTGAATACTCTAACGTTCGTATCCAGCAGTTGAATATTCGATATTTCTCCGTTTCGACGGCCGTATTATGAAACGAAACATATTAATTTCCACTAACCTCTGCGTTACCTGGACAAAGATCTGATGAGTCGTACTTTCACTTACCTATCCTTAGTGTCTTGACGTCTCCTTCTTTGTACTATACCATGAACTACCGCATTGGTCAAACCCATTTGATTCTAACACCCCTTTGGCTTGTGATCCTGCGTCTGAGCTCAATCACAGCGATATCACATCACGGCCTTTGTGTTTCCGGACCCCAGGCGCTGCACCGTCTTTAGTCTCGTCACCGCGGATAGAGCAACTAGCAACGCTATATACAACGCTTAAACCAACCATGGTAAACTCATCGGTTTATCCAATCAGGTCAGTGTTTACGAAGTCTGTTCAGACTACGCTAGTTGGCAAAATCATGAATAAACATGGCCTCAACTAACCAGCATCGACAACCTCTCACATCTCTCTCAGCGATGAAGAGAGATGAGGTGGAATACAAGAACTAGAATATCACTTTCATAGGCATTCAAGGAACCAATCTTGGTAATACTCAGTACCAGGCCAGGGACAAAAGAGCCCCCGTCTTTCGCGCATCAAGGGAAGTGTTTTAGCCTCACATACGTTCTAAGGATGAGTTCACATTTGATCTGCTTTTCACAACGCTGCTTTGCCGGAACTACCGGAGTCGCTGAACTTGTCCAGATCGTAGCCCATTTTCTGCTCAGAGTATTTATGCGATGACCATTCATAGTACAATTGAAACGCTCCCAGGTGGATTCTGGTTTGTTTGAAACTAACTAGACTGCACTTGTTTCTCTGGTCTAACAAGGCGTATGACCTATCACAATACTTGCTCAAAGAACCGTTTCCTGACATTTCCGGTGTCTTTATCATGATAAGAAAGAGCTCGCTTAAATATTGTTGTCAATAAAGAAGTGACCTATATCTGCAACAGGGGGAATGGTGAGATGGGTTTGTGAATGAAGCATTCTTTAATCCCTTTGTGCGGAAGTTGTCAACAGACGATGTGTTGAATAACGTAACACTCCCATCAATGAATAGTTCAACGCCAGTCCTGTATAGGTATTAATAAGACGCAGCTGCCCGTCAAACCTCATCACAAATAACTTGTCATCCTTCAGTCTACGCAGCCCAATTACACAAACACCCACAACTACTTACTTCGTACTTTCCAGGATGCTTCTCTCAGACTCAGACAACCGACTTCCTGTTGTTTTCTCGCTAGTCCCTCTTAACAACGCAGCTGTCAGAGTCCTCAGACACCCATCAAATGACCACTTATTCAAAGACAGTCCAGCCTATAACAAGATCGACGTTGTCTTCGACCCCAGCCGCTCAACTGGACTCTTCCCCTGCACCATAGGCCGAGTAGGCCATGTCCACAGTCCCCGTCCTAGCATCGCCAACTTCCAATGCAGCTTTCAGATCCACCAAGACACCGGTGAGATCTTGCTAGTGGACGACTCCCCTACCAAGAGCTGTCAATTCTTCCATTGTCAAAGCAGAGGGTCTCGATTCTACGGGTCAAAGACTCGACCGTTCCAAGAAGGACTTCTTTCTCGTGTTGCTGTCATTGATCCAACCATCAACACCATATTCAGCTTTGGCGGGAGAGACGCGTCTTGGTACAGATGGCAAATCCAATGGCACGTCTCCCCACCACTTGACACGCTTGAATGGATTGCGACGATGGAAATTTCTGACATTGGATTGATTGGCCGGTCTGAGACTGTTGCGAATCTACCGCTGGTCCGACGCAAGCGTTACGATCTCCCTGAGGATCGCTTCCTGAGCCGTGATATCATTTCCCACAGGTTGGACATGGTCGTTACGAAAGCTGTTGATGTGTATTCCGGCCAGTACGTTGCTATCAAGACTGTCAAAGTTAAATCTCGGTTCGAAGATATCATGGCCCGGCGAAACGAGACCGAGGAAATCTTCACCAACTTGAATCACGTAAGTTGCATGTAGCAACCTTTTCTTGAACACTCGCTAACTCTTCAAGCCACATATCATTGAATTCCTTCAGGTGGAAATCCTGGAAAACGAATACAAGCTGGTCATGGAGCTTCAAGGGGGCACTCTGACCGATTTTGCCCGCGAGAGGCCGTATGATCCACGAGCAGGGGATCCCGTTATTCGGCCCCTTTTGCACCAGATGTTGCAGGCTTTGGACTATCTCGCGTCCAAGGACATCATCCACCGAGATGTCAAACCAGACAACATCCTCTGGCGCAGATGCGAGGGTGAGGTTGACTTGCACTACCGTCTTGCCGACTTCGACGTCGCTACTCCATCATCTGATGATCCAATACTACTAGCTGGAACTTTACGCTTCATGGCACCAGAAGTGTTATTCCCGACCACAGTGACAGGGCAGCCTCACACACCGAAAATCGACGTCTGGTCCCTCTGGGCTACACTCATCTGGACGTTTAACATGGGAACTACTGCCGCGCCTGGAAGATTCCGCCAGCTTCTTGGATCATCTCCCGAGAACATGATCTATCGAGAGATAGAAGCTCAGGCCATTGCGGAAGAGTACGGTTCGGCGTTTGCGGCAATGGCGGTGTCGGATCCTAAGGATCGAGCTTCCGCGGGGGAACTTCTTGAATGGATGTTTGAAGGCGTTGGACGGACGACTTCTTATCCATGATCGTGTCAATGCGAGAAGGTTGGATCAATAATGCTCACTATCGGAACGACAACGCTTTTTGTTTCCATGGAAGAGTTTGTGATATGGGACTTAGGAACGACGGAAAAGACATGTTACAGGCTCACGTATAAGTATACCTAAGTTGGGGCGTTTGAGTTGGATTGATACTTCTGAATAGAACTAAATACTGCAAATGAGTGTGGGTAGATATCTTGCTAATATGAAATTGTCTATATCAAATACAGGGATGGGCTTTCTGGTGTAAGAGACAGCATTAACTTGACAGTGAGGTTCCCCAGCCACCATGAACTACCTTCTCCAATAACTTGTCGTCCAGGTCCTACAAACACAGCCCGTTGTAGCTATTTATAGCCTGCTAACAAGGCTCTTCCGCGGAGTTCAACTCGGCCTCAGATTTAAGCTTGATTGTGACATCTAGCTGAACAACCACCACGATAATGTCGGGAGAAATCTGGCCACATGATGGCGATCTACATCAGATATCCAATGGAAATAGAAAGATGAACGTTACGCAACATCAAAATATTGACGCCACATAAGCCATCTCACATTCTGGTCGTACATTCTGTGTCCAGCCCAGCCCGAGGGGCAAAAGTACGGGTGTGATTGCGTAGGTCCGGACACTATCAATTTGAAGTTGCCTTGTTGTTTTCTGCTAGAAATACGATGGTTCAAAGGGTGCCAGAGCCCAACTGATGAGTTGAGTCAACTGTGAGTAGAGCCTTGGAAGGTAACTGGAAGACTCTCGGCTATTAGACGCAACTATTGGTAGCCTGCTGCTTACCTAGACGACAAATATAGATTCAAGCTTATGCAAGCCATCTCAAGTTGCAAGAGCTGTGCCCCAACTGGGATTATCGTAACGAGTGGTACTAAAACGAAGGGATATCCTGCTCCCTCCTCGTTCCTTCACCCTCGCATCTCACATACTGCCAGACATCAAGCACAAGGCTATAACTGCCACAACGCCACCACCCATGGCTCTTCTCCAAGACGCAAAGGGAGCGGCACAAGCACTGCACATCCCGAGAGCAACTGCTTTGCCAGCACCATTACCACCGCAACTGGCGCGACGTGACGCGGACGATTTAACCTCTAGTACACTTACCGTGACTGTCTCCCCGGATCGAACATGCGGCTTCGACGGCAACGACAAGCCAATGAGCTGTGTCAGAGAAGTGCCTTGCACTTGGGAATCCGGCAGTATCAATGCTTTCTGGTGCGGATGGTCAGGCCTCTTCACTACTTGCTATGACAACACTGCGTGGAATGACCCTTCTAGTTGCAATGCTGACTGTTACTCAAACTCACGCAACGTGTTTTGGTAAGTTGGAGGCTTTTACTACACTCTGCCACTTGATTTGTTCTAACAGTTTGTCCATCCTCTAGCCATAGCACACAGCCTTATTGCACGACATTCGAGCTCGGCGACGGCATTAGGGGATACGGATGTAGTACAGTGCCATCAATCCAGAAATTAATCGCAAGTACGCTGTATAATAAACCCCGAGAATTTAAAACTCGGGTTTATGTCGACGGGCTCCAGCAGACAGAATGGGTATCGGATTTGGAGACAACCACGACAGAAGTTTCTCCAACCACGACGGATTCTGCAACATCTAGCCCTAAGCCCGGCCCAAACATCGGCGCTATCGTTGGCGGTGCAGTGGGCGGCCTTGCCGTCCTTATCCTCATTGGAGTCGGTGGGCTTTTGTTTCTACGACGCCGAAAGAACAAAGCTGCAGATCAACACGAGTTGAACACTGGCTTCGCGCCCCAGCCCGACACGCCAGGGCTTCTCGACAAAACCCAATGGTCCCCTGCCCAACTCGGGCCCTATGCGGACCGTCCGTCCCCTGAATACGCGCCTGTTACGTCGCCTCACCTTCACGAGGCGCCGAGTTCAGGGACGATGTGGAGCGCTGAGCTTGATGGCAGGAGGACGGATCATCACCGTGGGACGATGCAGGAGATGTGATAGCACCTCAGCTTGGGAGAATACTTTAATATAGCTGGTAGTAGTGTTTGGTCATGGTAGTCATTCAATTCGAGTACTCTGTTATATCTCTAAAACTTTGCTGCTTCAAAAACTCCATGTCTTCCCGCTCCCCGACTAAACTCCCCAGCACCCTTCACACTCTCAGTAGTAACCACCTTGACACCATTCTCATACTCATTCCTCAAGGCATCCTCAAAAGACGTTGCATTGTACGCAGCGTAGTAGCAACTCGCCCTATCCACATTCATACACTCCTGCGGGAAAGTCAGGAGCTGCTTCGCAATCTTCGTCGCCTCAGCCAAAGCCTGTCCTTCCGGCACAACACGATTCGCTAGTCCAAACTGCAGTGCCTCTTGTGCTGTGACTGCTCGGCCGGTGAGGATCATGTCAAGAGCTCGACCGAGGCCGATGATGGCTTGCAACCGAACAGTCCCACCGTCAATGAGGGGAACGCCAAATCTGCGGCAGAAGACCCCGAAAATGGTGTTTTCCTCGGCAATGCGAATGTCGCCTATGAGCGAGAGCTCCAAACCTCCAGCTACCGCATAGCCAGACACTGCACTTATGACAGGCTTTTTGACCTGCATCCTCGAAGGGCCCATGGGACCTTTAGCGCGATCAAGAGCATCGTGGTTAGGGTCGATAGCCGGGCCTCGATACTGCTCTGCTTCTTGACCCTCGTTGTACTTGGCGACTTCATGGAGGTCGAAACCAGCGCAAAAGGTGCCGTGGGCGCCATACAGAACGCAGACCTTTTGAGTGTGGTCGTTCTCAAATGCCAGAAAGGCTTCGGCAAGTTTCTTGGCGGTTGCACCGTCTACGGCGTTCTTGCGGTGCGGGCGAGAGATGGTGATGGTTGTGATGCCATCTGGAGTTTGAGTAGCTTGCACGGCTTGAGGCTCTTTGTCAGTCATGGTATACAATTGGATAAGAGATGGCATGTATATGTTTCATCAAGAATTCATTGGCAAAGGCACTATCCCCGCGCATCATTTAAATATTGACGATCGGCAAGTACGGAGTCTTTACCCGTCTTAGCCGATTTACTCGTTCTATTGAACGGCCAATAGCAACAGTCATGAAAGATACAAGCAGGACGGGATAGCATCGATTCATTCGTTGAAAGCAACTTTCGGCTTGTCTTAAGGTAGAATGAAGGGCGCGATGGAACCACCTCGGCTATCACATGGTGCGGGGATGGATTATTTCCGCTCTGTGGTTCCGCGGTGTAGATCTTGACCACGCAGTCTACCTGGAGCCTACACAAGTCTTGTTGCGTAGCAAATTGACTTACAGCAATGTTACTGATATATAAATGTTTACATACAGCTGATGGTGAATCAAGCCGTCTTAAATGCCCTTCACATCTACCCGTTCTTAAGAAGTGTGTTCTGGAAGACAGTTCTCTGAAGCTCCGACTCATATAACACTCCAAGTCCCATATTAAAAACCAGAGTCTCTGGGATCTTATCCCTTAACTCTAATAGGATATAAGCCGTGGTATATGAGTTTTTGTAACAACACGAGTCAGATGGAAGTTCCCTGCATGCAAAAGCCCTTGGCAAGCATGTACAGGCTCATTCTGGTGGTGGCTTCTACTCAGAATATGCGACCTGCAGCAGTATCGTTTATACACCACTCCAGACTGTCATCGGCAGTTGAGTGAATTCAGCCTAAACGCCCAGCATCTCCTCTAGCGCCTATTAGAGGCCAGGGTAGATGATAGGGAATTATACCTACTAAAGCCCTTGTCGCGGCATTGTCAGGAGTGGTGCTCATTGGATAGAACAATAACTAAACTTAGAGAACTAAGTGCGGTTATCACTAGTAAGGTAATGGGGTTATCAGAGTTGTAGGGATGAAAACCCAATATCTATTGGTCGAGAGCTCCGCGATCTTCGTTTGTCTATAAGCTTTCTAGTTAGTAGTTACTGAATTATCTGGATCTGATCTATCCTCTTTTCATTACGTAAACTCTAACTAATTAATATCTGGTCAAACTAGGAACTATGGAACGTAGTGTTATTCACATCAACCGTCCATTGCGGATAAAACATCTGGTAATAGTCAGTAGTGCCGTGGTTGTCTCAGCTTGCAAAGCTGTAGTTTTTACTCACAATAACCACTAAGCCAGATTGACCGTTTTGTTTGAAATGAGAAACATAGATTGCATGGATAGCTGTAATTTCACATTTATTCAATCCCGTCGCATAATATTCGCCTGACTCGGTCTAATAGGAGATGTCACTAGAAAGACTAGTGCAGGCCGTCTATTAGTCTCCATGTCGGCTATAGCAACGAGCGCCAACAAAGGCCTAATCCGGTCTAGCCTCTCTACATTCTCGGTCGCTTCGCGCAAATCTCCACTTCTGAAGCGTCCCCTAACAGCGATGTAACCAAGCCCCTGCTAGCGAGGCTGTTGATCGTCTCAACTACCGCAACACTTTAATACCAAGGGAAGAGATACTGCCTCGTCAGGCGCACCAACTCTTGATTCCAAAACAAAACACTCATCGTCTAGAGTCTTCTGATACCCTCAGGAGGAGTAAACGTCTCTTTGCAGGGCTGACACAGCCCCCCCCTGCCGAGATCCGAAACTTCAGGCCATTATTCGTCACAAATTGCTCCCGCCAAGCCTTGTAGCTTGTTATCACAGGTGCCGAGGTGCTATCAGATCTTTAACCCGTCAGCGTTTCATTGAGATTCATGTGAGAATCTCAGCAATTATACGCCAGCTGTCTCATCGTTGGTCAGTATCGGACCTATCCTCAAAGCCAAGCCTCGTACCACAGCCCGTTTCTGCCGTGTATCCGTCTCACAGGCCAGCCCTATGCACAAAAGGATGGTGTTTCATACTGGATTACGTATCCCCAGGGGCAGTGTTCCAAAAGGACTCTTTGCGGTATGACTGAGTTCCACGTTCTAGAACTCCATTGCCAAGCAGCGTTAGTTTGACACTGCCCGCTCCATAAATCAGCTCTCATTCAAAGATGCCCATTGGCTACACCGTAAAAACAGGGATTAAACACCTCCTAGCGCGAAGCTTAAGCCCCTTAGAGCAGGTCCACCCAGAAGAATTGTAGATAATTCCCCGTATTGAGAAAAAGCTTCGTCCAACAGAATCGTGTTTTTGAATCTTCTCATGACCACTTTTTTGCATCCAGCTCGTACTCACATTTGCGCTTCTTGCCTGCCAACGCCCGCCAAGTTCCCGATATGAAGTCCTCCAACCAGCTGGTTATCCTGCAGAAGAAGGCCAAATGGCAGCGAGCCTCCCGCCCCAAGGTCCGCACTGGCTGCTTAACCTGGTATGTCCCTCTTGAACATTATAGACCCCTGACTCTGAGATAGGACGTAGCTAATATGCGTAATTTGATATAGCAAGTGAGTTTAACATTGACGAGCTTATCTTTATCTCCGTGCTATGTCTAACCAATTTTTCCAATTGATAGAGTGAGACATCTGAAATGTGACGAAGAGAAGCCCACCTGTCGCCGCTGTCGCGATGGGCGCGTCAAATGCGACGGCTATGCCACTCCGGACAAGAAGCAGCTGCAACAACGCGCTGCGCCAATCCCAGTTAATTTCCACTCCATCCTGTCTCTCAACCCCCGCGTGGCCGACACTTCCATCGAGAGCTGCTATTTCCACCACTTCCACCACTGGACCTCAACACAACTCACATGCGCCCCCGGATCGTCAAATTTCTACTTAACCTATGTCCTGCCGCTCGCTCATATATGCGAGCCTATCAAGCATGCCATCATTGCTGTGGGTGCAGCCCACCGCTTTTTTATGGCCGGGCAGGAAACTTGCTCTCCATTACAGCAGCTGAAAAGCCTGTCAATGCAGCAGTACAACAAAGCTATCTCGCGTATCATACCACACATGAGCCTCGATTCAGCCTTTGATATTCAGTGTACTTTGGTGTGCTGTTTATTATTTGTTGCTTTCGAGGGTATCAATGGCCGATATGCCGAGTCCATTCGACACATCCGAGCTGGAGTTCGATTACTCTCTTCACCTGCTTTGATCGATGCCTCAAGAGAGGAGAAGAGTGTGATGAAGCTTACAGAAATGTTCTCTAACCTCGGAGTTGAAGCATCGATGTTTATGGAAGATACCATCATCCCTGACATCCGGTCAGGTAGTCTTGATGTTCTCTACGGCACAGATATCTCCGACCAGCCATTCCGGGACCTCGACGAAGCTGCAGGAGCCTTGCGGAAGTTGGACGTCAAGGCAGTCGACATCATGGATCAAGAACCTTGTCCAGAAGACATAACCCACGGAAGCAGTTGTTCCCGCGACAGCATGGAGCCATGGGAGAAGGAATACTTCGACTCCATGTGGGATGATTTAGACACCAAGTTCGAAGAGTGGAACTCACGGTTCGAGTTGACGAAGAGACACATCGCCACCTGGGATTACCAAGACCTACACTCCCCCCAACTCATCTACCTCACACTACAGCAGAAATTCTGGCGAATGTGCATGACATGGGAAAGGGAAGAATGGGCCGAACCCGTCCCTGCAGCCGTGAAACAGTTCCTCGACGCCGCCGACATCTTCGCCCAAATAGTCCTCGTCCCCGGCCAAACCAGCTTCTCCCTCGACGGCGACATGATTTCCAGTCTCTCCATGGTCGTGTGGACGTGCTCAGATCCCATCCTCCGCCACCGCGCGCTAGATCTATTACGTTCGCTGAATAGACGTGAGGGAGTCTGGGACAGTCGGGAGATAGTGGAAATGCACGAGGCGACGCTTGCGCTGGAGGATCCTACATCCTGGTATAGGAAGGAAATACCAGGTGGAGTTCCGGGGTATGTAGCTGAGTTGGTCAAGTACTCGAAGAGGGCGAGTTTATATAGATCAGGGCTGTTGGCATCGGATTTTGTGCGTATAACGAGTTAATGTTCGGTTGTTTTGTCAAAGTCAAATGGGACATAGTTAGAGAATAGAGCTAATTAAGTAATCCCGTTTCATGCCACGAGAAAACATGATCATTCGAGATATAGCAGTTACTACTCAATCAAAATGTGGACGAGTATGTGATCACTGACGACTTCACGTCGGTGTCAGCAAACCCTCCAGGTAGTGTGTGTATACACGTCTTAGCTTATCCGACGTCATTCATCGTAAGATTACCCACTACGTCACGTTTTATCAACCGTATATCATCACCTAGGTCATCCCTCGAGCACTCGAATAAGACATTTACGATTCCACAACGAATTTTAAATTAATTGTGTATACTGTTCAACTGTACATATCACTTCAATATAACCCGACTCCCAAAATGTCGCAACTAGAGCGTTCCCTAAAATCCAGCAGCCTCTCAGAAACGCTCATGACATACGACGAGTGGGCAAAGACGTACAACCAAGACGTTGAAAAAGAGGAATACGTCGCCCCACAACTCGCTGCGGAGAGATTACTCAATCACCTCGGCTCCGCGAAAATCCCCGACGCAAAAGTCCTCGACGCTGGATGCGGCACGGGGCTTGTGGGCGAGGCTCTAATGAAGTTCGGCGCAAAGCACATCGATGGCATAGATATCAGTCCCGGGATGCTTGAAGTCGCCGAGCGCACAGGGGTCTACAATTCTTTGAGTGTAGGAAACCTCGCTGAGACTCTAGACATCCCCTCGCGGCTTTACGACGCTGTCATCTGCGTTGGGACCATGACTGAGGGGCACGTTGGCCCCGAACCATTTGATGAATTTGTCAGAGTTACAAAGCCCGGCGGTTACATCGTCTCGACAATTCGAGAGTCAGTGTGGAAGTCCAAGGGTTATGAAGAAAAGGTGACTTTGCTTACTCAAGCGGGACAAGCAAGTCTTGTTAGTAACCAGCTGGAGCCTCGGAGGATTGGAGCTGCGGTGTATGCCTACTTTGTTATCCTTCAGGTTGAGTAATTCTGACGGGTATCTCTATGGCTTGGGGAATGTGCGCGTGATGTGAAGATTAGGATTATCACGGCGATTTGTCCGCTGACGTCAGATATCTTACCTCCAATTGACGACGATATAATGCGAAAAATCAATGAGACAAGGGACAAGCTGAATATTACTAAGGTATTTGTTAGCACGGATAAGAATCCTCCAGGAATCGCGCTGCATTATTGTGGTGATGAGGTTTTAGTATATTTGCACACCATTAAATACATGGTATTGCAAGTCTTTGAATACAAAAGGCGGCTGCAACATTGTTATTGGATTTATCCACTTATACACATATTCCCTCTGAGGTTTTCTCAATTCTCGTAGCGCCTGATGCTTTAACTTCTTCTTGAACTGCACAATCAACTTTGCAACCCGTATGTTTATTCCACTCTCTCGAATGCGGGGGATGACTCATGCACGATCTTCAAAAGAGGCAGGTAAACGTCAGCAAGCAGTATGTTGCCGTATAACCGAGTGATCTTCAGTGTCATCGTTGCAGATAGCCAAGTGAGTCACTGCCTATCTAAGCGGTTACAGATAAGCGACGGATATATAGATCCTACCGTCTTTCATTTCGCTGTTCGTCTCCGTCAGTTAGTGAAGCCTACAGCCAAATACCCCATCATGGATGAACAAAGAATTGCCAACGCCTACCGCTCAAAGCGTCTTGTCTACCGCGCACCGGAAAACAACGACGAAGACAAAGTATTCCTCTCCAAGCACTTCGACAACAACCCCGTCAGTGCCGCCCTAGCAGATCCCCAGCTTCTCAAACCACGCGACAAGAAAAGCGCAGAGGATCTCCTCACCTTTATGAAAGACTCCGTCATGACGTGCATAATCAGCCTATCGCCCGACGAAGCCAAAAAATACGACAGCGAGAAACCAGACCCTATTCCCATCGGCTTCATCGTCCTTGGCCTCGGTGGTAGAAAGGCGCATCACCGCAATGCGGGTATAGGCATCATGCTCGCGGAGGCGTACCAGAACAAAGGCTACGGCGGGGAGAGTATCAATTGGATGCTCGATTGGGCTTTCCGTCATGGGGGCTTTCATCGTGTGGGGATTCAGACGTTTGGATTTAATGAGCGTGCGCAGCATTTGTATAAAAAGCTGGGGTTCGTAGAGGAAGGACGGAGTAGAGAGGCGATTTGGCATGATCGGAACTGGTATGATATGGTGGAGTTGGGAATGCTCGAGAGTGAGTGGATGACTCTACGAGGTCTTGAGTAAGGCCAAGCTGAAGTGATTACTTCTTTGTGTTAATGAGATGGCACGCCCTGGTTTATATCTTGTCTGTTGCTTTTGTTTCTGAGCTGGATCAGCAATTAAATAACTTGAATATTCGCAAGCGAAGTTTCGCGTTTTCTGTTTTTTATCAACTAAGCTTGACCAGAGGACCACCGAAGTGAACGTGACAAATGAACGTATGATGGAAGAACGCCAAGAGTTGTGTTGGATATTATTAGCCATTATTAATCTTCAATACATATCAACATGCAAACTCCACCGTAGCTAATCTCAAACAAATACTCCGAAAAGAACAGAAAGAACAACACCACCCCAAGCAGCCTTGACTCTCAGCCCACCATTCTCAGCACTCGCCGTCTCAGGCGCCGCAGCTGTAGTCTGCGAAGCCGCCGAAGTCTCAGTGGTCGTCTCCACATCTTTAGCCGTAGCCGACACGGAGTGAGGTTTCGAAACTGTAGAGGCTTCAGAAGTCGTGGCCTCGGCACCAGACGTAGTAGTTGACGACACGGGCAGTTTGATGCCACAAACAGCCTCGGGGTCAAAAGTGAAAGGGAGGTTGTAAGCGTCGCAGTTATCCGAAGATCTCGGGATTTGTTCTGAGTAGAGGATCAGCCTCATCTTGACTTGATTGACAGGGGAACTTACCAGGTAGGACATTATCGGCGCAGTTCTTTGCTAGACAGCAGAAGAACTTCTCTCGCATGTCTTTCAGTGTGCAGAGACAAGCTGGGTTATCTGAGTTACATTTATCGGTAAAGAACTCGAAGAAGCATTTGTTCTAGAACTATCTGTTAGCTCAATGCGATGCGATCGGGAAGATAAAACGTACATTGCACGTCGCATCTTTATTCTGTTTCTCCTGGTCATATTGCTGGCCAGCGACGAAGCTGCCAGCAATGCTAAGAAACACCAGCGCGTTGGATAGACGAGTCATGATGAACAACTCGATAACGAAATACGACACGCAATAACCCGCCACGAGAGCGCATAATGCAGATTTAAGTACCCAAACGCTTGCACCAAGCCAGGAAAATAACCCCTGATATTCGCTTTACCACATGATAATAACTGGGCGGTAGAATGGATCTGGAAATTAGAAACGTTAGACTGTTTAATCCGACAAATGAAAGTTGGGCAAATAGCCTTAGCGGAGTCTGTGCCTTACCACCTGCTCCCGCCGAAGGATTCAAGTGATATTTGGTCCAGAAAACGGCTTAGTGCCAAGACCTTTTGTTTTACAGGGGGATAAAGCATAAGAGTATTGACTTAACCTAGTTAGCCTTTTAAGCTTAACTTGAAGAGCATAATTAGATGTTGTCAGGTACCCGGTATTTATTATTCTAGGTACTAAGGTATACGTGGTTCACTATTACGGTAAGGAGCTTCGGTGGCTACGTGTATGGCTCGTGACAGCAGCATTATATGCATGCTGATATTCAAGTGTCGAATCAACATTGAAAATCTTGGATTTAAATCTCCTACAACTGTAGTGAAGGACGACTTGATCGATTCTCAGGAGATAGCAGGTCCGTATAACGACGATAGCCGAAAAGCAAGTCCTTCCCTTTCCTTCCAATGACTAATTCTTATCGCTTATCCATTCTCATCTCTTTGCCATACATAGTACTCGCAAGCCAACTCCGCAATCTGCCTATCAACGAGAAACTCCTCTCGAGCCTCATCATATCACCCGGAACATATTCGACTTAACACCCCTCTTAAGCCCTTCGGCCCTGCCGTTCTCATACTCAACTCCCGCACCCCCTCCATCTCCTGACATGCCCTCCAATTTTTCCCTTAACTCCCGGTCTAGTTCTGCGCTGGTCTTCTTCTTGGGTGTTGATGAATCCTTGGCTGATTCTTGCTTGTTCTGAGGGGGTTGAGTAGACGATTCAGCCTTTGGCGTGGCAGTCGCAGCACGTGTGGTTGTTTGGAGTGTCCTAATACAAGGTACTCGAGCAATGGAGGTGGTGAGTGCGCGCTTCATTATGATGATAACCTGAGTTGATTGAGGTCTAGGGTTGGAGTGGTAGGAATAAAGTCTTGCCACCGTCTAGCGGTATGAAGCAAGTTTGTGCTGACTAAGGCGTGTACGTCACTGATGGGCGGCATGATGAGCAGAAGTGACAGCACGATACGGTCATTAATGTCCAGTCAATAGATCTTCAATCACAAATCTTATGCTACTATTTGTGCCTTATTCCTCATCCTAGCCTTTTACCTTTTTAGTCATACACTAATTCACTGCCTTGAACCCTTCTTTTCAATCCCAATTCTTCAACATATCTTCAAAAGCCAACCATCAGCCTCCGTCTCCCCCTTGGCATTAACACCACCCCACATCACAACCCCCTTCCCACCGAGACAAGTATCAGCACCAAAGAACCCTCGCGGCCCTGGGTGTACCTTCCCAGCCTCTTGCGTCATCTCCGCCGGCGCAATCTCAAGCTCATGCCAGCTGAAAGCGCCCGACTCCACGCCCGGGAAGGCATCGCGAATAGCATCTTTGACGCGCGTGGCGCTATAGTCGTCGGAGGGTAGCTGCAGCGTCCACATATCGGAGTAAAACGGATGTTCTTCTGTGTATGATTTGTCGGCGGATGCGATCTCGGCGCCTTGGCGGCTGCCGAGGAGGTAGAGGAGATACCGTCTGCCGAGGCCGGTTGTGACGGGGATGAGAGCACTACCTACGCGTGGTCGAGGGCCAGGAACAATCGGATTGGAGGGGAAGTCGACGGTGGTCCACTCGGGGAGTTTATCGACAGATTCATCTTGGATTGTGCCAGTCTTGATGTAGTGGACCGAGCCGTGGATATCTGACTCTGCGCTGATGGAGTACAAGGTCCCCTCCACAAACTGCGCAGCCAAAGGTGCAGCAGGTGAATCAGGGAGTTCATGCCACAGACGTGTTGTGAAATCAAACAACCACGTCCCTGTGGTGCGCTGACCATTCTCGTAACCACCGTGAAGAACAAGGCTATCCTTCTTCGCATCATAGAAGATCTGATGACCATGTCGAGACTGCGGTGCCTTACCAGCTGCAGTTATCGCTGCCCATCTCGCAGCTTTGGGCTCCCATTCCCACAGCGTAAATTCATCATCGGCTGCTTGACCCTCACTGTTCTGTCCGCCAAAGATGACAAGAGTGTCACGGCGCAGACAGGCTGCATGGTTTACCCGGGGAGATGGAATGTTGCCATCATCGCCAACGGCTGGATAGCATGCGTACTCGCTTTCACCTTCTTGATGGCCTAATGCGACAGCGTGGATGTCGTTATTGCAGAGTTTGCCGTCGTCTGTCTTGCCGCCGAAGATGTAGGCCTTGTCGTCAATGACAGTGACTGTGTGGTGAGAACGCGCTAAAGACAGTCTGCTACACCTGTCAGCTCTACCCAAGAAGTTATCTCGAGGAACAATGGGGCCATACGAGGTATCGTCCTTGGGAGTCGAGGCAATCTGGCTCAACACTGCTGTAATCGGCTGTGTAGGACGAGCGACGGTGGCTGCAGCGCCAACTTGAAGGCCAGTTGAAACAACCTGCTCGACGGCGATTGCTCCTGCTGCGACTTCTGCCATTATGAAGAGTAATTTGACGTGATTATGGGATGGAAAATGACAAGGTTGTGTTTGTTTTGTTTTGTTTTGTTGTGTAGACATCAGAAACTCAGGAGCTCATATATACAGAGGCTGAAAGATGACGGGCATGACGTAGGACGGAAGCGGGTCGCCATGACGTAACTGAGTCGTCTTTGGAATGCGATATTGCTGAAAAGACGTGATTGTGATCAATTGATGACCGTCGAGGATTGCTAGAGAGAAAAAAGCAAATGATAAAGCCATCAATTACTTCGCTGCTTTTTAAGGCTGCTGATTGTGTGCCATTTGGAAGAGCTACTCAGACCAATGATACACTGCTGCTAGTTGACGTCAGAACCACAATTGCTTCGCGTCGCGTTTCCAGTGCACTACAGTCGCGTCTAGAGTGCGCTATCAAAGTCAATTCATTGCGTTGACTGGAATAGAGTGGATGGATGAATATGGAGAACGGAGATAGGCCAAACATGCCACCCGACATCCACATGGTATAACCTGGAGAAGAATGAACGACTCTCATCTCAGTAGCCAGCCTCACCAACAGCTCACGGTAAAATAGTAAAGAGAATTCAAATATGGTTCATGAAAATAAGCACTATCCGTGATAGCACGAAGAATTAAATTATGTCGAGGTCCAGTCTAGACCCAACCATCAACTCTAAATCTAAGTCATGCAAGTCTAGTAATATACGTAAACCCATCAACTCATCGAACACGCTTATTTGTTACGAAGCTCCCACTCATACACAGCCATCATGTAGGGTCCAACACCACGGGTATCATTAGGAACAACCTCAACACCAGTGTAGTACTGCAGCAAGAGTTAGCAAAGATCAAATTAAACACTGCCAGAAATCAAACTTACCTCGAAAGACGCATCACTGTTCAGGGATCCAACATCGACGGTGCCCTCCCAGTTGATGGTTCCGTCCGTGTTCTTGGTGACAAAGTCGGTGTAAAGGCGCTTGTAGGCCTGCTCGGCGGGCTTGGCGTAGGTCTTCTCGTCGAGGAGACCGCGGCGCAGACCGGCCAACCAGCCGTAGGTGAACATGGCAGAGGCTGAACTCTCGACGTAGTTGCCCTCAGCGCCCTCGTACTCCTTGTTCATGACGATCTCCCACAGTTGGCTCTCTTCGCCCTGGGCGCGGAGAAGCGCGGAGGCGAGGTCCTTGTAGTAGGTGCGGAGACGGGCGTAGCCGGGGTGCGACTTGGGGAAGACGTCGAGGACCTCGATCAGGGACCAGAAGTACCAGCCGACAGCTCGGCTCCAGACGAGGGGAGAGGCACCGGTCTTGGGGTCGGCCCATACAGCGGTCTTGCTCTCGTCAAAGCCGTGGACGGGAAGGCCGGTCTCCTTGTTGATGGTGACCTCCTGGATCTTGTCCCACTGGAGAACAATGTCGTCCCAGGCGGTGTTGTTCTTGGCGTCGAACTCAGAAGTCCAAACAGCATAGAAGGAGTCGGTCATGAAGATGCCGTCGAGCCACATCTGGTCAGGGTAGGTGGGGGATCGGTGCCAGAAGCCGCCAGTAGGGGTCCTGGGCTGCTGGTTGATCCTGTCACGGATAAAGTCGGCAGCCTTTTTGTACTTCTCCTCACCGGTGCGTCTATACCACCAGAGAAGGTTCAGACCGATGCGGTAGTTGTCGAGGGAGTGCTTGGTCAGGTCGAAGTTGTAGATAGTGCCGTTGGGGGCAGCAACAAGGTCGATCTGGTCGCGGTACCATTCGACGAGGGTCTCGTTCTTGCCCAGCTCGATGGCAGCCTCGTAGCCCTCGAAGACAACAGCGCGTCCGTACCAGTAAGGCCTCTGGGTCTCGTCGTTGTTGCGGATCCACGAGTCAGCCAAGTTGCCCAAGAGGTTGTTAGCGAGAGTGGCGTTGGCGGGACTGCCTTTAGCAAGAGCGGTGTTGGCCGAAGCCAGCGCGAGGCACAGAGTGTGGAACTTCATGATGGAGGAGTAAAGAAGGAGTGAAAGAAGTTGTCGATACGAAACCGATACTCCAAAATCTTCGAGAATGATGCGGACGTGCTGGACTACTTATAAAGATGAGCATTGCATGGTTACATGGTGGACATGGCGTGAGATGGCGATCCACATTGTTCTGTTGGTCATGCTCTAATTACGACGTCCCGACTCCAGACGAAGATTTCTCCGTTGACGATAACACGATAAGGCACGATCTAGCCAGTAAGCTTAATTTCTTTCCTACGAACTGTCGACATGTCACTCCTCCAAACAGCACAATCACCGCGTTGTGTTTCATCGTGGTGGATTCCCCGGCGGGTCTTGAATTCTCCGCCAAACAGACACCATCTTAGCTCGAAGCAGGGATTCTCGGGTGGCTTTTCTTGCCCCTGAGCGATCAATCATCTCAACCTTCCAATTGGGCATTTTGATTGGATCTTGCGTTGTACCTACCAAGCCGGGACTGACGGATGAGGCTTGGCTATGCAGATTTGGGATCTAAGTTTTGGGTTCGTCCGTCTGTGCCGGAATGTACGGCTGATTTGGGAACATGCATCGTATGTGCAAGGTACAGTCAGCACTTTGTTGGCTGTTGGGTAAAAAGAAATACTCGCATCCGAATTGACCTGGTCCAGTGACAGTTCGCTTTGCTTTTAATCCACCTATTGCTAACGGTTGCGCGATTAAGCTCTTGTTAGTTTCGTTAGCTTCGTACCTTAATATCGTTTATTTTCACGGGGTACGCGTACCCGATTCCAGATGCCGTGGCCCTGTCTGCGTGTTATGACTGCGATCATCAATCAATCATTCATTCTCAAAAGCCAAGTTGCGAGACGGAATCAAATCTGGCACCTCATCTCTATCTTCTCATCATGTGGCCGGTTTCTCTATATGAATTGAAGCAGAATTATCTCGTCTCAGATATCTGCGTTCTATGCCGACAAATATCTGCCGCTTACACCCTTGTCATTTGGGGTCGCAAACACGACTTGACTGAAGACACCTTGTCGTACCTAATCTACCTGCAAAAAGCAAAACCCGGAGTTGCATCCGGCGAACGTGCCAAAAGAAATAAGGAAACAACTTGCAGAAAAAAACAATATGACCTACACAACGCCTAAGACTTGAGGTGAGAATGCATGGCAGCGTCTAGTCTGGTTGTTCCACGGCCTTCTACTCAGCGGCAACGATGAGTGATATTTGTAATCACATGTATTGTACTGCTAAATCTATAGCTAGAACTTTATTCTCGTCCTAAACTCTATTTGCGTGGAGGCTCGGGCAGCGCGTACGTATACGACAACAGCGTCTCAGCATCCTGTTTCCTCAAATACTCCTCAAAGTCAACCGTTTCAACAGGTTTCTTCAACTGCTTGGGCGTAATCACACCCTCAACCCCCTCAGTATATCCATACTCATCCAGATACGCCGGTCCATCAAGAACCTCATAAGGTAGCCTCGTCTTCTGATGCATCTCCTCTTCTGTCATTGACTGGAAATGAGCTTCCTTGCCGGTGACTTTACTCCAGATGTCGATGACTTCGGGCATTGTGAGTTCGCTGTTATAAGCTAGCAGTTTTGTTTCGGCTGGCTCGTCTTCGATCAAGGCTCGAACGAAAGATCCAGTTGAACCCTCGGTGTCGATTATGGGCATCTTGAGATCCTTGGATGCAGGGACTGCGAGAACATATTCGCCAGTCTCTGTGTCCTTCTTAGGGTACAGGAACGGGTTGGTAGCGTATGCGCCTACGTAAATGACGGAAGTCTTCTTGGCGAGCTCCGGTACCTCGTTCTCAATGTACTTGACAGCTGCGGCCTTGGTTTCCCAGTGATGGCAGTGCGAGTACTTGCCCTTGGAAACCTCCTTCATGGGACCGAGAGCAGAGTAGATGTACTTCTCCAGGGTAGGCGTCTTGGAAGCAGCATAAGCGGCATTCTTGACGTGTAGTTCCTCAGTGTCGTAGCCAATCTGCTGACTAGTAGCTTGATCTTTTCCATCAGCTAAAGCGCTTGTGTAAGGAGCCCAGAAATCAGTGTTGACGAAAATGGCGTGAACACCCTCGAAGGCCTTCACCAGGGACTCTGCGTTTTCCATATCGGCTTCCACGATCTCGGCTCCCAGCTTTTGGAGAGCTAGGGCTTTGGGGGAGGTTGAGCGACGGGTAAGTGCTCGAACATGCCAGCCTGGAAGTCCAAGGAAAGCTCTAGCAACGGAGCCACCTTGTGTGCCTGTAGCACCGACGACTGCGATTGTTTTGGTAGACATGGCGGAAGTGTAGAAGGAATTGTGCAATGTGATTGGTAGGGTGGAAGTGATTGAATTGGAAGATAGAGATTAAGACTTGAGCGTACTCAATGGCTGTATTTATAGTAGAATTACGCGTGACTGTTCCGCCAATTCATTCCCGTATTTCATAATCAGGTAACTAGCCTACATTTCACGATAACCTCAAACGATGAATGGAGCAAAAACAGTAAGCCACTGGAAACAGGTCAAGATTGTCGTCTGGGCTTGGAGAGTGGATGCTGATTGGTCCAAAAAGCGTAAGCCAGTTTCGCCCTACCGGATTTCGGACTTAACCGCCACATACGTCGCTGACAGAATTACCAACTCCATCCAACAGTTGACCAAGTCACACAGACACATAATAACATGCGAGACACTATAGCCAATGAATCCCTTACCGTCTCTCGGAAACGAATAAGCTCCGGCAGGGATGATACGCACTCACCTGCCAAGCGACGTGTTGTGACAACAGCGCGGAGGGAGCAGAATCGAGTGGCGCAGAAAGCATATCGTAGGTCAATTGCCATTACTCTATGAGCTACTTAGCTGATTTGTTTGAAGGCGAGCGGCAAAAACAGGAACGAAAGAGACTCAAACAGCAAAAAGCCCAAGTTGGCGACAGACCTCGGCCGAGACCATTACTGAAGCGCAGTGGTAGTTCAGATTCCGAGCATCAGGAATCATCTCAGAAGCTATCGAACGAACCTGAAGCTACACGGTCAGACTCCAATCAAGTGATCGATACAGTCCCTTCTCAACTACATGACGCCGAAGAGAGTAGCGAGTCTGAGTTCCCAGATCTTTACCTCAACATGCTCCAATTCTCAACATCAGCCTTCTTCGCTTCATGTCTCGCCAACGCCGTTTCACTAGGCTTCGACCTATCTCGCATCGCCAGCTGCAGCGTGGAATGCGTGTCACCGTTCTACCAACCCAATCTATCCATCACACAAGATCACACCACTATCGCACTAGCAGGTTCCGGCGTTCTATCTTCTTACAACAATACCGCCATCCCCGTGCACTTACGACCTACAATGGCGCAGATTCTCCTACCCCATCATGTCAGCCTAGACCTTATCCCTCTCCCATTCCTTCGCGAGCGAGCCATTATGCTATCCGCTGCAATGCCGCATGTTTTCAACAACTGGGAACTCAAAGTTGATATTTACGATCGTGGTGGTTTGACAATATGGCGGTTGGACTCTTCGAATCGAGGGAAAGGTGCGAATGGTCGTGATAGTTATCCACCGTGGGATATGAAAAGTTGGGAGGCTGCGCCGTGGTTTCTGAAGAAGTGGTGTGTGCTGATGGGGAGTAATCATGATGAATTGTATAATCAGAGTATTGGGTGGCAGGTGGTGAGGGATATGATATGTTCCAGAGACAAACTTGTGCAGAACTGATGTTCTGTACGTACATGATTTTTCACAAAGAACATAGAAACGAGCCATGAGAACTAATTGACATGAATATTAAAACTGATCATTCTACAGACTACACGATCATTGCGTTGCCACGCATCTGTACCACAAATCCCGTGCCATATACTCCGATTCGAACGATCCAGGCCAAGCAATCTTCCTCAACGCCTCTCTCGCATCTCCCCATTGCGTCACCCCAACCACAATACTCCATCCCCTCACAAACTCCCTAAACGTACCTCCCAACTCGACCAAGACACCCTCAGTATCAAACGCCACATGCCTCTCCACGCTCATTGCCCCGACAAATGCCTTCCAGAACCAAAGCTTCGAGACAAGTCGAGAACGAGAACCAAGATGATGTCGAGTACCTTCCAAATCTTGCTGCAGAATGTGTAAAATGCGACGGTGCAGAGGCGGTTTCATTGGTTCGCCTGCGTTCCAGAATTGCAAGATTGCGTGAAGGTATAGGCCTGTTGCGGTAGCCAATCCAGACCAGGACGACGCCAACCGGGCACGCTTTGAACTTGTCTTTCTGCCACCGGATATCGACTCAATATGCGTATTCACAAAAGCCAGCAGGAGTCTAGTAGCCGCGCCTTCTTGCCATAGCACGTTCTGGTCAAAAGGATCAGGCGACTCACTCCTCAGACGGGATGTGGCTGTAAGAGTGACCAAGCAGTCAACTATTCCCTCCCCGTCAACATCGATAAACTCTGTAGAGGGTGGCAGTTCAGAAAAGAAAAACGGAAGCATCTTCAATGATTTGAGTCTGATATCAAGACCCTGCATCTCGGTTTTGTGCCAGCTGTGCATGAGCTCCTCCACCATTTCGGGAGATGGTGTTTCGCGGGTATCGTTGAAGAGAAGAATATCTTTGACTCTGCTTTTGAAGCCATGGATGAAGTTGTAAGTTCTGGGAATTGTTAGTGCTGTGTTTTTACAAGGGTGGTGACATACAGGATGATATATCGGTTGGCTAATTCATCGTCCAAACCAGGCTCGGTTGGACTAGGGAGATGGGTTGGTCTGTGGAAATCCATAAACTTCATTAAGCCATCCATATGCGTCTCGGCTGCCGTGATGTTTCCCAGTGCACACTACTAGGTTCAGTCAAGTTTATCTTTTGTACACACGGCGACGGGGGTGTACCTCTGTTAAGCATAGAGTAGCAATATGCTTCACACACATACTGTACTTGGCATCCGAGTCCAGAATAGACTTGTTGATGAGACGCATGGCCTCGAGCTTGTGGAAAAGAAGAGTAGGCTCGAATGACCTCAAATGGCCGGCATTCCAGGCGTAGTGTAAGCTTGCGATAAGCATGGTGTTGCGCAGAGCATCAGCGCTATGCGTGACGGATGCCAGTCTGAAATGTTAGTAACGGAGTAGATCATCTCGGTTGATGAGACTTACAAATCTTGTCGTTTCTTCTTGGGGGCAATATCGCTGGGATCCTCCAACTTGTAGACTAAGGCAATGTCAGAATCTTGGCAAGTTCGAAAAGATGTGACATACAGTAGTGAAAGAGCTCATCAGACTTGAAAGCCATGGTGATTGGTCGCCTCGCACTAGATATGCAGGGCCCAAGATCCTGGGACATGGTCATGACTGTTCCATCGGCCGGCTTCCAGGGTTGTTGCTCGCCTGGCAAGAATTTCTTCCTCTTCTCACGCAGCGGGAGAACAGCGGTCGAGTATTCGCATGGTTTATCCACAGTTACACAGTTTCCGCTGCCATTATCAGCATTTCAGCTACTCCTGCATGACAAGGCCAAAAGGGGACGTTGAGATCTTACTAACCAAATCGGCCGTCGCTCGTCACATTTCTGGTGCCGCTTTCTGCATGTCAGACAGCCTGTTCGGCTACGGGTGTGTGTCTTTGTGGGTTTCTGCAACGAGGGAGGCATCTCGGCCGAGGCAGCTCGGATGTGATGTGAATATCTAAAGCTGGAATGTTTTGCATGGGGCGTATGTTCAATGGCGGTGTCTTATGGCTTCGTCACGGTACAAGGGTGATGCTGATGCCACTAGACCCTTTTGGGAGAAATACTCGAAGAAGTCTTTTCATATTAACTTTTAGACGGGTTGTTGATCTGGGCTGACACATGCAGACAAATTTCACAAACGCTTTGTTTCTACGATTTAACCACAGTTATTCTATGACTTACTCGCTAGTATATAATACTCATAGTTTGTGACTAGTCTGCCACGTCAGCCGATAATAGTCCTGGAGTTATGGACCTACCGATCCGAGCCGATTAACGGAGACCGGGACTCGGCATCTCAGAGTACAGTCCGAAGATCGGTTCACACCAATAATAGTCCGCGACGAAAATTCTTCTGGATAACAATAGTGGAATTGCTACGTAGTATGCATCTATACACTCGTATTGAAGAATATCTATGCTATGGCAATTGGGTCATTTGAATTAATGGCAGTTAGATGTATGCCACGCACTCCAACACGGTACCTGCAAGAATGAAATTCCACGCAGCAGTTCTTTCATACATATCCTACATTCAACTAGGCTTCTAAAACCTATCACTAAACGGTCTAAACCCCATATGTAACAGGTGTATCATCCTTCGGCATTTTAGCTCGCTCTTTTAGTGACAAAATGCCGACAACCAAAGCCGATAGCGAAAGCCGACTTCGGATATACACTCGGATGTCCGGCAAAGCGCATATCCGGACGCGGGGATCCCGTAGATTGATAAGATGGCTGTAGATAAAAGGCCTGGGCATTTTCCCCAGTTCTCACCATGTTCATTCATTTTCCCTTTAATCTCAAGTGATCACACTCAAGATGACAGCTGGTTTAAAGAACGTCATTGTTATCGGCGGCTCCTATGTCGGACTGGTGAGTTTGCTTAAAGTGCTGCATGGACTCGGGCTGACAGACTACAGGCTGCTGTGAAGGAGTTGGCTACGCTTCTACCAGTTACTCACAGGGTAAAATTCATATCATCCACATCAACCTGAACTGTTTAGCTAATCTCGTCTAGGTTCTCTTGATAGAGCCTCACAGCCATTTCCATCATCTCTTCGCTTTCGTAAGTCACACGCCAACCACATCTCGCCCATTCTAATTTCTCAGCCACGCTTCGCCATTGTTCCAGACCACGAACACAAAGCATTCATCCCTTACACCGGCTTCCTCTCTTCTCTCCCTAACGCCGCCAACCACTCTATTGTACAAGCCAGGGTACTTTCTCTACAGAAGAACAACCTCACTCTTGACCGACCATGGCAAGGCTCAACCGAGATCCCATTCGACTACGCAGTCGTAGCCACCGGCACGCGACTCCAGGCTCCCAGTAACATGCAGTACGACGATAAGAAGACTTCTGTCGATTACTTCAGAACGTATCAGCAGGGAATCAAGAAAGCGAACTCGATTGTCATTGTTGGCGGTGGAGCCGTGGGTGTGCAGATGGCGACTGATTTAGGGGAGGTGTATCCTGAGAAGAAGGTCACACTGGTTCATTCGCGCGACAGACTTATGCAGCTTTATCATGAGAAGATTGATGCCATCATTCGTGATCGACTGCAAGAGCTTGGTGTTGAGTAAGTCTATCTTCAACTTGAAAAAATGCACCACTGACTGAGTCTATAGCGTTATCACCGGTACACGCGCAGTCTTACCATCAAAGGGTTTCCCAACAGATGGATCCAGCTTTGAACTTGAGCTGAATAACGGCCACAAGATACAAACAGATCTCGTCATCCCAGCAACTGGACAAACACCCAACAACCAATTCTTAAAAGACTTGAAGCCTGCACCTGGACAGACCATCATCAATGAAGCCAACGGCTTCATCAAAGTCGCCTCAACGCTGCAATTCGCTGATCCTCAGTACCCGAATCTGTACGCATGCGGTGACATCGCCGACAGCGGTGCTCATAAGGCTGCTCGGCCGGGAGCAGGACAAGCAGCGGCTGTTGCGCAGAACATTGCGTCTATGGTCCAGGGTGGTCAGGCTAGTCAGAGCATCACCGTTGATCCCCCAGCGATCCATATTTCTCTTGGTTTGGTACGTACATCCCCAGCAGCAAACAACTCAGTTCTAACTGTTGGACAGACAAAGAATATTGTCTTCAGGAATCCAGGAAAGGGTCAGACAGAACCGATGATCAAGTGGAGAGACGAGTAAGTAAATCCTTTTGTTCGGGGGATTATGAGACTAATGGCTTTGTAGTGGTGCTAGAGATATGAATATTGAGGGTGTTTGGGAGAGAAGAGGCACAAGAGTTACCAGGCAGGATGACTATCATCTTTGATCAGAATGTCCACTGACCAAGAGTTGAAGTCGCACAACGGTCGAGCCTAAACTTTCTGTTTGTAGCATAGGAATTAATGATACCAGATTCTCACATCTGTACTTCGTAGTCGCAGGTATCTTATGTAATAACGACGATAAGAAATACTACAGTCGAGTTCATAGCAAAAGTATCCATAACCTAGGTACTTGAATTATATATGAAAGGGGCTGCTTGATTTCTAAATAACATCTAGTCTCAAAACTTAACAAAAGAACTAGCTTATCCTACAACACACCAATATTGGCATTTTACCACTCATTGCTTCTCCCTCAGAATCTTCCTCCCACGTTGCGCAATAACCGGATTCTTAATCAAAAACGTCTCCTCCGGCTCCGTCTCCCCTTCAACAACCAGGTACGTAAAAAACGCACCAAGCTCCTCATTAGAAATAACCCACTCATCACCCAAAAGGATTTGGAAGATCTTCCCTGGGACCCTCATCCTTCGTGTAATCACACCACCAGGTCGTAGCATAAACACTCTCCATACAGACGCGTACTCCTCCGCGAGCTTTTGCGAGCGGGTTTCATATAAGCCCTGCTGATGGTTAGCTAAGTATGTGAGTGGAAGCGGAAGTGGGAGCTCGCCTTGAGTTTACGAGGGAAGTCGTTGACCCAGAGTTTTGCTTTTTGGTCTTGAATGACGAATAGTCCGCTGAGATGGATGAAGCGAAACCGAGGCCTGTTGGGTTGTTTCTTCAAAAGTGGTGCGAACGCAACCTGGAATGCGAAAGGATACTCCATATCGACATTGACGTTTCCTGTATATGAGCCCATCGCACTACAGTTGGTCAGCATCGTATAATTGAATCACAACTTCAAAGCGCCGTACTTACCAAACCATAGCAGCAGCGTCAACGTGGGGCAGCAGAACATCTTCTGGCCAAACAACAAAGTCTTTCACCATGACGGTTTGGACTTTGGGGTTATCTCGCACATCGTCGGGAAGCTGTCGACGTACAAAGGCGACCACGGAAGTGATCTTTGGATGAGCGAGGCATTGTCGGAGGGCTTCGCCGCCAATGGAGCCTGTTGCGCCTAGGAAGAGGACTTTCATGATGAATTGGCTGCTGTAGAATATACGGGGTTAAGGGTCTGATCTGTGGTTGGAAGAACTAAATTAGATTTTGATAGACAGATGTGTTGTTTGAGCTGTTTGATGGTATAACACATGCGTACTTCTGTTATAGTTATATACAAGGGAGTCTTATCGCGGTCGTTGCACTGAGCATGCGGAGTTTCAGCCATTCAGCTCGAAAGTCCGCTAAGCATTCCATCTACAAGGTTCAACTCACTCACTTCGTCAGTTGGCATGACAAAAGATACGTTTTTGACCAGTAATAGCCAATTGGCTTATAGGACAAAATTGCTCAACTGCGCTTATGCTATGGCTTATAATGATGTAGTCTTCTTCAAATGTTACAGTTGTGCTGAGTGTTGCAACTCCTGCGCTTCACTCCGCAAATGTGGCTCACATCAGCCATTTTTTAGTGGACCATGATCCTTCAGGTGAAGTTGGTGAACACTGGGTTTGTGATGCGGACTGGACAAGGGAGCAGACCATCAATACAGTAAAATTAAGCATAGTTAGGGAGGCCTCGTCATCGAATTTGCTGACGAGTGCAGTTCTAATATGGGCGGTAAGCAATTGGGTTGGGACATTATTCAGGTCGGGTCTTAAGGGAACTGCAAATCGTGATAAGCCATCATGACCCAATTCATGACGCCCGGGTTTCTTCGCCTGCCGCGCAAATACACCCACTTTCGACGCGAATACAGTGAAGGCGACCAGAGTTTGAACCTACCGCCAGGCCCTTGATTGCTAAATACGCTCAGCTATATTGATCTTTCTCTGTCACCCTCTACCACAACTCCACCCTCCGCAAGGCCTAACCTCTTTATTTATCAAGGCTGTGATGTATTTGAGATTGGGCCGGTCCCCTAGCGTGGGTGCTTTGGAGGCTAAATACAGACGAGAAGACTAGAAAGGGATCGTTTTCACGAGATATCGATGCCAATCACGTAGCAGGGCAATGCTAATTATTTGTTTAGTAAAATACGTCTTGTTTGTACCGCTATCAATCGACCGAGCCGCATCATGACAAGTGTGCTAGACCATCTGGTGAATGGGGAGCCGGCTCCTCTTTCAACCAGGTAGACCTGCTGTCGCAAAGCTTGCCATCAAGCTTCGTACATCTTGCGTCAAGGCTAGGCTATGTGCATATGCTTCATGGGGTATATATATCGTGAGTATGTGGCGTGCCGCTCCCTTCCGTTGCCCGTTGCCGTATTGATGCACCTCCACAAAACGTTCTGAGTATCGCGACACAACGCATGCGGCGTGTTTCTCCAGCTTGTCGCATAACATCGCGAACCAACCAATCACTTCCGTGAATCGCGCAATCTCTCAAAGCTAAAATTCCACACCTCAGCTCTCCTTGGCCCATCAGAAGACTCGACAAGCCCAACATGCTGCATCACACTCGGATCAAGCGCCCACTTGGTAAGTCCATTATCGCGCGCATAATCCTCCATGATCATGTCGCCTGGGAACTGGAACGGCGGCTCGCGCAGGAAATCCTGTAGGTTCTGCAGGTGGTGGTTCGGAAACACAAGGCCCTGCGCGCAGCATCCGTAGCGAGGCATTTCGCGCACCGTGGGGGACCGTGTGAAGAGTCGGTGCAGCGATGTTCGACCGGTAACAAATGCTAAGGCAAGACAGGCTGGGATCCAGAGGCCGAGAAGGAGTGCGACGGTTTGGGCGAAGTCCTTGGTGGCGAATGAACCTGCGTGACGACGCCGTCTGCAGCGAAGCGTGAGGAGCAGGCAGCCGATCAAGCATGTGTAGCCCAAGATGACGACACGCAAGTAGTCGAAGATCTCTTCGTTATTCCATCCCATAAGTATCTCAGAGTAGAACAAGCGCAGGTACATCCAATCGTGGTGATTGTCCTTCGCGCGCTGCTCAACCTCAATAACACCCTTCTTGAACCGCGTGAACCAATCCGGCGAGGCTATTATATCGTCTTCGATGAGGGCAAAGTATGTGGGATCTCGCCTTCGACAGGCTTCGAAGAGGACGGAGTGGTCCAGTCGGATATTCTCGACGCGATCGTCGCTGCGCCCCATGCTGCGGATGTCGTGTGGGAGGACTTGGTAGTTGGGGTTGGAAGTGGTCGCATCGCTTGTGCTGGTGTTGGAGTAAACAATCACATCATCCGCAAGGCCAAACAGCCAATCTTGACCGTAGGCGAAATGCGTCTTGGGGTCCTTGTCGGCGAGGAGCACGACGATGTGTATCTGATTACGCTCATTCGGCGTAAGCGTATCCACAAGGCTTCCCATGGTGTGCGCGAGAAACGCCGACGTGGTACGATTGATGCTCGGTATTCCAATGCAGAGAAACTCGTTCTCTACCTGCACTTCTGTTCGCTCTTTGTACTTGTGGGAGTAGATTTCGCGCTCGAGGTATTTGTCGACCTGGGCTTCGCGGACGGCGGAGAATCGGCGATCAAAGGCGATACGGCTCTTGTAGAAGAAGGACGAAGGGTCGTCGTAGCCGTTCCTGTAGCTCCATAACAGGGCTATGAACCACACCAGCCAGAAGCCAATGTTTACATGAGAAGGCCGCATGTCTTCATTGCTTGTGCGATAATTCGTGGCATGATGGAGAGGAGAGAAAAAGCAAGAGAGGCGTAGCAACAGACGCAATTGTGCTGGGGAAAGGGCCTAAGCTCTCTGTGGTTTAACTCAGGGCGGTCCCGCTTATGTTGCAGTTGCATCTACCCCGCTGTACCGTAAGACGCGCCTTGTGGTTATTGGTGGGTGTCCAGGGTCTCCTATTCAGCCCGCTAAGCCCTACGAGTTGATTGGTGACTTGGATACTTGGTACGAGAATGGGATGGGATCTTGTCTTGTCATACGCTTGGCGGTTACGCGTATATGCGGAAAGCCAAGTGAAACTGGCGGAGTGTTACGAACAGGTCGTCCAAGTGAGCGAGTACAGATCATATGCTTTTGTGCTGCTTAGTGGAGTACAGTGGTTCTCCAGAACGCAAATCGTACGTGGCGATAGAGGCGAGCTTCATTAAGCGACTGTGAACGACGAAGAGTGGCCGAAGCAAGAACAAGGAAAAGAGACAATGCCGTAGTTCTGCTAGAATTGATAAGTTCGTTAGACGCCTAAAGAATGATTCAATGGGTTGAGACATGAAATATGCATCTTTGTGCATTCACGAGCATGACCGTGGGGTTCGTGAGTCGCATCACCTAGGAATCTTCATTTTTCACGGACGAATGTTGGAGTGAGGAACAAGTAGACACAGCCAACTTGACGGTGAATCTTGAACACAATACGTGAATATCAGCTGCTAAATGAGTATATATTACCGATATATTTTCCACAAAATCTCCAAATGTTGCGGCGAGCAGTTCAAAACAAGTATCGTAAGCCTCAAAACCATGTCTCAAACTAACCACACAATCTCTTCCAACTCGCCTGAGATCCCTGATCTCGACAGGAACATTGAATTCTCGGACTATCCCACATGCCTCAATGATAGCTTGTACCCTGGCGTCAAGGACAATGCCAACCCAGTTTGTGCATGCTGGTGTAACTGCATGCGAGTCGTTACTCAAGTTGCTCGTCGACGCTGCAATGTGTGCCTCAGAAACTGTATCCCTCCATTCCCTCAAGATTAATGAGGTTTGATAGAGCAATTTCTCTGGCTAGTAATACATATCATTTAGAACCAAATGAGTTGATTGTCATGTGACATTGACAAAATGAGAAACAATCCAGACCGCCCTCACATTACCTCCATCTCCAGTGAAATCCTCTCCATACCAAACCAAAGCTCAACAGATTCTAGCCAAGAGATCCCGGCCCATGACGCGAGAATGGCATCATCCAAACCGTCCAAGGGGTCCACGGGCTTAACTATTTCCATCACGAAAAGCCGCACGCTTCAAGCTTAGCGCCACAGCTGGCATGTTGCCAAGACGAGTAAAGCTCCCTAAACGGATGTTGAAATGCCAGGGCCAAAGCTTATCAGAGCAGTCGATCGTTCAAGCCTCTCCTTGAAAAGGGTGGTCTCGCCCACGTGTGGAGGGGTGTCTTTGATGTGACTGTGATACTAAATATTATCAGCGTTGAGGAGATCCACGGAAGACCTACAGCGTCGATGGTAGACACGGTTGGGACTGATACTACAGTTTCGTGATGCGGAACTCAGGCGCCAAAGACATATTGGTGAGTCTCTCGTTCTTTCGACAGTATTCACTGACTGACTGGCTAGGTTTCCGAGATTCTCGTCATCTTCGCAATCGCCCTCGTCGCCGCCCGTCTCAACCTCCGACTACGAGTCCAGAAACGAAACCTGTTAGTTAGCGACAAGTTCATGATAGCAGCATGTATATCTGGTATCATCACCGCTGGGTTTGTTCCTGCATTTGCGTCGCTCGATGCATTTGATCCGAAGGTGCATACTACGCTGCAAGGATATAGCCGAGGCGTGGAGGATTTGAAATTGATATTGATGGTAAGGATCGGGAATCGTGGACGAAAACAGTATGACTGACGCTTGTTAGCTGCTGTTTACTTCTAACTTTCCGTTTTACACGACATTCTACCTTTGCAAAGCTGCTCTGCTGGCAGTTTACCTCCAGGCTTTCCCGGATTATATGGTCAAGAGACGAATGTTTCTCTGGTTGACGATTTGGTTTGTTGCCATTAGCTACGTTGTCACGCTACTGGTGATTTTCTGCATTTGCGTACCTCTCGATCGACACTGGTAAGTTGTAAGTGATTGTTCCAGGACTGCTTCTAACGGATGGCCAGGGACTTGAACCCGAATAGGACGTGTTCACCACGTACATACGTTATTACCTTCAACGTTGGCTGGGGACTATCGTTCATGGGAGATCTATTGGGTGAGTGAATCGGATCGTAAGGAAGTGCAGAAGCTAATGGGAACAGTGTTCATTCTTCCTTGGCTCATTGTACCGGCGATGAATGTCAAAAGAAAGCTGAGACTCGGTATCTACTTCACGTTTCTGGTTGGCAGCATCAACATGGCCGTCAGTCTCGTTCGATTCGTGATGATCTGGAAGGCTGGAGCCGATTCGACAATATCTCTAAGTACAATCAGTAAGACTGTCGCACATGCTGGGTGAGTGAAATACTGACAGCTTCTTAGTACTCTGGAGTGCCCTGGACGTCAACATCGGTCTCGTCATCGCATGCCTCCCATCTCTGCGCCCATATTTCGGATCAAGGGACAAATCCGACTACCTACGGCGTGAGGTTAGATGTGAAGAGCCCTCTGGGAAACGATGGACTTTTGGAGAGAGAGCTGTTCACTTGCACAGTAAACAGCATGATGAAGAGGGATCGCCGTCATCGTCTAGTGGGAGAAGTAACGTGAGGGGTTCTGTCGACTGTACTGAGATGGAGCGGTGGGAAGATAGGAAGAGGAGTAATGCTACTGATGCTAGCGACACTGGGTTAGTTCATATCAGACTCCCAGATGTAGACAGGATAGGGGTAGGGGAGGTTAGGATACAGACATGATAATTCATACACAATAGACAAGCCCCTGAAGGTCGACTGTTGTTGCACTTTTCAATATTCAACAAGGAAATGAACAATAGAACATGAGTTTACATAGCATGATCAATGATGGATGAAGGGAGTGGGTCTCTTGATAATATCAAGTTCTGGCTGCCTGGCTGCAATGACTTGATGCATTGTTCGGCAGTGACAGCCATTGTTGATATCAGAACAACCGATGCCCCTAAACCCTGCCCTACTCTTCACCTAGGTAGCCAGCCTTTATTTCCCACCCACCATAACTCATATCTGAGCAGAGGTATTTTCCTCAACCTCTCTCTCACTACTCTTCAACAACACAGTCTCAGAGTTCTTTGGCTGCTCTTCTCATCACGAACATTCTGTAACATCATATCTCCTGAGCGGAGATCACTCTTCACACAGAATACTCCTGCACTCCTCTGTTTACTTTTTTGTCCTTCTTCTCATCCTTAGATCCCCTGAGACATCTTCTCATCACGAACAATTTGTTACCTCATTTCCGCATAACAACATCTTCTTTTCAACCTGTACCCACCTCTTCCCACTACTCTTGGGCAAGACAACTTTCGACTCCCAGAGTTACCTTCTGTTCGCCAACTTTTCGTGGAGAACATCAAGGATCTCGTTCTTTACTTTACGCCTCGTGAGCAGATTTCCAGGCAACATCTTACCATTCCTCTGTTTTCCCTTTTACCAATCCCCTTCGAAGGCACAGCCTTAGACTCGTCGAGCTACCTACCGGCAATTTATCGACACCAAAGACCTCGTTCTTTACCTCACATATTCTACGCAGGTACCTTCTGCTCAAGTCCCACAATCTCAAGAGACTTCTCTGGATACCACTTCGATCTGGTTACCTGTTTCGACCCGGTTACCCCATACTACATTAACTCGTCTCATTTTGACTGTCGTCATCTTGATCATTATCTCACCTACAACGAGATACTGCCAACCTCGCACTTTCCACCGACAAGCTTTCGTGGATAAATTCGACATTTCCTCCTAACATCCCTACGTACCTCACCAAGAACCGTCATCACAAGTGCACCCCCAGCACTCCTACTAGAAAGCTTCACTCAGGCTACTCGAGTTACCTTACTGTCACCAACGTTCACTCCGTCATCAACACAGCGGAACTGTTCTGCTGTTGACCTTCTTTACAACGTTTCCTGCAAGTTTTACCGTGAGTTTTATTGCCTCTTCATCATCGGATACTGTTTTCTAAGTAAAAAACACTTCTAGACCAGTTCAAGATGAACTCTTTCTCTGCAAATGAGGACACCCGCAAGGGTGTCAGCAGCAAGGACAGCAATCCTTCCGAAAAGCGACCTACTTCCCAAGGTCTTAACCCCACTGCACCCGCTTTTACGCCCAAGACACTCATCAGTCAGAGCTCCGACAAGGACAAGACTCCATCTGGACTTGGGGTGTCTCAGGAGGAGACGGAACTCGAAGAAGAGTTTCCGGGCTTAACTGAAACCCGTCCAATTCCCGTATGGGTTTCTCAAGAGAGTGGCCAAGAGCTGTCGAACTCGCAGCTGCGGCGACGACGCCGCTGGCGCAAGTCCGCTCGAGAGGCAGAAGAACGCAAAGCCCTGAAGGAGCAGCAAGATCTCAAGGCCGAGTATGCTAAGCTCAATGAGGAGGAGGCTGGGCCGTCTGACTGGGTCAACCGGCGCCAGAACTACAAAAAGAAGCGCGGGGGCTTCTTAAACAACGTCAAGCCCCGTGATGGCGAATCCAAGTGATGCAATTTTCTCAGTGCATCTTACACCTAAGACCTGTGGCATTCTGGTTTGGGCCAAGAATGGAGGCTCCGAAGAGACTAGAGAATGGCGACAGCTTATCAATCGTTTTGTGAGGCAAGGCAGGTCAGCCGGACGACACTTAGTCAACGAATAGCAAGTAGACACAAAGCTCATTCTAATAAGTGAATCTTCTTGTCTCTAATCAATTGTGATGTGAATGTTATATCATGCCAGGTTACAAACGATTGGCAATCTCCTCCAACAACTGTATCTCCTCCTGCATAAGAAACAAATTATTCGGTAGCACCAATCCACCTCCAGGCTTCATGATGATCTCACTCCCATCATGCCTCTCATGTCTCTCCGTGTCACTCCCATCATCAGTCCTCTCATCAGCCTGCTCACCCTTACTCTCCACATCCGCAGGCTTCTCCCTCTGCCCCTCGGTCCTCGCCTTCTTCAGATCCTCCGGTGTCCACCAATACACAGGAAACGCGCGCTGCACGTTGTTAACGAGAATAGCAACGCCAAACATGACGGTGCAGTTGAACAGCACAACGGGGATGAAGAACCAGCCAAGATCGACAATACGGTTGTCGACGACAGCGAGAAGGCCGGTTGCTCCAGCGGGAGGATGAATCGTTTTTGTGAATGCCATGATGGATGTCACAGTCGCGCAGGAGATGGCGCCGCCGAGCCATTGGATGGAGGAGAAGCTGCTGCTGAGGAGAAAGAGCTTGGCGATGCTGACGCCAATAACCGCAGCGATGAGTTGGCCACCGAAGAAGTTTCGAGGTTGTGCAAGGGGAGATTCGATGGCGTAGAACTCAAGAACAGCACCAGCACCCTAGAAGCGTTAGTATTCAACATGTCCAGTAGAAGGTGGTGGTGAACATACAAACGATGCAACAATCACGGGAGCACTCCTCTCAACAAAAGAAGGAATACGCTCCGACGCCAGCTCAATCACCGACAGAGAGATGAAGATACCGACAAATGCCCAAAACACAGGGACAACAGTGCCGAGGCTACGAGGCTTGTCGCGTCGATAGCCGAAGATGTAGGCGACGGGGTACGGAATGTGTTGCCATGGCGGTGACGGAACATACGGGTTGATGACCCGATCTATGTCGAAGGTCCATGTCGTGGGATTTGAGAACGGCATCGAGAAGGTGGGAATTTGATGATGAGATCGGAATAGAATCTGGAGGTAAATCCGGGGTAAGGAGATTCGTGATGAGGTCAGGTGGTGTGTCAAATCAGAAGGTTACCAAACCGCAGCGAAACCTCGGTAAACAAGCGTGACGTCAAGGTTCGAGCTGAAGCGACCAGGCGTTGATTGACTTTCCTCTCGCCTCAGCCTCTAGTGATATAAAAACCAACGATATACTTCACAGCAACAGAAGCAGAAACCTTTTCCACGTGGAACCCAACAGCTTCCCCCGTCTTCCTTATATAACGCCCTCTAGGCCGCGGAGATACAAGCACAATTTCCCATCCTTTCCCAGACGACAAGCAAACTCACCCCGACTTTGCCGTTTTGCCGGGTTTCCATTGGCATTGACTTAGACGCGATTTCGTAACAAAAACTCCAGACTCGCTCAGCGTGACGGCGGGTAATTATGGGGCTCCTCCACATTCTGTTTTCGGAGGACGGAGAAACGGATACCCGGGGTTCGCTCGGCATGGCGGGTCATTATGACATAATAGTTCTTGACTTTTATTAATTATTCCCCTTAGCTCGTGACTCCTCTTTGTTCTATTTTTGCCGAAAGAACATTGCAAGGCTTATGATGAAACTGCCAATCCGTGTTTTCGTATTCTAGCCAATGCTTAAAGAATAATACCAGCTTCTCGAAACTTGCCAAATGCTTCAATCCATCCCTCCGCCGGATCCTTCTCCTCTCCAAATCCTACCTCACGCAGCCGCTCAGCACTCAATTGACGATCGAACGTTAACCACCAGCCTGCACTGTCGAGCTGTTTGCTCCCCGCGCCTACACCCGATTTCCTGCCGTATTCTCCGAGGAGATGTCGATGAGTCTCGATGTACTCGCTGGGAGGCTGCATACTTGTATCACCAGAGGGCGCAACACCGACAAGGCCGAAGAACGATGCGATTGAAGGCCACAATTCCGCAAAGCTAGTGGGTTCGGCACCGTCGAGCATGTTGATGATCTTGCCGCTGCACGACGAATTGAGTGCTGCGTGAATGGCGATGCGGCCGAGAATACGCGACGATACAGGCGTGAAGCGCGCGTGATACCCCTCCGCACTTCCCGGGAACGGACATTTCCCGCCTGGATTATTCTTCGCGTACAGAGAGAGGTACTGCGCCCAATGCAGCGCGAGCGAATAGTTGGACCCGATGGGACTGAAGCCCACGACGACATCGGGGCAAACCTCTGACCACGTCCACTCGCGTCCGGCTGAAGCCTCGGACAGGATGCTGCGGAACCAAGGGTAAGCGACTGTCTTTGCGTAGTCGGCGGGTAGAGTATCGGCCATGGACTCTTTGAGCGGTGCTGTGAAGATGCCCCCGGGGATGTAAATGCCGTAGCCCTGGGGATGTTAGCGATGCATTGGGTGAATTGGGAGGGGAGGTACTCTTGTGCCGCCTGAGTAGACGATTGATTTGAGATGAGGAGCGAGGCTGTTGAGAGCAGATGCCAGGTTTCGCATCATGGAGCTGTTAATCCGGCATTCCTCTTCGTGATTCTCATCGTGCGGTGCAAACACTACATCATCAGCCTCACCCCAGTAAGTATCGTAAAAACCCACCAAAGTAAAAGACATGCGTAGTCCTTTCAACTCCATCAATCTTTTCCCTCAATTGTCCTGTCATATCCTCGCTCTGGAGATTGACACCGGACACGGTCTGAACCTCAGAGCCCCGAGGCCAGAACGTTCTCGACGCGTCGACAGGGCGGTTGCTCACGGCTGTCACGCTAGCGAAAGTTTGAGGTGCAGGGTAGGACGAGAGGAGTTGGTTGACGACGGCCCAGCCGACAAGGCCAGTTGCGCCGAAGACGAGAGCGTGGTTTTCTGACATTATGCTGAGTGTATTTTATCTTGTGTTGAATGGTGGTTGATTGAGCGAGAATGGGAACGGAGGAATTGATGTAGGTTTGTTGTAGGAGTACTCATTATGGCTCATCGATCTGCATTTCCAAAAGCGGCACGCCGGGTGATTTAGTGGATGAGTTACTCACTGGGCTGAGCTTAGAGTCTCCCTAGTCCCATCGATAAGAATCTGGTACTCCGTATGTTCTTTATGTATGTATACGGAGTAGAAGGTAAGTTGGTGTTGATGCTGAGATACACGGCGATGACCAACGCCATCTGAGCCTCTCGGCAATCTGCTTAGCGCTGAACATGCTGAAATTAGAAGTTCCATTAGTGGCCATCACAGCGCATCAATTCATTTCGTGTTTCATCTAAGCTTCACTGAATGACGCAAAGCCGGAATGTGCCCCTCTCACTCACAATCTTTAATTTATATTTTCACATCTTTTAACACGATTTTGGAACGGTGGTCAGCCTGTCCCACTTCTGAAATTAAGGATGCTTACCTCTCTACATTTAGGCAACATTTTCCTGCGCCGCAGATGCAACAATTTCTTTAATTTTCGTATTGCCCTCTTTCACTTTTAATTAAACGTCACACTCGCTCGTTATTATAGATTCAACACGTCCATCCAGTCGCTCAAGTGATACCGGCACAAATTTATTCCTCGACAGACAGCGTAATATCACCGTCCACGCATCTTGGACTTTTTCACCCTCACGACCCTCACAATAACAAACACCATGTCCACTACCGTCACACACCTCCTCCTCCCCCCGACAGGCTTCGCAGAGCTACATGGGAGGGTTCTCAACGCCGACGCAACCGCCACAACCTACCATCTCCAATGTCCCCCCAAGGACTCCAGCTGCTCAGACGTGGACGAAACAATCACTCTCGGACCCTGGGCAGAAAAGACTCTGGCGAGAGGTGCAGAGCCAACGGGCACCATGGACCTTCAACTGAGCTATACATCAAGCTATGAGCCCACGGCTGTTGGAAAGACGCGCGCTGAGTTGGTGACCTGGACTTACTCTCTGCATTGTGAAATGAGCAGATCTGTCGCGCAGCAATGTACCGTGACGCAAGGACCGGTGAAGGATATCTCTGAACTTCGGCAGAGCAATTATCCTGCTCAGACATATACTGATAAATCTGGCCTGGCAGAGATATATGGTCCTACGTATGCTTATGCACCAATTACTCTTACTGCTGGTCTGGAAAAGCTAGATGGCAAACATGCTAGTTCTACGGAGAGCAGTATGGCGAGTGCTACTAGTGATTCTGCCGAGGAGTCGGGAACTTCTGCCAGTTCGACGGATAGTGCTGATGCACCAGGACAGACTAATGATGGGGTTGGAAGAAGCGTGCCGAGTATTTTGGCGCTGGCTTGCGTTGGGTTGTTTATCCTAGCTTTTTGAAAGTAGCATGTTGTACCATTTGAAACCACGAGCATAGTAAAGTATGATTTGTTTGATACAGTAAAGATGGAAATCGGCCGTCCCTTTCTCGCACTCTTTGATTTGTATCGCACGGACGTTTTGGCCGGGGGCGAGAAAAGTTCTAACATACCCCTTACTACCCCTCTTCGAAGCACTTAGCGATCTGATAAGTGAATTCTTAATATTTACTTAGTATTCCCTTTTACTTATTAAGTATTTACTAAAGAGGTTAAGTAATTAGTAAAGAACTTATCCAGTTCATCTGCCCAGTAAGCTGGACCTAATTTCCTGTCTTGTATATCCACATTGGCATCATAGAGTATCTCTAACCAGTCTCTCCGATTGGCTCTCACAAAGCCTGGGTCCCGGAACAGTTTCCTCACATAGAGAAATACTTGGCTTTCGTCTTCAGTCAGAACAGACTTTGCATCCGCAGGACAGTCATATGGACACGACTCCTTAGAGAAGTCGAGTTCGACGTGATTCATTGTGTTGGTCTCGCCCGCCTTGGGATCGTCCCAAAATTCAAGAAAGTCAAGCGGGGCATATTGATGCTTCTTGATCTCATTTGTTATTTTGACCTCGCCTGACTTGAGGTCGTTCCAGAATGAGAGAAAGCCAAGCTTGGAAAGCTGGCGTTTCGATTTGTCAGTCTGAAGTTGGCGAAACATAAACTCGTCATAAGCAATCAGATGGAGTGGGCTTATTTTGACGCCAAGCGCATTGAAGACCATGATTCCATCACCCTGACGCACGAATTCGATACCTAGCAATCTGTAACAAAGGATAACACCCCGACGTAGAAAGCGGGAGCGTGATTCTTGCCAGCGGTAGATGGGAAAGGAACGATGATCGCCAGTGATTGTAGCAACTCTGCCAATCCAGGGCAGGTCTAAGAGGAGAGGCCCAAGTAGCAACGCATGAAATATTCGCCCATTGAGACACAGCTGTTTAATCGATACAGCGTCAAGGACGCATGGATTGTGCGAGCAAAGCTGTTTAGAGTCGAGTGCAGCAGTGATATTCACCTCAACGACTGTATCCTGGGCGCCAATTATGCCACGGATCGAGAGCTCAGGGCTCTCTGATATCGTTTCTGTATAAGGGCTACCCACGCGATGAACGTTGAAAGGGTCGGGAAGGAAAATTGCCGAAATCGTCTCGCCAGGATATCGCTCATCACGGGCGATAGTCGGGTTCCAGTCTGAATTGTGGAAGACATCGACCAACGCTCCAAAGTCAGCAGCTGATATGTCGTCCATAGTTTCGAAATGAAACTGACTGTCCACATTATATGCAAAAGCCACAAGCGGACCATAGAATCGACGGCTCAAAGGGCCAGCTAGAGCAAGGACTGCCTCATTGAAACCGTCCAGGTGGCCTTTGAATTCACGGTAAGGCTCCCACGAAGCAGTTTTGACCGCGTGCCCGAGAGTCTTTCCTTGCGTAGCACTATCCCGGCTGAGGGCACGAACGATCAGATTATATTTATCTGCATTGCTGTATCGTCCCTTCATTGCTGCCTTCCAACTGTAGATAGTCGAGTGCATAATCACGAGCTCATGCTCGCCAAACTGATGTTTCTTGAAAACTCCCCAGCAGAACTCGGGACTTGATGCCTCATAGGGAAATATCATTACCCTGAAATGGTCCTTTGATGGTCGTGGTTCGCTGGAAAAAGATGATAGCTTTTTGCAAACCAGTTTGTGCATATCCCAATCACTGTGTTGGCAGCTGGCTGAGCAATACTCAGCGTCGTGGCAGCCAGAACATCTGAGCGATCCCGGTTTTTGACAGACAATGCATATGACCTCAGTCTTGGGGGCCGCTATATCGCATGGTGCAAGGTCTTGAGACCATTCTGGGGAAATCCAACTATCACGGAGACAAGAAGGAACAGTGACAAGCACCGCCATGGCGCTTGAAGGCCAAGGTGAGTCGGCCATTTTAGCTGCAGCTTGATGTATGGATAATTAAGAAAGGTGGAGAGGGATTGGGAAAAGTGAAAAGGCGTTGTCAGGTTTCTTGTAGGTAGTGTGGAGATAGCAGGTCAGGGTCGGATAATACAACAACCAACAACAGCAGCTGATAGGCTACAGATAAGCCACAACTGCCATACCCTTGATATTAATATTAAGAATAAATTAAAGCCCAATATAAGAGAGCTGCACTGCCTTGAGGCCTGGAAGCTATAATAAAGATTTACTTATTGAATAGCTAAGTGTAAAGTTTCCGTGTAACGCCTTCCACTATCCTCTTATTATATTCCGGGGCCTTTTCAGGTAATATTTACCTATTATCAAAATGAATCTCGGGAGTACAATGTGTTAGCTTGACCGCGCCGCGAAATGTGACAAAGTCCGCATTGTTCGCTGTGACACACGTTATCCATGATCGGTGTTTCCATTGAATCCATGCGTTCATCTACTGGGATATCTTCTTTGGTGTTCAGTCAAGCATGGCCCAAGACAAATGGAGAGAAACACGTATCATGTTTCTCCATGGGCTTCGAAAGAGACGGAAAGGCCATGCGTAGAAAACGACTCCTAGATTGGCGCAAGCCAATTTACGACTGGCTTCTGTTCTCGTGTGAGACCTACGTACATCTGAAGAGAGTACAAATAGACAACCAATTTCGACCGGGTCTGTATCTTTCCAAATATTGACACTAATTCTGAAACATTAAACCAAGGTAGTTCTTTCACTACTTATTCCCCAATTGCAATGCAGATAAAGAAAGCACCAAGCCAAGAAACCATGAAGACACGCCAAAAACACCGTCGTAAAAAGCAGTTGCTAAATCTCAACCAGATTCCTTACCAACCAAACCTTACCCCAGCTTATTCGTCATGCCTGAGCTCGTCACCCTCGGCACAAGGACCTTTCCATTCCGATACTCATACTCAACCTCTGTCCTCGTTCCCCGATCTTCCTGAAACGACACCTGAACAATTTTGGTAATCACCTTAAGAATATCAGAGTACTCCAAGCAACCTTGCTTGACATTAAGTGTTACAAGTCTAAGCCCCTCATTACTCCTGCAAGCACCTTTTGCAAAGCGCGTTACGACGTGCATATCGCGTTGTTCCATGCCATCGGTCTTCATGCCGATCCAAAGAACATTGTTCGCTTTGGTGAGTTTTTCGTATTTGGTTAGAGGACTAGAGCCGTTGTCGAGAACAATGTAGATAAATCTTGAGGAGACACCGTCGAGAGTGGGTGAAATGGTGGAGGCTGTGCCAATGTCTGCGAAAGATGTTGAAAGTTGATCTGCGAAGTTCATGAATTTGCCTTGGACGTCAGGAAGAATATTGACCATGGGATTCTGCGTGGACGTTACGGCTGTGGCGATGACGCAGTAACTTGATTGTCCGACGTAGTCAAATGTCTTTGTCGCTGGTTCAAGGCTGCTAAAGCCATTATTCTGGAACATCCTGTTCCATTCGCTTGACGCAGGGTACGGCAGTTGTTCAAATCGTTCATCTGAACATTGTCAGTACAGGACAATCACCGGAATAAATTGTTACGTACCTGCCCACATGTTCTCATTCATGCCAAAGATAAGATTGTACGCAGGAGAAAGATCCGATAATCCAACAAGAGCTATTACACCACCAGGAACAAGGAGCTTTCGAAGATTTGCCAAAGTTTCTTCCAGTGAGTTTGCTGTATGAAGGATGTTGTTAACGAGCACCACGTCGAAAGATCCAGGACTGAAGCCTTGATGCACAGGATCGCGATTGACATCAAAAGCCTTGAGCTTCAGGCGATCATTGTTGTTGAAAGACTTGACCTGTTCCAACACAGGGAGTGATGAGTCGGTGATGGTATACGACACATTCTTCTGATCAAAGACTCCAAAAACGGCCTCGGTGTTGTTACTTGTACTAGCTCCCACTTCGAGGACGTTCATAACAGGCTTCTTGCTCGCATACGAAGACACGTATGCTCGAAGGTGCGCCCTCACCTTCTGCGCTAGCTCCATACCATCTTGCATCCGATGTATTCTACCATCTTCACACAACAGAACCATCGGATCAACAATACCTTGGAGAATGTCTCCGATATGTGGACCAATCTTTGCAAGAATCTCACCCTCGATGCCCATCTGTGTAAGGGAGGAGAAGATGTCAAGCATAGCAGTCATGGTAACATCGCCCAGCGCGAGTTTACTAGCCGGCGAAGAGTTGTACGCGCTCATCCATTGATATAACTGCCTACGGAAGCCAAGCAATCTGGAAGGGTCAAAGTCCGGGATATCCACAGGGATATTCCTAAGTGCCGTTCGAATGATAAGAGCTGCAGCGCGGGCCAAAGTGATTTGTCGATCGGCTGTTGCTTTGCACAATGGTGTTCTGGGTCTTAGCTCAGCGCCAGTGAAGAAATTCGCATCGCTTTCCCACTCAATGTGGAGGACGGAGTCCCAATCATCGTCATCTGGGGGTAAGATGTGGTTGTCTCTAATGATGGGCTCAAGAATAGACATGGCTGCGAGGAGTTTGTTGCGCAGTGGAAGGATGTGACGACGGTGATATGATGCACTGACACGTGATTTACCAAGGGAGAGAATGAATTCAAGAGCTCAAAAACGAAAGGAATGCCAAGCAGGATTATATATCCCTCGAAACACAAGAATCTCACCACTTTGAGGTCACTACCCCAACGCCGCTCGGAGCCGCAGCATGTGAACCTTGGAGATCGGACCCCATGGGGAAAACCCCGCACGAGGCTCGGATCCGATGGGAGGTGTCCGCATTCGCTTAGTATGGTGTGCGGCTTGTGAAGAATTATTTTATTACGAGCAATACATTGATTTGAATTTTCTTATAGAGTCTGATTGATATAGGGCTATATTACTGTTAGTAATATATACCTAGTTTTATTAAGAAGCATTAATTTTGTCCCTGTCCGGTGACTCACGCCGTCTACCCACTTTAGGCCTCAGTCAGCTTATGCTAGCTCTCCCCTCATCTGTGTTTCTTATATCAACTATCTGCATCACACTTCACTTCCACATCCGCCAACAATCCCAATCATGTCAGAAAAGAGTAACATCCAGAGTCTTCCCGTCGAGCTCCTGAGCAAGATTCTTTCTCATGTCAGGGAAGATCGCAAAGATGGACAAGAATCCATCAAACAAAGTCGCCTAGTATCAAAGCACTTCAACAATGTCGCCTCACCTTTTCTCATTTACTCGGTCACTGTATGCCTCACCTTGGAATCATTCAACAGACTGGAAGAGATCTGCGCCCATCCCCTTATCAGCAAGGGCGTGAGACAAGCCACAGTCATACTTTGCTTTTACGAGCGCGAATTAGCCAACAACAGGCAGCTGTACATGAGAGAGTCAAGATCTAGGCTTTTGCGACACACGGAAACGATGGAACGTATGAGGCGATACAAAGAGAAGTTCCACTGGACACGTGAATTGCACGATTGGCTGTCGCACATGGCCTGGGAGCAGTCTCCCGAGCTCAACCAGATGGTTGATGAGGACACCACCCAAGATCCACCGGCGCAGATCCAGAAGCTATTTTTGAGGCTATACGACATGTACAAAAAACGATACGAGGAGCAGGAAATCCTTCGTCAAAATAATCGACACATCGGCCGCCTGGTCGCTGCTCTATCTTCATTGCCCAGCCTCGCATGCCTAAATCTCCGAGACTTCAACAGCCAAAGGGGACTTGTAGCTTCCCACAAGCAGCCTGGTGCTGATCAACTACTGGTTGAAGACTTTCTGGACATTGGATACAGCCAAGATGTTCTGCAACATTTCGATCGCGGTGTGCGTGCTTCCCCATGGTGCGGTTGTTTTGAAACAGAAAACTCAGCATCACCACCAGTTGAGATGCTCGGGGAGCTATGTTCACAACTTGGGAGCCGCGGCGTGGGGCTGAAAGCTCTCACCTTATTTCTATATCCCCCACCAGATATGGATGTCTTAAAGTCGACACCGGAACAACAGGAGAACATCAAGAAGCTTGTTTCCGAGGTCGAATATCTGACAATAACCCTCGATTCACCCCCTCGGACCAGGCAGTATCGTAGGGAAGAAATGCTTGCGCTGGGTTCCATCACAAAGCCACTAGCCAGCTCACCAAACCTGGATTATCTGGTAGTACATCTCGAACGCGATTGTCATACCTCAGCAGTATTTTCCATGGCTGACCTTCTTCCTCCCGACACACCATGGCCGCGACTGCAGCGTTTGATGTTTTTATATCTCCGGGTCAACCTCAAAGAGTTGAGATCACTGGTCGGTAGACACGGCAAGACTCTCCTGCGGCTTGATTGGCATGGTGTTTACTTTCCTGACTGCAGCCCTTCCGAACTACTGGAGGCGATGCGCGGGTTTCAAGCCTTGGAAGAAGTTCGTGTGGATTATCCGGATGGGGATCGGTTTCTCGGAGATCCAGGGAGTCCGCTTGCTAGATGGCCCCAAGATGAAGTCAGGAAGTATCTTTTGAGAGAAACTGATGTTTATCCGCTGGATTGAGAACATGCTGTCATGGGGAATCTGGATTGGTTGGTGGGGTCTCGAGTTTTTGTGTCGCTTTGCTTATGCTTATGGATTATAGACATACATCGGAATCTATCAATTGATGTCTATTTTATCAATGCCAGTGTATACTATGTTGTTACAGCAATCCAAGAATTGCTATGCAATTAACTTTGGCATGTGATACCGATACCGCTTCCGCAATGACGCAGATTATAATCGGATCTGTTTACCCTGTCCTCTGGCTATCGTCATATCATATTATGATCAACCTCATACAAAAGGAACCTCGGCTATAGCCATCGTATCAAGTCTGAGTACGGATATGAAAACCATAAGCAAAAGACACAACAGCGGGACTTTACTGGCTATCGCGAAAAAGACCCAATAATGATCACATAGTCAAATTCTATCCAAGACTTGCTAGCAAGTCACCCAATCTAGGGGTAGCTACAAATCACCCCAGAGGTCTTTAGTTTATGTACACGGAACGCTGTTTATCGAAGCATTGGAAGGAATAGGGTATGGGTTAGCCTATTGAGGTCAGGTAGCTCATTTGACTTGCTGGCCCCTAGCTGCTATAATAAACGCCGTGCCAACAATAAAGCTACTGCCCATAAACACCTGTGCACCAAGATAACGTCCCTCCATAGCTGTAATTAGTGCACCAGCGATAGGATTACCCGTCAGCGTAGCAAAGCTGATGACAGTGAAGTTCATCCCGATGTATGCACCTCGAGTTGACAGATCTGTAGTCAAGCTCGAAATTCCCGCAGGGAATAGGCTAAGTATACTACCGCTGATGATGCCATAGAAGACTGTCCATACATATGTCTGACCGGGTGTGTGCACAGCGATCCACGAGAACGTGGCGACGGCAGCTAATAGGCAGGTCGGTATTAACAGCTCCAGGGGTCCAAAGGTATCGGCATAGTGATTTGATATCATCCGGCCAAACACACCGACTCCGTTCAAAATGAGAAGTAGATTCAACGACTGTGTGTAGGTGAGAGAGGGAGTGATGATGTCGCGGCTATAGGGAGCGACGTAGTAATAGCCAACGAAGACAGCCCAGAAGTTCTGAATAGTACCGTCAGTATTTGGACAGAAAGGAGTGGTGGACAAATGGCCTACAAAGAACATTCCAATGGTGAAGAATGTGTAATCAAGCTGCTTGAAGGCAACCCACTCAACGACTCTGCCCGATTTGCCCGGAGGCAATCGCGTCTTCATACACACGACGACAAATAACAATGTCGCTGCTTGCACAAACCCAATCGCACGCATAGTCCAGCCAAACCCAGCAGTAGGTAAAAGCTGTCTCGCCATGGAAGAAAAGACAAGTCCTCCGGTGACAGAGCCACAAGTCGCAATGCCGATCGCTAACGAACGCCTTTTAGCAAAGTATGTTGAAGTGACGGACACGGCTGGAGTAACGAGGAAGCCATTGCCAAGGCCACAACAAATGCCCTGTGAAAGGAGTAACTGCCAGTATTCGGTAGATAATGAGGCTGTGAAGATGCCAATAAGTACGAGAACCGTACCACATGTTAACACTAGTTGCAAGTGCCCAGAGTCAATGTAGCGGCCAATGAAAGCGCCGACAAAGAAGCTGAGGAAGACTTGGATAGAGCCGATCCAGGAGATGTCAGACGGCTCGCGTCCGAGGAAGGTGGTGTAATAAGTTTGGAAGATACCGAAACTATTGATGAAACCCCATGTATTCATGAAGAGAAAGTGACCACATAAAGCTACATTGAATGGATTAGCCAAGGAATTTTAGTTGTTTTGGATAGGGTTACAGTACTGCATAGCCAAGCCTGCCAGCCTCCGTCTGGTGGTGGGGAAACATCTTGAGTAACATCAACACTGGTCTCATCAGCACTCAGCATGCCGTCTGGCCAGGAAACTGGAGCTTCAAATTTGGATTCTCCAGAGGATGACTGAACCGCCTCTGGATCGGCATCCTTGTTTTGCTGTGAGAACATTGCAACACTTTGGGTCCTTAGTGCCGGATGTTAGCTATCGAAGGACATGTCAATTGGTGGTGTTTGGGTTCAAAGCTTACAATATTAGGGCGGTAGACAACAATGTGGTTTGACTTATTGGCCGCAAAACGAATTAATGAAGGATTGAAGGACAGATGGCGTTTGAGGCAGCTTTTGTGACCAAAAAGATGCCTAATAAGACATGGTCACTTCGGGAGTGGACTCACTCCACTTACATGTTCCTCTCGGAGCATTATGACTAGACTTTTACGCTCCGAGTTTCCGAGCACATGCACGTCTGCGTTTTTGATAATCCCAGTAAACTTTGGATCTAAGACGGGATTACTATTCCAGCACAGACCCGTCTTTTGATTTGTTGGAGAATTGAACAGCCAAGCTGTCACAAAACAATTGCCGCTATGCTGTGCAACATTAGATCTTTGACAGAACTTTTGTTGAAAAAGATAAATATAACAGATGACACCAAACAGGTGGGACAATGAAACTAATACATCGCGATATGTGACTATGATGAAAACGTGAAAACGAAATGAATAAAAAGTCTGGCCAAATGGAATAATGTATGAATACTATCTAAACTAAGACTGATTTACAAGCCCAAAGACTCTCCCAATTCAACCAACTCAGACACTATCCTCTCAACAGTCTGACGCGTAGTCAAACGGTTACAAGCAATGCGAAGAAACTGCCCCTTGGCCTTACCAGGAGCAAAGTCCACCTTCCACCCCATCTGCTCAATACCCTGATACAGCGCCCGCGTATTGCTACTGTTGATCTCCGCCAGCGCCTCCCCAGAGGCTCCGGCGGTGGAAGCAGATTCCCAGTAGAAGCACACTTGAGCGAAAACCTGTTCCGGCTCCCAGATCAGCTCAAAGCGCGGGTGGTCTCTCACGAGGCGGGCGAGGTGCTTGGCGCTGTCGACTGCTTGCTCGACCTCGCGGGCGATACCTGCTGTGCCGTAGTAGAGCCAGTGGAGATACATCTTGGTCGCGTCGTGGCGACGGGAACACTGGATGGTCAACGAGGCGAGGTCGTTGATCTCTCTGACATCAGGCGCGGTATCTAAAAGTTTGGAGTTTCTCCAATCTTTCTTTTGTCTGTTTTTATCTGTAGTGGAAGTATCCTCAGAACCCTTGCCGTTCTTGGAGGTGTGGTCGTGGAACAAATAATCAGCGTTTTGTTTGTTTGCTAACCATAGTGTTCGTAGGTCGTTCACCAAAAGGAATGCGCAAACAAGCGGGACTCCCAATAGCTTATGAGGGTTAAATGCAATACTGTCCGCGAGGTGACTTCCTCTCATGAGATGCTTCAGCTTGTCGGAAAAGACGACACCTCCTCCCCAGCAAGCATCAACGTGAAACCACGCGCCGACTCTATGCGCGATCTCGCCTATCTTGTCGAGAGAATCGAAAGCGCCGTTCACTGTACTTCCAGAAGTCGCTGCGATTAGAAGCGGTTTCTTTCCGTCTCTAGCGGCTTGTTCAACAGCACTCTCAAGGGCATTGGTATCCATGGTTCCGTCTTCCAATGCAGGAACAGAAATGATAGAGTCATTTCCGAGTCCTATGACATTGGCCGAGTTTGAGACCGAGTAGTGAGCTGCCTCCGAAACAAAGACGGCATACTCTCCAGGCGTGAGACCACGCTGCTTGGACTCTGGCGTGATAATGTTTCGTGCAACCAGCATAGCCATAAGGTTACCAGCAGCTCCTCCAGGAACCGTGACACCTCCTGCATGTGGCCCTTGAAGGCCAAAGAGCCTGGCCAACTCAAGACTGACATGCTTCTCGACGGCCGTGAGAGCTGGCCCTGCACGCTGAACATGACCATTGTTGTTCAAAATGGAGAGGAAAAGATCTGCAGCAATACCAGGAGCTGAAGGAGCCGAGACGAGTTTACCTAAGAAACCAGGTGACGCGTTATCGACTGAGTTGCGGCTGAGAAGGTCGATGGCATCTTTGAAGCCAGAAGTCCCGAGACCTTCAGCTGAGAATCCGCTGAAGAGCTCTTCGTACCGCTTGACAGGCTTTTTGTCGCCACGGTAGTCAGATTTGGGACTTCCATTGGAGGTGTGGAATGCTCTTGTGGTGATGCTGTCAACTTGTTGCAGGAGCTAATCGAGGTGTCAGTTTTATGCGAGAGCAGTTATGAGGTACTTTTCTCACCTCGGATATTTCATGCCGTCTGGATAATCCATTGTCCGCGACTGAGTCGTTGCCAATGTAGGGTACCATAGTGTGGAATGGTCTTTTGGTTGGTTGTATGAGAGCTCTCTCTAATTAACTGTGCAGCGATAGTGTATATGGAGGAAAGAACAAAATGGCTGATTGATTGCCATAATTATATATGCATATGAGAGAAATTTCGTATGCTACCGATCCTTATGGGATGCAACGAATATTCCATACCAGGAGGGACAGTCGCAACTACCCAGGGCCTCGTGAACACAGCACCTATCTTCACCATCATCTGACTAATGGTAGCTGAAAATAACACACGTCATCTCGGTGTATGAAAACTCGGCATTTATTCTGTTCAGCGGAGACTCCGCCAAAAGAAATGGACCGAGTGTGAGTGGATGAGCGACCCCTACATAATTTGCTCCAAATGTCAACAGGGTCGGAAACAAACAATCTAGAGGCAATTCCTACGGAATACTTCCATTCGCTCAACGTTCGGAACCTGGATCTCGCCGAACTGTAGTTCCTCCGATGCATGCATTGACTCATGGTTTGCAGAAACCAGGGCTCCTGCATATATTTAGACATGCTCATGCCCGCCCGCACTCTGCCGCAAAGCGACCCCTGATATCCTTGCTGTCACATCATTCAACCATGACAACTACACAACCACAAAACTGGACCCGCGGCGACTACGTGGTTTCCACAGACCCTGCCCTTCTCCAGGTTGACGCCATTAATGCGGCACTGAGCTCAGATATGGTTTGGTGGGCTGGGGACCTGCCAGCCGATGCACTCCGGGATGCGCTCCAGAGTTCAATCTGCTTTGGTCTTTATCACAAAACATCCCCAGATATGAACGGTAACAGTAAGCCTCCCGGTTCGTGGAACCTGACAGAAAACATTCATGGACCTGGTTTCGCTAACAGTGTACCACGTATAGGTGGCAAGGCTGAGCAGCTCGAACAGGTGGGGTTAGTCAGAGTGATTACCGACGGTGTAACATTTGGCTATCTCACAGATGTATATATTCTACCAGAGCATCAAAAGGGCGGACGTGGTCGTTGGATGCTTGAGGTTCTCAACGAGGTTTTGCAAAGCTGGCCGCACCTCAGGCGGGTGATGCTTCTTACCACTGACAAGATGCACCTCTTTGGAAAGAATCTGGGCATGAAAGACTACAGGGAGTTCGATGGGATGAAGGGCGTTTCTATTGCTATGTTAGAAGGCCCTGGCGCACAGCATTAATGTATGCATCTTGTCTTGACTGGTCACTGGTGCCAACTGGAGCCAGGGAATTGAACACATCGGTTACTCAACCAATCATAAGCACTGCCGCTTCTGCAACATACTGCGGCACTTTAAATTTAACTCTATTGCTGTTATATGTGGTTCTCCGCTGTTGGCTGTAAAAAGTATGGATAAACGACTGCCGCGTATACTTAAAAGGCCCGTTAGGATTCAACACCATAAAACCTTGACTTAGTTAGTACTAGATTTCTGTGCTTATAGCTCTGCGTAGTTGAGAAACCTTTGACTGCTTTTCGATGTTGATATCTAGATAGAACAGAAATCGAGCTACCATAAAGTTCAATCAGTTGAGATGTTGAGCGGCAAGCTTTGGTGGACATCCTTCATAGAGTAAGAATATCATCATGCCACACCCGGACCTAATACTTGAGAAATTCCATAGTTACACCATAAGCGAGTTTGGCCCTGTTTGCCTCAAAGCAAGGATTCATGACCTCAGCAGTCATTCTATACGGCTCGGAAAACATCAATTAAGTCTGTGCTTCAAGGGCCTGTTACACCGGGTCTTTGTTGCAAACTGTTTCTTCCGACAGTTCCAACCCCTTGTATCTGGGTTTTCGCCGAATCCTCTCGGCACCGAGTAGTTGCACTGGTGTCTGTTGAATGGACTGTTTATGACATGATTCTATTGATGAAATTCTCCGGGTGCCTGGATGATTTGCTCTAAACCTCTGACTTTATTGCCCATGAGACAATCGGAATGATTTTCTGCCGCCCAAATGCGCCGGTGAGGATGTGCTCTGAAGCCCTCTCATGAGCAATGCGTAGTTGATGGCTTCGATATATAAGGAGTCTTCGCATCCATCAAATTGTCTATTCATCATTTAAAACATCAACATCTCTTCAACAAACTCTACAATCACTCAAACCTCTAATAACTTCAACCAACTTTACAAAATGACCGCTTCAAGTCGCCCTGCCGAGTACCGCGATGTCCGCACCGCAAACCTCAACACCATCACATTCGACAACCTCTTTGACAAGGATGAGGCCGAGTTAAAGCGTCTTGTTCAGTCATGTGAACAGGAAGGCTTCTTCTATCTTGACCTTCAGAGTGCCGCGTCTCAAAAGTTCTGGGCGGACCTCTACAACATTGACAACACTACCAAGAAGTGGTTCCAGCAACCGATCGAGAAGAAGCTCGAAACCCCTACTGTCTCGCTTGCACACGGGTAAGTATCTTGAATAACGCGACGTGGGGCGAACTGCCGCTAACATGGTTGAATCAGATTCAAGGCTGTAGGTAACCAGTCGGGTTCCATCGAGTCTAAGAAGGATGGTTTCGAGGCTCTCAAGGTATGCTCCAGTTTCTTCTCCGCAATTATGGGTCCTGTTCTGACAAACACAGATCGGAAAAAGTGAGCTTGATGGACGCTGGGCACTCCCAGATGTTGTCTCTGACAATCTTCCCCTGTTTGACCAGTTCGCTTCATCATGCCACTTCATCTCCAGGCTTCTTCTCGACTGTCTCTCCGACGGCCTTGAGCTGAAGGGTGACGCCCGCTTCGAGACACACCACCGCGATGACTGCCGCTCCAAGAGCACCCTGTACTTTCTCCACTACCCCCCTGGCGCGCAGGACCCCAACCAGGTCGGCCAGAACATGCATACGGACATCGGATCTTTGACGATCCTGTACGCGCCTCAGTGGGGGCTCCAGGTGTTCTCCCCTGCTGACGGTTCCTGGGAGTACGTTGAGCCTCGGCCTGGCCACGCCATCGTCAACGTGGGCGACACTCTGCGCTTTCTCTCCGGTAAGCGCTTTCGCTCGGCGCTGCACCGCGTGCTGCCTCTCGGGGGAATTCAGATGGAGGACCGCTACTCCATCTCGTATTTCCTGCGCGCCTCTGACTCGACCGAGTTCAAGGACAGCGACGAGGATGAGTCGAGCGCCAAGCAATGGTACACCAAGAAGTATGCCATGTACGAGATGCCCCACGTCATCCAGAAGCAACAGACGACGCTCTCGGGCGGGATGGCGCAGGAGCTTCAGGCTAGCTTCTGAGAACAGACCTTGTTAGGGCTGAGACGGGGGAGGGTTCGTTCCAAGTTTGGAGGAGGATGGATGGGGGGTTCACATGTTTGCAATGTAGCTAGATCCACATTAGATTGACCAAAATTTCATTCCTTTTACCTATCATGATCAAAAGAAATGGGGTGATTTGTTCCTTCTTGTCATGAAATACGATCAGCCAATCACAGTACCAAGATCTTCAGAGATTGATTATGTTGTGTAACGATGGTGTGTTGCGCTGAGAGTCAATCACCTTGCAGGTCCATTAAATGAGGTAATGGCCTAAAATGGATGACGGCTAACCAAATTCTTACCTGCAGTCACGTAATGGGCCACTTGGCCATTGCAGGACATCAACGTGGTCGCTGTACCCTGATGCGCCTACCCACGCATCCACTATCTATCAAGGTAGCGGCGGTTTTGACGGGCTTGAGTGATTAGAAACTGCTGGCTCGACAAGACACGACTCAGCTGTCGCAGAAGGAACACGTTCGTCCGTCCGAACGCAACGTCAAACAAGCTTTTCGCGTAATTTAAGCCGAGACGTAGCATTTTAGCATCTGCCGTAATCGTCTCGTCCACTAAATACTAGGTAGCAAAACACCGGGCAAGCCTTAAAGGGAGCTTCCGGCGTATAGAAGATCGGAACAAAGGGCTCCCTGTAGACCATTCTCCGCGGCGTACGCAACACGCCCTGCTTTTGTTCGTCCTGACCAGGGGTGTATCTTACTCAGCCCTGGAAATTAAGTAATGGATCTACATGAGCCGAAACAAAAGTGCTTCAACGGTCCTTCTCGCAATATCCACCGTCTTCGTGCTGCACGTTAATTATTAGGCGAGCAGCGCCTGTGCGGCTAGGGACGGCCCGCTATCCCCCGTCTCTAGCTCCCGTGTCAGCGCTGAATTCAAAATTCGCAATTGGACGAGAAAGGAATCACGAGCGGCCAGAGTTTATATCCGATTACGCATACTCTGTACTTCGGCCTTGAACAGTCATTTCTCATCAAGTTCAGCTCAACAGCCATCTTGGAGGCAGCCGTACACCGTTAGCAGGGGCCGCTTGAGCTGCTGAAAGAGGCAGAGAGTGGACCACTTTAAGCCAATTCGAACAAATCTTGCAGCTTCTATACGTGGTGAAGAATTCGACAACTCCCATTCCAGCCAGGTACATCCAAAATGGAGCCTCAACCTTGGCAGCTCGGCACCAATCTCTATTCCGCGGTTGCCGATCAGGCCCTAGGCAGGCCATTGCGTGATGTTACAGCCAGGCGGAGTTTGTTGAAACTGACAGGCCGAATATACTTTCTCTCGACTGCAACTGCAACGTCATGTAGGTAAAGAGACAACTAACCTAACCCTGCGCTGCCGTCATTGCATGTAGAAATTCCTTCACCTTTTACGCCATACAACTAGCGAAACAGCGGAAGACGTCCGAAGATCGCCACTTGAGATCCATGCTTCAAGCCATCGAACCCGCAGTTTTTGGCGAACTTGACAGCATAGGCTCAGATCACACCCAGATGCTTGGCGGGCAGAGCGGCCCATTACAACGGCGGATCTTCACCATAAATAGAGTTGCAATTTGAGTAGCCATGAGTGAGCTGACAGGCAGGCGCGCGATGTATACAAGCGACCAACACAGCTTTTCCTCGGAATTTCCTTGCAGCAGTCTCTGAATACCTAGCCATCCAATCGCTGCTCTGACCTCAAAACTGTAAGGTCGCAGTCTACCGCAAACGAGCATTTATTATCGCCATTCGGAGTCACAGTTGAATTGCTAAGAATATATCACATTGGTAACTCGCTACCCAACGTGGACTTCTTTACATCGTCATCGTCGCACAACATCCACCACATCCACCAGCCAACAATGATAAAACGTCGATCAGCTTGCGAGCGATGCAGGAATCAGAAGCTCAAGTGCATTCGCGAGCACGGAAGTAGCAGCGATGCCTGTCTCAGATGCTCGCAAACCCAGGAAGAATGCGTCGTCAGCCTACGAAAGACACCGGGTCGACCCCCCGGACGAGGCAATTCGTCGAGCAGACGCAGTCCAACCAACAACACGCCGATCCAGACGCCTACACCAACGCCAACACCGACGTTGGTACTCGACGATAGTGATTCTGTCTCGGCGACGCGAAACGGCTCATGTACGTCGTCGTCAGAAGATGCCCTCGAGAGTCTTCTCGAGATGAACATCGACTGGAGCGACATCAACATGTTTTCCTCGGGTGCTGGTCCACTTGACGGGAATGAGGGGATCCCCGAATTCCCCAGCTCGTTGCTTAATTACTCAGAAACAACCAGGGTCGAACCCCCACCCCCGTGCACGTCCTGGTCGGCATCCGGAGACTCTGCCGCACCAACCGGCTTATTTCCCTACCAGATCCACAACCAAAATTGCGATCCCGGCATTCAGCTATCTGGACTTCAGCAGAACCTCTCCAAACACCTGATCCAGCTACGGTCTCTATCATGGGATATCACATCTGTTTTGAAGTTGGAAAGCGCTTCTTATAGCCTCCAAGGCTCGGAATCTTGGAATCGGGCCTTTAACCCACTTGTCGCCACTTTTGAGATCATTTCAGAATTTGAACACGTCCTCGCAATATTGCGAAGCGCCATCAATCGCAGAGAGCGACAGGAGGCCTCAACTCTTCCAAGAGAGATGAACATTTCTTACTCGTTGACTGCCATCTCATGTTACCTACAGCTGGTGTGTATATACGACAACATATTCTCATATGTTCTTGACCAAGCGTCCAGTAACCCCGCCGTCAAGAGCTTCATCCTTGACTCCACTCCAGGGATTTACCTGAGCGGGTTCGTGATCCCGTCACCTAAAAACGTCCTCGGCCGATCTTTTGCGCAATTGATGCAACTCAAGATTAGCCCTGTGGAGACTGCCCTGGGGCTTCCAGAAGATTGCCGAATTTCAAAAGAGCCAAGCACGGATCAGCGTTCGGATAGGCCGTTGTTGATGAGTGGTAAAGAGGGGCATGCGTTACTGGCGGTGTTGAAGGATCATCATGTTGCAGGAGGGAATTCCACAAGCACGATGGGTGTTTTAGAGTCGTTAAAAGCAAAGATTGCAGAAATAGAACGTTTAGAATAGATGAGTTTAAAATTATTGGAATTAGAATATATTAGTTTATCTTATTTGGGTTATTACACTAGCTGCCGAATGTTCATATGTGGTGCAGCTGATGATGAAGCATCGTGACTATCACTCGAATTATACGAGCAAGTACAGGTTGAGGGGCACAAAATATAGCAATGAACTGCATGACAAAGAAGGAAAATAAAGGGCACCTCTCACGGGCTTTGCCGCTACTATAATTGTTCCGAAAAAAGCAAAATAAAATCTTGGATGCTTAGAATCGTGGTTCGTCTGTGCGTAGTAAACCCTACAGTAGTTCCCCATGAATATCACATGCCAGTTTGTTTGTTCCTGACAATGGTTCCGACTGCTGTTTCCCCGTCGGATCCATCCGAGTGCAATTAAAACCAAGGCGCAATATGCCAAGAGAAGATCCCGTGTAAAATAAGAAAAAGGTTTCATACACCTAAGGCCCAGCTATTTTGCAGGCTAGTGGATAAGAGAGTATCATAGGTATGGGAGGCCATGATGTCGGGGTAAGAATATCCCAATATAGAGATTATCCAAAAGTTTACTGACCGAGAAAGGATTCGAAGCAACTGTTATGAGAAAGAAGTGAAACCCTGCTTCTTTTTTTTTAGATCGTTTTTGGTGTCGACCTCCCGACAAATGCGAGTTGCTTGGCATCTCGGCCTGCGGAAGATTTACATCCCAAAAAATGCGCCAAGGGCAACGGCCAAGAAGAAAACCTGTCAATCGATCTATGGTTTCACAACATACACTTATACTTGGCAATCTCTTGGCTACATAATAAGTGATAAGGCACTAGATACATATATCTCTTAGATTGTCAAGTGATATAAATGTCGCAAAATTAGTTTGGGTAAATTTGATCAATGGTCCCAAGTATGAATGTTCCAAAATAGCAGATGCTTGAGCAAACCATGCATAGCATAGTGAAATGTACAAACACTATCTTGGATACAATGCTAGTTATCTATCTAGCTAGGATGCTCACACTATCTAATCCTCAAACCGTCGCCTAATGCCAACATTCACAGCCTCAGGCTTCCTAGCCAACCCCTCCATAATCTCCATCTCATCATCCCTCATGATCAAGTCATAACGTCTCGCCCAAGTCGCAGTAATCACCTTGAGTTCCATTTCCGCAAGGTTACGACCAAGACAAGCTCGTGGACCGTGACTGAACGGGATAAATGCCTGCTTCTGTCTTGGCGTTACATCCTCCCACCGTTCCGGCTTGAACTCATCCGCATCTGGTCCCCAGACCTCTTTCAGATGATGAACCGTGTAGATAGGGATGCTGAGAACTGTCCCGGGAGCGAAGTGATATCCCGCTAGGGTTATGCCGTTGCCCTTTTGGGGTACTTCGCGAGGGAGGCCAAGGCTGATGGTAGAGTGATGTCTTAGAGCCTCGTTGACGACAAAGCCGAGATACTTCAAGTTCTTGACCATCTCGAACGAAGGAATGGAAACATCGGCAGGGACAGCTTCATCAAGCTCAGCCTGCAACTTCTTTAACACACCGGGCGTTCGGACAACATGGTACAGCAACGCAGCCATCGTGCTACTCGTCGTATCAGTGCCAGCGATAAGAACCGTCAAAGCTTCAGCGATAAGCTCTCCCTTCCCGAAGGGCTGGCCCTTATGGTCCCGTCCCTCACGTACACGTTCAAGCAGATCCTTCTCGCGGTTCTCATCAGGCGGGTTGTTCAGCCTGTGGGTGATGCGGGACGTTCCCAGCGTACGCAAGTTGATCATCCCGTTGAAGCCAGTGCGGAAGAACGGATCAGGACTCCACTTGAGGTAAGGCTTGAGCTCTGGGAGTGCTCCGACTGTAGCCGCAATCTCACTTCTGGTGCTCAGACTGGTGATGACGGGTAGCGAACTTGGGCCGTTCTCTGTATCAAAGTCGACGACTTCGGAGCCTTTCTTCAGGACTCCAAATGGAGCACCAAAAGCCAGATCACCGATGATGTCAAGAACCAGGTAGCTGATAAGTTAGAGACGTTTCTTAGCAGTGTGATGGACGAGACTTACTTGAGCCAGACACGGGCCTCGACATTGGAGAATCCATCAGACTTTGCCCCAGTAGCGGCCATAGCGTCCCATTGCTGGAGGAAAACACTGAGATGTTGCTGGATGAAAGGTTCAAAGTTTCTCATAGACTGTGGTGCAAAGCTGTGCGACACCACCTTTCTCTTTCGCGAATGCTCAGCGCGATCTCTCGACGTGAATATGCTGTAGGTGGTGATAACAGACGCATCATAAAAGGATCTGTAAATTGTCAGTCCATGGCCAAAGATCACAAAACCAGAATTGACTTACGATTTCAGCATTCCATTTCCATGGCCATAGATTGCGTTGATGACTTCCTCATCCGCGATGCTGACATGGTTTGGCTGAATGCGAACCACAGAGCCAAAGCGCTTATGGGCATCGTTGACATATTTCCATCGTGCACCTTCTCGGCAAGCGTACACGAGCCACCAGTTGGAGAAACGTGCAGCTAGCGGACCGGGAATACTACGCAGATGGCGATAGCCCCAGAAGTAGGGAACAATGTAGTACAGGATAAGAGAGGCTAGCCCCAATGGAGCTATCCAGAACAAGGGAACGATGGTGAATAAGGCCATTGCGAAAGGAACATAGGGAGAGATGCTCGAATGGCTGTAAATGGATTTGTTGGTATCATGAGGAAAGAATAAGAGCACCTCTTTTATATACCGGTACTTCTAGTGTTGGTTTCCGTGTACAAAAGGGTGTCCTTGGTCCAGCAATGACCACAATACGGGCTCGGAGCATTAAAATGTGGAGTTCCCGACGTACAATGCCGTGTCGGCCAACGGCTGCGTCCTTATTGTCAGCGGAGTTGGCCCTCCGTTGTGGACTCCGAGTCACCGGAATTTGATACTTTCTCTAAGGGTCAATCTTTCCCGAGTCGGGTGCTGCTTATCTTGCGGCGATCGGGTACGAATCTTTTGGATTAAGTAGTGGATTTGGTTCAAGTAAGGGACCATTAAATGCCTACAACTTGAGTGTTTAGCGAGTGCCAATCACGGGTCACCTTATTCTTGTTATTATTTAACATAAGTTTTTTTGATCCTCACCGTGCTTTATAGTTCTTCATCACACAGAACATGAAAGCTGCACTTTGACCAGCTCGTAGAAGCCACTCTCACGCTTTGTCTTGTAGCTGTTGTTTTAGGTCTCACAGTATATTTGCATCCGCGTCACTTCGGCCTCGGTAGCCTCTATTTGGAACAGACTTATGCCCCTAACTCAATACCGTTTTCAAGATAATATCTATTCCAACTCATCGTGGCCCTAAGCTCGAGGCACATTGATCTACTCATCTACATAGCGCGAAGTAAACCATCCATAACCGAAGATACTTGAATAAGTTCCTCATCCTGGAAAGGACGACCCACAACCTGAATTGTCGAAGGTTGAGATGAGAAAAGTTCTGGATGGTCTGCAAGAATCTTTTGTCAGCATTACTCTCACAGCTTAGAATTGGATATAACTTACACAGTTCATGGTTTGGTTTGTCGTAAGGGTTTGTTTCCAGCGGCTTGTAGTCAGAGGCAACCGGGTCCTCCTGAGGATTGACCTTAAAGTTGTTTACAGGCAGAATGACGGATGGGTAGTCTAAAAGGTTGAACAGCGAAGTATATCCCCAGTATACATTGAAGTCGTGGGGATATCCCACTGCAGGAGCTGACGGGCAGATCAGAGCATCGACAGGACGGCCCGTGTCGGTAAGTTGAGCCGTGTCATCCCATGCTTTGCGGAACTTTTCTCTGAAGCTTCTGGCCTTGACATTCAACTGTGGTTGTGTTAGTGGCTCGATATAGTACTTTGCACTACTTATGAACACGAACCTGTAGTGATTCAGCAGCGCTGAGTTCTTTACTGCCAAAAACCTTTATCAGGTCTTCAAAAGCAGGGATGAGGGGCTCGCCGGTGGACTCAAGCGCAGATAATGTTCCGCTATGTCCTGATTGGTAATAGGTGTCGAACTAATCATCGTTAGATATGCGTAAAATTTGACGAACGAGAACTTACAGTTAATTGGATAGCTTCCCAGCAGTCGAAGGGTACATCAAATTCGACGACTATAATTCGAATCAGCGTTGTTAGATGCTCACGTACAAACACGAAACCTACCTTTGTGTCCAGCGTTCTCTAGCGCCCGCTTCGTATGCTCCAGGGCTCTGAGAACAGGTGGATGAGGCATCACCACCTTATCCCACTTCATCAACCCAATTGTGAGCTTGTCTTCCGAGGGCTTTAAGCTCCTCCATGGAACAGGGACAGAAGTGGGATCATGTTGATTAGAAGGATGCGAATTGATAACCTTTGTAAAAGCCTCAAGGTCCTCCATAGAATGGCAAATAGGGCCGCAAGATAGCTTAATGGAGAGCTGGCCATTGTTGATATTTTCCATGCCACCTTTTGGAATGCGGTCTGAGGTAGGGCGGATTGCATACAACCCATTGAATGCCGCTGGTACGCGGATTGAGCCTCCGAGGTCAGTTGATGGAGTAACAGGCGTGCCTTTGAGAGCGACTAGAACGGCATCACCGCCTGAACTACCACCAGCTGACAAGGCCGTGTTGTACTGGTTGAGCGTTCGGCCCCAAAGGTTACTGACTGTCTCTATGGCCATACCGGACTGAGGCATGGTTGTTTTGCAGTAAAAGACAGCTCCGGCATCACGAAGCGTCTTGATCAATGCCGAATCATGCTCAGGACGGAAGTTTCTCCTCGAGACATAACCTGTAGTCGTAGGCCGACCCTTGACGAAATGAAAGTCCTGTGCGCAATTGGTCAGTATCAGCTTTTCTGTTTAATTATCTCATCTGACTGTACCTTGAGAGCAATGGGAACTCCATGCAATGGGCCCTTTAATTCTCCTGTGCTTTTGAAGAATTTGTCGAGTTCTTCAGCTTGGCGAAGACCGTCGTCGTAGAACCAGTCCATCAGGCAATTGACCTGGCTTTTATTAGCCAAATACGAGATACGAATACGCTACACTTACTAGTTGGTGGGCAATAGCGGTACGTGCGGCAAAAGCTTCCAAAGCCTGCACTGCTGTTAATTCACGAGACTCAATGCGCCTCACTACCTCCAAGGCCGTGAGGTCAGTGATGTTAAGCTGCGCATCAGACAAGATACCGCATGCTCTAGGCACGCCTGTTACATCTGTCAACGAGCGATACTTGTCTAGATCCAATCTCCATTTCGTCGGGATTGAATCCAAAACCTCAGCCTGAGCTGCTTTTGCGATTGCTTTCCACGACATCGTGGCGGTGGTGGTTGGAGCTGAGGAAACAAGCGACTTTGGTGTCGTTACAACCTACCCGCCTCAGCTGGGTTATACAGCAAGGTTTTAGACGAGGGAACTCCCTCGGGGGAAACAATGCACGTTTGTTTCCTCCACAGGCGACTAACGTTACTGGCAGACAAAGGCTTGCTACCGTTGTCGCGCTAGACAGGGTTATAGGCCAAGTTTACGTACACGTATTGCATGTTGGTGACAAGAGAAAACAGATGCATGCAGCACATGTCGCTCCGACTCGGTGCATTTTCAAAGTGTTTGGTGATCGACACTCGGAGCATTTCCCTTGCGGATCCAGGGCAGGCCTTCTATAGGTTGAGGTTGTCGTATGATGCCATTCTGGAACGCCTTTTAGCCGAGCGGCAAGCCAACAGCCTTTGAATACTGCATTTATAAGCAAACGCCATAAAGATCGACACAATTCACCATTAGTAATAGAACCAACTGCATAAGAAAAACCACCACGATTGAACCAACACAATTGCCGTTGGGTGGGTACTGCATCGTCACTGTGAAAATGCTGTAGATGTGATGGGATTGGTATATTAGACTGAAGTAGACTGCGTAGACTGTTTGTTGAAGACACCATAACCACATTCTTTCAAGTCAATTGACCATGGCTTACGAGATTATCGACAACGTCGCGGCTGAAGGGGCTCCCTACTACACACCAGCCCAAGACCCCCCAGCAGGTACACAGACTGACGGCTCAACCAAGCTCTTCACGCCCATCACCATCCGTGGCGTCACATTCCCAAACCGTCTCTTCCTCGCTCCTCTCTGCCAATATTCTGCCAAAGATGGATATGCCACTGACTGGCACTTGACTCATCTCGGCGGCATCATCCAACGAGGTCCCGGCTTGTCCATGGTCGAGGCTACCGCCGTGCAAGACCACGGTCGCATCACACCTCAAGATGTCGGTCTGTGGAAGGACGGCCAGATCGAGCCTCTGAAGCGCATTACCACTTTTGCGCACAGCCAAAACCAGAAGATCGGTATTCAGCTATCGCATGCAGGTCGCAAGGCCAGCTGCGTGTCTCCGTGGTTGAGCGTCAACGCTGTCGCCGCTGAAGAAGTCGGTGGATGGCCCGATAAGATCGTTGCCCCTTCGGAAATTGCACAAGAAGAGGGCGTGAACCCCGTTCCCAAGGCCTTCACGAAAGAAGACATCGAGCAACTCAAGGCAGATTACGTGGCAGCAGCCAAACGTGCCATCCGCGCTGGGTTCGATGTTATCGAGATCCACGCCGCTCACGGATATCTGCTGCATCAATTCTTGAGTCCGGTCAGCAACCAAAGAACCGACGAGTATGGTGGCAGCTTCGAAAACCGCATCAGAGTCGTCTTGGAAATTCTTGATCTCGTTCGGGATGCTATCCCCGAAACCACCCCTGTACTTGTCCGTGTCAGTGCGACTGATTGGTTCGAGTATGACTCTCAGTTCAAAGACGAGTTCCCTGAAAGCTGGACAGTTGAGCAAACCTGCCAACTCGCGCTTCTCCTCCCCGAGCACGGTGTCGACCTGGTTGATGTCAGCTCAGGCGGCGTCCATCCCAAATCCGCCATCGCTATTAGGCACGGCCCTGCTTACCAGGTCGACCTCGCTAAGCAGGTCAAGAAGGCGGTGGGCGACAAGTTGCTTGTGTCAGCGGTGGGTGGAATCAAGACCGGACACCTCGCTGAGGAGGTTCTCCAGTCTGGCATTGACGTTGTGAGGGCTGGACGCTGGTTCCAGCAGAACCCCGGCTTGGTTCGGGCTTTTGCTAACGAGCTTGGTGTGGAGGTGAAGATGGCGAACCAGATTGATTGGAGCTTCAAAGGTCGCGGAAAGAAAGGAACAAAGAATGGAACGAAGAATGGTTCGTAGACTATAGATAGATGGCCTTAGACTCTTATAGTCTTTATCCTAAAAAGAAAGACATTCAACGGCTGACGCCAAGTCCTCGACTAATTCTGCGTTACTGAATGACCTTAGTCGACAATACATCAAAGCCATAGAACCTAATCTATCGTCTAAAAGCCTCTAGCCAGAGTCTCCTTGAAGCCTGTCACTTGCCAAATGCCTCCAGCTCCAACAATCCACAGTTCCTTTCCTACAAATACCACATTGACAGCAATGTAGTCACCGCCACCCACACGAATCACCCCCACAGCCTCACCAGTTCGCGGGTCAATCACATCCACTCCATTACCAGAACCAGCGAACACCCAGCCGTTTTTGGAGACTTTGATTCCGTCGTACACAAAAGCGATTGGAACGCTCACTAACTTCTTGTTCGATACAATAGCTCCAGGATAAGACACGTCGAACGAGGTGAGTTTTCGGGGACCGAGAGAGTTGAGTTTGTGAGGGGCGGGTCCAGGCTGCGATGCTGCTGTGTTGGAGATGTAAACAGTACCTTTCCCGTCTTGTCCCTTGTGGAATGTGATGCCGTTGGCTTGGCCGTTGGTGGTATGGAAAGGTCGGGGTCGAAGTGTGGTTTTGTTGACGAAATAAACAGTCGACAGTGTTGGAGGCGTGTATTTGACAACCCTAGCTCCCTAAGCAATTTATCAGTTTGATTCTTTTGTCTGGTCACTAGATGAACTTACAAAGCCATAGTGGTCATCAGTTATCCAGAAGTTACCCTCGTCATCGACATCGATGTCATTGAACCCCTGGAATGGTAGCCCAAAGTAATTGTTGAGCAGAGTAGTCTTCTTCAGCTCAGGAGTAATCTTGTTAAGAGAGGCAGTCTCGTTACTGCTGCCGTCAGTGATGACATAGTAGTCTCCGTCATGAACCGCACATCCATGAACATTGTGAATTGGAGGATTTGTTGTGATCTTACGCAGTTTATGCGTCTCTGTGTTCAACAAATATTGCCAATCATGGAATCCATCATTGTCTCCAGGCGGTCCCCACTCAATGAAGAAGATATCCTTAGTTACGGGATTGTAACATGGTCCTTCATGAGTTTGGAAGGGGAGTTCATGTACTCGACGGATCTTTGCGTCTGGTCCAAGAAGATCAAAGAACTTTTCATCGTAGGCCACAAAGTCAGTTGAGTTAACATAGTCCAGGCTATTGAGCACTCGCGGTTAGCTACAAGCTCCGACTGAATAACCATGATAGGAGGAATGCGATGCGCTTACTCTTTGGCAACCGAAGAATCAGAAACCTCACTATCGGTAAATGGAACAAACACCGAGCGATTGAAGTGGCCGGGGAGAACTGCCAGTGAAGGATTTTGGTATGACAAATAAGCCCATTTAGCGGCTGCTTTTTCATATGCAGATGGCAAAGGGCTCAAAATGCAAGCTGCCAACGGCAAAAAGCCTGACAAGTATTGGAAAGACAGAACAAGACGCATGATGTAGACCTTCAGAGACTTGTAAATTCTGATGAGTATTTATTTTGTTGGTTTCGCAGTAGACAGGTCTTAAATAAGTTTGGGATAAATACAGGGGTCTATAAAGTCTGTTTGGTGTTTCGAACGTTAAATCTGACATGCTTGTTGCGACATGGTAATTCTATTGGCTTATCTGTGTAGGATTGTCAGCAATGGGTCAATTACCAGCACTAAGAATAAGCGAATCTTGATTTCCGTCCTATCGGTGCATTTAAAACATCGTCGGCATAAGTCTAGATTCTTGGCTTTCGCCGGAGCAATTGTTTATGGTATTGTTCATCAAACGAATTTGCAGGCTAACTCAGTAATTCACGCAAATGGTAAGGCCGCGGCGTTCAGTCTTTCCACCATTTCAAGTGCCAATGTCGTGCAAAACAAAAGTACCTCTTCAGCCAGGGTACCTTGCATTATCACAGCTAACCTGGATGATTGAATACTTAGTTAAAAATATAACACTGTACATTCATTCGCCACTTGAAACTGTGACTATCACATTTCCATGGCTTGAATCATTTGCTGTTTTTCATTCATTCTTCCCGTAGAATACACTGAGTGAGTCTGCTATGGTCTCTTGGACGCGGCGTCGAAGTGTCGAGAGTTCATAAAGCAGGCTTCTGGGCCTGACCTGAGTAAAGGCAGAAGCACGTTGCTGGCCAGGACAATTATTTCACAGCTTCAAGAGGAGCATCGATATCCCACTGATGGAACTAATGACCATATAGATATTGAGATGTGATTATCTGTCGCAGACTTTTCAATTAATGTGCCCGCCGACGATGAAAAACCTACCTCTCGGCTAACAACTGTATTACGTGACTTCGAGGCCATTCATTTCTGCAATTCGCACCGTACATTCCATCAGATTATCGAGAGGCATACAACAGCAGGTCTGAGTGGCGTATAGTTGATGTTGGCGATAAAGCTTCCTGGTTCGCTCTGCCAAGAGTTGCCCACAACCATACATCTCCCTTAAGAAGACGTGTTGTCACTGTTATCATATCCCATCTAGTACTTAGCTTTCTCGGCAATTCGACTCTGGTTTCGATAGCTTGTCAGTTCCTATTTGAGACCACCGAGATCGGACTAGGTGCAATGCAATCCATTCCGTGTCATACGCATCTGTAAGACACGATGTTTTATGGATTGAATCTCCCAATTTTTCAGCCAAGACTCCTAAGCTTTCGTCCAGCAATGCTAATAATCGCGAAATTCCGTTTCATCGTCTGACAGCACGCGGGAAACATCTTACACCACTTTTAATCGTATGTACTCTTCAGGTATCGGATAAACTATTAACGATATTTCGCAGTCGCACTGAGTAGTATTATGACTATGGCCTCTCTACAACGTAAGAACACCGCAAATTTGCTCTCTGGTTCTTGGGGATGAGATATCTTTGCGATATCGAGTCGATCTTTATGTTTGCTCTGAACAGTGTTAATCTAAAAGTGTTATAACACGAAAGTCAATGAAGATGTGTCGGCCAATACGGATGATGAACCAGGTGATGTGAAACGCAGTCTTCGTAACACGAGACGCATTGTCGGTAGCTAGCGCATGTTCAACCTTTTTTTCAGGTCGCTAGTTAAGTTAAATCAGTGACTTTCTGAGAGTCTCCTAAGCAGCCTAGGGAGATACGGGTTCTCATCCAAGACAACTTAATGAGAGCTCTACGGTACCTAAATTTAGTCATCCGTAGACAATCTAAGCGGTACGATACAGCTGTAGCTCACTCAAGTCGCGTCACATTACTGACATCGATGTATAATTGTCAATCACATCATGCGAAATATAAACATGACATGAAAAGTCTCAATTGTTATTCTATTAGTCAAAATCTAGTACAACTCCGTCTAATCCTCTACCCATTCAGCGACCCGCGCCATATGTCTGTAAGCTCATAGCTCAGACAAGTATTTTCCAAACTCCAAAATCAAATCAACAAAAGAAACGGGGATGTGAGAGAGTGGTCGCGTCCTGCACACCCTTACTCATACTTCATAGCGCTGATGATGTACTGGCGCATACCAGAATTCTCAGCCTTGCCAAGAGTCTCGATCCCAAGACCAACCTCGTTGGTCAGTTCATGGATTTCGTTCTCGTAGCGCTTCCAAGACTTGAACATCTTGAAGACAGTGCCAGCAGGGACGTTGATGCCGAACTTGGTGCAGACCATGTCCTCGTTGGCGGTGACGTCGAAGTAGTGCATGGCCTTGTTGAGCTTGCTCTCCACAGTCCAAGCGAGTTTGGGGCAGGTGTATAGAATTCCAGCGTGCTTCTGAAGACCCAGGAGGTAGTTTGTGAAGAAAGTGTCGTACTCGGTGGTGTTGTAGGCTGCGTGGGCCTGGCTGGCTTCAGCGCCGGTAGGACCATCCTGGCCGACGATGAGACGATCAAAGATACTGAGATGGTCCCTGAACTCGACGCAGCGGTCCTTGGCCATGCCGTCGGGAGCGTTGTAGAAGATCGAGCCAAGCGAAAGGAAGAGGCGACCAATGGGACGGGTCTTCTTGAAGTAGACATCACCCTGCTCGAAGCTGCCGAAGAGACCGATGCACTTGACGCCGGGGAAAGAAGCCTTAGCCTTGGCGAGATGCTCAACTAGAGACCCGTAAGAAAGATCAAGAGCAACATAGACGCACTGCTTACCCTGAGCAATGAAAGCTCGGATGTAGGGCTCAAACTTCTTGCTGTTGGCAGCTCCGAGATCGATGATGTGAGTGCCAGACTGCATCTGCTCAACAACCTTGTTAGCGGTGGCCTCGATGATAGACATTTCGTCTGTGGTCTGGTAAGACTTGTCTGCGATAGCGTTCCACTTATCCATACCAGTGGTATAAGCGATCTCCTTGGGAAAATCACCCTTACCGGCAAAGGCCTTGGGGAGCTGGTCGTCGACGAAGGTCATGTTGATAGAGCTGCCACCGATGTCGATGATCTCTTTGTCAGTCGGATAGGCGGTGGAAAGATAAGAAGACATGTTGATGAATGATTGGGGGTAAAACGGTTGGAAATTGTGGTAGTGTAAGTGTTGATACTGTTAAAATATGAAGAGTTGCTGATAAGACGTCAAAATGCAGAGTGTGTGGGTTGATGAGGGAGACAGAGGAGGTTTGAGGAGAGGATCTGGAGGCCTTTATACTGACAATCATGGTGCTATCTCAACGTTCCGTTGTAAAATTCTGTAGCAGCTGTTCTCAAGTTTAAAATCCTGGTCATAGCGTGCAATGCAAAAAAGGTGATAGAAATGTCTTGTTCAGCCCCACAGAGGGAGAAAAGGCAGAGGGATGGACTGAACACGCCTGCGTCCGAGGAAGCACGGCCTTAGACTATTGTTCAGCACGGCTCTTTTTTCAGGACGCTCTGAAAGAACAAGCTTTACATGAAATAGGCTCTCCAGACAACGATTGCGAGAGATTGACGATGAATGAAAGGGTTCTCAAAGCACTGCATTTCTCAACTATCTCCTATTCTCTAGGTGGCTGGTAGTCTGGATCTCAGATGCGTTCATATCCCTCTTTCTCAACATAGATCTTAGATAAACATATGCTGTGATTTATCTCTATCGATCTTATAGAACTCACACCACCCTTAAGGGAGACTGGAAGGTTCATATTTTGGATGTGCATTACCATTGACTTGCTATTATGGTCTCTGGAGCCTTGAGAGTTCCCTTGTCGATTACTGGTAGCTACCTGACGGAACAGTTCCAGTGCGAGCAATCAGAATGACAAGAGAACAAGCCAGTGGCAACACTCAATACAACAATTATGCTCCCGACCAACCGTCATGATCAACGGAAAACAGTGTGATTTGAGACACGCATGATTGAGAGACCTGTAGAATATCGGCTTGAGGTTTATGTTGCTCTTGTATCTCAACATAGAGGATTAGATTTCAAATTTTAGGTTGCCCGTCAATTTGCCAATTTAGTATCTTAGTAGAAGCGTACTTGGAATGACAGTTCCAATGTTCCAGTCCCCCGTCTTCATGCAACAGCCACGAATTATTCTTTATACCTCTTGAGATTTCTGGCTACGCTGCTCAAGCCCGGTGATATCTTCCCTTAAAGCCGACCCCCGTATTCAAGTGGACTCTCGTCCATTTTCACGTCACCCTTGACTGAGCTGATCGCTTAGTTTGAAATTTATCAATATATGGGTATAGCAAGACATCCCGACGAGTTATCTGGACCTCGGAACAAAGTGGCTCTCAAAGCTATCTGCCTGGTTGGCATGGGCAGCTTGAAACTATTGTATTGTCTTACTCTGTTGAAGCTCTCTTCAAGCAACTTCAAACCACTATGGTGACTATACTGTCACTTAGCTATCGTACTGAAGCATAGATCTGCAAGTCTACGTGACATAATGGCCACCATCCCATTGGGCAGTTGACTACAGTAGTCGTCTATTCGATATACTGTCACTAGGCAACACAGCGACTCTACCTTGATGATTAGTTTCTATTCTTTGGCATATCAAACGAAACGTCTCAGTTTTTGGGCATAGAGTCCAATCCAAGCAAGCCACGTCTACAAGCCACGTCTGGCCGATATCTCAGCTCAGTCAAACAAACAACCACATCTCTCTCTCCAGTAACACTTTATCTTGTATCTTGTCAGCAAGAGAACTCAATTACTCGATAGCTTTATCCCCCCGTAGCGCAATCCTACCTCTTATATCGTCTAGGCATTGAGACACAGGCTGGGAACCTGCGTCCCACGCGTCCGGGCGAGAAGAGAGGAAGCGCGTTGTTGTGAGGCGGCGATTAAAAGCTACATAAGGCGTGCTGCAGCGTCTCCTTGCTAACGGGCGCTCTCACCATGTATTAACGGTCAATCTCTACGATTTACAATTTTGTACCCATTTCCAATGCCTCGCTGGTCTGCGGTTGTCGCCTGATGTCGACCCGCCCGCGATCATGAGACGAGGAATGATCTCTTTACTTCGTTAAGCTCACCGCTGGAGCCACCCGGCCGCTGCTGTTATGTTTGGGGCTTCCTTTTTTTGGGTTTTTAGATAGAAAGAATAGCACAAATGCTGCTAAGGTTTGATTTCTATGAATTACTGCTGAATTGCTGCAAAAACTTTAAAATGTGCCAAGTGTTGTTATTGAAACTGCTGCTGATTTTTCGAGGTTGGAGTGTTTTTTCCGCAGCATGCACGATAAGATAAGCAAGATAGGGTTAGATGACGAAGGTTCGTCACGCGAGGTTCCAACATGTTATCCCTTGATCTTGATCTTAACAAGGGAAAGCCCTTCCCCTCATTCAACTTCTCGTCAATTACTCTTGTTAGATCATTAGAGTAGTTCACTATAATCATATTCCTTCCCATCTCTACTTGTGTTGTAACATGTCAGCCAGAAGTTTAAGGCTCTCTAACCCACGCGGTGGAGTGAAAGTGGTTGGTGGATGGAAGAGCAGATGGTCAAGAACATGAGATACATAACCTAGGTTACTTTTTCTATCGCCGTTTTTGGCGTCGCATAGATACATCAAGAGAAAGTCCAAGGACCCTAAGAATCCCGCTCTCGCTTTTCCTCCTCTTGCTCATCCCACCACTCCCGTAACCTGTGGAACTCATCTCTCTTTTTAAGTCTCCTGGATAATTCATCAGTCAGGCCAGACAGATATATGACCTGTTCAGTCGGGTGTGGCATCTGTAGTAACTCGACAAACGGCCCCTCCTCCTTGGTGATACAGTTCGTCGGTAAAGACAGCGAGTCGATAAAATCTGTCAAACCTTTGAAGTCGTCTCAGACGCTGTGCATGAGACGTAAGCCCTTCGCAACGTCATAGAGTACCCGTGAGAGTCGAGTATCGAGTAACTCCTTCACTCTGGCTATCTTTTCAGTCGGGTCTTCGGCCTCGTACCTTTTCGGCCATATATTGGTGATGTCGTAGAAAGAGCTCTCTCTTCTCTTGTGATAATCATCCCATGACGTTGTCGTTATGACCGACATGCGCCTCATGGACTCGGCAACCTGAATTAACTGCTCCACAAAGTCGATGAGCTATGTAATAGTCCTTGGCAGATCCAGAACCCCATGCCATTTAATACCGTCGAGTACATCCTCTATGCTCCGAATTTGTCTTCGCGCATCTTCAGTACATGACCGGAGATAGTGAATCGTATCCGCCAAGCTATCATGCCTAGAACAGCTTGGACGTTGGAACTTGGGGGATGTCACCCTTGATGAGCAGTTGTGGAGTATCTCACAAACTGATGAGAAGTGATGACCCCGATAGTGAGTCACCCAGAAGGTATACTCTTGAAGAATAGAGGTTATGCCCGGGGACATTCTCGGTGGCAGAGACTCTATAAGTACCCAACTGCTCATATTGTCTTGAGCAATGAACATGTCATCTGCTGGGACCAGTGGTTTATGTTTGACGAAGTGAGTAGCACCTCAACTTTGTCGCTATCAATCCTGACCACTCCGAAAAAGGATCGCTATCCGAATATAAAAATGGCTACGAGCACCAGATGCCAAGTCCAGCGTCTTAGACAACAGTTCCTCATAACATCACGGCGTATCTCGCAGAAAGCCATGTCTTTATACGATCTTGTGGTGTGTACGTCATCGTCTCTAGTACTGGTAAAGACCCTATCATAAATATATTTATAGATTCTACTAGGATAGCTAAATCTTTTTATTAAAGGTATTACTAAGCTTAATATAAGTATTCTTTATTATATATTAAGTTAAAAAAGAAATATATTTATAATTAAAAATTAGAAAAAGGTATTACTTTTTACATATTTAATATAAAAGAAATAGCTCTTTTTATACTAATATATTAAATAGTGTGTCTAGCTAAATAAAAATTTATAGTAAGTATTATTACTAATTAGTATGTATTAAATTTATAATAATAGTATTAAATCTTTTAAAAGAATTTATTATAAGTATAATTCGACTTATTTATTAAGTTATTATACTTATTTTCAATACATAGCATTAACAGTTAGAACTAGTTATAAACTTAAGCCTCCCTATAATTTATACCCTATATAGTATTAAGAAGTAAGAATACTATATAGTATCTATATAAATCTATAATATATGTATATAAATAAAGTAAGATTTATTTAAGAAAAGATTAAAGAAAAGTAATACTTTTTATAAATATATTAGTTAGAGAATATCTCTTTTTATATTTATTTAAGCTACTCTATAGTTTATACCCTATATAGTATTACTATTAAGATAAAAATACTTTATAGTATCTTTAGAAAAGTTTATTATATTTAAAGTTAGAAAAGTATAATTTATATAATAAGTAATTAAAGAAAAGAAATCGTTTTTATTAATTTAATAGTTAAAAATATTTATTTCTATTCTTACCTATAAAATAAAAATAACCTTTAAGTATTAGAATCCTAATTAGGTTCTATTTAAGTTATAAACTTATTTTAAATTTATTATAAAACTAAATAGAAAAAGAGATATTTCCTTTATATTTTATTCTAAAAAAGTATTACTTTTTACTAATAATATATATTAAGAATAATTCTTTTTATATTTCTTAATATAACTTTAAGTATTTAAGGTTCTTAAGTAAGGCTATATATAGTATTAAATAGTTATTTGAATATAGCTAATATACTTACTATAACTAGTACTAACTCAAGATATAGCTTGTTAATATGTTTACTAGGTTATACTAATAATAAAGATCGTTAGAAGCCTTGAGTCTCCTACAAGGTGCTATAGCTAATAGGCGGAAGGATGAACCCGGTACCGGGTTTGTCGCTGATTCCGATATGCAAGAGTTGATTGAAGTATATGGTCGGTGCTAGATTCGTGGCTGCAAGGGCAAAGGCTGGTATTCGCGGAAGGCGAGGAAATTCTGGAGAAATTGAGGCAGCGAGCGGTTGCTTTGTTTGCAGTGCTAGATAAATACAGAAAACGGTGCCCGCCAAGAATATAGGCCAGAGTTGAGCGATCCGGGACAACGCTACACGACGCTGTTGACGAGCTTCAGCTTCAGCCATTTGACGCCCGAGTATGATCTATTGTTCCAGAAGTTTTATGAATTGTGGATCATCGGGGGATACATTGACTAAGCCAAGGTCAACAATAGCAGCAGCGTCTCCCTCAGAAGACGCAGTATGGGACAGAATGTTGGACTGATCGAAGTGCAGTGCGATAGGACGTAGAGGCGACATATTGAAGTTGCTGTGAAATCATATCTCCATTGGCTGTTCGCCTGCGCCGGTCTGGCCGTTGGGAAGATCTAGTGTGAAGCGGACGATGCGGTAGTCTGACTGAGGATGCTCTGGTGGCTGGGTGCTGTTGAGGAGAGTTCGACGAGATGATCGCAGATTGAGAGGCATGCTGGAGGTAAATATCGCGATGAATATGATGCAAATGCACAAGTTAAGGCTGGCGAGGAAGCTAAATGCCTTTGTTAAACTCTCGCATCGAGTTTGAGTGGGTGCAAACGCTTACCAAAGAAGTTGACTCCCAAACGTGTCAATCATGGCGAGACAATTTGCTGTCAGTGTGAAAGGAAAAGAGAAAATGATCGGGTCGGGTGGGGGAGTAACGAGATGGTTGTCTGATTGTTTGTGATGGTGGCTTGTGCGTCGAGAACAAAGAACAGGTTGAGGTTATGAGGTCAGCTGAACCAGAACCAGAACTAGACCCACGGGAGGCATCTATAACTCTAAAGGGTTCTATTTTCTTCTCTTCTGATTGTACTGAGTAGAATTACGTGAAGAAATGAATAAATTGTGTTGAGATTGATGGGTGGTTGAGCTGAGGTGAACTAGTCTGGAGCCCTGAACTGGACCTGTTTGTGTGGCAATTGCCTGCCCGCACTTAATGAAAGTGATGAAGGTTTAAAGGAGAATGGAATAAAACGAGATAAAATGATCTTAGCTATTGTCTTTTACCAATATTAGATCCTTTGGCAAAAAGAATATGCCTAAACCGCATATGATGCTTTGTTTCTATTTGGGAACGCCGTTTGCCGGCTGAGATAGTCCAAGCTGATATAGCCGGTTGTTGCTGAGATTGGATAGGCTATGGAATGTATCTTGTCGTTGCTGCTAATAAGTTTACTGATACTGACTTATAATCTCTTGTTCTGTAAGAAACTACTGTTGCTGATAGTGCTGCCCAGCCTGTCATCTCATTTCTTGATCACTCAGACTCCTCTGAATAACCTTATGAGGTCTGTGTTCCCGCGGATTATCTGCATTAGCTTTGGAGTGTGCGACCAGGTAAGCCAGAGTGAAGGCTCCCCCCACCACCTGTTGTGCCCGATTGCGATGTTGCTGTGTAGCTAGAGATGTCTCAAGCTTGGCAGGAGTCAAGGGGTCTAAACATGCGATTTACATCCTCCTCTGTTCGAGAGCTATCCTCGGAAGTCAAGATCCAGGACTAATGTGCCTTTTGATGGATTTTAAGGTATATAATGTAGTGATCATTCGCCTATCTCGTCATCTCCCTTATTACGTACGTCACTAAGATTTGACATGGCTTACAATCAGCGACTTCTAGTTTCTAAGGAATTTCTGTATCCCATAACAGTTATTAATATGGTCCAATAACCCATCACGAGAATAGAATCTTGTTGTCGATGCAAATAGGGGACGATCTGGGTTTATGTCAGGCGGACATAATTCCAAAAGAGCAGCTGAGAGTAGACACCCGTTCCTGAAATGCCTGTATGTAACTTGACATCCTCGGCAAAGATATCCCCAATCCGCGCCAGAGCCTGAGATGTATGGTACACGGAGGCTTGCCATGCCGGCGAAGTGATCGGTTCCAATATTGGCCTTTCCTGGTAGTTTTGACATGTCGTGGCCTGGGGGCTCGAGGGGAGCCTCGTGATACCGCTTGAAGTCGTAGAACTCCCTTGGACTTACGCCTCTAGCGGAAATGCTAGGCATGAACTCTGTCAACTTTTCTAGTGACCCGTGCACATCAAGGCCCAACTGTTTGGCATGCCTCACGCTGACAAGCTGGTAGATTTTGCGGTGCGTCTTCTCTAGAGTTCTAACAGAGTACGTCCCAGGGATACTGCGCATGATTGGAATAGTTTGAAGTTGGCGTTGCGTTAAACCAAAGCACTTTCTAGCAGTTGGTGTCGTTATCATCCACAAGCCACTGTTTTGGTAAAGACACTCGAGGCAGACTCTTTCGCAGGAAGGTAGGTATAAAAAAGCACCAAAGTCGAGACATGAAACGCAATGGCATGTTTGTAGGGTGTGAAGAATAAATGAAGCCGGATAACGGCTGATAAGATTGGTCTTCGTTAATGCTGTCAGAACTTTCGGCGCGTGCCGCATTACTTGTCGATAAGATGAAAGACTTTCAACAATTATCTTGCCTCGAAAGCAGACACGTGAGATGCGGGAAAGTGACTGAAAGTCCAGAAGATTAAGAATAAGTAGAAGTAGCTCTGCTGGCACTGTATCGAGCAGGCCAAGGGATGATGCCGGACGTTCCCGACAGAGTGTCGATGGCTTCGCTGCGTTCACATCCTGAATCATTCTCCCAACGTTGAGTTCCAGATCGCAAGCGTACTTCGACAGTACGTCATTGTCTGTGTGAGAATTCATGACAATGTATTAGCTTCGGCGATGGAGACACGATTCTCTGGTTCGTCGTGAATGGCAAGCGAAGCAAAAATTGGGTCAAGACGCGGATCAGGGATATCCGTCACGTACCGCGACGCGTTTGACTTGCTTACATAATACGCGACGCCCCGTACAGTGCATTTGCCGTACTTCGCACATAGACATATTAATGAGCCTCGCTGGGCAAGCGAATACCTAGAGAGGAAGAATAAAGATATATGCGACAAGCTATACAAGAAAGAGAAAAGGTTTTCTTCTCTCTGGATAGATCGAAAGGCAGCACGACTATGCAGGAGGATAAACGCCTAACACAGAGCTCCCAACAACCCAAATCTTTAAATCGAATTTTCAGGATTTAATTCAAGGGTTCTCTAGATTGATGCAAAAAGACAATGATTGAATTGAATTGAAACACATCGAATTGGAATGGACATAGAGAATTCATTAGGGATGAAATTGAATATAATGGGAAGGGGTAAGATATCTCACTTGTATGTTTTATGAGGAGTATGACTACCCTATACAGAAATAGAATATTGCCCCACAACGAAATCAAAACCAATAAATGAGGGTACGAATTCAATTCAATTCAATCTTAATAGTAAAGTCTCTGATGTAATTTAAGGGAGTTTGATTTACTGGGAGTGCTAACCTTATATACCCTTCGTTTAACAATTAGGCGTCGATAGCTAAGATATTCACTGACCACTTCCCAACAGCAGCTCATCCGCCCCTTAATCACATCAGTGAAGTAACCCTCTCAGGCTCCTTTTATTCTTGAGGCATTAAGCCTGCTAGGCGGTACATATTTCAATCTGGTATTGAATACGTTGACTGGTAATTACGACAAGGCTACACAAGACTTAATATTATTTTTAAGCAAGAACACATTGCCGAGTGCTATTAGGAGCATGGACCCTACACAGTAACCACTTTTAAAGTCATGGATAGTATTGTCTGCGGTGAGAAGGGTACATATTTGTTTTGACAGTTGGCTCGACAGTTGTCAAGTACAGGGCTCTTTTACTTCTCTCGAAGTTGTTCTTAAATCTGAGAGAGGGAAATAGATAGGTATTTTGAATGACCTGTGGCAGAAATGTATAGCGACTTAGTGAAGTTCTTATCAGCACTCCTAATAAATCAAATCAAATCAAGTCAAATTAACTTGGCAATCTCACTATTTAAATTGAGTTAAACTGGTACCTTTTTTTACTTAATTTGACTTAATTATAGGGTCATATTTTATTTATTCAAGTAGTTATTTTTCCTTTTTCTGAGTAGAAATGAAGATGTTCTATTTATTTAATTACTTATCTTATCAATAGTCTTATGGATAGGGTAGGATGTCCAATTAAGATAACTTGAACCATTTGAATCAAACTAAATATAAACTCTCTGAATCAAAACAGAAGACCCTCTAGTTAAACACTGAAAAGTCGATTTGAGATGTGTGTAGAGTCAAGGCACCCCGGGGTTTATGGGGCGAAGATCAAGCGCGGGATTGTACCGCTCGGAACCGCTATGACGTAGTACATTAGCTGCATAACCCAAAAAGGAATTCATCCATTTGCAGCCTTCTAGAACTTCACACGAATAATCGCTTCGCATCAATTCTCCCGATGTCAGACTTTGCATCGCGCAGGCGACAGAACATTGAACAGAATGAGTTTCTCCTCAAGGAAATTAAACCTGTAGCTCAGCAAATTGAACCTGCTCCCACTAAGTCCAGCACCAGAAGCAAAAGCGTCAAACGAAATGTCGATCTCCTTGGTCCTCCTACAAGACGCTCCAGACGCATAGCAGAATCGAGCGATAAGCCAGCGTATGATCAGGATGGAGATAGCGACGTATCTACGCGCAAGTCTGCTCGACGCGTGAGGACGACGAGGGGGCAGACTTCCAAGACCAAGTCCGTTCCCTTAACTGCAGAAGCAGATTCTGGACCGAAGGCCGAACCTGCAAAAGATGTGGAGTCGATCATAGCTGGATGGACATCGTGGGAGCCTGAAGCCGACGAAGCAGTCCGCGAAGCTGATGGGACGTTCCATTTCGAGTCGCATCCTGAATTCCGTCCTAACAAATCCCCAGAGGAGATCATCCGCGAGGGGAGTTTCGGCGGTTCCTACTGGCGACCACTCTTTTCAAAGCGTCTTGGCATGACCGTGCAGGACGACTGGAGAGAACTCCCGTCATCTTGGACAGCTGGGTTAGACGTGGACACCTATCTTACCAGCACGACATACGACCCTGAAGTCAACAAATACGGCGTGTCGTGCGGACAAAGTATCGAAGAGTGGGAAGCAGCAGGCTGGATCGCCCACGAATACGACATCAGAGGCTGGTTCCAATGGTACTGCCGGTTCTGGATGGGCCGTCGCTGCGCCGATGATGAGCGTCAGATAAGCCGTTGGAAGAAGTGTGTAGGCGCGAGAGGGCGCTGGCGACGTATTCTTCTCAAGAAATATGTCCAGTTGGGGATACGAACCGTGTTTGCGGATGATGATGAGGATGATGAAGGCGGCGATGTGAGCCCTGTGGTGCATCAGACGTGCCATCATTGGGCATATGAGGTTCGGCAGGATGCGCTAGAGCGTTTCTGGGCTGAGGGAGAGTAGTTAGCACACGCCTAATTTCTTTATCTAGCTCTTATTAATCGTTATGTTGCTTCCGGTTGCTTGTTTCTAATGTGTTGTATTTCTATTGCAGCTATGCACCTCATCCTCCAGCCAGCATCGAACATGTCAAAGCCGGTCAATGGATCTGTACTGTTCCTACTGACATTGCAGGGTGCTGTAAGGGTTTCTGCCGAATTGTTGGATCGGCATAATAGTTTTGAAACTTCTGCGCTTACGTAGATTTGCAGTCGGACGAAAAGCCCCCGCCTCGGCAATCAATTCCTCCGACAGGCCAAGTAAACAGTTAATGGCCTGGTTCATATTGAAAGACAGAAAAGTCCGCCGTGATTCATGATATGCAAGTTAATTAGTTTGATCAAAGTCCGCACATGAAAGATTAGTTCCTCTTGCGGTTTTCAGATTTGCCGTCATTGGTTCCGACCACTTAAGATGGATTGAAAGTCGTAATAGCAGCAAGAACAGTTACGTCATTCGCAGTATTATCACCACCATAATACCGCCGCTCATTCGTGGCATCTAGATTACATTAAATCTTTTGCTACTTGGGCACTTTTTAAGGTGTATAATGACCCTCGACCGACTACCTATTATGACGGGCTACCACGTGATGGAAAAGCAAGCAACAATGCTTGGAGCTCATGTGCTTATGCCACATGTTGAAATGTCAAGCAATCGATCAAGGGGTAATAAGCGTGAGGAATACTTCCAAAATTTTAGTTTGTTCATGTGTGCATACAGTGAATAAGTAGTTCCAACAGTCAGGTCAGCCTCAAAGCGGAGGAATTGCCTAATTTGGACTGAGATCCCACTTCAAGCACAGTCAGACCAACGAGCATAAAACCATTGCGCCGGACCGGCTTGCCGAATGTGCTTATCGAATTGTCTAAAACGTGTCTCGCAGCTTATCAGCGACGCAAGGTCCAGAACCGCTTGGCAGCTGGAAAGTGTGGTCAGTAAATGGTCACCGCTACAGCTCAATCGAATGAGTCTGGAACTTGCATCGATAGTGTGTTGGGTCAAACGCGAGGCCAATCATAGCGAAAGTCTACGTGGCACTGTCATTCTTAGGTTCGTGATGAGAAGAGACAAAGAAAAATCTGGCGCTGCGATAAGATGCGAATAAAGATGCGGTGTTATTCGCATCTTTGGTCTCTTTTCGTCACATCACGCCAGACTCACCCAATCGCAAAGTAATATTCTCAATCAAGAAAACCCTCCGTCTTGAGTAAGCTTATCGCAGCATAATGAAGCCAAGTACGGTTAATAAAGGGACCAAACATTACGCTCCAATAAAAAAGAATAAAAAAAGAAAAGCCTCCGTGAGCGATTCCCAAATAGGGGACCTGTTCATAAGCGAGACTGTCAGCTCCCTCGGGCACCCGCGGACACCCCTAGTGAGTGGATATCTGGACCAATAGCAGTCCGACTCCGTTCGATCTGACAGCAAATGACGACCGGGGTCGGAGGAATTGTTGCATTCGAGATTGCGCCGCGGGGACCGGGTCTGGAGTAATAATCGCTTCCGCCCTATCGAAAAGTTCTTTTACCTTATCCCCAGATCTTGAAACTCCGCCTTATGCTCCGTTTCCGCCATATTTGCTCTCTGAGAGCACAAGTTGCTGAACCGGACTTGTAACTGTCGAATAAAACTCCGTTGGGCTATGGACTGTTAACAAAGCCTTATATAGCCCTTTTCTGTATCGTGAGACTTACTCAGATCATCTGCAAGCAGTCTAGTGTCCTGACTCCAAACCGCCGCAATGACAGCCACAACCGGGGCTTCCACGCCTCACAGCAAGCAGGAATTTGGAATAGCCTCAACAGCCGCCAGCTTGAAAGACGCCACTAGAGAAGAACATCCTTCAGACAGGCCTGCGTCAAATATGAACCATGATATCAGTGCACTCGCTCGCCAGCTCTCACGGGTTTCCACCACAGCCGACGCCGAACTACACGCCTTCTCACCAAGACCCGGCACCAAACTAGACCCTAGCTCATCCAGTTTCGATGCACGGGCATGGGTGAAAGCCTTTGTCAAGCTCGTCGAGGCAGAAGATGGTTCAGCGCCACCGCGAAGTCTTGGTGTGGCTTTCAAGGACCTCAATGTCTATGGATGGGGTACCGGCGCAGAACATCAAAAGACGTTTGTGGATTATCCGGTAGATGCTGTGAAGTTTGTCATCGGTCTTCTTGGAGGCGGTAAGAAAAGACGAGTTGATATTCTTCGCAACTTTGAAGGTGTTGTTGAGCAGGGAGAGCTGTTGCTTGTGCTGGGACCTCCTGGATCTGGCTGCTCGACGCTCCTCAAGACTATCGCTGGAGAAACAGCAGGTCTCGAGGTATCGCCAGACGCCTACATGAATTTCCGAGGTCCGTCATCCCCAAACCTCACAAGACCTTACTAACAATATTCAGGCATCGACGAAAACCACATTCGCTCTTCCTTCAGAGGAGACGTCCTCTACAACGCCGAGATAGACTGCCATCTCGCCCATCTCACAGTCGGCGAGACCCTCTCCTTCGCCGCCAGCGCACACTCCCTGCGCCACGTCCCAGGGGGCGTCACGCGCTCCGAAGCCGACACCATGATGCGCGATGTCATGATGGCCATCTTCGGCATTAGCCACACTGTTGACACACGCGTGGGTGACGATTTCATTAGAGGTGTAAGTGGTGGAGAGCGCAAGCGCGTGAGTATCGCCGAGGCTGCTCTTACGGGAGCAAAGCTTCAGTGCTGGGATAACACGACCCGTGGACTGGATAGTGGAAACGCCATTAATTTCTGTCGGAATCTGCGTCTTCAGGCTGATCTTGTTGGTGTCGCGGCGGCTGTGGCTATTTACCAAGCCCCACAGTCAGCTTACGAGGTAAACCCATTCACTCGCCTTACACGATATGCAATTATAGGGAGCTAACGCTTTGCAGTTGTTTGATCGCGTTACTGTTCTTTACGAAGGCCATCAGATCTTCTTCGGGAGAATCCATGAGGCTAAGCACTACTTTGAGAGCCTCGGTTTTGAGTGTAAGTCAACCATCGTCTTTTCCACTCGCAGACTGACATGAATAGGTCCCGATCGCCAAACCACGCCTGACTTCCTCACATCCATGACAAGTCCACAGGAACGACGAGTCAAGCCTGGTTACGAACGTACCGCCCCTCGAACCCCCGAGGAATTCACAGAGCGATGGCAAGCCAGCGAGCACCGCAAGCAACTCATGCGAGAAATCGCCTCATACGAGGAGAACCACCCTCGCGCCGAGCGTCTAGCCGAGTACAAGACGTCTCGCCGGGCAGAGCAGTTCAAGAACCAGCGGTCCAACTCCCCGTACACCATCTCGTTTCTGGCACAGATCAAACTTACGCTGTGGAGAGGATGGCGACGACTTCTTGCGGATCCGGGATTCACTATTGCGTCGCTCATTTTCAACTTGATTATGGCGCTGGTGCTGGGGAGTATGTTCTTTAATCTGAAGGATGACTCGTCTAGTTTTTACTATCGCGGTGGACTGATCTTCTTTGCTTTGCTTTTTAACGCCTTTGCAAGTCAACTCGAGGTAATATGCCCGTATCTCGTATGTTTCTCCAATACTGATGTATTTAGGTACTCACTGTCTACGCCGAACGTCCTGTGATCGAAAAGCACAACCGCTATGCCTTTTATCATCAATCCGCCCAGGCCATATCCAGCTACATCATCGACCTCCCCTACAAGACCGTCAACATGATCATCTTCAATCTCCTGATCTACTTCATGGCTCATCTCCGTCGCGAAGCTGGAAACTTCTTCTTCTTCTGCCTCACATCCTTCCTCACCACACTCGTCATGTCATGCATTTACCGCACACTGGCCTGCGTCACGCGAACAACCCACCAAGCCATGATTCCTGTATCAATCCTGAGTCTCGGAATGATGATCTATACTGGTTTTACCATGCCTACGGATTACATGCTTGGGTGGTCACGCTGGATGAACTACATCAATCCTCTCGCGTATGCTTTTGAAGCGTTGATGGCTAACGAGTTTCATAACCGACAGTTTCCTTGCGCGACTATGGTTCCCCAAGGTCCTGGCTACGAGAACCTTCCTGCTGATTCACACGTCTGCTCTGTTGTTGGTGCCATGCCCGGATCACCTATGGTGGATGGCGATAGGTTCATTAACGAGTCATACAAATACTACAACGAGAATAAATGGCGGTATGTGACCCTAGCAAGTGCAAAGCCCATCAACTAACATGCTCTAGAAACGTCGGCATTCTCTTTGCGTTCCTTGTCGGTTTCTTAATCTTCTACATGTTCGTCGCAGAGCATGCAAAGCCACCTAGGAGCAGAGGCGAAGTTCTCGTGTTTCGCAAGGGACGAATGCCACCGACTTTCGAAAAGACTCAAGACGGCGATGCTGAAGCTCAAGCAACTGATCGACCCGTTGTTGCTGAGAAGGGTACGAATCATGCTACCGGTGGACTCGCTGCAGGCGCATCTGTATTCCACTGGGAGGATCTCTGCTACGACATCCAGATCAAGGGCAAAGATCGGCGTCTGCTGGATAACGTCGACGGATGGGTCAAGCCTGGTCTATCAACCGCATTGATGGTATGTCCAACCTCTCAATTACCAGTACTATGCTTACCAAGAAGGGTGTATCTGGCGCTGGTAAAACAACCCTCCTCGACGTCCTCGCCACACGAGTCACCATGGGCGTCGTCAGCGGAAACACCCACATCGATGGAAAAGCCACCGATGCCTCATTCCAACACCGTGTTGGCTACGTGCAGCAGCAAGACCTTCACCTTAACACCATGACCGTCCGCGAGGCCCTCGAGTTCAGTGCTCTTCTTCGCCAGTCCGCCGAGATTCCTCGACAGGACAAGCTGGACTACGTCGAGCAGGTAATCGACATGCTTGATATGCAGGAGTTCTCCGATGCTATTATCGGCGTACCCGGCGAGGGACTCAACGTCGAGCAGCGGAAGCGTTTGACTATTGGTGTTGAGCTTGCGGCGCGTCCTCAGTTGCTTGTTTTTCTGGATGAGCCGACTTCAGGACTTGATTCGCAGACTTCGTGGGCCATTTGCGATCTTATCGAGAAGCTCACGGCGAGTGGCCAAGCTGTGCTTTGTACGATCCACCAGCCTTCAGCAATGCTATTTCAGCGCTTCGATAGACTTCTCTTGCTCGCTCCAGGAGGCAAGACAGTTTACTTCGGCGGTAAGACCACCTTCCCACATCCTCCATTCCCAGCTAACGGTTCAGATCTCGGCAATCAATCACAGACACTTCTCAAGTATTTCGAACGAAACGGCGCTCCTCCTTGTCCCCCTGACGCAAACCCCGCCGAGTACATGCTCGACATCATCCAGCCGTCCAACGACGAGGAAGTGGAGAACATCAACTGGCACGCGGTGTGGAGGAGCTCTCCTGAGTTTAGGGATGTCAAGCAGGAGCTCCAACGCCTCAACTCCCTTTCCTCCAGTCTTCCAACGGATATCGAGGATGGAGATGCTTCGCAGCATCAGGAGTTTGTGGCTCCGTTCATGACGCAGTTCCGTGAGGTCTTGATTCGCACTTGGAAGCATTTCTGGCGTTCGCCTGCGTATACTTGGTCCAAGACTGTTTTAATTGTCTTGTCGGTATGTATTTTCCTTCTTTTTACCCTCTGCTTTTACTTCTTTTTAACCTTCTGCTTCACCATCACCCATCATTACTCACCGCTTTATACCTATTTTTGCACCATCTAACACCGTTACAGTCGCTCTACATAGGTTTCACATTCGAGGCAAAGAACACCATCCAAGGTCTGCAAAACCAGCTCTATGCTATTTTCATGTACTTGGTTCTGTTCCAGGGCATCAACGACCAGATCATGCCCATGTTTGTCCCCCAGCGCTCTCTGTACGAAATTCGTGAGCGACCATCCAAGATCTACCGCTGGAACAGTAAGACTACTCCACCTACTCCTTTATGGCCTTTACTAACCCACTCGTAGCCTACATCATCTCCAACATCCTCGTCGAAGCAGTCTGGAACACCTTGATGGCCGTCATTATCTACTTCTGCTGGTACTATCCCGTTGGCTTCGTTCAGAACACTACGGCCGACGATCAGCATATTCGAGGCTTCCTCGTCTTTCTCTACCTATGGATGTTCATGCTTTTCACTAGCACGTTTTCCCACTTTGCTATCGTCTGTATTGGCACAGCTGAAGAGGCTGGTGTTCTTGCGAATCTTCTTTGGCTTCTATGCATTGCTTTCTGCGGGTAAGTCCACTCTATTTCCGATCGCAATGGTTCTTACTAACATTTTACAGCGTCGGCGTCACCTTTAGCGACATCCCTACCTTTTGGACATTCATGTATTACGTCTCCCCAGGTACATACATCGTGGGCGGGGTAATGTCCGCAGCTGTATACGGATCTAAAGTCGTATGCGCCGACAACGAGATCCTACAGATGATGGTCCCTGGCAATCTGACCTGTGGCGACTTCATGGGACCGTTCGTTGATGCCGCTGGAGGTTACCTTGTTGACCGCTCCTCTACTGATACGTGCCAATATTGTTCGCTCGCTTCGACGGAGGAGTTTCTGGCAAGGTTTAATATTGACTACGCTGATCGGTGGTGGCATTTTGGACTCCTGTGGGTGTATGTGATTGCGAATGTTGCTGGTGCGTTGGGTCTGTATTGGCTGTTTAGAGTGCCAAGGGGTAGTGGTGTGAAGAGGGCCTAAGTTAGAGATTCAATGGCCTGTTGAACGGTCTGTGTTGGAGAAGCATGAGGAACCAGAGTTAGATCTTAATATTTAATACATACATCCCACCTCTTAATACCAGCGATCAAATAAGAGCAGCTGCTTACGAATATTGAAGACCCAGCATGAACGCAATACAAATCGGCACAAAAGGCCAGTGCTGCCACTCCCCATGTCCCATCACCGACCTGGCCACAAACCCATCCGTAAGCGCCATCGCCGCCCCGCCAAGATAAGCCAAGCTTATAAGCTTAATATCCCCCGTGAGAGTAATGTTGAAGAAAAGGAAGCTGATGACGAGGTTTCTGCTCCCGTAGATTCTGGTGATTCCGCGAACAAGCTTGCGTGCCTGAGGGTCTGCGGGGATGGGAAACTGAAGCTGCTGCAGAGTGGCTTCGGGGCGTGTGACGAGGTTGATTCCGAAGAAGGCGGGGGTGAGGGAGATGATCTGTGCTGCGCGGAGGAAGAAGGTGTGATACATGATGGATGAGTTTTGTGAATCTGGCGAGATATGGTTACGAGGCGGGTTTGATAAGTCTAATTCGACGTTGAGTTTAGGTCCATTCTCACATTATTCTACACCAGCTCAAGTCACAAGACCATACCTTTGTATTTTCTCGTAAGTAAGCTGCAGTTTTTAATAGCGGTTGCTTTTTGCCAAATCAGTTCACAAGGGAGTAAGCAGATCTGGGACAGTAGAAACTCAAAAGGTGGCAGTACCCGACTTAAATACAACGAATCTTACCATAGATAGATCCTGTAAGCTTCTTAAAGAACCGCATTTGTTGGTCAGATTTGTAGGCTGGAATCCTTCGTCTGTTGGCTTACTGTCAGCATGATATGTTGTGTTTATTGGCTCGGCTATTCCCGCTCGGTTTCAATATCTGTCACAAAGGGTGGCCCTGTGATTGGCTAAGCTCAGCCAATTATGTCAGCTACGTCACTGCATTTAACAAGCTCACCACTCACTAATTGGTGTGATCAATACAAGGGCTCTTACAACCTCCTCAAATGCTCAATTCGGTGAACGTAGCTGCTAATCACAATATCATGTTCTGAGCCAAATTTGATGCCTGACTTTGCTTCCCTGAATTCTTCCATTCATGAGAGAAAATAACGGAAGTAATGTTTCTCTTTGGCAGCTTCATATTGTTTAAGGCGAACAATTTACTCACTGTTCCACGGCGAGGCCAAGGGTATGATCTCGAAATGACGTGTTTCACAACTTATTGCCTTAACAATGAACGGATCTATAAACTAATATAGAAAACAAAGCTCACCAATCTTTGTTGTATAAATGGAGACTCTGTCTTATCTTTTCACGGTAAGCATCATCCAAACACAAATTTCAAGACGAGAGTTCAAACATTCACAGTAGGGTAGGCTGATTTTGATCGACAGACACTAGCCCAATGTAGTGTAGACTAAGAAACTCGCCGCCAGTCAAAGCATTTCCCCTGTGGCTTAGTTGGCTAAAGCGTCCGACTGTTATCACTGACAATCGGGAGATCGGAAGTTCGAGCCTTCCCGGGGGAGAAATAATAATTTGTCCTTTACTTTTGTTTCAGGCCAAGTGATTTTTTTTGTCTACGGTTTCGCGGCATTATTGTAGTCAGTAAGTGTTGTGTGCAGCTGTTGGCGTATCATCATCGGAAGGACAAAGCACTTGGCGAGATGTTCAAGGTTGGGTCAGGAAGCGTCCAATAAAAACAATGTCCAAAAGCATCAAATACGACCGCCCTGTTGTAACGGGTGGATTAAAGTATTGTAAATGCAGGCAAAGGCGCGGAACAACCAGCCAAGGCCTGATGATGGTCCTTGTACCTACGCCTCTTGAAGCTGGGTCATGATACGCTGATGACCGAGATAAAGTTGTCCCGCCTAATGCACCCCTGTTTTCGTCGACGAGCCAAGAAAACATGTGATTCTTATGTTGCCGTTTACAAAGAGACCTTTTCCTTTTTAAACGAGCACAGGTCTTATTCTCAATGCTCAGTTACAGAGAAGAGTTAAAGACTCAATTGAATACAGCGACTGCACGATTACTTTGGGTTACACTGCGAATGTTGACAGTTCAATGCACTAAGGGTGAACAATACATTCTTTGCGTCAGTAGGTTCAAACATGGTACGACTCGAAGAGTCTTCAGCCAAGGATAAGAATTTGCTTCTTAAAACAACGAGACTCTCAGCAAGCGAAAGGATTCAAGCCTGGTGGAGTAGGTAAAATCTTGACATCCAGGGCTGCAAAGGAATCTGCAGGTCTGTACTAGTTTGTAACATGATCACCAGGAACGCGGACCGGGGACCCTCTGCAGATCCTCGACCCCCATGATTTGACCTGTCTGCTGTATATATGAACCAATCCGTCGTTCCCACCCAAACTCCCGGAATTTGTGGTTATGCTTCCAGATTTCGAAAATACCCGGCATATCAGACACCATGGGGCTGTGGGACGTTAAAGATTTCGGCGTCATTGCCGACAAGGCCTGTTGGTCAATGTTTGCAATAACGACAGGTAGAAAACCCCAGTTTCGACGCTATAACTCTGCTAACTTCCATTAGTCGTCGTTGCGCTTAGGATCTCCGCGCGTCAATTCTTCGGAAGGGGCCAAGTTGGAGGTGGTCTTGGTTGGGACGACTTTATTACAGTATTTTGTGTTCTCGTCATGCTCATCACCTGCATCATGATCACCATCGGCACAAGCTACGGCCTCGGCCGACGACTGGACGACATCGATCCGACTATGATCCCCGAAGCTTTGAAGTGGAACGTCATCATCAGCTCTGTACTGATCTGGACGTTTTCGCTCCCCAAGTTCGCCATTATCGCTACACTCAAACGAATCCTCGACTACGGACGCAAGACGACGATATTATTCTGGGGCCTTGCGCTCAGCTCGCAGGCGTGCATTCTGGCTACCTCGGTTTGGTGGTACAAACAATGCGATCCGGTGGAGTTTGGCTGGGACAGGAGCATCAAGGGCGGCACTTGTGCTCCTGTCAAGGTCATGTCCGATCTGGGATACTTCACTTCGGCCTACTCTGCGTTTCTCGACGCTTTTTTCGCGCTGTATCCGATTCCGTTCATCATGCGCCTCAACATGCCACTCAAGAACCGGATTCTAGTGTCAATTGCGCTGGGATTGAGTTTCATGGCGTGTATACTGTCTATCTACAAGCTGACAATCTTTGGCGAGATCTTCCTGGTGCTTGCTGAGAACCCAACATGTGAGTTACTCAAAATGCATTTGTTCACAATAACTAACTTCCACAGATCCCGTACCTTTTCTCGACATCCTCGGTCTTGGAGAAGGCTGCATCCTTCTCATTTGCGCATCTCTACCCACCCTTGGTCCAATATTCCGCTTGGCAAAGGGTAAAATGACGACTGCAAACGCTAGCCGAGGTGCGAGTCGAATGACAGGGAGCAGCAAACAGGCAACGCGCAGTGGCCAGTCGAGCGGGAGATGGGACAAGCTGGGCGCGAACCAAGGAGACGTTGACCCGGAAAATGGATCGTACAGGATGGGCTCGAGCGTCGATGATATTCCGTTGGTCTCGGGGTTGAAGCAATCGGATAAGGGCGGGATCCAGAAAACGACCGAGTTTGTGGTGTCACATGGGACGTTATCGCGCGATGGAGCGAAGAACCGCGGCTTTCGCGGGTATTAGACGGTCTTACGAAGTGGGGATTAATTTCGAGACAGAAAAATGAACCAACGGATTGGAATTTTAGATCAACAGCGATAACCTATTGATGCGCCCGATGAGAAAAGCAAACAATGCGAGAATACTACGTGGTATGACCGACAGTATCTGTACCATGGCACTGGTTCAAGCCTCCTGTTCCTGAACCAGATTACTGGTAAATGCATGGAACTTCCTTTCAGGCAGCTGCTAAATGCACTTCGCGATAATTCCCTGGTTTTGCTGCAGGTGACAGGAGAACGGCCAGGGATCAAATCCTGCGTGAAGGATTATTCCTGCGGCGTAGCGATAACCTGCAGAAGGATTTCTGGCGTGGAAATTAGGTGGAGCATGTGGCGATATGGTGCCATCAAGACATGTCAGTTCTGCTGCAATGTCTTTCTTTATGCGTGTAAGATATCATTAACTCATTTAAAGATCTCATCGCTGAAGAAACGACTTATCAATTGCAAAGTTCGTATGTTAATCGGGAATTAAAAAAGTGTTTTTCCCCAGAGCTACAGGCGAATGTGACGGTAACCTCGGAAACTCCACAGCGGGATTGACGGGCCACGACAACCATGCTTAGCTCGTTTCCGCTTGAGACCCATACGGTTAATCATATGGAGTACAACTTTACGGATAACCTTCCGCGGACTAGACCCAAAACCATTGAGGCACAGGCCAGTCTTGACGGAATTGACCTGGGAATGCTGTCGACACTGCTCCATCTTCAGTGGATGACCCCGGAAGATCTTCTCCATTCAGCAGCCGAAATGCAGCTCAATGAATAAGAACGGCCCATATCATATTCCGCTGTGAGATTCTTTCCACGCATCCTCTTGGTACTGCACACATCCCCTGTTACGTCAGCCCAACATGTCCTCCGCAGACAATCTCATCACCGCGCTTGATGGACTTGATGCCAACTCATTCGCCAATGAAGCTGAGCGCGTTCGGGCCCTCGACGCGCTTGCTCTGGCCGTAAGCAGGGTCCAGAAGCCGTGGGATACCGTCTGGCAGCACTGCTGGGTAAACCCGGCTACGACGGCCTGTGTCAAGACCCTCATCGATGCTGGTGTTTTTAACAAGTGGATTGCGGACGGTGGTGGTGAGAAGACTTGTGCTGAATTGGCCGAGCTCACCAATACGGACCCTGTGCTAATTCGTGAGACATACCCTTCACGCTATTGGATTATATACTGACTGTTCGTAGGACGCATGATTCGACAACTTTCAGGTCAAAATCTTGTCATTGAGACCGCTGAGGATACTTACAAGCCTACACCCTGGGTTCATGCCCTCACAGCTGACCAAGCCCTCGCCAATGTCTACGGCGGCCTTTATGGCTTCGTCAACGCCCCCATGTTCCGATCTCTGCCTGGATATCTCAAGGAGACCGCCTACAAGAACCCCACAGATCCCAATGACTGCAATTGGCAGTTCATGAATGGCTCAAAGGAGAACCTGTTCCAGTCGCTGGGTGCCAATCCTGTCGCGGCGAGGGAGTTCAACGATGCTATGGAGAGTCATTCCAAGTATAACCTCACGCCTTGGCCGGAGGTGTACCCGACAGAAACTCTTGTTGCCGACGCCAAACCTGATCGGCCACTGGTTGTAGACGTCGGCGGTAGCAAAGGCCACGATTTAACCAAGTTCCATCTCCGACACCCTGATATCCCCGATGGGAGCTTAGTTCTGCAAGATCTTCCCGACATTCTCAAAGAACTCACCATCGCGGAGACCATCTCCGTCCACCCGCACGACTTCTTTACCCCGCAACCCGTAAAAGGCGCCCGAGCCTACTTCATGCATAACGTCCTGCACGACTGGGAGGATAAGCAAGCGCGCCAGATCCTCAAGCACCTCGCCGAAGCAATGGAGGCGGGCTACTCCAAGCTGCTGATCCACGAGAGCCTCGTCAGTAGCATCAAGCCTCTTGCACGTGTGACGACGTCTGATATTACCATGATGGCGTGCCTGGGTGCCAAGGAGAGGACAGAGATTGAGTGGAGGGAGTTGGTTGAGAGTGTGGGATTGAGGGTGCTCAAGATCTGGAGGCCGCTTCAGTCGGTTGAGAGTATCATTGAGGCGGAGCTTGCTTGAGGGTATTAGAGGTTATCTTGAGTTTAAGAGAAGAAGTTACGGTAGCCAGCAGTATTTAGCTTGGGAACCCTAAATATCTCAATGAAGACTAAAGATTGAGACCCTATTCAACCTCTTCTCGAGCTCTAAGCTGAGAATATCCTACACAATTGAAGAATTACTAAGGCCCGACAAATACCCGAGCCTTCAAAGCTTGCAACTCTCCTCAGAATGTGCTGTGAAACCTGCCAATCACCTCGTAGACTAAGCGCCGGCTAGAGCGGGGTAGTAAGACATGTCAGACTAAAGAGGGCAATGTATTAAATAGCTCTGCCCGTTCTTGATCACACTGCCTTCAAGGTTAACTATTGACAAGTATAGCGGAAAAAGTACGAAGCAATTTGATCGGCATCTTGCTAATTAGTCAGCTCTAACCTTTTTATACCTTAACTGATTTTAAGTTTGCTTCTCTTATAAGTCAACCTATTCTCCCGGCAGCAAAATGGCACAAACGGAGTCTTCGGGACAGATTAAAATGCCCAGGAGTCAAGTAAATTACCTTGAGTCTGTTATGTCTGAGCTGAACTGATTGAATTCCAGTCGGCCCCGTTTTCCATACAACTCTTAGCCCCACTCGACAATTCAGACCAGAGGACTAGCTCACTATTAGGTCTCTTTCCTGCATCATATTGCACCGATTCTTATGACCTGATTTCTCCAAACGGTCACATCTTGAGTTGCCTTGAGAAAGAGCTTGATATTGAACGTCTTAATAGAATAAATCGATGGCTATGGATTGCAGGGAGTCCTGTGCCCCCGAAACCCCTTCATAGTCAAATTGGGAAAGACCGAGAAATTACCATCACTGAGAAAATGGTCATGCATCTTATATGGACAACGAACAAGATCTATATCAAACCTCTTCCGCGGTTCTTATTAGAGCCCACTATCTGGACAGATTTCCTTTGCTGTCTAAAGAATTGTACATGCTCGACCAGCATTGACGAGAAAGCTCAAGGCTGTGAACGACGGGAGCTCTATAAGGTCGCACTGGGATTTTTATATTCCTATGCCGCTTTGATCCGGCACGAAAGTGACCTGCTTCTAGCAAAGGAGAGGTATCTCCTCCCTAACGATATTTCTTGGTCCAACTGGATAAGCTTCATACAACAATTGGACACTCAAAATATCTATCCGGATATTAACCCACGATTCCATCACAAGGAGCTACAACTAAGCCGGTTGAATTACATCTACTACTTTACCCAAGGGAACCCGGAAGGCTTTATGCGCCGCTGGCATCGATTTTCCACATTTGTCATGGAGAATCTTGGATGGGTTACTGCGACAACTGTCTATATAGTAGTCGTACTTACGTCGATGCAGGTTGGGCTTGCTACGGAGACTCTTGGCCAGAACCACTCTTTTCAAACAGCTTCATATGGCTTTACTGTTTTCTCAATTCTCGGACCGCTAATCTGTGCGGTGCTTATTATTATTATCTCTCTATGTATGTTGCTATATGATGCATCCAAGACAGTCATCAAGATGAGAAGACGGCTAGATCACTTTAAGAATAGCGATAGGAGAGATTAGCATGGATTTCATATATTGGATTATACTGATGTTTCCTCGGTCAGTAACAAAAGATAGAAAGTACCTGATATTGTGGATGTCATACGAAACCCTGTAGAATCTAAATCTTAGGTAACCTGGAAGAATAGTATAGCAGCAACTCCAAGGAGTCTTTCGACCTGTATTATCTGTTAGCAGCTAATTTTTCCATTGGGGTGCTGAGGCTCCTGGCTAGTCTAGAAGTGTTTCTAAGATTGCATATATCTTGTAGGCTACGTAGCTAAAGTCTTTACAGTTATGTAGCATCTGAAGTACAATAGGTAATAAGTAATAGAAATTCGTACTACAGAGTATATAAAACTTTGTGTATTAGTGTCTTAGGAAGCAATGGGAACCAGGACTAATACTCATAGACAACATAGGCAACTGCGTGCTGTAGATCAATAGCAGAACCCATATGCGCTACTGAAAACTGCAGTAGCCTTTGATGATAACATATCACCTATTTCCAATGCCTTCAATGCTTCCCAGCACATCATATTCCACACATAGCAAGATCCTATAATGTTGAGATGCATCTACTTGCTCCCTGCCGACCTGATGACCCGTGATGTCTGTACTGTGGGAACAATGCAAATCAAGTCGCCGGCTTGTGATAAAGGCGATCCCATCTCGATGTAGTCTTGAGTCAGTAAGAAGTGGCAGACTTCAGTAATTGAGGAGGATCGCCACTTGACGGTATAAGAAAAGGGTTAGCTGATCAATAACCTTTCTCAGTGGTGAAGAATCTCTGCCCCTAAATACTATTTGCCACTCTGCTGGAAAGGTATATAATACTTCAAGTCTCCTAAGCTCCACTCTTCGAGCCAGTTGTGCTCCTCAAGATAGGATTGTATGGGCGGACAGTGCTCTTGACAAATGTCTGCGAAACTACACGCGAAAGATGGGGTACCCTCTCCCTCCATAGTATGTAGAAGGACACTTGCAAAAGCAAATTCTTTGTCTTGATAACCTGTGCCGTGGCAGTTTATGTTTCCCCCAAGAACGACCAGTACCTTTCTACAATACTGGGGCGTTCAGCGAGCATTGATTCTGCAATGCGGTAGCTAGGCTCTCCAGTATCACCATTGTCTCTTCGTTCCCTTGCGGCTACCTCTCCTCAGGTATCAATGCTATCGATGACATCTAATTCAAGCTCGAGGCTTAGCCCGTTTGGTGACGTCAGATCTAACCTCCGACTGGCATCATATCTGCCATTGATAGCCTAAGCTAGACGGGCATCCAATTGAGGGCACCATGATGGCCCACTGGCGATCTGGTCAGGGCGATTGTGCCATACTAGGCTAAGAAACCGCATTGAGCGGGCACACAACCCAAAAAACAAGCAGAACTTCAGTTCCGACAGACTCCTCTTTTACTCTGTCTTAACTAAGAGCTCCTCGTCGTCAGACCTTTTAAATAGGTGTCCAAGGAAAGCATAGGAATTCCCGATGATCCGTGGCCATTGAATATGTCTCGCCCTGAAGAGTACATTCAAAAAGTTAAACTTTGCGCTTTTCAATGATCTCTTGAATAGAGTCTGAAATATGATAGAAGACCTGAACCAAGAGTTTTCGGCATTCTTGACGTACGAGGGCCAGATGTATCCGAAGAGGTCCGCGATATGACCTTAAGTGAAGGAGGCACATAGAAAGGAGGATCCTGTGCTCGCCCATACCTGTGCAAAGCCAATCACCCTAGCAAAGTCGATCGTTGAGGAGCCGTGGGTAAGAACCGCTTTCTTCGCAAGCCTAAACTCCTGAAGAACCGAAACACGGTCAAACCAGGGGTTTATGAACACTGGTAATACGTTTTGCAGACTGGTAGCAGTGACAGTTAGCAAGGCGAAAAATAAGGCTTTAATGTGATCTAAGAGATTAATACACCCAGAGAGGCCTCGAATTTTGGGGTCTGGTTTTGATTTGAGCTTAATGTGGAAGTTGTCTGTCTAGCGTCAGCTTGCGCTCTTTTCATTCATGATGTGTTACCCCTTGATTGACCACTTTAATCTTCACGATATCAGATGCGTATTGGTGCGGATTGACTGGACTTGTAATAGTGTTTTTCCTCACAACAAGTTATCCTATGGAATGCTGAAACGTTAGGTGCATCAAGATATGGGGACAAGTTAAAGTTTATCTGTTACAAGCAATCGGAAACCGTGCGTTCAGGGTCAGATGGCCTCAAAGAGCAAAGAGGCACGTGCGTGCTTCTAGCCTCAGGCTCTCATCTAGAAGTTCGATGGAATAAGACGCTATTCGTTCGGCTATGTAAAGGTTGCGCCCGAGCACAAAACAAAATGCGGGGTAAGTGTGGGGAAGGCGATCTTCAGTGTAACTAAGTGCAATACGAGATTCATATTATATCTCCCGACGCGCTCGAATCAATACACTCTGAGCTTGTTTGATTGAGGATCATCAAAAATGCAAAATCGGAAAATGAAATAGGATGTCATGGTAACCTTGCAGATAACTATGAATAATCTGGTATTTTGCAGTGCCCCTCTGTGTCTTTATCTTGGTCTAGAACACATCGCATCTCCTTTCACAATGCTGTCCTTTACTAACCCAGCCATCATTCTCAGCACTTTAGCTGTGTTGCCATTCTTCACCTCTGGCTCACCAACCATCCCTGATCTTCAAGCAAGAGTAGCAGCTGCCAAAAGCGGAATTGCTTGCGACTCCAAGTACGAGGGCTATGCCTTCGTCTACTTCAGCAACCACGATGAGCAGATATATATGGCTGCTAGTAACGGAAACAATGCCTTGTCCTTCACGGAACTCAACAATGGTCAGCCCATCTTGAGATCCACCCAGGGCGACCGCGGGGTCCGTGACCCTTTTGTAATGCGGTCACATGAAGGTGACAAATTCTACATCCTTGCAACGGATCTTTGCATTGGTTGTGGCACCAGCTGGGGAGACGCTCAGCGCTTTGGTAGCCGATATTTGGAGATATGGGAATCGACAGATCTCGTGACGTTTAGTGCCCAGCGTCATGTCCAGGTATCACCAGACAACTTCGGCAACACCTGGGCTCCTGAAGCCTACTATGATGAGGATCTGAGAACATATGTTGTTTACTGGGCCTCTGGCATTTACGACAACAAAGAAAACCCGAACCATGATCCTATCGAGTATCAACGTATGGTTTACGCTACTACCGACGATTTCGTCACCTTCAGCGAGCCTAAAGTCTGGCAAGATGATCCACCCCACGGCCGGATTGATTCTACCGTAATCAAGGAGAGTGGAGTCAATTATCGTTTCACAAAGGCCACTATTGATGGTTGTGCAGATATCGCCGAAGAAAGTAGTGCCTCGTTGACTGCGGATTTGAAAGATTGGAAGAGGATCACTAGCTGTATCGGCAAAAACGCTGGGACACAAGAGGTGGAGGGTCCTTCAATCTTCAAGACCAACTGCCAGGACGTGAATGGTCCGAGATACATTCTCTTGGCCGACGAATTTGGGGGCGATGGCTATGTTCCGCTCGAGTCGAACGATCTGACTAGTGGTAAATGGACCCTTCGTAAGGATTACAAGTACCCTGTGTCTCCTCGTCATGGTACTATCATCCCTCTAACTTTTCAAGAGTTGGAGGGTATCCAGAAGGCTTACGGCTCCACAACCTGATTTATCTATGATCCAGCAGTTTTGTATCTTGTTCGAGATAGCAACAAATTGAATTGGTTGAGTAGCATGTATTCGACCCTGGCCAAGACCTTGGCTAATGCAATTAATCGCAGGTCGACCAGAAATGAGTGTCCATGCTAATGATCTGCAATGCCAAGAACCCCTACATATAGATTTCCTTCATTCCGGACCATCTCCTAAACTACAACATATTTCCGCCACTTGTATTTATTCACCAGCATCTCTTCTCTTAGTCAGCGATACCCCCACACACACCCACGTCTCTTATCTTTATTCTAACTCTTGCGCAGTTACGAGGGCAGAAGTGATAGCAACACCCAGGAACTCAACAATACGAAACGTTGGGTGAACGCCGACAATACGGCGACGGGCGATCAAGCCATGCCGAGAGTTACAGTCGAGGGCCAGGATGGAGATGCTTCTCAGGCGAAACGCTAATCTTCTGAACTTCCTGTGACCGGCGGCATCGGAAGCAACTGCAGCCGTGCCCAGCACGACTTCGCGGAACGTTTCGATGCTCCTCACAGGAATACTCCAGGGTGGCATTTCTAGACCTCGAGGGATAGGGTTCCGCCAAAGTTATAGGGTAACTGTCTCTATTAGTACACCTAGGCAAGGTCCTCCTACAAAGGCAAATAGACCATCTCTACCTGTGGCACAACCCACTCGGCCTCTATCGCATTATAATCATCAAATTATAATAGGTTTACCACGAAAATTATGCATCAACCGGAGAAGAGGCCGATCCCGCAAGACCAGCTCATAGCAGAATATAACAGTATATTTATAGGGATGGTTAGTAACAAAGCCAAATAGATCGTAGTCAATCTTTCACAATTATTAAACACTAATACCAACTTAGAACTCAATCACGAGCGATGGCAGGATCTGGCTACCCTACGTCGAACATTTCTTCATGAGCATTATGACCTTTTCATTATAACCCACCATGCCACGCCTGCCGAGGTGTGGAGGCATGGCATACAATTCTCCAGCGGCCTAAAAGATTACAGGGTAGGAGCAATAGTTGGAGAATATCAAGTGGACGCACTACCTGATGCTGGCATTAAATCCAGCCCCATCTGAGCGCAATTTGTCGAGAAGGTCGGCCTCGTATCCGATTATAGTTCCCGAAATGAAATTCAGCTACCCGGCGGAAAATAAGTTTCAGCACCAGGTACTGTCAAGGTCCCATTCCATTTCATGTAGAGTTAGAGAAATACATGTTGGACTGCTGGATTATTCCAAGGTGCACAAGTGATCTCATTCTTCCTGCCATTTCTATGCGCCGCAAAGATTCTCACGACATTCAAGGACTATGTCAAGGAGTCAATGCGCCAGCTTCCTTGAGCACGTCTTTGGAAATGGAAAGGTGCGCTTTTGGGGGCTGTGAAGCGGTAGGACCGCTCTCACCCTGTCCAACACTGGTGAAATGTGAAGCAACCATGGCCAGACAATGGCGTTGAGAGGTAGCTCCGTAGTGTGAACTTCCATTGCGCAACCACTGACCATGACATGTTAACTAACCAAGCCAATGTGATGTGTTAATTTTTGTTGGAAGGTGATTGGGTTGCATGTGTGTTGTTATTCTTAGCTACGGTTGGCCGTGGTAAGGCTGGGATAAGTGGATTGTGTGCCTCAGGCCACCACTTCGAACAATCTTGTTGCCTAACAGATGCAGATGAGGCTCAACCACCGAACGAGGCAACCGTCGCCTTAATTTGTCAAAACGTCACGTGAAACATAATGGAAAGAGGGGATATGAAAGCAAAGTTTCCACAGGACTATTGAATAGTTTAGTACTTGGAACACAAGTAGAAGTTTCAAAGTCCCGTGTTTCTGAACTAATGGGCACATATCACATCTCCAACGTCGTGTTGGTGTCGGCAGACTGGGCAAAGAAAAATAATCTCGAAATTGATCACAAGCCTTGACACCGACTCCAGCTTGAGTTAGCGGATGGCTCCAAAGTCTTCACTATGGGCATCGTTCACAACGCGACGTGGACTTTTACGTCCTTGACGAGCTCTTGGTGGACGTTGTGTTTCGCAACGACTTGTTCGGACTTAATGTGTTTGTCTTTCCTTGGCACGGGTTTTCAGTGGCGCTGGAGATCTATGTCCTCCTTGAGACCCTATTGGCCCTACAGCCCACAGCACATAACCTACCATTCATTCACGTAGGAACTTCTTCCACCAGCGGGCCTTTGAATTGGGAGAATTCCGACCATTTTCTTGTGGAAGTGTTAGTTTAGTGTCTGATAACTCTACCTTGCGTTTGTGCTGTTTATAATAACGGTCCTATATCAGTTCTCTGTGCTGTTTCTCCTGCTGAGTCTCATCTGGCTTCGCCGGATCAAGTGTATCAATTGCGCCTCGAATTCGGTCGCGACGAAATCGCTCAGTGTTACGAGCGTGGAAAGAGCACACTATCAGTGCAATGCCACAGTAGCTATTCTGTCTTCTCGATGTCAATTAATGTAGTAGGTAGGAAGCTTACTGTTATTAATGGACTCTTCTTCAGGCCTGGCCAATTCTTGGCTGTACTTGCTAATCGATCTGACAAGATAGAACTCTGACAAACCAGGAATCAAGTTACGATCATTCATGAAAAAAAGCACATCAATGGCTGAAAATAAAGACGTATAGAAACATGCAGGCCAAAATTCTCAGCAAAAGCTTTTAGGGTTCGCGGCCTTGTCGTCATTGATGGCCTCAGATGGTGACCAGGAGCTCATCATCTTCCGGGAAGTTCGATGAAAGAAGTGCACCAAATCTTCTTTATCTCCAGTTTGAGCTGTCGTTGATAGACTAAAGACTCATTGAATGGGACAAGAAGCTGTTGGGAAGTGGCGATATTGGAAGTAATGCTTGAACAGGCCAATAACGGGAAGACAGAGGCAAAAGAACTGATGGAGCTTGTTGGCCAGTTAAGGACCAAGATGAAAGAATATCGTAAGTGAGCCCTAGATCATTTATCTAGAATAGCCTTAGGGTGGACCGCTGGGTCCAGAAGGTCTGAAGAAGTACCCTGTTGCTCTCATCAACAAGATTGTCGCAATTATCTTATTGGTAGTCTGTAGCCTATCCTACATGAACTCCCGAGCAGCAATTCTGGGCATGTCATGTGCCTTTACCGTTGCCTTTGCACTAAGACCAACGCCAAACAGGCGGAGATTTTTGTGCAGCGTGAGTACTTCTGTTGAGGATAGCATTATGTTCTGAAGTCGAAAAAGAATCAGAGGCTAGCTAACTTTTGACATGCTGCGTAGTGCTCAAGTTGTTACTGGCAATTGAGAATGTGGGGCGTGATGCCTGAGGCAGCTCACAACCCCTCTCTTGGCCCGACCCTCCCGCCGCCCTAGCCCCTCCACTCCCCCACAGCCGACACACACCCCTTTGTTATGTTCACACCCCAGTGATACATAGTCCTGGCCACTTTTGAGCACGTACACGCACCTATTCCTCATTTGACATGTTCAATTAACAGAAATAAGTCTATCACTGGCCAATTCTTTTCTACACAAACTCTACTTTAGCTCAAATCGTCTTCTCCCCTCCTCAGTAATCCCCAAAGACACCACTTCCTTCGCATCCTCGCTCACTACCGTCCTCAAATCGCCGTGTGGCAGAACAACCACCAAGCTCTTCCAAGGCGCTTCAAAGCCAGAAGACTCATCTCGTGTTAGCTTGACCTTGACCTCAGACCGTGTGGCTGTATAAGCAACAGTGTAAGAAGAGATCCTGTTCTTCGTGGCAACCGACGTGCCGTCGTCTTCGTACCACGTCGTCTCGTGCCACTTTCCATCGCGCGATATCTTCTGGGGAGGGAAGATCTCAACGGCGCGGTAGTCGTCGAGGGGTAGGTTTGCTACGTTCTGTTTCTCTCCGGGAGAGAGTACCTGCACATCGCGACCTACAGGGATGGCTCGGCCGACCTTGCCCAGCACTGGAATACCTGCACCGTGCCACTCTGCATCGAGCTCAACCCATTGACCAGCTTCAAGGTATTGGTAGGGGGCGTTGAGGTTCAGGTAGCCCTCGTCGTCATCCGAGGCCTTGGGGAGGTAGATCTTGGCTTTGCTGGCTCCAGGTTGGAACACTCCGCCCACTAGCATCGAGTCACCCAACCAGTACTGGGTTTCTCCATCGAGGAGCTTCCAGACTTGGGGATCAGCCTCGTAGCCCCATCCAAGCCACCTCTGCGGGGGCAAAGCACTCTGGTGACTCTCCAGAGACAAAGAGTAGATGTAAGGGATCAGAGCGTAACGACGCTTGATGGTCTTTCGCACGAGATGAGTGATAGATGGATGCATCCAGGGCTCAATCACGTCGCCAACGGAGTTGTCTTCGCCTGTCTTGAAGCAGTTGATGGCAAAGCGAGGGGAGTATATGCCTAGTTGGATCCATCGAAGGAGAAGCTCAGGTGAAGGTTGCGGGCCTTCAAAGCCGCCGATGTCATGTCCGTAGCAGTGCATCAGACAGAGACCGGCGGTTAGAGACAGTGCGGTCGAGCCTCGCATACTATCCCAGCTTGTCGTATTGTCACCGCTCCATGAACTGCAGGCGTATCGGAGGGTGCCAGATGTGGCACTTCGTGTGAGCACAAAGGGTCGATCATCAGGGTTGACAGCGAGGAGGGCATCGTGCGAGGCCTTTCCGTTGAGTTCTGTGTGGAGGCTGCGACCCCAGAGACCAACTTGAGGGCGCTTCTCAAGGCCTTCAGGAACCTGTAGGGAATCCTTGCCAACATCGAGAGCGCACTCCCACTCGTCGTCGGGGATGGTGTACTCGTTGTTGTCGTTCCACATGCAGTCGATACCCTCTTCGGCAAGCCTCTTAATGCCGTCATACCACCACTTGTAACCAGCAGCAGAAGTAAAGTCAATGTGGCCTCCATCATCTCTCTCGCCGCCACCTGCACTCCAGAGTTTTGTGACGGCTGGCTTCTTGGTGTGGGGATCGAAGAACAGGCCGCCAGCGGCCCTGAGCTTCTCGTACTCAGGATGGCTGGCAGTGAGATACGGCTTCACATTGGCGATGAGGCGCATGCCGAGCTTGTGGTACTCCTTGATCCAATCTTCAGGGTTAGGGAAGCGATGATGGTTCCAGGTGAAGACGTGTCGGTTTTTGGGAGGATGTTCGGCCACAGTGTATCCGGATGACATCTGGTAAGCCGAGCAAGGAATGTCATGCTCCTTCATCTTGTGTGCCAGGTCCAGCAGAGCTTCACCGGCAGGAGGACTGTCGAGCATGGAGTACTTCATGCCACCTGAAAGATAGCCAAAGGCCCAGCGAGGAACAAGCAGAGGGTAGCCTGCCAATTCGGCGTACGACTGAACGATGTCCTTCAGAGTCTTTCCTGTGATGATGTACTCCTCCAGACCGCCAAAGTCCTGACGGTAGACTTTGTAGAAGCCCCACATGCCGTCCATCTCAGAGCCGATGGAGTATTCACCTCTGGTATGACTGGTTGAGAACATGGCAACACAACCTTGCGGTGTGGCGTTGATCAGGAGGGGAATGTTCTTGTAGAGAGGGTCTGTTCGGTGAACGTCATATCCGAAGCTGTCGGTTGCTGATAGCTGAAAGCGCCGACCTGAAAGGTCCATGGGCGCAGCCTTTTCTCCCAGGCCAGCGTGGAAGGTATTGCGATTGTACTGGGTATAATGCGCGACACCATCACCGTTGACGGCATAGGATCTGTTGGCGAGGTCCTGGAGGATAGGATCCTGGCCGTCGAAGCCCACCGACAGCAGCGGCGTCTCTCCAGCGTAGTTGACACAGGCGACGACGTCTCCAATCTGGATCTTGGTGCCTTTCTCAGTTGATGTCACGCTGGGCTTAACATCGTCTAGGCGCGTCTCAGCGCGAGGAACACTGGGATGTGGTGGTATAGGGTGGGTGGGGGAAGTGAATGTTGTGCGGAAGACATTTGGACGGACAGCTTCGAAGGAGAATTCGAAGGGAAGGGTAGTGTCGTTGCAGCGCAGATGAACCGATGGCTTGGAGCTTTGGTCTTTGCTGGCGGGGTCAAGAGCCCAGGATGTAGGGATGCGTTCACGTTGAGGCATGATGAAGCTCGAATGAGTATGGACTCAATAGCAAGAATATGTAAATGTGAGTCTGGAGAATCGGGATAATTACTACGGGGGATCAAGTCTCTTTTAACTGTATTGGTTTATTGATAGTGACTTGCTGCATCGGGGTCAACAATCCTTCTCCGGAACTAGAACGACCATTTCGGAGAATTGTGTTCAAATCCGATGTTTTCTTGGCGCGTGATGCGATTAATTGAAGAACCCCTCACGGAAAAAATTGACAAAGTCCGACCGCTAGCCGAACATCCCCATGGGGTAAGGCCCGCTGGCCGACAGGTACCGGGTATTATTCTTTATTGTTTCTTTTTTCTTCTTCTTTCAACCAAAACAAATATCAGTTGTCTTTTAAATATGCTTCCTTAATTTAACGTGTCATATCTAGTGATTGTTTTAACATGTATTGTTCTTGAATTAGCTGGCTACATTGGTAATGATGATTAGGATACCCACAGCCTCAGGCGTAATGCCTGAGGCACCACCAATGACAAGACATTTTACCATCCCCGCATATGCACGATTCATGCAAATCTGCAAGACGCATTCGCATGAGGATGATTTAAAATAATACAACAGCCCAATTTAGCAATATCCCAGATGTCTCATAGTCCAGTGGAGCAACCTCGGCACGAGTTGTCACCGCCGCGGGCTCGCAAGAAACGAATTCCGGTATCCAATCATTCCCATAGTTACAAATCTGCAAAATAGGTTACCTCACACTGACACACTGAGATTGAAGAAGGCTTGCAGTTCATGTCGGCAAAGTAAAGTGTGTAAGAAAGAACACGTTATTTGATGAGTGGGGCGTTAACATAGTGTTAGGTTAAATGTGATGGCTCAAGACCATGTTCTCGGTACGCATCTCGCAATTCATCTCTGCAGTAGCTTGTATTAATTCTTCACTTAGATGTCGACAAATACAGAAGCCTTGCAACTTTACCGAAAGACCCAAAGAGGCCCATGAGTTGTTTGTAGCCATTGATATGATCGGTGGGACACTGACTAATGAGCTGACTGAGCAGAAAGATCGAGGCATTGGAGCGAGAGATTGAGCTCCTCAAGTCACAACTACAGCCACAAACATCAGTGTCAGTGGACACATCGACTAGCCCCTACTTGACCGAGACTCAAAGACCCCTGCAATTTGCCTCGTTGGATACTTTCGAAACACCACACAATGTTGAGTATGCACAGGTACCTGGTATCCCCACTCACCCATCCCAAATAGCAATGTCCACCAGCAACAGTTCTCCAGATACCTCGCTGTATCACAAAAGACCACAAAAGCGACCGCGATCATCATTTGAGGCTGAAACTCCAGCCGTGGCAAACATCTGGAGCGATGCCGACCTCAAGGCCGACGAGTCAGGGATTTACTTCAACGCCTTCTTCTCTGGCTGTAACCGCTACGTTCCCATCTTCGACCCGGAATACGATTCACTCGAGGCCGTGCGCAGTAGGAGTGAGTTACTGTTTACCACCATCTGCTCGGTTGGCTGCCGTGTGCTCCACGGAACGAATGCCAGGTGGAGGGCACTGGCGCTTAGCACCCAGCGCATGCTCAACGCCGCTATTGTTAATCCAGCTATGGGGAGCCTCGAGACTGTACAGGCGTTGCTTGTTCAGGCTTGTTACGCTGGCGAAAGAGCCCTTCTCGTATCAATTGCTACACGCATGGCGTTGGATCTTGGATTTCCGGAAGCTTACGACACGTTGGTGACGGAGTCTGTCTTGGGTGAAGCGCAGTCTAGCAATGGTTGCGAGTCGACTCACGAGAACAACCTTGTACGAATGCGGAAAACCCGAGTATGGCTACACCTATTGGTCATGAGCTACATTCTACATGTGGATGCTGGTGGTATGCCGACGTTTAAATTCAGAGGGGCGTCACGTAGGTGCAGGATCCTCCTGCAGAGTCCCTTCTCCAACGGGATGGATCATTATCTCTTCGCCCAAGTGGAGCTTAATGTTCTCCGCGCAAAGATCTACGCCTCCTTACCCCAGCGCGCTAATCTCAGTGACGAGGAGATCATGGACCTGGTCAGAGATGCTAAGCTCGACATTGACGTTTGGTTCAACGATTGGATGCGCATATCCCAACCCCATCATCGTGCCATGCCGTGGTTCGTCCCAAACCTCTCAGTGCAGCGCTGTTGGGCCGATAACATGACTCTGTGCCGTGCTGTCAGGGCTGCGGGCGTGGAGAATGTGAACGTCATGTCGCCTATACAGAAAAGCATACTGGTGATGACCAAAGCGTCGCTAAAGCAGCATCTTGATATAACCATTCAAGAGCCACGTCTGTACCTGGAGAGCACTCGGTATGCCATGGACTTTGTCTGGGCCAAGAACACATTTTGTTGCCTCCTACTTCTGAAGCTATCCGCCTTGCTCCCCGAAGGAGATGATAATCACAGTCATGAACTTGTGGCGAAGGCAGGTGCTTTACTCAACGAGTTGGAAAAAGCCACGGCTGGGGGTGCTGGGGATGACAGCCGATCAAGTACCAGCGTGTTATACCTTCGGCTTCTGAAGACGAGTATTCAGAAATATCAGCGAGGGTTGGACCAGAACGCACAGGCTTGCCAGGACAATACTGTGTCTGACATTTCAGGCCAGTCAGGGAATTATGAATCGATACCTTCTGGATATAGCGAGCTGGAGTCGTTTGTACCTGACCAGTTCGTGTTTGAGTGGGACTTTCCTGGGCTTACTCTGTTCTCATCTCCGATTAATGAGACGACGTGGTTGAACGAGTTCTTGAGTGGAACGCAAGAGTTTAGGCAGGATAGTAGTAGTATAAATTGGGCACTCATAGACTTTTCCATGTAAAATAGCTAGCATCATATGTACATATTCACAGTAACTTTTTGTTCTTTTTTGTGTGATCAGGTATTATTTGCGACCCATATGATACGGTGCACGAGCATTGAACATTATATTGAGATGAAAGGTTATCTAGTTAAACTTGGCGCATAGAAGTGCCCCTCATGTAGATGCTAACCTCCATTACTTGATTCAGCGCAGGGGAGTGAGGTGAGGCAAGTCCTCAGTGGCTGTTCCATCATTTGCAAGAGCAACACTATCGAACAGTTAACAAGACATTCGTGCAATCGATACCTACGACAGATAGGTCGGGCAATCGGCCCAGATGAGGTAGGAGTAAGCTTACTACGTGTTGTTAGCTAACACTGTTCTTGGTAAGGTTGGTTCAAGGTCAGGACATACCATTTCTTCCACGTCATTGTCAGACAAGTCGCTGATGTCGTACACGCTTCCATCTTCAAGACCAAGCTGGGTCGCCTTCTCTGTACCCTCGCACTTCTGGTCGGTAGATCTCTTTCTTCCATCGCCGAACCAGTAGAACGCTCCGCTCATGCTATAACCGGTGGCGCCAAGACAGAAATCACGACCGCGGCCTATCGCCGCCTGCTGCCAGCTCTCGCACCCAGCACCTCTGTACCCATTGGCCGTGAGTGTCCAGTCACTGGGTACGGCGACGATGCCGACAGTGGCGTAGAATTGACCGGTCGCCGTGCAGCAGAAGTTGGGGTTTGCGTTGGGGCAGCCGATCCACGGACCGGAGTAGCAAGCTCCTTGGTTGTTGCTGTAGAAGCGGATGTCGACGGCTGATACTGTCGCCGCGAGGCCAAGAATAACGCTGGAGAACAACATGGTGGGAAAGTGTAGTGAGTTGATGAGGATGGTTGGCGAAGTTTGAAATCGGGATAGGTCTGGGATTTATAGTTGAGCGTGAAGCAGCACACCGCTTCATCACCAGGCTTGTACGATAATAATTTATCAGGCTAAATAGAACAAAACAAGGGGGTATTCCTGCGATGGCGGCTGTGTATAATCGCAACTACTCGAAGTGGTTACCTCATGAGCCAAGGAATAGAAAGGAATGAGCTAAATACCCTAGTAGCGCATATAGTCCTAGGGTATGCATATTTCTGAAGTCCGGGTGTGGAAGCTAATTGGCTACTATAAGAATGATCCAGTATAGGAAGATCAAAAATGCTCGGCGTCTACTAATACTATCCAAGAAATAATAAAAGTTGATAGCTTGCTTGTAATAATGCGCGAATTAGAAATACAGGGACCTCAGATGTAAGCTTTTATCTATGTTAATTCATCCGATGTGTAGTAAGCACAGCCACTGGAAAAGGATAATGTTACCCGCATTGAGTCCTAAGTCACTATTCACTCTCGAGGATTCCTTGTTTTTAAATATTGCTTTCACTTTCAATCACCAACATCAATTTCGGGTTGTGGAAAAATTCGGAAAGGAACTCGGTTACCAGGAAATAACTAAATAATTACAATTATATTTTTGAAGGATATAGAAAGGCCTTGTATTTTTAGGGCTATGAATATTTTTCTATAATTTCATTACCACTAGGAAATCCTGTGCAACGAAGGATAAAGACCCAAGAATTGACGGTTGAACTTTCTGTGTTGAGAATGGATCAATCTGGCCTGCCTGGATCTCACCAGGGTGCTTTACTAAAGACGATTGGGGCATTGGACAAGCTTCTGTTAAGAGCTCAAGAATCACCAAGATATTGCTTATTAATTTTGTTTCCATTTTTCGATACTGAGATATTCCAAGGCAACAGTATTTGTCTCAAAGCTTGATGACCACAAGAAGGTATCCTATCTGACTTCATGTTCCCATTTATGCCGTGCAGGTTGGAGTACGGCCTTTACCAATCATGAAGACGAGTGATAACTAAACATACCTGCGCTTTCAGCCATCTGCTAAGAGAGTTTCTTCTCCGTCAATCCTTCTGGGCCGAAGATAGTCATCCTCGGTCTGGATGTCATAGTAGTTTGCCACCTGTGATTCGTACGTAAGGTCGGAAGGGAGTAGTATTCGCCCAGGCAAATCCCCTTCAGCAAATCTTTCACGCCACACTCGTAACCAACCACGACTGTCGAGCCCCTCGGTGTCCTTCACCACCTCTTCAAAGTCCCAAGCTACCCCGGTGTTAAAGTCACAACGCAAGATCGGCGACGTCCTGTACATCAAGTGACCCAGTGCTTCCACCTCCTCATCTTGGAGCAAAATCGGGCGTACCTGCTCCCACTCGGAAGAGTCTAGGTCGAAATTCTCGCTAAGTGTTAATGCCTTGAATGCTTCGCACCATACAACGTCTCGGAGGACAAATCGCTGGAATATATCCGTGCAGTAGTCGACATGAGGTCCAGATTCAAGTATAAAGGTGAAAGCCTCGGCAGGAATATCCGCATCCGTTATAGCAAGCGCATCGACCAACCAATGGGCCAAACGCAGGGTTATCTCGCCTTTCCATAGCTTCCCTTTTGTATCCCACCCAAGCTGGAAATGGGCTGCAACATCCCACGGGTTATCGATGTCTGCACCGGTACATTTCAACCAGTCAACATGGCGCTCAACTCGAAGCAACGAATTCTCTTTGAAGAAGGGTGCCAGACCCAGCATGTGGCACGATGGGGTACTGACTGATGGCAAATCCTCATACAAAACGAGGCTCCGAATGTGAGTACGCTGGTCGGCACTAATCCGGCGTTGAAGGAAGCGAATCGAGTTGGCGACAGCCGAGAACCGGATCTTTTCCCTGCAACGTACACCATAAGAGTTATGAAGTTCGTCTCGCCGGTCTGCATAAGGGTCGGTATTTCTTAGACGATTAATAGCCAGATCGTCTCCGTAATGCCAATTGGGGGTATAATGCCACATGTTTGGAAGCTTCCAAACATCACTCAATTGCAAGAGCCTCATCGCATCCAAAATACTCGACTCTGAGGGAATCTCCCAAGGCTTGAAACCAAGTCCTATAAATTCTTTGATAGGTCGCTCTCCGGTCCAGCATGGAAATGATTTGACCATATGATTGCCAAACTCGATAGGCTTATGGTCGGCCAAAATTTGCAGACAATAAGAAAGACCACTGTCAATCTCCCAGGAGGTTCCAGTCCAAAGTTCTCGCAAATGATAAGTGCATTCGGTATCAAGAGCTGCAAAGGCAGAGGAATACTCTCTTGACTCTAGGGTACCTTCATGGACATACATCCCCAAGATGTTGTCAATCGAGGGACACAAGGTCAACCTCATGTTGTATGCATGGTTTTCGCCCCCAGGTTCCGCAGAGGACACACGTTCACCCGATCTGTACAAATCCTTGAACTCATCAACTTCTGCGATATAGTCCTGATGTTGTACCATATTAAGCCTAAGCCGTGATTCGAACTTTGGATATTGTAAAGCAAGCTGCGCCAGCATGTCCGCTGTCATAAGATGAGCGATATGCAAAACAAAGTCCGACAGCAAAATACGGGAGTAAGATTTGACCATGTTAAAGCAGCCGGCCAAGCTTCGCCACTCCTCGCGATAGAGAGTAGAGAATCTGATATTGTTAATAGATAGCGGAAGGTGCCTAGTTTCATTTGCGATGGATCGACAAGTCGACATGAGCGACAGCTCAATCGGGCGGTTGTCGACAGTCTTGAGTGAATCGGATTCCGTATCATAAACGTATCCGCCTTCAACTTTGAAGTAGGCGTGAAAGATTTGCAGCCTCAGCTCCAGAGGGAGATTGAGAAGGCAGGTTTTCTCTTTTACGTTAGAAGCCATAATAACGACCGTGGTTGGAGAATGGAAAATAGTGACGATGTGTAATGCGGCGAAGAGTGGATATGATATGGGGTGAGGGGGTGAGGGGGTGAGGGGTTCTTATAATCCGAACTCGTACCAAAAGCCATTGGTCTGTGAGTGAGTCACTTTACCTGATGCAGCCAATCAGAGAGTTGCACAGATACGTCAGTCAAAGTCAAAGCGAAAGCCAAAGCCTAACTCAAAGTTGGAGGAAAAAAATCGAACAGTTGAAAAGTTTCAAGCAACGCTAAATACAAAGTCCATACCCAAAGTCAAAAAGCCATCTCGTCCCCCAAATGTGGTAGTAGCGCAGATTATTCATGTTAAGTCTGGTAGCACCTTTAAAAAAGAGATCCAGCTGTCCCAATTAAACCCAACAGAAATATCAACAATAGAGGTCTCTACAGAGACTCATAGGGTAATACCCACACCTACACGAGAAGAAGATCGCGAATAGGCAACAAAGAGGTCAGCATTACACATAAGACAGGAAAGGCACAAACTCACTCACCAAACAACCCGCCAAGCTTCCACTAAAGGTCAGTCGCGGATAACGCTAAGAGACGGGATACATACACCTCCAACTCACCCGTAAGTCGACCCGACCGCTTCACCTCATGTAAGTCAGCGCCAATTTCAAAGGGTACTAGTGGTACTTAGTCACAATTGGATCAACAAAGCTGACCTCAATCGCAGCCGACATGTCAATCAACGCCCCGACCTTCATGCCTGCTTATAACGAATAGTCAGTAAATGCTTTATGGTACTAAACCAGAGGAGGGAAGACGAATACTTACCTTTCCGTAAGGACCTCCAGCCGGCCGTTAACAGCGACGTAGCTAGGGCATACAGGGGGGAATTCTGATACAGCCAAGAGGCATTTCTCAAAGCAATGGCTGATAATCCCAGCACCTATAAGGAGCTGAAGGACCTAGTCGATAAGATCAACCTGCGGTATGCCGTCAAGGTGGGCACAAGGCCCACAAATCGGGAGACCAAGGTCGCTAAAGAAAGCATCAGTAAATAAACTAGAATAGCCTTATTCAATGGTAACTAACCGCTTGCCATCTTCGGCTGTACTGTCCTTCAGTTGCCTGACCTCTTTACCTATGATAGCAATCATAGCGGTAAAGGTGTATGGCTCAAGAAGGAGATATTGCTTCTCAACCGTCTCAAAAGGAAGCTCAAATCGCCGGGCCTAAGTGGCACACTGACGAGGGCAGAGACTGTCTTCCTCGACGTATTGGATGAAGACAACATAAATCCGGTGAGACTAGATGATGTTAGTGTCAGAGAGTCAGGAACAGAGAGTTCAATGGTGTACTTACGGAGGGCACGAGGAATGGTTGATGGACTTGGTGATGACAACGAATTCGGTCAGGGAATTTAACTGACTATACAAAACGTTAGCAAGCCTCCAGGATATATCGCAATAACTGCGATAATACCATACAGACCAGAACATACCGAACTCTGGCTAGAGTCGCCGAGCTATGAAAGGTAGGGAGGTCAGAGTCAGGTCCATAGGAGCGGACGGTTGGGGAAAGGTCTTACAGACTGCGACGAGACTGTCAGAAGTAGGGAGGCTCAGTAGAGGGTGGTGTAACATACTGTGGGAGGAAAATTCGTGTGTGCTGCTGGTCGGTACAAAAGGTTAGTCATATGAACAGGCGAAGACAGTGAAAGACGAGAGGATTGGGGTGACTTACCGAGATAGCCTGAAGTCGACAGTCATGAGCTTGTCTTCCAATCGGCGTCTGGCGGCCCTGAGATCGTGGCACTCGATGAACATGTGGAAGACGGTTTGCTTTGCATGTCCGCAGGTACATGTAGCAGGGACCAACTCGAAGGACTCGGGCGATGCGGGATCTGGAGAACCGGGCAAGGGACGCTTGGCATGCATTCTGTTCAAGAAATGGTTGAGGCCAATGAACTCGGTTCGGCATTGCAAGAGCATTGTGCTTTGAGCACGGGTCATGCCCGCGTAAAGCTGTAGACTCTGCATACCCCATAATCCCTCGATAGCCATAGGACGATGCCGTTCGGCGTGCTTGACTGATCGCTCTCGCCGGTATTGGTCCCAAATCTCAGCACTCTTCCTGCCTGCGTTCTGTTGAGCGCATTTGTTGATGGCAGCCTTGCGTCTCACTGGGTTCTCCCACACCTTGAGCATCCTTCCCACGTCGCCCTTGTTCTTGTTCAGGATACCTTTGGCCGCTGACTCGCAAAGCACCCGCGCTTCTTGGTCAAGAAGTTGGTAAGCCGTACGATTCAGGTTCTCCCACTTGCACGGCATCTGAACTTCCTGGACGAAGCTGTTGGGTCCTCTCCTGATCTCCAAGGACTTGGCCCTTGAGGAGATCATGGTCCGGTAGAGGAAGACGCGAAGGCTCTCGATATGGAGCTCCTTCTCAAGAACTCTCTCCGATGTGTTCCCGAGCGCCCCAGAAATCTGCTTGAGACATCTGTACTGCAGACGCTCCAGACGTTCGATCTGCGTCTTCTTAAATGAGAAATGAGAAGTGTAGGCGCTTGGTTGGACTGTGGACGAACCAAACACCACATGCGTATGCGATGGTCGGGCGAATCTTACCCAAGAAGAACTTCCTGGCTGCCATGAGGTCCATGCCCCAGATTGTTCCCATTACCCGGCGCAGATAATTGAGTGACTTCTCAACTTTGGCCACGATATCAGTGACGTGCGGTTCCCAAGTGAGTTGATGATCGATGACAACCCCAAGAACCTTGACCTCGGTCTTGAGGCATTTGGGATTGTCCTTCAACCCTTGGATGTTGGGAATGAGCTGGCAATCGGGATCCTTGTCATTCGGACGTTTGAAATGCATCAGGTTGTACTTGGGAGGCGAGAAAGTGACACCAGCAGATGTGGCCCATTCCATGATGCCTTCATGTACAATCTCCAATCCCCGACAGTTCTTTTCATAAGAACTCGAGACCGCCACAAGGTAAGTGTCATCAACGTACGCAAAGGCGTAGACCTTGATACCAACGCTGGGGTTCTTCTTGATCTCCCCGAGGAGAGGGGCCGCAAAGAAGAGGAAAAGCAAGGGCGAAAGTGGCGAGCCCTGAGGGATGCCAATATAGATGCAAAACAGTTCAGACATGCTGCGGGGTAGCTGCAGGCTGGTGACTCGATCGGACAGAAAGGAGTGGATGAGACGGATGTACCAGTCGGGGATGTCGTGGTCGGCAAGGGCTTGAAGCAGCTTCTCGGGGTCGACGCGGTCAAATGCAGCAGAGATGTCAAGACCTATCATGGTCACATTTTTCATGTTCTTGAGGCCCGCCCTCTTCTGCTTCCTGTTCTGCTTTCCCGACCAAGCCTTGTAGACAACACCCAGTATGTCTTGGACGGCATGAGTGGTTGACATACCAGGCGCTCCGTACTGTGTGTTGGGGAGAAGACCGTGTTCGATAGCAGATATCTTGAGACGCTCGGCGGCAATCTTCTCTAGCAGTTTACCAACGGCCGACAGAAGGGCAATGGGCCGCCAGCTTTTGGGCGAGTCGTAGGTCTCCTTGTCAGCCTTGGGAAGGATGACGGTGTTGGCCTGTCGGAAGATGCGCGGAATGTGGCAGAATTGAAGACAGGCTCCAAAAAAGCGAGTGAGGAACTCCAGAAGCTGTGTGCGAGCCATCTTGATAGCCTCACTGGCAATCTTGTCCCTCCCAGCAGCCTTTCCAGAAGGGAGCTTGCGTATGAATCGGTCGACAGTGGCCTCGTCAAGCGATTGATCGATGTTGAGCTGGCGGCGGTTTGGATCCAAGTCAGGGAATCGGATGTTGTAAGCGCCTGGGGTGTCGCTGGTCCTGGACCAAATGCTGTCCCTGAGGCACTTCTGTTTCTCCTCCTCAGTCACGTAAGTGACGCCACCCTGTTCCTTTGTCAAAGGCGGCATGTCGGTCGTGTACTGTGGAGCGACCATCCGCTTTGCCATCTTTGACAGTGCCCAGACACCATTGGGGGCTATGCTCTTCATCCCGACGTAGCGACGGTAGCCATCCCCGCCCTTGAGCTTGTTTGCTTCGTGGGCCCGCCGCCGCATGACCCTCCGAGCCTCGCGATCCAGTCCAGGACCTGGTTCTGCGACTGTGATGGCTTCTTTCTGCATGGTCAAGCGGATGTTGGGATCCTGCGGATATCTGCTTTTCCCGGGTGGGTTCGCAAGGCAGCTCGGGATGCACTTATCTCTGCACTCCTCTAGGCTCTGGATGAGCTTCACAGCCGCTTGATCAAGATCATCCTGCGACGAGAGAGGGCAGGTACGCATTTCCTCCATCTTAGCGGCTACCATGGTCTGGTAGGCACCCAGAGCGGTCTTGGAGTACTTGTACCGCACGGTTGTGTCTAGGAAAGGTTGAAAGTCCAGTACAGTCCTGATGGGACAATGGTCGGACTTCTCCCAGCGAGACTTGTCGTCGACGCCCCACCTCAGGACCTTGCTCTTGAGAGCCGTGCTGGCAAACGTGGGGTCGATGCATGAGGCTATCGAGGACCTGTGGGCGTTTTTGCGGCGATAGGTGGTAGTGCCCTTCACCGTAACAAGCTTCATACCAGAGACAGCCATCCTCTCATTGAGTTGGTTGGCCATGGGAGACGCCAGAACGGGGTTCATCAGCTTGCCAGCCCAGGCTGGATGGTGAAGGTTGAAGTCACCCACCACGAGGTGGTTTTCAGAAAGAGCAAATCTGCCTGTCAAATCATCGATGTTGATCTGCTCTTCAAGTGTGTTGGTGTTGTGGACGTTGTGTATAGCAATCTCGCCGGACTTGGTTTTGAGAAATAGCGTGGCAGCTAAATTCTTGTTGCCGTCCTTGCGATATTCCACATGCCAAGAGCTGCGCGGGATGGACTTGTGAACACAGAAGAAGGGTCTGGAGAGGGTAACGGGCTTGATCGACTGTTGCTGCTGTTCCTGTTCCAAAGGTTCCACAGGTTCCACAGGCTTGTCTGGTTTGGCGGCTTTCTTGGCGAACCTCTTGTTCGTGGGATTGTCAGACTCGACAAGCGGCCGGTCGGGGCAAACGTCCAACACGTACTGGTACTTTCGTACACCGGTAAATGCCATCTCCAGAGACGGATCGGTGCAGGCCAAGATGTGGGCGTACATGCCGTTCTGGCCACGATGTTCGTCCTCCAACAACGTTTTTAAGCGTTTTGGCGATTGCATGCAGTTCGCCTGCACAATGCGTAGCTCGCCGTCATGAAGTTCGGGCTTGCGAGCTTTCGGGGGACGACCTTGCGCCTTGATCGGCCTGCGTCTGGATGTGCACTCATGGTGATGGGGAAGTGAGGAGTGGAGGAGTAAGAGAAAAAGAATGGCTGCCCCTTGATTGGCTCTGAGGGCAGCCGTCGAGTGCCAGTGGAGTGGTAGAGAGTTTGACCTAAGATGAGGCCAAGGAAGGGTGACGCAAAGTGGCTATGTACAAGCCTGCGTGAGAACGTATGGTAGTTGAGTCTTGAAGATGTAAAGAATAAGGTGATGAATGAATGTTTGCATTTGAGTGTAGAGTGGAGAGAAGTCCAAGTAATAAATGAATAGTTGTGATGAAGTATGGATGAGGTAAAGATATCGAGTGATGATTGATTGAGTTGGGTCGAGTGTCGAGGATATAATAAATAAATCAAGGAGTATGAAAGAACTTGGGATCGATGGGAACCCGAAGAAAATGATGATGTCCAGCCCAACGCACTTGCCGCGTACCTGCCAAGCATTGAAGCTCAGTAGTCCGGATACTCATCAATAAAGCACGGGCCTGGAATTGACAGACTAAGCAGGGATAAATGGTCCACGTAAACCTTAAAAAGTATCGGGCGCTGAGCTGAAGACAGGGGCCCGTTTACTTGGCAAAAAGAACAGGGATGCAATTTGCCGACCGATGACAGCCCACCACCCACACCCTTGACCCCTCTACCCCTCTACCCCTCTACCCCTCTACCCCTCATTCCCTACCCCCACGACAAATGTAATCTACGACGACGGCGACACATCGCACGCGTCTTCACTTCATTGAATTGAGGGTGACAATTTCCACGGAACCTTTATTGCAACTTGCAATCGAGTAGTTCGCCTGAAAATCTCTGACAACTTATCCCTTACATGGCTGTGTCTAGGTTTCGTAACGCGAGATTCGCGACAAGACAAACCGTTAGGCCATTTGCCTCTGGTCTTGCCAACACCACAAGTCCTTCCCATTCATAAAATGGTTGTGTTCACCAAATATTCTCTCACCACTTCACTTACCACTGTACTCTGCTTTTTTTCTTCAACCTACCTCCCATTCCCCCTGCGTATCGCAAAGACTAATCATGAGATCCCACTATCCTTTCTACGCCGTCAATGTTGGCGGCGAACGATCCGTTGCAGAATCTTATGACCAAGCAAAGGCACTCATAAATGGAGCCAGCCGTGCTACAAGTACGCAGTCTAGGCTTTTTAGGGGATTAGAAATTTGAGTCTAATGTTGTTCGATAGCCAAGGGTTGTTCGTCCCGGGAAGAGGCTGAGATCACGGAGAGTCCCTCATGCAAGAGCCGCTGGATTCATAACAAGCAGTCCAGCTCTGCTACTGAGCTCCCGCCTGCTTCAGAATTACCTACTCTTTGTACTGCCGTGGCTACTCGGGTTACCCTCCCGATGAGACCTGCTGGGTCTGTTTCTGCTGCCAGCTCGCAGTCTGCCAATGACGATGAACTGCGCGAAGCTAAGAAGGCCAAGAAGCGATAATTTGCCGCTCTGAATGGCAACCCCTTGCCTCCCACTGAAGACGATCCTCTCCCCGCTATCTGGAACGACGACCCTTTTTCCACTGGAGAGGAGGGTTTTGTCTTTACCAACTCCGGCAGTGCCACAGAGAAACTTCTTGGCCTCTTCCGCCATCACAACTCTGTCTGCATCACCCCCGTGGCGTAAGAAAGCGGCTCGGTCATACGTCGCGCTCTGGTATTGGTCTGCTTGTTAGGTTTTATGAAAGTTGTCAGTCGAAATCGGAATGCGCAATTGCATTCTTTTTAGATTGGATGATACTTTTTCAATTTTGTACTTATCTGAAAGTAAATCGCAAATTGTTTCGTAATAATACACGAGTTGTGGGGGTGAACATGCGATCGATTCATCATTCCCGCTTCGTTGCGTACAGCATGTGACAACAAAGAACCAGTCTCCCTTTCTCTTAATTGAACAGTCCTTATGTCGGAATACGTCCAAACGCTACATAAATTAGTTTTCAGTATGGTATAAATACTGTCTTATTTTCTCTGCTGTCACCTTGAACTTTGTCAAGCCCAGGCTTTCCAAACCTCTCAATGACATCAACAATACAAATGACCCACGGTACAAATATACTTGGAAGAATAACGTCATTGCGCTACTGTTCTTTACTTGAGTATATTTTTTCTTGTTCATCTTTTCCTCTTGGCTTGCAATTGATGCTGTCAGACTTTATTGTGCTGGTAGGGTGGATGGATATGGCGCTATAGGGTAATGCCACAAACAATGAGCTCTGCGCTGGGCAACAAGCGGACTCTAATTAACTCATTCAGTGTAGTTATGTAAATTATAATTTCAAGGGTAATAAAGATTGTTAAAACTAAATCCCATTTATTATTATCATTAGGCGAAATGGCTAACGTGCATGACATATCAAGACCGTGGGAGCGATCGAATAGTTCCATGTTTACACCACATGGTCCAGCACCAAATAATATGAACGATCTTTGCTAACTTTGCACAGGAGGTCTCACAGAATTGAACATTTTTAATTTATTGCTACAAGATTATATTTATTATAACCAGAATCGTTGTTTTAACTCCTACCATAGAACCCTGTCGTGTAGCCACCTCTTTGTTGAAGCAAACGTCATCGATCCATACCTATCCAGACCTGTCGCGACATACCCTTCAGAAAAAACGGGTATGGCCCTACACTCCCTATGTAATTACGAGGTCTGCTCTGCTTTCAACGGGAAAAGTAAACTATGACAAATCGCAAGCCTATTGTATTGATAAGCAGGATTTGGGGACGCCGATAAGCGCGTTCCGGTTATGGGATACGCGGCATAATCGCGCTGAAGTCTCAAATTTAGTCTTGGGATGATAAGACGCAGGTCCGGTTATAAGACCAGCCGAGATTATAGTCTTGCGATTTTGATACTACCGTATAATTGCTCATTGCTTGGCTGTATGGGCAAGAACAGCCAGTGGCGTTGCAGGATATTGCGTGATGAAGTTAGAGATATCAGGAATTAACAGGGAAAGATCCTTCGTCCAATATTGCGGTCCATGATAAGTTAGCGCGCTGGAAAAGATCACACACCAATTGTCCCGAGTCCCAATCATCACAAGACCTACGTTCACCGTCATGGTGGTGATATTTTTTTGAAAAGATTAATGACAGCAGTTGCAATATAAAAATCCATTAAGCTTTACTGTCTATGGTTCCAATAGCGCAAAGGCTGATGCATGCCGAAGACCCACTAGTCTTTTCCACCGTGGGGGAAATCAGGGAGGGGTGCGACAAGTGCGGGGTTCTTCTGCAGGTACCCCGCGCAACCGATCGACGGTTACAAGAAATGGATATGCCGAGGAGGGTGGGCAAATTGATTTCCAATATGGGACGGGATATAACATTGCGCTGTGTGCTAAAGGTTGTCTGATTCTTCAAACGACCGAAAATGGTAAAAGAGTATACATGCCTCTACTCACTCAAGTCAATTCAATTCAATTCAATTAAATCACCACACTGCTTCATTAGCAAATCCTTCCAACCATCACTTTTTTATTGAACATCCATCCGCCCAACTGCAATGTCTACCATGCCCCATGAACATGGACGAAAGAGGCGTCGAGAACACAGCAATGGCAGGAACGAAGAACCACTTTCTGCACTTTTGGGGGGAGTAGAAAGGATGCAAGACCAGTCGACTGCACATAGTGTCCTCCTCAGCAGCCTGGCACGCGACATACAGCTTCTCAAATCTCTTTTCAATGTAATCGATTTGTTGAAAGAGGACGTGAAGGAACTTCGCGAGACAGGCCTGGCATACCGAACGGCTCCATTGGATGACCCCATGGATGTTGCAAACTGTGTCATCAGATACGTGCTTGCTACCGCAGCGGATACCATGAGGTAAAGAGTAGGCATGGACTTTTACCGCTCTTCTCACTGGTTTCCTGTGGCTAGAGAAATTTGACATCGGTGATGGCGCGGTAAGCGCCTTTGAGCTTGTGCAGGATTCTGAGGATCTCGGACTTGTTGTAGGTTTCTTGTGCAATCCGTCAAAGACTGGGAATCGGAAAACGAGATCCGAAAGAACGCAGCTCAAATTGGTAGCGCGCTAGGCTTGTCAACTTCCTGCTACCCACTGAAGCAGCGCTTTATGGCCCATGTACGGGATATCGTGCAACACCAACATTTGGGCAACAGGCGCGATCTCCGAACCGTCGTCAGCGAACTGAACCTCCCTCCCGACGTCTCAGCCAGTGTCATCTTTGGCAGACTCCTCCTTACTATATACGACCTTCCCACTGCCCTTGAACTTTGCCAGAAGCCTATGAGAATACTGGGGACTTCTTATGATGTTGTGTAAGTTTTCCCCAACTCGTTGATGACATGTAGCCAAGTGATAACGCTGACCCATTTCTCACGCCCAGACCTTTCCTGGTTCAAGGCACTCCGCTTTTCTGCTACAACTGCTATGCAGCTGGCCACTTCAAAGAGTCATGCAACAGTCCTACCGTCCGGTGTCGTCGTTGTGCTGGAGAGCATGCCACTAATACTTGTAGGTCTAATGAGACTAAGTGCTGCAACTGCGCGGGACCTCACCCCGCCTGGGATCTGAGGTGCACGAACATCAAGTCAGTACGAGAGCATGAAAACTCTGCCAAACGCCGCCAAGTAGGACCAGAGTGGGGTAGCTTGGTTAACAATCCCCCTCCATCCCAAAAGACAGGGAAGAAGCAGCAGACCGCAACAGCCGCAAGCACCTCTTTGCCTTCTGATTCCTCATCGCAAGAGACCCCACTTCCCTCGCCACAGGATACTCCGCCTTCGATGTCGCCAGAGGCTCCCACTTCCACGTTACAAGAGGATTCCACGTCCACGCCACAGGCAGCCCCAAAGAAGCATCGTGGCAGGCCACCGAAAGCGCGTGCTGCTGATCTTGAGCAGTCTACCATGACTCCCCCTCTCTCGTCTCAAGAAACTCCTCCTTCCACGTCGCCAGAGGCTCCCACGTCCTTGTCGCAAGCAACCCCGAAGAAGCCCCGCGGCAGGCCACTGAAAGCGCAAGTTGCGGACCACCTTGAGCAGTCTAGCATGCATGCTTTTACCATAAAGTAGTCAGCTTCCACCATTGTCGAGTCTACCCCTTCACAACAACCATGCCAGGCGTTTCTAGCACCGAAAAGCCTCATTCTCCTTCAGGTACGGCGACTGCGAAGGCTATCCATGACGAGAACTTGCACGAGCAAGTAGTGGTAGTTCGCGCGGGCAAGCGCAAATCTGACAGCCCTCTACAGCCACCTTCGATGACATCAGTGTGGCCAAAAAAGATAAAGGAAGCCAGAGAGGAAGTTACAGAGGTAAGCTCGACAACCATGAAGTCAGAGCCTATACAGCTAAAACTCGGACAGTGAACAACGACAAGTCCACGCAACCTTCTACATCGTGTTTGATCACGTGTTGGTAACTGTATCTCTCGGTATCTGTGTGTGTGTGACGAGGACCAAGGCAGGGGCGATATCTGAGATCGATCCCAAAGCCCTCGAAATTGAAGGTTCCCACATTAGCATACGACTGTTAAGTATATAGATCATTTTCATTAGTGCTACGTATTACTCTTTACAACATCTTTGCTTTAACGCCTGTCTTCCATACTTTGTTTTGTGCCAAGTTCAGTATCTACAGTGGGTTGAAGGTCAATTGGCTGTCTACACAAGAGACAGTTATCACAATGCCCTTACACTCTACGCCTCATTCGCACTACTGTTTAGCACTGGAAGACCAAATGTCTTTGTTACACAAAGACCATATGCCTTGGTGCTGTCTAATCAAGTTTATTCGGACTCTTTGTAAGGATGTTTGACATGTGGTAGGAGTGGGAATGGGGGCTGCCTCAGGCACTCATACCCCACGAATCAGACCAACACCCCACCACCCCTCGATTCGCGCGTGGCTCGGACCAGATGACATTCGCTGGACCCCACCAGGCGTGCCCCTCCGTGGGCCGTCCCGTCCCGCACACGGCATTTGCGGGGTCAGATTGTTTTAATGTGTAGAAGACAAATGTGTCAGCATCGACTTGTTATGCGTCCGAGACGAATGAAAAAGATCCAAAAGACTGCTCAAAGAACGACAGTTTGATCTTCACATTTGTATACTTGCGACTCACTCTAAAGAAAAAATGTTTTGCTCGTCTGTAAGTATGTGTTCCTATCCGTGACCTAACCTATAGCCACCTAGCTACAAAGAAAAGTACCGAACCTCACCATGGCATTCTTCGGAAGTTAGTGAACATTTCTTTCCGAGTTTCAGAAACTCAGGCTAACGCTAACAGCGAAGCAAACGACATTACGTAGCTGTGACCTTGGGATGTTCCCTCATCAAGCCAGCCAGTGCAAAAGACACATCAACCAGGTCTGGCTCTTGCTCCGGCATTCATAGTATGACGCTTACAAAGACTGATGTCAATCACTGACTGTCAAGGGAGATGAAGATACACGCGCATCGCTTCATGGCGCCAACTCTTGAAGGGGGTTTGGCTCAATGCAAGAACCCCGCTACTTTATCGCTCTTACATTCCACGCCCGTGAGCATAACCCACGTAGTGAAACATCCAGCCGCGGTGACGTGGCTTGCTACATCTGTTTCCTGGATAATGCTGAGTTCCCATGTTGTCTCACTTAATGCTAAGTTTCATGGGCTGGAGTTAGGCGCAGGAGTGAGAGACCTTATGCTCGGCTAAGAAAGGTTTACGACAACATAAAATGAAGTTCCGTCCATGCGTAAATAAACCAATCCCTTATCAGAGGGAATTTACATCACTTCAAACAATTGCGGTAGCTGTGTTCACCTGAAATTGAGGATGGCTGTCTAACGCAGTCACAATTAAATCATCTCGGAAGAAGACAACGTAGTGTTAGATCATCGGCGCGATTAACTACCTTAAACCATTGAGATTAGTCTCAAGAAATCATGTCAACTTTTTCTCTCTAGTAGCCGCATTGGTTTAAAGTCACCGTGGGAAACCTGCATGCCCTAGAATTTAAGTTTGGAAGCCCATCGGGTCTGAACTTCCATTAAGTTTGGCTGTGTTTTGGACTCTGCGCATGGCAACTATTACTACAGGCGACGTAGATTCTATCGCAGTAGAGATGAGATCCAGATACTTGGAGTTGGGAAGTAAAGCTTTACTTGCCTCTCAGTGTATCCTCGTGTACATCCGTAGGAGGACTTCTCACTCACTCAAGCTCATATTAGATTGTGGGTGTGAGAAAATTGTTTGTTCGTGTATGCGGAGTGAACGAGTCTCTCCTCGTCTAGATTAATAGACCATAATAAACTTAGGCGTGGGAAGTTTATTATTGATAGTGCTAATGGAACTAGGAGTAGGAGACCGTCCCTTATACTTGTTGGATCTGTTAACCATCAGGGGAGGCAGTCCAAAATGTCCCGATATCACTCACAACCACGTAGCAAAGACGATATGTCTTAGTGTCACAACTTGCGCTAAAGTTTAAAGGGTTTACTGAGATATGTGCTTTTGCCTTCGCCTACACAAAGCTGGAGGCGAAATTACAAATGAGTGTGTCCTCTGTCTTTCTTTGTGAACATCGATGTTCCATGTCACCTCCCGTCATCGAGTTGGGACTAGCTTGACCGAAGTTCTCGCCTTTATCTCTAGATCTGATAACTGATGCTGAAAGGCGCAGATCCACGCCTTGATCGTTGCTCTCGATAGCAGCTCCGTCTTGGCTGCACTGAAAACTCTTGTGAATACCCTTCGATTACTCGCTAGCTGACAAATCCATTGCTAGCTCGTTATTTGCGGCTTCCTGCCTTGGTCACGATTTTGCAGCATGCTGGAAGCGATGTAGTCAGTACACTTTGATGACACACAATATGTAGCCATTGGGGCATTCATTACTCACAATACGACGGCCACGACCAAATTTAACACTGGCACTCCCAGGCCAATACCCAACCCACAATGAGCCTGATTAAAACACCACCAGTATCAGGGCCAGAGAAGGGCCGCGATGTAGATGGTCAATTCGTTGCAGAAACACTTGTAGCAGATTGCACATTTGACCCAAAACGGATCGTCCTCTGCACCGACTTCACGCTTGAACGTGGGAGCTTCGATTTCGGGAATGTAGGGGCTTCGCCTGGAGATATTGCAGTCGTATGAGTGATGGTGGATTCAGAGGTAGTTGTGATCTGCAAAGACGCCGGATAGTTAATCAAGCTAGATGACTTGCATGAGCGGCCCGTGTAAAAGATTGTCGAATAAAGCGTTGTAGTTTCAAGTCCTTCAATAAATAATGCACCTCGCCCTTGAACATCACGTGTTATTACTGTTGTAATGGGGGTACTGTCTAAGGTGGAAGGCAGTGGTCAAAGGCTTTTTGTTGTCGCACTATACATGGAAAACGATAGTTCAGGCACTGGGCCCCAAACGTGTTCCCCCAACGCCAGCGTTGCTCCTGCAGCTGCGCCGACGTTGATTTCAAAGCCTAGTTGGCAATCTGTACCGCTAGATTCAGAGTCTTTACGGATCTCGGCGTCGAGTCGTGCGACGTTCGCAAAAATGCTCACTTCTACGCCTGCACTAATGTTCAAGCCCTTATCGAAGACGTCTACTGTATGATTCTGAATCTCAAACCCTGCTTTGAGTTCGACACGAAGCACGCCTGTAATCTTCCCACTGCCATGACTGGCAGTTAACGGTAAGAACTCGAATTGACCATCGGGACTGCCGGTATCTGTCAGTAATCACGAAAGTGAAAACTAGAGGGTATAGTTACAAATATGTTCCCGATATGTTCTGCGCAAACTTTCCAATGTCTAGGAGGATACTACCGTCTACCTTCCAGTGAAAGCCGCTTTGTAGCTGAACCTCTGCTTCAGAAGTCAGAGCAAGGTCGATAGCTACCAATGCGCTAGCGTATGCGTCTGGTAACGCCATTCCTAGTGAAGATTGCGATCTAAAAAGTGGTAACGTGTAGGTCGCTTCTACTGTGAGAGTAACTCCCAGTTCTAGATATAATTCTAGATCCTCCAGTGCAAAGCTGAGGGTCAAAATTGGAATAGGGTCGATATCCGGGAGGTTGAAGTCGATATCAATAGTGGGGAACTGAAGGAAGTTAAGAGGAAATGCCTCCTCAAGTTCCGAGGATACTTTGTCAAGGCCTTTCTTGAGCAGTTCAATTGAGTCATCGGCGAAATCATTGAACGAAATGTCTAAATAGTCACACGGTAGAATGTCGAACTGGTTGAAAAATTCTTTCGTTTCCTCCACTGCCTTATTCGCGATGCTCTCAACCTCTGCCAGGAAATTTGTCGCTATCTGTTTCAATTCAGTTATTCAAGTAGTCCTTGACGCGGTCGAAAATTTCTCCAACCTCGCTTCCAACCACACCTATCTTGCTATTCACGAATTTCCTAGCCTTATCAAGTGCTTCCTCGATGATACTGGTCATTTGATCCTGGAACACAGTTGTGACATTAACAAACCTCTCAGTACCTTGTGTAAGGCCGTCTTTGGCTGACCCTTGGGCTTTTGTCGTAATGTCATTGATCGTTTCATTAATGGTGTTCCGGTAGTCGATAAAAAGGTCGACCACATCTCCGTCTCCTGGTACTTTCAACGCCGCCTGGACCGTTCCTTTGATATAGCACAATTTACATGCGATTTCAATGCCTACTGAGATTGTGGAGTTTTCTTTTTCCGACGATCTAACGGGGCTGCAAATTAGCTTTTGATCCGCAGTCTTCACGTCTTAGTTACGACTAATACCTGGCAAACTTGAACAAGGTCACATCTCCCCAAGTGGTGTCAAGATGAGTTCTATCGCTTTGATAAGTCCGATATCTCTGGCGATGAGATTTTGGTGGTTCTCAAGAACCACGTCATCGAGTTAGCCCTTTCTAAAGGATCCATTTATCTCTTTGTCAGAAACAAGACTGTCGGAGACTACCAAGCGCGTCCACAGAAGTAGAAGTAACAGCGCTAAGACAAGACGACGGTAGGCTATTACAGAGCGCATGGTCAAGTATGTCGGACTTTAAGTCAGAAAAACTATATCGATGCTAGAAATCATATAATGTCTAAAGTGAGTGGTCAATAGGTTTGAGGACTGTATATATACTGAGAAATATCCCACGGCTCTCTCAAGGAAAATACTAAATACTTTTGTAATAATCGTGCAGGTTGCCGTAATTCTCAGCCGCGCTGCCTTGCCCAAGTAAAGCCCAACAAAGTTGACTTGGTCGGTCAGCAGGGATTCTCTGCTCATTTCCATAAGAAGAATGCATAGCTTGCAGATCCTGACCAGACTGTGTGTTACTCTAGTACCGTATTCTCTCTGTGGGGTGGCGCGGGGCTGAATGCATAAAACCATTTGGGAACCCCATAAAAATACTCCGTATAGGCTTAGTATCACTCTCAATGGCAATTTCATGATCTACCCGCCCGTGCCACTTTACAGTACGGTAGAAATTGCAAAGAATTTAAGCATTTTATTGCCTGCATAAATTCGGAACCTGACTGCTCTTAGTAACCTGTTGGTCGCATTGCATCGAGCGGAGCCACCACTATCTTGTCTCCGGTGTTAATCCCTGCTTCTGTTGGCTCAGAACGCAACACTCCAGGCTACCAAGGGTCCAGAGAGAAGTGGTGTGAGCCTGATTCTTGATAGCGTCAGAGCGTGTCAGGTGAAGCCGTTGAAGAGCCTTAACCCTTTCTCAACAGCATGAATATGACTACATACATGTCCGACGGACATTTACTAACGACCTTTGGACATATTCATGGTTGAATGTATGTCTCAGTTCTACACATCAGTAGCAAAGCAATCCAGGTGCTCTATTCACTTGGTGTACGAAACCATGTCTATCTTCAGCGGCGACTCCCGATGAACAACAATACTGCACGAATCCAGCTCGGTAAGAAGGAGCGGATTGCTTTGTTTCTTTCTCAGTTCGCAAGAAACGATAATTTAAAGGAAGCAACCTGAGATAATATGCGGCCCTGATTGGCAAAGGCGAGGCGCCTGCGGCCACAGAACCTTGTCACTGAGTGTCATACTCAGTGGCTGGAAGGTTCTAAATATTGGAAGGTGATGGGGTGTGACACTGAGGAAAGAAGAGATGTGTGTGTATTGTGTGTTTGAGGGAGCTAGGTCTGAAGTGGGGAGGCCAAGAGGGAAGTGGGTGCCTCAGGCCCCGATTTCAACACCGAAAATTCGGCACTTACGGCAATTAAGCTTCCTTAGCGAGACGCTACCCCGCTTTCACTTCCCCATCAGCCCATAGCTACCTTTAAGGCAGCCTCTAGCAAGAAGGACCTCGCAGCGACTATATCGCTCTTTTCAGTAGCTAGAAATAATGCCCCTGACACTAAGTTTGATTTGCGCGTTTCGTGGCATCATATCGCCGCCTACGCCGAGCCTAAAATAGCTTGAGGTAGATAAAAGACTTGACCCTTGATTATGTTGTAGATTGTAGGATTTCAATGGTAGCAAGGTTCACTTGAGGGCCAAGCCTTTTATCCCTCCGATCAAAGTACAGTGAGTCGCTACGATGTCAAAAAGGAGGGCACGCTGGGCTACCACCATCTCGGCCACCGTATAACTAATCCACTTAGCTACGAGTCGAGTGCTAATGAGTCTGCAGGTCTTATATCCCGGCATTGGCGTTCAAAGTCGTCCTCAGAATATGTCAAAATGGGTCTCTGTGCATTAGATAATAGAGAGAGCTCATTCCAAGAAAAGAAAGAAAAAGGATGAGGCTTGTTTAACAGCGCATGACAAAATTCGTTATGTAAAAGAAAACATGAGACTGCATGATGCTGTTGAAACGCGATTGCCTGTGTATTGGAATTGCAGCCAACACACGTAATGCGCCACAGTATCAATGAGGAAGGTGGAGAAATGCGCAAATCCCGTGACGATGTGAGATATGAATGTAATGGCAACTCGGTGCAGGCTAGAAAATCACGGACAACAAGAGTAATTTGTGGCTTTCAAGTTAATCCTTCTCTGTTCTAAGAGCGAGAATCACTAAAACTTTTATTTGTAGATAAAAATAGTCAACTAAGAGTCTTGGAGGAGCAGGCAACGACAGACCACGGTCGTTAGTCAATAAGTCGCGCTTTACTATCGGCACCTGGTACCTTTAATCTTCTCAGCCTCGATCGGCCAATGAACAAGGTACGCTTAGTTCAAGGCACTTAAGGTGGTCCTTGTCACTAACCGAGAGACGATTTGTTTCAGGCTCCTCCGACCGCCTTTGTTACTGACCAATGTTTGTCAGACTGCCACATCTGTGAGCGAGAGATAAGATAAATGGCGATAAGTAGCCTCTAAAATAGAAGAGTAATATAAAAGGGTTATTAACAAGCCCTGGTGAATAAATAAGTGTGATTAAACTTAGAATTGATAGGAGCACTAAAGAGTATCTTGAGTTCTAAGTCATCTTAGAGATAGCTATTATATTATTAGGTTTACTGAGTTTGTTACCCTTGGTTAATCTTAGAATTTAGTCTATTAGCTTTCCAGTCCAGGCCGGATAGGGCTGGTTAAAATTATCTACTTTAAGGTAAGTTTTAAAAAGAATAGATCTGCTTATTAGTTTATTATTTTAATTCTACTCGTTAAAGGTCTGACATGTTTTCAATTCTTAGTCTTCTAAGCTAACTCTGTAACTTATTACTTTCACTAAGAATGGTATTACAGGCATAGCTATAGCTCCCTAGAGCTTTACATTGAATAGTACGCAAGACACAACTGAAGACCAATGGTTATTGTAGATAATGGTAATTTTAAATTATGATGAAGAGAATAAAAAAATGCAAAATATAATTGTTATGCAGGACTGCATCCCCTTACTGAACATCACCCTCAATCAGGCAGGCCTCCTCTTCAAAGACGTTCCAGGTACGTTCCACGTATAGTCAAAGCCCTGTCCAATGAGGATACAGTAACCGTTGTTCATCTGGAACTGCGTATAATTACAGTCGTTTCGCTGGCCACAAGCTTCAATACACTTCTCCATTGTAGTGCCCAAAAGATAATCGAGTTCGGTGTACCCGCTATATGCCCAATTGCACCTCAGCTCATATTCAGTTCCATCATCCCCAGTGTAAGGATTGGGAAGATCGCCACATTAGGCCGGGATTTGATTAGGTGCCTCGGACGTTGTCATGGCAGCGGTCGTGGTTGTAGCAGTGGGGATAGACTCTCGGCTAGTGGTGGCCAAAACTGTGGTGGTGTCGGACTCAAGAAGCGTAGTAGTGACAGACCCAGTAGCTGTTAAAGTCTAGGCTTTAGTGCTGTCGGTGGACAAGGTGGTAGCCGGAGCTGTCGATGTGATGTCGCTTGTGACTGTAGTAGCTATCACACTACTTGGGTCCGAGGACGAAGGACGGCATGGCCCCGCGTTGACGACAGCGAGGGCGGTCAATAGAATCGCCCGGGAATTGGAGAAAATCATGATAACGAATGACGACGGTGAGTGTACCAAGTAGAAGAGGCAATTCTGTGGAATGGATGGCCTAAAGCTATTTCTTGTGGCTCTATAAACTCAACCGAACCCCGTTTGTGTTTGGTCCATGTGCTGAACTATTGATGTGCTACTGAATGAAATTGTTTTCTTGTGTAAAACAATCCATTAAGATTTTAGTAGTGGGGAGCACCCGAAAGGTGGAGATTTTACAGCTGAGGCTGAACTAAAATTACTGTCTACCGGCTAAACTGACAGGCGGCAACACGACAGAAAGGGATTCGGCAAGACTAATAGTATCTATGTCTATTCACTGTATGGACTTAGCTGGCCATTTATTAGTAAAAGGCTGCCTATAAAAACGTTGTAACACTGTTATTATAAGGGTACAAATAATGTTCAGGCCTAGTTGGCCTGCAATGCTACTGCTACATCCTTTTTTCTTTTGCTTTAACCTTTAACTTTGTTTAGCCCAGGCTTTCCAAATCTCCTTATATTATCAACAATAAAGCTATTGCTATTTATGTAAAATTCTCGAAGGTTCAATTTCTAGTCCGTCTTCAATCTAGTTATTGTATTTTCAGAGCGCGGTTGTTGCAAATGTTTGTGCTTTAATGACTAACATTTAGATGGAAATAAAGCTAATAGCAGACAAAGACTTAAGGGACGTAGCTTCTTTCCTGGAGTGACATAACCTGTTATAAACTATCCCAGCAGGTACTATGATTCGCGGTTCCGCAATATTATTGCAGTAATAGTTATTAATAGCCCGACTTAGAATATAGATTTAGGGTAGCCTAAGATAAGGCCGGGGAAGCATAATGCAAAATGGCTGTATGCAAGCCTGTGTGAGTATGTATGGTCATTCAGTCTTGAAGATGTAATGAATACATTATGATGAAGGAATGAGCGCGATTGAATATTTACAATTATTAATACTTACATGAGTAGTGATTGATGTTGAACTATAGGGTCACAATGGACAATGGCCATTTTATGTCAGAATGAGAATGCAATAGGTCTAATATTAATGGCCTTTATGACCTTTCTGATTACAATTTATATAACTACACACATCGTTTTACGCTTTACCGCCGATTCGCCTTCTAGCCAGCACAGAGCTTAGCATCCGTGGCACCACCTTACACCATGCCCATCTATCTCGCCAGTACAGCAAAGTCTAACCAAGGTTATTCGGACTCTTCGCCCGAATCTTAGGCCCGTAAAGACAGAAGATAACTGGCACCGGCACAAGAACCAGAGCCAAAAACGCCAACACGCTGTTTCCCCATCCGAGACCCAAATCATCGTACATGGACAAGCCAGCCAACGGAAGTATAGCGCCGGCCAGGGATCGGAGGACTGTCATTGCGGCGACGACTGAGGCTGCGTAGGTGATGTAGGCGTCGACGAGATATGTTTGCAGACACATCTGGTACCTGTTAGCAATGCTCTCTGCGAATGTGGGTGAAGCTTACCATGATGCCCATGAGACCGAAGCAGAAGAGCGCAACGCCAATCATGGGTACGATCCAGTGCGTGTGCTGATCGGCTGACCAGCCATACCAGAACAATGCGCCCACGATAAGCAGACCAGACGGCAAGGTCATCCAAATCGGCAACCGATCCTCGGGGACCGTCTTCCCGTTCTGCGCAATCTTCTTCTTGATCACCACATCCGTCATGATTCCAAACGTGATAGTACCGAGGAGCATGCCGATGCCCGTGGGAAGATACGCCAAGCCGATGGTGCCTGTCCCGAAGCCGTACTGCTGCGCGAAGACAAAGGTGAAGGTGCTGAACATGAGATACAGCACGCCGTAGACGACGGCGACGTAGAGCGAGAGGATGAAGACGGGAGGTTGGGTGAAGAGCATCTTCATTGGGCGGATGCAGGCGTGGCTGAGGCGTTGTTTGGCTGTGAGGCCGTCCATGTCGAGAACAGAGTATAGATCCTGGTTTCCGGTCTCTTTCTGGAGTTTCTTCGTTTTTCGGCGGAGGAGCGTAGGACCGTATGTCTCGGGTGCGGCGAAGTAGCAAAGCACTCCTATGAAGCCAGTCTAAAAGGTCAGCATAGGTATTCCCCCTACCACAAGTTAGGCACTCACAAGAATAGCGATCAGCCAAAACACCCATCGCCACCCAATAGCCTCGACCATGTAACCACCAGCCAAAGGACCAATACACGGCCCCAGCAAAGGCCCCATGGCCCAAACAGCCATCGCCTTGCCCCTCTCCTGCACAGGGAAGATATCCGAGATGGTGCCACTGCCGTTCGTAACAGGCGTCGAGCCGGTGAAGCCCATGAGGAAGCGGAAGACGATAAGCATGGGCATATTGGTGCTGAGGGCCGTGGCGATGGTCATGATGAGGAAGAGCACGTTGGCGACGTTGAAGACGATGGCGCGGCCGTAGATCTCGCTGAGCGGTGCGGCGAGCAGAGGGCCGAAGGCGAAGCCGAGAACGTAAACGGAGACGACGAAGGTGGCGATGTTGCGGTTGCCGGTTTCGAATTCGCGCATGATGTCTGGGACGCCTGGGGCGAACATGGAGGAGCCCTGGGAGAGTTAGATGCTATCTGGAACGTGTTGGGTATACTTACGAGTGGTCTATTGAAGTTAGCATATGAGTGTCAAAGGGTAGAAGAGTAAACTTACGTCAAGAGAGTCATGACCGACAAAGCGCCTATACAAGACCACTTCTTCTTGGCCGGCCAATTCATGGGATTCTCAGGATCATCTGGTCCATCCCATCCCACCGCGTTAGGATCCTGCGATTCAGCGGCTTCCTTGGTAGTCTCCTCATCGCGAGGCTTCGCAGCATCACTGCCGTTGTCGGAAGGAGTGAGCGTTCGCTGGCTTCCAGGTCGTATTCCGTCCATCTTTTCCAGATTGCTTCCAGGCATGATGTCGAGATGGTGTGTTGCAGTAAAGATGTCGAAAGGGGGCAGAGTGAAGATGTTTAAATAACCAAGTGTTAGATCCAAACCGCCATCGTGACTGAAACCAACCGACCAATCAATTTGCTTTTCGAATGCGAAACCGATAACGCGGGCGCAAAACAGCCAATCATTGTCTTGCGTCGGGCTCTTAAACGAGCCCGAACCCATGGAGATTTAGTCCCGTGGCGCGGGTTTTATGCCGGGCCCCACACGGGATCGCTGCGCTCCGGACCGTCAGTTATGCATACCCTCCGGCTTTATACAAAGTTATGCATACATACCCGGAAGGCCCCAATTCCTCCCGGTGGATTAACCTGCATACGGTCGACAAACCTTTCAGCCATTCCTGGCCGCAATGCAGCAGAAGGAATGCCAATTATTTTTATCGCCTACACACTTTTTTTATTCTCCCATAAGCAAATGTTTCCGTCGATATTTACCTTATTCCCGGGCCGAATCATCCAGAGTATTGCTCAAATTAAGGGCAAAGTGCGTGAAGCAAGGAACCGAGTTGCCAGTCACAATGGAAGACGTTGCTTTGATCAACGATGAACTTGCCAAGTTGAACATTCCCCTCGCTACTATCTAGTGCTGGTTTAACATCCTAGGTCGTTACCTCGAAGTCAGTGGAAGGGTCAAGCATTGCCAACAGCGGCATGATCTTCCAGTCATATTCGTCCCCTGACCGGTGACAGCAGCCACGTAAGCAGCGCGCCCAACAAATGAAATCTTCAATCAATTTTCCGGGGATTAATTTGATGACCTTCAGGTTTGAAATGGAAACGCCAGAATGAAAACAAACTAATTCAAGAGATTCAAGTTCAATTAACTGGTTGCAGATGTTATCTTATCAGTAAGGCTAGTGATAAGATAGGTGACTAAGAGAGATATCAAATTCTTATCGTTTCAAGTGGAAGACAACTACCCTATATATCTCATAGTCGAGTCAAATGGGATAAATAAGAATGCAAAAGTGAATTAATTTAAGCGTTGAAGTAGGTGATTTAAATTAACTTGAATTGACTGGATTGAAGGGATTTGATTTGTTGGGAGCGTTCCACGTAAGCAAACACAGGATAATACCCCACCCAAAGATACGCCATCTCAGTAGCTGCAAGATGAAAGATGTCAAACCTATTCTTACAACTCTGGGATAAACCGCTGAGTGGCGGGGCAAGAGTTTTGCAGCGTTGGCGCTGAGTTTTATCATTAGTAGTAGTGTTTTGCCACTGTTGGGATCAGGACTGTCGAGCAGGCGAAGGGTGCGATTGGGTCGCTTAATTGGAGACTTGCGCATGAAAAGATGTTTGAGATGAATGAAATTAGTATCGTAGGTGATAGTACGGTGTCTTGTTAGTAGGGTTGAGGAGTGTGATGTGGTTCAATTCGGCAATAGGCTTCGTGAACTTCGAAGAATGCAATATTCACTGATTAATCGACTATTTATCTGTTTTGAGGCCCCACGCTTAGATACGCATTCTCTTTTGGGGAATTACGTATCAAAACTATTGACCAAACACCTGATAAAAAATAAATCGACCTTTGGCTAAAAGCCTGTGTAGTCGTGACTAGCAGCTAGGAAGCCTAGGCCTCGGAAATACTGACACAAAGAGGTACATTCATAAACACAAATGCAGAAGAAGAAGCATACGGCCTGGACAGCTAGACTTGTAAGGTGTAAGATCATAAGAACTTAGACTCGAGTCAGACACAATTTAATTGTTGATAGTCGGCTGCAAGTTTACTACGACGCCTTACATGCGACAAGCTACCTGCTTATTCTAGAGATGCCCATGACGCTCCACCTGTCATACCCTTAGCTCTCAAATAGCGGCTGTTCCAAGCTCTTGCCGAACTACCAGAATCCCCATATCCACAACCTACGCTAAGCACCATCCAAAAATAGCAGTAAAGCCCCTGTCAGCCCTGTCGGATATTCGTATGCATCACCAATCCATGACCTTGTTAGATAAGCACTAATTTATTGGCAACAGTGACGATTTCGGACAAGCACTTGTTTCATTGGATAAGTTTCCGTATCGCGCTTACTAACGCTGAGGGTTCTGTGGACTCCATACAAGGCACTTGGTTCAAAGAAGTTGTCGAAATGATTATCCGCTACGAAAAGAGGAGAGATCATGGCAGCGCAGATTATCCTCCACTGGCTCAACTCGACCCTGGGCAAGTTCCAAAAGTAGAACGACATGAACTTTAATAGAATGACTCAATGAAACTAATGGTTAGTCGGCACCAGCTCACATCGCCCAGCTCTTGGATTACATCTGAAAGCTGACAGTGGAGCCCTGAGATTGAACCATCAGATATCTTCACTGAACCCGATTCCGAAAACCTGGCCAGACGCAGCACACTTTGTCAACTAACCAATTATATCAATTAGCTGGACTTCACGAAATCTCACCTTGGGGGCCAAATGTTACTAAGTATCGTCACAAGACAGCCTAGCATTGTACCCCGCCACACCACCGCATTTACCAAGAGTCCCAAACTAGACATCAACAGCGCTTGAAGCGACGCTACGGCAAGGGTGATCCTTCAGGAGCCCCAAGTCCTGCTGATCCATACGTCTTTGGGTCTAGTCTTCGGCCCGTCGCTTCAGCACCGTCAGCGAGTTCCATCCCATTTGGCGGAGAATGACGAGACGTAGAGAACAGAACTGGTTATTGTCTGTGCGCCAAGTTGGGAAAACTGGGACTGTCCTGCTGTTGATAAATATGAGGTCCGTCCGCGCGGAGAGGGAATTTCTCTGGTTATCTTCTTGTGAACCTCTTCGCATAGAAATATGGCCGCAACTAATGGAGACTCTGGCAAATTGCCCCAAAAGACCCGTGAGGTTAGCAATAACCACATGGACTCGAGAATCTGGAACGATGTGAAGCTCAGGCCTGATGATATCATTATCAGCACATACGCAAAGTCGGGCACAACTGTGGGATATATACACTCTCTTACCATTCTGAACAAATCGCTGACTTTTTAAAGTGGATGCAGCAGATCGTCTCTCAGCTTCTCCACCAGGGCGACCCAACTGTCCCAGCAGGTGCCGTGTCCCCATGGGTCGATCTACGTATCGTGCCCAAAGAGGTGATGCTCGACATGGTAGAGAGTCAGACCAACAGACGCTTCATGAAGTCCCATCTCCCTGTCGACAGTCTCCCCTGGGATCCCAAAGTAAAATACATTTTCATCGGCCGAGACGGTCGCGATATGGTCTGGTCCCTGCACCACCACTTCTACGTCGCCACCCCAGCCTTCTACAGCTTCTTTGAAAACACAGGCTACGACGGCCCTCCCCCTCAACGCCCCGGCGAAAGCCCGCGCGACATGTTCATCGATCTCATCGAGGACGACACGCGCCCATCGCTGGGCTGGCCTTTCTGGAGCCACATCCGCGGGTGGTGGAAGCTCCGCCACGAGCCGAACTTGATGATGATCCACTTCAACGATCTCAAGGCCGACCTCGAGGGCAACATCCGCAAGATAGCAAAGTTTCTCGACATCCCTGACTTGCCGGATGATAAGTTCAAGGCTGCGGTCGAGCACTGCACATTCGACTGGATGAAGGCGCATGCGGCATTGTCAGCGCCGCCGCAGGCTGAGGTTGCGTGGGAGAATGGTGCGAGTGATTTTGTGAACAAGGGTTCGAATAAGAGATGGAAGGATGTGTTGTCAGAGGAGGATAATAAACGGTATGAGGAGAAGGCGAGGGAGGAGCTTGGTGACGAGTGTGCGAATTGGCTGCAGAATGGGGGTGGGATCAAATGATGGATCTGAAACAGTGATGCTACCGGGTTTTTGAATTGTCGGTTTATTTGAATGAGCCAGAATAAATAATGGTTGTTTCCTCACCAAGCTGTAAGCGGTGACGTATTCAAGACTTGGTTCAGGATAACCATCACAGGCTCGTGCTAGATTTCTATGAATAATCCATTCCGACCATAAGGTCTAGTTTCCACCATGTAAGTACTGACTGGAATCTGCTCGTAATGCTTGCTTCATCATCCTTCTATCAAATCCACTTCGAAGCTATGCGACACACACCAAAGCCTGTACGGCCCAAGACCAGTCACAAGTAACTCAAGTAAATATATGGAAAAGTGTCATCATTCACATCACGGTGTAGAACGAAAGAAAACCATAACAAGACTTGATTACTACACAAAATATTCCAAGGAATAGCATGAAAATGCGCTGCAATATTTACCCACCAGGCGTCCAACCTGTAGCACTCCAACTCTCCGGACTAATGTCAGGCCAATACAAACCCTGCGACCCATCGTGATACATAGACGCATCGATAAACTGCAAATCCAGCACAGGCTGCGACAAGAGTTCCTGCAACGAAGGCTCCGACAACGCCATCCCAGCCGTAGGATTCGTAAACGCATCCCCAACATCAAGCCCCTCCAGATGCATCATGCCCGCGTCAGGCACAGCGAAATGTCCCCGGCGCGCCTCGACAGCCGTCATGCAGACCTTCATGGCGTCGACGTGGCGACAGAACTCCTCTGCCGCGAAGTTGCCGTTCTCTTTTATCTGCGCGAGGAACTGCGCCGCTGACTCGAACTGCTCCCTGTCGCTGCGGCACTCCTTCCCGTCGATGAGGCTGGAGATGGCGAGCACGGTAGCCGCGGCGAAGAGATACTGCGTGTAGAAGTAGTCGAAGGTGGCGAAGGAGCCGTCGATCCAGCATTCGATCAGTAGGCGGCACGAGTGGCGTGCGCAGCGGATGCAGGCTTCCGACAGGGTTTTGGCGGACACGGGGATCTGGGGCTCCGTGCGGGGTTGCGTGGCCCATGCTGTGACATGGGTTCGTAGGACGTGGAGAAGGATGGGACGCGTCGCGGTGATGGCGACCTAGTCGCGTTAGAAAAATCTCAACACGGACGCGGTACTTACCTGGTTAAAGTACAAATGCAGCGACAAAGGTTTCGGACTTGGTTCGGGAGCATCCGTAGGCTCAATGTGTAGATGCGATGGCAATTCCTCTACAAATGCACGAAGATCTCTCAACGCCTCTTGAACCCGCTGCGAAAGGGTCTTTTGTTGTGGTTTCCTTGTATATATCGAATTAATCACCCGCGCCGCGAGTGCCGCCAGACGTATACTAGCGATGAAATACGCAGAGTCTGCAAAATCATCCGACGGCACGCCCAACACAGGATCAGTGGGTAGATCAACTTCGATATCGTCATCGCGAATCGCAACAGGGTGGCCAAGTCGTGAAGCCCACATGCGATCAAAGCTGTAAGCAGTCCACCAAACTCGATTCCTATGTTCTCTCGCACCGGCATCGCGGAGCTGGGACTCTGGGACGTTGAGATGAAGACCCATTACTACGGATAGACGGACTGAGGAGCCGGCGAGGGCATAGGCTGTGTATCGACGGTTGAGAGCGAGGGAGTAAAAAGACTGAACCGTTAGCTAAGCCTCTTGATGAATTTGAATTGACTTACAAGAAGGAGGCGGACTTCGATGGCGTCGATACGTGGCCGCTCACTGATAATGCGAAGAATGCGGGTAGCTCTCGCAAAGTACGCCATTCCAGGAAAGTTTCTGTCCTTGGCAGCTGTTCGCGTAGAGTACATCTCGCCAATAGCAAACAAAACCCAGAGTTTGCTCTTGAGCAGGGAATCAGTCGAGTGCGGGTTCACAATGGTTTGCTCAAGGCCCTCGAGTATCTGACTCCGTCGCACGATGTAGTAGCAGCGACTGACATACTTGAGCGCAACATTGACGAGCAACCGTGCGCGGGATGGAATAGGCCATGGACAGTCCTCGTCAGAGAGAGCCAGCAGCGTTTCATCGGGCGCATAGTTGACTCTGGGGATGTGGCTGTGTCCAGGCTCTGAGATGGCCTGGCGGAAACGCGTGGCGAATGCAGCATCTGAGGCCTCGCCGATGAGAACAGGTGTGTGAAGAACATTCATGTCGAAGAACCACGGCCGCTCCTCTAGTAAAGTCCCCTGTAGTGATGACGGAGCCTCTGCTTGCCCGGCGGGAGCAATTGGTGCATCGACAGGATCTGCTTCATGGTGAGGTTTTGGGTCTACACTTTGATTACGAAGACGCTGGTTCTCGGCGACGAGATCGTCAATGTATCTATACTAGTTAACATAATAAGACTAGAGGTGAGGCGATGACGTACTGTTGGCTAACTTTAACAAGTCTGTTCTTGCGCGGATATGAACATTCAGCACCTTTACTCGCCTGGCTGCAATTCTCACAGGGCTGTCCACCAGAGCACTTGACTTTCCGCGCATGACACCGGCGACACCTGAGAGCCCATCAGTAACTAAAATTCCAGCACCGCAATGTCTCACTTACGCAGTTGATTTTGTCTTGCGCAGTCGTTTACCCGAGGTACTAGGCGTAATACCAGACGAGCCGAGATCGTCTTTACTCTCCGGCTCGGAGCCATCTTCATTGGAAGTCATGGCGTGACACTGAAAGACAGCAACAGCCCGGCGAAATAGACGTCTTAATCAATCTGGGGACCTGATTGGGTCCCGGTGGTTGTCGTGTGACGGCCAATTGTGTATGGAAAACGGTTGCATGATGCCGACATTTGCACGGCGAAAATTAGATTGCCCGTGATGAGTCAGCGGGCCGAAGATGTGGGTCTCGGTAAAGAGCACCGATTTTGGCCGATTGACCCCGGAAATTGCACGGGAGTCACATCCGACACCGCTAGATAAAGGCTTGGAGGATCCACTTGTAGTCATTGATCATCCGGGGAGAGTTGTTTTTAACTGCTGAATTTGTAAGGAGGAAAACTCTTTCTGGTAAATATTTTAATGGTGTTCATGTCTATATTTGTGCATTGTTTTGTTTGTTTTTTCAATAGAGCTCAACGTTCGTTATCATAATAGGTTCCCTCTACATAAATTATTCATTCTTTCATAATCTCCGCCATGCACAACAGTGAACCGAATCCCCCAGGGGCAACATTATCATCCCCCGAAGCACCAGAACCACCGCCCAGAGCCATCGACGACGACGTCGCCGAGATTCCATCCTGGAGAAAATGGGTCATCCTCTTCGTCGTCTGCTGGATGCCCCTCCCCATGACATTCTGGAGCACAGCCATCATGCCCGCCACCATCGAAGTTGCCTCAGATCTGGACATACCAGTCACCACGATCAACACCATCAACGCCGGTGTTTTTGTCGCACAGGCCCTGTCGGGGCTGATATGGTTACCAATCAGCACAATTATCGGTCGGCGCTCGGCGTATCTTGCTGCGAACATCGTGCTGTGTCTGTGTGCTGTCGGCGTCGCTGCGGCGCCGAATTTGCCTGCGTTTGCGACTCTTTGGATCTTGGGCGGCACTACGGGGCCGTTCTTTCTAGTCGCTGGACAGACCATCCTAGCTGATATTTTCGATCCGGTGAGTATCACTGTTGCAATGATGGACCATTGGAGCTAATATTTGCAGACGGCTCGTGGAACGGCCGTTGGATTCTTCCTGGGGAGTTGTGTATCCGCAAACTCAATTGGTGCGCCACCTACAGCCTTACAACGACTCTGCTAACATCATTAGCGCCTCTCATTGGTAGCATCATTGCGACTTTCACTAGCTGGAGAGTTATCTACGGTGTCGAGGCTGGAATGTCTCTGTTTGGGCTGACTCTTTCCTTCTTATTCATCCCCCGCGCGAGTGAAGTCGAGAATCCAAAGCTGGCACAGCCCACACGTCCGCAGACGACGAAAGAAATTCTTCAAACGTTCAACCCGAAACACGTGTTTTGTCAATTTGTGTATCCAAAAGTCATTCTCGCTGTACGTATGTCCCTTCACATGAGAGAAACGCACTGACTTGAGTAGAACATCGCCTGCGGTCTTTTGGGTTTCAACCAATACGGTCTCCTCAGTTCTGTCCGTCGCGTGATAAATCCACGCTTCGATCTCACATCTCCCCTATCGAGTGGTCTATTCTATCTAGCCCCCGGTGCAGGATTTCTCGTCGGGAGTACCGTGGGAGGTAAGATCTCCGACGTGGTGGTGAAGAGATACATGCGAAAGCGCCACGGGCAGAGAATCCCCGAAGATAGGCTCAACAGTAGCTTACCGAGTATTCTCCTCATCCTACCACTAGGCACGCTACTTTATGGCTGGAGTGTGCAGAAGAGACTCGGCGGTATGCCACTACCAGCCATAAGTGCTTTTGTCGAGGGTTTTGCACTGATGAGTTCTTTTAGTGGGTTGAACACGTATGCTGCGGGTATGTTTGATTGTCTCCACGACGGACTGAGCTGACTTGTTTGCAGAAGTTCGACCAGCGCATAGAACGGCGGTCATCACGGGGAAATACGTCGTTCAGTATAGCTTCGGTGCTATGAGTGTTGGCGGTGTGGTGCCCATGATTGATGGAATTGGCGTTGGTTGGGCATTTACTGTTAGTAAGTACACATTATCGTGATTATATTGCTTTGGGGGATGCTGACACAAACAAGCTACGTCTTTATCCCTAGTTGCGGGAATTCTGGTCTTCCTGATAGCAAGATGTAGCAAAAGTTGGAAGCAATAGTTAAGTTGGGTTTTGTTCAAAAACAAAGCAAATATTGTATTTGAATCGTTTAGAATGCTCAGAGACATGGCGGGTCCTGGGTGAGGGGGTCTGAGTGAAGGGAATTTGACTCCTAGCACAAGGGAACGACAAATGGTTAAAGAGTACACGGCGTTGGGACAGAACGATATACGAAGTCAGATTCGAAAGGATTACCTTGGAAGGAATAGATAAAAGTTATCCTTTGACTAGCACCAACCCCGCAAAGCAGATCTACGTGATAAACACCAACGCCACAGTAAGATCCCTAGCCATAACCGTTCACATCACCAAACTCTACTCCCAATCCTTTCATCCCCGACTTCTTTCGGCCGACATTCCTCTATCCAAGACCGCGAATCTGACACTTTAACAGTCTTCGTATTCGCCGTGCGGCTGCGCTAAACACTAGACATCGACGCCTTACCCCAGATTCTCGCTGTCCCGTTGGCTGGGTCTCGCCATTGAGTTTGTGGGGTTTGGCGGCTGGAAGTTTCCGCTGCGCCTAGCTTCATTAGCGCGAGAAGGCGCTTTGCTGGTATGCATTTTCACATGAAAAGTCCCTTGGCTGATGGGCTTTTAAGACAGCCTTGGCCGCTGTTGGGAGATTGCCCTGCTTGTACACCAATTTACCTTGTCTGTAGTTACCTCTTGCGCGTTTTCAATATGCATCTTCATCTGCTGCTCGTTTCTGCATCCCTTGGCGTGGCATTCGCTCAAGGAGGATCTGACCCATACGTGCCTGTCTACACATCATGTCCCTCTGACCTGAATATCCGCAAAGCTTCAGACGTAAGTCCCACCTATCCACCCCACTGCATCGTTAAACCTGACATGCCCAGGGTTTATCCGACGAAGAGAGCTCATGGAGGGAACAACGAGCCAAGAGGATGATGCCTGACTTGGAGGACTACCTTAAGCTAGCTAATATTTCTGGCTTTGACGTCTCGGCCTATCTTAAGAAGCTCAAGGAAGACGACGTACCCATCGTGGGCCTTTCTGTCTCTGGTGGCGGTACACAGTCTGGTATTGGAGGACTGGGCATTTGGCAGGCTTATGACGCTCGCTCCGCTGCTGCAAAGGCTGCTCGGACAGGAGGCTTGACTCAGCTTCTTTCATACATCACTGGTTTGAGTGGTGGTGGTGCTGTGACTGTTTCTTTACTGTAGGTCCACCGCGTGCTCTTCCCAGCAGACACTAACATTCCCAGCGCCGCGAATAATTTCACCACCACCGATAACGTCAAAAAAGCCACAAACTTCTCTACCTCCTACGCCGCGGGTCCAGATGGTAATCAGACGGAATTCTTCCAAACCATCTTTGAAAACGCCGGCGCAAAGGACGAAGCCGGCTTCCCAGTCTCCGTCGCGGATACCTTTGGCCAATTCTGGGGAACATGGCTGCCCGAGGACATGCTGTACGGTAACTACTCCGATATAGCTGACAACGGCACCGCTTTCAATCTAGGCGATGCGCCCATGCCGATTCTGTGTTTTGCGGAAGTCATCCCTGGCAAATCTCCCGAGATCGGGAAACTCATGTACCCCGGCCTCAACAGATCCGAGCTCTTCAACCTGACTACATACGAAGTCACGCCCTTTGAGTTTGGCAGTTGGCTCGGTGGGCGGGTACAGGCGTTTATTCCAACAAAGTACCTAGGTACTTCCATGTCTGATGGCAAGCCGCAGAACAAGACCCAGTGCGTCGAGGGCTTTGACAAGATTACGCTCATGCAGGGAACTACGACGAATGCGTTCACTGCATGGTTCATTGATTCCTTCTACGGAATTCCTGTGTTTGCCAAAAGATGGCTGCAGGAGAGGCAGCAGGTGAATCCGGATATCAACGATGTTCCTATTCCACAGGATCAAGATGATAATCCGCTGGTTGAGCTCGTGAACTCTACGGCTCAGTTCTTTGACTTGACGTTTAATCAGTCCATGTGGTCTACTTATCCGAATCCGTTTGAGGACTACAACGACGATATGAAGGGTGTTTCGGAACTTCTCCTCGTAAGTTCTCATACCTATTCATGGAATCTCACTGACTGGTTTAGGTCGACGGCAGTCTTACTCTTGAGAGTAATCCTCTCCGTCCATTAATAATTCCAGACCGAAAGCTGGATCTGATCATTGTGTATGAAGCTTCGTCAGATGCTCCAAACTCATGGGTCAACGGCACAAACCTAATTAGTACGTCTAACCACATCTTTCCCAAGCCATTACTAACAAGCCAGACACCGCCATCTCCGCTTCAGGAGGAAACATCCCCTTCCCCAAGATTCCAGACGTCAACACCATCGTCGCCCAAAACCTCTCTTTCCAGCCGACTTTCTTCGGCTGCAACGCCAGCGCCAACACGCCTCTACTGCTCTGGCTGCCCAACGCGCCCTGGAGCGGCTACACCAACTACTCGTACACGCAAACCCAATTCACCAACACGCAGCTCGACTCTGCCCTCGACAACGCCTTCCAGATCGCCACGTACGGCAACGGAAGCGTCGACGAGAACTGGCCTGCATGTCTAGCATGCGCGGCTATCAAGGGCTCGCTGCGACGCCTAGATATCGAGTTGCCAGAGCAGTGCGATGAGTGCTTCAAGAGGCATTGCTGGAATGGGAGTACGAGTTCGAGGAAGGCTACGGAGGCGGACTTTGATCTGGGGCTCAGACTTGATCCGGGGTTGAGCTTTGGAAAGTGGAATGAGTCGGATTGGTCGAAGGAGGAGGTTGGTGGGAGTGAGGGTGGTGGTGATTCGGCGGGATCGAGGGTTGGGAATCATTTGATTGGGCTTGTGGTTTCGATTATGGCTACTGTTTATTTGTTGTAGAAAAGTTGATCTAGGTACTGGATGATGAAGTCTAAGAAAGCCATTTACGGATTCGAGGTTGAATAATCAGGGCACGGTTGTTAACTTGTTACCAAAGACGACAGAGCGGACTAGAAACACCAATCATATAACTATACACTAAACTATATCTCAAAAACCAAGTCCGAGAAGACCTCGGGGCATTCAAAGTAAAGCATATCCCTCTAGCGTCTACTTATCCGCATTCTTCACAATCTCAAAGCCCTTCATCTGATCAAGCGCCTCTCGGATCTCCCTCTTATATCGCGGGATACCACCAGCGTAACAAACAGGCTCGTACACCTTCCCAGGGATGGATCCACCCATATAGCTACAAAACATCAGTTCAAGCTTCTCTCATTTTATGGGGGGGGGTGCACTTACGTTGATCGAGTAGTGGGAAATAGACTGATGTTGTTCAGGTCGAGAATGTGCTGCTTCCACTCATCTGCGGCTTTGTTCTCGGGGTTGATGTACTTGATGTTGTTCTTGTTCATCTTGTCGATGCAGTCTACTATCCAACGGCCTTGGACCTCAACGGTTGTGGCTAGGGGGGTTAGCGGTGTTTCTTAACTGGCTTGGGGGTGCTTACGGCCGTTGCTGAGGAGAGTTGGGCCATGGGGGCCGTAGATGTGGAACATGTTGGGGTAGCCTGGGGTCGTGACGCCGAGGTAGGTCTAAGGCTGTTAGTATCTGGGGAAATTCGCGTGATGGACTTCATACTCTTGCGCCAGTCTTCCATTCCTTCTCGAGTTCGGCACCGTCGATGCTCTGGAGTCCTAGCTGCGTCATAACTACCCCCCGTCAGTTGGATCCGAATTCTCTACAGATTCACTACTCACCACCAGTCACAACATCCTATCTCAGTTAGTACATTGTCACACCAGAGACTCATGAGACTTACAAAACCCGTAGCGACAGCAATGACATCAAACTCGTGATGCGTCCCATCCTCCAAGGTGATTCCCGTCTCGCTAAACTCCTTGATACCGTTGTTCTTGATATCCACCACGTCGACACTCGTTCTGTTGAACTGCTCGTAGTAGTCGTATTCCAAACACGGCCGCTTAATACCAAAGAAGTGCGGCATGTCGAGCGGCGCAAGAATATCTCTTTTCTTGGGATCACCGATTCTGTTGCGCGTCTTCTTGGCCCAGAAGTTATACGACTCCTTATTCGCTTCGGCGTCGAACAGGTTATCCTTGTACACCGCAACCCAATACCTGAACCCGCCCTCGCCCCAAACTCTCTCATACAGAGCCTCTCGCTCCTCGGGGGTGTCATCAAAGGTATTCTTCTCATACCAATCATAATGAAAGCCCGCAAAGCTCGTCTCGCGGTAACGGTACAACTCGGGGTAGAACTTCTTTGCCCGATCCTGCTCCTCGGGCGTGGGATGCTTGCGACGGAGGGGAACAGCTAGGTTGGGGGTTCGCTGGAAGACTTTGACGTGGCCGGCTTTGGGACCCCAGGCTTGGGTGATCTGGACGCCGGATGCGCCAGTGCCGATGATGGCGCAGCGCTTGTTCTTGACGTCGACTTCTTCGTCGGGCCAGAACGAGGAGTGGTGGATTGTTCCTTTGAACTTTTCCATGCCTGGCCAGTCCGGGATGTAGCGACGGGCGGCCTGGGGGTGTCAGTGGTGAGAAAGATACTTGGGCTGGGGGTTACTCACGAATCCAGTGCCCAGAACGAGATACTTAGCTTTAGCTACGCGACCGTCCTGTGTGCGGATATGCCAACGTCCACTATCAGTATCGAACTTGGCGCCAACTACCACAGTGTTAAAAGCGCAATCCTTCTTAACGCCAATGACCTTATCAACATGGTCAAAGTACGCTCGAAGCTCAGAATAGTTCGGGTAGTTAGTCGACCAAGTCCAAGAATTATAGACCTCGGGCCAGCTGAACTCATACTCCGGGACTTCCGAGTCAACAGCTGCTCCTGGGTAACAGTTCCATCGCCAAGTGCCCTTCAATATTGTCAGTCGCAGATTTTAGCTTTCACTGTCAGGATAAGGGGCTTACACCAGTGTCATTTCCAGCTTCGTAGATAACTGCCTTATACCCACGATCGCGCAGGGTCTTGAGCATGAAAATACCTGCGAAGCCGGCTCCTACAATGAGGGCATCGACTTCGAGATTATCTGCGTAGGGACCCTTGTCGCCATGGTGAGCGATGGAGTAGTCAGTGAGTTCGGTGTTGAACTTTTTTTCCGATACTGTGATTGGCTCGCCCATATTGCGTGATTTTAAGGTAGATGGTGGATATATTTAGAAATGTTTGTAGAATACGGTGATTGTGTTTCAAGACACTAAGACTCGATAATTGTGATTTGGATATTATTTTTGCAGGGCAATTCCCGTCTTTTAAGCTTCATCTTTCTCCTCTCCCTTCTCTCATCTCCATCCAACGACATAACCATGAAGCACCACAAGACGCACAATTACACAAACACTGCAACACAAGCCAGCATCGGACTCCCATCCGCTGCGCGCTCCCGTGTCCGCAACTGCGGCCGCATGTGATACGACCTCAATTCCAACTCGTGATACCAATAAACGGCAGTGCCCAATAGTCCCTCTGCAGAAACCTGACTTCATCGATGTTACATGACATGTCCCCCCCGCACGTTTCCCCGGATTTGGAAGAAAGCCTCGCGTAACTCATTTGACAACTGCCGAAATGGAAATCCTTGTGAAACTTGGCCTAGCTTCCTCAGGAGTTTAGTGCAGGATGCGGGTCTGTGCACATGCTGCGGACTCGGCTCCGCATAGGTCGAGGCAGGGATCGGCACAGGGGAACTTGGTGTTGAAGATAGTAGCGCACGGAATGCGTGGCAGAATGCGGAATAGAATGATGCATTTGCGGGGGGATTTGAGCGGGGGTGTCTGTGCAATTGTCTGGTGACTTAGAGTGCCCAGGAGGTAGGCATTCAGGCACAGCAATTAGTGCTAACTGCTTTTTTCTTGGTGTTACAAAGATAGTTCACCGTCAAAAGGTGCAATTAGCTATAAAATCTCCATAATTCCACCAGGCTATCGCTTCACCTTGCATCATAGTAGTTAACTGCATCCCATCCACCATATCCCCACAATCCAAACAACCATGCCTCTCAACACCCAAACCACATCCACTCTGCAAGGCATCATTGACAATGCCTGCTCCGATCAAAAGACAGGCATCCCGGGTGCAACCGTCGTAGTGGTCGATAAAGATGGCGAGATCTTTGCCCACTCCGCAGGCAAGCGAGGTCTCAATACCCAGGAGCCCATGACTCTAGACAATGTCTACTGGATCGCCTCTTGCACCAAAATGCTTACAGGGGTTGCTTGCATGCAGCTTGTGGAGCAGGGCAAACTGAAACTCGATGACGGGGAACATGTTGAGAACCTCTGTCCTGAACTCAAGAAACTCAAGGTTTTGAAGCCAGATGGCAGTCTGGAGGAAAAGAAGAATGTTATTACTCTTCGCATGTTGCTAACCCATACTGCCGGCTTCGGATATACCTTTTTTAACGAGAGACTCAGAGATTGGAGTCGGCCGGCGGGGGTAGATGAGTTCTCGGGCAGAATTGAGGATATCACGCTGCCGCTTCTTTTCCAGCCCGGCAAAGGCTGGGAGTACGGCGTAAGTCATTTGTCTCACTAGCAAGTTGTCTACTCACATCCACAGGTCGGTATTGACTGGGCCGGCATCGCACTTGAACGCGCGACCGGCCAGCGCTTGAATGACTATCTCCAGCAGCACGTTTTCCAACCTCTCGGCATCAAAAACATGACCATGCTCCCAGGCCACGCCATGCGATCTAAGCTTGCGTACATGCATCAACGAGATCCAGACGGCACGCTTCGAGTTCGGGATCACCTACAGCGCCTTCCACTAGTAATTGATCCCGACAATGCATCCGAAGCTGCTTCTGTCTTCAACAGCGGCGGCGCAGGCATGTTTGCGCAGCCGCAGGAGTACGGAAGTACGTACATCTTCCTCCTAGTGCAGTGCGATAACTAACGTGTAACAGAGGTGCTCACCATGCTGCTCAACGGAGGAACATGCCCAAAGACAGGAACTCAGATCCTGCGCAAAGAGACGATTGATCAAATGTTTAGCAACAGTGTCGAGAAATTTCCTGATTTTGCACGTCAAGGAATTCCTGCGGCTAAACCGGAGTTGACAAACCCGATCGGAGAGCTTTTCCCTGTCGATGGCAATCCGCCTCAGGTATGATACATACAACCACAATTTATCCGCAAAAGCTGAAGACGTGACTAATGTTTGCAGGGCTGGGGACTGACTTTCTTCCTTACCAACGGTGGTTCATCTGGGCGATCCAAAAACACTGTTCAGTGGGCGGGACTTGCGAATCTTTGGTGGTGGGCTGATCGGGATAATGGTGTTGCTGGAATTATATGCACGCAGATTCTGCCATTCGCAGATGCCAAGGTGTTGGGTCTTTGGGCTGATGTTGAGAAGGAGGTTTATAAAGCAATCTTGTAATTCGCTGTTGTTGCGTTCTGTTTGAGCTATCAATTCAGAGTAGTCAAAATCTACTCGCCCACCCACATGGTCCAATTACCTTTTCTCGATCTGCAACCATTTCATGTCCAATCCATGTAATCTACACGATCGACATTTCCATCAATCCGAGCATCGTATTTACTCATCCAATAACCAAGCATAGACTCCCAATCCTAGTCCGGTGCTCAAAGTCCGGTTCCAAGATTGTCACTCAAGCTAAAACCAAAACAGAAAAGAATGCGGGGAAGCTCATCAGGAATATGTACTTTGATCCGGGGATCCGGAGCTATGTGGGGGTATTCTGGGGTTAGCGAGCCAAGGAGACAGTTAAACTAATAAACACGACTCATCGCCCACTCTTTTTTTCAGCTGGACATTTTCTCGTTTCTTCTCCTCCCCTTCAACCAATTTAAGCTAAAATCGATCATGAAAAGACAACAGTATGCCTGCGATCAGTGCAGGAAATCCAAACGAGGCTGCGATGCTCCGCCTTTGGATTATCCACAGAACATGGACCCTCTGCGCAACGGGAGGATGATTGTTGGAGAAAAGCGTAAGCGCCCTCATCTCCGCACTCCACCAACGCCTAACATCATATGTAGCACCTATGGCTCAATCATCGCCGTGTTCGTATTGTATCAAGACTCATAAAAAGTGCACCATGAATTGGGCTTGGACGCAGATACAGGTTTCGTACGCTTTGGCCGCTGCTGCGCGCGGGGAAGCTGGCATAGAATGCGTTGTTCCGACAAGACGAGCGTCGACCGAGAAGAGTCGCACGTCGCCTACGACTTCGGCCGTTACTGACGATATAAGTCTTGATGCTGAATCGACGACGACATATGTTTCTCAATCACTTCCTCCTGTGCCGGTATTTTCGGACATCGACGTTGGATTGCAAGAAATGGACTTGCCTTCGTTCTTGGACGGTTCTCTCGATACATTACCCTTTGACTTCGAACCGCATGAGACGGACCCTCTGGATACCAATTTCTACGGTGTTGCTTTCAAGGATATCAACCAGTCATCAGATTGTTTGAGTGAACCGTGGGAGTTCTTCAAAGAGTCAGCAACACAACCACCGCCAGTACTCGACGTATTCTCCCTTTCACAACCCATAATCAGCCTTACAGAACCCAGCCAATCACTAGCTCTATCCAGTCCCAACGAAAAAGACTGGAACACGAGGAAAAAGCGCCGCCGTGTGTCCAACGCCTGGAGCGATACCCAAAGCAGCTCTCTGTCATCATTTTCCGTGGATCAATCCATGATGGCACAGTCCAACAATCAACTTATCTCGACGAACCTGTTACAGATCTATCACGATGTTCTCGAGCATAACCTTTCCTGCTGGTTGAATGAGGTCACATGTCCGTTTGGAAGCCAAAAGGATATTAACAGGCCCAGCAGTTTCGCAGAATGGGGCTCTTCGTGGACGAACAGAGTCCTTCGCCGGACCTTGAATCTCGATCAGGTCGCTCAGTCAACTCAGCTCATCCAAATCTCAAGACAGGAAGAGTCAAAAACCGCAAAGGCTCTTCATCTGTCTATTATGGCCTTTGCGACGCAGTGGGCTCAGGGATCACGGCGCCAAAAGGAGCGATATCCTTCACTTGCAGACATTACAGAGGATGACCCACTGAATGAATTCATGAATGAGCTTACGGAGGAATTTGATCGTAATCTCCAGAGAAATATTTGGGACCAGGCCAGAAGGGCTCTTGATGAGGTTGCCGATGTCGAATCTTTTCGCGTCGTCTGTGCCGAGATGATTTTCGGCCTTACGCAAAAGCCTCTTACTCAAGAAGAAATGGCTTTTGGAGATTCAAATCCTCGTGATGGTTATGATGACAAATACGACGCAGAAGCGGTTGCCGATGAAATCGCCAGCATAATCGAAAACGACGGTCCACCGATCTACATGGAGCGAGCAGCTAGAAAGATGCACACGCTAAAATATCGATACGACGCTGAATCAAAAGGCATCTTCAGAAACAGCACCAAAAAAAGACAAAGTGTGTCATCAACAATGAGCACCGAGGACAGGGGCACGATAAGTTTGCTGTACTGGCTAACCGTCATGTTCGACACGGTCAGTTCATCCATGGCCGAAAGACCGGTCGTGGTCGTCGACGCCAACAGCCAGCACGACGATGCCCGCGGGGATACAGACTGGAATGTCCCGCTTTTCATACAGGATAGTTTGGAGAAGCCAAAACTGGTGGTGCATTGGCCGTGCTCGTATGAGGAGGCCGCGGAAGCTGTCACGAGGTCTGCGCCGGTTAAGGTTCTCATGTTTCGACATGTAGCCTACCTACAGAATATCCTGAGGCAGGGAGGGCGCAGAGAAAAGGTTGAGGAGTTTATAGAAAGATCTATCAGCGTGTATAGATACTGGAACATGACGCAGTAAGTCCGTCTTTAGCACTTATTAGTCAAGCTAACAATCTCCCAGCGGCACGTTCTTCAGAGAACTCCTTCAGAACTACGACGCCATCCCAGGCAGAATCCAAAGCTGGTTCATGTGCATCTCAGCCCACTGGCATCTCGGCGTCCTTCTACTCGCAGACCTAATCGAGCACATCGACAACCACAACCTAGGCATCCCCTCACACAGCCACGCGCGCACCAGCAGCAAATGGGTTCTCCGTGTCCGCGAGCGCAGCGCAACAGAGCTCTCTGACCTCGCGCGCGCAGCCGCCCCGGGAATAACCACAGCGCCGCAGCTCTCGGATTTCCACCACGCCATCAACGAGAGCATGCTCCTCACGGAACCGTGGACGATCATCCTGATACGGGCGTTTTCCAAGGCTGGGAACTTCTGGCTAGGGGAGGCGAGCGGGCTGATTAGGTGTGAGTGTGATGAAACGGATGTGAGCGCGAGGTTGGACAGGGCGGAGGATTGTGTTAGGGGGTTGTGGACGTTGGGGAAGAAATCGGACAGCGCGAGGAGGTGTGCTGAGACGTTGTCTAGGGCGAAGAGAAAAGTGGTTGTGTAAGTGGTTTGACTGTGGAGTTTGATTGGTGTAGACTGATCGGTTTGTATATAATCTTAATTGAAGCCAATTCGAATACCGTATATCCGCGAAATGCGTAGTGGCGCCCCTATCAGAACCCACTGGGTTAAGTGTCTTAAAACCAGCCAGCGATTGGCAGGACTAAGACTAATAAAGCTAGAATTCTCTTGCGTAGATACTCCACTTCCTTGATCTAATTGGCGGTGATGGCGCTAGCAATCCCAAGCCTCAAACTGCCACCACGCTAACAGCGTTAAATTCTGTGGACATATACGGCACCTATACTAAACAACCCGTCAGAACTGTTCTTCCAGATTTCTCTATGAGCTGAGGACATCATCGATATCTTTCCTGTTTGCATTGCTCCTGGTATGCAGTCAGCATGAATCCTTGGTTCTGTGGTCTAGTTGGTTATGGCATCTCGTTAACACCGAGAAGGTCCCTGGTTCAATCCCAGGCGGAATCACATTTTTTGCCCTTGAGGCAGATGTAACACATGTCCGTGATATTGTATAACTTTTCGGAAGTATTTCAAGCCGATAAGAATATGCTGCAGTGGCGTAACACTGCTATGTCTTCGAAATGGTGAGCGTTGTGTTTTGTGGAGACCATTCAACGACTAAACTTTTCTTTCCGTACAAGACACGATTGTAATGAAAAGCCTCGTCAGCACAACAACGACATCAGTCATCTTCTTGTACAGTAAAAAAGCAAGACTCTCCTCTAAATCAAAGCCTCCCAAGGTAAAAGACCAGTGGACTTGCATTTCCACAATGATACCCCTTCAAACCCACTCGAGCTTCTCAGCTCCAGGGTAACCAAACTTACCGGCACTTAACGATCCCTCACGTGGCTTCCCCAGATTTCATCTCCATCAAATCCATTCCCGCCTCTTCTCATTGGCCAATTCCAAATCCCCAATAACGATCCCCAGATTTTCCTCGGTCCCCTACCGCGGAACCAGAAGCGGCATACCGAGGTAACCACCGTAACACATATAACACATAAACCAATTCAATTCCATAGACAAACATAAGCATTCAATACAAAACAATTATCTTTAGAATCTCACCCACCATGGCGTTCCATCCACCACCCTGGGTCCCCAATCTGCCCAGTATGTAACCACTCTTAACCCCCCGATCAAGAATTAACAGCGTCAGATATCCCCGACTCCATCAGCGTCGCAGACTTCATCAACACGGAAAAGGCAGGTCGGAAGGCCCTTGCTTCTTCGAAAAGCCCGTATACATGCGGTGTGACAGGCCTATCGCGCACCGCTGCACAAGTCGCACAGCGCGTTGACTACCTCGCGCGCGGTCTGGCAAAGAATGTCGGGTTTGACCCCTCTGATGGCACACCCTGGGATAGAGTCGTGGCCATTTACGCGCTTAACACGGTAAGTTCCCCCCATTATGAGTACATTGACCCATGCTGAGGAAATAATCAGATTGATTACATTCCCGCCACACACGCAATTCATCGCATGGACGGTATTGTCACGCCCGCTAGTTCGGCGCATTCACCGTCAGAGCTTGAGCACCAGCTACGATCATCTGGTGCAAAAGCCCTGTTTACTTGCGCCCCTCTTCTCAGCACTGCACTACAAGCAGCAAAAGCCGTTGGGATCCCAGAAAAGCACATCTTTCTCCTCCCTTTGCCTGAGACGCCCTCCGAGGAAAGCTTCAAGACAATTGAAGATTTAATCTCTGAGGGACAAAGTCTACCGTCGCTGTCTCTACCGGCATGGACACCAGGGCAGGGAAAACGACAGGTAGCTTACCTTTGCTACTCCAGCGGCACGTCTGGTTTCCCGGTATGTATCCCGTGGGTTCCTGTGACTGAGCTATCTAACAAGACGCAGAAAGCCGTTATGATCTCGCACTACAACGTCATAGCCTGCACCCTCATGATTCACACATGCGAGAGCACCACCCGTGCCCAAGACGGGATAGACACGCAAGTCGCGCTGGGCTTGCTGCCGTTTAGCCACATCTACGGCCTCGTGGTGATCGCGCACATCGCGCAGTACCGCGGCGACGAGATTGTCGTTCTGCAGCGCTTCCAGCTCGAGCAGCTCCTGGCCGCCATCCAGAAGTTCCGCATCGAGCAGCTCAGCGTCGTGCCGCCCATCATCGTGCATATCTTGAGCAGCCAGGACAAATGCAGGAAGTACGACCTCAGTAGTGTTCGGCTTGTCTTTTCGGGTGCTGCGCCGTTGGGCGGTGAGACCATTGCTAAGCTACTTGAGCTTTATCCCAAGTGGAGGATAAGCCAAGGCTACGGTAAGTTTCATCCATGAGGTAATTGGAAGTCACTAATGGGAATAGGGTTAACGGAGGCTTCGCCATCGGTGTTTCACACAAGTGAGGCAGATGCACTGCTTGGCTCATCGGGCTCGCTCCTCCCAGGCGTAAAGGTCAAGATCATCGATCAACACGGCAAAGAAGTGACAGAATACGAGACACCCGGTGAATTATACGTCCAGGGCCCGAATGTTGTCTTAGGTTATCTGCATAATGAGAAAGCCAACGCAGAGACATTTGTGTGGCGTGAAGATGGCCGCTGGTTGAGAACAGGTGATGAGGTGCTCGTGCGGAAATCAGAGCGTGGTTTCGAGCATTTCTTCGTCGTGGACAGAATCAAGGAACTCATCAAAGTCAAGGTAAGCCCCAGCAATTCCCGACGATGAACCCATCGCTAATTACCCATCAAAGGGCCATCAAGTCGCCCCCGCAGAGCTGGAGGCCCATCTTCTCGACCACCCATACGTCGCCGACAGCGCAGTGATCGGCATCGTGGACGAGCGCGCAGGCGAGGTTCCACTGGCGTTTATCGTCAAGAGCAACGAAGCAAAGGGCGTTTCTGATGAGGAGGTCACAAGGGCTGTGTGCGGGCATGTGGAGGAGCATAAGGCGCGACATAAATGGCTGAAGGGAGGTGTAAGAGTCTTGGATGTTATTCCCAAGTCGCCGAGTGGGAAGATCCTGAGACGTATTTTGAAGGCAAAGGTTTTGGCGGAGAAGCCTGTTGCGAAGCTATAGTTTGAGCATATCTATAAATATAATTATTCGTAAAGCGAGTGCATTTATTAATCTGCTGGAGATCCGACTGGTCCAATACATAAGATAGTAAATTGTCGCAGCAAACTCGAATGCATCAGCACTAACCATCCATGCAAGGCACCAAAAATACAGTCATCAACGCAACCTTTTCTTAAAAAGCTGACCATAATGCTACACCGATTCTTCGTTCTACCAAGCGAAAAATACCAGCAAAATGTCTTCCTCAAGCAGTTCGTTGCTGCAGAATCTTGTAGCTAACGTGCGGGATGGCAACTTCAGCTCGTCAACGGTGTGGTACACAGCGGTTTTGGCGGCGGCTGTGGCCTTGTCCCTGCTGAACAGGCTGCTGAGTCCCCGCATTGACCCACGCGAACCACCCGTTGTGAAACCTACAGTTCCGTGGATTGGACACATCATCGGCGTCATTCGCCATCAGGCAGATTACGGCAGGATACTGCAGTGCGTGTCTCCCTTTTCGCGGTTAATCAATTAACTAGCACACTCTAACATACCCAGCGATGCGAACCCCAATCTCCAGCTCGCGACGCTGCCCATGCTCAATGGCAAGCTCTACGTCGTCTTCGACCCCAATCTCCTGCAGACGCTCCTCCGCAACAAAACCGCCTCGTTCGAACCCTTTGCCATCGACTACGCCCAAAAGACCTTTGACCTGACCCCTAAGACCTTTGCGAAAGTCAAGGTCCCTGGTGTCTACGATGAGTTCACCGACGCTATCCACGCGAGCTTCCAGACTGCTAGTCTGCACCAGATGAACGTTGAGTTCCTGGGCTGCATCTCTGCTAAGCTGGATCCTATGAGCAATGGGACAATGCGCGCGAATACGACGAGCCATGGGAGGGAGCAATTCGTGAATGGGACACTGCAGGTGGAGAATCTGTATCTTTGGTGTCGCGATGTGATGAGCCTTGCTACCACAAAGGCTCTCTATGGCGACCGCGATCCCTTCGGCGGCAACCCATCGCTCATCGAGGACATGTGGTAAGTATCCCTCCCCAATAACATCCTCTTTGCTAACAATCTCAGGCTCTTCGAAGAATCCGTCCCGTACTTCCTCCTGTCCCTCTTCCCCTCCGTTACCATGCCGAAAGCCTTCAAAGCGCGCTCAACCCTGCAAGCAATCGTGTGCGACTGGTACGCGGCGAACCACGACGTCAACGACCCGACAGTCTCCGCCCTCGTGCGCAACCGCGCCGCCTCCCTCCGCAAGAACGGCCTCACCGGTTACGAGATCGGAAAATTCGAGGTCATCCTTCCCAACGTCGCGACGCTCAACGCCGTGCCTACCTTCTACTGGCTTCTCCTCTACATCCTCGACCGACCCGATCTGCTCGCGCGGATCCGCGCCGAAGCCGAAGCTGCAGCGGTGGTGTCATGGGACAATGGCAGGCGGGCGGTTAGTTTCAACATTGCAGACTTCGATGCGAAGCTCCCCCTGCTTGTAAGCTGCTATCGCGAGACAATGCGCCTCGTGAACCAATCCGTCAGCATGCGCCGCATCCTCGAAGACATAACCCTCGCGACCCCGGAAGGAAACACATATATCCTCAAAAAAGGCACAGATATCCAGCTGCCCGCCGGCGTGGCGCACTACGAGCAGAGTGTCTGGGGCGACGACGTCAAGACCTTCGACCCGGCGCGCTTCCTCGCGTCCTCCAAGGGAAGCCCCGACGAGGAGCGAAGACGCAAAGCAGCGTACATACCCTTCGGCGGCGGCCGTCACCTGTGTCCCGGCCGCAACTTTGCCTTTGCAGAGATTGTCGGTTTCGCGGCTTCTCTGCTCCTCGGCTTCGAAATTGAGGCTGTTGGGATGGGCTTTGGGGATGTTAAGAAACTCGGACCGCAGCTTGCGGGCGGGACGGTGCGGCCTGAGAAGTACGGCGCTGGACTGGGTGGGAGGATAAGTAGACGGGTGGGATGGGAGGATGTAGAGTGGAAGTTTGAGTGCTGAGGGATCTTAGTCTGGGGTATATAATGTGGTGCTGATATTTCTCATCCGTGTTTGCTAATGCTAGTACAGTATGGCCCCAAGTATTTTCCTAAACAGACATGGAAACCCTTGTTTCTCGGTGTTGTGATTTTTTTAATTTTCGTTGCAAAATGCAAATAAGGAGTGCTCTGGTGTTTTCTTGTCCTTTTGTCCTCATGTCCAATATTCTTGTATTCGTGTATTCGTCGTTCTGTGCCAATTCGTTCATTTTCCACAATGCAACATCGACCCATCATCAACAGCACTCCCGTCAGATCAAATCTCAAATCCAAACACGCAAACAAAACGACATATAACCGGTCACATAGGCGGATCCTTTGCTTTTTTGGATCTGAGATTTGCTTTGGTGGGAGCGCTGCGGGCCATCAACACAGCCAATCTGCCCTATGCCGAAGAGCCTTTATCTGTGTGTCCATTCGTCTCCGGCTTGGCAGCCTCAGCTGGCACCTTGTTGTCGCCGGGCTGCAGCGGATACCCCCACGCCGGCTGGTAGAGCACGCGATGCCATGGACTGTGAAGCCAGATGTCCTGGGGAATCTGTTGTTGCTGGGACTGGATCGTGATCATGGTGCGGTGATCAAAGTCGGAACCTGTTGCGGGAATGGAGAATGTCTCGACTTGGGAGGTGTGATCGGCGGTCCCCTGTGCTGATCTCGGGGTTAAAGCTGGTGTTGATGTTGATACAGGGTTGCTTGTGGAGCTGTCCTGTTGTTGCTTGTCGCTTCGTGTCTGAGGATGTTGTACTTCACACATGATGATCGGTAGAGAGAGTGATAGTTTTACAGCAAGTCCGGAAGCAACTCTTCCATCGTGGGCAAAGTCCATGTCAAATATATATACCCTTTCCACCTCCGCCGACGGAAGCATGCAGGCGGACTAATCCTATTGTCTTTGTTTCCCTGCCGCAGAAGCAATCATCGCCCAAGCCCTACAATTATCGCCGTGTCGTGTGATTTCTCCACGAAGGAGACATACCTCCGGCTCGCAAGGGTTGCCCAATATTCGCCTTGTCTCTCAAGCTGCAATCCGACGTGGACGGTCTGCGCAGAAGCGGTCTAAGTGTATGCATCGCTGTCGAATACCATCAAGGCTTGTGTAACACAACGTTGGTGGATAAGTGGCTGGAAGCACTCGTGTCATTCTGGTTTGGGTGAGCAGCGTAAATATTCCAATTGCGGTAAAAGCAGCATGGAAGAAGTGAATCAGATGGTCGTTATTGTTGTGTCTGGGGTTGTTGGTCTTGAGACAAGTGAGAACTGACTGTTGGTGATTGTATTGAGTCGGCGCGTAATAATTTGCTAGGGGTAAGCTAAATTGACGCTTCGCCAGTCCGCCAACTTTCGTATCATCTCCTGGTAGCAAAGGGTCAATTAAGCAAAAGTAACGAAAGTCATCTCGACATTGACAACGATACTCAAACCCTTAATCGCCCGGGTCACGTACCCTGGCTTTATGCTTGCTTTGTCCTCGACGCCCGCCTCTCGACTGCTCGAGCTACAAGAGGCTCGTCGGAGAAGCGCCGACAAGAAATCAGTCTGAGGCTGAGACAAACATCAAAAGGCAGAGCTCAGTGTCACATGCACCACGCTGAATCCGGGTAGCAAGGGATCACGGGCCGAAGATCATCGGAAGATTGATTCACTGCTACCATACCATACCGAATTCTTCAGCTCTGAGCTAGCACCCTTTCCCTCTGTTTTTCATCTTTATCCAGGTAGCTGGAAAGGCTAATGGATTGTGTACAGTAGTAGCTTGGTCTTGCTAGAAACAAGGATGTGATAAGTGATGAGGCACGGTTTGTGGGACCAGACGGACGAAAAACGGGCCAAATGGACCGCAGGGAAGGCCTGCATTGTTATGGCTTGCGGGGTAGAATAGTGATGACGGCAAAGGACAAATTTTGCGACATTGCAGGTTACACAGAATATGTGGCCGTCTTTGTCTCATGCATTTCTCATGCAATGAATCGCACAAATTTTAGGATAAAATAAATCGAAATTACAAATGCCCTAACGCAACACATCGGAGATGAGCCTGCCAGGACCTTTTGGGAAAGGACATTTCCAGCCTTAACAATTGTCCAAGCAAACTCTAAAAGTATGACCCGTTGAGTTGAAGGCCAAGCTAAATCTCGATCCCGTCCACGATCTGACAACACCGTTATTACTCAGCGGCGGCTCAACGGACAACGTGAAAAGCCGCAGTAACACTAACAAACGTCATACAGAAGCCAAAATGTGAGATTGACAGTCGCACTAGCATTCAATTTTGCTCTTATCTCTGCATCAGCACCACTTCGGGAGCATCGGAATCATCGTTTAGGGTAGGTAGATCATCGATAAGCTTAAATGCGAAAAAGTCTATGACGCCACTCTCCACTGTAGAGCCATCCTTTGAAGTCTGAACTGAACGCGCAAGACGCGCTCGGGCCCTTTCGCGCTTGGAAACATGTCCGAAAGACCGACTAAAGGAAGATGCGAACGGTGGTGTCGTCATAGATCTATCAGTGGTGAAAAATAAATGTCGTTTATTATGGTTCTGGAGCCCGTAGACAGAGTAGAAACATAACCGTAGAGTACGACATTCATCACCAGATTAGTGTACGTCTGTTACCATGGCTGACGACAGACCTACGCCGAGGGATGAGGATATCCCTGGCGGTTATCCCGTGACGCCCAGTGTTAACTCAATTGATCAATTGACGCCGATGGGTAATGCTGCTGATAGACTCGAGGCTGGATTTGGGTTTCCGGACAATTCGGCTGGGAATCACACCTACAACTATGTCACGGCTGATACTGGGCACGGCACTTCAGCGGCGCCGGCGGCAATTGGTGCTGCGGCTGCAGGGGGCTATCTAGCATCTCAGCAGCCCCAAGCTGCAACCCCAGTTCAACAGTCATACAACCACGATAACAACACGCTGCCCAACTCTCAAAACAACACTGCATCTCAACACCAGCACGAAACTGCACCCATCGCTGCACCAATCTTAGGCCGCAACTCATCCTCCAGCACAATCCTCCCCCGCGAAACATCAATCGACACCCGCAACCATGCCCCTACCAAAGAAGCGCACTCACCACCCGACGCATCCCCCGACGAACCTATCTTCGCACCCATAAAGTCGAACACCGAGAACCCCGAGAAACCTCCCCTCGAGAAGCGAAACTCGCGCCGCACCGAAGAAGACCTCTTCCGCGTGCTGTCGCGCCGCAAGACAAACGCCAGCACCCCCGCCGAGAAGGACAACGAGAATGAAGACAATGAGGAGCTCGACAGGCTCATGTCGCGTATCTTTGGCCAGAAGCGCCAGGAGCAGAGCGAGGAGGAGAAGACCCGCCACAGCGGTGTTATCTTTCGTGGGCTGACCGTCCGTGGTGTCGGCCTGGGATCTAGTCTCCAGCCTACAGTGGGGGATTTCTTCATGGGCCTTCCGCGCAAGCTGGGGAAGCTTTTCACCCAAGGTCCTAAAGCTGCGCTCGCCAAACCGCCTGTTCGCGACCTCATCAGCAACTTCGATGGCTGCGTGCGGCCGGGCGAATTGCTTCTTGTGCTGGGTCGTCCTGGTGCGGGGTGTAGTACGTTCCTCAAGACCTTCTGCAACCAGCGCGCAGGCTTCGAATCTGTCGAAGGAGAGGTTACATACGGCGGCACCGATGCGGGAACCATGGCGAAGGACTTCCGTGGTGAGATCATCTACAACCCCGAGGACGATCTTCACTATGCGACGCTGTCTGTCAAGCGCACCCTTACCTTCGCTCTGCAGACACGCACGCCTGGAAAGGAATCCCGACTAGAGGGCGAGACACGACAGGACTACGTCCGCGAGTTCCTCCGTGTCGTCACCAAGCTCTTCTGGATTGAGCACACCCTCGGCACAAAGGTTGGCAACGAGTTCATCCGCGGTGTATCAGGCGGAGAGAGAAAGCGAGTCTCCATTGCCGAGGCGATGATTACTCGTGCTTCGGTGCAGGGCTGGGATAACTCGAGCAAAGGTTTAGACGCCAGCACAGCTGTCGAGTACGTCAGGTCCATCCGGGCAATGACCAACATGGCCGACACCTCCACCGCTGTATCCCTGTACCAAGCCGGCGAGCAGCTCTACGACCTCGTCGACAAAGTCCTCCTCATCGACCAGGGCAAGTGTCTGTACTACGGTCGCTCGGAGGATGCGAAGAAGTACTTCCTCAACCTCGGCTTCGACTGTCCCGAGCGATGGACCACGGCCGACTTCCTCACTTCCGTGACGGACGAGCACGAGCGCAGCATCCGCGACGGCTGGGAGAACCGTATTCCACGCACGCCGGAGGACTTCTCTGATGCGTACCGCCGCAGCGAGGATTACCAGAAGAACCTGCGCGACATTGAAGACTTCGAGCGTGAGCTTCAAACTCTTGCCGAAGAACGTCGTTCGCACGAGTCGGAGAAGAGCAAGAAGAAGAACTACGAGATCTCCTTCCTCAAGCAAGTCACAGCATGTACGCACCGTCAATTCCTCGTCATGTTCGGCGACAAGGCGTCTCTCTTCGGAAAATGGGGTGGACTCTTGTTCCAAGGTCTCATCGTCGGTTCTCTCTTCTTCAACCTCCCCAACACAGCCGCGGGCGCTTTCCCCCGTGGCGGTGCGCTGTTCTTCCTGCTCCTCTTCAACGCCCTGCTCGCGCTGGCCGAACAGACGGCCGCGTTCGAGTCAAAGCCCATTCTCCTCAAGCACAAGTCCTTCTCGTTCTACCGCCCCTCGGCGTTCGCCATTGCGCAGACGGTGGTGGACGTGCCGCTTGTGTTTATCCAGGTCATCATCTTCAATGTGCTCATCTACTTCATGGCCAACCTCGCTCGCACAGCGTCGCAGTTCTTCATCTCTAACCTCATCCTTTGGTTGGTGACCATGGTGACGTATGCCTTCTTCCGCGCCATCTCTGCGTGGTGTGGCACGTTGGATGTCGCGACGAGATTTACGGGTGTTGCTATTCAGATCCTTGTTGTGTATACCGGTTATCTTATCCCGCCTTCCTCGATGCACCCGTGGTTTGGATGGTTGCGATGGATCAACTGGATCCAGTACGGCTTTGAGTGTCTCATGGCTAATGAGTTTGCTTATCTGGATCTCGAATGTGAAGCGCCTTACCTTGTCCCCCAGGGCCCCAACGCTCGGCCTCAGAACCAGGGATGTACACTCGCAGGCGCATCCCCCGGCTCGACCACTGTGTCCGGCGCTGCATACATCGAGCAGTCTTTCACCTACACCCGTTCTCACCTGTGGCGCAACTTTGGCTTCCTCTGGGCATTCTTCATCTTCTTTGTCTTCCTCACCGCTCTCGGCATGGAACTCATGAAGCCCAACGTCGGAGGCGGTGCCATCACTGTCTTCAAGCGTGGCCAAGTCCCCAAGAAGGTTGAGGAGTCGATTGCGACTGGTGGTCGTGCCAAGGGCGATAAGCATGACGAGGAGTCTGGCAAGGGCAACCCTGTGGCTACTGGTGACGCTGAGCGTACCAAGAGTGATGAACAGGTAACTCAAGAGGTTGCCAAGAACGAGACTGTCTTCACCTTCCAGAACATCAACTACACCATCCCCTTCGAGAAAGGCGAGAGGAAGCTTCTACAAGACGTCCAAGGTTACGTCCGCCCCGGAAAACTAACTGCTCTCATGGGCGCTTCCGGTAAGTCTCCCAATTATACTTCGTTGCCATTCACTAACATCCCCAGGTGCCGGCAAAACAACACTGCTCAATGGTCTCGCCCAACGTCTCAACTTCGGCACCATCACTGGTGATTTCCTCGTCGACGGCCGTCCCCTTCCCAAGTCCTTCCAGCGCGCCACCGGTTTCGCCGAACAGATGGACATCCACGAACCCACCGCCACCGTCCGCGAAGCCCTTCAATTCTCTGCCCTTCTGCGTCAGCCTAAGGAAGTCCCCAAGAAGGAGAAGATGGCTTACTGCGAGACCATCATCGATCTGCTTGAGATGCGCGACATTGCCGGCGCCATTATTGGAACCGTTGGACAAGGCCTCAACGCTGAGCAACGCAAGCGCTTGACCATTGGTGTCGAGTTAGCCTCCAAGCCTGAACTGCTCATGTTCCTCGACGAACCTACCTCTGGTCTTGACTCCGGCGCAGCCTTCAACATCGTCCGTTTCCTCCGGAAGCTCGCCGACGCAGGCCAAGCTGTCCTTTGCACCATCCATCAACCCTCAGCCGTCCTCTTTGAGAACTTCGACGAGCTCCTCCTCCTCAAGTCGGGCGGCCGCGTCGTCTTCCACGGTCCTCTTGGTCATGACTCGGAGAACCTGATCAACTACTTCGAGTCCAACGGCGGCCCCAAGTGTCCTCCTGAAGCCAACCCCGCTGAGTACATGCTCGATGCTATCGGCGCTGGAAACCCCGACTACGATGGTCAAGACTGGGGCGACATCTGGGCCGACTCCTCCGAGCGCCAGAAGCGATCGCAGGAGATTGAAGAGATGACTGAAACTCGTCGCAACGTCGAACCTTCAAAGAGTCTCAAAGACGATCGCGAATACGCCATGCCGCTGTCGACACAGACATGGGCCGTCGTCCGCCGCAGCTTCATTTCGTACTGGCGCTCTCCAGATTACATCTTCGGCAACATGATGCTGCACGTCGCGACGGGTCTTTTCAACTGCTTTACCTTTTACAAGATCGGCTTTGCATCTATCGACTACCAGAATAGACTCTTCTCCATTTTTATGACCCTCACCATCAGCCCCCCTCTTATCCAGCAGCTCCAGCCCGTGTTCCTCAAATCCCGCCAGATCTTCCAGTGGCGAGAGAACAACGCCAAGATCTACAGCTGGTTCGCGTGGACAACCGCCGCCATCGTCGTCGAGATCCCCTACCGTATCGTCGCAGGCGGTATATACTTCAACTGCTGGTGGTGGGGTGTCTTTGGCTGGCGCGCGTCGAGCTTCACATCCGGCTTCGCTTTCCTCCTCGTCCTCCTCTTCGAGCTCTACTACGTCAGCTTCGGCCAAGCTATCGCCGCTTTCGCACCCAACGAGCTCCTGGCCTCTCTCCTCGTTCCCATCTTCTTCCTCTTCGTCGTGTCCTTCTGCGGTGTCGTCGTCCCGCCCCAGGGCCTGCCCACCTTCTGGCGCGAGTGGATGTACTGGCTCACGCCCTTCCACTACCTCCTCGAAGCCTTCCTGGGCGTTGCCATCCACGACCAACCTGTGCGATGCGAGGAGGGAGAATTCGCGCGATTCGAGCCCCCAACCGGTCAATCGTGCGACGAGTACGTGCAGCCGTTCATCCAGAGGGCTGGAGGATATGTCGAGACTGGCTCAGATGGCTACTGTGAGTTCTGCCAGTATGCCACCGGTGACGAGTTTGGCGCCGGGTTCAGTGTTTTTTACCGTAATATCTGGCGGGATTTTGGCATTTTCTGCGCATTCATTGCGTTTAATTACTTTATTGTTTATGTGGCTACGTGGATGCGCTTCCGCGGGAAGAACCCGTTCAAGGGACTGTTGCAGAAGCGAAAGTCTTGAAGGAATGTATGTTGGGTGGCGTAGGAATAGATTGACATATACTTTAATTAGACGTAATGGAGCTGTAGAATTTTAATCATTTTTCTCATTCGACTTGACAGTAATCTTGTTTTGCAATGGTAGACCGTGAATAGCTACACTGGTGTGGCGGCTGGGTTGGGTGAATTGGTTATCTGTGACAGATCACGTTTTGAAGGAAACAGCAACGATAATTATCTACAGAACTCCATTGGCTGGCGTGCAGATTGATTGCACGCTAATGCGGGGACTTGATTAAGCTTATATCCGATTATATCCACCAATTCCACCAGATGACCCCCTACACAAAAGACTCTCACTTATTTCAGAGGTTTCTAATGGCAAATAGCGTCTGGGTCTTGATTGGTTGCGCTTTTACTTCAGATTGTCCTGTTCTAGGCTGTGGTCAAGATTATCTGGCTGCGTAGCTTGACGCGTCGCGTCTTCTGGAAGAAGTTAAGAACCATCGTTGGACCCACTATCCAGCAGCCGAGCCGAGGTAGACCCACTCCCCAGAAACTGATACCGAGCTTAATAACTTTATTCCATCAAAAACAGAAATACCGTAACATTGCCTCTCCAGCATCGAATCAGATCAGCAACATTGTCGTCCAAAATGGTACCAACCCTCGCTGATCAGGTCACAGTCGACCAAGTCGGAAAAGGCGAATATGTCTCCCGCCTCAACCCCGTCCGCATGGGCAACGCCATGCCAATCGCCTACGGAGGATGTACAGCAGCCGTCGCTACTAACGCTGCCTGCCGTACCATTCCTCAGAACATGTCCCTCTATTCCCTCCTCGGCCACTTCCACGGCCCTGCGTCCACCGATAAGAAGCTGCACTGCAGCGTGACCAACATCAGAGACACTCGCTCCTTCGCCACCCGCAGGGTCCAGGTCAAGCAGCAGCAGCCCAACGGCGAGTTTCGCGTTTGTATGGAGGTGCTGGCCGACTTTCACGTCAAAGAGCCCGACACCCTGGTTTACTCTGTTCCTACATGCTCGGCGTGGCCCAGAGCTGAGGACTGTCCCGACCTGGGGACGCTGATCAAGGGCTTGTTGGACAAGGGTAGTGTTACTGAGAAGCAGGGCAACGAGTTTGCTACATCTTTTAGTGCGAATGCGGATTTCTTCGAGACCAGATACTGCACAGATGGCGTCTCCGCGCAAAACCTCTCAGGAGCCTCGAAGAAGGCCGTCACAACGCAGGACGATCGCCACATCACCGAGAAAGTATCCGCAGAGTGGCAGCGAGCACTGGGGCCACTGGAGACGTCAGTAGACAACATGAGCGCCCTTGCATTCCTGATGGACGGCGGGCTATCCTTTCTGCCATTGAGCCACGGCCACATGTGGTTCGACGACACAGCGGCATGTTCCACTCTGGACTTTGCACTGCGCATTTTTGTTCCCGAGGTCAAGATGGGCGACTGGCATATCAGAGAACGTAAGACGTCGCGAGCTGGGGGCAATAGGACGTACTCGGAGGGGAAGTTGTGGGATTCGCATGGAAGTTTGATTGCTTCGAATACTCAACAGTCTATCATGAGGATGAAGAAAGGGGCCAGTGTGCCTAAGCTTTGAGTGGATAGACAGCTGGTGTTTTGGATTGTTTTCTTAGAGACAGTATTTAATATAATTAGAAGTGAATTATTGTATAGAACCTGATGTAAGCCCCAAACGGCGATTTCTTTACGATATCGAGAAAAATGCACTTAAGTTGTAATTGCCAGCCACTATGAGCACAGATCTAGCCCTGACAATCACATAAATCTAATCATACTCTATTGAGTTTATCAATCAGTCATATTTGACGACTTGCTTATCGCACCACAAAAATAGCCTAAATATAGCGATTTGGCTTATATAAGACGCATGCTGACATTGCATTTCCCCGCTGGAAAAGGAACTCAAGATATCAATTGTACCCACGGTAACAGTAGACTTTATCTGGTTTAAGTAGAGATAAGGGAGGTCTAATACAATCTATTGAAATGTCGACTATCAAGGAGCGCCATCCAGAGCTATTTCTGCCTATCAACTATGATAGCCCACGAGGCAAGACCCGAACTATTCCAATGCAAGCATTATGCTTGGGCTTCAACCGCACCGGCACAGCAAGTGAGTATCCTCTACTATTACTATAGCTGCATTCACTAACAGTATAGCTATGTCTGCCGCACTCGAGCAACTAGGTCTACCCTGCTGGCATTCCTTTCACCTACTCAAAGCCAACTTTGGCGATAACGAGATGTGGCAAGAAGCAATCGACAGAAAGTTCTTTGGGAAAAGCGAACCTTTTGGACGACTCGAGTTTGATGAACTGCTCCATTCATTTGGCGCCGTCAGCTCCGATACCCCAGCTATCGCGTTCGCGGACGACTTGATAGCAGCATATCCAGAGGCAAAAGTCATTCTGGTTGAGAGAGACATCGACGAGTGGTACAAAAGCTACATGCACGCCATAATCGGAAACATGTTTAGCCCTTTCGCCACGATTGTTTACTATCTGGATAGAGCATACATCCACAAAATCGGCAAAGTTCACAAGAGCGTCGTGGCTGGCTGGGGAGGTATACGATCTCGGAAAGACGCAGAGGCCAAAGCTCGAGATAATTATCGCAAGCACTACGCCATGGTTCGACGTCTCACCCCTCCTGATCGACTGCTGGAGTTCAAGCTTGATCAAGGCTGGGAGCCTTTGTGCAAGTTCCTCGGGAAGAAAGTTCCAGAGACGGAGTTTCCGCGGTTAAATGACGGTGCTTGGTTTGATGAGAAGGCTAGTATTTTGCTGCAGCAGGGGATGAAGGATGGTCTGGTTAAGGCCGTACCTTGGCTGGTCGTTATTTTTGGGGCGTGTTATTGGTACTTGTCGAGGAAATAGTCAAGTTTTGTGAAACGTGTACTAAAGCACAGCATAGGGTAGGTAGCTTATCATATAACGTCAATAGTTAGCATATGGTTGAACTTCACTGTTTTCTGTAGAATACCTATGTAGTACTCCGTGATTAGTCCAAGATAGAAGTCACGCCACTATGTTCGTATAAGATGGACATTATAGTTCAATGTCGTCACACATGCCAGTTTCTGGTCCCATCGACCTCATCCGTGGCGAAAAAAACCCAGACCTATAATGTTCGGCCATATACCCCTCCAGTTGATAAAGTCATGAATATGGTATTTATTCTGCCGAAACCCTTCATTATACGTTGTTGATTTAACAGGCGAAGATTAAAAGTCTTGTTTTAAGTACATAGTACTTTCAGTATCCGATTCAATTCCGTAGCTAGTCTTGATTTTGGTAACGATTTAATACCACTGAACTGAAACAAACAATCTGACACTACACCATTGCTGGTTCTGAGTACGCTTTTCCTTTCGCGATTAAAACTTCAAAATATGGACCATCAAGACAGTGTCGGTAAGGTCGGCTGGGGACTTTCACCGCATAAAGCATGTAGAGTGTTGGCGATATGAATTCCTGCCCATTGAGCTACGAAATTAATGCGCTGTGGAGCGTCCCTTGCCACCCGCACAGCCCCAACTCGTCAGCTACGTCTTTGCAGCTCCACCGTCTAAAAATGGAATATTCCATTGGAGCTTGAGCCAGCAAGTACCGGGACTAGAGCTCGTATTCCTCTGTTATTCTCCGCAGGCCCACACGAAAATGCTGGGGCCGCGCCTTGGCTGGCCACGGAGAAACTGGGCGGCTTTACCGCTAATTGTTCAGTGGTCCATGCGTGACGTAAGTGCCGAAGACTATCCCCTGGCTATAATAACGGTGAGAAAGGGCATGTACAGACATATCCAATATATAAGACCATCAGTCTCGCATTCATTCTTCTTCTCTCACCACTCACACTCATCCTCACACACAAACAACTTCACAAACAACTCCATCAACTCTTCCACCGCCATCATGCAGTTCAAGAACATCATCCTCACCCCCCTCGTCGCCGCTGGCATCGCCTCTGCCGCTCCCAACCCTGACGTCGAGGTCTTCCAGGCCGTCGCTCTCCGCTCTGCCAGCGCCGTCCACCACGCCTCTCTCCAGGCCTCCAACAACAGCCTCTTCCTGAATCTCAAGGACCAAGGCGCCTCTTGCGACCGCGGCGTCAAGGAGGACGCTGCTACCTTCTCCATCGACAAGAAGACCGGCGAGGTCCTCCTCTACTCCACCAGCAACCCCCGCCAGCAGCTCTTCACCGACCGCTCCGGCATGGGCCAGGGTGTTCTCCAGTACCGAACTGGCGCTCAGCCTCTCTGCACCCGCTGCGAGGAGACCAGGTGGGCTATCAACGAGGACGGTCACCTCCAGTACGATGGCGAGGACTTCCGCGCCTGCCCTCTGGAGGACGGTTCTTACTCTGTCAGGATCAACACTGGTGTTGACAACCCCGCTGGTAACAAGGACTGCATTCCTTTCAGCCTCATCACCTCAAAGGTCGCCGAGCCCGTTGGCTGCCTCTACACCCAGCAGGGCCAGTAAATTTTGGGCCCTGAGCTGTTAAAAGCTTCTTGTATCTAGATTAACTTCTGTCTATACTACTTTATGACTTATATATGAAAAACGATTTCGCTATTTGCAATCTCAACACCTTCATGCTGTGTGTCTGCTGTGAATATGTTAATTCGGTTATGTTATGTGATAGCATGCTATAGATATAAAGCATTGATGAGTCTTGCTTTTAGTTGTGTTGGTAGCCACAGGGTAGGTTTGTATTGAATGGTCCTGATAAACATATAAAACGTGAAGATTTGTTTCTGCGATAACACCAGGCCTGTGACCCTTCCCGACGACAGATGCCGTGCTGTAGGGTGAGGGAGAAGCACCATGAAGTGAGGTTACACAGACGAAATAATTAAACATCTGTTACATAGAAGGAGTGAGTTGCAAACTAGGTTACTGGCTATTTCAACCAGATTGTCTGGTAATAGCTTACAGTCTCATGAAATACTAGCAGAAACTCTTTCTTCTAGTGTAATAAACATCCATAGCACTATCTCGTGTTATGGCTGTGACAAGGTTGGAATTTATACCGTGGGGACTAAGTAAAGAAAACCACTGTGTTAGGTATCGTGTAGTGTCGATCTGAGTTCTAACACAGCCATTGAATAATTATTGTAGCGCTATGTCACATTCACGTACTTAAACCTGCATGTAAAGATAAATAAAGCAGATAGACAGTTTACTAATTTCAGAAGCTAGGTAGTTGAATCTTATCCTCCCAAAGCTTAGACAAAGAAGTATAGGGTACACTATTATAGTTTAATTTTGGATGAACCTAACTAAGTAGAAACCGGGACTACAACAAATCTGGTAACAACTCTCCACTTGGCATTAATGAGTAATAAAATTGACAAAGAGGAAGGCAATGCACTCAATCTACGTCTAGAGAAGGTAAGCAACCTTTGGATATTTATTAATAATACACAAATCGTAAAAGCTCCCGCTCCCTTGTCGCTGATTGATCAACTTGCACGGTATGTGCAATGCCCTCCCTCATTGCTGTTGCAGTCTGAATTCTTGGCTATGAGTACTTCAATCTGCCAAGCAATTCTACTGCAACCTCAGCAAAAAAACCGAGGCTCACTTCTCACATCTTGATCTGATTCAATTCGCAAAATGATCTCAAACTGGTTAGCGGCCCTGATGTCTTAAAGTTTAACGGCTTGGCAGCGTTAGGGACGCGGGAGCTTTAGCTTAACAGCCAAGAAGTAAGACCAAGGATATTAATCCTCCAGTAGGCTCTTGCTTATGGCAGTAGTTGAACTTGCTGGTCGGGTGAGTTCCGCAACACCCATCGTTAGAGTTGATGGTAGGGTAACAAACCGCCATCGGAATTTCCCAAAACGATGCACGGTAACGAGTGGCCCGATAGGCTACTGCTCTGATGAATTAGTTCTAGAGACAATGCGTTAGATGCGATTCGCTGGAATCCGAGTGATGGTGTTGTGAAGTGCGGGGTCTTGGGTCTTCTGATACCTTAGTCTTATTTGACTATGTGTATTAATTTCCCCTCTTTCCGATGGTCGAGCCGAGGCATCGCGAAATTCAGAGAATCGGCCTAACAAGTTTGAGAGAATGTTGGATGATGGGAGTAATATGAGTTGGAATTTAATGGGTGAGGTATAGGGAAGAGGTTTTGGGTAATTAAGATAAATAGAAGTGTTTGCGCCCTCACAATGAACATTCTTCATCTCAGACGCATTCCAATCATTCCGAACACAGCAGCAACTCCAGTCAAACTCCTCAAGAACTCAGGCACCAAGACGCAAAATGAAGTTCACCGCCATTCTTTCACTCTTTGCCGCTTCATCGGCCGCTTTCCCTACACCTTCTGACGTTGAAGTCCGCCAGGCTGGAAGTGTTACTCGCAACGATCTTTCCAACGGCGCTGCTTCCTCATGCCCTCCTGTCATCTTCATCTACGCTCGGGGTTCCACTGAGAGTGGAAACTTGGTAAGTGGAGTTGTGATTTCATAAGGGCGGATTTGGCTGACTTGTTAAGGGAACACTTGGACCTCGAGTTGCCACTGTTCTTGAGAGCCGCTATGGCAGTAATGGAGTCTGGATCCAGGGTGTAAGTCACCTTTTACCACAGCAGGTAATACTTTAACTGACTCTTCCGCATCAGGTCGGCGGGGCATACCTCGCTACCCTTGGGGATAATGCTCTCCCCCGAGGAACCTCCGCAGCAGCTATCAGGGAAATGATTGGTCTCTTCAACCTTGCCAACACAAAGTGCCCTTCGGCCAAGATTGTTGCCGGAGGCTACAGCCAGGGCGCCGCGCTTGCAGCCGCCAGCATCGAAGATCTCAGCACCAGCGTTCGCAACAAGGTAGTTGGAACAGTCCTCTTCGGGTACACCAAGAACTTGCAAAACCTGGGTCGCATTCCCAACTACCCGACAGAGCGCACTAAGGTTTTCTGCAACGTCGGCGACTTGGTCTGCACTGGTTCACTCATCGTGGCTGCTCCCCATCTGCTTTACCAGTCTGATGCTTCTGGACCTGCTCCCGAGTTCCTCATCCAGCGTGTTGCCGCGACTAACTAAAATATGAGGCTGCCACTTAGGCACTTGAAGGAAAACCTGCTGTGTGTTGATGAGATTGGAGTGTGGAGAGGCCCGGGTCTTGTTAGTATCGTTCATTTCGCTATGTTTCTAGTCGCTCGTTTTGTTCGTCTTCTATTCCCGTAAGAGTTAGCTACTCACTTTGGACGCTGAGCGCCCAACAAATCCTTTTCTTTCCGTGTATCTTGCTCCCACCAATACTGTGATATGATCTGTCTTGACTTGCCTTTTCGTAATGAGGCAGCCATATCCATGTGCTTGACAAGCTGATAGGTATAGCCATTATTGCGTGAAATTGCCTACGAAGAGTGACTTCTATGAATGTGCAAAGAAGGTTGTCTTCCAGCTTTAACATTCTGAGATAAAGCCGCCGCATTTGCACTGAGGTCATCACACTAAGGTACTGTAAGGGCGCGTTATTAGCCTGCATAAGCAACCTAACACGCCATTGGTCGATGATTCATCTTCACTTTGTTCCTCCCATATGTGGGGACTAAGATTATGGAACTTCCCAATTACCTGTCAATATTAAACAAGTCGCTCTGTTCGACCGCATTTATAACCATCAAATAACTTATGATGCAGTGGCCATATTGAAAAGTGGATATGAAGGACCCATATCCGATGCTCCTTCTTCAACACAGCTATTGCTACGGTTCAACGCACCATTGATGCCCTTTCTTTTCCTTTACACATGCCGTTCATTACTTGGCAGAGTTCTCAGACGAAGGCCACCTCGATCCCAGGCGTTTAAAACGTTCATTCTTGCGCCCGATATCATCCTCTTTGCAATTGGATACGTCACTTACCTTCCTTTTCTAAACCTTGAATGAATGATTGGCGGTGTTCTTATGCTTCATTCCATGACACAAAAGTCTGCCGGATCCCATGTGTGACGGTCTAGCTACCTACTTTATTGGCTTCATAGATCCAGAATTTAGTAAAATTCGTCCTCCGTCTGATATTTCTTCTGGGACGCTATCTTAGTCGTTTTGAACAGCGTGAGTGGCAACACCATCTAGTCCTCATACTAAGTGCCCGTGTCTCATATTCTTCGGACAGCAAGTTGTCTTTCTAGGCTAGGCAAGTCAAAGCGATTCCCCGCTCTGTCTTTCCTCTTACTTACTGGGTCTATTTTTGTCGCTATCTTCGGCCTCTAAGGAGGGGGTTCTACGAATATCGTCTGGGGGATCCTGTACCCGCCCGTCTCCGGCGACGCTTCAGTGACCTTGCCAGGAGGGTACTCGAAGACAAGCAGGAAGCATAGATATTGACTCATGTATCCGGTTTCCTCAGTGGCTATAGCGTTCAAGTAGCCAGGCTACACGTAAGTAGTCCCAGTAGCCCAAACATAAGTTACACGGTAAATGGCAAATGGCCCAAGTAACACAAGAAGCGAACAAGCCAAGGGCCTATGGACTTGGTAATCGAATTATCCAATCGTTTGTACCATTGTCACTTGTCTTGATGATGCCTCTTACCCGCCGTCTTCATGGTTTATTTTAGTAAGATTGCTGACGTGCTGCCTGCCTCTAATCAGGTTGCGAACCTCCTTAGTTTAGCCGAAGTTGTGTCCACATTCGCAACTTACTCGTCCAATCAATAACCTCATTATTGTCCTGCAACCACTATTGTTCTGTATCTCAAGCCACAACTCTGAATTGGAGCCAAATCGGTGCTATTCAGAGTCACTGAACCTTTTCTAAGTTCTTATATAGTGGCAAGAAGCGCAATGACCTTCTAATGAGTTTCCGCAGCATGTTTCACACAACACTGTAATGAATACAAAGTATCGGTCATGGAGTCGACCATGAGTGGTGCTGCTCGCCGTGCGACCACGTGGCCTGTATTCTGAAATTAATTTCGAGCATCTACAAAGGCGACGAAGTGAAGCCTGAAGGCGAATCATAATCAAGGGCATAGAATTGCTGGGCAACGTGGTGTTGTTTTGATGAATCTCGCAACCCGTGTCATCTCATCTCAAGGTGGAATAGAAACGTGAAACCCGAGGCGCCAAGGCAACCAGGCGATAAGGCCGGAAGATAGGGTGTGGTCGCACGCCAGTGCCCGGCTAGCGCTTTTCTTAGTGCCGATGGGCATGCACACACCCTGGCGTTTTGACTTTGCGCTAGCGTGGTTCTCCGCAGTCCCCAAACCTTATCGGCATGAATCGGCTTAACCGCACACGCCCTCAAGGCGGCCCCAGTTTGACGCGATGCGACTCTAACGGCGGACATGGGATGCTTGTTTCAGCCCTTTGCTTCACACGCCCTTTACGCGTGCTTCACGCGTGCTTTGGTTCGAGGCATCAGCAGGACTTTTGTCAAATAAATCTTACTTAGCACTCGATTAGCATGCCAGATACGATAATGAACATACTCCGCGCAATTGAACAAACTTCAGTCTAGTAATTATCGACCTCACGTAAATAGCGTTTAAGTAATACCTTCATACCTTGGTCGCCTACCAGAATGGCTGGGGTCAGGTAGTAAAGCAGAGCTGCTACCAGTTGATGAGTGTTGAAGTTGAGTTGCATTCCCCTTGTGATATAGATACCTGTCACGGGTCTGTCACACATGGAAAATATCGGTAATGCTAGGTAAGTCCGTTGCCGTCAGGATGGCAGCGACTTATACATCCTTGGTAGTGATATATCTCGTGTATTTATGTTTAGTCGCGTTGAAAATGGGGATCCTGTGTGGGCGGGGGTGAATGTCTTGCTACGATTTATGGGGGGCCTTGGAGTGTGACGATGTCGCTGTCAGAGAAGAGAAAAAGAATGTGATGGTCTTCAAGATATAGGTAATGATTCTCCTGGTGTGTGGAGAAATAATTGGGACGACCTCCAGGGGTCGGTGGAAACCAGTGCTGCTACCATTTGTTGGGTGTGTATGGATGACAGGCAGAGGGTTCTTACGCTTGTTGTTGGCGGATTGCTTGACCCATATATCGAGTTTTATTTGGGTCTTGTCCACCAGGGCTTGATAAGCCGCACGTTCTGACACTGGAGGGAATTGGCTCAAGTTACATTGCCAAATTGGAACAGAATTGAAGGCATTGACTTTTCTTTCCCAATATTGAAAGCTCATCACTAGTCAAGAGCCACACTTTAAAACATCAAGAGGTAAGCGGATGGAACACCGGCAGTGAAGCTAGAAACGTAACCTTTCCGGTTAACATAAGCATCGTATTTACTATAGCAAACCACACCTCCAACCATCTCGCTCCCACCAAATAAAAAACGGAGTGCTGATAATAAAAATCCCAAACATATAATCCAACGCTTATCCAGTGAACCCATAAAAGTAACACTGGTCTTTACCAACTCCCCCATATGGGTACGACGGACTAGCCATCGCCCAGGTATTTTGAGGGTAAGGATTCCACCAACCCCCCGTATAATCTTGCCCCGTCCACTGCTGCTGGTATCCAGCCAAAGCAAAAGCTTGTTCGGGTGATATTTCCGTATACCCAGGGTAAACCACTCCCCCATAAATATCTGGGCTAGCCAGCGGAGAGAGGTACCCCAGGTCTGGAGAGGGACAGGTCGAAGGAGAGGCTACACTCATGGGTGGAGTGTAGCCTGGTAGCCTTTTCCGATATCCTGTTTTGTGGTATATGGCTTTTCGAAAGCCTCTTTCCGTCTTTCGCGGGTGGTAGATAACGTCATGTCCTCCAGGGACCGACGGGTTGATAATGACCCGGGCAGGACCAGCCTCCCGGTAGGAGTCATTGTGGTATCTGCCATTAAGGCACAGAGGGTCTCGAGCCACGGGCCAGCCGTTGTGAGCTGCAGCCGCTCCTTGTTGTAAAAGGGGTGTGGGTACTTGGCCCCCGGGGAAACGACCTTTGGGACTTGTTCGGCTTGTTTACGGACCTCATGGGCTGGGATTTGCTTGAGCCATGGGTCATCTTCTAGATCTGGCAGGGAATAATATGAGCACTCTGAAGAATTGTCGTCCATGTCGTCGTCTGAAATCATCATGTGGGACATTTGCCCATCCAAATCATGAAGAGAAGGCATGCTGGTTTGATAAGGTCCAAACACGGATCTTGTAGCCGTTGCTGTGGTATAAAGAATGGTTTAAAGAACGCTGAAGCACTCTGCAGTGGTTCAATTATTCGCAGGTGTTCGATGGGATTGAAATACGGGTATCTGAAAAGATGAACCTGGTCCGAACAGTTGTGGTTCTGAGCTTTCCGATATTCGTTAGGCGATAAAATAAGTGATCTGCTATGCCGCTGATGTAGTTTGAACTTGCTGAGCATCCGAAATGAAATGAAATCGTAGAATCGTGCTGGCTTTTGCAGGATAACTGTTCGTCAGGGTATGCGTTTGTCTAACAAAGCTTAAGATTTGCGGAGAATAATTTGAAGAAGCTGCTAAGTTCGAAATGCCGAAGTCGGTATGGACAAGAATGTGACCTGCGCTGAGCTGGTGGGTATGAAGGCAGAGAGTACAATGCCTCGGGCAAAGTGACAGAAAGTGTAAATAGAATGATTGTGATAGTTTGGCTTCAAGAAAAGCCGAGTCCAGACCGAAGAAGTGAGTTTTGTGACGTGGCCAGTCAAAGAAAGTAAGTTGAGGTGAGCATCCGTGATGGAGTCAAATCAGGTCGTAAAAAGGATACTCAAGGCAAAGTCAGAAAGACAATGAAGAATGAAGAGCGATGCCGTACACAACGATCTCGACTAGCGAGGCGCGAAGCGATAATGAAATGTTGGAAGCATGAACACTTCGGAGGTATGAAGAGAGGTGCAGGTATGAGCATCAAAGATAGCTGCAATACCGAGCGAGAAGAAGATGCCAGAGGCAGAGAGAAGATGCTATGAGAATAGGGGCTAGTGTATAAGCTGGCGATAGCAGGCATAAGAAAAGAAGTGATGATTGATGAGGACTTCTTCTTGAATAAGAGCGCTGAAATTGGACTTTGGCGGAAGCTGGATGCAGGAAGCGAGTGACTGATGGATAACAAGTGTAGATGATCTGGGGAAGAAAGAAGTCTGGAAAAGCAGGGGTGGAGAGTGCAATTTATACCTGTGAGAAGTAAGGTTTGTTGGAAGAGAGGCAAATGATCTAGGGCTTTACAAGAGAAGGCTTGAGTTTGTGGGAATATCATGAGAAGGTTCAGACATGGCGACGTGGTTAATAGTGATGATTTTGAACTTCACACAATAGTTTGGTTGACATTTGGGTCGGAGATCTGTTTAAGTTTAGGGTAGCATATGCTCAACACATTATACTTGCTCGATACCAGAGCACACTCAGCCAAACACACCCTGATTCTGCCGAGGATATCTTTACATACAATCTGCCACAGTTGCTCTGTTAATTGCACCAACCACTACACAAGTGAAGCTGTTCGGAAGATTTACTGCATGCGTTATTACCACCTCAATTTGTCAATGAAGAAACACACGACGAACAGTCTTTTATAAAGGTGTAAATATTTACACAAGACAACTTGATGCTACCGGCAAACTGATACCACTCTTCCTCTTCCTCTAGGGGTATCTTTGATCTTCATAGAGGGGATGTCTCGTAACTATCTTCTAAGGGCCGTTCTGGGACTGTGCTGGGGGCCTCCTCAAGCGACGGGCACTCCGAACTATCGCCTATGTGCTCCGACGAGGAGTATTGGCCAGGAAGAATAATATGTGTTGGCTCTAGTCATCCCTACTCTAACATTCTTCTAGTGTAGCTTGTACTTTTATGCTTGTACTTACAACAGGAAGAAGGTTGATTTATATGATATTACTACCTCCAAGATTACTTTGAATGTGATAAGACGAACTTGCGAGTTTACCACAACTACTAAGCGCAACAATATTATAAGTCTATCATCACACCCAAGAGGTAGGCCTACTAATTAATCTTATTGTGTGAGTAGAGGTCCAAGGTATGCACTTCAAAAAGCTCTTGTATTGATCGACAAGACCAGACGTCACCTCGGCTGTGATATCCGTTTGTAAGAAGTAAGGTGCCGAGAAGCCGAGCTGGCGCACCAATCAAGTCGGGTTATCACCTTCTGGGTCACATAGTCTTGTAAGCTTCATTATTCGGTCCGAATACCATTGCTATTTGGTCAGGTGTATTATCGAAGTTCTGGGGCTTAAAGCCTGGGGTCCCCAGATTGTCTACATTTTGCAAACCAACTTTCCCTACAGCCATACGAGATGAAGATCCATTCAGCCTGTGTTCTTGGACTTTCGGTAGCCACTGGTGTGCTAGGCTCAACATGCGTATGAGAAACTCTTACAAATTCGCTACGACTATACGTAACTAACATGACCAGTGCAAACGTCTCAAAGAACGACTGGGAGATACCATAAACCTGCCAGACACCGAGGGTTACAATACAACGATATCTGAATTTTGGTCGGTCCAAGAGGCCACACTTCAACCAGCCTGTGTCCTGCGGCCCAACGTAGCTGAAGATGTTTCCGAAGCTCTAAAAATCATCAGCCAAGGCAATTGCAGGTTCTCTATCAAAGGCCGCGGCCATGCTCCTGCGGCAGGATTTGCCAATGCGGAAGGCGGTGTGACCATCGACCTGACGACTCTCTCATCCGTGTCTCTCAACAAAGATTCCACCATGGCGCGTGTCGGAGCTGGAGCAAAGTGGCTGGATGTTTACCAACATCTCAGAGGATCGGGAGTCCAGGTGGCTGGTGGCCGAAATGGTAATGTTGGTGTCGGGGCCTGCTTCTTGGTGGTGGAATATCACACTTTACTACTAGGGTTGGCTGGGCGTGTGATCAAGTTTTAAACTACCAGGTTGTTCTTGCTAACGGAACCCTCGTTAACGCGAACAAAGATAACTATGCGGACTTATTCGTCGCCCTCAAGGGTGGAGGCAACAACTTTGGCGTCGTTACGCGGTTTGACCTTCAAACCTTTCGGCAAGGGAAGATATCTACAACCACCATCACGTACAATGTCTCGAAGCGGGCGAAACTATTCGAAGCTTTTACTAACCTTCTTGATTCATCAACCTACGATCCTTTGGCATCTCTTGTTACTACCCTTGTGTATAGCTCGGCATCTAAAGCATGGTCATTGAAGTCCTCGGCGGTGTATACGAAGCCAGTTACCAACCCTGAAGTGTTTCAGGAACTATCTACAATCCCACACGAGACGATCGTGAAAAACATCACCACGCTCGAAGTCTTTGCTGATGAGGAAGATACGCCACCACTGTGAGTACTCACGTCCAGAACCAAGCTAGGAGAATCTCACCATTGTAGGAACTGGCTTTTTGCCACAGCGACATTTCGTCCATCCTCTGAAAATATGCGAGAGATGTTCGATACTCTGAACCAAACGATATACACGTTCAACCCGCAGGGTGGCGTGACGTGGGCCATCGCCTTCGAACCTCTTGTTTCAGGCATGTTGAAGAATCCCAAAGATCGGAACGTGCTTGGCTTGAAGACAGTTGAAGACGGTTACAGTACTACACCCCCTGGGGAACGCAACGTATGGAATCTAACTGATGTCTTTGTAGTTGTACTGATTTCCGCTTTGTGGCCAAACTCAACAGCAGACTCGAGTGTCGAAAGCACAGCTCGGTCTGTGTTATCATCTTGGAAGAGGGAAGCTCGTGCCAAAGGACTTTTACAGGGGTTCACATACCTCAATTATGCGGCACCATATCAAGACCCCTTGAAGTCCTTGAGTAAAGAAGAGCGTCGTTTCTTGGAAATGACAAGCAAGAACTATGACCCCGAGCAGGTTCTGCAAAGGAAGGTCGGTGGGTTTAAGCTCTAGACTTATCCAGAGGTTTAAGCTGGGGCATCTTGGTTGTCGCATGGTGGCCTGAATGTGATGCCAGTCCTGTTGGGAAATTTTATTTTAGATATTGAACGTGATGCAAATTAAAAACACGAAAACAAGTTGTACCTATAAAATCCACAAGCATAGTAATTTCATCGGCACCACATCATACTCTATCACAGTAACATGCTTGTATTGTGGACAAATAAGTCGCACTCTGCTGAACAGAATATCTCCGCTGACGAGTCGTTTCCTCTCCTTTGGCACTAAACACTAGAATAGGCCACTTCTGTTTCTTTGCTTTCTCAATCCATATCGAAACTCTACCTCACAGCAATCAGTAACCACATTTGCTGGGTGGTTCTAGACCAGTGACCGGAGAATCCGTAAGAATCCGTGCGGGGTCAGACGTACTCTAAAAAGTGGGCACGGAATTCGTCCGCCTGAAGATAAGATCAAGCGGAGTCGGAGTTGGTCTCATGACATTGACCCAAACCAAGTATAAACAGTAGACAGCTTAGTGAAGATCATATACAGAAACTCCATCCTCAGATTATCAACCATTGAACTGCTCATTCATCACATCTGCCATGTCAAACAACTCTTTTCAAGTGGCCGTCGTCGGCCTAGGTGCTCTCGGTAGCGCCGCAGCTTATCACGCCGCTATCAAAGGATCAAAAGTTATTGGCTTTGAACAATTCGAGTTTGGCAATGTCTACGGTTCATCCCACGATACCTCTCGCATTGTCAGAACATCATATGGCTCGCCAGACTACGTGGCACTTGCTCGCGCCGCATACAAAGACTGGGCCGAGCTGGAGCGCCGAAGCGGTCTTCAGATGCTTACGATCACCGGCGGCGTGGTCTTCTTCCCAAAATTGTCCGATACATCAGATCTGAACGAGTTTGAGAAGAGTATGAGTGCTTCACAGTTTACGCGAAGTCTTGATGCCAACAATATCCCACACGAGCTCCTCGACGCCCAGGAGGTCAAGAAGCGCTGGCCGGCTTTCAATGTCCCCGATGGTGTTCAGACGATTTACACTGCTGACTCGGGTATGGTCCATGCCTCCAAGTCTGTCGCGGCGATGCAGTACCAAGCTCGCGCCAATGGAGCTGTTTTGAAGGAGAAGACGCGGGTTGACGCCGTGACACCAAACGCCAATGGCAAGGGTGTGACGATTGAGACATCTCAAGGACAATTCCATGTTGAAAAGGTCATCTTGGCATGCGACGCCTGGATCAACAAGCTTCTTGCCCCTCTTGGCTGCGAAATTCCCCTCACGGTTATGCAGGAGCAGGTCACATACTACAAACCGGCTGATCTGTCACCTTTCGGAGAGACCGAATTTCCCGTCTGGATTTGGGCTGGTGATAGGTATTTCTATGGCTTCCCGATGTATGGCGAGCCAGCTATCAAGGCAGGTCGCGATACATCGAATAACTTGATGACGCCTGAGGAACGCACCTTCATTCCCTCAGAGGACCTTTTCAACGAGTTGACTTCGTTCATGGGTAATCTCATCCCCAAGAGGGGGGAGCCCCTACGGACTATTACCTGCCAATACGCAATCACACCAGATCGTCAATTTGTTATTAGTCCTTTGAAGAACCACCCTCGTATTATTGTTGGGCTGGGTGGAGGCCATGCGTTCAAGTTTGCTCCGGCAATTGGTCGTGTTCTTGCGGAGCTGGCGATAGATGGGTCGACGAAGGAGGATATCTCGAATTTTGGCATCCCTAGGACAAGCGCAGAGAGTAAACTTTGAGCACAAGTATTTTAGTAATTGATTAATTTGTTATCTGATGCATCCGTTGAATTGTGATATTTGATGTTCTCCGGCATTGAACAAGCAATCTAGTGAGAAGCGCTGGGGGAAACTTCCCTATCGCAATTCAAGATAAAACACGGAATTTTACGCCAGTTAGTGGAGATTAGTGGCATTTCCCCCGCACCTTAGCCACCATTACCTCTCTACACATAACTTAACTCTCAGTCTTCCACTAACTCAACTAATTTCTCTTTTCCATTTCCACTAACAAATCAGAAGCCCCTGCCATGAGCGCTCCAAGATCAAGGCAATATCGCCGCGTCGCCCAGGCTTGCGATAACTGTCGGTATGATCTACCTTCATCTTGGTTAGTGACACTTGAGATTTGCTTACATAAAGTGAATCGGCATAGCCGCAAAAAGATACGATGTCCCGGTGAAAGACCACGATGCTCAGCTTGCACCCGACTTCGTCAGGCGTGTTCATTCTCAGATGCACGTCAAATGAGCGAAGACTCGGCGAGTAAGATAGAAACCCGCATGGTAGGTTGTCAGAAGTTTTTTACTGCTCCTTGACTCACCATTGCAGTCTAGCCGTCTTGAACAACTTGAGGACAAGCTGGATAGCCTTATAAACAGAGTTGGGTAAGTCATATGTGGAATTTGTATTGTGATGTGTGATTTGGCTACATTACTTACCAAACTTTTAACAGTCCTCAGTCACTGCACGAAACTACACCATCCTCAACTTCAGAGAGGAATAATCGCTTGCCCTCTTTTTCATCGACCGCTCCTGACACATCGATTCAATTTTCGTAGGTTATCCCTCTTGAGAGTTTCCAGTATCTAACATCATGTAGGGCATCGACTCCAAACGATGCTGCCACACAAGCTATCGAATTCTACTTTAGGCATATTCACCGCCAACCTCTTTGGCTATTCGATGACCACTCCTTCCCAAACCCAGAAACGTCCGAGGACTTAATCTGTGCTATTCTAGCTATGAGCACCATCTACGGTGCAACGGAGTTCCATGGAGATGATTCACAAAACCCCGACGTTTACAGCAAGACTGCTCGCAAAGGTGTCATGCTCAAGATTGCTGAGGGAAATATGACCATCCAAAGTATCCAGACACTGTGCCTCTTGGCATACTTCAACTTCGTTTGTAAGTCGATGTTACATCCCTAACCTATAACAGAAAAAGTTTTAATACTCACAGCTGGTGACATTGCTATGGCTGGCTTCGACATCGCACTGGCTAAAAACATGATCCAGCTCATACCCGACCAAGATTCGAGATCCAATAGCTCAACCCATCCACAAGAAAGGTCGAAGCTGTTTTGGAGCCTTCACTTTCTGAGCTTCACATGTGGAGCTCCCGTCCTGTCACCATCGATACAAGACAGTATTGACACACCGCGACTCTCAACCATCGAAACTCAAAGTCCTCTCACGTCCTGCATAGCAACTCCTCGTGCATCAGCAGGTCAGCATGAAACTCTCATCGATATCTGGCCAGAATCTCTCAAAATTTGCGGTCTGTGGAGCGATGTACGGTTGTACGTAGCTCGATGCATCGAAGGATTAGCCATGTATCCATGGAAGCCGGATTCCGATTACACGAGACTGTGTTTCAGAATAATGGAGTACGAAATGGCACATCCTTTATCGCTAAGTTACAACGCAGTTAACTTCCCTGGGGTCTCCCCTCAGAATGTTCAAGTCAATCGGTTGGACTGGCTGCCGTGGCTTAGAGTCCAGGTGGCTTACCATACCATTCATTGTGTGCTCAACCATCCATCCCTCTATACCACGATGACGGATACACCCAGGGACAAATTAGGAGGAAATACCTTTTGGAGATCATCGTATGAGAAGGCATTGAGACATTGCACGTGGATTTCAAGACTGCTCAGAACAGTGGATGAGAAGGGTCTTCGTCTAGCAGACCCGTTCTTTACACAAGCAGCTGCCATTGCAAGCACATTACATTTGTACTGGACACGAACCAGTGATAGTCAACTACAGGCATCTTCTACGAAGCATCTGGAGGTCTGTCGAAAGCTTATCGGAGAGATGGCGATGTGCTGGCCAGTGTGTAGACGAATTGTTGGTCATCAACCCCTTCGCAAGTCTTTTGCTAATATCTATGTCAAGGAAGAAGCGCTCAATCGATTTATCGAAACCGCCCATCGACGAAGGGGAACAGGCACCAACAGAGCTACCATAGCAGCGACTAAAACATCTCTCATCTGGATTTTGATAGATGTAGCTGCGCCTCAATTTCCAAACTACTCTGATCAACCCTCCGAAGGCAGATACGCGTGGGGTGGTAGTTCTAGTACAGATGATGAGCAAGAACTACCACATCCTGAGGTTAGCTCTCCACCGATAGACATGCGTGAATCGACGGTTCACTATGCATCACCGCCCGCATGGGTGGTGAGGAGAGCAGAGAGTGACTCACAGGTTGGGTCAGCGGAAGCTGGAGATGGTGAGACGATTATGATGCATGATGAAGTCGTGGGTGATTATGTTGCTGCGAATAGCCTGGCATGGGGTCCTTGGGAAAATCTGGGTCCTATGGGTGAGAACTTCTGTATGAATATGGATTGGTGGGATATGAGTCAGTTTTGAGCTTGGGGAGATATTAGGTATCGAAGGGCTATTGTTATTGAGCTATCATCTGAATCTATAGGCGTGCGTTGATTTATCACGGCCATCTTGTCATTGATGTTTGCCCATGACGAGGTTCTAGGACGGTTTTTCAGAGCATCTTAGAAAAGGAAAGGAATTGCAGTTAGTTGCATTCTTCTCAACATAGTATATTGACAATTAAGCATCGCCACTTCAATAATTGTGGCTGTAATGAGTATTCCGAAAGCGAATAAGATGTTTGTGATTGTGCAACCATGTCAGGTTTCGGCTGCCAAGGATTGACAGTCCAGATAATAACTACCAAAGAGACCTGAGATGGCAGCATGGCAATGGAAAGGCGTCCGGCATGCGACAAAGAATATTGCGTTATCTGTCTTGGAAACATTAACACTTTCCACGAACCTCAACCGGACTCAATGGATTTTTCATCGGATAAGACATTTTCATGATTGGTGAAATGTTTTTAAAGGAGATAGCTATTGGCATATACCCTGCCTGTGATTGTTTACAGAGGCAAATGCTTAGGATCTTCGACAATGAATATCTTTAATAGCAACTTAGGTCATACTCAATTAAAGAGGCACCAACTTCAATCCGTCACATTTGTAATGATCATAAGTCGGCACCAGCTTATGCAAGCACAAGAAACGAATACAATCCCGTTAGCATCCACGGCAAGAGGATTTCCAATCGGGTTTCACATCTTTTTTCCTGGCTTGAAGTCACAATGACGCCGTGTTTCTTTCTATCTTGATCACAGCGGACTGATAACGATCGGAGACGGGATGACACGGATTCTTTCCGTGTTTCCACTTGATTGGCCACATTCTGGCTCACTACATCCAAACCCGGATAGTGCACTTCGGATTCTCCGATGTCACGCTCTACCACAAGCCGATTACGGCAAATATGTTTATATATCGCATCACCGTTGAAGTTGATAAGAGCACATTCAGCCATGTAAAAGTGGTGCAACTCAACTCACCTAAGTAATTCAAACCATCGCTCTATCACTGAAACTGAAAACATGACTTTTTACGTCGCCTCCTCTCCCATCTCCTACCTTCTTTCTGCTGCAGGGCTAGCAGCACTTGTGTCTCTACTACTGAAATATCTCCCCGCAACCCGCTCACGAAACATCTCAGAATCACCGTTCCTTCAAGATACCACAACCACAGCACGAGCTTTGCCTTCCTCTTGGTACAGGTCCAAGGAAGTGTACGAGCTAGAGAGACGTGCTATCTTTGCAAAGAAATGGATTCTTATCAGCCATAAACTAAGGTTCACAGAGGTTGGATCATGGGTGAGGTTCGAACAAGCAGGATTCCAATTCTTCCTCGTCAAAAACAAAGACGGGAAAATAAATGGCTTCCACAACATTTGCAGACATCGAGCTTTCCCTGTCATGACGGGTGATGAAGGCAAGGCAAGCATTCTTTCTTGCAAGTATCACGGGTGGTCATATGGTCTGAACGGACAACTTGCCAAAGCACCTGGATACGATGATATGAAGGGTTTTGACAAGAGCAACAACGGCCTTCTCCGTGTTCACGTCCATGTCGATGCCAAGGGGTTTATTTGGGTCAACTTGGATGCCTCCAAGACGCCTGAGGATTGGTCGACCGAGTTCAACAATATCGACAAAATGCCACGACACGAACCTTTCAACTTCGAAGACTATCACTTTGATCACACTTGGGGTATGAGCGGCGATTACAACTGGAAGACCTTGGCGGACAACTACAACGAGTGTTATCACTGCAAGACCGCTCATCCAGATGCTGCTGCTGTGGCGGATCTCTCGGCCTATAGAGTCGACACCAAGGGCGGCAACATTGAGCATTTCGCCAATTCAACCGCCGAGGCAGTGAAGAATGGTTTGGGCGTCGTGAGTAACTACTACTTCCCCAACTCTTGCATGACAGTCACGTAAGTACCACCTCCGCCTTTGTTGCAAACTGACTAACATTCCAGACCGCACTTTTTCTACATGATGAGATGCGTCCCTACATCAGCTGGACATTCCTCCATGGAGTACGAAGTCTATCGCCACAAAGACGCCAGTGATGAGGACTTCAAGACGATTGACGAGATGTTCAAGCGGATCCTGGCTGAGGATAAATGGCTCTGCAATAATGCGCAGAAGAATCTTAATGCGGGTGTTTTTGTCAATGGTGAGATGCATCCCAGGATGGAGCAGGGGCCGCTTTACTTCCAGCATCGTATCCGGAATACCTTGGGTATGCATCATCAGTTGGAGAAGAAGGCAGGGAGGGAGATAAACCCAGCTCAACAAGTGGTAGCGGATAAGTCCAGTAAGACAGAGGAAGATGTGAGTCTTTGCTCTGGTCTGGCTTGTGGGAAGAATGGGGAGGCCTTGGAGTGGTAGAGGTATCTGCACATAATACCAAGCATGCGAATCGGGGGCTTTTCACTAGGCTCTTAGTTGAGAGACATAACGATCAACTGTTACATAAACTCATTACTAGCAGGTATCAAAGCTACATAAAAACTTCGTAAGAACATGATCCCCTAACAACATAACCTCCATTTAGTTTCCTCCAGGCAACTTAGACTTGAAGTACTCGCTGATATCATTGTCCTCACCACAGTTCTTGCACTTGTGGATAACAGGCTTGTTGCTGCCGGTGCTGGTTCCAGGAGCCACAGCGCCTGCGATAGGCTTGTGGGACTCAGTCTGACGATCAAGTCCACGCTCAGTCTGGGGTTCAGTGTGACGGCTGAGATCCCCAGTCTGCTTGTGGTCCCTGTCGTGGGAGAGGACACCAGGTGTTCCAGCTCCGAGAGCGGCAGCGCCTGCGCCTAGGCCAGCTGCCTTAGAACCGAAGTGGCTGTCCTTGCTGCTGTCCTTGCTCTGGGTTGTATCAACGGGAGCTCGGCTAGCTTCAAAATCGTCGTAGGCGACACCTGAGGGTGTACCAGAAGCGAGGGTGTTGTACTTTCCGTGGTTGGCGTTGTCGGTGAGGGGGTTGATGTGTCCCTCGTTTGACTGGCTGTGAGAACCGGTCAAAGAAGCTGAGTTGTTACCAATGCCGGAGCCGGTACCTGTGAGGCCGGACTGAAGTCCCCTAGAGTTATCGCCAGTGGCACCGAGGCCAGAATGGGGACTCCGAGAGTTATCGCCAGTGAGGCCAGATTGAAGTCCCCTGGAGTTGTCGCCAGTGGCTCCGAGACCAGACTGGTCACTACCGTGGTGCTTGTTAGCCTCATGCGACGCAAGAGCGCCAGCACCAAGACCAGCAGCTGTGCCACTAGCAAGTCCAGATCCGTGAGAGCCCTCCTGGTGGGAGTGAGAAGTAGGATCTCTGGTAGAGCGCTCAGTAGAGGAAAGGCCCTGCGACTGTAATCCGCGGTTCGACTCAAGGCCAGAGTGCTCACCAGAGTGGTGGTCCCGGCCAGAGTGAGAAGCGAGGGCTCCTGCGCCTAGACCAGCAGCGGCACCTGTGGCAAGGCCACTACCTCTGTGGGAATCCTCAGGCTGGTAGGACTGAGAGGTTGGGTCTCGAGAGGAGTGGTGGGTACCCTGCTCGATTCCGCGGTTTGACTCAAGGCCAGAGTGATGGTCGGAACCGTGATGGTCGGAACCAATACCAGCTACGGTAGCGGCAGTGATGCCCTTGAGGGTGTCGTGGGAGCGGGTTGGGTCCTGGGTGGTACTGCTAGGGTAGTTGGTCTGAGAGCCAAGACCTCTGTTGGAGTCTAGTCCAGATGTACCAGACTGGTGGTCCCGGCTAGAATGCGATGCAAGAGCGCCGGCGCCTAATCCCGCAGCGGCACCAGTAGCAAGGCCAGCGCCGCGGTGGGAGTCGTGGGACTGGGTGGTGCTGGTGGGGTAATTGGTCTGAGACTCAAGACCTCTGTTGGAATCAAGACCTCTGCTGGACTCAAGTCCTCGGCTAGAGTCAAGACCTGAGGTACCAGACTGATGGTCCCGACCGGAGTGAGATGCAAGAGCACCTGCACCAAGTCCTGCAGCAGTACCAGTAGCAAGACCAGTTCCACGGTGAGAATCATGAGACTGGGTCGGGTTCTGGGTAGTGCTGCTGGGGTAACCAGTCTGAGACTCGAGGCCTCTGTTAGAATCCAGTCCTCTGCTGGAGTCGAGTCCGCTGTTGGACTCAAGACCAGAAGTACCAGATTGGTGATCTCGGCCAGCATGAGACGCAAGAGCACCAGCACCTAATCCCGCAGCAGTACCAGTCGCAAGACCGGCTCCACGGTGGGAGTCGTGGGACTGGGTTGGGTTCTGGGCAGTGGGGTCTCTATGAGAGAAGTTGGCAGGCTGGCTTCCCTGAGTGTCATATCGCTGAGAAGACTCAAGACCGGAAGGCTGGGCAGAGCTGGAGTGGTGACCGGAGTGAGAGCCAAGTGCACCTGCGCCTAGGCCAGCTGCAGTGCCTGCTCCAAGGCCATGACCCTGGTGAGTACCCTGAGAAGACTGCAGAGTTGGGTCGTGGGTAGAGCGCTGCGTAGGGTCGTAGCTCTGCGAGTCGTACCCAGAGGTAGGCTGGTGTCCAGCTCGGTCGTCGCCAGAGCGGCCGTGGTGGGATGCCAGAGCACCAGCTCCAAGACCGGCTGCAGCACCTGTGGCAAGTCCAGCGCTTCGGTGAGAATCATCATGGCCAGGCTGCTGCGTGGGGTGGCTGCTCTGGGTGAAGTCCCTGGAGGAGTCGAGTCCAGAGGCAGGGTACTGGGTTGTACCTTGAGTGGCAGAGGGGTTCTGGTGAGTGGTTGTGTCACGGTGAGTGTTGTCATCGTGGCCGCGGGTAGCAGCGTAGGCACCACCAGCTCCAACCCCAGCAGCAGCAAGGGGAGCAGCCTTGGAATGGTGCTTATCCTTGTCATGCTCATGCTCAGCCGTGGGCTCCTTGTCGTCCTTGTGTCGGTGAAGGAGAGCGCTAAGCTTGCTCTCCTTCTTGGGCTCATTGTCATGCTTGTCATGTTTGTCCTCCTTGTGGTGAGACTCCTTGTGCGTGTCTTTGTGGTCCTTGCCTAGCAGAGGGAACGCTCGACCCTCATGCTTCTCATGCTGAGTCTTGTCGGTGGTCTGTTCACGCGGGGTCTCCTCGTGATGCTTCTTGCTAAGCTCATGGGCTCCAAGAGCAGCACCGCCAGCAGTGCCAGCACCAGCGACACCCTCAGTGAAGCGAGATCCAGATGTTCGATCGTTGGGGTTCTGCTGGGCGTGTGTCAGCGAGTCGACGGGGTTGGTGTTGGTGGAGGACTCGTCGCGGGTGTTTCGGTGGAGGAATGTGCCGCTCTCGAGAGTGCCGGATGTTCGGGTTGGATCGGTTGCGCCAGCCTGGGTGGCTCGGTGACGTTCGTCCTCGGGGCTGCCGTGGCCGATCACGGTGTTGTGGACGCCTGCGCCTGCTGCACCGCGGGGAAGATCGCCCCAGTAGGGGGTGGGTGCTGCGCCGGTGCTTGTGGTGTGCTCTTGCGAGGAAGGGTTGGTGCTTTGCGATGGGAGGTTGGTACTCTCTCGAGATGCGAGGTTGCTACCAGCTCCCAGGCCAGCAGCTCCAGCTCCGGATCCTGTAGTGTGCTCCTGCGAGGAGGGGTTGATGCCTTGTGATGGGAGGTTGGTGCTCTCTCGCGATGAGAGGTTGTTGCCAGCTCCTAGCCCAGTGGCTCCCAACCCAGCCCCTGTGGTGTGGTGTTGTGAGGAGGGGTCGGTGCTTTGCGATGGGAGGTTGGTACTCTCTCGCGATGCAAGGTTGTGACCAGCTCCGAGGCCGCTGGTTCCAGATCCAGCTCCCAAGCCAGCAGCTGAAGTGCCGCCCAGACCACCGGTGGTGGAGTCGGTTGTTCTGTGGAGAGGATCATTTTGTCCCTGCGACAGGCCCAGAGGCTCGTTCTGTCTCTCGGAAATTGGCTCTTGGGTAGGTTTGTAGGAAGTGGAAGCAGGGTCATGCGACTCGGTCAATCCGACACCAGAATCTTTGTATGCATGGCCTTGGGGAGCAGTGCTGTCACCCTCGGCAAACCCTCTAGGGTCGTTTGCCTTGTGAAGTTTGTTCTGCTCATGGCCCTTGGAGTAACCCTCTCGAGTCTCACTGGGCTCCATGTCCTCAGTTGGGAAGGCTCCTGGGGTGTGGTGGGCGGTGTCCTCTTTGGAGCTGTCGCCCCCGCCGAGGAGTTCCTTGACTTTTGCGCTCAGGCTGCTCATGGTGACGGTTGTGTGTATGTGTGTGTGTAATGGATTGGGGTATCAATAAAATAATCGCTGGTTATTGAGGTTGATGAATTGTGATGAGAATATGTTAATAGCTGCATATCAATTGTTGGTGTCATAATCACCTCATATACCAGTTGCAACAGCTCTCAAACAGGTTCGAACCATATCCCGATCGTCGACATCATCATGACCACGGGAACTAAAAGATGGGTGCGGGGTACAGCGCTCAGCTAGAATCGATGATTGACGTCTGGGTTGTGCCAGCTTTTGCGCGAGCTCATCCCTGTCGATCTTACCAGCTTGGGCCAAGGGCGGCGCCAACATCGTCATCTACATGCCGACCCGCATTCAGCTGCATATCTGTCCCCCGTCTTGGCACGATTGTTCATCGCCAGACACGCGTGATCATCGCTGGAATTACGTCTTGCCGTTATTTCCCTGGTCTAGACGGTCGAGACTGTCGTGACCACATTTCACAACCGCGCTACCGGGGGTGAATTGCATCATAATAGTTTGGTTGGTGGCACGCGAAGGCTTGGTTGGCTTTGCGCTGTCCTTGACCTTGGAAAAAGCAAGATTGCGTGATGGTCTGCTGAGAGCTTGAGAAGTCGGTGTGCGTCTGTGTGATATTTCTCCGGTGCCTTTCTACGTTCTACGTCGTGCATCGTGTGTATCCGCTCCTCTGAGTCTGACGTGAATAGAGGGGTAAATGAGGCGAATACACGTGGAAGTGAGAAATGGTAAGACAATAATCTTCATCATTTTAGTTCCCTTGGTTCATACCGTAGTCTGTGTTATATAGATCGAGTAGCTTCCACCTTCTGATGTCTTTACGCCACCATGTAATGTCAAGTTAGTCAAGTTGGTTACATCATCCATCACCTCCGATTTACCCTATACAGTCTTGAGCTGAACATCGCACATATCTACCACATTAATCTGAGCACCTAGAAATAAATAATGCTAAGTTTTGCGGAGTTTCATTAGCCAAGGCCAGCAACCTCAAGAATCGTTATTATTGAACCATATGAGTTCGACTGAACAAAGTTTGTTTGGCCCAAAGTGTTAGCTTTCTTCTTCTACATGTCAGATGGAGATGGCGACCAATTTTGCGACGTGTTACATGATTACCTAACCAAAGATATCTGAGCCCGCATATTACGAATAGTGATTTGCATGAACGGAAGAAAAGAAGCGAGTGGCCTGCCCAGCGAAGCATATAGTTAAAAGAGAAAAAGAAAAGGGGAGGTTGAAGTCTTCCTAACATTATTAGCTGCGAAATGGAGTAGGACTAGTATCTTCCACCACAACAATAATTATAAACAAGCAGCTTGTTCGATTGTTAGCAGATCCTTTTGATATCAGCTTCCTACGTTTGCAACAATTAACCCAATGCAGCAAAGCATTCACACGTACCGCTCACAAACATTTAATGCCGAATGTAAGGAAGGAAAATGTGCTTTCTTTGATCTGTGCAACCATATTCTATGTCGCCGAGATATTAAATACGGTTATTTAATTCTTATTCAATCATCATCGTCCAGCCCATAGATAAAATAAATGAGAACTCTATACACTAGCCGCAATTGGTCAAATCCTGGGGGATGTGATTTGGAGGCATTTTATTGGTACAGTGTGGAGTATCACTCTCAACCAATCGCACTAATTCCGTTCTGACAAAAATAGATAATAACGCGGAAATTCACAGTCAATGCCTGAGTGAAATATCTCCGATGTAGCAAACGGTGGCATTGTCTGACACGCATATGTGCTGCTTATTGCATCTGATAATTCAGTTAAAGCTGCAGTGTCTTATCCTGCTTTTATTGGCTATATGCAGTTACTCAGCCAATCAGACAAGTTAAATTTGGGCCTTTTTTGCCTTTGTTTTATGAACTTGAACTGCGACATCAATTGGAATGCCTTGGTTCTGCCAATCCATCAGTTCTGTCTAAACTATATGGCATAGTATAAATGCCTTAGGAAAAGCATGTAGTCGCCTTTAGCGGATAAGCTCTTTCGCGAATTATTACTTCATAGTCAGGAAATAGTCGTCTAATCGCCTCAGAACAAATGGTCTAAGCCCTGTAAGTGTACATCCGAACGTCGTATTGTGGGCTATTTCGGCTTACTACACGCGGCCCCACGTCTTTTTATAGCAACTGAACCAAAAATACCACCCACATACGAATCAGTGGGGAATACGAGATGCTGGCTGTGCAACATCAGTTGACAACGAAGCAGATCATCATAAATAAATGATTATTTATCTTAGAATGGTGTGCATCTCCCCCCCGTATGATCTAAACCTTCTTTTTATCTTTTTTGCCCTATTGATCCGCGCAATTCAAACCTTTGTGTATAAACATGCACAGTTTTTCCAAAGTCATAGTGCTGGCCCTGGCTATCTTACATGTGGCAGGCCGTAAGCTGGATGACGTACCACAAGATCCCTCTTCAATCGACGAAGCGAGTGCCATAATCCACAGCTTTGGTTATTCTGGAGATGCACGAAATGAGAATGAAGACGCAAGGAACAAAATACCCCTTGTAGAGCGCTGGCGACAATGGGTTCGAAGGCAAGATACGACCGAGACTTCGGGCGATCAAACGACTACAGAGGAGAAATCTGCAACGCAACAGACCACAGAAAAAGAGACGACCACCGAAGACAAGCCAACGACGACAGATGAGCCTCAATCTACGACTGAAGAGCCAACAACTGAAGAACCCACCACTGAGCCATCATCTACACAAGAGCCTACATCATCAACAGCGCAATCTACATCCACAGAAACATCCACAGAAACATCCACCGACCCAACCTCCACCACAAGCACCACCCTAGCTTCAACAAAAGTCGGCGCATCCTGCTACAGCACCACCGTCTCCACAACCGTAGTCTGCACCATCACCACCGCCGGCCGAACCGAAAGCGCATCCTGCATCACCAACAGGATGACCTCGAGCACCTGCGCGCCGGGCCTATTCTGCGAGATCCATCCAGACTCTGGCGCTACGGTCTGCATGGAGCAGCACAACGATATTGGCACTGAAGGGATTGTCGTGGCGGCTTTCTTTGGCGTGTGTATTGCTGGGTGTATAGCTGTGATGGTGGGTATGTGTCTGCGGGATAAGCGTGCGCAGAAGAAGTTTGAGACTTTGAAGAGAGCTAGGACGCTGAGGACGGCGAAGAGAGAGGAACGTGCGAGACTTATGGCTGGTGGTGGCCAATAGATTATCTCTGATTTGCAGCTTGCTTGCTTTTATGTCACGTCATTGGTACCATATCGTCTATACCTAGGTAATCATCTATGTTTTTATGCAGAACTAGGTTGAGTTGAAGCTAAACAAGGACGGCATCTCAATTTAAACATGATCCCGAGGAACCGTAATGGAAAAGTCACGTCCAAAGATAGCCTCACCCTGCTCATAAGCATCAAGACGAGCCGTAATAACCATATCAGTCGCCGTCATCTTCATCTTCGTCCAGCCCTTAGTCTTGAGCACCAAACCCCCTCGCTCAAAATCCCTTTCGAAACCCTGCTCTACTTGCGCGGACAACGGATCATCTGGATGTACACTTGCTTTCAGCCCATTCCACCAGCCATACCGCCAGCCCGTCTCGTCCACTTCCCACATCCCATCGTCCCAGTCTACACAAAGGGCTGTCTCGTTTGTGTCCCAGTCTTGGGTGACGAAATTTCTGTGCTTGGCAGGGCGCAGTTCCTTCTGTGCGAGGGAGCCGTTGACGGCTGGCCGGAAGGGCTTGAGGTGTGAATCCTGTGGGTTGTCGCTACGCTCTGGTAGGTCCAGGCTGCTGTGGGCGCAGTCGATAGTAAGTGTGGTTATTTCGGGAGATGGCCAGACTAGGGGGAAGTAAGTGGACGACAGTGCCAGGCGAAGACGACTCCCAGTGCCGATTCGCTGTCCAAAGTGGTTCAGTTTGAGAGTAACGTCGTAGAATTGGTCAGGCTTTAACGGTCGCACATCTTCGTGGCCATGACGGTGAGTCAGGTTAAGCACGCCGTGGGAGACCTTGGTTACTGCGCCGCTGGGTAACACTTCGGACAAGGTTGCTGCTACTAGAGCATTTGGCTTGTTGCTCGCAATCCTCAGCTTCACAACCGAAGCGCCAAGAAAATCTAACGGTTCGGTGAGGGAGTGCGAGTCAAACAAGAGACTACCGCCGGCTTCAAGACGTTGGTCTCCTGGCCCTTCGCCCTCAACGCCAAAGATCAACCACCTACCCCCCGCAAACCCTACAGTCTGGGGGGAACAAATATCAAGCTTGTCCTCGGTTGAGTGGCCGGATGTTAGCTGTCCAGGAGCAAGACCCAGGCGTTTCCGAGAGGGTTTTGAGTCAGACCAGTTATCCTCTGCGACCCAACGACCTGGACGGGATTCAACGTATGGTGCAGGGGGGGTTGTGTCCTGGAGATAGCAGCGCAGCATAGGCTCGTGCATGATGCCCGTCTCAGTACCCTTCAGCCACTTATCCCACCACCTGATCGACTCCTGCAGAAACCCAATCTGTGGCCCTGGGTAGCCAAAGTTAGGGTACTTGTGGCCCCACGGACCAACGAGGCCTTTTCGGGGCACTTTTAAGTTCTCCAGCATTCTAAAGATCGTGTTGGTGTAAGGGTCCATCCATCCACCTACCAGGTATACGGGACACTGAATGGAATTGTAGTCCTCGCCGATGGATGCATGTTTCCAGAAGTCGTCGCGGCGCTGATGCTGATGCCATTCTTTGGCGTAAAACCCTCCTGACTCTGAGTTGAGGCGCCCCAACCAGAGATCACGCCACTTGTCACCGACCAAAGCTGGATCTGGAGGGGATGAGTTAATAGCGAGCATAGACGCAGCCCAGGTAAAGTTCTCTGTCAAAATGCAGCCGCCCATGTAGTGGATATCGTCGTCATAGCGCATATCAGTCGAACACATCGAGATAACAGCCTTGAGCTCAGGCGGACGACGAGCCGCAATCTGCAATCCGTTGAAACCGCCCCACGAAATACCAATCATGCCTATCGACCCCGTGCACCAGTCCTGAGCAGCGATCCATTTCAGAATCTCCAGAGCATCATCTTGCTCCTGCGGTAGATACTCGCCACCCAGGATACCCTGAGATTCACCTGTCCCGCGCATGTCGACGCGCACGCAAGCGTAGCCGTGTGCTGCCACGTACGGGTGATTCATGGCGTCTCTCACTGCTGTACCGTCCCGTTTACGGTATGGGAGGTATTCAAGAATTGCTGGGACAGGTTCTGAATTTGCGGTTTTGGGGAGCCAGATCATGGCTGATAGGATGGTCCCATCACTGAGAGTGATGGGCTCATGATGGATGATGTCGATTGGGGGGAGCTGCATGGTGGTTGATGGTTGCACCCTTTTTATTTTATGCTCGTTTCGCCGATGGTGAACGAATGGCCCGACGTTTGGACAGAACGTGGATGAATCAATCAACAGCGTCAAATTGATCTTGTCAGAGGAGATTATTGAGATCGAGGTATAAACGAGTTTCCTTCACGACCTGCAAGACTTTGCGACCGTATCTGTAAACCAGAGAAATACCTCAATGAGTAGGGAAGGATTTAGTTCGCCGAACTCCAAGTCAACATAGTTACATCGTACCCTCGATATCACGATGTTCTCCACTTCTCGACTCCCCCGCTTTGCCGATCAGTCCCCTTACGGATTGTAATCACCTCTTATCTCTGAACGTAGCGAATAATTGCCCTTCTGAGAATCGCTCTATCGCAATCTCACGGTCATGTTCGGTGATATTTCTAGGCACCGGGTAGATATCCGACATGTGCGATGCGGTATTTGTTTCGACAGAGCGCTATCTTCCATCCTATTTGCATAAGACCAGTCGCATTATTGCTGAATTAAACATTACATCTTGTTACCTGTTGGATATACTGTACTTGAACATCATATCGAACTACAATTGCCTACATCATTCGTGCTGGTCCTGAAACATATGACCCTCAAACTCCTGACCTCAATGCATCACAAGTTTAAGAATGTCAACTCTTGAGATCACTACCGCGACGGCGGGGGATAACATACCTGACCAAAAGAAAGAGAAGGATACTGATATCCAGGATGTCGAGATTGGAGACGTCAGAAAGCCAGACCTCTACAGCAAGGTCTCGGTGTATCTGACCATGATTTTCTCAGGTCTAGCCCTGGGCTCCGATGGCTAGTAAGTAACTTCAACCCTCTAAAGGTCTCATACAGACTCTGACAACAACAAGCAATGCAGCCGTCATCGGCAACCTCGAGCTACTCTTCGCATCACTCTACCCCGATGCTCTAACAAGCGTAATGCGATCTCGTCTTTCCAATGCCTTCCTCATCGGAATGATCGTCGGCATGATTGGCTTTGGCGTCGTCGTAGATCAGCTAGGCCGCAAGACAGGCGCCGTCATGACAACTCTCATCCTCCTTCTCGGCATCGCACTGAGCACTGGTGCCAGCGGTTTGACGCAGACGGGGCTCATGTGGATGCTCGTCATCGCGCGTGGAGTAGCTGGCGTCGGCGCCGGCGGAGAGTATCCCGTGTCGGGCGTCGGTGCCATGGAAGCGTCGGACGAAGCAGGTCAGTTCCGCAAGTCTCGAGGCTTCATGTTTGCCATGGTGGCGGATCTTTCAGCTGGGCTGGGCTATACCTTTGGCGCGCTCGTTCCCTTATTGTTGCTGCTTTGTGTGCATCAGCGAACGGATCGCTACGAAACTGTCTGGAGAGTTGCGCTTGCTCTTGGCGCCATTCCACCGCTTTCCATCTTCTGGTTCCGATTGAGGATGAGGACATCTACCGCCTATCGCAAATCCGCACTGCGACGACAGAGAACCCCGTATGTTCTTATCTTCAAGAAATACTGGAGGCGCATCGTCGGTGCTTCTCTTAGTTGGTTCCTATATAACTGGATATCGATCCCGTTCGGCATCTTCAGCTCAGTTATTATCTCGAGAGTCAATGCATCCAACTCACTTGTGCAGAATCTGGGCTGGGGCGCGCTTATCAATAGTTTCTACCTCCCCGGTCCATTCATCGGCGGGTACCTGTCAGATAAGATTGGGAGGAGGAAGACTATGGCGCTGGGATATACCCTACAGGCTGTGCTGGGCTTTGTGATTGGAGGTGCCAATGAGCAGATCCAGAAAGTCTTCCCGCTTTTTGTTGTTTTGTATGGAATCTTTCTTACTTTGGGCGAGGTCGGTCCCGGAAGGTCAGTAAAAGCTCTGTGAACCGTCTACATGTATCGTCTAACCCACTTCCAGCACTGTCGTTATCGTCGCCACGGAACCATTTCCAACTTCGGTGCGAGGCCATACCATGGGCTTTATCGCAGCCTGGTCAAAAGCAGGGGCTGCCATAGGTACTCAGGTAGGGCTCGCCTAGAATCTCATGCATGGCTTGTGCTAACTCTCATCAGGTCTTTACTGCCATTCTTGCGTCATACTCGGACACCATCAAGGGCAATCAGGTGGTATTCCTGATTGGGTCAGCTTTTGCAGTTCTGGGCGCTCTGAACGCGTGGTTTGTTGTACAGGATGGTGAGAAACATCTTGAGAAGGAGGATCAGATCTGGAAGAGCTATCTGCTTGAGAATGGGTGGGATGCGAGTTGGGGCGATCACCAGACCCAAGATCCTGCCGGGACGCTTAAAGATGAGCTTAAGGCGACGTCTTGAGAGAAAGAGGCTTGGTTGCTCTGAATCCTGGCGTTCTGTGCCACCGCTTGGCGAGGCGCTAAAGCCTGATATCCCTAAAAGAGAAGGTCATATCGGTCCTTGGACAGCGGCAATACAGATGATAAAACTACAGAAGGATTTGCCCCATTATTACGAGTAGATTGCCTATTAAAGTGAAAATTCAATTGGGAGTCAGCATGTTAAAGAGGTTTGAGAAGATAGCGATGCCAAGGATAGAGATTTGTGCCAATGATTTTATATGTGAAACCGCGGTCAATTGGTCAAACGTAACAGCGTAACTAATCGCTTGAAGTAGGCAAAGGATGTTTCAGATGGTCCACTCACCAGAGACCAATTGGAACAGAGTGGCATACAGTCTTGATTCCGGGGATAGATAAAGTTTGGCGGGAGGGAATTTTCCCCGGTGTAGATAAGAATTTACAGCTGCCCAAGGATGGTCGGAAAAACAGTATAAACCATCGGACCCTCGGATTCGAAAGAGGCGTCGCTATAGACGGCAGTCCATTGGACAAGAGACGAGAAGGATTGGCGGGGTATGTGCACTAGCTCTGGTTAAATACTCCCTTGGCAATATCGAATAACTTGGGGATAGTCCGATAGACATAGGGCATAGCCTGAAATCCTTCGCGTATAGACATCCTACTTAGGCAGGTGCTTTAAACTTAAGGCACTTTAATGACATTGAGATGCGTTAGTTTATCTAACTCTATCTATCTTTGTATTGTGTTTATTCGCTGGGGATTTGTGAGTTGGTGGTGTCCTATTGGTCATGAAATCTTAATTCGTGCGTGTCCCCGTCCTATTCGAGATGATAGCTAGTATGGGCGGCCGCCTCATATGTTTAGGATTTAGGATTCTATCGCATGTCATTCACACATCCCTAAAAGGCAGGTATATTGATGAGATATGGTGCTTCATCAGACATACTTACAAATGAGTGCATCTCAGAAAGTATAAATAAACCATAAACTTCTCACCTTTCCTTTCAACCTCATCATCCCATAACCAAGCATCCACACATCATCTTCATACTTCTACTCTACACTACTTTCACCATGAAGTTCACCACTGCCCTCTTCGCCATTGCTTCGGCCGTCACCTTCGTCTCGGCCAGCCCTGCCCCAGCCGCAGCTCCCGAGCCGGCTGCTCTCATGTCCGAGGAGTCCATCTCCAAGGTGCCTCGCAGCGAGCTTCTACCTCGCCAGGCCTGCCGCGGAACAAACTGCAGTGGCTGCGTGAATAAACGCAAGTGCTGTGACCTCCGAGGCTACCCCTTCTGCTGCAGCTGCTAAGCGTTGTCTTTGCATGGCTCTTATGGTGTTGTTCAAGGTTAGTATGCTTGGGTAGAGGTCTATATACTACGCAATGAACTAATCAATCATAGGGTTCAGCTGCCACGAGCCTATTGAGCAGTCGCATAGGAGGATTGTTAGTTTGAAGGCCTGCTATGGGAACTCTCTTATTGATGGTGGACCGTGTTACTTAGGATGCCACCTCAATGGCATGTATGATAGTATGAGTCTCCCATAGTCGCGTTAGCTTGAACCACAACCTGCAATTATACTCAGAGTCTATAAGCCAACTTGCCTTATTAAGAGCATGCCTCACGTGCCACGTGTTCAGTCTGTTCTAAGATCGAAAGCCGTTTAATAGAATCATCGCAATCACCAATCGCATATAATCTATCTGGTATTCTTCCTCGGCCCATATACTGAAGGTAAAAGAACAATGTACCTGCTACATGATGGAATGACGTCATAGAATTATCTACTGACTAAGTTTACGATTCCGTGCAAAAGTTGCGACAACGAGCCAACTAGAGAGATACAGAATAGGTAGAACATTAAACTATACTATGGTTAGAAGATTTTTACATAATCATATGATGAGATTAAGTAATATCAGAAATAAAGATAATTTACTACCATTTATAATCTCTTGTATAATCTAATGACTGATGTGTGATTGGACGCTACTTTAGGTTGACTTTGTGTCAGTTGATCTGATTGAGGGCGAAGTGGAATGTTTGTTGAAAAGGAGGATATCCATGTTCATAACGATTTTAGTCGAATAAGTATACAGAACAGCCTTTCTGGCCTTGGCTTCTACTTAGTATAGTTACACGGCTATTAGATCATACGTAATGTGTTTGTACCCTGGAAAAAGTTGGTGTTCTTCCTCCCACTCATAAGATCTAATCTACAGGCCAACAGCCTAATATCCTGCCTTGAGCTTTCCGAAAGAAACCTTAGGGGACATGAAAACATTATCCGCGGGAAACGCGCTGTAGTCCCAGACGGTGTAAAAGTTTCGCAACAGCCTCGTGCCGATGAGCGAGAAACCAGTCGAGTCCGTCTCCTCAAACGGAGGCCAGCAGGCATCCTCTCGGTTCGCAAATCCAGGGAGAGCCATCTGGTCGCCGGTGATGGTGAGGTTCTTCTCCGAGCCGTAGAAACCGACCTGCAGCGTGATGGACCAGTCGTCGGTGAACTCGCTGCAGAGAGGGATGTGCTCGCCGTTGATGATGGCCGTCCAGTTCATCCCGATGGACTCGTACATCTCCTCGAGTTGGCCCTGGGGCAGCGCGATGCTGGAGGCGCCGGTGTCGAAGACGATGCTGGCGCCGTTCATGGCGAAGTCTTGCTTCTTGCTCTTGGTGGAGTTGCTCGACTTGGAAGATCCGGTGACAGTGTGCAGAACAGATCGCCAAACATCGTAATCTCCATTGCCGCCGGTGGTGAGATCGATGGTGATCAAGTCACCGTCGACGTACTTGTCCTCCCTGGAGCCGCCGAGGGTGAGAACACCTTTGCCGGGAGCACCGTTGGTATCGTCACCGTCCGCACGGGAGTAGTAGATGCCGAAGCGAGGCTCGTCCATCAACTTCTCCGCCATCAGAGTCTCGAAAATAGGAGTGGCGCCACCGTCGGCGATGCTGCCAAACGAAAGACCCATGAAGCCAGCAGCAGCAAGAGCCGACCAGTTGCTCTCGTTGGCTGCGATGAAAGAAGCCTCGAATGTCAATCCTCCCGCCGAGAACTGCTCCTTGACTGTCGGGCCGGCAACTCGGCCACCGAGGTAGTCAATTGAAGCGTCCTGTCCTGTCAATTTGCCGGTAGAGGACTTGCTGATGTTGTAGCCGGTGCGGTGGCCCCTGCGGAGTTCATTAGCGACATGTCTTGATAGGGGCGGAATACTCGGACTTACTTGTCGACGTGAGAGCAAGTTTCGGCGCACTCGGCGTCGACCATCCAAGCAGACGCACTGCCAGTATCGAAGAGGAGCTTGAAGTGCTGAGCGGGCTCGCCAACACCAAAGTCGACCATTTTCTATCGGGGTCAGTTGGCGGTCACGCGCTATACTAAGAGTGGTAAAACGTACATAGCCATCTTTGATGATAATGGGCAAATCCAACACCTTAGCGGAAGCAGCGCCGGCAAGAGCCGTGGTGGCTATCAAGGCCGAAGAGAAACGAGTGGCGGTCTTCATAGTCTCGATCTAGTACTGAAAAGAGAGTGGTAGAAAGAATGTGGTAGGACAAAAGTGGTAAGAGGTGATGGTGTTTTCTTATAGGGGGCTTGACACTGCCGGCGCCATGACGTTGTAGCGTGTAAAAATAAAATTGCCGAGCGTTGAAACTCCACAAACACGAGCTAATTTCGCCTAATGACGGAGTCGCCTGTCAGTCGGAACTTGGAAGTTTGCAGTGGCACGTCAATGCGATTAAGTCATGCATTGATTAGATAAGGGAGCTGATAAGATCACAATTGAAGGTGGCAGGATCAATTGATACCCAAAGTACGGATATTCAAGACAAAATCTCACCAGTATCTAGATTCACCGAAGAATGGGCCAGCCTTTTCCGCAGCGACTCCAACTACATCTGCATTCAACACAATCAATGTTCAACCTCGAGGCGCACGGCAATCACTCAATGATCTCCTTTACAACCGAGTTGGATGTTCTTGGGGAATACGCATGCCATCGACAATCCCAAATGGCGGTGCTGGGACATTTCTCGGCCAGAACGGATTGTCTCAAAATAAATACGGGAAATCCGGCTTTTTAATTGGATGAGAATACAGAGAAAAACTGCCGAGGGAGCAAGGACCATCACACACACGACTGACCCTATGCTGCGTGTTTCAGACTTTAACTAGCGCCTTCTTCCCGCCAAATTAATTCCGTCGGCGTTTTTATAACTCATTTAAGCTATAGGGTATTTATTAGAACTAGTATCTACCAGATAAGCAGTACGGATAGTATAAAGTAAAAGATAGTTTATAATTTGGGGCGACTTGTAAGTAAGGGTACTCTTCATATAACTCCCCTTTTCTTTCCAGCATTTCTTAGATTTATCATTAGCCGAGTGAGCCAGCCTATGAGGTGATTTGCCTCAAGACTACAAAGAGACTACAACATTGCCAATGTATTGGAATGAATTTGAGACAGCCCAAATTCTCTATCCGCCCCTCCAATCGGGTGCCTATGGCGCCAGAATTGACGCCTCTTGAGCCACTGGCGCCAAAGCCTGCGCCACCCCGTCTAGTTTTGAACAAATCTGAAGCCCCAATTTCACTACTAATCCACCTGAGGCCCTACATCATCGAATCTTACCCTCTTTTTCCGACGGCTTCGCAGACGTTATTTCATCTAACAAACAATTCACCGCTTTCCTCTGCATATTTGTCTACAAAAACTGCCGTTACACACCTTTGCAACAAACAGACCTTCCAGTCATATTTGGAATCATGAACTTTCCGACACCTGTCCCGCTTCCATATTCATTTACGGGTAAATTGCTCAGTCCTCTACCTACCAGCGAAGAAATCCACAATGCGCAATTCAAACTTTCTCCTCGGAGAGAGGTTTGGGATAGAAGCGGTGTTTGTTCCATAAGGGATTATGTTATCAAGTATGGCAGAAGTGTCGGGGAGAACGAGGGAAACGCTCTTCTTTTTCTGGAGAAGAACCACATTCCTGCCCCTCGCTTATACGCCATGTATCGAGAAGCATCATCTGGTTATCTCTATCTGATTATGGAGCGTTTTGCTGGGCACAACCTGGAATCTTTGTGGGCGGCCCTCTCGTCTCAGGACAAGTCATCGATTGCGACGCAGCTACGGTCAATCTTCACTCAGATACGATCACTTAATCCACCTTGTTTTATTGGCGGTGTCTGTGGAGGTGGTGTGCCTAGCGCACTTTTTCGAACTGAAGACCCCAATTCAAAGATAAATGGTCCGTTTCAGACAGCATCAGAAGTGACCTCCGCACTTGCTATTGTTTTGCAGGATAACGAAGGCGGATGGATCACTGATTACCTGAAATGTTATATCTCAGGTGTACTACGCGACTCTCCTGTGAGATTTACGCATGGTGATTTACACATGCGAAATATCATAGTAGAGAAGATACCTGGCGAGCCTAGTCTGGAGACCTACGAACTGGGGAACGGGAAGAATGACGAGCAATGGAGTTATCAAGTCAGAGGCATTGTCGATTATGAGTCAGCAGGATGGTATCCGGCGTACTGGGACTACGTTACAGCAATTGCGCGTCCCCAGCCAGCAAATGATTGGCCGATGATGGTAGATGTCATCCTTGAGCCATATGCGCCGGAGGCCTGTGCATATCTGTTATTGCTGAAAGAACTGCAGTTTATATATTAGTCAACTCACCCTACTTCGTGTGTAACCTTGCGACTTCTCAGACAGGCCCAAACTCAGTAGATCACTATAACAGAAGCCACATATCGACTGGAATCTAGCCATTACGGTTAAGCGCATAACTTACACAGCGGCTTCTTCTTCTCCCTTCATCTCTCAACGAATCCATCCCAGGAAGCTTGACAGCCGACCCTTCTTCCGGATTGCCCTTCTGCCCTTCCACCCGGCATCGAACCGTTACCAGGGAAAGACAAAGAATTTCAAATTTACCTTGACGAACGCCAGAAGGTATTGTAAGTATAGCTATCATACTATCAAACATCAAGTCAAAATCTCACATCTCCGCAGTGCCCCAATCACGCATTGTTCAATTCGAAGGAAGCCTATGCTGGGTGGTCAATGATGAAAAGCAATCCTCTCTTTGTAAACCTTGTTCGAAAGCCTGAAGATCCTAGGAACAAAAAAGCTTTTGGAATATTTGTGCAGGTAAGTCTATCTCTCGATTGTATGACGAATCTAAAATACTAATCCTGCATAAGAACGACGTCGGTTTCCTAAAGCAAGATGTTATCACATGCATGAGCTTCTTTCAACTTGATTGTTATTGCAACAAACTACTTCTAATTTACAGAAAATGTCTGACCGCGGAATATCATAATGTACAATCTTTACATACTGCAGCAAACGAAACAGATCCACTCTAACAGGCGAGGATCTTTGCCACCGCGGCCTCGGCAGCAACCATGACGATAGTCTGGATGTTTCCGGTAGGAAGATCAGGGTGAATGCTGGCATCGGTAATGAACTAGAAATGTTTAGCTTGTGAAATACGAACGATTAGGCATTGTACTTACGAGGTTGTCCATGCCGTACACCTTGGTGTTGGTATCAACGACAGAAGATCCGCCCTTGCGGCCGTCATCAGCGCCCATCTTGGCAGTACCGGCGAAATGGTTGCCGTTGGCAGGTGACGCAAGAATTGCCGAGGTGTTGGTAGCTGGCTGGAGCTCGAAGCCGGTGGAGGCCTTGGTGATGGACTTTACGAAATCTTCAACAAAGATCTTGGCAGTCTCGGTATCTCCCTTGGTCTGCAGGTATGGCGAGCGATCAAACACAGTCTTGCCGTCTTTGGTCAGGCCTAGCACACCGGATGAGGTCAGACCATGGGTCATGTAGACTTTAATGGAGACAACACCATCGCCAGAGGCAGCACAGGAACCTTGGAAGTATCGAGTCACGCCGTCGGGTCCCTTTTGCGAAGTGAAGAAAATCACGCGATGGCGGCCTTGGGTCAGGATTCCAGCTGACTTGTCCTCGTAGAGCTTGATGTTCTTGGAATCGGTGCCGTTCAAAACACTGTCGGTATCGAGCATGCCGTATGCGCCTCCGGTCTTGACGTTGAAGGAGAAGATGGGGTGGTCCATGAGGTTCTCGCCAACAGGCAGCTCAATCCAGTGTCTTTCGGCGGGAAGAGTGACGCCCGTCTGCTTGGCAGTCTGGATTTGCTTCTTGGGACCAATGCCAGAATTGAATAGAAGACGAGGGGTTGTGAGAGCGCCAGCGGAGAGGACGACTCGGCCGTTCTTAGCAAGCTTGATGATCTGCTTCTTACCATCGGCGGTCTCAACTTCAACACCGGTGGCCTTGGAGCCAGATCGTACAACGCGGATGACCTTGGTGCCGAGACGAAGAGTGAAGTTCTTTTGTTTCTGTGCAAGAGGGAGGTACGTCTTGACGGGTCCGGCGCGCTGCGCGTCCTTGACGTTCCAGGATGGCCAGCTGTAGACCTGGTGTTTCTCGTTGGGCTGCTTGATCATGTCGACCGACTTCCAGCCAATTGTGTTGAAGAACCCAGACAGGGTGTTGTACAAGCCAGTGTCGTATCGCTGCTTGTTCTGGGATGGCTCAAGGGTTCCGGGGTTGCGGGCGTACAACCTGTTGGCAGCTGGCGCGACATCGTTCCACTTCCAGCCCTTGGGCCACTTATCGTCGAAGTCGCGCGCGGGAGGGTGGACAAAGACCATGAAGTTGACAGTGACGCCGCCTCCGAGAACACAAGCTGCCAGTCCTGCGGTGTCGTCGCACATGTACTCGTTCCACAAGTCAAGGCCACCGACTGCAGACGAGAGACCTGGGACGTCAATGGGAGTGAGCGAGCTGTCCCATGGGAGAGTGTGGTTAGACCCAGTTGCGACGGTTGGGCCTGGGCCGCGCTCGAGTAGCAGGACCTTCTTGTTGGCTTCAGTGAGGCGCTCAGCGGTGATGAGGCCTGAGGGGCCACCGCCGACGACGATGTAGTCGTAGGTGGTATCGCAGGTGGCCAATGCGGCCAAGCCAACGGCTGAAAGGCCCGTGAGAGATGAGAAGCGCATGATGAGAGATGTACCGGAAATAAAGGTGGTAGCTGGAAGGGAAATATGCATTGAGATAGAGGGTGTTTGGCATTATAACCCTTTCGCTTCATGCCGTACATCCGATGTTCCTCACCCCTGCGATAAAAACCAAGTTCTTCATCTTGATTCCACTCGCCAGCCTTGACTCGACAATCGCCTCGGATATCTGACCATCCAATAGATAGCCAAGATGTTCGATTTGGCCCCATAACTCAAACCAGCTTTGTGGGATTGCCAGGTACTGCAATCAGGTTTTCCGGGACGGATATGCCGTGATCCACTGCTGATACATCATGTACCCCATAAATGCCCAACTTGACATGTACGGTCCCTGCATGTTTAACGTCTTACTCATGATTATCTCAGACATTGTTCTTGTACTAAACCGGTTAGTGGTGTTATGCAAGTTCTTTAGCTTTTCCAGAAGGGGCGCGCTTACCGTCATTACCGAGATGATGGAAAACGGTTTTTCTCTTCTTTTTCGGCAGTTGATGCAATCAGATAAGCAGTGAAAAGTTACCAAGGTTGTATTGCATTGGGGGCATGAAGGTGCCATGGAAATTGAATGGAAGAAAAGGCAATTTGATTATTCTTATCAATAATTTGTTTATTTTTACCTTGGGTTTATTCAGGCTTGTACCACAGTCTTGTGTTGACTTTTCTGCTTCGGACGAGCTTTTACCCTCTTCTCCACCTAAATCTCCCCATACGGAATAGTATCAGAAAAAGTGTTCGCCTAATATAGCGATGCGATAAAGTTCAAGAGCTACGGGGTAAGTTGGCTCAGGGGATTTCCGACCTCCCCTAGAAACCGACCCCATGAAGGAATTTTAATAGATAATTGGCTTATATCAGGGTATTTATATGGGTCATACGTGCTGATCAGATGTAGGCAAATCGTCTATCCTAAATCGCAGGGGCGGTCGGTTTCTAAGGGAGGTCGGAAATACCCTGAGTTAACTTACCACGGTGGCGAGAAAAGAAGAGTCAAATGGAAAACCCCCAATTTAATACGCCATGCATATATCAGCAACTCAATTATTTACATAGAATATTACGAAACACCTATAACAACTACACCCAAGCGTCCCCTCCGCTACTCTGTACAACCAGGACACTCAAAGCAAGACCTGTCATCCCATACAGCATCCCTAGAGTGATCCGGCCAATCCAACCTAAACTTCTCCGCCTTGAGCTCCGTAAACGCAAACAGACATCCGCCGTCTTTGTATCCCGATGCTGTACAGTAATCCTGCGTGAGACAAATAGCCGCGCATTTCTCGGGTGAGCTCTGGTCCGGATACCGGTCATGAGATTCTTCGATGTAGGGCTCAAACATTCCTTCGTATTTACACAAGGCATCGGTCTTGCGGGGGACAATGCGTTGGCAGACGTCGCCCTGCTCGTAGGAACACATCCAGCCTGGTGTGACGGGGTCAGAACTGGCCACGCAGTCGGGACATGCGAAGCAGGAGTTGTGACTCCAGACTGTGTGGTCGAAAGGTCGGTCGTCATGGCTGACCATGTCGGACCTCTGGAGCTTCTTGGACGTGAAGAGACATCTGTTCTCGGTCGAGTAGTATCCAGATGATTCACAGCCCTCGAGGGTCTGGCAGATAGCAGCGCACTGCTGGAGAGTGTCCTGGAAAGGATATTTTTCACGACTCTCTTTCCAGGTCTGGCCGGTGAAATACGCAGCGTAGATACAGAGTGTGTCGCTGTGGTCTTTGAACCTGTCGAACTCGCATGTTTGACCGCGGTTGTAGAGGCAGACTTCTGTTGGTTGCGTTGTCGTCTCAGGAGGTGGGGATGTAGTTGTAGCGAGGGTGGTTGGCTTGATGACAGGCGCTTTGGTAGTGGTTTGAATGTCAGCGCGGGTTGAGCTGGGGCTCAAATCACACTCGGAACATCGGAAGCACTGCATCCCACTCCAATTGACATCGATGCTATCATCCATCATGTCGCGAACTTCCGACCGCGTGACGACGTTATTGGAGAAGAAACATTTGGCCGCGGCGAACATGATGCCCGACGACTTGCAACCGGGGGTGGTCTTGCAGATGGCAGCACACTCCTCTGGGTTTTGGAAATAGTGCCGAGTCTCGTCGTCATCGTCGCCAGGTACACCGTATGTAGGACCGCTGTAGAGACCGTAAACCTCGCAGTTCCACTCGTCGTGGTCCCAAGCGTCGTTTCTCTTCTCGCATGTTGTCTTACAGGCAGGTTCGGTAGGCTGGGGTGTTGTACTGAGTGTGCTTGCGACGTCGACTGGGGCGGTATGGGTGGCTGAGAGGGAGACAATTGTGGACGTGGAATCGATTGTCTGAGACTCGGTTTTCGGGGTTTCGGATGTGGTGGCGATAGGGTCGGGTAGGGTAGTTGAATCAGCTGTCAGAGATCCGGGCAGCTCGGTGCCAGGTTGGGAGTGCTCAGCCGCTGCTGATGTGGATTGTTCAGGGTCCTCTTGCGAAGTCACAGAGGATGTTGAGCTGGCCTCTTCAGCCATGGTGCTGTGTGAATCTCCCTCTGCTGTTGTGCTCTCAATAGCGGTATTGATTGGCGAGGTAGCAGTGATCGGAGCCGATGTCCCAGCGTTGTTGTCTTCAGCCGAAGAAGAACTGACATGAGCCGATGACTCCAAATTGGTGTTGTCAACTGGAGTACTGACGGGGCTCGACACCTCAGCGCTGGTAACATCGGCATCGCTTGTAGCCAGAGTCGGAACTTCAGTAGTAGAAACAACCGGCCCAACCAAAGATGTGCTAACAGGATCCGGGTCCAGAGTACCAAAGTCAAGCTTGAAATCGCCAATGTTCTCAGGTGTAACCTGATTCGAGATAAAGACAGAGTCCACAAAGATCATGGACGTTCCACTGCCAGAGCAAGACATGGAAATAGAGAAAGCAGCCGAAGACGAATCAGAATCAACTTGCTGCAGAACTCGGTTCCATGAAATACCCGACCCCGTGCTGGAGAGGGAGTTGCTGTAGAACTGCTTGTTGCCCAAGGAGGCACTGACAGTACAGGCTTGGTTGCCGCCAGATGCGACGATGTAGAAGAACTGCACTGTGTATTTGTTGCGAGATCCAGTGCTTAGCGAGTTGAGGGTCTGGAAGATGCTAGCGAAAGAGCCAAGATCTCGCTTTTCACCGGGGTGTCCGGTGGCTTTCAAGGCAGCGCAGCCATTGTCCCGGCTGCCGTCTTCTTTGTAACAGCCTCCTTCGTGGAAGACGGCGTCTCCAGAGGCGCTGAAGCCTGTGAGGCCGCTGGGTGGGTTGTTGGGATCGGCTGCGGCGAAACTACCTCCCGCGATGGCGTTGGTGATTATGGGCTGGGATTCTTGAGTGGTGGTCGATTGCGCAAGGGTCGGGCTCGAGATGTCAGTGGAGATATCGGTGACAGCAGTTGTGGGGATGGATGCTGTGGGCACGCTGAGGATGGAGGAAGTCGTTAAACGATTAGGCTTGCAAGGTCCGACAATGGCATAGTTAGCTAGAGCCAGACCGATAAGAGCAATCTTGGACTGCATATTGAGAACAGTCTCGGGTGGTAACCACAGAAAGGTCAAGTAAACGAGTGTAAGAGACGTGGCCCAGGAACCCAATGTCTATGAGGGTAGCGGATTAATATGTAAAGACCCCTAAACTCGCCAGGAATAAGCTTGACTCAGCCCAAAAAGCTAACCAAGTATTCGCGGTCGAGATGCGGCGATACTGTTCATTTTCAGGGTCCGTGATCAATATTGTAGTTAGTCAATTGTCACTATCTGCTATTATTGACAGCCTCAGCGGGCCATTTACATTGCGCGCTGCAGGAACAGAGTCTAGTGCTTGGACTAGACCTGTTTTAGGTTGGTTTATGGTAAGAGGCCAATGAGAAATAAGGAAGATGGCCGCTAAAAAGTCCGACTCAGTAGACTATTTCTTTCAGCTGCGGCGGATAAAAAAGAAATAAAAGAAAAGGGAATAGCGCTGCGAGGATATATCGGAAACTCATTGATTTATCCACCGATGAATCTTAAATGGTTGAGCTTTGAGTGTTCGTTTTGGGAGGATATGTCGATCAGTAATAAATAGCTAGCCTATCCCTAGTAGGCAAGCAAGTTCTAACAATTTCCTCTGTCCTAGACTTTAAAAAAGGTTATATAAGTTATTATTAACTCTTTTTAATTATTGTAATTTTAAATAATAGAATTTTGAGGTATAATATATGGCTATCTCACTATGGTATATTTGATATTATCTGTTTTAGTATGAAAACCTCTTGTTAGCTCGTTGTCGGACCTTTTTCGCTGAACTGTACTTAGAGATAATGAATTAGGGACGTTTAATGTAATTACTTCGGCAAGTGAAATAAACGGCTAATTGTATGGTCCTCGTCTGTCTAATTTGGCTAAGCCGCACCAAAACGTGTTATTAATAAAAGTAAAGAATGTATACCTTTTTTTCGCCTCTCTAAAAAGGACCTTAAGGTTTGGTGGCTATTAAGCTGACCGGCTATTCGCTGGACTTAGTCTGGCCGGTCATAAACCTACAAAGAAAGTCACGTGTAGGGCTGTGAAGAGGCGGAAAAGGTTAATGTGGAGCTTGATATCTGAAAACTCGGACTTCGGAAATACATGTAAATAACTCCCCACTCACCAACACAATCGCATCAAGCTAGATCGGAATCTCCTACAATGGTAGAGCTACTAATTGTTCAAAATGTTAGACGAGACTAACGAGACGTAGGAAGTTCTACCATTTAACCAGGAAGCTTTCGACAAAGCTAGCGAAGAGCCAAACACAGACGAAATCAAGGGCACTGACCAGACAATCCATTGGAGGAATTGCGATCGAGCCTTTCAAAGAAAGTTCAAAGGCGGGGTTTGGCTTGGTATGCCGAAAGAAGGAGGAAGTGTAAAGGTCTTGCCTGGTTATTCAGTTTACTTCATCAGAGGGGTGGATGGCGAGGTTAGAGTCGGTTTAGACGTGGCTACATCGACTGAGACTTAAGATAAATAAGGCGAAGGACTAACAAGCAAATGTATTGAGATGATCCAATTGTGTTTTTATGTTCGTGATACATTCGCAGAGAGTTCCATCTTAATCATACTAGGAGACTAAAACTACAGTCCTTTGAGTAGCTGATTGACGCAATACTATATAGGGACTTGGCTCATAAACCTCGCGTGCAAACTCATTTGCACCGGATCCATATTTCCTTTTGTTCCTTGCGGGTTGAAGACTAGGTCCCCGGTAATAGGATGGCGTGCACGTGTCCACAAATCGAAATCCTCCTCTGTGTTCATCATCTCGCTAACCGATGGCGGCCATCCACTGGCATCTGTTTTCGCAAGAGAGTATTGGGCAATTGCTTGTTCCAACTGAGTCTGCGAGGTAGTAGCAGGAGTACTACTGGAGTTGTTGGTAGGATGCTGTGCTGGGCCATCGTCCGTAGGTGCTTGAGGCTGTCGTGGGGTTTCGTTGCGTGTGACGCCATAGTCTGGTATATTGATGAGGACGGGTTGTCGCGTTTCGGAGACCTTTCTTGGACGCTTGTCGTATTGTTCATCCTCTACATCCGCGTTGTCGTCGGGTTCGCTTTCACAATCTGAGATTACAATGCTCTCTTCCCAACTCATCCCAATACCGCGAGATTCTGGGCGTTCGGTTTGCGCATTCGGTTGGTCGTCTCTTGGCTCGGATGGACCAGCTTGTAAAGAACCAGCCATTTCATCACGCCCTATAACAGGCGCGTTAGCTTGATTCAAAAGACATTACATTAAACCTTACCTGTCAAGATGGCATGTCCCATTTCCACGTCACTCCGTACAAACATTTTTTGAACCTGTATGAACCCATCGACCACATCTCTAAACGGAATGTGTTTCGCCTGGGGGTCATAGTGTTGCAAATCGGCCGCAGCAACCCAAGCCATGGAATACTTGCCCGGAAACACCGGTTTGTCAAAGTACATGACAGGATACTCCCTCCTGGTATACAACGGTCCATTCGGTCTGTAGGCCTCAGCCCACTCCGGTGTTATTTGCGGATTGTTGGAGTCGAGCAAATAACACTTGGGTACCGTCCTTATAAGCTCTGTGCTTTGAAGCGACATGTTCCAGCCAAACCGCCCAAAGCTTCCCCAGGGGAGGATCAGCGCGGCGTACCATTTCTTTCCACTCTTCCAGTACGCCGTGTACACCTCGCCGGGCTTGGGGTCAATGCCGGAAATCCCCTGGCTGCTCCTCGTGTACAAATTATGGGTGACAGGTGTAGTGTCGATTGAGGATACTCGACTGTCGGGAAGACCAATCTGATCGTAAGATTGCCTCTCAGCCACATCGTTGTTCATCAAGGCCAGCTCTTCAGTGCAGTTCAGCACATGAGTTCCAAGCTCCCAGATAGTCCCAGCATGTCCTGGGTTTTCCATGCCATGCTTGCCTGAAGAGAGATGTTTGCCAGCAGCTTTCATAGTCTGTTTCAGAAACGGCATTCTGTGTTTCTTGCACTCCACAATGTACCAGTCTTGGAAGTATTTGACAATAATATGCTTGGCTTCTGCATTGCCATTCTGGTAGACCTCATCAAACTCGATTGTGCGACCTTGACTGAGATCGCCCGGTGCACATGGTGTGTTCCGGTTCTGAGACTTCTTAGGCTTCTTAGACTGAGGTGCGTTTGGGGTAGAAGCGCTTGCTTGTCTCTTCTGTGAAGTTGGCGTGATCAAGCCGTTTGGGAGTGAACTCATTCCCGGATGGGAGAGACCTTCATATCGGGGCCCGCTGGGGTTGGAGTTGTTGGATTGTTGGGTCTCTCGCTGGGCTTCTGACCGGTCTGGGGTGGGCACATTGGTAGAGGCTTGCGCTGATGGTTGGGTCGCTCCACGAGCCAAGCCATTTGTCGGGGTGAACGACGCTGTGGTATGTTCGGTAGACTGTGCCTGAGCGTGATTTGACGGAGTGTTTGGTTGCGGAGCAGTGGTCTGTTGTGAAGCGGTATTCTGGCTCGTGGAACCAGTTGTAAAGCCAGTGGCATATGAGCCTGGGGCGGTACTAGGTCGCGCTGAAGTATCTCGCTGTTGGGGAGCGTTTGGCTGAACAGAAAGACATGGCTGCGTGGTATTGCCAGGCGGAACAGCTGTGTCAATCGTGGATGTCTCTGTCTGCGTGGAGGCGGCAACACGTTGGCCAGTCCGTTCATGCCATTCCCTCGTCAAATCGTCTAGTCTATCACGACCAAGAACGTCAAACAACTCAAGCAGATAATCATGCTCTTTGTCTCCAAATCCCTTCTCATAATCGCGTTGTAGTTGTTCCTTCGTCGCCTCGTGCTGTGCTACAAGCTCCCTCAGTCTTACCAAACAGTCAAGGACCGAGTCGCATCGTTGCTTGAAGGTGGGGTCGTCAACGGGGCCAGTAGGAGTTGCAGCGAATGTAGCGCTATTCCACTGGTCTTTGGCGACTTGGTATGTCTCTTGGTAGGCTTCTTCGGGGGTTTTGTCGGGACGAATGGCGATTTTGGGTCTCCATTTGTCAAAGAGATTCACGATGGCGGGTTGCCGTTGCGAAGGCAACAAAGAAACACCCTCCATTGTTGTGGTGGGCCTTTCACTGTGTGGTAGGTGGGGTTACGGCGATTGGGGAGTCAAGTGGTGAATGAAAACTATCACCAGCTTTTCGGGAACGTGTAGCCTCGATTTTGGTGTCTTTAGAATCGCACCACGAAGATAATGACCAAGAGAGAACTGTGGAAAAGTGAGACAGCGTGAATGAGCAAAGAAATAAGAAAAATGTTCTTCACTATTATTGCTTTTTCTTTGTTCCAGATCAAGTTCCAGCTGACAGCCTGATGACGATCTCGACCAATCAGATTACTGCTAGACCAGGATCAAGTGTGTTGGTCTATAGCGCAGTAGACAGCCAATAATGGGGCCCCAAAATCCTTGTAGGCCCATATTCTCATGTTTGTGGCTTATGCTCGACAAAGGGGTTTCACTTGTTTTCTCTTTTCTCCTCTCTCTTTCCCCTAGTAGCGTGCGTAATCTACGATGGAAACAAAGGGAAAGAAAAAGTTGGCGATCACGTCCTCGTCCAGCTAAAAGACTGCTAGACCAGAATCGGATATGTTTGTTCTATAAAGCTGGAGGCGGCCAATAATATGACCCTTAAAGCCCTATTGGCGCAGGTTCTTACATTTGTAAGGAAGAGGCTTTGTTTGTTTTCTCTTTTCTTCTCTCGCTTTCCACTCGTAGCATGCGACCTACAATTAGAACTAACAGAGATTGAGTGATTACGTCCTCATCAAGTCAGATTAGTGCTAGACCAAGATTGAATATGTTTGCCCTACAACATAGGAGCCAGTCAACAATGAGGCCCCGGAATCTCCGTTGGCGTATATTCCGAGGTTTCATCCGCTTTCATTCTTCTCTCTTCCAGCTAGTAGCACTAGTAGCGCGTGTGATCCACGTGGAACATAGCGAAAGTCGGGGCTTGTCTAATAAAGGACAGAACGATTATAATTAATTCCCCGCTTGTTTACTAAAGTCCCTAGTACAAAGGATGAAAATATATAGTTGAATCTATAAAGTATATTGAAAGACACGTCATCTAGAATTAGAGAACTAGACAATAAAAGACTTTGAAGTCACTCAAGAACCTACAAGCCTTTTTTCCTATTCTTTTATTAATTAAATTGGGAAGAGATCTTTTTATCTTTAAACTTCACGTCTTAGGATTATAAACATTTAAAATATATATCCTTTCTAATATGTCTATCTATACATCTAGCAGAGAAATATAATTTTTAACAACTTTGCATTTCTCACTTTCCAGAATTATAATAAGAGAAAAATATCCACTATACCGTCATTTCCTTTATCCTGACGCCCGGAAAGGCCTGTTTGTGTAGTCACGTAGTTAGTTTGATGGCGATCTTTTTCATTGAGTAGATATTAGCTTAATCACTGGATAAGAAAATACAATTGTTTAGCAATGCAAGTAATAAAGTATGTTCAATAGATCTCATCCATAACACAACTTTGTCCCCGTCCAAGTATAAGCAATCAAGAATCTCTAGCCGAAATCCGGAGGATCATGATATGGCCGCTATGTACCATTGCCACAGTAGACATACGTGTTTCCAGGTTAGTCCTGACAGAAAAGAGATGCCGATTGACGGATTCGCGTGGAATCCACAAAACCCTCTTGCTGCCCTTCATCAGCCATGCAGACCTTTCAGTCCAGGCCAGTCTTAAGCTTCGCGGACACCACGGAAAGTCCGCATCTGCTCTAGAAGTCTTATACCGATAATCATCTTCCCCCTCGGCTTCTAGGTCGATGATCCCAAATTTGGTATCCAATCCTGACTGATATTGTGGGTCCCAAGCCATTGGTACTATCCCCTCCCGTAGACAAAAGTATTGGAGCATGCTGCCATCTTCGCAGTTCCAGATCTCCACCATGCCAGCACTCTCTATCAATAATAGCCCATTTGCGTTGAACGAGAGTCCAGATATCTGGCCCACTTCCAGAGAGTGTTGTCTTTCTTTCATCCAATCACAGCCCCAAATCGCAACTGTAGAGTCATTCCAGTTGTAAGCGAGGCGGCCATCGCTCGAGTATGCACAGCAACGATATCGTGCCTTCTCAAATGAATGTGGAATATCCAGTGAGGTGCCAGTGACTACGTTCCACATCCTGAGCTGTCTCCCAATGGAGACAATCTGGCCAGATGTTCCGAGAGCCATCGCTTCAGGCCAATCGTCAAGGTCAGTATCATCGAAGTCTTCATCGTTTATGCCTTCGTCTATCTGAAACTTGTTTATACAGTCGCCGGATTCTAGGTCCCAGATCTCAATTATGCCGACGCCTGAGAGCACTGCGAAATAGTGTTCAGGCCCAAACTGGAAATCTTGAGGTTCAGAAGCGGAGTGGGGAATGCTTTGCTGTGCGTTGCCGGTAACAGCGTTCAGAAACTCGAACTTTCTGGTGTAGTTCAAAACTACAAGATTCTCGTTTAGTCCTTGCTCTAGTGATAGAGGTAGACTATTGGTCACTTCTTGAACAAAAACTGGTAGATCCGAGTTAATTTCAACACTCCAGATATTCATTGTGTGATCCCTGTAGCCTATCGAGGCTAGACGATTGTCTTTTCCAAAGCAAAGCGCCGTGATGAGCTGTAAGGGTACAGATAGTTTAAACAATTCTGCGAGCCTTTCGGAGTCCCACAGTACGATACCGAGCCCGGCGGCTATAGCGAGTGACTTTCCATCAGCCGCCCATGTGATATGCCGAACAGGATTGATAGAGTGCCGGGCAATGATCTCCTGTAGGGTAAGATCCGCATCCCATCGGACAATACTAATACCCCCATCAGTAGCCACGGCCAGTCTTCGTCCATCGGGTCCAACTGCCGCCGTTTGAAATCCGCTACCAATTTCTACACTGTTTGATAGTTGTTTTCCGGTTTCGGAATTCCAAACGTCAATCTGAACGGATGATTGTTTGTCAAAATACTTCACAACGAGGAGTAGTGGTGTATTTGATTCATCGAGTCCCCAATCAAACCATTTCATTCTGTGATCTTCGTGCAGGCCGCTATCATAGAATGTGCATCGGCAGACCCTTTCCCAGAAGTCCCAGAGTTGGATATTGTTGTTTTCAGAAGACAATGCCAATAAGCGGCCATCCGTCGAAAAGGGTAAACGATATATGTGATCGCGCCTCCGCCCTTTTCCTGTCAATGGCTCTTCACATTTACTCGACTTGAACCACCGGACGCATTTCTGGTTGCCAATGTCCCACATCATAATCTTCCGGTCCTCAGATAGAGACACCAAATGCTTCCCGTCTGGGTGATACGACACGGATCGGAATGTTCCCGGGGCGTCAGCTTGAAAGGATCTTAAGTGATCGCCGGTGAGAGCGTCAAATATGAAAATCGCGCGGTTATCATCTCTTAGTGTTACAAGCTTTGTGCGGTCAGGAGATACCTCTAACACTGATTGAAATTCGGAAGAGACTCCTGATATGGTTAGAAGACATGCATCCCATTCGTGAAACGATGAACACAATGTCTCAATGGACTTTGGGGCTTCGGTATCAAAGCACTGTCGTATCTTACTCCGTTGAGGGCTGAAAAGCAATGCGGAATCATAAAGTTGCATTGGCGCATTATCCATGATTGATCGGTGGTTAAGAGTCCAACGGACAGTGTCTTCAATCAAGTCTTTAAGCTCCTGTGGTCCGGATTGGATCTACACACGCGAATTAGCAATGGCATTACTTGCTAGTAATAGGCACCCTCTGACTTGCCAGCTCTTTTAGTCTCTGAACTGCCTTGATTATGTCATTGACATGATGCAACATGCTCATAGCCTCAAACCAGTATAGGCACTTTGTTGTAAAAAAGGTAAGAAGTAGGCCGTAAGCCGAGCTGTCTAGGTCTGAATTGTGACTTTCTGTGGAATACCACTCATCGAAGTGATCAACCCAGTGAACGCAAGTGTACTGCATCCCATTCAGGGGCTGGTGTTCAGGAGGGGTGATCTCATCAATCAAGACGGTAGACTCCAATTGGTACATGTTTCGATGGAGCTTCCCATCCATAATGTTCAAATTGCTGACGAAGATTTCGTAGTGCTGCTGTACTTTTCCCAAGGGGAAAATCTCAGAAGCTTCAACCAGATAGTCTCTTGCCGACTGGTGGACTATATGGACGGTATCTTCTCGGATGGTCAAGAATGAACCGCATGATCTTACAATGTCATTAATCGCTTTAGGTTCTCCCAAAAAGTCTTCCAGTCTTCCATCCAACGTAGCGATCTCCAATAGGGTAAGGGGTCTGATAGCCACAGCAGACAGGGCAAGGACAGCTTCGCAAAGCTTCTTGTCTGGAGACTGGTTCATTCTATCCATCATTTTCTTGTACAGTTCCTTAAGGCCAGCAGGGAAAGAATGCGCAACTTGCAAAATGCGATGAGCTGCAACATTAAGCTTTCCCAATTCGTCGCAAACCAAAGAAACCCACAAAAATGTATCATCCGCGTTTGCAACGAGGTGCTCGTAAAGCTTGGCTCGTACATCGTCATGGAGACGTTTCCTACGAGCAAGCTCTTCGACCTTGTGATTTATAAAATAGTGGACAGCCTCCGCAATTGCGTTGGCATTGAGCTCTAGCTGTAGTTGGGCTTCTGCTGCCACGTCATTGAGCTGCCCTTCGATCGTGGGCCAGTTGCGACTTGATATGATCCATTTTGCTTTGCAAGTATTGTAAAGTCGAGATATGAGATCAATGAGCTGCTCATGGCCGTCAGTACATTCATCCAAAGCGTCAACTACAAACACACAGTCCGCACTGGCTTCGTCGTTCGCAATTGCGGTGAACATTTCGGATAGAGCGTGCCAGGCATTGTGGTTGGAAAAGATATCTGCCCCAGTTTGATCGTATTCTTCTCTGACATGGGAGATAAGGCTTGGACGTGTCCTAACCAACGACCAGATAAGGCCTCGAAGCACATAGATAGCACTTCGAAGGGATGGATCTGCAGCCTGGCAAAAGAAGTAGAATACGGCATTGGGCTTGGATTTCTCAAGCTCGTTGATAATGCCACAGAGAAGCATGGTTTTCCCTTTGCCAGGATCACCCTTGATCCACAGCAAACGGTTACTTCCATCTTCGTACCACTGCTTGTATTGTCGATTCTCCGTCACCCAGCGATAGGAGTCGTAAACAAGCCCACCCTTGGCATTGATGATGGAGCGCTTGTCGTGTCGAGGATCAGTCTTGTATAAATCTCTCAAGCAGTTGTCATCTTTCTCCTTGTGGCGCTCCTCTCTCACCCATGCATAGTGTGTCTCGTTCTGGTGGAAGATTTCGGCCATTCGTTTTACTTGCCCCTCTGCCGATGACAAGATGCCCCGAAGGCTAGTTCTCATATCAAGCGTGTTGTACTGTTCAACATCTCTCATAACAACATTTTCAGCATCCTTGACTTCTGATACTAGAGTTGCCCAGTCATCAAGCTTGGGCAGGTCTCTAAGAAAGACTGCGAGGCGGCTGCGGTGATAAGTGATGACGCTTTTCATCTGGAATAGAAGTAGCCTTTCATAGAGTTTCGCCAACTGCTTCTCCAGTTCCGCTTGTAAAGATCGGGTCGCCGTACTCGAAAGGTTTTCGTCAAGGACTGATCGCGATAATTCCCAATACCACTGCATTCGCGACAACACATAGGTCATACCGTCTCGATTCTTCTTGGGCTCGGTCAAGGGACTAGAAAGAATCTTTTTATAAATGATATTAGTGATAAGGCCATTTAATTACGTGGGGGACCAAACCTCAAGAGCACAACAAACACCAGCCCATGGAATAGCAGCATCTGGTGCAGCTTTGATACCCGTACTGACAGCGTCCTGCAAAGGCTTAATGATTGTAATCCATTGGTTGACTTTCTCTTTTCTGTCTGCATCCTTGGCGGTTTTCTCAAGGCCTTCCTGGACTAGCTGTTCCATCTGCTTCCACCTTTTTGCAGGATCCCTATGGATGAGGTTTTGTGCTCCGTTGCTTTCCTGGGTCGTCTCGGTCGTCGGTGATAGATACGTAGTTAGTATCTTCTCATATGCTTCAACAATAGCTTGCTCATTCTCGGGTTTCTTCAACTCGGCGTAAGCTTGGTTCCAGATCTTATGGGGAGGGCTTGTCGTGTTCAAAGAAGCGGGGCTGTCTTCGCGAGGGGACTGTTGGGCTACGACGGTAGGGTCGACGGGAAGATCGACTGGGGATTGGGACGATGGATTGTCATTCTTAAATCGTGAAACAAATCGTTTCACTTTGGGTGTAAATCTTCCCATGGCTGCTCGTGATTTCCTTGCGTAAAATTGCGTACTCTTGCTCTTCGACGCACGAAATGATTGACTATGAGGGGCGAAGGCTTCGAGGCTCGATCGTCAACGGGACAATACAGCTGCTGACAAAGCGATTCAATCATTGGACCATCCAGGCATCAGACCATGGACTTTTCTGCAGGAGCCATAAGCCAAGATGCCGTTTTAACCAATAGAGCTATCTCTCGAGCTCGGATGAGTTGGTTAACGTGTCCCTTCATTATTGGTCTTTGATCTGCAAGACGCGTGTTATCAAACAGCCAAGTAACGTTTGCAGCGGCTGTAGCACAATATCCATTGGTTTAACACGGTGAGACATTTATGTGTACGGGCGGGTCTGCCTGGAGCTGAACTCAAGCCTTCTGTCTGTCTTTCCATTTTCAGCAAAGCCTACCTCCAATCAGCGCTTAGGAACATAGGTCACTGCACAGAGAGAGTGCGAATCAAGTGGTAAATCACCAAGCCAACAGTCAAACCAATACCTCAAGAGACAACAGCGGCTTGAATTTAACATGTCTAATGGGGGATATAAAACATGACGGTACCTATGGCTTCTTACTAAAATTGCTCTTATCTTTGAAGTTAATCAGAGAATAAATAAAATAGACATAAAGTTATGTAAATCTACATAAATCTACATAAATTTACATAAAACTCAAGAATATTATTTAAGAATTAAAGTAAATAGAAGTTAAGTTCTGAAATCTTTACAATCTTCCCTTCTATTTTATTAGATAATTACTTTGTACATCTCAACTTTAGGTACGGTGTATTATGCCAGCTAAGGGTACCATACGGCAGTCCATACCTACACGGGTACCCGTACAAATAATACAACATAGGTACCCATATAAATAATAAGTTAGTAATACCAATTATTTAAAAATCCCTTATATAAGCCAATTAATACTAATTAGCTAATTATAACCTTATTTCTTATATATTCTATATTTAATATATCTAAATTACCTAATTAACTATTAAGTAACTATTTAATTACCTAGTTTATAATAATATAAGCTCTTAAAGTCTTCCCTAATAATATTTTTCCCCCTAAAGTTATATTTAGCTTATAAAGTAAGCTTTTTAAAGTGCTTAACGATTAGGTAAAACTATATAATTATACCTTCGTTATATATAGATCTTTAAAGGTAAAGACTTTATATTAAGTACTTACCGTTATATATATATATAATCGTAAAGGAAGGCCTAAAAGTAATAAGGTAAGTAAAAAAAAGACTATAATATACCATATTAAGTACCTCTTCTCGGTTAATATTATAAAAAGTAATTATAAGACCTAATAGGCAGTTAGGTATTATAATAATCTTTATATTTATATATATAATTACCTACCGAGCTTTAAGGTAACTATATATCTAGCTTATTATAAAATTAATTATAAATAGGAGTAGACTATTAGGCTACTTATAAAGTTAGATATAAAGCTAAAAGAAATATAAATATTTATTAGGCTTTTAAATATATTTAACCTTATTACTTAATAGGATATATATAATACTATTATATAAAGTAAATAAACCCTTACTAAAGGCTAAAACTTAATATATACCCTTATAAATAAACTTATTAATTAAGGTTTTAGAAGTTATTTCTACCTTAATAAGGATAATAAAGTTATAATTATATTCTTTACTAATATAAACTCTTTTTTATATATTAAATTATACTTAAAAGTTATAATACTTAACTATATATATAAAACTAATAAATATAAAATACCTCTTCTTAATATTATTAGTATTAATACCTATAGAAAGAGTTTTTATATTATATTTACCTTTATAAATAAAAAAAAAAAGGCAGACTATCTTTAGGTTCTCTCTTACCTTTAGGAGGTATATAAAATATATAAAATAGCTCTCCCCTCTATTATACTTATAGATTAATATCTTACTTATATAAATACACTTATTAATATAATTACCTTCCCTAAACTAACTTATTTACTTTATATCTTTTATATTAACTAAGTGGTTTTAATATATTATTAACCTAGGTTTATAAAAGAATTAGATCCTTAGGGTTATAATAACTAGCTAGGGTTTTAAAAAAGCTTTAATAATATTATATCTTTAATAACGCTAGCTATATATAAAAAACGGCTTAAGAAGTTTAAAAATACCTATTCTTAAAGCTACTTTAATAAGTTAGGTTATATTATAACTAACTGGCTTAATCTCTATAAAAAGAAATTTATAAAAGCTTAGGTTAGGAATACCTTTTACTTTAGTTAGATAATAATATTACCTATAGAAAGGATATATAACCTTATTAAGGGGCACTTAAAAAATAACCAGGCTAATCTCTTTAAGTATTAAATATATATTAAGCAAGCTTTAATAAATTAGCTAAAAACACTCTAAGATAATATTATATACAATAACAATAAGGAGCCAAATATTCTAAGTATCTAATTATTATGGCTATTATTTAATACCGTTATCGGCTAGGTCTTATATAAAGCCTTACTTATAGTTAAGGATTAAGCTATATAACTAAAACCTAATATACCTTTATATATAGGAACCTTTACTAAATTATTTAATTTACTATATATTTATACTATTAAGCCTCTACTTAAAAATAGGCTTTATCTCTAACTATCTCACTTCTATTATTATTAATATTTATATTACCTAAGAACTCCCTTACTTCTTATTAAACCCTAAAAAGTATTTAACTATATTTCTAAGAGATTAGTATTATTAATAATAAGCATATAAAGAAAGCCTTATATATTTAAAGTAATTAAAAGGGTATTATAGCTAAAGGCATAATTATAATATACTATATATTACCAGGTTAGCTATTAAAGGAATATAAAAATATACCCTCTTCGCTTTAGTAATATATTATTTATTATACCTCTAGTCTCTTTAGAATTATAATTAGTAATTTAGCCTTAAGAAGATTATTAATTATAATCTAATTCGGCTAAAATAACTACCGTAATAATAACTAAGACGGAAATATATATAATAATTTATATAAGGATAGTTACCTCTTTACCGGTATTAAATTACTCCTTAATTTCCTTTCCTCTAGCTATTCCCTATATTACAGGCAGTATAATAAATACTTATAAGGTATATAATAATACCTTTACTATTTATAGGTAATATATATTAGACCGTAAGAAATGGTATTTATAGTAACCTTAATAATAGTATATTAATAAACTATATTATAAGGTAATAAAGCTTTATTTAAAGTACCTAAAGGTAAATTACTAATAGGCCTAGACCTTAAGCTAGATAGGTAATTATATAAGAACCTTAAATAGCTTAAAGTTATAAAACTAGACTAAAAAAGAAATAAATATATATATTAACTTCTTAAATAAGGAAAATAAATATATATATTAAATAGTTACTTATTAGGCATAGTATACCGATTAAAGAGGTATTAAAGATAGTATATATATAGTAAAGGAAAATAGTTAGCTATAATAGGTATTTTATAATAACTAGATAGCCACTATATAAATTAGGTTCCTAATAATTAATAAATATAAATTATATATTATTTAAAAAAAAAAAAAAAACTATATTTCCGACTATATTAACTTACCTTTAATTACTAAGTTATATATAATATAATAAAGTTACTAGATAAGTATAAAGTAAGGCTATAATATTAAATTAATATAATTTTAATTACTAATAAAAGGGATTAAAGTATTTTATATTAACTTAATACCTTATATATAATTAATAAGACTAGTTTACCTATAAAAAAGAGGCAATTATATTACATTCTTTCTTTTTTTTTTCTTTTTCTTAATATAATAATATAATCTTAATATAATAACGCCAAATATATTTTTTAATAACTTTTAAATCTTTAAGGATAATATAACTACTTCTCTTACTTATTATCCCTCTAATTAAAATAACTAATTTATATTCTAGCCTTTATAATATAGTAATAGCTTACCTAGTTATATTAATAATAGCTAATATATAAAAAAAGCCACTAGCTTTTATCCCCCTATTCCTTAGCCTATTCTTTCCGGTTAGGAGAATATTATAATATATTAACTAGTATATAATATATTTAATATTAACGGCTAAATAGCTTAAAATATTCCTATAGGTATAAATACTTACTTATAGCTTCTTACTTTATAGTAACTATATATAGTATATAACTCTTTATTTACCTTAATTAGAAATCTAGCTATTATTACTATAATACTATATAGATATTGAGTTAAGGGTAACTAATATATAGACTAGTTTTAGAATATAATTAATAAATAAATAGCTTACCTAATACCTAATACTATACCTTTCTAAACTGCTAATAGCCTTATATATTAAGATTAGATATACTAAGCTAGTCCTCTTATTTCTATAACTATATAGCCTATACCTACTATTAGAATAATAATATATATACTTACAATTTAGATTATATAGTAAAATAGTATATATCTTTAAGCGGTTAATCAGTAAGGGTATATATAGTAGATTTAACAGGGAAGATAGTAAAGAGGTAACCTATAGATAGATATAATAAAATGCCTATTATTAGAATACTATAATAATAGCTATATATAAGACCTTTCGTTAGTGTGCTGACTTATTATTTATATAGGTACCTATGTTATGTTATTTACATAGGTACCTATGCAGGTATGGATCGCCGTACCATACCCTTAGCTGACATAATCAGAGGCCGCATGATAGTTACCGGTCCAGACTTGTATATCTCATCTAGACAAACAATCTCTTAAGTTTGTAAAACTACATGTCCAACATGAAAACTTGGTTTCTCGCTCCTGACTTTACCTTTACTCCCAACGGACCCCTCCAGCTTGGCGCTGTTATCCCTCATCCAAGTTGCCCAACTCAGACCCTTGCTTCACCCCGCACTGACGCAATCACGCTTCCTGAAGTCCAAACTCTGATCGAGACGAATCATTCCCATTCAAATGATGTTACTCGAACAGCCGGAGTCAACATTTTTGCCAAGTTTGTCGAACTAGCTTCAGCATCTATTGGCTACGAGGCCAGTCGCCGGAACGCTCTCGAGTACGGAACCGTCGATCATGAAGTTCGATCTCTGGCTGCGCCATTCACCAAAGAATTCCTGCAAAGCATAGTCAATGCGGAGGCTGTGAGAGAACATATTGACTCGGGAATGTTTGGGAAAAGAACTGTCTACTTTGTTTCTGGGCTTCGTGTTACTAATTCTTCGTTTACGGTGACCAACGAGAAGGGAATTGGCCACAATACCTCACTTTCAGCTTCGGGTCCAACGGGACCAGTTCCCGTAGAAGTTGGCGCTGGCATTTCAGGCGGCAAAGAAACTTCCAAAACGGACTCTTATGAGACAGCTCCTGGCATTATCTTTGCTTACCGTCTTCATGCCATCCGTGTTCGAGGTAGCGGTACCATTAGCTCGGAGATGTTTTCGCACCGCAAGCTCTTCATGTCGGGTAGAGCTGAACCGGAGCCCATGGAAGTGGTTGATGTTACGGCCGAAGTGCTGAAGGCGGATAAAGAGGAAGAAGATGCGCCAAAGTACGAGATGGAAGATCTTGGAGATGGGGAATTCTGTCTATCGGCCGTGGCATAGATAGCTGGCCTTTTCTAGATTGTAATTCTGTTTTACTTGGTAGCCAAATCTAAACACCTTTTCAGCTAAGACTATCTATGTAAAAATGTTGGAACCGCGTCATACATAGCAGCCCATGCCCTCCATGCGTCAGCCTTCTCACTCCAGAACCATATCGGATTTATAAATCTACAATGACCTGTTTGATCTGGTGCCATTCTTTCCAACAATCTTCTCATCCCCTCAGTCCTCTTTAAGCACTTCACTAAATCTTTCTCTGTCTGCATCCCCAAAACGGTAGAGAGGACATCTGCGTATGCGATTGTCGATGCAGCTATACCAGCTGCTACTGCTGTTGCTATCGATGAACCAGGATTACAGATATGAGAACCAAATCGCTGAGTGATCTCATTATTGAGACGAGCTGGTAGATTATCGCCAAATGTGCCAAGAACAACATCGTTACGGTCGGTTATTGGAGGGTTGCTGGCACTAAATATTCCTTGGCAATCTGTTGCCCTTACTGAAATAACTGACCGATGTCTTGCTGGAAAGGCTTCTCTCTGGTAAGCTGCATTGTTACCAGCACTGGCTAGAAAGATTATATCGCGACTTCGCTCCGCGTCTTCAATAGCTTTCGAGATAGCATCGTCATCGTGAGGAAAACCGAAGGACATAGAGATGATGTCCACTTCTGCTTCTAGTGCAGCCCATCGAATTGCCTTGTATATGTTAGTTCATGATGTAGGACCTGATGATTGCATTCCCTCACCTGTGCTATTCGATCACTGCTGGACTCGAGTTCATCCGTGTGCTTTGCAACTCGAGCCACGTAAATATGAGCCAGAGGAGCAGATTCCATGACTAATCGAGTCATCAGACTGCCATGACCATACTCATCAGTCATCAAGCCTTCTTCAGCGGTCGCGTTGCTCTCCTGTCCTGTAAAGTCCTTCCATCCTTTTATAGACTTCCCCCTCCTCGGTATCTTATAGAATGGTAAGTCTGCATTGAACCCTGTGTCTAGAACTGCTATCTTGACAGGCTTGAACTCGTGATCTGGCTTCTGCTCCCGCAGGTTCACAACGTGCATGCTAATATGTTTCAAATTATCAAGCCACTCTTGAGGAACCACCGTCTTGCCTGTATGAAACGAAGCAATTTGTGAGCGAAGGTTGCTTTGAGATTCCTCAGCCTTTTTGCATCTTGCCAAATATGAAACATAATTCGAATCAGTTTTGAAGGCAATCTTGACGAGTTTGGCTAGTGGCTCAACGATCTCAGTATACACCTTTCGCCTCCTTCCGTCATCACCTATGTCGGTATTGGTGATCGACGAGATTTGTATTGACTTTGACTTCGTGTTGGAGGCCATGAAGGTACTTGGATCCAAGCAGTTCGCCACGGCTCTTGCAAAAATGTCACGGTGTGTTGTTCTGGCCCACTGCGCTTTTTCTAGCTCACCCAGTAACTGTCTAGCAGCACCATGGTCTCGATTCAAGCGAGATGTAGATGGTAGGTGAGCTAGGGATTTATAAGGCCTCGTGAGACCGATCTGAAGTAGTAAAAGTCCCAACCCTAGGATATGGGGAAAAGGGTGTGTCAGCATTGATCTGTCTTCATCCTCAAAGATACTCTGCTGGTCGTCAAATTCAAGCGACATGTAGACTCGCAGTTCGAGCTGATCCTTTGTTATCTCCTGATCATTCATCTCATGCATGAACCAAATATCGTCACTAGTCCACCGATATCTCATCATCTCAGATCCAAAGAACTGCCAGAAAGAATGAGCAATGGCATGTGCGAGAAGAATCTTGTCTTTGTCCGTGAGCTTGTAGTTTTGAATGACAAGAGATAGCGGGAGCCCTTGGCCTGGACATAGGAACCTTTCGAGAGGAGCTGGTGGTGGTATTGATACAAGACCAATACCGTTGACGAAGTTGAGATTGACTTTAGCGAACAACTGTTGTTTGAGAACTTTGCAGAAATAGTCTGGGTTAATGCATTCCTGGCCCAAACCCGTCTTACCAGTTTCCTCTTCTTGTATGCAATTATCTGCGAATTTAACAGCTCCTCGTCGGCCTTTTGTTTGCCTTGCTTGAGTCAGCTGAAGAGCAAACTGATCGCCAGATTCATACTTACATGGGAATGCCTAGCAAGAGATGCTGCCAATAACTCATATTCTCATACGACATGATAATTTCGAATTGGGCATGTTTCCCTTGTATTTGAGATACTGCATCCAGATGAAGTCTTATAGGATGAGGCATTTCATGGTGATGATGGGAGATTCCTTTTTTAGACTTGCTTAGCCAAGACTTTTGCGTCGGTTTCTCTACATGGTGGCAGAAGGCTTGTTTGTGGAGAGCCTCAAAGAGACTTTTGCTGACATGTTCAGGATAGTCATCTGGCTCTGTTAATGTTGATCCTCTCGTAAGTTGATAAAGGCCCGTCTTTTGCCGTGGCTCATCCTGGCTAAGTTTCGCTAAAAACGCGTCGCAATGCTCCTTGGTTTTGTATGGCAATGCCTTGTCAGTGATGAAGAATAACGCAATAGCCTTAGATAACCGAGATCTATTATCTGGCCTGACCAGCTGCACGAGACGTTCATAGTCCTGCTCAGGAATGACTTGATCGGATACGGTAGTCGGAAACTAGAAATATTAGCTAACATCTCAGGTTGACGCAAATCACATACTATACAAATTTCGAGCAAATTATGCAATAGCCTTGCGGCGGCTTCTTCAGCCTCTCCATTAACTTCATAAGTAACAAACGATTCTTGAGCAATCTGTCCCAGCCTGGTTCCAACTTCGCCTGCTAATCGTTGTCGCTGGCGAATACCGCACTCCATGACCAAAGAGTAGACTTCTTTGGCAACTTTGACAACAAGTTCACACGCGCTGAAGTGTTCGGACCCCATGTCGAGTTTTGTGTTTTCTTGTCTCTGCAAGGCTCTGTTATGTTAAGTAGAAGTTGGGTGATTTCGAGGCTGAACAATATCCCTGTCAATATCTTATGAGCACGTGATGACAGTTGCCAGCAATTATCAGGTTGGCTGTCATCATCCCCCCCTCTTTTCCCCGCCTCAAGTTTCTGATATAAGAGAAAAATGCGCGCGGTCTTATTATAAATTTGTGGGCTATGGATCTCATGCTTTTGAGCGCTCGCGACCTTTCGAACAAGTGTCTAGAGACTTTTCAACAATGCCTTATCTTTCACTCGACAGACCCTGGTTTGCTCAATCAGGTGGTTGCTCATGATGAACAGTTTGAGTACCGCTTGGCAGACTTCAACCTCTGGATTGACGGCATCGGGGCTCTCGCACCGTCCAAAGCTTCACTGGACTCGAGGCTGAGTCAGCGGCAGATTGATCTTTCTTTGATCAAAGGAAATCTTATCATGTTGCTTCAATCGTTGGAGGATTGTTTAAACCTGGTCAAGACCAATCAATCACTCCAGGACACTTTGCTCGACATTGACTCGGCTCTAGAAAGTCTTGTTTCGATCTCCCTTGCTGTTCGCAGGACAGGTCGAAAGTCGCGCTTGTATAAAGCGGATCGTCTTTTCAATCAAGAGGAACATAAGGAGTTGAGAAAACACTTAGAAGCCATTATTCTTCTCCGTCCTGGGGAAGGACCATGCGACGGAGATAATGAGTTCAAACAGAAGATGAACTCGTTGACTGCTATTCAAAATCATCTTGTGATGGCCAACTTGAAGCGGAGAAATAGATATATCCAGGCTCACCTTCACTCACTGGGTCTGAAGAAGAGAAGTGCTGGTATCGAGCAGTGGCCAATACATGAAACTGCAGAAAGAGTCACGACAGCAACTGCCAGTTCAAAGGGGAATCTAGGATTGACCGCAGTCCCTCCCGCTACTGTTTTCCCTCCAGAGCCCAGTCAACCGTTGGCGGCAGCACCTATGTCAGTAACCTCGGCTTCTATTCCAGAGAGTAAGCTTGAGTACAAAGAGCCCGTTGCCAAGAAGTCAGATTCTACGCCAGCGACAGTAATTACTCAGATAACGGCTTCGGCCCGATATCCGAGGCCGAGACTATCTGGTATTGAGCAAGTAGTGCAATGCCCTTGTTGCTGTCAGATGCTGCCTGCATCAGAGGCCAAAAACAACAATCAATGGAGGTAAGCTCACCAATGCAACTGGCGCTGATCTATATCTGATCCATAACCTAGGAAACATTTGGCAGAAGACATACGTCCATATACCTGCATTTTTGACAGATGTCCTACCCCAGATGTGTATTACAGTAATAGATCAATGCTAGAGCAGCACTTCCGACAGGACCATCCGCCGGTTTGGGAGTGCCCCTTATGTTATCAAGGGACAGTCTATTTGACAATGACTGAAATGATGGATCACCTTCATAATACTCATCCACAGGTCAGTGGTGAAGACATGCCAGCTATCATATCATCTTCCACCCAGGCCAAGATGGGTATAAGGAACTGTCCACTATGCGAAGTTCAGGGCGAGGTCGATTCTCCACAGCTGATAGACCATGTCCTTGAGCACATCCACGACTTCTCACTCCGGTCTCTCCCCTGGCCTGCATCCTCCATGGTTGATATGGGCGGTGAAGTGGGTTCTTTCAACTCTGAATTTGAAGCGTCTATTCTCGTCACTCAATGGCTGGAAGGATACGAACATGTAACGAAAGACATTGATCCTAATCTGAAGCTATCGAATTGCGACTACGGGAGGTTGGCAATTATAGCAGAGCAGATCCAGTCTCGGGAGCTAGATAAGCCCGGCCTTGATATTTACTTTGCTGATGAACACGGCGACGAATCTGCAGAAGCCGAAACAGATATTTCCCAACTTACTCAAGACACTCTTGATTCGTTGAAGGGAGCTAACCAGGCCAGCGAAGCGGATGAAGGCCATGATAAAGAACATGGAAGCGAAGCAGTTACAAACAGGACAACCAAGAGACAGTCCAGTACTGGCTTGCGAAAGCTGACCAGCCGCATTTTCTCCCGGAACAAGAACAAAGGTCTTGAATCAGGCCCGAAAGTAGTTGAGGGCCTAGGCCATCTTCTAGGGCTCAGCCCACAGGCCTACGAAGTACTAGCCAATCTATACCAACGTCGCATAGAATCAACAACCATTAGGAGAAAGAACCCATTCCCTGAATTTATCAAAAATGTGCAGGGTGAGAATATTTCAGCAACTAATCACACTGTTCAAGACCTCCATAGCTTTTTACAAGTTATGGTCGATTCTCATCTGTGTGCACTCAAGCCTATACCCCCCAAAGACCTCACCAAAACGATATCCAACTATTTCATCAACACATCATCGAACTCTTGCGCCTCTCTTGATTCGATCCGCCAGGTATGCCAAACAGTACAGTGAAAGACGCATCTATTAACTTGTACAAAAGGCGCTTCGTGCTGGTTATCGATCCCTTGATATCGAGGTTTGGGATGGAGATGACGCCATGAAAGATGTACATCAACCAGACCCCGGAGTCTTATATGCACCGTCGAGTTCGTCGATTAGGGATGGTATGAAGAGATTAACTCTACCTTTTGCCAAATTTAAAGACGCACCAGTATTCGAGGTTCCTAAGATAACTCTTTCCATAGCAGATGAACCTGTTTCTCGAACATCGCCAGTCGTGAAGGGAGGGTGGCATTTCTCGGAAGCTTTCAGCTTCAGGGACGTTTGTGTACTGATCAGAAATACTGCCTTTCTCAACAACGCTATGCCCATAATTGTCAACTTCACGGTCCACGCAGGTGCTGACCAGCAACAAACGATGGTAGACATCATGAAACATGAGTGGCTTGGTCTTTTAATCGACAAACCAATTGATGATTGCGACCCTAGGTTGGAGCTGCCACAGCTAGAAGATCTCCAAAACAGAATCCTAGTCAAAGCTTCAAGGCCCGCCAACATTCAAATGGATCGAGATTTATCAGGGACTTTATTATACGATGATCTCCAAAACAGTCCTCTTATACAGCAATTGGACAGTCTGAATGTCTATTTGAGAAGTGAAATATTTGAGGGTTTCGAGTCGAGCCAGAGCAAGACCCCGATACACGTTTTTACCTGGCAGGAAGAGGAGCTACAGCGACTTATTCACTCTTCTGCAGGGAATCTTTTGAAACACAACAAGCACTACCTCTGCCGTGTAAATCCGAATTCAATACAGACTAAGTCTTCAAACTTGGACCCCTCGCACTTCTGGAAATACGGTGTCCACATGGTTGCCATCAACCATCTCATCGTGGATGAGGGTTTGATGGTGAATTTAGGAATCTTCGACGACGAGGAAGGATGGGTTTCGAAGCCATTCGGTTATCAAAGTACGAACGATTATATCTCCAACCACATAGGAACAACTGCTATAAGAATTGCGAAATTCTCCATCCTCGTTTTCAAAGACCAACGATTTTATGCCAAGATGAAGGATGGTAGAGTTGAGCGGACCCAAGATCTTTCTCGGTTGGTCGAAGCGACGATACACTCGAGTGGCGAACGTTACCCATTGGCAAGACAGAATCCAGGAGTCAGAGACGGTGATTCCGAGGCTTTCGGCTATGGAATGGCAATCAACGTAGTCACGGACATCATCCCCGAACTTACCGTAATCACGTAAGTGTTTCAAGCATTCAGAGAAATTACGCTAATGAAATTGCTCAGAATGACATTTGTGGACTACTCCCACGGCGAGGGCTTAATTGCTTGGACAAGTCTACGACTTGATCGCCTAAACCAAGGATACCGTCTAATTCCACTATTTAATAGTTCAGGGGAGTCTTTCGGTACACAGAAATTGCTCGTGAAGATTAAATTTTGATGGATATAAGAAGACAATTAAACGATACGACAACTCTTCTGTGAAAGCCATTAAATCGAAACAGACAAAGAGTAGGCAATAGTCCTTAATAGTGTCATACCATAAATGAAACCCCCATTTAATGCCCTGGTCTAATATCCATTAGGTATCTGACATTGTGTGGCTCTTCTTAAACAACAGCATGTGATCAACATGATTGCTGGTGAGCAGTCGCTTTATCTTCAGGGGAAGAGCTGCGAATGCAATGCACCTCACATAATATCAGCCTCTGCTAATTTCATGGGCTTAAACCTTGAACAGTGACTGGCCCGGTAGTTTGTGTCACCAGGGATATGACGCATAAGAACTAGTTTCGAATATCAAAATAAGACTAGCCTCTCGAAGTCTAGCTGAAATAATTGAGGCTAGTCATTTGATGGGTGAGGATGGGAAGTCAGTGCTTAATCAATGTTAAAAGCAACCTGAAAACCTCTACTACTCAACCGATATGCCTATTACTTCCGAGTCAGAGAACAACATTCCGTATGATTGATACCCATAACGAAAATCAGAAACTGGAACAGATTTCGGATAGGAGGAGGTACATAGCGAGCCAGTACGCCATGATGGTGTTACACTCCAATGCACATGTGATTGATATTAGGGCGCCACCGTTTGCTACGTCATTAAATTATTCATCATATTGTCTACTGGCCAAGGCTGTGTCAAACATTGGGGCTCACAGCCTCTGCTACCTGGATAAAGCCTAGCCATCTTGTGGTAGCATTGAAATCTTTCAGTGTTGTCAGGTTCTTTCAATTATATTTTATCTGAGGTAGGATGCAATATTCACGTTTTGCCATACTTTATGTCCAGCAACCTGTCAAGCGAAATCAAGCACGCGATAATCAGCCTCGTTGCTTATTCTTCTAAAATGACCTTTATGTCATCGGCGACATTCTTGCACAATAATTAGCACCGCAGTTAACGAGGCCATTACACCTGATTAAACCGTGGGAACAAATCAACTCCCAGCATTACTTCACTTATCTTACATTTCATAGTCAAGGTAGATCAAAACGATGGACGCCTCAAAAGGTCAGGCGACATCCCCCTCGCCAGACAGTTTCTTCGGTTCTGTAGATCCGGTGGCATTTGCGTTTGCTATCGTCGCATCAATTCTCGCATCACTCTCTCTGATGGACCAATCGGCGGAAGCCACCAGGAAAGGGGCAGTGCTTTCAGTCATTAAAGGGATGAGACTCATGTTCATTCCTGAGGCCGTGGATTGCCTGCACCTTCATGGAGACATATGGACAAAGCCACAGCTGCAACACTTCCTCATTCAGCAGCCTGGTCTAATATCTCTTATGATCCGACATCCATGCGGCTGGAAATCTTGCCCCGCTATGGATAAAGCAAATCTTGCTTATAACGACTTTGTTAATCTCTCTTGCATCAATATTTTGGATGACTTCGAAGGCACCATGAAGATGATGTTTTTAATACGGTGGCATATCTCCGCTCTACGGTCATATTACACCTGGTACACTAGAAAGCCTAAGCCAATCTCTGAGGCAGAGTTCAACAAGGAACTAGACGAATGGTTTCTCAACAGTCTCGCCAGTTGTACGGATATGACTGAAGAAGAGATGGAATTCCTAGAAAAGCTGGCTTGTATGAGGATGTTGCGGTGGAATAGGTTCGTTGGAGATGATACCACCAAGTTCGCCTGGGAAGTACCGAAACAAAGAAAATACACCAACCTCTGGTTTATCCTCGGTATGAAAGCAATTTTAAGAACAGACTACCCGGAAGGCAATTACAAAATCAGTAGTTCGGGCGCATGGGCAAGCGTCGAACGCGTTGGGATGACCTGGCACATGAGATCTGGCAGTCGCAGGCAGGGCTTTTGGACTACCTGTCGTATCTGGGATCTTGAGGAAAAGCAATGGCAACAGCCTGGCGGTCGTGTCGAACTTGACATGAACCCAGAGTTGACATGCATGAATCAACTAGCGACTCCAATACTGGATTTCGGCAACTGTGTCAACGCGGGTCCGAATGCTCTCTTCTTCGTTCAGACGGACAAGTCGTTGTTAAACAATCTCATAAATCTTATCAACACGTTGGATTCAACACCAGGACAAATACCCGACCTCGCAAAACCCGACGACCAACTTGCATCACCCTTAGAGATCCATCGACTGGGTGTAACAGGCACAAAAGGTTGGTGCCGATGTAAAGTAACGCTGAGGTCCTCGATGAGCTTTTTATGTTGTGTTCCCGTTTGCACAATCTTTCTTAGAGATGAAGCCATAGGGAGTATACCGAGTCTTCCACGACGGGCTTCTGGTCAAGTAGTATACATGATAGTGTCAAGGAGTAGAGAAGATCATGCGTGGTCAGCACCTGTGGACAGTCCGATAGTGAAGCAGGGTGAGAAGGATATATTCACATGTATGTTGGTCTTTCGGGGCAAGGTAATAATTGATACACAGCCTGTTTCCTAGTCTGGTAGTATTTAGTTGTACAGCTTAGTTGAATCTCTTAATTAGACCAAGATAAAGACAACTATTACGTCAAATACCTACTTATAGTATATACCTAGACAAAAGTTATGTTATGTGATCCCTGGAACATAGTAGAATATAATCTTGATTCTAATGCGTTATGCTGATTCCGTAACTGATAAGATAAGCGCTTAAATTTAAATGACGTCGCCAGCGGGGAAGTTATCCAGGAACCCTTAACAAACAAAATACATGGACCCAGCACTCTACACCAAATCTTTCATGCATGATGTCTTCGACTAACATAGAACGGAGGGATTCCAGCCTGGAACAGCAGCCATTGTTGAGATACCGAGGGAAATCAAGACTGCCGACCCTGAATCTTGAGCACTGGCATTCGCATCCATTCAAGGGCGATAGACAAACCATTGGAAGCACGAGGGAGAAGACGGCGCGATTTCTATCTTCAAAGGCCGGACACTACTCTGTACTCACGCTGGTATCTCTCGATGTCCTTAGCATGATCGCTGGTGAGTCATCTGACTATCATTGATCCTTGGCAGTGGCCTAATGCGGACAGACTTTATCCTCAATCTGTTCAAATGTGAACAAGGCAAAAAGAGCTCCGAGTGGGATATAGCGCTCGATATCTTAGGCTCGATAAGTCTGGTCTTCTCGTGCCTTTTCATGGTCGAGCTCATTGCTTCTATCTGGGCATTTGGCTGGAAGTAGGTCCTATGGCATTCTCGGTACCATGGCTCCAATACTGACAAAACAGATATTTCAAATCGTGGTTCCATTGTTTCGACGCCTTCATTGTACTCGCGGGCTTTGTCACTGATGTTCTTCTACGCGGCATTGTCGAGGAGGTAGCTTCTCTCATTGTGGTCATGCGTTTGTGGCGAGTGGTCAAGATAATTGAGGAGCTCGGGCTTGGTGCACAGGAACAGACCGAGGAATTGAGTGAAAAGCTTGAGCAATGCGAAAAGGATAATGAGGCACTGAGGAAGGAGGTTGAAGATCTGAGAACAAGGCTGGGAAAAGCGGATGTAAACGATAGCATTGATGAGACAGAGACTGCAGGTTAGATGTTACTTTCACTCGGCCCTGGTTGAAAGGGATCCAATCTAATGGACGACTGTTATGAGACTGAATGTACTGTTTATTTTCCTTGTCTTAATCCTCGAATGTTGAAATTCGTGTATATCTCCGAGATATTGTATAAAATTGGGGATAGACCCGGCTTCGGCTAGAGGACCTGCCCGTCGGAAAATGCGGAATTGGTCGGCTAATGCACATCGGCATCATTCCGTTCGAGGACCCCGCACTATCCCTTGTCAGCTTCGGCCTTTCATCATACTTCGTCGGCTTGTGGCGGCTCCAATAAAAACGATATATTATAAAATAACAAATTGCGTTTTATCTCACGCTTCTTCTTTGTATAATTTGTTCTTCTTTCGTACTTGCTGAAACTGCATAATTCATCACAATGTCGTGGCTATCTATCCCCGCGGAGTCTCACTTCTCCATCGCCAACATCCCCTTTGGCATCATTTCCACATCATCAAACACAAAGCCAAGGCCCGCGGTCGCAATTGGCGAGCATGTGCTAGATCTTCAGGCCTTCGCAGAGGGTGACGGATTTTCTCAGTCCTCAGACATTCAGAAGCACATTGAGGTCTTTTCCCAAACCTCTCTCAATGCTTTCGCAGCTCTTGGCCGTCCCGTGCATCGCACTGTGAGAAGTTACCTCCAGAGTATTTTCGCAAAGGACACGGATCACTCCCAGGTTCTCAGGGATAACCAAAAGCTACAAGATGCTGTTCTCTTGAAGCGCGCAGATGTCAAGAATCATCTTCCTCTTACTATTGGAGATTACACAGACTTCTACGCTGGCAAGAACCACGCTTTCAACGTCGGTTGTCTGTTCCGTGGGCCTGATAACGCCTTACAGCCTAACTACACCCACCTTCCAGTTGCATACCACGGAAGGGCCAGCAGCGTGGTTGTCTCCGGTACGCCAATCCGTCGTCCGTGGGGTCAGATCTTGCGACCTGGCAACAAGGTGCCTGATCTAGCGCCTTGCGAGAGGCTCGATATTGAGCTGGAGATGGGAATGTTCATCTGTCGTGAGAATGCTTTGGGAAGTCCAGTGCCGGTGGAGGAAGCCGATGAGCACATCTTTGGTTATGTTCTCATGAACGACTGGAGCGCACGAGACATCCAAGCCTGGGAGTATGTGCCTCTTGGACCCTTCACTGCCAAGAACTTGGGCACTAGTATTAGTGCTTGGGTTGTTCTCGCCGATGCTCTTGACGGCGCCAAAGCTGCTGGTATCAAGAATGACAACGAGATTCTTCCTTATCTCAAGGAGAAGAATGAAAAGAATGTCTTGGACATCGATCTCGAAGTCGAAATCATCAGTAAGTCAATATTTACACTTTAAGACACGATTTCTAACCCACACACAGCCGCCGCTGGTACCAAGAACCACCTTAGCAAGACCACCTCGCGAAACCTGCTCTGGTCATGGCCCCAGATGATCGCCCACCACACCATTACAGGGTGTAATCTTCGACCTGGAGATCTTCTCGGCTCTGGTACTATTTCCGGCACTGAACCCGGAACCGAGGGAAGTATGCTTGAGCAGACCAAGGGCGGAAAGGTCCCCATTCAACTCAAAAACGGTGAGGAGCGCAAGTTCATCCAGAATGGGGATACTCTGGTGCTTCGCGGCTCATTTGGTAGCGGCGAGCAAAAGGTTGGCTTTGGCGAGGTTTCTGGTACCATCCTTGAGCCTCTGCCTTTGTTTAAGTAGGATTTAAAATAGTGGATTGACATATAGAATTGATGTCGTGAAGAAATGACCCTATCGCATCTATTTACTAGCCCTTGAGATTATCAGGTGTATCAGGCTGATTCTGCCAATGAGCCTTGACAATCGCAGGATGTTCCTTCAAATTCTCCGCAATTTTGCCAATTGTAGGAAACGCAGACATGTCAACTCCAAACCTCTCGGCGTTCCACACAGCAGGAATCAGACAAGCATCCGCCAAAGTAAGCTCATCTCCAACAGAACACTTCCCAGCAGTATCCTTGGCCACCTCCTCATAAGCCTTCAAACCAGCCGTCATGAGCTGGCAGTTCCATTCCTCTGCGTTGGCGCCAAATGCTCTGATGCGACGCATGATACGGAGGTTCGTCACGGGTTGGATGTCCGCGCAGATGATGTTGACCAGGGTTCGTACCATAGCTCGTGCCTCTGGGTCAGAGAGCGGGGGAAGAAGGGGCTTTTCGGGGTACTTTTCTTCGAGATACTCAAGAGCAGCCACAGATTGACCAATCTGGAAGTGTCTGTCCTTCGATGTGGGACATACCAAGACGGGGACCGATGCAGAGGGGTTGCGAGACTTGTGACTGTCTGATAATTGTTCGTCTTTGAGAAGATTGACAAAGGCCAGCTCATACGGAATTCCTTTGGCGTTAAGGGCAATTCTGATGCGAGCTGAACATGAAGATCGGAAGTAGGAGTAGAGTGTGTAAGAGTCTGACATTTTGAATACAGGCGCAGTGGCTATTCTGCTCCGGATAATATGCTACCAAATAATTGGAGAAGGTGATTGAATGCCAAATTAAACCGGTGGGAACGACGCCCTTCTTATGTCACAAGAGACAAGTTGTAAGTATTAGGTCACCGTATGAGTGTGAGTGTGAGTGATACCCGCTGCTAGCCTCCCTCTACCGAGCTTGTATCTTGCGGGGCGGAATCCGATGACCCGGCCGAGAGTCCATGTGAGCAGGCTTCCCCGGATCTGCCAACGATCGTCACTGGTTATTGGTCAGTCACTAAGCCAAGCCAAGTCTTGGTCTCGGAATGTCGTTCCGAGCCCGAGGTAGAAATATCAGCAAGGCACCTCAACATGTCGGAAACATATGTGGCATCGAGAAATATAACGAAAGCATACAGGATATATCATCTTTGATTGATCTATAATGATTTTGTATAATAAGCGAGATCTTCAATTTAGGTCTGAGTTGGTGCGTATCCATATGCAAAACCTCAAACTGATAAATCCTACAGCGCTATTTTGATCACATAAGCAGCGCTCTAACTAGATCAAATTTCTTTAAATTGAGTCAAATCAATTCGATTCGAATCAGAGATCTCACTACTTTAGTCACATTAACCCTATACCCTTACTTATCTGATTTGACTCTATTATGGGTTTATATGTAAGGGAGAACTCAATTTTCGTATAGGGTAGGTGAGTTCCTTTCCAAAGACTGTTATCTTATCCCTTATCATTTTATCTTATCTTATCTTATCCTGTATTCCATATCTTATCAATGACAAATCTAGGTCAAGTCAGGTCAATTCTCATTTTTCTAAATCAATTCCTGAGAAAGTGATATGATTAGCTGGAAACCCTGCCTAGAACACCTGAAACTTGATATAACAACTCCCGTTCTTCTCTATTGCTAACGCTAGTAGTATTGCAGTCCACACCACCAGGTGCCATACTGTCTAGTCCATCTTCGGCGTTAGCGGGAACTTCGGACATCTGCTGTAACACACACCAAGTACGGAGTATAGTCCGAGCATTGCTTAATTGAAAATGAAATTGATTCAATTATTAATCTGTTGATAGATCGACGTAAGAAAGCCCGTCGTTGTTTTCAGTTTCGCGCTTTTCTCGGTGGACCGATATTGATGACATTCGCCGAATTGAGCGTGTCCACTCGGCATTTTCGCATCTATACGCTAAAACACCGAGAAACCATAGACCCACCATAAAGTATATAGGCCATGAAGATCAAGTAAAAGATTGAAATAAAAATACAGTGTTCTCAACAGACTACGCACATCAACATCGTTATCAATATAATTGCTCATACCATGTCTAACTACGCCGAAAACCATTCCAGCGACCTCAATGTTATTGAGAGGGTTGCCATTGTGGGTGTAAGTTAACCATGATCAACACCATCGGACAACACTAACAAGTCTCAGGCCTCTGGTACAATCGGGTCTCACATAGTTTCCGCACTCGTTCAAACCGGAAATCACAAGATCACAGCACTTACCCGCAATTCCAGCACCAACAACATCCCAGAGGGTGTCACCCCAGCCCAGGTCGACTACAACAACCAAGCCAGCCTCGTAGCCGCTCTGAAGAACCAGCAGTTCCTCATCATCACCCTAGCTCCTTCATCGCCCAAAGATACCCACAGCAAGCTTGTACGGGCTGCTGCAGAAGCAGGTGTATCGTACGTCATGCCCAATAGCTTCGCCGGTGACATCGACAATGTCAAGCTCGGCGAGGATATTTTTCTTGGCCCGGTTGCGAAAGCCCAGAGAGATGAGATTGAGAGTCTTGGAATGCAGTGGATCACTGTGTGCTGTGGTTTCTGGTACGATTACAGTCTGGCTGGTGGCGAGAGTCGTTTCGGGTTTGATTTCGACAAGCGCACGCTTACGCTTTATGACGATGGCAATACCAAGAACTCAACATCGACATTGACCCAGGTCGGTCGGGCTATTGCAAAGGTTCTTAGTCTTCCAGTTTCCCCAGCGAATGACTCAGACAAGAATCTCACACTTTCGACCTTTGTCAACAAGCCTATCTACCTCCAGAGCTTTCTCGTCAGCCAGAACGATATCTTCGAAAGCGTCAAGCACGTAACAAATACATCCGACTCCGATTGGACTGTTACTCATGAGCTGACTAGCACGCGCTACGAGGATGGTCTCGCGCAGGTCAAGGCCGGGAACATGGCGGGGTTTCCCAAGTTGTTGTTCGCAAGAGCTCTCTTCCCGGAGGATCCGAGTGTTCACTCTGAAAAGGTGCAGAATGAGCTTCTGGGTTTGCCAGAGGAGAGCTTGGATGAGGCTACCAAGGCTGGGGTGGATATGGTTAAGGTTCTTGCGAGTCGCCCTGAGCGTATGGCTTCTTAAGCTTGACCGGTAGATTTGTGGCCTCTTAGATAATGTATTCATTACTTAGAGACTACATGCTCGGTATACCAGTAGTAGCTCTAGCAAGATATGGGAATCGGGATTGTGCTTTGAAACTGTGTTTTCTCTACATTTTTTCATTTCAAGACATTCATACAGTCAGCGCCGGTTATAATCCGATTAGATAATCGTTTACTATTGATTGTCTGTTTTTATCTATCCATCCTTTGATTGAGTGGAGTGGTCTTGAACCCTTCGCACTCATCCCATTGGCTCTTCGCGCGCTGAACCACATCCCAAAATAGCGTCACGTCTCCACTCCACAAGCGGACAATTCCAAGTGCGGCGCGCCCTCTAAGCAACATGAGAAGTCCGCCAACCATGATAGATAAATAATTTTCTAAAATCGTAAAAGAACGAGAGTAGCATCAAAAAATACTTCAAAACTCACAGTCGCTATCCTAACTCCCTCGATATGGCTATTCCCCAAAGGCAGACCCCGCCAATTTCCGAATTGCGCGAATTCTACGTCGGCAAAAGCATCCATGATGTCCCCAAACCCGCAGTAGTCCTGGACAAAGCTAGGATAGCGCGTCATTGCCAATCGATGCTCACAGCTGCTGATAAACTTGGTGTTGGATTCCGTGCGCATGTGAAAACCCACAAGGTAAGCCTTTCTGCACCGGGTATAAAAGCTTGCGCTAACCATACCAAGACAATCGAAGCTACTCGTCTTCAAATCGGAGAGGGAAAAGGCGACGTCAAGCTCATCGTTTCTACCCTTGCTGAAATTGAACACCTCTTACCTCTTCTCAAAGAGTACCGAGATAGCGGCCGTCGTCTCGATATTCTTTATGGCCTTCCCCTCCCACGCTCTCAGATCTCACGATTGGCTGGTCTCGGGTCTGAGCTTGGTGAAGGAAGTATTTCCGTTCTAATCGATCATCCATCGCAACTGGATTCTGTCAAAGCCTTTTCAGACCACGCAAAGTTTCCTGCAAGAGTGTTCTTAAAGGTGGACACCGGCTATCATCGTGCAGGCCTACCTCCATCCTCTCTGAACAAGAATGGACTCATTGAAGCTCTTGCGCAGCTCGAAGCGCAAGGTGATGCTGAACTACTAGGGTTGTATTCACACAGCAGTCTTAGTTACAAGGACAACACGGCTGAACAAGCCATGGAGAACCTCGAGGGCGAAATTCAAGGTTGCATTGAAGCGGTCAACGCCCAGGCTCATCTGTTCGCCAAAAGCAAAGAGCTTATTATTAGTGTCGGAGCCTCCCCTCAGGTCACTGCTGTTGAGAATCTGACTAACTCACATGGAGAACTATCACCAGCTGCATTGTCCCTTCGTCAGGCGATAGACACTGTGTCTTCTGGGAAGCCCGGAGGCTTCAACACCAGCCTCGAGCTTCATGCCGGTGTATACTCCATTCTCGACATACAGCAAACTTCCACCAACTCACGAAAGGATTTCGGTTCCTACGGAGAAGAAATAGCTATTTCGGTCATTGCTGAAGTATGCAGCGTGTACAACAACGACGAAAGATCACAGCCCGAAGCCCTCGTCGCGGTCGGTGCACTAGGTCTCGGGCGCGAACCTTGTGCTGCTTACTCAGGCTGGGGTGTCGTCAGCCAGTCTTCATACAAAAGCCAGTCTGGACAAGGAAAAAGGCTGATAATTGATAGAATCAGCCAAGAGCACTCCATAGCGGCTTGGGAGAATGATGGGAAAAAGGAAGGTGATGCCTTGGCACCTGTTCCGTTGGAAGTCGGACAGAATGTGGTCATTTTCCCCAATCATGCTTGTGTTACTGGGGCTATGTATGGGTGGTATCTGGTGGTTGACTCGTCTGAGGGAGATGCGGCAAGAATTGTGGATGTTTGGGTCAGGGCAAGCGGGTGGTAGAGTGGTCTTATATTGATTGATTGGGTAGATCACTTCTCTCTAGTACATTTGGATGCATGCATGCTCATTGGAGCAGGATATTATTCGAGATCTTATGTAGACACTATAGATGGGCATGAGTTGACACTTCGAGTCACCCCAATTCCTCATCACAAGAGACACGTAGTGGAATCTGATCTTCCGACAATAAACAGCCTAACATCATATGGAAATTACTGAACACATTGGGAGTAGAAGTCGTTCAGCGCCTTACAAGTTCCAGTAGCGCAACACTTCGCACCGGTCCAGCCACTTCCGCCACACTGAGCCCAGAGAGAGGAACACTAGGTTCAGTTAGCACAAATGAATCATCCCCACACATTTCACAGCGATGAATAACTAAGGGGCTGGAACTCACTTGACCAGAAGGCTGCGTGGACTCAGGAGGCGCCTGTGTGGACGACGATTTAGTAGATGTCTGGAGGGTAGTAGAGGGAGGATCACTACCACCATTGCAAGAAAACTATAGCCACAGTTAGAGGGATGTCTATGAGGAATAGAGCTGTGTTGTTCATACCACTGCGGGACCTGGAACGGTATAGCTGTTGAAGTTGGAGTAGATCTACACGGTGAGCCGTTAATATGTTTCACATGGCGATGATAGGATATGGACCCACGTTGGCAGTGTATCCAGGGTCAGTCTCCTTGAAAGCACCAGGGATTTTGACCTGGTTGCTTGGGGTAGTGCTGCCCCCTCCTGACAGGTTGATCTGGGCGCAGCTGATGTAGAACTAGAGTATGCAATGTTAGTCTTTTAGTCTTTGAACCGGGCCAGACATGAAGGTCTCTTGCCTGAGGAATGCCTGCTGGCCACGGGTTGTGAATTGCCAGGCTCTGGATGCGCAGGAGGTATTCGCCATTGGCAATGCAGGCGGGAAGATTGAAGGTGTAGCTGACTAAAGAGGTTCCAAGGTTAGGCCATGAATGGTATCCATTGGCAGCAAGCCTTTACTTACGGTTCATGGGCCAGGTCGAAGTTGTACCACTGAAGGTAGGACCTATTTACATATTATTAGTCACCTCCACTCTACTTGCCTCTATCTTGGGTGGTCGATAGTAGCATACCGAAGTCCTTAATCTTGAACCAATTGCCACTGCCATCGTAGGAGGCAGCAGATCCCGGCGCCTTGGACATGTACACAGAAATCGGTCCTTGGTGGTAGACAGCTGTGTCAAGGGTGAAGGTTATTGAGTCGCCCGCTTTGACCGAAACGGTCTGGGTGTTCGCTCCCGAGGCGCCCACATTGCATCGGAGGTCGTTAGAGGCCAGATCTGAACCGTTCATTCATTAGTATAACAGTCTTTCGATCGGGGGCATTGGAACCATACCAGTGACAGGGGAGTTGTAGTTTGAGTTCTGTCGAATGTACTGCCATACCGGGTACTTGGTCGAGCCAACACTGAGCTGCTGGAAGATGTAGTGTGCAGAGGCGCTTTGAGCCAAGGCCATGGCAGCCGCGATTGAAGTAGCGATCTTCATGATTATCTGCAGAGGATGATTTGGAGACTAATTGAAGTTGATCAAAGGCGAAGAAGTAAGAACATCCTGAGAAATCGCTTGCACGGCCTGTAGCGGTATAAGAGCACACCGCTGGTGAGACGGCATGAATGCCCGAGTCACATACTTCAAACATCAGGTGGGTTGTTTCCTGGTAAGAATAGGCTCTCGGGTATTTACCAGGGATTGTGTGGACTCAATGCGTCGATTTACGGTTATTAACTTCCGAAGGCCTAAATGGGAAATACGGCTGGCCAATCTAGAAAGAGAGCACCCACCCTTCTCTTACAAACGGGGGTATAGAATGGTATATTATATGCTGTCGGAATCAATGTCACTGACTCCGAGCTCGAGAAAGCTGTTTCTAATGACACGGAGTCACGAGTCTTCCTCGACGCACACGCCTGACTCAATTTGCAAAGGCTATCCCGGAGTGGTATCCTCCGCGGTCAAACTCGGGAGTGTAGGGTTTCATTAACGCAATCCTATTCCGGATTTAGTTTCTCAAATTTTGTTACTGATAGACCCTTGCCCATCTTTATAACCGTTCATCTGTGTGATGCTAAGCATAGTTGTTACTCATAAATGCTATAATAGCTTGTCTACTTCCGTAATTTCACTATGTAAACTTAAGATATGCAATGAAATATTGACGCCACTAGACCTCACTAGCGTCCCTATCTTTCGTGTCGACCAAACTGTAATTATCCACAAACCCTTCTGCCAGATCAAGGACTTGACCGTCCCAATGGTCCACATTCTTCAAGTAGTTCTTGCATCTCCTCGAGATAGGATTCCGGGCACTATAATACCTGTCACGGGTGCTCTGGCTGCTTGCTTCACCTCATTCCTTATCATGGAAACTTGGATTAGATTCTTGACTGGGCAAGTAATCTCAGTTATCTTCCACTTTCCGTTATTTAAGTTCAGTGATATACTTTAACGCAGTGATCCGAAACCGCATTTTAACGACCCCTATAGCACTCTTACAAACATTAGCCTTCCTGGCACCCGTCCTACCACTTTTGTCCAACTTCCTTCAGGTCAGGATCCTACTGTGACTGTCATCGTCGTCCATCCATGGAGCGGTTCAGGTTGTAGCTCCGACGGACTTTATACGCCTGTTACAAGTATTGGCTCTAACTCACTCAAATTAGCTCATGCAGTATATATGTCTGATTTGATAGGCATCCCGTGATTTTATACATAACTAACCTGGTTAAATTAGCCCCAGCCCCCACTGCCTTTCTGTTGCACTCACTTATCAAACATGTCAAGCGTATAAAATACTAATGTAACACTAAGGAATTACAATAGGTGAAGATAGATAGAAGCTCATAGTATATGTAAAGTGTAATATATTACCTTCTAATATTAAGTCATTATTTAAAGCTGAAGCACCCTGGCTCATAGACATTATGTCCACCGCTGTTCGCAACATATTCTATATCCTCCCTCGGAACCTTAAATCGCCAGCACCGTCCTATATTATTTCCAACGGCTGCAACATATGAGATAATCTGGCATGTTGGTTCCAGATGGCAACTTTGCAGACAATCCTCAAGAGATAAGGATTGTTCCTTCCCAATCGCCTTGTCTTCTTTGCTCAGACTATACACGCTACCCTTCAAGCCACACCATTTATTTTCTGGTGTTGGATTGAGAAGCGTACATGGCGGGTCGTACTCGAAAATACTGACATCGTCGAACCGGATGGAACCACTTGTAATGCTGACAGCTTGCACGCGAGTTTGCACCATGGCGGCAGCTGTCGCCGTGGTTCCGCCGAAGACGATCTTCCTCTTGACGTAGCGGTTCTTAGGACCTATTTCGCCCCTGTAGTCAAGCTCATACGCACTATTGCCAATATATGTGGAGAATTTAAGATAGGCATTAAATTCGTTAAGAGCTGTCATGTCGTTGGTTGCCCAGTTGTAAGTATAAGCATATCTCTTCGCCGGGTCCAGGCCTGTCAGAGATTGACGAAAGACATAGGCCCCAGTAGGAGGGAGAGCCAGTTCACTGGGAAGGACAGTGTTAGTCTTGAAAAGTATAGTATAGAACGTTGTGTACCCACGCATAATGTGTGCCGGAAAGAGCTTGTATGGAATCTGACTTAACCTTGACGTCCCGGCCAAGTAATGATGGTGTACCCGTGTATTCGCCCACATCATTGGGTATTTCGAAGCCTCCGTTTAAAAAGTAGTTGGTTGGCTGAATCGGCTCCGCGCTCGTTGTAGACGTGGTAGTTGTCTCCTCTTTTGTCGAGGCGGTGCTTGACTTGGCACTGGTTGTTTCCGCCGTGCTCATTTCTGCGCCAGCTGATGTTTGATCGGACGATATATCTCTACTCGAGCTAGTGATTTGGGGAAGAGGTGTTTCATTCCTTTCCGTGGCGGTGAAAGATGCCTCCGTGCTTGTGGTGGTGATATCCAATGTGGTGGAATCCACTCCAGTTGTCTGGTCAAGAGTAGGCGATTGATAGTCCGAGGTGATCGGGCTTGCAGCTGTTTCACTAGATGTTATGGTTGCTGTAAGGGCGGCATCACTCGTTTGGGTATCTGAGTAAGCCACTGTTGTGACAGAAGAAAAGACAACAGATGTAGCGGCTGTGTCGATTGACGCTGACAAGTCATATGCTGATGTAGAGGCGCTTGATTTGGCCAGGGTGTCGGAAGGAACAACTAGAGATGCACTGAACGGAATCGACGTGGTACTCTCGAGGACTGTAGTCGCTTCCACTTCCACACTGCTCAATGTCAATAGAGATGTAGACGAGATCAGATCATCCGTGTGTACAGTGGAAGATGCTGTCGCAATACTGCTGCTGCTGCTGTGTGGGCGACATGGCCCCGCGCTGACCTCGCAGCAGAGCGCAACTGTAACCGTCAAATAATAACGAAGCAGCATTATGAGACAATCTGAGTCGCCTGTCTTGACGGCCGAAGGTAAGGGACATAAAGAGTTTTTAAAAAGGGGAAATTAACCAGCTGGTTATCACGGGACTAACAAGAATAAGTTAGTAGTACAGTAATAGTCCCACCACTAGCTTTACGTCAACAGGGGTGAATTCCTAATTAAGCACATTCAATAAAGCTAGTGGTGATAGTTTATGTTAGTGCAGTAGAGTTATGATCTTGGCCCCAATCATAGCCCTAGTGGTCCGCTTTATATCGTATACGGTTAGACTTTCAGGCGTCAGATCTGTAGAATCTGCATCATGCTCGTGAAAAGGTCGAATATGACCGAGGTCTAGCCTTTTGATTTAATTCCGAAGGCAGGGATGTCGTAAAAGATGAAAAGCAAATAGCTAATGGACGGCCCGCAGGTTTCCTAACAGTTACTCCATTGGCGCACGGTGAAAGGAAATACATTTTGTTGAAACAATGATTGATGAGATTGATGTTCTCGAACGACTCACAATCATTTAGAGTGAAGTCAAAAGCTCGTTTATGAGGCACGTCAGAAAAGGTAGCCATATGTTAGTGCTGGTAACTATAGCCACATGGAAATCCTATTTGCAGACTATCCAATGTTTTTTACCGCCAATCCGTATACCCCGTGACCTTACATACCTGTAACAGTATAAGATACTGTGTAAAATGGCCAAAAGACTGCTGATCAACTGGAGAAATGTGCTAAATATTTCCAGCGAATTTCTCACTGTATCTGGTGGCGGAGCAAAGCAAATAGCTCGAGGGAACTGTGTTGTCGAGGTCGGCGAAACTCAGCGGTGAACAGATGTCAATGCTATACTACGTCTTCATAACGCCAAAGCTGAACGGGCCAGCCATAAGATTGGGCGATGGTATATAGCTATAGAGAGAAGATGTATTTCCCATTAAGCTTGCTATAAATGAAGGACGTGGAAGTAGGTAGTGTAACCATGTTGCTATTGGTATCATCAACATGTCAGATACTGTTGTTGCGCCAGTATTGAGTCGGGTCGGAACAGTGAATGGTTTTGTGATTCGCTGAACAATAGTCCATAGATAGCCACTCCAAAGACTTTGTGGTGAGAAGAACCAGTAGGCAGGTTTCAAGATGGTTTAGATTCAGATGATATATAAAAAGAAAATAGAACAAGTATACATAGATGACATCAGCCCCTTTAGAAAAGAAGATAAATAAAAACATCCCAAGACAAAGAACACAACACCATCATGTACAAGAAAGGCAACATCCCCCGTATTTGCCAGATCAACACTCACAGCTCCTCGGGCTTCTTAGGGCGGATAGGGACGAGATTCCAGTCCTTGACCTCCTGGTAAGCCCTACGCTCTCCGTTGGGCGGCATGTTAAGGCCGGGGTCCTCCGAGTCACACGCTCCATCACAGTGGACGAGCTTGTTGAGAGGCAGGCGGAACTCAAACTCCATCTGGCCACGCACGCATACGGTACCATCGCCAGTGTTCTGTTGGACGTTACCATTGGTGCACTTGTTGCAGGTGCGCTGGGCCTGGCCCCAGATGTGAGCTACACGGTCGGCGTACCAGACCTGGTGGCAAAGGTCCTTCTTCTCGCCAGTTGGGTTGGTCCATGTGCATGTGACGGTTGAGGAGTCTCCGGCGCAGTTGTTGCGTAGATCGTGCGTGGTAGTAGCCCAGCTGTGGGTGATGCCCATGCTGCCTCCGAATTCGCCTTTGATGGACTTGCCGGTCGGGTCGAGGCCAACTCCGAGGGACCCCTCAAAGATCTTGAAGTCCCAGCCGTCCGTCTTGGTGGTTCCAGTAAGGGCACAGCTCTGCTGCAGGGTCTGGATAGCGATACTGCATGAGCTGCCGGCCTCTGCAGGGCAGTTCACAGCGGAGCCACTCTTCCTCCAGGAAAAGTACTCAATGGCCGCCTCGACAAGACGGTACTCGGTCCAGCAGTGGTCGGCATTGTGACCGGTGGTGCAAGCATCATTGTCGCCATCCTTGGGGATCTTGACACCCTGGTTCACCGCCCAGCCTGGCTTGGGTACGCTCGCATCGCTGGGGTCGAGGTCACAACCTGGGATTTTGCCCAGATAGTCCGTGATGGAAGATCCATCCGCGCGCTTGGCATGCTTTAGGATATCATCGTTGGAGATATCCAGATCGCCAATGCTGTAGCCATCGTCGCGGACAACGATATCGGCCCGCTTGGTCATGTCAGGCTTGTGGCCGTAAATGCCCCAGGGATCGATGACACTCTTCCAAGGGTCATTGGGGTCGGGAATGTTCGCGTCTTGAGGAGCTGGAGCTGGAACAGCAGCTGCGAGAGAGGCAAGAGCAAGCCCGAAGGCGATGGTATACTGCATCATGCTGAAGATGGAGTTGATGGAATGTGCAGAAAGGCGAATCAAGTAAAGTATGGCAAGAATGTGAAGAAGATGAGAGTGTGTGAAGTTGAGTTGATGTGAGATGAGGAAAATATTAATTCTGAGAAGACTGTCTTATGTTTATATACTTGTTCATCTCTCTTCTAGGTGGGCTGTGGTGAGCCCAGAAGGATTTCATCGTTTCTTGCAATATGTCGCCGTGAGGGTCAGAGGATTTCTTCCTTTCCTCCTTTTTGGATGTTGTAAGCCTCGGAGGATTTTAGACCTTGTAGAAATAGATAACGAAGGAACACAACTCTAATTAGATGCTTAGACTTCCCAGTCTCCAGACTAGAGCTCTAGTGACTTAGTGCTGGGAGAGTGACCCCTGAATCATTGCCAGTGAAGCCAAATTCTCCATCCCCAGTTTAACCAGATCCCGGGCATGTCCTTGGTTGGCTGACATCTTCAGAGAGCGAGAAGCAGACTTCTTCTGCGTTACAATAACAGCCAACTTAGCCAATTATGCCACTTAAGATCAATCCATACTATACAAGTCAAAGGTAGGAACACGGGGGCTTAGATGCAAACTAAACGCTGTTGAGGGTTAGCCTGTCTCTGGCCATACTGAATGCCCCATTTCAGTAAAAAGTTTAATTAAATGGTTGCCTATTATGCAGATGCTTGGCTCCGCCACATCGATGGTGGATTAGCGCTATGATCACCGGGCCCTGAAAATATACCGAAGATCCCGCTCTGGCTTTATCGGGGATTGTGTCTGGTCATTATGGGCTGCTGTGGGGCGATGTGGGTTAAGTTCTGGCTAGCTCCTAGCGTCAACTCTATTTGAAACGCATCCTATCGTTCCTTTAGGAGCAAAGGGCAAGGCACACAGCAACCTTCTGGACTGGCTTAATCTCATTTAAACCTACTTGTCAGATATGAGCCTGCAAGATGCTAATAATCTGGCTTGGAAGCCTGTGTAAATTCTCTAGGGAAGATTAAGCCCAATGCTGCTCGATACGTGCAAGATTAAGTATTATGCTATCTAAAAACAGAACTGTGACTGAGCAATTTTCGCCTTGTAGTGCCACGCCATTATTGCCGCTGCCATTGAATTTAACAGTGGAAAGCCGGGTTATAATAAAGTTTTTCTCACCCACCTCTTTAGTTAGATTGAGAAACAGGAGCTGCAGCCCATTCTCAGCTCTAGTGTATCATTAATGGACAGGCTATCGAATTCAGCGGCTACGTAATAGACCTCGGTTTTAGTTATCCTGCAGAGGGCGCTTCTGTACCTGACGCGGTCCCCGCCATCATTGTTAATCCTCGGCAGCAGGTCTATATACCGTCCACGCGGCCTGGTAACCGTCTGCCGTATGCCTGGTTAGAGCGTGGCGGTAAAATACTGTCTACCTATGATTTGGTCGGCTCCCATGGTTCTATACTTCTCATCGTTAACGACTAAGACGACCCGGATTAGGTTCAGGGAGCATAAAAGGCTGCGCAATCTTGGTCTATCGCCCTGCAGGTAGCTCGAATTGTTGAACCGGTCTAAAGATGGCGAGATGAGGACTTTCGTGACGTACGTCTGTGGTGGACGCAGGCTCGAGGTACTACAACAAATGGGGGAGCTGTTTTAATCCGCCCAGACAAGATCATCTTTTAGCAATCGGGTAAGGGAGACCAATCAGCCGATATTTCTTACCGTTGTTAATGCAATCCTAGGGTCGAATAATACCTGACTGGAACGAGCATGGCACCCAGGGTACATAGTATTTAACCCTAGGATTACTCACTGCGTCAGTATGAGAAGACATTATCTAGTTTGTATAGCTGGCAAAGGTTGATATTTTGCGTTTTTAATATTCCTTCTGAACAAGTATGTATACCCCAGGAAGGTGTAGGAGACCCTGATGTATTTGCGTGGTGTACGTCCTAAGTTTCGCTGTCTGTAACTATCTCAACTCCTAATATAGTCCTTATTAATGCCATTATCTATACAGTTTAGTATCGATTACCAGCTTTAGAGCCTAATAAGGGAAGGGTAATTGGGTCATTTCAGCCTAGGATCTCTATAAGTCAACATAAGAGAATACTGTCTAGAACTATTAATTAAGCCACTAGACTAAACATTAAGGACTTGAGATTAACTGATAAGACATGATATAGGATCTATATTAAATTACTTTACTAAGCCTTATTTAGTAACAGCCTTAAGAACAGTCCTCCACCAGCTTTATAATACAGTATCTTATAAGTATAAGCATCTATAGTAAGAATAAACTGACCATTTAAAAGTTATAGTAAGATAGACTACTACCTATCTATGCTACTATAGCAGTGGGTACTAGAACTGTAATATTATTAAGATTATAAAGTATATATCTTGTTAATTTCATTCTTCCTAGTAATATATCTTTAACTTTAATAGAAATCTACTAAGTTTCAATACAAAATTTATAAATAGACATAGTCACTATATACAGCAAGCCTGATAATAACACTACAGCCTAGAGACTCTTTTACTAGTATGCTAGTAGGTATATACACTGCCCCGAGACTGGTCTTATTATGAGGCAGTGTCTGCTAATAATTCACCCGTATCTGGCAAGGGTGGGGAACTCGTGGCTATTTTTATACGCCAAGAAATTACACTGCGATCCAGCTTTTCCTCTGGTCCGATCACAAGTAGATTAAATTAGCTTCGATTGCTCATGGGTTTTAATCCTAAATCTTCTCTCAAATTACTAGTATCGGTTTACAAAGTGAATTTTCCTTATCAGTTTCAGGCCCTGGAAGAAATATCAACAAATATTGAGTGGAGACTCAGGCAGTCTTTGGATCCGCAGCAAGATGCCAACTAACGATACGGTCCGCAGGTCAGTTGACTTGAGCAACCATCATGTCGGTTTCATGTGAATAACATTTTAACTGAAACCGAGTCACTTGACAGGGAGCTAGTTATCATCGGAGATAGACAATGTGGGAAGACAAGTCTTCTCGCTGTCTTCGCCACAGGAAACCTTCCAGAGGTGAGTACATATCATTTACATAGTGCCGGCAATTTTATGACTTTGATAGCGATACGTAGGTCTCATAGATTCCAATGCTAATTATCAAGCTAACTTTAAGGCCAGGTGCCCACTATATTCGACAAATACGTCGCCGACTGTATGATAGATGGGAAGGGTATCCAGCTCAACTTATGGGATATATCAGACCAGGCAGACTGTGAGCAGCTACGTATGGTTTCTTATTCTAGGACCCATGTCGTTTTGGTGGCTTTCTCAGTTGACTCAGTCGACTCTTTAGAGAGTGTTAAAGCTAAGGTACGCACTACTCAGTTGAGCTAGTCAATGGGTCATCCTGATAATCTGCAAAGTGGATGAGAGAAGTGCACGACAGCTGTCCGGATGCACCAACGATTCTGGTTGGGCTCAAGACAGATCTCCGCGAAAACAGAGTGTTACGTCAGGGGATTCAAAGCAGCCCTCTACAATTTGTTACAACCCAAGAAGGCAAGGAGTATGCCCAAGAACTTGGTGCTATATGTTACGTGGAATGCTCAGCTTTGACTGGTCAGGGGATAGACAATGTGTTTGAGTTAGCAGTACGTGCGACTTTGGTAAAGTCTGAGAAGAAGCAAGGAAAATCATGCTGTGCAGTATGCTAGACTTATTATATAGCTTTTTTTTATCTGTCTATTAAGAACTAAGTTCAGTAAGTTGAGATGCAGTTACTAACTTATAGAATTGTTTATAATTTTAATTATAAAGATATTTTAGTTTTATAAAAATAAATAGAATAAAATATAATATACAAAATAGAAATTAAGTTAATATAGAAGAGAGAAAACTATATTATACCTTTTTTTATATTTATTTATTTATACATAAAATCTTAAAGCTTTAATAAAATAATAATCTTATTAAATTGGCCTAAATCTTTATTTATTTTAAGTTAAAAGATTTATTAAATCTATTTTTAACTCTTAATTAATTACTTTCTTATTAGCTCTTGAGCTTACAATTATTCTAATATTAAGGTAAAAAGTTAATATAATCTATATGACTAAACTTTGTATTTCTTTATATTTTCTATAATATTGCTGCTAATCGTTTCCCCTTCAATAGGTAGGTAACTAAGAGGACATTTCTACAGGCCGGCTCACCTTTAATCCAGGGCGCGTAAGTCTCACTTGCACCATGCTAGTGGGTCTCCTATAAGACTTTATTCGACAAAGTGGAGTGGTTGCCACGCTACCGTGTCTTATAATTAGAACATTAGGAGGTGTTAGATGAATAGCTATACTTAGAGTGGAAGGGCAGTGTATGTTAACATTCTGGCATAGCCACTCGAGTTATTACTATTCTTAGATATACCGTCTGTAACTTCTAACTGTGAAAGCGAAAAATGACTTTATCTCAAAGGATCTGAAAGCCCTTCTTGACCCCCTCTGGTATCTACTGTGGAAAACATAAGACCCGAGGCTTTTATTTCTTACGTTGTCTAGAGCTTCGAAAACACCTCCCTACCATGTCTCCGCGTGTTATCAACCTTGACAAGCGTGCCGACATTCAAGTTGTCATGGGCCTCGACGAAAATAAGCCCGACATGATATTAAATTGTTGCTCCCGTGCCTTGGCACGATCATCAACTTTCATAAGGTGTATGCTCCATGAGAAGTCTAAGAATGCTGGCCACGAAGAGCGTATCAACCAAGTATTCATAGAATGGGGCCAAGGCGATGTTTTGGCCTGCACAATATTCTTCAATATTCTACATTGCAACTTTCATCAAATACCGAGAGCGATCAACTTCGAGACACTGCATAGTCTAGTCGTTCTAGCTCATCGATTTGAAGCCCCGCAGATGTTGACTCCTTGGGTTGAGTCCTGGATCACCTCGATTGAAATACCATCAAACTTTCATCCAAGGTCCCAGTGTATGATGCTCGAGACTTGCTGGAAGCTACAGCTACAAGACAAATTCTTGCACCTAGCCAAGCAGGCCACCATGAATTTCAGCAAGACCGACTTTAACAACATGCGCGAGATGGGCCTCGAGATACCACTAGGTACTATTGGTAAGTGATAGGATAGCCCTTTCTTACATCCAACGTAATTAACAGTATTCAAGAATGTATACGGGCAATTAGATATCAGATCATGGGAGAATTATTAAGCATGATTCAAGATCTCGTAACAAGTTATCTCGAATTCGATAAGAAGCCATGCCCTTGCCCAAAGGCGCAATGGTTAAGCGCTTGGAAACGCAAGTCAAAAACACTCGGTTCATTCATCACTGGTTTGATCAAAACGAACCTGTGGCCTCTCCCAGACTCTCACGACGTCAACGACAGTATTTCAGAGTTCCGACAGAAGATTACGACGTTTGTTGTATGCGAATTGGGCCAAGACTTGGCGGAGTTGGATCAAGATGACAGCCTCGAAGGTGAAGGCAATCTGAGCTTTACGTTGTTGGATCGCATTGAGAACATCGTAAGTAAAGGGGCAAATCGGATTACTGAAGCTTCCTTTCCGTTACTTCATGTTGAACTTCATCGGTGATTGAAACTGTAATAGACTAGGTGATTAGTACTTATTTCAAATAGCAATCTTTAATAAAATAATGTCTAACTGATCATGCAATGTAGTTGATAGACTTTACAGTCAGTTAGTACATAAATGCATGATCTGGAAGATTAAATTAAATGCATAGCTGTTTTAGTGACTAATTAAAATATTTTGCAAAAATGTAAAGATACTAACTTTCAGTTGTAAAGGGCCTTTATTCATTCTTCGTGCAGAGCGGTATAGAGTCGGAACCAGTCGTGAGTCTAACTTGATAGTAACTAAGAACTCTGGACTTTATTTAGTTCGATAAAGCTGGGGTGTCGCTTGACTTCGTTGAGCTACAGTGGGTCCGTGCTAAGCAGCTGACGTATGGGGATGGCCTATTAAGGTTAGAGTCCATTCTTCTTACTGGCTAAGCTAGTTAAGACCTTAATTTAAACTCCCTGCCTCAAGGCGCAGTAGCGCGATGCTTGGCAGAGTTCAAAGTTTAAGCTTGTCTTCGGATCCGCTCATAAGATATCGTTATCTATCTTCCGATTTGCGGCATCGAAAAACATGGAGGACGAAGGATGTTTAACCAGCCACGTAATCTCACACCGGCTATCTCTTACGTATTGGCAAACAGTCATGGTAGAGCTGGCGATCTTCTCCAACTTCCCCGGTAGGATTTTAGCCACATGGGACAAAATAATGTCGTCAGAACAGCATAGCATAGCCTTCATCTTGTCACACAATGCTGCTGACTTCGTCTTCGTAAACGTGAAGAAAGTCAGAAGCTTCTTCATAATACCGACCTCTAAGCAGCGAAAATAGAGTACGAGTATATATAGGGGACTGGCTGTTTTGGTTTCTTAGTAATTGCACTTTTGCCCCATAGTTATGATACGCAGAGCCATCTTCCTCAAAAAGATCATACAGTAACTACTAGCATCACCGATAGGTTGAGAAATATTCATAATGTAGAAGAACCTTTGCCGAGGTTAAACTTCATGCCGAACGTCCTCATAGCTCAAGGGAGTTGCTAAATGTAGAACCATAAAGAGGTAACTCAATGTGATGACGCGTACCATAAAATCTTTTCTATTAATATAGTTTAAATACGAGTTTAGAAGTCACGCGAAATGTACCAACGTGGCTAAAGCATGGCTATATAAACGACAGGTCCGTAATATACAGTAGTAGCATCAGTAGCTACGCCTTCATTCTTCCCCTTAGGTTGAGCTCAGCAATTATTTAAACCTTTAATCCTGCCCAAAAAAGAAAACAATCATATTCTTTTGAAATATCCACAATGTCTTCGACAAATTCCGCCGCGTTGCCAAGCTCTACAGCATGCAGCAAGCTCTACGATAGCCCCATCCGCGACGCCTCCTGCGCTATGCCATACGAGGATGATCACATCGACATCATGAAAAAATGCTGCAACGAATCCGACATAGTGAGCTACTATTCCAACTGCGGGCTCTATTGTCTCGCACAAAACCAGACTGTCGACGACCTACGCAACTGTTTCTTTGACGAGGGCGCGAAGTGGGATCGGGTATTTTGTAGGGGCGAAGATGATGCTACTGCAACAGGAAACGGAAGTCCACTAGCAAGTGCTTCGGCGACCTTGATTAGCAATAGTGGAAACGAGAATGAAGAGAGTAACGATGGTGATGAGGGCGAGGGTGATGGCGAGGATGAAGATGAAGATAAGGGGAAGTCTAGCGAATCAGGTAACGCTGCAACATGCAGTAAGCCTAACCCTAGCACGAGCATAATTGGCATTGCTATCGGTGTCCTACTCATGTCGGTAACTATATTCGGGGCAGTTTAGGTTTATACTAGCTTAGTCTTGAACTTTTATGTCTTGCCACAAACAGATTAGTAATAGGAGTATCTTACTTAAAAAGAGGCTGAAAATGCTTTATTTTATACCTCAAGTCTGGAACTATTAAAGGATTTTTTCCTAATATACAGTATAACCTACTAAGTAAAGAATAATATTACTATCACCTTGACACCTTATAAATTGTTTTCAAATCACAGCCAATATTAAGGGAGTCACTTAAGTATTATACGAACCTATAGAATCCTGTCTGAGGATTTTTAATGAAGAATCTAAAGTTACACCGAAAATCGAATAATACATATAACTCTTACAAGAGACCTTGACTATTCAGACACTAGAAACCTTTATAGCTACAAGCATTCCCAAGATATTTAAATTAACTTCAAGACCCTTTGGATTGAAGACTTGTTTAAGCTCACACGTTGCCTTTTCGCCCTTGTCTGGGTGGCCTCGAAAGCTTGACGGATGTGCCGAACGCTGATTGCCGACCGTTCTAGACTCGACGGTGCGAAGGGCCCCTCATTATTCCGTACAGAAGACAACGCTAGCTTCATGTCCATTCGTTGACTAGTTATGATCTCTCGTCGTTGGATTGACAGTGCAATTTCTGTCAATTTCTGAACCATTTCGCAAGTCAAGAAGCCAAGTATATCCAAAGAGTCATCAGTCGGCTTGTGGTCTGCTATCGTACCCAAGCCAGACCATTCGCGGAACCGCTTTGCTTTGCGCCAGGTGAAAGATGCGTGCCGATATTCAGTCCATCTGATATACTCGTCTGCTGTCATGTTCGTCGTCTGTTCGTCCGCCCAGCGCAGCTTGCCGAGAGATGTCAGGCTGGACTCTGCGATCAGGTCCTCATTACTTTTTCCACCAGGAGGTTGTTCGCAGAAGAATGTTTGCACGTCCCAGGGTAAGATCACTGCTCGAGATTGAGTGTTCTTCGCCGCAGTATCTGTAGAGCTACCGCCAAGGGCCTCATCCACGATGTTTTCTGCAGCGAGGTCCAACTGTGCTTTCTCATCGTCATCACGAACAGTTTTACGAATAGCCTTCCATCGAAGAAAGGTTTGCAGGCGTGCAACCCTGGCAGTATCATGACGAACTTGAAAGATGAGGTCCTGGCTAGAAAAGATTCGTGATCCGCGGCGAACAGCAAGCTCGCTTGCAGTAGTCAGCTAACATGTGGGTTATTAAGATGTCCGGTCGCAAGAGAGAGAAACGTCACTAGACTGAATACCAACAAAATGACTTGGTCTCGTATAATGTCTTCTACAAGAGTGAGGGTATCAGGCGAAGGATCTTGCGTTTCGCCTGCCACGAACATCATCTGTGCAATCGTCAGAAATCGAGATGAATTCGAGGTTTTGTCGTTATATGTCACCTGTTGAATCTCAATTTTGTACTTGGGTTCAAATCTTTCCATGATCAATAAACAATTGTTCATAAAACTATAGATATTACGTATTTAAAAAGTCATCTTGAAGGCAAGACCAAATCCATCGCTTTATACTTTACATTTTGTGGGGCGTGTACGCTATATCGCTGTATTCAATTCTATTTGAGCAGTACCGTACTATAACACACTGTATGTATGGGGCCCCAGGTAGTATAAGGACTGGCATGATAAGCAATATTGAGTGTGGAATGAGAGGTCGGAAGAGATTCTAAATATTTTTGAAACGGGGGCATCGAGTAAGGTCGTAAAACAAGGTGGGGTTTTCAGGCCATGGTGTAACAGACCAATCGGGTACAGACATGAGCGCGCCTCTACTAAAGCGGAGTAAATATATTCTTATTGGTTTAGGCTCTGATCCAGCCGATACGAACGGCGCACTTTTAACCGACATGACACACCGACTTCCTATTTGGGTCAAGATCCAAGAGCTAATACAATCAACCCCCTCTATTTTTGTAACTGAGCTGAGAGACTTCTCCACCGAGAACGTGTCTTACTAATAATTATGCCTTGTGAGATTATTATTAGCTGTTACGGTGAGATCGAAAAGCAATTATACATAAGTGCCATATAAAGATTCCTCTTTCTAGCTGTCTCATGTCTTAATCCTCTTGATGCCCTCTTCTTACTTGCTATTATCGTCTCCGCAAGTGTAGGTTACAAAATTCAGGGGTGGAATTGGATACATTTAGCAAGAACCGACCTAATGCCTTATTCTTTCATTGCCGTATACTTAATCAAGTAAAGCCATGAATAAACGCGGAGTATAACCAAAAAGTTCGTTGTTTATAAAGACTTTAGGCCCTGATCCAATCCATACGAATGCGTCACTTTGTTCACAAGCGACACGCCTGTTGCCTGTTTAGGCCAAGATTTGGCAAGGAAGTGCATATTGTATTTACTTCAGCAGGAAGAAATAGTAATATGAATAATTAATTATGAAGGATACTTATTTACTATTTCCTTGTTATCATAGCTCTATTCGCTATTAATTCCGGTTGAAAGCGGATAAGCACAGTCAGCCACGTGATATATCTGATCCAGTGACGATCTCATCCTGAGGGGTAATCGCAAGTTCAGACAAACTACTTTCAGCCCTGCTATATCCCATCTCTGCACGCATCATTTAGGCACCATGGACTTTTTCGAAAGGCTTCCCACGGAGTTAATAGCCCCAATTCTAAGCAAGTTGCCCGATCTCAAAAGTCTGTATAATATTGTCAAAGCGTCGCCACGTATCTTTCACTTCCTCAACAGCCCCTCCGGCGCTGCAATCCTCGATAGTCTCCTCGACCTTTGGGGCCAGGTGATTGAGGACAAGGATCTCTTCATCAGTGGTTCGCGTGATGAAGATGGCAATATGAAACGTCGAGAGTTTGGTACACTGCCATGGGTGCCGCTCGTCTTACGGCTCATTGCTCTTGTCAAACACAGCTCTGCCACAAACCAACCGGCAAATAATCTTGAGTCCTTGATCAGCAAGTACCTCGAGCCAGTTACCACAGATAGACCAGACATGCATCAACATGACCTCAAGTTTCCAAAAGACACCACCCCGAGGATCCGGCTTCAGGACGTGACAGGTGGACCTCAATCGTACTCACCACGGAAGATGCTTTTTCTCACAAGAAAAATTCTAGTACTTGCAGAAGAGTGTTTCCAATTGTTTCACGAGCGTATTCGGACTTCCAAACCTCAGCATCTTACCGATAAAACCTTTGAGCTCAAGCCATTACCATGGAACCTCCGCCCTGACGGCCAACCTTGGGGCGAATCCTACGAGCTTAACGCTGGAGCAGACGAACCCTCATGGTGGGAAATGCAGGGGCTCACCTTTGGATTTTGCAATCTTCAACTGCGTTATGAGCTAAGTAACGCGATTTACGAAGGGCGGTTAAACTGGCCAGCATCAGATGCTACAGCCATACGCGACCTGGGAAGTGCAGAGATGTGCCTACCTGGGCTCGGAAAGTGGACCATATTAAACACATGGGAATCAGTTTGGGCCGCAGTACTTTACGTCCGGGATCTAGAAGGTGCCCCAGACGAATACTCTTGCGTGGGCGATACCGACGGCGAGAACAGGGACAAACACTTCAAAGACACGGGGTTTAAACCTCTTGAAGGCGGTGGATTACGACTACCGCAACCAAAGCACGAAACATCAGAGTTTAAATGGCCAACGAAGATATCAAATCAACCGCCACTATATATGTGGGACAATGTCTTCGCGTATGGCTGTGGATTGGCATTAGCTATAAATGGCAGCTCGTTTGCCGAATCCGACTTCTGGTCAGAAAGCACCACTGAGCTAACCGAAAGCCTATTATTCCGCCCGTTTAGGCGTTTGGGTTTTGGTATCTGGGATCCAACAAGGCTGCACAAGATGCAAATGATTGATTGTATTATGCGCAGCGATGATCCCGAAGTTGGGATGAAGCATAACGTTCTTCAGGACTGGCAAGAAAATCTGGTTTTCACATGGATGAGCCTTCTTAGTGCTGAAGAGAAAGAAGAGTTACAGGTTTATCAAGAGGGACTGCGATTGAAGAGGCAGCAAGAATCGGAGGAGTTGGCTACTGCTGTCAGCGAGTGAATATATATATTTAGTTAACAGCTTTGAGTCTCATTCTGCCTAATAAAATACCTTAGAAGTCGAAGCACAATTGAAGTGACCGCTTGTGTAACGAGAGCCATAAAGTTCCGAAGAAGTTCATATGCCTGTCCACGATTCGCAAAGCGTCTCCACCAATACGTGTAAAATCAGGGCCCATCGGTTTCAACTCTAAATTATCCACTGTGATCAAAATCTTCATCTTCTTCACCATCTTCAGCCACAGGTGAGGCTGCAACAGGAAATGTAGGACTCGAATTGTACCAGACAAAAAGACCCAAGCCACCAGTGCAGAGAACAACATAAACCTTCAATACCCAGCCAACCAAAGTGCCATATTCAAATATCCAGCTCGCCAGCCATTTCATACATGGTGTGACCAGTGCTTGTCTTTCCACTTCCAAATCCGGATTGACCGAGTATATCAGTGCCAGTATCGCTAAGAGAGTCAAACTCAGGATAATGGCGACAAAAACTTGAACAACGGCAAGGAGAATTGCGATGTTTTTTGTGGTTTGGAGGACTTCGAATCCAGCGGCTACAAGAGGAGTGACTTGGTCGAATGCCGCGCTGACTTGTTTCGAGTATGGCATACCCATCGTGGCTTAATTTTTAGTGCAGTTTGGTGGGAACTGTAGGGTGGCTGAAATGATTTGATGGCTTGGGAATTACGGAGTAATGAGGTTGATCTCGGTTATCTAACAAGTGGGGATGAAGATCAACATTGGCGAGTCGTGACGTCAGATCTGCGTCTGGTATTCAGACGGACTAATAGTTATTCCGATCCCGCCAGTGTAGCCTCTCTCCCATTTCTATCACAGTTCACCTTCTAAAAATCGGTGCAAATTCAACAATGGGGTCCTTTTATTAGAAAATTAAAAGACCACATCCTAGACTGCCCGACCTAATAAGCGATGTAAGTTATTTGCTGTAGTACTCTTTAAATAAATAATATAATGTCAATTCTTTATATTAAAGTGTAAAACTTCCCCTTGTCCTAACAATAGTATTAAGTTGCTCATTTCTCTTTGTACTTATAACCTCTAACTTCTATATTTATAACCAACTTTCCCTATCTTTTTTCCTGATCTTTTCAATAATATGGCGACTAAGCCCTTCAAAACATCTATCTGTAGCATGATCAACTGCTGTCAAGCTCTTGTTATCCCGAATTTCAGTTCTCGCGCCCCTTTCCAAAAGTAACTTCAAAATCTCATCCTGATCGCTTCGGACAGCGTACATCAATGCCGTTAACCCATTATGATCCTGATGATTAAGGTCCGTACCACTGTTGATCAATGATTCGACAATCGGCTGATGTTTTGCCTCGATAGCTATTAATAGTGCAGTTTGCCCGCCGATAGCTGTGAAGTCAATGTCAATGCCATCGCACTTCAAAGAAATTTGTAAATTGTCGATAATACATACCTTTGTCGGAAGTACCCATCAGTTGAGTTGAAATTTCCAGTCCTTTTAAGTTCAAACTAAGACGTTTATCAACATCTCGTTTTAGTAGTTCCCCAAGAATCACGGGATTTGACAAGCATGCTTCTGAATGCAATGTGCGAAATACAAGGTTATGAAGGAGGATGTGTGTGGAATCCGCCCTCGAGAAGAAAAGATCAAGCCCGGCCTTGAGCGCATCAGATGCGTCGCTCTCTGACGCGTTGACGAGGGATTGAAGAGCGTGATCTCCCCAATTGGAAACGGCATACATGTATCCCATAACAGAGGGCGTGTTGTTGATGATAATTATCCAGGCGAAAAGGCAAGCCAGCACTTCGTCAACAAGAAGCCACTCCTTGAACTCCAATGACTCAGTACTTTTAGCATACTCCGGGGGAAGACTTTTATTCCAGTCATGAGTAATTTCTGGTTTGGAAAAGTTCCGAATAGCCTGTCGATCTGGATCACTTAGATTATTTATTGCGCCGCGAATATCCTCAAGGCTCAGGTCTGGGAAGCAGTCAAAGTCTCCACCAAGATCCTCGGAGGCGGAATCAAAAGCAAGATACATGATTTCCTGAGAGAATGAAGCAATAAAGTAATCAAAGGCTTTTAATATGCTACTCTCTGCGCTCCACCATAGACATGAGGTGAGCAGCAGATCATGACCATATTTCAGTACCCGTTGAGTGTCGTATTGCTCTGGGTCAAGACGATAAAACCCAGAGCCAATCATGTAATCCTTGACAGATTGGTGGATCAAAAACACCGTCGAATTCCTGACTTCAGCAAGGCCCCCAGATAGGGTACAGACAAGGTTCTTCATCTCCTCATCGGTACTACCCCAAAATAGTTTAGGAAGCTCATTAAATGACCGGTATTTCTTATCAGGGATAATATTGATAGCGAAACGAATATCATGAACTTCCAATGGCCTAGTTGCGAAGCAAACCCATTGGAAGAATTTCAGCGACATTGCGCATGTTTCTTTGGCCAGAGAGCTGACAGTAGCCGCATAAAACTCCTCGATCTTCCTAGGAATTTTCCTAAGCTCAGCAAGAAGATCCGGCCTGCCGCCACGGTACATGGTAAGGATTTTGGGCACCACTGTTGTCACCCATAGAAAGTTGCCATTGGCAGACTGTAATAGTTTCTTCTTCAGAGTGTCTCGTAAACCTCTGTGTTCGTCACTAGTGATCTCTCGATCTAGCTCCTGGCACACATAATTCTCAATATCTTTCATATTGCCATTTTGCGCAAAAACATGGTTATCACCATCCAAGCGCGCAAGCTGCGAAACATGGCGACAGGCAAAGCATATACTGAATTTCCGTGGCTTAGAGCGTAACCTTTCTGCCATGTCTTGCATCTTAATAACCAAATTGTACATCTCTTTCGTTACGTCTTCGTTACTTTCTGTATCCTTGCATTCGTCAAGTGCGTCAACGAATATGCGGATATTGAAGCGTTCGAGAACCCTTTCGACGGAATCCTGAAAGTGTTTCATCAGGTATGGAGTTGGCCATATTGAACCATCATGGTTTGTACTGGACATCTTGTCTTCCCTACCAACTTGGTTCAATCTGGACTTTCTGAGATCCAATGTGTCGGCGAAGGGCTTCATTTCTTTCGGTATCTTTTCAAGGAGTTGGTGAAGGAGAGCTCGGAAAAGGCCTTCTGTTGTACGCTGGAGAAGCTTTCCCTGGCTGTGGAAGAAGAATGACAAGGCCACTGTCGGGTCCTGATCATTTCCCCCTCGAGTTTGCCTCACACAGCTCTCTATAGCATGCTTAATGAGCGTGCTTTTGCCTGTACCTGCGTGTCCCAGTATCCAGAAAATGCCGTACCCATTACTATACCACTTGGAGTAGGAAGGATCTTTGATTAACCATTCGCAGGCTGTCTCTCCAGGCTCACGCAACTGTAGTGGCTCATAGTCGATTCCGTCAAAATCTAAGGCTTCTAGGCATTTCGCTTGCCACTCTTCTTGCTTCTGGTCTTGCTGCTTCTGGTCTTTCGCTTGACTATTTTGATGTGTAATATTTTGAATGTGATCTTGTAATAAGTTAGTCTCACAACTCTGATAAGCGTTAAGTGCTGCTATGACACATCATGAGGCGGCGGTGCATTTAGCCAATATCCATGTCTTGACCTATGATCAGGGTAAGATTAATAGAAATCTTAAATCTTACCTTTCTGATTCATGATTCCATGGCTCTTCTCAATAATCTCTTGTAGCCTCCGTACGATCTTCAAGAAACTGGGATCTTGGGGAGAGTTGAACTTGTGAAGCATGTTATGCCTGGCATCAAGTGCTAATTCCTTCGTGCCACCTAGTCGAGCTGAGTTGTGATCTACAACCTGAACAGTTCTATTTTAGTACGGGTCGTTTCATCCAAACTACACAATACTACTTACGACAAACTCGGCAGGTCTCTCTCTTGCAAACTCTTCGTACTTGTCGCCTAATCTCTTCTTATAGGCCGATGTTTTTGTTGTCAGAGTTTCATAGGCACAGGTGATGTCGAATCTGAAGTCGTGATGGTTGATCAGGCCTTGAAAACTCGTGATAAGCTCGTCCAGTTCGCTTGACTCATGCATCGAGCCCTGCCTTAGATACTGGTGCATGTTTGGACTACATGCCTTTCCAGACGCCAATGCGACTTCGTACCGAATCTCAGCAGCTTTTCTCCCTCTTGCTTCAGAACCGCGGAATGGCGTCCCTAGGAAAATAGCACCGATTGTGTACTTCAAAACTGCGCTAGAGTCTCCACTGCGTGTAACGTGGTCAGGAGTAGCGGCAGTCACAAGAGCCTAAGCATCTATTAGTCAACCAATCAGATAATAATGGAGCTGGGCTGGATGAATCAATCGTGGCAGGTGGGGATAGGGAGTCTAGTGAAGCCTTCAACTTCAACTTACCCTGGCTAGTAGTAGTCCACCAAAGCATGATGCGATAAAGATAATTGGTCGCTCTCTTCGCCCCTAACAAATTAGGCTAATTGAAGACTTCAAGCTGGCATAGGACTTGTCTCACTTTAAAGTGACGTTCGGTGTCAATATCGTCTAGTAGCATCATGGCCTGCGCGTTAAATGTCGCGCTGGAAGCAGCGTCGTCATATCTTGCATTCCACTGATATGTTAAAATCCGAGCATTGGGCAAAAACTTGGTTAGCATATCATCGTCTTGCAACCAATTGACCTGTCTTGATCGGGGATTGTCAGCTTCCTCCCATGCGACCCAAGTCTTTGGGGTTTCTGCATCGAGGCCGTGGATGGCAATAATGCTGCAAATATCAGAACGTGGTAATAGACAACAGGGCTTTGATGTAATTACTCAAATTCGAGGTCCTCGAGACTCTGAGCGTTGGTGGAGTCTGCAATTGGGTGAAGTTGAATCAGCCCAACACGTGGTCTTGTGTTAGACTGGGACATGTTGCTTCGTTCATGTCGCCTCCTACTCGGAGTAAGGGGGTTACGGACAAACGAGGTGTGATTCTGACTAGGGGAGAAATCACGCGGGTTGGAATATGATAATGAATTGTATAAAAGACAAAGGAACTTATGTGCCGCAACACCGTTAGATTACTTCCTGTGTCAGCCCTGGAAACGCCCTACATTATGCCGGGGGCAGTAAGAAGGAGGGAGCTAAAATGATCTGATCCATAAAGCTACAGGGAGCCTTGGCGCTTAAACCTTTATCTCGATTGGTATTTCTGCTCTGATCAATTTAAACGGTCCCACTCCTCTTTGCAGATCGCTGAGGCTGAACAGGATTCTTGGCGACTAGCCTGGCGCTATTAGATTTACACGTCAGCAAAATAGTTTCTTGCAGCTGGGAGGCCTCAATCTTGGCATTTCTAACCATAGGATCTAACCCTGCCAATAGGAACTCGTCGTGATCACAACACACTCTTGTGGGTCTGCAAGCTGGGGTTGAAAATACAGGGTGTCTCACTTCAGATCAAAACCACAATCATCAAGCAGGCAAGGGCTTGTTTTTCGACTCCATTTGCTACACAAGCCTTCAATAATGTAAATGGGCTGTACAATCGTGACTCAGGCAGTGCTCTCATTTTTGGAATATTCTAGTTAATACCCTCAACGTCAATGAGTGGTAGAATTAATCTTGCCAAATAGAGAGATCGACGTCGGCTACAAAACACACAACCCCGGATGTCTGCTGTCTGAAATTTACCTCGATATTCTTCGGGCTTTATAAATTAATCTGTCAAACCTTATAGTGGCTATAGGGCATCATGAGATTTATTCTTACTCGCCTTTACCCCAGGGCAATATTCGCCTGCTTCATGTCGGTCCACTATTCCTGAGCCATTACGTCCAAGATACGACATAAACACAGCAGAGATTTATCAAAGAGTTGCGCGATATCTATCAGAGAAAGGAGAAAATCTGGCTATAATTACTCGTTCACATGGCACAACTGGCAGTGGAAATCCGATAACAGGCCAAGGCCAACATCAACTCGAGATGCCCTCTTGGACCCCTGATTGGAGTGATTTCCAGGTCTTCACTAATAACATTCGGACTAGTCTACCTTGGGTACACTACTCTGATTCGTCCAGGGCCCCTTACTTTGGGTTTCCAAACCACTACATCGCCTCGGGGAATCACAAGCATAGGCTCTATGCCTCAGATGATCAATCGATACTACAGCTCGGCGGTATAGAAATAGACCAGGTTGCTCAAACGATTCCATTCAATGGTGTTGGGTATTCAAAGGAAGACTTTCGACAACTGTTTGGTTCAGATATCTGTCATATCTGGGACGGAGCGATGCCAACGGCTAAGTCAGATGACCCCAAGGTATTGATGCGCCGCCTCATCGAAACCACAGCTGCCGGCCAACACAGATCCTCTGAGAGTAACGATGGGCAGATCATTGCTGACGGACTTGCATACCTTCGCAATCTGCCATTGTCCTTAGAAGGCCACCGAATGGAAGAGAACGACAGTTATCAAAGTCACCTCCAGGCTGGTGGAAATCCGGAACAATATGTCAATCTCGCGAGTAATTACTCATTCTCTCGGGCATTTATCGTGAGCTGTAGGGGCAAGATGGGTCTAGGCCCATCAGACACCTGTGTTGGCGATAGAATATGCATACTCTTTGGAGGAGGAGTGCCTGATGTGATCAGGAAGCAGGGAACCAAGAGGGTACTCGTTGGCGAGCTTTATATGGAAGGTGTGATGAATGGGGAAGCCATTCCGCTGGATGATAAAAGTGATTTAAAGGAGGAGACCTTCGACTTTATTTGATATTAGGAATGATATTTACACTCAAACAGCTCAAAATCCTGTCTCGATTCTTCCCCCAATCGGTGGGTAGGTTTGCACAAGCACTAATATCTATCTACGCCTTCTTTCTTTATTCTATATTGGTTTTTGGGTCAGGCAGCTATAATGCACAGGTATATTGGCGGCTGGCATAGTGGAACAGAGGATTTACTAGAAGAAGTCCAAGCATGTGACTTACTATTGTAACACCACTACTAATTACGGCCATAATACTGGGATCCTTCATTTATAACAAGTTTACGTCAAGAATTAGTGCTCTTGTTGCAGTGGTGATCTACTGTATTCTATAATAATCGATTATTAAATAAACTAATACTCCGTATTAGTTATTTTTATAACATTTGGATTATTTCCCATGCTGACTAAAATACTTAAATCGTCATCAGTGAACATATATCACAATAAGAAGCAATTAACCTTTATTGTGATTTACCACCACCTTACATACAAATCACATTCTCATCAGTTTTCCAATATTGCAACTCCCTAAGGTTCTCAACCGGAAATAACAGTAACTCCACCACCACCCCTGATTTACAAAGACCCACACATTGCTCAATAGTGACATGCTTATCATTGGAAACACCGAGCTGATCCAGTTTCCGCTGTACAGTGTCGATCAATCCCTGGGCCCGATTATGTATGCCCCGAGCTTCTTGAATAAAACTGTAAAGCTTAGGATCCCCCAGCTGTCGCTGTTCTTGGATCTTGGTTTGCTCAACGGTCGAAAAACAAGACAAGGTGACTCGCAGATCTGATTCGGCCGATGACCAGCTTTTGGACCAGCTATCCTCGAAGGAGAAGAACAAGATCTCGACTTTGATGCAAACTGTGACACTTTCTGAAACAGTCTTACTGCTGGAGCCAAGACTCATCATAACTCCGGCATCACCACCGATTCTGTAACCCGCGACATAGTAATCACCCCACCTCTGTTTGAAGGCAGATAATCCGCCATTGTATTTAATAGTTTGTAAGGCATCCTCTGACAGTTTCGGAGGCCTTGAAAAGGTGACGGACCCTGCTCGGTAGGTTGTCATAACTGATGTTTTTGAAGCCTTATACAGCATTCCTGTTAGTCACTCTCATTTTAGATGAAAAAGGTGTGCACCTGCATCATGATTCTCCATCACATGTCGATCATACTGACAAGATACACTGGCGGAAACAACAAAGCAAGATATGCCAACCCCAACACCGACGCTGAGGTGATCAGCAGAGCTTGATGAAGATGTAGATTCACTGGATTTGTACGACGCATCACCGTCAAATGGCTCGAAATTGATACGTGATTTGCGCACTGATTCGGCATCAAATGCAGAATCCCGCGAGAATGGGTCGACTTTTGATGTTGATGCTGTTTTTGTGTTGAAGAATGACCCTAAAGCAATAGGCCGGGTGTGCCATGGCAGACGAATGATCTGTCCAGTTGACGCCTGTCTGGCAACACTGGTGATTAGAGGATCAAACTCATCCACCGCCATTTTTGGTGTTCAGAATCGCCTGATGAAAGTAAAATATGATTGAGTAGAAGAGAACGACAGAATGCTGTGGGATAAGACAAGAAGTCCCACCGAGGTCGAGAGGCGAGCGACAGAGAGTGACATCTGATTTAGTACAGGTGCGTATCTTGCCCTGTAATAATTCTTCATTAACGCCCCAATTGATCTTGAGCTGCTAAACTAAACGAACAGCCTGTCCTGCAGTGAGCTGAGGGAGGACTACGGTATGCATACTCAGCGTGGCGTATAGTGCCGATCACTACCAAGAGTGAATATGAGGCGTTAGTAGTTATACTGTTAATCAATAGTTGGCCACCATTAGAAACACATGCCATTCTGAAAGTCAGTGACTAGTTTGAGGCTGGCTGAACTTCATAGGTAGACTCTATTGGTTGGCTAGTCCCGATAGACTGTCTAGGCCTTCTGAGATTCAATGGTGCATTTCTACCCCGCTTCAACCTGAGACTGTTGAAATGAGTATCAGCCAATGAGAGTCACCGCGCCATGCTAAAATTATGGCTGTACAGCAGTCCATCGGTGTCGATTTTGGCGTGTCAGCCGCACGATAGTTTATGCATATTTGCCTCTTATAGTTAAATTCTATTCATGGCGGGCTGAACTAGATCAAAGACCAGGTCTTATTGGCGGATAACGCTATGGCTTATGCTTCGGCGTGCACTATCGTCCTTGGTGCGAGAATTGATCTCGACCCAAGTCTAGAACTGGCCACTGCGCGAAACAGTAGGTGAAGGGCGGCAGCTGGCCTAGATGGAAATTGTAGAAGGTAGCGTGAGAAATTAGTGGTAGCAGCTTGTGATATAAGATGGACTGCCCAGACCATTATCTACACTCATTATTCTTCATTCACTGGCACAGCGTTCTGTGTTTTCATTGCTTCCTCAGCTCTTACCCATCGTTAAGTTATCCGACTCAGAAGTGAACCCAGTCCATAATGGCACTTCGACTGGCGCCATACAACAATGGCATGAGACTCGGTGAGCGTGATGAATTCTGAAACCTGCCATCGAACCTTGTAACTAACTAAAGTCACAGGCCAGGGGTACGTCAGACCCTCAGCTCATTGGGGTAATATCTAACATAACATCCATAACAGTTTCAATTCCTACACCCAGCAGATATGTGTCGACGACGCGGTAGTCACAGACCCAGATCGAATTGACAACCAAGTCACCAACGATGGTTTCACCATGCGCGACTTGAGGTTCGCCATCAGCGGTGCCCATACCACTCACAGCCCCAGCAGTGAAGAAAGTGGCGATACTGTCCTTGTGCCCTCGGCCGGTGAAGAGGGAAACGATAGTAGTACCCTTGCAGCCAAAAGCTTCGCTTTCCAATTTGAGCAGCGCGCTCAGCAGATCAAGAAGCTCATCGAGGACATCAATGCCTACGAAACTGAACTTGAAGATGTTTCAAAGGTCGAGACTGCTGAGCGACGACAAAAAGCCCTGATCTTGGAGAACAAGCGCATCAAACTCTCCAAGCTGAAGACTCTTGAGGTTACAGAAGCCCTTAAATCTGCTGATTCTAAAGGCTTAGCTGAGGAACTTGCCAACCGCGGCCGAAGCCAAGTCGTTACTTACACCTCCCGCTTCGTCAGTAAGCTCAGGTTCGTATTCATTATCATTGTATGCTATGGTGATTACTAACACTGGACCAGCGAAGTGACAGACGAAATGAACATTTCTGGCTCCCTGTCCATCAAATATGGTGCCATTGGTGGCTCTGGTAAGGGATCATTCATCGACTCGGACAAGTTCAAGGAGAGCGACTTGAACTTCTTCATCAGCGTCAAAGTGATCAACCAGTCAATCAATATCAAGGATGCCCTAGTATACCAAGCACTGCCCTCTGTTGACGAAAAGAACTTTGTTGAGGTTTTTGGAGACTGCTTTATTTCTGGTTAGTCACATCATCTCGCAAAACCATTCGGGTGCAGTACTAACACTTCCCAGGATTCCTGGAGGGTGGCGAGTTTAATGCCCTGGTCAGCATGAAAGTTCTTAACAAAGACAAGAAAACCGAAATTGAGGCAGAGTATGTTCATATGTGGTAATAATCTCTACTGAGCTGACACTACTTTAGGGCCAAGGTTGCTCTGACTATCGGCCCCGTTGAGCTTGAGGCCGAAGCCAAGGTCAAAGTGGCTAAGAACAACATTCAAGCCAACACTGAGACCACAATCCAAGTTGGCTGGTCTGGTGGTGGAAGCATCAAGCCAAGTATGACTCTTAACTTCCTGTCCAGGCGAGGGAAATGCAATGCCGAGACCTACTAACACGGTGTAACAGTGGACGAACCCTGGAGTATCGATACATTGATGCAGACTGCGGCCAGATTCCCAGACCTGGTAGCAAAGACCCCTCAGCGAACTTAGTAAGATTCACCCTATGATAAAACTACCGGATCCATTCTAACATTTGAAGCGCGATTCTTACCAAGTATGAAGCTCTGCGAAGCTTCATGATGCTAAAGCCGGAGAAACTTTCGCCAATCATGTATGAGAATGCTGCAATCTACACCAACGCCCTTCTGGATGCGTACATGGACTACAAGAACGTAAGTCTGACCCATCTTGGACAAATCAGAATGGATTGCTGATGTGAGGCTTCTAGATTTACCGAAACATTTCCTCAGACCTCTTTGACATTGACGCCGGAACAAAGAAATTCGACAAGTCAATGGATACTGGCACTCTTGCCGACAATACTACCCTTGTCAAGGTTGATGACGAGTCAAAGTTCTCGGCCAGCTACAAGGGCATGGAACTCGCGAGGAGAGCATGCCGCTTCCAGATGATGAAGATTGTCACAGAAGTGGACCTCGTCACGTCAAAACCCAAATTGTCAACCGACGAGCTCCGGGGTGAACAGTTCCAGAGCCCAGTTTCATTCAGAGAGAGGCTGCCGAAGGTTGTTTTGGAACGAACACCCCGCAAGTTGCAATTGTTCGGCGACGAAGAACAGACGTACCATCCTCTGCTTGAAGGTGCATCTGGAAGTCAAGAGGAGGCAAACAAGGTCGCCTCGCTGGTGGCAGATAAGAACGACATCAGCGAGCACTTGCGTCTAGCCCCTCCTATTGGATCAGATGAGGGGACTTTGTTCTGTAATCTTGACTTTATCAAGCCTACTTTCGCTCTGCTGCAAATTATCGTCGAGGTCTCAGACCGTGGCGTTGTGAGTGGAATGAGAACTCGATACTCCAACGGTCTGGTTACCAATCTTGGAGCTGTTGGGACTGGGAAGCAGGTCACTTTGAACTTGCATCCCGAGGATGGAGAGAGGGTTGTGGCTTGCTCCATCGAAGTCGGTCGTCCCACGGATGAGTCCAATGCAAAGGAGCGAGTCACTGCAGTTCGTCTGTATACCAACCGTGGGCCTGATCTCATGGGTCAAGCCGATAACTGGCAGCCTTCGCTGGATGGCAAAGGCCAACGCGGGAATACTTCCTTCGAAGGACTGACCTTGAAGCACTACGACCCTCTGCTGGCAGGTGGTCATCTCAAAGGCTTCTGGGGACGGAGTATCAACACTTCAACCTCGGGCAAGCGAACTGGCCTGTATAGAATGGGTCCCATTTGGGGAGATACCCAGGATGATTCTGCTGTGGCTGCCGGACTCGAGAGCGGAGATGATAACGAGCAGGACAGGCCAAAGACAGGAGGTGTAAGAGCGCTCGATATTGGGTGGAAGATGGAGACCAACATGACGCGCAGCACGACAGTCCGTTTCGAGAAGAGCCTGTCCTCAACACCACGAGTCATCTACGGTCTTCGCCAAATGGACATCATCTCTCCTCACGGTCCAAACATTGCCGTCGAGACTCTCAATCTCGGCAAAGAAGGCTTCGACCTGAAACTGTCAAGCTGGAGCAGTATCGTGTTCAACACAGAGGCCAACTGGCTGACACTTCCTGGCAACAGCAACATCAACTTCCAGTACGGCGAATTAGACAGCTCCGAGCTCCCCGGCCGAGCGACTACCCAAAACGCCAGCTTCCGCGTCTACTTCGCTAAGCCGTACAAGACCGAGCCCAAGGTACAGTGCTGGTTCACATCCATCGTGCAGCCCAAGGGCTGGAGATCTCTCCGCTGCAGTGTTTCCAACATCACGCGCACAGCCTGTACTATCACCATGGAGACGTGGGCCGGCCGACAGTTCGACCGCGCAAAGGTGATGTGGCTGGCGTGGGATTCCGAGTACGATGGCAAGAATGTTCGTTCGGGCACGTCGTTCTTCAAGAAGGATACGCCGATCCAGGATTTCCCCTGGTATAATGGCTCGTTCGCCAAGCAGCCTGTAGCGTTTGGGGCGATCTGTCACATTGACTTCCCTGAGCAGACGACTAATCTTCGTTGCTACACGAATGTTATTGAGGCTACGAAAGATAGACTCAAGTGGCAAGCTGGTACTTGGGCGGATACGACAATGGATACGACTGGTATGGTATGGATTGGAATGGACTAAGTTGATAGCTCCTCGCAATATGAATTGACTTCATGGGCCAACCACTCAAGGTCGTGGCGATCCCATCACAACGGCTAAAGTTGAATGGTAAACACGACTGTAACGTTAAGGCGAGAACGGCTCTTGTGGGAAGTAGTAACGAGTCTTTAGGAGGAAGGGTAGCCGTGTTGTCGCTGTTTCTCTCGCTGTTATGCAGAGCCTTGTCTCAGAGCCTGATCTTGTGAAGCCATGGGGTCGAGCAATGTTTATAAAATCGTGTCTTTGCTACTCCTCAGTCTCGATTCTTCCCAGCAGCCTTAACTTCCCTAAAAGGGAACCTTTCAAATAAACAAACTCCCAAGACAGTTTCATATTTTGCATCATTCATCATGCCCAAAGACACCATCGTTTTCTTCCGCTGTGTACAACAGCCTCCCTCACATCAGTGATGTCTCTGAGGTACCCAAGCCACATGCCTCTGATCTCACCGAATTACTCGCACTTCTGTTCAAGCACGACGTACCTTTGGGAGTTTCAGTCAGGCTGGTCCACAAGCACTTGGACGTCTGTGACGGCGAGGCCATGGCTTTCAAAAGTGTATCTGCTCCTCCTTTCGGATAGGTCGTCGTAATATGTCTAAAGCGAATTAATCAGAATCGACCCCTGCACGGCCTGAACTATTTCGTCGACAGTGACGGCATGCCCTTGGCGTATGAATACACCACGGATGATACCATGGACATGGCGCCATATACGTCCTTCCTGACTGAGTTCTGTCGCCTGGTAACTCAGAAAGGGCTGCAGATGAAGTTTGGCCTCAAGCTCAGCACCAAAGAGGATGCAACCGCCGCCACTGAATTTGAGTACCCTCATCTGCGAAGCACCATCATCATTCCCTAAGGGTTCCCTAAGCCCGACATGTTGGACGATGAGGGAGTTGTCGCAGAGTGGAAAGGTGTGAGATCAGGGGATCCGAAGCAAGTCTTGTGCATTATGCACGTTCAGACTTGCAACTAGCATTGCAAGAACTATTCGGGTGGTAAAGACGATGCGGACATTGGGAAATGGTACCTTGGAGGTCAGAACTTGCTCGCGGAGAGTGAGATTTATAATTTGGTCGGAACTATTGTTGAGGCTTGGTAATGATGCGATACTACGATTTTCGACACGGGGTATAGTATGTCTTTCGGATTTTAGTCTCTTTTTTATTCTGTAACCTCATATCTTTTCTTTTCTTTTTGCTTTAACCTTCAACTTCATCAAGGCCAGGCTTTCCAAATCCACAATAATATCGGAGACAGAAATATCATCTTCCTTATTTAATAACTTCAAAAATAATAATTCCAAAAAATTCTCACAATCGTCTCTACGAAGTCGTTTCTTAACTCCTGCTTTTTAAGAATTTTTTTACCATCCACAGGTGCTTCAAACAGTCCCTTGTATATGTTAACGATTGAACCACGATCCACGACATCGTCACATCAACCGCCTACCACGGCCAAACTTGTTCGATCATAGCCATTCGCAGCTTCAATCCACGACCGTCACAATGGAAGCTTCACCTTCCACCCTAGATCATCGATTTAAGGGAGTCAGTTATTTACCCCATACCCTCCCTGTACAGTATAAGCGAGAAGTCTTACCCTGCTAGCCGCCGCATTTAGTGAGAAATTACGGAGTGACAGCGTAACCCTTCAGTTGTGTCTGTGTTTCAGACTAAAAGATTGCCCCTTGGCTAACTCACTGACAGCAGACTTGATTGGAGCGGCTTGGCGACTAGCACATCAGACTTCCGGAACAAGACTAAACGGGAAATTATGGATGGTACTCGAAATTTACGCGCTTAGCGGTGACGGATAGTCCCGTATCAGAATAATTATTATCGTGTGATGGTTTCCGATCAAATTGCTCATTTAATAGGAGGCCATTCCTAGAAACTCACTGTTTGCTCCTTTTTGCTGTTTTTGTTCCCTTTTGCCTTTCTGATTCGTTACCACCCACACTCTTTTGCACACTCTTTTCACCATGACGCTCCTTTACAATTTTCTGTTCTTTTATCTTTTTACTTTCGCGTTCGCGTTTACTCACCCTGGTCTCCTAGTGAGCCAGACAGACATCGATCGGATTAAAACGAAGCTCGCTGCGAAAAAAGAGCCATGGACTGCGTCCTGGAACAAGTTAACCAGCATCCCATTCTCCAGCGCCGACTACAAGAATAACGCCGTTAAGGACATCAATCGAGGCCAGAATGGAGAGGCACTATGGCATGATGCAGCGGCGGCGTTCAATCTTGCACTACGATGGAAGATCTCAGGAGAGGACCAGTACGCGGACACTGCCTCGAGCATCCTTGTCGCTTGGGCAGACACGTTGGAAACTTTCAGCGGTGGCGACGATGCCTACCTTTCAGCGGGACTGCAAGGATACCAGCTTGCCAATGCTGCCGAACTCCTACGCGATTACAAGCCATTTGCCCAGAAGGGATTTTCCAGCGTTGTTGGATTGCTGAATGAAGTATTCCTGCCCATGAACATCGATTTTCTCAATCAAGTGCTTGGATCACAGCACAATGTGAAGCATTTCTTTGCGAACTGGGAACAGGGAAACATTGCTTCCGTTTTAGCTATCGCGGTAGTTACCAACAACCAAACCACGTGGGACTTTGCTATTGACTACTTCAAGAACGGTGTTGGCAATGGGGCTATTAACAACGCTATCTCGAATATCGTCAAGGAGCCGGGCACTGGGACGTTACTTGGTCAAGGACAGGAGTCTGGACGGGACCAGGGACATTCGGCGATGAATTTTCAGCTTTTGGGAGTTATTGGACAACAGGCGTGGAATCAAGGAGAGGATCTCTTTGCTTACAACAACAGCCGCATTCTTCTTGGGTATGTTACTGCATTACTTCCATTGAGGTCTATTACATCATTTCCGTTTTGCTAACCTATACTTTCATCTAGAGCCGAGTACTTTGCCCGCTATAATCTAGGAAACGACGTCCCTTTCGAGCCTTACACGAACGGAATCGTGTCCTTTGATGTCATCAGCGAAGCCTCTCGTGGTGCCATCCGACCGGCATGGGAGTTGCTCCACAGTCACTATGTTCGCATCAAAGGACTCAAAGCCCCTTGGACTACAGCCTACCTGAACAACTCTCTAGAATTCTTCAAAGGGTTTGAGGGTGGAGCTGGATCTTGGGGAGAAGGATCGGGCCATTACGATGGACTTGGCTGGGGATCCCTCCTTCATCACTTGGATGAGTCTGATGTCCCTGCCGAAAAGCCATCAGGTTCCAGCTCAAGTGCAGTCGCTAAGACTTCAAACTCAGTGGTAGCAGAGACTCGACCAGCTTCGAAAGTGCTCTCGACTCTTCAGGCTATCCAAACTGCCACCAAAGTAACTGGTAATCCTGACAAGATCACATCCACCAAGGCAACTCAAACGGATGCAGCAACTCTTACCACTTATTCGTCACCAACCACTACAGCAAGCCACAGTAAAGTTCACAAGGCGGCAAAAGGCTGCCGTGCAAGGAGACCTTAGAGTGGCATCCCGAATTGACTGGGGGGGAAAGAGTCAGCAGTTGGGTTTGTCAGAGTTCGGTCTTTGAAGTCGGTATAGTGAATAGGGAGCAGGCTGCCTACTTGTAACTTCTATAGGAATGAATCCTCCGCTTCTTTAAACTTGACTATAATCTCCCTCGTAGCTTTCAATGGCAGAGCCTCTACCGTGCGACCCATATTTCCCGTCATAGTCTCAGCCATACAAAGCGCGTTATAAATAGCCTCCTCCGTAGCATCAGCCGCCGCTTCAAATAGCCCGTTGATAGTCTGGTTATCAGTCGCCTCCACATCAATCACCCCCGGCTTGAAAGGATCAACGGCTCTATGCTGACCGGTAACTGTCTGTACAGGAATCTCGGCAGCTGTGGAAAACGCAAGAAATAGGTCTCCTGAGGGGTTGTGAGCATAACTCCCCACACGCGCAAGGCCCATGGTTGCTCGCTTGGCTAGGCGCTTGAGCTGGCCAGGAAGAAGTGGTGCGTCTGTCGCGAGGATGACGATGATGGACCCGTCCTTTTTATCCTTGGCTTCGTCGTACGCCTTGTCGTGGGCAGCGGCGGCCTTGTCATTTGCGGCTCTCTTTTGCAGGATTCTTCCGACGGGGACACCCGAGATGTGCAAATGCTGGAGTCGGCCATAGTTGGCTTGCACAAGGGCCGCAACTGTATATGACTTCTCGTCTGCACCAGCCACGACTCTGCTGCTGGTGCCGGTGCCACCTTTCCAACCTTGACACAACATGCCTGTTCCGCCTCCCACGTTTCCCTCTGCAATCGGCTCCTCGGAGGCATTAGTGATGCCCTCCACAACGTGATCTGGCTCCACGGCAAACTGTCTCAGATCATTCATGTGCCCGTCAAACGTCTCTGCAACCACTGGTAGGAGGAACCAATCAACACCCTCCTCGCCTTTTCCGTAATGCTCAATGGCGTACTTGTAGATGCCTGTATAACAAGGCCCCACGGCAAAGCTATTGGTGATGATGATGGGCGTGTGCAAGAGACCACTTTCTTCGATCCAGTGGGTGCCAGTCATTTCTCCCGAGCCGTTGAGACGGAAAACGCCGGCATGGCAGGCCTTGTGGAACCAGTCTCGTCGAGGGAGGATTGTTGTTACTCCTGTATTGACTTGCCCGCTCTCGCCGCGAATGGTCTTTGTGTGAGCAAGGACACCAGGCACGTCTGTGATGCCATTCTTCGGTCCAGGTGGCCAGAATCCCAGATGCGCCTCTGGTATGACATCGCGGAGCCTGCCTCGTGGTTCTTGGTGGGATGTGTTTGTTGCCATTATTTCTGGTGTTGTTTTTCAGTTCGGAATACACTTTATTGTAGTATCACCATCTCTGGATATGAGGAATCTGAGGATAGTAATGCTCCCACGATCGATTACTTAAGGAGGCGCAGTGAGAAGAAAAGCGGGGTTTGGAGCTAGAGGACTTGCTGCGCCATTTAGTAATTTCCAATAGTGAGTCACGCCGACCTCTTTATCTCCAGCCAAACAATTGTATTTCCAGGTTATTCAGGTCAGATTGAAGGAAGGTGGTATTATAGGAAGAAACTATGGCTACTCTAATGTTTGGAAAACAACGCACATCTAATTACCGCCCTTCTCGGATTTATCCTTCTCGGCTGTATGTAATTTCTCGTCATCTCGCACTACTTCATTGAAGCTAGGTGGCGCGTCATCCTCGTCCGGGGGCTGGATCCAAGACTCATTGTGCTGTAGTCGAGACGGACCAGCTTCATTTCCTAGATCACTGTCATCCCTGGTAATAGAACCCTTTCCGTCCTTCACGATAGAATCCTTTTGATCCAAGGCCCCTCGGTCATCACTTGGCATCAACAATTTCAAGGCCACTGCCCCTGACACACCAAAGTATTCTCCTGCTATCTCGCCCTTGATTGTCCAGCTCAGCTTGTGTGAATTACGGATGTTGTACGTGGTGAAGCTGTGGGTGAAACGGACATCTTCGGCACTATAACGCTGAGGGAACCCAGGACTTGAATGCCCAAGACGCAAGTCAATCAGCTCTCCAATATCGATGGGAGAGGAGTCGTCTGCACATGGAATATAAATATCCCCCGCCAGTTTACCAAGAGCAGTCATGATGCAAAGATCTATCTCGTCCTTTTTCACGGCCTCGTGGGGAGCAATCGAACCTTCGCAGAGAATATTTGTGGTAGAAATGATCCGAATGGAAACCGAAAGAAGCTTGACCTGTTCAGGAATATCTTTGATGGCTTCGCTCGTTGCCTTCCGCTCTGGAACGATACGTATCTTGAACGGTATGGGATTGGGATTATCAAGCTGAATAATTGTCGGAACATCGACAAAGACATCGAACAGAAATGTAGGGACGCTTGAAGTACCGAAAGACTTTTTCATCTTTTGTGAGAATGACAGCTTGGCAACTTCCATACCCGGGATAAGACGATAGGTCGACACTGATTGGCGATTCTTCGACTCTTTGAGGCCAAAGTCTGCTCTAGGAGGGCCCGGACTCCACCGTTGCAGTACAAATGGGAGCGTAGCTTCAGGCCGTTCAACATGGCCCTGTCCGGTAAGTACCATGGTAGCTTTCAAGAAGTACTCGACAAAAGCCTCGGCAGATTTGGAGGAGTCGTGCACAAAGGTTGACGGGAGAATGTGATCCATTGCACCCAACGATAAGTAGCTCTCTACTTGCCTTTCCCCCTGCAAGTGTGTTGGGTCAACGTACTGTGGCAGAGTGATGGCAAAAGGCCACACCTGCTCATCGCTGCCACTCTCGATGTGTAGCGGGCCATGGAAGATCTTTTGGGCGCAATTTCTTTCAGGAATGAGAGCAAAGCGGCCTCGGTAGGTAGTGTTTCGATTAGTGGTACTGACTACCATTCTGGACTTGGCCCTCCCGCATAGAGCAATTGTTACCGATGAGTCGGGACTCACGGTGGGGGCCTTTCGGTATACATAACCGATGATAGTGTCGCCTGGGGAATATGAAGGTTGGTCGCTTTGAAGGCGGATACCCAACGCTGGAGAGAACGAAGAACAAGTTTGAGGCATTTCTTTTTGTCAAAATATTAATGAGTAAAGAAAATGAGAAATTTACTTGTTTGTATTTTCCTCTTTATCTTTGTCTAGCGAGGCGCAGCTTGCGGGGTGCAAGGCTTTAACCAATAAGGGAATGCGGCGTATTGGATGCGTGATATTGTAAATTAGGTACAATGAGTATAAGCATGTAGCAGATTCCTAAAAGTGGCTATGGCAGCTAATATGTGAGTATCAAAATACAAAAAGGGACTAGGATCTTGTGGCTGTTGAGACCTATATCTCAACAGTGAGGGGCAGAAGAATATTATTTCATGATTCTTTTCATTCATGGAATACAAGAAAAAATTGTCAACTTCTGAATGTCGCCGTCGTTATCGAGTTGTATTGTCTTTCTAGAGTTTGTTCCTATTGTTGACAGTATTGAAGGATTTGGAAAGCCTTGGCTTGATGAAGTTGAATGTTGAAGCAAAAATAATTTAAAAAGAACTGTCTTTGCAGCGTAACATACCTAGCTTAATGCCTTGACCATCCATCCATCCATCTCTCTAGCTAACTCACTGCTTAAGAAATCACAACAGACGGCACTACTAGAAATTCTTTCACTTAGTGTAAGCCTTTTAACCAGGCCGAAACAGGACTCTATGGTTTGATACGGTTCAAAATTAAATAGTGTACATATACAGATCTATATAACTACAGCTCATCATGAGGCTTTGCATTATTCTCATTAAACACACTAACCCCATGGCTCCCACTCTTGAAAATAAAACTGTCTAGCTGCTCTTCTGTCAGCATCTCAGTAAAGTTTCCCTGGAAGGATACGATCTCATTTGTGTCAGCCCGATATAATCTAATGGACGGATATGAGTCAATCTCGATAGGCACGTCGTTGGCATCGACGTTGATCGCAGCTATAGAAATCTGCTTAGAAAGACCAGACTTGGAGTATCTGGATCCAAGCTTATTCATGACGGCTTGAAGACTATCGAGGTTTATCAGTAATTGTACACGATGGTTTGAGGGACGTAGATATGAGTGGTGGACTTACTCTATACAGTATTGACACCACGGGACATGGAACTCAACAAGAACATCTCTAGACTTGTCATAAACGAACTCGTCAAAGGTGCTACCAACCAACGTGGTCAAGAATGGCTGGGAAGTAGACTGGGGAGGTACTGGCTCTGACTTGATCGTTGGTGTCAGTGTCCCTGCCAAGTACGCAGATACGTGCTTGGCAACCCTATTGGCATTGAAGACCGTCGTCGACATAGGATATGCCCTACCAAGTGGGTTTGCAATGGCGAAACCACGCTTGATATCGGTTCCAAGATGCATCTGCTTGCATGCAGCAGGGTAATCCGGGGCATAGACGGTCAGAAAGGCTACCTGATCCTTATACTGTTTGGCAAGAGACATCAAAGACTTCACAAGGCCAGTCCTTTCCTCGTGTTTGTTAAAGAAGATTTGAGCTAATGGTTTGCCATCCTGGAACGGTCAGTTAATTGCAGACTTCAAAGACTACTGACTTACCTCAACGGCTTGTGCATGAGTGTCCGGGTCAAACTCTCGGATCAGCGGGGTAGTTGCATCTCGCAAGAATGTCTCAATGTCGTCGACATTGAAGTCCCCGCGGTAGTAGACAGGCTGGTCTTCCTCCGCGGTATAAACGGCGATGGAGGGCTCTGTGCTGTGTTCCTCTAGCGTATTGACAGAACCAAAGCTGTAGTGCGCTCGCCAGCGTTCAGCAACAGTGTTGAAATTCTTGCGATGTTCGGGAGCGTCTGATGGGCCAAGAAATGCAACGATCGCCACTCGGGCAGACTTTGCGAAATCTATGTAGCCTTGATCAGTCAAGGTCTTGACCGGAGAACCAGATTGCCTGTCAATGTACTTCACGACTCTGCAATTATGATCAGTTGAGTATGAGGAGAGTCGGAGATGGAACATACGAAGACGTGTCCAAGGACTCCTTGTACTTAACCAAGCTGCCGTTGCCTGTGGTGAACTTTAACGTAGGGACAGTGTAGACCTTGGCATCATCACAAGCTGCCGGCTGCTCATTGCAATTGACCGAGGCGATCGCTGTCTTGGTGAGAGCCGGGGCTGCATTGTCCAATAGCTCTTGTGCCCGAAGACAGTCTTTACAACCATCCGCTGTGAACAAGACGAGTGATTGTCTTGAGGATATTAGAACATTAAACTCTGTTCTGCTGAGTTTGTTGCATATTGTCGGGGTGCAAAGAGCAATAAATGATAGTAGGGTTAAAGAACGCATGATGAAGTCATAGAGAACCTCTCAGAGTGAGATGGTAGCCTGAAGCGTATGGGTATATAGATATCCAGCTTTGAGTCTCCATATAATATAAATAGGTTTATCGGAATGTGGGCAGATATGTTATCGCGACTAGACTACCTACTAAGCACTGTTCGGATAAGCCGCAGGGCATTGGCTTTTTTGTCTCAGCTGATCGTGAAACTACACGGGCCCAAACTATAAAATGCGCAATTTTCTGTGCACTACAAGGCAGAGCTAGCTCTTATTGGCAGGTATATAGATCGATTCGCAACTGCCGAAATTCCATATGGGGCACCATGGGATCGGCTGCCAGTGTTTACGGTTCCTTCTGGAAACCAAATAGAACGAGTCATGACTCGAGCTGCAGTCCGAATGCGAGATTCAATTGACTTTTTCCCAATCGGTTCAAAGATTGGAGACGAAATGCCTATTACAGTTTGGTTTGCAAGGGGTAGAAAGTTTATATGTCGTCAGGAAATTAATCGCGCCTGGCTAAATACCGTAGAAGCATTTAAAGTTTAAGCTTCGTCTGCTGATAGCTTTCCAGAAAGGCCCAGACTTACCGCTAGAGAGAAGTCAGGGTCTAAGCTTTAACATTCTCTTTTGTGATTCGTGCAAGATTACAGTTTCCAATTGCCGGAAGCCTAAGCACGGTTGTTCCCTGGTGAGTCTAATCGATCACAGCCCCACGGCGGCAATGATAAGGCGACTGCCAGTACCAGCTGGCGTGCCGAAATGCCGAGCCTATCAGATAGTTACCTGATGTTCCAGCACTAAGTACCCAGCCCAATGGAAAGCTAAGACTAGTGCTGTCAATTCTCGTGTCAGGTTGGTCTAAACGTCATGGCATCTGTCAGCCACTAAGAACCACCTGCCAGATATGGAGTAAGGACGGATCTCATTTGCAGTTCATTTCGAGCTAATGAACGTTGACTTTGGACAAATATCGTAGAAAGTGGAATGGTACACATCATAAGACTTCTCACCGCCGTGGGGATGTGGCTCGTGAGCGATGCGGTGTTCTCCACATGTAAACGGTTAAACCAGACCACTAACAAATCTAGCTTTTCGTTATCAATAGTTACCAGGGGCAAGCAGTCTTGGCACGAGTATTGCTCGCATGTACACGAAAACGTAGCGATACACTCCAAAGATAGCCGCCGGTGCTTTGGTCCTTCACAATATATAAACAGCAAGTTCCTACAGGAAGCGGAAAGATCATCATCCCAACACAACTCACTCGGACATCTCTCAAGTTCATCAACCATCTTCCATCATGAAGATCTCTTCCTCCGTCCTCGCCCTCTTTGCGAGCATTCCTCTCGCTCTTGCCTTGCCCGCGGAAGTTCAGCCATCTGTCGAACAAGCAGAGCAGTCTCCCGAGTTGGTCGAGCTTCACAAGGGCGACCCCAATCATTGGCTTCAAGCTGTGAAGGAAGAAGCTGCCCGACAGGAAGCCGCTATCGGCAATGAGACCGCCGCCCTCGACACCAGAGCTAGCTGGATCTTCCAAATCCACGGCATGTACACCGACCGCCTCGTCAACGTCGGCGATGTCGACACTTTTTACATGCTCTGGCAGCGCATGTACGACTCAAGCAACCAAAACGGAGGACTCTCCGACGTCAGCCGTGGCGCTTGGAGCAAGTTCTGCAACGGTCCCAGTGCCGGTAATGGCGTCAACACCAACTTCGTCCTCGATGGCCAGTGGGGCGCTGTGGGTAGATTGACCGGATGGCAGATGCGCGATGCCCTGATCCGCTCCATGTGGAGAATGGCCGATGGAATTGGCAAGGCCAACGGTTACACTGTCTACAACAACTGCTATGGATTTACCTGGCAGGAGGGTAAGCCGGGCAAGGCTAACTCTGCCTGCGGTGGCCGCTCCAATGTCAAGTGCCCCAAGAACAAGGACTGTCCGTTGGAGGGTATGGAGTGCACCGGATTGAAGTGGGGTACTTGGCTTCCTAGCATCATGCGCATGAACGTCTACAACCGTGATGGATCTCTACGCGCTGATGCCTACCAAGCTCGCGTCTCTTCCCAAGCTGCTGGTTCCGGTGGCTGCGGAAAGGCGGGAACCATTGCTGCCTATGCACTTGACTTTATTCCGATTGTTGGTCCCTACTTCGCTACTGGTCTTCGTATCAACTGTCTTTTCCAGTAGACATTGAGCAGAGGGGGTAGATTAGGGCCGGTGTCAGAGTGAGAAGGATGGCGGCTTACATGTACGTGGATATTGTTCTTGGGGTATTTCGATATTGGGGGAGATTTTAGATTACATCTTAACTTTCATACAACTCATTATGTTCCTGACGACAACCAGGCCCTCTTTCATTTATTCCCTCGTCTTGATATGTTTACTAAACTCGAGCTACATGTCTACAATAGAACTTTGACCTAATGTGATCACATAGCCCCTTGAAACAGATCCATCCAATCATATAATATTCAACGCTAGAGCTTCATGCCGAATAGCCACTGTGCTGAGGTCCCATTGACATTCGACATAAGGGCAGCGGCAAAGCTGCCACCACCTACTGGAGGATGCCTTCGGCTCTAAGAGACGCGACGGTTTCACTGGTCCACTCCTGGCAGCGCCGCAGGGGCTTAGTCTTGTCGATTCGCTTAGGCCCGTCGAACTGCTTGGCGGGTGGCGGATTGGACCGGCAGATTTCCTCAACGCGATGAAGGTCGTCTGCCTTCATCCACCCCAGTTGCGACTTTGACAAGAAGGTTTGTGACAGCTTGGGCTTTTCACTCAATTCCTTAATTTCTAGTTCCATTCCGCTCTGGATGTTGCCTGTGACATTAAAAAGAGATCCTGTTTCGTCCTCACTGGTTTGGACAAAGAGAGCATGATGATTTCGGGGGGCTCCCAGGGACTCGATAAGATAGACAGGATAGTGTGACATATTGTAGCTGGGTGTCTGGAAGAAAAGATAAAGATTCAAAATTTATTTGCTTGCTTCTTGATGAGAAATAGCTGGAGAAGATAAAGAGTCTTTGGATCTAAGTGTGATATTTGAGAGAGCTAATGAGGCGGATGAATGTCTATGACCAGGAATGAGTGCCCACCTTTTCCTTTACATGGGTGGTTTCTCGCTGTTGCCTAGTATCGCCCCTCAAGTCACAGCCTGGCGATCGTGCCAGCGATCGTCTACAATGTTAGCATGAAGAGCAGGTTTCTGTTTCACTTCATGCAGTTGGTTGTGGAATAGAAGACGAGTCTCAGCCACAGCAGGCCTTGAATTGCCATTTCGCTTTTGATGTTGGTAGTTACCTAGGTACCCTGGAACCACGGTTTAAAAATAGAACAGTGCAGAGAAATACTTCTTTAGGCCAGGACCACCTCTAGAAGAATATCAAAATGCTTCGCTGTTGTATGTAGGATTTAATCTCCCTGGCGCGTTCAATACTAGACGTGAGCCAGTAGAGATACACGTTAAATAGCGACGCCAATCTACCTACCTATGTTAAGTGTTACCTTCAGTTTTGACACCTCGGCAAACGCAGGAGCGTGGGGTTGGGCCCACTACATCTGGCGCTTAGTTAGTACATGCAGCACAGTATATACAGCGCTCCTAATAAATTACATCTTGAATCAATTTTGGAGAACCGGTTTGATAACCTTCGAATTTATTTAAAGGTGTGATTAGCAGCTACGTTCACCGAATTGAGCATTTGAAGAGGTTGTAGGAGCCTTGTATTGTAAGCACGGTTTTAGCGTGTGGCTAGCTTGTTAAATACAATGGCGTAGCTGACATAATCGGGTATGCTCAGGCAATCACATGCCTTGTGACAAAAGGGGTCGGAATTGAATTGATTTGAGAGATTTAAGTCAGGTTAATTGTGGGTCTTATCATATCAATACAGTTATCAAGAAGAGATAGATAAGAGATAGATAAGATAGAAGAAAGATAAGATATGGATAAGATAGAGAGTGTCAATTGCCCAAGGTGCGTGACCTGCATTACAACCTGACGTCAGACCGACATAGTTTAGTTCTATCTATCCGTAACTTAATCCATAGTATTACCTTAATAAAAAGAAAACAAGATAGAGAGAAGATAAGATTTGAATAAGATTTGAATAAGATAAGATATTACTATTTTATTAGAAAAAATAGAAAATAAATACCCTATATAAATATATAGCATAAAACAGTTAATAAAAGAAATAAGGATAAAGGATTAATCCAATTTGAATAGTAAGACGCCTGATTTGAATTAACTTACTTTAACTTGATTTGAAAGGACTTGATCTGTTAGGAGTCCTATATAGTAAGTACATAGATATATATACCTTGTCTCTACTTCAATCAGTCGGCGGTTAGTAAGTCATGCCCGTCACAAAGCCCACATTAACTATCCACCAGATTTATACACTTCCCTATAATCGCCCGTTGCCTAGGAATCTTAGTATCTTTCAGACAAAAAATACAGTAGATCGTTACCCCACTCCCACTAATAATTCTTTATTCTCTTTCCTTCCTCCTCTTAGACTAACAGCAAGTGCTTTTCCCTCGACCGCAACATCCCAATTGGTTGAAATGGGCACCTCCAGGGCGGAGCCCAAGTCATACGATATCCTCTTTGTGGATCAATCCCAGGGCGTCTCACAAAAACTCCAGATGACATAGATGGCTCTGAGGTCCTCCTTAATGAAACTACCTCGACTCGGGTTGTGAGGATCCAGGAGTTCACCATTAAGTATGGCAGACTACTAGGTACTAATATAACTTAGTTACCTTAATATATAAAACTCGCTCTATTAACTAACTAAGACATGTGACATTCTCACTAACGCGTAGATCTTACCTAATAGTTTTACTAATATAAACTTAGAACGGACTAGTTTATACCTTGGCAAATCTAACTATTATATACATATCGTAGTATCCATAATAGTCTTAACTGCCAAGCGTTGTAAAACTCTAAACTATTAGCGTTCATTAGTACCGTTACTCACCGCTAGACGCTGAGGCTATACAGAGTATGTTGTATTCGTATATTGTCGTATCATTGGTCTGGCAGATAAACGTGCGTAGAACGTGCGTAGAGTCTGGATGTTTTGTACTAGTGGGACTGGTCAAAGCGAAAATCCAACCACATGCCCAACTCCTTAACAACCTATCAGAGCTGGCATTGTATTACACAACTAGCTTAGGACCCTATGATCTTCATATAGCAAAACTTCTAACAGTCCTTAGCATTTTTACTTCTTTCTAAAATATTAGATCTTTAGCAATACCATAACTCAAGGCTCCTGATAAGAATCTGATAATACTCTTTGGTAATTATTTTATCTTAATAATTTAAACCGGTTATTGTTTAAACCACATTTGTAACTCATTTCTTAAAGTACAGCTTATTTACTAGGTCGTCACTCTGTGAGACATTGTTGAACGGTGCCGTCCGTGGGTTGTACGATATGTAATGCTAGCTTCTCAACCCAAATGAGAGATCAGCGCAGCGCCATACTTGCCGACGAAACCGTACTCACCAATAAGATGCCTCTTCTGCCATGGACGAAGAGTTAGCACAAATTCTAGCTCCTGCAGGCTCCCGGCCGCAATCCACTTGTTAAGGGAACTTTTGGAGATGTTGTGTTATTGAGTGTCTGTCATTGCTATAAAAGCGCGGAACTCTGCTCTTATGGCTGTCTCTTTTCACCACAGACTTCAGCAAAGTAGCTTTATCTTCCTTACCAAGCACAACAATCCAACCATTTTCTCTACCAATTCTCACCATGCATTTCCCCTACTCTCTTACCACTCTGGCAATGGCTGCAGCCGTTTCCTGCCAAAACCTGGCCATTCCTGCTCGCAATGGCCCAGTACAGTCCCTCAAAGCGCCCATGTCTATCTCCGGTTTTCGGGACATGGCCAATCACGAGTATGACCGCGGCCGGCCCTGCAACTCCGACCAAGATACCGGCAGCGCCAGCGCTGTCTTTATCCTCGAAGACGGTGCCACTCTGAGCAATGCTATCATTGGCGCTAACGCGCTCGAGGGCGTTCATTGTAAGGGTCGATGCACCCTGAGGAACGTTTGGTTCCGAGATGTTTGCGAAGGTATGTCTTGGTCTCATGTTGCTGACTGGCAACCCTTTGATACAGAGCATGACTGACTTGATATAGACGCCATTTCGCTACTTGGAAACGGAGACGTTCTCATCGAAGGCGGTGGTGCTCAAGAAGCTAAGGATAAGGTCATCCAGCATAACGGCCGTGGCACTGTGACTATCCGCAAGTTTACCGTTATCAATTCTGGCAAGCTTTATCGTGGATGTGGTGACTGCACTAAGAACGGCGAGCCACGTAATGTCAAGGTCGAAAATGTCAGGGCTCGAGGTGTTGACACGCTGGTTGGTATTAACTCGAACTTTGGTGATGTGGCTACTATTAGCGGCACTTGTGGCAGTGGTGTTAAGAAGGTCTGCCAAGAGTTCAAAGGAGTCCAGAAGGGCCAGGGTGACAGCCCCAAGGTTACTACTACCGCTAACTGCCGAGGTCAAACTTCATTGGGTAGCTGCTAGGTGGTTAGTTTAACCACATCGAATTCTTATAGCTTTTGCGATCAAGGAGCTGGCAGAGGAGGGGGAAGGGACATGTTCGAGTGAGTGTCTATTTATATTGGCGACTTTGGTATGGTTTTTTAAGAATTGTGGGGGAGAAGTGGTAAGAGTTGGTGGTGGATTGGGGTGTTAGGACTTAAGGAGGAGAACAATATTCGGATTTTCCATACCATAGGACAAGCCAGCGCTCTCAATAAGCTAAGTATTATTAAATTAAATTTACTCAATTTAGTTCTAATAAGATTAATTTTCTACTTGTCTTTATTAAATTAAAAATATTTATAGAGGTTATATCAGGAGTCTTTAATTCTCTCAAGAGTAGATATATTTCTCCGGAAAGAGGGAAAAAAGCTTTCATCTTGACTTATATTAAATCATCTTATCCTACCCTGATAGCACCCCGAACAACAACACATGCCGAGCCAGCACCCAGAATCCTCTCGCAAACCTTGGAAAATATTAGTAATGGTGAGTAATGACAAGACCTTCAACTAACCCTGACATTCCTTCCCTTCTCGAGCGCGGCACCTCGGGCTGACAATCTTCAAGATGGTACAGCGTTATTGCCTCGGGTATCTAGCGCGATTCGATCGCCTCTGAGGTAGGTATAGAGTAAAAGGAGGTTGGCAAGGACATTAAGACCAAGAATGTGATAAGGCCTGCTTTGATCTTCGTTTAGGTAAGCAGCGAGGTTAGCCGCCAGCAAAACTATGTGAATGATATATCCGGCTGATGCCCGAATAAACTTGTCGAGGAAAGAAGGCTCTGTTGAGGTCTTTATAACAAATATTGATGGTAATTACGGAGGATTTACCAGTGCTTTATACGAACGTGTTGAGGATTTCCACAGACTTAGTGATTATGTAGGGATAAAAAATGCGGAATTATGTAAAGTTTAAATGATGGGATCATCTCGGCCGTAAGATGTGCCGCTTATCCGGCCGTAGTGGGACCCTGTTGGTCTTATACGAAGCGAAATGTACGATGGCATGTGATGATGCCTGGAAGCAACACATTTCCGAAGAAACAATAGCTACTTTATTACATGTGCGAGATTTTTTATAGCCCTGGCAAGTATGGAATGTCTTTTCTTGACAATATGTATGGCTATAGATCATGCCTGGAAAGATATTCCGAGCCTTTGGCGCTGGTATGGAAGACAATTAAGAGATAAAAGATGGATAGCTTACTGTTTGAGAAATACGAGGGCTGAACATTTCACAGTTTTTACTCCTTCTGAATTTAAACTTTATGAAGTCATTATAGTGAGCTATCTATAGAGTCATTCAGGGACAAAAGCTAAATCGGGATCTTTGAGCCTTTGGCGGCCTCTCTGAGCCTTTGGCGGCCTCTTTGAAGTGGGTCATTCATCGGACAGCATGTGTATCTGATCAGTAGTGAAACAGGGTAATGAAGATCACATGCTCAAGGCCCTGATACAATCGATACGTATGGCACGCTTGAAAAGGTTCCCTATGAAATCTAATCGGCCCACCATCGAAGCCATGAGACTTTGTGATTTGCTCAACCCTTGTCTATACTCTTTACTCACCCTTCCGATCGGTAACGTGAGGTTGCTGTTCCCCCCAATAGGACACTCAACTTCTATCAAGAGTGGTGGCGATCACCTTTCGATGTTACATACCTAGGTGAAGTTCTATTCCATGCCATTGGTATAAGCGGCGGCTACCACTGTGCCAAAAACAGGAGAAGCGAGATTGCAATAACTGGAATACTATAATTTAGCTGGTTTTTCTATCTATAAGTGACAAGCATTCCGTAAGAGCACTTGCAAAAAACATTACTATACTAACTCAGGGTACGAACAGAGAATACCAGAGGTGATAGGGACGCAGTTTTGCTGATAAAATAGATCAGTATAGCAACATAATTGCATGAAAATAGGACGCCAAATATGACCAGCTGACTCCCTCTGGTAGACCCCAGGGTTAGTGCAAGACCTGAACCTATAAAGACCCCTGGCAGGACCAGATCACGTTCAATGGCATCATAAAAGAGAAACGGAAGACACAACCCTCCAAAGATCAAGAAAGCAACAATCCTTCCAAGGAAATCTTTCCCAACAACAAAAGACAAGGCTAGGCAGAGAGTCCCGTATGAGATTGAGAACACAATGCCAACAACGTACGTTGGGTAAGACAGATAACCGAAATAGAATTGGTTAGAGTAAAGCCCATAGAAACGGAAGACATGCTCTAGAATCATAAATATAATGAAAAACGCAAGTGCGAGCAAGTGCCACTTGTGTTTCCACATCCAGCTGCAAGTGCTAAAATATCCCTCTGTTAGTTGTGGTGACGAGATGGATCCACCTTGCAGTAGTTGCTCAATCTCATGCTCAAGGTGCTCATCGCCCGTGACGTCTGGATCTAAGCCTCTACTCTTAAGCTCGAGATTGATCGCTGTTGTAAACTCGAGAAGACCCTTCCATCCTTTTGAGGGAGCTGCGTTTTTGTTGAGTCTGAGTGTGCGATGTGCGTTCGTCCACATGACAACAAGACCTAAGGTCCAAAGTTGTAGGAGGATTGTAATAATAAAGAGTTGGAGGAACGAAAACCCCCACTGGTATTTTTGAATGTTGTCCTGGTGACGTTAGAGACAGTTGAGCACTATATTTATAAACTTACATCTCCTTTGATTGGTTGGCAAATACCTTTTTTATTCAATTCAGTTAGGTCATACAATGTGTCGTCTACTAAATACCTCGCATTGGAGATTTTCCTAAAAGGTTGGTTGAAGTCCGTATCAGGTTCCTGCGATTCGGGGACTGTCCAGTTCCAGTAGAATCGACTGGATGGAACGTAGAAGGCCGATATATTCAAGGGTGGCCAATCTATCTCTTGACCGCGGAATTTTGTTGAGTTCCGAATTTTCGATGACATGCCCGATGCTTCAAAACCATACTTCTGTATATCTGTTTGTAAGATAATGAGTTAGACCGAGCCCTGACACGAGACTGGTAACTTACATTCCGAGACCTCTCCTTGCAGTTTACACTCAGAATTAGTACCCAAATAATTATCCCAATCGTAACAGGAATCATAAGCATTGAAATCAGGCTCTCGAGGTGTCCCTAAATAGCCTATACTTAGCTTTCATGTTTATCTCGAGATTATATTTTATCGTCAGTTTCTTACCACTCTTCCATGGGATACCATATTCCTTAGTAAACCCCTCCACTCTGTTGCCGTCATGTATCACATAGGCGGCTGGAGAGACATCTGAGAACGGATTTAGTCTTCCGCTAGTCGCATTGATATATGCTTCATTCTTTGGCGTATATCCAGTCATCGAGCTAGCAAAGGTGGGAAATGCTACGATAAACGTCGCTGCCGAAATCATAAAAGACATCGCAAGTTTCGACGCAAGCCCGCGCTTGAAGAATCCCGAAGCTAGACATAAGGTAGAATAGGTTGAAGAGTTTTGGTGGAATCGTAGTAACCACACTGTTGTATAGGTAGCCGGTTTGGTAGTCATTGACACTTGGAGATTTTCGGCAAAAACACGCCAAGATACCAATGCCATAAGTGCCTGACCCCCTCTGCCAACGATCTAGATTACCCTCTGTTAATTGATCCCATTCATTGAGGTTTCAGATAGGTGGGGGGCAAGGGATGTAGCAAATAAACAAAGAAAAGCACATACTAGATCCCAAGCTACGTCAATGAGCTTAACCGTAGCAAAATCAAAGCGTCCCCAAACGAGAGTAACGTCAAAGAACCCACTTGCCGCCCAATAACTGAAAGAAGTCTCAAGTTGGTATGATGCAGACATAGAGAAGTCGAAATCTCCGTTAGGCTGACAAGGACTCTCATCATCAAGTCTCATGGGTAGGGATAGAGCAAGAGAGATAGTCAAGGCTAATAGAGCCAGGCTCCAGACAAGGATGATACAACGAAGGCCTACGCGGCGCCATTCTACTGACTTGAAGTGACGAGGAGCGGCCATTAAGTCGTGCCATGCTTCCTTGAAAACACTTTTCACTGACTTCAGAGATGGCCAAGGTTTGTGTCGCTTTTCCTCTCGCCATTGCAGAGTACCTGAGGTTAGAGATTGATACCGAGTGTCCAGTTCTATGTCAGATACAAGAGCTAGCATGGGTTTGGCAGCATCTGACATGGTATCGGTCAGGGGATAAAAGTATTCCTTTGATTTTGAAGTGGAAGAGACCGAGAATTGAAGCTAGGCTATCGCTAGCGGGGTACGAATTTTATACCGGTCAGCACAAATAGCTCAAATAGGGAACCCATTGGATTTGGTGCCTGGAACGCCCTGAGTTGATCATCGTTCCTTACATACTACCTTCCTGGCTAGGACTAGCACAGCTGCAGCGCTTACGTTTACACTAAAGCAGGGGGGCTATGCAAAAGTAACGCTATGGATTTAACCAGGTGTGACGGGTTGGCAGGATGCTGATCTACCGTATATTATCCGCTAAATTCATTACATCAGCGTGGTGACGTCTTCAGGCTTTAAATTGTCGCCGTTATTGCCATTAATCAAATTAGGGAAGTAAAGTAACTAGGTAAGAGGCTTCTCGGACTTTCATTACTTTAAGTCCTGCCAAGCGATGGCTGGTTATAAAACAATTAACCCAGCGTGTGCCAGCCGTAAGTTAACCCAGGAGTATCTGGCCATCCCCTAGAAATGCCATCGATACGTACGGAACGCTCTAAACGGCGCATAAGTACTTCAGCTGCTGTATCGTTGACTGGTGTACCTAACATGTAACGCTGGGGCGTTCAGTATGAGGACTTTTTTACTGTGTATGTTTGTGAGAAAGTGTGTGCTTGTGGCTTCCTCAAGAAGGAATCAACGCGTAAGATAAAGCGTCTGAGTTTGGCTTATTACTTAGAAATTTTACTCCATTAAATTATAGCAGAACAAGGATATCACATAGCTTAAATAACTAATGGCCTAGTTTAAAGACTACCTGTAACCAAGACTTAAATTAGTATGGTGTTAAATAGCTCTTAATTAAGCATTCCTACTCCTTCCAGCCCATTAGACGAGGTTTCCGAGTGGTGTTCTTCACCAATGACTCAAATATGCTGCTGAATGCATCGGAGATGCCGCTGCCGTTCTTCGCCGAAGTGTGGAACATATTAATTCCTTTTTCTTTAGCAAAGGTTTCAGCTCGTAGGAGTATTGAGTCGTCGAACCATGATGTTTCAAGATCATGCTTTGTGATTGCAATAACAACTGGGGTCAAGCCGTGGGAGTCGGCAGCAGATTTCCTAGCTATCGCCGTTTCGTATAATCTTGACAGTAGTCCCATATCGGCATCTATCACTGGGCATGTGATAATGACGCCATGGGATTCAGCGATAGCTTGATTAATGAGAGGCTGAAAGCAATCCAACCCTGCAGTGTCAATTATCTCTACCGGGTATTGGCGGCCTTCGTAGCAAGACTCGATTCGGCGTCTAACCTCGATTGTTGAATTACCAGAATGGTCAAAGTCTTCGACACTTGCGTCGCCACACATCTGTGTAGGTAGTTAATATTAAAATTCCAATAGACTGGCTTTTTGCGGAACTGCATACCATGTCGACTAAGGATGACTTTCCAGACATGCTTTCACCCACAACCGCAATAATGAAAGGATCATCTGCTCCCAAGTTCCGACAATCAGGGGATATCTCTCTGGGGATAGGGCAGTACCAAGTATCATGTGGAATATCAGATAGCCTTAGTGGTAGACGAATGAAGGATATAACTGATACATCGTTGAGACTGACACCTGAAAACATGGACCAGGCCCTGCCCTGCAACTTCGAGCTATTCAGCGAAAGATCCAGCGAGTAAGCTTTGACTCTCCTGTATACCCAGCTTGAGTTCAAGACAATTGAGAAAGGCCTCTTTGATGGGTATGTTGAAGCGTAGGAAGAACGTGAAGTCAGTCTGTGCATTTGTGCCTTGGCAGCAGTCGGTGGAAGTAAAAGCTGTGTCTCCAACGGATTGTGGTTTCCTGTGGCTCGACCGAAAGATTGATTGGTCGCTTCTGAGGCTGGATCGGGACGTCCATATGCTGGCTGAAGGGCTGTTGGTAGGTTTAACATTGATCCGGTAACAATAGGAGGCCCAATAGTAGATGCATTGTCCTGAGCATAAACAGACCCAGCAATACTCTGAAGGTCGTTGCCAATTTGGTCCATAAGAATTCGCATTTCCTGGTTCTCAGCCATTATTGTCTCCATCTGCTCGATTAGAGCTTGGCTCGAAGTGTGCGCCTCAAAGTCTGATTCGCTGATCAAGGTTTATTAGTGTCATGCCATAGGAAAACAGTGTAGGGCCATTCCAGCGTCACATACCTTTGCAGGATACTGAGTATGAAAATAAGAGCCATTCTATTTTCCGATAACCTTTTGAGTAGGTGCGTAGCCTTGTCTTCTTTCATGGCCCATCGGATGCGCCTCCATGCTGAACTCTGCATCGAAGAGATCTCCGGCCAGTCACTGAGAAACAGCTCCAGGTCCGTGAAAGTCATAACAGCACGGCTCAACGAAATGACAAGATGGTCCAGCTGAACCATGGCCTTGCGCCTAGCAGAGATCCGGGAGAATTTATCAACAAGCCCAGACATGGACAACAAGGCTAAGCGCATTTCTGCGACAGCATAGAGAATCTCTTTCGCGGACTTCGGAGCTTTATCCACCTTGTCGGCGAAGTTACTGAGTGTTTGGTACACTACAGTCGACAGGCTGATAAGACCTGCGATTGAAGCTGATATGCTCAGCGGGTCTGACATTGTGGTCTAAGAACATTCTTTTGGAAACTATCCGGAATTTGCAATTGGGAATAATCCATTTTTGATCCAGCTCAGCCGAACTTGAGATACAGGTTGGTGAGGCTGATCCAGTAGACGCACAGCCCCGCACAGCGATCAACTGGACAAATCAGCAATGCCAGTGGCTGCATAATTCTGCCTTCTTTCGAGCCAGAGCGCTTACAGTGAATAGCCCGTGAGGCTTTTTCATTGACCACTAATTCAACAACCCATTCGTTGAACTCTGCCCAATCAGGGTAACTCAGGCTCTCATTTAATGCCATCTTGTGCAACGTGCTTGAAGCTGATATTTAACTGCGTTCTTAGACGCGAACATCCTTGCCCAGCCGTGAGGTATCGTTGGGCAACGCTCCACTGGCCACCGTAGATCGCGTGTCATTAACGGTTAGTACATATTGAATCAAACTATTCAGAGGTCACAATCAACCAAATCCACTTGAATTAAAGACATTACTTTAACATCTTCTTGATTTAAGTCAACTTAATTGTAGAGTTATATAAAATCATATTGCTACGTAGACATAGACCTACCCTACAAAGAGCAAGAGAGAGATATCTCCTTTGTTATCGTCTTATCGTGTGTTATCTTATCTTATCTGATCGGGCTTATGTATATTTCATAAATAATTCAATCCCATCTATTTGAATAAGATTTTTAACTGCCCTATCCTTAACTTGTAAGTTTATGAACATATTATTGAGAAATGATCTATTGTTCAATTCATTGAGATCATAGGTGATATGCAGTCAAGAAAGGCTTAGCATAAGATGAAACCAATCTCGAGGAACAAAGGAACCGGGTGGTCTTACGTAATATCAATCCCCGTGATCCAGCCCGTCACGCACTGTAGCGCAGAGCCTCATTTACTCCTAGGCGAACTATGCGAAAATGAGAAAGGCGCCTGCATTGTGAGGCCTCCATCTTTCGGTGAGAACATATTTCGATGACGAACATGCAGGATCCATGCACTAAGTGAATTCGCCTGACCCACCCAGTTGCCCTCCGACCAATGACTCCGCGTTATAGAAGGGCTAAAGGGGTGCAAGGCTCTCCCTGAATGGTACTGAAACAGGTGTGCTCCTTTTCAGGCTACTTCAATCTGCATGGCTTATAACAAACATGTTTATTGGCGTTAGATAGCGGGTAAAATTTGGTCACATCATCCCAGCAAGAGTTTCATTGGCAGAGGAATGTGCAAGCTGTGCCGCCCTGGGGCTTGACAAGAAATAACTTGTCATATTTATAGAACCAACAGACCACACAAATCACTGTTAGGCCTCTGCAAAATGCCAACAGCCACCGCTGGTTCGCTCCAAGGAAAGTCAGAATTAAGATCTTGACGATCCTCTCGACTCCATTTCTACTGCATCCCTTCACTCTTTACTATTCATCTGGCAATCATTATCATTTCTAGCCTCAAGCAGTCCTTCCCCTCTTTGACATGTCGTCACCAAACGATTATACTGTTGGCTGGATCTGTGCGCTTGTGGTTGAAGCCGTTGCCGCAACGGTCTTTCTAGATGAGAGACTCAAGGGGCCAGCAACCCAGGAGAAGGACGACACGAACAACTACAAATTTGGAAAGATCAATGATCATTATGTGGTTATCGCAACACTACCCAAGGGCGAGTACGGGATTTCTGGGGCAGCTAGCGTAGCAAAAGACCTCACCCGCAGTTTTCCTAATGTGCGCATTGGCCTTATGGTGGGAATTGGTGGCGGGGCCCCAAGTTCGAAGAATGACATCCGCCTTGGCGATGTCGTGGTCAGCATTCCAGAGAAAGGACACACCGGCATTTTTCAGTATGACTTTGTGGAATCGGAACAAGACAAGCCGTTCAAATACACACGAACACTGGATCAACCTCCTCAGTTGTTGCGTACAGCAGTAGGATCACTCGAGGTGGACCATGAAATAGATGGTAATGGCATCGAAGGCGCTATTACTAAGGTTTTGGAACAGAACCCCAATCTCAAGAAGAAATATGGACGACCATCTGACGACACAGACATCCTATTCCAGCCTACAGTCGTCCACGTTGGAGGAGAGTCGTGTGATGCTTGCAGCATAGATGAGGCCGATGTTATGGATCGTGAGTTACGGCAAAATGATAGAACTTTGATTCATTACGGCACAATCGCCTCGGCAAACACATTGATGAAGGATGCCATTTTGAGAAACAGTCTAGCGCTACAAAATAACGTTTTGTGTTTCGAAATGGAGGCCGCAGGACTGATGAATGGCTTCTGGTGTCTTGTTATTCGTGGCATCTGTGACTACTCAGACTCTCATAAGAACAAAGCCTGGCGAGGTTATGCAGCTATGGCAGCAGCGGCATATGCAAAGCAAATTGTTAATAGTATTCGGCCACCGCAAGTCGAAGAAGTACCAAGATTAGGCAGAAGTTAGTCAAAGTACCATACGTCCCCAAGGAGACAACTTCTAACTGTCTTCAATTAGTTGAAACACAAATTCATGAGATCGCCCAAACAGCTCAAGACGTACGATCACATCAAGAGAAGGAAGTTGACCGCCATATCATGAGTTGGCTTTCCTCGACAGACTTTGGAAAGCAGCAGACTGACAACTTGAGGAAGTGGCAACCAGGGACTGTTCAATGGCTGCTCGATTCCGCCGAGTATCAGAGATGGGTTCAAGAGAAAGGACAGATACTCTTTTGCCCAGGCATCCCAGGAGCTGGAAAGAGTGTCTCTGCATCAGTCATGGTCAATGATCTCACTCAGCGGTTCTCTAGTGACTCAAATACTGGGATTGTGTGTGTCTATTGCAGCTACACACAGAAAGACAGTCAGAACACCATCAACCTTTTGGGAGGTATCCTAAAACAGCTTTGTCAACGTCGGGGCTCCGTTCCCCAAGTTGTGCAAGATCTTTACATCAGTCATCAGAATGAACAAACTGGGCCGCAGTACGAAGGAATCATGCAAGCTCTAAAGTCTCATCTCAGAGACTACTCACAAGTCATGGTCGTAGTTGACGCACTGGACGAGTGGCAACCTCCTCAGGACGATCGATTCAACTTCGTGGATGAATTGCTGCACATACATAGCGAGTGTCAAGTGAATCTATTTGTGACCTCGCGCTTCGTTCCAGCAATCGAAGCCAAGTTCCAGGGATATCCGTGCTGCCAAATCAGGGCCAATCAGGACGATATTTACCGATACATTGAGGACTACAATTGGCCATTACTAAGTCTCATTGGCAGGAGATCAGACCTGCAGCAAGAGATTAAATCCTGTGTTTGTCAAGCTGCCAATGGAATGTAAGTACATAGAAGCTTCCAAGACTTATACTTCCACTAACATTTTGCGAAGGTTCCTCTTGGCTCAATTCTATCTGACCTCCCTAGAGGACAAGACCACAGCAAGAGAAGTAAAGGATGCACTGAGAATGTTCCAAAATCGGGCTGAGCGTAAAGATCACGACCGGAACCTTGACATGCTGGCAGAAGCATACGATGAGGTGATGGTTCGGATTAACCAACAGGGCGAAAACTACAAACGCATAGCCCACCAAGTATTATCTTGGGTATGTTATGCAAACAGGGAGCTCTACGTGAGAGAACTCCAGGCCGCCATAGCTGTACGAGAGGACGAATTCGACGTTGATGAAGACGATTTATCCGACATAAGCCTCTTGCTCTCAGTATGTTGTGGGATAGTCGTACTTGGCAAGGCAACCAAAACCATACAGTTGGTTCACTACACGGCGCAGGACTACTTTTTCCACAAACAGGAGGACTGGTTTCCTGATGTGCACTCCTATCTCGCTAAGCAATGCATCAACTACCTGTCACTGGAGAAATTCAAGGATGGACTGCCTGTCCCTGCAGATGCCAACACTAAGTGGCTGCCAATTTGTACCGACGAAACCGTAATTCAACTGATGAAAGCGGGCTCAAGTCCTCGCTACCACCTGGAAATTACACCTGGCTGGTATGCCCTTTATGAGTATGCGGCAGTGTCCTGGGGTCATCATGTACGTAGAGCCACGATATCAGCTTCGAATGTGGATCAAACAGCAGTCAACTTTCTCCACAGCGAAAAGAAGATCAACGCGGCAATAAAAGTACAACTTGAGACACGCGGCCCTCATCGGTTTCCACAACGTGGCAGCATGAACAACAACTTATCAATCAATGGATTGCACCTGGCTGCGTTTTGTGGCCTTGATCGAGTTATTCAATTGTTGTTAGCCACTTTTGAAGTCAATTCACAGGACAACAACGGTCGAACTGCTCTTAGTTGGGCATCACAGGCCGGCTGGTCTACTGCTGTGAAGCGACTACTCTTAGCAGATGCCGATTTTGATGTCGTGGATGGCCGTGGACGCACGCCGCTTCATTTAGCTGCTAGATCCAACCACGTCGAAGTCGTACAACTGCTTATTGATAACGGTGTTAATATTGACGCTATTGACTCTGACGGATGCACGCCGCTACATTCCGCTGCGGAATTCAACCAGGTCGAAGTCGTACAACTACTTATTGACGCCGGTGTTGATATTGATACACCTGATTCCAATGGAAATACGGCATTAGACCATGCTGCCAAGTTTAATTATGTTAAAGTCATACGACTGCTAATTGATGCCGGTGTTAATATTGACGCTATTGACTCTCATGGACGCACGCCGCTACATTCCGCTGCGAGATTCAACCAGGTCGAAGTCCTACAACTGCTTATTGACGCCGGTGTTAATATTGATACACTTGATTCCAATGGAAATACGGCACTACATCATGCTGCTCACTCTCGTTGCATCAAAGTCATACCGCTGCTCCTTAATGCCGGTATTGATACTCACATAGCCAACTCCAACGGAGTAATGGCTCTGCACTATGCTGCTCAGTCTCACCGCGTTAAAGTCATACAACTGTTTATCGATGCCGGTATGAATATTCATACAGCTGACTCCAACAGAAATACAGCTCTACACTATGCTGCTCAAACTAATAACATCGAAGTTATGCAAGTGCTTATTGATGCCGATCTTAATGTCGATGCAGTTGACTCCAATGGAGATACTGCTCTTCATCATGCTGCTCAAACTAATAACATCGAAGTTATGCAAGTGCTTATTGATGCCGATGTTAATGTCGATGCAGTTGACTCCAATGGAGATACGGCTCTTCATCATGCTGCTCGGTTAGGTCATGACAAGATTGTCCACCAACTGTTAACAAACACGGCAAGCTTTGATATAAGTAACAATAGTGGTAAGCTTCCGCTTAACATAGCTGTACGGAAAGGCATTAGGTCAATCTACGAAACCTTTTGTAATGCAGGGGCAAATCTCAGTTGTGTTGGCAAAGACAGGCGTACTGTGCTCATGGAGGCAGTGGATGTCGATGATGAGTCTCTTGTCGAAAGGCTTATTGAACAGAAGGTCAATTTGGAGGCTAAGGATTGTCTGGGTCGCACTGCTCTGATGGCAGCATGCGAAAGAGGCAACTCAAGAGTTGTCAATTTGCTTCTGCAGCATAATGCCAGGCTGGATGTTCAAGATGGCAGAGGCCGGACTGCATTGATGAAAGCAATTGAGAAATCGCAAGCAGAGGTTGTTGCACAGCTATTACAAGCCAACTCAGTGCGAAAAGACGCCTGCATGAAACCAGATGACTACGGAGCCGCTCTGTTGGTGGCATGTGACTGTGGCAAAGAAATGATTGTCAGCATGCTTCTAGAAAAAGGGGCTTTGAACTCTCCGGAGGCACACAACGGCTTGCCGTTTTTGTCAACATATCAAGCAAATCATGATTGGAACAAACAAGATCAAATCATCAATCAGCTATTGCTGCATTTAGGTATTTGTCTTACACATTGCAAAAAGGAGACTTCTCGAGAACTATTGGTAGAAGCCTCGAGACATGGGCATGAAGAATTAGTTCGTAGATTGATCCAACAGGGTATCAGCGTCCATGTCGCGGACGAATGGGGTACGACACCATTGGTGGCAGCATCAAAAGGAAGGCATAAGTCTATTGTTGGACTCCTTCGCGCAAAAGGAGCAAGGTTTACGGGGAAGCCATCTACTTAGTCATCCATAAGAATAATATATCTGTATGCCCTAGCTATGTCGCTGTTATCGGCCGGCCGAAGGTCCTTACGGAAGGGCATGAAGGTGGGTGCGTTGACTGACATGTCGGCTGCGATTGAAGTTAGCTTTGTTGATCCAATTGTGACGGTCGGGTCGACTCACGGCTTGGCGGGTTGCTTGTCGCGATCTTCGTCTCGTCTCGGGTGGGTTAATTAAAGTGGAGTGCGGAGAGGGAAAAGTGGCCCTAGTAGGTGAGTAGGTATTATCTTTTCCGTTATGTATTTTAAGCTAACTTATAGTGGTCCTTATAGGGGTTTTTATGCTATTGAGAAATAAAGTTATGGTTGATATGGTTGGTAACCTTATTGAATTTGAGTTATTATTACTTTTCGGTCTATATAGAGACCGTTATTATTAATATTTCTATAGGTTTAACTGGGATAGCTAGATCTCTTTTTTTAAAGGTATTACCAGACCTAATATAAATAAGAATAATATAAACATCTAATACCTAATAAACCTTGCAATTCTTTAGAGAAGTCTTCTACACCTCTAGCTGATGACGGGTGGAACTGTTACGTTGATGTCTGCTCATACTTACTATGTAGTCTACACTAGATGGGTAATTCTGATAAAGAGCGGTATAAGGATTGAATACTCAAAAACCATTCTCATATTGGCCTATAGGTGGTTCGCATCGTATACAGTCTATAAGTTTAGGATTGATATTCTGTGCCCTGAGTATCTCTACACTACATAAACAGGTTGTTCTATTACTATATTGTCCGTAACACTAAGTCATGTAAATCGTCAAAGCAGGAACCACCCAACTCGGAACATTCTGGGCAAATATCGAAATCTCCTCCATGGCAGTTTTCACAATTATAGAACTCCCCGCTCAAAATATTCAAGCAGCAGATATCGCAAACTATACACACCTGGCTTTCCCCTTTCTCAACCTCAGCTTCACCCTTTAGATCTCGACTTTGATTCTGTTTGGTAAGCAGCCTCAGAGTCTCACTGTGTCCCTGCCCTGTCGCCCACCAATCCAATGTCCTGCCGAACTTATCCGTGGAGCCAATGTCGACAGCATGGGTATCAAGCAAAAGTTTGACAACGCCGGCGTGTCCTTTCCTAACTGCCATAGACAATGGAGTTGAGCCCCAGTAATCAGGCCTGTCAATGGTTTCTGGTGTCTTTTGTAACATCCCTAGCATCCACTCGACAATCTGAAGATGTCCCTCTTTACAAGCGTAGTGTAAAGGCGTGCGAGAAAAGTTGTCTGTTGTTGTAAGTTCAGAATAGTCTTCAGTGGTCAACAGTTCTACCAGCGACTCGTGGCCGTACTCAGCCGCATAAAACAGCGCACTTTCCCCGTACAGATCTTTGGCAGTTGCATTTGCGCCCTCCTGGAGAAGTAGTCTGGTAACATTCAAATGACCAGCCTGCGCAGCAAAATGGATTGGTTCATTGTTATTCCTGTCTTTGGCGGCGATATTTGCCCCTTTATCGAGGAGCGGCTGGATGAGTTCGGTATCACCACGCCAAGCAGCCATGTGAAGAGGCGTGCACAGTGTTTCGCTGGCCGAAGTTACGGGACTTCCATTATCAAGGAGTAGTGCAGAAACTTCCATATGTCGCTTATCTAACGCTCCAATAAGAGGTGTAAACCCAGCCCACTCGGTTTTGGCGCTCAAATCAGCACCTTCCTGAATCAATAGCTTCGCTACATCATAATGGCCGTTCATGACAGCCTCGTGGAGTGGCGTGACTAGATCTGTTGAAACTGCATTGACGTCGGCGCCTTTCTCCAAAAGGAGTTTCACCATCTCTAGATGACCTGCAGAAGAAGCTAGGCACAAAGGGGTAGCCTCGAGAGGTCCAACGCTCCTTTCTTCCACAGATGCAGCCTTGTTGATAATCAGTTTAGCCAAGTCAAGAAATCCCCTCATGGCAGCTACACAAAGTAGAGACAATCCATAGTTTGCATTGCGGCTCGCGTTGAAGCTTGCGCCTTCTTCGAGAAGTATGTTGACCACGTCCACATGGTTGTTCACAGCGGTCAGGTAGATTGAAGTCAATCCTTCCTCACCTGCGTAACGCCAATCTGCGCCCCTCTCGAGGAGTAGCTTGACTACTTCGAAGTGGCCATTTGTAGAAGACAAATGAAGCGATGAGTAACCCTTCTTGCTCTGTTTACGGCAATCGTCACCGTGTTCCAGAAGTATCTCAACTACTTCGACATGGCCTTTGGCAGAAGCCATCATAAGTGGCGTGTAGCCATCCTTCGTCAAAGCTGCTATATCCGCACCTCGATTAACAAGCTGCCTGACAAGATTGTAGTGCCCGTTAGAAGAAGCCATATGAACCGACGTGAATCCATTTTCGTTCGCGTCACTCAGTTGTGCGCCCTCATTGAGAAGTAAAGTGACTACCTCAGAGTGGCCGTTCACAGCAGCATAAAGGAGTGGTGTATAGTTGTGGTTTGTTGAAGCTGCGATCTTCGCTCCACTCTCGATGAGTTGCTTGACCATCTTCAAGTCTCCGTGTCGTGATGCCAGATGAAGTGGCGTCCTACCTTCGATGTTATTCAGAGAGATGTCTGCGCCTCTGGAAATGAGCAATTCCGCCACACTGTTACTCCCAACGTCGATGGCTAATATAAGAGGCGTTTCACCCTTATCAGTCTTGATATCAACCTCTGAACCACTATCGATAAGCAATTCCGCAGTCTCTTGGTCACCTAACGCGCAGGCGTAGTGCAGGGCTGACATGTTGTGCTTCGAACGGTGTTTCAAGTCATATTTCCGCTCATTTATGATGTGCTTGGCAACGTCTTTCAATCTGAGAAAAATTGCAAGTTCGAGTGGCCCCGTTGGCAAACAATTATCGAGACCTTCAACGTGCGTCAGGTAGGTAGCCCTCCACAAGCTTCTCCACGAATCAAAACTTTGATTTCGAGCATCAAAGAAAGCATTGACTTCGTCTTGCAAATTCGTATCGGGCGTCCCGGCCATGTCGTAGTGTGGCAGCCAGAAAGTAGATGCATATAATAGAAACCGCATTGCGGACCTTTCGTGTCCCATCTGCCAGTCATCCCAAGCTCCTGGAAGATTAAGATAACAAATACAATATTTGCTGAGGGTCGCATTCTCGAGCCGCTCAAAGGAAACGCGAAGGCCTTTGTTTAGAAGCGAGTCGGCATGATTTAGGGAGATTCTAGGGAGGAGGTATTCCTTGACAGAAGAGTGCGTCAAGTGGACTTTCTGCAATCCAACATGATGTTTACCCAGACTATGCTGGAGTAGACCGGATGTGTCGTCGTTCTTCTTTCGCTCCACCTCATTTACCGGAGAACATCGCACTTCGATTAGTGATCCGCAGAGATCCAAGATCATGCTATCGACATAATTTTTATCGATAGAGTCCGGCATCTCATCAAAGGGAAATTCTTGGCAGTCATCTGTCATAAGAACAGCCTCGGTGATCTCATACACTGTTAGCGGTCTCATTGAGAACGCAGCCCATCGAAGTAGACTTAAAGCTCTGTCTCTGTCTGTAGCTCCCATTGACATGATCCTTTTCCACTCTCTGTCGTATAGGCCATCAAGACCAGATGGGGTTTCATCGATTTCCCTTTCAAGTTGTCTCTTGCTTCGGCCCTTTCGTAATGATCCTTCTTGGAGCTTGATCCACTGGAATTGTCCTTGGCACCGGTCCTTCATCTTCTGAGCTATGAATCCTCTTGTTGCCTCGTCTTTATTGGGTAGCCTTGCTTCAACAACTGCAGACGAGTATATTCCGAGATCAGGCCCCACATCTGTTGACTGGATGGTATACTCCGTGTAGCCAGGGAATGAGCAAAGACCTTGTTGGATGATAGGATCGCCACGACTGGAAATGAGAAGCCTGGTTCCTGTGTTGGAGATGGCCTTTCTTAGCTGCTCGAGGAAATAAGTAACGGACTTTGAATCGGTACCATTCGTCCCTGTACATTCGTCTAGGCCGTCCAGAATAAAGGTGCAGCCTGGTAGTTTGATAACAATGTCCTGGAAAAGTCGAAGAATAGTTATGTGTGATGCCACCTGTTCGTAGTCTGGGATGTGATGCCTCCTTATGGTATCAAGAGCAATCGAGTTCTTCGATATCATTGTTGTTAGCCATGATCGAATGGCAGAAAACGGGTCATCTCGACCTTCAAACTTGGACGATAGGAAGAAGTGTGCCATAGGTCGCTCGGTGGTCTCCTCAACTTCGTCAACCAGCCTAGCACAGAGTACCGTCTTACCGAACCCAGCAGGACCCTTGATCCAAAGCAGCCTGTCAGACATCGAGGGCGCTTGCCAATTCAGAAATTCTTGGCGATGTAACATCCATTCGCAAGTTCCCTGGAGGCGCTTGTCCTTTGATTCGGTATATACATGGTTGGGGGGTGGGCTTCCCAGCCAGGCACATGATTCCCGTATTGCCTGGGCTGTATCTATTAGTTACGCAAACGACATGCGCACGTTGAACACTTTACCTTTCAGCTCCTGCTGTAATTCTAGTAGGATCGCTCGCACATCACAAGGCTGACCAGCCAATCCATGGTTTTGATCAGAGACTAAAGCTGCTTAGTAAAGTTGTTAGTGGGAACTCCAGTGATGGTTTTATCAGTCAAACCTTTGTCATGTTGGGATATGACGCTGGTAGTAGGTGATAGTGGCTTCTGGGTCACAGAAGCTACAGCCGCAGTTTCGGGGGAGACGATATTGTAAAGTTCTGATACTAGCGACGCAAGTGCTTCAACCTGATTTCTTCGCTTCAATTTCCCGCGCAACGCCCAACTTGTCTTTTCCCATGTTGAAGGTTTCGACGCGTTCTTTGTGGACGGATCAGGCAATGTGAACGACGGAACTCTTTGGATGGCGCTTGGACTCGTGGCATCGTATGTAGTCGTGGCTGCGGAGAACTCTTCAAAGCTCTCAAGTAGATTCTTGATTACAGAAAATGTCTTTGGATCATCAAGAGCTGGATGATGATTATCAGATAGCTTTCCTTTGCCAATTCCCACACTGTCACCCCATCGCTCAAAAAGATGCATGGTAGCATTAAGCTGAGCGCGGAGCAGACGCGTGTCGCGACCAGCTGTTTTGTACGAATCGATCCTTTGCACAGCCTCTAAGCAGGTGCTAAAAATGCCGACTAGCCCAACAGCCAGTCCTACTGCTTCCATGGTGTTTTGAAACAAGTAAACAAAATGAGACACCCAAGGAAGAGGGAAATGGGGGGAGAGCGGGGTGTGAGCTATGCGTTGGGGTATTTATGAATGATCCATTCGCCCGCTGGTGCTTCAATTAGCCTACCTTTGATAAGGCAGCCAATATGGCCGATCTGGACAGAGGATTGGGTGATTCAATAGGCAGTCTGCATGGCCGATGGCTGTGTAGAAATGTCGGTGTGGTGGGGTGGACGTGGTTATCTGGAAACATGATGGCTCACGAAGTAAATGTTCAATTCTGGCATTAAAAAGTGCGATCAGGTGCGTATTGCACCTTGCTACGCCACCCCCATAAGCTGGAGCACCGTAGTGAGTAGAGATCCGCAAATTGGGCGACAGCATGCAAAAGCACAGTCACTTCACAGGCGCCAGTAATTGGCTGGGCTAGAGCTCATCATATATGCAAAGGCTATGTAAATGTCTTGATGCTCAAATTTGCAGGAGACCTACTGACTCGTGTTAGGAGTATCTTTTAGCCAGCATTCGGGGCTTGTTGTTACTCATTTGCAAACAAGGCAACTTCATTGACCGCTTTGTGAAATTACAAATCCCCCATGACGTGTCACATTGTGAGACATACAATAACTGGACCAACAAGAACTTTGCCTTGCTCAGCCTCGTTATGCAGCCTAGTTTTGCAGCCTTTACTTTCCTACGAGCCCCGCACCCTCTTTCAGCTGAACTCCTCTTCTCCATCTACTCTCAACCTGGCATAATCCCGACCCATCAAATCAATACTGAAGTTTGTTCGAGTTGAGAGCTATTGATAATTGACCACATCATGTCTGGCGCCGAAGCCGCACTCCTTGGAGTGGGCATTCTCTGCAATGCCATGCAGATCATCACCTTCGCGAAAGACTCCCTTCATGTCTATCGCAACATCCGCGACGGGCGATCCCCCGACCCAAACCTGGACTTGTATCTCAAAAATGCGAAAGCAGCTTTTGATGAGATGAACCAAAGTGCCACGCAAATGGGCCCACTCAACAAGACACACCAGCAAATTGTGGACGTTGGCAAAAATGTTCATGACTGTGTGGATGAACTCCAACAGAAGTTCGCCAAGCTACATGTGGACAATGCATCAAAGCGAGGTGTTCGCGGAAGAGTCGCTGCCTCAAAAAAGAGTATAGCAACATTGTGGCATGGAAAGGAACTTGAAGATGCCGAAAAGAACCTCCAGCGGCATGAGCGCCTGTTACACAGCCTTGTATTGGATCGCGTTTGCAGCCAATCCCAGGCTGCCGAGATCACCACCTTGCGATCATTTCAGCGACTTGAAGATGGGTTTCAAAACATCATCTCACAACTGGTCAATGGGTCTACCAAGGTTTCAGATCTGGCCACCGAGTTCTCATCAAACAGCGACAGGCTGGTCAAAGAGCACGCGACGACACGAACAGTCATCGAAGATCATGTAGCTTCAGAGGGGAAGACAATTCGTCTGAGTATTTCTCAATCAATCAGCCAGTTCCGCGAGGAATTGCTCCGTCGTGAGCAGGAAAAAGCCTTCGAGAAACAGCGCGAGAAACAACACGAGCAACTGTTGTCAAGTCTACGCTTCCCCGAAATGAACAGCCGTAAGAACCAGATAACCAACAACTATCCTGGGACCTTCGATTGGATCTTTAAGACACATCCCTTATCACCTGAACCTGCCCAATCTGAAGATGGTAGCCAACTATCCGGAGATACAGAGGAAGACGACCCAGACGGATGTGATTCAGACGAGTCTAACTCGCACGAATGTGGCTATATCGACTTTGCCGAAACCATCGAACTTTCAGGCTTTGATAGCTTTCCAAGTTGGTTAGAATCTAATGCAAACCTCTTCTGGGTCAGCGGCAAGCCAGCGTCTGGAAAAAGCTCGCTCATGAAGTTTCTTGCTTTCAACCAACAAACGGTCAATCATCTCAACAAATGGCAGTCCCACGTACGAATTCTCACACACTTCTTCTGGAAACCGGGGCAACTATTGGAACGAAGTGTGCAAGGCATGGCTTTGTCACTCCTCTATCAAGTGCTAGATGGTCAGCCTGATCTTAGTCGAAGGCTATGGGAGACCCAGCCTTTCATACGGCAAAAACGAAATTCTTCAGATTGGTCCCTCGATGATATTTCAGAAGCTCTTGTGGTGGCGCTCAAAGCATCTACAGAGCTCTTTTGCATCTTCCTCGATGGGCTAGATGAGGCCAAAGACCTAGAGCATCTCCCTTGGCCAGATTGGACAGATTCTCAAGTTATCCATAAATTGCTGGAAGTCAAGAATGTCAAGTTATGCGCCTCTAGTCGAGAAGAACACGCCTTTTGCTCCTTTTTCGAAAGCGCGTCCCGACTGAGAATACACCAGTTGAACAATCACGACATTACCCATTTCGTGCGTGAGCGGCTCGATATCTGTGGGTTAGACTGTCGTGATCGAGACTATCTTGTGGCCAAGGTTGTGCAGAGGGCTGAGGGCGTTTTCCTGTGGGTAATTCTCGTGGTAGATAGCCTGAATCGGGCCATCCGCCAGAGTTACACAACTTTCGAGATGCTTGAGGAGCGTCTTGCGCACACCCCCTCTGATTTGACTAAACTTTACGTCGACATGTGGGGTCGAATTGGAGATGATGCCCAACTACCAAGTATTCGCGCGATCGCTTCTCGATACTTTAATCTCGTTATTGTCACTCGCAAAATGAATGATTATCGTTGGAATAGTGATCAAGAACGAAGCTCCATATTGAATTGCATGTCCTCATTGCTAGTCATGGCTACAGCTATTGAAGATATGTCAATGAAATCGATTTTGAGTAAAGGTCGAGTAATAACTGCTGAGGAACTTTCAGCCAGGTGTGCAAAAGTAGAGGGTGAGGTGAGGCTCGTTTGTCGTGGCCTACTCGAAGTAACCAACCCTGGGCAGGAGTCAAAGTACGTTGAATGGAACGGAGATCAACGCCTCTGTGACAGCAACTCGAGGAAGGTTGACTTCATCCATAGGAGTGCATTTGATTTTCTCATGGATACAGAACATGGTCTTCAGTGCCTTCGAGTCTGTGGTTTATCTGAAAGCGAACTCGTTTCGAGGATACTCGCCGCCCATCTTATCAGATCTCGATTTCTTTGTGTTAACACCCTTAGCCTCGACTGTCAACCAAGCACTATCTGGCATAAGGTCAGGTACCGAGCCGGTCGTACTAACCCTTACCTACGGATGGCTCTTGTTATCGTTTTCGACAATCGTCTCGCTATAGAAAGGCCCTTGCGGACTGGCCTCCTGAATATTGTAAAAGAATGGCAATTATCTGGGTCATTTGGCGGCCAATCGCATTGGGCGATTCCAAAGTCCTTGCATCACACTATGAGCCTGCTTGAGTTGGAGTTTATAGAAACAGGAATCTACGCGGCATTCATTAATGGCTTTTACGGGCTAAGCGGCATTTACAATATCAACACCACCAGCGACGATGCCATCATAAATGCCAAAACTTTGCTTGACAACTATCCCGCCGATCGATTACTCAATGCCATTCCATTCGTTCTTCGCGCACTTTCTTCTATTGAGTCAGACCATCTGGGCATAAGGTACCCATCGGAGTTACTCAAGTATGTCCTATACAGTCTACAGTGTATGACCTCAGAAAAGGGAGAAAGTCCGGATCTCATGAGAAACACTATTCGCGGTCTACATTCCTGGTATATTGTTCATTGCTTGGTGTCTCTACTGGCGGGTAGATGGAAACCAAACCCAGCCGGGATTCCGGACATGGAACTAGTTTCTCAGCTTAGTAATACTCTACACTCGGAAGACGAGTGGCATCATGAGGTCTTACTTGAATTTCAAGCCTTTGATGATCTCGATTTTACATTGATAGAGCATCCCTACTTCACATTTACCCATGGTCACTATGCCCTTGTTGTTGGAACCTTTGCTACTGTCTATCGACTGCTGGACAAGGCCATGTTTAACCGTTTGTCACAAGGTCTTGGCAGTGAAGTCCCACACACCTCTGCATCTCAATTTGAGCCAATAATCATCGCAGATCTGTACGAAGAAAGCGCTGACTATTATATTCCCCATACTAAGTCTAACCACCAAATCGAAAACCTCCTGTGTGCAGGGTTGCTTACCGCTAATACGACGGACACAGTAGGGCGTTGGCCTGTTATATTGGAGAGCTCTGCCGGTGAACTGAACCCGATGGATAGTTCTCGGGTTTTTAATTATGTGATGGAGGTTGTCAAGAAAAGAAGTGTTCATTTTATTTATATCTCTGGTATAATGTGGCTAGGCGACATATTTAAGTAAGGCCAAAGCCACAATTCAAGGAACTAAATCCCTGGTAACGGTAGGATGCAATTGTGGTTACAAGCAAGATAAAAATAGAAACTCTTCAATTTTCAACATTCTTTCACATTATCCTAATTGAACCCAAATCATACCGCACCAGAGAAGCGGAAAAGACCCGACGAAACGATAGATATCTTAGTCTTACCAACTATATTTAAGCTGGGTGTCAAACCAAGCGTTATAAATCTCCGCCATTATAACAAAACCCCGCCTAGCCTAGCTAACTATCGTGAACTACTGGGCAATAAGTAGTTTATCTGCTTGGGGCGCGTACACCCTTCCGTACACCATTCGCCGAGCGATGATCATCATGCATAATGCAGGTCGTTGCGTAAGGTATATTTGAGTTGTGTTGCAGCTCCAGGATTGAGTTTGAATAAAGTACGGCTGAGGTTCAGTGCTACTTCAAACACCTTTCTTCAAGAGGCTTGTTTCTGTTCAAGGCGAGTATCTACTTTTAGGTCTAGTGAAGACGTGCTTCATTTCAGCCTCCTCATCGCCTTTACTCTTGTTACGTCTGGAAGTTAAGCCAATCCCTACTTAAAGACAAATTGTTCTGCTCCCGGTCCTCACGAGGGATGTTCGACTTCAACTGTGCTTAGGTAGTCACCAAAGCCACTATTTGTATATATACGTTCCTCAGGGGCCCATTGAATTCTCAATCTACATCCAATAAGTCTACTTCTGCAGTGCCTTCGACTTCTCCGTCCTTGTGAAGGAGGGAAAGCCATTGATAAATGTGTTTTTATTATGGAATGCATGTTCCGAATCATTACAGAGGGATTGGTCCGGACTCTTCTCATCTATATGCAGATGAACACTCGGCAGGATGTAATTACTAAACAGATTTCATATGTATCAATTTATCCTTTCACAAATATATTCCAAATTAACTCATCTAATACCTATCTTTACCTTTACCTACCAACCAGAGCGCCGTCCAACACTCCCATATGGAGCCTAGCAATTATCAATTGCAAAATGCGCAAACAAACATTACACTTCTTATCTGGACAAGTTTCATCCTTCCAAGATTATGACCGATGCCACAATCATGCTGTAAACCTACATACTTTTGTTCTTGGTAAATCCCAAGAATGCAATTTGTCGTAAGAACAATACCTTTAGCAATGAACAACAAACAAACTTTAAGAAGGGTGCAGGTGCACTCAATCGTAGCTTTCCGTCCAGCTACGTAAAGAGGTAATTCCGACTCTATTTGAGACCAAAGATCTGAGGCCGGGTCGCATCATGCGGCCGATCATACAAGAGAAACAATATTCCATTGCATTCTTTTACTGGTTCTGCGGGATTCACGGCCCTCTTTATTAAACGACATTCTCGAAACGGGCGGGACTTATGTGTTGATCAACAGCCTCACTATGGTTTTGGTGGGTTTGTTCTAGGGTTTCTGTATGGCTTTAAATACGACACGTTGGCTGTTGTGTTAGCAGCCTGTAGATACTGGCCATTCAGGAGCTGTTACCTACCGCCAGCCTGATTCTCAACCCCCATGGTAACTTGATTGCAGGGTTGTGGTTGGCACAAACAACTTTCCTTCTGGCCAATGACCTTAATCATCCTGTCAGCTACTGTGGAGGCCATGCATGAGTGGAATAAAATGTTATTTGCTGTCCTGCATTTCGCCTGGCAGCTCATAGCTAACTTAAGTGGCTTTGCTCCCCAAAATTTGCTTTCTTAATTTCCTCCCCTCCAATGGTCCAAGGTTTTGTGCTGAACATTTTCTTTCCTGCCCTTAGAACACCATGTTTTCCTCCACGAACTTAGCTGTCGTATTACTTCTCTTATATACTCCAAGATGTAAAGCAGATTCCGGCGATGATTTCAGCAATAACCTATTTTCGGATCTAGCTCCGTAAGACATCTGGTTCTTCCCGCATTTCTACCCTTCTAAATCTGCGTCTCTTAGACTATTAGCTTTATTTGGAGAGCGTGTCACTATGCAGTTCCTTAGCCAGTCTCTAGGTTGGGCTGACTGTATTATTCTGGCTATGGCCCCCCTTGGCGTTATTACGATTATAGTCAGTGCCATTAGAGTTGACGGCCCCTCTTGGCTGAAAGCTATTATCGGACGATCGAGAGAAAATAGGTCAGTGGCTGAAATGGAGCTTATGTCGTCTACTTCAGAGGAGACCTGCGAGTTATGGAACGGCGACGATATGGTAAGATGTCAAGGACTTGCCCCTGTGAAAGAATTCATTTGCCTCTTACCCCGAAACATTCCTTCTTCCGAAATAAAACGGGTACGCATTATTCGCTTGAAGGATGAAGAAAACAACCCTAACAGAGTAATTAAACGACAAGGTGAGTATTTACCATCCGGGGCTCTTTCTTTATTAAAACTCGAGACAGAGACACATGAGAAAGGAGTTGTCCAGGTTATAGTCACCCTCAAAGAAGGGATCAAACGTCTTTGGGTTGCTCTTTGGTCGCGCATCTCTTCCACCGATGTAGCGGCCTCCACAACAATACCGTTACATCACCTACCACACGAAAATCTTCCGCAAATAGGAGAGCCCGAAATAGTCATACTTCGCAACACCACGACGCAAGCTCCGAACATCACTTTAAACCGCCATAACAAGGTTACTCGACGACACCTATACATAGCAGCAGTCTTTGGGGTCGCTGTACAGGTGGCAGTTTTAATCTATTTTGGGCTCATCACTTATTGTTATCCTTCGAAGTTCAAAAAGGAAGACAAAGCTGTCCTCGGTTACGCCTTGCCTTTCTCTGCCGCTGGTACTGTTCTTCTTGTCACAGGGATATTTCTATGTGCACGTGTTGTTGATCGGAGCACCAATGAGGTGAGATACGAGCCTACTCAGGGCTATGAGGTCAAAATGGTTTGGCTCCAGTCAAAACAAACAGTGAGTGACCAGGTCTTCAAGTCTTTCGCTCTGTATCCAGAAGAATGCCCGCAGATAATTACAACATCACAACGCCACGGGCTAAGAAAAGAAGATAAGGGAAAAGAAGAATCTACCACTCAGCGCAAAGAAGTCTCTTCAATCAATCTCTCCGTGTTCGGAACAGGCATATCACTTGCGGGGTTCTTCGTACAATTTGTAGGTCTGAGAGCGATGCATTGGTCGGCATCAGTTGCTCAATTGACAGCGATCTTGATCATGACTGCGGTCAGAGCCTTTGTTCGCCGAGGATTTATTGCGCCTATTCGCGATGTTTCGTTGAAGGAGGGATTTGAGTTAGATGGACTTGCCATGGCATTGGGTCATACAGATCCAAAATTAGACTCCGGATCAGACGACAAAAAAGCAATTTTCGACTTCGGATTATCAAATAGCGGAAGCTGGACAGTGATGATGAATCAAGTCGATACTCCCGACGATTCATTACATGATGGAGTCCAACAAGCCAATGCCAATACCCCGGGAACCAGAGCGAGGAGGTCAGGTGTGCGAACGCCTCTCACTGAGTCCAGTATAATCCGGACGAACAACATCGCCCAGAATGTCTTAAGTCTGCGAACGAATCTTGCACAACTGGTTGACTGGAGAGGGCCAGCATCTACAGAAGCAACCCAACTTGCAGAGGCCATAGAGGCGACAATGGACTCACTCTTTCCAAAAGAAGGACCTGATCAGTTTTCATGGACCATAAAAGTCAAAGCATCAGATGACAAAGGCTCTGACAGAATATATCCAGTTGTCTTGCATATCAAGCGCATTGAGGGGCATTGGAAGTGCCGCGTTGATGAACTCGATTCTATTCTTTCTTTGTGGCTATGTTCGGTCGACGAGCAACGGCGGTCACCTACCGCAAAGCTCGGTGACTCAGCCCCAAAAAGCGCTCCGCAACAGGATAATGACGAATGGTTTCGCAAGAAGAGCTCAGAGACTAGGGGTGGCCTTGTACTCATCGGGCAGCTGACTGACGAGCTTACTCGGTACTTAAAATGGTGGATGCCTATCGACTGGTCCGCTAAGTTTTCGATTGAGAACCACGAGTCTTTAGCAAATTGGGACTCGTGGAGAGTTGTCGGATCAAAAGGAACAGACCACCCCAACAGCGAGTCTGCTGCTAGACTATTTGAGAACAGCTCATCCGACGATCCACCCTACGCCCTGCTCCATCATTTATTTGATGAATCAGACAACTATTTATCAGATAAATGTCACCATGACTTATTTTCTAGAAGCTCAACCGATGAGCGGGCCTTAAATTTCATTGCCATTCAATCCTATGAAAGTCTAGAACGACTTTACGCGCACCACATATTCTATGCTCTTGTATGGGAGGCTGTAAAGAAGATGGATAGCGATGTTCGGTATCATCCAGAACTAGACCCATCCAGCTCTCTAGACACTCGAGATTGGGACACTCTCCGTTTACAATGTACTGATCTGTCTAAGCTCGCCCGAGCTATTCAGACCACAGGCCTTATGGACTTGCACAGCGCATACCATGCACTCATCCCACCTCTTCACTGTTATGCTAAGTTCGGAGAGCTCGAATGCGTTGTCGAGATGATGTTTGAAAAGGCAAAGAAACAAGAGCGGTTACTGAATTGGGCCTCCGGGTCTGAATGCTATGAGCAACTATTTCTTCTCTCAGGACACTTTCGTGTGGATAGCTATATTTACACCAAGTCAGTGGCATTGATGGTTGAATACATTCGAGCCATTCACGATATGCTAAAACTTGTTCTACCTAAGGATACAGAAAGGGAACAGTTCAGTACAGCCAGGCAAGCTGCCGAGAACCTTTCATCAATTGTAAAGCAGAAAGTTGGTTCTCAAATTTTGAATCATTTGAGGAATCTATATTCCCTCCAATCCAAAGAAAGATGTACGTGGAGTAACAGCGCGGCCTTCCCCAATCATCAATCTTTCCCAGTAAAGAATAAGGAGATCAAGTATTGCAACTTGACGAAACTGCATCACTGGATTACGGGCTCTCTCAAGAATTCAAATGCTAGGAATTTACGGCCAAGTTGGGGAATAACCTACGCTGCGCCTAGTCGATTACCTAGCAGCCTCCGCCAGTACGTCAACACTCCTGATATTCTGGGTTGGACGCCACTCCATTATGCAGTCTCAAGCAACCTCGACATAGCAGATCTTTGGGTAATGCGTTTGATGAAAGAAGATGTAGATGTAAATGCCACTGACATCCGCGAATATACTCCGCTTCATTATTGTTTGATGCACACCCGGGAGGGGGCTAAGAGATACTTACTCAAGAGGGGCGCAAACGTCAAAGCGGTAGGTGTTGATGGTATGACTCCATTGCATCTCGCAGTATCCTCCCAGCACCATCTGAGATTAGGACGCCTATTGTTCAACCCCAGACAACCTGCGGATCAATTTGCTATAGATAATCTGGGTAGAGCTCCTATTCACTTGGCAGCTTTGACAGCAACGGACAATGCTATCGAGCAACTTCGAATAAGTATAGGGGCAAGGGACAAAGAAGGTAGAACAGCACTGCACCTCGCTGCTTTCAGCGGCCATTGGAAAACGGTAGCTAAGCTCGTTGGCTACGGTGCAAGCCTTGATGAACCTGCTGGGGTAGGAGACACAATGCTGCACTGGGCAGTGGCAAAGAAAGACTTTAGAGCTGTCGATGAGCTTCTTCATCTTGGGGCAAACGTCAATCTAAGGGACTCCACGGATTGGCCGCCTTTACATGTAGCATGTTTGCCGAATCGCGAGGGCATCGCTCGCCTATTGATTGAAAATGGTGCTGACGTCAATGCGACAAAAAGCGCTCACGAGACTCCGATTATGGTCGCTATCAGACAAGGCTCTGTCAAAGCGGTTAATCTGCTGCTGAAGAGTTCAAACCTCGAATTGGAGCATCGGAGCAGGCTCTGTCAGTACTCTAATTGTACCGCTCTTGGTATGGCAGTTAAGGAAGGAAATATCCATATAGTTAGAAGGCTTGTGGAAAAGGACACAATTATAGACTCACAGACATTGGGAGTTGCCGAGGAAAACAAAGAAAACTCATCGATTGCGCAGCTTATTCGGGAATTTTATGAATTAGAGAATTGTGTCAGGAAACATATTCAAGGAGAAGGAGCCGACGTGGTTTGGGATTTATTGAAACGGGCACTTCTGGAACGAGAGCAGGAGTATGTTCCATGGGCTTTATTTGCGAGATTGACTGGAACTTCATTTTGCTTCGTGTAAGCAATTCATTAGAAAGGACAGATTACTGAAAGGGATACTACAAGGGTGTATGTCATGTTTGCATACTTCCCAGATCCAATGCCATGCCATTATTCCTGTTTGCACGAAAACTGCCAGGCGACCGATAGGAGTGTATTTCAAGCACCGTAAACATTCTAGGCACGTCATTACAAGCCTGCACAACCAGTAAGTGGCAAACGCTATTGCTCTTAAAGGTAGATTATTTCCCTCGCACTTCAATTTCGACTGGTTTGGCTTTTGCTAAACGCTTTATTCTTAGCCTTCTCGCGATCTAAAACCCTACTTTCCTCCGTAACATTTGTATCTATGTCTTCTCCTCCTCTTTCCTTTCTTGCTTTACAGACTTTACCACAGAAGCTCCTCCAATCTGTAGTTTTCATTTATTTTCCCTTCAATCCATCAGCCACTCTTGGGTATGCAACCAATGATCTTTCTGATAACAGAGGGATAAGAAAGGGTCGTAATATTTCCAAGCTAATCCTACTCACCTGCTATCACATTTTGTGGAACCCGGCACAACAACCCTTTCCCTCACAAGTCCAGAGACAAGGACCTAAAGAAGACAATAGAAGTGTCTTTGCTTCTTTATTCCTAAATGGTATAAGAATCTGGTATTTCGGGGCTGTATCGGTAAGCCACTTTCTCTACTTTCACGCATCTACCCTTCGCCTAATTATAAAAGTCTAGGATACTATTCTACGTCTTTCATGTTACACGACTGGGATCGCCCAAGTAGCGGACTATCTTCTCCTCCAAACAGGACTACACTCCCGCGTGGTTTGAGAACAGCCTGTTGGTTAGGTATTTGACCCCACTTTCCTTCGGACTTGCCGGCGGTACGGGTTTGTCTCACATTTAAATGGGGACGATACTTGCATAAAAGCCACATCAAAAGAGTCCTTGAGTCTCAGAGGCAAATGACACATATCTCCCGATGACAACGTGGCCTGATACTGAGTCTAATACGGTTTGTAGATCTGCTTACTGCTTCCTGCATGTTTATACTCAAGATTTAGTCAAAATATACGATGCAATTGACTACTATGAGAACTTATATGATAAACCTCCGTCATAGAGTCTTTAAAACCTCTACTTAGGTATTGCTGTATCCAAGACCCATTTTTATCCATTCCGCATATATTAATTCTAGGCTTTATCTTCTTGATGAACAATCGTCTCTATGCTGAGGGAAAGGGTTCATTGTAGCTGAAACTCTCATAAGTTCAGCGGTAGCCAAAAGTTCCAAGATCATACCTGCTTCAGGCGATAGAGGCTGACATATTCGTGCAAGGCGGTATCAAAGCTACTCTTGTTTCAGGATACCCCTTCCGAAGTCATCATGTCTTCGTCGCAGGAGTTCTAGAACGTCGTGGCAATGTATAGCTGCGAAGTGAGAGGATGCATGATCATACCGTAGACACTGTCACACCTGCATACTGTACTTATCTGCAAGCAATCCATTGCGAGCAAAACTCAAGATGAATATGTGGCCTGTGGGCGGTATGCGACAGGAATGGAGAGTTACACCGCGTGTCGGGATATTGTCCTTACCCTACTCAAGTGCCAGTGCACCCAAAGCATGCATGTTGGTGCTACCACTATGTTTCAGTGCTCAGCTTCTGGGTGACGTTCTAGACTCCAAAGGTTCAGTGGAGGCGCTGTTGGTCCGGAGTCTCTCACGTTACACAAGACTTTATGTCCTTATGCCTGTATTTTATCGAATATTACATTGGTGATGGCTTACCCCGCTTTCTAATCTGGATGTTTCACATCATTCTAATCTACAGCCACTCAAACGCCTCAAACTCATTCCAGTCAAGTATCAATGAGGAAGATCGCGGTTGTTTTACTCCGTACAATGTGGAAGATGGCGGCTGTTTTACTCCGTAATGTCTCATGCTTTACAGGTGACACTCCCGGCTAGAATGTGGTTCAAGAATCTCCTCCACTCACTTTTGCTATATAGTCAACTCGAAATACTGTTCTCCCAAGATCATATTCATTGTCATTATCTGTTAAACCAACAGTTAATATTAATTTATACCGTAATTCTAGCTGGAAATACTCTACCTGATTACCTAAATTAACGCTGCGCAGTACTGACCCAGTAGTCCAGTTTCCCTGCATGGGCACCTCTTTGCTGCACATTGATTGGTCTGGACCGCTACCTACCTCGCTCATCACCGACGAGTCACATAAGTGGCGGCATGATGCGGCTTTCGATCAGATTCGGTGGCAACATGGCATGTAATAATTGTTTTTGTTGCAATGAGACTCCGAAGTAAAACATTTTAAGCCATGGTGACCACCGAAGGGGTTTAGACATTTGAGACACCGATTAGATGACGCGCACGTCATTATTTTAGTATATTTACCTTTTCCTGAGCGGGAAGCCGACTTCGTAACCACTTTCAAAGCTTAACCTTGTTGTTCTAGGTTTCACCATGCTAGAGCCACTCTCTACGGAAGTAGTCCCGCCTAACAGACCACGGCGACAAGGTATTTCAATACTCACTATCCAGAAATCCACAGTCTCTCATGCAACCACATAGTCCAGGATGTCCTGTACTACAGTTTGGATAGCTGGGGAAGAGGTACATGTCGTGTCTTCTTACTAAGTCATGTTGTGCAGGCACGCGAAAAGTCTCCGCGCTGACTCCTGAGAAACGCGACCACAAAAGGGCCCGAGATAGAGAGGCACAAAGAAACATCCGCGCCCGCGCAAAAGAATACATCGATCGGCTGGAGAAAGAACTTGAACAACTGAAGAGCCATGAATGGCGAGATCGCACCATCCAAGACCTTTTACACCGCAACGAAGCTATCGAGAGAGAATTGCTAGAATTGAAGGCAACCATCAAGCTTCTTGAGAATGCCGTACCTTACGACAGTTCAATCCCCCACCACACACAACTACGAGAACCAGTTGGGTACTCGACACTACCTTGGGAAGTCAACAGCCTTCTCGCAGGGGGCGAAGCCAGTTGTTCCCCTCATGGGTCCCAATTTCCCATGAACCACAAAAATATCCTCACTCATTGCGCTCCACAACAATACCCTTCTTCCAATGATCAGGAAGACTCAGGAAATAGCCCTTCCTACCCTGTGTTCCCTGTCATGTCCGGCTTATCCCCAGCTAGCTATACCGTTAGCTATCATCCAGCTAGTTTTTATACTACAATGGCTACTTCGAATGATGGTCACTGTCAGAGCATTGAGGGCACATACACCGAGCACACGGTCTGAAACAAGGGCAACATCGCGACTAATAGCGCTGAAGATCCTAAACAACTTCTCTGTAAGAGGAAGATGGTGATGTATTTAATATTGGTGGTTCTTTCCCCAGGTTATGTTCTTTTCTTGGTTGATGTGTTTCCCATTCCTGATCTTAATATTTATATTATATGGGCAGAGCTTTGTTGAGGAAACGCTATCAATCAAAAGGTGGACATTTGATTCGATCTCCAAGTAAGATACGGATACTTAAACACAATAGTCACTTTAGAGAATACTGAGCGTTCTAACAAGACACAGGACGATTTCTAATATTCAGTCAGAGTCCTTCTGCAAATCCTGTCCTTGGGTGAATTATTTACGAGTTGATCTCCCTGACTCTCACAAAGTCGACCGTGAGGAATGAAGTACCCCTCTGTGGGTGCACAAATATCACAGGGATTACTGTAATACCTATTAACAACACTGCTGTCTTAGTTTATTTAACTCTTGTTAGAAGATTCATATTAACGTCTCATCAGTACTTCTTTACTAATTGAAACGAAGGCTACTTATCTTAGAATTACTTATAATAACTTAAAAGAGAAGAATAAAGTTTAGCCTTCTTACTAAACACTTAACTTAAAAGCAAAGTCTTATATCTAACTTTGAGACTTTAAGTGCACAAAGAATAAGCCTCTTATCGTATCAATAATCACTGTATTATCTATGGGGCAACCCAGCATTTACCTTTTCAAATGTATTCATTACATTAAATAAAGAACAAAAATCATGTAATTATGGTATATTAAAGTCCTGTATAAGATATTTAGATACGTGCAAGTTCAATTACTATCTTTCCAGTTCGAAGTAAATAAACTAATTTAATAAATAGGCCAATCCCTCATTTAGAGCCTTTTAAGTGCGTATCGTTCTTTAATCGTAAGGAAAGGGGCAAAAGTTGAAATTTTAGGCCAAGAAAGGAACGATAATATGGTGGAATGTACATCTTTTTTCTTTGTATCTAATGCACTTAATAGAATTCGTGTTGGCTGTTCATTGGAGGGGTGTATTATGGGTTTTCAGCATAGCCTCGTATTTCGCAGGTGAGGCCTCACATCAACAAAGTCATTTGGCCTTGAAATAGAGACTCCGACTGCATCTCTCTCTTCCATACAACCTCTCCCGGTACTATAACTAGACATGGAGAAAGTCTGGTTCAAGCTCCGTCAAACCGATTATCCTCCGCCGCCAGAAGATGCGATTCTTCGTGGCGATGGCGACGATTCGGCCGCACCTCTCTGTTTAGGTCACACCGTTCCGAATCTCAAGAGCCTAGACTTTCCTCTAAACCAGCACTCGGTTCTAGCATTTCCCCATCGCATGAGAGTATTCTGCAATACGACATTGAACTTTACCTGGGATGACACCAGATTAAAGTCGCCGGGCACTAACCTCGCCGCCGGGGCGCCGATCCTTGCAGCTGCTGGCATTGCAGCCAAGGCGAGCTTGCAGTTTGCGTTCATGCGAACTGTACAAAGCTACGAAGCTTATGAGCGACTGGAAACGTATATCGTGCAGCCTACCAAGGGTTATATTGAGGATTGCCTGGCGCAGGATAACCTGAAAGCTCACATCAAGGGCAAGGTAGCTTGGTCAATGTTTCTGATTACAGGTATAAAGGTTGCTCGTGCGGGGAAGAGAGAGGCGCAGGAACAGAAAAGTCTTGCAGCTGACATAGGACCAGAGATGTACGTTATTCTTCTCGTCTTGACATGAAGGATATTGACAATAATTAGGGATCTTCCACTGGTCGCAACAATCAGGGCTACCGCGACTACGCATCGCATCGCATCGCAAAAGACTTCTGGCGAGCATCCTGGGGACTTTGTCTGGGCCATCCGAGTTGCCAAGATAAGCAGAGGCTTCTTGATGAAGGACTGGACCATCGCTCCGTATTCTACGAGAGCTACCTGGAGCACTGCGGCGGAGGACGAGGTGGATGTCGAAGCTGTCTTGCGCGGAGAAGGACTGGATAGCTTCAAAGTGGTGGAGGATGAAGAGCTTGACGAAGCCGTTGTATTTGACGAAGATATGACTGATTGACCTTGTGTATGATCTGCCGAGTCTTCCCTTTGCTTTAATTTGCCTGCTCCATCGCTTGAGACAAAACCTCTCTTACACGTTGTCTCTTCGCTTCACGACTCAAGCCATTCTCTAGGGGCAACAGCTCTAGTGGAAAAATGCATCTCAAGTTTCCCGCTGGCTTGGATATGGCACTGAAAATTGATAGCATTCCAGACAGCTTCCCTACGTCTTGTGCTCTGAATATGGATGCCTTGTTGTCCTTCTGTCGTGAAAAGTCAATAATCATGGCAGCAAGCCCTGCCGCTACGGCGGTAGCCACTACTACTCATCAGTCATCTGTACCTGAGGCCATTGGATATGGGCTGTCTCTCACTTGATGTTCCGGCTAACGACTTGTTCCTGTGCTGATCAGGATGCTGAAACCCCTCTTCAAGAATGGCTAGATTAGGCGTCACATCTCTAGGCTCTGGATTGAAGTGAGAACCCTGATTGCCAGTATTGGCAGAGTAAATGCACATAGTACTGAGGTTGTGTCGAGCTGGAAAGGCCACAGACCTTATATTTTGCCAGTTGGAGGCTGCAGCTATCACGAGAACCCCAATAGACTTGGCCTTCGTCACTGCGTCATCGAGTTCCTTTGAGTAGTGGGGAAATCCAGCTGAAATGCTAATGATGTCGACTGATTGAGGTGGCTCGATAGCCCAAAGGATCGCCTGGTAGATATGAGGGTTAGTCCCAGCTGCGGATGGGAAAAGAGCTGAGAACATACTCTAGCCATTTGGAGAGGCCCCTCATTCTCATCCGCATGATCGTTCTTGAATATTCTTGCGATATAAAAATTGGCCTCGGCATACATTCCTTGAATGATGCTTGCACAAGAGGTACCGTGCCAAGAGTTGTTCCGAGCGTGGTTAGTAAAGTCTTTGTACTCAGCTTGGTACTGATGCTTCTGGCTGTCATGAATGCCCGAGTCAATGACGGCGATCTTCACTCTGTCGTAAGTATCATTCTCGCCACCCCGCAATATGCTGATCAAGTCATCAACCTCGTCGAGCCAATCGATGGCTGTGCGTTCAATGCCACTTACAAAAGTACTGTAAGTTAACACTCTCATATCAATTCTAGATCGCGCTCACCTCGTAATAAAAGTAGCTCCTAAACTTCGAAGTCCGGTCTTTCGTCGACTGACCTCAAACCATGTCGTCTGCGAGAAGACGGATCTCCCGTTGGAGTCATAATCATGAATCCAAATTATAGCATCTTCTAAAATTATCGCCAGTCCTCCTTCTTGTCTTTTATTTGCACTATCATCAACTAAGTTATGGTCAGTGATAAGAAATATTTGAACTATGAGGAGGAGGTGTCACAATTGAAGCAAACAGAACGTGTTGATCCACCCCGAGACACAATGCCGCGAAACTTTTGCAATGATCGTTCGTTGGCCTTCGTTGATACAACCATACAGCGCAATGTCGCTTCGGGACAATTTTCGTTGATTGAAGAACTGTTAGCAGTTGGAAAGTCCCTATAATATACTTGAGCGCCATGGCTTGATCACGAAACTACTTTGAAATGCCGTGTACCTACCGAAAATAGAGAACTTCCTCATCCTGAACCGGCCCTCGTGTGAAAATCTCGCGTAGTCTTACTTGAATTGCTCTCAAGTAAGAGTTAAATTTCTCGGCCTCTATTTTCAATACCACTATGAGCTGTCTCTAGAGCCCAACGTTGTACAAGAGTCCTACCTCGACGAAGGTCAAAATGGAAGTTCACGTCGTTATAACTTCTACCCTGGCTGCGACTCTTCAGTGGTGCTACCATTGCGTCTTTCATGGTGACAACAAGTCTGCCAAGAGGATTATCTTCATGGAAAGTCCGTGTAGTCTCAGCAACTACAATAGAATTGTATTAGTACGAGTTTCTAACAATCGACCATTCAGCTCGTCACCATTCTCACCTCGGACTTCCAAGCCTTCGCCTGGGCTAGATCCGTATAAAAGAATACAGAAATATGATTGTGGATAGATATTCACTGGCAGCCCGTCATCTAAGTCAGTCCGCTCACCAGGTGCTGGGACTACGCCAAAGTGTTTTATCTCAACAAGTCGGGGCTTTATGAGTATGCTCTGAGTGCTGCTAGAGTCGCACGTCACTTTGACTACCTTGGTGGATGGAAACCCCCAGTCACTCCATAGGTTAGCGTCAGTACTACTGATGGGTTCGTCCAAAGACGCGTGAACCTGTCAAATCGGTGTATAGACTTACTTTCTGATCATCTCTATCGCTGTGGAATCGACTGTCCGTCTCTGGCGATGCTCAGGAGGGATGTCCAGAGATGCTCCATAACTCTCAGAGCTTAGCGTAGCGATATTCGTAGAAACATTTTCGATCTTTCTTATACCTACACGGGGTCAGTAATAACTGCTAATCACACAACAGAGATTCTTTACTGATTGGTGATAGAGCTATCAGCCTGACAAGGGCATGCTCAGAGGTCTTTGGCTTGAAAACTAATATAGACCATTTACGCAGTCTATCGCAGCCCATTTCTTCTTTCAGAAGGCTTTTTCCGGGTATAACTAAATAGCATAGTTAAATTAATTCCTTAAGCTCTCTCAAAAACTCGATTTACTCACGCTGATAGCTCAAGTCGATTTCATGCAGCCTACTGGTGCAACAGCACCGAAACCTGAAGGTTTCTGGCCTCATCAAGACAGAGTTATAAAACTGCGCCTCACTACAGACTAATCTATCTTCGGAGACAGTTTGAGACTGAGGTCTGCCTGCTATGACCATTTCTGTAACAGTGAAGTTTGTTTGAGCCCCATCATGATGGGACGTAGGTGAAAATGAAGAGGAAGAAACCTCGTAAATCTCGCCGGCTAAGGCATCAAACATGTCTGTCTTGTCTTCCATGCCTAAGACTTGTGTGATCTGTGTATTCGGACTCAAATTACTCAGGCTGTTAATTGTCCGTACGGTAGTAAATTCACAAAAGACGGCTGGCTGACATCAGAAGAAACATCCATGCGGCTTTGGGGCACGGCAGAATCAGGCAGCAACAAGTGACATGCATGACAGCCCATCCTTGGGATTTAATACCCGAGCTGCCGAGCCTTGTTTGCGACGGTGCACATCGTCTGAGAACCCCTCATTATGGGTACAAATATGTAGGTGTGCAGATAAATCACACCGACGTGGACCAGTGTCATCCTTATTGCAATGCTCTTTGTACTGATCGACTATGAGTCTCTATCTTCTTGGTCAATACTTTACTTTGGCGTCGTAATTAAATCGTATCATGATGCGAAGTTGTTTAGCGAGAATTCCGTCTTTGAGGGGCTTCCTTTGGGTCACACGTCAAAGGTTGCATTTGTCTTACTTGCAGACCATCACTACGGCTGAGCTCGACGTAAACAGGGGGGTTGAAATGTTTTCTCCGCGCATACTTGACAGCAGCAACCTGAGTAGATGTTACATGACTGAGAAAGGCTGGACAGGATTGATGTTTTTTTCTCTCTTTTTCTCATCATCACAGCATCAACCTAGATTGCAATCCCAATACCAAGTTATCTATTGAACATATTATTCAGGAGACAACATGAGCAGCCGTCATATCCCAACAAAGCGTATTAACTCCGGCGTGATAATCTCAGCCCCGGGTGGTCTGCGCTCGATGCCAGAGGGAGGATGGGGTGACGATACGCCCGTCAATCGCTCCAAGGGACCCAACAAGAATTATGCGAAACGGGGAATCAATCACTTCCCTGAAATATCTTTACGCAGTGTGATGCCAGTCTATGCGCCATACGATGGCCATGCTTCATTCACTCCTGACAAAAGCGATAGAGAATACAGGACCGTGTCTCCGCCGCCACCGGCGCTTCCTGAGAGACCCCAGGATCAACATACAGCGGGGACAACACTATGCCTTCCACTACTCAACGTGGCGCTGACCGCCACCGTGGATGGAACGATCGCTCATATAGAGCTTGTACAGAAGTTCGACAATCCTTCAGATGCAATCGTCGACAAGTCGAAGCACATATTTCCACTCTATGACCGTGCCGTCATCACCTCATTCGAATGTACAATCGGTGATGAGCGCCGCGTCAAAGGAATCGTCAAATCCAGAGCTCAAGCTTGTCAAGAATTCGAAGAAGCAGTCCGCGACCGAGTCAAAGCGCCTGCAATTTTAGAAGAGCATACACCTGAGATCTTTGAGACTTCTCTTGGGAACATTCCTGCCAAAACGACCACCGAGATAAAGATCACGTACGTCCAGGAGCTCAAGGTCGTCATGATGGAAACAGAAGCGACAGAAGGTATAGCACTTACCATTCCACTGTCTATTGCACCGCGTTACGGAGAGCCACTAGTTCCGTGGCACACTCCATCGGAAGTGCGAGAAGAAAGGCTTGATATCTGGGTAAGACTCGTTGATGACGTTAAAGTCAATCATGAAGGCTGCAACGCAGAGTCTGGTCACCGTATCGAATTTGAAGGTACCAAAACTGCCATTTGCTCTCATGGATCCGCGATGGGTGCTGCTGAAGACCCTGGAACATATTCCGTTTGGCACCATCAGTCCCTGTCACCTGTTCTAAGGGAGGATTTTGTTTTTGTCATTCAGATGCAAGAGGGGCATCATATTAAGTCTCGAGCTATTGCTTGTCCGGCAGATAGCAATGGCCTTGGTGCCATGGTATTGAGCATCAGACCCAACGACCTGTTCCGCAATGCCATTATTCCAAAGTCTTTCACGGGAGAGATTTTGTTTCTTCTCGATAGATCTGGATCGATGGACTATGGATATCATGACGAAGTATCAAAGATCGCTGTGATGCGCGAGGCAATGCTTCTAGCGCTTGCCGGAATTCCGACTACATGCATCTTCAACGTTATTTCATGGGGATCAGCTACAGTCGGTCTTTGGGGTAATTCCAAGCCTGCCTCAGAAGAGAACATCAGAGAAGCAAAAGATTATGTCTCTCACATCAAGGCTGATATGGGCGGCACGGACCTTCTTCGAGCTCTAGAAGCCGTAGTGAGACGACGAGATCAACAGAGAGGGCCAACTCAGATCATCGTTCTTACGGACAGTGAACTGGAGCCCGAAGAATCTATCCAATTCATCTGGAAGAAACGTCAGCTTCTGGGAGATAGCATTCGTTTCTTTGCACTTGGCATTGGAGACGAGGTGTCTCATCGCCTAGTCGAGAGTATCGCCGAGTGCGGTGGCGGGTACAGCGATGTTGTCCATACTACGAAAACCCCACGATGGCACGATCGGCTGAACCGCCTGGTCAAATCTGCCCTTCAGCCGAATAGCTGGAGTTATGATATTTCTCTTGGAAGTGAGTTCGAACGCCAGAGTTTGGCTGTTGGCAAGCTAGGGGGGGAAAGTGCTTTGCCTAGTGGTAAAGTACCTTACTTCCAAGCTCCTTTCCCAACCCTACCACTGCATCCCTTCAGTTTCAACTCGATATCCTTCTTGTTCAATCTCCGCCATGGGGAATCTCTCCCGAAGACTGTCACTATAACCATAACCACACCTGAGGCAAAGAAAAGGTCTTATGAGCTTCCAGTTCAGCTAGTCACCGGTGGTGACGTGGCAATCCGTTGCCTAGTGGCCAAATCCGTTCTTCTCGATCTAGATGTTAGAGAGAAGCGAGGAGCAACTCTGGCAAAGGTCGTCAAGGCTAATGCCGAAGAAATTGGTATGATGTACTCAATCACCAGTAAATGGACAAGCTTTGTTGCTATATCAGAGAATGAGCCTACGGAAGCCGAAGAAGAGCAAAAGATGAATCATTACAAAGCCGTACTCGACGAGATGGATATCGACCAGCTTTTGAATACCGTGGGTATAGATGATGACTCTTTATTCGTAGGCGCCGACTTCGCAGCCCAAACATTCAGCCCATCTGGAGTTCTCATACCCCAGCAAGATATGACAGCCAGCATAGACCAATCATGGGTTCCTCTTTTTGCGTCAAACAGGAGCTTATCGCCCAAGTTCGGAAACAAAGGCAGTACTCGACCTGCAGTCAAGTATGAAGAAAGTGACGGGAGTGTCTATGGTGATAAAGTATCCGAGCTGGCTGAACCTCACAGCACTGCGGAAACCATGACACTGCCCAAGGCTTCGAATGTCGATGACGGTGGTGGAAATCTTGCGCCTGGGGAACCCTTCTCAGATGCTCGCGCCTTAACACATCATCTATCACCGAGTAAAAACTCTAGTTCTGGCTCAGATTCTAGTATAGCTATCGTTGAGGGTAGTGACTCGGAATCAAGCATTCGTATAAGGGCGACGATATCTAAGGCCCCTTTCCCAGTCGACCATGGGGTGTCCTCTGCAAATTCCCCCTCTTTTGCCAGCAGTGGAGCATTATCGGATGCCTCTTTATCAGCAACAACATGCGAAGGACCATACATTACGCCGTGTGAGATTTCTTCCAAGACCGATGTATATGACGATTCTGATACGGAAACCCATACCGAGGACGGAAGACTGAGCGGTTTCGGATCCCTACCTCATCCATCCGTTGTAAATGACCCTCTAAATTGGCAATTCGCGATAGAATGTCAAGACGGCAGCGGCCTCTTCGATTTTCCAGAGGATGTACGAGAAAGGATACAACTCCACTTCTGCCCCGACGCGGCAACGAAGCTCATTTCCAAGATCGCTGAGCTTCTCAAGGAATGCATCACTCCTGATAGTGACAAGCATGAACTTTGCAGCCGCATGCTCGACACACTCATGATCATCGAATGTTATAAGACGCACTTGGCCCAAGAGGAGGACATCTGGGACATGTTTATCGATAAAGCTCGGGATGCAGTGCTGGAGACCCTTGAGCTCTCAGCAGATGATCAGATATTGCAGGAGTTAGAAGGACTCTTAAGGTCATCGATGATGCATGCGCATTATATGGCTGCGACTGGTATCAAAGAGTCGCAGAAGGATAAAGAGGACAGAGATCTAGCATGCTGTCCTGTATGCGATATAGCATGGCTTACAGCGCGGCAGTTCATTTGTCCTTTCGATCATGAGTCTGAGACGGATGTTGATGAATTTCGAAATTGGGAGGACTTTTGGGGGCATCAAGTCCAAAGGGGACATGTCGTTTGTCCGCAATGAGTTACCCAGATTTAGTCAATCAAATTTCGCCCACCAAGTTGTAGGTCGCGAGAGACAGTTTGCGCATTGACTCAAAAGATTAGCCACTTGTTAACTCAGTTCTGCAGCAAGACCAGCCCAGTAGGCAAGCAATTGATACGGTTGTTCAATAGCCCATGATATTGTTTACCGAAACCTTAATGGCGAGATGCGTATAAATCCGGAAGGCTCTTTGTTTCGAATCCGCACCGCTGAATAATATCTTTCCGAGGGTAGGACGAAGCCTTTCATTTTTTAATTAAAATTTGTTAATCGTTAATGCTAACTGTTCGTCAAATGATGCCACATCATCACTTCTGCGTCTTCAGTAATTCCTCCCAACATTGGAACCTCAGGGATGGTGTTTTCCGTCATGTTTATAGTCCTGACATTGAAAGACAATGCCCTTCCTTATACCTCCTTGTGGCATATGAAGTTGTGTGTTCAACGTTTTCAGGTTCCTCATTTTTAGGTTTGATGGCTCCGAGCTGACGGCACGGGGAATGATCTTCATCCTTACAATCCATCATGGCAATTATTAATCGTGCTAGGTTGAAACTTTGCGTGATTGGAGACCTGCAATTGAATTGACGAAGAACTAGATATGTAATGTGTATTTCCGGATTTCTTCCTGGGTAGTTGATCACCAAATTTGACATTTTTTGTCATAGTAGATGGCATTTCGGAGCTCTTATTTTCCTTCCTGAACAGCTAAGCATCAACCGGAATGACCGGGGCAGTGGATGTAGGGTAGCTAAACCGCGAATAAGCATAAACGTAAAGTCGGCTTACACTTTGCGGCAATTCCCGCTAGCAGCAAGCTAATTTTCTTTATTTCGACTGCTCGCCTCTCACACCTGTACAATTGGGATAGCAGTGCCACAGATGATGGCGCAACGTCTACATAAATCACTCGACACTGAGCCAGTGTACTCTGAGGCCTGGATATCCCATCTGCCTGAGCTACTCTGGGTACTCTTCGTCGGTGCTGTGGTAACTGACAACAATGCGCAAGATCACGAGACGTGGTTCGCTACGCAGTTGAAGTTTGTCTGTCAGATCCTTCAGTGCAACACAAGACTTGACTTCAAGCGTTACCTACACTGTCTGGTGTGGGACAATAGGTTTGGAATTGAGTCTTTAAATAAATGGTGGCCGCCTACCCCCGATGACTAACATCTTTTACTAAGCTTCATTAGAGATCTTCACAACAACCTTTCCTCTCGCTTTTCCCGACTCCATCTTCTCCCATGCCTTAGCAAACCCATCAAGACCTACCACGCTATCGATACTTGGCCTCAGCCTCCCATCCTCCAACAATTCCTTCATAACATCCAGATCCTTGCCAAGCGGCGTAATAACAAAAAAGAGGCTCTGGACCTCTTTCTTTATATCTTCCGGACGGCTGTCCTCGGGTACATTGCAGACACTGACAAGTCTTCCCCCATCACGGATCGCATACCAGGCTTGGGACAGTGATGGACCTCCGATGCAGTCAAAGACCAGATCAAACTCTCGATGCTCGACATCTTTAGCCACCCAGTCACCAGCGCTTTCCTTTGTATAATCAATAACATCCGTCGCGCCAAGTTCTCGTACAAAGTCAATATTCTTTGGTGAGACAGCAGCCACGACAGCAGCTACTCTGGCTTCTCGAGCGAGCTGGATTGCCAAGCTACCTACTGCACCTGCTCCGGCGGTAATCAGGACACGAAACTTCGAAATCTTGTCCTGAGCAGCTGCATCACCTGACAGCGCCAGTGGGTCTAATCCGCCATGCACAAAGAGTGCCTGGTATGCTGTCAGCGCGCTGATGGGAGTTGCCGCCGTCTCAGCCCAGCTAAGGTTCTTGGGTCTGATGGAGAGTTCTGGCACACGAGCCAGAACATACTCGGCTGCGGCGCCAGGGCGATTGGCTTCGATACGGGCGTAGACTTCGTCACCAGTCTTGAAGCCGCTATCTGCAGGAGCAGAGACCACTGTTCCCGCAAGATCCTGCCCTGGAATGGCGATTTTGTCTTTGGGGAAGTAGTCGGGGGACCAGACAGCCCAGTCAAGCTCACCCTTGCAAGGAGCAGTGGCGTGGACTCTGACCAGAACATCCTCGGGATGAGTAGGTACAGGAACAGGCTGCTCGCAAAGAATGAGCTTATGGGAGTTTTTGTCAGGCTGGAGGACTGCCTTCATTGTAGCAGGGAGTTTCATTGAAGCCATTGTGGGGGTAAAGTTAGAAAGGAGAAGTCTTGGGATAGACTGGGATGGGATGTCCTTGAAGATATGAGGAAGTATGAAGTTGGGTATCAGACTCGTGCGTGAAGGAGTATAAGCTTTGGCGATGGTTTTGAACATGGAATAGCGAATGCAGCTTTGTCTCTTTATTTCTTATCTCTACCGGAAATGATCTAACTATTTATATTCATTAACGTTTACTCTTTCCAGTCATGGTGGTCTTTGCTGACCTCAAGTGTGATACCCTTATGCACGGTTAAAGCTGACATGGCATGACAAGCACAGTGTGTTTAGCACTATTTTCCTATTGTAGCAAGTGGGTCGGATTGGTTACTTTCGAAGTGGATTTCTAAATGTTTGCCGGCCCTCTCACATCGTTCCGATGGTGTCATCGTGATAAACCGGGCGACCCGGTTGAAATATTCAGAGGTATGCATGACTGGAAGTTCAGTTATTACGAAGCAACCAAGCCAATTGCTGCAACATTGACGTGACACTTCGAACTTCGAAGCACAAGCTCTAAAAAGGCTTGAGCCGAAGGATCCGGAATGCATGAAAAGATGCCAAACAGCTCCTCGGTTCTTGTTGGATCGCTGGCAATTTGCATGCACAGATTCGGTCGTTCTGTCGCGAAGACCTTTTTTTGAAGTCACTTAGATAATGAATCGTGATTTTCGGTACGAGCTTGTTCCCCAGGTTCTGCAGCTTTCAGCAGCTCAGAATTGTCAAATCGCTATCACCCAAACTTCTCGTGGTATTCGTGATGAGGCGTGGGCTAGGTATTGCCAAGTCATGGCGCATAATAGTGACGAAAAGAGCCTATGCTAATTGTTATTGTTAAATGTGGCATTGCCATCCTAAATCTAGGTAGCTTGAGATTGATATTTCAGGTGCGGATGTATTCTAGTATCTTCTCAAGAGCAATGCGATCACCTTCCATTGTCCCAGCAAGGTTCTTAGGCACCCATCCCTCCGTGTATCCACCACCAAAATCAATAAGCCAAGCATCACCATTTGCATCAATGAGGACATTGTCCGGTTTGGCATCTCCCCAAATGACTCCAGCATGATGAAATTGGCCAATAGTTTCCTGAATTTGTGCAGCCCATCTCTCCCTTTGTGAGACTTCAGTTTCCGGCTTCACTGCACACGATAGTGTAACACGCTTACAGTCAATATAGGTAAGTAAAAGACCGAAAACAACACTGTCGCTGCTTCGCACCAAGCCGCGGAGGCGTGAAATCCTTATCTTGCTGTCAAGTTGTGCTCTTTCTATCTTCCCATATGTATCCAGCTCATTTTGAAGGGACTGCTTGTCGCCACGGCGCGCAAGCTTGAGGAATGCAATCGTTCCGTCGTTCAAAAGGACTTTGCTTGGCGTATGAGAAGGCGGGCCGACCACATTCTCATGGCAAATCCGTACTTCAGATGGATCAAAGGATTTCCACGACGCGCAGAGTTCATCAGGAACAGAAATACCGAATAAAGATTGGTGTTGGGCGTCTGTATCTAGCTGTGGTATACGCTCATCGGAGACCGTTTGAAAGGTATAGACGAATGTTTCGGGGTTGAAAAAGCCGTCCAAGGTCCGTGGTGTTGCCTGGTCTGGAGTGGGCAGTTTCCGGAAAGTGGGGAGTAGAGGCTCGACAATCCAATCCCAGAAGTCCTCGACGGTTACACCATCTAGCTCGAACTCGTCGGCAACTTTCAAGAAGAAGAGATAACGTTCTTTCAACTTGGGCGAATCAGAAAAGGTATCGGCGGAGAGACATATGACAAAGCATTTGTCATTGCACATAACCACCAGCTTCGAATCAGTGTCTCTGTCGCTGAAAGTGAAGTGGATTACACTCCATGCCGGCGGTGTTTGAGCCGGCAACAGTGCGTCATTAGAAGTCTCGAATGTCATATCTTGCAAACGCTCTATTGATACGTGTTTTCGATATGGATGCGATGATTGTGTTAGCTATGTTACCAGAACTTTGTTGTCGAGGCTTTGTCGATGAAGGATTTGTTAATCTGGGGGGAGCGGATCTAAGAAGCGGGGTTAAGACACTGACCAACAAGCTATCATCACTTTAGGTTGCAAAAGCCTGCAGACTAGATGATCAATCTAATAATACAAGATTGAAAACCCCAAGATTTTTTTTATTTATTGATTGAATGAAGTATTTTTCTAATCTCAATTTGTAATATAAGCATAAATTTATATAGTCTACTTCCCATCTCATGAACCAAATCTTGAAAAGTCAACACAGTACCCTTTGTATTGAAAACCGTCTGCTTAGAAACTTTCGTCTCTTTCTGCGCTTTAACTCATTGAGCACGTTTGCCTAACTATCGGCCGTCAAATCTGTGTCCTTAGCAGCATCCCCGAGTGAGCTCTGGGCCATCCTCCATTAAAGTCTCCTCATCACTGCTTTCTTTTTCTTTCTACCTAACATTAGGCAATCGACAATGCGGGGGAGCAATCTCAGGCTTGCGCTCAGAAGTGTAGTCAATGAATGGCACAGCTATAGGGAGCAATGAAGGTTAGCTTTCACTGATGCTAGACTGTTTGGCATGGAGGGTAAGAGCATGTAATTATACCTCTATAATAGGTGTTAGGTTTGGGTACTTATGATTACCCGGTTAAGGATCTGCATGTGGCATCCGAGGAGGAAAATAGGGAGGTCTGTCTATATCGAATACTCTCGGAGGCTGTTGTAGGCACATGACAGGCCAAAATGCCATAGTGTTATTTAAACTCCCCGGCAATGCCTCTGGGTCGTGATTCCTGTTCTTTGAGGGACGTGCCTGATATGTAAACCAGAGGCCAATTATGGCGACTACTAATTCTAGAGCGCCGAATATAATAGATATAATCTCCTCTGCCGAAAAAGATGCCATCCTTTATGACATTGGTTGGTTAGATGCTGATTTCCGTAAAAAGACTGATAAATTAAAGTGGGGTGTGATATTAAGAGGAAAGAAAGGTAGTCCAGAGATGGAATAGTCCCAAAGATTATTGATTTGGGGTAATCCTTAACACGTCTGAAGAGGGGAAGTGAATCGATCGATTGAGAGTAAAAGTGCTTTAGTGCTTTATTTTTTCATACATAAATGTGTTCTTCCGTTATTAGAATTTCATCTAGTATAGTTATTAAAGAACGGTAAATAATTAAACAGACGGTCCTTAAGATATAGAGATTAGAATAAATGAGGTTCTTATATGAAATGCAAGGTACTGACTGGATCTGGGTGTTTAGTATTTAGTGTTCGCGTTAGGAGTTAGGAGCTGTAGCTCGGTGTCAAGTGGTGGGGTTAAGACCTGTGTCGTCTAGGTCTATAACGTTACCATCTTGAGAAGATTGCCATCCCAAAACAGTATACCTACCCTTGTGATTTTCTCGAATTATAGCACTAATCTAGACTACTTTAGAACGTTCCCAACCGCTAGCACCGAGCCATCGTAATCTTCCCAATCGGTACTCTAAACGCCCGATTTGCTCTCTTCCTTCTAGCTCCGTATTCCAGTCGTAGCGTTGATCATCCCTATAAAGAGGCAAAATAATTTAGACCCTCTCGATATGGTAAAGCGTTTGGCCGAAAATATGTATCAATGTTGTCAGTGGCGGCTTATAGAGGGGGAAGGTGATAAGACCCCTCATTACCTTAACGCCTCCCAAACTAAAAGCTACGTAGCTTAGACGGCAAGAGAAGGGATTTCTACAATCTTACACATCAGTGGTTTTAAACTCTACTAGTTAAACTAGTAAACTAGCGTTTCTAGTTGAAATTAGCGTGTTTCGTAATTCATACTCTGTCTAGCCCGTTTTCCCAGTTTTGGATAGCAACTCTTCTCTTATCCATTTAAGGTTCAATTAGGTAAATCACTATTTATACTACTGAATAATATCTCAGGCCTAATAAGAATAGACCTTGTATACTTCCATTTCGGTTTACTTAATTAGAGTTTAGTTGCCATGTGCGACTTCTGCTGCCTCAATTATATTGAGGTTTGATCTTGGAAGGGGTTATTTTTGTTTCTGATATTATTCAGAGATTTAAAAAGCCTGGGCTTGATACAGTTAATAGTCAGATTGAAGTAAGATAATACTTTTACTTACTACTACTTAGCATATTTACATATTAGTTCGTGCAATAAGTATTATAACTCAAAAGGTTTTATTATTCAGGTATCTTAACTTTTAAGGTAAAGCTTTTAAGAATTATAAGCAGTAAGTATAATATAGCTTATATAACAGTGTAATAATAGCATGTTACCACGACCCCACCACACGGATTATACATACATTACTATTTTAATATGTCTGGTAGGGGGTGTTATATTTCTTAGGGCTTTTAATATAGTTAAGATAGCAAAATAGCTAGAAAGAACCATAGCTCAAACGAAGGAGTAAGGCTCAATATGGCATAATGTGGCTGTCTATCTATTAGATCTCGGTTTCTAAGTAGCGGTTCAAATCAAACTGAAAAGGCTTCAATCTAACATTATTGTTCACCTCCAAATCAGAAAATAATGATGTGATCACTCTGTTAGGAAAGAAACCTATTTTAATTACCGAGCCGATAGATACCGTATTTAATAGTTACCGAACCACCCAGGACCAATACTGTGTAAAATCACAGAGAGCATCTTATTTGTATTTTCCCCGCAATCCAAGTCCTTTTTAGGCTGTTCCCCGCGATTGCATGGTTATATTATCCACAAATTGGCCGAGACTACTCAAGCTTTCTAATGCTAGATGCTTGGAAACAAATCACATTGGTCGAAGAGGTAGTGTTAAAACCCCAAATCTCTGGCTGACCAGATTTCGGTATCTAACTCGGGAAAGGATATCGGGAAAAAGCAGGGCTAATCAGTTTTTGAATCAGGTAAGCGCCATCCTCTTCTCATGATAAGGGCCTATAAGTAGAGCAACTCTCAAGTGCTCTGACTGAGTATGCATTACCCTCCTCTTCACTTCTTTCACATCTCATGACAATGCGTTCTCATGTAATACAAGATCGGGCCTGGGCATTCATCTGCTTCGCCCATATAGGGCTGGCATTAGCATCAAGTTCAATGCCCAAGTTCACACCAACTAAAGAGACCGCCAATCTTCCATACAGAAACTCTTCTCTTTGCGTAGAAGACCGTGTAGATGACCTTCTTTCTCGCATGACGATAGAGGAGAAGGCTGGTCAGATGTTCCAAACCCTCTTACTCTCCGGACCCAATGGGACCCTTGAGCAAGCGACACCGGAAATGAACAGCTCTGGCTACATGATCACCACTCAGCTGATGACACATTTCAACCTCGCCATCCAAATTGAGGATCCCAGGGCCGCTGCGGTATTCACCAACAGAGTCCAGGCTCATGCTTTGGAAACCAGACTTGGCATCCCAGTTACTATCTCGACTGATCCCCGACATGCTTTCACGGACGACATCCGCACAGGCTTTCAAGCCGCTGGATTCTCGCAATGGCCAGAGACTGTTGGTCTAGCAGCTATCCGTTCGGCTGACTTGGTACGCAAGTTTGCTGAAATTGCGCGGGAGGAATATCTTGCTGTCGGTATCCGAGCTGCACTCCATCCACAAGTCGATCCTGCCACTGAACCCAGATGGCCCCGAAATCGCAATGGCTTTGGTGAAAACGCGACGCTCACGGCTGAACTTCTGACTGCGTACATCAAGGGGTTCCAAGGCGATACCTTCGGCCATCAGTCAGTATCCACTGTCACCAAGCACTTTCCTGGTGCAGGTTCCGCATCTAAGGGCCACGACGCCCATAATCGGTTTGGCATGAATTCAACGTATCCCGGACATAACTTCGATTATCACCTGATTCCATTCAAGGCTGCGATCAAAGCTGGTGCCAGACAAATGATGCCGTACTACAGTCGTCCCGTGGGAATTGAGTACGATGCTGTTGGCTTTTCTTTCAATAAAGCAATCGTTACGGGACTTCTCAAAGAGAAACTTGGATTCGAGGGTGTTGTTCTTACGGATTGGGGTTTGATTACAAACACCGTTGTGCAAGGAAAACCCTGGGTGGCCAAAGCTTGGGGCGTTGAGTACCTTTCTGAGCTTGAACGGGCTACAAGGGTCATTAATGCTGGATGTGATCAGTTTGGAGGAGAAGCACGTCCCGAATTGGTTGTCGAACTTGTTAAGAAGGGTATCATTTCGGAATCAAGGATCGACCAATCAGTTCGTAAACTTCTACGGGAGAAGTTCCTACTCGGACTCTTTGATCACCCCTTTGTGGATCCCGAACAGTCCAGGTTGATTGTAGGCAATCCGTACTTCCGTCGTGTTGGGCTCGAGACTCAAAGAAAGTCCTACACACTACTCACCAACAAAAACGACATCCTTCCCCTTAGACATCTGAGCAAGAAAACCAGGTTTTATGTGGAAGGATTTAACAGTTCTTTGATCAAAGCCAGGGGCTTCCAGGTTACGAACAAACCCCACCAAGCCGACTTTGCAATTCCACGCCTCAAGGTCCCCTCAGCGCCAGCGGACCCAATTGAGTTGGGCACAGATCTAGAGTCTGGTAGCTTGGAATATTTCAGCAAGGAGAAACAGCGGCAAGCAAAGGTCTTCCGCGCAGTCCCTACTATTGTGGATATCAATTTTAATCGCCCAGCTGCAGTACCTGAAGTTGCGGCGGAGGCGAAGGCAGTCTTTGCTAGCTATGGTAGTAGCACAGATGCATTCCTGGATGTTGTTTTCAATGTTGATGGTGCGGAACCCGAGGGGAAACTTCTATTCGACCTCCCGCGGAGCAACGCTGCTGTGGATGAGTCATTTGAGGATGTGCCTTTTGATACTAAGGATCCGGTGTTTCGCTTTGGGCAGGGGCTTTCTTACAAGGGAACATGTAAACAATGAACGTTCTGATTTGAAAAGGCCGCATTGTTATAGTAAACACCACGCTCATCCCCTGATCCTAAACAACTGCATACGTGATATCCAGTCCAAAGTATTTGTTCACCCTTTCCTTGAAAGACTTACAGTCTAGACAGTTATCATTACTGCTCAGTATGACTGCGTGTCTCAACGAGAGAGGTGGCTGAGACGTAGGTCTACTTAGCTCCTCCAGTCTTTCATGCTGTCTGTATCTCGCCATCATTCTCATCCTCTCTTTCTCCTTCTCTCTTATAGCAGTAACGTCCCTGTCAGATTCGAGATTTGACAATTCCTTACTGATTTCCGAGATCTTTTGCTTTAGGTCTTGAACCTCTTCCTGGTCATACTCCTCCCCAAGCAGGTAATCGTCTGCGCCAAAAAGGTCCCGTTCTAGCTTTTGTTTTTGACTTTCGAGATCACTAACCTTGGCACACGTCGCGAACAGCTCTCTTGCTTCACACACAGAGTCGTCCAATGCGTCAATTGACTCTCCCAATACCTGGTGCGGGCTTCTATCCTCTGGGAGAAATACGTGCTTGTCGAGAAAGTAGGCGATCAATTTCTTCTCTGCATGTGAAGCGTAATATTGACCGGGCGTGCCTTGGTCGAATTTCGGGCTTGGTGCAGCTTGGAACGTATAACCAACAATGCGTGCAATATAATCGACCTGTTCAACCCAGGTCCGCTCCATTGCACGGTTCACAGGCAAAGCGTCTCTGCCCCAACCACTGGTTGCTGACACACGGGCAAATTGAACCCCTCGATCAAGAATAGCAGCGGTCTTGGTAATTTGTGGCACAGAGTATTCCTGGATCGGCCCGGAAAATGTTATGGTCATACCGGCTGGGGACTTCTTGAAAGAATAATTGTTAAGCTGACTGTTTGAAAGGGGCTTAGTATAAACGTTCTGGTTATCGGCGTTTGGGTCACGGAGTAATATGGCGATGTGTCGCCTATCGCCGTTGCGTTCGTAGACCTGTTTTTCAGCCGCTCGGGGACTCCGTGTATTCCTCTCTTCTTCATTTTCCCGGCAGGGCTCCGCAAAATCCTTCGCGCAGCGACCATGATGATCGCGGAGTGACTTGTTGGCATCGAAGTTGAGTAATATTTTAACGGTTTCAATCCGGCCCCAAAGTGCGGCCTCCATAAGAGCATTTCGTCCGCAATGGTTGATAGCATTCACATTTGCCCCGTTTTCTAGTAGAAGTGATACCATTTCATAACTTTCCTCGACTGCCGCCATAATCAAAGTAGTGTTTCCACACTTGTCTCTTCCGTGTAGAAAGAGTTGTGCTTCGATTGACATATTGATATATTGCTTGATAAAAGTCGTGTTACCGAACAAGCATTCCGAGATAGCGAGCGTAATTACTTTCAGTTCAAACTTATCGCCATTGAGGAGATCGATAACAGTCATCTCGCTCGACTCCTCTTCCAGACTCGACTCCGGCTCGGCATTGGTGGGCGTCAGGTTTAGTGTAGAACCAAATACATCGGCCAGTTCATCATCGGTCTCGTTCAGAGGATCCAATCTGTGACCCGTTCGATCGCTCGTTAAGCCAACGTTGACAAAATAAGCCCTTGTCTTGTCGATCTCGTAGCCAACCAGTTCCTGCTCCAGGTCAACTGGATATACGAACTCGTACCCGCCGCCCGGATAACAATGCGACATACGCTTGCCTGAAAGCGAGAAGCCATGTCGATGTTTCTCCTCGCAGTATGGGCATTCGACATAGACGTTGTTTGCATCCCAGTAAAGCACTGGAATTTTAGGGTGTGGCGTGACGTTGGTTGCCATGGCGTACTTGAGAAACGAGACTCGTTGCTGGAAGATTTATGCTGCGTGGGACTTATATCGAAATTTATTCCTTTTGATTCAAACAGTTATGAGTGTTCGTAAATTGTAATCATGGAAGAAACTCGCCTGTAGATGATTGAGCTGATGTCATTTAATTCCTAACCTCTGTTCTCCTCTGAATATTATCTGTCATCCTCCCACGCTCCTCGGAGCGGGGTAAAGCCATGTGTCGTAATATTGAGTAGAAGTTGACCAATAAGGGACATGACTTTGTCAATGGTTCGGTATCAGCCTATTGTCAAACTGACCACTGTAGCAAATGCACGGCGTCTCATACATAGCCTTGCTGTTATATCTTCTGTGCGGTATGGAACTACCTCTCCATCAAGCTACAAGCGGTAATCACGTGGTATTGCATTCTGTCCATTGACTACACGATGAAGCACCGGGCATTACGCCGGTAGAGTAACTTTTTTCACCAATTTGTCGTCAATCCTCATTTCCTCACAGAGCCCAAAGGATGGTTCGGGTATTGAATCATGCTCGTTTACAGCGGCCTTAGAGCCTGTTACGTACCGAAGCGTCCTCATACTAACATAGCCAGCGCACTTTAATACAAAAGAGACCTTATCATGTTTTGAGCACACCCACAGACATCTAAGCATTGCGGACAATAAGCGATGCAGGAACCCCAAACAGCTTGTCGGCGCAGAAATGTCTTGGGCTTAGTGGTATGTATTGGCACCATCGCCTTCAGGTAACAAGTATGCATGGTACTGTGGCTGGCTGACTTTATGGTTCTATTCCAAGATGTTAAGCTTAATACGCCATGAAACATTGTCGCATTCCACAAACACCATTCTTACTCGATGATGTGGTATATAACCCAACGCCAAGTGGTAATAGCGCCCGCCAGATACATCATCGGAAGACAAAAGGCAGTGCCGGGAAGCAGCCTACAGCCTAGTGGCCATCATGTAATGTTCTTTTTGCAGAGATTATGGGATTTTACTACGTATTGAACACCTGTCCAAATATGTATTGAAATATTTATCCAAACCTATTTACAATTTTCAAATATGATCCAGACTGACAATGAAGATTATTCGCGATGCAACGGAGGTTCTAAACAGGTTTGAATCCCTACCGTCATAGGGCGTCCGTTTATATACGGGACAAAGCAATTGTCAGAAAAAGGCAGGTTTGAGCACAGATTTGAAAGAAGTTAAATGGCTGAAAGTTGAAGGTCATGCTTCCCGCTTGGTGGCTGGTTAACGAACGGTGAGAATGGATATATTCATCACGCATGCACTTGGCCTTTCAAGGCATATGAACATTCACTGCCAGGCAATCTAGACCACCCAATCACTCGCTTAACAATATTTCACATAACAACCACTCTTGAAGGTGGTAAGAGGCGTCCAGTGAGACAATATTGATAGGAGCAGTGATTTCAGCCAATCTCATCAGGAATGGTAGCATAAGCATGCGAGGTCAGACGATGTCGTTCTGTTATGCTTTTATTTATGCATAGTACAAGAACTTTAGGACATTTGCTTAAATATAGCCACTACCGCACAAAAGATCTACTACAGATCAATCATTCTTATTACCTCAATCGGATACTGGCTTCTTACATCGTTTTATCGCTTGGCCCATCTCAATCAACCTGTTCAATATGGCTACCAACTCCAACATCCCAGCAGGGCAGGCGTCAAACATGACACCCAATTACGAGGTCAAGCTGCTGCTTAAACCCAACGAAGTCCACAGTTCTGAGAACGGGCTGACAAGCAATGTCTTGGCGGCGTTCGATATCCGTCTAGGCGTGATCAAGCAAACCATTCAGTATCTTGACACAAATGATAAGGACCTCTATGCTGCTGGTTGGGGCGCACGCATTCGCAAAACTGAGAACGAGGATGGGGTAGAATTGACGTATAAGAAACGCTATGCCATGGAAGACCATGACATTGACGCCGCGCTCACCAAAGCCAATAACGATGGTTTCAACGGCAGCGAGGGAAAATACGACGCCCAAGTCGAATGGGGTTACCAAAAGAAAACACTGTCTATCAGCCGCAAAAGGTCGGCTGATTTCATTGCCAGCGGGATGGAGCTTCCAGACGAATCGAGATCCCGCTCAATGTTAATTAAAGAAGCGCCTACCAAATTTGATAACTTCGTACACAAAAAATGGGGCACTGGCCTGCTGGCAACTTCGCGGCTTTTCGGGCCAGTCCACGCCAAGCGGTATGTTGGGAAGTGGGAGGGAACGCGGATCTATCTAGAGGTCTGGACTCTTCGCAATGCGCAAGGCACAGGATACGAAAACCTCGTTGAGGCGTCTCTCAAGACTGAGACCCATATGGATGCCTTCCAAAAACAGGCTAGTTTGATCTCTTATCTGCAGGGCGAGGGATGGTTTCTTGAGCAGGATTCGCTGAGAACACGGCTTATCATGGAGCGTTATTAGTACCTATGGGAAGATGTCATGTGTGAAGGTGATTTCGGGATAAGATTTTAATGTCAGGGCTCAGGAGCTGAGAATAGGTTTGACACAATTCCATTATGCTAGAACATGTCTCATATTTTGATCAATGCAGGTGTGGTTCAGTGTTGTATTTCTCAAGCTCAAGTATCGTATACAAATATTAATAAGTGTTATCAGGGTCTCGGTATTAGAGTCGTCACAGCCATTTAATCCTTAGTATCGGTTCGCCCACTCATTATGTGGTGAAGTCCCAGACATTGGTGACAGCCCATCGTGATAGTCATGCATATTCCCCTCACCGGCCAATTCAACAGGCGGAACTCCCCCACCGCCAGCAGTGACCTGAAAATCATTCTTGGGACTCATTCTCTGATGCATGTCGGGCGAGCGATGCTCACTCGTCAGTTCGGAAGGGGGATGTGCAGGCCACACCTGTCCTCCGTTATAAGACGGAGCTACAGGGGACGCCCAACCAGCCGTCCCAGCCGTCCCAGCCATTGTCATATCATTGCGCGGTGGTGGCGCCGCCACAACACGTCCTTGGCCGTGGTACTTCCGTCTGCGGTAGATCAAGACAACGCATCCTGCCAGCGCGAGAATAAAGACCACACTGCACCCGACGGCAATTCCCGCTATTGCTCCAGTGCTGAGTCCCGACGACGGCGGGTTGCTCGTCTGAGCTGGCGGCGCTGTCTTCTTGGTGCCCGTCGCAGTCGCTCTCGTTGCCGTTCTCGTCCCGGACGCCGCAGTGCGTTCCATCTGCACGGCCAAGTCTGGAGCGTCAAAGCCGCTGACTGGCGTTGTTTCCGTCGCGCCACCAGCAGAGCTACCGCCCACAGCCGTGCGGATGTCAACGGGCACAACGTACGTGGTCAGCTTGGGCTGGTATAGCGCCCAAATTGCATCCTCCTTGTTCTGTTTGCCCAGGTTCATGTTGTGTGCACCCTGAATGGCGGGTACATCGCAGACCTTGTCCGTGGCGTTGGAGTAGGTTCCGCCGATAACAAGCATTTGTGCGTCGTCAATCACGTTGCAGCTCATCATGCTTTTAGGGAAGGCTCCGGTGCCGTTTTTGTAGGTTGGGTACGGGCCTCTGATCCATTGGAAGCTTGGGATGGTGAGGATGTAGATATCGTCGTAGCCCGCTGAGTCCGGGAAACCTCCGCCGCCGTAGATGTAACTAACAGGTTAGCTTTCGCATGTTGAGGTTCGTGGGTGAGACTTACATATTGTAGCTTGAATGATCTTTTGCCCAGGTTGCGCCGCCGCAGAAACGACGTCTGTTGTTGGGGGTGTTGCCCGATGTCTTTTGAGTATACCATTTCGCATTCGCAACATCAAAGAGAAAGATCTCGTCCAAAGGCTGAGGTGTCAAGGTTCCATTGCCGTACAGGTCTTGAGCACCTCCAAAGTACACCAACATCCCGCCGTCTCCAACTGGGAGGAACACCATGGCCCCCTCTGCCCGACCTGTGTCATCTGGTCCAGTGATGTTACTCCAAGTATTAGAGTCCATCTCGTACTTGATGAGTCCATTGGAAGCTCTCGGCGGCCCAGACCAGCCCTTAATAGATGCATTGCTAAGCCATCCTCCATAATAATAAGCCTCTCCCCTTGACGAGATCGAGACACCAGCTCCATAGCTAGCCGCTTGAACCTCATCTGGGGGAGATCCATATGAATCCCATTTGTTGTACAGAATATCGTAGCTGTAGAGATCGAATGATTGTGGAGTTGTGCTATAGTATTCGCCGCCGTAAAGGTAAAGTCTCTTGTTGATAGAGTCTTCCCAGAGAATGCCGCCGTTGACGCTCGGGATCGTGGCGTTCTTCGAGAGGTTGGCGTAGAATGGGGGCATTCCACCACTGTTTACAGCGTCGAGATCATTGAAAGAGAGAAAGGTGTCTGCAATGTTGTTAACGTGAGTCTGAGAGTCCAGGCGATGATACTGACTGGTCAGGTTGTTCGTCGCATCCTCGTAGTTGATCAGCCCGCCGTCGATGTAAAGCTTCCGATCCACGACGGCTGATTGATGGCCCCATCTCCGACAGAAGTTCTTGACCGGGTCATTCTGCCCAAGACAGCTATTGATGAGGAACCATAGAAGGAGCAGGAATGATGGGAAGTTTGTTGAGGCACCCATGGCACCGCGGTTCCGATTATGTATTAAAAGATTGTGTCCGAAGCGATGACAGATCCTGGAATCAGAAATCAATCGACAGCTTACAATTCAGTTGCTGGAGAAGAGGATTATAAGTAGCATATTCATAGACAAAACCCCACGTATTAGAATTCGACCCGTAGGGGGAACGAGGGCTTCTTGCATATTCCCAATGGAGAACGTGATGCGATGACTTGGTGGAAAGCCAGAACACGCCCGCATAGAAGTATTTCCAATAGTGTCGACCATCATGCATTAGTGTTTTGATCTGTCACTGCATAAGGCATTCTCGAACTCAAGCCCCAACTGTGGTGGTTGTATTTACATCCTATCACACTATAGTCTATAGCGATAACGGAACCGGGAGAGGGACTAGACTTGGTTTCCAGGCGGGCCACGATAAATTCCGAGCTTAACAGTGACCTGGATATCAAGTACATAGCCCATCATGCAACTCAATCTGGAAGATCGCGCGATAAAGCCCTACCATGAGGCTGAGACTTGCCTGTAAGCGCTAGGATATCCCTGATTTCAATGCGTGGAAGTGGGGTGTAGCTGAACAACCATCACGGCAATCACACTGCCGAACAGCAATTGAGCTTTGCCAGCGCCCTGAACAATTGTCTAAAAGGTTCAGCTACAATAGACAAAAGCTACTGTCAAATAGTATCTGTCATAAGCGTCTTGAAATTTGGATCATGAAAATCGGAGAACAAGTATGTACTGACTTACGAAAAGCCGCGTTGTCTCATTCCAGCCGGATGTTATGCCCTGTGGCTCAAGCATGGGGATGTCTTAGCAGAGGTCATTCAATCAACGCCACGCAAATTCTGGAACGCTATCATTGCATTATGAAGTCTCATCTTCAAGGGGAGCAGAAAAAGAATAGGTGGCGGCGCAAGCACTGTGCCACTAAGGTCTTGGTCCAATCGACACATGCTGTACGCTTGACAAGGCGCACAGATACATCAGCAGCTACATGAACAGCTGACATACCCATTATACAGGCAGGTGGGTAATAAGAAAATAAGAATTCTCAACGCTGTTGACATAAATTCACAGGTGGCTAAGGCCACAATAGTGTAAAAGCTACTGACTAGTTATGTCATGTCCTTTTACAGAGAGCCTCAATTCCCCATTTTTCTACAATCCACCTAACAGACAAGCGGGCGTGACCGGCTACCCTAGACCTGGGAGTAAGAGGGGCTATCTTGTTGCGTATGTTTGTGAAACTGTGCGTTTAAAGCTTCTTAGAAGAGGAATAGATATACAATATAAAATGCAAAGAAATTCGGTTTATCTTTAAGTAATCTTACCTACTTGGGCGCATGGCAAAAAGGTATGACTAATGGATTGCATGGATATTGGTTATCGAACGATCAAAAGGATATTGTGTCCATAGGATTGGCATAAAACAACACCGGGTACACTAAGCTCAATATCTCTGATGTATCATGTCACATTATCTAGGCATACAAGTACTTGGACACAGCTTCCTCGGAGTTACCTAAGATCTACAGTAGATATAATTGGCATGGGGCTAACTAGATAAACATACAGACAGTCGTTTCATCTTAGCAAACTCCATCCATACAGACCCCATCTCCTCGTTTACTCATCATCTAATCCCACAAGCTTCAGCGAATCCTTCCACAACTTTCCTTCCTTCTCGGCATCGTACGCATAAGCAGCATAAGTCGGTGTGATCATCTTGTCCTCCCCACCTGTGCTTGGCTCGGCCACAGCACAGTCGACAAGGTATTTACCACCCTCTTGCTCCCAGTCCTTACCAACTGCTGCCCACACAGAGGTTGCAGCACCTTGCTCGGGACTCTTCATCAATGGCCACAGGTGATCCATTCCTTCAAATGCATCAGGGGGCATATGCCTGGTCAATGATGTTTGGATTAGGCCTGGGTGGACACTGGTTGCGTGTAGGTGGGAGGCACCATAGCGGCGTTCAATCTCGTTGGCCATGTAGATATTTGCTGTCTTGGATTGGCCATAGGCAGTGTTTGGGTCGTATTTGATACTCTTGAAGGCGTAGTCACTGCCTTCGTTGATGCCATGGATGTTATGACTTGAGGACGACAAGTTGACAACACGAGAGGGAAGAGTAGGGGAGGCGTTGGCGAGTAGGGCGGGTTTGAGCAGCTCAAAAAGGAGGAAGTGCGAGAGGTGGTTTGTGCCAAATTGGAGCTCATGGCCATCAATAGTATGGCGGAGATCGGGGATAGCCATGATACCGGCATTGTTGATCAGACAGTGGATCTTGGAGGTCTTGCCAAGAATGGCAGTGGCGGCAGCACGCACAGACGATAGGGATGCCTGATCCATCTCAAAAAGCTCCATCCGAGACGGGTCGAAAATACCCTCAAGAGCAGATTTGGCCTTGTTGAGGTCTCGGGCTGTAAGGTAGAGAGTGGCACCAGTAGCAGCAAGGGCGCGAGCAGTTTCGATACCAATGCCGGAAGAAGTTCCAGTAATAACAACGACCTGACCCTGAAGCTTGCCCTCGACACCCTCGTCTTGGATGATCTGGAGGGCGGTAGGGCGGGCATCACCTGGTCCCTTGGGTTATTTGTGGGCAGCGGCGTATCGAGACATTCTTGGTGGTTGTGTATAGAGAAGATTTGTGTAATTGATATTGAGTGAGTATGTATGTAAATTGAATTGAAAGAGGTATGTAGTTGTGTTATATAGTTTCGCTCTATAGGTTCACTTAGCTACTAGAATGAAACGATTACCAATTACCGGACTTTCGGACATAGGAATAGGAGATGATAGAAACTCTCAATCCTTTCTGTTAAGAGAGTGATTTTGAAGATATTGTGTTGACTATTATTTCTAATCTGATGACATTTTTACCATTTTTGGACAAGTCTACCCTGTGAAACTTAATGCGCGCTACGTTAGCTGATGACATTTTATCCGCATTTGATCTAGCTCATCGAGCTTAATTGTGGGTTCCACCATTTTAGCGTGCACGGCACTCCCCGACCCTTGAGCAAAGCCGGAAGACTTCTTTTTACCTTCTTCACTCATCCTCATCAGACCGCAAAGCCGAGAAGATACAGAGCAGAACCTGGTACTACACGCAGTAAAACAATGGGACAAGCCACTTTTAACCCCGAAAAAGCCGAGTTGAACAAGCAGGATCGAAAGCTCCAGAACCGGAGAAACCAAAGAGCGCGTCGTGAGTCGTTCTTTTCGTTCCGCATCCTAGCAGTGCTGATGGGAATTCCCAGGACAACGATTAAAGGGCAAAGATGCCGAGGTCGGCCAGGACATACTCCCCTTTGAAGTTAGACGTTGGCGGCTGGACGAGATTGACAGCTCCTCCCAAGACACAAATGTTGACATGACTATGTGCAAATCCCGTCCTCCGCATTTGACAGTTCCCGCAACTGCCGAGGAAGCCACGCTTTTCCCAACATCACAGACCACAGCACATCTGGACCAAGTTGTCACGACGGGTTCCACCCCCCAGCCAATTGACTTTGCCTTCCCTCTCCCTTCAGACCATCTCCTTCACCTCATCCAATACAACGTTTTCCGTGCCTTTATCTCCATCAAGCGCATTCTGAATACTGTGTCGCCTGACCCAATGACCTGCCCCGTATTCGGTCCTTGTCTAGACGACACAATGCGCCGCCCTCCCAATCCCAACATCCCTCCCTCCCTTGCCCCTACCACGCTGCAACTGACCCGATACCACTTCCCTTGGATAAACAGTTTTCCATTCCCAGGCGTCCGCGATAATCTTATCCGGCGTGAAGGCCGTTTTGACAATTGGGAACTGTGGCAAGACCTCGTCGGCAACTTGATGAGCCCCACAAGAGCCGCATGGCAGCGAGAGACACCTGATGGAACCTGTGCCCATGTTCTTGGACTTGAACAGACGCAGGTTCGTTTATCAGGGAGTTATGTGGACACGGATGAGGTTACGACCGGGCGCAATGGTCTGATCATTTGGGGCGAGCCACATGACATGCAGAGCTGGGAGGCTACACCTGGCTTTCTTGCCAAGTGGTCATGGGCTGTCGAAGGCTGTGATGGCCTCGTGGAAAGTAGTAATCGCTGGAGGATGAGACGAGGAGAGGACCCTATGGGGGTAGCGATATAGTTAATATAAATGTGTACTTAAGTATTGATGAAGAAAACTGAAGAACAAAGGATACACAGATTCGAGAATAGAAAAATAAATTGTAAATATGGATTAGTTTATATTTAGTTCATTCCAAAGGAAAGGTCCCTCACTTTGAAATGTTGGAAACGAATCGCTATAGCATACATTTACCTAGAGCAAAGTCTTAATCGACAAGATTAACTTATATCACAACTTAGACCTCAAATCGCCTCTTGAAAACTAATACTTACTCCCGATATGACAGTAATAGACGCCGAATCAGTTCTTCCCATATTATATCCCCCCCGTCTTCTTCCCAATAGCTCTGCCATGCCTGCAATAGTGATAAAGCTTGCTGGTTTAAAGCTGTACCATACGACTTCTTACCGCTTGCCGCCCCCATTTCTCCGTCCACTTCACCTACTTCTTCTCCGTCTTCTTCGTCTTCTTCGTCTTCTTCGTCTTCTTCGTCTTCTTCGTCTTCTTCGTCTTCTTCGTCTTCTTCGTCTTCTTCGTCTTCTTCGTCTTCTTCGTCTTCTTCGTCTTCTTCGTCTTCTTCATCTTCGCTATACATGTACTTTTCCACTTCCCCCCTCCACTCATATTTCACTTGATTGGCTACAACAAGCGTTGTCTTGTAGTCAATGATAGCGCCTTTCCGGACCAAGAGCTCAACAATCTCAAAATGACCACTTTCTGCTGCCGTTTGCACTGCAAACTCCCTCTCAACATTGAGAAAGTTCAATTTAATGTCCCTCTCCTTTACAAGCCTCCTAACCACCTCAAGTCGCCCGGTGAATGCCGCTAAATGTAATGGCGTTCGCCTGGACTCGTCGGTGGGGTTGATACGAGCTCCGTTGACAATTAACACACCGGCAATATCAGCGTATCCCCGTCCGGATGCGTGATGTAAAGGAGTCCAGAGATGATTATCTTGGCCATTTATATCAGCACCCACCTCGATAAGCCTTTGAATGACTTTGATCTTGCGCATTTTGGCTGCCCATATGAGAGCCGTGGCTGAGCCACCACCTTCGTCCAGCCTAAATTTCGCATTAACATTTGCTTTGTACCGAGCAAGCTCACTAATTGTTTCCAGATGGCCGCTCATTGTCGCTAAATGCAGTGCTGTTCGATCTTGCAAGTCCTTAATCTCTATGCTGGCTTGAAAATGTTTGATGAGATCGATTTCGCCTCCTAGAGCGGCCAAATGTATAGGCACTCTGCCATAGTTATCTCTGGCAAACTGATCTATAGCTTGCCTGTTATGGGAGAATAGCGATTCTATCATGTTCTCAGAGCCGACCAAAGCTGCGCAGTGCAGAGGTGTCATTCCGTTAACTCCGGTTATTGTGATGTCTGCACCTGCTTCTAGTAGCGGTCTGAAAGAAAAAGGGTTCCAGTGCAGGATAGCGTAATGCAGTGCTGTCTGGTGCCGAATGTCAACAGCGTTTACATCAGCCTGCTTTCTAACTAATTCATCAATCCATGCAGAGGCCTCCCTTTTTTTTCTAGCTGCTGCATAATGGAGGGGAGTCCACCCTAAAATGTCTTGACCATTGAATTTCATAAAAAGTTCATCCAACACACTTCTGGTTTTTTTTTGAACCTTAGCAAGCTCTTCATAGTATGGCCTCCCGAAACGAACATTATCCCTGCCAGTTTCATCGGGAGTGGCAGCATGGGAGTGGAGTTTGGTGAAGTTACAACTCAGAACTTTGCCCGGTGCGCCGTCTAATCCTTGTTGGTACCCATGTACGATCTGCAGGTCCTTTCGCATACCTTTGTAACTGTCCCGATCCAGGATAGACAAAAGCGTGTCTTTGACACGAGCCGCTTGTGGGTACTGCTCGTCTCTATGACCTTCTGGATCCGCGGGCAATGTCTCAAGTGTTCGGATGTATTCATCAGCCAATGCCACCACTTTCCTAAAAGTGTAGCTGTCCGGGTGGAAGGTTTTGGTAAGTTCAAGCAAGGCCGTATAAACCTTACCAGCTGCTTCCCAGTTCAGGAGTCTTTGATGTTGCTGCGCTTGAGTGAAGACTGCTTCAATAACAGAGTCTAATTCGCCGAGCCTTGCCTTGGCGTGCAGTGGGGGGATGATGGTAAGATAAGCCTGATTTAAGTTCATAAGACCAGAGTCTCGAATTGCTCCCGCCAGCCTAGTTAGGTTCTTTCCTCGCAAACGGAGGTTGTTCCATTCCCCTGGGATAATGCTGCTCATTGTCTCCATGTCTGAATGATCATCAATGGGACTATCCATCTTCGCGGCGGCAGCGGAGATAAAAGCGTGAAAGATATGTCGAGCATACACTTGTTCCAGTCCATCATTCACCTCCGCGGCGGCAGCGGAGATAAAAGCGTGAAAGATATGTCGAGCATACACTTGTTCCAGTCCATCATTCACCTCAATCGATAAGAACTGCCTTGAGGATTCTGTCGCCGGTATCGTGTCTTCTTCAAGCTCTTCCACAAACCCTTGTGCCGAACTGCCTTCAGCTTCTTCACCAAAAGCCGTATCCGGGACCTGATTTGACCTGGGTGTGGAGATTTGAGTGGCATATAAGCTTTCCGTCCCAATGATCCTCCATGGTTCGAAGCGATCTTCTTTTGTCTTTTCGTCTATAGTTGACAACTTGGGTGCGTCGACCGGCATCCACCACTCAAGGGCCTGTTCAAGCTGCTTGCAGTATTCCCCAAAGAGAACCAAGCCTCCTTCAGCCCAGGAAGTCTTTCTGCGTATCCATTCGTCATCATCATTGTTGCTTTGTGTTTGCATCCTGTTGACAGATTCTCCCCGCGTTTCATCTATCGAACATAGCCACAGGGACAGAACCGAGTCAAGCTCAATAATGCGACATTTCCATGGCCCGTCCTGGTGGCTCAGATGTAGCTCAACAGGGTGAGACTTGGTGGAGATGTTCTTCTCGTGTATTGCCACTCGGATGGTCCATTTCCAGGTTAGCGACTCCGTGTGAGGTCTGGGACAGAGCGTATTCATCGTCGCTTCTATCGCCTTGGCAAGAGAATTCGCCGCTCTTGATGCCGGGCCTGCCACTGCGATAGCCGTGCTAGATGTCTCCGGATGTCCAAAATCTCCTGAGCTTCGTTGGTTCCTCGATTAACTACCAGTCCTGATTTCAGAGCGCCCGCATTTGTGTCCTGCGTGGTACTGCGATCCGGCTGTCGTATAATTGGGTATGGTTCCTCATCCTCATTGATCTCTACTGTCCAGGTCCGTTTCTTAGACAACCCAAAATCAACCCCTTTTTCATCGGCGATAGATCCAGGACTCTTGTCCAAATCGGGGTCTCCCAAGGCTAAAGCCAGCCCGTCAAGTTCGAACCCGTTTCGCAATTCTCGGTCATACATACGTGCAGTAAATCCTCGACGAATCCAAGCTCGAATAATCGTCATGATTATGACCACAACAAGTTGTCCGACTGACGCGGACCAATGCATCTCCCTAAGGCCAATGAACTGTACAAAGAATCCCATAAGACATACCAATGTTGCGATGACGCAAAGGTTGATCGACGGGCTTTCCTGCTCTTCTGGGCAAATAGTCTTTTCTGTTTGGGAAGCCTTCAATTGCCTGGCACGCTGCCGAACCGTGGAGTCCCCTTTTCGGACTTTGTCTTCGACTCCGGGCGACATTGATGCTTCTTTCTCATATTCCTCGGGTGTTCGTCCCTTTTTCTTTCTCTGCGAGGTGGTGATGACTTGAGTAAATCGCCGTGGAAATAATGCGAATGAATGAAAAGCTTGGTCGCTAATAGTCTGCTTTTCCTGAAGCCAGATCATCCTCATCATATGGTCTTTAGAAGGCTCATATCTCTCCTCTTCGGTACTATGATCGACAACATGGGCGCATAGCAACATGCCTAGGACAAGGAAAATAGTACCACCACTAGCCAGAGGAAATGCATACCCCACAATATCTTTGTCATCTTTCTTGAACTTCAAAGTTGGATAGTAAGTGATGAACGCAAAGTATACCAAGACTCCGAGTTGAAGTATGATCCCAAAGCAAGCAGCTACCAGTAATTGACCTTCAGTTGCTTTGTGGTTTCGGTTGAGAGTAATGTTCGGAGCCTGTGTGGAAGTATTTCGCAGAACGATCAATTCGGAGGGATTTGGTGGTGACGTTGAGGGTGATGTTGAGGGTGGCTGTTCTGGATTTGAGTGCAAGGAGTCTGCTGGTCGTACGTTGTCCAGAGACATCGATGTCGAGGCTTCTTCATCAGCAGGAGTGGGCCGTGGCCAATTCCTGCGAAGCACATTTCTGCGTTTAGCAAAATGGTCAAACACAGCTTCCAAAACGAAGAGCGAAAGGTCTAGATCAGCTCTGAAATTTTCTCATGAGGGGTCGCGGGTAAATCTCACAGCCTCACTTTCCAACAAGCTGAGACATGCGGTAATGAGCCAGGGATGATAGTAAAATATCAAATCACATTATCGAGCGCTGCTAATCCCCGCCTCTGTGGACTGGGGTAGGTCGTGCTGGCGGGCCAGTCTCCAATTAGAAGTCGCGTTTCAAAGCCCTTGTCCAATATTGAGGCCCGCTGCAGCGCCACGAATGGACTGTGCAGATCTATCATAGTCGCTGAGGTGAGGGTTGAGCGTTTAGCAATCTCAGCAAGTCGAGGTAAGTCATCGATCCCACAGCTCCGATTCTCGCGATGATATATTTACTTTAGAATTTAACCCAATAAGTGTATAGCAACAGTTGCTGACAAAGAAAATCACTTATAGAAATCATGAGATTGTTTGCATTCACACTATGAGTATTAGCGACATCTCGATCAGCATACTTAGCTAATTATGTGGCCGAAGAGATGAGAAATTGATAAGGCATGATCGTTGTGAATGTTTGAACAAGTAGACCTTTTGTTTTATGTCTATCGTACTCTTCTATATTCTCTATTGCTGGTGTTCGATTGTCTGTGTATAGCTGGTCTCTACATATATCGACTGAGCGGTTATGTTCTCCCCTGAACTAGACCTTGATGATTCTTGTCTGCCAGCTTGAGGTCCAGCAGTCACGCGGTTTGTCAGCTCAACCTCATCGTCGTTATCCCCGAGCTTAAGCTTGTCACCAACACCAAAATACCTGGATCCACCATAGGTAAACATTGGGTCTTTGGAGCTCGACTCCCCGCCTCCCCATTTCTTCGAGCTGTTACCTGTACCTTTCCCTCTCTCACTCCCCAAGGAAGAGGAAATTCTATCTCGGATGATATGTCGAAGGGGCGCAAGGTGTGGGAGGCACGCTGACACAATGGCAATGCATGGCTCGAGATCAGACCAAATGAAGACAGGCCCCATGGCTCTCGTCACGTCCACAGTCTTTGTCAACTCAGTCAAGAAGTGAATACGCACAGCGCTGGCAGCACATACACTAGAGGAATAAGTCAGTAAATTATATCACAGGTAGACATCAATTGAGAAAAAGAGACACCTACAAGCTACCCAACATCATAATGCTATTAATACCCAATCTCTTTCGCAGGGACATCTGTAGCTGGAATATTTGTGGGATAGGTACGAGTAATATGTAAAAGTCATTGACCATATTTACAATCCCAAGAGCCAGAAAGAATTTGTTGATATCTATGCATGTCCCTTCTGTACCACTGAACTGGGTCCAAAAGTGCTCAATCGGCCTGCATGCATTTCCCATCGTAACCCATACGACGATTGGATACGAGATGGAGAGAAAGTAGCCAAACATTATCGAGATCCGGAACACAGATTCCGTCGTAGGGAATATTCGGCCGTAGAATAGGAGGATCGAGATTTTGATGATTGCGCATGAGGCCGAGTATAGAAATGTATACCCAAACAGGATCTGTTTATTCCATTAGCTACGTCAGCACCACCTTAGTATATGTGACTTACTTTGTAGATCTGTTCCAGGTCCTCCATCTGAAGTGCCCAAACGTGTTTCCCAGCTCCATAGATGCCACCTGTAATTGATGAGCCAGCCTAACAAGTGGTGTAGGTGATTGTAAAGAGTTCCTACCAGCAATGGCTAAGCTGGCGGTTCCCGCAACCAATACCATAGACAGAATAATAACCCAGTCATCCCAATGAATCCTCGTCCGTTGAATAGTTCTCGCTACAAATCGTAGGGAGATAGCCAGTAAAGCTAGGATAAGTACTGCGATTATTGCCGCTCTATCTGAGGCGGCAGTGTTGTCGCCGAGGTCGATGTCTGATGGTGGTGGGCCAGCGATGGCAATAATTCGAGGATCGGTAGAGTTCATCATTGGCAGGTGAAAGTGGATGGATGCGACGGAGAAAGTCAAATCATATTAAAACCATGGGGAAAAAAAGACATCAGAAAGAAAAGAATTGTTGCTAATGCATGAGAGCGGTGCAGTGATGATTTTCCATGGTAGTTACATTCTGCTGCAGGAACAAAGCTCAGATCAATGCCTCAAGAAATGGGTTGGCAGATATCCCCAGTTTCTGAGACTTGCCATGCCTGTTTTTACAGACCGCAAACTTCTCATCAAACGGAACACGTAATTGTAGAACCAACACAAACTCCTGTCTTCAAAAGTCCGCCCCGACGAGGCATTTTGGCAGGTGATCGGCATCTTGCATGCTGTGCCACTTGTTCCCACAACAAGTCGTATGTTAACAGTGGCTATTGGACATACGTACCTTGTAGGGTCAACTGTTGGTCATTATTCCATTTCCATACAGAACAATGAAGTTCAACGTGCATCTCGGCTAGACTCCTAAAGCAAGCATCATGAACTCACAAAATGCGTTATTACCGCGATTAATCCACCCGGAATGGTACCTAGCTACAGCCCGCTACATTACGGACCAACAGCCCCGGATTGTGCCATTCCATTATTTCGTACGGCGCAGGTTCCTGGCGATGAACAGTTGAACCAACATATCTTATGCAGTTGGTTCTGTCGAAACGTGGGCCGAGATTATAATGTAACAACTGACAAGGATGCTTGCTTGTGATGCTTGCACTAGTTGACATGTGATTTCAAGCCCAGAATCACATAAACAGAGGTCATTAATGTCCCCCCGAGCTGCAAACTTGGATGAAGTTTAGTAGATTGGAAAGATACATGTCGTTGCTGGAAATTACTCCACGTTATTTTAGACAATAACTTTGAAACTGGCTGGCGCATTATGTGGGTTTGGAATAACAGGGTAACAGGGTATGGCTTCTATCTGTTTGTGATTCGTCCGGATAACAAGAACCCTTGAGGCGGATTCTCAAGTCCCCTGCTATCATACAACGTAGACTGAAGCATGCCCGCAAGTCTAGCCAAGAAGTAGGTAGCGGAGGCGGAGCCATCGCCGTTAAGAGCCATAATAAAACACGAACTTGACAAAACTTTCCATTGAGCACTGCCTGGATGATCCTCAATCATATCACTCTTATTGCTCCCTTTCTATCAACAAATTCATTGGTAATATTTGCTTTTCTAACACACCCAGCGTATCCCACGCCGATATTTCGCTTTCTTGAACCAGTTACTTTTCCCAATCACTATCACAAACTACTAAGCAATCGATATGACTTCAAACGTATCGATAAGCGACATTCCAGAGTTGACGGCCTTGGAACGCGTTGGTCCACGAGGTTACCTACGTTATGTGTTTCCTATGCGCCTCGCAGAGGATTACGATCGTGACGAGGTTTTCAACGTTCTCAAAAACGGTTACAAAGCTGCGTGTCAGCGAATCGGCGTCTTAGCATCTGAAGCTGTTCCAGACCTTGATTCAAAACAGGCCAATCTCCTCAAGCTCCAGAGGCTTCCCGGTGATCAGATTGGACATATTATCAATACAGACTTGAGGGGGGAGTATTCCTGGACCTACGAGCAGCTCAAGGAGAAACATTTCCCCACCTCAGTTTTCGACGTCGATCTGCTCATGCCTGGTCCTCTTTGGCCAGAAGCAGGGAAATCTGTTCCTATCTCCCTGGCTCAGGCCAACTTCATCGAAGGCGGTGTTCTAATCGGATGGTGCGTCTTTCACATGGTGGGCGATGCTACCACATACCTCACCTGGACCAAGATCTGGGCCGAAGAATGCCGTCGCTGTCAAGGGTTCCAAATCGAATCTCCATTGGTCATCGAGGATGCTATGATATCTGATAGACAACGCGTTACAAAGCCCTCGGGTCGTAACAAGGGACGAGCTAGAGACCACCTCGAGTACACTATTCTCCCCTTCACTCCCACAGGCGCATCCCCAGCAATGCTGAGTTCAACCTTTCGCGGACAGGTCTTTTACTTCTCTCCTTCCTCGCTCCAAGCACTCAAAGCTAAGGCATCGCCTATTAATGTCACCAAATCCACGGATCAGAAATGGATTTCTACCAACGATGCCTTTTCAGCTCTTATGTGGCGAACTGCTATTGCTGTACAGGCGCCCATCGACAGTCTCAATGATACCGAGGATCCTCTTTCTGTCTTTAACATCGCCGTAGACGGCCGCAAACGTACCGAACCACCGGTGCATCCTGAGACTCTGGGTTGTTTCTTGCAATATATCTCTGTCTCTGCGACCATTCGCGAGATATTGGGCAGTATGAGCCTGGCCGATCTCGCTGTTCTAATTCGTAAGGAAGTATTACTGCGGCTCAACAACCAGTTCACTGACGACGTGGTCACGCTCATTGACGAGCTTGAAGATGTAACTAGGCTAGTCCCGATAGCATTTCTCGACGTGCTGGGCAAGAATTCGGTACAAACGTCTTGGGCTGAGTTTGATTTGGCAACTGTGGAATGGGGACAATTGTTGGGAAACAGGGTGGAGGCTATCCGTTGTCCGAATACTGGTATTCTACCTGGATGTCATGTTGTTCTGCCGACATTGCCTGATGGTGGTATTGAGGTTGTGTTTGGGACCGAGGGTAACCTGTTGCAGAAGGTGCTTGAGGATCCTCTCTGGATGGAGTTTGCTGAGCCGAGATGAAAGCTCTACATGTATGTCTCCACTATAACCCGAGGTACTGGACTATATACCCGCAACCAGTAGCATTGCAATACAGGGGATCATACAATTGATCCATGTTCTCACGCTTTTTAACAACAACAATACATATTCATCAGTGGCATTCTCCGTAGCCATGATAGCCTGTCATCCATCTGCAATCAACAACTTCCCAAAAGATAGACGCACTACCATATCTGGCGGTCAAGCTCTTCTTCTCACCAGTCTCTGTACTCCGTATTGTCTGTATTTTCCTTGCTGCTTTCACCCCATTGGTCAAATACAAATACGGAATTACCCAAAAAGAAAAACATACAACAGCGGGGATTCGCTGGTCGTCACCGACCCAACTACTAATCCGCCCCTTACCAGCTTATCTATGGGAGAGCGGACGGGATCCCGAGTTCTCTGATAGGTATGGTCGTATGTGCAAGTCGGGTGAGATCTTGAAGCTTATATCCTTAAGGTGTTTATGGCAGCGTCCATAACTGAAAAAGGTCTTCGTTGGCTCGATTGACCAGATGGAGAGTTAATGCACAAGATAGCACTGTAACCCAGTATACTATTGAATGATAGTAATATTCCAGGCTTTGAAGGATAATATTTAGGTATGAATATCGAGCACGTGGACAATTTGCCTGTGGTATATGGTTTGTGGGTGTAAAAGTTCCGACAAGTGTATTCCTTTGTAGCCTAGGCTAGATCTCCCAGTATGTGAACAATTATGCAAAAGGAATTAGACTAACAACGAGGTCAACCCTATGAGACTTTAACACTCATCTCTTTAAGATTCATCGCCCTAAAAAGGGTGAAACCGAACATCGTTGAATGTTTTCGAAAGGCCGAGCGGGGCGGAGCGGGTATTGCCTCAAAATCTGGCGGCTGACAGTAAGAGACAAGCAACTATCATGTTGAAATCAGACATATTGATAAGACAGTCTCAGATGAACTACATTTAAGTTTCTCTTCTCAGCAAGCTATACTAGTATGGTTATTATTGGCAAAATGTTCAGCTGGATTCAAGTACCAGGATGAGAATTGAGAAATATCCTCAATGGTAGCGTCTAGAAATCCATCCCACGAATCAGATACTCATATGTTTATCCTGCGCACCTGATAATAGGGAATCACAATCAACCTGCCATAGTAACAAGTTGCAATACCATAAAAGCTTGTATGCCTGTTGCTATAAGGACGACAAAGCTGGACCACTCTGTTGGAGCAGTAAGATAAAGGGGCGGTGCTATGACCGTGCAGGTTAGAGCTAATATCATTGGCGGTACCCATATTCGCTTCCGTAGTCTGGAATCTACTTTCAAAGGGATACCTGAGATGATTAGAGTGAACACTTGTGTAATACAGCCTTGGAGGAGAAACCAAAAGTCGGCGTCTTTTGTGGTTCCGGGTAAATGATCTGAGTAGTAGTAGGCAAGGGCAAAAGTCCACACATTAGACATTGTCGTTCCGATGAAGGTCAACCAGAGTATCATGGTAAATGTCTATTAAGTACAAGTCAGCATTGCTCTAGGGATGCGCACAAAGTGTATATACCCCAGACTGCGTTTGCAGAGCCGCGTTGTTCTTTTGGGGTACATGACTTTTTATTGCCTCTTGGATTCGTTGCGTGAGTTCGGGCCTTGAACACGTCTTAGCTTTAGTCATTATACGCTGTGTCCAATGAATTACCATGTTGCGAGTGTTCGAGGAATTTGTGAGTGCTCATGGTACAAACCAACGACCCTCTCGAGTAGATCCCATCGCTCGGAAAGCACCAGCCGATAATCGGATACTACCACCCCTTCTGAGGCTGCATCAAGCAACGCAGCCTCTATGTTAGCGGCTAAGTCTGTGATCCTCTTCAGATTTCCTAGCGTAGGTTGGTGTATCTCATCGCCAGCTAACAACATTTGAGCGAGAAACGAAAAAGCCATTCCCCAGTAGTGGAGGATGCGCCTTTCCTTCAAATATAGGCTACTAAAGACGACTCTTCCGCTAGTGATGTCTTCAAACTGGGACATTATTATCTGGAGATCAGCCAGGTCATCCTGGGCTAGCTTTTGCGCAGATACATCGCCTTTGTTGAGTTCACCCTGTAAGATCCTCTCGTAGAAATGCTGACAATAGAGAAACAGAAATTGGTCTAACTTCGACAAAGAGCCTGCAATAGCATAAAGCTTCTCGTTTGTAAGCGCAGGACCGTGGTCGCTGCTTATAATTGCTTTTGGCAGCTGGGTAGCTATGTATGTTTAGTTACCCACGACGTGAGACCTCGTTTAGGCGTACTGACAAGGAGATAACCATCCCACGTTTGTTCGCCTGTGGGTCACTCGCTGTGAGGCCCCTGATTGACTGTACGATGTGGTTGACGCCATGATTGAGTAGCATCAACACGTGAATAAAAAATGGACTGTAATTTAGAGACTTTGAGATATATTGTTCACATCGCCCAGTGATGCTGCGTGAAATAAAATTTTATAACTTGATATTTATCGTCAAAATTGGAGATCTTCCCAGGCTTATATATGAGGATGATTTTACCTAGGACTTTCAGTTTAGTAATCTGAACGCTGAAGATAGGCGGATTCCCAGATTTTTCAATGGATGGTATAGGTTAATGGCGGAGGCGCAGCAGCTTACTAGTGGAGGCGGCGCAGTTCATTAGTGTAGGCGTAATCCCTCAAGGCAAGGGCATCATGGTAGGAAATTTGGGCTCGGGGTTGCTAAGCAAAGCGTGGTATAACAAAAAGATAGAAAAAGCGATTCTAACAGAGCTTCTAGAGCATGGCACTTATTTACAAGCAGAACGGGGGGGAAGTATATTCAAGGTAGCAGTGATAATTAGTTCAAGATTGATAGGCTTGCTATTATTTTAAGCAATGAAAAGAACTTGACCGCTCGTCCAGTTTCACTTCCAACGCCGACCTAAGTATGGTAAAGGTTCAAGCTGTGTTCTATTACAAGCTGTATTGCTGATCTTATTTCGATAATCCCGAAAGTTAACATCGTCATTCTCCAAGCGTCTTGAAGATCAAGCTGTGCAGTAAGGGAGCTGTAATTGGGGCTTGTATCGACCAATCTTGTCAGTTGATTTCTTTTTCTTTTACTTCAACCTTCAACTTTATCAAGCCCAGGTTTTCCAGGTTTCTCCATGCTATCACTAACATAACTTGTTATTTATAACTGCCATGAAACCGCGATATGTCCTGTTCTATATGTTCAGAAACCTCGATGATTACCTTCCAACTAAAATGTAACATATGAATAATAAAAAGTTCTCTTTAATTAAAAGCTAAGGTTTTAACTATAACAACTATTTAATCCATGATCAGTAGTCAGTTAACATGGATTTGCTCTATAACAATTTCAGATGTGAAAGCTCTAATTAAAGACTATATAGTACCCTGTCCTTAGATAAAGCCCTCTAGTTAAAGGCGGGTTCGCTAGTAACTTGTCTCTATGCATTTTCGACACGTCCAATGTTTACTAGTGGAGGATCTCGACCTAGCTAATTTCTGCATGGAAAGGTATGTGTCGCATACGGTCATGTCATCCATCCGACGAACAGTCCTGACATCAACGCATCCGCAAAACCAACAGTTCAAACTCATAAGTTCCTTTCACCTCCTATGCTCTCCATGCAGGGATACTCATACACGCGCAGGCTATACGCATCCAATAATAGGACGATACAATTAACAAATTATCGCGCGTTTCAGATGGAATAAAAGAAGTAGCTATTCCCCCCAATACCGACAAAATAGGGATATAAAAAACCATACCCAACTCTAGTATAAAGATCTGGGTGTCAAGTACTGTTCCCCGAATAGCGCGGTGGGGTTGAATTATAATGAGGTGAAGTAATCTGAGCAGCCTCCCAGTCAAACTATGGCAAATTAAATAAACGAGATTTTGAGACAAAACGACAAGGAGAAAGATCCCAACTTCGCGGAATATTGAAAATTTTAACTCGGGGTTGATATGACCTGGAACCACCTGGTCCTCGCGAATGCGTATTTCATTCATGAGTGGACTAATCTGGGACAATCTTGGCAGTTCTCTTACGCACAGATAGAGGAGAAACGCAATATGATATTGGAACACCTCTATTCCTTTGTAAATGGCCGGGAAAGACGCTTTGGCTACTAATGTAGCATGGTCGATGTAGACTAAGTTCTGTGCAGGTGGTTCCGTTGGGGAGAGTAAGAGATGAAACTGCCGATACCCTGAGAGGTAACGAGTCCACAGATAAAGTCCAAACATACCTAGATGCACAAGAAAGGAGACTTGCGCATTTCCTACTTCGAAATAGTTGACCCAAGACCCAAGGTCCAGGCCTGGTTTGTCAGTGCATAGTTCGGCTGAACTTGGAGGCGTAAGATTTATCGTGCGAGAAATATAGGCTGACCAGGGCCAATACCCTGATTTGGGATCGTCCTCAACAGATGAGAAATTACGGTTTGCCCGAGCATCTAACTCCAGGGATTCTCTGCGAAACATAGGGATTGAGAAGCCAGGGGGAGCAGGGATGGTGATATTTGTCATGTTTGGGCATGATGAACTAAGTGAACGTGTAGACTAGCAACCACAATTAGTCACATGAGGGTAAAATTTGGAACGACCCTACTTTACCTCGTCCATGCAAAGAATTGCAAAGTCTTTGTAAGCCGTCCATCTTGCATATTGACTTGAAGCAAGAGAAGGCCAAAACGAGAGGGCGGCAAGGAAAAGTGAAAGGACAGATAAGAGTGTGGCCCAGAATTGCCATTTCTTGAGCGTAGATGACCCGGTGAGTCGACTGAAAGCTCTTGTTGTCAGGTCTGGCAAGAACAACAAAGCTTTGAGGAAAGATATCCATGCTGTGTTCATTGTGTCTCGAATCCAGTGCGTTGAACACATCAATGCCGACGACATAGTTAGTGGGCTCTGATAATCTGATTTGATATATGCGGACGCTCGCAGTTGTATGGTTTCTCAATTAATGATCTTTGCGTGAACGAGTCAACTCTGAGATGTGGATTGTGTTTGTAGAGGGCATGAGAGAGGGGTTGGTTTGGATGTGCAAAAGGCTTTTCGAGCCTAGTTCATCTTATTGGCCCCACGTAACGCGATTTTCAAGCGCGTTGGTATCCTGTGGCGGATGCTTATTGGCTCTTTGCCCACAGCTGTCATGTCATATGCAGGCCGATTCATGTAACGAGTTATCGAGTCTCAGTGCATAAGAACCTCAACTAATCTGTCAAAGACGTAATCTCACACAGCAGCTCAGGCGCCTCTACGAGCATGGCGAACAGACATATACCTTCAGTCGGAAGTACTGGTGTAAATCTGAGTCTTTCTACTTCTCGACGCACATTGACATGCAAACAATACGTCCCCGCAACCCCTTTAATAAAGTTAGTATAACTCGAGATGTAAAAAGCTCTATATCCTCAGCAGAGCGAAGATGTCAAGGGACTCGATGTGGCGCGATGCGATGGTAGAATGCATTCAGGCTCGACACGGGTGATAATAGACCAATGGTATAAGCATCGGTATCGGCTTGTGCTTTGACCAACCTGGTCCAGATTTTAAGTGCCAAGTGGGGCATGGAAAGCTATTTACAGTTTGCAGTTAAGAGGTTGGGCCGCCGCTGTAGGCACCAGGTTCTCAACAGGTGATAAGCTGTTTGGCATAGTAGGAAGAAAGTTCGGGTTTGTAATTGATGAGCAAAGCGGTGTATAACAGGGAGAAAGATGACTGATAGTCAGACTAAGAGAATAGAAGAGATTCTGGAAGAGCATTTGAGAGATGGAAATTATAAACACGCAGCACGGTGGGAAGAAAATGAAAGGCGGCGGTGACAACTCATCAAGATTGCAAGGCCTTGTATTGTTTTAGGCAGAGGAACAGAATTTGCCCGCTCATCAGACTCCACTTTGAACGCCGACAAAAGTTCCCAATCCAACGCCTATGTAAACACCTGAACCAAAAATATACATAAATGGCCTGTATAGGTGTTGTCAAAATCATGCATGACCTTGAGGGCCAACACCAATGTTATATACATGTCTAGTGTGTTGTGTGCAGATAAGCGGTATGTGCGATGAGATGGAGGTTGACAGTGGCTAAATATGTCAGTAGGGTTCTAGACAGAAGGCTTGTATGACTTACCTATATATGTGGACTCGTAGGTGTAGGTGTAGTACAGAGTCACAGGCCCACAGCTGCGACCAACAATGGTCGGCTATTGTTGTGACCATCCTGAAGCGGCGAGATGTCTGGGGCGGATGTTCCGGCACAATCGATGAGTAAGGACATCGGTCAAGAGTCTCTGCAATTGCCGCCATCCACGCGTTATTATGCTTGTGTCCATCGTTGCATTTCAGCAACCTTCGAGAGAACGTACAGACGAGACATCTGCGAAGGCAAAGGTTTCACGCTTCACTCCTCAAACAGACGCACCCGCATATACTCAAGAACATCATGCTTGACATCCTCCGCCAACTCGCCCCTCTCAACAGAAGCAGCCTTGGCCTTGAGCTCGCAGACATCCTCCCGCATATCCGCTAGCTCAACATCAAGATCTGCCAGCTCTGTCGTATTCTCATCGGTCTTAGCCTCTACGCGTTCGAAATCATCCTTCTGCTTCTCAAGAAGAATGACCCGCTCGCGAAGCTCCTCGACTTCCTTCCGTAGCCGTCGGTTATCGTCTTCTAGAGCCTCAGTTCGCAGATCTCGCTCTTTAAGCGTCGCGAGCACGGCCCAGATCTTAGACATATCGCTGTCGCGCTCATCGTGGGAATCCTGCCGAGGGCGTTTCTTGGAGTATATAGGTGCGCTGGGAGGAGGCGGCGTGAGTTCGCGGTACGCCGGGGGGTTTTGGCCGGTTTGGGCGGCGAGATGGATGATCTTGGCGCCTTTGCCGCTGTATAGACTGGCGAGGTCGTTTTGGCGGACGGACTTGTAAAGACCTTGGTTGAACGCGTCGCTGAGCTGTTGCAGGTTGGTGTCCGAGAGGACTGTGTCTTGGATAGAGATGGAGAAGTTTGTGACATTAGAGATTTGGCGGATCGCGTCGAGGACGACGCCTGAATGTGCGCGTGCAGGAATGAGGGGGTCTTGGGCGTTGGTGGGAACGAGGATATCGAGGGTTTGGTTGAGTCGAAAGTCAAGGCGCGTGGAAACCGTGAACTTGGATGGTGTTGTTTTGGGAGCCGCTGGGATCGACGCGAAAGAAAAGGAGTCGACTGTTGATGGACATATCCGTAGCAGCAGTGTTGAGATGCTATTATCTCCCTTGTCATCCTTCAGCCTGATATCCTTCAATTTGATCGGTATGCTCAGCTCAAAGAGCGAACACGTCGTGTCAAAGCGCGTCGTAAGAGTGATGTCGCTGAACTTAGGATCAGATTCGCTCAGGGAGCAATCCACACCATCCCACTGCCATCCAACAACAGCAGGCGTGACATTGCAAATCTCGAGATCTGCCATATCTAAAAATCACGCGATTAGCTAGACGGGGGCCTTCAGTAGACTTACCAGTCTCTACCGCGCCTCACAGCCACAAACACAACACCAAGAAACAACAGCTTCGTCGACAGGCGACCCGTTGGCCTCCAGAGCAGAGCTGGCAGACCAAGTGTCAGTCCTCCAGAACATAGCTGGCAGGACTGAGCCCGAGTCCCTTCTACAGTTCCCCGGTTGTTCCGCCCGGAAAAAGAAGAAGAAGTTCTTGTTTTCGCGGACGGGTACAAATCGGAATTTTATAACGGTCTGTAGCGACGATTTGCTGGAGTCTTGCGATGCGCGTGGTGGTGTTGAGATGTGATGATGCTGATGAAAGGAGGAGATTGGGAAGCGAGATGCGTGATGCGGAGTCGTGAGATGGAAACTTGCTGTGATTGGCGGAACCACTTAATAATCAAACATGGTGCCTTCAACCTCAGGCATCAAAGTCTGGTCCATGCTCGTTATCTTATCTTATCCTATCTTATCTCCACGCGATAAGAAATAGCAGCAAATTGGTTTCTTTACCGTCGCAAAACGATCTGTCGTACTGAACTGCTGTGTCACTCTATAGAATTCAGTACAACGGACATTTATATCGTAGAATAAACTTACTTTTTCGAAGAAAAGTCGAGTTACCGCAAAAGCAGAATGAACACCGGCCAAGTACCCACTAAAACCTATTACAAGAGTATCCAACTTGTCCCTGGACTAAACGATATTACTTCCGTTCTATGGAGGCACAGACTACGGAGACAGTAGGTGGAGGGATTACAGTTTCTTCCTATAAAATTCAGAATACTGGATGTGAAGTTTCTCATGACAACTGATCAACACCTTCAAAAAACCCCGGCAATGTCTTTTCCATTTTCCACAAGCTCAATAGGTCTCTTAAACCAGCGGGTCCTCTCGCTTAGTGAGTTCCTGGATTTCTTGCAAAAGAAACTCCATGCTCAAGGTATGATTGCCAGAAGAGCTCCGTAAAAAGTTCTTGGGGGCCCGTTCGAACCGACGTGCGGGATCGTTGTTTTTAAACTTCTGGCAGTATCCAGTCATGACAATGCGGCCAGCTTCTAGCTACAGGTTAAGTTCCTCATTTGATTTGAGAGAGTAGGATTTATACTGCACGGAAACCAGTTGCGAAAAAATCGATTTACGGTGAGTGAATCTGACTTTTGTATGTTGGACCTTACTAGGAGCTTAAACTATGGTGTTAATGAGTTAATGGGTGATAAAGGTTTTCCAAACCAACTGTTTATGACGAGATAAATAAGAACGTTTGCTAGTAGTAACAAGGCAGTAGTCTTTAGGACTCGAGTCTGAGCTCTTCCAATGTCTCCGGGATGAAGACCGACGACGAATAGTTGATTCCTAGGCAAAGCAGGACTTGGGAGCTATTCGTTACTTTTCCAGCTTGACTAATGAGGGTCTAGACTCTGGATGTCACTGAAATTACTTCTATTAAAACCTACCATCATAGTTGACTTCCGCATCATGTTCATGCTAACCCAATCCTATCATTGACGATCTAGATCAGAAAGTGGCGTTTTTCGCGTTCTGGGCCACAAAGTGAGGCTGAGCTACGGTTGCGACTTGGGTGAAGTCGGCAAAAGGTGGAAATGATGGCTTGGCCGCATGACACCACTATGATAGGGTCTAAAATACCATTTCAAGTTAGAAATACTGCCGTGGCTTGGGAAGTATGAACGTAGGGCGAATTGATTAGTCCAAGACTATTGAAGGTTAAGGCCAGTCTTTGGGGCTGAACAGCCGCACGAGTCCGGCAAGTTCCATAATGTAGGTATCCTTCTGGCACAGTTCCAGCTCCCTGGATTCTGCCTTGTATTTAGACTGACACCCCTTAAGTGACGGGTTCTATCTATAAAGTCTTTGCCCTCTATCTGAAATGGGACATCTTGGTAAATAACCAGAGATCTCACACCTCCTTCATTCTGCACCCCCAATCATGGCGCAGAAATCTTTTGGGTGGCTCTCTGAAGCTGTAAAATGGCCTTCTCTCATACTTTTTGGTGTATTCGACATTGCTCTCACCATCGCAATTATTATTCTGGCCGTTAAATCATCCAATGAGCATGGGTTCGTCACAATCCCCTCATCCTTGATCACTTCAAATAGCTCGCTGGCTCTGCCTTGGCGAGACCCTGTCCACTTCAACGTCTCCCTGGATATTGGAGTTCTTTGGACTACACTGCCCAATTTTGTCTTCGCCCTCTTTGCCGCCCACTGGGCCTGGATAGCCTGCGCTATAGCAGAACGTCAACCATACGTTGAACTCCGCGCAAGTGGAGGCGCGGAAGCAAGGAAGTCGATATTGCTAGATTATCGCGTCACTCCAGTGGTTTTGCGCTGGTGGACAGCGTTTCGGAAATCCCACACGACAATTGGGGCAGTGACATTGCTCTCTGTGCTATTGACCTACGTTACAGCGCCTTTCGCTGCGCGTCTGTTCACGACTCAAGTCGTTTCAGTACCAAAGAAAGTACCAATTGTATACGACAAAGAGTTTAGGGAAGAAAACCTTGACGCGGATGTTGACTGGCGACCGATTTTGAATGTTGTCGCAGCTACCTTGCTTTACCAAGGTAAAAGCATTGCTTGGACAAACAACCAATACGCGTTCCGTCCGTTCTCCAACCATTCGAGCGTACCAGCATCAGCAGGCATTGAGGCGAAATCCACCGCTTTTGCCTCCTATGTTAATTGCGAAGTTGTGAAGGATTACATCATCAGATTGAATAAGAGCCCCAACTCGAGGGACGGTACTGTTGTAGTATCCGGAGACGACAGGGGCTGCACTTTCACTCAAAAGTTCGGAGTCAGTAGCACGCAAATAACATATCTGAAGAGCACTTCAGTCATTGATTGCTCTGTTCAAGCGTACTACAGTCGTTTAGTCTTCACAGCTGGGACATATTCTTCTTCATCGTCCAACCTGCTCGACGATATCAGTGTCATCTCCTGTGCAACAGAATATCGTCAAGTCGACGGCAACTTGAAGGTTTCCTCGCTGAATACGTCCCCAACTGTCCATTCCTTTGATGAGACAGGTCAACCCGATACCAGCCGACCATCTCTCTGGAGAGTTTTCGAGCAAGGAATTGTTGGCCCAGTGACCTTCAATCCTAAAGCAACATCCTCAACGTCAGATATGGCCAGTTTAATCTTGTTATATGCCCAGAAATTGCAACCTTCGAAACAATTGACTCCAGAGGTATTGATTCAATCGATATCGACTATTTTTACAGCCATCTACCTCAATGGTGTCGGATTCCATGGCTTTAGTTCAATTTCAAAGCCTGAAGCGAGCACGGGCGAAGCATTTATCCCCACAGTCCGCCTATTCGTCGTTCAATGGGTGGCATATGTCATCATTGTGTTTCTACTCATTGCTTTTGGTTTTGTTTTCTGGGCATCTTTCTATGTCTATAAAAGACCCAGCATCTTGACCGAGGAACCTCAAGGTCTTTTATCAGTCGCAGCGATCCTGAGCGAGAGTGACCTTCTTCGTCTTGCTTCTAGCATTCGCCAAGAGCCAGGTTTTGATGGTGATGTACGCCAGAAAGGTAAAAGTAACTCTGAAGTGATGGACAGGAAGTGGACTGCGACTAAAGATGATAAAAATGATCAATGGGTCCTGTCACCGATTTAAGGGTATAAGACGGGCTAATTTCGATTTTGAGAGCTTTGAGAATCTCTGTGTAGACTTGGCTTTGCCTCAAGGAGAGGTAGTACGGTTATTAGAACTTGGGAAGCGCCAGTTCTTCTATCACTGGTTCAGGCTATAACACACGCCACAGTGAGCTGTTAAGAGAAAGGAAAATCCAAATGTTTTACTGGTCTGGCAGATGTCTGTGATTACACATGAATGATAAAGCAATACTTGCTTGTACATAAAAATACATAATCCCAAGGACTGAGATTCTGGGCATGACTAAAAAATATTCAGCAAGAGCTCAAAGGTGAGCCAGCGAAACTTAGAAGGACCTTGAAGCTGTTGAATGTCATAAGATCCCCTCCGAGGTCCCATAACTTTTGATCCTATCCCCTAACCTCCATTGATTGGAATTCCATTCTTTCAAGAGGCTCTTAACACCAGCTCCTCCAGCCACAACGAAATCAATATCACCATAACTTAATACTTTCATTACAACGACCTCATAAGAGCCTCCTTCAACTCTTTTCCCTCCAGAGCATTCCATACTACTGCATTTATCGGGTCTTTCCGCAGCCAATGGATAACCCTGATAACGAAGTGAACACCGTGACTGTTCTTAAAGAGCTGAGTACAATCTTTAACCGCAAGGTCCGTGTCCTCTGCGCCAACAGGTCGGATGATGTATTCATTCATAGCTGAACCGGTGGATCCAATGACGCTCTGCAAATCGTCAATCAGGTCACTGTTCAGGAGGGCTGTTTTTGTCTTTTTGCGCTGAGTGGAAGAAGGCTCGCCGTTTGTCGATACTTCCATTTCCGCGAGTCTTTTCCGCCTTTCTTGGCTCCGCCTTCCTTGTCTACGATCTTTGCCAGTCAGACGCGTGGGTGGCGCGAAGTCGTCAACTTGTCGGGTCACATTGCCTTCTTGTGCAGGTATACTCGTCGACGCGTTCTCGTGTCTGAAGTCGCTGTCCTCGGCCTTGTTTTTACCCCTAACACGGGTACTAGGGGGCTGGTCTCTCTCCGTTTATAAACTAGCTACTTCCCTTGTTTCTAATTTCCAAACCATATCTAAGCATTCCCTTCGTTGCCAAGATGTCAGGATGGCCTGAAGGTAATATTTCCTTACTCCTCGCGACCACAAACTCTAGTAGCTCTATCGCCTTATTGATCTGCCCATTGTCGAGATATGCACTTGCAAGGTTGTGTAGTGATGTTAGTTGACCGGGATGATCCTTCGGTAATATTTCCTTACTCCTCGTGACTACAAACTCTAGTAGCTCTATCGCCTTATTAATCTGCCCATTGTTGAGATATGCACTTGCAAGGTTGTGTAGTGATGTTAGTTGACCGGGATGATCCTTCGGTAATATTTCCTTACTCCTCGCGACCACAAACTCTAGTAGCTCTATCGCCTTATTGATCTGCCTATTGTCGAGATATGCACTTGCAAGGTTGTGCAGTGATGTTAGTTGACCGGGATGATCCTTCGGTAAAGTATCCTTCTCCCTTAAGACCACAAACTCTAATAGCTCTATTGCCTTGTTGGTCTGCCTATTGCTGAGATATGCACTTGCAAGCTCATGCAGTGATACTAGCTGCTCAGGATGATCCTCAGGTAGTGTTTCCTTCTTCCTTGCGACCACAAACTCTAGTAGCTCTATTGCCTCTTTGCTCTGCCTATTACTGAGATATGCACTTGCAAGCTCATGTAGTGATACTAGCTGCTCAGGATGATCCTCAGGTAGTGTTTCCTTCTTCCTTGCGACCACAAACTCTAGTAGCTCTATTGCCTCTTTGCTCTGCCCATTGCTGAGATATGCCCTCCCAAGCTCATGCAGTGATACTAGCTGCTCAGGATGATCCTCAGGTAGTGTTTCCTTCTTCCTTGCGACCACATACTTTAGTAGCTCTAGTGCCTCTTTGATTTGTCCATTTTCAAGATATGCTACTCCAAGCTGGTGCTGTGAGATTAGTCGTTCCCCGTTGTCCTCTGCTGGCTTCCCTTGAATCGACGACGCGATCTCCTCCAGGAGTCCAATTGCCTCCCGAATTTGCCCATTCTTTAAATATGCGTTTGCAAGCAACCTTTTTGATGTGGGTCGATTCGAATCATCTTCTTTAAGTATTCCTTTTTCAATTTTAACCACGTATTCAAGAAGCCGTTTTCCCTTTTCAAGTTGCCCATTCTCAACATATGCATTTGCAAGCCGTCGCTGTGTTAACAACTGATTGACATGATTGTCTGGGAATATGTGTCTTTGAACCATGTCCACATGCTTCAACCTGTGAATAGCTCTTTCTCTCTGTCCTTCTGCCAACAGACATGTGCCGACATTGTATCCAAGCATACATGCAGCCTCGTTCTCGATGCCATCAGTGATATCAAGAAGCCTTTGAGCATGTGGTAGGTACTGCCGATAGAACTCTCGATTCTCCCATTCATAATATGGAAATATCTTAGCAACGTGTGCGAGGGCCAGCTGTTGAACGTCCTGCGCATATTGGCCCTCTTCATTCCATCTCAGTGCCGCTAAATGTACTAGTCTGTGTATGTCGTATATTGCTTCCTGACCTCTTCGAGTCAAAAAACCATATCCGAGAAGTGTCCCGATCGCTTGCTCTAGCTGTTGTTCTGTCTCAGGGACTGGGAGTAGAGATCGAGGAATTGCCTTTGGCTCAATAGTAGACATAAATGAAAGTATATCAGCTGCCTTTGGGTTAGAGCTGCGGATGCGGTTGAAAGATACGGTCCAAGTCGTAGCCACAGCACTTTGTGACTTATCGTAGTAGGTCTCATCATCCTGTCCATGCTCGAGGAGCTCCATGGTATTCTTCCTGTCTGTGTGTTCGAAAAGCTTAAGGTAGTCTTTTATAGACGTCTGGTTTGTGTTCATGTATGCTGTTGCTTGTGTAATCGCCAGGGGAAGATATGTAAGGATGTTGAGCAGCCTGATAATAGTCGCTTCATGCCGCATTTCTTCGGCCCAGAATCCATCATCTTTGATGAAGGATGCTTGGAGCAATTCCGAGGCTTCTTCGAAGTCCATCTCAGATAGTTTCACCACCTCGTTCTTCGCTGCCGCCACAGCCACCCGCCTAAAACGAGTGGTGAATAAGATCCGTCCATCAACGTGGTTTGGTATAAAGTCGAAAATGCCTTTGGCAGTGCCATCGGATGGGTTGAGAATCTCCAGATCATCTGCATTGTCGATAATCAGAAACCACCTGCCAATTCTCCCCGAATTGAGATATCGTTGTAAAACCTCTTTGACATCTTCGCTCTCCGAGTACTGAATGCCAAGATTCTTGACAAGCTTTGCGCATTCTTGTTCAAATCCGGCCATACTGAAGGCTGGCAGCCAGAAAACGGACCAGCCTTGCTGAAGTGTAGTTGCCGAATAAGCCAGATGAAGGGCTATTTGTGTTTTCCCCATCCCACCGAGACCGACCAGTGCAACCTTTCTGCGACGGTTTGTGTCGAATAGCTTTTCCTTGAGTTTTCTGACGACGGCTGTACGTCCAATGAAGTCTGGGTTCTCAGGGAACGGGATCCAATGATTGGTGGTGACTTTTATTCGTTAGGCAAGGAGTAAATCTATAAGTTCTAGTGAGACTAACCAGTTGGCTCCTGGGATACTTCAGCCGAAATTGTGGCATGATTCACCTCAATGTGTTGTGTCAGACAGTTAATAAATCTCCTGGTGGCCCTCCTGTTCTCCTCCAAGTAATTCCGAGTGTGAGCAGAGATTTTGCTTGACTTTTCCCAATCCGAAAGCGTAACGTCATCAAGTCCTCTGTCGACATTGAAGCGGAAATAGACACCCTCGTCGCTGTATTGTTCGACCAACCTAGAGTCTACTTTCCTTGAAGTAGTTGCCATACTCTTCAAGGCTTTGAGGATAGACTTTCTGGTGTCGCTGATACTCACGACATCTCCAAGGCCGGTGCCAATGCTGAGAACCTGCATCTTCTTCCGATTGGGGAACTGGGCCTGTGCTTCAGCAATGAGAACCTCACATGGGTTATTGTATCCAAAGCCCGCGTCTATGAACTCGATATCGTCCCTGCCAACACGGATCGGCTTGAAGAATGTTGTTGCTGCGGATGTAGCTCGGGCGACTTGCCAGATGGTACATCCGTCAAGACTTGCGGAGGTGTCATACGTTGTGAACAGAGTCGGAAGAGCATCGACATTATCTTTCGTGATTGCCAGTACGACTCTTCAAAAATCATTAGTTATTGATAATCTAATAACACTAGATCACAATCGGGGACGCACGTCTTGGTGGATGACTCGCCGCGAAAGTGCATGCCTTCATGAGGACAACTTTCAACCGTGGTCTCACCATGCTTTCTTTGTTCGAGGCACGCGGAATTGATGCAATACTCTCGGACTGTCTGTTTGATAGCAGCCTCAAGCTGTGTGGCAGAGAAAGAGCCGTTTGGTCTACCTGGGATAATCGCCCACGGCTTGGGGGTGAAGGCTTGCTGTGCAACCTTCTTGTACGCTCTGATACAATCGTCTACTGTCATGCCTAATTTTCCGAGCATAATTGCAATAATTCTGCACGCCGTTAGTAAAGTCAGGAAGGACACTCCAGAGCATAATTGAGAAATCGACTGACCCTCCAGTGCTGGTGCCGCCAATGAGGTCAAACCATTCGCAAGGTCTTGGAACTTTGTCAAGCCCATTTGCTTCACGGAGACCTTCCATCAGATTCTCGAGAATCAAGAGACTAGACAGGCCACGGATGCCTCCACCGTCTAGAACTGTCAGTACTAATGAACATGTCACATTTGCGTGACATCGACTTACCCAGAGAAAGAATACGTAGGCATTGGGGATCCATTGCTGCTACTAGCTTGGTTTAGCTTGGGCTACTGTTGTGCGTTCTCCGTAGTGACACAAAAGAAAGAGAAATCCAGGGCGGGAAATAATTTAGATGAGACATTTGGGCCCTGGGCAAGAATTAAAACTGATGAGGCGTAAGTGCGGGGAAGCAGCTGAAAAGGAGTGCATATGCAAGTTTCAGTCAGATGCTATTTATTGGTCAATGATAAGATCAGGCTCCGAACTCATGCAACTATTGTCCAATAGTAAATAAAATGGAGCGGTGGAGTTCGATCGCGAGAGAATGTTCCCAGGCAGCCATAATAAGCAGTCAGTTACTAAATTGTTTCTAATAACACCGAAGACCTCATTTGATAGAACTTCGCCTACCGAGTCAGGAAAATATTTTGGATCCTAATCTGGTCTAGAGTCCGGCGTTTATGAACTTTGAAGTTTAGGAAGACAAAACCTCAGTCCCCTGGCGTTGGTCCATTTGTACCTTCAAGGGTCTATATCTTAGCCTTGTCTTCTTCTTCACATAGAAATCTTATTAACTGAGTACTCCCTATTTCCCTTTACTAGATATCTATTTACCACTAGGGAAAGTTTTCCTCTTAAGCTCCCAGATAACCTCTAATATATAACAGCCTTTACTAGGCAGACGAGCATTTACCATATGAACAAAACTTGAGCAGAGCAAGAATACTGGTATTTATACCAGCAGACTGGCACCAGGCGATCCTAGCACGTATAGATTAGCCGTGGCTAGGTGAAATACCGTATCGACTGAGTAAATTCGCTACGACCTGTAGATGCCAATAAAGATACAGAGCTAGTAAGCTGTAGCTCGTATCGATTCGCTTTGATATAGGCCGGATGGAAGAGTATAACCTTGCTCACTTAGCCACCCTTTTGCCTTCTTAACCACTAAGACATGCAGTTCGTTAGTTTGAAGTCCCTAGCGGTATACATAGGTTGTAGCGAATTAACTTAACTGATACGGTACTATCTGGGCTATTTAAAACCTGACAAAAGTGAAGATGCGGGTAGTGGATCGATGAGAAATGCAAAAAATGAGGTTCTGCCCGGGCTCGAACCGGGGACCTTCTCGGTGTTAACGAGATGTCATGACCAACTAGACCACAGTACCTACTGTTGTGTGTGAGGCGTCGGAACTTTACACTAAGTTCAACACTCAAACTCAAGTGTGTATTACCTTTAGGAGCGATTTAATCCTTGCACTAAGTACTTCGCTATATGTTAGGAACTCTTCGACCAAGACTGTATAGCTTACAATAGCTAGAATTATACCGCTTTAGTATAAGCTCTTATTTCTTTATTTATATTAAGCTTAGTAGCACCTTTAAAAAAGAGATCTAGCTATCCTAATTAAACCTTTAGAAATATTAATAATAAAGGTCCCTATATAGACCGAAAAGTAATAATAACTTAAATTTAATAAGGTTACTTACTATATTAACTATAACTCTATTTCTTAATAATATAAAAACCCCTACTAAGGCCACTTTTCCCTCTCTATACTCCACTTCAATTAACCTACCCGCACCTACATAAGAAGAAGATCGCGATTACCAAGTAACCCGCCAAGCCGTAAGTTAACCCGACCGCTTTATAATTAGATTAATAAAGCTAACCTTAATCACAGCCGATATGTTAATTAACGCCCTGCCTGCCTTCTATAAGGACCTTTAGCTAGCCAATAATAGCAACGTAGCTAGGGCATATAGAGGGGAATTTCGGTATAGCTAAGAGGCACTTTTTAAAGTAATTACCGGTAACCGATATAGCTACAGATAGCTACGGTGATTACTCTATAATAATAACCTATACCATACCGTTAAGGTAGGCACCAGGCCTACAAGTCGGGAGACTAAGGTCGTACTTGCCATCTTCGGTTATAAGGTCCTTTAATTACCTAGCCTCTTTACCTATAATAATAACCATAGGGGTAAAAATATATGGCTCGAGATAGAGATATCGCTTCTCGAAGGTCTTGTTTCTTTATATCTATATTTCTTTATCAAGTAGATTGAATACGTATATTATAGCCTTAACCCTTACCCTTCCCTCTTGAATAACGACTCTGCTAGTGAGATACTGCTGTCTGCCAGAAGTGGATGTTAGTACTGTCTAAAGATAGCGATGTACTTGATTAAGTTCCTTCTGTGGAAGTCACTGATCGTCTTTTAGCTACTTTAGGTAGTATGGAGAACTAAAATGTTGAACCAGATGAGGTTGACCAGTCTGAAGTACCAGATCTGCTACCAGAGGAAGCAGAAATGGAAGCATTACATTCACACGTTCTTGGGGAAGAGCGTGATGAACAGCTTCTTACAAGGCAATCGACACAACATCAGCTTGAAATGCCAGGCATTTAGAGAACACCGATAAATAAGTTCAACCAGACACTCCTGTCCTGAGCCTTTCCAACCCTATTTCCTTGTGGTCAAGCTGATTTCATTGCGCGAAGGTTACTGCTTATCAAATATGATGACTACACACAACATGGCCTTCAACGGCATGATGGCACATTTTATCCGTCATCTCGCATTCCGCTTTGTGGTTTTCAACACACTGATGCGATATTAGGTACGAGCGAAAAAGCAGCCATTTCGACAAGCACTGTCAACAAAGGCAGGGTCTAATGACGCGGGCTGATCTGGTAGAAGCTTTCCGGAACCCTGAATCTGCAGAAGCCCAGCATTTACTCAACTCGATCATCTGTCAGACAGCACAGTTTCGCGGGACGCGCCCTTATTGGTACCGCTGGGGAATGTATCAGCATACTTTATTTTATCTTGAATGAACATGGCGGATTAAACGTATGAAATAGGCACCTATACCAATTTCAACACTCTCATAGCATGTAACTTCTATCACTACCGTTTAGCACTTTCTATTATTACTCTTTAGTGATGAAAGCCCTTTCGATAGTCCAGGTAGGTCGAAGCCTCTGCCCGAGTTGAAACTTCGACAGACTCGAGAGTTAAGCCCGCCCACGAAGTGAACTTTTGAGCAAGGAGACTTGGCACTGTATCCAACCTGTTCAATTAGCTACAGATTTGGATTGTTGTAGGGCGGAATACAGAGGCCTCTAGGCCAGGAATCCTTCACGGCCTTATTTGTGAAAGTGCGTCCCACTTCTATGCTCATAGATTTAGCACTAACGTGGAGATCTAGATATCAGATGCAGGTTAGGAGGCTTTTAGTACAAGTTTTTAAAAAGAGTAGAAATTATATTAGTAATAACTATTCGCAAGTTCAAAGTAAAAAGAATGACCAAGAAATGTTGTCGTGTCGTCCTATCGTTCAAAGTAGACTTTCTTGGCCCTTCTTGAAGATAGCACGCTTTAACTCCTTATCCAGGCCAACACTTCCTTCAGATGTGCTATCAAAGATCTTCCTCCATCCAATGGCATTAAGAAGCCACACGACATACGAATTGGTTCCCTGCCATATGTACTCCCCCTTGGCGAGAGCTGTCTTGTTCTTCAAGACTTCTTGTACCACTAGTCGTGCGAATTCTTGAGGTTTCATCCCATCACGCACATGCAGCCTAGATCTCTCTTTGAGACCCGATTCGGCGTCAAGGAAAAGGCTACCGGAAGAAAACAGTACTCTATCGGGCGACACGAGCTTTGTTGCTACTACTCCCATGAACAAGGTGACCACCTTGATGCCTAAGGGAGCCAATTCGATCCGCAGGGTGTCAGAATAGGAGGACACGGCCGCCTTGGAGGCATTGTACTGGGCAGAAAATGGATAAGGAAGTCGAGCTAGAATTGATGCAGTATTGATGATGGTAGGTGGCGTACTTGAGCCAGACACCGATGCAAGAAGCAGTGGGGTGAAGGCCTGGACCATATCAAAAAGACCAAAGACATTGGTACTGAACATATTCTGGACCTGTTTTTGGTCTGCTTCAATGGCAGGAGCCTCGTACACTTAGATGGTCAGGGTTGAGTGACAGAGCTCTGAGATCAAGCAACTTACTCATGCCAGCATTATTGAACAGGATGTCCAATGTTCCTCCAGTTCGCTTAGAAATCTCAGCCTTAAGAGCGGAAATACTCTCTGGTTGGGTCACATCGAGCGTCAGAGTTTCGATGCCTTTTTCTTGGAGAAGAGCAAGCGTCTTGGTGGATCGAGCGGTGGCAAAGACCCGATACCCTTTAGTCGCGAACTCCAGAGCAAGGGAATTACCAGCTCCGCCTTCTGAGCAGCTATAAGTGTAAGAGAGTTCGTTAGTATGTGCCCTCAAGTGCAACCAAGATGGGATGTGACAAACCCAGTTATGAGGATGGTGGGGGTTTTAGCCATACTGAAGCTTGCGTCGTAATCTGATGTGGAGGATTGTAAATAAATTGGAGCAGATATTAAATTCTTAACTACCTTTCTTAGCTTTATAAAGAATGCTATTACATGTGAAAGTTAGTAGGTATGTTATTCCGCATGACCCAGTTCCCCCCCTCTTTCGGGACTCTTTTATCATATTACAAAGCTTTATTTTACCTGTCTGAAGCTCGGGTATCTATTCCCTGCACTTAGCCCGTAATTGTCGCTAAGGGAGTTAGTTAATTAAGAAACCCTCCGGCTGTCAAACCTAAACCCTCCGGTTGTTTTAAACCGCATCAAGTAATTAATAATCAATGCCGAGTCCCTTTCACTCAATCTTGACAGGGTAGTAAACTCACCAAGACGCCACTCTGATTAAAAATTCCGGTAGAAGTTTACAGCACAGCAAGGCCACTAAGATATTTCATATAGGAACATACAGTAACAAACTATATACTCGTCATTAGTAACGATTCAGATATAATCGGGTGCGAATTATGGGGTGGGGTATACATAAAGTATTTCCGGGGTCCGTGATAAATACCATGACCCTGCTTTAAACAGCAGGTCGGACCACTAGTTTATTCAGTGTTTTATAAAAGCTCTCATCCTGCGACTGATAATAAATGCTCTACGACATGGCATTAAGTAATTAGGCTAGCTCCGGCAATCCAATAAACAGAGACAGAAGGTAAAGTTCATTAGTGTCCCTGCTTACTAAATGCGTAAATTGTAACTATTTATAATTAATAATCATAATTAAGACCCAGTAAGTAATGATTATAATAATTATATAATAAAATGTCAATTGTAGTCTTACTAGTAAAAGTTCATTTTTCTATTACTTTCAACCTATATTTATATAGAAGGTAAATAACTGCTTAGGCAAGACTTCCAATAAAGATCATTTTCCAACGTCGTAAAAGCCATTCCATCCACCACATAACATATTCAATACCAACTCGCCTTCACTATCATGTCGTCCCTCATTACCAACGGACGCTACCCTCCTATCCCTGGCGCCACCCTCAATGACGTGACCAGCGAGGAGAGGTCAAGTGCAATTGACTTCGTCAACCGGCATAACCTTATCTTCGAAGAGTTCGACCATGAAAAGATGTTAAACACATTCCTCCCAGACGCTGTAGTCTACCATACTCATGGCACTATTCGCGGTCATAAGGATATGAAGGACTTCTTCGTGAACACGTACGGAGCCTTCATCCCAGGAGTTTCCCGCCATGCCACCAACCATGTCGTCGATCGTGACGAAGATGGAGGTGTGATTGTTCGATACCAGGAATGCCTTATTCGATATGGATGGCAAGGTGACGACCTGGCTGCTACCAATGGAAGGGATACTGTTAGGGAGGACGGCCTCCCAGCAATTTGGTGGATCGGAAGGAGCATCGATCGGCTAAGAATGACGCCCGATGGCTGGAAGATTTTTGAACGTCATCTTGGAGCACCTTTTAGAAATGGCACACTGGACCATGATAAGGACCCTAGTCAAGGGCAAGGATCGCGACTATCGGGAATAACTTCACGATTGCCATGAACTTTAAATCACAGGCAGCATCCTGCTGCCTAGACGACCGGCAGACTGAACATAAGTATAAGAGGCCGATTCTCGTCGCTCCTTCAGATAGAAAACCAAGCGCTCATTCAATCATGGCTGTCTATCCGTGTATGTAACATTTATGAGCCGGGTTTGCCCTAATCTATTTATCTTATCAGCTTCTACTGCAGCATGTCGCCCGCGATAGATCTTATAGATCCGGCACTTGAACGTACTGCGCAAAATTCTGGCTCGGGTTCATGATGTTACAATTAGTTACGGAAACAGTGTCGTAAGGCTTTTATAGGCAGTTGTCATCACCACCATAATTACTTACGTAGTGATTGATAGTTGTCCAATTTTAGAGGGTAGGACTATTCGCTTTATTTAATTATTTAGTATCAGCCTTTACCTACTGCCTCTTAAGGGACTGATACAAGGTACAAACTCGAAGTAATATGTGGGATTACTTTCATATTGGCGAAATTTCATTTGTTGTAGGGTAAGCATGTCACAGTAATTTCCACAATTCTTACATGCATCCTGACTATTGGCCTTGGTGCCACGCCGGCAATTAATAGCTCCAACCAGTTCCATTCTAGAGGTAGACTGAAATAAGTAAAAAGTATTTTAAGGGGCATTATAGAGTATTATATAAAGGACCAGAAGGTGCAAATAACTTAGCACTCGTCAAACTCTTTTTTACCAACTTGCTGTCACTCGCTTCCATCTTTAACCCAGTCATTCGTTACCATGATCCCGTCTTACATTCTCAGTGGGACTATCGTCCTGCTTGCTACTGGTCTGGCCAGCGCTGGCCCTTGTCACCCCTCATCGATTGCTTCTTCGTCGGCCATTTCTGTCATTGAGACCAGCCTCCAGTCGTCCGAAACGCAGACCGCGACCGAAGCGATCACAACTAGAGAAGCAAGCTCCATTGCTTCAGCCGATACCACCCAGACTGATGCTACCACGACCGAGCTCAGTATCGCTACTACTACTGTTGAAACCACTACTGGGATGACCTCGGATCCCGCAACCACCGCCGCTGCAACCACCACTACTACAGTGGCCGAACCACTCCCATCAGTCAAACTTATCGCCGTTGGCAGCAGCGACCCCTCCCTTTCAGTCTCCGGTGGTCTTGGGTTCTCAGAGATCGGAACAGTCACTGAAGATATGGAGGCCATCAACTTCAGTGCCAACCCCGCTAGCACTCTTGTCTTCACTATCAGTGAACTCACAGGCCAAGTCAAAGTCGGCAATGGCCCGAGCGAAGGAAAATCTGCCTTCTACATCAAAGCAAACATCGACTACAGTGCGGTTTTCATTGTGGATGATGCATACGGGCGGGACAATGGTTTCACTCCGGTGAATTGTCGGGCCGTAAATGCCAATGGATACCAGTCGTTCCAATGCAAGTACAACGATGTCGAAGATGCTGAATTCTGGACATGTGCCTCCAGGCTTATTCTGGTCAAACCTGGCGTTGACTTTACGCAGAGATGTCCCAATGCTTCAACATCTTACAAAATACCAATCATTCAGGTAATTGATGTTTGAGGACATCGTATTTTGAGGGCCTGTCATGAGTTCAATCTTTATGAGTCTGGTGGGCGTGTAGTTATTTTTCACTTCTTGGAGGTGGGCTGCTCACTCGCTTAGAAGCAAGTGTCAAAGGTAGCCAGTGCTTATGTGGTGGATAAGCTGTATACCTGTACAGGTGTTTAACATGTATTTATACTTTGTGATAGTGATTAACTCTGTGTGCCATCTAGTTGGTTCGTTGAGTAACTCTCCTACCCTTCTGGCCTGGTTCGCGGAACATACCATTGTTGAGCCAGAGGTCACTGCTGATATTGCTGACTGCCACTCCATATCTTGAAGTTGATGCATTGCATCTTTAACTCATTGATCAACTTGGATTGGGAGTGGGCGAAGAAATACTAGCGCCTTTAAAAACTTGAGCTCAGTCCACTTCTTTGCCTCTGAGCATACACTGATCCTTCTATATCTCATCGTGCTTGTCCTCGGGAACAATCGCGTGCACATGCCAATACGAGACATGACCCATAGTAGAGAAGCCGTGACTATACTCAAAGACCAAGGTCGAATGAACGGATTGAGATCTTAATTCGGAAATAAGTCAACCCTAGCTGATAAGCTTACGTTGTTATCGATCTTACACGGACACCAATCAAAGAATGCCAACATCACAAAGGGCGGGGTATGCATAACATCATCCTATAACCCTGAGCTGTACAGAAATATTTCCCGCAGATCTATCCCCCTCCCGCTTGCGTTTTTATCATTTTTATTATGACGAAATGAGGCTCATCGTAGCTCAAACGTTTATTAAAACGCAATGCATTTCGTTCGCGGAGTTTTACGGCGATGTGCCACGCTACGCCATTCTTTCACATACTTGGGATGGTCGCCAAGAGGTTATTTTCCAGGAGTGTAACCTTGAATCAGCCAAGTCTAAGACAGGATATGAAAAGATCCGCAAGACTTGTGAACTAGCGCTGAGCGATGGAATCGACTATGTCTGGGTTGATACCTGTTGCATCGACAAATCAAGCAGTGCCGAATTGACTGAAGCCATCAACTCGATGTTTCTATGGTATCGGAAAGCAAGCGTCTGCTATGTGTATCTTGTGGATAAGTTCGAGGAATCGCCTCTGGCAGATTGCCGATGGTTCACTCGCGGCTGGACGTTACAGGAGCTCATAGCGCCAAGAGTGATGACCTTCTTCAACTATACATGGGACTGTATCGGCAGCAAGGACAGCCTCATGGGCCAGCTTACAACTATTACACCTATCGACCCTGAGATTCTCCGACACGACGCTCCTATCTCATCCGCATGCATCGCAAAACGGCTCTCCTGGGCTGCGGGGCGAAAGACAACTCGAGTGGAAGACATGGCATACTGCCTGCTTGGGATTTGCAATGTTCACATGCCGATGCTCTATGGTGAAGGGAAAACAGCATTTCGACGTCTTCAAGAAGAAATCATCAGGACGACATATGACTTGAGCCTCCTAGCTTGGACATCGCCAGTTTCATCAGATAGATCGGAGAACGAGTATTGCGGGTTTCTGGCTGAGTCAGTGAACCATTTCGCATCTTGCTCAGAAATGTACTCTGTCACCGATTCCCTCCTTGGCGAGGGCGATATCAGCGTCTCAAATAAAGGTCTGAGACTGACGACACGAGTGCACGCTCTAGATTATTCGCATTATTCGCAAAAGGGTTACAGATATGTCCTTAGGCTGGATTGTCTGTCCCCCGGTCACACTGGGCACTCTTTAACCATACCTATGCGAAAGGTGGGACCTAATACTTTCATCAGAGCTCGCAGTCTGGTGAAAGACAAAATGGATTCTTTCTGTCTCGAGTCTGTTTCTCTAGAAGAGAATATGTTTTATACAGTTACACTTCTTACCAAAATGCCAAACTCAACCATTGGATCTCCAGTATCTACAGCCAGAAACTCGAATCTTATCGCGAACAGCCGCTTTACTTTAGTTTCAATAAAGCTACCACCGGATATCTCAGTACTCTACACAACAGAGATACCTGTCAAGTTTTGGGATATGGAAGATCATGTATTTTTCGGCCCCCATGGCTCGTATAAAAACTGGGGTGCAATAATCCTCGAAACGGATACTCTGTTCATCTGTTTTTGGCAGAAGGAGGGCACAGAGTGGGTTTTTAACGCAAGTCTCCTCGACTTTCGAAAGAAAGGAGTCCAAGATCTATGGAAAGATCTTTTTTTATCAGCTGATCAATTATGTTATCAGCAACCAATCGTCCGTTATATGCTGACGAACGTTGAGAATGAGATGAAGTCCTCTATTGAAACTCGTCTTGGAGAAAACAGGATTACTTTATCATTCAAGGTCTGGCGCGCAGACGATCCGAATTTATGCAGTGGTCCACGATGGAGGGTTGTGTTTAGCAAGACAAGCTTTACCAGACAGAGCTCTCCCAAGCCTGTTCCCGACTCATAGGATGTCAAGGTGACCTCCTAACTATATACTTCTGATATTTTCTGCGCTCCATTGTACGATCTGGTGTGCAAGAAATACTACCTGTGGAAAGCACTAGTAACATAACCGAGCTTGATGCCATCGGGGTTGTTAAGAAGTTGGAGTAGCAGTCATTGCAATCACACGTGGGACTTTGGATGTATGACATCCTGTTTCAGAAAGATCTACAAGATAGTTGGTACTGTGGTCTAGTTGGTTATGACATCTCGTTAACACCGAGAAGGTCCCCGGTTCGAGCCCGGGCAGAACCTCACCTTTTGCTTTTCTTATACAGAAGGGATTGAGGGTAAACAAGTTAAATGCTCTTCAGGTTACTATCAGGCTTAGTTAAGGTAGGTTGAAAAAGCAGCTGTCAATCTTGGTCCAGTGACAAAATTGATGAAATCCAGACACTAATTATGAGATGGTGCCCGACAAAGACGCAAAAGAGTTACTGCACTTCTCAAACCAGATGCGGCTTTTGGAGGTCGGACTGCCTAGCGGGCTAACAACGCATTCAACCCGTTGCGATAAATATACAAACACGCACTTTGATGAATCAAATTTCCGCTTGCCAATAAGGTGTTCGAGGCAAAATTTCTTCGCTGGTGGCTCAAAGCGTTAACGTTGCAGCTTTGACATACGTAGTAGAGCCTTCTAGCAACAACTATTTCTCAAACATCTCTCCAGCACAGGGCCTAGCTTAAGAGGCTGGAAGGAGTTGATAAGAAAGAATCGCGGGGTTGTAGTTAATCACCATGATATTCTAAGGAGATGATGTGGGCGTTTAGCTACCAGATTCCTTCTAGCGTTATCATAACCACCCCGGACGGAGCAACGCTGGGTTGGGCGACTCCTACAGGCTCATTATGTGAGGGTTTGAAGTCAGATGCAATAAGGACCATAGCTACCTAGGCAGTTTATTAAGCCGGGACAGTATTTGCATCTCGTAGAGGATCCTGAAGCCTTATCATCTCCAGTAATAATCTATAAGTATAGATACCAAGATCGACCTCACGTAATGCCCTACCATGCCAATTCCGGCCATTCTCCGCTATTTCTTTGGCTATTTTCTGACCCGATCGTGTCACCATGAGATAGGATACCAGCTCTGGGAGCTCATCCATAGCCTGACTTATAGGTATGTAGTGCACCCATGGGATAAGCCGATCGTCATGCCACTCCCGAAGAAGAGTCTGCTTCATAGGTACTGACCAAGAGGCAAGTAGCTTGTAATATCGTCCACTGATACCATTGCCATCGATATCAAAGGCGAGTTTTGACCCAAGTGCTTCATCTTTATCGGCCCATGATTTGATGGTGAAGTAAGCATCTTGATCTCGACAAGCCTTTTTTTCGCATTGAAACACACGTGTGAAAGCGACATCGAAAAGCCTGCCATTTAGGAAAGTTGACCTCACTCGTTCAATTAGCCCATCCCTCTTCCGTAGATAGTAGTTTGTTTTCCTTAGATTCTGTCCAACTTCGACGAATCGTTGTCGATGGAAGAGCTGCCAATCAGAATCAAGCGCAAATCCTCCAGTTGTCGACCCAGCCCAGTAAAGTCCATCCCGCTTTTGCCCCCATGTCATGTCTTTCGACTTATCATATAAGAATTCGGGCTCAGTGTAGGCGGGACTGGGAAACAGGATATCTCCCATTGTAGACAATGTACCAGTTGACAATATTGGGATCATGCCTTTGATTGGGCGAAATGAAACAGGACTAAGTGCGAGGCCATGTGATGCGTTGTATTCTGGGTGCTGACATAAGTCCTGAGCTAATGAAATGTTGGTAACGAAAGGTAGACCGAAAGTCTCGATCACTTTTAATTCATCGATCGTCGAACTTGACTGGTTACAGTTTTGTGTAAGAAGATTCCATGTTGGTCTTTTACTGCGGTTCTCAATAGTAACCTTCTGATCTTGGGCGGAAGATGTTTTCGGAGAAGCCTGATACAGAACTCTTGGCTCATCAATATGATTAACAAGAAAACTGACATCGGGAAGCTTAGTAACATTTGCCAGAAGTGTGTTGAATAACCGCGAGATATGCCTATCGAACGTGCGATGTGGATGGGTGCATGTCGTTGTCGAGGTGGCGCCCAAGAATTGGCATAGCCATAAATCTGCCCCGGGTCGGTTTTGAGCTTGATGCATTGTGTCTAGGATTTCCTTTCCGCTCAGGTTCCATAGAGGTGAGATCGATTGGTACATGGAATCGAAGTCGTCGATTAAAGGTGAATGGGATGAACTCGCCATCTCATACCAGTCTTGAAACCCTGCCGGCGGCTCAATCTCATATCTGTGTCTATACTCATTGCATGCCATCCCGAAACTTGACGATTGTCTTTGCAACAGACGCTGAAAGTCGTTTTTCGATTGGTTGAACAGAGCCTCCACTGGGTGTGGGGTTCCTTCATCGAAAGCCCAAGCATCTTGTTGATGAATGTGTATAGCCAGGCTACTAATCAGATATGGGGTAAGTGGTAGGAGTATCGAAATGTAGAGGACCCGTTTTGGCCGGATGTGACTGGGAATAGACAAACTAAGCTGTACAAGCGACATCAAAGACGCTGTGACATACGAAAGAGCCTCGCCATTTGTTAACGATTTGAATGGATCATGAGAAGATAATAAACAGAATGTTGTTATCATTGCAGCAAGATTCCAAGACGTATGGCGAGCCTGGATGTGAAAGTTAGGAACATGATTTAAAATAACAGAGGGAACAGAACTCACACTCTGGGCAATGAATCGCCAGGAGAGAGCTTTCAGGATCCCCAAAAGTAACGCATTCTGAACATTGCCTCTTGGGAAACCAAATATTGAGACTCTTAAAAGAATGCCGATGGAAAGTATACCGGTGACTCTTAGTGCCAAGGAGGAGATAAAACTCCCAAAGGGAGGCAAAGAATGCAGAAAAGACCTCCGCTCAGTATCGCCAGGGAACGTGGAGTAAACAACAAACGAGGCAGCAGCCATAACAGCGGAAGGAATGAGTCCTCTGTACCCCCAGTTTGTAAGGGTGATAACCGAGAAGGCAGCAATCGCTGATGCAACCAAGCCACTGTTGGCCAAGCGGTCAATACCACCCGAGCCCTCTGACCCGGAGGCTCTTTGTTCCCGCCGTTTCTTAGCTAGAATAAGGAGAGGGGTAAGTACTGGCTACAGGGCTTAGTTACTAGCTTAGTTTACGAGGTTTTCATCATCTGACTTACTACAAGCTTGAAGCAACTTGCCTCTGATCGACAAAAGGACACGATTGAGAGGCATACAGCCACAACCCACAGGGAGTTGGGTCGGCGAGCTCGGGTTTCGTGCTTGGTGGGCAGAGGGGCATCAAGGCCGTGGTTGAGATTGAATATCTTAAAGATCTTAGGCAGACAAGCCCAACATATGACCTCTGATAATAGCTCATCCTCTCTTCGAAAATAATAATTTGATGCTGCCGTGAATGCTAAAGCCAATGCAATGGATATATCTGGTGAGCATAGACTGTTAAAGATTTGGCTAGCCATTATTGAAGAGGACTGCATGTAGAAGGCTCCGTAGGGATGGAGAAGTTCAGTGTCCAGAGTGTTGACAAAGTTCGTCTTTGGTGTCGTTTGGGTATGGGTAATTTCGGCTCAATCCCCTTGGCTGTGCAGACCCTACCACGAGGTACCTTGCCGAATCTACGAACGGATGAGTTGAAATTGCAAGATCTTCAATCGACCAGTCTGGAATGTCGACTCATAAAACTGGGTAGAACACCTCGTGGTAGACTCTGCAAAGCCACGGGGATTGTAGAAATCTCTCCTCTGCGTAGTTTGAGGAGACGACGGCAGAATCTTGCCGTGCGTAGCCAATGAGATTTCCACAAACCTCGTATCACTGGCTCTGTTGGTTCTCTGTCCGAATTGTGTTGGTTGTACCCCGGCTGAGGATTCTTCTGCAGTTTCTCACCCTTGTGGTGGGTCCGCATGTGATAATGAGTTGGTCGAAGGGTTCAAGTACTCCCAGAATGGACCCAATAATTATCCCTTTACTATGCTGTTCCTGATAATTTAAAGCCGAGAGCAGTCCTTTACCAGAATACTCTATGTCTTTCAAATGATATCGGCAGTTGAACCGCGAAAGCTGATCCATACTGCTGTTTAATTCCATGAGCCAGATTATATCGCGCTATTGTGATCGCTGTGTGGATCCCACCACGGGCCGTTCGCTAGGCTCCGCTTTCACATTTAAGGTCTACTGATGCAACAGTAGTTGCCGTTCGAGCCGCTGTGGCTGATGATACTGGTCCGGTTCGCAGGTCTCAGCGTCAAAGCGCTCGATTCGTGGCCAATACCAGATGCTACGCATCCTAGCCTATGCATAGGTCTTTGCCATACCGCTTCGGCATCGCAGCCCTGAAGTAATGAATATTCATTAGGCGAAACGCTTTGCCATTACAAGCATGTCGATGGCATGTTTCTGAATACAACCCACTGCATAAACCAACTAATTTAGTAACTCGAGGCTGGCAAAAAAACAAATATGCAATAATACCATATTGAACCGAGAGTTTTAGAAGTATCATGTTGTGTACCTTATATTATTAGGCTCACCGTCATGCGTCATCAGACAGAAAACTGTTCTTTGGTGGTTGACAACAATGTCTCACCTCAACTTGACTTACGGAGCCAGCACCTAACCCTTCAGCATCTACTCATAGTAGAGCTCGGATGTTTACAAGCCAATGGTATCTCTACGAATGCGAGCTCATCATAGAAACTTACGGTCACCGCCTTGGAAGTTTGTCGACATCAAAGGACCAACAGGCCGTAACAAGGGTTGCACGTTCAACCTCACAACCAACAGCATAATGCAGACGAAGATCACAATGAGATGTGGCCTGATGCTGCAAATGGCCCGAGGCAAACATGGGACGTGATATGTTGTGTGTATGGGTCTTAAAACTGATATAAAGGATGCCTTTGCTGTCCATTCCTTCGAGGTAGATCAGATCTTCCATCTATTTTATCATTTATCCACCTCGGCAATCTTCAAAATTTTCCTCTGTCCCATACTATTCACTCTAGCATCATGCAAATCCCCAAGCTCGCCCTGCTCATTGTCACTGCACTGCTCTCCATGACTGGAGAAGCCTGTAAGTGCTACGGAGACAAGGGTAATCTGAACAACGGCGCAACTCACAAGTGCTGTAACGACTACCACGGCGTTTACTCCGGTAATGATTGCAAGGCCGGCTCTATCTCCGAGCACCTTAGGGGGTTCGACAGTTGCTGCAAGGGACAAGGTTCCGATTGCGATTTCCCTCACTTGGCTAAAGCCGAGGCAAAGATGGTCACAGCTGCTAAGCATGTTGAAATTAAGACTGCTCTTGCAGCTTAGGTTGTCAGATTGAACTGCTCTAGGTAAGCGATTCCTGGTTCCCACGTATTGCACGTTTTACTAAGATATTTACTAGGTGTGTGAAACCTTGACGACGACACAACGATGAGTTGTGAGGAACAGCTGGGAGAAATGGACATGGAAGAAAAATTAAATAATAGTTTGTGAAAACCAGTTATAATATATCTACCGAGGCCTCTATGAATTTAATAGTGCCTATGAAAATACAAGTAAATATAAGGTTAGAAGATTGATGTCTGGCTGCCTGCTACTCTAATTCTCACTACTATCCCTAGGAATGATAGAATGACAAATTATATGTAATATGCCAGTCCCAGTTTCTGTAATTTTAATACCTAGCTATATTATAGTACTGAACTTATAAAAATTGGGACTGTCATATTACACATGATTTATCTTTCTAAATATAGAAATAGTATACGAGGGCAGGTGTACCTGAACTGTCTTATAAGAAGGACAACCACTATCCTATATGCTCTGACCTTAACAATATTATCGGCATAACTCAAGACGGCCTAGTTATCCCACTCCTTGACCAAACTCCAAATACGGTCCCTATGTCAGATTTTTGACCTCCTACTACAACTAAAGTAGATACCTTGAGCACCAGCATGCGCACAGTTGTGTCTTTGCATCCTAAACATCGAAGTCTCGAAGTGAGGCCGATGTGGGTACAGTTAAGGTGATTAAAAAGTGGTACTTAATCCCATGAACTTTGGATGCATAAAGGGTGAAAGAGGAGGGGCTCTGTAACAATACACAAGACTGGAGACTTCAAAGACGTTGCATTTTCTTGCAGGAATTTGATCAAATGTGGTGATTTCGGCAAGTTTGATTTGTGCTTTCACAGTGGTGTAGGGTATAAGCCGAGCAGGATGTGGTCTGGAACATCATGTGGATAAGGTCGGCGCGAAAAGTAGCCATCCCGAGTGACAGTCTACTTTGAAAGAGCATGGCTAACTGTGCTCGAGAATCCCCTAGCAAATCCAAGTATCAAATAGCATCTCATGTCATATTGAAACACAATTTATATTAATATTACAAGAGAGGTAGTGTTGGTTCGTGCAAGAATGTCAAGTTCGACCTACACAGCACTATGGTTAATCATTAATTCATGTAAGATCAGCATCAGGGAAGACGTATTACGTACAAAGTATTCGGTCTCTTTGAGTAGCCTTTGTCCCATTAAAAATTCCGGCGATATAGTACGGCATACTATGCGGCTGTCTATAACAGTTGGTACTGTGGTCTAGTTGGTCATGACATCTCGTTAACACCGAGAAGGTCCCCGGTTCGAGCCCGGGCAGAACCTCATTTTTGGGTGATTATAAGAACGGATTATTAAAAGTCCTTCGAGGTGGATTCTGTTTAAATTAGCCTCACACTTAGCGGCCGCTTTGGACGAGTCTAAAGTTTTGACATCCTCTGGTCCGAGCCATATGTAAGGCTCTGGAGAAATTAATCTCCGGTTGGTTTAATTGGACCAATTGATCTTGAGGTGCTCGACCCCAGTTATGACCTTCGCAGTCGATACGGCAATCTTGGCGACGGTAAGATCACGTGCGGCACGGACGAGACGGGAGCAGACTAGTCCGGGAATCCGATAAAATGGTTACTGTTTTTGGATTGAGTGCGGTATCTCTAAGACCAGGTTCTATGCGAAATGGAAAAGTTTAATATTCCTTCCGTCAATGGCGGCCGGAGTCCCTTGCTGATGCCCCTGTCAGCCTGTCCAGGGTTCTTTTCAGCTTTGCCCCATGGGAAGGGATGCGTTTTACCCGCGGGCCGCGATTAACAAGCTGAACACCCTAATAATTGCAGCAAAAACACCAACAAGGATCAAAGATCAAAGGTAGCATCCATCTGCAGGAAATCAGATTTTGGAAAGTTCAAGCACGGCATTGACCGTGTCATTGGGTGCAGTGGCGAAAAATGCATGGCTCGCCTGCGGGACAAGGATGGTGCGTTGGATGCCCCCTATTGCTGCATATTGCTCCTGGCCAGCCAGAGGCACGACGCGGTCCGCTCCACAGAGAATGTAACCAGCCGTGCCCTCGAAGTTAGGGTCTGTAAGGGGAGAGTATGACACTGGAGTGTTCATGCTGTTGAGCGATTGAGGTCGAAGCATTGAAATGTAATGTGTTGCGACGTCGTCGGGAATGTCATGGTACATTACTTCCTTCGCGCCTGTGAAGGCGACGAGGCCCGTATTTTCCTGTTGATTAGAGTTTGGGTCAATGTCTGAGCTGAGCATCCGTGTGCATGCCCTGCGGCGCAGCACGATAAGAAAATTTGCTTACGTTGTAATCCACCCAGGTCGGCAGATGCTGTGCATCAGTCCCCATCATGTCCAGCGTCGTCTTGCCCTCAAGAGGTGTCACTGCTGACACGTAGATGAGCGAAATGACACCACCCTGCTTGCCTGATTGTTCTCTCTCGCGTTTGCTCAGTCCCTGAACTGCCTGCGAGCCATACATGCCGCCGTAGGAATGCATCATGACAATAACATCTTTACCAGCCTCGACAAGAGGTTGGAGCAGGTTTGTCCGCAGTGAAGCAGCATCCTCCGTCACGGTGGAGTTGGCATCAGTTACTCCAGGGGCATTCTGGCTGACAAAGTCATAGTTGCGATCAGTAAAGATCTTCTTCACTGCGTCAAATGACTCGACTGTGTGCCACGCACCGGGCACTGCTAAAATGGTGGGAAGCACTGATGCGCGCATAGTGAAGGACAAAACCGAGGGTGGGAAAAAGCAAAAAAATAAAAAATAAAATAAAAAAAAGCTGACAGGATGCAATTGCACAGACTGCACAGAATGATATATCGTGTTGTATTTCTACATCAAGTACGGAGTAGATCACTTACCGCGGATATCAAGCCTTTTGTATGCCGAAGGGACTGTACCAGTTGTAATAGAGGCCCTGGTACGAACGTCGCACTTTGAACCAATATGGTATGCCGATTTCCTATTTAGGCTAAGATCTAGCGACTAATTATACATTTAGAGAGAATCGATCTGGCGCTTGCACCTTTATTACAATAGACCTAATCAGGTAAAGACGTGAATGAAAAGAACTAAAAGTACCCTAAAATTCAGCACCCTGCTAAGTGTATCTACGCGCCGCATCGGTTGTATCGTTCGTATCGTTCGCATCGTTCGTATCGGTTGGATCAGTAAAGCAGTCTTGGTACCTATATACCATGTCACTGATCTTTGGGACCCAGATCTCCGTAGACTCATGGCCCACAAGCTGAACTTTCCACCAGCCGCTCTCATAGCAGCTAGCTCTATGTAGCCTGGTCGGCGGTGTCGCTTGTCTCGCCTGTCTCGCGGGTGTCTCCCGCCTGACGCCACTGACTCAAAATCCGTAACTAATTCGAGTCATGAACCTGTCAAATATTACCCCCAACCCCACTGATGTTTGTACCCAATCCAATAGAGAAATGACTTGGCCGATCTTTTGACACTGGCTATCCCATATCTACTCCAAGTGCCCATCGGAAATAGCAAACTTTAACTACTGTAGTGCAATGTTTTACAGGCTAGCTTAGCATCATGGCGTCTCAAACCGTTGACGCTGCCTTCTTAGCGGAGAGCCGCCAGAATGAAGTCTACGCAACGCACATTGCCTTTTTTGTGATGATGATGCTTATAGTTCCATGCCGGTTCTTTTCAGCAAGAATAACAAAAAAGAAGTTGGGATGGGATGACTGGCTTGCATACTTTGCCGCAGTGAGTACATTTTGTTTTGGTTATCCATCACCCACGCACAGCCCACCTGACGACTCTACAGTTCAACACCATTGGCGTCTTTATCGGAAGTATGCTATGGCTTCGATTCGGCCTCGGGAGACATCTCGCATGGGTGGTGCAAGACGATCCCAAGAATATCGAACGCTTCTTTAAGACCATTGTCGCCAATGAGATGTTCTATACTACAGCTTTGGCTTGTGCTAGATTGTCACTGGTGGCCTTCTTCTACCAGATCTTTGGTGTATCGAGCATGCGTTACTTTCTCCATGGATTTGTTTTTCTCATCGTTTCCTGGGCTATCTCAACAGTATGTGGTTTGCACGATGTATTAAGTACTCGATTCCCAGCTGACACGACGACTAGTACGTTCCATCCATCCGTACATGTTGGCCCATCCACACGTTTTGGGACGGCACACAACAGAACTGTATCGATCTTTCCAAATTCTATGTCGGAGTCGCGATTGGTGGAATCGTAACGGATATTGGCCTGATGGTTCTCCCTCTTCCTTACATCTTCACTCTCAAGGTCCCACTTTACCACAAGATCTTGATTGCCATGATGCTTATCTTCGGAAGCTTGTAAGACAGTATTGGCCCCCAGGTGTCAGTTTGATGCTAACATGACAGTGCGTGCTTCGTCACTATTATTCGACTAACCAAAGTTGTCACCGTCGATCTAACGGACCCGACATGGGGAACCGTCGACCTGATGATCTGGACAGGCTTAGAAGTCTACAGGTACATACCCCAGCGTCACTCCATCTCCCTGTGGCTAATCTCTGCAGCGCGGTTATTTGTTGCTGTCTCCCCACCATGCGTCCGGTGATCAAATTTGTCTGGAAGAGATGCGGCTTGAAGAATCTGAGTTCTAGCGGTACCGCGGATGGCTCAAAGCCTACATCCAGTACGGCGGGTATGTGGAGTAGTAAGTCCTGCCAGAACTCGCGACATCGGCAAGATACTGTGCTTGGCAGTGGAAATGCCGATGAGGTGGAATTAACGAAATGTGCTTATTATGAGCTACACTCTGACGTCCCTCCGCACACAAGCTCGCAAAATTCAATTACGGAGCAAGTACATCAGCCAGTTTGAGGGTGTGCTATTTTGGCTGCCAAGAAAATGTGGAACAGGCCCAAGTTAGTATTGCAGGACTACAGAGCAGCAGCGGGTGGGTTTATAAGCCCCGAGATACCATATTAGACACTATTGAATCATACTAAAGTGGTGGGATCGATTAGCAAACCCCAGTCAAGTAAATCACTGAGTGTGTAGTTACTTGGAATCCGAGGTCAGGCTGGCTCGGTACGCCTGAGCCGTTACTTTGCATTCCACACTACTCCTGTTTTTGACAACGGGAGCTAATATCGGTACCGAATTTAGTCATGTTAACCAGACTAATCCCCAGCTCCTTGAGGTATCCTCTTTCTGCTACTTTAGGACCGGAAATCTGTTTCACGTGGAAGAACTATTAACCGGCTGAGATTCCATGGCACTGGTAGTCTGTCAGTGCTCGAGTCATGACAAACCTTGTACAAACTCGACGTTTCAGTAGCCATGATACTCGAACAGGGCCAAAACGCTCACTTGCTTCATGATACAGTATACGTCGACAATCACATCCGCAACATACAAGAGTCAACAGAATCAGGTAGATAACAGCTATGTGACGTGAACCTAGAGGAGGATAGAAACCAAGAACCATCTATAGAGCGTACTTGAACAGAGGGCTCTTCTCTCCCATGCGAATGAGATCATCCTCAGAATACTTCTGCCTGATCTCCTCTGGAGTCATCTTGGCCTTCTTGGCATTGCCACGCTTCAGAAGAGTCTCGAGTAACACGACCGCAACTATTCCAGCCAAGCCAAAGGCAAGAGAAGTGCCATAGCCAACAGGGTAACGAGGTGCCTCGCGCTCAAGGTAGATGTAAGAGCCGATTAGACCACCAATGTTTCCAACACAGACGAGAATTCCGATATTCACGGAGCGCTTTGCGGGATCGGGAGTGTTGGCGACGTTCCAGGCGTTGACACCGGGGAGGATGGGATACATGCTGATTTTGTTAGTATGGGGAACGTATCAGAGACGGAGGAGTATTAGACTTACCCAAAGCATGCAAGACACACGGCAAAGTAGCAAACAGCGATATTTTCCTCAATGTTACTGGACTTGACAAACAGAATGATGAAAGCGATGACCAGACAACACTGAGGTCCGAGGATGAAAGGTGCGCGCCACGAGTACTTGTCAGCGAAGATAGCAAACACGTAGGCTGAGATAGCTCCAATGGCATAAGGCGGAATTGTCATCAACTGCGCATCAGAAGAGGTATATCCCATTCCGCGGAGGATAGTAGGCATGGTGAACTTCATGGCGTAGTTGGGCACAGCATTCGACCAATTGGCAAAGAAGAGAAGCCAGATCTTGTAGTCGTAGAAGATGTCCTTGAATAGCCTGAGGTTGAAGTGGTCGTTCTCCTTGTAGTCAGAGGGAACTGTTGATCGACGGCTGAGCTGGCGCAGTTCGAGGTATTTGATCTCATCGGCGTCGAGCCAACGTGTTGATAGAGCTGGCGAGTCGCACAGGAGGAAGACACACATGATGGCAACGATAACGGTGAAGAGTCCCTCAATGAGGAAGATCCAGCGCCAGCCTTCCATGCCGGCCATGCCGTCCATCTTTGCAATGGCAAAAGCAAGAAGACCAGAGAAAGCTCCTCCAGTGGCAGCTGATGTGTAGAGGATAGCAATTCGGGTCTGGGTCTCGTTGGGAAGGTACCAGTTGGAGATGATAAGGATCGCACCAGGGAGGAAACCTGCTCTGATGAAAGTTAGTATGTCGAGTTTATGCAGACATACAAAGTATGTACTTACTCGAAGATACCAAGAAGAAAGCGAATGGCCAAGAGACCAGCGTAGTTTTGCACAAAAGCCGTCAGGGTCATGATAACTCCCCAGCAGAAGACAATGCCTCCCATGTACCATGAAGGGCGCTTGAACCTGTGAAGGATCATGTTCGAGGGGACTTCACAGAGGACAAAGGGGATGAAGAAGATGGCAGTGACGATGTTGTACTCAATGCCCTTGAGGTGCAGGTCATCCGTCATTCCCTCAATCTTTGCGTTTCCAATGTTGGTCTTATCGAGATAGGCAATGAGGTACAGGAGAACCAGCATGGGAATCAACCTCCACTGTGATATGTGAGACGCGTAAGGGAAAGCATCCATTGGGGGAACTCACGTCGACTTTTCGAATAACGGCCTTCTTGCGCTCCTCGGGGAACAATCTCAAGAACTCAGCGTCATCGTGGGAGAGACCATTGCTAGGATGCTCATTATGCATCATGGTAGACTTTTCATCTCGCGAAAACTCGCGCTCGATTGGGGGAGATTGCGAAGCCATTGCGAGCTGATATGTTCTCTTTCGTGTAGATGATAGAGAAGATGTCTGTTGAAGAAAAAGAACAAGGACACCAGCCGCTCAGGATACTTTTATAACAAAGTTGTTGTACCAGTTGGGTTGCGCCATGGTGAGTCAAGAGGTAGCACAACCAAGGAATGACAGGAAAAGGTCAATGCTGGGAGATTAGTTCCCCGGACTTTGGAGTTGCATTGGGGAGGTAGGAGAGTCCGGGGATGCGGGGAAATGGTCGAGGCGTTAGACTAACCATCTTTAAACAAATCATACAGATTTCCGGATCTTGATCTAGAGTCGAAATGGGTTCGGGGTGTTGTCTAGTGTTGCTGGGACTTGGGGTCAGGTGGGTGAGAATCCGGGAATCCGAAGGGTAACTCCGGAATTCACTTTTGGTGTTGCTCGGAAAAGTTGTGTTTGCACCAAAACCTTCTCCGTCACGACTGTGAACACCTCGGAAACTCGGATTCATTCGGCACGAATATTGTCAGATCTCCAAGTTCGCCATTCTAAAGATGAAGCCGAGGCGCGAAGTGAGTTCTTTTCTTCAATATATAAGAAGCTGGCAAAGACGATGGAAGGGAATTGAATCATCACAAACAGCACTCAACAACAACCACAACATCTACAACAAACAGCCTCACTCAAACCACTCTTACACATACAACCATCTCACACTACATCCACCCACCAATCATCATGTCTTTCGATCTCAAAGGCCTTGTCCCCGCCCCTGTCACACCCTTCACTAAAGATGGCAAGGTTGACTACGACGCCATCCAGCGCCTGGGCTCCTGGCTTGGAAGTATCGACGGCGTCAAGGGCCTGGTCGTGCTCGGACACGCCGGAGAAGGAACCTTCCTCACCCAGCAGGAGCAGGTAGACACCATCAAAGCCTTTGTCAAGTCCGTCGACAACAAGATCCCCATCATCGCGGGTATCACAGGCGAGGGCACTGAAGTTGCTGCTCTTGAGGCCAAGCGCGCCAAGGAGGCTGGTGCCCAGGCTGGTCTTCTGTACCCTTCTCACGGATGGCTGCGATTCGGCTACCAGCCTGGTGCTCCCCAGGACCGCTACAAGGTCGTCTACGAGGTCTCCAAGCTGCCTCTCATTCTCTTCCAGTACCCCGATAACACAAAGGCCACCTACAACCTCCAGACCCTCCTCGACATTGCTGCTCAACCCGGTGTCATCGCCATGAAGAACGGCGTCCGCAACATGCGCCGCTGGGACACTGAGATCCCTGTGTTCCGCCGAGAGCGCCCCAATGTCCCCGTCCTGACCTGCCACGACGAGTATCTTCTCCACACCGCCTTTGACGTGGACGGCATGCTCGTGGGGTACGGTGGTATTGCCCCAGAGCCTCTTCTTGAGCTCATCGCAGCTGGAAAGGCACAAGACTACAAGAAGGCGCGTCAAATCCACGACCAGCTTCTACCTGTTACCAAGGCTGTGTACCACCGTGGCTCACATATGGAGGGCACTGTCGCTCTTAAGCACGCGCTTGTTGCTCGAGGTATCTTGGATCACGCTACAGTGCGATCACCTCTGATGCCTTTGGTTGACGGAGCTGAGGAGGAGATCCATTCTGCTATTTCATCGGCGTCTCTAAAGAAGGTTGCTTGATTTCTTACATAGCATTATCTATAGACTGTTTGAATTTAACATTTTCAATTTACATGTTTTCTTGTTTACGTGACCGTGAACCCTCTTCGTAAGCTTGCTGCCTGTACGCATGCTAAGAAGTTAAGTTCAAAGTCTCGTCTTATGACTAAATATCAAAATCACGTCCTACTCCAAATGAAACTGGCTACAACCATGTTAAGAAAGGAAGAAAAACTCTACCTAATAGTAAATAATGCTTTCCATGAACATTATAAATTTTCAATTTAGACATAAGTTTTATCCCAAAATTGAGTTTTCGTCTTTTTTTTCCGCATGTTCAAGCTAAGTAGCAATTTATATGACGTGGTATCCAAAGTAAATCTCTAAAGGTAAAAACTCTTACTTACCATCAAAGAACAGCTGAATCGCTTCAAATAAAATTTAATAAGTCATATATATTTCTAGAGTTGGATATAATAAACGCAGAAATGCTTATACTATGTCGTAAACTGTGAATGGTGACCACTACAGGGTAGCTTTCCATTCCCCCGCTAACTTATCTTGTAAGTAGCGCCTCGACTTTGTCCGGGGCGTGTAAAATCCGGAACAGCTTACTTACTACGTATATATCCGAGCCCTCCCCCACATTCTTACTCCTCCACATCTCGGATTCTTCATCTCAATCCATGCACATCTCCGAAGAATCCGGACAACACCTAAAAGATGGCAACTCCAGTCACCTCAACGCCCTTGTCAGAGGCATCGACATGCACGAATCCAGGAACTGCACTTTCAAAACGGGTCCTCCCTCTATCTCCAGACACAACCCGCGAGTCCGAGAACCGTCGGAAGGCGTCAAAGGTCAGCCGGGCTTGCGATCACTGCAAGCTCAAGAAGCTCAAATGCTCGGGCACGCTCCCTTGCGCGGGATGTCTCAAAAGACAGGTCGAGTGTCAATATGACTCGCTGTATCGAAGAGGAAGGCCGCCGACTCCGCCTACTGTAGATGCGCACAGAAGGTCAATGAGTTCTATCCAGTCTGATGCAAAGTAACTCCACCATGAACTCTTGGAGTAGGGTACATAACTGACTTGCCAAGTCGTCAGCAGTCGAGACCTGCTGATAATAATCCCGAACAGAACACTACACGGTCCTCTTCACAGGGCCCTCCAGGTCTTGAGACGGCGGAAATCGAGGGCCAATTCTTTGATCCAACGTCAAACTTGACCTTCATTCACCGTGCTTGGAAGAGGCTGGCTCAGCAGAACCAACAGACAGACGCAGGACTGTTGACAGGGTCAGAGAACCTACAGCCTCTTATGTCAGCGGGCGACAAGCCCTTTACCACTCGGGGAGACCAGAGTTTGATGTTTGTTGACCAAGCAGCGGCTTTTGCGCTTTTCGAGTATTACTTTGAGAATTGCGTTGTGACGTATCGTGTGTTGAACAGACAATATTGCCAAGTATGGCTGGAAGCCGTCATCAACAATTTCCACACCGGACAGTCGCTAGATACAGGTATTGGACATGCAAAGGCCGCTATCGTCATCACCACCCTCGCCATCGCCTGTTTCCGCCAGCATAGAATCTCGGAATCGACTTCACTACCTGGAGGAATATCACTGCTCTCACAACAGAGTGAGGAATACTTTCTCGCAGCGTCAGACCTCACAGCCCAAGAGACGGGACTGCCTCGACTGGAATCAGCACAGGCGCGTGTTCTGCAAGTTCTGTATCTGTTACAGACATCTCGGATGAACCAGGCCTGGTATGTTTTTGGTAACACAGTTCCTATCGTGACAGCATTGGGTCTGCACAGAAAGTCAACGCAGTATAGAAATGGCGGCCGTCAACCAGTTGACTACATATCATCCGAGTGTCGCAAGAGAACATTCTGGGTTCTGTACACAATTGATAAGTATCTCGCAGTTGTTTTCGGTAGGCCTCGGTTCTACCACGATGATGATGTAGATCAAGAGTTTCCGGATAGAATCAACGACGAAGACATGACACCGCAGGGACCATCACCCGGGGAACCTGCCATGGATTGCCACATCGACTCTCTTGTCTTTCATGCGAGGTGAGAATCTCACATTCAACTACTCTTAAACTCTCTGACAGCTTTAGAATCGCAATTATCATCGAGAACGTATCGCGCAAGGTCTATTCCCTCAAGAAGATGCCGGCCGAAGAACGTCTCGCAGCTGCCCAAGGCTTCATACAGCAACTCCACGAATGGCGTCAAGCCTTACCTCACCATATCGGAACAGTACGTCCCTCAAGCCTGATACCGACATTCTCTCGCCAAGCAACAGCCTTGAAGCTCGCTTACTGTCACGCGGTAATGCATACTACACGACCCTTTCTCCTCGACCATTCAGACGACTGCAGTCCTGCGCTGCGCGCCTGCGTGACACAGTGCATAGGCGCAGCTAAACTGGCTCTCGAGATCGTCGATGGCATGTTCTCTGAAAAGTCGGTCCTGTTCCATGCGCTGTGGTGGATGCCATATGTGACCTTTTGTGCATTGGCAGTTGTGTACGTCTGGGATATCCAGCAGAGAAGCAACGAAACTGCAGATCCTGGAAACACGTCGCTTTTTGACCTTGCAGAAAAGTGCCAGAACCACTTGGCTAGGACCATCGCCGTGGAGTCAGCAAGCCGAAGATACAGCATCATTATCGAGGAGCTGCGTCAGGAAGCGAGACAAGGTCCGCAGCATGCCACGAGACCATCTCAAATGGTACATTGCCAACAAGAGTCACTTGCCCCCAGTGAGCACGAATCTGGCATTAGTATGGATGAGCTTGGATCCATGTTTGAAGATCAGGATGGGTCCAGTTCTGGCCTTTCTTCCATCATGAACCCGCTAAGTCAATGGCAACCGACGGACTGGCTGGATCTCGATTCTTCAGTATGGATTCGATCTCAAAGACTGTAGTATGTGGCTGATATGAGTACTAGGCGTTTACATTCTTTTCACAACTCGAAGATTCGATGCTTTACTAGAGAAAAATGAATAATTATTGTTGGAAGATCAGGATGGAAAGCCCTTAGAATTGATCCATAGTATGAATGGGACCTCTGTTAGTCCAAAGGCCTGTCCATTGTCTCGGTCCTGTCATCTAATGTCTGGGTGTCATGTGAAAGTGTAAAAGCATTCACGTCGCTTTTTTCTCAGAGCAAATACTCCAAGTCTCTTAACTGTACCACGCATTAATCTGGTAGAGCTGACCATTAGCTTCCCAAGTTCCACTCATTTGTTGACTGCCTCGGACACACTGAACAATAATATTCCTAGAACAATTAGATGAATGTACCTGGCACGGCGACACGATTACTTACTCAGTAGCGTCCTAAGAAGAAGATGATGTTAGTTCAAATCTATAGAGTTTACAGCAGGACACGTACCCAGCAATCCTTGAATCCCTTCTTACTGCCTGTGTTCTTACGCTCCAGGGACACATTGACAGTCAGCTTGATCAGGCCCTGAATTGTCTTGGAACCTTGTGTGGTGCAACTCTGCTGATAGCCACAGTTCGAGTTCCCGCACATCTTTGCGCGAGCATCCCAGTATGCGTCCTGGAATTGGTCGATGCCCTTTTGCTGATTGCCAAAGCAGGAAGCAGCGAAGGCCGAGGAGGCGAGGAGACTAAGGGCGGTGAAGTTGACGAGCTGCATGGTGGGAGGATCGGAAGGTAGATTAGCTTTTGAAGTGGATGTTGAGATGATGGGTGATGAGATGCAATATGGAGACGAATCGGTATGACTTTATAGTCACGGAAAGGTCTTGAGAAATCGGCGAGCAATCTGAACCCTGGACTGACTGTGTAAGCGGGATTCACACTGCTGAGTGAATATTGGTCAACATGTGGGTTCAGTTCCATAAGTAACATCCAAGATTAGTCAATTGATTATTTCTCTTCCCAAATAAGACAAATAACTCAGGCTCGGCTCTTAACTCTTACTACGGCTGACAGGACCCGCATGTCAGCGGGCACCTCAGCCAGGGGTAATGCTAAAGTGGTGACTGGATTAATAGCTGTGGACTTGGCTATATCCGACGAATCATCTGACAGGGTAATTCCAGACCTTCACTATGGACAGAAGGCCTCGGTTTAATTGGGTGGCAACCACTCACACTAGTGATATTCCTGCCGCTAGATACTGGACCCCGATGACACGGCATCTTCGCCTTAAGAATCGAATCAAACACAACTTCAACAAGGATCATACCCTCAACCAGTGACAATTCAGCTTTCCATCTAATCTGTGCTGATATCAATGACACTTTGAGGAAGACGGTGCAGTATTGTCTTATTACTCGTCCCATTATTGCCTTCTTCAATTACCATCCGGGAGAGGGCTGGTCGGATCAAGACATGCTATTTGCCAGATCCTTGTGTCGTTACTGGCCAGTAGATGACTGCAAATAAGAGCAATATGAGGATGATAATGCAGAACATGCGAAATGTAAGCTACCACCCTCGGCATATTCTTGAGGTCCAGCACTTGTACTCTCTTGAATCTGATGTACAAATTCGTAGCGATCCTAAAACCATGACAAAAGTGAGTGCAACTTTCATTGTCTTAACTACTACGAGACAGCATTTTCCCAGCATCTTTAATAATCGTGGTGATGTACTACTGTCGTCCTGCAATTGAAAAGAGTGGTTAATTCAAGACAGAAATCTTCTTATCACACCTGGTGTTGAAATGCTCGAGAAGTAAACAAAAAGTCCATAACGTCATGGTAAAGCCACAAGAGTCAAATCGATTGGCGTCAAAGGATTATTAAAGTTCTGGACATGACGTATACGCAAGGGACCTGTTTGATTGGCCCAACGTCACTGCGTATCCCCGCATCGGTCTATCTCCTTGAAAACCCGGGAGTGTCTTACCTGTGTCTCTATCTCGAGGTACTCAAGTTTCCCTGTATCCTGCCTTCAAGTTGAAGTACTAAGCGTTATGTAACAGTAGGATTGGAGAAGGGAAAAGAGGTGCGGGTGATAAGAGGCCTGCCCTCAAGGAGATTAAACTCTAGCTCCGTCGGAACGTTTATCACTGCTCCGTCGGAGTGCTCCAACGGACTTGGTGTGAACAGCCAATAGATCACTAGTGACCTATCCTTAAATGCCGAAAAGCCTAGACTAAAGCAGTTAGGCTCAAACTTACTTTCGGTAGCGTCTGACAGCTCTCCAGGTTCGAACCTGGTATGTACGGTCTTGGTACGATGTCAGAACGTCTATAAAGACATGCTTTCCCGCCACCTCCATCTGTCTCTCAATAAGCTCAGATCCATACCACCTTTTAAACAACAATTTTACATACACCATCGCAATGTCTGACCAAAACGATAAAGCACCCGTCCGCGACACGGCAGAGGACGATGCCTACTTTCCTTCGCCCTTCTCTCTCACACAGTATGTCACTGCTAAGACAGACTTTGACGGTGCCGATTACCCCAACAAGTACACCGGGGGCAAGTGGAAGATTCTTGTAATCTGCACCCAGGAGCGCTACCTCAAAATGGCAGATGGCAAGTTCTTCTCTACTGGTAATCACCCAGTCGAGATGCTGCTGCCAATGTACCACCTTGACGCTGCTGGGTTTGACATCGACATAGCCACCCTCTCGGGAGATCCTGTCAAGCTGGAGATGTGGGCTTTTCCCCAGGAGGATGAGGCAGTCAAGTCGATTTACAATAAATACAAGGAGAAGATGCGCAGCCCGCTTAACCTGTCCGACCTCTGGCACCGTGGAGACGGTACAGGATCCGATCTGTGGCACAGTGGAAATGGCAAGGGTTTTACTGAAGACACGCCTTACCTAGCGGTCTTCATTCCCGGCGGCCACGGCGTGCTCAATGGCGTACCCTTCAGCAAGACTGTCGGCGATGTCCTCCGATGGGCTCATGCCAACAACCGCTTTTTTATCACCCTCTGCCACGGGCCCGCTAGTATCCTCGCTGCTGACGTTGGCAAGCCCGAGGGATCCAAGTTTATCTATGAGGGCTACAGCATCGATGTGTTCCCCGATTCACTGGACGAGGGTCCCAATATCGACATTGGCTACATCCCCGGCAAGATGGAGTGGCTCGTCGGCGACCGACTCAAAAAGCTCGGGGTCAAGCCAATCAACAAGGATATCACTGGTGAATGTCATCGCGACCGTCTGTTGCTGACTGGCGATTCACCTCTGGCCTCGAACAACTTGGGCAAGCTGGCAGCCAAGACACTGTTGGATGAGGTTAACAAGTAAGGTCCAAATAGTAGTTAGGGAGTGTAAAAAACACTACTAGGGAATGATATCATCCAAATAAAAAATTACCAACAAATTCATCGGTCCTTAAAGTTTATTAATACCTGTTCTTGTCTGTGAACTCGAAGCTTTAATCATTAAGGGGGAAACACATTCCGCTGCAGCGCGGGCCAATTCCGTTATAGTTCTAGTATACAAACGGAATAGACTCAACTCAAAGTTCCACCCAGTGTTAGTGCACAGCCATTAACTGGGGTTGTGGAAAATGAGGGGTATCAAGCTGGAGTGCTTCCGACGGACTTGAGCTCATAGTCTCCGTTGTGGTTTGTGGCAGAAGCTCTCAAAATGTCTACGCCTCTAAGAAAACGACAAAAAGTTTCTTCAGCCTGTGAGAGATGTCGTAAGCGTAAGCTTGGGGTATGTTATCTCATTGACCTTATCGGTTCTTTCGCTAATCAATTCGCAGTGTGACGCAGAGAGACCTTGCGTACATTGTGTTCGTGCAGATGTCCCATGTGTCCCTCGCGAGTTGCCGTCAGCAGATACTCCAGCATCCTCATCTGGTCAGAATCATTTAACGAGAAGATATGTACCGCCTCCGGAGCACCAGCCTACGTCACCTATGCTCCCAGAGTCTAGTATCATTGACCTAAGTACTCTCGTAAGTCTAGAAAATTAATTGGCACACTGAGACGTGAGCTAAGCTTCTACAACTCAGATGATACACGCGAGTGGCTCCAGTCAGGAATTGTACCATGACACGTCTTCATTACCTGGCGGGAAGAAACCTACAGATGTCAATACCACGCTCGATGGGCCTAGGCTGTGGCGTAACATACCGGGCGTAGAGCTACCTGCTGACGATATCCTGGAACACTTGGTTGACAGCTTCTTTTCATCTGTCAATTGGTTTATGATGGTCTTCCACGAAGACACCTTCCGCCAACGATATGCTGAGATGCTGCAACAGAACCAAATAAAATACAATGATACCACATTCTATTGGACTTGGCTACTTGTTGTCGGCCTTGGAGCGCACTACGCTGCACTCAAAGATCCCACGGACCAGATGAGCCCTCAATACCAGCAGCTCTCTCGAGATCTCATAGCCTGTATTGAGACAAACTTCTTGCGTATTATTGGATGCCCGACAGTGGAAGCTGTTCAAATATGTGTCCTACTCGGCAGCTTCATATTCTATACACGACCCACAACAGGCCTGGGCATTTGCGGCATGGGAGTCAAGATTGCTCAGGTTATTGGTCTACATCGCGAGAGTTTCTGGAAAGAGACGTCTCAGCTAGCCCGAGAGGGAAAAAGGCGCACTTGGTGGACTCTAGAGGTCTTTGATAAGTGAGTGACACCAAATAATTTGCAGGTGCTAGTGATGCCGTTTTCTCTGTAAACTGACTATGGCGCCTATGATTAGGTATGCGGCTGTTGCATTCGGGCGTCCCTGTATCATTGATGACTCTGACTGTCAGGTCGAGATGATCTCAGATGTTGAGCTTGATGGCTATATACATTTCCCTGCCAGACCGCTTATCCTCTATCATCAGCACAAGTTCCGCCTCTACAGGATCATGGGTGCGTTTCTAGGGCGTAAGAGGCAGCAAAAGGCTTTCGAATCCATTGAAACAATTCACCAGCGGATGCTCCAATGGCGCCTCGAGCTGCCCAGCGTTCTAACTCTTAGCGGTCACGACAGGCTAATAGATGCAAGTGCTGTCAATGCAACTGACATCCATGCCCTTAGTTTACAGCTCACTTACGACAATTTGCAAATCATACTGCATCGCACGGCTGTTTTCAATAACGACATAATTGGAAACGAGAACTACACATCGTCGAAGAGCAACATATCTCTCCAGCAGATCTTCAAATCAGCTATGGATACAGCTGAGCTGTCCCGACAGCCTCACATTCTGGACGCTTGCAGAAAGAGTCACGCTGACGCACATGTCGGCATCACCATGTTTACGGCTGCGGTCGTCCTTTGCGCGATCTGCTTGACACAGCCTCTTACAGAAATTGGTTCGCGGGCGAAAACGGGTGTTATGCACATCACACGTTTGTGCCGGGACACTAGCTCCCGTCTTTACAGCAGTCGGCTCATGTCGGAGCAGAGCCTCGGCATCATTAACAACTTAGTTAAGGTTATGTTGCGGCAGGAGAGGGATCTAATTACTGGTAGAACGAGTCTTCCAGGACCTAGCGCTCCTCAAATTATAACAGACAATGCATTAGCGGAACAGGACTCTACGTCGGCAAGCGGAATGATACAACCAAGCTCAAGTTCAAGAACCCTCCTGCACCAAGGTGAACCTCGGAGTGAGCGAGTCCTGGAGCCCATCCAAGAAGGTGAGCTGAGTTCCATTCCTCTATGTACAAGTATCAATTATGTGTAATCTGAACTAATGCATTCAGTAGTATTTAGGCAGCACATATCTGCGCCTTCCACCATAGGCACATCAGAGGCTCAGGGCACCGTTTCTGGCGGCCATGACATGACTGAAAGTCTGGGACAAGCCGATACTTTTAATTGGGATGGCGATGTGTCTGCCCTGGTAGACTCTGGGTTTGTTGATGCCAGTCAGCTATGGCTGTGGGCAGATAGCCTGGACTTTGAGTCATTTGGTCAAGGGTGACCGCCGGAGCGAACAGATGGTGCGGGTTTTGAGTTCAAGGTGAAAAAGACATATTCATGTGAAGCACAAGAAAAGAATATAATCGGCTCGACCGAAATAGTGCCAAGGTCAGTAGCAATAGAGAAACGTTGGATTGGGTCTAAGTCAGTATGTGTATGGTATCAAACCCTCGCAAAAGTCGTGTTCGTGTTCCTATGGGCTACAATAGCCTTTAAACACCTGATCTGGATGCACCTATATAACCTCACTTTTCAGACTTGCAAAACGAAAGACGCGCAACTCTTGAACGTAATAATTGGTAAAAAGATTATTAATAATACCATATCGGCTGATTGAATTCAACACAACCTATGGGTCCCTTTTGCACCAAAACTCTGCCTTTTAGCAAACATGTCAGATCTCTAAATTATTATAGTCCAATCAACGGCTTTCCATCGTAAAGAATGGGTTTACAGGTTGTAATCAGTTAACACGAAACTTAATTCCCCCTATTTCCAAGTCAGAAGCTGATTGAGTAGTAATAGCTACTAAACTCCATTAGTGCTTATTCTCCACTATTTAACTAACCGTGCGGCGATGGTTGGTTGGACTTCTTATAATTTTAGAACTCGGACCATGTTTCACATGAATCCATCACTCAACGTTGCAAAATCTTCCGAGTCATGCATTTGGTGGTAAAATGTATTAACACTGACGGCTCTTTCAACGCCAACCTCTACTGTCACACGCTTCCGATGCGCATTATTCAAGGAGGCCAAAAATGTATCAGGACCCTGTAATCATGACAATCGATCAGGCACTCGTTATTAGGGACAAATTCAAGCGCGCCTCAACACCCAAAGTACGAACGGGATGTGTTACGTGGTATGTTATTACGCCTCATTTGTCGTGAAAAATATGACTAACTGAAAATACTGCAGCAAGTAGGTCGCGAGATCTGATCAGCCCTCATTAAATTGCTGACGGTGTTTCCCTAGGCTCAGACACTTAAAATGTGACGAGGCAAAACCCACATGTCAACGCTGTTGTAAAGACAAAGTGAAGTGTGATGGGTATGCCCCTCCGAAGCCTAAGGGTTCGAGAAGGTCAAAGAAGAAGAATCCATCACGGCAGATTGCATCGGTTGTCGGGCCATCACCACTTTCCATGCAGACAATTGATGAACACTATGCATTGACGGGCTCTGAGAAACTGTACCTTCAGCATTTCTTACACTGGACTACAAAACAACTCTCGGCTTCTTCAGCCGCCACTAATTTCTGGCTTCAATATGCCCTCCCCATGTCATATCACAATGATGCCATCAAGCGCAGCATGATAGCAGTGGGAGCATCGCACCGAGCTTACATGGCCCATTCTCTCAGCTACTCGCGCCCTCAGCATCTACAGAGGCCTGTAATACAACACTACAACAGAGCCATAGCATCCATTCTACCCATCATGTCCGCGTCGTCAGACTTGAACATACACTGTATTCTTATCTGCTGCCTTCTCTTTATGGCTTGCGAGGGTCTTAGTGGTCGTTATGATGAACGCTTACGACATCTTACAGCTGGCGACATGATACTTCAATCACTAGAAGATTCTGGTTTCACTGCGGATTCTGCACTGATTGCAAAGGTTGTCGATATGTTCTGTCAGATTGGCCTTGAATGCACGGGCTATTTACAAGACCATCCCCTCTCTGGAATCAAGAAATGGTGCGGCAAGAGAGACAAGGAGTTGGAGTTCCAAACTATCGAAGAGGCCTCATCTGCACTTCACCAGCTGCGTTTACATCACGAGTTTTCCCCGTGGGATCTACGCGAAGATGATACGATAGCCAGGGATGATGAATTTGAAGATTTACTTAATCGATGGAACGCCGCCTTCGAAGCATTGTGCCAGAAAAAGCCAAACTCGTCCGTGGAAGAGATGTCGCAGATTAACAATCTACGATTACGCTACGAATATTTGAGAATGTACATTGATGTGTACGACAACAAGGAATTGAAGCCTCCTGAGCCATACAAGCGCTTCCTGGAAACTGCAGAGCAGGTCGCCGGTCCTCTTATTTCACTGAACCAACCTACATTTTCTCTTGACGGATGCCTTGTCTCCGGTTTGTCGTTTGTGGCTATGTCAGATGATGATGCAGATGTCAAATCCCAGGCAACAGATCTCCTTCAGAAACTAGACCATCGGGAGGGTATCATTGACAGCAACGACATTGTCGAAATGCATGAAATGCTGGGTTTTGATCTAGGGGACTGGGGTTCTGGCTCAGATTCGGGCTCTGAGGTTGAGGAACCTGATCCGCCGTTTTCAGCGCCGACTGGAATACCACAGATGCTGGAGGCACTTTCTCGAAGATCTGGAAAACCAAGTAAGCGGTTGGAAGGCCTGTACTTTCAGACTGACTTATGAGATTCATTATCTCCAGTCCAACCATTGAGATAGCAGATGGATTATTAGAGCACTTATAAAAGCTTGAGGCAGGTGTTGTTTATTATTTCAGGGAGCAGTAGCCAAGGCTTACTCGAGAATCCTCCAAAAAGGTCAGGGGGCGCGTGGCAGCCCTTCGTTTGTATAACTATATGGACTATAAATAAAGTCTCAAATAAAGCCGCATTACTAGATCACATTCTCCTCATCAAACTCCCGCTCAGCGCGTGCTGTGGGAGCCAAGTCATCCAAGTGCAACTCAGAGGCACGGATATCGATCCTCTTGATAACTGCGCCCAACACAATCTTGAGTAGCTCATCGTCTGACATTGTTGTGCCATGTCCACTCCACGTCACTGTGTCGACGATGTCTCTCGTTGCAGCCTCCTTGTGCAGCTCGTCGTCGAGATGTTGCAGTGTCTTCTGTCGCTCAAGATCCGGGCCTCCAAGACGGAACAGCTGGACGCCAGCCTGGTGAATTGGTGCTTTGGCCTCATCGAGAGTCCTGGCAGCTTGGATCAGGGGTGTTTTGATGTCGTCGTCGAATTTGCCGGCTGTGAGGACGATAATGTTGAGAGCTGCCTTTTCTTCTCCGGCCGTGAACTTATCACAGTACCACTTGAGCAGGCCACCAAGCCTCGCGCCCATGTTGCACTTGCCAGCCGGCTGGACCTTGTCGAAGATAGCGCTGACCTGTTTTCCTTTGCTCGTCAAGAGCATGCTGCCTGCAAAGCCGCCGATATGCGTGTAGCCCGACTTTCGGATGGACTGGACTCCGGGCAATTTAGCCAAGACACCTCCTGGTCGGTGGTTGACAAAGTACAGGTCGACTCCGTCTGGATCATGTTTGGCGCAGATGGGTGCAATGCGCTCTATCAATGTCTTGATTTCGGGCCAGTAGGGCTGCATGGCTTCCGAATCGTCGATGAGAAACATGGTGTCGAAACATCGCAGCTGCAGGAGTGTCTTCTCAAACTCGGAATCATCCATTGTTGCTTGGGACTCGGGGGCTGACATTGTGGTTTTTGAGATTGCACTACTTTCCACTCGTGATAACTTTAAGTGAATTCTGATGTTAAACTGTAACGAGAAATGAATTTACCATCAAGTTAGTCTGTTAATTGGAAGTCTCGGAAGAGCTATAAAATACCTTCTAAGGCGGTGAAGACCCCAATGACGTGTTAAGTGGGGTAAATGCAAGGGGATCTGCGGGACTGAAATTTTTACCCCTACCCTATGCAAGGAAACCAGAGATATTAAAAGATTATCAGAGGTGTTGAATCATTCATGGTGTAAGTTTCATGTCTGAATCTCTTCTTAATAAGCCATCTAGTATCACTCAAATGAGCCAGCGGAAGGACCAATACTTGGCCTAAACCATGACGCTACAACGATAATTGCGGCCGAAAGGCGAAAGTTGACCGCAGCCTCATGGGCAAAACTACCCACGGAGCACTTCACAATATTCTCGAGACTAAACATGTTAATAGAATAAAGCCGGCGCGGATAGAACGGTTGCCATTCAAGTTAGGTCCGTATAGTGTTATAACAACGATACCCACAATGCGAGCAAAAAGGGACTCGCGGCGGCACCCATCACCAAATTGAACAGTGGACGAGGCTGTGCTCGAAATCAAAGAATCAGTCATCTCATGTAGAACGGAGCTCTTTTGTGCCACCATTGTGTGGTGAATAGAAAAAGGCAATCTGCGTCAATAAAGAGCGGGAGTAATGTCATTTATCTACCCGAACTGTTTCACTGATTAAACAAGATCGCCAGCCACTGCGGGGAATGGAATCTCCCTTCCGTTCATCGAAAGTTATCTTTCATCGAATGTCTTGGCCCAACACAGTTTCTTTGCTGTTTTTATTGTCCAGCTTTCCCCTCAGTGCAACCAGCTCCGTAGCCGGGCGGAGATTGCAATGCTTATGCTGTGACCAACCCAGATCGTCTGCGGCTGAGTTGACCCCTGGCATGGAGGCTTCAGCTCCTGCAAGCCACGTCAAATATTGGTTCTAGCCCATTTGCTGCGCTCTCCTATCCCCATTGAGCAATCAGCTGAGGCATTCTTTTATTCAGGGCTGAATGTTTCGGGTCCCTTTATAATTGTCCTTCTCCGCCATCGCGTTTCCCCGTTTAACTCTAATATTTCTCGTACATCTCTTTCTTGCTTATTTCTGCACTTTTTTGCTGCTGCAAGATAACTTCACCATGTCGTCGTCTTCACGGACTCTCCTCCTTGGAGCATTTCTCCAAAGTGTCGCAGGAATGGATCTCGCCCACGCAGCTCAGAGAAATCACGCACGCGACGTACCGATAGCAACAACCACGCCAGCGCCGTATGCCTTCATCGATGAACTCAACCTTTTCGCGGGCCATGGTGGATTACAAGTACGACAGGAAGCTACAACGACTTCGAAGCTTGTAGTTACCATCGCTCCCAGTAACACATGCGGATACTTGTCTGGTATGCCAGGCGTGGCCATTACCTGCAAAAATCTTAGCACCTGTTCATGGGCGACTGTTAGTACTTCGGGTATCACTTCAGGTCTTGTCGGTTGTGATTCAGAGATCTACATCACCTGCCTCGAGTCTTCCAAGGCAGTCGATCCAGGCGCATGTGATGATGTCTGTGAGAGTAACACCTTTTACCTTCGCTGGTAAGTCCAACTGTTGTTCAGTCACTATTTAATGCCAACATGACATTCTAGTACCAATTCTAAAGAGCCATATTGTCGCACATATGCCTACCCCAGTGGTATCCGCGACTATCGATGCGCATCCACCCCCGTCAAGTCAGTCCAATCAGTCAAATTCACCTACGAGGGAGAAGAGAAACCCAGTTTCCGTACTACAACTATCGGCGGTGCATCATCGGAGTCTTTGCCAGCCATCACCGAACCTAGTACCACCACATCCCGTGAGCCAAGTGAGACGGAGACATCCACAACAACAACATCCGTTGTTCCTGCGCCTACTGAAAAGAGCAAGTCAGCACCTATCGGTGCCATCGTCGGAGGTGCAGTTGGTGGTCTCGCTCTTATTGGCATCATTGGTATTATTGTTTTCTTCATCTTGCGCCGACGTAAACCTAAACCCGCTGCCAATCCAGCACCAGCTCAACCGGTCATGACTCAACAACAAAACCCTCCTGCCCCTCCCATGAACCCAAATCAATACCCACAACAACAGCATTATCCACCGGTTGTATCGTCCTACCCCGACCATAGTATGGCGGCATCTCCTGCACCGTCAGATCCTCATATGTCAATGATGAGTGGGCCAGTGTCTAGCATTGGACCAGCTTCGCCAACGGGATGGAATCAACACCCATCTCCTCCCCCATTTCATACTCCTGCCCCAGCTTATGAGATGCCTGGTCCTGAGGCTCGTGAACAGGAACCGGTGTATGAGATGAACGCAAACTCTGGGAAGACTTGATGGGCCTAGAAGTTATTATTTTACCAATTTTAAAGTATGCTATCAAGAAAAGAAGATTGCCCGCTTTGTAACCTCTTGAATCGTCTTACCTACTCTGGGCTCCTGATGTTATGTATATAAGGTCGGCGAAAAAGGCCTTTAACCAGGAAATAAAATCTCTAATGAGAAGCTGCATGAATTTCATAAAGACAGAGTGCTGGTAGTCACTTGAGCTCTAGTAAACCAACCTTCGGCCAAGTTCGACATCATACAGGACGTTGGCTTGTAAGATATGGTCGTTATCACTGGCGAGTCTCAAATAGATCTGACAAAGTTCTCAGCAGGCGCTTTCATGTTTTACTGGGGCTTTGCAGTTAGTGGTAAGATCATGACCATCGCATGCAACCATGGCTTTACTAAGAGGTTTCAACAGCATTTCCAGCCAAATATCTATGTCAGCGTTTTCCTACCGGCATCTTCTGCTATTCTATATATTCCGACATATCATTGACCTAAAAGACCTCAGTGAATACCTAAATATCATTATAGTCTTCAATTGTTCTATTGTGGTCGAGCTGCCGAATTTACTTATCTATACCTATATACCTTTCTCTAATATGCCAAGAGGTAGGAGGGGAAAAGCTCGTTTTTGTACATATAGCTATTTTAAATATTTAGCTAACTAGAGTTTGGTTAATATGTAAAATTCCTATAATCGTAATTATATGTTAAGTTTACCCTCAAAGCCATTCTATTCTTATTAGTAGTCAGAGATTTAAAATGTCCGAGTTGAGTAAAGTCTTACATTAAAGCAAAATTAAACATGAATTCTTGATCTAGCTATTGGAGTGCTGCGTCGAATCCTTGCTATTATCTCAATATTCTCAGGCGACAGTCGTAGGCTTGGGAACGTATACCGCCCGGTCTGCGAGTAATTTAGGCGTTTTTGGATCATGACTCGGCAAAACCACCAGTTCAACCTGCGCCGCGTATTGCTTGATTAGTTTCAAGCTCTGCAGAGCGCCCAAAGGATCGTCATTGATTCCGTCTGGCTCCTCCTTGTCTAGTAAATCGATGCTATACGTAGCGTCGCCCGGCAAAAGGTAGGTCGTTTCGGTTCCAACAGGGCTAACTCCACGCACTATCAATGAAACATGCCCCGGAACATGCCCAGGCGTGGGAACGACGATGATACGTCCATCGGAGGTAATATTTGAAGAGTGCTTCCATGGACCGATACGTCCATCAGAGAACGTATAGAGACGGGGGTTAAATGGCTTCGGCCAACGATCCGGGTTGCAGCCCTGCATGGTGGCGAACACGGGGCTACTCCCAAATGCAGCCCAATGATCTTGGCTTACATACACGGGGACATCCGGCGCTGCAGTAACTAGTTCTAGAAGACCTCCAGCATGGTCACCATGTAAATGACTAAGAATAATGGCCTGGAGGTCTCTGGGCTCAACTCCGTGAACTTTGAGCTGAGGCACGATGCCATCCGCGTGGTCGATTTCGGTGATGCTGAACATGCTGATTGGGCTCCAGAAACGCCTGAACCCAGGATCGTTGGCGTGAGGCGACTCCCCTGTGTCGAAAAGAACCGGTCCATCTGGGTGAGAAATAAGGAAGACGCCGATGGGAAGCTCCTCAGACCATTGCGAGTCGACAAGCGATCGCAATCGACGCATGATTACGTTTCGATTCGTGATAGGCTGGCCTTTCATAGCGGTCTTGATCTTGACGGTTCCGGTAGAAATAAATGTGATCTGGTTGTCTTGTCGGCTTTTACAGACTGAACTGTCCATGTTGACACGTTCTTGTTAAAGGGTAGACCAAAGGTATTATGCAGCTGTTTTCTGGTAAATGGTAGGATAAAAATCTCTGACTACCTTAACTAGCTGGGGTTTTATTGAAGTAGATTTGCCAAGATGTTATTAAGGCGTCTCCTTCGTGGGTTATAGCTTGGTGGAAATAATTGACCCGACTCCGACCCGGGCGCGGACGAATATTAGCACCGCTAGAATGGATCCAGCTGCAGTAGTGGGCTTATTACGTCCGGGAGAATAAATACGCTAGATTATCTAGTCTACCTCGCTTCCATGGAATCAGATCACGTAACTCTCTTCAAAATCCACTGCCTTGTCAACGCGCAATGGTATTCATAATATTATGAACTGGGGCATTAAGAATGTATAGTTACCCGTATTTGCATATGTGGTACACCTCTGGCGACGTTGATCATCCGTACCAAGGTTGACGGGCAGAATTCTATTGTCCACAAAGGGTATCTAACCGAATTCACGTCAATTACTATTCTGGTGGGAATTGTCGCCATCCTTCTGCAAACTGAAACCAAAGACGTTTCAAAAGGTTAAGTGGAACGCAGAACAGATGGAGAATGTATACAGTCAGACCACCCTTGATCAACATTTGGCAAATATCCCAAGAGCTGATGTCTTCCGTATCACACCAGCACACCCACGCCTTTCTCTCTTGCTAATTATCTTCAATCGACGCTATTTTGACAAGAGATTAGTGAAAAGCATTTGATACACTGCTACCCGCAACTATCATTATGAAAACTCCACCTTATATTCTGCAATACATTAGCTTTAGACCAGGACTCTTGGCTGGGACAATCGTTCTCAAGCTTTATAACACAATGAATATATAGACACAAGAATAAGGCACGATTTCGCATTACATACACTATATAAGGGTACGAGACACATAAATTAACATGGTGATATATTGGACTACTAGTCACCGGAGGCATAGTTTCTTTCTACGATCTATAATTATGTTAAAGACCTCATTAGCCCCATCTTAGCTAAAAGTCGACATGTTACTTCCTAGCCTAGCAGATAGACGGACAGCCAGGTCTGACATCAAGGTTTCCCCACGACAGCAGGTATCCGATCATTCCTCCCCTGTCTAGCTTTGCGGACAACAGGAAGTGAGAAGTAAATGCTTACGAAAGAAGTATAACTTAAGGGTCAAGAGGACGATTAAAGTCCTGAGCAACCTCCCACTGTCGTCAAGAGTCTGGCTACAAGCCAAACTTCACTTATTGTCCCAGCACCTATTGGGTGAACCTCGTGGTCCAGAAAGCTTCACTGGTGTGACATTTCACCCACTTGGCAAGAGACATCAAACAAGGGCATTTCCAACGTCGACGCTGTGGAAGAGATTCAGATCACCAGGGACTAATGGGCTAGTGTCAGCTCAACAGGGAGGATGTCTGTTTGCTTATCCCACCATTTCCATTATGTTCAGCACACACGACACTCATTCACTGACAAAGGTGCGCTGATCTCTTGACCGTCAGATCTCGGTTCGTATTTGGAGCACGTCTGACCGCTTTTACTTCTTTTGGCACTTACTGGGAAACATAATTCCCAGTATAGACATTTTTCTGTCCATGAGAAAGCATCCACATACCAAATCTTGGTGGCCCCGAGCAGGCAGCCACCTGATCGGTATTCTCAAAAGTACGGCTACGAACGTCACTTCTCTAAATCACGTACCAGTACATGGCTACTATGACGTGAGTACATCTGGGCATGCAAAGAGACATAATGTTCCTGTACTATCCCCCAGGGGCCAGTGGAGAAAACCCCGCATGGGCTATAGACTAGACAAGATGCATGGCGAACATTATGCTTGATAAACGTGTGGAGAATTATCTGGATGTAAGATCTCCCCGGACATCCCCATGCGGATACTAATCACCAAAGGCCTAGTCCCTTGCAGAGGCCAGTGAGAGAGACTCGGCGACGACTCCGAGTCATACAATAGCAGTGTCGAAGTGTGGCGGGATTTAAAGGGAATTAACTACGACTAGTTTCATGTCACTAGTGTGAACCCTAAGCCATCTCCGCGGGGATTATTCCCCTATGTGGCTAAGGTGTTGAGCGGGGATTCCAGACTTTTTAATCCCTTTAATATGATTCGTCCAAATGATAGACGTTGGACAAACTACCCCTACCCAGAAATTGGAGAAGATGAGGATTAATCACCAGACCATCAGTGAAACATCTTATTGGCGGTATTAGAAACTCATAGATGCAACGACTCTCTGACAAAAGATGCGCCAGCCTATACAAGGACTATCTCGGAGAGCAGGCCGGAGGGAAAACTGGTAACGGAGCTCTCCAGCTGCCGTCTTTACCGTAAATGCAAGTTAGATTAGTACCAGTGGAGGATAGCGCAAACGCTGTCCCTCCAGGATTCCCACTTCTCCGCGTCTCGCCCCTTGACGATGGAATCTGGGGTAAGATGCGGAGAGATCCATTTGCTCCTCCAGTTTTATCTATAACTACCTTGACCCCATGCCAGTATCTCTTGGCTTTCGTCCTCATCCTCTTGGCAATCACATCCTTTTGGTATTATTATCTCGACACCAATCATTTCACAAGTCAACCACGTCGCAATGTCTTCTCCAGTCCTCACACCAAAGGACGAGGCGGGTCATGTCGACTACGACCACAAAGAAGTGTTGGCCAACTCCGATCTCATGAACGATGCTTTCGAGGCCGAACACCTCGAGCATCAACAGGGTGTATGGGCCGCCGCCAAGGCCCACCCCTGGGCTTGTTTCTGGGCATTCACTATGTGCTTCACCATTGTGAGTTACTCTTGAGCCGCAGTGCAATCCTGCCAGTCGCTAATGACGCACCTCCAGGTCATGGAATCCTTCGACATGTTCTTGAATGGAAACTTCGTCGCCCTCCCAGCTTTCCAGAAGCATTACGGAGTCGAGGTCGAGCCTGGAAAATACGCTATCGAGACGAAATGGCAGAGCGCTCTGTTCCAGGCTGGCCAATGTGGTGCTTTTATCGGTGTTTTCGCCGCTGGACCTATCACCAACATTCTCGGCTATCGATGGACCACCATTCTTGCTCTGATCATGATGAACGCTACCATCTTTATCTCCTTCTTTGTAAGTGATCAAACTTCTGCATCATAAACCAGCCTACTAACCGACATTGATACAGGCCAACTCCTTAGAGCTCCTCGTTATTGGAAAAGCCTTCGAGGGTGTGCCATGGGGTTTCTTCATTGCCAACTCCCCTGCCTACGCCTCTGAGATTGTCCCTCTCGCCCTTCGAAGTATCTGCGCTGCCACTCTCCAGATGAGTTGGTGCATTGGCTCTGTCATTGTCGCTGGTGCCACCTATGCTTATAACAAGAGAAACGACGAGTGGGCGTGGCGTGCACCTTTGGCTTTGCAATGGTTGTTCCCTGTAAGACATGTAACCCTAAACATGCTGACTGTTAACATGGACTAACACTTGTTCCCTTAGACACCCCTCTTGGTTCTCCTTTTCTTCGCCCCAGAGTCTCCCTGGTGGCTCATCCGCAAAGGGTGCAAGGAGGAGGCACTGCGTTCCATTCAACGTCTGGGAACTAGTGACACCAAGGCTTCCGCGCAGAAGCTTGCTATGATGGAGCGCACTGTTGAGATTGAGGAGAAGCTCGGAGGAAACCCTTCCCTTCTTGACCTTTTCAAGGGCACTGATTTGCGACGAACCATCATCACATGCCTGGTCTACGCCTCGCAGAACTTTGCTGGCAACCTGATTGCCAACCAGGCTACTTTCTTCTTCGAACGTAAGTGATGCTCTTATGATACCAGCTTAAAAGTCGCCTGGCTAACCTCAGACATAGAGGCCGGAGTCGCTCCTAGTCGTGCTTTCGAGCTGAACTTGATCAACGCATGCCTCCAGTTCCTGGCCAACTGTCTTTCCATGCCTATCGCCGCCAACTTCGGTCGCCGAACTGTCTACCTCTGGGGCACAGCTGTTAATGTCACATTCCTCATGCTCCTCGGAGTTGTGGCATCCATTCCCCAGAACACTGGTACCAACTATGCCCAGGCTATTCTCGGAATATTAATCTCTTTCGTCTATGCCGGCACTCTCGGACCCATCACCTACACCATCATTTCCGAGACTTCCTCGGTCCGTCTCCGTGCTCTAAGCACAGGTATTGGTCGTGGCGCCTACTACGTCGCCGAGATTCCTATGATCTACCTCGCCTCTCGCCTGCTCAACCCCACCGGATGGAACCTTGGTGGAAAGTGTGGTTACGTTTGGGGAGGTACGGCAGTTGTCTGCTTCTTCTCTGCCTTCTTCTTCCTTCCTGAGCTTAAGGATCGCTCATACCGAGAAGCTGATATCTTGTTCAAGCGCAAGACTCCTGCCAGGAAGTTCAAGTCGACTGTTATCGATGTCACAGAGAACGAGTAGATATAGGGAAAGGTTGCAGGGGTGTTGAGACTTCTTGTGGAATCCATTAGTGTGCCATTCAAATTGGAGTATTGTTACAACTAGAAAACTGCAGTACACAATGAGGAAAGTTGCCCGTTATAGGATACAGGTGACTGTTTTGGTAGCCTTTAGCTGTATAAACCCAGGGGATTCCTAGTGGCCTGGAGTTACCAACTCAAGTGAGTTAGAATATGATCTGTATGCCAAAATACTCGAGGCACCATTATTCTTTCCCTTTCAACCTTCATCTTTTTCAAGCCCAGATTTTCCAAATTTCTTAATAATATGAACCATAAGAGCACCTTATAGTATAGGCATTAATTAAACTAACCTCGCTGCCACTAAGGCAATACCCTATCCAGTGCTAAAGATATTAACCTATATATCCAGGCATGTAATAAGCTTCTTACGCCCGCTTAGATGAAAATGGAAATACCTACATATTTTCAGCCTCGATGGAAAATAAATAGCAGGTCCTGCCCACCGATATTATTGTAATTATCCCTGAATTATGTTGTGTAACCCCGGAAGGTATTGACTCCGTCTTGGATTGAGGAGCGAGCAAGGCGGGGTAGTAAGACAAAAAGGTCTAACTGGACGCCACTAAGAGTGGGGAGCTGAAAAGCAAGATAAGCAGTCTATCCTGCCATGTATACGCCTCAGTGATCATATACATATTCTTTTAGCCTAGATGGACCTGCCCCGATGATATCTCTGCAGTAAATAGAAGAGCTATGCTAGCTCTATGGTGTGACAATAAATTTGTCATAAATTCCCAGTGCAACTGCGGTGCCTGTTTGAATGAAGATTCCCTTGCGTTTTTCCAAAGTTGATGTGTGCAGTACAGCTGCATACCGTAGCCCGAATAACGCTAGATCACGATGAGATTCCATTTATATAGCTGACTGAAAGCCACGTCGCATTTATGCGCAAGACGCGCCGTTGTGCGCAAAGATCTATAACTCTGCCACCTTGAATCAAATACATAGGACAGTGCAATACTTGCCAGATTTGGTACTGCCCCAGAGAGCTATTCAGCAGTAGCTCTTTCAAGATAGTAAATAAAGTCTATAGCAGAAATGGCCATGGATCTTAGTTTGTGGCCTAGATTATAGAATGCATTGAGCTACTGTGTTAAGGCTGGGGGCTCCTTTATTTCCAAAAAAGCAAACAAGATCCCAGTTCTTGTGAAAATGACTCGGGGGTCGCAAAATAGCGCCTTCAAAATCGAAGCTGCCAAGCTACCAGTGCGATTCAAAAATACTGAATTTCGCGTTTCACAACAGACACGAAAGCCCTGAGGCGGTTGGCTCTACAGCCACTCGACCAAACGAAGCAGCATAGCCTATTGTCCGCGCGAAAGGGAGGAAATCACATCTGCCTTTACAATGATATGATCGCCCAGCCAATTTGTATTGCCTCAATGTCTCGCAATCTCGGGGCTTTAGGCTCTTTCTTGTGACCTTGTCAGCTTGTCCCTTCAGCCGAGAGCCTACCTGAGGCCCCCTGAGGGTAGCGCCACGGAGATGCAGCTGTCAAATCATTCCCCACTACGGGGCAAGAGGGTTGTCAATCTGCTTTCGGTGGGTGGTAAAACTCATCACTCCCCCGCCTGTTGTTGGCATACTGCATTATCTCCGCTGACCTGATGCATGCAATGGGTCATGAGACCTCTGCTGGGCCCGCTGTGTGGCTTCATTCAAGACACGAGACTCACCGGTTTGTGATAAGATGAGGCTCTGATGCCGCGACTCTGGCTTTGCTACGCTCGTTGAGCTCTGGGGCTGGTTGCTCTTGGTCCTTAAAAAGCCGCTGTGTGAACGTAGGCGAGCCATTTAAAGAAAACAAGGCAATTGCTCTATACGCATGACACAACCATCATGCCTGAAGCCCGCTGCTCTGACTACAGGCTTTCCGCCTCCACGCTTCAGAAGTGGCTGCGAGACGAATTCAGTAATGATACAATCACAGTCGAGGTGAGACATGCCACATACCTAAAGAGTGGGTTTTATATGGGACTGTTTCAGCTAATCGTGATTTACAAAAAGTCTGTCAGTGGACATTACCTTTTCAACCTGCCAGATGGAAGTCAATTAACTCCGGTTTGTGATTTATCTAATTACACTGGCGCTGCTAATCAACCACGTTGCAGAGCCATATAACCGCCATTGACGGCTTGAGAACTAAAAAGAAATAAGGCTGCGTGGAATTGGTGTATGAGTGCATGTCACACAGCGCTTATAATAATATACTTATTTGTTGTACTTGTTGTGGTCGGCTGTGGCTGTTGCGGCGCATTACAGGAGCGCTAAGTAGGGGGATAAATACAAAGGTCGCTTACTGTGGAAATCTGAATCTGATTTATGCTCATTCCATAAATAAATGAATACTGCCATATTGCAATTGTCTTGTATCAGTTTTATTCAAAGGTCAACATGAGTCCCCAATATTCACCCACTTTCCAATCGAAAGATTCACTTGAGAGTTCTTTTCCAGAAGCCTTTGCAGGCCTCGAGCCCTCAGACTCTACAGAGCGAGCTTACGTGGCTCTCAGAGCCAGCTGCGACCGCCAAGCAATTTACCCACGTAACCTTTTACAGCGCAAACAACTACAGAGCACAACAGAGCGCTACGGTCGGTACCTCGATGATGAAAAAAAGAAATTGTTCAATCTCGATTTTGAAGAAATCTATTTCCATGATTTAGAAGATGGAGCTATAGGTAAGCCCCTGACTCCTCCGCTTTAGCACAGGACATTGTTTTTTAACACTCTTAGATTACCGAACAGTAATGATTCGAAACAGCCCATGTGTTCGAACTCACCTTCACAATCTCAGGGATGGAGGGGATCCAAAATCTCGCTTTATGTATGACGTACTGATGTCAATCTCTGCCAATACTTTCGTCTAATATTCTATAGCTTCCTCCAGGCCGAAAACTCGCGGGCTCCATTGAACTGCTCTCGCGATAGCTTCTCGCACATCATGTCGTATCACCAAGTTCCACCAACCTTTATCGACTTTGTATCTGCCTTCGGTGCCACGCACTATCCGACCGATTACCATATGACAGGCTTCGACTCTGACGATACTCTTCGTGTACATGACTCCAACTTGATAAACATTTCCACACTTGGTCGCTCAGGACGTGAGCATTGCATGCAATATCTTTTGCGATCTGTGGAGCGCGACTCTAACGACGACGGATCGCGCAGGTGGAATATTCGACAGGCTGCTGTATATCACTCGTTCGACTTCATTGAAGGTAAAGCACTGTGGATCAATATCAAGGCTAATGGTCTATTGAAGGATAGAATTATAGAAGCAACAAACGATCCTGCAGTACTAGACTTGGGTACACGGGATGACTTGCCAAAATCTTTTGCTGCTACTCTTGTCATTCACCTTATCTTTCTTGAGTGGTGTGACGAAGATTGGCGAATGTGTATTCGTGATTGTGAGAACAAGGTTCGCGATGTCTTGGCAAAGGCTCAAACATCTCAAGTGGTTCAGCCTCCTGCGTTCAGCGCCTCAGCAAGACGAGCTTTGGGGTTCCAGAAAGCGCGACCTACAGGGCTCAGTGAAAGTGAGAAGCAACCTCCTTCAGTGGCTTTGGCCTGGGGACGGAAGATTCACAGCAATCTCAGGTCGCTCAGCCGTTACAAGTACAGGGGCACGCAGGATCGCGACGTATCTGGGATTACAGACGACGATAACCATTTGCAAAAGAGACAGTTCGACAACCTCAAGAATCTCGATGGCTTTTCCTTTGGAGAACTCCAGCATCTTTACTACATGAGTGAGCAATTGGAGAGTTATCGTTTGGTGATGGAGCTCAACCACCAAACCTTGCGTGATATTGCGGAGCGTTACCAGAATTTGCCATCTCAGCGCGGTTTTCCGGAATCTCTCACAGAGAATTGCATGGAAGATATTCTTTCATTTGTGCGACGAGTTGAGCGTATTAGGAAAAATCTCGAGATCCGTATGACGCAAGTCACTTCGCTGCTCGCATGGCTTCAAGACGGAAAGGCATTGGTAAAGCACACCGAATATTCTAGTATTTTCCCCTGCTGATTACATATGATTCAGTTTGACGATATACTGCAATATCGCAATGTACAGATCGGTCGCATATTCACCGAAACTTCATATGGTCAATCCCAGAAGATGGAGCGCATTGCGTACAAAACGGAGAAGGAAACTATCTCAATGCACGTCATCACTTGCGTGACACTGGCATTTCTTCCTGCAATGTTTGCGGCTGTAAGTTAATACCATTAAGCTCTCGGGTTTCCATGCTTATTTTTCTTTCTCTAGACGTTCTTCCAAAGTGGACTTGTAGAGGTGAACAGAAATGCGACCGGTGTGGACGATGCAGTCATATTTCACAGCGAGGCTTTCAGGCTGTTTTCTGCAATATGTTTCCCTCTAATGGCGGTGACCTTTCTCCTGTGGATTTTAGTATTCAGATGTTTGTCACAGAGAGCACGTAGGCGGATTGCGATCGACAATGTTTGAGTAGAAAACTGCCCTACTGAGCGTCCAGCGGGATTTGGCGCAAGCTTCTTTTTTATTTCTTTTGTATGACTGTTAGTTAGATCGATGGCTGAATTGCTTTGATTATTTGGATCACTCATTGTGCCTGTATTGTATCATACTAGTAATACTAAATGGTGAGAATCTCCAGGTCTGCCATACTGATCATGTAAGGGAGCCCCGAAGATGGGTCCAACAGACGTAATGTTTGGCTCAATACTTCCACCACTCGTCAGGCTATGCGATCTCCCAGTCTATCCAGCACACACGAGTCGTGCGGAGGGTCTAGTGGGTAAAGTGTTAGCCGCCCACGGTGAGACCTGCAGGAGAACAGCATGATGTGATAGAGAAATCAGGCTCCGCAATACTACCTAGTGGCTGTACTGTGGTATACTATGATATACTGTGAGGGGCGTTCAGCCAGCCAAGATCGCCCAGTTGCAGTGAATGACATACCCAGTTCGTATCCAGCATGGTAGAATGGGACTCTAGGTTGAGCTAGTGGCGTATGCATACTCCCCATTCTGGACACCCAAAAGGATATTGCAGCGGATGCCTCTCAGCCTCAATTGCCTTGGCGGATGAGCCTGATGCTTCTTTGACAATGATCTAGCCCCGTCGAAATGAAAACCGTAAGGCCGCGCTGATTCCATATATTTGTTAGGACATTCTCCTCCCTCTTGTCCCTGAGCCCCTTCCCGTTACCCTGTGAGCCCAACTCGACAGACTCGTCACCATGACTGAACCATTGGCGGTCGAATTTCGTCAGTGGGTACATAATAACGCCAGGACTGGTGTCAACGGCTTCGACGAAGAGAAGAAGTACGTATCTAACATCCAACTCGAAAACTACTGGTCTTCAACAACCCTCTACGAAATCATAAGCACTATCGACCCCCCCCTCTCAGTGCCAGTTGAAACAATCAGAAAGAAGTATCTTCACATATTTTCTATCCTAGTCTTTATTAGGAAATTAGGGAATATTACCCTCTTCCTAGAATGGGGAATCAACGACAGCGCCCTACCTTTAGGAAAGCATCATCTCCTTGACGAGTGGCATGGCTGTCTTGATGATTTCCTCGACCAACAGTGGCAATTTTGTCCGTGGATATTTCCCAGATTGGAAAGCGACAAGCGGCAACTACCAACGCGGCAGATTTTACCAATTCGATACAAGGGCCCGTTAATAAGAGAAGGCTGGAGTTCGCCCGCAGCACGGATACACATAGTCAATATAGATGACGATTACTGTCAATCTATTCCGCGAGTTAGTATCGATTCCTAAGATATAATTATTTCAACCAACATGTTGCTCATGTTTACTAGGAAGCTGTTTTCAAGATCTATGAAGGTATCGAAACAAAACAACTCTACAGTAGAGAAGCCAAAGTGTACACAAGACTTAGAAGATTCAACGCCATTGGTATCACAAACTGCTATGGCTCCTTCGAATATGCCGAAACCAACAAGCGAATTATCATCCTTGAATATACCCCTGCAGGTTCTCTGCTTGACTTCTTCAAGAATAAACCCCCGGATAATTCCAAATCACTAGAACTGCTTTGGCGGAGCTTGTTACTGCTGTTAGAAGGCCTTTACAAGCTTCACAATCCAGACAAAAGTGATTCCATATCCCTTTCTGGGTATGTTTATGATGCACTCCATTGGTTCTACCCCACTGCAGCCCTGACCTTTGATAAGGATTCACCATGATATTCAGCCAGCGAATATTTTAGTATTTCGAGAAGAGGGAGGCTCTGCCTACGACGTCTCCTTCAAACTTGCGGACTTTGGCCTGGCTGAAATTGTCAGAATAGACGGTGGCGAGGGCGTCACAGTGCCTATAGAGAACGAAGGGAATCGAATGTACTGTGAGTTGTTTTTCTGTCATATCTCTTCAAGCTTCGACTAACGCGACCTTTTGTCGAAGCGGCCCCTGAGTCTTACTCTAATTACACGATTATGAGCGAACTCAGACCTCACCTCAACCCCCTTGTGGACTTATGGTCACTCGGGGCTGTTTACAGTGACTTTCTCGCCTGGTCCATAGGAGGAGGCGAGTGTCAAGAGAGTTATCGTAAAAAGAGAAAGGATGCAATTGCAAAGCTTAGTCACATAACAGAAGCTGGGTTCGATGCATGCTTCCACGACGGAGAAAAAAGGCTTCCCGCAGTTGACGACTTTCACAAGGGGGTTCTCAAAGACAAAGTTGATGGCGACTTTGTCTCCCCTTGCATGAGTCAGTTCATTCTTACGTTCATGATGGTGGAACCTCGATTACGATTGATAGCGATGCAAGCTATGGCGCACGCCACATCCATGATTGACGCCGCGAGGTTGGGTCCCACGCAGCGGCCAAAAACTCCTGAAATCATCCCTCCCGTGATCAATAGGCCAATCTCTTACACTCTTGAGAAAACGGTGTCTGTATGGGAGGTTTACGAGGCGCTGAAGAAAAAGAGCAACTGGAAACATTTTAAGAGACACCGAAGTCAACCCTCCAATGCTGGGATGGATCTTCCAGGTATGCAGAGCGCTCGGAACCAAATTAATCTTCATGGTGGACGAGATCAGGTATGTGCAACCACTTCCCATTAACGATTGGTGGACTGACGTAAGACATTCACTATTTAGATTCTGCTAATCGATGATTATGAGTCAATGAGAGGGCACTGGAGAAATGTTGCGGAGACTGCCAGAGTTATCAGTTACTCAGTCAAAGTGTCTGACAAAGATGGTATGGATCTTTATTTTGCCTCTGACTCCTGCAACCCTCAAAAGTGCCAAAACAGTTCGGACGTCGAGGCCAAGATTAGGAATAAAGTAACAGTCAGTGGATGGTGTGACATGAAGAAGTGTCTGGAAGACGTGATGGCCCACGTCATGGCAAGCGGAACGAAACCGGCAGGCATCTATATTTTCACTGATGGGATATGGGACCCAGAACGCAAACCCGAAGTGGAGGATGTCATTCACGAATCTATCGACCTGCTAATCGACAGAAACGCAAAGCCAGCAAATCTTATGTTTCAATTTATCCAATTTGGCCGTGACCCTCAAGGATCGAAGCGGCTTAAAGTTCTCGACGACGGCTGCAAAAGGACACACAGAGGGGTAGAATAGTAAGTACGGTGTTTATTTGCGAGGGCTATTGAGATCTAACGAATGTGCTCAGCGACATCGTCGACACGAAACATTACGAAGACGACGTCCCTAAGATTATCATCGGCAGTATCTCTAGTTATAGACAATAACGACTAGATTTAGGCACAACATGACCTTGATTCTATACTCTAAGTATATAAAACCGATTCATGGCTAGTCCAGTACTAAAAAGCGTATTCGTTTCTATTCTTAGCAGCTTGTAGCTAAGGTGACAGGCCAGGTGCCTTAATAGCGTTGTATAATGCCCTTACATTTTAACAGAGTATTAGTTATATCAAGCTCATACTAGTAATTATCTATAATAATTCATTGCTTAAGTGTATTATATATAATAGTAACTATACCTCTATCGTTATGTAAAGAACATCTAGGCTTTTTTTAAAAAATCGATTAATTTTTAAACTTTATTACACCGAGGTATTTTAAATCTCTTAATAAGATTAATATTACAGAAAGAACCCTTTTAAGGTTAAAACTTAATTTAATTGAAGTAGTAAAAGCCATACACAGTAACTAAATTCTATCTAAGTAAACACGTAGACTGTAATTCATATATAGCTTTTATTTATATATATTATAAATACTAACTAATATTGCTAAATATTTAACAGATTTAGTGTTACAGTAAATAAAAGATAAATTACTTTTCCTTTATTTCTTCTTTAAAAACAGATTAGGGCTTAATTATAATACTTGGTAAGTAATATTTAGTATTAAGTAGTAATAGCTTTACTTCGATACTATTCTACAAACACTATAGCTTAACGGCTATATAGCCTAATATTCAAGTATATAACCCCTTTTCTCTTAATTTTAAGTTTCACATAAACAGGTACAGGGATGTTAGGATTTCTTGTAGGATGCATATGTGTAGGAGTCAAGTTGAAGTATTTGTATTTGTCGGATTAGTTACACTAGACTAAGTAAGCGTGCTACATAATATCATTCCAAATTTTAAGTAATACACTATATAGTAAGACCCTTTCGCCATAGAGAATATTGAATAAATGTTGTTATTAATTATGGTTAAATTTATAAATGACTACTTAAGAATCCTTTAGATTTCTTCTTTCCACTTCCTCGATGCCCTCTCTGCTTCGAGAGTAGCACCATGCTCACGCCCTAAAACCTCTCGGTGCCCCTCAATACAATTCTCTATCAATTCCAACGCTTCTTGACGGCGCCCAGACTCATACCAGATCTGTGCCAAGTTCCTCGCCGTCAATAACATATCAGGATGTTTCTCACCCAGGAGATCTTCTTGTATCTTCCGCGTTTCTTCAATAATCTCCTCGTTCTTGTCTAACCGCTTCTGATCATAGTCTGTTGTCGCCAGATTAACCATGCTCGTCAGCGTACTCGGATGCTTCCGCCCTAGAACCTTTTTGCGTCCTGCTACTATCAATAAGTGCAACCTTTGGGCCTCGTCTACCAGCTTGAGGCCTCTATATACCGCTGCTAGGTTATTACCAGTAGAGAGTGTCTCATGGTGCTCGTAGCCATATACTCTCTTCTGTGTCTGCATCATCCATTCGAAAAGACGCTGGGCTTCGTCCAAGTTACCCTGACTATAGTGTATCAATGCCAGAGTATTCATCGCAGTCAATGTAAGACGATCCTCCTTACCGAACACCCTCTGTAGAGTCTCAACAAGAGGTATTGCCAGTTTTTTCGCTTCTTCATACGCGCTCAGATTCCATTCGATTACCACTAGATCGCTCATACTTTTCAGTGTTTTTCGATGCTCGTCTCCCAGCACCTGTCGCCGGATCTCAATGGCCTCCCCAAGCAATATTTCAGAATCGAGATACTTTCCCTCGTGACCCAGATGCTCCGCTGTTCGGTGAAGGAATTTGGCGGCTGATTTAAGTACGAATTCGTCGCCCTCTCTGATATTCTTGTAAGAGAGTACCATGGTGGCGTGTGGCAGGTAAGCAGTGCAAGTCGTTCTGTTTTCAAATTTGCCCTTGGGATAATTGCTGGAAACTATGAGGAGAGACTGCGTTGCATAGAATGACAGCTTCTGTTTCCGATTTAACCATTTTCGAGTCACCAGTTGCACAAGTCGATGCATACTAAAGCTCCCCGTCTTGGCCTCTGACACAAGAGAAAAGGCTTTGAGAGTGCCCAATGCGCATTCAAAGTTGATATTTGCCTCGGAACTGTCACTTGTAACAGTGTGAGCGACATTCCTGCGTTGATAATCCAGGAGGAACCTTTCCGGAATACCCTCTCGATCAAACAAGCTCATCGCAGAAAGCAGTTCTCCCGCAAATGCGTACTGCGCTTCAATCATCTGAAACGTGATGATCAACGTCTCGGTTACAGCGATGGGCGTGCTAGTGCTCGGTTCATCTGGTTCAAAACCTTGACTGAGCAGCCGAACCAAATGTTTGTCGTCTCTGTTCAGCTGATCGAAATACTTGGATATCGACATGCTTTGTGCTTTCATAAAAGCAGCAGCCTGGACAAGGGCCAGTGGGAGGTGTTCAAGGCGGGAGGCAAGAGCCAATAACTGTTCCAGTGTGTAATCTTGCTCTGGTAACTTCTGTCGCAGAAGAGCCTGGGCCTCGTCGTCTTGCATCTGGTCAACTTTGAGATCGCAGTGACCTTTACCTCGGGTGAGTTTCACTCCAAGCTTTTTATTCCGAGTTGTGATGAGCATCACGCCCTTCGCCGTGTTGGGGAGATGACTGGCAAATCCCTGTTGTGTAGCCGCAGTCATCCCGCTTGAAGTTACCGACTCTGACAGCTGGAAAAACATTTTCATGTCATCTGCGTTATCAATGACCATCAGCCAGGAACCTCTCTGTTCGTCCTCAAGCCAATTTTTGACTAATGCCAAGATGTCGGCTTCGGGTTTATCATAGTCAGGAATATGGCACTTTTGCGCGATGTCAAGAAACGATCGGCGGAACTGTTCCGCATTACTTGCATTGACCCAATACACTGATATGTCTGGGTTGGAGCCTTGGAGCCAATGTGTATAGGCCAACGCGATCTGGGTTTTGCTGTGATTGATTAGTACAAACAGCGCGTAATTCGAGATGATACGCACCCAACTCCGCCAAGTCCATAGAGATACACTCTATGGCCTGCTTTGACAGGTACTGAGCGCTTGTCGAAACCATGCTGTTGCTGAAGCTCTTGCAGAATTTTAGTCCGTCCAACAAAATCATCGTTTCTGATATACGGCACAATGACTACCGACTTTAGTAAAGATATCTAAGATGTACTCTAAACTCTACTTACACTTTGTGTCTGACCCTATTCTCCTACGATATCCCTTCACCGCCCGCTGAGCCAGGCCACGCAACGCAATACGGACTTTGTCATATTCGTGGTCGTTCTCCGCAAACTTGATTATCTCTGAGTGCGGGCGGCTGATGGCACAAACATGCTCAGGACCATTCTCCCACGGGCGGCACTGCGTAGCTGAAGGTTTGCTGACCAACACTGCTAATGGCCCGTTCATTTTCCATTTACCCTCATCGTCCTGCATACACCTATTTAGTAGCTAGCCCATATGAATGGGTAGATGGAAATTAACTGACCTGAACACCTGTAGGAGACATCATGTCTTCGTAGAAACACACAACCTCAGACTTTCCTTCCGGTCCAAGCACATCCACAAACTCTCGTTGTAGGTAACTGAGTATCTGGGAGTTATCTCTACTGAGAGACTCAACCATTGATCTCGAAGGTGCGTTTCCTGTCATTGCAACCAGAGAGCCAATATCCATACCCAGGTGGGGAACACCAAAAAAGGCGATTCCATACACTGCTTGGAGGAGCTTACTGTCTTCTATAAGCTTGGACTTGGCCAGAATTATTAATGCCTAAACTGGACTTAGCAATTGCTTTATTGTCAATCTCCACCATTGTGAGACGTACCTGTTTAACAATGATCCCCCCAAGGCTGTGAGCAATGAACACAATTGGCCTTGTTGTAGGACCTTCTGCCAGCGATCGTAGGCTTGCTATCAACTGCGTGGCTATGTCTTCGAAGGTTTGGAAACTTGTACTATTCACAACAACCGACTTGTATCCGTATGTCATAATTCGTGCCATTGGCCGGTCGTTGGACAGCGGCGTCAAATCGTATGGCAGGTCATCTCGCAGCCACATATGCTCTCCGCCTCTTTCTTTGAAAGAGCCGAATGCGTGGCCACCGAGGCCCGCAAGTGCGATGATACTACGAAAATTAGCCCAAGTTGTAACTTCAGACTGCTTGTTTTACTCGAGCTTATGGTCATCGTCACCAGGAGCAAAAAGCGTGGTTATGCCCAAGAATTCTTGATCTAGGCTCAGTGTGACGGGTCGTGATGGTTTATCCGTTACATCATTTTGAACGTGTATCTGACCGGACGTTTTCGATCCACCTAGAAACGCTGTTGCTGAGCGTGAATTACCTTGCAATTCGGTTGCCAACGAATAAACAAGAGCGTCTCCAAAGCTCCTCTGAGATGCCAAGAATGCTTGCAGGCGACTAATATCCCAAGTTAAAGGGATACCTCGAACCCTATGGGTTTGCCGGAACCTTTTGCTATTGCTAGCAGGTGAGGGCTGCTTCCTAGAGACTCGAGCTCGTGCATAGAAAAGCCAGCAGCAGCTGGCGACTGTAACTGTGACTAGTATAGACCATTGGCTGGGAGTAAGAAGCATCGTTCTCATCGATCAATATTGGACGCAATGCGTTCTTTACCCCACTGGCAATATGAATGGCGATTGCAAAATGCCGTTTAACAAAAGAGGGCTGGCTTGATTGAGCATGGAAGGTTGAAATAAGAGTCTGGCAAGATGTTTACGCGCGTCATAAATCAGCCTGTGCATATTGCGGCTGAACGATTTCTACACGGCTGTGGGTCAGAAATAGCCTTGGCTTACTTCCTGCATGAATTTGTAGGAGGCCTCATTTCAACCTTGTGACATATACTATTGGGGGTTACACTGAGCTGATCGAATTATGACGTCTCTAAACAGTCAAGAGCGGGTTAGGCGTACTGTGGTAAAGAAGTTGTTTTGATAGCTGGCGAGCTCAGTTCTATGAAAGTACTAATGAATGTGTTCTATATACTTGAGTGATCCTGTGAGGACTACGGTTGCTCCTGGATCTCGATAGTCTACTGTAATGGGTGATCCATTCACGGAAATTAGGATTTAGAGTAGTCAGCGAGCTTTAATCCCTGAATCTCGGCTTCCGCCGCGTCCAATAGAGGTTTGAGAAGATCCTTCACTGAGCAACTGTGGCGAACTAGATAGATAGGATCATCTTCTTTATCCACCGCAGTTGGACCAGATGAGGTAGTGTTTCCAGATGAGCTACCGAATAGACGACCAGAAGTGGTGGGAGGGTTCGGACGAGGCTGTCCCCCAAACAGACCGCCTGTAACTGGTGGCGTTGGGCTAGCAGTAGGAGGAGGACGAGGCTGTCCAAACAGACTGCTTGTGACTGGTGGTGTTGGACTAGCAGTAGGAGGCGCAGTGATGGATCGAGTCGATAGCGTCCAACTGCCCGAATACTTTCCAGCAACACTTCCTTTTTCTGCGCTGAAATACGTCGGCGACTGTGCGTTTCGCAAAGAATTAATGACGAAGTCCAGTGTTAGGAACGGAAACTGTGGTGATACTCGTGGCGGGTATAAACCGGCCGCCTTCATCCCTTGTATCAAGGCTCCTAAGAGCATGGCTGTGCATCCTGAATTGCACCCTAATTTCCCTTCAAGTAAGCTATTTTCAAGGCTTTTCAGGGCATTACCCAGGTTGCCTAAGATAGCCAGCCTTCTCTTTTCGATGTGGCCTTCCCTAATTAGCTCAAGTCTTTGGGTCTCAGAAAATATCTTACCTGGAATGTTTGCACGGATTGGCAAGTCGAACATAGGCACAGCGCCGTTGTTGAATCGTATCGCAGCCTTGGTAGAGTCTTCAAAGAGTCTCTCATACTCAAAGACGAACGAGGAAAAAACATACTGGACGAGTGTCTTGTTCATCTCACTAGGGATAGTCGTGCTAAACAATCCAGGGAGTGAAGAGATCCATCCGCGGCCATAAAAGTTCAAAGCATCGTGGCACTGCAAGTCATCAACGACTGAAGCGACCGCGACCAACATATCCGGATCAAGGCGCTGTTGGACCCCACGGGTCTTCCCGTGGATGATGTTCAACACCAGGTCAAAGGCTTTATCATCAAAGGTTTCATCAAACTTCCAGTGATGAAAGCCGTCATCTTGTTTCGTCGCTTCTTTGAAGCCGCTAGAGAAGATCTTTGCCGCACGATGCGATGCAAATGTGAGATGCTTCTTCGAGCAAACAAAGCGCTTCTCAATGGGTGATTTCGAGGACTTGGAGGGTTCGAGCTCAGCGATGGATCTTTTGATCGGAACGATGATCAGAACATCCCCTTCGGAGTCGATCTGGATTTGTTGGGTTGACATGCTGATTAGAATGACTGATGTGGAGAGTTGAAGGAGGAAGAATTGCAGCTGCGTTGAGTCCTTTTTTGTCCTGGCGAACCAATAAGCGCAGGGTTCAATAAGCGCCAGCTTTACTGTTAGGTACCGATGGACCAATGACTGAAAAGATCAAATCATTTCCCCGCCCTCTCCCTCACAGCGTCAAGACACCAAAATCTGGTACGCATTAGAAGTCGGGGTGACTTGCCGCTACTCATGCAGGAGGCCGGCTAGGTGGACTGTGCCACCGTACGTTATTGGTGCTGTGCCTCTTACATGTTGGCCCAACACTCCTGTCGCTATTGGCTCTGACTGTAAAAATGGAAGTGACTTGCAAAAGCGCCCTATTGCAATAGCATCCCTTATCGATGGTGTTTATCGAATGCAGACATATCAATATTCAATTAGACCACTTCTCAGCCACAAAGCAAAAGGCACGAACCCTCACTGCTGACCGTACCAGCATCATATTATCTAAAATACGTATAGGTTGTGATAATTTATGGATAATATCACCCTAAAGTTCTGTAAGTTCATTAAGAATAGAATAGGTTCTTAAGATTCATCATCTTATGCCAAATTTAGAAGAAAGGGAATTGCACAACTACTCTAGATATTCACAAACCAGTGAAGCACAAACTCAGTAACATAGCCGGGACTCAGGCTGATGGAGGAAGTCAGATTAAGTCGTAATATTCTGTGATGATCTAGAGAGGCACTGCGGCTAAGAAGGCCTGAAATATACACAGAAGTCCCGCATATTTCGAATGCAAATTCGTCAAGCATTTTCTTACGACAAGTAGACTTGTGCAACTGACAATGTAATTGACAATTTAGTTGGTACAAGGTTTCCTCCTCAGAAAAGCAGAATTTGGACATCTTTTGTTGTCTCATCAGTCTGTGGCGGACCCATCACAGACCTTGGTCAAAGTAACCTCGTCGATGTAGATAAACAATTGGTCATACTCGCCAGAGCACTCAGTAGAGAGCGACAGCTCAGCCTCAGCCACATCCGTGTTCCCAGCCGACCATTCCTGTGGTGCAGATTCCCAACCGGAACTGCTCTCGGACACATAAGCAGAACTAAGCGCGTCATTCCCGATCTTTGGCGTAATCAGGCACGATAGTCCAGCACCAAGACCCTGTGCTGACACGGAACCATAGCGGAAGGACAATGTGTACTTGCCGCTAAGGTTTTGTAGTGTCTGGGCGATTCGTGCGGTGCCTTGTCCATCTGTGAAAACAAGGGCCCTGTTACATAATGTCAGCGTATTCCTCCTATCGAATGTCTTAAGCGGGGGAAACATACACGGAGCTAGGGGCGGTATAGGCTCTGCGGCTGTTGAGATCGTAGCTTCTACCAACCCAAGGTGTAATGTCACTAGCACTCGTGTCGAATCCTGGGTTAACGACGACCTGAGTTTCAACGCAGGCTGGAGGGCCGGCAGTGGTCGTCGTGGGTTCTGCTACAGTTGTCGAAATTGTTTCGGATACGAGGACCGATGTAGTCGTGGCTTCAGTCAACGTGGTAGCCAAGCTAGTGAGTGTGGACTCAGGCACGGCAGTTGACGAAATCTCGGCGACGCTGCTAGCTACAGCTGTTGCTGAGGGACGGCAAGGGCCAGCTTAGGCTTCGAGAATGCAAGCAGCCAGAGCGGCGAGGGCGAAGATTGAATGGCAGACCATCTTTCCGGATTATGAGGTAAAACAAAAACGATAGTACGCAACTGAAAACAGCGCAGGTAGAATCAATGGATGGTGAGAAGTAGGAAGAGAAAAGTCTAAAACAAGGTGTAATTATTTCCGTTGACACCTCCTATTTAAAAGCTGTCAGGTGCTGTCAGGTTCTCAAAACGGCCAATGGCTGAGCTACTGTCAATAGCTCTTTACGCTAACATCAATTTTAATTCAAGGTGCATGCACTAGAGAGCTCTCGACCATTCAGCGGATAAGAGCGGACCCACGATGTACAGAATTAGTAATTGTGGGTCTGTTGTGTTTTTCACCCACGTGGTTCTACTACGGTAGGTAGGTTAAGTAGGGGCACTTCAATTATGCAAATTGGCCCGTGCACGTGTACTCGTACAGTGCAGCAATTGGGCTACACACGGTATTTCTAGATAAGTACTTTTTAATTGGTCTTCAAAGCCAGCGAAGATAAAATTAGAGGATTAAATACTGAGGGGGAGCACTAAATGCCCTATAGTCTGCCGAGGCTTCACACAGTGCAGGTACATAAAAATGGGTCTGCTTATATAATGAGAAGTGCCCCTACTTATCCTACCTACCGTAGTATACGTGTCGCTGTTACCACATCAATAATGAAGAAATAAGTGGTAGATAAACCCTTTTCATAATACGGGAGAACACTCGGCTGATCAAGCCAACACCATATCTGAGCCATCTAATACCTAGGTTGATTAAAAGAGGAAGACTAACTAATGTGGAGGACCACAGGGATATAATCAACGCTAGCTGCAGAGAAATGAATATGGTGAGCTAGGTTGGCTATGAAGTATTTCGTAAGGCGTCAAAAATCTGGATAAGTAGAGTGCGTTGAAGTGGCAGAATCTTGAAAGGACTCACACTGAAACCTGGCCAACATGGAGCATATAGTTATTATATTCTACCTAAGGTTTATCCACTGCGACGCAATATGACTAATTACAATCCTGCATCATGATGGTCCGAGTTTGTTCTTGTACAAATAAGACCTGTTAAATATCCCTAAGAACATATCTTCTATGAATGCGGTAAGTTGAGGGTTGACTCCGGCCGGGGCGTCCTGGTGTTTGAGAAACAGCCAACTTCGCCAGGTATGGTGGGTAATCAGAGCGTGACTCGGAATCAACTCAATGATACCCTCCCATCCACATGACTCCAGCTGACATTTGTATGAGCCAACGATCTGCAGTGCCGGAGGTGAGATGGCTCCTCCTGAATTCCGGCATACCAGACACTGAAAACATTCGGGATGCCATTTATGTCCTAGCTCAGAAGATGCAGCGAAGGCATCGTGGACTATAATTTCGTTACACTCCACGCCCAGTTGGCTTCCGATTGAAATCAAGATTAGGCACTGGGGGACTATTGGGATCAAGTGTAATGAGAAAATCATCGAGCACACTGGGCATTACATCCCAAAAGGCACCACCCATCTCTAAAAGCGTGTCCAATTCCACCTTGAGGACAGATCTGAAAGCCGCAACGATCCTCTCAGTAACTATGCGACACAAATGATTTTATCTTATAGCAAGATCTGTAAGAACTATGATTATATCCTGTGCGAATCAGACAACCTATAAAATTGGGAGCGAGGCTGATTCCAAAGCCATGCGGAACATAATTCTAACTAAGGATGATGAATGGAATAAATGAATGGAATAGTGGCTGAGTTATACAGAGACTCGGTCCATCAGACATCTTGGCTGAAGATAATTATACAATGTGTAATTGCTTGACTTAGTCCGAAATACAACCGAAATCCCAACCCACTTATATAAGCGTAGAGCTGGCCAAGATGTTTACCTATGAGGGAGATTATGGTTACAAAAAAGAGATAATATGGAAAGGGCTTATGGATGGCGTATACCTCCCTTGAAAACTATCAAGTTGCTCTAGTGACTTGGCTGGCGGGTAAAGCTGCGAGGAACGCACTGCATCGACATCTATTCTAATTGAGACATAAATTCATTTCAAGGTCTTCTGTTCTTCAGAAATATGCATTGTATTAAACTCTAGCAGTGTTTATGCAGATAAATACCGACAATCACCCAATACATCGCCCTCTTCTCTTCAAAATCACATAGGAGGATAAATTAGCTACACAACGACATGTGCTGACCTTTGAAAAGGCCCAGTACACTTAATCAAGCTAAATAAGTACCTTGCACAAACCCTGATGCCGGTCCGTAGCCCACCAAGCGAACTTCCATGAAACTACCAAAGCTTAAACGGTCTTCGCTTACCAGGTAAGTTGAGCTCGACCGATCTTATAAGGGATCGGGCCACCGGGTGTATTAAATTATAGCTTGGCTTGCCAGGGAAGAAAAGAGTTGAAGGGTCCTCTTCCCATTCAGGTTGAATACTCCCCTGAAGGACATGAAGCTTTCGATATTGTACCTGGCATGCGCCAACGCGGCGAAAGTCCACCGGTATACCACGGATGGTCTTGATACAGGCAACTGCTATGCACTGCATGTGCTCATCTGTTGCGAAGAGGGGAACGAGAGAGATTCCAGACTTCACTAGCTGGATGACCTGATCCTTGGTGCCTTCTAGATCAAGATGCGTGCCAGAAAAGTAAAACCCTTCTTGAAGCGTAAAGCCATCAACTGTGAATCCCGACAAAAGGTTTTCCTTATCCCAATTTACTGAGTTAATGGGCAACAGAATCCCGCGGAGTAGCACAGAACCACTGGCTGTAATTGCAGAACTGCTATCAAAAACCGGATCCGGGAACACCGCTACATTGGCAAAGTATTTGCGAATCTTTTCAGGATGGGGACTGATGACGTCGCCATCAACAGACAACCATGACCAGCTAGGGGCTCGGCCTGAGGAAAGTTCTTGCGGATGATGGACTATATCGTCGCGGGTTCTAGTCCAAGCAAGCTGAGAAATGAATGCACTCTTCCAAAGGCCGACAAGATAGATATCGCCGCGCGCGACCTCAACCGTTTTGGCCACCCGGGCAAAAGCAACAAGTTTATCCTTTTTAGATGTAAGTTCGGTCGTAGTATACTTTGCGACAATTTCGTCCCAAGATCGACAAAACTCAAATAGGTTAGCGTTTGTTGGAACTTTTGCTGCGAGAACGTTGTCGGCAATGTCGCTTCTCGGCCACTGGATCAACCCTGGGGGCAATCGCTTGGGAAACATCTCAAGTGCATTGATCTGATGACACTCCCAAGCAAGTTGTCGCTCTGCAAAGTGTAGGATCCTGGGAGAGAGGAATCGCTCCTGAAAGACCCAGCCTCTGCTTTGCAGAGGACCTTGTTCAATTTCGTCTTCCCAAATATCATGATCTACGCTCCACGCTTTTCGGGAACGCCGTTGAACCATCTTCAGCCTTGCTTTGGGGTCGCCAACTTTAAAGACCCTGACCTTTTTCATACATGGTAGATTGAGAAGCGTTGGATCATACGGATGGCTTGATCGATCGAAAAGAGATCGAGTATCGTCATAGGCCAAGGTTGCTGAGACGTTTAGGAAGGAATGGGAATAGACCTTGCCCATCAAGTGAGCTTCAACTTCCCAGTCTTTCTCATCATCATCCTGCTGAATGCATAAAGAGTCGATCCACAAATACTTGACCCGGGCAAGCCGTGCGATATGTATTGTCTCTTTAAAACTGACAGGGAGGTTGCTAATATCGATGCGATTCTTAAACTGCTCTAGGCTCCCTGCTGTCAGCTTTTTGTAAGGCGTACTACCCCATCGGTGGCTTAAAGTCATGTACGGTCCTTCCATATTGTTTTCAGCCGATACGATAAGGCGTACATCATCGTGCGCCGGGCCCAGTAGAAGAAGGCGAGTCGGGTACCATAGAGCTAATCGGTTTTGCCTAGCCATACATTCTTCATGTGTATTTATACACTGATTGAGCCAAGTCTTGGCAATACTAGCCCGATGAGTAGGGTACGTGGTTGTAGAGGATTCATATTCTGACTGGTTAACGTTCATATTACGTCCTGCATGAGTGTCACACTTACCCTGAGTAGAAAGTAGACGAATCACTAATTCCAGCTCAGCTAGGCTAGTGGAGTTCACCGGCTGTAGCGTAAAGCTTAAGGATATGATACGCGATCCCTCTTCCTCTGGTGTGGTGTAATATGATGATGGCCTTAAAGCGCTATGCAACTGTCCTGATTTCCATAGCTGGAAGGTCTCGGGGTAATATTCGTCAAGCCATACAGAGTATTTTGTGCAAACCCAGCAGGTCTGCCTGGTCTGTTGGTCGTGCTGTGGATGTGTGATACTGAGTCTAGCAGTGGTACGTCTCAATAGTCCGGAATGGACTTCCTTCAACGCTTCACCACAAACATCGCAGAGTCCCATTGTAAAGCAGACAATATGAAACGCAGAGACTTTGGATGTGGACCAGAAGCTTGATCCCAAGTTGATCGATTACGGGAGGACGGCAATTTATCGTCTCTAAATATTCAAGTCTAATGTCTGACTACCCCGAAAGTCAGCCTTGCTCAATGCCTGGTTGTTCGACTGCGCCACGCTACGTGGCTGTGACAGACCAATCAGAAGTCTAAGTACATTTTATAACATGTTAATTTTCGCAGGCAGTGCCTATTTCGCAGGGGGCGAAATGCAAGACAAGCACGCAGTCACCCCCTCACCGCCATCTCAGTCTTTGGTTCAGGTGAAAACAGTGTCGATTGCGAACATTTGTTTATCTCAGATTTGCAAAGCTTGTATTTTGGACACCGGCCATGCATCACGCATCTTCTGTCGGTCTTTATCTGCCTGTGTCTAGTAGTAAAGCCGGCAAAGATTAAGCTTATCACCCCCAAAATCATATTCTGGTAGGATGTGGATATTAGTCCATACAGCTTGATCCCAGTATACAATATAAAGAGGTTCACGGAAATGACCAGCCGTATAATCTGCTATTAATCGCTGATAATATGAACTTCGATGCTGTATGAGGTCCTAACCCTGTCGTAGGTCTGAATTAGAGTTAGGTTCAACCTTCATAAAGTGGCACAGAAGAGGCAATGCATCATTACACATCCTACGAAATTTCTCAACCTTTTCACTCTATGTGGCAATTGAATTCATCCGCCTACAATAGATAAAATTTCTGAACCCGTAGAAAAGGGTCTGGTGGATGCGTTATTCTCTACCGAGCTTCGTATGAAAAACATAAATACGCTTTCATTTTATAGGTCATAGAATCTACCCCGGCGCACAATACGTGAAAAGACTTTCCGACTCTGAGCCAATTACTAGCTGATCTTACATGGAATCTCACTTTGCTCCTCTTGTTCATGGTTATTCTTAATCCGCTCAAGTATGCCTAGAATGTTTCACTGTTACGGCACGGGTGCCCGTGCGGGTATGGATCACTGCCTGCTTGGCGGGGTAAATTATCCTTTCGGCCACGAGCTAGATAGGAAGACTAGCCAATCAGATAAAAGGCCCCTTCGTGCTCACATTTGTTGGCCCATCCATCTTTCGTCATTAGTATCAGCTGTGTCAGCATCCACAATTCACGCCTAATGACGAATGAGAAAAAAGGCCCTTCCAAAAGAGTTCGTTTCTCCCTCTAATCTTTAGTGTTGTTCGACCCCACTTTCTTAGCAAGAACTAGTCTCGCTAAGGGTGCCGTGACTTTACATGCTGAGGTCCTACTTGACATTAAAAGGATCTCTCCCGCTGCGAAAGATCACTCCAGACTTCGTTTTATCAATATTTTCGACTCCAACGGGGTCTAAAACATAATTCCTACAACGTCACACTTCACTACTTGTTTGGCAAATATCTCATCACGACACTCCTTGTTGATACAGAAGCAGCGCCGAGCGTAGTCTCGGCGCTACTGTCATTCAACGCAGCCACGATGATCATCAACTAAACTCATTGACTAGCAGCATCGCTGAGTTGTATTGGCTAATCGACCTAGGGTATTGGGACCACGACCCAATTATACCCTTGCATATTGATGGAGACGACACGATCGCGAGTTCGCCAAACTCAAGTGGCTTTCTCGGATGCGAACGTCCAGTGGACGATGTATTACAAGCCCTTGAGCCGAATGATCGTGTCGAGCCTACTGATATGCAAATAAGACCATGCCTACTTCCTGGTTCTCCTGATTTCCCAGCTTCCCATCGTCCAGTCTCTTTCGATCAACCATCTCATTCAACGACAACCACAGTCTCCCCATTTGGCCCCACACTCTCTTCGACCTCAACACTTGTCACTTGGGAAGAGCCGGCCGACTTCCAATCAACACCGCCAAGTCAGGGGTCATTGTCTCACAGTAATTGTGACATTTGCGGGAGACTGTTTGATGATCCTCATACTCTCGGGTGAGTGTACCTATCAAAGGTTTATGACCTAGGCCTGATCAATAGCAGCTCTCACTTGGTCACTCATCACAACATGTCGAAACCATTCCATTGTGGTCGAAAGACCTGTATGACAACATACACCACTTTTCCTTCCCTTCGTCGGCACCTCACGAAAACCCATTTTGGTGCCGTGTACATTTGTTGCTGTGGATATTCCAGCCGAAGAGACAAGTATTGCGAGCATTTGCGGAAAACGACATGCATTGGCGATAGCTACCAATGTATGTGTGGACATACCATTGAAGACAAGAGCGCGCATTTGTCTCACATCAACAGGTGTGGCAGACGAAAAAGGGGAAGACCGAGGATACAAAAGGAAAATGATCGAGAAATCTGAACACTAAGCTGGAAAAGGAAGGAAAGCCCTGGGAAGAAGCGTGCGGTCTTTCGAGGTTGAAACGCCCTGTATGACATGCGTTTGACTGACGAAGCTCTGAAGACTTTACGCGATGATTTCAAACTCTCAGGTTCTTTTGCTCGGACTGGATGACCATCGGTAGCCTACATTCGTTGTGGATTACACTGCTATGACATCCAACGACTTGCTAGCAAGCCCTCGCCGCATGACCTGATCAATATCTTGAGGTGTGGAAAACGCCTGCTCAAGACCTTTTCTTTCGAGTTTTTGCTACACTTTCTTTTAGGTGTATTTACTAGGCTGGCAAAGATTTATGTTGACATGGGTGAAGGCTGCAATGGTATGTCTGTATTAGATGACAGATAAACAGCTTGTGGCGCACACTCATGCCATTATTGCCCAATTCATGTCAACATTCACTACATCTGCGCTAAGTAGCAACTGGATAGCTAACTGTTTAAGCTAGAGAGAGGACCGGGTGTGTTCTGCGAGCTGTTTCTCCTGTCAGATATCGTGATTAGATGGCACTCCTCATGCAATAATAGCTAGTTATAATATATTAGTCTGCTTTAGATATAAGATAAGTACAATAGATACCATGAAGTGGTTAATTAAGATGTTTCGTAATCTTTCTATATCATTTCATTTCAAGTGTCAACACAACGACTCAAGCTCGGTTAGTAGCTAAACAAGTATACAGGGTGCTTAACTTGGGGAGTTCCATATCAGTTTATAGGCCAAATATTCTTTCTATAGCTTGTATGATTACAGTTTCAGTATAGCCTGCGATGGCTGGGCTTTCTTAGAGATAAATTAGTCCAAAACCTATAACTGCGGAGCAGTATAGTGAAGCCAATCAGATCTTTGGCCTTGTTGTTTAGCTCCTGCTTGTTATCGCAGTGGCTATCGATGGCCCGTTTGACTTGCATATAGGTCAGATTTAGGGTTAATTAACTAACAGTAGCTATAAAGGTCGATTAACTAGGTAACTTATGGTGTGGATGAGGAAGCCAGCTTTTATTCGTGTGGCTGTCAGTCTACGTGTTTACTTAAATAGAGTTTAGTTACCATGTATAACTTCTGCTGCCTTAATTATATTGAGTTTTAGCCTTAGAAGGGGTTATTTTTATTTTTGATATTATTAAGAGACTAAGAAAGCCTAAGTTTAATAAAATTAAAGGTTAAATTGAAAAAAGAAAATATAAAATAGTAAAGCTAATTAACCTTATAGCCTTTTAGTATTGTAGCGGTAATACGCTTTTATGTTTTAGACTGCGCGAGTATTAGATCGTGTTGCAAGCATATAGAGCTGCCCTACGTCTTTGGAGGTATGTACCTGAAATTCTGGTGTGCGAGGCATGATTTATGTGTGGGTTATGCTTCAGAATCCGAACTTACAAGACCTTTCAGACGAGGCGTCGCCTGACTTCGTGGTAGTGCCTTAACTACTAACAGATGTTTCTCTTCTGTTTCTATATACATAGCATTTATCCTTCCTCCTCCGGAATATGTAGTTAATCCAGATGGTGATACTATGCGTTATACTTTTAAGTAGAGCTGCTGTAAGCATATAATAAGGATAAATCACAACGGTTAAGTTGTGATGGAAACAATTCAAAGCTCAGAGTGATAACAATCACGTCATCGATAGTTATCTTACGATCATCTATCCATTCCTAGCGAAAGAACTATCTCGAAAGCTATACACACCGTACCACTATCGCATTTTACTGGTCTGATCGAAAGCCTTGATTCCAGTTCAAGTCACAGGTTTGATAAGGGTATTCTACAACAGCGCCGTCAACCATTCCCACAATTTCAATTCTACTTCGAAACTCCTGTAACGAGAGTAATATTAGAAAGAAAATAGCGTTTCCGTTGGCTAACTTCTTTGCCTCTAGAAATCTCGCCTCTACGACTCTAAGCTCAAATTTGACTTGTCGCTTTATAGCGCATATGTTAGATAACCGATAATTTAGTGAAACTCTTACCAGCCAAGATAACAATAGATGCCTAGATTATCCACATGCTCAAACAGTTATTTCGTATTAGGATCTATACCTTATTGGATTCTATCCAGTGAATCACCTGAGCGTACCTTGGCGACTTCGCGAACCTCGTTTAAGTCTGCCAATTCACCCGGTAATATTAATGGCCCCTAATCTCACTTGCGGAGAAACTGCTCCGTGGATCGATAAGTTTATTATGACCATACGCACCTATTCGGGAACTACTTTATATATCAAAACGCGTAATATGGTGATCTTTATGATATAATAATAAGTCGTTTAAGGCCCCCTCTAGCTATTCGAGGAGGAGATCCATAGAGTAGTTACGAATTTGCCAAGGATGTCAAATTCCTTCTATAAGTAAGTGAGGAGCCAATATCAGTTCTTAAGTTTTTCCTGACTCTCATACCTCGGCTATACGTATTGTTATTGATGACCCAGTTATCAAATTGCAAGTCAAGCTCCGATGGCGCGATGCTTGGAGCTGCTTCCGCTCCCAAGGTGCTAACTCTAGAGGTATCTTGATCGAATATAGACTGAGTTTCTATTCTCATGTTGGGATTTCGGGCTGGGATAGATAGAGGATCCGCTGCTGTCGCCTCGATCTCGCGTGTATATTCGCAGTTATCTTTCTGAATGTTAGGAAGGGCATCTTTGTTTACATGTGAGTATATCAATCGAACGTGGGATAATACACCAAATTTCCAAGATGTTTAAGAGGAACGTGATCGAGGTCTGCTTGGTTACTCCGGTGGTATTCTCTCACATCTTTATTAGTAGATGAATCTCACATCTCTTACTGCCTTGTTGATCTCGTCGGGTAACCGAGATAGCTTCTATTATTTACTGTCTGAACTCTTTTAACATAATAACTTTACTAAAGCCACGTTTTATTTATGATACTTCCCGTCCTACCTTTATAGATTTGAGTACCTTAGTAATATTACCTACTGTTGCCTATTCTGTCTCTCTCACTATTATTTTAAAAGGCTCGATGTATTTACTAGAATATGCCGGCAGTACTTATAAATCAATTCTATTATGATTAATGACATTCTATAGTATACTGGTATAACTTATTCTATATTTTCTTCTCAAGAGGTTTCCTAAATATAGAGATTGGCTGGGGACATCACTACAGTCTATGCAAAGCCTTCTTTTCTTTTTTAGTTACTTTTTCAATTACGAATTTAAGTCAGTGGTAAAATTAAGAGTTGATAGCATAGATCCCAGACTTTCCACAGCCACTGTATTCCCAGTCATCGCCCTAACTATGCAGTATCCATAAGTAGTAAAGACGGAAGTAAAAATAAGCAAGAATTAATACAGTAAACAAAGTGATAAGTCATTCAGGTTTCGGTTCGTAATACTCAGAGCAATGTGTGAGTTCGGCATAGCAGTCGTCCAACTCAGAGTTCTAGAGAAAGGCGCAATGGCCGGTACAGGAGACTAGGTTCATATAGAAATAAATTTTAACTTAATGAATAAAGATATCATCCATATTACTCTCTGCGTCCCGACAATCCCAGCAGACATCAGTAGGACATATAACAATTCTTGAAGGCCTCATTCCTTTTTGGCTCATTTTTTGGGCTAGATATGATGTGGCTGCCAGGCGAGCTACCCAGTTACCGCTTGCTCGAATAACTGCTTGTTCCTCAGGGCAATCTCGTAATTCGTCCCAGCACTCGATCGAATGTATCGAATTCTGCGGTAAAGAGCCACGCTCATGAGAGCATGAAGAATTCGGTTGTGCTAAGTGAATCATATCACTTTCTAGCGCCTTCAAGATATCAATATCTCCGACCCACCGACCCGAGTCTTTGATGCTAACAACAGCTTCCATCAGTGATCCTTCACCATCTCGATTACCCGAATTTCCTACGGAGGTTAAAGGCTGACTCCAATCTGTGAACGAAAGGTGTAATGAGGTAGTGCTGAACATATCTTCTGGTCTCCCGTTAAAATTGTTCAGATTAGAGATTCTCCATGTCCCCTCATCCAAAGAGGCGAGCATTGGGTCTGCAGGAGGGATTAACATTGTTAGTCCTGGCCGGCCAATATTACCAAGAATCCTCGTCAGTTTGGTGACTTTGGACACTTTATCTCCAGGGTCACGGACAAGCTGGGGCAGCAGGTTAGTTATAGAATATGGAACGGGAACAGGGAACTCTTACCGAAGAAGGGACAATGATTGAATTTTCAAAAGAAAGTCCCATAATATGCTTGGGAATAAGGCTGAGGTGAATATTGTTACCACACACCAGATGGGCCAAGGTTTGAAAGCATCTAGAATTGGACAAACGAGAAAGAGACATGTTGTTGATTGTGGGGGGACCATGGCTAGTAAATATGATATAGGTACCTTCAGTTGCCCAATGCGTATCAAGTAAGCAGGTTTCGAGACATTGTATGCGTACAAAAAGGTTTGGGAGAGTGTTAAAGATGGCCGAGGCGGAGTATAGACAGATTACAGTCTGTAGTATCGTGTCTTCCCGGTTGAGATACTCCACAAACCTATGTGGACAGACCAACGAGTTATTGAAACACCATCTCATATCTTCGAGAGTTATAGTGGGAGGGTCGGTCTGTAGCCCATTCGTAACACGCTTCTTGTAGATTGCTGTAGAAGAGGAGTCGCCGATCCAGAAGTCGAAAACTGACTCATTGTTTCCACTTCCCTGGTAGAGTTCCAAGCCGTCAATTCTGTACTCCGCTTGTTTAGATGTCTTCTTGCGACGCTTCGATCTCTTGTTGGAGGATCGTAGTAACCCTAAATCGATATCGTGTACGGTGGAGGATGGCAGATCGAACATGATCACCTCTTGATCTGATAGATCGACCCTTCTCGTCAAGCGTTGTAGAATTGACATGCGGTCTTGTAACTCTGGAGTACAAGATAGAAGCAATGTGAGACCAGATAGGCCAAAGAAGGCCCTGATAGCGCCCACTTTCTGTAGATCTGGGTCTTTAATAAATCCTGATCTCCGTTTTCCATATAACATATGGCTCCATGCTTTATCATCGTTCAAACATTCTTTGGCAGCGTTACTGATCAGGGCCATTGCTGGATGAAAGCTAGTGTTTCCAATACCTATGGTGTCGAAAACGGTTGACAGGATATTGGTTGCATCGACCAGATCAGACGAGGAGACTCTCCACCGGCTCAATATAGCACCCACAGTGGCATGAAGTAGATTAGCAAAGGGTATTCGACGGGAATCCTCTTCCAACGACTGGTGTCGTTTCACAGGAGGGCCATAGAATGTCAGATGGCTCAGGCAGAGAGACCAGTAAACCCCACGTGACTCGGTTCCATGTGAAGGGCAAGATGCAAGTGACAGTATACCACCAGCCCCGACTAACTCATCATTCATGGAAACTTGAGTATTCTTGGTCCCATATACATGAATATCGGGGTAGATATGCCAAGCTGAGAGGCCGAGAATGGCGGCTCCATTTTGCGCCTCTTGAGGTATTCCAAGTATCAACTTTTCGGTGGTTTCAATCGCCAGCTTCCAGGCGTCAATGACACTGACAAATGGTGCTTCGCTAGGATTAATAGCAAAGTAGACGTTTTTCAGGATCAGCCTCAATTGGGTGTCATTCCTCCTCATCACGGACTTTCCTGTCTGGATCCAAGCCCGTGCGCTAGCATCCCAAGAAGCAAGTTGATCTCTTGTAATTTCTTGTTGTACTGCAGCTGATGCAAGACCAAAGTGCAGCGTCTCTCCTTGTTCAAGTCGATGGGCGATGTCTTTTCGTCGCTTTTCCACTAGTTCTACCCAGATTGAAGTGGCCTCAGATGCGTCCCAAAGTTCCGCTAACATGCAAGCCAATAGATGGACATGAATAGCTGATTTCGATGATGTAGCAGCAGCCCAGATGGAAGTTGCATCAACCCCGATATAAGAAGCGAAAATCGACTTGGAATATTCCTGTGATTCTTTTTGAGTTGCTGTCTTCGAAATTTCGGAAACTCTGGCGCCATATGCTTTGATTAAGTTTGGTGTATCTGGACAAATTCCACTGAAAAGTGCACCAAGACGACGAGCTATGACGTGTGATTTTCCGGATTCAGCGTCTTGCTTTCTGGTTGTAGTGAGATATCCTTCAAGAGGGCGGAACTCTTTTGGTGCCTCATACTTGACAAGTGTAAAGTCGAAATTGATGTTGGCAGCTGCCACAGTTACCTCGTTGGTAGCTGCTGCAAGAGCCGCCTGTAGTTTTCCAAAGGTTGCCATACTGTCGGTGGAAAGAGTCTGACAGTTAGGACATTTGTGTTACACATCCACAAGTGAAGGGGGAACTTGTGGCTGTTATGTACACAACTTTCAGCGTGGCTGTGGCCAGCACAGCCGTGTTATGCTCGTTGTTTGTGAAACAGAAACACCGTATCCGGACTAAGTCGTTTGGGTAAGGGACCCGCACCGGTGGCAAAGAAACCAATTAAAGGTCAAGTAACTGCAAGTCGCATTGATGGTGGCGTCGATAGTTAGTTTGTACTATTGGATGGTTGCAGCAAGGTCGAACTGCCAGGTGGTCTTCTTTTCAAACCCCCAGTATCGCATACCATATGGTTCGCCCTGCAAATATGCGAATTAGACCTTTCCAGTACAAAGAAGCCCTATAAAGATTATTTGATTAATGTTGAGGGTAGTAGCATTTTTGAAAAAGCAATCTAGCCATGACAATAATCCCATTGGAATATTAACAATAGAGCTTCTAACATATTCTACTCTTAACAGAATCGAGCATTATGGGGGTTAGATCATGTGTAGAATATATTAGGCTTATTTACCATTAGCTATCTGGTGAATCACTTGAGTATATCTTGGTATTCTTCCGTTGGTTCTTTCCTACATGTCATTTAACGGTATATTGTATTACCGTAGATCAACAACATGTACAGATCACCAATCAAGTTGTCTACCTGATACTATACCGAGGCATCGCGAATGTCGTTCATAAGTCTGCCTACGCACCTCGCAAATGTCAGCGGCCCTCATGTTCCGCGCGGAGAAACTTTTCCGTTGATCAAGAAGTTCATTGTAACCACGCGCATCTATTCAAGGAGTGCTTGACACATAAAAGGGCGTGATGCGTCGACTTTGGTGATTTCATTGCAATTCATTACCAATTATTCCTTGCCAGGGTCCATGCCGTTGTTGCCAGCATGCCAAAGACGCCAAAAACTCCCAATAAAAGTAAGCGTGGAGCCAATATCAGCTCTCGGGTATTCCCTGCCTCTTAAATACTCCATTAATCCCCCGCGACTGGAATCGCCATACTGTGAACTCAAGCTTTCAGCTTACATTAAAAGAAGCACCCTTTACAACGACACTGTCTGAGAAACGCGTTTCTATCACTCCGTTGCATGTCGTTGATGGCTCTCTACTGGTCGCCTCTGCTAGTTGTTTCACATATATAGTGGACCAAGTGACAGAGGTTGTCGAGGTGCTCATGCAAGTGAAAAATGTTTGGGGTCTCGCTTGTTAGGATAGCAACGTTATGTTTGGCAGTTCGAATGGTGAAATCCATGTCCTTGATATGAAGACCCGGTAAGAACTCAGCCGGCGAGCTGTCGCCTGCATCATTGGCGAACGGCGACTAAGGAATAGTATAATGGAAACCTTGAAGGCGAGCAAAACGCAAGATTCGGCTGTACGCTACCTTGCTATCCTTGACAACTATACCATGGTTTTCGCCTCGCGAGACTGTACTGTTCGACTCTGGACCCTTGAATCTGACCAGCTCGAGTCACGCAACGTTCTCCACGGCCATACTGCCGAGGTGCGAAACATCCAAGTTCATGGCGACGTGATTGTATCCGGCAGCTATGACGCAGATGCCCGGGTATGGAATACTGAGATAGGAGACTGCTTGCACGTTCTTCATGGACATCGGAGTCATGTTAATGGCGTGGCATTTGACGGGAAGAGGGTTGCCACTAGCAGCACTGACGGCGATATCCGCATTTGCGACTCGGAGACTGGGTAGGTCTTCTCTTCGCTTCACTTTAGTTGACAACGTCTTGTTTAACTCCATATTCTTGCTTTAGAAACTGTACGGCTACATTCGTGGGTCACGAAAGCAAAGCTAAAAACGTATCGCACATTCGTCTAGTTGGAGATGCTCTCATCTCGGGTGGAGCAGACGGCTCCATTGAATTGTGCGCTTTGTCTCCGATCGACGCCAGCCCACGTGAACTGGCAAGCTCTGACGGTGGTGGCACTGCCATCAGTACAGTAGGTTTCCAGGGGGATCATGTCATTGTCGGAACTACAGGAGGATCTGTCAAGATTATCGACTGTCAGTCGGGCGAGACGCTATGTATATGCACAAACGGAACCTGTGGCATTGCCATATCTCAGGTCGGCTTCACCCTTGAGTACAATCCAGCTGTGGTTTGTCTGAAGGACTAGTCCGTTCAGGTGGCTGTGCTCTAACGGCGAAACAAGCTGAAGCATTTCGAAAGGGTCAACGAAATGCTATTGTAGGACACAAATTCCTTGAGACAGGGCCGACTTTTGATCTCGCCAACATTCCATTCCATCAACATCATCCCATCAATCATCCATCAATTCTTTTTTCAGCAGCCATCAATTTTCCATCAACCACAAATCAAATTCTTAACTAGATCCCACATTACATTCACCATACTCAATTTCGCATCGCCTTACAACATGAGGCCCGAACTCTCCATTATTCCGTGTACCCTATCCCCTAAGCAATATCAGGACGTTCGCAACGCCTATTATGCACCATTGCTGCCATTTCCGCCTCCCACAAGTGGTACCTATCCTCTCCCCGCAGAGAAGATAGCATATGCGGACTATAAAGTATGGGAGAAGAACACCCGCGACCTTGATGGAAAGATAGAACGATTCATCAAGCACCATGGCGCTCTGTATAATCTCTTCCGCGCAATGGTCATATCATACCGGAATCTCCTGCCTCGGGCAATACTTACCGCAATGACGTGAGCTATGATGGATCTCTCCGGTCTAAAGTGTGTAAAATAAAATAGAAGTTCTAGTAACATCTTCTAATTCATCTAGGTGATTCAAGTCTTAGGATATAAATATACATAAATGCTCCTAAAGTCTTCTGATTTATGTAAACTTATAGAACTTTAGGATATGAATAAATGTGAATTACACTAAAGTCTTTCTAATTTATATAGACGTAAAAGGTCTTAGGACATGAATATATGTAAATTATTCTAATTTTAAAGTTGCTACCAGCCTTAAGATAAGTAAATTATTCTAATTACTATCTATTTGATACTCTAGGTTATTTGAATGTTCTTAGCTGACTTGTTATTAGAATATTTATAAAGGACTCCAGCGTTATCAACCAACCACAACGTATTTGACATGGTTTCCTGAGACTCTCTTCTATCTTTGCACACACTTCTTGCAAAGAAGGGTCGCTTTTTACTGAGGATTTAGGTCGCGTCTTGACTGACCGACCGAATGAGGGGCGACAGAGGGCCGGAGTGGGTTTGGTCTTAAGAAACCTAATCTTGTGCGTGGACATTCTCAGTCCTCTTTACCTTTTTGACTCGAAAACCTTAGGATTGGCTACCAACAGATTTTATTCACTCAGAGTTCCGGCAGAACTTTCAATGTAGATAATCTGACCTCCGCTAGTTTAATCCTCTACAGAATCTTATATACAATATTACCTTTCGATGCTTCAAACCTAAACAATGAGTCACTGGAGTCTCTCAACATCCCAGGTATAAATAGCCCTCGCCACAAATATGGTGCCTCCACTTTCTCTTTCTTCAAAACGACTAGATCCCATCCGACATCATGGCATTCAGTACACCTTTCGAAAGACTTCCAGTTGAGATTATAATCTCCATCATCGGCGACCTCGAGTCTCCGGAGGCCCTCCAAGCCATGATCCGGGCCGACTCTCACATTCTACGTGTGTTCATTGGAAATCGGCATCTTATCCTTCGGCCCCTTCGCCAAGATGTGTACCATCAGTTCCCGGACAAGAATTTCACGCAAGCGGCGATATCATGTCGCCTGAGGCAGATCGAGAGTGGTGTCCCGCCTCGAACTCAAACCCGTGCTCATGCTGAAGAGATGATGAGACCCCTCCTATCACAATCACCGAAACCTTTATCTGTGGCACATTTGAGCCTGGGTGCCATTTCGAAACTCTATGAACTCTTTCGCGAAGCAGAAATATTCACAGCTGGTTTCTCAAGAGAATGCTGGCAAATGTTTCAAGACTGGGTGTCTAGAGAAAATGACGATTATGACGAAGATCATGTACCTCAAAAGCTTTCTAGCATCAGGCTTCCTTTATCTTTACCACTTTCAAAAACAGAATGTTACGAGATACAAAGGTTCTATTCACTCTTCGACGTATACCGACATACCCTCAATTTTACCACCTCTTTCCTCCAAGACTATGACCTTCCTGAGCCATCTTCGTCCAAGTTTCATATTCTTTACAGGTTCATCTACCAAGATAAGCTTCTGTGTGTCAGGGCCTTTCAGACGGTCCTCAGATTCGTATTCAGAGAATATGAGCACCTTCTGAACGGAATTCATGACCGAATCGCTTGTTGTACCCACTTGCATCGGCCTGGCACCAGTGATACACCTTGGCTGCGTCAACGACAAGAATTTCTCGACAGAAGCCCGCGGGATCATGTACAGTTCATCGCTTATCTTTGCTCGCAAGGCTACTATGTGCTGCTGAGATCACAAGATATGGATAGCATAACGCGAGAGGAACGCATATTGTCGTTGTACATGCGCTTCTCTCAGTTCAAAGAGAATATTCTTACCTGTCCATTAGTAATAAGTGCTCATTTGGAGTTCGCTTTGAACAAACTCTGCCATGGCACTGATCTACATCGTGAGTTTTGGGCAAGTGGATCAGTAATATGAGATACTGAAAGGCTATTAAAGCATCACGAAGATGCTTTTTCGCTTGTACAGGAGTTCAGTGACGAGTTATCTGGGCTTCCTTTTTTCAATGGCTCATCGGAAGATGAATTTGAAGATAAGTCCAACGAAGCCACCATGCTACTTCTTAATCTACTTGGGATAGACCTAAATTTATTGTCGCCTTGTGTTAATTATTTTTGTTCACGTGCATCCCAGTATCCGATGAACACGGAATCTCCTTGCAAAGTGTAAAGACGACAGTTAGAGTGCTGGCATCAGTGGTGAGGCTGAATAAGCCACTTCTGTTTAGGGTAGGTGGTTTCATAAATTTGTCTCACCACGTCAGCATCACAATCTAAGCCGTACTATTCCGCATCATTTGAGGTCTTGGCGAGTTGCCATATCGCAACTTTGGGCTTTAGGGCTTAGAAGCCACGTTGGTGGTGTCTCAGGATGCCAGAAATTGGCGTGCTTTGTCTTACCACGCACCACCACAAGCCGTGGCGAGTGTTGGAGAGGTCAGTCAAGCGCACATGGAAGTTATGCATGCATAATTCTAATTCATTTGTTTGAGCTATCATGAGGCCCACCACAGTACTGTATTGAGGTGCAAGACGTTAAGTGCCAAGGTATTTACAAGTACTGTCGTAGTCCACGCATGGCAAAAAAATTCAGCCAATTCATAAACAGATTGTTCCTATCCAGAACAAACACTTTATGCTAATCACATTAGATGGTTAACTATTATCTACATTCTGCTACCAGACAGTTATTCAGCTAAACCAATACCATCAATCGCTCAGACCCCCTCTGTCATATCTCTCTAACCACCAGGGTTGGTCTGAAGACTACCACTTGGATTGAAAGGGAACTTGGGGATCTGAAGCTCTCCAACAAATGTATCCAACTTTGGCGTGACATTCTTCATGTCAAACGCACAAGTAGGCTGCTTCGTGCCAAACATCTTCACATCAGTAACGTTAGACTTCTCGTCATATGAGACGCGGACTCTGTGCATTGTGCGTCGCGAGACGTCACCTGCGAAGTAGTTCTGAGGTGTGATGATCATGGAGGAAACAGCCTTGGTGGTCACGGTGTTGGGCAGATCGGCTGTATTGGGAAGATGGTGCATGCCGAGATTGAAGTACCTGTGGAAATAATTAGCATTGGGTAATAGGCGGAATTAAAGATGCGGATACTCACAAGACAATGTCTTCTTGGTCAAGACTCTCACTGTTGAAGAACTCGTTAAAGTCTACGGCTGGATGATGCGGGTCGTAACTGTTGAAGGCATAGGCGCTCTTGGGCTCGGTGTCATGCTGCTGCAGGGCGTAGATGTTGTGATTGGCCCAATTCGCCGACTGTCCAAGGGCTGTGGATGACTGAACAGTCAAATGACCTGTGCTGCCGCTGTCTGTAAAGTCTATTAGCATCATTCAGATCGACTTATGGAGAGTAACTCACTTGGGGAGATGGCGTAACCAGGCGCCTCTCCGAACTCGTTAATCGCATCCTTGTTGACAACGGCGTAAGCAGCGGCTCCGTTCTTTGCCCACGTGATCTTGCCGTCATCTTCGTTGGTGACGTAAGACCGGTTAGCCTTCATAGTGTTGATGGACTGTCCCTCAGACCACGGGTACCTATCGCAATTAGTACACGGCCGTGAACTGTTCTTCAAATAAACTTACACCTTGGCGATCGGCACAAACTCAGTCTTCAACAGACTGTTCTTCCTGCCCTTGATGTCCAAATCAAGCTTGAAGTTGATCACGTGGTCATGCATGGAACCCGACAAGTTGTCATGTATATGGAACCCATAATCACCATCTCCAGACCAGAAGGCGCCCTGGATGTAGCCAGATGCGCGGACAGTGACGCTGATGGATCCATCGTAGTGGAAGCTATACTCAAACAAATAGTCATAGTTACCAACCGTAGAGACACTGCGAACATTGAAGACAATGTTCTTGGTCGCGGAAACATGTGTCGATGTCAGATGGCGCTGGATGGGATATCCAGTGTCATGCTCGAAGAGACATATGCTGTTGGGGTGGATGTGGGTTATCTCACTGATGTAGAATGATGTGTTGAGATACGTGGAGTGGGAAGGGCAGTCAAAGCCGTCGACCAGATTCCACTGGCTGGTACCGATACCGTACGAGGTATCGAGATACGCTGATGAGGCATGCAGCGGGTCTTGCGAAGCGTAGTGTGCCATGGCTTCCTGAAGGCCAAATTCGTAAATGATACGCTCGCCTCTGTATCTGACATCATGGAGCTGGAGGCCAGTCTCTTTGTGGTTCGAGATGAAGAAGCTGAAGTCCACTGTAAAGTTGTTAGCCAAAGGCCAGTAACGCAACAGCTCGGTGTGTACTTACTCCATTCGATGTAGTTCTCCTTCCTATCCAGACCAAACCGCGGACCATCAGGCTGAACAGCGACAGGAGGATATAGGTGATCCAGAGGCAGCTTCTCGCCTTGCTGATCAGTAGAGGTCCAAGGCCCATCGACGTTGGGCCCTGGCTTTCGCTTCAGCGTCGCGGCAGCCTCTTTGAACTTAGCCGTCGTGGGCCAGTAATTGCCGTCGTAGTACCAACCAACGACTTTCCATTTGGAAGGATCGCGACCGGTAATGTCGACTTTGAACTGTAGACTGGTGGGCAAGATGGTCTCGGAAAAGAATTCGCCTGTGTGAGCAGAGTAGAACTCGTTCCACTGATAGACTCTATCCCCATGGTGGATCAATGGATCACTACCTGCGATCAAGAGATTGTCGTCTTTAGAACCTGTAGCGGTCTATTGACCATCAGCCTGGAGTTCACATGTCATCGGAACAGCGAATACTTACACCATTGAGCAGTTTCTTGGTGATCTTCTTGATGTCTGCTCCAACCACCAAGTTGAAAGCAGCGATGGCCTCAGAGTCAGCGTTGTACACGTTGATGCGACCTCGGCCAGAAGTGAACATGTAGTTGAGCTCCTCGTATTGAGTGGATCCTTCCTTGACAGGTAATGGGCCGACCATGTACTCCTGAATGTAGGGTTGCAGTTGCGAGTTGAATTGCAGTGTAGCCCGAGCATAGCGAGTTGGAGCTAGTCCATGACCTTCAAGATACGTCAAGGCATCTGTCTTGTTGGGCTGCAACAGGTCAAGGGAGACAATGACATTATCCCAGCTGCATAAAGTTAGCGAACATGGCCAATCTCACTGTTGAAGTAAGGGAGAGTAAAGACTTACGATGTCGAGTTAGCAATAGCAGTAAGGTTGAGTTCATCCTGCTTGTGAAGATACGCAGTAACATCAGCATACTCCTGGTCTGTAAGACTTTGGAAAATGTTTTTCCACGGCGCTTTGACCGGAACGTCCTTGTTGGAGGCACATTCGGATGATTCGGGTTCGTAGCGGTTCAGAGAGTGATATCGTGCTGCAGGGCCATCGAAACCAGGCCGAGCCAAAACTCGACCAAGAGTCAGGCAGACGACTGGTAAGCACACCATGAGCCGCATGATTACCGACAGTCAGCGAGTGGGATGAGGTCTAATTCAGGAATACGTGTGCCGTTTGGGCGCAACATATACGTAAAAAACTAAAGTTCCTGAGATATGGTGGTATTCAGCAATGGCTAGCTTTACTGGATTAGCCCAGTTGTCTCTTTACGCACAACCCATGAATCAGAAACGCCACATCACGGAAAGTCGGCATAGTGAGCATAGTGAGGCTCTACCAAAGTTCCGACACGACAAATAAGAAGACTGACACAAAGACCATGCTGGTAATTTGGGTAAGCCACTAATCTCAACGAGAAAAAGGTACGAGACAAAAACAAGGCGAGTGAATGAGACATGCATAACTAGCTTACAGGGAGGGGTGTACGTGAAAAGAAAAAGCCGGTGGGGAGGCTATTTTAGCTGCAGTGTCGATCCCGCAGCCGCACAACCGGGGTAATTTTCACACGGGCCGGGTGTTACTGTATTTGATGGGGTAATATGACGAGGGTGGCTATATGTGATATGTCAAGCTGGTAAACCCCGTAATTGGGATGGGCCGTTTATGCAGGCCCGGCACGGTCGTCGAGTACGAGGTAATCCTGGTGAAAACTCTGACTATCATCTGATCGATGTGGCCAGATGTAGATGCCGATGCCGCGTGTTTCCCCGATTGCTGGGTGAAATATTGTCCAACGCTTCTTTCGGACTGACAGTGAAGATCGAGATGACAGGCATTGTGGTATGAGGCTCAAAAGTGTTCCAGACCGTTTCTGCCAAGGAAATGTGTCAATGTGCCAAGTAAATGTGCCAATGTGCCAAGAAAATGTGTCGGGGTCATGGATTGCCGTGTCATTACGTGGCATGCTTTTGTGGTGATTCGTTGTTCTATTAAATAATTTGTCACAGTTTGAAAAGAATCCCATTGAAGAACACTCCACAGTCCAGATTATGAATGCTGGCTTTTGAAGGGAAAACGTACAATTAAAATATACCTGAAATAAATGACTGAACATGGAGGCACGCATATGCATGACCTCACGGCACCCCTATGTTCGAGTAAACGCAAATAATGCAACTATCTACAGAATCTATTCACCAAGACGAATGTTAAGTTATTACCTAACTTGGTGTTCATTTTTTCCCCTATTCACTGTTCTCCTCCTTTTCCGCCGTGAGACTGTTGTACATAGAAGCAAAAGCAGACGCGTGAGGTCCCTTTGCCAGCAGCTCTCGAGGCGGTCCAAATTCTTGAAGTTCGCCCGCATCAAGAACAGCGACCATGTCAAAGTCATCAAGAGCAGACTTAAGCTTGTGAACGACCGAGATGACAGTGCGGTCCTGGAACCGCTCACGTACAAGACGCTGAACAAGCTCGTCGACATATGCGTCAACACTGGAAATAATTAGTATTTGATGAATAGAGTGAGAATATGAGTGCATACCTGCTTGTCGCTTCGTCAAGAATTACAATAGGCGAAGGTCGTATCATAGCCCGTGCGATGCAAAAGAGCTGCTTCTGACCATGCGAAAGATGCAGTTCTTCAATAGGCACATCGAGGCCGCCCTTCTTGGTCACAATGTCCCAGAGCTCAACAGCCTTCAAAGCATCTTCAATAACAGCATCTGTGAGACCCTCAGCAGGGTCGGTGTTCAGCCTCACGCTGCTTCCTTCGATGAGGAATGCGTCTTGAGGTACACCGACGAGTTTGGTGCGAATCTCCTCACGTGGAATGGTGCAGATGTCAAGACCATCTACCAGTATGCGGCCATCGTGGATGTCTACCATGCGGAAGAGAGATGACACCATAGAACTCTTGCCACTGTGAAAAGATTGAGTTAGATAAAAAAGTCTTAGAGGGGATTGGTGACTTTACCTTCCAGTTCGTCCGCAAATACCAATCTTTTGTCCAGCTTCGATCGATAGTGATACGTTCTTAAGGACATGTTCGGATTCTCTAAGATGGCATATTAGCATTCATCCTGTAGTAAAAGCCTGCCCTAAACATACTTATATCCCGCCCAGACTTGATCAAACACGATGGTGCCTTTAGATGGCCATACGGACGGAGGTTGGTCTTTCTCTTGCGGCTCATGCTCAGAGACAGTCTCTGCCGTGAACGACTTGATCCTAGAGATAGCGCCAATATGAGTCTCAAGCGTTGTCCAGAAAGTCATCAACAGCTTGAGATGTTGGCTGAACTGGATGATATTGACGAGCGCAACACCAATCAACCCAGCTGGCAAGACGCCTCTCAGCTGAGTGACAAGAACCACAACGAGTACAGCTATGACGGTGACAATCATGTCGAGAACGAGGGTAAGCCATCTCTGAACAGCGTAGAGAAGGTAAAATGGTCTCTGCGACCGATCCAGAAGCTCGTGATGTCTTTTCTCCAGAGCGTCGCGCCATCCAAACGCACGTAGTGTCGCGAGACCAGTGACGGACTCAGTGAAAAGGGCATAGAGTGGACTCTTCGCCTCAAGATCCATGAAGCGCAGCTGACGTGATGTTCGCAGATAAGTATGCTGAACAACCCACAGTGTCGCAAGCAGAAAAGGGAACGCGATAGCCGTGTAGTACGAACCGACAGCGATAAGAATCATCTCGGCGATACAGAGGACAAACGTGGCAAATGTGTTGAGCGCAGAGAGTGGTAAGTCCATGTCGATAAGCTGCAAGTCCTGACTGAAGCGGTTGATGGTAGTACCAGTATCAGTGGATGCGAAAAAGGACATGGGCGCGTTGAGGACTGTGTCCAGCAGGCTTTGGTGGAAACTGTTGCCCGATAGTGGTACCATTGTGACGATCATCTGCCACGTGCTCAAGACCAAGAAGATAATGGACAAGGCACCAAGCATGGCGTAGATACCGAGATAGTAGCCAAGCTTGGTGAAGGGCTCTCTCGCGTTGGCAGCTGCCCACCAACTGAGCCAGATGCTGGGGAAAGCCTGACAGAAGATGTAAGCGCAGATGGCGAGGACGAAGACCATGGTTGGGATCCAGCCGATGGCGCGGACGTAGTACATGTAGATTGCCACGTCTCCTGAGCGACGGCCTTCGCTATCTTGCTCGGATTCAACCAGGGCGGCGTCCAATGTTGCCAGCGCATCAGCAGCCTCAGGAGGAGCAGATGTGGAAGTGAGAGCAGCACCAGGTGCTTTCATCTGTGTCCCATCTAGTGCAGATGCCGAGGAGCGCGACACATAATTGTCCGATTCTGTGAGCTTCTCGAAGCTGCCTTGGACAGAGCCGGTGCCAGTGCCATCCAGGCAGATTATATGATCAGCGTAGGGGAGTCGATTGGCTAAGTAACAGTTAGCAATATCCCATCAAGATCACCAACTATTATACGTACAGCGAGAAGAGGCGACAATGATAGTCGTGTTCAGGTCTCGAAGAATGCCATTAGTGCCGGCAAGATTGTGAAACACGGCGTTCTCAGTGTGAGCGTCCAGGCCACTGAAGACATCATCAAGAATAATCGTAGGTCGTTGGGCATACACTGCTCTTGCCAGACTGACTCGCTGGCTCTGACCTCCACTAAGAACAATACCCTTACTACCTATAGTGCTGAGATCGCCTTTAGGCAGCTGAGCTAGGTCCTGCTTCAAAGCACAAACTTCAAGTACTTTTTGGTACCAGCGCTCGTCTGGGTGAGAAAAGGCGATGATGCTGTCACGGACTGTACCGTTCATGTGCCAGGGTGTTTGGTCGCAAAAGGCAATATCAGGGTTCGAAACATGAACGGAGCCATCCATGATGCCCACTTCTCCGAGGAGTGCTTTGAGAAAGGTTGACTTGCCACTTCCGACAGGTCCCACAACAAGCGTGAGCTTACCCGAGGGGACCACAGCGTCAATATTACTCAAGATGGGCTTCTCGTTCTTATCGTATCCAAAAGAAGCGTCCTTGACGATAAAGCTATTACCGTCCAGTGAGCCTTTGAGTGGCTCGTTCACCAGCGTCTTGAGCTCTGTGGAGGGCGACACGTTACCCTTCTCTTGCTCACTAGTTGATGATTTGGAGACCAAGGAGCCAGAAACCTTTCCGCGGTCTTGAATCATCCTATCATCGGCGCGGGGCTCTGAGTTGAGAAAAGCTTGGATGCGCACAAAGCTTCCAACAGATCCCATGAAAGATGACAGTGCGGTAACGAAAGACGTCAGAGGATCTTGCAAAAGTGCGAATAGTGACAAGGATGTGAACATGCGGTTCGTGTCCAGGTTCCCTTTTCCTCCCTGTGATTGAGCTAAAAGACTGTAGGTCATGAAGCTCAGAATGGGAGCGAAAACGGGAGCGAGATAAGCTACAAGTATTAGAATTAGTATGACTTAAAGTAAGTCTGTAGCAGGATTTAGCACTCACCCAACACCATATTCCAGATCAAAAGTCTGCGAAATTTGCCAGAGATGTGCAACTCTTCCTCGCGCATAGCCTGGATGCGAGAACCAAGGACAGAGGAAAGGCCACACATCTTGACGCCCTTCATACTTCCCAGCATCTGAGACGTGACAGAAATTCTCCTCTCGATAGCCTCCAGCCAAATAGCCTGACGCGCCATGACGAAGCTGACAGCGATCACAGAGCCAACAATTGAGACTGCAGAAACAAAATTAGTTTATGTCCGAGAAAGCGCGACAAAAACTTACAAATAGCTGCTCCGACGGGAATAAGACACGCCAGACCAAGCTGACGTCCCAGTAAGTAGACGGCAATGACAATCTCGATCAAGTTCGCCCAAACATCATGAGCTGTTCGCCATCCGGTGTCAATTCTCTCAATGTCGGCGCTCATAAGAGTCAGGGCTGCTGTGGGATTGGCGGCGGTGATGCTCATGTCTGTAGCCTTGTCATACATCATCGAGATGAGCTGGCCACGTGCCATGGTTGTAGCGCGGACAGTCATGTGCTGATATTGACCGGTTGTCACCTGTGATATCGGGCGTCAGTAGAATACTTCAAATTTGTTTGTAGTGTAAACTCACGGCTAAACCAATAAAGACAAGGAACCAAGCCCCTATGAGGCCGTAGCCTTGACTGGCATCATCAGAGTTGCTGTCTCTCTCAGCCCACGTCAACGTTACTGATATGAGAAACGGTTGACAAAATGTGAAGCCTATGAAACATAGCCGCGGGAAGACAATTGCCAGAAGAGGTCCCTTGAGTGATTTGAAGACAGTGAACATCAGCGCGTAATCTCCTTTTTTAGATGCTGCTCAAATGTCAGTAATCTTTACCACGAGTTGATCACAATAACAAACCTTTGCTCCAGGCATCTTGTAGCTGGTTCTGCAAATACGAAGACTTGAAATGTTTTTCGAGAGGGAACAAACTCTCAATCTGCAGGTTTTGAGAATACCCAGTTCGGAACAGAGGAAGTTGCCAAGAGAAGAGCCAGTGTGAAAACACGCCACTGGTGACTTCTGAAGGTAGATGGCGATACTGCGGACGTAAGAATCCACGCTTCTCGATGGCCTCTACAGCTAGCAGGAGGATTTTGACGACTGTTGTAATGAGACCAGTAATGGCTGCAGGTCGATTGTAGCCTTGAAGCCATAGCGTACGCGTTCGCGTAGCATCAAAGAGGACGGAGAACAGCAAAAAGAGGTTAAGCACAGTTGAAGGTCGGTATGAGTAGACATGCTCGACATAAGATAGGCCGAGTAAGCTGATTGACGCAACAAATGACAAAGCAGCCGCTGGTAGAGAAGCTTTTGTTGCGACGGCTGAGGACTGTGTCCAGCAGATTAGAAACGCGATTTGAGACGCCAATAGAAGCAGGCACAGTATCTACAAATTGTTAGAGTAAGCAAAATTAATTTTTGAGGTCATCAACTTGCAATTTTGCTATAGAGCCAATAATTGGTCTCAACTTTGACGCTGTTTTTGCGCAAGAGATAGGTGGCCCGACAAGGTGCAGCAAGCAGTAACAGAACCGTAACGGGCACAATGAGAATGGATTCTTCAAACAGCAGCGTAAGATCGAATCCGCCTCTACAGCCATGGGCGTAGGGGCCGAAAGACTTGTCGCACTGAGACGAATTCATTGTTGGTGATTGACAGCACCGACAGTGCGTTTACCCAACTCGGATCTGATTTTCAATCGCCAGAATAACCTTTTTTTCTTTCTTCAGCGGACCTACAACGTGGGCGTTAAGACAATCGGTTTACCCTGCAGCTCGCTTAGGAAAAGGAAAGCGACTCACAGGATGAAAAGCGAGAAATGGGGCGGGTGAGCGGATGGGGAAAGGGGAAAGAAGGTGACAAGGCGAGGGCCATGTTTGGATACGAGAAAAAAGATTGGGACGCGTGTGAGGACCCGGTCAAGATCCCTTTTCGACAAATCCTTCTAGGCTAGCTAGTGTGTGTGTCGATGATCAAATTCTGATTTAGCCTGGTTGAAATCTACCAGATTGGCTAAACGCGGCACGGGACGGGACGGGGCGGACGGCAGACGCCCTAGGAACCGACACCCTCCACTACACTCTATCTAATCTTCACGTGAATTATGGATGATATCATTGATGTAACCAATTATATCGGTGTATGTGATGGAGGGTGTCGGTTTCTAGGGGCTGTCGGTCTTCCCCCTTAGTCAACTTAATGAGGAAATGATGTGCAAGCTGAAAGATATTGACCCATAGCATCCATTGCAGTGCAACGTTGACTAGTGTTGTACCCCTGCTGCCAGCCAGAACCGGGCCTGGTCGGGGAACCTCTTCCGTGTAAAAACGGCGCTTGAAATGGATTTTGAGGCGAGCAAGTCTGGCTCTTGTTTCTTTGTTTTAGCGCCGCAGCTGAAGGATCTTCGCCGATCCCTACTAAAGACTAACATTGATAGGGCTAGACACCCGCAGTTAGACCCAGGGACGTGCACAATCCCCTTGATTGGGTGTGATGATGCACTCCCCCCCCCCCCCCCCCTGGACTTTTACTAATTACGCCCAGATGCAAGGGCGTTGTCTTAGGCTAAATTTTGAGGCTTGGAAATGTGTGGGAGTGAGACAGGCTAGTGTCTGGTAGATTGAGATTGACGTGGTGGCTTTTGCTGTGCCTTTTGATGACGTGCCCATGGACCTGATTCAGTTCAGACCTGGAGATCTTCTTCTACATACAGTGTGCAGAATACTTGGCAGCGTGATCTAGAATCAAGGTCCAGCAGTTATTGTTCTAGACTGTTGCGGTACTGAAATGTCATGAGATTTAACTTCTGATCCGATTGCAACCCTAGATCCACATCGCACTCACGGACTTCGTATCGTCTTTAGCCCCCGGGGGTATGGGGATCTCTGTAGGGTAGCCCCACTGAGCGAGTCGTGCACATCTCCAACAATTACAGGCTGCAAGGGCTCTAGATGTTGAATCATATACTTCATCTATAGGCTCACCTGTTTGGATCAACTAAATTAGGTCCCATTCTTCTAATACTAATCAGAAGAAGTGCCCAATAAGCTATCTTCTAGATATTTCCGCTGTAGTAAAACCATTCTATCGCGGAACTTGACAATTGGAACCCTGCGGCCTGTGTCGGCCAACTAATGCCTGCAAGCGGTTCCGCAGCTGCATTCATTTTACAGTGAAACAATTTGTCATGAATCATTCTCCACCGTGTAAAGTTCAATGATCTGACTTCCCTCGGCACTTGCCAAGACCAATGTAGCTAGCTGAAAGTACTGTGCCGTACGGATGACTTTCTCTCCGACGGCGAAGGAGGAAAGATGAACAACAAACCTTGCCGTTGTCAACGGCACTTCGGCATATGCATGTCAACCCCGACCTCCTCAATGTAGCGGCCGTTTTAGGCTCCGCATTCTTAATGTGCTGGGTGGTGACGCTAGAAACGGATGGGCCTCACGTTTTTAGCTTTGCCCATGTATACACCAATCACCTACCATGGACTTGACCCGGCAAGGGGGAATGTCTCACTTGCGCCAGTCTATTGCTTTGTTCACATGATATGATTTACAAGAATCGATCACGATGATACTGCAGAATGAAAATTTTCTCCTGATGATACTCGGTGAACAAGGGATTCTTGTTTTCACCATACTCGGCGGACTGGTATTCTTGTTTGCACGACAGCCTACAGGCGCCGCATAATCATAGATCCAGCATGTTTCATACACGAGCTTCCAGAAGGAGGAGAAAGACTTGAGAGTAGTAAACGATTGGACATGATTCCTTGGCAAAACTTGGCAGTGAACCAGTCTTGGTGCCACGAGTTTAGTCCTGCTGGCAAGAATCGTGTCACAACCGCATGAATTGAGGCAAAGCAGAGATATTTCTCTCCAGCCAGCCACACTCGCAAGATCATTCCCACATCGATACTGTACCGTGATCACCTACTCAAAATAACCTAGACCTGGGAAGCTAGAGCCCCCTATGATGCTAGCCGCTGGCTTCCGGTCCTGACCGGATGTTACGAGATGTTGAAATATGCACAAGAGCAAAGGCCAACCTCCTCTTTAGCCCAGTAATCATCCTTCTGTATGTACCATTGGGTGTTCCTGTAAAGTGGTGGATAGACCCAGTGGAGGCCAGGGGTGCTGTAGCAGCGCAAAAGAAAAATAGAGTCTCCATTCTTAGCCCTCCCGTCATAGACGAAGAAGAAATTGCTGTGCCCCCGGCTCTCCGATGCGCCACGCCGGTAATGAAACTAGGATTTTGCAGAGGTTCTACTCAGCTGAAAGCCAAGATACTCGGAGCGTCTAGTTCGAGTTGGATTACATCCTGGATTCTTCCTCGAATGGCGACGCCTTCCTATCTAGTATGACCTAGTCCCCCTTACAGGCAAGGATATATCCGTCCTTGGTTATCCATACAAGCAAAAGCGTTCCGCTTGTTTCTCTTCACTCCATGTGAACCGCAAAACAAACATCAACCTGAACTTTACTGTACCCAGCTTGATAGGACTATTCACAAGTGATATCGCTCTGATATACCGATTATTCTAATTTACAAACAATTCTTTGTTTCTTAATACTGCCCCCCATTACCATTACCACTACCACTACCGTCGTACCTATACACAATATGGCCCCACCAACCTGTGGCTGTGCCGGCGTTGAGAACAAGTCAATGGCATCCATGGAGCCAACGATCTTCCCAGCGTCTGAAACGGGCGAAGAGAATCAGAGTTTAATATCTGATATTGCGGGATGCTTGAAACACGACGCTGCCGACGGCGATCTTCCTCTGTCCCACGAGGCTCAGTGCGATGTGTTCTACATCGCATGGGCCATCCTGCTTGAGTGTTTCACTGGTCTTGATCATGTGTGTTTCGGGTTCCGGAGTGAGCACATGCCAGCCGCAGAATCGGGACGCTACAGCACAGAAGGTCACACATCTGCCATGCAGGTGCACGTTCTTGCCGATCAGAGTGTTCAGAACCTGCGTGCTGGGAATCATGCTGCTGTGGTGCTGGTACCCGAGAGCACGGCTAGGACACATTTCAACACCACGCTTTCCATCTGTAGCTTGGACGACGAGCACGATGGAACTACCTATTCCTCTCCATGGTGCAAGATCCACATGCGTGTTGATCCCGTCACCCTCAAAACGGTTTTGTCATGGAATCCTACCTTCATGACACGAACACAGGCGGACAGCATCAGCAACACCTACACCAAGATATTTAGAGAAATTGTCGCACACCAAGAGACAATTATTTCCACTCTCAAATACTGCAGTCAGCATGATGAGAGACAGATCATGGCTTGGAACAGCACTCCCATGAGCCACGTGCAGAGATGTATCCACCAAGCCATTACAGAACAGGGCACCCTGCGCCCAGATGCAGAGGCAGTCTGTGCCTGGGACGGCAGCTTCACATACGCACAGCTCCTATCCTTCTCAGATCGACTTGCATCTCACCTGCAGACACTGGGCGTTGGTCCCGAGGTGTTTGTACCCATCTGCCTGGACAAGTCAAAGTGGACCGTCGTTGCTATGCTGGCGATCCTCAAAGCCGGCGGCATATTTGTCCCGCTGGACCCTACCCAGCCCTTACTGCGCTTGCAGGCGTTGTCACACAAAGTAGATGCCAACACTATCTTGTGTTCCCCCCAGCACCAGGCTATGCTGAAGAGTGTAGCCCCCGAGTTGATACCGGTTGATGCACAGCTCTTCGAAAGATTGGCTGAGCACAGCGGAGAGGTCGACTGTGGATCTTGGGACAATGGAGCTTACATGATCTTCACGTCCGGCACCACGGGAGAGCCCAAGGGTGCTTTGATACAGCATGGTGCTCTTCTGTCGAGTGCACTCGCCCACGGGCCTGCTATGATGATGGACAACAACACGCGATCACTCCAGTTTGCCGCGTCGACATTTGATGTGAGCATTACTGAGATCCTCAGCTGTCTGATTCTGGGTGGATGTGTCTGCATACCCAGTGAGGAAGCCAGGTTGAATGCCATTGAGGAGGCTATTACCCAGCTTCAAGCCAACTGGGCCCTATTGACACCCACATTCGTCAAATTCATCAACCCCGCCAATGTCCCCTCTCTCAAGACCCTTGTCACCGGCGGAGAAGCCATGACCCAAGCTGTCATCCGGTCATGGTCTCACATCAACCTCATCAACTGCTATGGACCTGCAGAAACATCTGTTGTCTCGCATGTCCATCGGGGTATGAGGGAGGGCAAGAACCCATTGAATATTGGTCACCAGGTTGGTATCCATTGCTGGGTTGTTGATCGGTACAACCACGACCGTCTCATGCCCATTGGAGCGGTCGGAGAGCTAGTCATCGAAAGCCATACGCTTGCGCGGGAATACTACAAGGAGCCTGACAAGACGAGCGAGGCTTTCATCGTCGATCCTGCTTGGACAAGTCATCAACCACACCCTGACAGCCCCAGGAGGATGTACAAAACTGGTGATCTTGTCAGATACAACCACGATGGCACCTTTCACATCGCCGGCCGCAAGGATGCACAGATCAAGTTCCACGGTCAGCGCATTGAGCTTGGCGAGATCGAGCACCATATCAACGCCAGCGTCAGCATCAAGCACGGCATGGTGGTACTTCCCAAGAAAGGCTTCTGCGAGGGCAGACTCTTGGCTGTTGTTCAACTCAGCGATGCTTCGGCCAAGGACCTTGTACCAAAGGGTCAGCCTTACAAGCTGATCGACGGCCCCCTCGCAGATATCGCGCATGCCAAGGTTGAAGAGACAAAGGCACTTCTTGCTGAGAGATTACCTGCGTACATGGTCCCTTCTATGTGGCTTCCGCTGGAGTTCATCCCCCGTCTTCAATCGGGGAAGCTTGATCGCAAGCAGACAGGGAAGTGGGTTGAGGACATGACCGAGGATTTCTACCGACAACTCAACCCCATCGCTGTCAACGGCGATTCCATGACTTTGACCTTTTCGAACGACACAGAGTCTGAGATACACAAAGTCTGGACTCACGTGTTGAACCTCAAACCAGAACAACTCGGTCTCAACCAGTCGTTCTTGAGTGTCGGTGGCGATTCCATCTCTGCCATGCAAGTCATGAGCGAGTGTAAGAAGCGTGGTCTAGGTCTGACTGTCTCACATATCATCAGTTGCAAGTCCATCACTGCACTCGCACTACAGGTGAGAGATATTGAGAAGCCAACACTTCTACAAGAATCTGTGGGTACACCTTTCGGGCTTTCACCTATCCAGAAGCTGTATTTCTCGAGACCGAACCATGATCAGGGACATTACAACCAGAGTTTCCTTCTTCGTACGAGTCGGCATGTTGGCGAGACGGACTTGCGCAAGGCTATGGAGGTCATTATACGCAGACACTCTATGCTTCGCGCTAGATTTGGTCGGGATGATGGTGGAGAATGGTATCAGCGAGTTACAGATGAGGTTACTACTTCTTATCGACTACGTACTGTTGAAGTGGCATCGAAAGATGAGCTGAACCATTCGCTGCACGACAGCCAGACGTGTCTTGACCCTTCAAACGGCCCCCTCATTGCTGCCGACCTTATCGACGAGATTGGCGAGCAACAGCGTTTATTCGTGGTCGCGCATCATCTAATCATCGACCTGGTCTCCTGGAGAATTATTCTTCAAGAACTAGAGGAGTTGCTGTTACGACCTGAGGCTGCTCGCGATATGGACCGTCCTTTGGCTTTCCAGACCTGGTGCAAGATGCAGCAAGACCATGCTACTGCCCAGACACCAGAGCAGGCCCTCCCTATCCACGGTATCCCTGATGGCAACGTTGGCTACTGGGGTATGGAGAATGTGCCCAACGTCTATGGACAGATGACTGGTAAGGGTTTCGAGATTGGGCCTGCGCAGACATCTTTGTTATTATCCAAGTGCCACGAAGCTTTGCGCACTGAGATTCCAGATGTTCTTATGGCGGCTATGATCTTCTCCTTTGGGCAGACATTCACCGACCGTCCCATCCCGGCTATTTTCGCTGAGGGACACGGTAGAGAGTCTTGGGACCATTCCACCGACTTGTCCAACGTGGTTGGATGGTTCACAACAATCTACCCTGTCTTTGCCGGCTCTGATGCATCGACCAGCCTTATCGACACCATCAAGATGGTCAAGGATCGTCGACGCAAGATTCCCGATAGTGGACGACCATACTTTGCTAGCCGCTGGTTGACACAGGCGGGTGAGGAGGCCTTCTCGCGTCACTGGCCATTGGAGATGACCTTCAATTACCTCGGGCAGTATCAACAGCTTGAGCGTGAGGGTGCTCTCTTTACTCCAGTAGGTGATATTGCGGGAGAGGTCAGGAGTGCTACCGCTGGCGCCGATGTCGGACCATTGACGACGTGCATTTCTCTGTTCGAAGTGTCTGCAGTCATCATCAAGGGTACTCTACGGTTCTCCTTCTTGTTCAACGAGAACATGCGCCATCAACCAGAGATTCGCCAGTGGATCGCTTTGTGCCAGCAGAACCTTGGCCATCTGATTGAGTCATTGTCTGTCATGGCCTCAGAGCCAACATTGAGCGACTTTCCGCTGCTGTCTTTGACCTACGACCGTCTTCATCTGCTCACGCAAGAGAAGTTACCCGAGGCCGGCATCGAGGATGTCAGTCAAGTCGAGGACGCATATCCTTGTTCCCCAATGCAATCAGGTCTTTTGGTCAGCACGACAAAGGATAGCGCTACTTACGCTGCGTATACCCTCCATGAAGTCAAGACTAGGAGTGGTCTACCAGTGGATGTGGCGAAGCTTGCGAGTGCCTGGAGGCGCATGATTGCGTACCATCCTATGTTACGAACCATCTTTGTGGAGAGTGTGACTCTTGAGGATTCTCTCTACGACCAAGTGGTTTTGAAAGAGGTTCAAGCTCCACTCATCATGTCTGAGATGGAGACAGACGAGGAGGTAGTCCGCAGTCTTGATGTGCCACGACACCATGAGGATTACTCTCCACTCCTACACGTCTTTGAGATTTGCAAGTCCAAGACAGGCAAGGTCTTTTGCAAGCTCGATATCAGCCACGTTATCATGGACGGTACTTCTCTCTCCATCCTCTTCCGCGACCTATCCCTCGCGTACGCCGGCATCCTGGCGTCAGATAAAGGTCCTCCTTACAGAGATTACATCAGACATCTCCAGTACCAGGTGTCTGAGCCAGGTATAGAGTATTGGAAGTCGTACCTGACAGGTATAGAGCCGTGCCATTTCCCCGTTCTTGACGACGGTGAGGTTGTGGAGGCGAAAGAGTTGAGGCATTTCAGAGTCAAGTTCGACGAGTTGGCTCAGCTCCAGAACTCATGTGACGAGCGCGGTGTCACCATAGTGAACGCCATTTACGCAGCCTGGGCACTAGTTCTGCGTCTCTACACTGCTTCAGATGAAGTTTGTTTCGGTTATATCACCTCTGCGCGCGACCTGCCGATCGAAGGCATTCGCGATGTCATCGGACCTGTTATCAACATGGTGACGTGCCGTGCAAACATGAGCACTTCGACCACTCTAGGCGACGTGATGGCTCTCGTGCAAAATGACTTCCTAGACAGTCTAGACTACCGCCACATCCCCCTCGCCCAAGTCCAACACGCCCTGCATCTTTCCGACACTGCTCTGTTCAACACAGCGCTGTCGTACAGAAAACTGCCCCCCCCACCGCAGAACCCTCCGGACATTGTGTTTGACGAGGTTCGTCCCACGTATGATCCTGATGAGTACGACGTGTCCGTCAACATCGAGGCTGGCGAGGATGATATGGCTGTTGATCTAATGTACTGGTCGGATACCATGTCAGACGGTCAAGCTACCAATGTTGCCAACGCTTTTACGACGGCGCTTAGCAATATCCTTCACCACGCCGACCAGCCTGTTGGCCAGCTTGACCATCTCGGTCCTCACCACCGCCAGCAAATCTCACAGTGGAACCAACACATGCCCGAGGCTGTTGAGAGATGTGTGCACGAGCTGTTCCAACAACAGGTCATGCTACGTCCTGATGCCCCTGCTATTGCTTCATGGGATATGGACTTTACCTATGCTGAGCTCGACGACGCTTCCACCAAGCTGGCTCATCATATCGCTGCCCTAGGTGTGGGCATTGAGACCTTTGTCCTTGTCTGCTTTGACAAGTCGGCCTTTGCCATCGTGGCCATGCTGGCCATTCTGAAGGCTGGTGGTGCTTGTGTTCCCCTGGATCCAGCTCACCCTGACGCTGCCATTAGACTTCGTGCTGAGGATACCCGTGCTCCCATCGCGCTTGTTTCACCCAAGATGGCCTCTCGATTTAGCACTCTGGTCGATACCACAGTTGTCGTGGATAACTCCCTCCTTCAGACCATCTCAGTGGGTGAGACTCTTCCCCAGGTCAACCCTCACAACGCATGCTTCGTCATCTACACCTCTGGAAGCACTGGCCGACCCAAGGGTGTGGTACTGGAGCACAGGGGACTTGCTACCAACGCCATGTGCTCCGGCCCGAAGCTTGGCTACAGCGAGAGTTCACGAGTACTCCAATTCGCCTCTTACACTTTCGACAACAGCCTCGCCGAGATCTTCAGCACATTTACTCTCGGAGGCTGCGTCTGTGTGCCATCAGAACACGAGAGATTCCATGACCTGGCCGGGGCTATCAACCGTTACCGCGTTACGATGGTTGACATCACTCCCACTGTCGCATGTCTCCTCAACCCAGCGGATGTCCCGACGTTGAAGACTCTGGCTCTTGGTGGGGAGGCTGTGACCCACAAGTGTGTCAGTATCTGGCGTGACTTTGTGTCTCTGCAATGTTGTTATGGACCGTCTGAGTGTTCTGTCAACTCAACCTACTCGGGTGAAATTGCTCAACCAGGGAAGGCTACCAACATTGGCCGTGCTGTCGGTGGCGTCACTTGGGTAGTGGACGCTGCTGATCATAGTCGCTTGGTTCCTATCGGTTGTGTGGGAGAACTCCTGATCGATGGTCCTATTGTTTCTCGTGGTTACCTCAACCTGCCTGAGAAGATGGCCGAGTCTTTTATTGCACCACCTGCCTTCTTGGAAGACATGTCCCTGACCGCGGACGTGGCTCGCAAACTTTACAAGACTGGTGACTTGGTGCGATACAACTTTGACGGTACACTTACCTACCTTGGACGCAAAGACACCCAGGTCAAGCTCCATGGACAACGCATTGAACTGGAGGAGATTGAGCATCACATCGAGACAAGCTTACCCCAAGGCTGGGATTCTGCTGTCGAGCTTGTTGTGTTGGATGGCAGAAAGGCACTGGCCTCTTTTATTTGCGCCGACGCAGATGTATCCCACCAGGATGGAAGCGAAGAGAGCACTGTACTGCCAATGGATGATTCCTTCAGGATGCGAGCCAAGGATCTTGAGATGGTGCTCTTGAACGCTATACCTGCTTACATGATCCCATCCGTCTGGTTTCCCGTGTCCAAGATGCCCATGACTTCGTCAGGAAAGCTGAACCGTCGTCTTCTCCGATCGCTAGCACAGGCTGTTCCGACAGCGCTTATTACCTCCTACAAGCTGGCTTTGAAGAGCGGTAGAGCTCCGTCTAGCGACATGGAGAAGCAGTTGGCTGGCATGTGGGCCAAGGTACTGAGTATCGATGTCAACACTATTGGAGTCGAGGATCACTTCTTCAGACTTGGCGGTGACTCCATCGCCGCGATGCAATTAGTGACGTTAGCCAGAAAGTCAAACATTAACCTCACCGTCACTCGAATCTTCAACAAGGTTTCTCTGCTGGATATGGCCGAGTCAGCACTGCCCTTGTCTCGAGCTGCGGCCACATCTGTGAAGCCATTCTCACTTCTCCCTGGGGTAGTTTCGTTGGATACATTGCAACATGAAGTTGAAGCCTCTGCCCAGATTGATGCCGCGGCGATTGAGGATATCTACCCTTGTACTGCCATGCAAGAAGGTCTCGTAGCGCTGTCAGCTGGGAGCCCTGGAGCCTACGTCGCCCAGTTCATCTTCCGTATCCCTGATGGTACGGACATGGAAAACTTCAAAATGGCTTGGCAGCTCGTGGTACAGGCTGAGCCAACACTACGGACGAGACTAGTCCAGACAACCAATGCTGGTGTTGTGAACGTGGTAGTGACTGATGACGCTCCCCAGTGGTCCACCATTGGGAGTCTTTCCGATGCGGAAGATTCTCGGCGTCAGATCCCACTTCACAACGGCGCACGGCTAGCTGACTATAGCCTCCTTGAGGACGATTCGCAAACCCTGTTCGTATGGACTATCCACCACGCCCTCTACGACGGTTGGTGTCTTCCCCTCATTCTTGACAAGGTCAAGCAGTGCTATCAGAACCTCCAAACCTCCACTCAGCAACCCAGTCTCAGCGGTCCCAAGTACTCGACCTTCATTCGATATCTCTCCGAGGTTGATGCCAGTCAAGACACCAAGTTCTGGGGATCCTATCTCTCCGATATCTCGACTCAGCACTTTCCTCGCCTTCCGTCCCCAGACTACAAGCCCAGCGCAAGTGGTCTTATCATTCACAAGACCGACTTCAAAGCTGAGTCATCTGGATCGGGCATCACCACAGCTACCATGATCCGCGCAGCCTGGGCCTTGACAGTCTCTGCATACTCGGCTGCAGATGATGTCGTCTTCTGGGAGACTGTAACAGGTCGTGATGCTCCCGTTGATGGAATCGAGGACATGGTCGGTGTGACATTGGCCACTGTCCCTACCCGTGTGAGACTCAACTCTTCACAGAAGGTAGTTGACCTTCTCGACACGGTCCAGTCTCAATCCGCAGCAGTCAGAGTGCACCAGTTCGCTGGCATCCATCGCATCAGCCGTATCAACTCCGATACAGCCTTTGCTTGTACCGCGCAGAATCTCCTGGCCATCAACTACGGACCTCGACAGTCGACAGATTCTTTCTGGTGCGAAGAGACCAACGAGATGGCCGGCACCAACTTTTACTCTTACCCTCTCATGCTCTCTTGCCACGTTTCGGATGGCGAGCTTGAAAGTGTTGTTCACTTCGATCCCAACATCATCTCTGAGTCGCAAATGCAACGCGTTATGGATCAGTTCGCATTGATGTTGGCGTCGGTCACATCTTCAGAGCTGAAAAAGGAGAAGCTCAGCGATCTTGACATGATCAGTGCTCGGGACTACCAGACACTCTCTGACATGGCTCGACTTGCACCACCTGCTATGAAAATATTGGTGCACGACGCTATCAAGACCACTGGAGAAGCCCAGCCACAGGACAAGCTGGCTGTCTGCGCGTGGGACCAGAACCTCACTTACGCTGAGCTGGACTCTCAATCCACACGTCTTGCATCCATTCTGGTCGAGGCTGGTATTGGCGCCAACTCTTTTGTTCCCTTCTGCATGGAAAAGTCATATTTGGTCGTTGTTTCTATGCTAGCCATCCTCAAGGCAGGGTCTGCCTTTGTGCCATTGGACTATGCCCATCCCGACGCCCGTATCAGCGGTATCCTTGACGATGTTGAGGCTACCATTGTCCTATCTTCCCCTCAGTACGCCGAGCGCTTGACAAAACTGGGAACAAAGGTCATACCTATCTCATCTACCTTGATACAGAGCTCCACGCCATCTGAACACCATGCTGTCACTTTGTCTGTCAAGTCCCCATGCTACTGCATCTTCACATCTGGTACGACCGGCAAGCCAAAGGGTACCGTCATTGACCACTCTGCTTTCTGCACTGGAGCGACGGCCCATGGATCAGCTATGGGTATGAACGAGTCGTCTCGGGTCTTGCAGTTTGCCTCGCATACCTTTGATGCAAGCATCATGGAGACCTTTAGCACTCTGATCCACGGCGGAACTGTCTGTGTGCCGTCTGACGATGAACGCATGCACGATATTGCAGGGGCCATCAATCGCATGGACGTTAATTGGGCTCTGTTGACACCCTCTGTCGCTCAGTTGATTGAGCCGTCTGTCGTTCCTGGACTCAAGACATTAGTACTTGGTGGAGAGGCTATGTCTCGCTCGCATATCTCTGCCTGGGCACCATCTGTCCAGTTGATGAACGCCTATGGACCTAGCGAGACCTCTGTGGTCGCCACCGTCAACCCCAGTGTTGGGATTTCTTCCAGTCCTTCCAACATTGGCCGTGCTGTAGGAGGTCTCTGCTGGATTGTCGATGCTGCCAATCACGACAAGCTTGTACCTATCGGCGTCATCGGTGAGCTTGTGGTAGAGGGGCCGATTCTCGCACAAGGCTATCTCAAGAACCCTGAGAAGACCACCGAGTCTTTTATCACCAACCCGTCATGGTGCAGCAAGTTCACCAGTGAAGCCTCCACTAGCGAGCGTAGGTTCTACAGGACTGGAGATCTGGCTAGAGTGGAAGATGACGGATCCATTGAGTTCCAAGGACGAAAGGATAACCAAGTCAAGATCAACGGTCAAAGACTTGAGCTGTCTGAGATTGAGCATCACCTGAGCGTTGACCCCGCCGTTCAATCCTGTCTAGCATTCGTCCCGTCCTCTGGAACGTTGAAGAGCCGTCTCGTCGGCATTCTATCGCTTCAATCCTCTGCCCCCACCGGGGAGATGACCGGAGAAGAAGGAATGCAGCTCGTCGACTTTGCGCCATCTCAGTTGACAACCATTCGTGATACCCTCGCTGGACACTTGACTGCTTACATGATCCCATCTACATGGATCATCGTTAACCACATTCCTCTCCTACCTTCTGGCAAGCTTGATCGCCGACACACAGCCAACTGGGTTGAAGGCATGACATCTGAGCAGTATCAGAAGATCCTCAGCGCCCAAGACCAGGACAAGACATCGGGTCTCACTCTAGACCGTGACGCTACAGCCATCGAGACAAAGCTTAGAGCTGCCTGGGCCAAGGTCCTCGGCATCGCTGTTGACAGCGTGCCATTTACACGCTCATTCATCCGACTGGGAGGCGACTCCATCTCAGCGATGCAGCTCATGGCCATCTGCAGATCCTCCAACATGGCTGTTTCCGTTAGTCAGATCATGCGAAGCAAGTCCATCATCGAACTTGCGTCGTTCGTGGCAGCTGTGGAGGATGTCATACAGGATAACGAAGAGGAGGAGAAATCTTTCCCTCTTTCGCCTATTCAGAAGATGTACTTTGATATCATGCTTTCTGGGTCTACTCACTTCAACCAGAGTGTACTTCTGGAGACGACGCGCAACATCACAGCTAGGGAGTTGTCGACTGCTTTGGAGACTGTCATCAAGACGCATAGCATGCTACGTGCTCGCTTCTCTTGTGATGATGGCAGTTACTCTCAGCGCATCACCTCTGATGCCGTTGGCTCGTACACTCTTCGATCTAATGCAGGCGTTGACGACCTTGGTATTTCTCAGTTGATCGAAGAAAGCCAAAAGAGCCTGGACATCTTAAAAGGGCCACTCGTCGCCGCCAACATCGTGGAGATGGCGGACTATTCCAAGCAAGTCGTCTTCTTTGCCATTCACCATCTCGTCGTCGATGTTGTCTCTTGGAACATTATCCTCCAGGACCTGGAAACACTGCTATCATCACCCACCTCAAGGCTATCAAAGCCACTTTCTTTCCAGACCTGGAACTCCCAGCAACTGGAGGAGGCTCGGGATAATACACATGAGAGGGTATTCCACGATATCCCTGTACCTTCACAGGATCTCTCATACTGGGGAATGCAATCTGTACCCAACCTCCACGGCGATGCAGTCACCAAGACTGTAGAGATGCCTGCCGACGAGCTATTGGGCTCTTACCATGAGACGCACGACACTGATGTTGTCGATGTCTTGCTTGCCTCTCTGCTCGCCTCGCTCCGTCAAACCTTCTCCGACCGATCTTCTCTGCCATCCATCTTCAACGAGGGTCACGGTAGAGAGCCAGTAGACAACAAGCTAGACTTATCGCGCACCGTTGGCTGGTTCACCACTCTCTGCCCCGTCTACCTACCCGAGACCATGCCTGTAGAGCCCGATCTGCTTGACATTGTACGTTGGGTGCGGGATTTTAGACGCAAAATTCCTGGCAAGGGCCGACCCTACTTTGCGCACCAGATGCTGTCCGAAGCAGCTCAGTCCTCAAGTTGGCCCGCCGAAATCGCGTTCAACTTCCTCGGCCAAACACAAAAGACTGAATCTGAAGCGTCAGTGTTCAAGTCAGCTGGCAGCATGTTCGACTCGACAACTTCTGAGACAGACATTGGAGCTGATGTGCCACGCCTCGCACTGATCGAGATTTCTGCGTCTCTCTGTGGAAACACGCTGAGCTTCAACTTTACCTTCAACCGCCACATGCAGCGTCAATCTGGTATTCAGGACTGGCTTAGCAGCTTCTCCGATTCCATCCACCAGACTGTCAAGAGGCTGTCTGCAGCTAGTACTGAACAGCAAACACCCGATATTTCTCTCCTCCCCTTGTCCTTTAGCGGCGCATCAAAAGTCGAGACAAGACTTGCCGAACTCGGTATTTCGTTCAGTGACGAGGTTGAAGCTGTCTATCCCTGCTCCCGCGTCCAACAGGGTATCCTTTTGGCTCAGGTCAGGAACCCTGAGTACTATTCGTACTCCGTCTCTTTCACAGTGAACCCCACTCAACCTGGTCAAGCAGTCGACGTCCAGTCACTAGCAGAGGCCTGGCAGCGCGTTGTTCAGTATCACTCTACTCTCCGGACTGTTTTCGTCGAAGGTCTTTTGGAGGAGGGTGACATCGATCAGGTTGTTCTACACCACCATTTCTCCGCCGTTTCTATCTTTGAGTGCTCCGACGATGAGCGACTTGAGAAGATGTCTGATCGCTCTCCACTACCGGTCATGAGCAACACACCGCCACACCATCTCACTGTTTTCAAGACTGGAGACAAGGTCACCTGTGTTCTGGAGATGAGCCACGCCATATCCGATGGAACGTCTATGCCAATCCTGTTCCGTGACTTGGCCTTGGCTTACAAACAGTCGCTGCCTTCCACAAGCATCTCTGTCTACAAAGATTACGTCTCTCATTTACAAGACCAGTCTTCTCATGACGTTAAGTACTGGCAAGACTACTTAATGGGCGCCGAGCCATGCCATCTACCATCACTCTCTGGAACTACACAGCCCAAGGTATTGAGATCTCTCGATCAGCCTATCTCTCATGCAGCCCAGCTACAGGCATTCTGTACCGAGAGAGGCGTGACGCTTTCCAACCTTCTCCAGCTCACCTGGGCCCTGGTCCTCCAAGCTTACACAGGCCTTGACGACGTGTGCTTTGGATATCTCGTTGCAGAGAGAGATGTCCCGGTTCCTGACATGGACAAGGCAATTGGCGTTTTCATCAGCATGCTAGTCTGTCGTATGCGTCTCTCTCCATCTTCAACCATCGGAGATGTCCTCACTACTGTACAAGATGACCTCAGTGCAGCCATGAGCTACAAGAACGTTTCACTCGCCGACATCCAGCGCGTGACTGGCTTAGCCAATGAACCCCTCTTCAACACTGCCTACTCGTTCCAGCGACGATCCGTCAACAAGTCCATGGCAACTGGACCTCTATCATTTGACGTCAGTGACGCTCAGGACCCCAATGAGTACGACTTGACCGTCAACGCCGAAGTCTGGGACTCCACTGCGGAGCTACAGCTGTGTTACTGGACAGACAAGGTATCTGACTCACAAGCCAAGAATATCGCTTGCACGTTTGATCAGATCTTGACTTCGATCATCACATCCAATGCCTCTCTCCCAACAGACCAGCTCAACATTCTTAGCGACCATTGCGCGCAGCAGTTGACCTCTTGGAACGACACCGAGCCAGAGTTCTTGAACGACTGCGTGCATCACGTCTTTGAGCGCAATGCTCAGCATCTACCCCACGACGCCCCGGCTATCGAGGCCTGGGATGCCAGTCTGACTTATCGTGAGGTCGATGGTGCGGCTTCTCAGCTTGCCCAGCACTTGGTATCTCTCGGCGTCACACCCGAGACATACATCCCTCTGTGCTTCGAGAAGTCGGCCTGGGCACCCATCGCCATGCTCGCAGTTCTCAAGGCCGGCGCTGCTTTTGTCCCGGTCGATCCCGGTCACCCACCTGAGCGAATCAGCTTCCTAATCAATAACATCGATGCCAAGCTCATTCTTTGCTCACCATCCCTGGTGGATAAGTTTGCAAACATGGACATTCCAGCCCTTGCTGTCAGCCAGGAAACAGTCTCTTCCCTATTCGCGTCACCAACCTCCCCTTCGGTCGAAGTTCAAACACAGAACGCTGCGTATGTCATCTTCACATCAGGAACAACCGGTGTACCCAAGGGCACAATCATCGAGCATGCAGCATTCACTACAGGTGGCACTTCTCATGCCCGAGCCATCCACATGACCTCATCCTCTCGCGTTCTGCAATTTGCGTCACACACCTTTGACGCGAGCATCATGGAGATTCTGACCACCTTCCTCGTCGGTGGCTGTGTTTGTATTCCCTCTGATGAGGAGCGCATGAACGACTTGGCTGGTGCCATCGCCAAGTACGATGCCAACTGGGCCTTACTCACACCTTCTGTGGCAAATGTTCTCAAGCCAGGTAGCGTTCCAGGCCTCAAGGTACTCGCTACCGGTGGTGAAGCAATGTCAAGAGACCACATCACCAAATGGTCAAGCCACGCTGCTCTTATCAACGCCTACGGGCCTAGCGAGGCTTCAGTTATTGCTGCGGCGCACACAAAGGTCGATCAGCATGGCATTATCGTGAACCGAGAGCCTGCTACTATCGGACACGCTGTCGGATGTCGCTCTTGGGTCGTCGATCCACGCAACCACAATCGTCTCATGCCCATTGGAGGTATTGGAGAGCTTGTTGTTGAAGGACCTATCGTTGCAAGGGGATATCTGAGCAACGAGACCAAGACGAGAGAGGCTTTCATTGATCATCCACCGTGGCGCGTTAACACCAGACTTTCCGGTGATCGCGTGGACAGGATGTACAAGACAGGTGATCTGGTGGTATACAACTCTGACGGCTCCTTGAACTATGTCTCGCGCAAGGACACACAGATCAAACTCAACGGCCAACGTATTGAACTTGGTGAGATTGAACATCACGTCAAGGTCAACTTACCCGCCCATGTCCAGTCTGCTGTGGAGTTGATCGTACCCCAGAGCAAGACATCAACAAAGGCACTGGCCGTGTTCTTCACCAGCGATGAGCCTGTCGAAGCCGCCAAGGCCGATCTTCTTCTACCCATGTCATCCACTTCCACGCAGATCTGCCAGTCACTCAAGACAGCCATAGGCGCCACTCTTCCATCACACATGGTGCCAACTGTGTACATCCCAGTGGTCAAGATGCCATGGACCTTGGCGGGCAAATTGGACCGTCAAAAGCTCAAAGCCATTGCCCAGTCCATTCCTCCTCAACAAATGGGCAGCTACAAGCTAGCTGGGTCCAACAAGAGCCGAGCCCCAACTACCTTTATGCAGCGCAAGTTGCAAAAGGTCTGGTCAAAGATCCTGAAGATGGCTCCAGATCGTATTAGCAGAGATGACAGCTTCTTCAGACTCGGTGGTGATTCTGTCGGTGCCATGAAGGTTGTTTCCGCTGCTAGGATGGAGGATGTTGTCCTGACCGTTATGGACATCTTCAAGACTCCCGTCTTATCAGAGCTAGCTACCTGTTGTGACAGGTCTGAGCACGCTACCATCACCAACGTCGAGCCCTTCTCACTTTTGCATGACCTTGTATCCCCCTCTCTACTCCTTGATGAGGTCGCTGAGTGTTGCGGTATTCAGCCGAGCCAGATACAAGATATGTACCCGTGCAGCTCCCTTCAAGAAGGTCTCGTGGCTTCTTCTCTACAGAAGCCTGGTGCATATGTTGCCCGCTACGTGTTCAAGGTGCCTTCAAGCATCGACATCGATGGTCTCAAGATGGCATGGCAGAGGACTATCGACCACGTCGACATCTTGAGATCCCGCATCGTGAACGCTCAGTCCCTCAAGTCTTACCAAGCCATCCTTAGCCCACATGAGGTCGAGTGGGAGTACTTCAGCAGTCTTGAAGCCAGTGCCAATATCAGCCCTATCCCCGATCGCAATGGAGGTGTACTAGCTCGTTATGCCATTATCGACTCTTCTAGTGCTGATATGCGCTACTTCGTTTGGACGGTGCACCACGCTCTATACGACGCTTGGAGTATGCCCTCCATCCTCAAGCTTGTCACTGACTTCTACCACGAAGAGAGTACCCTCCCACCAATGGTTCCCTACGCCAACTTCGCCAAATACCTGGTCGACACTGATGGTCAAGCCTCAGATGAATTCTGGAAGGCCCGATTCCAGGACGCCTCTCTTGTATCTCATTTCCCAACCACCATTGCAACCGACGAGGAGCCTTCACATACCTCTGTGCATCATACAGTACAGTACAGCAAGGATGCCATCGGTATCGATATCACCATCCCCACCATAGTTCGCGCAGCTTGGGCACTTCTCTTAGCGACTCAGACTGGCTCTGATGATGTCGGCTTCGGTGAGACATTGTCTGGCCGCGATATTGCTCTTGACCATGTGGAGGATATTCTCGGCCCAACTCTTACCACAGTACCCTGGAGAGTTCAGATCAATCGAGGTGCTACAGTTGGCCACTTCCTGAGCACTCTTCACAAGCAGGCAGCCCAGGTCATCCCCCATCAGCACGCCGGTCTTCAGCACATCAAGCGTCTTGGACATTCGATTGCTGTTGCTTGCGACTTCAGGAACTTGCTTGTCATTCAGTCCGGCGATGGCGACGACGAAGAAAAGGACCAGGAGCTGTTGCAGACACTTAACGAGCAAGTCGAGCACAAGAGCTTCTTCACTTACCCCTTGGTTGTCGAATGCTCCATTGAAGCAAACAACTTGGTTCTGATGATCCATCATGATGAAACCGTCTTGACAAGCTGGCAGACAGAGCGTATCGCTCATCAATTCGGCGCTCTTGTCGACCAGCTTATTTGTCTTTCGCAGGAGCCTGATCGCATGGTGTCGGATCTTCAGCTGCACAGTCAAGAGGACGCCCAGATGATCAAAGCATGGAACAGTCACTCACACAATACTCCAAGTGACACTATCCCCAGCTTGTTCTGGCAAACAATAGCCACCTCTCCCAACGCTCTCAGCATCCGCGCCTGGAATGGTTATCTCAGCTATGAGTCCCTCGCACAACACGCTACAGGACTCGCCAAGCGCCTTGTCCAGCAGGGCGTAGGAGCTGAGGTAATGGTGCCTTGTTGCATGGACAAATCTCTCTGGACTTCAGTCGCCATGCTTGCTGTCATTCTTGCAGGCGGCGCAATCGTTCCTATGGACCCCGCTCATCCTCCTGCTCGTCACGCAGAGATCGCCCGTGAATGCAACGCCCGTGTCGCTCTGTGCTCACCGCAGTACCAAGACCGCTTTATTGGTGTTGTCGACACTGTCATCAAGGTCGACGAAAGCTTGTTCAACACCCATCAACGCGCCGCACTGCAAGATCTTCCAATTGTGGCACCCCAGAATGCAGCTTTTGTCATATACACTTCTGGCAGCACTGGAAAGGCCAAGGGTGTTATCATTGAACATGCCACATTTATCGCTAGCAGCAGAGCCTACATACAATGTATGCATCTCATGCCAACTTCGAGCGTCTTCCACTTTACATCCTACGCCTTCGATATCGCCATGGGAGAGACGTTCGGTGCATTTACAACCGGCGCTTGTCTCTGCGTTCCTAGCGAAGAGATGAGGATGACCGATCTGCCAGGTGCCATGAACTCTCTCGGTGCTACATGGGCCTTCTTGACGCCTTCACTTGCCAACATGCAAGATCCTTCCAAGTTTACGACACTTCAGACACTTGTCTGCGGAGGCGAGGCCATGTCAGCTGAGACTAGTGCCAAATGGTCAGACAAGGTTGAGTTGATTAACGGCTATGGACCTGCTGAGTGTACGGTCTTTGCCGTTGCCAACGCCCACGTCTCTGCTGATAAGGATCATACCAATATTGGTCGAGCTATGGATGGTTGCCACACATGGATCGTCGACCCCAGGGATCACAATCGTCTTTCTCCCGTGGGCTGTGAAGGCGAATTGCTCATCAGTGGTCCTATCCTCTCCCGCGGCTACCTCAACGACGATGGAAAAACAGCACAGGCATTCGTTAAGGACCCGGCTTGGATGAGCTACTTTGTTGAGAAATCTGTTCGTCTATACAAGACAGGCGACTTGGTCAAGTATCGCCCAGACGGAAGCTTGACGTACATCGGTCGCAAGGACAATCAGGTCAAACTTCACGGTCAACGCATGGAACTCGGCGAGATCGAAGCCTGTCTCGAGTCTGATGCACGTCTCCGTAATGCCCTCGTCGCACTGCCAAAGTCTGGTATCTTCAAGGGCCGACTGGTGGCCATTGTCTCTTTCAAGGATTCCAAGACAGAGAATCCAGGCCTTGCAACTTCGCACTTCACTCCAGTTTCCGATTCTGACATGGAAGCTGCTCGCCTCCAGGTTTCTGAGTTGCAGCACACTCTATCTGAGAACCTTCCACCTTACATGATGCCCTCTTCCTGGCTCGTGGTTAGTGCTATTCCTTTGTTGTTATCTGGCAAGCTTGATAGGGTTAGCTGCCAGAGCTGGCTGGTCAATATGGACGTGGAGATGCCCGAGTTTCTGGTTGACGGTGGTCACAGCGAGGATGTTGTAGTGTCTGACACCACAGAGGCTGGTCGTCTACTACAACAAATCTGGGCTTCAGTTCTTCGAATGCCAGAAGACGTGACACCTACCAACCGCTCTTTCATCTCTCTCGGTGGTGACTCCATCATGGCCATGCAAATCATGTCTCGCTGCCGCGATCACTCAATCAAGCTCACTATGCGAGACATCATGAGCGGCAAGTCCATCACCGAATTGGGTTCTCTTATCGAGACCGAAGACCGACGTACACAGAGAAACACATTGGATGATGACGAGGACGACAACCAGTCATTCACATTGTCGCCAATCCAGAAACTCTTCTTCAACAACAGCTCCAACAAGGACCGTGGAGACCGCTTCAACCAGAGCCAGCTTTTTTCCATCCATGGCTCCATCGATATAGCCAGGTTTGCACAAGCCATTCATACTGTTGTGCAGAGACATCCTATGCTTCGCGCCCGCTTCAGCAAATCCACCAATGGAGAGTGGACACAACAGATTGCCTCAGATACTGAAGATTCTTACGGGTTGCACTTCCACGACGTCACCAGCACCTCCGAGATGGTTCAGCTTATCGCTTCCAGTCAAAAAAGTATTGACATCTCCGGTCCCGTCTTTGTAGTCGACCACTTCAGAATGCCTGATGGTTCTCCAACAGTGTCACTCATAGCCCATCATCTTGTCGTCGACGTCGTTTCCTGGATCAACATCGCCCAAGACCTGGAGACATCACTCTCATCCTCTTCTTCTCTATCACCCAAACCCCTCTCGTTCCGAAGATGGAACGTCGCACAGATCGAGCATGCCAAGTCACTTGAGAAGCAAGGCGAAGAATTACTTCCATTCACTGTGCAACCCGCGGATCTGGACTTCTGGGGCATGTCGAACGCCCCCAACAACTATTCTCAAACCACTCAGCAGTCATTTTCTCTTTCCGATTCCAGCATCCTCTCCATGTTGTTAAACGACTCCCATACAGCACTCAGGACCGAACCTCTCGACCTCTTCATTTCATCTCTGCTCCAGTCATTCGGGCAATGTTTCCCAGGGCGTGAGCTTCCAACATTGTTCAATGAAGGTCATGGTCGCGAACCATGGGACGACACCATTGACCTTTCCGAGACTGTCGGATGGTTCACTTCCCTTTGTCCTATCCACGTATCTCAACGTAGCATCGACCCTACCGACACCATCGACTACGTTCGCAAGGTCAAGGACTTGCGACGTAGCATCCCCTGCAACGGTCGTCTTTATTTTGCTCAGCGCTACCTTACTGAGTCGGGTACGGCCCATCTCGACAAACATGAACCCATGGAGATCCTCTTGAACTTCCTTGGCCGCTCTCAACAGAGTGGTGAAGAAGATACTGTCTTACGCTCTTCCAACCTATCGTTTAGCGAGGAGGAGAACAAAGTCATTTCAGATGTTGGACCCAACACTCAGCGCATGGCTCTCTTTGAGATCTCCATTGCTATTCTTGATGAAGGCATCCGATTTGCCTTTATGTACAACAAGCACATGCTCCATCAGGATCTCATTCAGAAATGGGTCATCACCTGCAAGGACGTTCTCGCCAATATGGCACAGGAGCTCACCACAGCTCCATCCTTCCCTACCCTGAGTGACTTCCCTCTCATGCCCCTAGATTACGCCGGGCTTCAAGAGATAGTCGACAAGTCTCTCCCTGCCGCGCATGTTCGCTACGATGAAGTCGAGGACATGTATCCATGCTCGCCAATGCAGGAGGGTATCATACTCAGCCAACTACTTGATCCCTCGCAGTATCTGTTCCACGCTGTCCTCGAGGTATCCTCTCCCACTGGTGTAACTATCGATGCTGCCCAGTTGGCCTCGGCTTGCTCGACAGTCATTGAACGTCACGCTGCACTACGCACCATCTTCATTGAAAGTGTTCACCGTGGCGGCTCCTTCGATCAAGTCGTTACACAGCCTCGAAAGGCTCGAATCAGCACGATCAAGTGTCGTGAGATCGATGTCATGGCAAAGCTCAACGCCAGATTGCTCGGAAAGACCAATAAGAAACATGGACAACCCACACTCCCCTATCAGATCACCATTTGTGAGACAACACACGGCAAGGTCTTTATCAAGCTTGAGATGAACCACGCTGTCACAGATGGTGCCTCTACGGCGACTATCCTACGCGATATCTCGAGCGCCTACGCCAACAGCCTGCCGCCCACAAAGGCCCCATCCTATAAGGAGTACATCAAGTACATCTCCAACCAATCGCTTGATTCAAGTCTCATCTACTGGAAGAGCTATCTCTCTGGCGCTTGCTGCACCGAATTCCCCACCATGAACTCCGATCACATGGCTGCTAAGAGTCTCGGCTCCGCTACCGTGGACTTTGACCGGTTCTCCGAACTGCATTCTCTCGGTTTGGAGCTCGGCGTGACATTCTCCAACATCATCATGGTTGCATGGGCACTGGTCCTTCGAAAATACACCAACTCCCAGGACGTTTGCTTCGGATACTTGGCATCCGGTCGCGATGCTCGTATTGATGGAGTTGCTGATATCGTTGGACCTTTGATCAACATGCTCGTGTTCCGTTTCCAATTCACACACGGCATGCTTCTCAAGAGACTCTTCCTCGACGCTCAAGAAGACTACGTCAACAGTCTGCCACATCAGCATTTCTCTCTTGCCCGTGTTACTCATGCACTCGGACAAGGAAAGCGTGGCTTCTTCAACACAGCTGTCTCCATCCAGAACGCCGGTTCGTCAGACGATTCAGATGCTGGCGCACTTACATACGAGTCGGTCGATGCCTTTGATCCCAGTGAATATGCCGTTACACTAAACGCAAACACCACTCGCGGTGATGAAGGCATTATGTTCCGATACTGGACCAGCGTTCTTTCTCACAACCAAGCCAAGGACCTTGCACACATCATGTCCGAGGTATTAGGCGACATCATCGATCACAGCGAGGAGGCCCTGTCGCACTTACGGGTATCGCAGGATTCAACTCTACCTACCCAAGTTGCCTCATCCGAGGTAGACGGCTGGACATTCCAACACGACGATATGCACCGCGTTGCTACAACCCCGACCTTGACAGTCAGCAGCTACTCAACAGGTCCTGGTCCCACGCTCTTCTCGCCCTCGGCCTCTTGGGGTACCCTGACCAAGGATCGCTTCCAAGAGAAGCTATCAGGGCTGTGGAAAGATCATCTTGACATTGACACGACTGATATGACATACGAGAGCAGCTTTTTCGAGTACGGTGGTGACTCTATCATCGCCATGGCAATGGTCGGCGACGCCAGAGCCCAAGACCTCCCTCTCACTGTGGCCGATATCTTCAAGAACCCAACATTCGGCGCTATGCTCAAGGTCCTGAGAGACAAGTCATACAAAGAAGGCGATATGGCGTCTACCAACGACGACACTTCCCTAATTGACTCCAAGAAGGATGGCGTTGTCATAGAAGAGCATGTCTACCAACCACTTTCTCTCCTTGGACAGCAAGACCCTGAACGATTCGTCCGAGACACTGTTTGCCCTCTTGTCGGCGTTTCCCGCGCCAGCATCATTGATGTCCTCCCAACAACCGACTTCCAAGCCCAAGCCGTCCAGGGCAGCCTGTTAGACTCACGATGGATGCTGAACTTCTTTTACCTCGATGGATCCGGGTCGTTGGACGTTGCCCTTCTACAAGAGAGTATCACAAACGTCACTGCCGCTTTCGACATCCTCCGCACCGTCTTCGTTCCCTATCAGGCGACTTACGTACAAGTTATCCTCCGCCATGTTCAGCCTGATGTCACCATCCAAAACGTCAACGACATCGATCAGTTCACCTCTGATCTTGAATCAGACCATCTTCTTCAACCTGCACGCCCCGAGCGCCCCTCTCTCCGCTTTATCGTTGTGCGACACAACTTTTCCCAACGACACAGGATATTCATCAGATTATCCCACGCCCTGTACGACGGTGTCTGCTTCCCGACTATTCTCAACGCCTTGAAGGCATCTTACGAGGGAGAACCCATCACTACCGCCCCCTCATATGCGACTTATATCTGCGGCGTAAGGGGCAGGGCCAGATCCGAACAATACACATACTGGCGATCTCTCCTCAAAAACTGCACTCCAACAGACATCATTCCTCGACAAATCGGTGCCATGCGCACAACTCCCATTCAAGATTTGAAGAAGGTTGTGGCTACACCCTCTCTGGCGGTTTACAACATCACCACCGCTACTGTCGTCAAGGCAGCTTGGTCCACAGTTCTTGCCAGAGCCACTGGAAAGACAGACGTTGTGTTTGGTCATCTCATCAGCGGGCGCAATGTACGCCACGTCCCTGGTATTGAAGCCGTCGTCGGTCCTTGCCTGAACGTGGTTCCCGTGCGCGTGCATTACCAAGCCTCCTGGACCGTACTCGATCTTCTTCGACATATCCAACATCAGCAGGTGGACAACATGCCATATGAATCACTTGGCTTCAGAGAAATCATCAGAAACTGCACTGATTGGGATGACAATGGAGCAATGGGCTTTTCTACCATGGTTCAACATCAGAGCATGGCTCAAACGGACAGTCTATCCATCGGAGACAACACGTACAATGTTGGTGCGATCGCTTCGCAGGAGGATACTGCCGACTTTAGTGTCGTCACTACACCGCAGGATTCGAACAGTACTGAAGTCTGTTTCTTGTACCCCAAGGGTGGACATGTGGGGATGGACTTTGCTGAGCAATTATTTGATGCTCTCTGCGATACAATTGCGGATTTCTCAAAGAACGTTGATGTTCCTGTTGTAGTCTAGTAATTTCTTTTGTTTTTCATTGCTATCATCTTTCCTTTCTCTTCTGTTAGTTAGTATTATCGAATTCTGTTCACCTACATGTGCAGTAGTAGAATCCCGCGTAATACCTTCTTGACCCTTTTTCTCTGACAATTGGGTCGGATATTGTCATAATGATACCACTCAATTAAGAATCACTTTTCCCTAAAAGGTATGGTGTCTAGGTTGGACTGAGCTATTGTTCTTTCGCCTTATCTATTACAGCTGGCGGTTATATCAGATCTCCACCTCTAAACGGAGGCTAGCATAGCTCATTCTAAAAACTGCATACTGCATACAAATGGTGGAGGCTGGATTAAGGCTAGCAGCTAATTGCCAGCCATGACGCCTCAGAAATTCCTAGCAGCAGGTAGAATGCCTTGCGTCAAACTGTTTGAGACTGCTCAGCCTCACTCTTAGAATAGTTTCAGCCTAAAGACTTACCTCTATCTCCATTGGCCATTTTCCTTTAAATCATAGCGATCCCTATCTTGCGTCCTTGCTGGTCCATGAACCCATTCATAGCACCGTTTACCCTGTTTCACATACATCAAAAGCACCTTTTCGCAATGTATGCTTCGCACCTCATCAGCAGATGCATGGCCTCCATTATGATGGTTTTCACTGTCGCCGCCATAGAAACAGGTTAAAAAAAGCGATTCCATAGCAGGCCGGAATGTCAAAAAGCAAAGAAAGGTCTCGGAGCGAGTCGAGCCCTTGCTGGCGGAATCAGAATCCGCAGTCATAACCATTAGACCACGAAACCTATCGAACTGTAAAATTTTGCGTTCGAGCGCCAAATGATTATCTCATAAGTCGTCAAATTTTCACTCTTTGTTTTGAGCCCTGCCTAATCAACCTTCCCTACATCGAAACAATTACACATTAAAAATGAACAAGACCAGCTGATGTCACACTGATGAGACTCATGCCTTTGGTCTTCGCTGTCGTGCATCTCAACTCGTAGCCCTAGAGGATCTCACACGAAACTGCTGGAGACCTGCTGTTTGTAAATATATCTACCTCACGCTTTGCATGGACTAACCAACATATAGACAACTAACAGCGCAGCGCCCCATCACGATCTTTTCGGCTGCTCATCTCGTTTACGCGGGAACAGAGTCCGTGCTTTCCAAACCACCCGATAATACAAAGCTACTGCTAGTACTTTAGCAACTATCTTCAATATAGTAAAATGGAAGCCACCAACAGCATAAACTTAAAAGAACGCTGCGGTTGACACAGGAATCTCGTTCGGCTGACAACTTATGTCTATACTCCATGTGTTTTACTCAGTTCAGACTTTTTACTCTAGTCACTCAAACCAAATCATGCCAGTTTTCAATAGATACAGTTACGATCCTCTTATTGAGAAAGGCTCAACACGTCATGCCCTCTTAGACTCAGCTCTCGATGCAAAAGCGCCGCTCAACTGTACCCTCACTGGCAATCATCCTTTAGTCCAAGATGGAGGCTATTGCGCCACTACATCTGTATGGGGCAAACAGGAGTTTCATTTCAACTTTGGAATAAGAGACAACTGCGACATGTTATACCTAAGGACTACAGCCATGGTTGGCAAGTTATTGCGTTGCTTTCGGTTACAAAACAGACCGCGCATTCTTCGGATTGGTGATCTTTGCATCGACCAAGAGAGCCAGATGAATAAAGCAAGACAGATCCGTCTGATAAGGAAGATACATTGGGAAGCAACGGATTTTCTTATCTGGCTAGGATTTAGGGACAAGATGACCCGCCACCATGCCGGTTGGTTTCTGAGACCCGTGTTAAAAACTACGATGATCATTAACTGACAGCGTAAGAACAAAAAGAGCGTAATTTATTGAATTAGAAGCAGTGTTGGTTATAATAGAGTATCAAGGTCTCCAACTCTCGCAATTATGTGTTATTCGCGCAATAGCGTTTGAATCCTTGCCCATCGGTTTGGGTTGAACATGTTTGGATGGCGATACTCCTGACCCTTCTCAATAGCATATGCTAACGGCGTCTTTCCCTGCTCATCCAGTAGCTGAGTAGACAATTGAAATTCGTCACGAAGACAATACAGTGCTTCTTTCGCAAGGTTACCGCTAATAGCACCATGATGGAATGCAGTTCGTCCTTGCTTATCCCTAGCCCTCATATCAACCTTTTGATTCGCTAGTATTCGTAACAGAGTGGTGGAAGCCCTGCCAGATTTTGCGGCGAGATGTACTAAGTTTAGACCTTCTTTTGTTTCGAAACTTGGATCTGCGCCATGTCCAAAGAGAAGACGCAATACCTCTGGATCTTCATCGCTTTGAAAGAAGGCACTTGCCTTGAGGAATATAGCCGTCGGCGACATGCCTGCCTGGTCGAGTTCATTAACGCCAGCCGACAATTCCAATAGAGATTTGAGGCTATCGACTCCTCCAATCCCTTTGGGTTTCTTGAATAAGTGATGTAATGCGCTCTTGCCGCGTTTGTCTTTTGAATTTGTGAATGCTTCTCGAGTTCCCTCAGGCATGTGGGCCAAGATGGTCCGTATTGTTTCCCCATGTCCATGTTGAGCAGCGTAATGCAAAGCATTGGCTCCCTCCTCGTCACATTCAGTAGGGTTTGCGCCAGATTCCAAGAGAATCGTAAGCTCATCAATGCTTCCAGCGCGGCAGGCGACGTGTAAAGGTGTTTTTCCCTTATTCGTCCGCATTGAAACTCTCGCACCTTCCCCTAATAGCTTCTGGATCAAAAACTTGGAAGCACGTCCGCCACCGGACACGATGTGCAAAGGAGAAACGCCAGCTGTGTCCTGAGCGTTGACATTGATGCCAGGATGTTTTAAAAGAAGATTGATGATTTCTAATCTGACTTCATCGACCCGAAGCCGTGCAGAAAGAAGTTCCTCCTCCTCCTCCAGATAACCAAATATGCACTCGATTCGATTATCTAAATCTTTCCAAAAATCGGGATTGGTAAGACATCGTGGCCCAGACAGATCTCGTTTGAGGGCAAGATGCAGCGGTGTCTCACCGTAGTCCGAAGCATAATTCGGATTAGCACCTCGCTCCAATAAGAATTTGGTCATCTCTCGGCAGCCCGTTAAGGTTGCGAGGTGTAGGCTTGTCAAGCCTACCTTCGTAGAACCTTTTGGTGTCGGTTCTTGCGCGCTATCCTGAACATGATAGGTTGCCCGGCCATTTTGAAACATTTTGGCGATATCGATTCGCCTAACCGTTAAATCTACCGGTGTGTCGGCATCAAGAAAGATTTGAGCTACTTCTTGATTATTGTTCATGACAGTGTAGTGGAAAGGAGTCATATTGTCACTGTCTGGGTCTAGACTCGCTTGTCGCTGTAACAGGAGCAGCACGCATCGCTTCCAGTCGTTGAGGACAGCGTGGTGTAGAGGGGTTTTCCATTCCGAATCCTTTACGTCAATGCAAGCTCCTCTTTCGATAAGCCATTCTGTCGTAGCTTCTGCATGGGGACCTCCATTCCTCGCTGCTAATAATAACCAATTTTTTATGATATTGGACTCTGACAAGAAGAAGTGTGTGACAAAAGGCGGCTCCGGCGTGGCGAGACGAGCATGTTGGGCACTATACTCCACGCAATAATTCAAAAGTGGGTAAGGTGTTTCACCATATTTTCCAGGTTGTAAACATTCGTCGAAATTCGAAAATTCAACATTAAAATCCGTGAACAATAGGTAAGTGAAGCATGATGTCGCGATCGCTGCGATAGCATTCGGGCTCCAGCTTCCTTGAGTCCACTCGAGGTACTCCCGTTTTGTGTGATCAATTAGCCCAGCCATCTGGCCACGTTCCTCAAGCGTAAGTGTCATCGACCCAGTAGGAATAGGGCTAGGTTTGGTAGCGATCTCAACCGTTGCATGTGGGAACCAGAAATCCCACGATCGCTCGAGATACTGATGTGTTGTATAGTGAACAAGGCGAATAATACCGCTCTCCTCGTCAACAGTTACCAGTCCAGCACAAACAGAGACAATTTCTTCGATGGGAGTCAGGTCCCCATGATCAAACTCAGACTTTCCTGTCTTTGTTGCGAGGGCGTGCTGAAGTTCTGACATGGTTAGCTGTCGTTTCGCCCACGTGATCCATAATAAGGCTCTCATCGCAAGTGTCTTCATTCCTGGCATCTGTCCGTAAATCCTCCTTATGCATTGTTCGTATGCAAGATTGAGAACTTGAATCCTTTGATGTTCGCCAGATCCTTGACTTTGCTTGCGAAAAGTCTCCATTGCGCTCCGAATATCATTTGGTGATAGCTTATCAACAAGCGAATCAAGATAGAGTTCCGCCAATAGAAACCTGCAGATTGTGAGCTGCTGCGCTACTCTTAATATTATGAGAACGTACATTCCATCCACAGCTTCTGAGATGCACGTCGTAATATCTTCTTGCAGCTGTCGGTTCTGCTGGACGCAAGTTGGTAGGTACCCTATGCGATCTTCTAGGTATCTCGTCACATCTTCGGGGCTTGCACGAATCTCAATCTCTTTTGATAACCTGGCTTTAAAGTGATTTAAAACCTCTGGAATGTGCCTCGACGTTGCAAAAATGTTGATTCCGAACTTGATCTGAAGGTTGAAGAGCTCCGAGACGAATCTCTTCCGGCATCCATCTGATGCTCGACATTCGTCAAGTGCATCAACGACGAGGAAGACTCTCGAATAAATCGGCAATACTGAATGAAGAAGTCCCAAGATTTCGTCCCGGGATGGCCGCGTTCGTCTAGTATTGTGCTGTTTGTAAAGACTTTCAATGCTGTCTGGCAAGGACAATAAGCATTGAGTTAGCTGCTTCAACACACTCGCCAGTATATCATCAATTCCTTGCTCGTTTTTTCGCTGGAAATTGTAGTAGATGTAGGCGACCCCAATCTTGGTGTTGTCAGAAAATCGCGTTTGAAGATTGTTAATCACAATCGACGACAATATTGTCTTCCCGGCCCCCGGAATACCAAGGCAGAGTAGTGTTTTGCCGTCCGCATCTAGCCACTCCCTATACTTTGCGGATTCCAGAAACCATTGGCCAGTTCCTTGTTGGCTATTTCCAAAGTAGTGACTCTGTCGAGTGCCGTAGTCAATTGGAGTAAACCAATCGAGGATAGCCTGATACTCCTGATTGAGCTGTCGAGACTGCATGTCTTCAATGCCATCGGAAAGCCGATTGACCTTTGTATCCAATTCTGATAAGACTAAATATGGTCAGTATATGAAGGCACAAAAACCTGTTTTTATGTCGCTTGTGATGACTGTGTCATGGGCACCATTCTCCTCTCCTTCCAGCGGGTTTCCCTCAATTGCAAACTCGAAGCTAGAGTCCAGCCATGATCCTCACAAGTCTTACCTAGAAACCTTTGTGGAAATAAGGCAAATATCACACGAGATTGTCAGGCGATAATACTTACTATCTTCAAGTTTGCCAGCCCATGACGGCTGTGCGGTGACGTTTTGGGGTTTCAGAATATGGAGAAGCTCTCTACTATAAGCAGCCGCTGTTAGTGCGGCGTATCTGTGCCAATCATTATTCTTGTGTGAATCTGAATAATCACAGATTCCCCGGATCACTAGACAAGGGAAGTTGTTCATTAAACCGGCAGCTTCCATCTCAAAGCATAAGACGTTCAGTTCTGGATCTTGAGCGTATTGGTTCCTTTCCTCAGCATTCTTCATGACTGAGTTTGCAGATGCAATGATGCCATGGTGGACAGTGACTGCTCGTTTTGTCTTTCGCAGTAGTCGCTCCTCGAGTCCGTTTGTCGCACAACTGGTACAGGTTACTCCACCCTTATGCTCATAGTCGGCACGGTAAAGTCGGTCTTCTGCAGGACGTTGATACTCAGGCATATCATCCATAAGCTTCATATGCTCTGATAACCTATCTGGCTTTTTCGGGTCGTTGTGCAGGCGCCACATTTTGCGAATCGCTCCCAGCAGTACCTCTGGAGGAGAGTTCAGCTGGCTTGTCTGCTGGAAACGACCATTCGATAGCCTTTTCCCGAAGTCATATTGTATTACTCCTCCTAGCTTGCCTTGTGGTACACTGACCACCACGTCGCCAAGACGGATGTCTCTCTCTGGCGTCGGGGCGCCTCCACCGATGCCTACTAGCAAGGCGAACCTCAAGCGAGTGAATGACCGGACCATGTCTCGAGCGACGACTGCAGCTGAGCTGATACCGCATCGGCCGACTGGAAGGCAGCCAATGACCACATTGTGTTCCCCAATACAACCAAACACGTAGGCGTTATTATCATTTATGTCACTTGTTTCTGGACCCTCGAATTCGTCATCAAGCATGCGGCATGCTGCCTCGTATTCCTCCTGCAGAGCACAGATCCAGCCAATCGTGTAGTTTTCTAGACATGGCTCATCAGACATTCTAGCAAGATGGGTACCCGCTAAGGGTCGGGGGTTGGTTCGTAGGGAATAGCCTCGATTAAATTATAATGGCGTTGGAAGCAGGCTCTTGTTATAAGGTTGGTCAGGCCGACAAGAGCGAGTGCTCAGCTAAGCGGTAACCTAAAGGCCTTGTTGAGCAGAGGAGTTTGTTCGTAAAGTGTAAAATGAATACAAAGTAAACTACTAGAATTCAGAAAGTGCTAAAGCTGAGAGAATTAAGGCAGCAGTTGAGAAAAGACATGGCGGCTGAGCTGGGCGTAATTTTTGGCCATGCCCCCAATGCAACCTCATCAATTAGGCCCTGATGCATATGTGGCTTTGATTCTGTTTCTTTACTGGCGTAGAAGATACAAGGCTTAAAAGCAAAGAGCCAATCAGGCTATGGATTGGAACCGCCCGCGTCGTGACTGGTAGTAAAGCGGCGGTTAGAAGTGCAAATCATCCTTTTTTAAGTAGAAGCGGAAAATGAGGAAGACGCGTGAGTAAGAGCAAGTGTGATTGTCGCCTGCTAAAACGCGACCGAGGGACATTCATAAATAACCCACCGCTTAAGCCCCGCCATTAAAACTAGTGCAAGTGCCGGCGAACCCCCCGCAGCCTCACGTTGTGTTAATCGACATAGGTAGTCAGTCACAGCCAGGATCTATAATATTACAGGAAACTTTCTACCGTAGTAGCGAAGTGATTATTTTTTCTAGTTAGCCATTATCGATGTGCCCGCGACGGGCCAGTCTGCCTTATAATAACATATTAATGATATAGTAAGTAGTATTATATCTATCTGCTCCTTTCACTGTCTTATCCCTCTGCCTAATAAAATGATTATCGGCGGGAAAGTCATAGCTTTAGCTATAACTAGTCTTATTATACTTGGTATTATGATAATCCAAGTGTGGAGAGGGACTTGTAGCCCCAGCCGGGGCATTTTATGCCTTGGGACAGAGTCGTGGTTGTTAATATGATTGGGTAACCTTATTGGATTTAAGCTATTGTTGTTTTTCGGTCTGTGTGGGGAGCTTAATTCTTAATGTTTCAGTGGTTTTATTAGGACAGCTGGATTTCTTTTGCAAAGGTGCTGCTAGACTCAATATTAAAAACTCAATTGATTGGCGTGTGTTATGTCGGTTAATAGGCCTGGCCGTATTGGAGTTAGAGAATATTACATCCACTATCTCATTTAGGAAGTTGATCATTTGAGCAAGACGGACGGGTGATAATTAACATGTTCAGCCAATTAGCATTAGCAATTACGCTCAGCGATCCCTAGCCGGGTCAATCACAGTAACCAGCGACGTTGTCTAAACTGTCAAGAGTCCAGGTTGAACTAAGTCAAAATAAGTATCTTCTGTAATGATGCCCCCAAGCAATTATCGCTTGACACTTCCAGTACAGAGATTTCCCGACCAAGTTATGGGATTTTATCACATGCTCCTTTGCCATGACGTGACGCGTATCGGTGGCGCACGACACAGATCCACCAAGAACCCCTCACAGTTGAGTGTATCCTATCTTGAACTTAACGGATTAAATTGTTGCCGAATAATAAGCCGCAGTCGTAACCACCAAGCCACGAAACCTAGCAAACCGAAAAATTCAAAATTTTGGGTTTAAGTAGTTATCATTAATATCAGCATTTCACGGTTTCGGCTTAGCATACCGTGTCCTATGGACATGTCTCCACTTCTTCTGTTAGGCCCCGCCTTACTCCACCTACCCTGTATCGAAACAATTGCACATCAAAAATGAAGAAAATTGGCAGAAATCACACTGATGGGGCTCACGCCTCTAAAAAGAAATGCATAGGGTACTTCATCGTACCCTATGGGAGTCTAATCGAAGCTATGTCGCTCTCGCTCTCTGGATTAAACAAGGGATTGGTAAGAGTCAGGCCGAGAATACGATGTCACACGATCGTTCAAAACAATGGAGGACGCCTTCGCGACTTTAGGACGTCTTTTTCGTGCAATGGTATTTTTCTGTCCGTACGGATAGCCAGTTTCCTATCGTCACTCTTTCTTAAATAGTCGGTCGTCTTTAATTATTTTGTTTTTGTAATGCTTCTTCACAAGGTGTTGTGTGACTCTATGTTTAGTGTATATGAAATTGCTGACGTCATACGTAAATTCCCCGCACCGCCTATACATATTCTATGTTTCCCAACTCATGTATGGAATTGATTAAGGCTATGGAGTCTGTTGGCGATAAGACAGAAGCACGAAACGCCCCTGCACGTCCACGAAGAATAGACATGTACTGATAAATATCATTCTTACCATTGTTAAAATTCTTACCAATCGCCTAATAATGCTGTTGGCAACACGAATAGCAACCTCAGCATAACCGTCTCTGTTGAATTTAAACATAGTAGCACGCCGTCTCAGGGCCCAATACTAGTGACAGAGAGTGTAGAAGATATATTACTCTGGTCGTCGCTTCTGAGTATACGGGTAACTGCCGAACAAAACATCCCGTTGCTAGCGTATTATTATTTCTATTTTAACCTTAAACTCCATTAAGCCTAGGCTTCTTTAACCTTATAATACTATTAAGAACAAAAATAAACTTAAGATTAAGCTTAGCAAGATTAAAATACTAAAAGTCATACAGAGTAAGTAAATTCCAACTAAGTACATACATAGTACATAGCCAAACGTATAAAAGCTTCCTCTCTTACCCCTCAATTTATTTCACAATGCAAGCAAACTAGTCAATTAATCCTCCTAGCTACAGTCAGTAAATTAACCCCTCGTCCCTGCCTTTCATTCCACATTACTAACTTATTTCGCAGCTTCCACAACAAGTCTTGAGGTAACAAGCATCCGCTGCAAAGTAAGCCTCGGTCTGACCTACAACGAGGTCAAAGACGCCATTAACAACGGCCATAATAGGCAGATACTATTGCTCGTATATAATCCAATTGATTGGCGCGTTTCCTGTCGGTCGATAGGCCTGCCTGTATTGGAGTTGGAGATTGTTGCATCCGCTGTCTCATTAAGGAAGTTGATCACTGGAGCAAGAGCATTATCGTTCGAGCGGGCCGACTTTCCACATATCACACTGCTCTTTCTGTAGCTGTTCCTTGAACATATGAGCTTGTAAAATGTTTATATTTACCCAAATCGTAATTGAGATGCTTTTAAGCATAATACCCTTTGTTTTTAGGTAGTTATTTATCTGTTTTTACTATTGGCTTTTAATGAGATGTAGACATAGCTAGTCAAGAAATAATTGATAGCGATATCTGCCGTCTGATAAGCTTGCATCATTAGCGTCTATTATGGTGAGAGTTCAATGTCATGAACCCCACCTTTGATTATCTTCCAATGTCAACGAGTAAATAACCAGCTAACCGCCCGACCATCGGATTATACGAGCATTAAAGGCTAGAATTGTGACAATCGATGCGTTTCTTGACGCCATTGCTGTTCTCCGTGGTCTTTTCGCAATAGTTCCTGCATTAACCTTGTAATTAACCTTGTTAAAGTGCGACCTTCCTTTCTGGGGTGCATCGGCAGTGGACCATTTAGGAAGCTGTTGCCAAGTCCGATAGCGAAGGCCTTACATAGACACTATCGCGCAATTGATCACATCAATAAGTCAGTCTTGGCAAGTAAACGGCACTTAGAAGCCGTTTCAGTCGAATTTACAAATGACTATAAATCATGGCCATGAGTCCTCGAATCTAGTATCTCGACATCAGTATCATCCATCACCACTCTTCTGATTCCTTCTCTGTTCATCAATCATGGCCAGCCTCGTTCGTCTCGCTCTCTACCTGGGAGCTTTCTTGCCCGCCGCTCTTGGTGCACCCACCGCACCAAGCAAGCGTTCAGACGAGATCCCCGGAAAATACATCGTCACCCTCAAGTCCACTGCTTCTGTTGCTAAGGTCGAGTCTCACCTTCAGTGGGTTGGCGACGTTCATCGCCGCAGCCTTTCCAAGCGTGAGACTGCTGGTATCGAGCATAAGTTCAACATTAAGAACTGGAATGCCTATGCTGGACAGTTTGATGAGGATACTATCAAGGAGATTGAGGCCAGCCCTGAGGTAAGCTTCAATGATCAATCTAAAGACTCCTGCTAACAAAGATCAAGGTTGCTTTCGTCGAGCCCGATAAGATTGTCAGACTCAGCTACGAGCAGCCCAGCGAGCTGTCTGCTAGGGCCTTGACTACCCAATCGGGAGCTCCCTGGGGTCTTGGAACGATCTCCCACCGCACCTCTGGCTCTACCAGCTACATCTATGATACATCTGCTGGCGAGGGTTCTTACGCCTACGTCGTCGACAGTGGTGTTTTGATCTCCCACTCTCAGTTCGGCGGTCGCGCTGTTGCAGGATACAGTATCTTCTCGGGAGCTAACACCGACACCCTTGGACACGGCACTCACGTTTCTGCCACCATTGCCGGCTCCACCTATGGTGTTGCTAAGAAGGTCAGTGCACGCAGTTACATATTTACGGTTAAGCGGACCATGCTAACGTCTTTAGGCCAACATTGTTTCCGTTAAGGTTTTCCAGGGAGCTGAGGGAACTGACTCTGGTGTCCTCGCTGGTTTCAACTGGGCTGTGAACGATATCACCTCCAAGGGCCGCGCCGGCAAGGCCGTTATCAACCTTTCTCTTGGTATGTTGCACTTTCCCGTGTTATAAGAATTTCCACTAACGGCTAGTTTAGGTGGTGATGCTTCTCAAGCTTGGGTCACTGCTATTAACGCTGCCTACAACTCTGGTGTCCTGTCTGTTGTTGCTGCCGGCAACGGTGATGAGGACGGCAACCCTCTCCCCGTGTCTAGCCAGTCCCCTGCCAATGCACCTAACGCTATTACTGTTGCTGCTCTCACCTCTGCCTGGAGACCTACTTCGTTCACCAACTACGGTATGTTAATCCCATCCATCTTCAAGTCCGAATTGACTAACTAACTATTAAAAGGCGCTGGTGTTGATATCTTTGCTCCTGGCCAAGGCATTCTGTCCGCCTGGATCGGCTCTAACACCGCCACTAACTCCATCAGTGGAACCTCTATGGCTTCTCCCCACGTTGCTGGTCTTGCCCTTTACCTCAAGGTCCTCGAAGGTCTTACCACCCCTGCTTCTGTGGCTAGCCGTATCAAGGCTCTTGGCACCTCTGGAAAGATCACCGGCACACTCTCTGGCAGCCCTAACCTGATTGCCTACAACGGAAACGGCGCTTAAATCTGAGAAGGTGCAATAAGGTGGCACTGTTCTTGCTAGCTTTCTAAGTTCTGACAACGCTATATACTATCCATAGAACAAATCTAGCTTGAATCAAGTCGATATTATACCTCACTTTTGTATTTGCAAATTTCACTCAGTAGTTCATTTCTATGCTAGTCTCACATCGATGCATGTAAGACGTTCTCGGGTGAATGATCTAAAGAAAAGATGTTCCATTAGCAATAATCGTCTGAATGACCTGGGAGTCGACTCCTACTTAACTCCCTGTTCATGCTGAAAGATCACTTCAATCCTACTATTATACTCTTTTTTCAAGAAGGATTCAGTTCTTATAATATCAGCTCGATAGTTTATAATAATAAAATACTCCACATTTCTCATACCACTCCTTACATAATTTTAATAGTACACCTACCACTCTCATCCCTTTCCCTATAGAACCTTTCTTCTACCCCTGAGTTGCTCCAAATCTCTTCCCTCAACCTTGTTCTGGATTTGAGTACTGTCTTATAATCCAGCCAGTCCCTGTACATTCGACTCACCCCAATCTCAAAGAGTCCAACCCTGAGAAAGGTTCCACGTTCTTGTCCCTTGTCGGTACAGAGTGTTAGCAACAGCCCGCACTCGGACGGAACCATAACTCCCCCATCTTGTTTAATATCAGCCTCTGCAATCTTAAATGCAAAGACCTGCGTCTTCTTGGGCAGTTCCCGATCCAACAGAATGATACATGGATGGTCCGCCTTCAGGCCCTTCCCCAGAAACACAAGCATTGGCTTTGGGTTGATTGGATTGATAGTGGTCCATCGTTGACTTAGACTCTGGTACCACCACCACGAGTGTAATGGCCCTAGAAAATTACGTGAAGCCTTTCGGAAATGTACTTCTGTCAGAGGACCGCGGAGTATCAGGGCTGTAGAAGGTGAAATTCCCAGAGCGTCCGTCTTTGCATGGTCCGGAATCAGAATGTTGACAACTTCCGTGACTACGTTGGGCTGAGTCTGCGCGCGGAATAGAAAGAAGAATTCTACTGGCGCATTCACAGACGCCCAAGACCAGCTCGGTGCGACCTTTGTGCTGGGCGGTGTTTCTTCAAGCCAACTGATTTGCCAAAGTAAGAAATGAGGAAGGCTTTCCTGGCCCCAAAGCCCGTTGAGATAATGCTTTCTTGGGATAATACTCGTCATTTGCTCTGCGACGCCATCAATAGCGATAAGCCTGTCGGTTCCATTTGTAAGTTTCCCAACGCTGTACTGGGCTACAACAGAAGCCCACACGTAGAGAAACATCTCCTCATTTGTTACTGCTCTATACTGTGCCAATTCCTTCGTGAGAATGTCGGTGTAAATGTGCTTGAAACGATAGTCTCCTACAGCCTGTACACCTGGGAGTAATCTGTCAGAAGCGTTATGCTCTTTGTATCTATACTGTAGATCCCATGGGCCTCCTTCGGGGTAAAGTTCTGAAGCGTAGAGCTCACCGCACTCCCAGTAAAGCATATCGTGGGCGAAGTAGACAGTTCCGCGTGATAAGAGACGTTCTTGGAAAACCCACGCGCGTTTCAAGAGAGGAGATTGAGCGACAGCCTTGAGCCATGGATCGGTAGGCATGATGAGGACTTCTCCTTCGAAATCAGCGGTAGGCCATTTCAGATCCACTCGGGTGCCGTTAATGCCTGTGGGTTGTCGGTCACGAAAAAGCCCTCCGTGGGCGTCTGATGAGGCTGCTGCTGCGAGAGTGATGGCGGAATACGTGTAAACCTTTGCCATGGTGACAGACTGTGAATTCCAGTCTTCTGTATCTAGTTGAATAATGCAGAGAGCATCTATCCAGATGTACTCGAGACCAAGACGATTTGTGGCAGTGATGGCATCGCGAAATGTTAAGGGAAGGTCTTGTACGGACATGCCGCTAGTCGTCATGGTATCAAAATTGGATTTGAGCAGTTTCGTGAGTGCCTTCTTACCCCAACAGTAGCTCAAGGTCGCATACTGGATTTGGAGATTTTTGAATTCGTCCCTGTTGGTTTCTATGATTCGAATAGTGTCGGGTGTGCCTTGGTCGTTCAAAATAATCTTGACAAGTCGAGCTGGGAGCCAATCGTGGAGCTGATCACTTCGCGTGTGTAGCTTTTGGCATGACCGATGATTCTCTGAACAATTCTGGATCCAAGTTGACAGGCACTTGAAACTGGATTGGCTAGAAGTACTTGTTGACGTTTTGTCAATCGGTCTATGACATCTCAAGCGAAGATCTTGAAACCAGTGAGCCAGGGAATGTTTCGTGAACAGAGACTGATTACTCACCTGTAGCTTCGAAGATTCTCATATCAAATTGATTGAGACTATCGACTAATTGTCTTCTGAGACCAAGGCCTCTGGAGAAAAGGTCTTCAAAGCTGTACATAACACGATCCCAAATAGCCAACATAGGCTCGCCCTGTTCCCGTTGAGGCGATTTGGGATCATAATCAGCGAATGAACCAATCGAATATTCGCCAAGGGCTTTGTCCGAAGTGGCATATGCAACGGCGAATGCACAAAAGTTACATGCGGTAATATCCGGGGACGCATCTGACTGGCCTTGGAAAGCTTTCCATGGACCCTCGTGGAATGGAGAATAATAAATGTCAATGAGTTTTGCTTTAGGCGGCTGTAGATTGAGGAATGCGTGCCGGCACGGCAAGCAAAGCCGGGTAGACATTATTTATCGTGGATCTAATGGTGGAGATAAAGCTTTTACGCGCCGAGGTTTAATAGTCGTACTGTACTTGATTAAATCAGGCACGGGCGTCAGATTGCGGATCGATCCACTTCTCTCCCATAAATGGCCTAGCTTCTAATTTAACTTACTTTCCACACTGCCCCACAAGTTGTCCTTAACACGGCATTTATTACTCCGTACAGAGTACGGATAACTCGCTTCTCTTTCCTAACTTTACATTCTTTACAAACCTATATATGAATCAGTCTAATCTATAAACTAATAGTATAAAAGACTGGAATAATATAGTATGAGAGTAGTTTTTGTAGTATATTCTGCCTGTTAAAGTCTTCTCCCCGGGCGGGTGCGGTTGTTTCATTTGGGATTAGACGATGACTTAATTAGATACGAAAATACTACTGCGCAGACATCATACATGCCGCCCGATTTCGTAATAGTTACAATCATTATGGTAGCTACATTGGAGAGGAAGGCTACTAAGAAGAGACAGTCTTGACGTGTTTTAATCAAAGGTACAGAGTAGGGAGTTAGGCTACAGTACACTAGGACCCTTTATCTATGTGGGCCGAGGTGTTTCTAACATACTAACTTGCCTCAGCGAAGTTCCCTAACAACCTTGCATGAGAACTTTGTGCGTCCAAGCATGGCTAAATGCGCCTGACAGAGACTGGTGACCGGGCAGTGGCGAAATGACTTTAGTGCAATGGTGTACAGCGGCCAGAAGGGAGTAAAAGTCGGCAGAGTCTTGATGTTAGATTCCAAAATTGAAGTTTAGTGAATTCAAGCAATCCTGGGAGTAAGTTATGAGATATAGCGGGACCATAGAAGACCTCTAAGCTAGCTGAACAACTCTGCAGTAGCATCTAAGAAGCAATTTGGATGATAACCTTGCCAAAATGCTTCTGATCCCAGAGATACTGATAGGCCTCTCGTGCCTGATCGAGCTCGAAGACGCGCTCATCTAAGACAGGATGTATATCGTTTGCTTCGATGACACGATTCATTTCCTCAAACTGCAGTCTTGAACCAACAGTGATGGCCTGCACCGTGCAGCAGCTGTGGGCGATGTCGAGGAATGTCGGCGCCTTATCGTCGCTTCCGGGCGAATTGAAGCTGGTCATGGAGCCCACCATTGAGATCACTCCTCCAAGCTTTACAGCACTGAGCGCCTACCAACAAAGCTCTCGAGTCAGGATCTAATTGTGTCTTCACGGGATCTTTTATGGAATAGAAGTTAGCCTACCTCTCTAGCGGTTGATGGCCCTCCAATCTCGACGACGAGGGAAACGCCTTCGTTATTGGGTGTCAAGCTCTTCGCAATCTGCCCCCAGTTGGGGTTCTCCTTATAGTTAATGATGTGGTCTGCGCTCAGTTCTTTGAGCCTTTCCGCTTTGTCAGCTGTCGAAGTCGTTGAAATGACTTTGGCACCGGCTGCTTTGGCAAACTGTAAGAAGATTAGTTCCACCAAGTCCAGAACATGTCGCTAGTTTCACGGGAACACACCTGGACAGCAAAGGTGCTAACACCGCCTGTGCCTTCGGTGAGCACGGTATCTCCCGGCTTCAACGCCCGGCTCTCAAGCCCATACAGAGCACTCCAGGCGGTCAGGGCGGCGCATGGAAGAGTAGCAGCCTCTACCAAGCTCAAATTGGCTGGAACACTAACGAGGCCCTCCTCCGAAAATGCGGCGTACTCTCGTAGTACGCCATCAAAAGAACCTCCGAGAGCACTGTGCAAGGGTCTAGAGTCTAGGGGTCCAGCGAGGTGGTGCTGGTGGAATAGGGTTGCAACCCGGTCGCCGACAGTAAAACGGCTCACACGAGAGCCTACAGCGACGACGATGCCGGCTCCATCGGACAGGGGCACTACGCCGTCCTTTTGTGGGAAAGGGTACAGTCCCTGATGCCATGGTTAACACTCGATATCTTGGAGACTCGGAGATATGACGAAGGGGTGGAAACTTGTAGAACAAGCACATGACCCAGAAGCGCTTACCGTGGGGATGATGAGGTCGCGAAAGTTGAGCGAAACAGCGTGAACTACCGGTAGTAGACTTTGAGTTAGCCACTGATAAAGTGCTGCCAAGGCGAGGTATGGATGGTAATACTTTGCACCAAAACATCCAGATCGCCAATAGAGGGGATCGGAGACTCTGTCTGGAACTCCAGGGAGTCAAAGCCATTACTGCCGCAAACCACCCACTGCTTTTGAGTCTGGGGAACCATTGTTCACGGGAAGTTTCCAAGTATGGTGGTAAATGTTATGTCGTGTGATCAATTGATGGACAGAATCGTGGAGGGTTTGGAACTTTAACTTTTCTTAGAGGAGCCACGAACTCTTTATCAACTTGAGTGAGGCCAGCGTAAATGACACGTCGGGCCTACTTGGTAACAGGCCCTGTTCACATCATCCAACTTACAAATAGAGTGGCTGATAAAAACAGGCTTAGATTGAGGAGCTCAGTGATTACAGATGAGCTCTGCCCCGTAATTTGTCTTTCTCGGGAGAGATCAAGTAGCCCCTTTCCCACGAGTGGTCTAGCTTCTAACTTACTTCCCACGCTGCCCCGCAATTTGTCCTTAGCACGGATTTATCAGCAGGTGCAGGCATGCTTCTCTCTACAACGTCGCCCTCAAGTACAACCACTACTGGAGAATTACAAAATCACTGGATCATGGGGCTCGAGCCTACGACAGCACATATGCCAGCTCCGTCACTTACCGTGTCGTCTGACGCGATAGTCCTCACACTAAGAACGGCTAACCGCACCCTGAGCCCACCGTCGGGAAGGATCATTCGAGCTTGCATGGACGTTGAGCAGTGCCTTGAGAATCGGAGGATCTGTTTACGTGGTGCGTACTTGAGTCATGTGATTCAGTATTCGGACTTCCAAGTCCTGAACAGTCAACCAGTCTGGCCGAGCCCGCCCTCTGCTAAGTAAATAAGTTATAAATAACTCGTGATATGTAAATAGATGTCGAAACGAAGATTCCTAGCGAGGGTCTAAGTTTCTAATCTTTTTTTATTGGCTTCAAAGAGGCTAAATACCTCCGGGTGCTTTGAGGTGCTATTTATTTGCCTGCATTTTGCCATCCCACATACGCCGAACATTCCATTGCAAAACCGAAAACCCTTGCGTACCACCCCTGCGACCAGTAACTCAACTCCATGCAATGTGGTGCGCCCTTAATGAAGCTGCTATCAACGCGCAGGCTACTGGAAAATGCCTGTGCACATGCTTCCACTCGTTCCTATGAAACGACGAAGAACGATTCCTGTTCCACCAATGCGAACATGACCGGTGTCTTAACGTGCACTGCCCACTCTTCTTTCCAATTAGATAGCCACGAAGCTGGCAAACTCGCAAGCTCGGCAAGCGGGGCTGGAGCATTGAGCCGCTCCGCGAGCTTGAGGATGTCTGAGTGCACGGTTCCCGGTCGAAACATAAGAGTATCTTTCAACTCTGGATCAGCCGAGCTTTGGCCCAAAGGGTCATATGGCTCAGTCACCGACTTCTCATACATATGAGGCTGCCAAACATCACCGACGCCAGAACATATAAGCCCCCCCAGCGGGTAAGATGGCCTCTCATCTTGCCCATGCATCGCCGCCGCCGCAACGCCGTACATGATACCGAGACTATGGCAAAAGAGTACGAGGCAGTTGCATTGATTCGGGACTCCGAACTTGGACCAAAGGGTTGGCAGTATGTATTTGTGCAACCAGGTCCCGGTCTCCGCTATGAAGTTGGATCCTTTCGGGACGGGGAGAAAGGAACTTGTTCCTCCGTAGCAAGGGCGATCGATGGATATGAACGGGACACCGTAAGCGTTACTTGAAATGGATGCGGTGTGTCTGGGATTGGCATCAAAGTAATGGCATTCGTAACCACCACCATAGAGGGCTACAACCAGAGGCCGATACTGGATGGGAGATTCGGAGTGTGGAGGTATGTTTTGAATACCCGCCACTGTTCCTCCGTTCGGGAGTTGAAGTGTAAACGATTCCATTTTACTGAATATGCTGAAGAGATTGAGGCACGTAAAATACTAGCTCGATGAATCGTCAAGGCAGGTAGAGTAAGATAAGTGCAGATACTTATACTCGAGATACTTAACCTGGAGCTAAATAACTCCCTTTAACATTATGGTATTGTGCTTGCGGGCTTTCTTGATAAGCGCGGGATTGTACGACATTGAAAGTGGATAAGGGTTCAATTTCGTATGGCAAGACACCCCAGGAAGCTATTTTCGGTTTTTACATTGCTCGGTCAGAAGCTGGCAAGGATTTCTGGGCTTGTGCTGGCGGGACAAATGTACGAAACTTAGGGCAAGATTGGTCATAATGCAAGGATTCCCCTGAAAAAAGCCAAAGATGAATAGCAGAACAGTACCTTCTTATCCTCGCTACCTATTCACTCACTTCCGGCGTTGACATCTCACTATCCACCCTAAACAGGCTCTCCTCTTCCACAGGTGTGCCGTCAACCTTAGCGATGACAATCCAAATAATCCTGTTCGCAACTTTCTCCTCTTTCTTGTACGCCTTCTCTATCTTCTTATCAACTCCCACATTAGTCTCCTTTATTGTCTTCTTCCTCTTCTCCTCTTTCCTCGTTCCCATTTGTTACCACCCTAAGTGTGCACTCTCATCTCCTGATCCTTGAATAAAGTTTCCCTGACTATGGTGCACCATCTCGATGTCAGTATTGGTTGTGGTACTGGTGTTGCTAGAATCAAGTGTAGGAGCTGAAATGGCGGAAGCTTTCGAAACGCGCGACTTGTGCCATTTTCTGTGTGCCTTTTCAAGTGCTTTCATTTGCCGATTATTAGCCCAATGCAAAGGCTTCTGGCCCATCTTTGATAGCCAACCCTCTGGTGGGGAGGGTTCTGAGACGTTGAAATCGAGGGTTGCGATATACCCTTCTAGTGCTTGGAGCCGGAGTAGGCGCGGATCTTTGACCCCGACCACGAGTTCAACACGACTATTAGTTTGGATGTCATCAGAGCTCATAGATGCTGGAGCGCTATAACTGTGGGGGATGCCAAGGTCATGAATCGTTTCCAGAGGGGGGAGCTTGAGTTTTGCTTTTTTATCCACTTGAGTGAAATTGATTGCTGCCATCATCTTTTCAGTCGTCATGATCCTACACACCTAGAGAAGTCACAAGTCAGAGATGAGTATGCTCAAGGCAGGAAGGACGTAATAGACCCCTTGGAGCAAAGATATCTGTATTGGCGGATTTCAGGAATTTCCGCACACGAACAAAGGTCACGCCCACGGATGCTAGGAGGGACGTTACTTGCAAGACGCCACCTATGGCTTATGCGGGGAGGACTCCTTGTACCGAGCACAGGACACCGCCGGCTATGTGCGCCACTTGGAAGATGGGAAGGGAGACACAGACGTGGTTTAGGCGGTCAATGAATGCAAGAAATTCCGACCTGAGAAACAATGGTATTAGTATGAGAATGGTCTACCGGCAGCGTAGCTAGGGCACGTGTATACTCTGTGATTGGATTGCTGAGGGTAGACAAAGAATACGGATAGCAGCGGGCGAAGGGGGAGACGTTTTTCTTAAACGCCATAAACCTGAGATTCGTTGATTCTGGACTTTATATTAGCTGGGTCGATGCTTGAGGAATATCTGTTTGTGATGGATGGGCGAGGACTAACGGGGGATTACGATTGGCCTCTCCAGTAGGTCGGAGGAAGGGTCGGAGGGGGTGAGATCTTGGCCTTCGATGTTTTGGACTTGGAATTGTAAGGGAGAAACCGTCTCCATTATCGGCTCCGAGTAGGAGCTTGCGGTGTGGACATGTCTCATTTTAAGGTCTTAGGGTTGCGCTGCAGAATTGCTGATTGCGAACTTGAGATCGAGATCCGGAGTTGATTGTGTTTTAATGAAATTGAGTATAAAGAAACAGTGGGATATTGGCCAGACTTTGCGTGTATCAGAAATATTGTAGTTGAAAAGGCTGGAGAATGGGTAATGGATTGTAATGGAAACACAGGAACTTTGCATTTTATATCTATCTTTCTAGTTTGTAAGACGGTTTGGAGCAAGGTATGAGCTCCTATTAGGCTGCCTTCAAAATAAGCTGCTTTACTTTAAGTTTCATGATAATCCAATTGAGCTTTCTCCCGATACATCCGAGCAATGACTCGTAGCCGGGCAATGGTTAATTATTAATATAAGAGCCCCCCTGCAAGGAACTAGCAATGAAGCCGAGATGGATGCCAAAATAACAGGGAACGGCGCTACGGGTACTGCCAGCTTTGAGTTAACTCCATTCCATCCGCATGGATTGCTTAAGATTTTCTTATTGGTGAATTCGTTCAGGCATTGTTTTGAACTTTTTATGCATATGATCAACTGCATTCAGGTCTTTCACTTAAAATGTCGGACGTCAAAGATCAAGATACGCTATTAACTCCTTACGCAATCACGATAGGAAGTGAGATAACTCAAAACAAGGCTGTTGAAGCTGGTGATAAACTGTACTCAAATATCATTCGTTGGAATTTCCTACAGTAATCCTATCCATGGGCCATGCCATCAGAGCTTTCCATTTGACACCCAAAGCCTGCGAGACTTCTTGAATTAACCGACTCCCCCACCCATCCGCCCACCAAGCTTCTTTGACTTCTTCTAAAGCCACTGCAAAGTACGCCAGAATCACCAGCGCCATTGGACGCCGCAAGCCCAACAACCTTATATAATCTTGATTCACATCAACGGCCCAACTGAGTACTATGCCGTTGTCCCTTTCTTTTGATCGTAGATGCGTAAAACACGCCTTTAATCCTTGAATAGCAAGGACGTAGGCGGTTTTATCAGAATCTAGGTCTGCCGACTGCTGATTGCAAGTTTCGAGTAGTCCCAACACATCGGCGACATCCTTTGGCAGTATGATGTTGTCATCCAGCTCTCTGCCGACAAAGAGGGGCGCAATCTCACTTTCTCGAATCCAATTCCGCATTTCTGACAAGACCGACCGTACTCCTTGTGCGAGAATGAAGATGCCAGCGATCTCTTCGATGGCCCCCACTGGCTCTTGATGCGGGCCTGACGCGGATAAGCGGAGAGCGGCAATGATTAGGAGAGTGGAACAAGCGAATAATGAGGGGCTATTTTCTGGTGTGATGCTGTGGAGCTTAGAGCGGTACTCTCGGAGGGCAATGTTGTTGTGTCGGATTGCCCTGTCGGTGTATGCAGACGCATTTTCTGGACGTGAGGAAGTTATGTGCAAAGATATGACGCTAAAGAGGATATGCATGAGAAATTTTTGTTTCATTGCCATCTTCGGGATTTGGATTTGCCACATCTGGAGGAGATCATGCCGATTGGCCAGTGTGGTGTATGTAACGGTTGAGAAGTGTTGCAACAGTTCCAGATCTTCCCACGGGAGGGTCTCCACTTCGGAGATGGAAGCTCTTGGGGCAAGTATTGTTTCCTCCGTAGGTGTCAAGGTTGCTAAGCTTTTCGGATCATCCACCGTAGACGGAGTGATTGAAGATAAGAACTCGCAGTCCTTCTTCTTCTTAAAGCATCTCCCGCACAATGGACGGCCAAGATCACACTGCGAGTCATCAGTAAGGGAGAGAACAGATGGCATGATGGGTTGCTATCACACCTTGACGTGAGCTTCCTTGCACTGTTTGCAGCCATGCCGCGACTTGAAATGAGGGCGTCTGGACGGCATTTGCCAAGCTAGAATCCCAAGCCCGGCAACGGTGTTGGGTATACTAGTACGAATATGTAATCGGTACCGCAGTTCTGCCGAATGAGGAAGTGTGCATAAATATCTTTCTTCGTACAGCTATGGAGGTGTCGTAAGAGATATGGATCGGCATTAAGTTGCACCGCCTGCGTGGTTACGCGTGCGCTTAGACACGTTCGGATAGATTCTAATATCAATCGAAGTTACCGGTGCTTCCGACTCCACAATATGTCATTCGTCTAGCGCGACCAAATATCGAATGTGCTCAATTGGGGATAGTGTACGAAGATTACCGTATTAACAAACCTAGGGCTGTTTGCTATGACTACTGCTTTAATAGGCATAGAGTACGTCCTGCTACGACTGAGTACGGGGTGATAACTGTCAGCTCATGATATAAAATAATAGTAGTAACAATCTCAACAATCATGTCAAACCACCCTTCAGTCCTTTTTTTGTCATTCGACTGTCTCTCTAACACCTTCTTCTCGCACCTGAGATTCTCGTTTTTGGAACTCATACCGCGAGACTCAGAGCTCTGTTCTTTGTTTCCCCCTTTCATCAATCCAAATGGCCGAGTCCGAGTTCAAATACTATCATTATGACCCCTCCTTGGCGGCAGCCATTATATTTATTATCACGTTTATAGCGACAACAACTCTTCATTGCTATCAGCTTCTACGGACTCGCATCTGGTTTATGATTCCCTTCATTGTCGGAGGGTTCTGTGCGTTACATCATGAGCTTCCTGCATGTCAGAAACTAACGTACCACGTTCAGTCCAATTTATAGGTTACATCGGCCGCGCTATTTCTCATACTGAGACCCCAGACTGGACATTGGGACCATACCTTATACAGACGCTTCTCCTCCTCGTGGCACCCGCCCTCTTTGCAGCAAGCATCTACATGGAGTTGAGCCGCATCATCATTGCGGCAGACGGCGAAAGTCACGCTTTGATCAAGAAGAAGTGGCTCACCAAGATATTTGTCATCGGAGATGTCATTTCTTTCTTTGTCCAAGGAGGAGGTAAGTTGTACTAACTCTGACCAGTCCACTTTGATTAGTGTAACTGGCTGACGACGGCATTCTAGGCGGCGGCATCCAGTCCTCCGGCACCAAAAGTTCCCTCGATACGGGCAAGTACATCATCGTCGGCGGCCTCCTCGTGCAGATCCTCTTCTTTGGCTGCTTTATTGCCGTCGCCGTCCACTTCAACCTCGCCATGAAAAGGGTGCCAACCCCTCGCGCTCAAGGCGATATTCCCTGGCGCAAACACCTGATGGCTCTCTTCATCGGAAGCGCTCTCATCATGGCCCGATCTCTTTTCCGTATCATAGAATACCTACAAGGCTTTTCGGGGTACTTGCTCTCGCACGAAGTATATCTGTATATTTTTGATGCGCTCTTGATGCTGGCCGTTATGGTTCTTTTCAATGTGTTACATCCAAGTGAGGTTGTGGCGTCAGTAAGAGGAGGAAATGTGAAGAGAGGTTGGAAGATGAGAAAGATTGTCGGATATGATGAACGTGCTGCGTCTGATGATTCGGAGAGGGGATCTACTTAGATTTCCGGTCGTGCTGGTAACCTGTGAGGAGTAGGTACTGAGGGAGAATAGAAATGGAGCTGACAGGATGGATAATCACGGACTTGGATGAGGATCAGGCTTTTATTTGAAGATATTAATTAATAGGCAGGCTTTCTTTTGTCAATATATTCATAGATCATCATGCAATTCGTTGCCCACAAGTCCTCCACTTCACTTCGCTCACTCCTCATAACGATGACATGGCTTCTCCTTCCACAAAATGGACTAATAAGTTACAGCGATAAGAGCATTTCAGCTTCAGCCCTCAGCCAACCCAGTTAATTGGGATCCATACCGTCAGATTCCATCATTTGAAAATCCGTGATGGATTTTTATAACACTCGCTTATCTGTGATACTCGCTTATCAACCACGTTATCCTAACCTTGATAATTCTCTTAATTCTCTTAAGAAAGTATCCCTTCTAGAATCCCGTTAAGAGTACCTGGTCCAGCATATCGACAAAGTAGTCGACAGACTGTTGCGTAATGCAGAGCGGCGGTTTGATCTTGAGTACATTCTGGTGATCGCCGGTGGGTTGCATAATCACTCCCAGTTCCAGCAGCCGGTTGCAGATGGCTCTGGTCTCCTTCGTTGCCGGTTCCAGGCTGGTGCGGTCGCGCACAAATTCGAGCCCCAGGTATAGGCCATCGCCGTGGACGGTGCCTACGAGGGGGTGACGTTTGCCCAAGGCCTGCAGCCGCGCCTTCAGACAGGCACCAACAACCCGCGCATTCGCCTGCAGCTGCTCCTCTTCTATAATATCCATCACGGTGAGTCCCACCACTGATGACAGAGGTGATCCACCAGTGGAAGAGAAAAAGTATCCCTGGCTACGGTATCGATCGGCGATGGTGCGGCTGGTAATTACGGCACCTAACGGGAAGCCACCGCCAATAGATTTAGCCACCGCCACGATATCGGGCACAACGTCCTGCTGTTGGAAGCCCCAGAACCAAGAGCCCAGACGGCCAAAGCCCACCTGGACCTCATCGGCAATAGTCACTCCGCCCATATTGCGTACTGCCGCATAGACCTCACGCAAGTAGCCATCGGGCAGCGCTATGCCGCCGGCGTTGCCGTAGTAGGTCTCGCTCAGGAAAGCGGCCGGCGCACGCCCTTGGGCAGCCAACGACTGCAGACGTGCCACCGCGTCGACGGCATACTTCTTGGAGGCCTCGGCTCCACGATGACGTCCGCGGTAGGCATTGGCCGCCTCGACGGTGTGCACCCAGTCGGGCCGTGTCTGCAGCGCGTGCGGATTGTCAGCGATCGAGGTGGAAACGGCATCGCTGGCATAGGTCCAACCGTGGTAGGCCTCGGCCATGGCCACCACATCGTGACGCTGAGTGGCCGCTAGCGCCAGACGAATAGCTAGATCGACCGCCTCAGAGCCTGAGTTAACAAAGAAGACCGTATCAAGCGGATCAGGAAGTTGAGCGGCAAGCCGTTCGGCGTAGCGCGTGATGGCGGCATAGTGAAAGCGCGAATTGGTATTAAGGAGTCGGGCCTGCCGTGCGACGGCCGCGGAAATGCGAGGATGGGCGTGGCCTACCGAGGCGATATTATTGACCATGTCGAGGTAGACACGGCCGTTGACGTCCATCAAGTATTCGCGCCAGCCCCGTTCGATCTGTGGTGGACGGGCATAATAGTGCTCCTGCACCTCTGCCACCACTGCTTCACGCCGTTCCAGCAGACCTTCGTCGTCCAAATCATTCATGGGCGGCGTCATCACGCCCAGCGCTGCGGTTGCATCTCCAACCACCACGCTCCAACCAGGCAGATCGACGGCAGGGATGGCGGTTGGCACATTGGCTTGATCAAGCGCAGTCAGCAGCACGTCGATGCGGCTGCCGGCTGCAACTGTTGCTACTCCCACGGGCAGAGCTGTCCCACCTTGTCGTACATATAAATCGGTAGGTATTTCAAGGGCGGTGGCAGAGGCAAACCATGCGGTCGCCGAAGTGGGCACCGTGGAGGGTAGTCTTTGTGTCCTGGCTGGGGCACCTAGCAGCACTGGTCGCAAGGCCGGTAGCACGACCATATCGGCACCCTGGGCCAGCAAGTGCTGTGCGGCACGCTCTACTGCATCATTCTGAAGCCAAGCTCCCTCGTCGGCCAACGTCGAGAGAGTAGAGCCATCTAGAACTACCACCGATCGTGGCGCTGCCAGGATCGACTCGCCGCTCCAGCGCGGCGCTATGGCGACGGGGAATCCCAGCGTATGGCGTATCTGGGCGGTAACCACCTCCAATGGCACCTCAGTGGCGCGACGGAGGATCGTGGACTCGCGGTCCAGCGCTCGCTTGGCATAGTCATTATCGACGTCGAGACGCACCTGCTGACGTCCACTAAGCACCAGAACGACCCCACGCAGGACCACCAACGGCCATAGCGCGGTGATCTCATCATTATTGAGAGGGCGTCGTCGATTGAATGCGACGATGGCCGGCAGCACGGTGCGGTAGCACGCATCGGCGTGGTGTAGCATCGAGGAAACGGTAATGGCAATCTCTGCCACCGCCCACGATTCAATCACATCGCCAAAGTCGATCACGGCATCTGGCAGGCTGAGGACATTGCCATCCGGACGCAGGACATTATCGTCGGTCACGTCAAAGTGGCCCAACTGACGTGGCAGGCGATCTGATATGGGGCGTAGCAATGTTAACGCATGTTGGCTGGCTTCGGCGGTAAGCGCTCGCACGTCGACATCGGGCTCAGTGGCTGTAATGGCGACAATAACGCGTTCCGCGTGTCGTAGATCCCACTGCAAGGTACGTCCAGCAGCAGGATGGGTCTCAGTAGCCAGGGCTACACTGACCGCGGCTGACAGCTCGCCCAGCCGTTGCACCACGGCCGGGCTGAGGTAATGTGAGCCGGTCAGTGTGGTACCTGACACGAAGGAAATGATGCGGCAGTGTAGACGTCCCTGACTGGTCTGCCACCACCCCGACATGGCACCCCGCGGTCCCTCGATGACATGAGGGATACGAAGGGATGGTTCTGCACGGGCAACGGCAATGGCGGCGGCATCCTGCATCTCAATCTCCAAACCACTAAAGACGGGGTTGCTGATCTTCAGCACGCCCAACGGCTCGGTATGGGCGGCGGTTAGGACGAGAAAGTTCTGGTCCTGCTGGCTGCCGAGCGGTCGCAGTTTGGCGGCAATGCCAAACTGTTGGTGCAAGAGGGCACATGCCTCTTCGGGAGACAGCGTCGGTGTGGGCAGTTCAACATGGGAAAAGTAGTCGAACGTAGTCATCATGACTCGCCTAGTACCACAGAGAGGCGTCAAATATCTAGTGGTGCTGGATGGCATTAAGTGACGGATGAATGCTCCCTAGGTCTTTGTGCTAGCTTTTATAGGAGGAGTAGAATAGAAAAGTAAAGGGCGCGCGGAGGATCTCATAGGCCTATTGTATATCGGGTTAGTGTAAAACTTAAAAAAGGTTCTCTATAGTGCTTGCCAGACGGGTTACTATATCGCACTATACCGAAGCGGGGTAATACTTCTCAGTATTTTATCCGGGGAAACATAACGGTAATCTCCCTATCGTATTGTACTATACCAAAGCGGGGCAATACTTCTCGATATTTTATCCAGGGAAACATAAAGATAACTGTTAAACCGAAGCTATTATGTCAATGAGGCTCGTTTTACTTAAACGAAGCTCTCTAATTGAAAGGGAAAGCTTTTATAACTAAGCGATATCTAAAGGAGGTTTAGCGCGGGATAAACGACTAAAGGAGGACTTAGCTAGGGGTCATAGAACCAAGGAAGAACATCATCATCAATTCAATCAATTAAACCTATCAGAGGGTTTAATAGTATGCTCATCGAAGTGCTTTAGCTATTTAAGACCCATCTCGTTATTTATCCATCTATTTTGGGTCGTGGCAATAGCCTAATCGGTCGGGAGGGTGCTTCCTTCATACCAGTTACGAAGGTGTTTCTGGCCTATAACTATGATGAATGGCGAGATAGCCCAGCCTGCTGCATTGATCCCTTAAATGACTGTAACCTATTCCTGGTTTCTAGGCTGGACTGATTTTGGCCTTTTACGCCTCTCTATACTTATGGCTACTTTGCCAGTTGAAATCATTTATATTGGAAAACCTGCCTTATTAAAATTCCAGATATTATTTATATAGATACTATATTTCGTAGTTGTATTTTATACAAGCTTAAACCAATTGCAAGTAATAGCTGGATCTTTATATTTAGCTTTCTTGTAACTATACCTCTATAGAAATCACGTTTTAAGCCCTGGTTGCCGATTGATAAAATTGAGAGCCTAGTGTCATAGCCTGAAGCCTGAACCTGATCCTGTGGGCGCTATAGCTATATATATAAGAATGCAGTATAAGTTTGGGGACCTTACATCCTATTAAACCAGAGATAAAATTTAATAATATAAGAAGTATTTTAATTAATTAAAGCCTAGATAGAGAAAAAGACAGTTACCTAACTAGATTAAGTCTCAATTAAGAATAGTTTAAAGTAAAGCTTTTAAAAGAGGCCAGATAGATTATTAATTAAGATATAGATCAATTCAACTATAACTCACGGTTTGATAAATATTAAATCTGCATCTTTAGCTAGCGACGCTGGTAATTAGCCACCTGTCCCAGTTAAAGCACACGGTGGGAAAGGACTTAATGGAGTACTTGGAAGGCACTGACGTGTCCGGCTCCTGGATCCTCTTTGGATGGAGCTCACAGGCTTGAAGTCTGTTAGCTGGTAGGACAATAATACAACCTTTTTTTGAACACCATCTGAGGGATAGCAGACATAAGCACTTCTTTTTCAACCCTGTGTCTGGCGTTACCGAAGGACATGGTGGACTGTTGGCACGTTGAAAAGCCTCGGGCACATAAACCTGGGGTCGAGGGACCCGGCAAAAACGGGTGTCGGCTGCTAAGCCGAGGCGAACCCCTCCAGCAGCAGGAGAGCCTCCATCTAAGCAAAACCCAGAAGAATCGCCGATGATTTGGATTGGTGAGTGAACAATCTTCAATCAGTCTTTCGACGATACTCACATGTTAGAGGAAGGGCAGTGATTCGGCAAAGATTCCCAGTGCTGTTGTGACCAGCTGATCTCATCCCACCATCATGTCACAAGATGTTCTATAACAGCGAGACATGGAAGGTTCAGACCAACAGCACGCTGTTCCGAGGCGAGTGCAAGTAACGTTACGAAAGATCAAATGATGCCGAGAAAGGGGGTTGAAGGAAAGTTCCGAGGCAGATTATTTTCTCCCGAGACTGAGAGATCGCCAAAGTTTGCCGCAAGACATTGCTCACGCCGAGGCGACTGGAAGTGACAGGGCAATATATATATATATACGCGGCACCGCTGAGCCATCACCGAGACATTGTTATCTGTCACCAAAAACACGCCATTGCCTCCATTTCTGACTCTCACTAACACTTCACCGTATTAACGTAATGTCTGATCAGAGCCTCGTTCGTATCGACTACGAAGGCAACTTTGCCATCATTACGCTTAACAATCCGACAAAGTTCAACTCCCTAACACAGAGCTTGTTCTCTCGCCTAGCCAGTTTGCTCAGGGAGGCAGATGCAAACAAGGATGTTTACGTCACTCTTCTGATCGGAGAAGGGCCTTTCTTCTCCGCGTAAGTCAGCCTTCACCTCATCGAGTAAGACCAGGCTCCTGACTCCCCCATAAGTGGTGCCGATCTTAAAGACAGCCCTCCGTCCATGGAAGAGATCCTTTCCCGTCCCTATTGGCTTCCTAAGCTCGTCAACAACAACTTAGATGTTGCGAGGGCCTTTTATAGTCACTCTAAAATCCTCGTGACTGCTCTGAACGGACCTGTGATCGGACTTTCGGCCGCGCTCATCTCCCACTCAGACTTTATCTATGCAGTACCTGATGCTTATCTTTTGACGCCTTTTACTTCCCTGGGCTTAGTTGCCGAAGGCGGTGCCAGTGTTGCGTTCGTCCATAGGATGGGGCCCGGTAAGGCCAACGAAGCATTGATCCTGGGCCGAAAGATCCCCATCAACGAGCTTGTCCAGGTCGGTTTCGTCAATCACGTCTTCAAGGACAAAAACAACTTCCGGACTCAAGTGCTGGAGTATTTACGTCAGACTTTTAGTTCGCATCTTGTTGGCTCAAGTTTGCTGGGAACAAAGGCCCTGATGCGTCGCCGGGTTGTTCGTGAGCAGGACGAGATGGCGCCGTTAGAGACGTTCCAAGGCCTTGACCGTTTCTGCGAAGGTATTCCACAGGAGGAGATGGCCAAGGTTATTGCGGGAGCTAAGAAACACCGACTTTGAGCAAGCATGTTACAATTGCGTGCCACACTCTTCTTGAAAGCTCCACTGTACACAGATATCATCCAATCATGTATTTAGAGTACCCAGGTGTGCCTCGGCAGCAAAGTATCTCAAAGTTTACCGAGGCAAATATTACTTTATCTGGTCTTGCCTTCGTCGTAGTTAATGCTCACCTTGATTTGTTTCCATCCATATCCATAGTGAAAATGCCGGCCTCATCGCGATCCACCGGTGCCTACTCTGGGTCAAGGAAAAGAGCAGCCGCAGCTTGCCATGCTTGTCACGCTCGCAAAGTTCGCTGCAGCATCTCACAGACAGGAAGCCCCTGCACGAACTGTGCCCTAGACAACGTCAGCTGTCAAGCACGTTCTAGGCAGCCTCAAAGGTAAGTCTCGTGTTTGATCCATTGGGAATCAGCACTTCACAAACTGGCCTTCTTTGCTGACCTCGGAGCGCTGCCCGAACACGGAGAGGCCAGAATCTGCCAAGGGCACGGAGTGACGTCGAGTCCATCGCCCAGGACCCGGCAAGCCATGATAAGCCAGTCTACCGTCCATTCACTGATCACTTCGGCCATCACTCACAAGCTCAGGAATCTGACATGGCAACCCCACAAGTCCAATCAGCTCTATCACCAGTGTATGGTCAGTGCAATTAAACGTGATACCAATTGTTCATGGATTTCTAACACTCGCACAAGGTGACACTCAAGGCATTGCTCTTGTTGCCGATCTTTGCGAGCCTGAGCGTCCCGACAAAAGTGGTCATTTCGTCGTTGCAGCCCTAAGCTCGACGAATATCGATTCTGAAACGAACGACTACTTAAGAAAAAGAGGCTGCTTTGATTTACCAGCTCTCGAAATCCAACAATCACTGGTGGAGGGGTACTTCCATTACGTACACCCTTTTTTGCCCGTCATACATGTTTCTTCATTCCTCAAAACCTTTGAAAGCTCAGGGCAGAATGGGGTGTGCCTCCATCTTCTCTGGAGTGTGTTTCTGGCAGCAGCAAATGTGGGAATGGATCCAATGCAATACATTACATCGCCGCAAATTTTACTAACTTTGGATCCTGCAGTTTGCTGACGCTGCGACCGTGCAGTCAGCTGGGTATGAATCGAGGAAGGATATGAAACGGGCAATGTTCTTACGTGCAAAGGTATGCTCTCGGTTGGCCTAACCCAAGATCATGTCTGATGTTCCTCCCTATAGGCATTGTACGACGCAAACTACGAACGGTCCAAGATCGCCCTGATCCAAGCGGTGCTGTTGATGGGTTTTTGGTATTCAGACACAGAAGACAGGCTTGGGCCGTGGCACTGGAACGGCATTGCCATCAGCCTTTGCCAGACTGTTGGGTTGCATCGTGAGCCTGATGCAAGCCTCAACCACTCTCAGTATCGATCATCCATCGATCGGGATTTGTGGAAACATCTGTGGTGGTGCTGCTTCTTCCGAGAAACGTGGTTATCCGTTGGCATGGGACGGCCGATGCGTATTAACTTAGCACACTCCGATACACCCAAGCCAGATTCAAAAGCCTCTGAGAGCTTGTATACTGAACTAACAGAGTCCCAGCGTCGGCAGTACATCCCAGAGGACCCCGAGAATTTATTTCTGCTATGGGATGAGTTGCTCTCTGTCACCAGTATTTTGTCAAGGATTCTTTCTGTCCAACACCTCGCCAAGCGGACTCTTTCGACACACTCGGACGTGGATGATCTGGAAAGCGAGTTAAGAGGACATCACAAGCACCTGGATTATCTCAGAAGTAGAGCTACCGATCCAGTTCTCACTCTTCACATGCACCATTTCGAATTGTTCTTCGAGTAAGAATGCTGGTCATATAAAAAAGTATCATTGTAACAATTGCCATTAGGTCTACACTCATAACTCTATTTCGTCCATTCGTATTACAGAGCCTTGGAGATCAGAGCGCCATCGCTCATGATAAAGAATCAAAAGATTGGATGTCAAGTATAGAGCGGAAAGTGACCGCCGCGGCTACGAATACAAACAACGTTCTTAGTGACATCATCATGGCAGATATGATCTGTCTCTCTCAATCACTAATGTAAGCATCACGCACGAGCACATGTTTGTTTCATATTACTTTGCTCACGTTCCATAGCTGTATCTCTCTCGTACCAACCCTGCAAATTCATCTCCTGCATTCTGTGTCACCGCGGATGTTAGTTCATCGCCTAGGCTGCCATCAATTGGACCTGTGTATGATGGTAGTGCAGGAAATCAAGGTCACATACTTTGGCGCGGAGATCTTGCATCGGCTATTTACAAGAGCTCAGGATGTTATAAATGTTAGGGGCCGTGTTCTGGAATCCCCCACGCCTGCCGAGACAGATGAAACTGGAATGGTTATACCAGAAGGTCAAGAACATCAGGATAGAGAAACTGCGAGCCCCGCGTCGCCTATGACATGGGCATTCAACACTGTCGGTAACTATGGGTATGGGACAGGCGCAAGGTACGTGTTATCTATGTACGACAGCGCGATGTTGTGGGTGTCTGGTAGACAGAAGATAACTATTCAATGGTCAGCGACGAATTTGAAGATGCAGATATCAATGCCATCCTCAATCAGTGTATCTTTCCGGATTTCGGGACAATGTAGACGATAAGCGTAGTAGAATTTTCACAATTATGAGACTTTCCAGTCAATATGATAACATCACAACTAATAACCAAAGCAATCCCTTATCTAGTTTCAGAGTTAATGCATAACGGCTGGTTACGTAGTAGCTCCTAGCCATGCACAGTGGCGTACCATAGTGTGATTCTATAAGGTGCCCCTAGCCGAAGTGCCGGAGACACTTGTCTTTAGCACGGCACGTACTCAAAGCACACACCTTAATTACATGCACTTGTCACTGTCCTATATATCAGTTCCTAAAAGTTATCCCCAGGACCCTTCGAAGCCTTCTCAAGGAATGAAAGTGTGGGTGAGCGGCCGACCTACAGTGACTCGTCCAGTATCGCTGGATGTTGAAGGTTGGGGCGAGCTATTTGTCGCTCTCAATTCCAAATCTACACAGCAATAACCGCCAATGCAGCGAGGACAATAGCACAGGGGTATCTGGGAATGATAAGACAGCTGGCCTACCACAGACAATAACTGGCTATGTCTTGAACAACGTTAAGAAACCGCGATTCATTCGATCATTACCTTAGCAAACCTCTGATGGGTCGTAAACTTCTAACCACACCCATGAATCTTCAAGAGATATACGGGCACTCAAAGCTGTTATCTTACCGGACTATAATTACAATCGACTCCAAATGTGCCTTGACTCGTAAATTAATGAGGTTAAATAACCTGTTGGGCGGCATTGATTTCTTCGACCTGTCAATAACGACTTAAAACCAAATTCGCCTGAATATTCAAGCTAAATTATGTGCTATCTCTCTACGGTTTATTTATTTACATTAAGTCTGGTAGCACATTTAAAAAAGAGATCTAGCTATCCCAATTAAATCTACAGAAATATTAATAATAGAGGTCTCTACACAGACCAAAAAGTAACAGTGTCTTAAATCTAACAAGGTTGCCCACCATATCAGCCACAACTCTATCTTAATGGCATAAAATCCCCTGCAATACCTGCTGGGGTCACTTTTCCCTCTCTGCACTCCACTTCAATCAACCCACACAAGACGAAGATCGCGATCACCAAGCAACCCGCCAAGCCCGTAAGTCGACCCGACCGTCACAACTCTCTGCGGTTTATTTATCTTTCCTAATTCCCTTTTCCCAAGCGACATCAACTTCAAAGTAGGTGGCTGAGGCTAAGAGGATATTAGCATAATACGATCTGGTCTCGAAAATAATAAAGTTTTCTGACCCGAGCACTTTTCTATGCACCTTTGCCTATATCAGAGTTAAACTCTACGATGAAGCCTGATCTATTTATTATCCAACGCCATGGAGTAGGAATGAGACGATAGCTTGGCAGTCAACGGCCCCAAAGCACCTTTGTTTCGATGTTGGGATGCTTTACCATGGCATAATGTGAGAGCGCGTTGCGTGCTACTTATCATCCCGCGTTTCGTATCATCTCAGCACTGCGTCCATGAGAATCTAGAGTCAGTTGCCTTTCCAGATATAGTGGTATTTTGCGACAAGGTTTTCTCTTCTATTAACTTTAAGCCTCAAGTGTACCATTTCTTTTTGGCTTTAACCTTCAACTTTATCAAGCCCAGGCTTTCCAAATCTCTCAATGATATCAACAATAAAAATAACCCTTCCAAGGTCAAAACTCAATATGATCAAGGCAGCAGAATTCGCATAAGGCAACTAAACTCTATCCAAGTGAACACGTAGATCACACAGCCGTACGCATAAAAGCTAGCTTCTCAAGTGTACCATAACTTCCCTTTTAAGGGATTTCGGGTTCCTATAAGATGGATTATCTGGTCTCCCAGAGATGTTTAAATCATGTTAACCTAAGATAAGCTTAAAAGGGTCTCCTCGCTGCGATTCCCAACACTGTTTATAAACACGACCAAGTCCCCGACGATAAGCGACACCCTCGACCCATCTAACCCACATAACAGTGTAGTACTCATACCATGGACTTGATTTAGGCCTCTCTTTATGTCGAATCTCGTCGACGCCTGACCACTCTGTCTCGTGACAGTATCCCGCTGCAATTTCCACCAATTCGACAGTTTCACTCTGCTCTTTCAATGTTAAGCCTGAAATGTCGAGTCCGTCATGGGGTCGCAGGATCCCAGCCCAGGACCCGTCATGCGTGCGAAGGGAAAGTAGTGGGTAACCCTCTAATGCCATCCACGGCTCTAGATCGCAGAAGAACCAGGATCTCTGACTTGTAGTTGATAAGTATGGTGATATGACCGGCGGTACCACTTCCCCCGGGCGTATAAGTGGGAGTGGGTACCAAAACTCATAGGAAGGATAAAGCTCATGCTTATAGAAGTGAGAACGACAAATGGCGCTCGGATGATACAGATCCGGGTTTGCAGCCTCTGGAGCTCTGTGAGTCGACCAGCCCGTAGTATGCTCGAAATGTCCCGACTTGGCAGCGTCTTTTTGATCAAACAGGCTAGCATGGATTTGTGTCCCGATGGTGTTCGGTCCATCATGGAATCTCCAAAACCTGGTTCGTATTGTGCCCCGAATGTTGCCGTTTCTTGACTGATGTCCCGTTTTGATATAGTCATACCAAGGCTCAGGGGAGAAAGAGATGTTTCCAGACCATCCAGCCCAACTCCAACTAGGCAGCTCCGTTGCTCTAGCCAAGTCCCTAGCCACCCTACGAGTTAATTGACCTCGGTGCTCCCACAATAAACATGTGTCAAAGAACGCCATTGGGAGGCCAGACACCAAGGCGCCACTAAGCGGAACGCTCAATAGTAAAGAAATACCCGCAAACCCATGGAGGCAGTCTTCTGGATAGGTAAACTGCTTTTTGTTGAAGTCAGTTAATATTTCATTGAAGAGACCCAAACTTGGGAGGCTTCTTTCCGTGATAAAAGTGCATGGAATGACACCTGACTGTGTTGAGTCGAGATGTGGAGGTAGTTGAACGTGTTCCCGCCAGATTGCAGATGTACACTCCCAACGGACTGAGCCTCCATTGATAACAAGCCTCCTTCTAGAAAAGAAGTATTCCTGGAAGATCCATCCTCGGCTGGCCCAAACCGAATGATTGTCTCCGGGTTCAAAGAGATGTGGTGGCGAATTTGCAACAGGAGTCATCACTATCGTTGTTTTCTCGTCTAAACGATGCATAGTTTGATGTAGTTGTCTTGGAACTGATATCCCCTGGAAGCCGGGTAGTCCACTGTTGGCATGTTCTCCACCGGCAGCAAATATCGTCAAAGAGGCGTTGGCGTAGATCATTGCCATCCTTTTTATTTCCTCCCCTTTCTGTGCCGTGTCATCCTGAACAATACATAGAGTATCAACCCATAGGTATCGCTCTGATAAAAGCTCCACTATACCCATGGCGTCCCTTATGGTTTTGGGGATAGGTGTAGTCAGCGGTCCCGACAACGAACCTTCGTTCTGAAGATGGTTAAGGTTACTCTTAGTCGTTTTGAAAGTCAATTGACCACCCCACACGTAACTAAGGGCGATGTAGGAGCAGTCTTCCGTGGCTGTAACAAGGCATTGACGCTTAATATCTACAAGCCATGTAGGCCTTATGGATGAAAATGCCCTGTTAGGAAATCCTTGACAGAGGCCATCGTGATGAGTATCACATGCAAATTTCCATGAGCCTGCTAGATTTCGGTCAATCCAGCGTGCATGAGGGAGTTTTCCTATGCTTCTTTCCTTCACCGTCTCTGGCCTTTCCATGAGATACAGCGCGGAAGTTTGAACCATAGTGAGTGTTGCTTTGGGATGCATTCTTGGCGTGATAAGAGTAGCCATGTTCAATGGACATTTGTGAACATCCAAGAACATGATCCTACTAGCTATAGCGTGTATTTCATGGGTGGACAGGCTGTGATCCAACCGTAAGGCTGACATGACCAAGTTGTGATGTCGGGTACATCTCGGTTGGGAACACAAGACGTCTATGCCTGACCCGAGTACAGAACCTCCTCGATCATATGGCTCGCACAATGCAAATCTTATCTTTTCGCAAATGTCGCAGGTCATCTATAGACAAATCGTTAAGTCTGGGCTACAAGTAATATTTTGGTTTCATCGTATGGGCTTAGCTTACAGGGTCTATGACATCCTGCTTATTACTTTTCTGACCGTAGACGCCTGATGATACTTCGGTCGCATACGCCCACTCATGTTCATCAAGTTCTTGGCTGGGGTCAAAACCCCGGAAAGCGCTTAGTGTGGGATCCTGACTTGTTTTAGGATACCTTGCACAAGTTACCGGATATAAAGTCGACTTACCATTCTCCTTGAGAAAGAAGCTTCTACTGATGGTTGCGAAGACGAGAAGAGAAGGCGGGGTATTTTGGGAGACTATCTGCGTAAGAGGGGTTGCTGCCTAGGGATCAAGGGAAGAAAAAAGATGATTGGGTTTTAAGAAGCCTGAAAAGGTGTAGTAATCGAATGAGCCCCACTGACCAGGCTGAACGTATAAAACTGGTGAGCAGGTTATAATAACAGACTACTATTTCCACCAGCATTGCCAGACTACCAGCATGGAATATTTCATCTTGTCGTATCGTGCAGACATGAGCAGCTGTAACATTTTGGTGTGGCTCGACGCCCTCCCAATGAATGCGCCCTCGTTACACGATCCCGGCATCAGCCAGTCCACATATACAACGGCGAATACATAAAGGTCACATACGGTAATAACTACGGTAATATCCTAGGATATATCTAATTATTATTTAAAAGCTTTTTATAGTCCCTTATAAAATAGAGAACAATAAATATTAATTAATTTAATTTTAGGTAACTTTCAATTGATAAATATAAACAAGTGTGGCAAGTAAAGCTTAGCAGATATTATTTATTGCAGATCTAATAGCAAAGATAAAGCTTTTACACGCCAAATTCAGCACTAATATTTAAAATAAGGGCGCGGGGATACAGCTATACATATCAGTATATTCTATAATTATATAAGCACGGGTTTTATTATTTAATGCCTAATCCCTTCTTTATGCCAGATTTCCTACACTTACTTTAACGTTTTTACTAACTTGGCCATTTTTTCTACCTGGGCTGGATAGCTAACCTGAAGCCCGCATCTGTATCATAAAATTTTATAGTTCATTTTATTTCAACCGACTAAATTCCTCCGTTGTTTTCAGACCGCAGGGTAATTGTTACCAACCAACTTCCTAGAATAAATGAAAAGTGAAGCAATCCCTTATTTAATTTTAAAGTCAAAGTTGAACGGTTGGTTACGTACTGCTTGCCTAACCTTCAACCTCAAACTCAATTGGGGCAATAGGTCCGAGTTTGATTGGTGGACCGCTTGCATGCTCACAGCTTTCTCTAGCAGCAAATTGACCAGGAGGCGACATTACATCTTCTTTCTTTCCATAGCGCCACCATTCAGCTTCCTCGTCCTCACGCACTTCAAGACGGTACTTATGGCCTGGCAAGAAGGCGCGATGACCTTCAAGTGCAACAGATCGAAGAAACCTATGGGTAATGGTCATAGGCCTTTGTGGCTCCAGGGTAATAAAATAGTCGTCATCACGGCCACCAAGCGCAAAGCTAAACTGTGGTCGTTTTGGACCCTTGGTGCTCTCCAGCTGGAGTGCTGAACCTGTCGTGAGATCTGTACAGATGAAGTTTTTACGTCGCTGCGCAAGTCGAAGGTTAAATATGGTATGCCATGTGAATATGGTGATGGGTTCAGAAGCGTGCGAGGTTGCTGTAATGGCGATAGTGGCACTGGGTGGTGATACAGAGCCTCTCGTAAACTTCGGTGGGTCTATAGATACGCTTACTGATATTGATGGTGGGCTGGCCGTATCATTAGACATCTTGCAGAACAGGGAGGAATAAATGAATGGAAAGTCAGGATGCAAGCTGAAGAAAGGGTGATTCTGAGGGCTGGCCTTCTATGTTATCGAGTGGTGCTAATTTTCCGAGTCAGACCTCCTATGTCCTGAGGTGAGGGTATGACATCATTTGGTTACTGATAAAGATTTGCATAATCATAACCATTCAAATCTATCCCCCGCCCCCGATTTGCATCTGGCGAGGACAATACCAATCTCATTTATCTATAATGATTGAATGTATTTTCTTTTTCAGAAGAGAGACAAATGGTAAAACTGGCAAACTACTGACTCTTAAACCCCCGTGTCAATTGTTTTCGGTAAGATACTAAACAAGCTTATTCGGCAACAGGATATCAGCAGGACATATAACGAGATGTCGTGCTTTATATAAAGCCATTGTGCGATGAGGATTGGCTTGCTATCTAGGCAAGTCAGTTAAAAAGCACAGGATAACAATTCGCCGGACTTCTTCTGGTAATTAATGCGAAGTAATATTTCCATATGATTAAAAGTCCTTATTTCGAAGGAGCCTGAATTTGAGCGATGGACGAGGAAGCAAACAGGGCGGCAGTGACTTGCTCAATTTGTCGGATAACAATCGCCGAACACCATAAAACGCAGACAACGCCGTCTCAGACATTGTTTAATTATTTCCCTGGTGACCCAGTTGCCCCAGTAATTTCTTTCTCCATCGCGTTTTCACCCCGTGGCGTTCGTGGGTTACGATAATCCCTGCCTTCATGATTACCCGCCTCCCGCTTCGTGTAAAGCCCCGTCAGATTGCTAGCGACGCGGGTGTCCTTAGTCTCATCAACTGCTCCAACTCCAGCCGTCGCTCCGCCGGTTCCAAAAGTGCTCTGCAGTTTTGTGCTGATGTTTCCGGTACTGGCACCTCCTGCTCCGATAACTCCATTGGCGCCACGTATCTCAACACTTGGGAGATTTTCTTTCGGTTGCTTGGAAAGGTAGTAGACGCCTGCGCCCAGAAACGTGATGCCTGCGAGGATGGGATACATGGTTTGGCGCTTTCGGGCTTCGATTGCTTTCGACATGATGAATGTGGTGGATTATTACTGAGTTAATAAAAGGTTTGATGAGAGTTGACGCAAGATAACCCGGGTAGTAGTATAAATATTCTTTTGTTATAAATAACGATTAACTTAGCTACTATTATTTTACAACTTTTATATTTTGAGTTGGAACATATCTATGACGGGGTGACTACGGAAGGTGGCGGGCGTAGTGATGTCAATGTGTTTCTCAATGAATGTCTAGGGCCAAACTTTAGTATTTGGCGGGATACAGGAGTGACACATTTTAACCTAATCATGACATCATACATTTCATCAACCCCTTAGAATAGCTTGTGGATATTTTGTAGAAACAAAGTATATCAATTCGTGGTTAATAGTATGGCATGAAATTGACATATTTATCTTGATCGTACTACAAGACTGGTCAATGTCGAGATGAAGGGCTCTCATGAGAAAACATGTGTGAGATTGAGAGCATAGGGTAGGGGGTCTTGAGCAAGTCATGTGACACTTCAGCATACAGGGAACAGTTCCCAATAAAGTTTTCCTCACTGAGCCAACCACCGCAATTATCCCTAGTCAATCTTCACCTTGCCAAAAATGCTCACATACCACGCAAACCGATTATTTCTCCCTGATGACATAACTCGTATGGTTGTCTTCAACTTGCCTGCTCATGACCTCGCCCAATTGTCTCGGACTTGTAAAGCACTAAACGAGTTCGCCAAATCAAGGTTATGGACTCATCTTGAGTTTCATCATTCAAGCTTTCACGAACAATGTGATAAAAAGCAACCACGTCCTATTATATCCGGATCGGCTCGCTTTTATCACTGGGGCCCAGACAGCCCTGGATATCGGAAATTATGCACGCTTCTTGAGATGCTGCACGGTTTGCTGTCTAGCGACGTAGAGCAGTTCAAGGCCCTTTGTGCCCGTGTAAGGTCGATATGCACTGTTCTCGAAGGAAAGCCGGATTTCTGGCAGCTACAGCCTTACTTTGTTAATCTCGAAACTATTGAGATACACGGCTATGATCAAGAGGCTGCTGAGGCCCCAGCTTTTAATGTGACCGCGGCCCCTTTAGACAAGCTGCGTTTTGTAAAGCTGGCTGGGTATATTCCAACCCCTGCTGTGTCATGGATTTTGGCGTCTGGTAGTACCATCGAACGACTCGAGCTTGAACTGCTAAAAGAAGGTATACCGCTAGCTATGGAACTCGAAGAGATCCTCGCCACCCACCCTGAAGATGTCAATAGCCCTCTTCGGGACGACCTTGGAGGGGACGGAGATGGGTGGGCATCTATACCGCGACCACTGTCTGGGTTCTTACCTCGCGGACCCGATGGCGAGTATCATTTAGCCCTGCCAAAGCTGCGGTACTTATACCTGTGCCAGCCGTCCGATAATAATTTGGATTCGGAAGTGATGCAGAACTACTTTTGGTCGACAAATGCAGAAACCATTGCACATAAGGACTGGGAAAGAATATTGAAGGCTTCTAGCCCAACACTAGAGACGTTGATGCTGGAGCAGAAGATTGGGATAGAGGACACAGACCCAGAATCCGAGCGCGAGCATCAATTCATCAGAAGTGACAAGGATGGCCTTCGAAGCGAAAGGCTAATAAATGTTATCGAGGGTGTCTTGCAAAGAGAGTTATTCCCTGTATTGAAATCTGTGCAGTTAAAAGGAATAGCAGTGGGCCCAAATACTCCAGGTGGAAGATTCTTAGAACTCCTTAAGGGCATGAATATTAGGTGTGAAGCTAGGCTAGGCGATAGCTGCACGTTTGATGCGGGTGAGGGAAATATGATGCTCGATGATTGGGAGATATATGGAGGGGTAGATAACAATCCTGAAGGGGAGGAACTGTTAGCTACTGTGTAATTGTTGGCTTTTCAATAAAGCAATTACTAAATCAAACATATATACAAGACCCAATTTAAGACAATTTAAAGAGAGAGTAGTTTATTAAGAGAAATTAAAATACATATAACTGCCTTTGAAAGAGGAGAGCGATCAAGGATATTTCATTCCCATGGCAGTGCTTGTCTCAATCTTTAATATTATTGAAGTAAAACTCCAACCCTTTAACAATTGAAGGCTGTTAGTATTGTATTTGACACTCCATATACTACTATCTTAACCTACGCCAACCCTTCAACGCCGACTTATATCCTGGACCTTGTGGTATGATTGCACCACCGCCGGCTATTATCTCGAGTGACTGTTTGCTCTTCAATGAGGGAGATGTCTTCTTCCTCCCCAGCAGCCCAGCAGTTAACACTGACCATGTCCCCCATTACCCATTCAGTGCTTTCGGTGCTTGACGCGCACCACAATGCCTTCTTGACGAGCAAAAAAGGTGTTCCTAGTATGCCATTGAGTCTTGTTCTGGTCGAAGAACTCAAACCGAAAGTTGCGGATAAGCTGAGGAGACAGCTTATGCAACTCAATGAGGGCAATGTTCTTGCCCAAACATGTACGAGTGCCACCACCGAAAGCCATCATATACTTGTCCATGTAATTGGCACGAGCTGTATTCAGCCACCGGCCAGGGTTGAAGCTGTTCGCGTCTTGTCCAAAAACCTTCTTGTCGAAATGCATCACGGCGGCGTTGATACCAACAACGTAACCTCCAGGGATGAATTGATCGCAGATAGTCAGGCCCTCCGGGGGTACAGTTCGAGGCAGAGCTACTCCGAAGATTAGATTAATATTTCTCACCTAGAATCGGCATCGGTTGTTACTTACAAAGCTGTGCGCCGGGCCAGATACGAAGAGCTTCTTTGATGCATGCGCAGAGATAAGGGAGCTGGCTGGCTTGCTTATAACTTGCAGGCATACTCAAGCGACCATCATCAACTGCTTGATCGATTTCCTTCTCAAGGCGGCTGTAAGCTTCGGGGTTGTGCATAAGATGGTAGAACAACGAGCGGAAAGCAATGGCGGTGGTATCACTACCGGCAAAGAGCGCACCATAAGACTCCTGCTCGACATCTCCCCAGCGGTAGTCCATCTTTTCTCCGTTCTTTTCGTAGATGTCAAAGATCTGTTGCGTCATGTCGGTTCTAGGGGCTTCAAGACGCGAGGCGTAGGCTTCTTCCATAAGTCGTGAAGAGGATTCACCAATGTTTTCACTAAGTCAATTCATCAGTAACTATATCCATGATCTAGTCACGTTGTATGCTTTGACGTACACTCCCTTTCTAATTTCTTTACCAGCAGACGAAAGCATAGTCCCTAGACCGATGAATGGCCGGAGAAGTGGCGGCGCAACACCCATCAAGCACACAAAAGGAATCATCTTGTCCAGGGACTTGATCCAGTCATTTTGATCTTTGCCTTCGTCAAGAAATCCGAACGCACGTCCATAGAAGAGCTCACCGATGATGTCGAAAGTGTACCTAGAAAACATGAGGAATATTCTGTCAGTCAGCGGGGTTAATCTACTCACCAGTGAAGCCACTCGCCAATATCACAAGGTTTACCAGAGTCTGCGAACTGGCCCAGCCGCTCTGTGAGAAGATCACTGCACGAGTCAATGTACTCCTCTGATTTGGCCACGTTGGTCATTGAGTAGATATTGCTAGTGATCCTGCGCCTCTGGCCGTGCTTCTTGTCACTCTTGCATGAAAAGACGTCACCGTGGGGGCTGAAGCCGGTTGTGTTATAGGGCTCATAGAATTGCGCTTTGTCCAAAGCGTTGGAGAAACGGTAGATGGTGGTAAAAGCCTCGGGGCTTCCAAGGGCGTCAGTAAGTAGTCTCATATGTTTTGGGTTATCTGGAGACTTACTCGGAACATGAAATTTCATTTGGAGCGATGCGAATAAGCGGACCGTACGTGGCATGGAGAGCTCTTTCATCCTTCTCAACATCCTCTGTCCAGATCTTGCGCAAATACCACAGTCGTGAGAATCTTGCAAGGTAAGGACCGGGAATTTTGCTCAAAGGATGGAAGGTGAGTGTGTAGAAGATCCAGCCCAGCAAGTAAATGGCTGGCAAGGCTCCTAGGAGCCAGACGTTGGTGAATGCAAGATTCAATAACATCTTAATGTTCTCCAGTGGCGAGATAATAAGAATAGGGATGGTGAAAGAGGAAGAAAAAGGTAGGTTGGAGATTTACATTTTGATTTTTGTAGTCGTATAGACTTTTGGACACACCATTGGACTCTTGGAGTGGGCGAACAGTGGTATATGGAGAGAATGAAAATTATCCACTTTGGCCTGACCCCTGACAATTTGACACAGATTCCGTCATTGAGATCGAAGCGAACCCGCGGCTCCACTAACGTTGGGCTATTATTGGATCATTCGATTTGAGGCTACGATCGGTCTTCGCGTGGAATTTACAATTGCCGCTGAGTCAGCCAGAAGTGGATGCCCTCTAATGATCCGAAGTTTCGGTCTGAGAAACCATAACCAAGAGTAGTTAATACAAAGCAAGAAAGCAAAGACCCTTTGTCAAGTCCCGACTCAAACCCCAATCAGTCCACTGCGATTGGCGCCGCTTGTAATGCTATGCGGTAGTCTCGGCACTTAAGCGTTATACACATTTTGCTTGAATATTTGTGCAGGGTCGGGGTGCCAGTATCACGGGAGTTTTGTCATACATACCCCGATACCCTACCCTATCTTCTCTTGAGTTTTCATGAACACGTTATTATACAGTTCCCTGTGATTATTAACAATAGGCTATTGGGCCTGGTGTTATGATTAAGTGTAAAAGCTCCAAGTAAGCTTGGATGTTTTATGGCTTGTATCCAAAGCTACGGGTCGTAAGTTTCTTATTGCCAGGTACGACTTCAAAAGGGTTACTATTGGATCAAACAATATAATAACCCTCCCTGTAGTATTTAAACTAACAACCGAGAAATAATTAAGCTGCTACACGTGTCGCCAGTATGATATAGGTACTTTGATATTTAAATTAAGTACTTTAAGGTAACAATACAGTACTCGCCAAAGCTCTTCTATAGTCTTGAAACCTCTTGAAGACGGGTTGGTTCTAAGAGTCACTCAGACCTGAGAATTTACAGACACTCGGAGGGTCGCAGTTGTCCCTATACATATGTCCTTCTTCACGTGGTCAACTATAGCAGATTCTTAACGAACAACCCAACCTACCCACTTCATAATCACACAACAAGGCCCTTAAGATCCCACAACACTTCGCTATTGGGTTTCAATCCTCGTAGAACGTTTCTTGGACGATGACTGATATTGGCCTGCACAACATGGTGCAAACCGCTACAAATACTTTAGGTCTGGTTGGCTGTAATCTCGAGCTTCAGTGCACTTTTACGTATTCAGGCAGTCTGAAAGAAGCTTAAATTATCCATCCTTCTCCTTCTGGCGCCTGATCAATAAGTCATTTCCACACTTCGAAATATTATGTGAGTTGTTACTTCCATAGAATTCGCGGACTTTACGAAGCCTCCGAAAAAGGCCTGTTCTAGCTGACGATCATTACCAAGATATGAGCGATAGTATCCACTACGTACGTCTCGGTGGGTTACTTTATACCCGAGCCCGCAGTGATATTGTTACATCCAGATCAACAGTTGTAGGTTTTATTAATATAAAAGGCGCGGTTGAGACAACTTTTTAGTCTTGCCAGAAGAGAAAGCATCCTCATCAATACTCACATTTTCACCATGCCTGACACTAAGAACCAATTCGAAGGAACGCCTACCGTCCGTCGATATCCCCCCAGTGGTATCAACATACTTGTTGCGGGTGCTGGACTCGGTGGACTTAGCTTTGCCATCGAAGCACATCGAAAAGGGCACGATGTCTGTGTCATTGACCGCCGTCCTCACTTTAATGACTATGGTAAGACCTTCCAGACCAACTTACCTGCATAGAAAGGCTCATAATATTCGCAGGAGATTTCATTGCGCTTCAAGGCTCTGCATTGAAAACACCCAAGTCATGGCCGGGGTTTCTCGAAGCTTGTCAAAGGGAGAAGATCCCCCAAGTTGGAAAGATGTGTACCCACGATGGCCAATTTATCGGTAATGTTACGTTTGGCTTGTCCACTCTTCGTTCTAGCCTTCATCGTCTTCTTTACCACTATGCAATGCACCTGGGTATCGAAATCCGTCTCAGCGCCCGGGTAGTGGACTACTTCGAGGGTCCTGACAAGGGCGGAGTTGTCCTCGAAGATGGATCTGAGCTCACCGCCGATCTTGTGGTGGCTGCTGACGGTGTAGGCTCTCGATCAGGGGGTTTGATCAAGGGTGAACGTGATCAGCCAACGAGCTCGGGTTTTGCTATGATCCGCGCAACCTATCCAGCGGAGAGAGTCAGTCAAAATCCTCATCTTCAAGAGTTCCTCGAGGATCGTTCCTCCGCCAAAGGTGTGGTGGGAGCAGGTGCACACGTAATCACCGGGTGTAGCGGCGACAACGTGTCGTGGATGCTCACGCACAAGGTATGTTCGCCAATACAATAAATGAGATAGACGCTGATTCCAATGTGTCAAAAGGACAATGACCCTAACGGGAATGAACGTGCACCCACAGTCGATCCACGAGTGGCGTTGAAGTATGTTCAAGGATGGGTCCCTTGGCTCAATGAATTGATCAAAAATACTCCTGATATGGGAGCCGTCGACTACAAGCTTTTGTGGCGCGATCCTTCTCCTACATGGGCTTCTAAGCACGCCAGAGTTGTCCAAATTGGAGATGCAGCCCACGCTTTTCTCCCGACTTCGGCTGCCGGCGCAACCATGGCAATGGAAGACGGCTTTTCTCTAGCTACATGTTTGCAGCTTGGTGGCAAGAGTAACGTGGCTTTGGCTGTGAAGATCCACAATGAGTTGAGGTATGTTGAATGCCCGTTATCAATGGATTTGCTAACACTTCCGATACAGATTCAAAAGGGTTACTTGCGCACAGAAAACGGGTTTTAAAAACCGCCAGCTGTACCATGAGTCCACTTTCAAGCCAGCGGAGGAGGGCACGTGTCCGGTATTTCCCATGACCAGCTCGTGGATCTATCAGCACGATCCTGAGCAGTATGCTTACGAGATGTATGGTAAATGTGCCAACCATCTCCTTTCCGACAGTCCGTTTGACAACACAAACTATCCTCCGGGTCATCAATTCAAGACCTGGACCGTCAAGGAGATGCGTGAGGTGGCTGAGCGTGGAGAGAACATCATCGATGATGGTGACTGGTCTTAAGTTATCAGCCCTGGCTGGAACTGAACAGACTTTGTTATGTATGTAACTAGGGTTAACTATGTATTAGTCACTTAGAGGTATTAGGTTTTATGTTTTTGAATAGTTTATACTTTACTGAAAGGTACTGGCCTTTAAAGGTAAAGCTTTTCGGCAGTGATAATATCTATGAATAATAGGAAGCGATTACTATATTACTTCTCTAGCTTCTTGTCTAGCTTTAAATTAATAGCTCTAAAGCTAGAAGTAGTTTGAAGTAGATTAAATACCACAATTATAATTATACTGTATTGTAAGTTAGTTATTACCTTGTGTAGGTAATTTGAGGAAAATACTATATAGATAAATAAATACTTTCTATACCCAACGGGGTTAGGTAGTGACATAAGCATACCTTTAAATTACATGCTCAAGTCTACTCAGCACTACGATATGAGTCTAGAATGAAGTCAATAAACGTGTATGTATTCTTTATAGTTACAACTGTGTGAAACCTGACCAAAACAGTAATTAGGGATGGATCAAACTCTGTAAGATTATTACAAGATACATAGTTGGGCAGAAGAATCGTAGAAGTATGGATTAGTTATATATTATAACTATTTAGTATGATTATGGATGATACGCGCTGGGTTCAGAGGGTGTATATAACTATTGCCCTATTTGATGTTGGTAACCTCTAAGCTGGGGACCTTAGAGTACGTCGTAAAAAGAACGGGGGATCAGCTCCGAGACTGACTCCATAAGCACGTATGCGCCATGTAAGAGGCTCAAGCCACAGAAAGCGACATCCCGGTCCAATCCTGTTTTATTCAATCGAATATGGCGTGTATCTGGCCTTGATAAGCTGTACGGAGAGTTTGCTCAAGAATGATGAAGGCGCAATGACCACTGGCTGATGTCACAAACCCCATCGTCATGATCTCCTCAGCAGACATGAACATGACGCACTCCATTTAGTTAACATTTCAAAGCATGTGAACACATCGCACTTCCTCTTTAAAAGCAAATAATATCCGCCGGTAAAAGAATTATGTAGGTGGGCTTGTTAACCTAGAAACCCAACTCTAACCCAGTCTTTTATACAAGTACTCATCTTTAATCTATACCATCATGAGTGCACCAGCTGTTATTATTATGCCTGTCCAGGCCAACGGTGCCGACAACACTCAACAAGACCATACGAAGTGTAAGTCCTGATAGATCAATAGAAAATACCATCCGTTAAGCTAATTGCTTACGCCGTCTTTATATAGTGGCTTCCGCGATCCAGCAAACCCTCCAAGAAAACGGCCATTCAAACGACCATAACCAGAGAGGACCACTAAAGGAGCTCATAGGTAAGATTTCGATGCAAAAAAATACTGTCAAGACAAGAGAGTATTACGCTAACAAATTCGGTTTAACAGCACACCAAGACAGTCTTTACAAGTACATTAATGTATGTTTTTGGCATCCACTTACTAACTGTTAACCTGGTTGCTTACATAGATTTGCAGTGGGAGGATCCAGCCCGTACCCTCGGGTCATACCTCGTTGCTCTAAGCATCCTGATTGGAACACACTACCTCCCTCTTACCCAGATAGCGGTAAAAGGTGGAGCGGTTATCTTTGGAGGTAAGCAATTTGATCACTGCACTGAACTCTGGAGATGAATATACATTAACTCTGACCTATCAGTAATTTCTTTCGCTGAATTCGTCAGCCGGAAAATCGGCCCCAACACCTTTCTCTCTCGTCTTCGACCCAAGGAGTACAAAACAATCCCCGAGCCCGTCCTCAATGCCACATTAAGGGATATTCATGACTTTATCCAGTATGCTGTCGTTCAAGTGCAAAAGATTGTCTTTGGACAAGACCTGGGCAAAACCTTTGCCGTATGTTATAATTCGAGGCATTACTCACTGTTGTTGACAAAACTTTGAACTGACATTCAAACAGGTTTTCCTCGGCTTCACCGCCTTGTTCTGGCTCATGAAAGTTGCAACTCCGTTCTCGCTAGCCGTGCTGAGCCTGAGCTCGCTTTATGTGGCACCCCTTATCAACTCGTCTCAGGGACGGGCTATGGCCCAGAATGCAGCAGCCCAGGGTAAAGAATTGGCTAGTGCGACCGCTGAGAAAGGAAACTTACTTGCTGAAGATAGCAAAGCGAAGGCAATGGAGTTATCTTCCAAGGCCCGCGAGACCACTGGGGGTGTGCAACAGCGGGTTAAGGGCATGGCTCAAAACGGAAAGCAAACTGTCAATGAGCTTTCTAACCAGGCCAATGAGCGTGCCGCAGATGTATCTCGTACCTTTGCTGAAAATGGTGAAAACCTGAGGGATATAGGCGTCGATGCCATCCGCAAGGCTCCAAGCACCGCAGAGGGGAGTTCGGGTGACGCGGAGCAGTATACTCATCGATCCGCCCCAAGCACCCTTGATAGGGGCCATGCTGATTACAGGTACGACACTCGTGGGGGAGAAAACAATACCTCGCAATTTTCGACTAGTGTTTATGACACCCCGAGGCAAATGGCGACTGATAGTAACATCTCCGACAAACCCCACTATTCTAATACTGCCTTGGAGAATCAGGATGGGATGGTAAATTCCATCTGAAACTAAACTATATGCTGGAAGATTGGTCTGTTCCGCATATACACCCAAGTACTAGGTAGCAAATGATGTAGCTGCAGAGGATATTGAATAGGCTTTATATACTATTACTGCCTGAGGCCTTGACCAGGATATAATGACTCGTGAATGGGACCATTCTGCAAACTTGTTTAGCACAACCGATTTTAGCTTAGCACGTCCTATACCCGATTAGGGAGACACTAAGTCTTACAGTCTCCCAAACGGAAAAGCCAAAAAGTTCAAGTTAAAAAAGAAGGATGAGAAAATTCTAACGTCATAGTTAGAACATCAGACATACACTAATGCGAGGGAGGGGCTGGTACGATTTCCCCTCAAATTTTGAACGGCTTATCCTCACAAGCATCGAAGCGGGCATTACCTTGTAACTGTGAGAGACATCGTATTAGCGACAACTCTGCTTGCAAATTACCAATGGATACGGCCACCAATAGGCTCGATGCCAACGCCCCCACGATGAACGATATCCTCGATTTCTTGCCCGTCCCTACGCTTGTGGTCTCATCGTCGTATCGCATACAGAGAGCCTCAACTGGCTTACTAGTGGCGTGGGGTCGCAGTCGTGAAAAGCTTATCGATCAAGACCTCTTTATTGCTCTTTATCAGGGCTCGCCGACCGAAAGATTCGATCGCATTCCCTTCGTCCACGCCATCGAGACGGCTATTGCGGCTCGGAATCTCCGTCTGTGCCATGCGGCCTATGTTGCGAACGGTATTTCTTGGACTGCGCGCATTACTCCTGTCCACAGAGAAGACGAACTGCAGTGCCTAATCTTGGAATGGGAGAAGGCCGTAACCCACACCACAGTTGCCGATGGTGGAATAACACAGAGCTGGCTGCCTACTGATGACGCCTTCCGCATCCTCGTCCAAGCTGTTAAGGATTATGCCATCTTCCTACTCGATGCCCGCGGAAATATAATGACCTGGAATACCGGAGCAGAGCTAAACAAGGGTTATAAGAAGGAAGAAATCATCGGCAAGCACTTCTCAACTTTCTATGGCAAGGAAGATATCCAGTCTAGGAAGCCCGAGAGAGAACTCGAGATTTGCTTGCGTGAGGGCAGGGTGGAAGATGAGGGCTGGCGCTACCGCAAGGATGGCAGTAGGTTCTGGGCTAACGTGGTCATCACGGCCATCTACAAGGACGATATCCACGTTGGTTTCGGCAAGGTTACCCGAAACCTCACTGAGCGAAAAGAGGCAGAATTGCGGCTGACTGCTGCTTACGAGGAGAGCGCAAAGTTGAAGAATGACTTTCTAGCAAACATGAGTCACGAGATCCGTACCCCGATGCATGGTGTGCTCTCTGCTTGCTCCCTACTTCAAGACAGTCACCTAACGGAGGACCAGCGGGAAACAGCCAATATAATCCAAGAGTCTGGCCAAGTCCTGCTGCGGATTATTAATGATATCCTCGACTACTCTAAGATTGCAGTAGGCAGTTTTCCGATTCAGAATGACAGGCTTAATATCGCAAAGGTGGTCACATCGGTTGTGCGTACTATGCAGACCACTGTACAACCGGGAGTATCCCTGAGACTGATCCTGTCACCAAACTTGCCAGAGTGGGCAGGAGGGGATCCTTTGAGGTGCCGCCAAGTCGTTGAGAACATTGTCAACAATGCCGTAAAGTTTACCGAGAAGGGGTACATTTTGGTGAGCGTATCACTACTCGAGGAAAACACGGCTACTCATACGATCCTGACTGAGGTCTGTGACACTGGACATGGTGTGACAGAGGATGACGCAGGGAAACTGTTCATGCCGTTCACGCAACTTGATACTACATATCAGAAACGTCGCCCAGGGACTGGACTCGGATTATCCATCGCAAAATCACTCACTGAGCTATTGGGTGGGAGTATTGGATACAAACCTAACCCAGAACGGCTGGGCAGTATCTTTTGGTTCTCGTTCAAGCTTAAGAAGTTCAACGGCCTTCAGCAGGCCCAAAGTGTCGGCGCTCTGTCAGATTCTTGCAGCGAACTGCCGCAACAGGTGGTTTCATATGGCGAGGATCTTGCAGCGCAGCTGACACAGTTGGCGAAGATCTCACGGACGAAGCGGATCCTTGCCGCCGAGGACAATATCATCAACCAAAAAGTCCTGGTCGGAATGCTGCATGGATTTGGATTCCAGCACATCACCGTTGTCTCGGACGGTGCCCAGGCCGTCTCATCACTGTCTGCGGCGGCCGATGCCTTTGACTTAATACTCATGGATATCAGTATGCCGGTCATGAATGGTTATGAGGCGACGGTTCAGATGCGAAATAGTGGCGTATGTCTACCTATAATCGCCATGACCGCATATGCGCTAAAAGGAGATATGGAGCGCTGTTTGGAAAAAGGCATGAATGACTACATCACAAAACCAATGAATAGACAACTACTCATGAAGAAGTTGCTGAAGTGGCTTATATGTCCGGGCGATATACTACAGGCTATCACTCCCGTTGTAGAGCGGTAGGGATTCTCGGCTTACTAGCATTTGTATTATCAATAATATAAACATCTATCATAAAATATTTATAGACTACATTTTTTAATAAAAGACGTATTACCCCTCTAATCTTCTTTTAATATTAGGTTGAAGTAAATACTTTCAATAATTTAGTAAATAATACATATGAGTTACTCCTCTAAATTTGGCCAGGCTTATAGAACTTTATAATATATACTTCAATTAGATAAAATAGGTAATTAAAAAAAATAAGAAGTACATATACTCAAATAGCTTATTAAATAATTTACTTAATTAGTTATTTCTTTATTTTCTTCAAGTAGTATTTATTCTAATATCTTAAACAAAATATTTCTTATTGCTTCCTTAGACAGAGCTATGGTAAGCACGGACTTACTGAGAATGCATTTCCTGTTTGCCTTCATTCCATTCCTATTATTAAATTCCCACCGCATTAAGCGCCTGTAAGCTCCCAGCAAGTGGCAGGCTCTCTTAATGTTTTCAGTATTAAAAGTCTTTACAGGTCCCCGCGAGATATTGGGAATCGCAGTGATTCTTTACTTTAAGAGCCACACCGCACCCGTAAAATATTCTACGGATGGTGGAGTAGGTACTTTCTTTTTGCTTCCGCATTTGATTTTATCAATCTCAGGCTTTCCAAATTTCTCAGCGATATTAACAACAAGTGTAGTGAGTACAGCCTTAAGCTAGAGGATTGGCCCAGGAATTAAGACGCCCGTCATAATAGTAAAGCATAATCCATGAGAAATCTCACTAAGTTCATTACGGGTTTCGGTCTGAATTAGGTTTGCTCGTCGGCAAGCGTTCCCAGCTGTGCGCGATATATTTCAGAGGTCAGATGAAATTGCCTCTGGCAAGGTATGAGTTAAGATTATAGTTTCTCAATAAGGAGATTATTCTTAACACGTTTCCTGTAGTATTGAGTCGTTTAGTGGGAATCAAGAGCCTAACTGTAATGCACTGGTTGGCCAGAATGCGCTTCTGACTCGTATTGGAAGTGGGCTAATTCTTAGCCAAGTTAGCCAGGGGCTATTGATATTTAGGAAGATCTTGTAACTCATTGCCTCCCACTAAAAAGGCTCCCCCCCTTGCATTACTTTGCTATCGCGATTGAGAAGCTTGTTCTGGACTATCGAGATTAGCGGATGTTCCGACTAATCAGAAGCTAAGATCCCCGCTCTCGGTGACCACCTTTAATTTCCACATTTACGATCGATGCTGGTATTCTGTGTCTCGGCATTTTTAAGCGGCCATTTCGAGGTGAACTTCTGGTTTGGCACTTCCTCTTCACCCTCTGGAACCAGTCGCGACCTTCAGACTTTGTGATCCGAGCTGTCCTGACCAATGGTTACTACAACACTGGAGCCACTACGTCTTTTTGACTTACATGGGATATGCGCCACAAAGATGTGGGCGATTATGTCTGGTCCCCTGAGTGAGAAGGCCTTGCAGCTGAGCAAAAGTTAGATATATCTTAGAGGCCCTTGTGTTTGCGTGTTTATATAATATGATGTTTCATCCGCCACTGCCAAGTCTGTTTGTTCGTCAAACCCGTTATGTTCGCCATGAGGGGACACCCTACCCTTTTCGCCATCTGGGCTCTGCTCTTGTCTCCTAGTTTAAGTATTAACATTATTACTACGAATGATGGGACTGTGCTGGCAAACGCTGCGATCTCTGGCCCAGGCATCACGGTTGTCTCAGGGTCGTTTACTGGAAATTCGGCGGCCGCTGGGACATTCACTAATGGCCCTTTTGGAATCGGAAGTGGCATAATTCTCACGTCCGGTTCCGCAGCTGGCGCTTTACCAGGAGGCGATACCCAAATCGCAAATGGTGCATCAGGCTCCGGTGATTACTGTGGTGCCAATACTTATGATGGGGCCATTCTTATTGTTAACCTTGATATCGACACTGGTTACAATGGAGTTCTCGTCCAGCTTATCATAGCTTCTGCAGAGGATGGGTGAGTATACACAACGTATTTTTAGGTATACCATAACAAACGGGCTGACAAAAGCCAGCGAATCAGCAGATCCTGTCGGGGTCTTCCTAGACGGTACGCAATATGCAAATGATGCCAACGGACAACGACTCACTGCCATCTCAAGTTACGTGCGGCCGCCCGTCGGTATCACACCACCGAACAGTGACACTTCATATGATGATTCGTCGCCGCCTCTACTCTTTGGGATCACTGCTAGCCAGGGGTCGCATGAACTGGTGCTTGCTATATGTGACTTTGCGGATAGATCCTTCGACTCGGGTCTTATGATCAACGTCCAAGGCTGCACTGACTGTAACCAGCCTATCAAGATCAACTATGTCACCACAACAACAACAGTTAGCGCAAATGTAGCTACGAGTACCACATCAACCATCCAGGCCTCCGGAACGGTTTCAGGAACCTTTATTGTTACTGTTCAAGCAGAAGAAACCACAACCACTATAGCAGAAGAGACCACAACCACTACAGCAGAAGAAACCACAACTACCACGGCGGAAGAAACCACCACCACCACCGCAGAAGATATCACAACCACCACCGCAGAGTTGACGACGACGACAACCGAGGCTGATACCACAACAACTGCTGAAGTGGAATCGACAACGGCAACCGAGGCTACAACAGCTACTGAATCGGAAGCCACGACCACAACTGAGGCTGATACTACTACAACAACTGCTGAAGTAGAAGCGACAACGACCACAGATGCTAAAACTACCACGACCGATCAGGGGCAACCGTCGACGACTACCGAGACTAGTACTGTAACAACTACTGAACTTGACGCAACAACGACGACTCAGTCCGACACTGAAACTACAACTATGGATGTGTCTACGACGATGACTTCAGCAACAGATACAAAAGAGACGAAGTCCAAAACGACTGCCGCTACGACAAATCCGACAGTTTCCAGCATAAACACCACTGAGCAGCCTGCATCTATCCCTACCACCACCGCCACGGAGACAATTCCCCGTACTGAAGAGTCAACCAGCACGTCCCTCGATGTCTCCAGCCTGACACCGACCTCCATTGAGACTCGATCTCCTGTTGTTGACAGTACCACTTCATCTGTAACAATGCAAAGTGTCGTGACCACCACTACTGCAACTACCCCCGATGAGACAGAGTCCCGAACCAAGTCTAGCTCTAGTGAAGAAGTCAGCGAAGCCACGACCTCTATAGGCCCACTAACCTCGACTATCACAAGTATGGAAGTGTCACGAGTTCCCATCTCACCTTCTTCTACTATTGAACAGACTGCATCACAGTCGTCGCTCGTAGCAAGGAATCTCGAGACCATTGGCCGGTATGTCTATGCGGGCTGTTTAGGGTCCATCGCGAGCTATCCAAGCTTCAGTGAGGTGGCAACAGATCCAGACATGACCACCGAGAGATGTGTCAGTTTGGCTGCCGGCAGCAATTACATTGGTATATATGATCGGTACGTTTCCCTAAAGCTCCTAGATCGCTGAAACTAACTATGGTTTAGATCCTGCTATGCGGCAGATTCTCTCTCTGGAGCCGACTTGGTCCCGAATGCAAGATGCGACCTCTTGTGCCCTGGAAATCCTACGCTGTTCTGTGGAGGTGATGTTGGCGAGAGTCAACGTCGCCGCGCTATATCTTCCAGTCGCCTCTTGACGCTGTATGCAAAGCAGGCGGACGTATCCGTCTCTTCGGGGCTCTCTTCGGCGACAGACGAAATTACCTCTTCGGGGCCTGGCATTACATCTCTTTCACTTAACCCTACCGTTGCTACTGAAACAGGCATTACACTGTCGTCGAAGCCGGCTATCATCATCCCCACATCAACTGAAGATCGCCTGCCCTTGACATACCCCACCATTGGAACGGTGCATTTGACCAAGGGATACAATTACACGCGTACTGCAGCAGCAAACACAGTGACCACGGTCACATATATTACCATGCATCCAAACAACCCAGGATATCTGATTACTACGCAGGTCCCTGTCACGCTCGGATATACCCCTTGCAATTGTGATCATCAGGTATACCCACCAGTTGACATGACCACTATTGTTACCGCGTGCCATGGCTGTGGCGCCAATGGGGAGAACAGTGTCACTCTGACAGTTCCTACTGCTGCTTGTGAGGCTGGTGGTGTGAAGCCTGGATATTCACATGAAGTCTCCTACTCGGTGCACAAGACTATGGAGCACGAGATATACTCCGAGATCAACAGCTTCGCCGGACCGAAGCCAACCCAGGGACAACATTCAGAGCCCTTGCCAGTTCATGAATCACCCAAGCCCGTTGGCCAGGACTCACCCAAGCCGAATGGTCAAGGCAAGCCCCAGCCATCAAGTGCCAATGCTCCCCGACCAGTGAACACTGTGCCTGATGCCAGCCCTGTGATTGAGCCCCCTCGGCCATTACCCACCAGTGCTTATCAGGTCCCCGCCTCAAAGGCTTGGACGACGGAGCAGCATGCTCCTAGTCAGATACACAAGCCAGAGGCTACCCAGGTCTCCTATCCTGCAGCACCTTGGGATGGGCAAAGTACATCTACACCCGTGGTTGTGGCTTCAGCGACTAGGCATTACCTGACGCCGTGGACAGTTGCTGGTCTTGTTTTCAGTGTAGCATTCCTTTTAGCATAAGACACATTGAGCTACCTGTCTTGGTGGATTTCCTATGTGCTGGACTTACGTCCTCATTTTTGATGAATTAGTTTAGTATTGGATATAAGTGGAATCGTCCTCATTCTTTCGCAGATGGATGTTCTAATTCTCCAAGCCAGGTTCAACCCTAATAATACAAATGCGAATTATATTAGTTAATAGCATATACAGTAAAGTCGTATTGTTATTAATATTCCTTAGCTTAGGATTCTCTTCTATTAGTATCTAATTCAAAAATGTACATTATGTTATTCATTTCGTTTAGGTATATAAGCCTCGCAATGCACCCCTCTAGTATTGACATACTTATCTTACTTTTGTTGTCCTAGTAACGTAGCAAGATAGCTTTCCACCAAAGTTCCTTCAATGAACGAGAGAATAATGAGGACTGGAAAATCTTCGCTAGTCCAACTCGCTCATCCACACGACCCTTACTTCTAACCGTCCATCGGAGCATCAAAACGTGAAAGCAATACCACTCCGCCTGCTGCCTTTCCTCAGTCCGCGTTGGGTCCAGCAGCAACGCAAATGGTCAATAAAGCCTGCTCGTATACCTGATCCATCTAATGAAACTGTTGTTCCCAGTCTTGAGCCGAGTCCTGGATCATGCAAGGGAATCCACCCATAAATATTTCACCAGCCTAAATATAAGTAAGCTTATCCAGCTTTGGAAATTACCGAATTTTATTTCTTTTCATCACTGCATAAAAGGTGCATCTTGCCCTCCAACAAAGTCATGCGACAAATCACGCATCAATGCCAAGGGGAGAACAGGTGATGCCAAGCGCGCTGGACCCATTGTTTGCGAAGCGAAATGAGCTGTGCCGTACCTTTGAGCGATTAACGCGGCTGTTCGTTGTTAAACTTTCCGTGAGAAGATACCAATCGCTGTACTTAAAAGGCACAGTTGGTACCTTGCATCCTTCTCGTGCTTTGCATCCTTTGCACAGTTTACTATCAATTAATCGACGCAGATTATTACTGACAACAGTGCAGAATGCCTACCGCCACGGAATTCTTTGGCTTCACTGCCCTTAACTACGGTCCGCTCACAACTACTTATACCGCTCCAGCGTCATGCGCTACGAAGATAAATTATCCTCTCATCGTCAACGCAACTTCACCCTACCCGATTGTCGCTCTTCCCGTTTGTACGGCAGAGCCCTACGGCGATTGTCTTCCTAGTTATAAAGAATTGGAATCTAGTGACCTGCAAACTTCCACCTTCTTTCAAGGCACTTTGGCATATTATTCCCCAGGTATTGCCTGTCCTGCGGGCTGGGAGACTGTCGGGCTACTGGCCCACGATGAGGGTAGCAAATTCAGCGCGTCAGGTGTTCTGGCGACACCGGCCATGACGTACTCTGGAATGCCTCGAGCGGTTGAGGTTACCGAGTTCTGGAAGAACATATTGGATACATCCGAGACACTTGCATACTGCTGTCCCAGGTAAGAATCTAATCTACATAGACTTTGCGTTAAAAGGTCTACTAACTAATGGACGAAGTGGTTATCAAGGTGACGAGCGCCGAGGTTGTATGTCTACACTTGGCCCAGTTGCCTCTTACACGTACTCGAAGCACTGTTCAATGTATGGTCATGGTGACAAATTGACGATTATTTCATCCGTGGAGGGCCTGACATACTCGGAAGGGGTAATATCGCGTTTGGAACCCACTCGGGCCCTGGCTTACACTACGACCATGGTGGACTTGGAAGAAGTTGTTGGAGAGGCTGAAAACGGTTTTGGTGATCTCATGGTTGCGACTTGGGTACCTGTGGTGCCTTTGGTCTACAAGCAGTCAGATATGGAAAAGAAAGAGGAAGACAGCGACGAGAGTGGTACTAGAACCGCAACTGCCACTGGCGAAGGCGGCAACGAGAATGCTGCTTCTAGTCCTCCGAGACAAGGCCTGGTTAGTACACTTGGGTTAATGCTAGGAGTCTTGGTGTGTACGGGTATGCTCTGCTCTTAATAGATAGACTTAATACTCAACTCAAGGCCTTGACTAGATGATTTAGCCTAGGTCTATTTTCTTATACTCCTTGTGAGTAAACCCCCCCCCCCCCCCCCCCCCCCCCCCATATTCAAACCCTTCAAGTACTATTTAATAACCAGCTTGGCCCTGGAAACACTTCGTAACGTCATGTAATTGTTAAGCAGTTACAACACTAAAGCGATCTCTAGAGGCACAAGTCTAGTATCTTTATAATTGATGCTTTTGCCTTTATGTGCTAGGCTTTCCCTGTGCCTGATATCACAAATAAACCATAGGAAATAAAGATTAAGTACATTATGCCATTAATCAAACCAGAAAGGATTAGTCCGAGTAATAAAAGTCATAGTCACCATCATCAATACAATCCCTACAGCTGGTCGGCCAATCATCATCATTACCGTTCCAATACCTATCCAGTACCAAATCGCCGTCTAATAACTTCTGGAAGTCGCAACGCTCCGGCATCATTCTCTCAACAATTTGAGTTGCCTCTGCCTCCTCATTTGCATCTGCGATGATCTTGGTCTTGTCGGGAATAGCTCGGTTTAAATACCCCAACGTCGATGTCAGCCGCGCTTTCCACTCATCTAAGACCCAGTTGCCGTCCCAAGGTTCTGGCTGCTCGATAATAATTCCAAGTTTCAAGAGATTGCTGAAGATCCTGTCCCAGATTTTCGGATTCAAATAGAGGTCCACGTCAGAAGAAAGATCTTCTGTGCGGAAGATCAGAATCATCTTGCGGAAGTGCTCCCTTGTCTCGAGACTGAACAGCTTCTCCAGATATTTTTCTTCGCCTCCAGAGATAATAACCGTGAACGTGGTGCTTCCGTAGAGTACTGGCTTGAGTTCATCTGTAATCTGGCGACACACGAGAAGTATTTCAGGCAAAGCAGTTCGACGACTTGCAGACTTTTTGACATCTTGCAATACTGGCGGCTCGGGAAAGTCCCTGCCATCAGTCTTCGGTATGTCTGATGAAAACTCTTCAGGAATTTCATCATTGTCGTCTTCAGTGTCATAAGTCTCCTGTTTGGGTTGGAATCCATCACCATCTTGAAGGACCTGATAGCGGGAATCTTGACATATAACGATGCGAGAGTTAATTGGGATGCATAACTCATAAATTTGTCGACGAATCTCTCCGGGCAAGGCAAGAAACACACTGTGCTTGGCGGAAGGATAAGTCATCGTGATAATTATGACTTATCAGAAAAGAATTGTGGTTTGGAAAACTCGGGGTGCCTAGAACCTTGTGCAGTAATTTAAAGGTAAAAGAAAATAGATAGAACATCGGGGAATTAGAAGGAAAGCTACGGACGAGATAAGTGTAAATATGGACGTTCATCTACGACGTCATACACGCACAAGGTGGTCGGCCTCCCGCAGTTGATTACCTGCAGCGGCCAAAGATACGTGTTCAGTGATTAGTCAGATCTGTGAATTCTCTTGTCTCCTTCTCATTTTTCCGCTCTATTCCCTCCTCTCCAATAAGGAAAAGTCTATAATATTATCATGGCACAGAAGAAGGTCAAAAGAACACCACCTGCCGTCTCTAGTATTGGATTCAAGTATGCAAGACACCGCTAAAACGAAAACAGGTTCTGCCCGGGCTCGAACCGGGGACCTTGTCGGTGTTCAACACATGGCCGACTCTCGTGATGAGCGTTTTATATTCTGGAAATTAATTCCGTACGACTCATCAACGACAATTTACATATTGACTGTGAACTGTTCAGTTTATATTGATCCATGTGGACTATAATAGGGAGTGAAATACATGGTCAAAAGGCAACCCCTGGGATACTTCAAGGAGACATGGTGTGAAGAGCCTCCTGCTTCAAGAGATCATACCGCCCCTCATCTAGCAATCTCTGGGTAGTGATTCGTTGAGGGTAGTTTCTCATAAACATATCAGTAAAGTGCTTGCCATAGTGTACTCCTTCCTTGGGTTCCTGGCCAGCGTCATAACCAGGAAGGGGCTTGATAGTAGCTTGGAAGCTCGGTTCATGGAAGTAGGCAAAGGCAAACCTCTCCCGATGATTGAGACCAACTTTGTGGGGTGTGGATGGGAGGAACGAGTTGGTAAGATATTGCATCATGTCACCTGTTTTGAGAGCATTAAGTCAATGTCAATCGCTACACGGATGATCGACTGGAACGGACCTGGGAAAACGGTGAACACGTTCTTTGCCGGAGGCACAAACAACCAGCCTTCGTCGTCTTCTTTGAAACCTGCTGCACTTGCTTCCCAGTTCGCGAAGTTATCTCCCTTCTGAGGAGGGCGGACAAGCAGGGCTTTGTCACATCTCGTTAGCAAGTCTGAACTTATCGATATTGTCAGTCAATGTATTGTTCTCACCTCCGACGTCATCAGCAGCTGCAAGAACGAGGAGTCCGTAATCTGTGTGAGAGCCAATCCCACGACCTTCCTTGCCCTTTCCGTTGGTCTTGTTCATGGCAGGGAAGCTATGAAGCTGGTGTCAGTGGTAGATTACTTAATAGTCAAGATAATTGTAAGCACTCACCGAAGGATTCTCATGTGATGCCATCCATCTTTAGTGTAATCGGTGAGAGACCCTTCAGGCACGTCAAGACCTAGTTCGGTGAGCTTCAGGAGCGTCTCGCCACTTTCTCCCAGACTCTTCATGTAGCGCTCCATAGGGTTCTGCATCTCATAGTCGGGCCAAGGGCAACGGCCATGGCACGGCCACTTCGCGACCACTCGGGGCTCGTCAATATCGAGATCCTTAGTGACAGTGAAGATCTCGCTGTAATCGGCGATACCATCAGTGAGCTCCTCACCACTGGCGATGTAGCCCGAGTAAGTCTGACTGTCGATACAGGCAGACTTTTGGGCATAAGGCTTACTAAAAAACCTCTTGCTTGCCAGGTTAGCAGCCTTATACAAACCCTCTTGTTCTGGCTTCATGGCAATTTGCAAAATACCATCTTTCTTCCAGGCATCAATGATTGCCTTTCCCAGCTTTTTGTCTTCTGCGCTGCCAGACACTTTTTCGGGCAAGACAAAAGTCTGCAGATTGCCCACTGTGGCAGCATGCCCAGGGGGAATACCAGAAGCATCTGGAAGACTCTGGGCATGAAGCTGAGCAGCTGCGGTAGCCATGTTGCGGGAGACGACAGGATGGGGGATGGTAGAGGATAAGGCAGCGGTTCTAGTGATAGATCGAGAGGAGGAAAGAAGGCTCATAGTTGCTTGTAATATCTGAGTGTGGGTTTCAAGTTTGTTTGCTGGTGTGTGTAATGGTTTGGACTTGGGAGTATTGAAAGGATTCGGGATTTTTATAGATAATCAGAGTATAGGGTTTCATAAGTCGTCGGATTTTAGAACTCTTTCTTCTTCCTATGATTCCTCGTCCAGTTGTCTATTTGTGATGATATCTGTCTTCCAGTATGTCGATTCCTCGTCTCTGACCAAGACACAATCTTCTTTCGGCGGAGGTTACAGCGGAAGTTCTCCCCGGCACGATCCCTGAGACCAGAGGTGTACATTTACCCTTGTAGATCATACGACTTTTACTTTTGTAAAACCTACAAGAGTCATGCCTTTAGTGTAACTGTAGTAGTAATATTGTATCATTACTAAAAAAGTGTCTAGAAACTTTAAAAGGGCGATATAGCTAAATTGGCCTCCTCTACTCATTCTGTTACTAAGATCTGGTATAGTAAGATCTTTCTCATGATATAGGCTTGTAAAGCGAGAGCTTAAATGATGTTTACTCTGCTTTGACCCCATTAGCGAATCTATAGTGTCCCACTGTAATTGCAGATGAATGAAAAATATAGTAATGAACCATAACTCGGTTAGTAGTGCTTACATCATGCCCGGCTATCTTGGTCGGGTATCTTAGACGGTGTCTTTCCTTGTATATCTTATTTCGGGAAGCCGTGGTATCCGCATACTGGGGACAACGTCGCTCATCATGGACGAATCCAGTCAAGGTAATGTTCCTTGTTAATATGTTCTATTATTGTAGCCCGATAATTGTCGATCCGTCCTAAGGCTTGTTGTAATCCAGTGATAGTAGTCCCATGAATACGAGCAGACCGAGTATACTCGTATTCATAAAACTAACCATGTTTGGAGATACAACCGGGTCAGGTCCGCGCTCAATCAGTTGCCGAACCCTACACGTCCTTGTGGTCACCGCTGGTCCAGCAACTAGTCCTTGTCTAAGTTTGAGATGAAACGTTCTTTTGATCCTAGACGAGGTGCTTCTAAGCCACAAGTGCGGTACCGAGAAATGATAGCGAAGCTATAAAGTTACCGCATGGAATGATATCAGACATTTAATTAGGGAGAAACGCCGGCCTTATAGTAGCAGTGAAATGATTCGAAAGTTAGTATGTTGAGTTTTAGCTAGCGAGTCTATAATCAACCCGAAAGAGGAAATCCTCGAGGTGAACAGGGTAAAAGTGCGTAATTAACGAGCCTCCTTACTCTTTTATCTTAACAATTACTACTAATGTGTAGTAGAGTGATAGTAGAATAAAAACAACTTCTAGAGGCCGATACATAGTTCTTAACATCTTTCTGTTTGATGTGGAGGGGCTGAATGCCCTCCAAGTTCTTAGTAGCTTGCCGTTTTTGGGAGAAGCGGGCCGCCCCGTGCCTTCTTAGCGGTCAAATTAGCTCTAGTACAGAATTGACATAATACCATAAGCGCTGACGAAGTTTGTCAAAGATCTGGCGATCTAATCTCTAGTGTAGTATGCGTTGATATAACTATGTAAATACCCTGGACTACAGTATCCTACCTGATCGCACGTATAAAGTTTCCAAAGGAGGGGTTGACGCGTGGTTTTTTTATTCGGTTAACAGATAGAACTAGATCTATTCAGGTTGATAATCCTCAAACCACCAAGAGACCGCTTTCTAGACAGGGAGTATTCGATCCCTATTTCGACCTGCGACCCACCAGACTCCTGCACTGATGTACGGGTCGATAGACGTTAATATAAGGCTTTAATTCATTACCAAGAGGATAACTAACTAAACGGCATCTGTCAATGGCGGCCACGATGGACAAGATCATACCAAGGGCGGAACAGAAGGCCGGACCAGAAGAACGACAAGGGTGTGTCAAAAGAATTGTTTTATGGGAGGGCATGAATTATCCTGAGAGTAGCGCGCCAGTCGGAACAGTTTAACGGCCAACCGCTCATGATCAAATCTTATCCTCCTGAGTAACTCTAAGTATCTCTTAAGGATGATCGACTATTACATTGGCGCTTGAGCCGAAGGGAGGTGCATTGGAACTCAATCACAGTAGCGCAGTTTTCCTATTATGTTAGTTCCCCGGTTGAAAGAAGGTGACGTGTTAATTGATTGCGGGCTGAAACAGCCCGGTATGTCCACTTTCACGAGTCAGGCCAGGGTATAATCCAATCTCGATCAGCATGTATATGTCGGTAGATTGTCTGGAAGAAACGGTGATGCCTATCACAAAGTATGGAAGAATCGAACGGATGCATACAGGCGATAATGTGACGTTGTGGCAATTAGGGGCTGTGGCGTCTGACAAATGTATTTTGATGCCTGACTACTTCGTACTGTAGGGTTGTTACCCGCCAAGTTTGAAGTTTAAATTGCCTGCCAATACAACCCTACGAGCTAGGATCTGGTCCATAGCCATGGAACCGGTTTCCATGAGGCTAAGCCTTTGATGGAAATAATATGACTCTCCTATATATGCCACCCTGTTTTTTCAACTCGTTAATGGAGAAACCGCCCGTAAGCCAAGATCAAACCCAATTACCTATTATAACATTTAGCGATTCGATAAAATAATATAATCTATTAAATATGCTAAAAAGGAATTTATTCTTTGTGGGAACTGATTTAAAAAAGACTTGTGTAAACTTCTTCCTGGTAATATATGGTGTGCTGCTCTACTACTTATCTTGTATATAGAATAACAGGCTATACTTTTTTAGGACTAACAATACGAAGTCCAAATAGACTCCTGTCGCGATACTTGCCGTGCTCAAAGCTGGACACGCTTATACCCTTACCGACTCTTACAAACCCACCTTCTAGTCCAAATATGCCGTAGAATCTCTACTATAGTTGCACTCTTATTAAAGGAATATTTTAACATGATGAGTGGTCTCTCCTATGGCAACGACTTATTTGAGTCACTGCCGAGTGGGGGTCCTGTTTCCATACCGTCCATATCGCCGAATACTCTGCCTTGTGTAATCTGCACCTCGGGCAGTACAGGGATTTTGAAATGGTGCTTGCATAGCCACCAAGGATTCATATCGTATGCACGCGACGTCGGGCCAGGGCTGGCCATGGAGTGCAATATTCAATTCGCATTATATTCTTTTACCATGTTTATTGTAGAGATACTTACCATTCGTATGCATAATGGCTGAGATCAAGCTAGAGAGATATGGTGTGTATGAACTCGTGGGTAGAAAGCTCTCCAGCGACGAGGAAATGGCCAGGATGCCGCTGAAGCATATAAACGTTATTGTTCGCGGCTGACCATCGATCAAAGGTTCCGTGACGATCTCCAAACTCAAACCGAACGGTAGTAAAAGAAGTTCCTAGACACTTCCTTCAGCAGAGTTTCACTCGGTTTCACCGGCAAGCGACCCACCGTCGCTGTCTTCACTTCTGGTATCCCTTGAATGGTGCATCGATGCTTCTGCCGTTGCATTTACCTCACTGCCATCATTTTCTAAGCTCTCATTATCAATGGCTTCATATTCTCCTTCAGTCTTGTCGTCTTCACCCTCATCGTCATCCTTGCCTTCCGCCAGATCATTTGCGCCCTATTCCCCAACGCTGTTATTGATGTCCGCCTGGTTAGTCCTTAAATTCAGGGTATTCAAGACATCTTTTTTCCAAAATTCACAGTTTCATATTGCACATAGGAGGCCTAACTGCCTCCCACTTCATCGCAGGCCCGTAGCCCTCCTACGCGCACTCAAAGGCATTCAATACAGTCAGAATACAGTGTAGACAAACTTCTTAAACAGTAAACGGTATTTCTTCATCGAGGAAGGATGACGCACGAGGGTGAAGAGATTTGGGGTAGGCTGATATGGCCGGTGTGCTCCTCATTCAATAGAGAATACTCCAACCAATCTTCTACGCTGTTTCCTCGCACCCATCCATTACTCAGCACCGATAAAGTTCACAACAACATCATCCAAATAGCTAATCGGCCAGTCAATAGCAGCCACCATCCTCAACAAACCTTATACAAGATGACTAACTGGCCTCAATCTGCATTAGAAATTTTACAGTTCCCCTCCGGTGCTAGAAGAACAAATTCCTACACCATCCAATGTTTATGTCGACCACAACCACATCATCAGCCACCGAATATCATCTCACTTTCCATCCAGAGATCACACCATGGGAAATCAAACATCTGACGATAACCTTATTGTCCTTGTCATTGGAAAAGGTGGCCGAGAGCATGCGCTGGCTTGGAAACTAAGTCAAGCTGAGTCAGTGCAACACGTCTTTGTCTTTCCTGGGAACGCGGGGACACAAGAGGGCACAGCCAATATTTCTAACCTAGCCGGCGTCTTTACCGATTATCATGCCCTGGCTCAGTGCGCAAAGGAGCTCGAGGTCGGCTTGGTTGTCGTTGGTCCCGACGAGGATGTCGTGAAGGGAATCGACAAGTATTTTCGGAACGGTTAGTCATAGTTTTGTGGTGCAAGTAGTCCTTATCTTTCTTCACTAACAGTGCTTTCTAGTCAACATTCCCTGTTTCGCCCCATCACTCGAAGCTGCTGAGCTCGAAGGCTCCAAAGTCTTTGCCAAAGATTTCATGAAAAGAAACAGCATTCCCACTGCACAACATTGCAGTTTTGACAAGCTAAACGACGCTTTATCATACGTGCATACGGTCGATCATCGAATTGTCATTAAAGCAGACGGCCTTGCAGCGGGCAAGGGTGTCATCCTCCCAGAGACGAAAGAAGAGGCAACAAAGGAGCTCTACAGTATTATGGATGATGGAAAATTCTCAACTGCAGGGACTTCAGTAGTTATCGAGGAATACATGGAAGGAGACGAGATAAGTATTCTAACATTCAGCGACGGAAAGACATTCTACTCGCTTCCTCCGGGTCAAGACCACAAGCGCGCATTCGAAGGCAACAAAGGGCCCAACACTGGGGGTATGGGCGTATACTCGCCTGTACCATTTGTAACCCAAGAAATGCTAGACCACATCGATGCAATTATCCTTAAACCCACTTTCGAAGCGCTCGAGAAAGAAGGTAAGAAGATAAAATTTATTTGGAACGTAAACTGATAAGAGTGGTAAAAGGTCGCCGCTTCATAGGTCTACTCTTCACGGGAGTCATGATTACTCCGTCTGGCCCCAAGGTAATCGAATATAATGTTCGGTTTGGGGATCCTGAGACACAAAGCTCCATGCTACTCATTTCGCCAGACACCGATCTCGCAAAGATCTTGCTGTCATGCACAAACGGAACACTTTCACAAACCACATTAAAACCTCGACCAGGCTTCGCTTGTAATGTCATTGTCGCTTCTGGTGGCTATCCAGGGAAATACGAGACCGGCAAAGCGATTTCATTGAGGTCACCGATCAAAGACGTGGTAATCTTCCACGCCGGGACCCGGAAGGATGAAACAGATGGGACATTGAGAACCGATGGAGGACGTGTCTTTACAGTTGCTGCATATGGAAACACCCTTCAAGAGGCCGTTCGTAAGGCTTATGAGGGTGTTCAATGCGTGGCCTTTGAGTCGATGGTTTTCAGAAAGGATATTGCATCACGGTGCTTGACTAATTGAAAACATATGAAGGTCGGGCACTTGCTCTTCTAATAGCCGTATACTGGAGCTAGCGATTGCGTGGTATGACTGTACCACTTCAGATCTACGGAAAGGGTCTTGGCTCTCACAGCACCCTATCTATCAATTTCCACCGCGGCTGCGTGTGGCGGAGATCTGAATTAAGGTTCACAGAAAGTTTTCAAAAGTAACAGGGGCAATGGAATGACGTTCATTCCACCTGACCACCTCATGGTTTACTCGGTCTAGGCAGTGACTAATGTGGTGTCAAAGGTACAGCCGCTGTAGGACACATTGTGCGATACTATAGCTACTACTCTTAATGAAACTACTCTCCTTCCTCAGAGTCAACAAATAAACAGTCCAAATTGACACTTATATCACTTGAGCAAGTATCTCTTGGAAACTGTATCTCAAGTGGTATACCTCCAGTGGGGATGGTCGTCGCCCAAATTCATAGCATCTACACCTTGTAGTCTATAATCTCTCTCGCCACGATCCCTTTTCTTGTTCTCGCGAATAGCGAGAAAATAGAAGACGGTGCAACTAATACCGCATAGCCACACCATACTAAGACTAACACCCAAGCCAGTCCAGTACTGTGGTGCTTCTCGAGCTAAAAACACGTTTGAGGCCACAATGCTACCGATGTTGCCCAGTCCGATCTGTACAGCTGATGATACTGACCTCTTGTAGTGGCCGCTCATGGTATTAGACAGCCAACCAAGAAGAACAGGTTGCGTTATGTATCCGCCAGTGACGAGCATGAAGAGGGAAAGGTATCGTGCAACAGTGGGCACATTTTGCTGACAGAGAAGGAGAACATAGCCAACGGTTGTCACTAGAACTCCAATTATAGTGAAGCTATATCGATGGCGGAGTCGATCGGTAAGAAACGCTGCAATTAAGCAGCCAAAGGTCGCGACAATATACACCGGGATCGTCAGAACTTGGGCGCGTTCAGCGGCATACCCCATTTCCCTAAGGATGGTAGGAATGAAGAACTGCAAGTTTTAACATTAGCCTTTTGCATCCGCAAAAGCCTCAAAGTCGTGCTTGGACTTACTGAACCATCATAGCCGTTATTCACTATGCCGAAATATGCGATTGTGCCAAGATACATCTTCCAATCAGACAGTATTCTTCCCCAAGCTGTCTTGTTCAGATGATCCATGTTCGCATCGCCGGTGTCTTCAGCTAGCCGTCCGATAAGTCTGGCTCTCTCTTCCTCGGTAAGAAAACTGGCCGTTTCGGGCCAGTCGGGAATCCACCATTTTGCGACAATGCCGACGATCACCGTAAGAAGACCTTCGAGTATAAAGATTCTGCGTTTCAATGTTAGCAAGTGAAATTGCGCTTGAGCGAAGGACTACATACCAACGCCAGGCTGCAAGTCCTCCAACATCATGCATTTTAGCAATAGCAAATGCAAGAAGTCCAGAAAAGGCACCTGCTAGGATACTAGCGCTGAAGAAAAGGGACATACGCCACTGAACTTCGTAGCGCTTGTAGTACATGCTGATCAAGTATATGCACCCTTTGGCCAATGTCAGTTGACTCTCTCTTCATCAAGCTGAATTAACGTATACCTGGAACGATACCGGCCTCAAAGAACCCTAATAAGACTCGGCAGGCGACGAGTCCCTCGACATTCTTCACAAGACCCATGCCAACTGTGGAGATGCCCCAGAGGACCGTGATAGAAGCAAGCCACAAAGATGGAGATATCTTCTTGATAATAATATTGGATGGGACTTCGAAGAGGATATACTGCATTGTGAACCGTGTCAGTCGCTGCGTTGTATACATTCGCATGAGGATATTTATCATACTGGAATAAAAAACACAAAGAGAGCCATGTTATAATCATTTCCAGTCATGTTGAGAGTCTCGGTCCTTCCCTGGATCTTTGCATTCCCTAACAATAGCAGTATCTCCATCAGTCCACTCGTTCTCGAAACATTCAATTGCCACGGGCTAACATACCAATGTTGGTCCTGTCCATAAAGGAGAGAAAATAAATGACCATAAGAGGGGGGAGCAAATGAAGGTCGCATTTCCGCAGCAGTGTCTTGCTTTGGAGGGAATCGTCGGTGGTTTGCTTCATGGCAGACTCAGCGCCTTTGTTTGAGGCATGTTCAGCCGTAATCTTGTCAGTATAATCAGCCATAATTGCAAAAGCAAGAAAGTTCAAGTATGTGTATGTCACTACGCCTTGTAGCTACTGAATATTTCTATTGATCGGGGTGTGGAAATTCGCTACTTAAGTAGATGAGGAGTGTCTTAGCGACGAGGTTCCCAAGCTTTTGTTACTCGAATATGCCACTGGCAAACTTCCTCCGATTAGATGCCTATCAAACTCACCAGGAGACTACATTAGCTCGTAGTTCGGTATTGCGGGGTACAGGGGTGGGGAAGAGCAATTCCGGGGAAGTGGAAAGGGCTAACTTTGAACAGAATACTCGGCTCATAGCCGCAAGCGTTGTGGTGGCGTAATTGGTATAGTGTTTTACGTCACGAGTATCTTCAAGGTTATAAAAATACCGCTATGGCAAAGACGAGTGAGTTGTAGATATAAAATTGATATTTGTAGGTAAAAGAATAAGAATTACTTACCTATTTAGATTTTTGTTAATAAAATGTTCTAGCTATAAGCCATGCTATTAAACTAAAACGTATCATTTGATTGTAATTTCTATATTAATAATCCACGTAGTCTAACTTTTCTTTTTACAACTTAATATTACTTTTTATTTCTATTAAATTATAAATTTACTTTATGTCTTATCCTAGTCCCAGTACTATCAATAATTCTGTTTTGTTATACCCGGAATCTCTTAAATCTGCCGATCGACTACACGGATAATAGCCGAGACTGGTTGACCCCTCTCCGGGTTCATCCCGTAAGTAACCCACTTGTGGGAAATAGCGCAAAAGCGGCGACACTGGGGTCAATTAATAGTTAGCATAAATCACAGTGGTTTTTATCACATTTTAACGTATTGATTCAGAAGACACAAAACACAAGACACAAGGCTCACTCACCAATCCGTTACTATGTAAGTTCAGCAACCTAAATTCGGGTTAGATATTAACACCGATCGCAAGGTATACAACATCTTTCGCCTTTTTCGAGGCCCTGGTTGAGGCCGGGGTCAAGAATTGCTTTGTCAATTTGGGTTCGGACCACCCCAGTATCTTGGAGGCTATGGTCAAGGGCCAAAGAGAAATGCCCGACACGTTTCCGAAGATCTTCACATGCCCGAACGAGATGGTGGCTCTTTCCATGGCCGACGGGTATGCCAGAGTAAGCGGCGAGGCTCAGTGTGTCATCGTGCATGTCGATGTTGGCACATCAGCTCTAGCGGCTGCAGTCCATAATGCTGCTATGGGACGTGCCCCCGTTCTTATCTTTGCTGGCCTTTCGCCCTACACCATAGACGGAGAGGTTCTTGGCTCACGAACCGAATTCATGTAAGTAACTCTTTACTCGAGTCTTAGCGGATATATCTAATATGTCTGCCTCCCTAAGTCATTGGATTCAAGATGTCCCTGATCAAAAGCAGATTGTTTCTCAGTACTGCCGGTATACTGGAGAGATCAAGACTGGCAAGAATGTAAAGCAAATGGTTCGACGTGCCATCCAGCTCGCCACAAGTCATCCCCAAGGGCCGGCCTATCTTATGGGAGCTCGCGAAGTCATGGAGGAGACTATTGAGCCATATTACATCAACCCAGCCTACTGGAAACCCATTGCCCCGGCTGCTCTTCCAGAATACGCTGTCCGGGAGATCGCCGATGCCCTTGCAACCGCCTCTGACCCACTTGTCATTGTTGGCTTCACTGGTCGCAATCATGAGGCGGTTAAACCCCTTGTGTCACTTGCCGATAAGATTAAGGGCCTTCGTGTACTTGATACGGGCTGTTCAGACATGTGTTTCCCTGCGGACCATCCTGGGTGGCTGGGTATGAAGTACGGAGTCGACGCCGCGATAGAGAACGCTGACGTGTTTCTCATTCTCGATTGCGATGTTCCATGGATCAACAAATTTTGCAAGCCCAAAGGCTCGGCGAGAATCTTTCATCTTGACGTCGATCCTCTCAAAGAGTCTATGTTGGTCTTCTACATTGATGCTGAGCAGAGGTATCGCGTAGACGCCGAGATCGCCCTCAAGCAAATCACTGACTATCTTCAAAACAACCTGACAGAGAAATTGTCAAACGCTGACTATGATGCGCGGGGTGAGGCTTTGGAAAGGTCATACGCAGAACGTATTCGGACTCTCGACGAGCGAGCCAAACTTCCAGACTCGGGAAAACTTACAACCGATTACGTCTGCGCTTCATTACGGGAAAGGTTTCCCAAAGACACCATATGGGCCGTGGAAGCAATTACAAATGCTATTATTGTATCGGATCAGATCCGGGCTACCATCCCAGGACAATGGATTCACTGCGGAGGTGGCGGTCTCGGCTGGAGCGGTGGTGGTGCATTGGGCGTCAAGCTTGCCGCGGACGCAGCTGATGCATTGGTCTCTGGTAAACACAAGCGGTACGTAGTGCAGATTGTCGGTGACGGGTCCTACATGTTCAGCGTTCCCTCTAGCGTATACTGGATCTCTGCACGCTATGGAATTCCGATTCTTACCATTGTTCTCAACAACCTTGGCTGGAATGCGCCGCGAAGGTCTATGCTCCTTGTTCATCCTGATGGGCCTGCTTCGCGAGCAACCAAAGAGGAACTAAACATTTCGTTCGCCCCAAGTCCAGATTATGCGGGCATTGCCAAGGCTGCGAGTAATGGGGAGATCTTCGGTGCTCGAGCGGCTAACTCGTCTGAGTTTTTGTCAGCATTGGCAACAGCTATGGAGAGTCTAGATCGTGGCGTCTCGGCGGTGTTAGATGTTGCTATTTAGACATGGAAATAAAGATGGAAGACGCGATTTAATAGACCTACCCATACGGACCTTTGAGGATGGCTCACCTGTTATCTCTCTTCTCTCTTGTTCAAGGCGGTAGCCCATAGTGACTTTCACGAACACTGTCGGTCACGATACAACATTCAGCATCAATTCATTTAGGCCTTTTATTTCTTAACAATGCAATTTCCACTACTTAGTAAAAAGCTCTTTAGTCGTGATAGATGCCCAACTTCATGGTCTGTTAACTATGATAAGCCTGGTATTCTATTTTACCCTCAGTATCAACCCTGCTGTTTCCCTGATGATGGTTCTCCTATGTTCCAGGCCGGGTCGTCGACAGCCTGGAATATGCTTGGCTGCTTCTTGATCTAGTGTCTCACAGCCTTATTTCGTCCTATTCATTAGCCATGGTGCTGATAAGCCTTACCTCTGTATTTGCAAATTGTATTATACTCGATCTATAATGGATTCAGGTGTCTAAGGTGTATTTATAGAGCTCTGTGTTGTGGCATCTCTTGTTTGGCTATCTTATTTCCGATCAAAGATCTTACCGGGGTTCATGAGCCAAAGGGGGTCCAAACTGGACTTTATTGCCCTCATAACCTCAATCGGCGCTTCACCGACTTCCTCCCTGAGGAATTCCTTCTTTCCTAGACCAACACCATGTTCGCCCTGATAGTGTTAGCACCGGTGAGTTGAACGACGTGACTGAGTAAAGGCTTACTGTGCAAGTACCCTCCATCTCAAGAGCCCGCAAGACCATTCTATCAACACATTTCTCAACTTCGTGGCGCTGATTCTCTTGAAAGAGAATTGTCTCGTGGAAATTACCATCACCGATGTGTCCGAGAATGCTCCCGAATATACCGAGCTCGACAAGATCTTTCTTGGATACGTCTATGAGACGGGTCAGCTTAGAATGTCCTGTAGCAAGGCTAAGTCACTTACCGATGAGTTCCGCGACTCGTGATAGAGGCACGGCTACATCGGTAGACCATACGTGTCCATCCGTTTCCCTCAATGCCATCATGCTCCAGAGTGCTTCTTTGCGAGCTGACCATAGGGCTTTCTGCTTGTGCGGATCGCTTTCAAACTGAAAGTTCTGTACACTGTGATTCTTGGATATACTTTGCACAAGAGCAATGCCATCCTTGACAGTTGCATCACTGCCACTGAACTTGAAGAATAACGTCGGGACTTCGGCCCAATCTTTGGAAGTGGCACCTATCCTGTTGATAACGCTCATGAGGACCTCGTCAAGAATCTCCACTGCGCTGATGGGTACACCACGGCGGATAACTTCAATTGCCATACTGGCAGCTGCCTTGACGGATGGGAAGGTGAGTACCGCGATTCCAGTTTGCTCTGGGATCGGGGCGAGTTTAAGTGTGGCCTCGGTGACGAATCCCAAGGTCCCTTCCGATCCCACGAACAAAGAATTGAGGTTGTAGCCAGCTGATGACTTTCGCGGTCTCCGGCGAGTTTTGAGGATAGTGCCATCGCTCAAGACCACTGTCAGGTTCACAACCCAATCTTTCATAGTCCCGTATTTCACAGCGTTTGTGCCGCTACAATATGTTAACCTCCTGTGATAACATGAGCTCGCCGGTCAAGGGTGCATACCTGCAGTTCGTACCGACCATACCCCCAATTTGTGCCTAAACCACTAGATTAGTAATCCTTTATAAAATATGAGAGTGGTGAGGATGATACCGATGGACCAGGGTCAATTGGAAAAAAGAGACCAGTGTTTTGAATCTTCTCATTGAGATCCATCCAGGGTACTGACGGTTGTACAACGACGTTCAAACTGGAATGGAATTTAGTAGCAATATTATTGATAATCTCTCAATATTGTAATCAACTCACTCGTCGGCATGTACCTGCAGAACTTGATTCATGTTCACAAAATCAACGCTTACGCCACCGAATGGGGCTGAGAAATGACCCTCAACACTTGAACCACCGGAATAGGGAACTTTCTCATCCTGTCAGCTCGATTTATTCTTTCAATAACCGAGTACCTACTCATGGGGACGCGTCTTTTATGGCAAATCTTGGCAATTATTGCTACTTCCTCTGTTGATGTAGGGAACGTGACTGCAACGGGCAGCCTATCTATGTTAATTGTGGACCAGTCCGAGTAGCCGTGTGCAAGTAGAATGTCATCTTCAATGCTCACAGCGTCTTCTCCGAGAGCTTGTCTGATTTCTTCGACTGCCTATGGAAGTTAGTAAAAACCTGTAAGCACCATGGGACATGCTATGCAATGCTTACCAACTCCATTTGTTGGAGACTTGCGTACTTGAAATCATTTTCCACTGATTCGCTTCCGTAGCCTATAAGAGCTAATAACAAACCGCCCCCAATAGTAGTTGCAGTCGCGGACAGCGCCGAAGCTACCAGGACTGGTCTTCTTGGTGGATCTCTGTGGTGACTATGGCTTCTGGACTCTTTTTGTTTTTTCCTCTTACTGCTGTGGATACCATTGACTGGAACGAGTGTGAGGCGTGAGACAGCTGAAGGGATTGGCCTCCGAGCATTTCGTAACAGTGGCAGAAATGGGGATCTCAGCATGGTAAGATGTAATAGGGGAGGATAATAGTGTGCTGTGCTGTAAAATGAATAGTCAAGCGTTAAAATAATGTGAGGATGGCGGTGCTGGAACCTGAGAAGGATAAATCAATCACAGGAACCGGTAAACTACCAAGGCTACGGAACCGTGCCGAGCAGGTTGTGGATAGACGCTAGTTCTCGGGTGTTACCCGGGTCATTCCACACCGAAAGCCGAAACCTTGCTATTAAGTCGGGTACAGCCCGTGAAAAGGGCTATTTTCCATTTTCCCCTCATACTCACCCACACAATCTCTCATTCCCCGGTTCAGTCACCGCCATGCCATCTGATGTGATGGATCCAACAACGGGCCCGGAATCGGAATCGCCAACACAAGATACCGACGATACAATCACCGTTTCGGCTGCGAGTCGTCCCGCGAAGCGCAAAAGAGTTGCATTGGCATGCGATAATTGCAGGGAGCGCAAGATCAAGTGCGATGGCTCTAAGCCTATCTGTGGTCCATGCAGCAAGCGTGGAGAGCCTCAGGCGATACCCGCAGGACAGGGGTCTCTATTGCAGGTGCCGAAGCAGGTGGACCTAGTCCTGTCAGTGTTAGTGCTATGGGAGCCACTACTCTATTGCAGAATACCCAAGCGGACACCTTTTTTGGTCAATCGTCGGTCCACTCTTTGCTCCGAGAGGTTTCCCACCCACAATCTCAATCTCACAAGGTTACCCCACAACGCCATCATAGCCAGGCATCCATGGATATTACAACATCAGCGTCATGTTTCTCCACAGCGACATTATCTTCGCCCGATTATGCTCTTCCCCCACGCCAAGTCGCCGACACAATCCTTGGTCTTTACTTTAACAGTGTCCATATCTTCTATCCTTGGACGCACTCGACTAGTTTTAAAAACCGCTACGAATCATTATGGGCCCCAACCGGTGACCCTAAACCTCAGACGGGTCAAGGCCAGGGCCCATTAAACGACATCGGCCTAGGAGGCGAACATTGCTCCGCGTCGTCTTTCTTCTGCGCCCTCAACGCTATGTTTGCCCTTGGTTGTGAGTTTTCTGATTTTTCTAATAAGGACTCGGCATCGGCCATGTTCAGCTTGCGCATGAAGAATCTACTGCAAATAGATGTCCTGGACAAAGGCGACTTATCACATATCCAGGCTTTACTGCTTGCGGCTCAATTTGCAATATCGAGCGAGTACCCTATACGATGCTATAACATGGTTGGGCTGGCTTGCCGGATCGCTGTGGGTTTAGACCTGCACACTGAAAGACATGCAGAACGACGATCGGCCCTTGAGAACGAAGTGCGTCGAAGGGTTTGGTACGGGTGTTTGCAAATGGAAATGACTGTCTGCATGACGCTGGGCAGGCCCCCAATCTTGAACATGACAGACGATGTCTTCATTCCATCTGCGGTGGATGATGACTTTATAAGTACTGAGACATCATCCTGCGTCCAGCCCGAAGGTACCATATCTCAAAATCTGTTCATGGTAGAGAACATTCGACTGGCCAAGGTCCTCGGCAAGATATTGTCTTCAATATACTGGCAAGGCTCACCGTCCGATTTTAGTACCCTTGTCCGTCTGGAAGGTGTCCTTGAAGACTTTAGGGAATCTCTGGTAGACGTTCTCCGATGGTGGGGCCGTGTATCAGAGTCGGAAGGCGCGCTCACTGATAGAGATCATGTCCTTAAACGCCAACGTAACGTTCTTCATGCTCGATTTCTTCATCTCAGAATCTTGCTCTACCGACCCAGCTTCAGTGCTTACTGCGCCGAAACGAGACGCTTGTACTTGAGGCGTGAGACAGGAGAGGGATCAGGTTCAGTGGATCATGACTCCGAAGCTAAAACGTTGCAGGCAGCATTTCAGGCTCAGTGCGCTACAACATGTGCAAGAGTCGCTTACGAGCTGTCAGTCTCCCTGTTAGCTGCGAGACAGGACAATGCTACTGGTGCATGGTGGTTTAGTCTATTTTGTATGGTCTGCTATTTTCATATCTCTTTTGGACTTGAGCCGCTGACGCAAATCAAGATCTTATGACCTGCGGCGGGATAGTTATCCTTGCGGAACGCGCACAGGCTGCTGGCAGCAAACATTTTAACCAAGCGCAACTAGATGCAACCTGGGAGAACATCACCGTGCTACTGCGCCTGATTGAGAGAGAAAATGCCCGCGCACAATGTTACCTGAACCAGTTAATCCAGTTGAAGGAGCAAGCCCGTTCCGCATATTTCTGTAAGCGAGATTTTGCCCTTGCTCTTGTGGCTTCCAAATCGACTCACAGTCTATGTACTACAGCTCGCAACTCAGAAGATGTAATACGAATGACTTCTTGCCGGCCGTCTATTAGTCCTGAAGATTCTCATAACAGAAATTCAAATAGCACTTTCAGTCCTTCCATGGATGACCAAGCCATGCAAGGAGAGCTCTTCACATTACTTTTCCAAGACGATTGGGGCTGGAACGTCGATGGTAATATGCCTACATATGGTGGCTTTACCTTTGGTAATGAATTTGCTTTTCTACCGCCTAGTTAGTTTGTTTGGCTATGGTTACATACTCTTAATTAAGTACACGTTAGTACATCTAAAAGCTTCTATCACGTACTCCCAAATGTCTCAAAACATTCATCCTGGAGATAACTCTACCTAAGTTTTATATTCCAAATATTATCTATATGCAATGGCTTTTTAACCATAATAACGAACATTCTAATCCCTAATTTAAACCCTCCTTTAACTGGAATCGTAAGCGTGGCTGAAGGCCAGGAGTAGCGCATGTGGAAGTGCTATCCCTTGATACAGTAAGGGTCTCACTAACTGTAACCACTCTACCGTGAATAAAGTTCCAGTAGCATCCACCTCGTATCACTGCTTGCACAGTCTACCAGTGTTCAGATCATAATCCCAGGCATCACTCCCCACTCCGGAAAGAACCCAAAAGCTGTTGGTGGGGTCATATTTGTTCTTTACCTTTAGCAATTGCTGGTAGTTACTCCCATAGAAATCCTTCTTGAAATCAGAGTTGAAAGGGTTATCCTCATTCATGTAAGCACCTGTCTCAGGAGCCCACTCCCGCCACAAACTCTCAATACCTTCTTCAAGACGTTGCGAAGTATCCTTGAGCATCTTCTGTGGTGCAAGAGCTTCGTTGAACTTGGCGCCATAGCTCATGACGTGAAGGTAGTTGGAGCGCCATGTCGGGAGAAGCGCACCACGCATACTTTTATCAACCTTGGCAGGCCCAGGCCCACCTTGGAGACCAATGACCACAAAGCCGTAGCTGATGAGACGTTTCGCATAGTCAACGAGCTTATCCTGACTGAGATCTGACAGTTCTGGACGACCAAGAAGACGGCTCGAGATCATTGACATGGAGCCAGCTGTATGAGAACCTCCGGCATTCATCGCGTTGAAAAAGGAAAGATAACTCGACTCCGAAAGCTCTGTGGGCACGATAGTAAGGAGACTACTGTTTCCACTAGCATCGAAGAGGTGTTCTCTTGTCGAATTCATAAGGCTTTCAACATATGTTGATGATGCGTTGTAGGCATAGATACCCTGACTGATGGTCACACCGGTCTTTGAGTCGCCTGAAACAATCAAACTGCCAGCACATCCAGCATCCATAAGAGGCGGAAGGTCTTGTAGAAGAGCAGCCAGCGCGTTGAAGCTAGCTTCAACAGCAGCAGAGCTATTGGCAGCAGGGCTAACGGCAAAGCCTGTGCTAATGACTTTAGGGGCAGGATGAGTCTTGATAATGTATTCGGTCACAATACCGTACTGGCCAGCGCCGCCGCCGCGGATCGCCCACAAAAGGTCCTGGTTCTGGGTGGCATCGGCCACGATGATCTGGCCTTCTGATGTGACAACACGAACCTGGTAGATGTTATCGGCGGCAAGGCCAAAAGTACTCGACAGTGGACCGTGACCTCCCCCCTGGATGTGGCCACCTAGGCCTACCGTTTCATCGTTGCCGCTCACAATCACGCGGTCGTACTTGAGAGCATGGCGAACAGCTTCCCCGTAGTTGAGACCACTTCCAGCAAGTAAGATTGTATCTGACTTGTTTGATCCCGGGATCGTCCAGTTTCGCACGAGCTTTCTCTCTTTCAGGTTATGGGTCCAAACAGATAGCGAATGAGCTCCAGTGGACCTATGAGATTGTTAGGTGTCGAAGCCATTGAAGCGTCTATCAGACTTACCGTCCAAACAAGTCATGTCCAGTTCCTTTGACCACAATACGCAGGTTCCTTTGGGATGCCCAACGGGTAGCGATAGCGATTTGTTCATCGCTAGTGGCGTTGACAACATGGTTCGGATATCCACCGAGATGACATCCTCGGGTAGCGTTATAGCCATCGGCACCCGGTGGCAAGCACGAGTTGTTGGCATAGATTGGGGAAGCGATCGACTCAGGCAGGGCGGCGTGAAGGTTGGCGGCAGTCCAGTTGTCCTCGATAGTTTTGCAAGAATAGGGGGAGTCGAGTGGGTTACCTTCATAGCATGAAGAAGCGGCGGGATGGGTTTTGAGTAGAGCACCGCCGATGGTTCGATTGAGCTCTCCCCATTCTTCAACAGAAGGCCAATTGTGATCAGATGGCGAGAGTTTGCAAGCTGGGAATGCCGCACCTAGTGCTGATCCCAGGAAGGCGAATACGTGAAAGAGCTTCATGTTGGGTGTTGTTGTATTCTGTGTGAGCCTGGATGTGTTGTAAGATAATGCTGAAGGAAGGTTACCTGCTTTATATATCAAATATTCCACCTAGAGTACCCATAAATGCTGTAACTAGCCTCGGCAAATGTTATTAGACTGACGTTCTCATCTCTTGGGGCTCTAATGCTCCTTCGGGGCAGACAGGATCATATAATCTGTGGGTATTTTGGTGGGTCTTGTGCTAAATCCGGGATTCAAGCAGGGCATGCACTTTGGACCGCAACATATTTCGTCTTACTTGGGTATACTTAGGCCGGCAATTCATCTCTCCTGGCGAGTTGCCAGCTAGAGTTACGATGCTCGTGGAGAAAATTAATTTCTTCCATCAAGCCAAGATGAAGAGACGCGTCAGTGGCGGTCCACATTCACCAAGGCTAGCGGCGAAATGTGACGGATTAGTTGCCCAAGTGCAGGCCAATGCGCAAATAATACGATTGGTCGGTGGTCGCAAACAAACCAATCGCCAGCTTTTCGCATTCGCGATCAGTTCACCCAAGTCCTCATAGCGCCTCACCTTTACGCCATGACGTCTTTTGTAATTAAGACCTACCGACGCTTCCAGAGACTGACAAGTTTACTATTGTATTCATCGTCAAGAGGGCTAATTTCTACATGTGGTACTTGGACAAATCAGTGAGCCTCACAACTGTTCAGTGCAGGGTCGGGAGGGGAAAACACCAGCGCTCTAAATAAATTGAATTCCTTAAACAGAATATACACCTTTGAAAAGGTAATAGTTGGGTTGCGCCATAAATTACATCGTGAAATTTAACACAATAAGAGGCATTACACACAGTGCCAGATAATACCATTACCAATCCGTTACATTTTATAATAAATTCATTCATATAGCCAGCTATTCAAATAACAGCAGCTACCATTCTTAAAGCCAATTCAAGCTAATTTGAACCCGGAACTTTGCTTATTCGATTCAGTTAATTCCATACCCCTTTTTATTATATCTAAGGTGATTATGAATTAAATTCTAATTTCTATAGGGTAGCTATTCTTTCATTCTGAAGAGGAAATCGAAATAGTTATCTAACCCTCATCCTTATCCTTATCACTCGCACCGCAGATAAGATAAGACTCACATCCAATCAAGTAAAATCTTCCGGATTAATTCTCAATTTACCTCTTTACGGATAAATCAAATTGCAAAGTTGTTAAATTAAATCCGTCAATACTTAGTTAGGATTGATTTTATTATTAGGAGCACCGGATATAATGATTGGTTATTAGGATTTAGAGGGCTGCTAGAGAGTAACTAAATGCCAATTAAGGACAAAATTTGTAATGCCACGAATATCAAAGCGTTAACTAACGGCACGCCAGTTCCCTCGATTGACGTCAACAGAGCTTCTTCATCGATTGATACGTGCAAAGCCAAGCTATATCCTTTTCCAGGCGCAGCCGCCTACTACGAGAAGAGTAGAGTGGTAGGACTGATCTCCCTCGTCACTCGGTTGTCCATAACACGACGTATGATTGGCTGCTTCCTATCCTTGCATAGTAAGCACACCTCACCAGGTCGTTATTTTATGCCTCATAATCCAAAAGAATTCCATCTCTCACCCTAAGCAACTACAAGAGTCGACATATCTCACTACATGATGGAAAACTGGCCTCGTGCTGATCTGAAAACAGCAGCTGGGGCCTCAGCGGTATATAAAGATGTCGCCACGCTCAACCCAGTTCAAGAAGAAATAAGGGTCATTCATCTTGAAGGCGGGGTAGACGATTCACCCATAAAATGCACCCTGCACAAGGTCGAACTGAACTCGACTCCTCCTCCCATTTATGATGCACTGAGTTATACATGGGGAGATGCCACCGACACGAGAGAGATCATACTCAATGGCTATGTGGTCGACATTACCTTCAACCTCTTTCAAGCTCTACGTCGTCTGCGACAAGGTGTAGAGAAGCAGATCATTTGGGTCGATGCCGTTTGCATTAACCAGCTTGATTTGGATGAGCGCTCACAGCAAGTTGGACTTATGAGGAAGGTTTATTCTTGGTGTGTACAAGCTGTCATATGGCTCGGTGAACCACCGGACCAGGCAACCCCAACGTTCGCGACTCATTGGTTTGGAGATGAACGCGATGACGAAAACATCGATTGGCTATGGGACAACTTTTATGACTACGCAACTGACCCTGACCTGGACAGCATGGATGAGCAGACCGTTGACTGGTCCTTCCACGGCTTAGCGATGCTCAGGTTACTCACGAGTGGACATCTTTCAGAACACCCGCTGTTTGTCAAGTTGTTTGGCGATGATTTTGAATACCCGCTGGACTACTCGGGCTATTGCAAATCGATAACCAAGGCGCTCGAGCCATTCGTTCGAAGTCCATGGTGGACAAGGGTTTGGGTGAATAGTTACCTTTTCAAGTACACAAAACATATTAGGATGGCTAACACCAACAGACTGTCCAGGAGTGCATCCTGCCCCGTAAGGCAATTCTACTCTACGGTCCAGTATCAGTGGACTTCTTATTTTTAATCAAAGCATTCTCAGCACTATCCCATCACATGCTTTCCGACTGTTGTTCCCATTACTTTTCCCGCTCAGACCCCGCAGTCCGAATGTGGATTCGTGATCTGGGTTCAGAACTACGGAATATTGAGATACTGCGCACGAATCAGAAAAATGGCACAAAGACGGAACTCTGGGACACCTTACTGACGTTTCGAATGCGGAAGGCAACTGATGATCGCGACAAGGTGTTTGGTGTCTTGGGTCTCATTGATTCATGGCCCGGTGCTCCAGTAGTAGCCGACTACAGGACAACGGCAGAGATGGTCTATCGCCAAATCGTTATCTCGAGCGCCAAAGAAACCTCATCTCTACTGCCTCTTCACTTCCCACTGATGAAATTCAATCACCCTGATCTTCCGTCGTGGGTCGTAGACTGGACAACACCCGGTGGCCTTGGAAGTCAAGTCAATACATATCAATTCAGTCACGGAATCTACAGAGTGTTCAAAGCAGGCAGGACCCAGGACTATCATTTTATTCCAAGCTCAGATGGAAAAGTCATCGAAGTGAAGGGGCGTCGCTGTGATCGAGTCGCTGTTGTTAGCACAACAGTGTCTGAAGGCGCGGCTAGTGGCAAGCGAAACGCCTACTGCGATTGGTTCAAGATGGCAGGACTTCATCAAGACCCCTCAAGAAAGTACATAACCGGAGTTTTGTTCTTTGAGGCATTTTGGAGATGTCTTTGCTGGAACGTCTTGCTTACGATATCGGATGACAAGGAACCAAACTTCAACGCCAAAGCAGGCGATAAGGTTCTTTACGAAGGGTTCCTGTCATACTGCCTCAGCTCACCTAAATCCATATTCCATCCAAACGGCCTGTCCAAAGAGGAAAGGGAGGCCGTGTTACGTCTCGATCCAAAATTCACACCGGCTGAAGATCATGAGTGGGGGATCTTCTCCACATCGGGTTATCTGGCGGAGCAGATCATCAATGGTTTGACTGTCAACACAAAGATGTTCATGACAGAACAGGGATATCTTGGGGTAGGTCCTCCAGATACTCAAGTTGGAGATGAAGTGAAGTGTTTGTTTGGAGGCTGGAAGCCATTCATTCTTAGGTCGACTGGGAAGACTGGGGAATTTGCTGCTGAAAAGACGAAAGTTCCGACTTGGAAAGTCCTAGGTACCTGCTATTTACATGGAATCATGGATGGTGAGGTTGCGGACAATGAGGACCTTCCGATCGAGACGTTGCACTTGGCATAGCCACGTCGCAATACCATACTTATTAATAACCATACAAAATCGGCTTACGCTTCACCAGAACCTCAATTCTCTCATACAAAGTCCAAGCCTTAGTGTAAAGAAAAATAGACCACCATACAAGTTATAATCGAAACTACTAAGAAGACTCTACAGAAATAATTAAACTTCACTATATCCATGGCCTTTTGACCTCCCGACCGCTGGCAGTGGTTTGTTACAACCCAAAGTCAACACTTCGTCCTATAACCTAACACCTACCTTGATTACCGATTCGATCTCCTCGTCTATATCTATCTATATTCTTATCTCTTGTAGGTGCAAATAGCTTGCCCAGCCTCTACAATCTCTGCCAGAGTCATAAATCTCCAATTCGGGTTCAATAGCACCATTCTTTATTACCTCACTACACCAAGGTTATTTACTCTTCAAAGCCAGTAATTCATACATTCAAAATGGCCATCCTCCTCTCTAAAGCTTCTACGCCTTCAAATCTCCCACCTGGCGGCTCGTTTTCGATATAAAGCCTATGATTCGGGAGTTGGAAATGAGCCGAATATGATCTTGTTAATCATCTCTTGATCATAGTTTGACCCACATAAAAGAATAACACTGGTTTGGCCGCCGAGCTTCGGAGCGATATTGTTAAATCCTGCGAGAGCTAACGCTGCAGCGCCTTCGACAATCATGCTCTCCGACAGAGCTAGCATCTTCAAGGCTTCAATGATCTCGCCTTCGTCACACTCTATAACCTCGTCCACCACTGCATTCGCCAGTGCAAGAGTGATCGAGTTTTCATCTATGCCACCTGCCACAGCCTCTGCTATAGTAGGAAGATGCTCTGTTTCGACTACGTGGCCAGCAGCCATTGATGCAGCTAGAGCTTTGCTGTGAATAGCAGAAACTCCGTAGACCTTTGTCCGCGGGCTAAAGGCCTTAAGGACAGATCCAACACCACTTATCAGACCGCCACCGCCCATGGAGATAAAGATGTTGTCGATGTGGTCGTGCTGCTCGAGAAGCTCAAGACCAATCGTTCCTTGGCCAGCAACGATATGAAGATCGTTATATGGTGAGACGTAGGTATAAGCGCCAGAAGATGCAAGCTGCTGCGCATAATGCTCTGCCAGACCCGCCTCTGCGCCGTGTAGAATGACATCAACGCCGTAGGCTTCGATCTTCTTCAACTTCGCAGGAATCACAATCTTTGGAAGAACAACAGTGAGTTTCTTAGACAAAGACTGTGATGCCAAGGCACTTGCAATGCCATGATTCCCGGATGACGCAGTGATCAATTGACCTTGCCCATGGACTGACAACTTAGACACGGCGCCTCGAAGTTTGAAAGAACCAGTGAGTTGAAAGTTTTCAGCTTTGAAAAGGACCTTGGCGTTAGAATCCTGCCCTATCTTCTTGGCTGGGATAAGAGGTGTTTCGTATATATGCTGGCGGATGCGATCCCGGGCTTGGACCGAAGCTTCTGCGACTTCTTGAAACGTCGGCATGGCGATTGAAGTATACGATGATGTAGTGCACAGGTGGAAGTAAACAGGGAGAACTTGATTCCAGAGGGGAGATGTATTGTTTCCCGTGAAGAGACTGTGGTTGCCGAAGGATTAATAGCGGTTTCAGACTTTCACTCGAGACTGAGGGGAGTTACCTCACTTTAAAGAAAGTTTAAAAGGCCAACAGATGCTAATCAACTCAAATATTAGTGCTGCTGACCAGTTGACATGGAGCGAGTGACGTCAGCACCACCTATAACTCTCCCCGACGCCGGACTTGGTTGTTATTGGCTAAACCGATCTCCAGAATCTCGGAGTCTCTTACTTCTGAAGCTGTAGAGATGATAGACCCTGAAGCTAATGACACCTTCCCCATGTCCTGGCTGTCATATCCAACAAACAGAAGGGCTCCAAGCCTCTTCGCTACTAAAACATTGTGCTGTCACGCACAAGAGACTGATCAGGATGATGGGATCAATTGATTGCGGCTACATATAAGAAACAATTCCAGACATGTACCTCCTTTCCGCCCTTGAATTCCACTGTGTCAATGTGAAAGATTGGTAGCTACTACAAGCCTGGGTCTTTAGCCACTGACGAAGAAGAACTATCACGATAGGAAATATGTTCAACACTAATTTTATTCGATACCATTCTACAAGGTGGGAAAATACGAATAAAATAACTTCGAATTAACTAATTAAGACCCAGTGGAGGCAGGTACCTTGTATTACTCATAGCTTGCTATCATCTCAATCTCGACATCAGTACCCAAAGGCAGTTGGTGGACTGCTATGCATGTGCGGCACTAATAGTATTGAAAATTAGTTTTAAGAATATTGACATCCTTCTTATAGAAGTTACCTACTGGCTTAGGGTCTTCAGGGAAAAACTCATCCCAGGCGACATTCACGTCGCCAAAATCCTTCATTTCCGCCAAGAAGATATTTGCTTTGACCACGCGATCTAAGCTACTACCAGCAGCTTCAAGCACAGCCTTGAGATTTTGAAGGGCCATGCGTGCACGATCTGTCACAGTTCCAGGGACAAGATCGTCGGTTTTTGGGTCGATACCGATAGAACCGCTGCAGTATACCATTCCATTGTACTTGACGGCTTGGGAGAATTGTGGGAGAGGCGCACAGGCGGCGGACGTGTATACGGGTTGGCGATATGACATATTGACAAGCGACTGGTTTTATGATAATTGAGCTGAAGATGCCTGACAGTTGATAATAAGTAAAAGGATGTTAGAGGGTAAGTTGGTTGTTTAAAATGTAACGTCAACAGCACCTGGCTATTATTCGACGTCTGATAGTTAACCTATTATAGTTATTGCTAAGCAGTAGTCGGATAAAATCATTTGATTTACTGTCCCACAGGCACATGTATGAATATGTGGACTTGGTGGCCCCTTAGGCAAGAGACTCCAATGAGCATACAACCAATTACAGCCGCCGAAGAGTGCTCCACTGGCCATATTTGGTTAGATTGCCCTCCCCTATGACCGAGTCTCGGAGTCTCCTTCCACCACAATTTCTACGTCTTGCTAATTAGCAAGTGCCCACTTATTACCGCGCACCACGTAACTCACAAGCTTAATGACTCTTATCGGGCTTACTCGCCGCCTTTGGCATGGAAAAGCCTGGCAATAATTGATTGTAATCCTTATTATTTATTGCCTGCAAAGTCCACCCACGGGTTTATGTTGGGAGAATATTTGTTCCTAGACTCTCAAATGCCACCGTCCAGTCCATTTCTATCCCAAGCTGCTCCATTTGATCGAGCTTCTCCCATATCTTCTGCACAATATCCCACTGCTTCTCAATATTCCCAATCTTGTAGGCGAGCATATGCTGCCACCACTCTTTCCAATCATCGCGCCTGTCTTTAAGAATGTTACAAGAAGCAATAAACCCAGGCCAGGTGATTGGGGCAAGGTGTTGTTTTTGTTTTATAGTCCCCGCCTTTGATTTGATCTCCTCTGCAGTGAGTAAGTGTTCCATAACAAGATCAGTTTCTCGGATTAGGTCGATAGGCTCGGCGCCTTGGATGCGAGTGCAGTAGTAAACGAGAGCAGCGGCGTGCCAAGCCTTTGCTTGGTGAGTCAGAATCGAGAAGCCAAGGACATCACTACGGGGAATTGAGGTGATGTCCTCTCGTTCGAACTGCCACGATTGAAGTGTGTTTCCCAATTCCTCGCAAGCTTTTACAATACCATCGGGTATATTTGTGTCGTCTTGATTGTTTTGGCGATAGTGTACCAACTGCTCAGCAAGTCGACAGGTCTTGTTAAGTGCCGCAGCAATAGCAGGCGTGATGCCATAGACATACTCGTAACATCCACTCGATCGTATAATCCTATCTTCTGCTGCTGCAAGCCTATCACTTTGGCCAGTCCACGGCAACAAGGAAGGACCGAACGTCATGGTTCGAGAAAGTAGGTCTAAAAAAGCGCTTATCTCATTGATCTGCCTCGATTGGCGGCTGAGAAGCTTCCAATTTTTGCGTGAATTCCGAAGTCGAGAAGCCGCTTCAATATGTATACGGAACTCGTCTCCATCACCAGATAGAACCTACAATCTGTTAGTAATACGCATTAAGTATTAGAAGGCGGTAGAGCTGACGCCAATCGTGATAAAAGATAGTATCGTTATCATCAAGACCTGATAATTTGCTTCGGGGGTGGCTTCTTGAACTGCATTTTGCAATGATTGCATTGCTTGGTACCGGTATCGGACAGCTATTTCCCGGTATCTAGTCTGTGTCTGATCACAATACCAACGGTGGTAGGCTGCAGATGCCAGTAAAGACTGATAAAGAGCACTGTATGCCATTTCCTTTGAAGTTGTTACGCGGGACTCTCTGTTGAAAATGCCTTCGATCGCCGTAGATAGATAAAGACGTCGGTAAGGGTTCTCCGAATGATCAACTGGTATAATGAGACCAGCAACGTGTATGTGATAATGCCTCACCAAGGCATCAATCTCCGAGTCTTGGAAGAAGCTTGAGGTTATGGTCGGTGGAATACCGTAATTTATTTGGGCCAAAGTCATGGCTGTGCCTGATGTCGATTGCTCTTGATTCTCACCTAAAAGTCTAGGCCCTGCGGGTAACTGCTCGCTCAAGAGGTCCTCACCTAGTGAAAAGTCGGTAATTAGGTAAGGATCTATTGGTAAGCTATCAAGGTTGCTGAAGATTGGAGACCAAGGGAGAGTGGCATCGATTGGTAAGAGTTCCATTTCCGATGCTAAGCTTGGATGGTCATCTTGTGAGGCTATGGATACAGCCTCATGCGCTATGGACTGCTGTAACGAAGGTGTTCCTATTGGTAACTCAAGCTGTGGTGAGATTGCAGTTGCGGAAGAGGAAGACCCTGGGAGTGTTGAAGGCGAATTCTCGTGTAGATGACTATTCTTTGTAGTCGCAAAGGCAGAGAATGGGCCATAGCGGGATGACAAACTCTTTTCAGCATTTTCGTCCAGCCGTAAAAGGCAGTCATCGATTTCTTGGGGCGCATAAACGTGGCTGTTCCGATCTGTAGAAAAGTCAGTCTGTATGTCGTCGTAAAACTAACCATTCACTTCTACTCGTACCTAGTTTCATACTCATACGCCCTTGGACCTTTCGGCTCTCGCGGCATTCTATTGCAGGATCTGACACCCACTGTAGCCTTATGCCATAGCCGCCACATGATACTCCCCGCTTTTCGCAGTTCTGACAAGCAACTGGTCGTTCATCACACCTGACCTTCCGACTTTTACATGTCCAACAACTACAAGCATGGTCGGTCAGTTAATTGATAAATGGTACAGAGGGGAAATATTGACGTACCCCGTAAAGGTCATCGCGCGTATTGGTGTTTGAGTAGCCATGTCGTACGGTGCTTGTTACTAATATGCGCTGAGAAGAAATTAATTTTGACTTTGCCACTCTAAGTATTGTAATTGATGCCTGAGGCTATAGTTTACGAATATAATTAGCGCTCCTAGCAAATCAAACCTAAAATCGAGTTTGGGGGATTTGATTTAACGACCTTAGGATTTAATTTAAAAAGGTTAGAATTGAATTGATTTGCAAGATTTGACTTGAACGATTTAACTTGATTGGTTGTGGTTCTTTATCTTATCGATAGTGTGATCAATAGGATAAGAATGAAGTAAGATATCTGTATTTGTACGTAAAAAGGGGAAAATAATTACCCTATATGAAAATAGAACATAACCCCATAATCAAGTAAAATGAATAAATAAAAATGTAAAATAATCTAGTTTAGATAGAAAAATCCCTGATTTGAATTAAACTAATTTCACTCCATTTGAGGGGATTTGATTTGTTGGGAGCGTTGGATGTAATACTGCGCTAAAGGTCATTGTAATCAAGGGAACTTCTATATTGCAGATGGTCTACCATGCTACGAACGTAGACTTTGCCAAAGGCAAGCTCACCAATTGGCGCCACAAAGACAAACTCCATAGATAAGAGCGTTTTTCAGGTCTATAGCTGGCGAGAATAGTGTCAGACTGGTAGAATCGGGTAATGTAGAGTCTGCTCGCGTCAAACTTCTGTTTAATAAGCGGCATAGAGAGGGCTAGAAAGGGCTAAACCCCGGTGGTTTTGACGCTTTTAGCTTTCCTCCTGTTTACTATAAATAGATAAAGCGGATCAATCCTGCGGTATTGCAAATAAATACAGGTCTTAAATACTAGCATAACTAGGCCCGTCGCTTCTTGCTCCGTTCTAGAGTTTGCAAACCGCCTTATCTTGTGATAGCAGTCGCTCTGCAGTCATACCCGCAGTCACGCCTCTCTCAATAGCCCCGTCTATAAAGCCTCTCCAACCATTGGCCCAGTCTGCACTAGCAAAAAGGACTCGTCCATGTGGCTTTTGAAGCTCACTGAGCCATTTGCTCATGGACCCAGGTCCCCAGCAACTCCAAGTGCCTTTGGCAAGAGGATCATTCATCCAGTCGTGCGTAAGGTATGCTTCGACATCTGCATCTGGTTTCAAGTGGGTTTTGAAGCTAGACACGATATCGGAGCTTGCCCGCGGATCTTTGAGATGACCGTTATAGCCGAAACCAATGCAGTACGTCCCGTTCTTGGTACTAGTACCGTTGTGGTCAGAGAAGGAAAAGCACCATGGCGATACTCCATAGCCACTTGCCATTGAGAACCAACCGGGCTCAGCTTGTCTCAGTTTGAAGTGGATTTTGGCGCCCTGGTTGATGTGACCAGCATTAATAGCCTCCTGACGCAAGGGCGAGAGAGGGGGAGTGAACTTGACATCTGACAGGCAATTCCTATTCCTGTGGTCAGTTCCCTGATCTTGTGTGATATCAGTAGCGACTTACAGCGGTATTGTTGATATAACATGGCTGGCTTGAAACTTCCGGCCATTCTTTGCAAACAAGGTAACACCGTCCCTGTCCTGCTCAATTGCGTTGATTGTAGTCTCCAGAAGTAAATTGCCGCGATATTCAGATATTATAGACCGTGCCAGTGAAGTCATGCCCCCCTTTCCTAACTTGAAGATGCCTGCATGTTCAAAGACGCCAGCCATCGAGTGTCCACCGAGTGCATACCAGCGTAACACCTCGGTAAACCCACAATGCGATCCGGGAGCTGATCCAAAAGAGCTTATCATGCCATCGAACAAGTCCTTCTCAATTTGAGGGATATCGAGCTGATCTAATCGATCCTTAGCGGAAAGATGATCGTATTTCATCCAGAGCGCTGGCTGTCGCATTGGGTCGTGAGGATATGGCATAAGATCACGACTGGACAGACCGTCGATGGAGAAGAAGGCGTCTGCGGCCCTCTGAGTCGCTGAGGATGTTTCGCCGCCGTCGAGATTGTGTGGAGTTGAAAAGGCTGCAGTATATGTTGTAGATTGGGCGCTGGCTGTCCCCGCTGAAGTTTTGAGGTTGCCTTGAAGATTGTAGCGATGGATCTCGGAGTACACATGCGGTTGATTCCTGGCCGTTCGTTAGGGAACTTCTAATATGTAATAAAAGATCCTTCGTGCTTACCAGTGAACCCAAGTTCCTCCCATTTCAAATTCTTCTCCCATGGACTTGGCTGTCCATGTTCTTCCACCGATACGATCACGACCATCGATAAGGAGAATCTTGGTATTAGAAGCACGACTAAGATTCCGAGCGGCAACGAGTCCCGCGAAACCAGTTCCAATAACGATAACATCGTAACTTTCTAGAATTTCCCTTTGTGGTGTTCCATCAATAACAGAGTCAGTAATGAGACCCGTCTTGAGTCCGGAACTGTTCCACAAGTGCCCTTCTTTTGAGGAAGTCATGATATTTGCAGTGCTCTAAGAAACCATAAGGTATAAATAAGAGCGACAAAATTTCGTTACCTTCTAAGCTTTTAGTTGCGTACCTATCTTTAAATACTGTCGTTTACCTCTATCTCACAATTCATTCACAGTCTTATATACTTGCGGTAAATATTCCGAGTTTCCGAGATACACTCCGCGCCCCTACCCCGCATGGCTATCCTTCCTTCTCTCAATCCTCCTAGAGCAAAATGGGACAAAAAGTGCGAGAGGCAGCTAAAAGAGCCAGGGTTTATTGGAGCTCTGTCTAATTTAACCTTGGGCTATTCTCGAAAATACTTTCCAGCTTCTGTTAATGGCCATGCGTTTTTTAAAATTCGGATGTTGGATACCCACTCCAGCCTGGTAATTCGACGCTGTGTTCCTTGCTTGAATACGTTCCCCCCTAGTCTACCAAGATAAAAGAGCCAGAAGAGCGTCCATTGTCTGATTTTGAGATCAATACTATGAGAAACTGATCCCTTGGGACTTTCGCTAAGGGCGGGTACTTGTCGTTACTCTTCGGTCGAGTAAGACGAGCGGTCCATTTCCAGTTATTTCCCACCCAGCTCACGGGCTGAGTTGGTTCCCCATTGGCATAGATCTCCAAGCTCAATCGTGCTTCAATTGAGCTTGATAGAGAACAGGTTCCTTTTAATTCCACCACGCGAACATCAAGATCAGGCGTGTTCTCGCTTACAGCTGACGTCGACGTGATGGTCAAAATTGGTGTTATCATAGTCGGAGGTGAAGGCTTGGAGGCAGCAATTGTAATTTCATCTGAAGGCAACAATGCCGCCAATGGTGGAGTGACCCGACGTTTCGACGCTGTCTCGTAGGCGTAGGCATAGCTCAATAGCTTAGAATCATCATACGCGTTGCCGCAGAAGGTGAGGCCAACAGGCATCTTCTCATCTGCAAGGTTGCCCATGGGCACGGTGATACAAGGAACTCCAAGATGCTTTAGCGATCGGCCGCCATTAGCATACTTGACTCCGTCGCGTAATGCAGAAACCATCGACTCATAGTTTTCGTCTGAATCAGCCAAGGCAATATCGCCATTGGTTGGGAATACGACGGCGTCATATTCGTTTTGGGTCATCCAGTCCTCCAAGTCCTTCTTCCGCATGGTCTCCAAGGCCTGGAGTGAATCCCCGCACTCAGGTAGATCGGTGAGGCTATTGTTTCCCCGGCTCTTCACCGCAGCTACCATGTCCTCATAGCGAACTTGATTCTGGGATTCGGTGTGCTGGGCTGGATCATCCATTGGAGCAATATGAGGGTGAATTTTGTCGATATCAACACACGTGAAGTCCGGTATGTCCTTATCGCGATTGCTGCGCAGGAAGTCGTCCCAGCTGAGAGCAATCATCTCACAACGCTCGCGCGCCGCCCACGCAGTAGAAAGATTAGGCACGTTAATGCTCTGACCAGGGAAGTCTTGTTTGGTGTAGTTCTCAAAAAGCGGAAAGTCAGTCTCGATGACAGTAGCGCCTAGTTTCTCAAGATCTGCTCGAGCTCTATCCCAGAGCGCCCTGACACCCGGAGAGCATGCGTTTTCTGGCTTCGTGCCTTCAATTCCGATGAAGCATCGAGGGACAGCTACTCGCTTGTGGCGAAGGGCATCCGGGTTGGCGAGCGCGAAATAGTCTACCGGACGAACCTCGTTAGCCTTGGGGAGCGATACAAATTGTTGTGAACGCCAAAAGTCAGCGTCCCCAGCATCGTCGTCATCAGTGACGATAACGTTCAATACGTGAAATAAGTCCATCATGGTCCTGGTGTGAGGAACGACCTGGTCGCAAGTTGGATATAAAGGCCATAACCCTCGAGGAGATATCATACTGCGGGAAGGAGCATAGCCAACCAGTGCATTGTTGGATGCTGGCGAGCGACCCGAGGTGACAGATTCCCCGGCGAAACCAAAGGCAGCGAGGCTAGAGGCGGTGGACACACCACAGCCATAAGAAGAGCCCGAGGCATATGCAGTGCACATGTACTTGTGGTTATACGGGCTCTCGGAGCGTCCATATAAACCGCGCTGACATCCTCCGTCAGCCATTGGCGGCATGTTGGTCTTGCCGAGGACGACTGCGCCTGCTTTCCGGAGTAGCTCGACGATAGCAGCATCCGAGGTTGCTTCAAGGTTCGCAAAGGCAGGGGAAGCAGCAGCAACTGTCATGCCTTTGACCTTGTAGCTATCTTTGACCGTGAACGGAATACCTTCTAAAGGTCGTGGCTGCTTTCCTGACGCACGATAATCATCCGAAGCTTTGGCTTCAGCGAATACCTCAGGGTTGATTAAACAAATTGAGTTCAGACGTGGACCTCTGCAGTCATATTTGCCGATTCGATGGAGGTAAAGCGCGACAAGCTCAACACTGGAAATAATTCGATCGTCTAGCAACCGTTTGAGGTCACTGATGCTAGCTTCGAGGAGTGGTATGGTTGGCTTGTTGTTCATGTTGGGCAGAATAATGAACAAAGAGTGAGAAATTGACTTTGAGTCAGAATGATTGTAAAAATGAAAAAGAAAGACTCGACATTCAATACAGTACTTATAGAAATGTGGTTGTGGTGTTATAAATTATCGCCAGTCCGTTCCGCTTCGACATGCTTTCCGACATTGAATTTGCAAGCGCTTCGACTTTCCCTCCGAGATTGCTGAGTTGGCGCTTCGAGGTTCTTTTCTAGAACCTCGGACCTGGCGCACTCACTCATTTTCCTCGAAGGTATTAGCCTCTAATAGGAAGGTCGTGGCGATTATTTTATGGATCGAGTGGTCGAATCAGCAGCCAGAGTCGCGCATTACCCCTCCACGATTGTGGAAACATCGTTTCCTTTCTCCCTTCCTTACTCCCTTCCAGTCAAGATCAATTGGTTATCACTTCCGAACTTCAAAAATTGTCTTCCATGTTGTGTGGACTGCCTTAGCTCGGAGACAGTGACTAGCAATGGTTAACTCGGGGAAGGTACTTTGCTGTTGGACATGCAAAATTAGACACGTGAAATGCGATGGGGCAACAAGTGCGTGTCTCCAATGTACCAGTAGGCAGGTTCAATGCCATGGCTACGGACCACTCCCAATATGGATGGACGGGGGGCCAAACGAGAAAAAAGAGAGGCAGCACATCAAAGATGCTGTAAAGAAGAGCTTCAGGCAAAAAAAGAAGGTTCAGGCACATCGACGGAGAGGCCACAGAAATGGTACAAGTCAAGGACGAAAGCCATCGAATCCCACTGTTGAGGGACTGCAACTCAGTGAGAATTCTGAAAGTAAGTATTATTTTCTCTTCCCACTGCATTATTGCTCAATTAAATAGTCAACATCGATTCAGGAATCACTTTGTCACCAACATCAAGCCCTCCATCCTTCCAAAATCAGGCCCTCTCAGGACACTCATTCGCCGAGCCCCTTCAATATGACGAAGCCAGTCTTCTGATGCATTACCTGGATCACGTGTTTCCCTACCAATATCCTTGTTATGACAAAGAAAGGTGGTCTCGTGGCTGGCTTCTCTGGCTGTTGAGCAAAAATGGACCCCTTTATCGAGCTTCCTTGGGTCTCGCAGCGTTGCATCAGCGGTCGTTGCTGGGCGAAACAAGCAACCATCCTCTTGAACTTGAGTTTCATACAGAAGCGGTCAGAAAGCTTCATGAGTTTCTGACCTCCATTGACATTACCGAACTTGAACCGGAAAATGAAACTCTAGTGGAAATCATCACTTGTGGTGTAGCTTTAATTAGTTTTGAGGTAAGTTTGGTCATGGCCCCTTGAAGCTGCTATGGCTAGTGCTTACGGTCAAAAGGTCCTTCAAGGGAGTACAGCAGACTGGCAATCACATTTGTGCGCCATGACCTCTATTGCAGTCACAATGTGTCGTCAGCCTCAGCTTTTGAAATCGCCAGACCAAGCTTCCTCACCTCTGTTTAAAAGCAGAGCTACTACCGCTATGGAGTTTCACATCCCAGTTCTGCTCTGGATGGATTTGCTGGCATGTATAGCAACCCGAGAGAGACCAAAACTCCCATACGATGAGTGGCTAGGACCTAGTTGTACCTTCCAGCTAGCACATATAATGGGTTGCCACAACTCGGTTATGAAGGCCATAGGGGACTTGGCAGTTCTAAGTCAGTGGAAGTCTACCTCTCTCATGGCAGATGACCTTGACCATCGCCAATTTTATGAGAGGAGACAACACATTGAAGACGAGCTTGAGCACGCCATGGATACGACACCAATGGTATCCATGGAGTCTACAAATTCATCACGCAATCCCTCGACAAGCCAATCGTCTAGGCAAAGGAAATCAGAGCAGCGACCAGATCACCGCTGTGTTACTCGTATATTCGCAGCCGCAACGTTGGCCCAGCTTGCTGCTATGAACGCCGAAGTCTCAGATGATACGTCATTAACTCAAACAAGACGCGCTGTAAGTCGGGTAATCCTTGAGATCAAAATGGCAGGTCAAATTGTGTCTCCCAGACAACTAAGTTGGCCTATATGCGTTGCCGGGTGTCTAGCCGACCGAGATCAACAAGAGTTCTTTGAAACGTTCCTGGATAGTGTCCTAGGTGTAGGAACTGGTATGTTCGGAAACTGTGGGACTGTTTGTGATATCTTAAGAGCATGTTGGATAAACAGGGTCGAGAAGCCAGATGAACATTGGGATTGTAGTAGTATCATGGAGCAGACATGTATAAATGCACTATTGATATAATAGTAAGTATTTAAAACGATAACTCGAAATAGTTGAATAATGAATCCTTATCTTGCTTCTGTTTCTGATTTCGTCATAGCAACTTTAAAATCATACTATTTATGGAAAATAAGGCGAATAAGCTTGACATACATTGAGGTTAACCAGATTCCAATCTTTACTAACTCTTCACTATAGCTTCAGGCTATGGATATAGCTATTCTTAGTCCACCTTCTAAAGGTCTTCCCGTAGAAATAAAAAACTACACCAAGTAAACACCAGAAAACGGTAAGAGCCATATTTACCATAAATACGGGGATGAACCTAGGATAATACTGATTTAGTATGCAAAACCGTAATGTCAGTAAGAGACTCTTACCCATTTGCCTCTGTCCAGGGTGTAAGAAATTTCCCCATACCGTAGCCCCATAGATTCTTGTTAACTGTTATAGCCACAAATAGTGATCCGGCAACTGGCTTATAACTGTCCACAGCATATGTACTGCTAATACTGGGAAGTCCAGCAATCTGGATCCCCGTGCATAAATAGCCAAGAATAACAATAACCTCCCATGGCCACTTTCTCTGATAGCCAATGGCGGTAATGGTTTGACCAAATGCCATTAACAGGACGTATGGGACCATAGCGGGAAGTCGCATTTCCGGCTCTCGAATTCCGTTATTCCGTGCTGTTGCCCGGGCAGAGACCCAGTCACTAAAAGGACCTGCTGTTACAAGTCCAATTAAAGCACCGATAAAAAGAGCAAAATTGGTAAACCCTATTGTTCTTCAGTCAATATTTCTGAATTTCCATTTTTCAGATGGATTAATGACCATACCAACTGATTGCGAGCTTAAATTGTATGGTGGTGCCGTAAAGACTTGAGTCTGTGTCAGATTTAGAATTAGCATACAGCTGCAGCTCCAGCTGACAATAAACGAAGCAAATAAAACGATTGGAAAAGTAAATAGCTTCCATGGGATCCAGAGATCGAGCATAATAGATCGAAATGGGGAAGAATTTCGTTGAAACAGCATCCACTGTTGTCGACTAGGTGTGCCCTTGCCAAGCCACGGATCTCGCTCGGCATTCGCATCCAGTTGGCTTCCACCAGAATTGTCTCGAGATGCTTCCTTTGACGTCTGTTCCCGGTACTCAACCTTGACGACCTTAGAGGGCGTTTCTGGCGATAGGGATTGCCCTTCGGAGGCCTCTACACGACTAAACATTGTTTCCGGAAAGCCGCACACAATGACAACTAGAGAGAAAGCGGTCATGGCAGCATTAAGCCACCAAAAATATGGCCAACCGACATGATCAGCCATGGCACCTGCTATAATAGGCGCAACCTTGAAGTGTTAGTCTGAACCAGACCCTCTTTACGGTACTAATTTACGTACCATCAGTGCTCCGGTATATGTGACCCAGTACATCGTGTTCCATTTTCCACGGTCGTGAAGAAAGAAGATATCAGCGATGACACTAGGCTGAATCGTCTCTCCAGGGCCTGCTCCGATGCCACTGAGGCTATATCTTGCTTCAGTGGAAATTCGAAAATTCAGGAATGGCTGCTTACTTACATCGCTGCTCCCATGAACTCGTTATACGTGGAGGCCTTTGCTCGCCAAATATGAGAAGCAAGGCACACGATTTGAGATCCAATCAAAACAGGGCGTCTGCCAAAGGAAGTAGATATCGGGACCCTAATTCGCGCAATATTAGCATTTATGTCCAATAGGCTGGCATGTTAGTAGTCCACGGACCAGAAGAAGTTACTGAAGCCAAGGACTAGAATGGTAACGCCTGTAAACTGAATGACATCTGCGAGCGACCTGTCGTAGTCCTGCATTAAGTAGCCAAACATGGGGGCTAGAGCCAGAGGTGCAAAGCCCTGCGTGAAGCTCATAGTAGACACTGCGATGAGGGCAGAAAGCTTCCAGGCCTGAGTCCAATTGAGAGGGTCATGTGGACTCTGGCTGGGCTGGGGCACGAGAACCTGACGAGACCTGTCATCGCTCCTGACAAAATGGTGGCTTCCGATGTCAGCCATGATCTCCGTTCCAGGGATAATCTCAATGTCGAGTTCATCCTGGATCTGCTCCAGCTCCTATGAAACTGTTAGTGGCCTTCTAGACAGTAAGGATAGAGAGGTGAATTTATTGACGAACCTCCCGGCGAGCCGTGGTCTCCATGATGATGGTCAATGGGATAGCTGATGGAGTACTGTTTGGACAGCGATGATCAAGAAGCTAACTGATGGGTTTGAGTGCGCAGGAAGCAACACATCTAGCCTATGAACCGGTTGGGAACATGCTTTCTTTAATAGTCGGGTGGGTAGGGTGACCGGTGACCGTAGTCTATTACAACGGGCAATTATGACAGTGGGATGCCGAAGTATGATAAATCCTCTAAACACTTCGGCTCTCTTCCGATACCTAGATTACAACGGACAGACCGCTGTTGGGATGGCAGGAGTTGCATCTCCGATCCCCGGTAGTATTGGATTTCGCTACATGAACCAATTACATTAATCCTATCCGGAATTTTCCTAACATTTCCGAGGTTTCGACTCACACTTGTCCTAATCTTGTCACACCAATACTTGAGTATTGCATTATTTGCTCTTGCAATCAAAGCTAACCCACCCCATTACCCCGGATTCCCCGCACCCTATCCCCGGATAGGATCATTAGGATGATTTGATCTAGCACTTCACCACGCTAAACCCCGCTTCAGCTTGGTCATCCCACATCAGGAGAAACTTTATTGAGCCAACCAAGATACTAAACATTGCATTTTACGGAATGCTTCCGTGATAATTGCGACGAAGTTTGAGCTCGACATGCTGTGCTTATCTGTTCTTAAATTTTACCCCATTAAAATATTTAGTATTTCTTAAGTAGTTAAAGTATCCGAACTCCTGCCATATTAACAATCTCGCTGCACCGGCCCTTCGGCTTCTTAGATCCCAATCATTATCTTACCACGCTGTTCATTTCCCCCATCACTCGTCAACATGGCCGTTCCTAGAAACATCTCCACGAAGGCCCTGGTCGTCCATAAACCAGGGGATAAATTTGTAATGGAACCCATCACCCTTGACGAAGTGCGCTCCGACGAGGTGCTCGTTGAGATGAAGTACTCCGGTATCTGTCACACGGTTTGTCATCCCACCTTTCTTAGACCAACCTGAATGGGCATCTAATCCGTGTAGGATGTACTTTTCCAAACAGGCCTACTTCCAGGCGTGGAGTACCCAGCCATCTTTGGCCACGAGGGTGCGGGCATCATCCGAGCATTAGGCAGTAATGTCAAGGACAAGTCTCTGACGATTGGAGATCACGTCCTCCTTTCCTTCAATGTTTGTGGGAAATGCAAACAGTGTCTCGCCGACAACCCCTCCTGCTGCCACGTTCATTCCCCGGTGAACACCGGCTCAGTTCGCCTCTCGGACGGCTCCACGCCGGCACGGCTCCAGGATGGAACCTCTGTTCGAAGCCAATGTTTTGGTCAATCCTCCTTCTCCCGCATGTCGGTGGTTGCAGAGAGATGTGTGGTCAAGTGTCCTTATCCCGAGTCGCTCTCATACTACGCGCCTCTTGGCTGTGGCTTTCAGACCGGTGCGGGAACGATCCTTAACGTGCTGAAACCTGACAAGACCAAGACTGTCGTGATATTCGGCGTTGGGAGCGTCGGAATTGCCGCCTTGATGGCAGCCGCCTATCTTCAAGTCAACCAACTCATTGCTGTCGACGTGAATGACGACAAGCTCGCCATGGTGAAGGAGCTTGGTGCCACTCATACAGTTAACCCGACAAAATGCGGTGGTGACAGTATTGAAGCTACGATTAAGCAGATTACTGATGGGGGTGCCGATTTTGCGATTGATTGTACTGGGCGCATCCCTGTTATTGAATCGCTATTTGGATGTCTAGCTCCGAGGGGTACGGCAACGACGGTTGGCGTCCCACCCCCAGATAGTGTCGTTAGGATTGAGCCCCAAACATTCTTATTGGAAAATAAGAGCTATATCGGAGTTGTTGAAGGAGGTTCCCATCCTCAAAAGGTCAGTGGTCCTGCACCCAAATTTCTCAAGTCAAGTTCTAACCGCGAAACGGCTGCGTAGTTTATCCCTCAGTTAATGGAACTTCACCGCCAAGGAAACTTCCCAGTCGAGAAGTTATGCAAGGTCTACTCAGTCAAAGATTTCGATACCGCGTTGAGCGACTTGCGCGAAGGCAAAGTTAGTGAATATCACGTCTTGATACCAATTTTCTACTTGCTAACTAGTCTTAATAATAGGTGGTAAAGCCGATTATTCACTGGGACTAGAGGACCCTTTATTTGCCGCTTAGAGTCGTATTTAATATTCAATACGTACTGGGTTAGATAGTGGTACCTACATCAAATGGTACAACCTTGAGTTATATCTAGTAGCCTTTGATAGAAGCCAAGCTAGTAATTAATATAAATATTATATATGGCCGTTCCTATAATACTGATAACAGGCCCCTTCTATGGGGCATGCCAGTCCCTGCTGCCACGATGACCATTAGGAATCTCCTACAGGCGGGAGGCATCCCGTTAACCCCAGCCTGGACCACAGCACTTTAGAAGCAGATGCATGATCTCGTCGTAGCGGATGGGACGAGGACGCAACTCGCTGACATCGCAAGTGTAAGTACTATTCTCATTCTTTAGCTTAAAGTAGATGGAATGCTCGCTCCTGTCCCAATAAAGACGCTGACCGTCCTTGGACTAAGCCCAATACATGTGGGCTGAGTTTGAAGCTGGCTCACTAAGCGGGGCAACAACGGAGAAGCTACCAGTAATTTATAGGCAGCAAGACTTTACGCAGGACAAAAGTTACACTTAGCACCGGCAGCTAGTTGGCATTAGTACTTACCTACCAACTACCTTTATTGTTGAAATTTGTTGCCAGTTCCCCAATGATGCATCCATTTCCTTCCTTATTTTTCTCTTGATTCATTCTCTTTGTGTTCAGTCGACAGAAGCATGATGACTCGATCGCAATATTGGCCGTACCACTGGCAAGAGTGAGCTGCTTCTTGATGATCCGCGCCTCGGCTTTGAGACCTAGTCGCATAAGACACTCGTAGTATCCATGCAGGGCCCAAATGTTGTTAGGGTGCTGATGGGCTCTCGGAAGCTTGTCATCAAGCCCAAGATCCTCCGCGTAAGCCTGTGCTGTCTGCTCAACGTATCCCTGCTCCAAAGATAAAGCCGCATACTAAGGTCAGGCAGGCTACCTTAATGAAGACATACCACCCTAAATACCCCCCTTTTACATTCAAGTATAGTGGACGGTATTATCCATCTGTCTTATGAGTTACTGAACATAGACTTATTTCTTTCTAAGCTTTACAGATCTAAAATATAGGTTTCTTATATAAATACTTAATTATTTTACAGGAGCACTTCTTTTTATTTATATTAAATCTGGTAGTACCTTCAAAGAAGAGATCTACCTATCCCAATTAAATCCACAGAAAGATTAACAATAGAGGTCTCTCTATACAGACCGAAAAGCAGCAGTGTATCAAATCTAATAACGTTGCCCACCAGCACTTCTTTTTATAATGTATTATCTTATAGCTAAGAAGGTGATTTTGATTACTTTTCAGACTCAAACTCCCCCAGGATATTATCAGTTGAGCGGGGTAATATGTGGCGGCTGAGTGGCTGACCCAGAACGATATCCTCCTTGAATTGACGGAGGTTGCACAGCCTACCATTTAAGCCCTGGGCGTTCAATAGCTCCCATAATTTCCAGAGGCATCCAATGAGACTGTATGCAATTGAATAATGTAGGTTGCTTGACAAGGCTTATAGAGCACCAAACTGTATAGTCTGTAAGTATAGCCCAACTTCGTGTGACTTGATGTATGAGTTGGCATTCAACCTATGATATATTTAGAAACTGTGACAACACTGCACGTCAGCTGTCCCGAGTATTTTCGGAATTATTAATAGTATTTCTAGCATAGCATTATAAACATAGCATCCAAAACCGGTACTCGTGGCCTTGAATCCTTTGCAACACTTTTGTTGTAATTCTTATTATACACTTGTATTAAAATCGTATCTTATCTTGAAAGATGACTATTGGGGATTTTTTTGATTTCGACAAGGCCGAATATAGACATCGCATATCTCTTTACGATGTTAATTGCCTCCGCAAGCAAGAAGTGGTTAAAACACGCCAGCATACAGCTGCAATTTGCAGTATTACCACTGGAGCAGTAGGCGCCCTTCTATCCTGTGGAGGTACCCTGCTGCTAAGTGCCTATGGAGCTCGTCGACTATCAGTAGCATACAGGAAGCTTGAGCTCATACAGGCTGAGCTCACGAAACGAGGCATTGCTCTACACGAAGTACGAAAGCGAGACGTCTTGATACCCCTTGGAGCATCCATTGTCGGAATGGGTGTTGGTTTTGGCATAGACGAGGTAGCCGCTGTTGCAACCAATGCCATCCCCATGGAAGCGGGTTTACCGCCAGGATCTTCTATCACTCATGCATTGTCTACGAATGCAAGTGATACGATCAGCGGGGCAGCTCAAGGGGTTACGGAACAGACTCGGGAGATAGGGCAGGCTATACTGAATATAGACAATGGGATTCCAGCAGCCCAAGACCTTGCTAGAGACACGATTTGGGCTCCCGCAGCCTCTACTCAGGGTGCCATTGGTTTCCACGCTGGCATGGTTACAATGCAGGCTACTGAGAAAGGGCTTGCAAGCTTGGCATCTAATATGCTAGCAACGCAGACTATGGAAGCTATGACGGGGGGTGTTTCCAAGACCAAACCGAGACTTCTGGACACCCGGAAAAGAACAAAGCATGCTTCCACAACAGCCCTCACTAGGTCCCAGCCAACAGTACGGACATCTATAGAGGGTAAAGGTCCTATCGAATATAGGAGTGAGGTGAAATTTCGAACTATCTTGGACTTGATAGTTGTAGCTGGTATGTTATCCATGGTTTCCTTTGTACTTATTTTATTTCTCTACTAGATACTCTTATCCTTCTGTTAAACTTATAGGTTTATAAAAACCTTTTCACTAGTATACTGAGCTTCTACTTAAATAGAATAAATTAAACCTAAAGTCAAAACTAGAGCTCTGCTAATAAAGAAATATTTAGAAATTAGTTTATATATACTCAATGTAGCTATCTAGTAATACTGAATCACTCCTTACTATTCATATGATACATAAATCAAAATATAACAGACTATAATTATACCTTGATTGAACTTATTATTAGTACTGGTAATCTAGAAGATATTAAAGCTAGTTACACACACTGTCTTTAAACCCAGTAGGGGTTTTCATACCTTTAAGGAATAGAGTTATAGCTAATATGGTAGGAAACCTTATATTACTTTTCGGTTTCTATAGAGCCCTCTTTTATTAATATTTATGGATTTCATTAGGACAGTTAGATCTCTTTCTCAAAGGTGCTGCCAGACTTCATAAAAGTATATACTAGTCCATATTGAAAACCACCTCTGTGCTAATAGAGTCCTATCTTAATATAGACTACTACGAATCGAATAGTGTCTTGCCAGACGCTAATTGGTCCATCCTTGATTTTTAAAGTGCAATTCAGCTGTTTCCTTTGCAAAGCTATACGGCCGGGTTTATCTTCAGGCCTAAGAGCTCTAGGGTAAGACAATTGATCAACCAACATACTCTTGAAATATCAAGTCTTATTTCAACACGTCTTGATTAAAGTACGTAAGGGCCAAAAAAACCAATGTCTACTATGCATCGCGCTTGAAAATTAGGGAAAACTCACTTAATCTTAAAACTAAAGTGAGGGGGAAAAGCCCATATAAAGGTAATTACGTCACACATTTCCTCTGCATTATTAACCGACGCATTTTTTTACAAGACCTCTCGCAATAATTACTAATATCACGGTATTATTTTAGTATATGAAATTGAGAACCCGTTAACCTCACAGCCTGCAATTACCTCGGATTAGTAAAGAACATGGTCTGCGTTATGTGAAAATGGTGGACCGCTTTGCACTCCAGCATCCCGATGTGTCGTCTCTACTGCTGTCAATAACGAACTGGTTTACACCATCCCCCGTGAATAGACCAGTTAGCAGACTTACCTGGCGTAAAGCTATATTGGGGATACTTTTCATTATCTGCAGGATGGTTGTATATGTGCTGCGCCTTTCCACCTCCTGCACCTTTCAAGATTAAGTCGTATTTGTAACCGAGCTAGAGATCCCGTGTTTGGTTGGGGGAAAGTTTAGAGTTGATTGGCCAAGCCTACCAGCCCCTTACGTCTTCCACCTGTCCAGAACCGGATATCACTACTGCTTCGGTCAATATAGCTGGGATAAGTCCTCGGCCTCTGTCACGCTTTCCTAAATGATCTCGAGGGCAGGAACTCCACCGAGACATAACGCCTCGGCATAGTCATAGCCGAAGACGTGCGAGAATATTTACTAATTGACTGAGTCCAATGAAGGCGTTCTGAGAGGATTATCTCTGGTATGCCGGACTTTTCTGAGACTTGCGGATACAACCCGGAACCAAAACGGGCTTGGAAAGCTGAAAGATAGCGGCAGGATACAAGCGAATAAGAATACAGAAATCAAGCCATGTCTCAGTCAGCCGGAAAAAGGCGTTAATGACCAAGAGAAGACCAATAGCAAGTTGACATTGGTAAATTGAGTTTGTAAGCGGGAGATGACATCTCGGCCGCTTTGAAAACAGGTCTGCAAGCACAATCTGACAACGCTCAATCGAAGCTATAAAAGCTGCCGCACATGCTCAACTAAATACGTAGTATAAGTTTACAGGCGGCTTAGTGAGGTATGCTCAAGGTGAAATAGATCATGGCAACACTGCCCCACCCTACTGTGTACCAAGCCCCTACCGAGTTAGAAGACAAATAGAAAAAGGGCTACAGTTAATATAGAAACCAGAATAGAAATAATTCCCATTCTGTATGAAGCCCAACTACTATCTATTATCCTAAAACCTGTTACGAGAACTATTGAGGCTACAAGTCTTTCTTATACCCTGATTACCCCCCTTAACTACTTGAGCTAATTTAAAGGGGGAATTCAAAATGGTAATAGCGTGTCAGCACTAACTACTTCTGGCTGGAATCTCATAATCAACCTCAGCCGTGCATTCCAAGCTCGGCTTCTAAAAGCGGTTACTTTCTTGAAATCTAACTTTACTTAAACCTTAGTGCCTGCTGATTGGCAATCTATAGATCTGAACTGGGTTCTCAATCGGAAGAACTCTATTCGGGTTGACGCCACTTTCCATTTCTGACGTTTTGGGTTGATGTTAAGAAGAAACATGAAAACTACCTTGAACTTATTTCTCAACCCTTCTTTTCTTGATAGAGCACTATTACAAGAAGTAGTACCCCTGAACAAGTTATGAGTCGGCATAATGCCGACTAAGCAAAACGGATGCAGTTTTATTCTCACCCTCATATCCTTTTTGTTAATCATTGAGGTATTGGGCCTACCTGTTAATGCTGAGGAAGTTTCCGAATGTGTGGTGAGTTATATTTACTTTATCATTCACTATTGAACGTCCTTCAACCTTATGCCCCCTTGATTGTAAATACGAAGATATGCCTAACATTACTTAGATGGATTGTATACCTCGGTCTCTCGACCAAACAGAAAATCTTAATCAAAGCCGTAGTAGTCTTTGTCAGGACGAAGGTTTTCAAGTTAGAGCTCATCGTTGTGTATTCCAAGACTGTACAGTTATGGAGACTTTCAGTAAGACCACTATATGATTATATCGATATCCCCACGCCCTACCTCCATTTACAATTATGCTATTTTTGTAAAGGCTATAATCTAAGAGAATTAAAAAATAGGTTTTATCAATAGCACAAATTCAGCGTGTGGTATCTCAAATGTGGATGACCGCTATATTCTTCGTAGAACTACTATTGTTGCATCTGTGTTTGCCGCGTTGTTCTTGGCGATCCGATTAGTATCCAAGATCACAGGGCCTTTCCCTTGGGGGGCTGACGATACGCTGTTGGCTCTATCCTCTGTACGTGCCAATGATAACCTATATGCTGAACGAATTTGCATACTGATAAACGAAGGCACTAGTTGTTTCTTTAAGCATATCCACACTTAAAAGTGAGTTACAAAATTATTGAAAAAATCCAGCAATGTTCCTGACCCCTATAGTGATCCACTGGGGTCTCGGCCGTAACATTTGGGTGCTCACAGAGCATCAGATCACTACTTTCTTCAAGGTAAGCCATTAAGTCACCTTCCTAATACGTTCACCACATTCTGACTGTTCAGTTCTTGGTAGTCAATGAGTTCTCATATCTACTCAGCCTGTCTCTGATCAAGGCGTCAATCCTCCTCTTTTTTCTGCGGATCTTCCAGGACACTAAGTTTCGCAAGGCTGCCTGGTGGACTTTGGGCTACATCGCTTTTTCGACTGCACTCTTTACAGTTCTAGCATCGATTACTAGAGTACCTTTCTCGCTATTCTGGGAAGGATGGAAGACTAAGTCGACGCAAGGTATTATCCTTGACACAAATGTTCTGTGGATGACGCATGCCGTGTTGAATCTTCTTCTCGATCTCTGGATGCTTATCTTACCAGCCACTCAAACATATCGTCTCGGGTTGGTTTACAAGAAGAAGATTGGTATCATTGCTATGTTTAGTGTCGGCTTTTTGTAAGTTCAAGTCCCCATAGATGGTTTGGACAATGACTAATGCGAAGCTTCTAGTCTAACCATAGTGAATATAATTCGCATCCCAACTCTTCTTCGCTTCAATACATCAATAGATTTCACTAGTGAGATAGATATCCAACCGCAGTTTTAAGATTTGTACGTACTAACAAACATTATGTAATAGTAAATTCTAAGGGAATGGTTCAATGGTCAGTTATTGAGATCTGTGTTGGGGTCGTAGTGGCATGCATGCCTCATGCGCGTCAACTGACTGGCAGCCTGGGGTGTCACATTAGTACTGGAGAGAAAGGGAAAAGCAGTTCTGGTACAGAACCGATTTTCCCAGAACGATCAATCGGAACTATTATGATGACCCCTTTAATTGAAGAGTCCGGCTCATGAAATAAATGAAAGTCGCAGAATACTAGACTATATCAAGTAAGCAATACATAAGTTCATAACCTGATAAATTAGATTATGTTTAAACTAAAAATACAATACAATACGGAGTGCTGGGAATGGCAACACTGAGGATAAACCAGTGGTGATATCTTTTACTACCTAAGGTTATAGAATTGGGTTTGGTAGGGCTTGGCTGATAAAGAATAGTGGGGGATTGGTCTGGTTGCCACGTAAGTATAGGTTTAGCTTTAACTTTAAGAGGTATGTGCTTATTGCTCATTCAGTTATCTGATGGATAGCAAACTTAGGGCCTTTAAATATTGAAGGCTTGGGTTAAAGAATGTATAGGTTAATATAAATACCGTTACTATAAGGAATAAACTTTTACTCTATTAGTTACAATACGTTTCTCTGTTACTAAGCCTGTATTAAGATTTATAGTTATGTACAAACTTATTTACTTGTATATTATTCTGGATAAAAATAGAAATAAATCTTCATGTTTAGTTCACATATAGTTTTAAATGTATTAACTTATATGAAAATTAACTCTTTCTAAGTATTCTCTCTTTATTAGCTCGATAAATATTTTCTCACCTTAATAGACATCTCTCTTAAGCCATTAGGAACATATATTCTCTATTTGATTATCTAAATAGCGAAAAAATATCTCTATGTATAACCCAAAACAGTAAACCAAGAGTTGAAGGTATAGTAACACACCAATAGACTAAAAAAAGTCGTTCCCCTGCCGCAAAATTTCCGTTCATCGAGAGAATAGAGGCAGCTACTGTGCATGGAACGGCAACTGTGGCAATCTTTGCCAGCTGTCCAGCACTACGTGCTAGTCGATTGGCAGACTCAGCCTGGAAAGTAGCCGCCTTTGTCTGTCCAGCAGCTTCATCGGCCTGCACCTTCGATGTAAATGCCTCAGCCATCATAGCATACTGGGCATACATCGTCAGAGTTGATGTTAATGCGCTATCCATCCCGTTGTATCGATCATATATTCGTCTCCACCTCTCCAACTCATTTGATACGTTGACCTGATAGGTTGGCGATAGACTTCCTGGATCACCATACCCAAATGCTTGCATAATCCCTCGGACTGCTTCTTTGCGTTCTTGCACATAACATCGATGATACGTCATGCCCCGGTAGTAACTGGAAATGCCTTTGCTGTATCCAAGGATGTCATGATTTTGTCCAAATTCATCTGAATCATTGTCGTCGAGCCAGCCGAGGTCGCGCAAGGTGTCATTTGCCATCCAAATCACATTCCATCTCTTAAGGTCCTTTGCAATCTTTACTTCCCATATAGAGCAGATGACGTTCCGAGTTATAGAGATAGAAGAGAATGGGTCTCTTGAATGCTGAGCTGTGTCCCCCGTGTGAGCTTGTACGAGAAGATCCCAGATCGGGGTTATTAAAGGATAGAGTCTCTTTGCCCTGAACCCAGATGATTCAAGTGTAAGATTAATTATTTCCTTCTCCATGACCTGTTGTGGTGACACAGGCTTGAATGTCGGGTTATTAAACCCTGTAGGGACATGGAACTGAGGGATAAGACAGCCATGGGGGGCATCTACCACCACAAGAGCTATATTTTACAGTAGTAGTTAGTATCCATAACCTTCAGAAGGTACAATACTTACATATAGAAGAGCCATTCAATATCCTTTTGCCCCAAAATGACGCAATGGCATATGTTTTGTCGGTCGCGTCCTCACCGCCGAACCATTCCCAATTGCGGTAGTAGTTGCCGAAGTAGATATTATAGCTGCCAGATGGAAAATGATCGTCTCCAAGCCAGAACCTTTGTGGTAATGCTATTTTCCAATAGACCGAGCTCTCTTGTCTTGTCATTAAGGAATTGAATACCCTCATCTGTGTCTCAACCTCAAAATGCGCAAACCAGAACTCTGGGGGGATCTCGAGCTGGACTCCAAGGACTTCAACCGTATTTGGGTTTAAACCTTCTAATAAGATAAGATACCGACAGTCTTTGGTTAAACGTGCCTTCTTAATAGTGTTTTCCAGTTGGATCCAAGTGGTTTGTGGGTTGTCTGGCTCAGTAGCCCGGCAATCGGGATTTTCTTCGTTTAGATCCAGTATCTGAATTCTAGACTGGACAATATGCAACTCTTGTTTCCAGGGGTGAATATGTTCATCTTCAAGCAATTTCTCCATTGCATCACGATATAGTTGTATCTTAGCCTTTATATCGGGCTCAAATGGCCAAGTACCCGTACTTCCTAATACTCCGTTATTAGTAATGTTTCTGATTATCTTCTAGAAAGTCACTACCTTCAGAGACATAATCTGACATTGTTCTTGGCCAATATTTATAGCTGTTTGAAGTTTTGCGATAAAAAGATTTAATAGATATTATCAAAATGGTAAGACAATATGTGTTTTATAAAGGAACTTCTCTGGCGGCAATAATATGAAGTGGGGTAGTAACGCAAGACACGTCAAGGACTTCGTGTTTATTTGTGATTGGCACATTATGTGCCCAAGCAGATTCAGGTGGCAATAGTGCATAGTAATTGGATTAACACACAAGTAACTTTTGGAGACATCGGGATTTTCCATCATTACAATGTAACGGATAGCGATGTGCACTGAATGGTAGGGGTCAATTCACTGACTAGTCTTTGCTCCTTAATTAATTGACTAATGACATGTAGGCAGTTATAAGCGTGGATCAACCTCATCGGATATTAATAACCTAAAGCTGGGACATATCCCCCTATTAATGCGCCCATAGCTAGTATACAGGCTGGCTTAGTATTTGGTGCCCATAGCTATTCCAGTAGCTGAGTACTGTGTAGCAAATCCTCGTGCGAAGTCTTCTCGTCAGTGATATTTGTATGGAATGGTTCCAGGTGCTCACAGTGCAGGCTGGTCCGTGTCATTTCACGGAGATTTACATTGGCGCAACTATCGCGAATAGTCATGCTTTATAATAACGACGTATATTGGGTCGAAAAATCTCGCTATTGTGGTTTTATTCTGTGCCAGGATGGGGAATGCAGCCTGGGCAATGATGTCCCGCCCATATCCTATCTCTCATCTGATATGGTGCAGATGAGTCCGCCAGGATTTATGCCTATTGACTATGTTCAGGAAGTACCGTCTAGAACAGTCACTGCAGGAACCAAAGCTACCTTTCAGACCACGGCTCACCACATGGTTGGCAACGATGGGATGAGCAGGAGCTACCAGGCGTCGTGATTAGCCTCTGCAGCGAGTTTGCTGGTGATACGTATACTGGCTTGGTCTCTCCTGCGAATTGTGTTGAGCATTTCCTCTCCGTATCTGGCCCATCAGCCTTCAAAGTTATTAACCCATGTGATTAGATGCTTGATTGACTCGGAATTGAAGGGGTCTAAAATAATGACTTTAGGGACCTTACCTTTTGAGAAGAACCCGATGGCTAAGGAAATATTCAAAGATGTTGTTAAATGGCAAGACCCTCGTCGTTAATCAGATCTTTACATTCTCCCCAAAGGCTACCGCAATGCTTAATAAATGCCAGTATAACAGAAAGGCTATGCAAACGCTGGTGTTCCAAAGAGAAGAACCGGGAGTGTTTTAAGAAGATAATATAAAGCTTTCCTATATATAACCCTCATTGATCTATTCTACATTATTAGCTTCCTCTCTTCAACTGATAATATGCTGTACCCAGCTCAATCGCAAGTCCGTAAATATATACCGTTAACTTATTTGTGGGTAGGTAACCATGAGTCGTTGACTAATGTGTACCCGGGAATGTGATCACTCGTATCAGCTACCGTTCTACCGTTCCTGGTGGTTGCAACCCTCTGTTTGTTAACTTTGGCCGTGGGTGGTCATTGATAGCAGACCACTGATAAGTCAGGGAAGAGATCCGCCCGAGACTCCGCGCACAAGTCTCAATACAATGAACCCACGCCTTAGGGCTGGAGAAGTGCATGACACACGTTTGAATTCCTAATACCTTCACTAATCTCAGATATGATCACTCTATACTTTTATAGGTGAGATTAAAGCATATCTGCAGCCGGGGGCTCTTAGTTACTATTTAGAAGTGTTTAGTTCTCGATGTATTAATATTCATCTCCGCTACTTTAACCAAAGGACACTTGCTCAAATGCGAAAGAGGTAAGATTGTCCGTGTCCGCAATATACATGTCAGCATTGCTAGGAGTGATACTAAGAATAATTGAGTAATGGTCCACTTACCTAGCATCTTAAATATAAGATTTGCGTCCTGACTTCTCGGAAATAAACATACATGGTCGAGGTCTGATATCCGTTCATTCACGTTCTGAAAATCAGTTCTATCATCAAAGCTATGTCTCAGTTCACCAGGGATAGTGACGCCAAGCTGCGAGCAGCATGTGATCGATCTCACGAGCTCAATATTCGATGTACCCGAACTGGAGGTACAGAAAGCCGGTGCGACTGGTGCGACAAGAATGACATCGACCTCGGATACATGTATTCTGGACCCTTCAGAGGACTCAGCCGACTTTCTCGTAAACTGGGCTCGTCCGAAGGCTCGATTCGACGTCCCGCGTTTGGTGAGGATGACAGCAAGACAACGCTAATCTTCCACCCAGGCATGCTCGACAACGCCTTGCAGGGCCTGTTTGCTGCACACAGCGCTCCAGGTGATGGGAGACTGTGGTCCATGCGAGCCCCTACTGCGTGCCGCAGGGTCTCGCTGGTACCATCGCTCTGCGGTCGCAACATGACAGAGGAAGTCGACTTTGACTGCACCCTTACAGACTCACGCAATGATTTCATCACAGGCGATGTCGAGGTGTATACTTCGGCATACGCTCAGCGAATCATTGAAATAGAGGGGCTGAGCTTCTCACCCTTTGCTGCAGCCACCGAGAAGGACGACAGGCAACTTTTCCAAGAGCAGATTTGGTGTGTCAACGAGGCGGATGGGCCTCTAGTGCTGGGTGACAAGTTCCCAACGGCTGAGGAAAGAAGTAAAGCCATGGACGCTGAGCGGGCTGCCTTCTTCTACCTTAAGAAGCTCCATCTATCTGTCCCATCCGACCAGCGTAGTCAATTGCCCTGGTACCTTCAGTCCTTGCTAGACAATGCCGAGCGACTTTACGAACTGGTCTGTAACGGAAAGTACTCTTATGCACCTCAATCCTGGAGTCAGGACACCGAGGAGGAAGCTTACACCATGATGAACGGTTATGGACTTGAAGACGCCGAATTCAACCTGACCAAAGCTGTGGGCGAAAACCTGCCCCTAGTCGATGTACTCAAGGGGGAGACCAACATTCTCCAATACATGACGCAGAACAACTATCTCGACCGATACTATACGCATGCTATCGGCTTTGGCTGGCTCGACCTTTTGATCTCTGGGGTTGTCGGTCAGATTGCCGACAAGCACCCACAGATGCGATTTTTGGAGATTGGTGCTGGCACAGGTGGCGCCACGGGTGCCGTTCTAGAGCGAATTGGACAGGCATATTCATCCTACACGTACACTGACATCTCGAGCGGTTTCTTTGAGCGTGCAGGAGCCAAGTTTCAGGACCATGCTGGCAAGATGCTGTTCAAGATGCTGGATATAGAGAAGGACCCCGTCACCCAAGGTTTTACTGAGCACAGTTATGATATCATATTGGTCGCAAATGTTCTTCATGCTACAAAGAACTTGAGCGAGACTTTGCAGAACACGCGACGTCTCTTGAAGCCTGGAGGCTTCTTGGTGCTCATGGAAATCTTGGGTAACGATGTGATGCGAATCGGCTTGGTCATGGGTGGTTTGCCCGGATGGTGGGTTGGCAAAGATGACGGTCGACGATGGGGCCCAACTACCACGATCGACGAGTGGGATTCCCTCCTTAAGGGAACAGGCTTTGCCGGAGTCGACACCCATACTCCAATGCCGGACACAGTGCAGATGCCCGGATCCGTTTTTGTGGCACAAGCCATAGACGATCGCATCGCCAAGTTGCGAGATCCTCTCCGACATGATGCGCTGCCATCCACAGAGTCAGGTGATGTTGAAGTTATTCAGAATGGGCACACGACTCCTCATGACAAGTCAAAAGAAAAGACCCATCTAGTAGTTGTGGGAGGAAAGTCAACTTCGGGGGGCAAGCTGACGAGTGCTATCATTTGTCTACTTGGTCCATTTTTCGCACAGATCCACGTTCCCGACATTGACAGCAAGGAAGTCCTCACGAAAGTTCCCCATGATGTCAACCTGCACATTGTGTCTCTAGTAGAGCGCGATCTTGACGGCAGATTCTTCCACAACATCAGCAAATCGACGTGGCAGAACTTCCAGCACCTGTTGGGCGCTTCACCTGCCAGTCTGCTCTGGGTAGTGACCAACACCCGTAATGGAAATCCACTAGGTGCAATTGGAACTGGTCTCTTCCGGTCTCTCTTTTACGAGCTTCCCGAGGCCAAGTTCCAGGTCCTGGATCTTGATGAAAAAGCCACTCAAGCTATTGATAGCAGTGCGGCTTTGATCGCAAATCTTATGCAGCAATCAAGACTGGCAACAGAAGCCTCATCAACAACAGTCTCATCTGCTTTGACGCCCACGACATCGGAAGATGGCGGCCATTCTATGAGCGACGACACTGCCTCAGTCAAGATGTTATGGACTACTGAGCCGGAGCTTTATCTAGATGACGGCTAGCTATACATTAGCCGAGTGCGTCTCCAGAAACAACAAAACGAGCGTTACAACTCATGGAGACGACCCATCTTGCGTCTTACTGATTCGAATGATGGCATGGCTGCTTCGCCCTCTTCATCCTCCGCTGGTCGACAATCGTCTCTCGAACTATGAGGCATACTACAATCTCAAAGAGATAAACCGGTTTTCCCAACCACCCTCGGCAGATTCGGTTACCACCAATGTCTCCTGCTCGTTGGCTTCTTGCCTGAGGACTCCCGCTGGATTCTTCTTTGTCCAAGTTGGAACAGATGTCAATACAGGCGAGAAGAAGCTTTGCTTGTCGGCTCAAAACAGATCTGCGGTGACAGTACACAACACCTGGGCTGAGACGCTGAAGCAAGAGCAGGATGTGGCTGACGGTCAATACATGTCATTCATTGTGGCTGATATGATTGTCCAACAAATCATGTACCTGCTCCCCCCGACTGGAACAGTTTTGCTTCATGAGCCAGACCCTGGTCTGGCTTCATTGCTGACACGGCAGTTGGCTAACAATGGACGCAAAGTCATTTTCATCACGACCAGGTCTGACAAGTCGACCAGCTTGCTCTCCAGGGCAACTTGGATCGCCTTGCACCCTCGCTCCAACAATCGGCTAATCAAGTCCGCACTCCCATCTGGAGTCAGCCTCTTTATTGATTGTGGCCAAGATGAAGATGCAATTCATGAGGGTTCTCATACTAAGGATCATGGCTTGGGCTTACGCCCACGCGATTCTCTTTCGCATACCTGTGTGAAGATGGCTTTGAAAGATCCAACGTCTCACACGGCGTCCATGGCACCTCAGGAAGCAACAGAAGAAGCAGTCAGGCTTCTAAACAGAGTCACCACCTTTGCGGCGGCTCAATTAAACTCCGTCCCTGACGGTGCTCCTTTAAAGGTTGCATCCTTGGGCGAGGTCGTCTCAAGAGCCAAGACCAGGGCTCTAGCGGCTGCTCAAGGCTGTTCGACAGGGCCATTCTGCTTGGTCAACTGGCATGCCGAAAGCCAAGTACCGGTCTCAGTGGCCCCGGTCTGGGACCGAGACGACCTGTTCCGCCCCAATCGAACTTACTGGATGCTTGGTCTGACCGGTGATCTTGGCCCGACTATTCATACCTATTAGGTTAGTCACTCCGTTCATGGTAAAACGCAATAGTGCATACCGACCTAGGCGAAGTATAACCTCGGGTACACAATGACGTGTCTGTCGATTAAAGCGACTGAGTTGCCTGTTCTGTCATGTCCTGGGATGGACTAAGCTTGAAATATTATAAGCTCCGAGTGGTGTGTTAGTAAGATCACAGCAGGGAACTTTGTGACCTTGATCGCAGCCACGATGCCGAGAATGAAAAATGCTTCTCTGTATCTTAGCATTCTCGCGTTATTAGTCAGCTTATTTGTCTTTGTTATAAGCTTTGACAAGAGGGGTGAGCCACTCGAATTTCGATATGACTTTACCTTTGGCTAGTAAAGAACAGACTTTGTTGCGCTGAAATAAGCATATGTGACTCCAAGAATATGATGTTTCAAACTCGAGAACGGGGTGAGACCTGGAAGACATCTTCACCATAATAATCATAGTCCAACAAATGATCACTGAGTTCAAAATGGCTCTGATAAACTAGTAATACACCATAGCACCCAAGTCCCCTAGGTACTAACAGCCAACCTGTGCTAATCCATTGTCCTGGCCTTGAACTCAGTGTCTACTAGTGATGATTATCTGCTGTTCAGAAAAAGAATAAAACAAATCATTCCAAACAACGCCTCCTGATACACAGCCTGGCCCTGGGATCCGGAATCATATCACTGTCGATGGTGATGTTTCGCGGCCTCTCCTTTCCGTCCTTGAGCTTGAAATCATAGCGTAGTAGAAGAGTCGCCAACGTCAGTTTCATCTCATTGGATGCGTAAAACCGTCCAGGGCAAGCATACTTTCCATACCCGAATGCCATATTGCTCGAATCCGTCATGGAAAAGAGATATTTCTGTGAATTTTCAGATTGTGAACGGATCTTGGAATATCTAAATCCGTCGAACTCTGTCGGTGGGGCTTCACCAGGAACATGCGCAGAGTCCTGTAGCATTGCATGGGAAGGAACAGCGATACGAGTACCAGCCGGTAAGTTGGTGCCGTCTGAGAGTATCAGAGGTTGGTGGAAAATACGGTTGAACGTCACTATGGAATAAAATATCAGTGCCTAGAACAGTGCAAGTCTGGAGTGATTCTCACGAAGGAATACTGGGTTGAAACGTTGCGACTCTTTGAGAAAGCTGTCGAGTTTGTGCAACTTATTCAACGCTGTCTTCTCCCATCCGCCGTCTCCGAGGACATCGTTTATCTCTTGTCTGAGTGGCTCGAAATACTCAGGGCGAGCACACAAATCGTACATAGCATGCGTCAACGTCATGGCGGTTGTGTGAATCGAGGCGAGGCTTAAGATCAAGATACGCTGGGCGATGTTATCGGGGGACTTTTCATCGCCTATCGCAAAATCAACCATCCATTGTAGTATATCCTGGTCCGTATCGGCTTCCAAGCCCTGCTGTACTTTACGGGAGTGGATAATGTCACCTATAATTCTGCGTCCCGACGAGACGTTGCGTAGGAGGGTTCTGTATGACGGGAGGAAAAAAGCAACAAATGGCCTTAAGAAATTTGGGAACACGCGTAGAATAAAGCCTGTGATAAACAGACTCTCACTGTACTCGGCTGTTGTGGTAAGCCATTCTTCGTTCCGACAGTTTTCTGGGCCCAGGAAGACTCTTGCTGAGATACGCGATATAATTCTAACCATGATGGAGGAAATATCAACTTCCACCCATTCACCATCTACGATATGTTAACAAAAGTTCCATCATTTGGGTTAGAAGTGCAAACCTGTCATTTCAGGCATGTCATTAGATAATGCAAAGGCCAGCTCATCGCCCATCGTCGTTGTCAATGAAGCCAGCTTCGGAGTCAATCGTTGCTGAATTACACGATTTTGCAAATCGCTCTCCAGGAACACCATACCACGCGTGTATTCACCTGCGAAGTCGTGGATAAAAGGTTCAACGGACCGGATCTTGTCTTGGGACAGTTTTCGTACTTCGTCGACATGGTTCGGCGAGATGATGACAATGTCTGTGCCAAGCTTTCTAACCTGAAAGATGGATGATTTGAACTTGGCGAGTGAATTAGAGAAAGGGTTTCAATACAATGGCAAACTGTAGTTTACCTTCTGATAGCCCTCGTTGATAATAGAGCCGCCTGCCCAGACGAAACGTAGACGAACGAACCATGTTGGTTCTAGAAAGCTTCGATATCCCACAAAAGGTACTTTAATCCCTAAGCGATAAGTGGCAAGTAGACTCATGAGGTAGTAAGAGAGCCATGCTGTGAGAGCAGTGTAGATTACCACGTGAGTATCGATCTCCTTTACTTTGTCGATGTGCGAGGTAAGCCATAGTGACAATACCTCCTGGTTCATGCCGTTAAGGTTCTCAGATACATTCATGTTTCTTGCTAGATTAAAGAAGTTAGCATATCCTTAGGAGGCGATTTGATTTCGTATTCTCACAAGATATGTATGCCTTCCAGTAAAAACTGTTGCAAGTTGACTGCTGAGTGTATCTTGGGGTTTTGGCTTCTTTGGGTAAGCAAAGTCAGGGGATTGTGGTCATACCTAGAGAGTTGTCGTCACCTCTCCGTAGTTCTGTGAGCGACATTTACTATCTACCGATAGGTTTGCCAACGACAGGGGGATGACAACGAGCCACAGGCACAAAGTGCTCCCTTGGGTTGGGCATCAAATTTGCTTCCCCCACACCCCGCCTCATCAAGTCATTAAGCGACACGGTTCGGAGTTAAAGGCTACTGCGGCAAAGTTGATCTCCCAGATATGTTAATTTACAGGGGTATAGACAGGTTTTCATGTAGAGTGCATGGACATGTTGAGACCAAGATTGAGGATGACACTAGTTAGCTGGGTAAAGGTCTCGACCGAGAGTAGAACCCACCCCTCCCCATGCTGTTGCAGTACACCCTTGCGGCCGCAGCATGTGAATTTCACGGAGTAGAATTTTACCTCGATGATTGTCTCATTTGATTATCCGGAGTATCTTGGAAACATCAGGCAATGCTTGCAGGAGACAACTACGCTAAATCCTGTGGAACCTAAAGATCGAAGAAGACTCGCCCATGAAGTGCCGTACCATTGAGGCTACTTCCCTTTAAGGTTAGATAAAGTAATTGCTTTCCTATGATGCTTCAATGGGGTAGTGTTTGGGGTTCGTTGATTTCCTGTGTGTATTTTCTTCGCCACTGTTCACTCGAAACTGTTTTGTTTCTCTGGTAGACTCGCTTCTATGATGATAGAGAACATATCCACTCATACATAAGAACAGAAAATACGATACTCGCTCAATTCTTTAGCAAGCCAGCCACTTATCGAAGTCTACAACATGGCAAATTGGGCTAATCCTGAAGCTCATGGCTTCCTCGAGAGTGCATCTCCTATCCTTTTGGATATGCTAAGGAGCAACAAAAAGTCCATGTCCCTTTCCTTGTTGGCAGTACTCCTTGGCTTTCTTTGTCTCAAGTGGCTTAGACCTTCTCCCTTCCGAATGATTAATGGCAAAAGGCTCGGGGAGCTGACTAATATTCGTGCTAAGAAAGAGTTCATGATTGGAGCCCAAGGTCTCATCGCGAAAGGCCTCGAGATGGTACCTGGGAAACCTTTTCGCATTATGGGAGATGTTGGTGAGATCTTCATTCTACCGCCCAATTATGCACATGAGATTCGAAATCATGAACAACTTAGCTTCACCATGGCGGCCTTTAAGGTAAGATGCTAAAGATTTATCTCAAATTGATACTAATAGCCTATTGTAGTGGTTTTATGCTCACCTCCCTGGCTTCGAAGGCTTCCGAGAGGGCACGACAGAGAGCCATATTATGAAACTCGTTGCGCGACACCAGCTCACCCACAAGTTGACATCCGTGACCGAACCGGTCTCGGAGGAATGTGGCTTAGTTTTGAAGGAGGTATACACAGATAATCCAGGTAAAGCACCGATTAGTTCCGCTGTAAAGCCACTTGAATGCATTACTGACAAGTGTTCCGTTATAGAATGGCACGATGTTGTTGCCAAAGAGGCAAATCTTCAGCTCATGGCCCGCATTAGCTCCCGCGTATTTCTCGGAGCTGAAATGTGTCGAAACCCTCAATGGCTTCGCATTACAGCCACATACACAGTCATTGCCTTCAGGGCAGTAGAAGAGCTTCGACTTTGGCCATCGGTGCTTCGTCCCGTAGTGCAGTGGTTCTTGCCTCATTGCTCTGAGGCTCGTGCACTTGTTCAGGAGGCGAGGAGTCTGATTAATCCCCTGCTTGAACGAAGACGGACTGAGAAAGCCGAAGCAGCCGAGAGAGGTGACGAGGTTACTTATAACGACGCGATCGAGTGGTTGGAGCAAACGGCGCTGGAGAAAGACGTACCTTATGACCCAGCCTGTGCCCAACTCTCATTGTCTGTGGCCGCTCTGCATAGCACCACCGACTTCTTTACTCAAGTGATGTTCGACATTGCCAAGAATCCCGAGCTTATCCAGCCGTTACGGGATGAAGTCATTTCGGTGCTGGGCCAAAACGGGTGGTCCAAGCATTCGCTGTACAATTTGAAGCTCATGGACAGTGTTTTGAAGGAAAGCCAACGCTTGAAACCCATTGCCATAGGTATGTCTCTTATATCATTTCACATCGGTAAGCTAATATAAGCAACAGCAAGCATGCGCCGGTATACCACAAGCGACGTCAAACTATCTGACGGCACTATCCTCCCCAAGAACAAGCTCACTCTCGTATCTGCTCAGAAGCATTGGGATGCGGAAGCGTATGAGGACCCTCACAAGTTTGATGGATATCGCTTTTACAATATGCGACAGAAACCAGGAAACGAGAACAAAGCGCAGCTCGTAAGCGCCACTCCTGATCATATGGGGTTTGGATATGGTCTTCACGCATGTCCAGGAAGATTCTTTGCATCCGAGGAGATCAAACTTGCCCTGTCTCATATTCTGCTCAAATATGACATCAAACCAGTTGATGGTTCAAGTATGGAGCCAAGAAGGTTCGGGTTGAACATTACTGCTAGTCCGACTGCAAAAGTATCGATCCGGAGGAGAAAGGAGGAGATTATAATCTGACGACCGTAAGTGGATCGAGGGAGGGGCCCTCAGGAGTGTTATTACTGGTAGCTATTTGCGGGAAGTTGAAAGGAAATTGATCTCCATCTATCATAGCACAGTAGTATGACATTGGAACCCCATAACATTATTAAATTTGTTTGAGACCAAGCTGGCAAGGCAATTAATATTGGCAACTATACTCATATGACGTCCCATTTCCGAAACACATTCCAGTTGTACGCTTTGAACAACAAATATCGATCACGATCTGCATTCTGCGTACATGTGCCGAATGATGCGGAGATGGTTCCATTAGTTGTCTCTTTCCTCCTTTGTCAAAGCATAGCTCACGTCGCGTTCCTGCTCTAGAGTGCTTTGCCCGGGGGTGTCCTCGGCATCAGCTGCTTATCCACAATCCTTGTCATGTCTGTTCTCTCTTGGTTGTGCCGTTCGATGACATGGCATATTCGCATTCGTATCGGTCATCCCGTTATTTTACACTAGCTTATAGACAGTTTCAGTCTCTCCCCGCTTATTAATGATATTGTGGAGAGAAGTTGAAATATCATGCTAAGTACTAGGCCAAAAGGGTCTCGGACCTCTATTTCGGCATCGAGGCCCCCCGATTTCGATGCTCTGCCCTGTCTCATTATACTTTGAGTTTACAAGGGGCCTGAAAATAACTAAACCGGAGTTAAGTTGAAAATCCTCCAACCAAGGCGAAGGAGCACAATCATTTGCGAGAGCTTCAGAGGAGATGAGCTACAGGTTACGAACCATCCTGTCCAGCAGACTAGCGTCTTGAATTTGCTTCAGCCTTCACTATCTATCTCTCATCTTCAATACGTGGCCCTTGTCCTACCAACTTTCCCAGCCTACTTCGTCATCTTCCGCCTTACAACACTCAGCCACCACATGTCAAGAAACATGCGTTCAGTCAGTTGGATTCCCACTAATCCTGGTGGTGATCTTTTGAGCATCTGTCTCGCCATATCGCTTTTCTTCTTGGTACCAGCAGCAGTCCTTGTTTCATGGACAGGTCAAGCCAACGACCATGGGGTGCCACTCGCAAACCCCCCGGGTTCACGGTTTAAAACCAACAGAGCCAGGGTTTGGTCAACTTGCAAAATGTACTAGGAAAATACTGATTTTCGAAAGAGAAACTTCGTCAGACTCAGTAAAGAAATCCTGGCTAAAGCGAGGAACCTCTTTCCTGATCAACCGTTCCGTCTAATGACAGATTGGGGGGAGGTTCTCATTCTCCCTCCTGAATTTGCAGCAGAGATTCGAAATGACCCCAGGCTAAGCTTTTCGAAAGCTGCGATGCAGGTAAGTAGCAAGAGGGATGGGAATACAACCCTCAAATTGATGAAGTGTTCTTTGTCAGGACAATCACGCCGGTATCCCTGGATTCGAGACAGTTCGTCTCGTCGGGAGTGATGATCAGCTCATCCAGAGGGTTGCCCGAAAGCAGTTGACCAAGCACCTCAGTGAGTTTCCTCCACCTAGAATAAAGCGAATTTTGACTAAAGTGTCGAAGCGGCTGTCATCGAACCATTATCGCGCGAGTCTACACTAGCAGTATCCTTGAACTTTGGCGAATCAACAGGTAATCACCCGCCCTCACACTTAGGACTGACCATGGCTAAGAGAAATCTACCTGAAAAGAGTGGCGCGAAATCCACCTGAAACCTGCCATTTTAGACATCATCGCCCGTATCTCGTCAAGAATCTACCTCGGAGACCAACTGTGTCGCAACGAAGAGTGGCTAAATATCACCAAGACCTATACAACCAATTTCTATATAGCCTCGACAAATTTGCGAATGTTTCCTCCATCTATACGCTTCCTTGCCCACTGGTTCCTGCCCGAGTGTAGAAAGCTTCGACACGAGCGCAAGGAAGCCATCAGGATCATCACTCCCTTGATCCAGCGCCGTCGCGAGCTTCGGCAAGCTGCGATTGAGGCTGGTGATCCCATCCCCAAATTCGATGACGCTTTGGACTGGTCTGAGCAAGAAGCTGGAGTAACTGGCTCAAGCTTTGATCCTGTTATCTTCCAGTTGACGCTGTCCTTGTTAGCTATCCATACCACTTACGATCTTCTACAGCAGACCATGATTGATCTTGGCCGCAATCCTCAGTACATTGAACCTCTCCGACGAGAAGCTACTGAATTGCTTGCTGCCGAAGGTTGGAAGAAAAGCACGCTATTTAAATTGAAACTTCTTGACAGTGCTATCAAAGAGAGTCAGCGTCTCAAGCCAGGCAGTATAGGTACCTCTCCCCGTCTTTGTTTCGGAAGGTTTTATTTGAGGACGATAGCTGATACGTTGTGTACAGTGACTATGCGACGCTACGTAACCGAAGACGTAAAACTTTCAAACGGTCTAGGTTAGCGATCCTTCCTTTCCACAAGAAACCCCAACTCTAACATTGTAACCTACCAGTTATCAAGCGCGGCACTCGCCTGAATGTCGATAATTCACGTCTTGAAGATCCCAGGATCTACGAGAATCCCGATTCATACGATCCCTATCGGTTCTATAATATGCGTTCGGAGGACGGTAAAGAGCACATGGCGCAGCTTGTTTCAACAAGTTCAGATCATCTGGGTTTCGGTCACGGACAGCATGCATGCCCGGGCCGCTTCTTCGCGGCCAATGAAATCAAGGTAGTGCTTTGCCACATTTTGGTTAAGTACGATTGGAAGCTGGCTCCCGACACCGACACCAAGCCTGACACGAGAGGAATGATTGCCAAGTCAAGTCCAGCGACCAAGATATTGATCCGACGGCGGGCTTCAACCGAGATCGATCTGGATATAACATGAAGGATTATGTACAGGCAGCTATTTCATAAACGGGCAATGCAAAGAATACCTTCACCTCAAATCCAACATTTATCTACACTTAATGTCGACGAACTTAGTCTATCCTTACCTCCGTCTCGCGCTTTATGTGCAATGTGACTTTGGCTTTGTATTCTGATTACTCCTCCACTAACCTCAATTCAACCCCACTGCCACTAATGAAACAGGGTTGAGTAACAGCTGAGTGAATTAAGAAACCCAAGTAAATTGAATGTTTTTAATTTCCAAGAGCATAAAGTCTATACATTAAGGCATTCAGCTCAATGGTCGTATTGGATACGAACTTACCTATATTCTATAGTAGACCAAATTAATATAGAGGCATCACTCTAAAGTTATTACTTGAGAACTAGGTATAGCTAAACTGTTCACCTATATTACTTAGAGTTTCTCGTAACTCGGAGTTTCTTATAACTCGGAGTTTCTTATAACTCGGAGTTTCTTATAACTCGGAGTTTCTTATAACTCGGAGTTTCTTATAACTTAGAGTTTTTTATACCTTAGAATATTTTATATGGGAAGTTAATTATTATGTAAATTATTATAAGTAAGGGACTTTTAGCTCTGCGTTAATACTTTATACTTATTGGTTTATTTAGATCCAGGCTTGGCCAAATTTTAATAGTCCTAACTAGCTTCTACTTAGTTATAGAGTATAAACCCTGGCTGTAAAATTTAGTCTATGCCATGACACCCGGTAAATATGATTTAATACTTAAAATCATTAATACAGATGGATTTTATCTTTCAGGGAAATACAAGGTGCAGCTATTAGTCTTACCCGGCTAGTCCTTTGCCGCTGGGATTCGGGAGCTAAGATCCTAGGATGTTACAACCGGCACACATGGTTGTGTCACACCGAAATCTCGCGCGGCAAAGGGTTGTCAGGAGTATTTTTACATTCACTATGACGACGATATGCATTAATGTAGACTAAGTTGACTGATAGGCGGGAAGTTGTGAGGGTGTGGTGGGTTGTGTTGCCGAATTCTTAGACCCCATACGTGTCTTGCCGAGTGTAAGGAAGATACTGCCTTACTCCTTATAAAATCTAGCTTCGCGGCATTGAAAAGTCCTGTGATTGGACAATATTTAATAACATAATCGATATGCCGATCCGAGGGTTGTAACTGCCGTAAATACCTACCACAACATAACGTTATGATCTAGCCTGAAGTCCCATAGCATCCCTCTTTTCTTGCGTATTGTATTATCTACGTTGAATTGCATTTGGGATCTAGTGAAATGAACCCATCTTCACCGTTCTCTCGCAACCTTTGCCAGATAAACGCGTAATGCAATGCTAAACATCTACCGGTAGTCGAAGCCGCTCGACTAGTGCCCTTAAAGCAGGATTATTCCTGTCTGTAGCCTCCTCTAGCTTCTCAATCTCGGCTATCATCTGTTGATGCAAATCGTTCAGGAGCAACCTGGTCCAGTCAAGACTCCCACAGGCTTCCATCCGGTTCAACATTAGGGCCTTTTGCTCCGTCGTCAGACACCCTTGTGTTCGCCTTATGGACAACATGTTGGTCAGAATGCCACTAGAGTCACTCTGCAGAGCATGTATCAGTGGCAATGAGTATTTCCCCTCGTCTAGGTCCTCGCAGAAGCCTTTCTTATCAGCGTACTGCATGGTTCAAATCAGCAGATGATCACCGACATGTAACAGAATCACATAACCAAACAACTCTAAAGACTACTCACATCTAGGTCAGTGAGATTTTGATAATCATCTCGGATTTGGAAGTACTGGCCGATTAACGAGACCATACGATTGATAGACTCGGGAAAATTGTTATCAAGATGTATCTGTGAGTTCGATACAAGAAGTTCACATGCAAGTCTAAACAAGGCGCCGGTCTCTATAGTAGCAATGGGTTAACAGAGTGGCCTACTTCATCCAACCAAGTGGCTTACTATCGTTAATCATGAGGAGGTAGCTCTGAATTGATGGAGGGGTATTGTTGAATGTCCATGACAGGTCCATAGCCTGGCCTTCAAAGATTGTTAAAAGAGTCGCAGTCACCCGTTTCAGGGTTTCTAGACTTGCAATCTGCTGCACTCTATCGATGGCCTTAACAATGATGTACGTTGCTGAATTGATTGCCTGTGCTGGGCCAAACACGCTGTGTGCGGAAGGCTTGCCTCGACGAAGAGGTGAGTTGTCCTGGAAGTCATCGATCCTAACTTGTTAGCTTGAAGGTTGGATTTGATCCCAGTGAGATAACGCACATGAGAGAGGAATTGTGGAGCATGTCGATCACTTCTTTGATGGCAGCAGTCTTGTCCTCGGATGCCTCGAACCAAATGTTCAATGCGTCAATGAATGTCCCACGAATACCCTTGGACGGGAGTGTCAAGATGTACCCATGGGGAGATTCTGCAACCTAGCAGGAATCAGCTGACGGTTCAGCTATGGATGATTAATATCCTTACAAGGCGACGCTTAGCCATCCATTCGTGTTGACTCTCGGAACTCATTGCTGTTGAAACGCAGACTTGAGATATCGACTCTGGAGTGAAGGGAGAGTAGAAAGTAGAGTTCTCAGTGGGTAGTTCTTCACCGCATGCTGAGCCTTCATCTGGAAAGGTAGAGTCTGGGGGAGTATCTGTGGGTGGGAACTTATCACTTGCACATGCTGTGACGTCCATTATGTCGACTGATTGAAAACTCTCACAAACAGGGAACAGGTTGGAGACTGGCTGCTCTATCATGTCCATTGCAGTGAGATGTTCAAAATGATGATCTGACCCTGTGTCAAATAGAGTGTTCGAGAAAGAGGTAGGCTCAAGGAATGTCACTTTGAAAGTGGGAAGATATAAGTTTGGATGCTAAAAAGCTGGCTTTCGTTACGAACTAAGAGTCTCGATATATAGCAAACCTGCACGGCATGATGAAGAGGTTTCAGAAGACATCCCCTTGCGCTGCAAGGCCCCGTATGCTTTGAGCTCTCACTTCAGCAATGTCACGGTCGTGCATCGCAAACTTAATTTCTTAGGGGAAAGAGTTCCGGCATGTCTTAGAAGCTTTTCGGCATCTCTGTAAAGTAAACCCGGCCACCAAATGAACAAGGGAGGGGTTTGAAATCCATATATTTGTTCACCGCCCCCCGGGGGTAGATCAGTCAACCCCTGTATCGTAACAACAAAGGTCCGCGAGGCGAGCTACTAGACGGGGATCTCCCCTGATGTGATCTGCGACTGCTCACAGACCATTCTCCGTCACAGTGCGAGTTTCGAATCTTAAGATGGAGTATATTTCAGAGAAGAAATTGGATCGGCTCTTATAAACAAGGCGAGCACGGATCCAACTTTGCATAAATGCTTAGTGCTTTTACGAGCAATAGAAACCGCACTATCATAAGAAAACTATCTGCTCTTCAATCTCATAACAAATTTACTCTACCCAGAGCCGTTCAAACAACATGACGTAAGTATAGAGCTCGAACATACAAGAGATCATTACTGATACGTATATTCTGGATCATAGCGTTCAAGCTACGAATGGCCAGGAGTGTGATCGGGCTGTCGCGGCAAGGTCACTCCTCAAGCGAGCCTTTCAGAGCTATGATAGCTACTATGGCCTCTGTACCACGACCTGCCAGGTGTACGATACTGCCTGGGTGGCCATGGTGGTCAAGACTACAGACGGCGTAAGGCAGTGGCTATTCCCAGAATGCTTCCACTACTTGCTCAAGACGCAATCGTCCGACGGTAGCTGGGGGCTTCTCCCGACAACACAAACTGCCGGTATTCTGGATACGGCTTCAGCTCTACTTGCACTCATCTCGCACGCCAAAGACCCTCTGCAGATCTCAGACATTTCGCCTACTAGAATCGATCAAAGTATCAAGCTCGGTCTTGCTTCTCTTAAGAAACAGCTGGCCACATGGGATGATGTGGAAAAGACCAACCACATTGGAGTTGAGTTGATCGTGCCGGCTATGCTCACCTATCTCCAGAAGGAACATAGTGCATTCCCCTTCGAGTTCATGTTCCCTTGCAAAGAGGCTCTGAATTCCATGCATGCAGAGAAGATGAATCAATTTGACCCAGAAGTGCTCTATAGTAAGAGGCCTTCATCAGCACTCCACTCTCTTGAGGCCTTTCTTGGGCAAATCGACTTTGATCGGGTGTCTCATCATTTGTATCACGGGTCCATGATGGCTTCACCTTCGTCAACTGCTGCATACCTTATAGCGGCCTCTCAATGGGATGACGAAGCTGAGCGCTATCTGAGGCATGTATTGAGAGTAGGAACTGGCCATGGTGATGGTGGTATTCCGGGTACCCATCCAACAACACACTTTGAGTGCAGCTGGGTCAGTACCGTAGTCTATTTACTCAACCATTGGCAACTACTAACTTTACACCTGTTGGTTAGATCCTGGCGACGCTTCTCAAGGGCGGCTTCTCCAAGCAGCAACTCGATTGCGATGAGCTGCACGGCCTGTCTAGTATTCTGGAAAGAGCATTCCAGAATGAAAAGGGAATCATTGGATTTGGTGAGTGTCTTGGGACGCCAATTCGAAACGACCGCGACTGACAAGGTTCAAGCGCCCCATACTGCTGATGTTGATGACACGGCTAAAGGTCTACTTGCATTGAGCCTGTTATATCAGCACGTTAGCCCAGATGCAATGATCAGAGTTTTCGAGGCTCGAGACCATTTCACAACCTTTGGGTCAGAACGGGATCCAAGCCTAACTTCTAACCTCCACGTTCTCCTTAGTCTGTTGAACCAGCCGAATCGTTCTCATTACCATTCGCAAATACTGAAATCTGCGTTGTTTGTCTGCCGTTGGTGGTGGAACAGCGACTCAATCATTAAAGACAAATGGGCAAGTATTGTCGCACCGATGAACTAAGCCTATTTTCTGACCTTATGCTGCAGCACCTAAGCCATCTGTACCCAACTATGCTATTTGTGGAAGCCTTCACAGACCTGCTTGAACTTGTTGACAACGGGGAGCTTTCTGGTCTCATCGACCAAGAGTGGCGACTCAGGATGGGCGCGTCGCTTTTTCAAGCATGCCTCCGAGTGATGCTAGAACAGCAAGATGACGGTTCTTGGGGTGGCTATCGCGAGCAAACATGTTATGCTGTTCTGGCGCTCTCTCAAGCCCGCCGCTTGTGTTTCTTCAACGAGATTCGTGCCAAGTTGCAATCCTGTATCGACCAGGCTTCTGCTTGGCTGCGTTCGTCTAGTCCGCATTCGTGTGACCTCGCCTGGACCTCCAAAACCGCCTATCAGGTTACATTCGTTGCTGAGGCCTATGAACTGGCAGCTCTTCAGTCATCAATGCCCAGCAATTCTCTTGGAAACATCGGCCACAGTCTCACCCTTGCGATCGCATCAAGTGACCTGGATGGCTACATGCGACTAGTCCGCCAGACAGCGCTGTTCTCATCTGTTGACGAATGGCAACTCCGGGCATCTGTCATAGAATCCTCCTTTTTTGTACCTCTATTACGAGCTCGGCGGTCTGACGTCTTCCCGAGAAACGATGGACTACTTGAACAAGACAAATACCTAAGCGTCATTCCCTTCACTTGGATAGGGTGCAATAACCGAAGCCGGACGTTTGCATCCAACAGCTGGCTCTACGACATGATGCTCCTGTCTTTGCTGGGCTATCAGACAGATGAGTATGTGGAAGCTGTTATTGCACCCGCTGTCGGTGAAGGATTTCAGCTGCGGGAAGCCATCGATCGAATCATCGATAGCATTATGCGGGAGCCGACCGCAGCTGGGAACGGTAGCCTCACTTTAACGGAAAACCTCAAGGGCTGCGAGACAAACGGCCACCGTGATCTGTCATCTCCTTTCGAAAGCATCCTCAGCTCACTCACTCGATTCGCCAGTTATGTGCTGAACCATGAGGCAGTGCTGAGGTCGAGCATGTGGGACCGCGAGAATCTGTGCCGAGAGTTCAAGACTTTCCTGCACTCGCATGCAACTCAATTGGAGGACAACTTCCGCTTTTCTCAACAGCCCAACGGCGAGACGTTCTCCTCTCCCACGCAGACATACTTTAAATGGGTTAACAGCACTGGAGGTAGCCACGTCGCATGCGCGTACTCATTCGCATTCTCCAATTGCCTTGTGTCAGCTTCCCTCTGTCAAGGCCAAGAGGCGTTTCCCACCGTAACGCAAAAGTATCTAGCCTCTGATATTATGCGCCACGCAACAGCAATGTGCCGTATGTACAACGACTTGGGCTCCATGGCCCGGGATGAATCTGAGCGCAACCTCAACTCGATGCATTTCCCGGATTTTGCCTCATGTGGAACAACATCGCCCGAGCCTGCAGACAGCAGGATGGAAAGACTTGGACAGCTAGCTCAGTACGAACATGCCTGTCTGCTCCAAGCTCTTGCAGCTCTGGGAAAAGAATGCCACAAACCTTGGAGAAAGAATGGGGCGAGTTCAATCGAGGCCAGAAAGCTTAGCATTGTAAGATTGTTCTGCGATGTCACGGATCTATATGATCAGCTCTATGTTATCAAGGATATTTCGAGTCGCTTGAAATAATGGCAAAGGATATTTTAGGGCTACCGATCGGAATTTCACATAGTAAAGGTATCTCATTGTAATAACACAACAATTTAGGAGAGGGGAATGCCGCACACATTACATGACGACTTGTCTGACTTTCTCGTGACGTAGCCACATTATTTTTAAGCCCCATTGATAGATGTCGGCAGAGTTACATTACCAACACATATCATAGAAGACCCTTTGAATTTAACCATAGTCCGATTCCGCATGTTATTCTTGTTTTGGGTTGTGAATGTCCAGATAGCCCGAGGTATCCCTCCCCCCCCGAGATAATGCACCTACGTCTCAGAAACAGGTTTTCTCTAGAGCTAAAGGCGGCACAAAGATGGAGAAGTGGGTAATAGTATAGGACTAAGCGGGATACCTCGGCTGAAATGATCTGATTTTCGAACATCAGCGTGGCTGCACGCTTACCTCTTGTGCATGGGTCGAGACACGTAACCTTGGTAGGGAAGCAGTCTTCTTAGCGGCTTTTCCTACAGCTCTGCTTTACAGCAACCCTTGCTGTCCCTTTCAAGGTTTAAGAGATGCATTAGTACATTAGAGAAATACTACGCTAATAGAGCCCAGTACTAGTTAATACAGTGCATTGGACTGTAACTGCAGGAGTACCCAATAAACTCGATATGCGTTCCAGTAATATTAACTTATTACGTTCCTCACATATCTGCCGACTTTATTACGGAGTATTCAAACCCCGGTCCATTATAACTCAGTTCATAGGGTAATCTACACTCAGCGGAGAAGCTCCTATATAACTATAGAGTGGGGCAAGACCTCAAATCACTACATGATGTCTTACGTTAGTATGCATCCTTTCTGATTGGAACGGACCTAAGGAAGCCCTATCCACGGCTAGATCAGTCCCTAGGCCTGAGGAGTTAAGAGAAAGTAAAGGTCAAACATACCCTAGTTATTTATTATTAATCACTACGCGCCAATACTTAATTCCTGACTGTTTCTTTTCACCAGCTACCGTACCCTTCATCATCCCTTTTATCACATCAACATGTCGCCAACCCAGAGTACTACTACACCTGCCACTAAGCCCGTTGTGGCTTCCATACCATACTATAGCGGACCCTTCAATCCACCAGATACTATCTCTGCTGTCAGTACGAAGCGTTATTGTGACTGGAGGTCGGTCAACGTTAATGATGTCCGATCCTCTACAAAGGACTTTACTTTGGACAAGAACGGTTTCCAATATGTGAAACATTCTTCGGCCCTCAGTAGCCCGCCTCACACTCTTGCATCGTGGAAGGATAATGAGACCCGTAAACGGGTCAATGATGCGGAGATTCTTGAGCTTGGAAAGGCTGTGACAGGCGCCAAAAAGGTCTTGGTTGTATTAGCTACTGGCCGTGACGCTGCGTTCACCGATCCCCTAGACCAGACGTCACGCCCAGACGTCTATGGCAATCAAACCGATACTCTTCCAGCTACAAGACAACTGGGTTTCTATGGTGGCGCGAACATTGGTCCTGCACGCAAGCCCCACGTCGATTGGGGTCCTGATGGTGTACGTAGCATACTCCGAAATTGGAGTCACGAGCTCGCAGACGAAGCCAAAGACATTATCGACGCAGAAGATCAGGCAATTTCCCTTCCCGGGGGCATTCAAGAGAACTACAAGGGAAGGCGCTGGGGTCTCTATAACACTTGGCGGCCCCTCAAGCCTGTGCGACGAGATCCTCTCGCATGTGTGGACTTCGTCTCCTCCAAGAATGACAAAAGCGCGATCCTCTTGCGCAAAATTCCCGGGATCCACGGTCCATGCACGGTTGATGCACTGTTTACTCCTGCCAATCCCAAGCATGAATGGTACTGGCTGAGTGATCAACAGCCCGATGATATTCTATTCATGAAGATATTTGACTCTGCACACGAGAGAGACCCGAACACTATTGCTGGAGGTGTGCATCATTGCTCTTTTCACCATCCTAGTACTGAGGACGAAGAAGTTCGAGAAAGCCTGGAAACCAAGTTTATGGCCTTTTGGTAATGGACATATTGGCAGCCTTCCCCACCCATTAGCCAACGACAGTATTCTGGGCCCGGTGGTTCTCAAGACTATCGATAAGACCACCAATGGAAGGCACAGCCTGTCAATCAATACGGTCGATGCCAATGCTGTCGACAAAGGGGATTACAGGCTGTTCCAAGAGAAAAGCTTTGAGAGATATGACGGCCTCGAAGTGCCACATCAAGTCAAAATCTTCAGTGGCGAGATGAGTAACATATGTAGCGACTTTATAGCTCTAACACATACCGTCAGAGTTAGAAATATAGTGCTAGGGCTCGGTGTTCATGTCGGTTAACCTGGCGGCCAGTACCTCGGCCTTTAAAGTACTTGCCATGAGAGCAATCTATCCTCAAGAACAAAGTACTGAATACATCATGTAGTATATTAGCTAGCCCTGCAGGTTAGAGGGAATATCGTCATTCTATTTATTACCAAGACAATGACAAAGCAATGAACCCTGAAATGCAGACAAATGAGCTTCCCTATACTGTCTAGTTATCCGTTACACAACATTTAGCAATCTATAGAAAAGAGGGGGTGGCGAATACAGTGGCAGATTCAGTGAAATAAAATGAGAATATTGATATGAAGTCAGCTGGATAGTTCTTGAGAGTGTGTTAACCTTTCCCAGCATCTTCATATTACCTTCAATCTAGAGTTCTTCTTATCCCCTAATCTATTCAACATGCAGAGTCTCAACTTTGCTGCCCTCCCACTTTTCATTTGCGCTTCCTTAGGTGCTAATTGCTTCGGGACGCCAGGAATTGCCAATAAATTCATAGAGGGATATTGGGATACACGCCAGAAGATGTGCAGTAATTCAGATTGCGCCTACCAGCAACCTTGTACAGTTGCCACTTCAAAGAAATACACAGCTATTGGTAGTGCTACTGTAGAGATTGAAATCAAGCGTAAAAATACTGCTGGAAAGCAGGGATTTAAAGACTGCTGGGTATGTGTGCTCTGATAGAGTCTAATTAGAAGAGGGTGTTACTAACTAGTACTTTATAGGATGCCACTGAGTATGTATGCAGATTCGTTTCTAGATCTATCTAACATTTATAGGAATATAATTGTCCAGTTCATAAGAGAGTCCGGTATCTACAGTGGGACTTGGCAGGCTAATGGGCAATTCTATCAGATTAACGGATATTTTAAGTAAATCCATTACAGAATACTGGACAAGTACCTATAAAGAGGGAATGGTTTATTACTCAAAAGATACAACCTAGGTATAGTGGATATCTACACTAGGAGAAAGCTATATTATTTACCCCTTGGACTTGTCCTGTCTTTTATCTTGGAAATCTATTTCTTGAGATAAAAAGTCTTCCTAGCGACAAGAAGTCCAGTAGACCGGAAATTTTTTAATTCCTTTCTGTAACATATCAATTGAATCACTGCAATCACTTTATTTCTGTTCGAGTTCTAGTACTCCCTAGAGGCGAATGGCGCTGCATTAACTCTTTCAATTGGGCGGACTCCAATCTAGAAATCTTTACGCAGTAGGCTAGGAACCTGGAGTATTAGGTGTCAAGAAGTTTGTTAGCGTCGGGCACGGATAATCCAGGTTAGTTGTTGGCGAATACTTACTTTGGACAGCACTGTACATCACATCATTCTTGATTCGTACCTTAAGTTTATACCAAGCTGGAGTGTTCGCTTTTAAACGTTTTCACATTCTCGCTTTTTTTCACATCAAGGGTAGCACTTAACTGTCTAGGACCCATCATTTCTATGTAACATATTACTTAAAGATTGAGACTCGTACTTGCGAGTTCATGTATGCTCAGGCTATATCATCGGCCAGACTTTCCTCTTGCACTAGAGTTCCCGGTACGCACCAGTAAGAAATTAAGGTCTATTGTATTCTCTTTCGGCCGGCGGGTATTCAATCCGTGACAGGTTGGATGGTGTAAAACGTGTCATCCCAATTCATAATGACTACACTGTCGTCCTTAACTCGAAATAAAGAAGACAGTAAGCATTTTTATTACAGCATATAAATAGGTGGGACAGTCAGATGGCAATAGTGTTTACAGGCTTTTAGTAAATTGAATCCAAGCGGTTATATTTAACTTTATCCATACATTTATCTGACTTAGTTATGCGGTATTATCTTATCGATAGACTTGTCTACTGAAATAAGATAAAAAATAGGATAAGATATCTCTTCCTCCCCAATTGACAGAAATACACCTACCCTAGATACCTACACAATGTACCTTCATTATACTATTTAATTCGAGTGAATTTAACATAAGAGAATAATTTAACTTGCAGTGATTCAAATCGAAGGAACGTTAGCTAAATTAACTCATTGAGAGCACCGTACATGAACCGTTTTTAGAACCTTTTTTAAATAGATGACTGTAATTTATACATTCGATTCTGCAAGCCCCGATACCCATCACATCTATGGAGTACAATTCTCGCAAATGTCTGTCAGCTTTCAATCCTACAAATTTTAATACAACTGTTCGTTCTTGGCATACATAAGCCATATTTACATAAGCTAATTCCCCTATCTTGAGTCAAGTAGAGGTTAGCGGGAATACCACGTGGATGTTTTCCAATTAGCACCACTCCTAAGTCGTAGTTTTGGAAAATAAATTTGTCAGCGTTTTCTCTTGGACTTGATTGGACCAGCCTGAAACGCATGTCTGGATTATTCTCTAGCCACAGTCTGTGTGGATTCGTAATGTGGATTTCCAAGCAGGCGGCCAAGCCACAGTGGCTGGTGGAGGGTTGACTGACAAATACCGTCTCACTAAGCCAGAAAAGGTTCCATGGAATGGAGTGGACCTTCTGGATGCTTCGAGCAAGATCATAGCCCTTCGATATGGTGAGTAACGGCTTGCCTAAGAACACGCTGCCTAAATATCAGTTATGAAATATAGACATATAAATAAACAGGCCTTGACGTCCTTGGAGAACTTTTAATTATCAGAATTCAGTACTTTTACAACTCAATCAATTTGCCCAAACCACAAAACCACAAATTCCCTTTGCTCAGCCAATTTCAAGCCCGAATCAGTATTCAGTTACCCTTTACAAATAATAACAAAAACCCATTCACAAAATGGCATTCTTCCTTCCCCGCACCATCTACCATACCCAGGCTCCCCTGAACCCACTCTACCATCTCCTTAGGGAACTCGACCAGTCGGTTCAGCAGCCCCAGCAGCCCCAGCAAAAGCGCCAATGCCAGCCTCAACAGAAGAGCCATGCCCAGGCTAACTGCCCTGCATACCGCGTGAACACTCGCCCATGGGAACCCCGCTTTGAGGCCCACGAGACAGAGGACTCCTTCGTTATCCACGGCGAGCTCCCAGGCATGAACAAGGACCACGTCACTGTCGAGTTTCCTGAGCCTTGCAAGCTTGTTGTTAGCGGCAAGGTTGAGCGATTCACAGACGCCCCTAAGGAAGCTGAAACAACCACTGACCAGACTGCTCCCGCCCCGGTCATCGAGTCAGAAGACGAAGACACCCGGAGCAGGAGCTCTTACCAGGCCACCGTTGAGGACGATGTCGATGGCGACGAGTTTGAGGTCGTGGACCACACGTCAGAAAAGTCAGAGACTATCGGCCAGTCAGAGTCTGAGATTCCGAGCGAGAAGACCAAGGAGAAGCAGTTGGAGAAGCCTCAAGAGCCAAGACGTTCTGGCTATAGCAAGGAGTTCTCGCGCTACTTCACTTTCCCTACCTATGTCAACTACGAGGCGGTTACTGCCGAACTTAAGGACGGTCTCTTGACTATAGTGGTACCTAAGGAAACTTCTAAGCTTCGTCAAATTGTGATTAGCTAGAGGATAAGATATTGGGTTTTGGGGTATTATAGGATGGGTTTACTATAGATATATTGGAGTCTTTACTTAGTTAATCTGCTTGCTACCTAGTGAATAGTGTATTAAATATTTCCCTTTTGTTTAATTAACTGCTTATCTATTACACAAGTGAAATCTTATATATGAAAAAAGGAAATGAAATTACTATATTGGTTACTTACTCGTTTCTCTTTAATAACTCTTATTCAACTTAATATCCAGGTAGCTAGAAGGCTTAAGGCTGTTACAGTATGATTAATATATTGCAGTATGGCCGGAAACGCCTAGTCAGGGTTTATGGTATAAAAAGGTCAATTATGACCCGCCAATCAATACACTGACGTGGTCGTGTACAGCTATTTACATGCAGTTAACAGTTTCGTCATCGAACTTTTAGAGATATAATTTCCGCTTTATTAATAAAAGTACGCCCCGTTTCCAGAGACACACAGACACTTAAGCATTAAGAGCTGGCTCAACTTCTTCACTAAGCTGCTCCTACTAGGGCTATAAGAAGTAATAAATAACCTCCAATAAGACTGCTCCGCTGCAAAGCAGAGCGTAACTACCTTAGTAAAAAGAAATGGCTAAGAGACCTAAGCCTTCTGGACACTATACTCGGAAACACCAAAGTTATGAATCTTCTTATCCTGAGTACCAACCGCGATGAACTCATTGCCAACATTGAAGATGTAGAATGGCTGATCATCACCAGGATAGAGAGGCTGACGGAGGGTAACAGCATATACCCCTCCCTTGTAGCCTGCCTTTCGAAGTATAGCGAAAGCATCTTGAATGTCTAGGGAAACAGGCCAAGAAATAACCTGGTCTCCTAGGAAAGGGGACTTAATGGTCTGGACCTTTCCGAACTCGCCCCATCCAGTAGATTGAACGATAGCCGTCCTATTGTCACTGAGACCGCAGACGATGCGGTTGTTGACAAGACCCCATTCATTATTGACAGGCTTGCGAGTTAAAGGGGTGGCGTCGACTTCGAGCAGGTTGGCCTTGGGGTACTGCTTCTTGATGAGGTTTAGACCAATGTTTATGAAGCCATCCCAAGAGAGAGGAATGCCAACTTTCTCGGCGCCATTCTTGACTCCGTTTCCGTTGGACGTGGTACTGTAGGTGGAATCACTTCCCTGGTCGCTGGGTTTCACGGAGAGAAAGACATTGGCATGAGGTTGAACGGAATTATCACCAGACTGGACGATCTCCACTTCGTATCGAACCCGATACACAAATGGGGGACTAGTCTGGCCGACATACACAGTGACTTCGGTGACGCCTGTCTGCTGAGCGATAAAAGTCCATTCGATCTTGCCATCGAGAATAACAGCATTATCCAAACTGCTGTATGTCTTGTCGAAATCGATATTGATCGACCCACCCTTTCCTTCGAAAGAGTCCTTCTGCTGAAGAGTAAAGGGTCTGTCAGCAACGACGACAATTTTGTTGCTTGCTGCGAATTGCTTTATCTCGGGTACCTCAGGCTGCACCTTGCCGTTGGTGGCAGACTGCTGAACTGGCTTGTTGTACTCGATGGGGACAATCCAATGCTGCTTGTTCTCAGTGTTGACAACAACAGTGTTGGAAGGGAAGACGCGGCTGGGAAGCTCAATATTGAAGCTGTCCGTGATCTCATAAGGAGATTCTCCTTGGACGATGGGGCCTACCCAGGCTCGGAGCTCAAAGAGCAGACCACCATCGAAAGGAAGACGCTTGAACTTAATGTCTCTGGCGAGATTAGCGTGAGTACCCGATGCCTTGAGAAGAAGAAGGCTGGCCTCATTGTCATAAGAAGCAGTGATTTTATCTGCAGGGATGAGCTGGCGATGGACAAGGGGACTGTTCTGTGAAAGAGACATTTTCGAAGATGTTGTTATCAGATAGTAGATTTAAGCGAAGAGTGGAAAGAAGTTGATAGGAAAACTGAGAGATGAATCTGTGTCTGAACGAGTAAAATGCTGGGCACGACCTCTCATTTTATAGAAAACAGAATTTCCAATCACGCACCGGCATGATGCTTTTGTCTCAACGAGAAACTGGATTTCTCAAAAGTTCGAATGTATTTCATTAGCTATCTCTGACATGCTCAAGATTAGAAAACATATTCAGCTTCACTTCAGCTCACCGCATCACATTCCTCCACTGACCAGCCGCAAAAGTATCGCAGTCCTTGTATACATGAGTCTCGGCATATAGTCTGAGATATCTCATGATAATTGGTGAAGCGCAGTGTCGAAATCAAGCCTCTTATCACACAATGGTGCGACATGCTTACACATCAGCATATCGGATGTTTGTGGCGTCCCAGCTCGCAGCTGAGTCTTTCAACCCCGCTCGAGCTTGGCCTAGACTTGAGCCTCATTCCAAGCGTGCAGAACTTTAACTACAAAGTTTACTTTCAGCTGAAAGTCGTGGCTGCCCGAGAGGGAATTATTTGGTTGCGAACGAAGGCTGAGATATAACAAGGGATGTTTTCGGTTGAGACTTATTCCTAAACCATAAGACTCCAAGCGGTATAGGTCAAATAGGTAATAAAAAGATAACGTCTAGAGTCTTTACTTGTAAACATTAACGCAAGACTGTGAACTGAGGATCTCTTCTTATGGTCAAGTCTTATAGCCTAGGGGCCAAACCTTTATTTAGATCTGGCGTACTCTGGTGGTTACTCTAACGTTTCACGATCAAACCCGTTCTATATTATGCCTCAATCGACTAGGACACTGGAGAATCTAAAAGTTCAATCTTTCCATTCAGACTTTCAGCTAGCAGAGATATATGGCTTCCGTCTCCATAGCATGTAACACTTATTTAAGCAAGTAGCACAGAGACTACGTAGCCCAGAGCAATGGCTTCTCACTAGCAATGATGTAAACCGATAAAGGAATACCGAATGATTCAGATAATGATTATCTCTACAGTCGATACTAGCGACTTCTCATAGACAGCCTGTTGAGCGAAATCGATCTCGTTTTGCGTGCCGATACACACAGTCTGCGATTCGACGGCAGCCACCACGTTCGTGACTTGGGTACATAACGGCTTTATGAGAACTAGTCTAGCTGGAATTTATGCTGTGATGTGCCAGGAAAGCTCACAAGTGGATTTTGAACTACGAGCCTCGATTAAGATACGACGGGGCAATAGAACAGCCCCAACGATAAGATCTTTTCCCTCTCTATCGACAGTTATACTCTTAACTCACTGACCGTCCTATAGTAGCTCTCATTACAACCGGAAATCTCTGAGCAGTCCTAAGAAAGCCTTTAAATAGGAAACGGCTCACCTTTCCACCGTTGCAAGCGTTACATTCGAAGCTGGGTGTCACGGAAGAAGAGTCTTGTTCCCGCAGATGAGAAGATAGTTTGTAGACGTGTCCAGTTGGAGAGTGGCAGGCATGATCGTAAGGCTTTTCTACCATTTTGGTCAATATGAAGACCGTATCCGGCCAGGTCCTCGGTTTTCTCTGTCTGCATAGTGTCAGTCTCGTCCGATGTGCTGTCCTTTTATGAGTGATAGAATACTGACTTGTCGTTCCAATACTAAAACCTCAATGTCGGCTTTGCGCAGGCGATGGGCCAGAGTAAGTCCTCCGATACCACCGCCAATGATTAAGACACGCATATTGAAGTGATGTATCTGTTAGATAATGTTGAAAATATGAGATGAGAGGTAAAACTTTCTAATGAGAGGGGAAATACTTGGAACGCCAATTGGTAAGACTTTCATGGCTCTTGGTTTCCAGGTTAATCTTATTTATCATAGTCCATTTTCGTTTAGCACTTTGATAGCGGTACGCGGGAGATAGTCAAGACCCGCGATGGCTGACGTCACTGGTGCTTGTGAGCTGATGCCAACGCGGATCAAAATAAGATTCCGCTCGCGGTAACGAATCAGCTCGAAAGCCTATATCATTACACGGCTATACTTCATACTTTAATTCAGTCATAATAGTTCATTCGTCATCCTTCATAATGCAAGATGGAAGCGGTATTTAAAAATGGCCCGCAGGCCAGAGGACGGCACATGACATTGCGATGCTGACGGTTTCAGGCCATATTAGGGATGGCTGAGCCTTACGTGTTATTCCTCAGTAAACAAATTCGCCTTTCTTTTCTAAGTAATTCAAGTATTTATTTAGAGCATCATCCTCAATCTTAGTCCAAGTCGTTAACACTATTCAATCTGGTTTGTTTTGTCTTCACAACTCTTACCTCTTTAGCTTTAAGCGACTCAACCACCCAGCAGCTCAAGATGACAATGGAAAACCCTAACCTCGGTGGAAACGTGTTCTTCCTTGTTTGTCACGCACTTCTCCTTTTACCGCAAATCTATAATGGCATTCGTCACAAGACCTGGGGTTATCTCTTTGGTATGTTCTGCGGCCATGTATTTGAAATTGTTGGTTTTGCAGCTCGAATCAGGATGCACTTGGGCGGGGATGGCTTTCTGGCGTGAGTTTCAACACTTTCCAACTCGTGAGAATAATCCACTGACGTCTCCAACTCTTAGATACATCGTCACAATCACCATCGGTCCCGCATTCTTCAGTGCTTCAATCTACCTCTGCCTCGCTCGGATCGTCGCTGTCTATGGCCAGAGATATTCTCGTTTTAGCCCACGCACGTACACCATCACTTTCATGCTTTTCGATTTTGTTGCGCTTGTTCTCCAAGCTGCTGGGGGTTCAATGCTCGGCAGCGACGATCGAGTCACACTCAGTGTTGGTATTAAGGTTATGAAGGCTGGTCTCGCAGCGCATCTAGCAGCCATTTCAATCTTCACGATTTCTGCAACTGAAATAGCATTCCGGGTTGTTTACAGGCAAGACCGTTGGAACCATAAGTTTTCCCAGCTGCAGAAATCTAGGAAGTTCAAGGCCTTCCTTATCTGTAAGTTTCCTATCCTTAGTTTAGAAGGGCATTAACTCACTAACTACAGGTCTCACAATCGCTACCCTCATCATCTTAATCCGAACTGCCTATCGAGTTGCTGAGCTTAGCGCTGGTTACCATAGCAGACTGGCAGAGAATGAGACTGTATTTATGCTCCTGGAAGGCTCAATGATTGTTATTGCCACGACAGTTATGGCTAATACTCATCCCGGTGTCTCATTCCAGGGTCAGTGGGACGAGGCGAACTTCCGCTTGAAGAATTCTAAAAATACTAAAGGCGACATTAACCCTTCATACATCATCTCAGAGGCTTAAAAGCTCAAAGGATATAGTGATAATAGGCCTGATGCTATTGTATTAATGGTATATTTACATAGCAAGATTTAGCATGCTGTCGACGATGGGCTTGCTATCCACGTCTTTCCTTTTCTTAACTAGATTAGCCTTCGCGCGTTCAAAAATTGTTTCAGGGGGATTAAAGATCAGAATGGCTACATCAGCCTATGGTGGTTAGATATGGATTATATAGGCGCAATTATAATGAAGATCGACTCCAGTCTCTTAAGGTAATGTTTAGCTAAATCCGTAAATCGGAATCTCCGCTCTCAGCTTGCCGTTCTTTATATCCACCTACTACAGCCAAACTAATAGCAAGTGTTCGAGAGCCCAGCTTCCGCCACAAGACTTAGGTGAAACAACCCTTTTAAGTCACAACAGCTAGATATACAAATAGTATCTAGTATTACATGCTCTTCTCCAGCGTATAGTAAGCCCTGCATTCTATTTCTACCTAGTAAGCTGTAGATATAAGAGCACAAGCCTTTAGCGAATAACTGTTTGAGCGGAACTCGGTTCTGTCTACTAATACAAGGCCTCAGCTATGAGCCCCAGCTGCAATTAAGACTTCCAAGGTAAAGGTAATACAATACCAACCAGAATGTATCTAAGCCGGTATCTGAATCTATAATTTCTAATGTATTACGCTTTAACATAACTAATATTAGCATTTAAATTAACAGGATTGCTCTAGGTACTATATATTAGTTAAGTATGAGATAGTTTTAGCTAAAGAAAGTAGGATTTGAATTACGTAGACGTTAGAAACACATAGAAAAGCTTATATAAAGCATTACTAGGTTATGCTATTGAACATATTGCGACGTCTGGTATAGATCATATTCGACTCACACTCAGCATTTCCCATCTTCACGCTTTAAAATCTCTGTATCCTACGCGTCCGACTGATCCGCTTCGCCTTGTAGTAGATCAAAGAAATCAACCCATACCAAATGCAATATTAAGAGACTCCATATAATACACTCCATCTGGACACAGCCAAAGACAAGTGGAGGTCTCAGCCATTGGGGCAGGCTTTCTGATTTTTGCAAGATGGGCAGAAGCCAACCGCAGCCGAGCATCGAAAGGTGAGTTGGTGAGAGTGCTAATGGTCGGGATATCTCTGAGGCCATGTCGTTGAAATTCGTGCTTTCGTCTCGTCAAGGTATTGGTTCAGCAAATAAGATAGGGAAATGGAAGGGGGAGGTTGTACTATTCGAGAGGCTGAATGAGTAGACTATTGTCACACTTTCACGCCTTGGTGACTAACTATTCGAGTTGATATTTATACAGGGCGTTTGCCTTTTTATGATCTGTACTTCCAAGAGGTCCAACATTAAAAACAAGCCATTAATAAGACAGTGTTACTCGGCATGTATTACAGTTCGCATTCCGCTGTGGTTACGACGCTATCCAGGCTTAGTTATACTGACTATCAATAATAACTGGCTAAATAATTGCAAGCGGCAACGAAACCGTTCTGATGACCAACCCGGCCACTTAGCCCAATCTTCGGTATTGGTGCAGTGCGGCAAATAGCCATCCAATCATATAGCCTAGCCTTAACCTAAAATAAATTCCATCATGCCTTACGCAATTTTTCGCGATTGGATGATAGCTGCCAGCACTAAAAGGTTCATCAATGGCCGCGACAGCTCAGTCTGCGTAGCGGGTACCGGCGCGCGGAGGCTTATTAAATGCCGCGCCTATTATGAAAGAATACGCCCCGTTTTACAGCGCGGAGTCAAGTTTCTTATCACGACCGCACTCTTCAACCATTCCCTAAACAGCAAAAACTATCGAAATGAATTCAGCACAACCCACAGGAGAGACGCGCCTAAACAGGACTTGTGAGGTATGTTAAATGAGCTCTCTTACGATTTTCCCCATTGACGTGGAAACCAGGCCTGTCGAAAGAGAAAGATCAGGTGCACCTCCGCTTCAGCAGACAGGTGCACCAGGTGTAGCAAACTCGATATTGAGTGCACGTTCAAGGCTCCGGCGATCAAGAAGAGGCGGAAGCGAAATGAGGCCAGGCTCCGTGAGCTGGAGCAAATGCTCAAGGAGGTCCAACAGTCGGTTTCCAAAGAACATCCATTCAATTGGTGGACAACGTCAATGCCAGATGTTTTGGCGACTCCAGCGAGTACTAGCAGCTTGCGCCAGCAATCTGAGTACATGTCAGATAAATCTCCGAGTACCTTTTCCTTGGAACAATCCCCCAACAACATTCCAGACAAAAGAGACCCTGTTGAGCGAGGTCTCGTCAATGAACGCTTAGCAGAAGAACTATGTAGCAAGTTCTGCGCTAAGATTCTCCCTCACTATCCTATTGTCCTTCCGCCATCTAATTCGTCTTGGAGAACTTTACAGCAAGATCGACCGGCTCTGTTCCGGGCCGTGTTGGCGACAGCATCAAGCAGTATCAGACCAGACCTCTGGACTCCACTATTTCGAGATGCAGAGCGGCATGTCCTCGAACATGCCATGATTTTGGGTCGAAAGTCTCTTGACCTTATCCAGGCTGCCTTGGTTCTTGCAACTTGGAGTCATCCGCCAAACAGCTTCGAAGACTTGAACTTTAGCCAATTTGCGAATGTGGCGGCTACCATGGTGATGGACCTGCAGTCCTCTAATGACCGACAGCACGTGATCCCGTCTGAAACTGCAGTGTTGCATACCGAAGCGCAAGTAGAGAGAGCCAGGGCATTTTCAGCTTGCTATTTAATCTGCTCAAGGTATAAAAACCATTTTTATTCTCATCGCGGGAGAAAGCTGACTCATATTTAGTATTGCAATGTCATTTCGCCGCCCAAGTGCGCTGAGTTATGGTCCCTGGGTAGATGACTGCATAAACGTCCTGGACTCACCGTATACTACGCATGTGAACGATCGACGTCTAGCGGCCTGGATTCGACTGCAGTGCCTTGCAGACGAGACATTCGCCATGGCTGAGCCAGACAGTCTGCCAACAATGAACCGTACAGATCCACGTACTGGTCTCATTCTTCAAGCCGGTCTTGAACGTATCAAGAATTGGCGAAAGAACTTACTAGATGAGGTTGCTATGCGTAAGACTATCATGACTCTCTCCTCTTTGTAGTAACTAACATCCTAAGCAACCCTACATATACACTATCTTGTAATTCTACTCAACATCAGCGAGCGGGGTCTATACGAGAAGCATGATGTACAAGACTTTCGCCCTCCCTATGCCGTACACATTCTTCCATCAAAGAATTTTCTCATCCTAGACACACCACTGTTTACTGACGCGCGGTCAAAATGCTCAGCTGTGGCTCGACGTTTGCTCAAGCTGTTTCTAGAGCTCTCACCCCAGACATATCAGCAAGTTCCCGTAATTGTTTACACTAGACTGATGTACGCAGTCATTGTAATCATCAAGCTCGAGGGCTTCAAGTCAAACACTGGTCTGTCGGGAGGTGATTTGATGGCTGCAATTAACATCATCCAGCTCATACTGAACAAGCTTGAGGTTGCATCTGAAGGAAAGCGTTTTCGTAACCCGGCACTGTTTCACGCTATCTTGAAGAGACTTCTCAATCTATGTAGCGAGAATCAGTCCGTCCAAGAAATGGATGCGAATGAAATAATTGAGCCTCTCAGGAATCTGCAGATCGGGCCTTCGGAGAGAGGAAGCTCATATGTGAGCCCCAAAGACTCGATGGAGGCTGACGCCATGGAACACGTTTCTGGGATCGATCTTTTATCTCAGCCTGGTTTTGAAGCCTGCATGGACTCCTTCGCTCAATACTATGACCATTCCCTAGGCTCTGGAAATGATTCCGCAGCAGCACTATTCTGGAACAGCTTTGTAGGCGAAGGAGATCTGCCGATGAATATAGACCAGGAGTTTGAAGAACAGAATCTAGATTTACAATATATATAATCTTAGATAGCCGAGCAGGACAAGGTCAAGGTGACGACGACTATTTCGGCTCTCTAGTAGATAGCAATGTAGTCGGTATGATCCAGAATACTATATAATGTCTGCTGACTCACAAGCACCCCAATAACTCCCGGGATACCAAAGCCCTAAAGCGCTAGCCACGCAGCCGTGCAAGTTTGGCGTGGATAGGTGAGGCGTGGTCACTCTAATCCAAGGTTTAACCTTACGCCTCGCATCGTCTGAGATGGAATCACTTTCGGCGCAGATGCGGAGTATAGCTCGAGTACCTTGCACTGTAGTCAACGATTACAAGTACGCAGAGAGAGCTTGTTTCGGCCGTTAAATTGACACAGAAACTTGATACAGTTTGAAAGATTCTTCAGCGACTGTTTGAGTCCATGTTGTTTATATTGTGCAGTAGTGTTGGGTGAGAACTTGGTTTATAGAACTCAATTGTTAACTACTGAGATCAGGGTTGTGTTTATATGTCTGAATGACTTTATCTAGGACTTTGAACTATAATCTTGGGACTTCTCAGACTAATAGTTTAAATCGTGAAGGGAAGCCACTTCTCTTATGCCCGAAATAAACTCAGCTACAAAGAACACTTATGCCAATTACAAATCGTGAAAAGCGTACAAGAGTCGATGGAACCCAACGCTTTATCATCATTATTCTTAATATCGTGGAGTATACTAGCCTCTTGATGCGTTTTCCAAAGCTGAATTCGGCCAATGTAACCATTCTGCCCAATGACGACCTACATGGCTTGTAATGGATTGTATTAGATACTGCCCCCCATCACCAATAATCCATGAATCCCGATTCCAATGCAACAAGACTGCAAAATGGGCGAAGATCACCAGTGCTTCTGGCTGTCTCCTTTTCAGCAAATCTAAATATTCGTCATCAACATCGAGACAGAATGCTACTATAGCATCGACCTGTCGTCCGACTGACCCTCTCAGCGCTGCGTGAAGAGAAAATGACCGCTGCAGTTTCAATACGGCGTTGTAGTACTTGCTAGCAGTTGGTGGGCATGCGTTTGATTCGATCATTTTGTTGAGTATCTCTATCGATTCCATGTCGCCCTCGATTGCGGGACACGCCTCTTCAATTTGTTGAATGAGAGGTCCAAGTCCCGATTTCTTTATTGTGTTCCATGACTGTTTCGTGACGGGACGAACACCCCGATGTATGGACAGATAGTTGATGAAGCGGTCGAGAAAGACGCTAAAATTCTCTCTTGGACCTTGGAGAGTGTCGCAAAGGATATGAATCCCGACGAGAGACGAAAAGAGAAACAATGGTACACATGTTTCTTCCGAAATTTCTTGTCTAATATCGTTGAATGACGTCAACGCCCTTGTTTGGAGGCTCATGGCAAGCTGGTGATATGGTTGTTGCATTGCCGGGGGTTTGCTCAGATGCAAAGCGGCAAGGGCGAGAAGTTGGTTCATTAAGTAGGGGGCTTTGAGTGCATAGTCTAGTGTGAGAGAGAGAACCTTTTCATTATCGGGATCGTTCGATATGATGGCGAAATTCGTCAGAAGATAACGATAAAGGGTGAAGTGATTTAGATCGAACAAGTCGCATCTGTCGAGCGTATCGCTGGGAGGCGACAAGGCTAAATCGACAGATGCATCAGTGGCGAGTGATGATGGGGGCGACAGAGGAAGAAAAGAGGGAGCATCGAGTGGTGAAGGCGTGCCTGAACTTGATGCGGTTTGGGGAGGCGACCGTGGACCAATGTTGATGTAGATGCATTCGCGATCAGTGATGTTGCAATTTTGACAGATCGGTTGAGACTCGTCACACTTCATGTGTCTTTTCTTGCAGGCGCCACAGCCATTACGAGACTTGCGGTGCGCTCGGCGGGGTTTGACAGCTTTATCGATGCTTGCAGATGTCTTTTTCAGGCGAGCCATGGTAAATTGTAGAAAAGTGAGTAATTAGCGGTGTCGGGGGAGTATGAACTTGCTGAGGGGGGATTTTGGTTCCGTGAACGAGAAGGGAATACAAATACTCGTATCCAGTTGGGGACCCGTTGCTCGCCACGCAATCTGGGTGATCAGAGCGCTTTTAGTCTCAGATTTCCAGATCTCATTAGCATGTCCCCGTATCGGGTCCGTAAAGACCAGCTTCCTATTGGCGCGTGCTATCTTTTGTGGAGTGGGTATGAGTTCCTCGTATACAATAGCACATGATTGGGTGCTTAACCCTCTTCTATCCGTAGAATGTGGGCCTCCTTCAGTATGTATCTGTCAGTTTCAAAGCTTTCCGGTATGAGAAGGATGTAGTCCAGGGGCGCATGCTCATGTCTTATTTCACAATCTTCTTCTTAATTGCTCTTCTATAAAGCTTCTTCTTTAGCCTTGGGAATTTTCTTCATTTCACCTGGCCTTTGTCAATCCAGACTTCAACCATTCATATTTACAACACGACAACCCTTCACTGCTATCTTTCCAGTTCAATCCTACCTTACCAGAATATCCGCCAAAGTAAACGATCCAGAGCCACCCGAATCAGTTTCCAACCTACAATATAGCACAATGTCTACGGAAGGTCTCTTCGCGCCAGTACCAGGGGTTGAACCTACCAAAGGCGGCGTTTACCTATGGCGTTACCTTCCAAGTGCAGTGGCTGCTATCTTGTTCTTGATCCTTTTCCTGGCCTCATTTCTCTTTGTATCTTGGAAGATTTGGAGAACTCGTACCTGGTTTTGCATTGCTTTTGCTACTGGTTGTTTTTGTAAGTTGGTACTCATCACGTATCTCTATCTTTTCGTCCCTCCTAACACTCTACCGCAGTTCAAATGCTCGGCTATGGTATACGAGCGGGTGCTCGCAACAAAACCAACAAGATCATGCCCTACGCCGTCCAAAATATGTTCATCCTCGTCGCCCCGGCCCTCTTCGCTGCATCCATCTACATGATCCTCGGTAGGATTATTAGAGGCCTCAACGCCGACCGACACTCTCTCCTCAAGCCAGCAAAATTGACAAGAACCTTTGTACTTGGCGACGTACTATCCTTCATGATTCAAGGTGGTGGTGGCGGCATGTCGGCAATCCAGAATCCGACTTTAGTAAAGTGGGCCGAAAGACTTGTTATCTTGGGCCTTGTCGTCCAGATCGTTATTTTTGGCCTTTTCTGCGTGGTCTCTCTGGTATTCCACCGTCGCATGTTGCGCACACCAACAGCTGAGTCGATCGGTACTATCATTCCCTGGGAGTCAACTCTATATATGCTCTATGGTGTCAGCCTTCTCATCATGGTTCGCTCCATTTTCAGGGTCATCGAGTATGCTCAGGGGTATACTGGATATGCTCTTTCTCATGAGTGGACGTTATATGTATTCGACACTGTATTGATGTGGCTTGTAACAGTTATATTTGCTTGGCGTTACCCCAGCCATATTACTGGGAGGCATAGCCGCTTCAATGGTGTTCTTCTCCAAGAAGTTCAACCTGACAAATAGAGAGCTATTATAGCTTTATCTAACCTTGTATTTTAACCTTGAGGTTATATACTTAGCCCAAGGGATATTCCCGGTTGGGGAGTTATCCTAGATGCTCCTGTATGCCATAGTGGTGCTGTAATTTTAGGAAGATTCTGCTTCGGTCAAGGTACAAATACGGGTCTTTCCACTGGCAAGAAATCGTTGTGTTCATTCAAGCTTATTATCTGACTCTATATAGACAAAACGATCCTTGTAATTCTTTGAGTCCTCACGAATCTTGTCAAACTTCCCTTTGTTCTTTTTATTAATCTCTCGGCCCTCTTTCCGATGCTTCTCAGATAGTGGTGGGGGAAGGATACCCGCAGGTGGATTATACCACTGTTCTTCAGGAACCTTTGTTCCATCAACTCCGCGCCATAACTTTTCTTCCTCCATATCGTAAGGCAAGCGGTCCAACAAAGCTTTTATCAATGCAGGTCTCAAGGCAATTGCATAGTGAATGTTACGATCAGCATCGAGAAAGCGAAAAACCCCGTCACGACCAAGGTCTGCAATACCCAACAGGTCTAGGTCATGGCGCCCCATGTTATATAAAATGTCGCTCATTTCTTGTTGTTCTGGTGAAAGGTCTTTGTATGCAATGCCGCAGCAAGTTACTTCAGAATCCGCAGATTGTTGATGATCAGAACCAGATTGTGACATAATTAGAGAAATGTTTGTCGTTGATGTTAGGTGGCGATGAAATATAAGAGATGAAGGCCCACAGTAAGGCCCAATATGGGAGTGGGCTTATTATTAAATAAGCCTGATTTCGGTTATGAGAACATGTGATAGTTAATGGTTGGAACCACCCAATCCTTTCGATTGGCTGAACTGGTAAGTTCTAGAGTTACTGCCCCTCTTTATCAACATCTTTGTTCGGCCCGTATTAATAGCAAATACCATGCTCACTTCATGCAGGTTGAAGGCTCGTGATATGACCTGAAGAAATAAATGTAACTGAGCTTTAGGGACGAATCTCAACTCAAAATAGTCTAGATTGATTGCATATGTAGAATTTCTATTTCTCATTTAAATAGCGAGCTAAAATATAATCTTCGAGAACCTATAGGTCATAGCGAACATTTAAATCATTACAGTAGTGCCAGTATTATTACAACAAGTCAGTGAAATATTGGATCTATGTAAAGAAGCAAGTAACGCCTCTGATAAAATATTTAAAGCACCTTTGTGAGGTTATGAAATGCGGATCGAGCGGATCAGGTTCGGAACTCGGCACACCAAGTAGGTCAGTAGATTTAATATTGCAGGTAAAGTGTATATGCATGTTGGCTGTTATCGCCCCATCTGGTATATGATATGATTCGAACTTGCCGACAGCCGAACGTAAGGGCACTTTTGAGGACTCACTTCATATATAAGCTTTTAAATCTGATCATTTTAGTGCTGTCCTTTGATAAATCATCCGGGGCTTTTCGCTGCCTAGAGTAGTATGGAGTGAGATCTAAGGAGAATTTAGATGATTGTCAGGTAAAATAGTCCATTTAGTTACTGTAGAGTCTTCCCAGCAAGAATAAAAATGGTTAAAATAGCAGCAATCGTTGTTTCAATGGAGCCTTCCTATTAAGAGGAATTTATGCGTGTTGGTTCCTAATTCTAGGAAACCCTGATTACTTTCGACCAACAGCCATAATATTCACGTAGTTTCCAGCATGCGACACATTCTGAATCTCAGGTATAAAGGGCGCGAAGGTAAGGGGTGTCTTGCCTAATACCAGACACATCCACAGCTTCAATCCACTCCGTATTATCCTGCTAGACAACCAAGGAAAAGTCTTTTTAGCCTCTATCAATATGAGAACTGGTACAGTCATGAATCTTCACCGCGGTAAAGCCATGATCAAAGTCTAATAACGCGGACAGGATCCTTCCTCCTTAAGTTTCTATTCACTGGTAGTTTTGCGAGCGGCAATTAGGCGGTTGAGATCCCTAAAGATGCTATATGGGTCACAAACTGGGATCAGCTTCATGAAATGGCTTCAAAATACGACCACACAGCACTAGTACCGAAGTATGGAGGCAATGTTATTGAAGTCGATGGAAAGATTCTTCTTGCGACAGATGAGGGAATGACCAAACAGATTGACGAATTGATTGAAGAGTTGGAAGGTAATGATCCAGAGCTCGAAGCAAAGCCTAAGACTTCAAAGAGGCGAGATCTAAACATTCCTGTACCCCTCTGGCACCAATGCAGACACTCCGGCTGCTATTTTCATTCCATTTGTCTCACCTATAGTAATTGTCACGTCTGCAGGCATCCAACCGGTAGACGAGGGTACTGTATCTAATTATAGTAATTAGTATCTGGATAGTTCTCAATAAGGAGTACTGACATCATATATATAATCTACTATGAGACTTGAATTGGATCTTTATCTTACGCTTTACTGAGAATGTATTAGAGATTACTTGAAAAAGACTACTATAACGATACGTGAAACTACCAGCCATAGCCGCCTTAATAGTGTTCTTCTCTCTCAAGTTCAATTAGATAAGTAAAGCACTAGCGTATATTTAAGCTTTTATCCCGGTTGGAGAGCTGGCCGTGGTGTGTATATATAAAAGTGAGGCAGGGAGGCTCTATGGATATTCATTCGCCTAATAATCATCGTTCTACCGTTTTAATTTCCAGATAGATACCTACAATCCCCTATAGAAGTAATTGGAGAAAAAAGTATTTTACAGCACAACAGAACAATATAGCCACATTAATTAAGTTTCAGCCTATACAGTGATATGTAGGGTTTTGTCACTCTGTCACTAATGTTACTTCCCTCTTTAATAGACCCCACCTGCACCCTATGGATCTTAGACACAGTGGCTATGTCTTGCTGAGTGTGGAGTATTGTATCAAGTGCGGGAATTAACGAGGTTGTCAAATAGACCATGACGCGTCCCACAGGGCTTACCGCCAGACTAGTTAGGTATGGCTTAAATATACCTTGTATTGGAATGGCTGCTGCGTATTTCAGTGATGAGCGAAATGTAACAGTGGCTTTATAGTGCCCTTTATTGTTTTCTCAAGATGTGTGACACGCATAACGGGAGTTATCCTCCGCCATTTAGGTCTCGACTCTATAGGACTTGTTGTTCTAGCACGGCGCTAACCAAGCCCACTGTTGTATTAAATTAACTAATATAGAGTTATTACCATTTAAATAGTTTCCCTTTGATGTACTGCCTGGCGATACTTTATCGCTGCACTGGCAATATCACTTGCATTAAGTAAATCAATCCCCTCTTCCATTAGTACTTTCCATACGTAATCCCTATAATGCATCGGCCAATTAGGCAATCCCCATAATCTCGACTTTAAGTTTCGATGCTTTGCAATCCGAAGCTGGTTCCGTAGAGTTTCCACCTGCTGGGTGCTGAAGCCTGTCCGAACACTACCAATGGCCTTGTTGAGAGGGGCCGAGGCAGTATAAAATTCGTTTTCCAATTCATAGGTACCGTAAAACCCACTATCTTGACTGAAACCTGTTTCAGTGAGCAAATGTAAAGGGGCGTCAAGAAAAGCATCGTGGCGCTGCTGCCATTCTTCGAGGTCTGTGCCAATGTTTATGTCGCGCCGTTTGATAATATTTCCAGTACCCACTATGGTTATAGGTCCAGGCCAGAATGTCTGGTTTGTGGTCATGGTTTTGTCGTGTCGAGATAGGTATCTCAAATCACGCAAAGGCCCTAACTGCTGAAGAACCAGAGGCCATGTCTTTTCCGGATCATCCTTCACATCAATGAACAGTATCAATGTTTGATTCGGCTCGGTGATAAAGACGCCAGAGGCCTGGGCAGTGGAATTGAAGTTTGTGTGTGTCGCTGGCCCATTCATTGTGTTCAGAATCTGTAATAGCGGGTGGATATAGAGTGATCGTAGTGTATGGCTTGTCGAAAGTGAGCGCTTGTCATGGCCAACGAGAAGGTCTTCTCCATCTGGACTAAGCCATACATCTGCCTCAACACTCGCACAGCCTACAGCAAGGGCTGAAAAGAGAGGATAAGGCCTCCAATAGTCGTTGTGAGAATGACACATTACTGGAGAGATAAGGCGCGATAAGTCTATGCTCCATAACGCAGCATTGTGTGTTGAATTTCCACATCTGTAAAACCGATCGTAGAATGTAAATAGTGTCATCTCGTATGTATATAGGACGTTTGACAGGCCGACGGGAAATATTAAAAGAAAAGGTGATCTACCTCAACCGTTAGCCGATAAACGTATATTGTTAATACAGCGAGTATGAATTGATACAACGTACATGATCATTGTTGTACAAGAGACGACGGTAGGCCAAAATTTGGCGCGCTTTTGCCGTGCTCTTAATATGTGCTGTTTTTGTTCTGGCAGAGAGCGTTCGACATGGCACAAATCGTCATCTCTCTTTGAGGGAAGTCGCCTATATCTGCTGAACCCGGCTAGACGTTTAAGGTAGAGGAAAGTTGAATGCTTCATGGTATGTTGTCTTTAGCAGCTATCATCAGAGATAGGTGTAGATTAAGTGAAGCAAGGACATTAGAGGAACTGAATAAGAATTGCCTTTCTGCTTCTTTTTATTAAAAAGTCTTAAGAGGCTTACACGCTGGGCTATCCATCATTCTCACAGAGCAAAGATCGCTAGTAATTCATTTTAGTAAGCTAGTAGATCAGACGTTTCATAATTGCCCTTCTCCTGATGACGCGTCCTTATTTTCCGTCGCCAACATTGTACACGGAATTTGCGGCTGCCCTTTTGTGTTAGTCAAGCGTAACTGGAGGTCGTGGCGTTATTTAGACTGAAAGTGTGCGTCCTGGCTCTCGTATGGCTGTTGGTCAAACGGAGAAAGCCCATGTGGAGCACTAAGTTTACGAGGTGGACGCGCGTAGCTTGAGCACCGCCAGGCTCAATATGGCGTGGGTAAGCCTCAATTAGAAGTGCTTTAACGAAAATTCAGTCAGTGGATTTTCTTTCTCGGAAGCTTCCGTGACTCAACGGAGGTTGGCGTACCATTATAAGACATGTTTTCGGTTTCCCGCCACTGCTACCGAGCGCACTGACCTTGAACTCGCAAAGCGAAGAGGAGACGTTTGAATAGCAAGATATTGTATAATAGGGAATTGTACGCTCACCTTGCTCAATTTTTACCTTCTGATCAGCAGACAGCTAGGCAGCTGGATTATCAAGAGGCTTTCTGGAAAGTTTTAAAAAGTCTCCCTCCTACTTGACTTAGCTTGCATTATATTGGAAACAAGCCCCATGAAGCTATTCCAGTCACCAGCACGTATGGCTGGTACACATTTGGGTATATCTCCGAATTTGTCATTTGCGTCACCATGCATTTGTCTCCCTCAGCTGGAACTACTGTGTACGGTAGCGAGGCCACGTTTCTTAAGAATTATTAGCTTTCCATTCGTTATGACTTGTCGCTCGATCTTGCGTCCACTGAATGCCCCTGCTCTCTCCACGATGCACAGTTCATGCCAAGCTTTTATGCCAAGACGGGTTCTACATACATTAGCGTAACTTTGCTAGAGGCAATTACGTGGACTGCGCCACTAACACATTGTCGGATGGGTGGAGCGAACATTGGAATCCTTTCACCACGCCTTCGATAGGGTGATCTGATCATACTCCACCACTATATATAAGCTAACTCCATAGAGTTAACGTTAGCTGGAGACTCAGCTAATGATTGGATAACTCGTATTAACTAAACCAGCATTGGAGGGTAGGGAGGGCTAGGACCTCTCTGAGGGATGAGAAGACTGAAGTAAGTTTAGTATATATTAGTAACACTCTAGACCAGTTTATTCCCGCATTGTGATTTAATGCGAGAAGTCTTCTCACTCCCTGAGGTCCCGATAGCAAGACCTCAACGCATCACAATACATCGAAAAGAGAGATAAGCGCGTAAAGATGCCACTTAAGCCCTAAAGTCGTCGTAATCGTAGGCGGTGAAGTCCAGGAAGTGCCCCCCCTCCCTCTGTAACAGTAAGGTTCTCGATCTATAATGAAACTACTTGTCTTGCTGGGTCTAGTGTATGCTCCATGTAGTTAAAGACGTACCAGAGAGTCATTATCGTTCCTCAAGGGTAGGGTTAGGATTTAGCATTTAAGGTCTGTTATATTTAACTCTTTGTGTCTTGAATGCGAACCTTCTGGCTCGAAAGACAGAGTAATTAAGATTTCCCTGTAGCCTTTCAGATGCTTTTTTACCCCTTGATCACTTAATCCTTCTTCAGTTACCTTCGTTTCTATTATGACTCGTAAATACAGTATACATGGCGTTTCCCTTCGCCCATCACGTCGTATACGACTCTTGGCCTTTGTGTCATTCTTCATCGCAGCAACATGGACCCTTCTAATAACGTCACCGTTACCCTTTTCCCCTGAAAAGGATATTGAGAGGGACTATCCATTGATTTATAGGCATATCCATTCGTTTAACGGCACTGGAGGTGGTAAGTCAAACAGTTCAGCACTCTCCGCTGTGAAATATACCCACAGCGCTAACACTGGCATTAAGCATGGTATATCCCTCCGTATTGGGCTGATATGCACACTAAACAACCGCACAGCATCCTCGATGCTGCTCGCATAGCCTCACAAAGCGCTTTATCTAAGCGCGAGAGACGAGTACCCTTCTCCAACATTCCACTAATTGTCCACCAAACGTGGAAGACGACAATGGTTAATGGCTGGAATCGTAGAATACTACCCTGGGTTGAAACGTGGATGGAGGACTCGATTTACGTTGAACATGGACCGTCTATGGCATACTTATTCTGGGATGATACAGGGATGCGTGCGTTGGTTGAAGAATTCGACAGAGACTTCCTTGAGCGCTATGACTCCCTCCTGACACCAGTTGAACGAAGCGATGTATTTCGCATATTAGTGATTAAACACTTTGGTGGAATAGTAAGTGTAGTCTGAAGATACTATGAAGTCAATTCTGACCAATGTAGTATGGGGATCTCGATACTGAGCTTATACGACATCCGGCTACTTGGATAAACGGATCAGATATTGCTACCTGGACAGACCTGAAAACAGGAAAGAATTATGGCAAATTTAACGATTCGACAAGGCTAGACTATGAATCCAAAGTAGTTAACCTCCTGTGGGGCTTAGAAGTCGACAATGACCCCGAGTCGGATGCATACTGGCGCCAAAGCTACACATATCCTCAACAACTATCACAATGGGCTTTCGCTGCTGCCCCTCAACATCCAGTCTTTTCAAGATACATGGATAACTTACGGAATTATACCAAAGACAACGAGACAGCGGCTCAGAATAGTGATTCACTCAAGCGAACTGGCCCTGCAGCTGTCACCTTTGCTACCAAGTCCTGGCTGGAGGACAACCTGGGCTTTCGATGGACAAGCCTTACAGGCGTGAAGGACGGGGGTAAATCCAAGTTGGTTGATGATATTTTGGTTCTTCCTATAACTGCCTTTCAGTAAGTTTATGTCACCCTCGGTAGAATGACATTTCGTTGAATACTGATATCACAAAGTCCAAGTCATGGAAGTCATACTGGCGTTATGGGTAGAAAGCCAAGAATAGATCCTCAAGCGAGGCTAATCCATCATGGCACGGGATTGTGGAAACATTTTAATTTCGTGGGAGAGTATGGGAAGGTTTGCCGAAGACTTTTTGGTCTTTGTCGGGATTGGCCAAGATTAACAGGATAAGGGATTTTAGACGGCTACTTATTCGCAGATCCTACTATTCACCTTGAATAGATATGTAATAATTAAATAGAATTCTTTTATGATAAGCTCTATATCAGGTATCTTATAGAAAGAAAGTATCTTATATTTTGAGTTTTCTAGTCTAAACTCAAAAGAAAAGAAAAGAAACATGACTGTCATTTAATAAGTACAATAGGTCTCAGTATGAAATGTCATCGAATTACTAACCCTAGAGCCTAACAATGCTCATCTTCCTTCACAAAAAGAACTATAGCCCCTGTAACTCAAGGTCCTAAACTTTAACACTTCCAGATATTAAACTTCTGGTTACTTCCACTATGCTGTCCCCACGTGAGGATAGGAGTGAAGTTGGCTGTGTTCGCCCCAGACAAGTCAAGAGCCGAATTGTCCTTCATATTTCGAATTCTAATTTAATGTTAAGCAGGTTCGAAATACCGCAAGGGTCGTAACCTACTGGACTTGTGTATTGCGGTTCAAAGAATCCACAGTCGCACCCAAGATCTGCCACTGCGCTGCGGGATCCAATAATCCATGGCTTCCGTCGCAGCGAACTCGTTGTCCAGACCCTATTTGATAGTCGGTTATTTAATGTTTCCAAGCCCAAGACCAAAAGTGCTTACCAGCGGACCAGAGGAGATGCTTGTGCTCAGTATTCCTGATGACTACGACGTCATTGCGGCCAGAAACAGTGAAGAACTCCCAGATTTGATGAATTTCATGCTCTCTGGCACTCATATACTCGCTAGGCGAGATTAATCAGACAATCATCGACTAATATGTTAGACTACTTACTAAGCTTTCACATCCGAGCCAAGGGTGTAGTCAACCATGACGTTATTGCCGAGCACGGATCTTATTTTACCGCTGAACCGGTACGTGGGTTGTTGCTGCTGTTTTCGGATCTGCTCCTGAAGGTTACTGATCTGCTGCTGCAAATTGTTGATCGTAAGCGTCTTTGCATTCGACTCTCTGCTAAGGTTGTCAATGCGTGTGGTCTGATCACGAATAGTTGCATCCTTCTGGTTAATCTGGTCTTGCTTCGTCTTCGCATCCTGGAGGGCTTGGTTGAGCTTGGACTGTGCATCAGCGTTGCTCTTCTCCAGCTGGATGATTCTATCTGTCTTTTCCTTAATATCATTCTGGAGCTTCTCGGTAACCTTTTTCTCCACCTCGAGGTCGGCTTCCAGAGCGGTAATGCGGGTGGTGAGAGCTGCAATATTCACTCCGTCAGCGGCCAGACGAGCCTCCGCTTCTGTCAGGGATGTCTTGGTCTGGTCGAGGTCCTTCTGCAATCCAGCCTTGGACAAACGTTCTTGTTCGAGTTGAGAGACCAAGCGATCGATAGTTTTGTGGTCTTCGGCATCATGACCCTGTTCCTTCTTGATCTCGTCGTCTCTCTTCTTCAGCTCGGCGTCAAAAGCGGCTTGTGCTTTGGCAAGTCTGGTGGTCAAGTCGGTAACCTTGGCTTTCTCAACAGTAAAATTGTCGCCAAGTTCCTTCACCTCTTTCCTGAATTGAGCAATTGCAGCGTTGCGTTCATTGATTACCTCGCCTCGAAGATGAAACTCAGCGTCGAGTTTCGAGAATCGCTACCTTATTAGTTGAATTTCAAACAACAGGTCATCATTACTTACCTCATGGGCGTATTTGGCACAATACCCAGCTTGATCGGCATAGGCAATCGCATACCTCAAGTTCTCGATGAGTCCGGTGGGGAAAGGGAGAGGCCCCAGGACGCGAGGGAGTGTAGGCTCATGCTGGGGTAGGCGGACTTCCAGTGTGGCGTTTTGAGGGGGTGAGAGCGGAGGGTCCCAATCACTGAAACCATTATTAGGATTAACACGTTCATCAAGCCAACAGCCTTGTACTTACTGATGGTGAGGGTTGGTAACTGCTAAGAGTTTAAAATCGCCTAGATCTTGATCGGCTTCCTGTCCCTTCATATGAACGGCGAGGGTGTCAGTTTTCTTGTTCCAAGTACAGGTAATGTCGTAGTACGAGTGATAAGAAAACTTAACACCGTTGTCGTCAAGAGGAGACAGAATCTTCTGTTGCTCGGCCCGGAAACTTGGTGCCTTCTCCTTGCCCTGGCTATCTTGGGTCCACTGCCACATTGAAAGAATTGGTCTTCCTTCACCAAATCCCTCAGGAACAATGAAGAGGCAAAACTCATCACTTGCAAACGTGGACCAGTTAATCTTACCGAGCCAAATCCGGCCGCACTCCCTTGACCACTCGCCCTCGGCTTTCCAAATGCGCTTGAATTCCATCTCACTGATACCACCAGCATCGTTGGACATGGCAAGGTTGAGCCTTTCATAGTTGTCAGAAGAAGTCATTTTCCAGGTATACCAGCCAGGCTTGGAGGAGAAGCTGTCATCGCCATTGGCGGCTCTGATCACCTGGCTGATGGGAATTCTTTGACTTTGAAGGGCCTTCTTGTTCCCCTTTGAATCGACTGTCCATTGAAACAAGATCCAAGCTATGTCTCCGGCACGAATTGGGCCGGAAGGCAAAATAATGATTGCGGTCTCATTCTGAGCGTACTTGCTCCATTCTAGCCTGCCTTCGTAGACAAACATATTGACTTGGATAAAATGATAAAGAAAGAGATTTGCAGAAAGATGAAGATATCAGGTTGAGAATGAAGGATGTGGATGGAGTTTTACTAATAAAAATATGGGATTGGCATAGATGGCATGAATGATTATATAGTCAAAATCAGACATTTCCTGTACCACCCGAAACTGCTTCTGCGGAATCTAGATGCCAATTAGAATGTATTGCTATTCGGAGTTCCGGCTTTCCTTTACCCCGTACATTTCTCATCCATCTTCTACACGCTTCTACTAGATATTAGCTGAGGCAGGATTGTGGCTTGCTGAAGCTACCTGACCGGTTTAGCTGCATCTACATACATAAATCCTAAGCGCTGTGCATATTAATTGATTGTCGTTCGAAGTATACAACCTTTATGGTCTCAGCTTCTTGGATATATTGCTTTAGTTAAGAACCTCCACGATTATGGCTTTCTTTTATCATATCATACTTGCAGCTAGCCCATTTCCGTCGGCGAATGATTCGCCCTGAAGAGTTGTCAGCAGTAAGCTCCTAGCCGATCATTTCCCTGTCAGTGAATTAATTGGGAGCTGATCATCCAATTTAGGTCTGGAGGGCTGAAGATGCCCAGCTGAAGCTGACCGGTGAAGGCAGTCAGCTGCTGACCAGGTTACATTGACGTGTCTGAGTATGAGTTGTGATTGACTTGCACTTAACAGCCAATCAAACTACGCTGGGTCCCGCAAAAGTCAAATTATGGCGGATAATCGCCATCAACAGTCGTAGGACAGGCTTCGTACTTATCAAGGTGATGAGGGATTGACATACATATTTGGGTTATACAAGGGAAAGCATAAGATTGGCAAGTCAAAGAGGCCTGAGGGGGTCTATGTAAACCTTTTCCATGGCTATGTTTGTAGTCGCCGATGTCTCGCTTGACTTTGTTATCGGGCGCGCTAATCACAGTAAGAAGGTCGTTAACGACCTTCTATGCGGTATCGGAATGCGTGTGAGAAGCGGCGCACTCATGAACATATTCGATGTAGTAATCAGCACCGCAACAATGGGTGGCCCAGGATACTCAGTTATGACTTTCGCCCATTGCGTAGACCGCAATGTTTGAGGTCATATTACACAAGCCGCAGCAATGCGTGTATGTAGTTCCTCGCGTCACAAAAAGCAGCGTATGGAGCAGCATTCTATTGCCCGAAGTAAAGTGGTGAGGTAGTGACCGGAACAGTCGGATACTACGAGACATGCTTTAAAGGCATATTAGTAGCACTCGATATTAGAGCAGATATAACGAAGCATTATCATTAATACGACATCGAGTAATGCATTGATGATGGGTTTATAATAGTTGTAGCTCAATCAATGACGGGCGAGAACAAGATGGACGATTGCATTGTGAAATTTCCCCTAGCTACAGTGGGTACTCAGCCTTCAATTACGGGGCCATCGCTTCACGTAGGGTCCAGGGTGGGATCTTAGGGACACAGGGACGCCTTATTGCCTAATAGTCCGAGACAGGTTTTCACATTATGCTATGATCCACGAAGACGGATAGTGGGTCTTACAGCATCACTCATGACCTCGTAGACTAGAATCTTCTATACTCTCAAAGGTCCCTTAGTTATATTCTAGTATATGAATTAATCTTGTGGTGTTATTATATAGTATGAGGCTTTTACAAACTCTTTGAATTTAAAAACCACAGCGGAAGGTCAATGCTGATTATTAATTTGACCCGAAAGTTAATTTAATGAGCGCTGGGTATAAGTGGTGAGCGTTTCGACGGGACTGTGTAACAGCTGTCCCGACGGAGTAATTTTCATCCGCGTCGGGGTAACAGTTGAGAGACGACTAAAGTATAAACTGCCCTAATTCATACCAGATCTGAATACCATACCTAGTTAGACACGGCAACTCAATGCACAAGTTTATTTGGTCACCTATGTACCTATGCATCAACAGGTGAATAAGAGCTATATAGGACTTGTGTTGTAGAGGCAGGTGTTTTAAGGTTCTAGGGTGAAATACCATAATGCAGTTAACCCGAGCCCGGGTTTCTTATGTCTCTAGTCCGCCTTTTTGCGGGCGCTACGGAGTAGTACTTAGAGATTTGAAATAAGTTGCGGCAACCTCGGCAACTACCCTGCTTTAGTCTCGAGGCCCTAGGCATCTTGACTTAGTAGCGCGGGTTAATAAGCACTTTATTAACCACCTTGAAATTATATAAGAATGATTAGTTGAGTCTTTATATCGAGTTTAACTGAAGCACGAGACATTATCATAGACACAGTATAATATCAAACTCAGGCCCTTAGGGAACTTCTTTATTTTTCTTCTTATCATCACTCACTCTCATTCCGGACATTCAACATCGCAGCCATGGATGCCTTCCGCGGACAATTGGAACACATTCCCCTGCCAACCACCTCGTTCCTAGGCCAAACTATTATTGTCACGGGATCCAACACTGGCTTGGGATTGGAAGCTGCCAGGCATTTTGTGAGACTTGATGCAGAAGTTGTTATTCTCGCGGTCAGGTCGCTAGACAAAGGCGAAGCAGCTAAAGCCTCTATCGAGGCGTCCACGAAGCGAAAGAATGTTGTCCATGTATGGCAGCTGGAAATGGATAAATACGATTCAATCAAATCCTTCGCCTCAAGATGTCATTCACTCGAAAGGCTTGATGCCGTGGTGGAAAATGCTGGCGTTTTGAGGAATACATACGAAGCGAGTGAGGGTATTGAAATCAGCATCAAGATCAATGTGATCGGGACATTCCTACTAGCATTGAACTTGTTCCCAGTGCTTCGAAAGTCATACGAAAAGACTGGACGAATACCGAGACTAGTCATTACCAGTTCCTCTGTTCATTATAATGTGGGCTCCTTCCATTGCTCACTTACCCGCCCTGTGAAGGGTTGTGTTTCAGCTCTTTTCAAATCTGACAATTTGTAGGCGAAATTCCGCGAAAGATTCGAACCTTCAATCTTCGATGCTTTGAATAAAAACAAGCAAGAATGGCTTAATGATCGGTACAATGTATCGAAACTACTCGAGGTCATGCTTGTCCGCTCAATTGCTGCAGCAATGAATGAAGGACCTCATAGCGCTCAGCCAATCATTTTGAACAACGTGCACCCCGGGCTGTGCGAGTCAGAGCTAGACAAGGATGTCAAGGTACAGTTAAAACTGCGTCTGGGATCCGATAGAAACTGACCTAACATTAAGGGATTGCCTCGCTACCTTCTCACCATCGCGAAAACACTCGTTGCGCGCAAGACAGAGGTAGGGTCACGGACACTCGTGCATAGTGCAGCTGCTGGAGATGAAAGCCATGGAAAGTACATGAGCGAGTGTAGGGTTAGGGAGCCGGGCGCCTTTGTCAGGAGCAAGGAGGGTGTAGAGACTGCGAAACGTGTGCACAAGGAACTGATGGCTATACTAGAGACCATCCAACCCGGAATTACACAAAACATTTAGGACGGTGTTACTAGTAAGATTTTCAGTATAAAAGCTTAGAAATTTATACTAATACATGTTATTTAAGTGTATTAGAGTTGGAAAATTATTTTCACAATAAATACCAATGGTTTAATTCAAGTGGTATTTTTTAATATAAAAAGTACTTTAATTTATAATTATATAAATAGCTCCTAATAGACTTTACCTTAATTAATGCTTTATAAATTATATTTTTAAGTTAGCATAAATAATTACAGTATTATTGAAAATGTTATTTTCTTTTTTTATACTTATGATAAGTGTAACTACCCTAGACCTATTTCTTATGTAGTAAACTATAACTTGGTAATTAAATAGCTTAAAGAAATACTTCTATTTAAGCTAATTCAGTTTAAATAAGATTAATCTTATTTTACTAGGTATATAAAGTGTAAATAATAAATATTTAATTTAAAAGTAAAAAATTATTTATATAGACATGTTAATACTAGTTTGATCGTTAATGTATCCATGAAAAGCTATCATACTGGTCTAATTCTATAGTACATGAAGAATAGGAATGAAATTATACTTGGAAAAGAAAAAGAATATTTTTATTAATAATTTAGTATAGCTCTGTCGTCTTACCTGTATTTCTAAATTATTTGCTCAGCCATATTAGTCCTAAGTAGTAGTCGCAAAACCATTATGTAATCTACATATTTAAATACGGGTAGGTAAAATTCTACACCAGTTAGATTCGTGTACATTTTATCCGTCGCCATTCTATACTACTTTAAACATCGTAAGACATTATGTACTAAGGATTGATATTGTACCCTTGGAGTGCAGGACTTTTACCCCAAAGCTAATAATCTTGCAGATCCTAGCCTGTAAGTATCCAATAAAGTCAATTTGTTTAAGTGTAGGTCGCAGCAAACTTCGCATTTACCATTCCGGCTAAGAAAGAAGCGGAGGCTATTGATCCGAAGACCCTATTGAGGTATATTACCCAGACATGATCTGTCCTTATGAGTTATTAAATTGTGTATAAATTAGTTCAAACGCACCATTTCACTCGCTCTCGTTCTCCATGTGATAAATGATCGTGTGGAACGCTCTCTACAATCATTATGAAGCTTACAGCGTTTATCAGCCTCTGGCTGCTGTCTTTCCTCCACAGAGCTCTTGCTGCCGAAGTCGTCCCCAGATCCACCTTCACTGAGGTGAAAGAGTACGGCGACAACCCGACAGGCACTCGGATGTGGCTGTACGTTCCGAAAACTCTATCACCAAAACCCGCAGTAGTAGTTGGCATCCATTGGTGTTCTGGTAGCGCCCAAGCATATTACCAGGGCACACGATGGGCTTCATATGCCGAGACATATGGGTACATTGTCATTTATCCTCAGACGCCATATACTCGGGATAATTGCTGGGATGTGGCATCGAAGATGACCTTGACCCACAATGGTGGTGGTGCCAGTAACTCAATCGCTAACATGGCCAAATTTGTCATCAAGGAATATAATGCCGATACTAGCAGAATATTTGTTACAGGCACTTCCTCCGGTGCTATGATGACTGTATGTAATAGAATGGTTTTAGGGGATAAAGCTAAATACAGACAGAATGTTATGGCCGCAGCCTACCCTGACATCTTTGCCGCAGGCATTGTATATGCAGGCGTCCCAGCCGGTTGCTTCAAGAGCCAAGACGATATTCCTGACTTTTGGAACTCAACATGCTCGACTGGTCAGTCTATCTGGACTCAAAATCAGTGGGCCAACGTCGTTAAAGATATGTATCCGGGATATACTGGGCCACGACCAAAAATGCAAATCTATCACGGCTCAGTAGATGAGGTATTGAATTCGCAGAACTATTATGAAACTATTAAGCAATGGACTGGCGTGTTTGGCTATTCAACCGAGCCAGTATCTACAAATCCTAATTTCCCGCGGAGCCCATATACCCGATACGTTTTTGGCGATAAGCTACAGGTAATGCAACCAACTCATTGACTTTGATGAACAGCACTGAAATAGTGTCTAGACGTTCTTGGGCCAAGGTGTTACTCATTCCATTGACGTGTTTTCTGAAGAAGACTTAAAATGGTTTGGATTTACTGTGAGTCACATCGCTGTATGTCTCTTACTCACTGTATAACATCTAACAATGTCTCAGGATCCAGTAAAACCATCATCCACTACTACAACCGCAATACCTACAAGCACTGGTGGCTCAGAGACTTCTCCCCAATGGGGCCAATGTGGCGGGATAGAATGGACAGGCCCTAAACAGGTATGCCGTTAAAAAGCGAAATATTTACATAAGTACTAATTGGTATTCTAGTGCGCAAGTCCTGCCAAATGCGTTAAGATCAACGATTGTGAGTTAATAAGCTCCCGCCTTGTTAAATTATGTACTAATATTTGCACCAGGGTACTCTCAATGTCAGTAGTTATTCCTGGGGTAAAGTTTAAAGTCATGGTGAGGGTTTAGATTACCAGCTTGTCCAGTTTACCAATTTAAGTCTTTATTCGCACTCATGAGATACACTGCGATACTAGTTCCTTGTAAAACTGACCCATCCATAGTAAGAGTATTCAGTTGTGTGTACTATCCAAATGCAGAGGTATCGTTAAGGACTGCCATTCTGTGGCGTGGTCAAGAAAAATGCCAGCTTTCCTCGTATGTTCACCGAAACCAATCCTCCCCATTGTGATGCACTACCCCTTGTGCAATCACATTTTGAAACATGGGGGCCTGGCTTACTACTGCTGAAGCCGATCCAGTGGTTATAGAGAACCTGACCTTCCTGAGATAAACAGAATAGGTAGGTATTGCCGGAAGCGAGTTGTGCACTCGACTGAGGAACTAATGCAGTTTGCAACACCGTACTAATACCGGCAACATTTAAAGCGGTTCCCCAGCCCAAGGCACTCGTCCATTTCGCGAAGCCAATAGCACCCTGAGGAGTGAACCACCAGAGAGCTGTGTCTCCATCGCCTTCCGAGAGGCATGTTAGTAAACCTCTAGAGTGACCTATTGTGCGGTGACTGCTATCGCGGCGACCATGACCACGTTATTTGAACGGATTCGTCAGCTGTAGAAATGGCTAAGGGGGTGCTGAGTAAACGGCGACGACGGGATTATAGTAAACCGCCAGGCGTCACTGGGTGTGCCCATTTCAGATGTAGACATGTCTATAGAAGCGACTGTAATCTCCGGTGTTTGGCAAGCCAAAAACCTGTCAATTTGCACCACCGCTTTGTATAATACCCTATAATATCTATAAATATAAACCTAATACGGACTAGTTTATCCCTTAGGAAACCTAACCGTTATATATATCCTATAATCCTACTAATATAAACCTGGAACGGTCTAGTTTATCCCTTAGGAAATTTAATTATTATATTCCAGGCTATTTTAATAGCTATTATAGTAACTATAAATAGGGAGATTACATTACTTAGTACTCTAAACGAGAAGAGGTTCCTAGTAGTAATGCTTAGGTCTTTAACCCTCCGCGCCTTCCTACTACTAGGTCTTAAGCGGAGGACCCTATTATACTTAATAAGGAAAACCCAATTATCGTCTTAGATAATAATAACCTTAACGTTAATATATATAAGGATATTAATGCTATCCTTATCGAGGATAATAGGGATAGTCAAGCTAAAGAAGATAATATATTAATCAACCTAATCCCCCTCTATTATAATAAATCCGCCAATAGTAGTGGCTATAATAACCCTTTTCGGGTCGATTAGGTATATTATATTTCCTTCTTCTTTATATATAATAAATAACTTTTACTGAAGAAGCCCTAGTCTATAACCTTATATAGAGGCACTAGGATAATAGCTAGTACCTTTATATAGTATTCTAGGTTAGTAACTAGGAATTAATTAATATATTTATATATATATAATATCCTCAGTAAAGTAAAGAGCAGCCCGATAAGTTTTATATATAGATTGATATACTATATTTAATTTAAAGTAGGAAATTTGCTTTAGAGTATATTAGTCATTAGTACATTTGCACCTTTTGCAAGGTGTGGACTAAGGTGCTACCATAATCGTGGATCAAGCACGGGCCACAGTCACAGTCGACTGTGGTTGTGACCCTTGTATAGCATTTGGGGTTTGCATTGATTGTAAGTTCTCCCAGTAGGTTTTAAGAGACATCACAACGACGCAAACTACAGACAAAGTATCACCAAAGCACACAAGGCTTATATAACCAAACGATCAACAATAAGGATGGCAATTACTGGCTTTATAAGGTATATTACATAGTACAAAACCAGGGCAAGACAAGGCCCAGGAGGGAGGGATAAATCCCTGTGGAATGAACCAATACTGGTCAGCCCAAAATGGGAGAGACAAAGTCTCAGTGGTATACAGTACCAGAACTCTAGAGTCAGGCAGACCAGAGGTCCAATTTAATATAGAGACGATGTCCCATAAGGGACATAGTACCAAGACTCTAAAATTGGAGATACCAGAATTAGCGCGGGACCGAGTTCTAGAACTAGAAAAGGTAGTATTAATAGAATAAAGTCCCATAAGAATAATAGTCTAAGAATAGATTTAATACTTATAATTAAAAATATTATAAATTTCTAATAAGTTAGAGAATCGCGGAGATAAGTAATATTTAATTCCTAGCTCGGTAGGGGAACTTAATTAAAGATTATAAACCTAAAACTAGGAGAAATAGACTTACCCGCCAGAGGCGAAAGTAAAACTTTAAAATTAAGCATTATATAATACCTCCGAAGCGGTTAGAGAAAGAGAGAAAGAGAGGAGGGAAAGTTCTTCTAGATTAGATTACAGGGATTATAATATTAGATTATTATTTATATAAGCTTCCGCCGAGGGAGACTCTAATATCTATCAATATAAGATATACTACACTAAAGTCATAGAGAAGTCTTAATACTTTTCGCTAGGCAAGTTATATACTATCTAGTAAATTATAGAGTTAGCTTAATTTAATAATTCCGGATCTTAGTTATTTATTATTAGTAGATAAAGATAAACCTCTATATCGCTTAAGGCTTCTTTTCCAGAAGGGTAAGTATTTAATATTTACTACTTTTAAGCCTAAAAACCTACTAAATCTATCTTAGAAAAACCCTCTTCCCATAATAAAGGACTAATATATCCCCTCCCCGATAAACTCTCTTTAATAGCCCTTATGCCTTTAAGTCCCTAAAGTAGACTCTTTTTAGATACTTTCACACCGGTAGTTTATAAGAGCAGTCTAATATTAATAAGTAGTGAAGCTAGGTCGCCGAGTCTATAATATATCCTATAATAAGAAAGAAATAATTATACAAAATACTTAAGAGACTTAAATAGGAAAAATAAGATTAGCTAAGGGAGATTAAAGGAAATATAAAGTGAGAGGCTAAGGTTTAGGCTAGTATTTAAATGGTCTATCTTAGTATTAAAAAGCATTAAGAGTATTATAGTAGGTATAGATTAAAGGTATTTTATTAGGCTTTTTTATTTAGATTTATATATTTTATAAATAGGAGTTTTATATTTAGACTTTATTATTACTGGTTTCTATTATATTATCTATATTTTATATTAGGTAACCTTACTATGCCCCTCAAGTACCGTGTCGACTGAGCAAATTTAACACGCCCAGTAGATACCATTATAGAAATGCCACTAGCTAGCTATAGCTCTAAGTGGTTAAGAAAGCAAAGAGGGTGGCTAAGTCAGTAAGAGTTACCTTTTATGTCCGCGCTATATCCAAGCGATCCAATAGGGGATTTTAATGGCTAGTCTTTATATCCATAGTGGTATCTACCGGGCGTGTTGAATTTGCTTAGTCGATATGGTATTGGGTTGTGTGATCTCCAGCTAGTTCTTCTGGACCCAAATTGAGAAAAATAACATATCGGAACTAGATGGGTTACAATCCCAGTAAAAGGCACCATCGCTAAGATATAACATATAGTAAAATTTAAGCCGTAAATAATACACAGAATCAAAGCTGCTATTTGTAACTATTTGACTACTATTTTACATTTTAAATTAAAAACTAGCTATTTAGTAGCAAAAGTGTATATAGTCAGTGACAGAGTATACAGAGTGGCGCTAAAACGCATTACTCCGAAAGGAGACAAGGTCCCGGCTACACTTTAAATCACCCCACTTCAAGTGGTAGAGTAGGAATAAGATAATTTGATTATCATCAGTTAGTAATACTATACGGAGTATAGATATCCTTATTGCAAGTAAAAGGCTTAAGCCCGTAAAGAATAGATATAAATATATCTAATAATTTTATTACCTTACTAGAATAGGCAGGAGGTAATAAAAACTTTCCTCTGGCTTGCTTAATGCATAAGAGCTGAAAAATAACTAGCTAGTTACTGGAACAACGTCAGGCTGCAGGGGGCTTGAAAAATAAAATAAGGCTTACAGACTCTTGGCGAGGCGGATAAGAATGCCGTACAGGTCCTGTAAGTGGTTGAATATCTTCAGGCTTCACACCCATACGATGCTGACTGTGCCGCCACTTGCTCAAGGCATGCAGAGTACAGGGTATAGTCCTACACTACTAAAATACCTGCCTCTTGATTTTCGCGCCCACCCAGCCACCAACTGCCGTGTACTACGTAAGGGAAAAGTAGGTTTGGGCGGAATATGACACAGCCTGATCGCGAGGGGGCGTTCAATCCCAGTCGTTATGCGGGTTTGTTGTCATACAAGGAAATTATGGCTTAGAGGAGAAACAACCAGCATATGAACGAATATGGGTATTAGTGACGTCCCCCATTCATTTAAAAATGGCTCAAAGCTGTCTAGGTCATATCCAAAACTCCCTTCCAAGCACGAGCCCTCTATCTTAATTGCCCGTACTTTCTAGCTTTCGAATTGAATTAAGCCATCAGTACCATTCTTCATTATGTCTAAGAATACACGTCCAAACTTCTTGAGTCATTGGTCCTTTGATAGTTTCAAGGCTAAAGCTGAAGCGTTTCGAGAGATATCAGATTCTGAGGAACATGAAAACGAGACCTCTGACTTCACTGGAAACTCTACTGGAGCCCGGTCCTTTCTCAGACTCCAGCGAAACCAACACACCGAAGACCCTTCCCTCAATGACCATGATCACTCGACTTGCACAGGTATCGGCGACGGTATTATATGTGAAGCTTGCTTAAACAGGAAGGATGGAATCTCGAGCGTTCAGTACTTCCATATCGATCCCACATCCCAGCTTCTTCATGGATCCGAGGACCCCGAGGATTCCGAGCAGGAGGTTGCCGAATGTGCCAACCTTCATCCCAACGACCAATCCCTCTGGGCTGAGGAACCAGACTTCTACCGAAGTCTGACAGCTGACGGCATGGGATTCTTGTCACAAGTCGCTCACATCTGTCGTTATAGCGAACTCTCCTTCTGCCATAACAGCGATTGTAAAAGTCACAGAGAGACGATGGAAAGTCGATTCCCCTTAGAGGACGGAGCATGGCCAGCGTTCAGGAGCTGGGCACTTACTGCAATGTCGTGTCAACAACAACACCGCCAAAGTTGGGCAGATCAGAAATACCATGCTGCCCACACTCATATCGCCAGTGCCGTTGCGGCTCTTGCCATGGCTCTCGCAGAGTGCTCTCGCCCATGCTACAGAAACACTATTTTCAGATCTCAACTCGACACGGTAGATGGGGACGTACAGGACGACAAGGGCAGCCAGACTCTAATGAACTCGACTTGGAACGTTTTGTACTGGATGATCTCAGTCCAGTATAGCTGCTCAGTTGGGCCAGACAAGTTTGGCCGATGGGGCTCTGACATGCTGTCCAGCGGCCTTATCAACTGGAATGTATTGCAGAGTGCGCTTGATGCTACGGAAGAGACCAAAGTCTGCAAGTACCGACTGTGGAACCTGCTTAATGAGGGTGATCGTGGTGATGCCGATCTGTTCCCTATCGTATCCTACCTTCTGCGCCATAACACATATATGGAACAGATGAGCCACGACGACCATGACAAGTGCACGCCAGGCTTCTGTCAGAAAGGAACTATCGATAGCAACAAAGCGAAGCAAATGCACTCCTCGCACGAGGAAGGCAATGAGTGTACCAAACTGGAGTTTGATATGAGCAAGGTAGACAAAGCAGTGGATGCAGGCCGCAATACGGCTTGGTTATGCAACTTGGAGGACGGTCAACCCCAGATCAACCAGTTTGATAATTATGTTGCTCTATCACATGTTTGGTCTGATAGGACAGGGGTTGGTATCGGCGAAAGAGACAACAATACCTGCCAAGTAAACAAATGCTTGTGGACGTTTTGGCATGAGATGATCACTCAGTCACAGGGAGAAACTCCCTGTGACTGGAGTCCCGCCATCTGGTGGGATACAGTCTCTATACCGCAAGACAAGGAAAAGCGTAATTTGGCTATTAAGTCTCTTCACCGGAACTACTCTAAAGCGAAGCGCACCATCGTTCACGACACGAATCTCGCCAACATTGACTGCCAAGACGACGGAGTGCGATGCGTCGCCCTGGCCTTGTCTAACTGGTTTTCTCGTGGATGGACCGCGCTGGAACTGCAGATGTCAAAAGAAGTCTGGGTCATTTTCAAGGACGGTGATACTTACAGGCCAATCCTTCTCGATAAACTCCTGGTAAAGTCTCTATCTATGGCCAGCCCGGCCCTAACCGATAGGCCGGTGGTAGTTTAGGCTAAACTACTAACCTCGGAAAACGGCATAGGCTAATAGGGGTGTAAGGAAACCCTATTAGGTAGATTAGAGTTAATAATAAGAAGGCTAAATTACTAACCCTAAATTACTAACTATATAAATAGTTAATTATAGACTTTTAATTAACCTTAAGTCTTTATTTTTGTCCTTAAGGTAAACTAAGATAAGAAATAAAAAAATAGAAAAAGTAAAGTAAGAGAAAAAAGATAAGAAAAAAAAGGAAGAGACTAGGATAGTCTATCTATCTATCTATTTATCTATTTATTTATATTACCTCTCTCTCTCTCTTTATCTATCTTAATTTAAAAAGGCTATAACTAATTAGCTTAACTTATCTAACTATATATATAACCTAACTAATTAATTATAGCCATAATAGCCTAATAAAACCTACTAGACTTACTACCTAGTAATATTAATAGTAATACCTAGGTAATAAAAAGAAAAATAAAAAGGTTAAGAAAAGGAAAGGGTAAAAAAAGGTAGCTTTTTTATAATAAAGAATATTAATTACTAATCTATACCTTTTATAACTATATAGTCTACTTTTATAACCTAAAAGGCTATTTAAAGGATTATTACCTAGATTTTAACTATTAAGTCTATAATGATCTTATTTATTATTATAAAGGCCTATTATTAATACTATTAAAAAAGGAATTAAAAGAGAATTAACTGGCCTGGTATAGCTTATCTAACCCGGCTAAGCCTATTAAAGGTCTCCCTATTTACTAAGGTTTTATATATACCTAGCTAGGTTATAAATACCTTATATCGAATTAGAAATACCTATATATATACCTTAATAATAAGTATAATACTAAAGTAGCCTAGAGGAAGACCTAGGTAGACCTCTAGGCTATTATATATTTATAGACCTTCTTTACTAGTTTAAAAAGGGTAATTTATTACTTTTATATTTATAAAGTAAAAAAAGAGGAAAGAAAAAAAGAGAAAAGGGGGGGAAATAAAAGAAAAAGGAGAAAAAAAAAAGAAAAAGAAACGATAATAATTACCTAGCTAGAAAACTAGATAATAATTACCTATATTACTAAAGGATAGTTATTATAGTAAAAAAAATAAAAAGAGATATAAAAGGTTATAAATAAAGATATCTTAAGGTATAAAATAACTAATTAGTTAAAACAGACTGGCTAGTTAGCCTACTTTACCGGTAAAAACTTAATAAATATCTAGGCCTATAATAAAATACCTAGCTAAGGTAATAAAGGTAATAATAAGGTATTATAATATATAAATAAAGTTCTAAATTAACTTTTTTTTAATTATTATATTAATAGATTAAAAAGTATACCTTTAATAACCTAATTACTACTAGCTAGCCTATACCTTTATAATACTTATAGCTAACCGTTTAGGCTATTATAAAAAAAGACTAATATAGACTAGTATCTAGCCTATATAAAATGATTTTTATATTACTACCTTAATATATTATTACTAGAAAAAAAGGTATTCCTAGCTAATTATAGCTTTTACTTTATACTAGCGTAAAGGGCTAGTCTTAAGACATTATAGGCCTATCTATAAGGGAAGGTATTAAAGTTAGAGTTAGAGTTAAAGTTAAAAAGGGAGGTTAAGGGGGGCAGGCTATTATATAGTTACCGCCGTCGCTATAGCTATAATAGCCTTAATAATAAGAATAGCCTATAAAAGTAGATATTATAGGTATTAATAGGCTTTTAGATATAATAGCTCCTTAGAGACCTTTTTAATAGCTTATTATAGTACTTTATTAGTATATTAAGGATTAACGTTAAGATAGGGTAATTATAACCGGCCTATTTATTTACTTACGTACTTACCGGTCTTGTCTTTATAGGATAGGTATTATTAAGGGAGTAGGTTATACCTACCTAGGAGTAAGACAGTATAAAAAACCTTATTTAATAATTTACCTAGGTCTAGGATATATAGCTCTATAAGGCTATATATTTATTTATAGGTTATATACTTAACTTACTTTTATTTAAAAAGAAGATTATAAAGGAGATAGGAAATAGGCTTATAATATCTTAAAGTAAGTAAGGTAAGATAATATACTTTATAGGCAGGCCTATCTTAATAAATAAGCTCTAGACTATAATAATTAAAATAATAGTTAATATTAAGGATTTTCTTTAGGGTTAGTTAATATTTAAGGAAGGTAATAATAAGTACTTTATAATCCCTCTGGCCGGTATTAAAAACGATTTTATATAAATAAGGTAGGGATAATCTTTTATTTATTATAATAGTCTTATTAATAAGGAGGTTAAGATATTAAAGGACCTTATTATAAACTTTTAAAAAACTAACCTTTTTAATTAAATAGATAAGTAAAAGTAAGTAGGTATTAAGAAATACCTTAAGTTAATTAAGAAGTTTAAGGAGTTTATATTACTTTTTATTTATATTATAAAAGGTTAGCCTAGCTAAGGGAAGAAGATTATAAGGTTATACCTTATTAATAGTATTAATAAGGACTATAATATCTTTATTATTAATGGCAAGGTTATTTTTATTATATAGTATTATAAGTCCCTTACTTACTTTAACTTACCTAAGGTTATTCCTTATTTCTTACCTAGGTAGATTAGGTAGCTATTTATAATATATATAATTTATATCTAGCCGTTAATAGATTACTAGGAGGCTAATAAGTAAAAGCTATATAGGGAGAAAATAGCGTTATTAAGTAACTTTATTTAGTATAATAAGGTAATAAGAGAAGTACTTTAGGAAAGTAGCTAGATATTTATAACTATAAGGAGGTAAATATTTTATTATATTAGCTACTAGATTATACTTTATAATTAGTATTATATTATTATTACTATTAGTAAGAAATATATCTATAACTAAAAGGCCGGCTAGGCTAACTTTAAAGATAGTAAAGATAATAATTATAATAAGTTAAAGTAATATAAAATACTTAATAACCTAACTACCTTTTATATTAAATAGATAGTTATTAATTATAGTATAATAATTAATATACTTAAATACTTAATAGTTAAGTCCTTAAAGATCTTTAGGTAGGTAAGTTATTATTAATATAAATTCCTTAACTATAATACTAGCTTATTATTATTATTATTATTACTATTAGGTAAGAAGGTTAAGTCTATCCCTATATAAAATAGAGAGGTAAAGGATAGTTATTTCCCTAGAAAGCAGGCTAAGGTTATATCTTTTAAGGTATTATAGATAGGTATAGTAAAGATAAATAAAAAAGAGAAATAAAAAAAGGAGGAAAAAGAAAAAAAAGAAAAAGAAAATAAAAAAGAAAATATAATTATATAGATACTATAGGTAATATTATATAATAATACTACCTAATTTTAATTACCTTAATAAGAAAAGGCTATAAGGCTAGCTATAGCTAAATAAAGCCTACTTATAGTAATATTACTAATAGGTAGTAATAAAAGCTTAGTCTTTATAGTCCTGGCTATATTAATAAGTATAGGTATTATTATTATAATAGCTTTCTATACTAAGCTTAAAAGGTAGCTTATCTAGTATTATATTAATACCGGCCTGGATTATAAGCCCTAGCCTAAGGTATAGTTATCTTAGCCTAGGGTTATATTTATATCGGCCGAGGTAATTATTATTAATAACTTCCTATAGTAGGTAACTAACTTAAGTATTAATAAAAGGCTAGACTATATAGTTATTAATAAGTATTATTTAATCTTTATAGCTATTAAAACCTACTACCTAAAACTTTAAGGCCTTATTTTCTTACGGAGCCTAGGTTATCTTTTTATTTTCTTTATTAAGACCTTACTACCTCTTTAATAATATAACTTTAAGGAGGCTATATAGCTATAAAACCTATTTTATATATAGGCCTTAAGTTACTAATTAAATATATAATATATTATTCTTTATATTTATAATAAATAGGGTATAATAAAAATAAAAAGATAGGTAAAAATATAATTACTAGACCTATCTATAGGGAAAAAAGGTATTATATATTATACTAGCCAGGTAAAATATAAAGCCCTTACCTACTAGTTTAATTACTATTACTACTATATTTTATATAATAATAATAACTTATAATTTATTATCTAATATAAAGAGGGTTTTTAGGCCTAGGTTTAAAGTAAGGTATTTTATATAGTAATAATAGCGGCTCTAAAAATAGGTATTAACGTCGCCGATATTATTTATATTATTTACCTTAAGGCCCCCTTTAGTATTATTAACTATACCTAAAAGGCCAGGTAGGCTAGGTAAATTAAAAAGCCTATAATAACTAAGGTTATTATTAAGGATAAAGACTAACTAGATAAGGATATTATAGGTAAGGCCTGTCTAGATATAAATATATAAAAGGTATATAGGTTAATTTAAACCTAAAGGTACTAATATTAATTATTTAGTTAATACCTAGATAGTAACCTTTAGGACTATAAAGACCTTAATAGCAGTAATAATAATAAGGCTAAGGTTATAAAATATAATAATTATTACTATATCGAGTTAATATAAAAGAGTAAGTTATTAATATAAGGGATTATTACTTTATATAATCGAGGTAGGTAAGATATTTATACCTTTAAAACTCTTAAATCTACCTTAAAAAAGGTTAAAGGGCTCGATAAGATAGGCTATTATATCTACTAGATATTTAGTAATATTAAGGAGGCCAGGTATATATAAAATAAGTATTACTTAACGGCCGGGATAAAAGACCTATCCTTTACTAACTATATAGAATTCTAAGGTTTAATTAATTATAAAAAAGACTGGCAGGTAATATTCCTAAATTACTTTTATTATTATATATTATAGAAGCTTTATTAAGATAGCTATAAAATAAAGGGGGCTTTATATTAATAATAGAAATATATAGTAATCCCTATAGTATTAACTATAATTATTAAGGTAGACTTATTACTATAGATATAAAAGGCGGCTAGATAAGAGTTTAAAAGCCGGTAAGAATATAAAGACTAGCT